CGCGAAACTCCTGCAGGTTGTACGAGATGCGGACCAAGGCAACAACTGGTGCGCTGACTGTGGATCATCTGCTAAGGTGGAGTGGGTGTCAATAAATCTTGGTATTGTGCTCTGCATTGAATGCAGTGGAATTCATCGGTCTTTAGGGACGCATATATCCAAGATTCGCTCGCTCACATTGGATGTGCATTCTTTCTCGAACGATATCGTTGAGATCCTCTTGCAGATTGGCAACCGCGTTAGCAACATGATCTGGGAGGCGACATTGGACCACTCACTTAAGCCAAATGCAACGTCTACGCGCGAGCAACGTCTCAAGTTCATAACCGCTAAATATGTTGACCGATCCTATGTTGAGGGCCTTCCTTCGCCACGCTCTCGCTTTGCCATACCCGACGAGCACCTTCTTGCTTCAATCAAGAAGAACGACATCCAAGGCGTGCTCTACGGCCTTGCTCTTCACGCCAATGTCAATATCACCGATCGCTCCCGCAATACCCATGCAACCTTCCTCGCTCTTGCAGCAGCCGACCCTGCATCCCCGGGCTCCACACCTGTAACTCTCTCCGCTAGGTCTAGCGCAAAGGCCATCCCGTTCCCGATCGCCGAGCTTCTAGTCCAAAACGGCGCAGAAATCCCGCCCCAACCCCCATCCATCCCGCTCTCCCCCGCTGCCCAGCTGTACCTCAGCCAACGGACCGCACGATCATCCGCGTTCAGTGCCCCTATCCCGCCACCCGGCCGGGCCACAGCCGCCGACACCTTGGGCTCTCTCCCCACAATCCGCGGCAAGGACAGTGTCTCCTCTACCTCCCATACCCCCACTCTCGCAGAAAGCAAGGAAAAAGACCGAGAGAAGCTGTCCAAACGAGGCAGCGCCGGAGCCCGCTTCGCAGGGAAAGTGGCATCTCTTGGCATTGATCGATAAATGGCACCTCCCGCGCCTTTCACTGTCTATATCCGCTTAGCACATCGGCTGCGCGCTCCTAATCGTAATTATATCAGGGTTTAATGAGCTTTGCATGAAAATTCCCGTCTGATGACTATCTTTTCCTTGTTTGTCTGGCATGGGCTGTATCTTCGGATTGGTTTCTGTCTTGCTTAGTGGTTAGGCGAAGGATCTTTCTCTTCTCTCAATTCTTGATGTTGGCATGGCGTACCGTCTTACATGAATGAATTTTTTGTTCTAAGACGGAATTTAAGTATGGGATGGTTGCCGTGTTCGACCATGGCCATTCTTTCCAATGTCCTTGATAGCCCTTTGCCAGTAGTCTCATGTTTAGATTCTTGGGAGAATTACCCTTTCCAAACATTGGATCGTGATGGGACTTTAGATCAATTCTTCAGCAATCTTTGAACAGCAGTCAAAAAAAGGGTCTGATGTCTACATCTATTACATATAAGTTATACTTGTAATTCAAAGCTGCATACTACCTAGATATGCAAAGAATCCCACCTAAACCAATTCTCGCTGACTAACGTTATGAGACAAACCTAATTACATAAGAGCTACGGTAACGTATTTCACATGCGAGCCGCCACCCCAAGCGAGCCGCCATCTCCAAAACACATAGTAAATGCGATAGATTACGGCTTAATATCTCAAGAACGATGGCTTATATATACTTCTTCTTACGGTCCAATGCTTTCTAGGTAATAACTAGCCACTTTAGGGAGTTTAGAGGAATGTAATAGCTTAGTGACTGACAGGTATATATTTCTAGAGTGTGGCGATGTAATTTTCAATACCACCACAACTTAGTTTGATTTCTACTATCAATTGATAAGTATTGATAAGCATTTCTAGTAATATGTCTCAATTTCAAATAAATCAAACTAAGTTGTGGTGGCAGAAATATTAAGCTGTAATCTATCGCATTTACTATATGTTTTGGAGATGGCGGCTCGCTTGGGGTGGCGGCTCGCATGTGAAATACGTTATTTAGCGCGAGCGGCTCAGTATCCCAGTCTCACCCACCATCCGGCAACATCTATGAACAGCTGGCACCTACTTGAAGACACGCAAATGCTCTGTAGAAACGAAGCTGCCTAACAGTGGCAAGATCGCGGGTCCCTTAGCAGCCCACTGACCCCGGCAGCTGACGATAATCATGTTTGAAACCAGTAAAGCCGTGGGGCGTGGCGTTCAGCGGTGGGCATCGATCATGGCCTGCAACTCTCTAGGTCCCTGACAAGGTAGATCCATCTGTTCTACTCCATCAATTGGCCAGGTAGGATCCCCCTTGTGGTGGCTGTGAAGGGAGTACACAGCGATCTACCGGATCGGGTCCAGGATTGACTAACTTGATATTGGAAGAACATTGCTCGTTCCTGATTGCCCGTCTAGGAATAAGGCAGTGTTGATTGGCCACTAGGACAGGACGATAGGCGGATGACACTGACACCAAAGCAATTCATGTGTACAGTACATGCATAGTATTTATTCGGATATCAGAATGGTTCCATCTGAGCTCAGCTCATTTAGAATAGGGTCTCAAGTAAACCTCTTGTGGAGAAATTATAAGATTGTGTCATAGAAGTGAAGATGACAGGGTATGGAGGTCAACCGTTGAGAGTCAGTTCAGTAACGTGGATGATACATGTGACGTCACATATGCCTCAGGTGTCTTGAAGCTAAGCCACTTACGTTGGATCACATGACTCCTTGCGTTGGAAGATGCTAGAAGAGCGTCCTCTGTGTCCATAAGAGTGTAGAGTATCACGTAAGTGGCCCGCCACTTTGTCAATTGCGAGTCCATTCAGTTCGAGTTCCAAACTTTGTTCTCCCGTGAACTTCCAGTGGCAATTATATGAGTCAAGTCTTGTAAATGTTGACAATTTGCTCTATAGAGGGACCGGAGATAAACTCCGGTAATCCGTGGCCAATGGTTCCAACATCACTACGGCGTCCTGTACATGTGCTCAGGTAAGGATTCCCATGCCACTGGTAACGGCCCGCGTCTCTACGGGATGATCGGCACATGTAAGGTACCTTGGACTGGAGAGACAATTCTCCACAGTCTGTTGACTGGCTGTTTTGGACAGCGCCTATTGGTCTATGCGTAGACCTAGTGGGTATGCTGTACAGGACTGTAGGACAAGACCTTTTAGGGTTCCAATGCATGCGATAAAGGGCATATACATGTCAGAACGAAGAGTCCAGCACGATATCAAAGGAATCTTATGGAAGGAGAATCAGATGTAGTTGTAGATTCAGCTCTCTAATTGGCTGGGCTGAGATGCCGGTCTATAAGTGGAGTCAACTTCAACTTCTGCCCTTGACAACTTTGCTCTCCAATTCTGGTTCTTGACCAGATTCATTGCTAGAGGTACAAAGTATCGAGTACATAGTACATAGTACTCCACAATTGCTCAAATGACAGTCACTTTGTGGCAAATAAAGGTCAAATCCGAGCACGTCAACTCCCAAACAGGATGCTCGTGAAAGCGTGATTGGAGCCGATATATCCCACGCTGATAATTGGCGGGATCATGATCGAAACTAGTGGGAGTGCAGCCAGAACACTTTGTCGGCCCAGTGCTTCCCCTTGCGACCTTTTGAGGCGCCGCCCGTCGGATCCAACATTTTGTCTCCGAATTCTTGCACGGAGACCATCCCAGACTGGGAAACCGTTTTTCTTCTTTTTTTTTTCCTTTCCTTTTTTACCCCCAAAGCTCCACCCCTGGTAGTGGCAAATCTGCCATGCATTGTTGCGATGGTCATTGCACTCATTGGCCTAGATTCGAGCTCCCACCTTTATCCATGTTCTTCCATTTCTGGCCCATCCAGATTCCGGCAGAAGATTCGGCGATCTGCGTTCGCCACGGTGGGCATTGTGGCAGATCCATGCATAGATGACACGGTACTGAACTCGGGCCCTGGCAAATTCTGATCCTCAGTGCTCTATTCGCCAAGTATATGGGTGGTACGACGCTTAGACTCGACGGTATGTTTGACAGTGCTCCAGTTTAGCATTGACCCAGTATAGAATCCGAGACCCAAGCTCTCTTGATCATCGGTTCAACCCGTGAGTCTCTTTTGAGTGCATACAAATTCCACTTTCTATTTTCGTATTCTCCTCCTTCTTTCGTCAGACCCTCATCCTTAAGCCATTGACATAAGTCCATCAGCCACAACTTGCCAAGAGAGTTGATTGGCTTCATGTCCCAAATACAATTGTCATTAATCCGCCACTTGTTTCTCGCAGCCTTATTTCAGGCACCTCGGCTCCCCTTTTTTTCCACTCTGACAGCTCCTATATCTGGGTTTTGAAACACCCGCAGCTCTCCCTCAGGGAGATATTTTCCTCCTACTACATTGGGCTGTCTCTTCAGCCACACTCTCGGCTTTTGAAAGTCTGCCCCTCCTGTCTAGACCGGTGTCAGTCACACAGTCTCACGTGCAGCGTTTCATCCAAAGCAGATGAGATATAGAAGCCCTAGGTCTTCAAGCTGATCTTCAGAGGCTCCATAGTCTTGGGAACGTTAGTGTTTTGCCCCTAAATCCCCCCCCGGTGCAATTCCGATACCCACCGCCATCTATAATTCCTTGTTTATATCTTCATTGTCCCACCTGCCTTTTTTATTTTATTATTCCCCCATGGGCTGGGGAGTATTCCCAGCTTAGTGCGAACACAGGTCTCTCGGACTCCTTCCCCCCCCCCCTCCCCCAAATTCGAATTTCTTCCCACTTTCACTCCCCATTTTTGTAACTCTTCCTGGATTTACTGACTTGTTGGGCAGGGCTTTGGTGCTACATCTAGGAATACTGTGTCTCCCATTTGGATCAATTGGTGCCCTTGGTTTACTCTATCTTTCTTGCCCTTGGAGCGTTGGACAATTGCTGGACGTTCTCGCGTTTGTGCACACTGGGAGTAGTCTCGAGCCTTGAAAGGCTTTCTCAACAGGTAAGACAGAGTAATGACACCTTGAAATCTTATAACTAAAGTACTGTAGGGAGTGCCAACTTCTTTGTCCCATACTTGTTAACAGCGGCCCCCATGGGCGATGATCCTCCAGACAAGACAGCCGACCGGAACCCGGTATCAGAATCAACTGCGAGGCAAATTCAGACACCGGGTCAGTCCTCCCTGGTGCGATCTTCTTTGAAATGTTTCAAGTCCCGGCCACACAAGAAGGTATTGACAAAATATTCCGTTACAGGTGCAACACCTGTTCAATCCGCGCGACTTTCCAATGCCAGGCATCATTCCGGCTTCACGGAAGCCCGCTATGGAAACAATCCGAATTCGTCTCCCATGAACATGGGTAACATGGCATACGCTCTCCCAGGTCATCATTCACAGCAATATGAACAACCAATGTCTCAATATCCGGCTCATGGACAGGGCATGATGTATCCCATGCCGCCCATACCTATGGCTCCATATGGACACAACACCGGAGGGATGGCATATGCTGTCCCTTACCCAGCCTATCCACCATATGCGATTCCACAACATCCAGGCCAACCTCGGCATGGCACTCATTACCAACCATATGTGTCAAATCCATCTATGCAAAGTGTCGGCCCAGGACAGGCGCCCCCATATGGTCCAGGATACTATCCCCAGTCGGCCTATGGTGCTCCCTGTGGAGTGCCTCTTGCTGGGCAAATGCTCCCGTCCGGATCAATTTCCCATGCACAAATCTCACCGAAACCGGGCTCTTTGCGAAAAGAAGCCGACAAGCGTGCTGCGGATTTGGAATATGACGTCTCTAAGACTATAGTAGACGGCTCAAACCCCATGAAATCAGTACCCCAAACACTTCTTTCAGGTAAGTATTTGACCTCTTTATTTTCACAAGCATGTCACTAACCACCTCCTTTGGGGTTAGACACTTCTCTACACTCGACCCCATCCACCCCGAGCACACCCCGAGGACCACCCCGAAAACCGAAGCAATCAGGACATGCCCTCTGGGTTGGCAATCTCCCCCCGGGGGCCAATGTGATGGATCTCAAGGATCACTTTTCGCAAGATGCGACCAACGATATCGAGAGTGTGTTTTTGATTTCAAAAAGCAATTGTGCCTTTGTGAACTATAAGTCGGCTGCAGCTTGTGTGACAGCGCTGGCAAGATTCCACGATTCCCGATTTCAGGGCGTACGTGTTGTCTGCCGACTACGCAAAGGATTTTCTGCACCTGGCTCTGTGCCTACGGTTCCTCCAGCGAATCTTCGCCCTCGACCGGAGGATATCGCAACGGAACCAAGAGACGAGTCCACAATTGGGGAGATCAGTTCTACATCGCCGGCTACGGGACAGCAACCTCCCCCTGCGCGGGTGGTGGATCGGTATTTTATTGTTAAGAGTTTGACGGTGGAGGACCTCGAGTTGAGCCGGCAAAGTGGCATTTGGGCCACACAGTCACATAATGAGGCGGCGATGAATCAAGCATATGAGGTAAGTGAGATCACATTTACATTTGACGATTCCGGCTGACTGTAGTAGACCGCCGATTACGTATATTTAATCTTCTCAGCCAACAAGTCCGGCGAGTATTTTGGCTATGCTCGCATGATGTCGCCCATCAGCGACGACGAAGAGTTAGCCCTCGAAGTACCTCCACGACCCGACCCTCCCCCCGGCGACCCCGACGATCTCGACGTGACCTTAACGATAGCCACCTCGACGGCACCCCGCGGGCGAATCATCGATGATTCGGTGCGAGGAACAATATTCTGGGAGGTGGAATCCTCCGGAGACGAAAACGACGATACCCACAGCGAGAAGAGTGTTGAGCCAGAAGACGAGGAGGGACAATCCTTTGGCAAACCCTTCCGCATCCAGTGGGTATCAACAGAACGAGTGCCCTTCCACCGCACTCGAGGGTTGCGCAACCCTTGGAATGCCAATCGCGAGGTCAAAATCGCTCGCGATGGCACCGAAATCGAACCGACGATCGGCCGGAAGCTGATTCAGCTATTTCACCTTCCTTGAAGGCCTTTCGATCGGTCATTCAGACTGGGAGTCTTCCGGTTGGATACAAAAAGGATCAAATCCTCTTTACGGGAAACGAGCAATATACGATGTACGTCAATTTCTTTCTTTGAACGCGGGAAATGATGCGCGCACACGCTAGTTTCATTCCACTTCCTAAATATGTTCACCTCAAGGGGTATGAAGTCACCATGAGTAATTTGATAGCATTAGACATTAGTAGCAACAGAATTAGCATCACCAAGAGACCAGAGAGGTCAGACCATGATAGACAAATCGAGAGATCACACAATTCGATCATACTAAAATAAGTCTAAGTAAACTAACTAATAAACGAATCATCGACATCATCACTCCCCACTAACGCCACTCTACCCCAGATCCTGAGCTTAACTGTTTTCTGCACCCCCTCCCCTGCGTGGCACCACACATTCCCTTTTCTCTACTCTCATCCATTCTCTCCTCCTCACTCTTCACTCTTCACTCTTCCCTCTTCACTTCACATTATATGCAAAGGGCGGCTAGTCCGTCCGAGGTTCTCTACTTTCTCTCAGATCCTCCCTAAGATCCACCCACACCCACCCACCATGTCGAACGATCGCACTTCTCCCATCTCTGTTCCCAACTCCGGGAACCGCCAGCGCCGGGGTTCCATCGCTGATATCTTCTCCAAGTCGAGCAATACCAACCAAACCAGCCAGGCCAATCAAGGCAACCAACGCCGGCTGTCCATCAGCACATTGGGACTCTCAGGATCCCCTACCCAAACAGCCTTTGGAAACCAGAACCTCCGCCGGGGCAGCATCTCGAGCTCACTCGGATCTGTCCCCAACGCCGAAGACGCGATTGCGGAGGATACAGAGGGATCCCCCAACTCGCAATTTGCGAGACGGGTCTCCTTTGGTGCGCAGGCACTCCGTGATGCACGTGGAAGCACAGGCAATGGTAGACACTACCCCCCCTCCCTGCCAAAGCCGCGTTCTCCCCCCGCTGGCTCTGCCCTCAGTGCTGCCCGATCTCCCGCAAGTACCTCAACCTTAGCTCAGGATGAGAGATCTAACGCATCGCGGCGACCAACAGGCGAAGGCTTCAACTGGTCCGAGGCTCTCCGGTCCCGCGCCGAACGAGCTCCCTCGCTCGGTTCTCCAGTCTCCCCACAGGCCCAACAGCGCCAGTCCGGCTACCACCAGCGTGCCGCGTCCATTGCCTCCATGGAGCAACCCGGTCGGGAAATGCCCCGACAGGCCAAGCAGAACAAGCCCGACTTCTTCCAGGAGAAAATCCTCAGGGGCGACTTTATGGAATAAGTCCCTGGGGCCATTCAGGGAAGTATATTGTGAGCTGTCTTGGCCTTTTTCAACTCTTCATCTTCTTGTTTTCTTGTATTTGCCAGTACACAGACTGGCCTGGGTTTCCATCTTGACGTGTCTTCCCATTTTCCATTCGCAAATAGGTACATTGTATCAAATGATGGAGGGGGAGGACGGTCACCATTTTTTTTGAGCCTTGGGACCACGGCGTTTATGATCTTGAGCATTCATTATCCATCCCATCCTGGAGATGGAGATGATTCTATTCTTACCGATATATGACTACCAAATTGGCATGAACTTGAGAAATACTTCACTTCAAACTAGGTCCAAATGAGTGGTCTATACTGTAAACCTATTTACTGTTTTCCCCCTCCTCCTTCGGCCCCATATCTCACTTCACACCATTGCACTTTTCCTGCTCCCTCCACAACACTTCACACCTCACATTACGCATTCGACGGCCCAGCCCCCGCATCATCTACCGGGTTCTCAGCATGAGCATGACCGGGAACCTCTCCCTGCTTCTTGCTTGCTGCACTCTCCTCCTCTTTGTTGTACTTCTTCGCCACCTTCCGATCCACAAGCTGATCGGTAGTAAGCCGTTCCTCCGGTGGTGGGGGCTGCCACTTGCTGCTCTTCCATGGCGGCACTCGCATGACATACATCATATCCATCTCTTCGAGGGTCTTGCCCTTGCCCTCGATAACAAAGAAGTACACGATGATAACCGCAAAGAACAGGCATCCAGCAAACACATATCCATATGCAAAATCAATATCACCCGTGATAAACGGCGTGAAGAACCCAATTAGGAAGTTCCACAGCCAATTCGAGGCTGTCGCCAGGGCCATCGCCCGTGCTCGGTACCGCGATGGATACAACTCGGCGACAATAGCCCACACCATCGGTCCCCAGGTCATTGCAAAGCCAGTGATGAACAGACAGGCGAAGACCACCATGGCCTTACCAGCACCGGGGGTGTTGGGCGGGTTTTGGACATCTAGGGAGAAGTGGCCCACAGAAGCAAAGACCATGAAACAGACGAACATCCAGATGCCGCCTGTCATGAGTGACTTGCGCCGGCCAAAGTGCTCGATCACATACAAGCCACCAAAGGTCGTGCCGAAATTGACGCCACCCAGGATCATCTGTGTGACATATGTGTTACTGATGCCGGCCCCGTTGAAGATTACCGTGCCCTGGTTGGTGTTAGCCTCGGTTTGTATTTATTGAATCTGCCGGCTGCCGACTTGGGTGAGTCTTACATAGTAGAAGAAGTAATTGGCACCCGTCAACTGCTGCAGTGCCTGAAGTACCACACCAAGGATGATACGGTATTTCATCCGCGGGCCCTGAAACATTTCGATCCAGCCATGCCATCCACCCCGAGATCCCTTCTCGGCATCCAGCTGCTCCTGAATCTCGATGACTTCTTGCACGATCACCTTATGATCCTCGGGCACGCCATACAGCTTGGACATCGTTCGCTTTGCTCGGTCTGTACGGCCGTGACGGTAATCAAATCGAGGACTCTCGGGGAAGAACAGGATGCCGATTCCCAAGACAAGACCCCAGAAGAAGGTGATCCCAAGAGGGATTCTCCATGACGCGGAGTTGTCCATTGACTCTGTGCCGAAGTTGATGCAGTATGCGACGAAGATACCCAATGTCACGAACAATTGGTAGGAACTGATCAGGTGTTATTAGGGCTGGAGGCATGAGTACATTCATGTGGAAACTTACCACACCATGGCACCTCGGATATGTCTTGGTGCAATCTCACCCTGATACATGGGCACCAAGAGCGAGCATGCACCTACACCGAATCCAGTAACGAACCGTCCCATCATCATCTGATACCATTTCCCCGACGGCGAAGAGATTTGAATGATCAATCCGACGTGAAGAATGATACACCAAAAAAAGATAGACCACTTCCGGCCAATCCAGTCTGTCAATGGACCAGCGAGTAGGGCTCCGATCAAAGTACCGATAGAGAGCTACAAAGCCAAGGTCAGCTTCAAGCCATCTCTCCAGTGACCAATTCACATACCATGGAAACAATCAATCCCGATCGAACATTACTGAACTTATAATTTCCATCCGGCTGAAGCTGAGCAAACCGCTCCTTGAAATTCTTCATCTCCAAGAATCCTGAAATCTGACCAGTATCATATCCAAAGATAATACCACCAATGGAAACAAAAGCACCGAGCAACACAGACCGCCACGTCACCCAAGGTACATGTCTGTCATCCAAAGAAGAGGTTCTCTTCTCGCGATCCGCAGCAGACGAATCCCCCGATATATCAGTCAGTGGCGGAGACTCAGCCCCGTCATTGCCAGCCTTTGGGAGGAATGGGATCTTCATTCTGAACACGAAGCCCAAAAACAGACCTGTATAACGTGGAAACAATCTCAAGGGGTTATAGTTGACAAAAAGCCCGGATTGGTCGGGATAAAGTGAATGGCGTTCGGACTACCAGAATACGATCTATGTCCCGGCCACTAGCGTGTTATAAGGGACTTGGGCCTGGCGTGTGTCTTTGCATCGTCATATTGCCACTGGCGGAATAAGCTCGGGTCTAATGAAACCGTCATGGATTGGATGCGCCACCGTGGGGACCTGTTTTTTGAGTGATGTAGGTTAGCAAAAGCGCATGTCTACTCCGAGATAGATATAGAATTTTACATGGAGACCTATTGCTTGATCTTCTCTAGGTGTTGTCCTACAGGTCAATTGTCTATAGTTCAACAATGCTAGATTCGTCCGGAGATTCGTCCGAAGAAGAAGCAGAAGAAGAAGAAGAAGAAGAAGCGAACGGCTCGGGATGTCGTGGTTGCGACGAAGTCGTGACGTCAACCACCCTTTGTTGTCGAGCTGGCACCAAGAGTAATAAGCTTGTTTCTTGTTGTTTTGGGGGTTTACTTATAGTTAGGAGTTGGGGTTGGAACTATGTCATCAAAAAGAAAGTGTAGATAGTCAACAATAACCAGAATTGAAAAGTAATATTAAAATGCAACTGTATTGCCAAATCAGAATAAAACAAATCAATATTAGTAAGGAATTCCGTTGGTCATCAGCTGGAATTGATCATAACCCTTAGTCGAGACACTCATGTAAGACTTGCGCACAAGTTCACGCATATACTCCGCGGCATCACGCTCACTCTTATCCAAAACAAACCGGTCACGGAAGTTCTTCAAAGTCTCAGGCTTGAAGCAGGGCAAACCACTATCAAGCATGAGGGACACAATATGCGCCAGCTTCGTGCTATAAGGACGCGACGCCAGGAACGCCTTGACAACCAGCGACTCGAACCAGCGGTAAGGCTGGGTATTAGTCGGGTTGTGCGAGTTCGCACCAGGCAGGTTGATGCCCGAGTTTCCGCCCTGATGATGGGCCGGGTTATGAGTTCCACTCATGACGGCGACCATCTCGGAGGTCAACTTGAAGGGAGCACGTTCGAAGCGCACACCACCGGGAGCAATGTCGAAGCAAAAACCGAAATCGATGTGGATGATATGACCAGCGTCGTCGACCATGATGTTTCCGTTGTGTCGGTCCTTGAATTGCAGCAGGTAGGAAATGACCGAGTAGGCGGCCATACTCTTGACGAAGTTGGTACGGGCTTCCTGGAAGCGGATTGAGTCCTCGCCTCCGTACTTGGAGACAAAGTAGTCATACAGACCGTTGACAGCCTCACGACCGAGCATGTCTCGGGAAATCGAGTTGGGGAGGACGTCGATCACACCGCAGCCAGGGGCTGTGGAAGTCACTCTGTAAGGGAAGACCCAGACGTCCAGTCCGACACTGGTGAAGATGCTTCGGAAGGCAGCAATCATCTGCAGGGCAAGCATGTCCTGACGACAGTCATCGCCGACCTTGAAAATTGCCGACTGCCAAACCTCGTATGTCTCCTGATCAGACTCATTCTGATTATGTGTTTGAGATTGAGAATGAGAATGAGAATGAGAATGGCTAGTCAATTGGCGCTGGTGCTCATGGGGCTGAGAACCAGTCGCATCAACCTTGTCAAGACGAGGTCTGGTCTTTTGGATACGGAAAGTCGCCATGTAAGGTGCCTTGGCGTGACTTTGCAACGGCTTGCCGGACTTGCGGTCAATTCCAACGACGACACCGTCGGGATTACTAGGGAGATAGACTCCAACCTCGACCTTAATCTTGCGCAACTCTTCCTCAATCTTCTCCTTCTTCTCGGGCTTGCTCCTCTTAATGTAAGGGCGCAGTTTGCCTGAGACGCCTGTGACTTCATTGAAGAAGGAGAACTCTTTTTCGTAGAAGGCGCGCTCTTCATACGAAAAGCTTGAGATGAGGTTCTCTAGGAAACGGTCGAGAGTCGGTTTGAGGGGATCAGGAATTTGAGACTCCTCATCCTTGTAAGAGTTGGCCTTCATGTTCCAAATCACTTGGTGAGCGAACAGCTGGGACAACTTGGCTGTCTCAAGGATGTAGCGCTCAACGTAGCCCAAAGCATCGTAACGCAGAGCCTGGACCAATTGAGGCACAAAGTAGAATCGGACATCCATTGAGTAGCTCTCCAGTGCCCGCATGGCGTACTGCAAGATGTAAGGGTGGTTGCCATAGGCAGGCAAAAAGTATGTGATGGCTTCAGTGGGAGTGACAGGAGCCCAGTACAAGAGGTACTTTAACTGGAAAGTAACGTCCGCAGGCAGACAGCTGTCAAACATGATCTCAAGAGCACTTGGCTCCTCAATGACCTTCTCGGGGAAATTGAGGATCAACCATCTGACATCACTTTGCATCTTGGGCGATGGGAAACGAGTAGCCATCTGGATAGCCAGCCCAGGACTTTCGGCCCAGGCCAGTCGAAGGTACGATACAGGGCCGTCAACAGGGCTCTTGCCTCCAATAATAGGCATGTGGTGCTTGCGCTCAGGCTCCAGGGGGAACAGCCAAACCCGAAGACGTGTGCGCTCGTTGTCTACGAGGATCTGTAGCAAGTCTTGCTTGGCCTGTAATGACTTGTACGATCCTTGGGCTACCGCGGCAATGCCAGCAACGCCTCGCAATTCCATTGTCATGTCGTTAAGAATCTTGTCTTCGGCCTTAATCTGAAGTCGATTTCCTCCAAATGACCATCTTGGGGCATGCTTGAACCAGCTCAAAGCAGCAGACAAAATCTGGTCCTTGAGTTTCCACGAGGCACCACTGTTGCGGGGACTAAGGTGTCTGAGAACCTTGAGTCCGAATATTATAATGCGGAAATGAATTTCTCTGGCCAAAGGATGACACCCGGTTTTGGTCAAACCAATGACAGTACTGCTGACCAATCGACAGAACAGCTGCTGGTCTTGTAGGTTACTCAGGCGGATAGCATTAAAATGACTCTCGAAGAATTGAAGAACTCGCAAGTGTGGAGAGAGAGTATCTTGGGCCTTTTGCTGCATTCGAAGCATAAGATCCTTGTCAGTTGGCAGTAGCTCGATCTTCGTGTGCAGGGGGTCAAGATAGGCAAAGGAGGGATCGAACAACCCCTTGCGGCGGTAGATACTTCTCTCCCAAGCTTCGATGACTTCAGAGAAGATCCGTGGTTCAGTGCTTGGGTTCTCGTGAATGACCCCGAGCCAAAGCGAAACACCTAGCTTAATGGTGTCCTTGGTGAAAATCTGGAACGGCAAAGCAACCAAATAGTGAATCACAGACAGCCTGGGCTTGCTGCTGCTACAAATGAGGCTTGCAGCCTGCCGAAGAGCATCTCTAACTTCAACAAGAGGGATGTTTTCGTTATCGAAACTCCGTCTGTACAGACTAGCGAGGGCCTCTTCCGGATCCAGGGCATCAGCGGACTCGGGCAGAAGACTGGCGTGAGGCTTCAGATCATAATTCCTGTAGATCTCTCCCTCCAAACCATTGATAGCAGGCATGTCCGGACGGCGGTACTTTTGACGTGTTGTGTACAGCGCCATGAAATCAGATGCTACATTGATTTCGCTGCTGCCGTGAATATCAATTGATCCAAGTCGCGGGTCGCTCTGTGGTATGATGGAGCCCATCTCAAGTGCAAAAGAACGGCCTATAGAGATGTGTCCATAGCCGCCATCATCGTCGTACTCGGAGAGATAAGTCTGTAGCAATCCCTTAATGTCCAATGGGGCGATATTCAAGACGGCAATCACCCAACCCCTGGCTTTCGCATGGAACCGATCCAGGGTCGCCTTTCTCAGCGCATAATTGTCAGGCAGTTCGACCTTAACAATTCCCATAGGGGAGACCAAAGATGACTTCCAATCAAACTCATCAAGTTCGCCTTGCAAACAGGAAGACCACATGACAGTGAGAATTTCAAGCAAGGCAAAGAGGGAGTGCTTTTCGCATAGCGCTGAAGGGCATTCGCGAATGATCTTGTCAGCACACAGGGTCGCAATGCTTTGAACCCTTTCAATGCGATGACAGCAGGACACCAAGAATTCAGCAAGCTGCTTGGACAAGTAAGGGGCTGAGAAGTTATCATGCTCTCCTGATAGCGTGAGGGACAAATAGCAGGTAACCACCTTTTCTGCGACGGCGTTCATGCAAATGACCATCTCCGGAGTGGTCAGTGCAGGATCCAGGAAGTAGTCGAGGATCTTAGTGGAATCTCCAGACGACGCGCGAAGGCTCTCAAACAGGAGTACGGCGTTAAGGAACACTGCCCTTGGGTAATCCATTCTCTTGATGTCTGAATCCCGACCAGGAAGCTCCGAAATTAAAGCTCTCTTCTGTTCCATTATACGCTGTGGTCCTGCGCCGCGCCTGAGCACTGTGTTAAGTTCCACGTCACTCTCTAGCGATTCCATGTGGTTTCCAGCAACCAATGGCGGGGAATGATGTGCAAGAAGACGAAGCTCCTTGTGATGCTTTTGGGCAATGCTGGAGCTGAGTGATATTCCGTGGATGGCAATGTTGAACCAAACATCACGGAACAAAGACAGAATGGTGTCATCGTATTCCAGAACTGACCAGGAATCACCGCTAGTATTACCCTTAGAAGAAACGAGCAAAGCAAGTGGCTTCAACAGCGGAGTGATATCATCTGCAGAAAAGACAACCTCCTTGTGACGCTCATGATCCAGGTCTGGCACATCACCCTTGTTGATGATGCTTTCTAGCAGATGGATCAAATAGATCCGGTGGAGAGGCGACTTTTGGTCCAAGGTGACTGAAAGATAGGTCATAGCGCATTGTACAGCATCAGATATAGCGTCTAATCCCTTGTTGATGCCGTCAAGATAGACACGAGTGTAGAACTTCAACAAAAGCTGGAACTCGGCTTGACCTCCACTGAGCGCAAGAACTGCAGTCTCCTGGATGATATACGCATCCACTGCAACATCGATCTTACCAATCTTTTGAAGAAGCATAGACTGGGCCAACGCGCTGATCTTGTCATCGTTGCAGCTAGTCGCAATTGTAACGATGGCATGGATCACATTTCTGTGAGTCACAGTCTCGTCTTCGCCTTCAACGGCTAGGGATGTCTGGCTCCCAGTCTTCTTGTAACCTTCCAGATTCATGCCCAATCCGGTATGATCTCCAGCGAGCTGGTCCTGGCTCGATTGATCAACATTGGTGGCCGGGCTCAACGCATTTCCAAGTGAATATAGTGTTGTAATCACTGCATCCTCGGAAAGGATAGTCAGAATCTGGGCGAGGCATCGGGAGGCAACTGCGACGGTTTGGCGTGCTGACACGCCGCCCTGAGAAAGGAACCGCAAGAGGCAGCGCCTTCCGATGGAGGCACCGTTTGGCGACATTCTTGCCACGATTGCAGTACATTTCAAAGAAGTTACGGCCAATTCCACATTTGACATTTGCTGGGGGTCAAGCAATGCATCCTCGAGCCAGGACAGCAGTACATCGTTATTAGTCGCATCTTCGCCAAGGATCACGCAGTTAAGAAATCCAACCAACGCATGTCCCTTGACGGAAAAGGCAAGACGCTGCTGCCAGGGGGAGCCGACTTTCAAGTAATCAGCGCCGTCTTCGAGCAAGTGGATTTCTTCGCTGATGATATCAGTGACACGCTCGATGAGAGCAATATCATCCTCATCGTAGCTCTTTGCAATGCCGACACCCGTCATGTAGTCATCTAAAAGCTGTTCATCAGTCAAGTGCTGGGATCCCATCAGAGAAGCTGCGCATGACTTCACAAAGCGCATGAAGCCCTCTTGAACGAGCATAGCGCCCAATGGGCGGCCATGGGCAGCGTATCGACGAGTGTATTTTCTCCAGTCTCTGAACGCGGGCTCTGCAGTGTGAGTACTGCGAAGGGTGGAGGAAGCCGTCTCAACTGCGATTATGAAGGGCTCCGATAGCATCGAGCGTAGATGATCGACTATCCGCAGTTTCTCGCTCGCTAGCCATATAGAGGTGTACTGGGCTGCTGCCTCCATAAATCCGACGAGTGAGACTGCGATTGAAAGAACAGCCACGGACTCATGGACCACGCCATGTCCATCGGACTTGGAATATTGGAAAGGCGTGACCGCATTGATAGCTTGCGCGCAGTTGTTCAAATATCCGTGCACTGCATCAAGAGCTGTCTTGCGAGTTGCTGGGTACTTCGTGGCCAGTGACAAGAGTGCCAGGGCCAGATTGTGTGTGAGGGTCTCCCACGGGGACGGTTTTATACTATGAAGGAAGGGCGAAGACCGAAACAGTTGGCTGTGAGATTCTGGCAGGTACCGGGAGAGTTGCGAGGCCAGTTGAAAGGCATTGTCTGCATCATTGACCGACGTGGCCGCCTTGCATAGGGCTAGAAGGACATGTAGTTCGCGGACTCCCTGTCAGAAGTTAGCCTGCACCACTACCGCGGTGATGCGCAAGGGCAACATAGACACACCATCGGAACCCGCGAGGTAGGGGCCTGGTCTTTCAAGACTCCATTGAGAGTACCATCAGTTTGGCGAGCGGGTTGAGACTGCTGCGCGAGGCGAGTGAGCTCCGTCCCATCGCGGGGGGACTCGACTGCCAACGCAGCGAGCTTCTGAAAAGCGAACTGCCTGATTCCACCAGAAAGGCTTGAGTATTCCATCAGCAAAAGTTCATCAGCCTTCAAGAATCAACATACCCGTCCATGGTTGAGTGAGGACCTTAAGAATGAAGCCCTGTGAAGCCTGGAAACCCTGGGGAAATATGAGGTCAGGGGCACGTGTCGGGACGCGAACCTAGGTCCGAGCCGAACTTGTGAAGTATCCAGATTTACATATGTTCAGAAGTAGATTCAGAGAGTCACAGATAACTACAAGTATATGAAATATAGAATGTGACGCGTAGTTTCCGCAGTTTCCAAGTTCATTCCCATTGGTTTCTCGGGCGGAGAAGGCGCCAGGGAGGCTCAAACAGCTTCCTCGTTCTTTTTCCACCCCTGAACTGTGTTTGCGACTTGTCTCTGATTCACTATTCTCTATTATTACAGCCCTGGAGATTTCTGTAAAGTTAACTCGACTCACATTGGCGCTCTTGCGTCAGCAAACCCCCCAGGAATCAGCGCTCATTGGTCTAGGGAAGCCTCCTCGGTGTGATATTAGGCAGCATTATGCCTCCTCGTGAGAAAAGCTCACTCAAGCGGGGCCGGGTATGTCCTATATCTGCTCAGGCTCGTTCTTTGCTTACAGGGATTACTATAGGCCACTGCCGACGCCGATTCCCAGAAAAAGCCTCGGCGCTCGCAAAGAATCTCGAGTCAAGTACTTTCGCAAGAGACACCGGTTGACCTGGAATACCTGCCCACTCCTCTTACTGGCCCTGATTCGACAATTACGGACAATCACAAAGACGAAACCGCAACACCTCCGGAAAGCCCTCGCAAAGGCCCATCCCAGCCGGAATTGTCAAACGCTGTCTCTTCGCCCCCAGGTGATACCCAGGCGCTTTCACAGTTCGTCTATCCGCCAAGAGCATTTGTGGATGAGGTAGAAGATGAGGATGCCGAAGGGGTCTGGGGCTACTTGCTACCACTCGACGAACATGGCAAAGGTCCGCTCGTATTGAAGAAGCGCAACCAATGCGGAGATGACACCAGTCTTGCCAAAGCCAAATCTGGGAAGAAGAACGAGCTGTGCAAGTCGCCGGGTGGCTTCTTGGTTGGCCGTCACCCCGAGTGTGGTAAGTGCAAGTGGGTGATTGACGAAGAGTATCCATTGACCATTACCAGATCGTGTCCTTGAAATTCCTACCATCTCCAATCGGCATTTCCTAATTTTCGCCGAAAACAGAAAGGGCGACACGGTGGCCATGCTAGAGGATCTCTCCAGCAACGGAACCTTTGTCAATGAGGCTCTTGTGGGCCGAAATCAGAGCCGCGAATTGGAAGACGGCGATGAGATATCTATCTTGAGCGAAGCCCGCTTTGTCTTCCGCTATCCTCCCTCTCGAGAAACACACGGTTTCCGTCAGCAGTACCGTATTAACCAGCAGCTCGGGAAAGGCCACTTCGCTACTGTCTACCTTTGTGCTGAGCGATCCACGGGAACCAAGTATGCTGTCAAGGTGTTTGAACGACGGGCTAGTGACTCGCAAAAGACCCAAGGTGAAGCTCTACAGCAAGAAATTGCGGTTTTGATGGGCGTCAACCACCCGAACTTGCTGTGTCTGAAGGACACATTTGATGACAACGATGGTGCCTATTTAGTCCTTGAGCTGGCACCTGAAGGCGAATTGTTCAATTGGATTGTGACCAATCAGAAATTGAGCGAAGATGATGCCCGCCATGTGTTCCGTCAGCTCTTTGAGGGACTAAAATATCTGGTAATCATATCAACTATGTGTTGGGGAAACAAGCTGACAAAATGACAGCATGAACGCGGAATTGTTCATCGAGATATCAAGCCGGAGAACATCCTACTCGCGGACAAGAACTTGAGCGTGAAGCTGGGTGACTTTGGGTTGGCGAAGATCATTGGAGAGGACTCATTCACCACTACACTGTAAGTGAAAGCTTGTTTATATATATGAGGCACAATTGCTAACACTCACTTTCAGGTGCGGCACACCAAGCTGTAAGTCGGAAATTTCCCCCTGAGAAACTAAAACCTCTAACTTATTTTTACAGATGTTGCTCCCGAGATTTTGCAAGAAACTCGCCGTCGACGATATACCCAGGCTGTCGATGTGTGGTCCCTTGGCGTTGTCCTATACATCTGCCTCTGTGGTTTCCCACCTTTCTCTGATGAACTGAACACCCCGGGCAACCCATACACGCTCGCACAGCAGATCAAAATGGGCAAATTCGACTATCCTTCTCCCTACTGGGACTCTGTCGGGGACCCCGCGCTGGACCTGATTGACAGAATGCTTACTGTGGATATTGAGAAGAGAATCACCGTGGACCAATGCCTAGAGCACCCTTGGATGACCGGAAAATACCCCAGTGTTACTGACAGCACCGATGGTCTGACCGGTGCTTTGAGCAACCTGGACTTTTCGAAGCGCAAGGTGAAGCGAGAACGGACGTTGCTTAGCAGTGTCAACGATGCTACCTACAGCGAACACACTCGAGGCAATGAGGAGCCGTTTAAGGTGTTCAGCCAGAACGAGGCTGGCAAGCGCGTTCACAACCGGCCACCCAAGGACTCTCAACGCGAGGCCTCGCCGAGTGGCAACCGTGACCCGAAGGATTTTATCAACATCGGAGAACGTGGTGATCCCACCTTGTACGATAATTGAACAAAATTGGGAATCTGTGAAGTTTATGTCTTATGGGTGGGATGGGGACCAAAAGGGTGTTATGAGATCAATTATTTACTATTAGCTTAGATAGCAATGATACATGTACAACAGTCCATATCTTTCACTCTACCGGAACCCCCTTAACCGACGTGGCGTGATGTGCGATATTAGGCCATCGATGTCCTGTCTAGTCCCATTGAAGTGTAGAAACAATGCCCCTGGAAATAAAATTGCAACCAAGGCCTTTAAGTGGTCAAACCAGTCAAAAAAAAAAAAAAGTAGTTAGCGTATATGTTGGTCGTATGTTCCTCCAGGGGGCGGGTCCCCTCTCGCCGAATGATAGCAGACTTATTTCCCTTCCGCCTCCTGTTCAATCTTCATCCAAACTTCACGAGGGTCTTCGTGTACCCGTATCGCTTTGCTTTGCTTTCTTTTCCTTTTTCTTATTCTGTCTTTTCAAGATGGGCCTGTTCAAGAGTTTCCTCGACATCTTTTGCGAGCATTGCTCGACCCAGTCAATCTACACTCTGGCTGGTGTCGGAGCATTGTCGTTCATTGCGCTCTCAGTCGTGATCAATGTGTTGAGCCAGCTGTTCTTCAAGAAGGCTCATGAGCCTCCTGTCGTCTTCCACTGGTTCCCCTTTGTTGGCAGCACCATCAGTTATGGCATGGACCCCTACACTTTCTTCAACCAGGCACGCGCAAAGGTATGTTGCGAATCATTGAAACACACAGGCGATTTCTGACTGGATGCTCGTTTCTAGTACGGCGACATCTTCACGTTCGTCCTCCTCGGCAAGAAGACCACCGTTTATCTAGGCACCAAGGGCAACGAATTCATTCTCAATGGCAAGCTTCGTGATGTCTGCGCCGAGGAAGTTTACTCGCCTCTCACCACCCCAGTCTTCGGCACTGATGTCGTTTACGATTGCCCCAACTCCAAGCTTATGGAGCAGAAGAAGGTAAGAATACCAACGCGGACCACAGCACGCAATTGCTTACACAACGCACAGTTTGTCAAGTACGGCCTTACCTCTGAAGCGCTCCGCTCTTATGTTCCCCTGATCACCAATGAAGTCGACAACTTCGTCAAGACCTCTCCCGCTTTCCACGACCCCAAGGGCACCTTCAACGTCTCCAAGGTCATTGCTGAGATTACCATTTACACTGCCTCCCGCTCGCTGCAAGGAAAGGAAGTCCGCGACCGCTTTGATGCGACTTTTGCAGAGATGTACCATGACCTCGACAAGGGTTTCGCGCCCATCAACTTCATGCTGCCCTGGGCCCCGCTTCCTCACAACCGCAAGCGCGATGCTGCTCAGAAGAAGCTGACTGAGACCTACATGGACATCATCAAGGCGCGCCGTGCCGCAGGTGGCGAGAAGGACTCCGAGGACATGGTCTGGAACCTGATGTCGTGCACCTACAAGAACGGTACCCCGATTCCCGATAGTGAGATCGCCCACATGATGATCGCGTTGTTGATGGCTGGCCAGCACTCGTCATCTTCTACTGCTGCTTGGATTGTTTTGCGCCTCGCTACCTGCCCTGAGCTCATCGAGGAGCTCTACGAAGAGCAGAAGCGTGTTCTGGGCTCCGATCTGCCTGAGCTCACCCACGAAAGCCTCCAGAAGCTTGACCTTCACTCTAAGATCATCAAGGAGACTCTTCGTATTCATGCTCCCATTCACTCCATCATCCGTGCTGTCAAGAACCCCATGCCCGTTGAAGGAACCAATTATGTCATTCCTACCACTCACAACGTCCTGTCTTCCCCCGGTGTTACTGCTCGCTCCGAGGAATTCTTCCCCCAGCCTTTGAAGTGGAACCCTCACCGTTGGGACGAGGTCGAGCCCCCCAAGGACGAGGATGACGAGGAGAAGATCGATTACGGTTATGGACTGGTCACCAAGGGTACCAACAGCCCCTACCTCCCCTTCGGTGCTGGTCGTCACCGCTGCATTGGTGAGCAGTTCGCCTATGTGCAATTGGCCACCATTTTAGCTGCTCTCGTGAGACACTTCAAGTTCTCCATTCCTGACAACAGCGCCCCCTTCCCTGAGACAGACTACTCAGTAAGTCAAGCTCTGCAATTTACAATTCATCCTGCTAATCAGTTTCTAGTCTCTGTTCTCCAAGCCCATGGGCACATCGTTCGTTCAGTACGAGAAGCGTGAAGCCAAGGCATAATCGGAGTAACGTGTTTTCAACCAAAATCTTCCCGTCCGATATTGGACTATCACACTTAATGACCTACATTGGTGCGGCCAAGAACCATATGGTGTTCTGAAGCCCACGGCCTTCTGCATTGAAGTTTTGTTACTTCTCTACCTTGAAACGATTGCTCCATGTAAATTATCTTGCGGCTGATCCACCTATGCTTTTAATGTTCATAGTTACTATATCATTTTAATGAGACTTCAATAGACGAAACTGACTTGCTCACTTGAGATCAAAATTGTAAGAGAAATATATCATGATTGCAATAGTATAGTACAGAAAACGACGAACATCCAGGCTCAACGAGAAATATGCAAGATACACAAGGTGAAATATATCACCTTAGGACGTTTATGCCTTTCTCCTCTCATCCAGTCGCTGCTTGTTCCGGACCTCCCTGCGTCGTCGCTCACCACCATCGACCTTGTGTCCGCGCTTATCCTCCCACATGCCCTCCTGAACCGAGATAGTAGCAGCAGTGCCATTACTACCCTTCAAAGGCTGCAGGTATGGACCCTTGGGACTAGTCCCACGGTGAATTCTCATGTGTGCAAACTTCTTGAACTCGAGGTCTTTGCTCAGAATGAAATTGGTGGCATCAGGTGCCAGGTTGACCAGGGTCTTCACCATACCGGGTGTCAATGTAGCGGAAGATTTCACCTCGGAGCCTTCACCTTCCGCTGTCACGCCATTTGTCTCAGCAGGCACTTGAACAACACGCAGCTGTGCAACGCCATCAACGACCTTTGCTAGGTCACCGCCCGGGCCGTACAGACCGTGCCTGAACTTCTCGCGCTTCCGGATAAGGTATCGGCGCTGGCGCGCGGGCTCGATGCCAGCTTCGCGGAGCTGGTTCGAGTTGAAGGTGAAGAGATCCTCCCATGTAGGAATCTTGCTGGCTTGCTTTGACATTTCGCGGCCGATCAAGGTGAGGAAGGTCGGGACATCTGGAACGAAAGGGGTCGGAGATGGCACGGCGGGGGTGGTTTTTTTGTGAAACGGGCGAATGTATTGGTTGGCAGTGCGAGCGGTTTTGAAGAAGCGCGATGAGAGACCGCTGAGCGGCGAATTGCGCATGGCCATGGTGCTCATGGTGATGGTGACTTGCGGACGGACTCCGGAAGCCCGCTGTTGCTGTTCACTAGGGCTCCCCTGGAGGACAATTGGAACCGTCAAGAAACGGTGAGTAGCGGGTGGGGACCTAGGGTCTCGGAAATGACAGGTATTCAGCAGTGCCGACGAATTGACTGAGGTCACTGTTGACTGATCCCGAGAAATTTTGGCGTCTGCTCAGCGAAGCCCGGGATTAACTATACTCCGGGCCAATTGACCGTGAAGCATGACATCGTTCAACACGACTTCTCTGGACGACTATATTATTTAAGATGACTCCTTGATAAGTGATACGACCACTCGATCTTTGTGGTCTTTTTATTTCTTCTCATACCTTCGCCTTCAGAGAGTTTCGCCCGCTTCGTTCTTCGGCACTTACCAGCCATGGCACTCTCGCCCTTTGGCTCTCGTTCGCCGTCTATGACAGTACATTCGCCGAATACAGCAATCAGATTGAGGGCAAGTGCTGTACAAAACTCTGCTAGTGGTCCAGTTGCTTCTGCAAAGGCTGCTCAGAATGGAGATCGAGAGCTTACCGAGCAACTGAACATCGATGTGCGCGACAGGTACGTCAAAGGTATGTACAGCTCCCATGACCTCCAAGGCCTTCGGTTCTAACCTCAAAAATAGACAAGAAGCTAGGTGAAGGTACTTACGCGGTTGTATACCTCGGCCACCTCAAACACAATACCTCGTCCTTCGTTGCGATTAAGAAGATCAAGGTCAACGCAGAATACAAAGATGGACTCACCATGGACGCAATTCGCGAAGTGAAATACCTTCAGGAGCTAGCCCATCCCAACGTCATCGCACTCCACGATGTGTTCTCTTCCAAAGACCAGAACCTCAATTTGGTTCTTGAATTCCTTCCTGGTGGAGACTTGGAGATGCTCATCAAGGATACGGACATTCACTACGGCGCAGCTGATATCAAAGCCTGGATGGGAATGCTTGCTCGGGGTGTTTGGTTCTGTCATGAGAACTTTGTCCTTCACCGTGATATTAAACCAAACAACTTGTTGATTGCGGCAGATGGAGAGGTCAAGCTGGCTGATTTTGGTCTGGCTCGGTCCTTTGCTGATCCGTATCTCAACATGACCCATCAAGTTATCACTCGCTGGTACCGGCCTCCTGAATTGCTTTACGGTGCTCGCCAGTACTCTGGCGCAGTGGATGTGTGGTCTATGGGCATGGTCTTTGCCGAGCTCCTACTCCGTGTTCCCTTTGTGGCTGGCAACACAGACTTGGATCAGATTTCTAAGATCTGCGAGGCATTTGGTACGCCGACGGAAGATAACTGGCCTGGAGTGACGAAGCTCCCCAACTACATTCCCACGGACAATGGGCAACGAATACCCTTGTCAGGACGCGACTTCTTCATGCGACAGTTCCCCACGGCTGGACCGGTGGGAGCGGATCTACTGATGTCGATGTGCGCCCTAGACCCACGCAAACGCAGTACAGCGGTGCAGGTGCTTCGAAACAACTGGTGGACCATAGACCCCCGACCAACCAGCAATGAAGATCTCCCCCGGAAATCCGGTGGAACCAAAAAGATGGGCGATGATTTGACCCGACGTGGTGGGGAACTGGACGAAGGACTCTTCAAGAGCGCTGCCCGGCAACTAGATTTCGGCCCGATCAAATAACGAAAACATCACAATAAATAGAAGGCTAATAATGAAATTGTTCGTTGCCACCTCAGCCGAGACACTAGTACTGTACATGTATGCATGACTATCTGCAGTCACCATTGGATAGCGGAGACCCTACTGTACATGTACATGCAGTTGGAAATGATAGTCCCAGTGACAGGTGGAGAGGGACAAAGTTCAATGTCAGCGCTCAGATCAATTACCCACGATCATCTACCTGTCATGTTGCACTGTCCAATAGATCGAGGGTCTTTGCAAGCCCTAAAAGGCTGTTTGGCTCCTCGGGACGAATATCAACACCCTTGCATGGGGGATGGATCTATTAGAGAACCCTCACTTAGCGCATTCTACTGTATACCAGAGTATTCAAGGAGGACAGTACTGTACAGTATACATTCGATTCCATCTTAATGTACTATAAAGGCAGAGATGTCACGGGACATAAATGAGGATCTTCGCTGACGGCAGATTAATTTCCTGCGAAGTTAGTGATTTTAGTTAAGTTTAGTGGCTTTGGATCTTCCATTCTAGCCCGTTATCAGGCGATTAGCCGTTTCTTGAACAGGGGTTCATGGGATCAATTGAAGGGAACCCCTATACCGTCCCTAGTCCCTATACAGGAGAAAGAGTATATCTTCCTTGACTTCCCTGTACTCCTTCTCTTCACCTTAACTCCTACTGTAACCTAACTGCTATCCCGTCACAATAATGGGCTGGCTCCACCAAACAAGAAGCTCTCATCCTTTCATCCCATTCGTCCCCCTTTTCTCCTCCGTCCCAACCTGAAACCTCCACTTGCCTTTATGCGATGCTCCGAGCTTCTCCTCTAAGAGTCTAAGTGTGATGGAACTAACCGTCACACCCCTTTTCGAGGGGTCTAGGTATCTATGGATATAGGTATATAGACCTATACTGTAGGTATAGAGGAGGGAAGGAGTAGTTACATGTATGCAATATCCAGTAGATCCTGTTTACAAATCCAGGGGCCTAAAAATCGGAATATCAGATCATAAGAGTCTCGCCTTCTGCGGGGGAGTTTAGTCGCTTTTCCTCTTTCTCCCACCTGACTTTCGCGTCTCTCTGGATGATCAATCCACTTCTCGCGAACCTCTCTCTCTCACACACATAACACACACTCTCTGTTCCCCGATTACAACGCATACGAGTCCGTACGTACCCGACACCCATTCAAAACATTGTGGGTATCCCGAGCCCGTTCCGCGGGTTCTTGTTTACCTCAAAATCGTGGCCCAGTCAATGGCTCAATCTTCAATGTCTCAGTGTGTTTGGCTAATTTTGACTATTGCAGGACACACTCCTCTCCAATCCGTCCGCATGGCCGTCGCGTTCACATACACTCGCTGAATTTCATCCACGCCACTTCAAAAACTTAGGCATGACCTCAATGTCGGCCCTACCTCAGCCATCGCGGCCAGTTACAAATCCCCCAACCGGATCATTACCTGCTCTGCCCAACCCCAAGCCTAGAAGGTCAACACCCGGCTCCGAGACACCCCGGGCCGCATCTCCCTATGGTACTTCCAAGCTGCGGACGCCATCCAGCCCGAAACCATCACTTAAGTCGCCTCTCTCAAATTCAAACTCAACCTCCAACCTCAGCGCGGCCCGATCCGCATCCAGTGGACGCACACCAAGCAGTCCTGACAAATCTTTGCGCCGAACTATCAGCATCGCATCATTCCCTCAACCACCAAAAGCCGGCGGCCGTCCGTCTACGGCATCTTCACTCTCTGGCATCCAGGCTGTCACAGCCAGCACACGACCTGCGCGAACCTCACGGCTGAGCACGGGAACGACTAGCAGCTACCGTAGCTCCAAAACACCGTCACTACTCAATGGTAGTGGCGAGGGGAAATTTATCTCGAGTGCGGATGCACGGGATCCCGATGCTTCCCCCGCGCACAGCAGAAGCTCGTCCGCGCAAGGATCTTGCTCGACTAGCGCGACAACCTTTGAGGACGCAGACGACACGGCGAGCAAATCGACCGTTCAGCAAAAAGAGATCAAGGGCAATGTGATTGTGAGTGTACGTGTGCGCCCCGATAACAACAGTGGAGGAGAAACGCCGCGGAACCATGGCGAATGGTCCGTTGATGGCCGGCAAAGCCTCATCTCATATCGAGGAAAGGAAGGAGGCGATTATTACTATGGTGAGCATCATCCAACCAGAAACTTAGTATTGCAACTAATGAGTTCGAACAGACAATGTTTTCAATCCCATGGAGAACAACGCCAAGGTGTACGATTCAGCAGCCAAGCGACTTGTCAGGCGTGTGATGGAAGGATACCACGGAACGGTCTTTGCCTATGGTATGACTGGAACCGGAAAGACCTTTTCCATGCAAGGAACAGCAACATCCCCCGGTGTGATCCCATTGGCCATCACCGACATCTTCTCTTTCATTAGAGAAACCCCCCACCGAGAGTTCCTGCTGCGGGTCAGCTACCTGGAAATCTACAATGAGAAGATCAACGATCTTCTGTCTGCTTCGTCTGCCAATGGACCTGCAGCACCTCAGGAAGAGATCAAATTGAGAGAGGACAGCAAGCGAGGAGTGTATGCCACGCCGCTCAAGGAAGAGATTGTTCAGAGTCCGACACAGCTTCTTCGCGTAATTGCAAGAGGTGACCATGCGCGACGAACCAGCAGCACACAGTTCAACGCGCGAAGTTCTCGAAGTCACGCAGTTGTTCAAATCGTTGTCGAGAGCCGAGAGCGTGTGCCCTCAGGCAATTCCCAAGACAAGAGATCTGGGATCGCCCCAGGGGGTGTACGGGTCTCAACCCTAAGCCTGATTGATCTGGCTGGATCCGAGCGCGCAGCTGACGACAAGGAGCGCCGCACGGAAGGTGCGCACATCAACAAGAGTCTGCTCACGCTTGGTACCATTATCTCTCGATTGTCCGAAAACAAGGACAAGCAAGGCAACCCAATGGACCGCGATGGGAGACATTTGCCCTATCGTGATAGCAAGTTGACCAGACTGCTACAACCAGCTTTGTCTGGTGGTTCGCTCGTCAGTATCCTCTGTACGATTCAACTTACTAGCTCTATCAACTCAAACACTGGTGAGACCCTGAACACCATGAAGTTCGCTGCGCGAGCCAAGAACAACATTGTCAGCCATGCCAAGAAGGCAGAGGAGGCATACGGTGGTGGCGGTGGAGACTCTGGAAGCCGGGTCTTACTTGAGCGGTACCGCATGGAGATCCAAGCTCTGCGCGGTCAGCTTGACACTCAGGCTAAGTTCCAAGCTGAAAAAGAACTCAAATGGGATGAACAGCAGTATGAAAAAGAGGCGCAGGCCCGCCACGAGGAGCAAGTGTTGGAGATGCAGTTGGCCCGAACTGCGCTCAAAGAGCGAATCGAGCATCTTAATCGTCTAATTTTGAGCTCCAAATCTACTGGAGTTAACAACCACAACAGTCTGTCTGCATTTGGTCGCCTTTCCCGCATGTCTTCCACGGATTCTGGCATTCGATCTCTACGTTCGTCCGCCAGTCAATCGACCCTTGGTGCTGTCCATTCATCGATACGTCCTATCTCGTTCATGTCCACCAACAGCAACGATCCCTCGCTAATGCATTACCCGAATGGATCATTTGGGCCCGAGGACGAGGATGACCTCGGTGAATTTGGTGATGGCAAAGCCAGCCTGCAGCGTCAGGTATCTGCATTGCAGGCTGATCTTGGTGATAAGAATCGATACATCTCAACCTTAGAACGCCGGCTTCTTCAAGCTCGCCGATCTAGTCACACCCGCATGTCAGTGGGTGTTAAGCCTGCGAATGCTACCATTGCCGAGCAACCGGATATGGCGGCCTTGGTTCGGGAAAAGGATATGGAGATCAACGAACTCCGCCTTCAGCTTGATGACAAGGATCGCATGCTCGCTGCACTTCGCTCTGCAACGCGCCATCGCGACTTGGCTGCCGTCACCAATGAGTCCCAATCACCAGAGTTGAAGACCAAGGTTGACTCTGGCGAGGTAGACGGCCCGGGCTCGGTCAGGGCCAGTGGTCTTCCCACTGACAAGCCGGAAAGCCCAAACAAGCGAGCCTTCTCTGGTTCTAGCAGAACCAGCCGAGTCAATGACCAGACGGATGGTGGGAAAAACATGGATGAAGTCTCGCGATTGTTGGACGAGATGATCCAGGGTCGAATGGATGGCGGGCATGGGAACGACCGTTCTTCTTTGAACGTCAAGAGTGTCACCAGTGATAGTCGACGCGAGAGTCGACGTGAGAGCCGACGTGAATCCTCATCGGCTGAAGTGCCCGGCTTGAATCCTACTGCGCCGTCGTGGGATCCAAACCTCGCCTCACCGTTCCGAGGATGATGATGAACTTTTTTCTTCTTGTGCTTTTGAAGCATTTTGACTTTTCTGATCTGATACCCAATTCATAGGTTTAACTATTCTTGCGTGTGTACTTAATCCGAACTATTGAACATTGCATGATTTGTTGTTAACTTACGAGTTCATAATATGCTATACATTGTAACAGTAAACCAACATGGTATTCTCAAGAGCCAATCTCCAGCTCACCCTCCCGATCCTTAGCATAAACATCCTTGTACTGATCCCACAACCGGACCAACTCCTGTACATATCTGGAATGCAACTCATCAATATACTGATCATCAATCTTATCCCGATTCTGCTGCTGCATAACAGGAATCGGCTTCCCAACAACAATATTAAGCGGATGCCGATAAGGCATCAAACCAACATCATAATTGAACACCCCACGAGCATGGAACAACGGAATCGTAAAACCCATAGTCCGCTTAACAAACATCTGCAGCTTATGAATAAGCGGATGCTCATCGGAATGAACCTGCTCATAGAGATCATTCTCGCCAAAAGCCAAAACGGGAACAAGATCCGCCCCAGTCCGGATAGCGAGCTTGACAAAGCCCTTCCGCCGCTTCAAGACAAGTCGCAGTGAGTGAGGTTGCGAATTCAGCGATTCCCGCGCTCCGCCAACGACAATCGTAATCGCCCTCCCCATCCCCTCTCCATCCGATCCACCCTTTGTAAGAATATTCTCACACGACTCCCGTGACACACTCGCGATCCCCAAACCAAGCGCATACTCGCGGTAAAACGGAATCCGGAAATTAGCATCGAGTGTCAACAGCGAATTCGTAATTCCCGGGAACAATTTCGCGAATCCCAAAGCCTCGGTTCCGAATGCAGCGAATGCGCCATGGGAGATGATTCCGTGAGGGTGATATCCAAAGATATACTTCTTGGTCGGGGGCAGTTCCTCTTCACGGTGGAGACGGGCGGGAAAGTAAGAAGCATATAGTTTGAAAATAGGCAGTGAGCGCAGAAATTGACTGCGGCCTTTTAGTTCGCCTGATGTTGCTGCTGTTGAGAAGAGCGAGATGTAGAGTAAGTAGGGGACTAGGAGGGGCCAGAAGATCGGAATGGCGCAGGTGAAGAAGAAGGCTGTTAGGAAGATGGCGATTGTTAATGTGTGGCAGAGGACGAGGAAGGTTTGAAGGCGGCGTTTTAGGCTTATGTTTAGGGGTGCCCACTGTATGCTTTAAGGTGTTAGTATTTGGTGTTGTATGGTGGCGGGTGTCGAGCGTGGCTTACCCTCTTCTTCTATGGGCGCGCTGGGACTGTGAGCTGGATGAGGCGCTGCTCCTGTGGGATTGGGCTTCTCCGTTCATGTTGGTGAGGGAGACGAATCTCCGTTGTGCGGAAGTGCTGTACAGTTGCGGGCCGGATGCTTTCGGTCAGGTTGGGATGCTGAGCTACCTAGGTAGAGAGCGCCGAGGTAGCCAAAGCTGGAGGCAATATAACAAATTCCAATGTACAGGGAATGTTCAAGCAGGTTGCCCCCAATGTCGACTCACTAGGGGCAAGGCAAGTTGTAAATCGTGAGATATGACGTTGTGGTGGATACGCCAACCCGTGAACGTCCCTGAGCTTAGGTAATCTCTACTCTAGGTCACGTTCTATTCTCAACTTGAATACGCACCCGTTCAACTGGAACCCGCAACTTGATATTCTCGATATTGACTATTCAAGGCTACTGCAAATCTCGATACTAGTTACGGAATGAAACAATCTTCCCCCAAGTATCCGCAGTCCCCCAGATACCAGAGCGCAAACACTCTAACTGCACAATCTGGCTATGGTCCACAAACAGATTAACATCAATGCCGAACTCCCGAATATACCAATTGAACACCTTAGGATCAGCAGCTTCAAACATCACCCGTTCAGAAGGAAGCTCCTTCATAATCCGGGACACCACATCAGTCCGCCAGGAGGTGACATTCTCTGTGATTCCCTCCGACTCAATCATCAACCGTTTCACACCTGCATCGAGGAATCTATGGCCTAGGTTAACCAGCTTGCCGGGGTCTGATGTACCGATTGCTTCAAGTCCAGAGGCAGGTGTGTCCCCGCCAGCACCGAACTGAATACCCAGCTCGGGCTTTGCTTCCAGTTTGTATGAATGGACTTTGTCGACGAGGCGGAGCCAGTCATCTTCTGGAATCGAAAGGAAGCCGGAGGATAGTTCAATTACGTCGAAGCTGTGTATAGTCAGCTTTCTGTCAAAGCTCGCACCTTGTAGATGCACATACCCGAGATCTTTGCACTTTGTCAGGTAACGGTCGAATACAGTGTTCGGGTCGGGATGTGTAAGGAGATGTTCGGCCCATCCGCCCTAAATCCACATGGTGTCAGGAATGAATGCTCAAACTTGCTATTTCAAGAGGATATTACCGTCGAGGCATATACGCCGTGTTCGTGGGCCAGATCAATCAGTTCGCGCAAGGGCTTCTCTTCAAACAGAGAGAAGGAACCTATCATTTGTCTCAGTATTCCAGTTCCAGCTGACGAGTTTCAAGACGGTCTCAGGGTTAGCACACACCTCCTGCAAACTTGAGACCATCTACATGGTTGCCCATCCTATGAGCTGTTGTCAGTACGGCCTCATTGGCTGAGTATCGAGGGAAATTACGTTTCGAGGACATCTGCTAGGTATCGTTTGCCCATAACCTAGTCTAGGTTAGCTTTGCTTCGTGACAGGTATATACTCCACTTACTGAATAGTATGGACCTCGAATCTCAGTCACGCCCTTGGATCTAGGCTTGATAGGTCTAGGGTTAGACCTGGCGAACCCAAAGCCGTTTTCCTTATCCTGTAACAGAGTAGCTCCTTGATATGCGCTCGGTGTAGTTGAGAATCCTCTCCATCGTGCGGCCGATGCCATAATGGGAATGTGAGATGAGGGGCTCAAGACACCCTTGCTGGCAGTTGTAATTGGAGACTTTGCGAGGAACATAATGGATGATGTACTATTCAAATGAGGATGATAGATGGACTATGTAGATGGAACAGCTCTGGACTGTATGTATATATAGACCTCAAAGCTGTTTGATTTGGGGTCTATATATTTCGAGCCAGCAAATGACCATATCTATTCTCGACAGAGAACCCATATTCAGACCGTTGGTAGTCATAGTGATGTAGGTTTGACGTCAAGTATACATCACCCTGCGCTAAGTAAAACTCTTCATTGGAAGAGGGATGATCAATCCGACCAGAGACGAAAAATCAAACATTGAGTTTTGACATGGTATAAAAGTAAGAAGAATCACAGGTTAGTAAGTATAAAAGTAGCCTGATAGATGTGAATGTACATACATAGACCATTATATACTTCGATACGTGCAAATAAAATACAAGCTTTCTGATCTTACCACTCGAATTCCACCAAACGAATACGAGATAAGGCGCCCACTAGTTGATTCGTCAACAAATAATCTCGGGAGTCGGATCTTACACTTGTCCAGCCACCAAACGCGGCGTTGTGAAAACGAAACATCCGAATCGGAGATTCATCGATCCGAGCGCCGTTGCCGCTGAGTCAGGGCGATCCGGTTCGATCCCGAGGGTCTTGGCGTTTACATACAGTTATTCCACTGAGTCCACTATTCGACCTGTGGATAATTTGGATAATCTGGATCATCTCCGATTTCCACTGGACCCTGGATCCATTTGAAACATTCGGACTTCGGAGATCTGAGAATCGCCGTGCATAAAACCGGACTTGGCATATCTGTGTTGGACAAACCGCCAAGCCAATGGGAACACATCTGCCTCACCGTATCATATCAGGATTTTCAGGTTTAAGGGGCTTAGATTCGGACTGAATCGACAGGCTAGCTCCGTGTGCAGGTATCACTAACCCGAGAGACTCCGCATACGTTATCATACGTAATACGAAACCGAGGCACGCGACACTACTACTGTAACTGGTCACTTATGCAGATGCCCATGATTCAGCTTCACTGCCAAGTACAGGGCCAGCCCTGTGGACCCAATTTACACGTATTACAGAAGGAAATCTAGGAATCCCGGTATTTTCAACAAGGAATTGCGTCTGGTGACTCCACCCCTGGCTCCTGCCCAGCATGGCTTGTCTTTTCTTGTTCTCCTCCGGAGGCTTCTCATTCCTTTTCCCACATATCTACTGATATATCTTTTATCATGGGTGTTGGAGCGGTGCTGGAGCCACTAGTGGTCATTGTGCTACTGTTTGGAGGCACATGGATCAATCGCGCAACTGGAGCAAACGCTCACCGTCACTATGCTCGCCGGAAATCTGCGGATTTGGTGCGGGCTGCCTCACCTGATTCCCTCGAGTCCGGATACTCGAGTCCTACAACAAAGGATGGGCTTCTTATCCCGCGTTCCCGGTCTCCCTTGCATATCCCTGATGGATGGCACAAACGACAGGTGGGAATATTTGGGTTGACCTTTGAGGTGTCATCGCCAAATACTGCTATTTTCCAAGATCGCTTGCTCAGTCGTCTACTGCGGAAGCTTCCTTTCTTGGTGGAATGCTGGTACTGGGCCTTGGTTTACTGGGTAAGTTCTGTTTTTGTGCCCAAGGGTAACCCGATCTATATATACACTTCAGACATAGAATGAGAAGCTTACATCCAAACAGACATACCAGCTTGGCCGAGCCTTTACCGCCGTGACCCTCAAGGACGATACTGTCGATGTTGCGAGACGACATGCCCTACAGCTTATCAAGATCGAGCAGCGCCTAGGTATATTTATGGAAACCGTGATCCAGAGGAACTTCTTGCTCCATCCTCGTGCAATGACTTGGATAAATTGGATATATTCATTCATCCACATTCCCGGAACCATCGCTTTTCTCGTCTGGCTTTATTACTTCACCACTACGCGGAATCGGATTGACGAGACTCAGGCAGGAAAGCCGAGAGGTGCCGTGAGCGGGTCACCCGCGGGTCCCCTTCTATACCAAGCACGTCGGCGTACACTGGCGGTGTGCAACCTGCTTGCCTTTGTGGTGTTCACTCTGTGGCCTTGCATGCCGCCCAGATTACTAAGTGACACGAACATCGGGGGACAGGAGGGTGAGTTGGCTCGCAGTTATGGCTTTGTGGACACTGTGCATGGTACCAATGGAGCGGGCAGTGTGTGGACAGAAAACCGTTTTTGTAATCAATATGGTAAGTGATTCTGACACTCAATAGATTCATAGCTAACTATCATCAGCGGCCATGCCATCCTTGCACTTTGGTTATTCTCTCATGATCGGTCTCACCATCATGACAATTCCTCTGCCGCAGCAACGCCGAACAGTACTGCGGATTCGCCTTACCCGAGTAAGGCTGACTCTCCCATCCTGGCGTCGCCTGATGTGTCTGGTGCTTGGATTTTGCTATCCATTCATCATCCTGGTAGCCATTGTTGCCACAGCCAACCATTTCATTCTGGATGCAGTCGCCGGAGCCCTAGTCTGTGCACTGGGCTGGCGATTCAATGGAATCCTGCTGAACTTGTTGCCGCTGGAAGACTACTTCCTATGGCTTGTTCGTATCCACAAACCCGAGCCATCGCTTGTCACTGTCAACCCTGAAAGCGTGGATAGCCAGTCTTCTAACGAGGGGCTATTGAGCCATGCTGTCCTCTCATAAATGGCCACCGGAAGGCATTTCATCGTTGGTCTGACATCTGATAGACCAGCTTCCCTGTTTAGAACGTGATACCCTGTACGAAACTGCTAGGTTGTTGGTAATTTGTGTTTATGACTTTGAGATATTGTTACTCCTTTCATTGTCTCCCGCCTGGATTTTGTCAATAACCCATCGAGTGTGTTATAATACCTTCACCTCCCTAGAATTGAGTTTTATTCTCAATTGAGTGGTCAAGTGTTTTTTGTTTGACATACTGGGATCTGCGTGTTTATGTGAAACCCTTGAGAGAGGTTGCTCGCATTACTTGCTCGCATTACCCATATGCGTTTCTTTGTCTACTATCATCGACCTCGTATGCTACATATCAATATGATAGATTGTTAGCAGACCAACACCACAAGGAGAGACATGGTAGGAAACTTTATCGAATAATAGGACACTAATGTAAATCTCGAAGAAACCCCAAAACAAAGTTATATCATTGGTGCTCACGCGCTCACGCGCGCAACAGAGCATGAAGTCTTCCTAACGTAGCCACGCACCATTCCCTGAATAACATTTTCATACATCGTCACCCCCAATATCGGCACAATCTTGTCTTTTCTCTTCCAACTTATCCCGAACTGTCTGAGTTATACGTCCATATATGGGCATTATGCGCCGCAGTTCACCATATCAATTAGTCTGATAAAGTTTTGTTTGCTATGGAATTTGCAGATGCACCCATTGAGGTCATTGCGATGATCTAACTCCTTTGTTAACACTAAGTCGTTGTACGCTGCCCAGACGCGAGGTATATACTTCTACGCACTGTACCATACCGCCTCACAATCGCAAAGGCTTCAGCCCTTCGGGGCTTCATGGCTATAAGGCTGAAGATGGGCCCATCACCATTATACATTTCATACTAAACATGCGTTGGGCCATGTCATGTGGGAATAAACGTTTTCATTAAATTCCTCACGTGTCCCATGAGAGATTTACTAATTTGTATTATGCAAAGTGATTGATACCTCTGAAAAGCTGAAAACACGAAGAAGTGTCAGCCAGTGTGCGGTGACCCGATGCGCTCGAAGCGTTCATATTGACACTGGCATTGATATGCATGATACCAGCACAAGATCGGGAGATGCGTCGACATTGTGCATTCGATCAAGGTCGGTGGGAAAGACAAGTTATACTGCATCCTTCACAAAGGGAGCTCTCTTGCACGTGCCTGCTCGACCCAATTCGGTCATTTGACTCTCTTTTTCGTCCCAGGCATTTTAGCTTGCAAGCACTCACGATATGAGCCAAGGCGGACCCAGAAGTGAATCAAACCTCTAAATTGACCCAAGCGTCACAATACAAGCTATCAAAAGCCATCTGCGCAACATTGCGTGGAACAGAAGCTGAAACGAAGTTTGTGGCGTCATCGAGGTGGCCGTTCCCAACGCGTCTTGGAGTTCCCGCGCCTTTCGCGACTCTTTCTTCTCCACATCTCTCTGCAACCTCCCCTGGCTGCTTCCCCCTCCCACAACCAACACCAATCGCTTCCCCAGTTTTACCTTTTGCTTTCACTAGCAATCATGGCTGAGGATACCCCTGTTGCTGCGCCTGTCGAGGCTGCCGAGACCGCGCGCGCCGAGAAGCTCACCGATGAGAAGAACCCGGAGACTGAGACCGTCAACGACAACCCTGCTGGTAAGCATGACTCCATTGATGTTGCCCAGTATCCCTATGTCCAATTCATCACAGCTGTCCCTCGGTTGGGGCCTCCAATCTCTGTGCGACCCAAAATCGCTAACTCATTGTTTTCCCCCACAGGGAGCGCAGCTGCGACCGACGATAAGATGGACGCCGACGCTGAGGCCGATAAGCCTGCTGCTGCCGATGAGTCTGCTGAGACCAAGGCTGATGGTGACGATGCCGCCGCTCCTGCTGATGCCGAGGCCGCTGCGCCCGAGGCCAACGGAACCCCTGCCTCCGCAAAGAAGGCCTCCAAGAGCCGCCGTGTCTCCGGCGGTGCTACCCAGAAGCTGAGCCGCAAGAAGTCGGTGAATCGCATTACCCACCTGGATGCTAAGCCTGGTCAATACTACCTTGCGCGCCTTCGCAGCTATGCGCCCTGGCCTTCGATCATCTGTGATGACGAGATCCTTCCCGAGAGCCTGCTCGAGAACCGCCCCGTGACCGCCATGCAAAAGGATGGATCTTACAAGGGCGAATACGCCGACGGTGGCCGTCGCACCCATGAGCGCACTTTCCCCGTGATGTTCTTCGAGACCAATGAATTGTAAGTTGACACCCGCCCCTGCTCTACATCTAACGCGAATTTCTTACTGACTATTGCGACAGCGCCTGGGTCACAAACACTGCGCTCACCCCCCTCGAGCCTGCCGAGTGCAAGGAAATCTCCGAGAAGAACAAGACCAAGCAATTGATCAGCGCTTACAAGGTTGCCGCCGAAGGCCATGACCTCCAGTACTTCAAGAACCTGTTGAACGACCACCAGGCCGCCATCGATCAAGAGGAGGCTGAAGCTGAGGCCGAGAAGGCCGAGAAGGAAGCTGCTAAGGCCGCAAAGGACGCCAAGAAGGGCAAGCGCAAGAGCAAGGGCGCTGAAACTGATGTTGAAATGGAGGATGCGGATGACTCCAAGAAGTCCAAGGCGTCCAAGAAGCGCAAGAACACCGAGACTGATGCCGAGGCTGACAAGGTAGGTGTTGCAGAATCCCTTTGTATTGTCCTTGCTAATCTGTCATTTGCGCATACAGCCCGCTAAGACTCCCAAGACCAACACTAAGCTGAAGTTGACTACCCCCAAGGCTCCCGAGGAGAAGAAGACCCCTGCCAGCAAGTCCAAGAAAGCTGTCGCCAAGAAGGGCAAGGCCGCTCCCGCCCCCAGCGACGACGAGGATGCCAGTGCCGGTGCTAAAGACTCCCCCAAGCCCGTGGATCCCGAGGAATTGAAGAAAAAGAAGGAGAAAGAGAGTATGTCTCCCCCTACCCAAGGATCACCCGACGCAGAGCGCTTACGCTTTTCAGTACTTTTCCTTCGTCATAAGCTCCAGAAGGGCTTCATCTCCCGCGACCAGCCCCCCAAGGAAGATGAAATGGCCAGCATGGCCACCTACTTTGACAAGCTGGAGAAACACGCTGAACTGGAAGTCTCAATTATCCGTTCTACTAAGATCAACAAGGTCCTGAAGATGATTGTCAAGCTCAACTCGATCCCTCGCGATGAGGAATTCAACTTCCGTCACCGCGCCATGAACATTTTGTCAAGCTGGAAGAACATCTTAGACGCAGATACTCCTGCCGGTGCTACTGATAAGGACGACAAGCCTACTGCTAACGGCTCTAACAAGGAGGATGACGGAGCTGACACTCCCAAGCTGGAGACTGAGGAGGAGAAAGAACCCGAGTCCAAGTCCGCCAAGGATGATCTCGACTCCCCGATGCCCGACGCCGATGCAGAGAAGGCCCCTGAGCCCAATAACAAGGAGAAGGCCGATGGAGACAAGCCTGCAGAGACTACAGAGGAGAACACGGAAGAGAAATCGACCGAAAAGCCTGATGAGAAGCCCGAGGAAGCTTCCGAGGAGAAGACCGAGACCGCTTGAGTGGTCTGAGATGCACACTTCATGACTGTTTTCTTGAACCTTTTGCGCTCCCCCTTTTCTTATTCTCTCTGTCTTTGTTCCAATCTACGCGCTTACCGCCGACCTGTTACTGTACTTTGTCATCTTTCAACGCCTGGGACTACGGGGCTGGACCACCCAGCCGACCTTTGAATCAATGGAAAATGTGATTGTTTGTTTTTTCAGTATCACCTGAATGCTTGTTTCTGGACATTTCACTTTCCTTTCCCTGGCCCTGGTGCATGTGCATAGGAGTTACAGATTACAGAGGTACATGGGTCGTCCATTCCGAAGTTGTACGATGACAGTCTTGATCTATGCCGATCATTCGCTCTCGAGCTAGTTGTACTCCAAATCCAGGGAATCCAGGAAGTCGCCAAGGAATGTGGTCAATGGTGGACAGGATTGAGGTTCTTAATGGGTATGGAGTGAAGTTAGCCAACCTTCATGCTGTCCGCTACGCTACAGGATACCCAAGTACTTGATAGGAAAAATGTACAAGCAGTTTCAGCAATCTGCGCAGCATCCATAGTGGTAATCGTAGCGGTTCTCGTAACAGAAGTAATCAATCCGAAATCTATCTTGTAATGGGTAAATTATTTCTATAATATAGTCAAGGTCAAAGTATCGAGTATCGACCAAAGACGACAGATGCACAATGCAATGCTCTCTGCGCGGAATCAAATCAAAAAGCCGCCGCGCCTCTAAGTTTTATGCACACAGCCATGTAGTTAGTTATATACCACCCCAGCCACCCAGACAAAAGAAAAGATCAGCAAAGAAAGAAGAGAAATACGGTATAAGATGACGCCGTGTCTATGTGATATCCAGATTTCCAGATACGATCCTTATCCGTCATTCAGACTGCACCGCTGGCAGCCATGCTATCATCGATAGCTATGACAATCACGACACAGATGTCATCCACTTTGCCGCCGCGATAGTAGTCACCGGGGTAATAGCGCTGAGCCTCCTTAGCGAAGGGGCCATCACGGCGGTAGTCCACGCTAGCCTTCTTTGCCTCGCCGGCGATGGTAGCAGCGAGGACAGACTGCAAGGTGATTTGATCTTCAGGGCGAGAACCAGATTCCTCGACGTCTGTCTCCTTCTTGGACTTGGCCAAGCTAGACGTGGAAGGGAAGGCATCAGCCAAACCACCAGGAGTAGTCAAAGCGCGCAGATTATCTGAAACGCCAACGCCCGACTCGGTTGCTGTCCATGCGCCAGTCAAGATCATCCGGCCGGTGATGAGCTTGAGGATATCCTGATTGTTCAGGTTATCAAAGACACCATCGGTAGCAAGCATCAATACATCTCCATGCTGCATCCTGAGATTGGTAACACTGGCGTCCTTGGGGAAATCCTCCAAGAAGGCACCACCAAAGACAGAAGCCTGGGCGCGCATGCGGGGCGGAATAACGCTAAGTTGGTACGGGGTATTAAAGCCATGAGTCTGCGGTACAGAATACTGATGCACAGCAGCCTTGCGCAGAAGCACAGAGCCCGAATCACCCAAATTAGCCAATTCAACCCTTCCATCCGGCAACGCAATACCAACAGAGGCAGTACTACCACCAGCGCGAATCGTCGGATCAGCAACGACTTGGTCATACCCAGCCTGAAGAAGCTGTTTAGGACGGAGTTGCTCAGCAGGCTCGTGCCAAGTCTGCGCGGTGTGCGCCATGTAGCCGCAAATGCCGTGCGAAAAGTCCGCCGGATCGACGCGGGATTCGGTCCAGCCACCGACACCGTCTGCTACGGCAAAGGCGACAGCTTCTGCGTTTTCATGTTGGTGGTCTGAGATTCTGTTTCCGATTCGGCTTACGAAGAATGCATCTTCGCCGCTGTCGGGTCGGTTGCGCCTTCTGCTGACGCTGTTCTTGTCTTTTGTTACTCCTAGCGCGTCGGCTGAGGGGTCGAAGTTGTGGGCATTTGTGAGGGGGTTGAAACGGCGGCCTTTGCCGCTTGAGGAGACAGCGACGCGGTAGGTGAGGCGCGTTGTGGAGGGGGAGGAAGGCGAAGGAGGAGGAGAGTGTTGCTTTTCGAGGTGTGTTGCTGGCGTGGAATGGAACCCTCGGCGGGATTGGACTCGGCCTGTTAGCTGGAGCGCTGGGCTTCGCAGGTGTAAATTTGGTCTGACTGTGTAAAGTCGGACGTGAGGCTTGGTGAGAAGTAATGAAGCCCTGTATGTGCTGGGATTGGCGGAGGCCGAGTACACCCCGTCTCGAGCGATGGCTTGTAGACTACTGCAGGCGGAACTGCAGGTCCTACACGAAACACTTGGCGGGATCATTGCAGGTCTGGGAGTATATAGAGAAGGCCCAGAGTGCCCCAGTGCTAAAGTGAAGAGGTCAGAGTGAAGATGTACAAAGAAACAAAAATCCAAGGCCGTGGATAAGACCGTACCCGCTCTTATCGACCGCCTGGCGTCATTTGGGTTTTTTGGGGGTGCCTGAGATATGAGGCTTCGGTGGTTATTCACGGTCACATACGGTTAATGATTGTTTTTTATGCTAACGTTGTATTGAAAAGATTACAAGTATACTTTCAGTGTCTAACTTAGGGCTATTAACGTGGCTTCTCACCAAAGTGACTAAGTTATATACTTCGTGGATCACCGCCAAAGCTTTATCAATTCTGCCACTTCCGCCTCTTCTCTTCGCATTTCCTCTTCTGGCCAGCACTTGATCTTTTTGTACTTTTAATTTTATTACGAAGCGCAAGCTTCTAGCCGACATCATGCATCCAGCTCGACAAGCCTATGTCGAGGAATCTACCGTAAGCAGCCCTACCGGAGCCCAATTTCCGCATTCATACGCGACATTGAAGTCTCACGTCGCTCACCTGAAAAGCGAATAGATTTCGCGCTTCCCCTCTCCTTTATCGAGCACCAGCTGACCTCATTCGCAAACAGGACACCGATATGGGTATCAACTATGCTGATATCCGTAAGTCGCGACTCCAAAATCTTCTTGTGGACGATGCTAACGGAAGCTCAACTATAGCCGTCGACCACGACTATGACATGCCCTCTTCTGCGGCAGGTATTCCCACCGAACGGGCATCCGCCATTTTATCTCAATTCGAACGTAAACGCCGAGCAGCAGCGATGGTGGTGCCCACAGACGACACCAAAGTGCGCGCACGACTACGAGAGTTCGGCGAGCCCATTACGCTATTCGGCGAGGGTCCTTCAGATCGGCGGGACCGTCTACGTGAACTTTTGACCGATGTAGCAGATAAGCAAGGTGAAGATGTTGAAATGGAAGAAGCGGAGCCGGAGAATGAAGTTGAACAACAAGAAGAATTTTACACCGAGGGCACCGATGCCTTGCTCGAAGCGCGCAAAGATATTGCCCGTTATTCTTTGCCTCGCGCAAAGGCTCGCGTTGCGAGACTCAAAGAAGAATCTACAATTCCACTTCGGACGCACGTTAAACACCGCAAAGCAGTGAAAGAGAAACTGCAAGATTTTGAGCTGTATGGATCTCAGATTGCGGGAGATCGGCCAGTCAGCATTTGTCGATTCTCGCCGGATGGTCAGACAATCGCTGCTGGAAATTGGAGTGGTGGTATTAAGCTACTCACAGTACCTAATTTGGAAGAAAAGGCCAATTTCAAGGGCCATACGGATCGTGTGGGTGGTTTGGCATGGTTCCCCGGTGCCACGCTTCCTAGTTCCAATGTCTCACCGTCAACCGTCAATTTGATTTCGGGAGGCGGCGAGGGAGACATCAACCTCTGGGCTCTTGATCAAGACAAGCCGCTCGCCACGCTATCCGGCCACTCTGGGCGAGTCTGCCGTACAGAGTTCCATCCTTCAGGTCGATATGCAGCATCGGCATCCTTTGATACCACATGGCGACTGTGGGATCTTGAAACGACACAAGAGCTACTCCTGCAAGAGGGCCATTCACGAGAAGTCTATGCAGTATCGTTTAACAACGACGGCTCTCTTTTGGCTAGTGGTGGATTCGACAGCAACGGACGTATCTGGGATTTGCGAACAGGACGTACAGTGATGATTCTCGAAGGCCATATTCGTGAGATCTACGGTATGGACTGGGGCCAGGATGGGTACCGGGTACTTTCTGGCTCTGGCGATGGTTGGGTTAAGTGCTGGGACTTGCGCCAAGTGAGAAGTACCGGTGGAATCGGTGCCCACAAGAGTGTGGTGTCTGATCTTCGCTGGTACAAAGGCGCAGAGTCAGCTTCATTCTTGCCTTCTACTGATGGAAACATGGATATCGACGGTGCCGCACCAGCTAACACGCCGGTTCAGCCGAGGAAGTCGGGTACATTCTTCGTCAGCAGTGGCTTTGATAAGAATGTCAATGTTTTCAGCGCGGACGACTGGTCCCTGGTCAAGTCGCTGAGTGGTCACTCGGGCAATGTCCTAAGTACGGATATCAGCGATGACACGAAGTGGATTGCTAGTTGTGGCCATGACCGTACCGTGAAGCTCTGGGGAATTGAATGATTACGACTCAAATTTTGATACCTCAGCCTAGATATTTCTCAGTCGAAATTCACTTGGAATTGAAGTGCAGCAGGGCTGGCTCTCATCGGATACAAATGGCGAACTTCGATGTAAGTGTCTCGTCTATGCACTATGCATGTATCGACCAAGCGCCCTACCCTGCATGCGATAAGTGATGGTCTACATGTACTACTAGCGCCAAGCTAACCTGCTGTGGCTCCAGTGAATCGAACACTATCTAGGTCTGCCAATGCAGTTACCTATAGAATCACATTTGCCTCCGTATTTTCTTATAGTCCCGGGTCACGTGTGAGTGCGGGGATGACGTAAAGGCGTAGCTCGAGGGCTTTTTCTCCGCGGGATACGGAATACGGGTTTTGACAACATAGACATAAACATGGCATTTCGTCCAAGAGTTGCCCAACTCTGTCGCTCAGGCGCGGCAGGACCTAGACCGAGGTCAACACGCTCTTTAACAAGCACTGCATCCCAAGATATCAGCACGCGTTGCCGATATCGCATCCAGTCAACAGCAGCCGGGTTAACAGCCCTTCCACAGCAATCAGCCTGGAACACATTTCCAACTCACCGTTATGCATCCACCAAGGCATCGGCACCGGAAGGCCAAAGCGAACCAGTGCTAGCAGGCGCCCCGGACATAACAAACTACTACACAATCTTCGCAAAGACACTCCCCTCAGGCCCGCCACCAGCCTCCCCTTTCGAAATCTCGACCAGCGACCTCCGTCGCGAATTTCTCCAGCTCCAAGGCCTCATCCACCCAGACAAATACCCCAATGGCAACGAGAAAGCACACGCAGAAGGCCTCTCAGCCCGCATCAACGAAGCCTACCGCACGTTAATCGACCCGCTCCAGCGAGCGCAGTACCTTCTCCGCGAATTGCACGGTATCGATGTTACCGCCGAGGATGCCGCTACGAAGCATGCGCTAGACCCAGAGACATTGATGGAGGTTATGGAAGTGCAAGAGACGATTGAGGAAGTTGGAGCATCGCCCGAAGGCGAGGCGCAGATCAATGCATTGAAAAAGGAGAATGACGGACGTGTTGTGGAGTGCGTGCAGGCTCTAGCGGGATTCTTCGACACGGGAGATCTCGAGGCTGCGCGGAAAGAGTGCATTCGTTTGAGATTTTGGTATAGTGTTGGGGAAGGGTTGAGGGAGTGGGAGCCTGGCAATACCGAGATCCGCCTGATGCATACTAGTTGATTCAAAATATGGTCTGATCGACTATGTGTCATTTGGTTTGGATTGTATGATACTTGTGAATCTAGTATGGGTAGATCCTGAACTGATCGCTACTCTTTTATTCTGGGGTTCCTAGAGGTGTAGGATGTGGTAGATAGTAGAGAATGCTTGTGGATATATAGCAGACATCTTTCATTGATTAGCTGGAAGCCTATAAGAGTTTGTCGTTGCCCGAGTGTGAACTGTTGTCTGACAGGATGATCTCGCGCAGTGGGGCTACTTGCATGATTATCAGCTGTTCATGAATTTTAGTCGTTTGATAGGATGCTATTGAATGCTCAAGCCACATGGTGATCCTTGGGATATATGGTGAGTTGTTAGAGATCAAAGCTCGAAGCTGAGGGGAACATACAGCCAGGCTGGAAACAGAGAACATTTCAAATCAGCTCTAGTCGGCTCTGAGATATCTCGGCTTTCGGCACAGTTATCAAACAGCTCGACAATGTAAGAAAGATGGGAATATCCCCGAGTAGGGCAGCGAGGTGGAACAACCGTTGACCGCCACATTGAAAAAGACCACCAGACAAATCAGACAGCAAAGTGAAGCTTCAAAATGCAGCACCCAAAGAACGGGGCACAGCAGATCAACCAGTCAGGTGGACTATTGGGTTCTTGACAGGCTGGGATTGGGCACGAAACCTGCCAACGCGATACAGTTGGGCCAGTCGGGAGCTTGGAGGATTCTGTGTGGCTGCTCTGCGTTGTTCATTTTGATAGAATGGCAAATAATGGCGAATATCTCTGGATTTAGAGGGAACTGGAGGTCATAATCAACACTAACAAGGGGAATATCGCCAGATTTAAACCCGTCTAGCTGTTTTGACCCCATCGTGCATATCTCCACAGCTGCACACGTAGCCGAACTGTGATCGCCTCAGGACTTTGGGCTCGAGTGATTATTTAAGGGTCTCTTGGTCGGAATCTGCGATAGAAACCATTTCACCTGTTTAAACATACCGGTGTCAACATCCTGTCAATATCCCGAGGACCGACTGCCTCATGGACTCTGTTCGAGATTATAGCAGGTATGTATTGAGCTTGTCGCAACATATACCCTATTAACCATGATCATCCACTGACTGAATGACCCTCAGTATCATTCACTCACCATCATTCACCTTCCTCGTTGGCCCAAAGCACACGAAGCTGACAATCCAGTCGGCCCTCGCCCAGCATGTCTCCAAACCACTCCATAATCTTATGAACGGTCATACGAGAGAGTCCAAACATCGAATCGCCGTCTTGGAAGATGAAGACGTCGAGACCTTCGTCGCCTTCTGCGAATATGCATACACCGGTGATTATAGTTTGCCGCGAACCGAGCCGGAGGACGAAGCCCTAGAAGATAGCAGGTCTGGCGTCGTCGAGAATGCGCCAAGTCCGGGTACTTCTTGGAGGGAAACTTACCGATCTGAATCGGTTTCGTCGGCTGTGCCTCCGCCTGCGCCGTCGCCCCCTCCTAAGGATCGTGGACAGACGGATACTACTGTGTATCAAGACCCCGAGCCAGAGGCTGTACCTGAGCCAGAGCCAGAACCAGAGCCTGCCCCAGTCGAAGACCCTCCTGAAGAGGCGCCAGAGCCGGAACCAGAGCACACTGAAGTGAACGGGTTTGAATATGCGGACTCGATTGTGCCGGATGGACCTGAGCAACCAGAGTACCCTGCTGTCGAGCCGGAGGCGTTTCCAGAGCCCGAGAACGAAGCACCTGCGGATGATGAGAGCCCAGCACCAAAGATGAAAAAGGGCAAGAAAGACAAGAAGGCGAAGAGGAAGGCAGCAGCACACGTCGAGGAAGAGCATCCTGCACCGGAGGAGCCCGTCAACCTGACGCCTCCATCAACGCCTCCACCAACAGCCCCAGTGGAAGAGTGGCCGGCAGCAGAGTATGAACCAGGACCACCTGTCGAGGAGTCTGTCCCAGAGCCTGCTCAAGAGCCAGAGCCAGAGCCAGAACCAGAAGAGACTGGATATTGGGAACAACCACCCGCGGAACCCGAGTATACACCAAAGACCCCAGACGAACCGCTGGCAGATTCATGGTCGGGAGAAAGAAATCAAATTCCCAAACCCAGGCCAATGCTAGACATGTCATTTGCCCAACAACAGGCCTCCTCGCCCTGTGAGCCAGGTCTCAGCATGTGGGACGAATTCGTCTCCCTCCAATACACCGACGACTCGGCATCAAAGCTATCACCGGTCGAGCCAACATCCGACCTCCCATACCTAACCTTCCACGCCAAAGTCTACGTCTTCGCCACCCGCTACCTGATCCCCGCCCTGGCGCAGCTCTGTCTCCGCAAGTTACACCGAGACCTCCTGCTCATATCCTTCACAGAACAAGAAACAGCCGACCCGAGCCCGTCTCAAAAACTGGGAGTCTTGGCCGCGCGCAAGGCCCAGATGGTCCTGAATCTAGTCCACTATGCCTACACGAAAACGGCCCGGCTGGAGCCCATCTCACCGACATCCGCGACGCAACTTCGGGAGAATGAGCTACGACGACTGGTTGTGCACTATGCAGCCTGCAAAGTGAAGGACTTGGCCAAATATCACTCGCCAGACGATTCTGCAACGGGAACACCATCGCTCCGGCCGGTGGATGCGTCAGTGGAGCGGGCCGAGACTTCTGCACCGAAGAGTCTCCGCTCCCTGCTGGATATGACGACGGAGCTGGCCTCTGATCTTGTATACCGCATGATGTGAGCGGATACGGTGCTCTGATTGGATTGGGGAACTAGGATGCCCAGAAATCGGTTGTTTCTGCACATGCTCTAGCTTTTCTTCTTCTGCATCACTACCCTGAAGGTTGTCTGGTCTCCAAGGGCCCGCCGTGTGGTGTGCTTTTCGCATCATTTGTCATTTCGAGACGCATAATCTTGCTTTGTTCTTGCATATTCTTGGCTTTTGCCGGCTGAGCGTTTTTCCTGAATTCAACGTTTTTGTGTTAGAGCCTTTTTCCGCATTGGGGGATCCCCAGATGTCGAGTGGGAACGATCTCCCTAGAGGCGACTATTGTAGAGTGGAGAGTGGAGAGAAGTGTATATGCTCCATCATACTCCAGTAGCATAGAGAGTTTCATCATTTCCATAGTATCACAATCCAGTCTGGGCATATTCTTGGCGAGATGATGTGCGAGATGATGTCTGGATCAGCCAGTATCAACAGGCAGCCAGTATCCAGGGCCCAAAAATAAGCATGAAGCCCCTTTGAATCCTTGGAACCTGGCTGATCATCCGATCGACAGAAATTCATGTTACAATTGCCTCTTGGCAAGGATCAATAGTGTGCTGGCGGAGGCTGTGAAGATAAGAAGTTCAGGGGCGCCAAGACATAAGTTTGGATCTATCACGTCGGGCCAGAACGCTGTTCTTTGCCACTACACTCACCTCAGTCACTTCAGTCATTTCAGTCCCTCTAGTTGAAACGACAATCTCGACTTGCCAAGGTACGCAATGGTGTCGCTCAACACTTCTTGCCACTCTCTCTCACAGCCACCAACTAAAAGCTTGGCAGCGGACCATCTATGATGCACTGTCGATCCTCTCTCTTGGCATAGCGGCCAGGCACGTTGAATGCGCTCTGGTCCGCTCTGATCCCGGCTTATACTTTCATATGCTCCTATCGGAAAGGGTCGGGCTGCTCGCTCGCTTCGAAAGCGCCCAGTCGGCCCGAACAACGGCATCGACATTCATCATCTGCGTAACTTCGGCTGCTTCAAGGTCCCTCTTATCAACACAGAGAGGTTGTCGGCAGTTGTGTCAACAGATCAATTGACAGCCCGACAACCCTCTGCTCGTGTGGATCATGGTATTCCGTGTGGCAGGCAGTGTGGCAGGGTTACGCACCAGTGATTCTGTTCTTGGCAGTCCACGCAAGTGATTGTCCCCCCTAGGCATCGAAGTTCTATCCCACGTCCAAAGCCTGATGCCCAGACTTCCGCGGTGGATCTGTTATCCCCTAGAGCACACTATCCACCCCTGATACATACTATGCATCGTCCAAGCCCAACATCTTGGGCCGATCTATTCTTGGGGCTTTCTTGGATTGCCGATTTTATGGGTCCCGATAACTTTGATGCCGCTGGTAGGCCCATTACAAGTGCTCATCATTTTGACTATAGGGGAACTGCTTGAATTGCATTCTACCTGAGGCACAAAGGTCTTGAAATTTTCTTGGCCGAATGGGTCTACATTGTTTTGAAATTGATGCCATTGCTTTGCCTCTGACATACGAAGCTATATATGGACCTTCTCCCTACTCACTCACATCCATTCTCTTTCTACTTCATTCTTCAAGCCTTTCTCCTGCTTTCTTTCATTTGTTCTTTAGACCCACGGTCTATAGTCTATATACATCCACTCATAAATTCTCTTTGCATGCCCCATCAAGGGCCCCATCTATACATTGCGTCTAAACCTCATCTCTATCCACATTCATCATGAACAACCCAATCTTATTAGGGGCCTACCCTAACAACAGCTACGAGCAGCGCCCACCTCACTCCTCACACTCCTCATACTCCGACACCCCCATCCTCGAAGAAGAAAAGGGTCAAAAGAAGCAAGGCCCCCTCGGCTTCCGCGAGCGTCTCCGTCACTTCACCTGGGCATGGTACACTCTGACTATGAGTACAGGAGGTCTGGCCCTCCTGATAGCCAGTCAACCAAACACCTTCGAAGGCCTCAAAGAAATTGGCCTAGCAGTCTACCTATTCAACATCCTCCTCATGGCCCTAGTCTGCTCCCTAATGGCAGCCCGATTCATCTTCCACGGCGGCTTCATCGACTCCCTAACCCACGACCGTGAAGGCCTCTTCTTCCCAACATTCTGGCTCTCAATCGCAACAATCATCACCGGCCTGGAACGCTACTTCGGTGACAACCCAGAACCAGCCTTCTCAAAGACCCTCCAAGTCCTCTTCTGGATCTACTGCGCTTGCACCTTCCTCGTCGCTACTATCCAATATTCTTTCGTCTTCACCTCCCACACATACCGCCTCCAAACAATGATGCCATCATGGATTCTCCCAGCCTTCCCAGTCATGCTGAGCGGCACCATCGCCTCTGTCATCGCCGAACGCCAACCAGACCACTCCTCCATCCCAATTGTCACAGCTGGAGTCACCTTTCAAGGCCTAGGCTTCTGCCTCTCCTTCATGATGTACTCACACTACATCGGCCGACTGATGGAATCAGGCCTCCCGTGCCGCGAACACAGACCAGGAATGTTCATCTGCGTCGGCCCACCCGCTTTCACAGCCCTAGCCCTCGTCGGCATGGCCCAGGGTCTCCCAGAAACATTTAGCGTAATGGACAGCGAAGATAGCGCAGCTGATGGACGCATGCTCGAGATACTCGCATTAGCCGCTGGAGCATTCCTGTGGGCATTGAGTCTGTGGTTCTTCTGTATTGCGCTTATTGCAGTTGTGCGTTCGCCGCCCACTGCTTTCCATCTTTCTTGGTGGGCCATGGTCTTCCCCAACACTGGCTTCACTCTTGCTACTATAACGCTTGGAAGGGCGTTTGGGAGTAAGGCTATTGGTGGGTTTGGCTCTGCTATGTCGATTTGTGTGATTTGTATGTGGATCTTTGTTTTTGTTAGCCATATTCGGGCTGTTTGGCGTCAGGATATTATGTATCCTGGTAAGGATGAGGATGTTTCTGACTAGATTATCCTGGACTTCTCTATTCGAAATTCCTTTCGTCTTTGCTACTTTTTTTTGAGACTTCTTGATTCTTTCTCCTTCTTGCACAGCCCCTTGTTTTTGGTTTATTCCAGTCCTCACTTCATGAGCTTTCTTGTCCCCTTTTGTCTTGATGTGGTTTGATTTATATTTTTATCTGAAAGCGTTCGAGCACTTTGTTTTCTTCATTCTTGACTCCTGCGGGAACACTTTTCCTATCATCTTCGGCGTTGAGGCATTATATTGTTTGTTTCTTGGCGATCAGCTCTCTTTCTTCAGCATTTGTCATTTAGAGTCCAAAATAGAGACAGAAAAAATGATTCTTTAATGCAACCTATTCATAACCAAGTAAATGATCTGGAAGGCATCAAGAAAGCACGAAGTAGGCTAGTCTTAACTTCATTCTCACTGCAGGTGACGACGATCACTATACTCGAACACCACGACAACATACAACAATCAGTATCAGAGGTAGATCATGGCAGCAAGAGCAAGAAGACTACAAAATACGAGTATTGAATAGAAGACAATGTATTCATCACATTATGGAATTCTATATCAAGTCACCTTGCTCTAGCCCAACCAAGCAAGCAGCGACAGTGCAAATTTTGTGGGTATCATGACATTCGAGAAGTAAACAATGTACACGTCTTGGGCGCAGGACATGGCTTGGGGTGTTTCGCGGAGTGACGAGTCAAGTCCATGCTCGACAGTCAAGAAGTGTCCGCGAGAACTGGTGCAGACGACAGCCCGCAGTCGACGCAGAAATGAACCGCGTGACCGTATATGCCCTCGGTCTGGGAGTGGCCTGTCGATGAGGCCACCGAGTTGAAGTGTTGTCGCCCTCAATGTGGGAAACTCGGAGTGCGAAAAGCCATGTGTAGCTTAAGCAACCTTTCTGCCGACGTTGCCGATTCCACGGCCGACGACGCTGACAATCACATCGCCGTTTTCATTCTCGCCTGTTGCATCACGGATACCCCAGCCCGGCGCACCGAATGTGGACAAGTCACGGGCGAGTTGGATCATGTTCGGGTCTGCGATCACCTCCCGGCCAACCTGCAGACGACCAACATCCTCAGAGCCCATTGTCATGAGGGTCATCATGGTTGCTGCAGCTGCAGGAGCCACACAGCCTCCCTTGGAAACAGTCTCCAAAAGCTGGTATGCACATTGCTTTCCAATATCCTCTGGTGCTTGACCACCTGATGGCGGAGAAGCCACATCGGCCGAGTAGAGACAACCCGTGGATGACTCCGCGACCAAAGACAGACCAAATCCAAGACCGATCTTCTTCTTCGCCTGGGGGTTGGTCTTGTCCGGAGCCGGGATCAACGGCGCAGACGCAACGTCCGAGAAGACATATGTATCAGGGCAGAGAGGGTTGAGAATACCACGAGCAGTCTCAATCATGCGAGCGTTGTTCGAACCAGACACACCGACGGAGTATACAACACCACGGACACGCTTAATGCGGCCCGCATTCATCAAATGCAGAGTCTTCGGCAGACGGACCTGGTGACCGAATACAAGCTGCACTTCACCACCACCACCCTTGCCATTAGGACCGGGGTTCGACCGGCGCAGAATACGGAGCTCGATGTTGTTGAAGATACCGAATTGGTTGTACAGAGGAAGAATCGCAGTCCGCACGCTGTCGACGGACATGTCACCAGTCGGTGTCGATGAGGTGATAACACCTGGTCCGGTGAACAGGACCTTCATGGGTGCTTTAGAAAAGGGGGCCAATAGACAGAGGGGGATAAGGTAGTAACTGAGGCCGCGGTTGCAGTTTGCAGGAAGCTCGTAATTGATCATACCGCCGCTGGCTCCAGTGCCGGATGTGCTACCTGTGATAAGACCAGGCTTGTAGACCAGGATGGTACCCGTATAGGAAATCTCCATTTGAGAGCCATTGGTGACTGCATCGAGGAGACGAAGGAAAGAAATTTCATGAGGCGCAAGACCTGGGTTCGTAGGCGACGACGAACGAATCTGCGAGATGTGGACTGTGCGGCCGGTGAGAGTGGATAGGACCAAGCGATATACCAGGTTGTGGTGAGTTGTGAACCGGAGAGGGGGTTGTGAGGTCGCCATCTTGACTTGTTGGTCCAGAAGATCTCCGCTAAGCTCAGTGGTTTTTGGTGATAAAAAAGAAAAATTGACGGGCCAAGGTTGATCCGGGCCGACGCCTAAGTCCGGGGTGCAGTTGGTATCTCCGAACTTCTGATCTTGATTTCGAATGGTTCAACTTCACTTCTTCAAGCTCTCTACATAATCTGAAAAGACCAGACACAGTTCAGACATCATGCTTCCTCCAGCATTGAACATTCCAAAATGGTATGTCTACTATATCTACTATACCTCGATATCATCGACTCAACTATATCACCCCACCATCGCGTGACTGTCGTATAGTCCACGCCAGAAGAACCACGAACCGCCAAACTAACCAATGTCAACAATGTAGGCTCGAAGAGAATTCACACCTTCTCCAACCACCAGTAAACAACTACTGTGTTTATCATCCCTCATCCCCGGCCACAGCCGGCTACACAGTGATGATAGTGGGCGGGCCCAACGCCCGAACAGACTTCCACATTAATACCACACCTGAGTTTTTCTACCAATACCGAGGCTCAATGCTCCTCAAGACTGTCGATACCTCAACAACACCTCCTACATTCCAAGATATCCCCATCCACGAAGGTTCGATCTTCTTACTGCCCGCGAATACACCCCACAGCCCCGTGCGTTTCAAGGATACCGTCGGTGTTGTTATGGAACAGCCCCGCGTTGAGGGTGCATTGGATAGTATGAGATGGTATTGCAGGAACTGCAAGGAGATTGTCTGGGAGAAGCAATTTGTGTGTACGGACCTAGGGACGCAAGTCAAGGCTGTTGTTGAGGAATTCGCAGCCGATGAGGAGAAGCGGAAGTGCAAGGGTTGTGGAGAGAGTGCGGCGACGAGATACCAGGATGGAGAGATTGTCCAGCCATGAATAGCGAATTAAAAAGGGCGTTGGTGGTGCAATTTCTTGGAATGAGTTGGGTAATGAAAGGTGTGTTACGAACGACGAATTCAACATTCTTTGATGACCGTTTATGAAATAGCGTATGGTGCAACATTCGACAAATTAGATATGAATATACAGAGGAAGAAAACAAAGGGCATCATGAAGGACTTTTCTTATGTCGGGATATTTATTACAGCCTCCTCGTCATTGTCCATCGATCACAACCAGCCAGCTCCCAAGAAGCCCCTAGCCAAAACACCATTTATTAATTGGAGCGGAAACTGAACCAACCCAACAATCATGTACTAGAAAGAAACCCCATAGATGCATGCAGCAGCGTCATGCTAAGCTGCGATTTCTCGTGGTGCATTGATCCTAACCCATACCACTCATACGTTCCACGCAGAACATTATTCATCAAACGGACAGTCAATGCTCTCATGGCCATCTCGCTCGCACAGAGCACACCACTTCGACTCGTCAATGACGCCTGAAGACTTGCCGGCAATCGGGTCCATGGAGTTGCCCAGTCCGCCGATACCCTTGAGGCCTTCTAGGACGACGTCCCGTCCTGTTTTTTGCGAGGAGGTGGCATCTGCATAGTTGTCTGAGTTACCTGTGTGGCTGGATGCCGTCTTCTCAGGGACTGAGTGCTGGGGAGTGGGCTCCCCGGCCTCGGCTGGCTTCTTGGACTGCTCGTTGTTCTGGCCGGAGCCGAACATGCTGGTACAGTTTAGGATGTCGTGGCCGCCTGTTTCACAGATTTCACACCACATTGTGTCCTCGTCAGAGCCGCGCTCAGATTCATGCATTGTCTCGAGTCTTTGTTGGGATGAGTTAGAGGCTCCCCGGAGATGACGCGGCTCGGAGGGTGCATCATGCCAGTCAGTTGGAACAACAGTGCGGTCAGAGAGACGATGAGCTTGGTTCAGACCGTTGGAGTTGTTGGAGATGTTGCCCGAGGAGTGGGAAGGTCTGTGTTGCTTGGGAGAAAGAGTGACAGTAGAACTGCGGTTACGGCCGCCACGAGAGTCAAGCTGCATTTCTTGCAGTTCACGCTCAAGCTCCTCAATGCGGTGGTCCTTGCGGCCAACGGTCTCTTCGACCTCTTGGATCCGCTGTTCTAGTTCAGAGAGCTCCGGATTATGATCATCAGAGCCGTTCTGTCCCAAGCTTGCTGCATTTGGGTTCCCACGGCTGAGAGAATGAATGATAGCCTTGAGTCCGCGGATCTCATCGTCCTTTTGGTCCAACTCGCTGCTGTTTCGTGGGCTGTCTGATGTAGAATGCGCGTCTTTCAACGCCGCAGCCGAATGATCACGCTCCTTCTTCAGCTCTAGCTTGGTTCTCTCGACTTCACCACGGAGGAACTCGACCTCGGCTCTAGCCTCGGCCTCTCCCCGCCGGGCATCCTCAAGACCCTCTTCCAGCTCGGAGACTAACTCTTCCAACTGCTTAAGCTGCTGCGCAACAATCTCAACATCTTCGCCGCGGTCCAGGAAATGTTGGTTCTGCTGCATCAGCTCATCGAGACGCTGTTCGTAGACCCGCTCGGTCTCGGAGGCCGCAATCTCCAATGTATCAAGAGTGCTTCTGAAATCGGCTCGGTGGCCATCGAATTCGGCGGTCAATTGGATAATTCGCTCGTTTCGTTCGCGCAGCTGTGTACGGATCGAATGACCGTCCGATCCCTCCAATTCCTCTAATGTCTTTTGGAATTCATTTAAAGTTCCAGACTGCTCATCCAATTGTTTATCTCGGTCCAAAAGCTGCTTCTCTAGGCTCTTGATTTGATCCTTCAAATCTTGGAGTTCTGACGAGTGGGCCTGCTGCCGGAAGTCGGATGGCCGTCCATATGACGAAGCGTCGTCCTCCGTGCTGATCCGCGAGGAAGGCCTATCGGACAGTCGGGACGGCGCCTTGACCGGGCTTCGCATGCCATTGATTCCGCCAGACTTGGATGCAGCTGAAGGTGTACGCAAGCCGCTTAGGCTGAGCTTCGGAGGGGGGACACGGGGAGACTCCGGACGGGGGAGGGACGGTCGTCGGACGCGCGGACGAGGTGTAGTGAGTGCCGGGCCGACGGATTTGCTGAAATTGACTGGTGCTGCGCGTCTTGGAGTCGTCGGCGTAGAATGATTCGAGCTCGACCGTCTGGTGACGTATTTGCTATTGTTCATAGGGACGAAGATGCCGGCTCCCGGAGTCAAAGTCACAAAGTACTTCCGGCCGTCCACGTCGCCGCTGTTCTTCCCTCGCTGCGCATGTTCTGCACTCAGCTCGACTCCGGCGAAGCGACCTGGTTTGCCCGCTACCGGTCCGAGGTATTTGATCGTCCCATGCATGCCACCGGGGACATTGACCACGTCACCGACACGGACATCGTCGAGAGGCATCGTGAAGGATAGTGTTGATATAGATGCGTGAGTAAGGTGGGATAGCGTTACTCCAAACGAGATACAGCTCCTGGAAGGATCAAAGGCCAAGGGTTGGGAGAGCAAGGGTATTAAATTGACGGCCCAACTCCCATGGCCAAAAGACAAGTAGAAAGTACAGGAGAGATGATATGTACAAGCAAAGAGTAATGAGTAGTCGACAGTAAGAAAGGGGGACAACAAATAAATGTACGAACTCCACTCGTAATTCCAACCATTGACACCTCAACCTCCACCATCTTCCCTTTGCATGTACGTCCTTACCTCTTCGCATTATACATCTTCTCTTCTGTCGATCCTCCATATTCTATTCCCGCGCTCCATCCCGGACGCCACCGGGTCCATCTTGATCACAGATCATCCATCGCATTGACGCCTAACCATCATGGCGCAATACTTCTTCGACCTTCTCTACAATTTCACAGATTGCATGTGCTGTTTTCCCAGCAGTCCGCAGCTTAAGATCAACAACCGAAGCTTCAAACTTCTGCGCCTGCTCGGGGAGGTAAGGATCTCGACGGTTAGCTGGTCGGAAGCCTGACTGACGCAATACAGGGCGGTTTCTCCTATGTCTACCTCGTCCAGGATAAGAACAGCAGCGAACTGTTCGCACTAAAGAAAATTCGCTGTCCTTTTGGCCAAGAATCCGTATCACAAGCGCTGAAGGAAGTCGAAGCTTACAATCTGTTCACATCGCAAAACAACATCATCCACTCAATCGACCACTGCGTATCCACCGAATCCGGCTCGAAATTCAGATCCGACGGCGGTGAGGCAGGCTCCAAGACTGTCTATATTCTGCTTCCATACTACCAGCGCGGTAATCTCCAGGATGCCATCAATGCTAATCTGGTCAACCACACCAAGTTCCCGGAGAAGCGATTGTTGGTTCTCATACTCGGTGTCGCCAAGGCGCTTCGCTCAATGCATCAGTACCGCGTGAAGAGTGGTGCAGCATCTACACGGAAGGCGAAGGGGGTGCGCAGAGAAGGCGAAGAGGCAGATGCGGAACGGACGATGCAGATGAAGCCAAAGCGTCGGGCCAGCCATCGCATGGCTCAGGATGAAGAAGATGAGGAGAACGAGCCTTTGATGGACGACGAGGTGACTCAGAGCCAGGAAGGTGTTCAAGATGGCGACCTGCGCCCATATGCGCACCGCGACGTCAAGCCTGGTGAGTTGGCCGGCAGTATCGCGCAGTCTAAGATTACAGCTAACATGGTACAGGCAACATCATGATCGACGACAATGGCCAAAGCCCCATCCTGATGGATCTGGGATCTCTGGCCCCCAGCCCGATCGCCATCACCTCCCGGTCACTCGCCTTGGCAGTGCAGGATACTGCCGCAGAACACAGCACCATGCCATACCGCGCGCCGGAACTCTTCGACGTCAAGACAGGGTCCATAATCGATACCAAGGTCGACATCTGGTCGCTGGGCTGCACATTGTATGCCTGTCTAGTTGGCAAGAGTCCCTTCGAGGCACGCAGCGAAGAGACCGGTGGTAGCTTGAGCATGTGTGTCCTCGGTGGTGACTGGCGATTCCCCGACGAGAAGTCTGGCGCTTCCAAGGGCAAGGCGAAGTCTGGCGAGAGCGAAGACGCATCCAAGGGTGATGGTCCGGCAATTAGTGCACCTGTCAAGGATATCGTTCGCAAATGTCTCACGGTCGAGCCCTCGGAACGACCAGATATCGACGAGCTCATTGAGCTCATGCAGGGTGTCATTGAGCAGATGCCCGAGGATGACATCGCAGGCCCATCTCATTAGCTTCTGTCTCTTCTATTTCCTTTTGACCGGCAGGCCCGTATTGCGTTTGTGCTTTTCCCTGTACAGTATAAATGCGAGTTTGGTATCTCTTCAGGGCTGGCCGGGCTAACCTGTTCGCTATTCAATTACCCTCTTGTTGTTAGTAAAACAGCTGTTCATTTCCTATCTTAATTATTCCTAATATTCCAACATCTTTGTGTACTTGCTGGGCTCTACATGTCTTCCTTATGACGAAACCCTAAGAGGCAACCCAATGCCTCGAGGGCAACATCTCACAACTCATCCCAAATCCTCAAAAGCAACCCATTCCTGCGACCGCACGCACGGGGTAGGCGTGGCAGCCATGTTCCCAGTGCGAAGATCGGCAAGGATTGATCCATGACTGTGTTTCCCGCAAATCCAGGAAGTTGATCGATCGCAATCATGATCCAGGCGCTAATTATCAGATTCTAATCTGTCCATCTTCATGCAGACACCAAAACGAACGTTCAGGCATACGTTGCATGGGAGGGGATATCCTCCTGGCTGCAACTCCGCAAAGAAGGTAAGTCCTGACCACGGCGACAAGAACCAATCTCACCACAGATGATTATCACAGCGGGGTCAAGACCTTCCAACTCTGCGGCAACAAGGTCCGAAATCTCTCGCTCAAGGTAGTGCCACTGTACTGCGTGGACTACTAAGCCACCCCCGTCACGATATTCAGCAGACATGACTCCTTTGTTACCCTGTGAATCGCAGAATCATTGCCAAGCCGTCACATTGCCGCATCTGGATTTTCCGACAGGCGAGGAGAGTGCGGAGGCGTTATGGCGCCGTAGCCAAGATGTGGTCGAGGCGTTTCTTGGCTTAACTGGCTCGAGGGAAGTATAGCCCGGAATAGGAAAGCAATTGGATCGGTGATCCTCGCGACTCTGTTGGGGTCACGCATAAGCCTTGAGTTCATAGGCTTCATTGCCTTCATCAATGATACGAGTGGACTAAACCCCGAATCCTCCGCATCCGCTTGGACCTCGTGAGGGAATCATTTCCAGTTGACCGCTTGGATTGTCAAGTGGCACGGCGTAGATCGTCCTTGTGCTGATAACCGGCTATATCTTTGACGTGTTCTCCCTAGTTTATCAATACGAGGTTCAGCCGAGATGGCTGAGCTTGGGGTGATGGTTCCTGCGAGATCGATACTGTCGGCAATTGGGAATCATTTGGATCGGGGACGTCCATGGCAGTAAAGAAAGAAGAGATAGGGGTGTCATACTTTGTCTGATTGCTGTGAAAACCCCCCGATACAAAGCAAACATGCACTCATTCGAAATCTCCAAACTAGGCTGGCCGACTCACCGGGGTTGAACTGAGCTATCGGACTGGGTTTCCTCGTTCAAAACCAGACAAGGAAGCCAATGGGATCAGGTCGGTGTTTGGAGTGACTCCATCTCATAACAGGTCTCCAAGCCAGTCATTGATAAGAGCAAGCTAAACCCCAAAGCTACTCCGCATCCGCTTAGGCCTCTACTGGTGTAGCAAATCGATACTTGGTATCTTTCAGGCGCGAGCAAAAGGACGGTGGTCCTGCGGGGGAGGGCACTTGATAGCGGTGGAGACTTATCTCGATGACTTTGTGAGCCTATGAAGTCCAAGTACTCTTTGTCTAAGCGGAATCCCTGTGGACATCTCCTCAGATATGCCTGCCTCGGCTGACAGAGGTATACGTTATCGTCCCAGGTTTCTGATCGTGCACCCCTTCATTCCGAGCCCCTCAAAAGACACGGAAGTGGGAGTGCATCTTTGCTTTTTCCATTCCCTGTGACATCCAACCTCTAACTCACAAGCCCACCCTTCTTCTACATATGCGCTCTCTCTAGGGGATCTTAATCTACTCCCAAGAGCAGCTTGTCACCACCGCCATGGCACCAGTATATGATACCGCAGCCATACCAGGTACACTCACCCTGGTGGATGTGAACCATGTCCTGGAGGCGAGGCACTTAGACCGCGGGGACCGAGACATTGTGCTGGTTCCGACCCCTTCGAATGATCCAGATGATCCTCTCAATTGGAGTCCGAGGCGGAAACTGCTATCGACTGCTTGTGTGAGCGTGTAAGGATCCATTGGACAGACCGCGACGTTGGTACAACTACTGATGATTTGCACAGCTATACATTGTTCTCCGGGATTGCTTGCTCGGTCGTCTACTCGGTCCTCACGCCTCTCCATGAAGCAACGGGATTACCCGTGAATACCTTGAATGAGGGCACGGGGTATATGTTCTTGTTGGCCGGATGGGGCTTGTTATTCTGGCAGCCGTTTGCTATGCAATATGGCAAGCGGCCGACATATATCTTGTCCTTGATTGGTATCCTGGTAGGTCAACCGCTCGAGTATATTTGGATCGATGCTAACTATCATCACAGGGAGTGACAATGTGGGGGTAAGAAGAATGAACGGCATCATGCACATTCCAACGGCTAACACTACCCAGTCCATACGCAAGTACCAATGGCCAATGGATTGCACGCAATATCGTCTCCGGATTCTTCACAGCACCCGTTGAGGCTCTCCCTGAAATCTCGGTTACAGACGTGGTCAGTACCTTCTGCCATGGAGAGCTGCCGGTCCACTAACGCAAACTTAGTACTTCACACACGAACGTGGATTGTACATGGGATTGTACGCCTTCTTCCTAGCAGGAAGCAACTACTTCGCACCAGTCATCTGTGGCTTCATCGCCCAATACCAAGGCTGGAGATGGGTATTCTACTGGCCAAGTATCTTCGTCGGCTGCGCAGCCATCTTCCTCTTTTTCTTCTGTGAAGAGACAAACTATGTGCGCGAGCACGTTGCTGTGCCTAGTGCAATTGTGCGGACTGGTTCGTCAACACAGAGTTCGAACAGTGTTGAAGATGCCGAGAACGAGAAACATTCTCCTAATGTTGATTCGACGCTTGAAGCGGAGGCTGGTGTCATGCACTCTAAAAAGTCTTATGCGAAGAAGTTATCGCTTCTGGGTCCGCGCCAGAAGCAAAAGACTATGTTCCGTCGGTTCTGGCAGATTCTGTATTATCTGTCGTGGCCTGTTATTTTCTATGCTGGGTATGTACCCCGTTTCTTCTGGTTTAATTCTAGTGTTAACATGCAGCAGATTCTCCTATGGCTCGTACCTGGTTCTTTTCAACATCTTGAATGGGACTGCTTCCATCATTCTCGGTGGGGCTCCATACAACTTCGGGTAGGTGTTCTATTGCCATGTGTCTGACAACATTATCCTAACTTTGACTAGGTCTTCCATGGTTGGCCTGAGTTACTTAGCATGCTGTCTTGGTGTGATTCTTGGGTAATCACTTCCTTCGATATCTCTGTGCTCAAATCAGTACTCACTCGTATAGATCCATTTTCACCGGCCGCTTCAGTGACTGGCTCACTATCAAACTCGCTCGCCGCAACAACGGAGTCATGGAAGCAGAGCACCGCCTGTGGCCATTCCTCGCCTGTCTGGTGCTTGTCCCTGCATCTCTTATTCTATGGGGAGTCGGCGCTGCCCACGAGGTACACTGGTTTGGATTGATTGTCGCCATGTGCATGCTTGCCTTCACCAATACCTGCGGGATTACACTCAGTGTCAACTATTTCATTGACAGCTACCGAGAGCTGAGTGGTGTTGCTATGGCCAGTGTCATCTTGGTTCGCAATACCATGTCCTTTGCCATTGGCTATGGGTAAGTCTGTTACTTTGGGATAGAAGATCAGAGCTGACTTATCTCAGCATTACGCCCTGGATTGATAATATGGGTTACCAGAACTGCTTTATCTCTGCCGCCTTCATCGGTATGGCATGCGCTGCAGTGTTCCTATTCATGATCAAGTTTGGCAAGACATTCCGTGAACGCACACGCGAGAAGTACTGGAAGCTTGTCCAGGAGAACTGGGAGCATGGAATGGGCCATTAAATCAAATATCACTATCTACATGAACGACACGACCATTATTATACAGACCGTTTCTATTAAGCTGAATAGAAAATACCGTCTAATGCTTCAAATTCCCCTTCTCACTCCGAACTATCAAATCACTCCTTGAGATGTATATCCCCAGCCTCATCATACACAATCTCCCTAACCTTAACAGACCTCAAATGATCAACCCCCTCGGACAATTCGCAATCATGATAAAACAAATACCACTTTCCCTGAAACTCAACAATAGAATGATGTGTCGTCCACCCAAGCACCGGATCCAAAATCCTCCCACGGTAAGTAAAAGGCCCCCAAGGCGACGTGCCAGTAGCATAAGCCAGGAAATGCGTATCACCCGTCGAATACGAGAAATAATACGTCCCATTATAGCGATGCATCCACGCCGCCTCAAAGAACCGCCTCTCATGATCATCAGCAAAAAGAGGCATCCCGGTCTCCGGGGCAAGAATCTGCAATTCCCGCACTGGCGTCGCGAGACTGAGCATATCATCCGATAACTGCGCCACGCGCGGACAGAGCGCTAGAACACCTTCGCCCGATGGCTCCTGCGGACCAGATTTCGAAGCGTCGAAGATGAGTTTCTTCTCTCCATTCCCCATCTCGGTGCCATTTCCCTCTTCCGTAACCCAGCATTGTAACTGTCCACCCCAAATCCCCCCGATATACAAATACGCTTCACCGCCAGCCTCCTCATCAACAAAAACAGCAGGATCGATACTATAACTCCCCTCGAGATATTCACTCTCGGGCACGAAAGGCCCTTCGGGTTTGTCAGAAACAGCAACGCCAATTCTGAAAATGCCCTCGTGATCCCGCGCCGGGAAGAAGAGGTAGAATTTGCCATTCTTGGTTGCTGCATCGGGTGCCCAGAGTTGCTTCGAGACCCAGGGGATATCTTTGTCGCGGAGGACGACGCCGTGGTCTGTTACCGGGTCATTTATGTCCGTCATTGAGAGGACGTGGTAGTCGGCCATGTCGTATTGGTCGCCATTGTCGTTGAAGGCGATGTCTGTTTCGCGGTCGTGCGAGGGGTAGATGTAGAGCTTGTTGTTAAAGACGTGGGCTGAGGGGTCTGCGGTGTAGATGTGTGAGACGAGTGGTTTGGACATGTTGTTGTTGGTGTGGTGGTGGTGAGGTGGTTGTGTAGTTAGGGCTGGAGAGGGTAACCTTGGAAGGATAGAGTGAAATATGAAGTGAAGACCACACTGTACACTATATAGTCACCGATATAGCCTCAAATCCAGTAAATATAGGCTACAACACATCTTCTCCGAGGCTATTCACGTTTTAACCGCCGGCTAAAACCAAGCGGCGCATTCTCCGTCTTGGCCTTGCGGGATGGGATGGCTTGGATATTCACATTCAACGTTCATGCAATGAATTGGGTAGTCTCTAGAAATACAGATCTGTGTAAATATTGTATAGCTTCACTTCATATTCCAAAGATGACCCTGGGTCTCCCACTCCCTCCCAAGACCATCCTGCCACTCCCTCTCCATGCGCTCAAGCATCTCCTTCTCCGACTCCCCCATTTCCATCTCTACATCCCCAGTCTCTTTATTGTCAACCATAATATCTGCCTCATCAACATCATCCATCTCATCGTTCCACTCATCCCGCTCCTGCTCCCACCCAAACCTTGCCCGAATAGGCGACTCACAGCCCTGCAACCCAATAAACTTCCCAAACCGCCTGCGCCTAGTCTCAAGATCAACATCCTTCTCTCCAGGTGTCCCGATCCAAGGCTGGATAGGAAAAGGGTATTTCTTTGAGACGGGCAGAGGGGGGTAGACCTGGTGGAAGTGGCGGGCGAGGTCATCGAGTTGTTCCATTGTCAGGACATTGTAGGCTAGTAAGGTTTCTGGGAAGTCGGGGTGATATTCTTCGGTTGTTACTGAGACGAGCGGGGAGAGGCGTTGCTGGAGGTGGTCGAGGACGGGTTGGAAGTATGGGTGGACTTGATTTCTATAGGGTTGGTGGGTTGTTGTTGAGAGGAGATCTGCTATGATCCGGGGGAGGAGGTTTGCTGGTGAGGATGGGGAGACGGGGCTGCTTGTTGAGTTTCGGCGTTCCATGGTGTTTGAGGGTTTGGTGCTGGTGCTTGGTTGGAGGTGGTATGGATCACAAGATGGTAAGTAAAGTTGATAATGCTAATTCTTGAACTGTCAAGTGGATTGGAGTATACAAATAAGTCTAAAGAAAAGAATCTACTCGAGGGGAAGAGCAGATATATATGTAAAAGACAGAGGAGAAGCATGCGATTGTCCGATCAAACAAAGATGCTTGACAATAAGATGAAACACCTCAGACAAGATCTCTTTGGGCAACAAAAACGTCGTTCCCTTAAATCCCAATCGAACCGACTTTCAACTAGAGCTCCGTTTGCCGCTGTGCTTTGTTGCTAAGAAAAGAACAATCCCATCCATGCCTCTATACCATCCACTATATACGTTTCAGGTCCAATAATAACCCGACTCGTCGAAAAAAAAAAAAAGAAATTATCAGATAGACATATTGCCTGTCCGGAGGGAGAGATCCGGCTCCTCTGACACGGCAGGAAGACCAACGTACTTGTTGATCCAGTTCAACACAGTCCGGTGCCAAAGAAGAGAGTTCTCGGGGTTCAGAACCCAATGGTTCTCATCGGGGAATGTCAGGAATGCGCTATCAACACCCCGCATTTGGAGGACGTTAAACGCAGCCAGACCCTCGGCAATAGTCAAACGGTAGTCCAGCTCGTTGTGGATGACCAGATGAGGCGTCTGCCAGTTCTCAGTAAAGCGCGACGGATCCCACTTCGCCCAGTTCTCGGGGACCTTCCAAATGGGTCCCTTCAAATCGTGCAAAGGGAAGTATTGCTCCTCGCTGGCAAGTTGAGACGTCATGCTAAACACACCATCGTGAGTAACGAGCGCCTTGAATTTGCGGCCAAGTGGGTGGCCCTGGATCCAGTTCATCATGTAGCCACCATAAGACGCACCCAGAGCGACTGCACGAGAGGTGTCGACATAATCAAGATTCTGCTCAATGTGCTCGAAGCCCCTTACTAAATCCTCGTAGGGCCGACCACCCCATTGGCCTTTGATGCCATCAGTGAAAGGCTGGCCGTAGCCTGTGCTACCAGTCGGGTTGGGTGTGATCACAACATATCCTTGTTCCGCGAAAACGGCAGGGTTCCAGCGGGTGCTCCACTGATCGTTCCAAGCGCCCTGGGGCCCACCGTGAATCAGATAAGCGAGCGGGTACCTCTCCCCGGGCTTAAAGTTGGAGGGTTTCACGACAAATGCGTGAATAGGGTGGTCTTCGGCGCCTCTGAACCAGATCTCGTCGACCTGGGCTGGAGTCAGACCAAATGCAGCACCACCTCGGCCGTTTGATGAGACCACTTGAATATCGTCCGGACAGGCTGGATCAACGATTGTCCACAGGCTGTTATCAACCAAACTGCTGCTAGACAAAAACAGCTTGGAAGAGTCGGCAGCTGCGGGAACTGCGTCATTGACGAATCCAGAGCGGGTCAACCGCTTCAATGAATCTGGCTTGACCGTTTGCGCATTGTCCAGAGGAAGCTGGTAGAGGACACCACGGCCGATCTCTTCGGCGACAATGATCAACGACTTGTCATCATTTGAGAACGACAAGGCTGAAGGGCTCAGATTCCAAAGACCTTCACCGTCGGCCGACTCGAAGATCTCAATCATGTTTCCATCCCACGGGTTGGGAACATACAGAATCCGGTTCTTATCAGACTCGTAGCCATCCTCGCGCATAGCCAGAAGCGCAATGGAGCTACCATCGGAGTTAAGAACGGGAGAGGACATCGCACCCTGGAGACCAGTGACCTTGCAGATCTTCGCATCGGGCGCACTCATGCTAGTCCATGAGAACATGGGAGCATAATAGCACGAGCAAGAGGTATGGGTAGCTGGGTTGAGACCAGGGTCTTTGGCGATAAACACAATTGCAGACGGGCTGATATCAAAATCACCAGAACCACCAAAAGGTGGAATAGGCGACTCGACGCCAGCCAATCCGGACACCTGAATCAAGTTCGTCAGGCCCGAGACAGAGTACTTGCCAGCTTGTCTGCGGGCTGGCGACAGAGGTACTTGCTCCAGAATACCATACCATATGGAGTTCTTCTGGGGCTCAACATACGAATCCCAGTGTCGAACAAAGAGAGATGTGTATAGTTTTCCAGTTGTGTGTGGCTTCTTCGCATCGTGAGGGTTATAAAGCGATCCATCGGGATTGGCCTTGCCTGTCACGGCGAAGCCGACCTTGCCGGGCTCAATGAGGGTCACTTTCAAATCCGAAACTGGACCTGGCACTGTACCTGCGGTATAAGTGTTGTCCGCCTGACGGGCATCGCCAATGATAAAACTTGTGTTTCCGTTCGCTTTGGTCTTAAGCCAGACTAGTTGGTCGGTAGTGTCTAACCATTGCGGGTTGCTTGCGCCGGGGTCATTGGTGATGAGGGCGGATCGGCCAGAGTCGATCTCAATGACACGGATCTCATTTGTCTTGGAATGGGACTCGAAGGAGTAGGATGTCTGGGTGTAGATTGCGAGAGTACCAGCTGCGTTGGGGACGGCTGAGGACCGTCGGGGTGCCCCGAGCAGGACCCTGAACATGTTAGTATCGATCAAATTATCAAAGGATTTGCATAAGAGCTGATAGAGATGGCTTTTATAGCAGACAAAAGCTACATACTCTGGAGTGAACTTCATGGAACGAATGGCCATATCAGCTCACGGTGAGGAGATAAGATAGGTAGCTTGGAGAGCTCCCAGTGCGTGCTTATAAGCTTGAAAGCGAGATTGGGAGTACTGTGTCGAGTTATGGACTATGCAGAAGGCAATAGATGATCTGATTGAGATAGAAAGTTGAGATGTGATGAGACGAGAGAGTTGGAGAAGGGGAGGTTGGGGACCTGATCATGCGGGGTTTATCGGTGAGCCCTGATCGGGTTAAGCGTCATGCCTGCATTCTTGATGACTTCAACTACTGAAGACGAATACAGAGGTAGAGAATAGAGAATAAAGAACACCTTTGTATCTTAACCCAAAACATAGCTATTATTACACGCAAATCAGAATCATTTACTCTTCTTCCTCTTCCTCTTCACTTTCATCCTCATCCATACCCTCCGCCGCAGTCACATTGAACGTGGGTGCCTGATCCACGCCGACGTAGCTGTCACTCATGAGGTAGAGGGTCAATTCGTGGTCTCCGGGAGTGGGAACCACGTACTCCAGACGCAGCTCCAGCTTGCGACCGATCGTAACACGCTTGATGGCGAGGAGGCTCTTCGTCTTCTCGTCACCAACCACCAACCACCAGTTCTCCATCTTCTGGCTGGGGTAGAAGGGTGCGTGGACAGTGGTATCGGGTTCCTCATCCGCTTCAAGGTCCCGCTCGATCTTGACCTTGAGGTAGGACGGCTCGCCCGAAGTGATACTGTCGGGATCCTCGACTTGGAAGTCAAGCTCGATGTTGGGGTACTTCTCGTTGGTGAAAGCCGCAGCTTGAGCCAATTGCTTGTTGTCGAGACCGAGACGCTTGACCAGTGTAGCGTAGTCCTTGTTCTCAGAGGGGTCCATGGCCTCCATGAATTCAAAGATATCATTGATCCTGCACCAATGTAGGTTAGTAAATGTTTGTAGAGAACTGCTTGATGATACATACTTGTATTCGTTGGCCACCTGGATGACCTCGGGTGTGAAGTGAGGGATCTGCTTGAGAGGACTATCTCGATCCCACATGGATTGGACCACCATCTGTGACAATTCCATGGCGTTCATGGCGTTAAGGTGACCCTCGGATGAGAGAACATCCACACATGCGCTGAGCAAGTTGAGAACCTTGCGGATGATGTCTTCCTGATCCTTGGCGAGATCAAGAGGAAGCTGCATGCGCGAGAAGTGCGCCTGAAGGAGAACAAAGGCCTTGAAGTGTGGCGAGTCAAAGGAGACCTCGGCCATCTTGACGGGACAACGGTCATACACGCGGCGGAGAATGTGAGCCTCATGACGTCGCATCTGGATGGATTCGAACTCGGTAGCCGAAGTGACAATCTCCAAGATACCCTTGAGCTTTGTGCGGGCTGAAAGAGACAGCAAGAAAGTCTGCATGGTAATGAAGGAGATGTTGTAGTAAGCTCCAATCATAGCGGCATTAAGTGGTGAAACGCTGTCATCTTCCTCGTCCAGGTCGATAATCTTGGCCTCTGACAACTCCTTCAATGTGTTCTCCACAAGCTCTGACAGGAAGGTGCTAAGACCCTCGTGACTGACATCACTAAGACCGTAGAAGCTGGGGTTTGCAAGAAGACGGCGATAGAAATAGGTATATGTCATCCAGTCAACCGCATCTTGCGTAGAGGAGACGGTCCTTGTGCTTGCTTCGGTCACAAAGGCATCGTGCAGGTAGACCTGCAAATGACTCTCGACCGGCAAGGCCTCGTTGAGGAACTTCTTGTAGTAGTCACGCTTGACAGCGGGGACCATAAGAACACCTCGGCCAAGCTTATCCTGACCTGGGCGAGAGGCCTTGCCAAACATCTGCAGGATCTCGCTGATGGGGTAGTCGATGTAGCGATGTTCACGGCCGTCGAAGAATTGAGTGTTCATGACAATGACCAGATGGGCTGTGATGTCTAATTCCCAGCACACATCTCTAGAAGCCAACATCACTTGAATCGCACCGATGCCGAACAGATGCGAGACAATGCGCTTGTCAGTGGTAGTAAGGGCTTCGTGGTAGTAGCCAATACCGTGAGAAAGCGAAGTGGCAAGAGTCTGCTCATGGACACGGCCGAGGAGGGGCGCTAGCTCCTCAACATTGGCGTTCAAGAAGCGATCCTCATCGTCATCGATGGCACAAGCCGAAAGAAGATCCATGGCGGTCGCGCGAACCTGTTTACGGCTAGGGACGAAAACAAGCGCAGGTTTATCAGGCGAAAGCTGCAGAATGGATTGATAGGCAGGACGAGCCATGGCGAGCATGAGGGACGGGAAGTGAGGAATGGTGAAGGACTGGAGGTGAAGCTCGAGAGGCACGGGGCGAGCATGCGGGCTGAAGTTGTAGATGGTATGCTTGTTGGCACCAATCCACTCTCCAATATCCCGAGCGTTAGAAAGAGGCACACTGAGACCAACAATGCGCATCTCGTTCTCGGTCTGAAGAGCGATGTAGTGCATGCGAGAAACAACCACTTCGTACACGTATCCACCGTAGCCACCGAGCATGTGGAGCTCGTCGGGGATGAACAATTGCACTGTCTGGATGTTCTTGCGGCGCTGCCATTGGCGGGACAACACATCCCATTGAGCAGGAGTGGCAAGGACAAGATCAGCCTGCTCGAGGAGTTTCAGATCGGCAGTGGTTTCTCCTGTCAGCTTGACAATTGTCTTGCCTCCGTCTAAAGAACTGAGGCGCTTCTGCCAGTCAGCAAGTCTAAGATCGACCAGCTCTTGGAAGGGAGCGAGATAGACTGCACGACCGCCCTCCCTGGTGGACCAGTGCCTGAGCAGAGCCAGCTCAGCGCAAACTGTCTTGCCACTTCCTACAGGAGCACCGATGAAGACGTTGTCATCAGTGTCGAAGACTGACTTGAAGACCTGAGATTGGATCTTGTTGAAGTGCTGCCAGTTGGGATAAAGAGCTTGGTAGTCGTCGCGCTTGAGTGCCTTCACTGGTGCACGCTGCATATCCAGCAAAGGTGTGTGGGGAGGGAAGCGCTCAGGGAGAACAAGCTTCTGGAAGGAGACCGCGATCTTGGTCTCTGAATGCATCCATCGATCAGACACCAGAGAGATGAAGTAGTTTGGTGGCATCGGCTCGGTGACTGGAACGGTGAACTCGACAAGATGTTCATTCATTTCAGATTTGGCGAATTCACCACGAAGCAAGAAGCGATCGTGGAACAAGATCTCTTCTCCATCACAGTCTTCAACGATGATCCAGAAGTCTTGCGCGTTGCCGTGCACATCATCATCCCAAACGAAATTGGGAGAAATGGTCAACTCAACGCGCAGCATAGACCGGGTGATGGGCTGAACTTGAGCCTGGACCTCAAGTCGAGGGAACTTGGAAACCAAGTCACATACAACACGTCCAGCCTTGGGCATACCGAGGAGCTCGCCCATGCGAGGAGGATCCAGGTCGAAGTAGCTGCCCCAGGGCACATCAATTCGCTCAGCCTTCTGCAGAACGTCTCTTGGGCAGTGTTGAAATTGGCGGAGGGGGGACATGGTGGGCCACATGCGCTTCTCAGCCATCTTGCAAAGATCAAGGGCAGTCTTAGCAACAGATGACCAGCCCTTCTTCAAGCAGATCTCGAAAAGGGCTCGAATGATACGTCCCGCGGACTGTGTCACGTAGACCATATCAGCCATCAACGCAAGCCCATCGAGCTTGAGTCGGGAGATGTAAGCCTGCAGGAGAACATTGATCTTTGCATGAGGCTCGTCAATGGTTTCCTTGACGGGCACAGGAACACGACCCAAGAGCTTTCCAAGCTCCAGCTTCTCATCCTGACGAACGGGAATATACTTGAACTCGTCACTCAGAGCGAAGATGCGGAACAGCTCAATGGTTGTGATAGAGGGTTGGAGGTGTTGAGCGTAGGTCAGCATCGAGTTGTGACCAATGTAGTAGTGGGAGGAGATACGTCCAAGCTCAGTCGACTGAAGACGTCCGGTCTTCTTCTCATACTTGACGAGACCGGCCTTCTCCAGAACAGCAGCAGCGGAGTGGATGAGATCCACTCGCTTTTGCTCTAATGCATCGTCATTCTGGTAGTCGGCGCCAACACTGTACAGACCAGGCGAACGAAGCATTCGGACGTAAAGGTAGGTGTATCCTAGCCACTCCACACCTTCATCACGTGTACGAACGTTACCAAGCACAATCTCAGCATTCAAGTTATCCGCCAACTTGCTCATCAGCTGTGACTCGATTGGTAGTTGCTGATTCATGAGCGAGAGATAGTACTGAATCTCGGTTTGTGATGTGATAATGATACCTTCACCAAATGTATCGTATTGAGGTCGACCAGCACGTCCAAGCATCTGGAGAACGTCCTGGGGACTCAACTCGACCCAGCTACCCTTCTCGGGAGAGTAGACCTGAGTTCCCTTGATGATAACGGTGTGAGCAGGAAGGTTGACACCCCAAGCGAGTGTCGCGGTACAGACGAGGACCTGGATGCTTCCATCGGCGAAGAGGGCCTGAACGGAATCACGATCCGCAAGACTCAAACCAGCGTGGTGAATTCCGAAGCCGTAAGGCATGAGGTCTTTGAGGCCAGCATCATCGACAGAATCAGCTTCCTCGGAGAGAATGGCACGGCTAGCAGCATCACTGCGCAGAATCTGCCCAATAGTCTCATTCTCAAGGGCCTTGTCCCTGATGTACTTGGCGGTTTTGGCAGTCTCCTTTCGGGAGTGTACGAAGATCAGCATTTGGTTGCGACGTTGTCCGACCTGCTCCATGACCTTGGTGTAACAAATGTCGTTCATCGTCTTCAGCTGTTTGATCGCCTTCTTTTCGGTGACACCAATGAACTCCTGCTTCAGAGGGCAAGGACGGTATGTGCCATCGAAGTGGAACATGCCCTTGACAGGGTCGGCACGCAGGAAGCTTCCCACATCGCGGTAGTTGGGGAGAGTAGCACTGAGACCGACAATACGCACGGGGTCTCCAGTCTGCTCGACCCTGCGAATGGTTCGGCTGACAATGCTCTCAATGACGGGACCACGGTCATCGTGGAGAAGGTGAATCTCATCAATGATGATCAGGCGAACAAGCTTGGTGTAACTGGTCTCGGATGCCTTTCTGGTGATAACATCAAACTTCTCGGGGGTGGTAACAATGATCTGGGTGTCAGCAATTTGTTGCTTGGTGAGTTGACGATCACCTGTAAGCTCAGACACACGGATACCATAAGGCTCGAGACGCTTGCCGAGGTTGCCAACTTGTTCTTGTACCAAAGCCTTCAGTGGAGAAATGTAAACAATCTTGAAATCATCGAGCATGATTTCTCCAGTTTCAGGGTTGCGGTTCTTGCCAATCTCCCGAAGAATTGTAAGCATGGCGACGTTGGTCTTTCCGGAACCCGTGGGAGCACAGACTAGCATGTTGCCATCATCGTGAAACGCTGAAGGGTAACACTTTGTCTGCACCCGGTTGAGTTCCTTGGAGGTTCCAAATCCAACACGGGCCCATTCGGGTAGCTCTGTGGTGGGAATATTCTTCTCTCCGGCTTCCTTCTTGGCCTTGGGAGGTGGCACGTGAATTTCTTCGTAGCCCTTGAAGGTACGCTTAGTTGAACCTTGAGGAAGCTTGACATTAGGGTTGGTCATGAGGTGGTTGCCTTGGTGGAATACAAGGTTCTCCAAGTTGATAGTTCTCTTCGGTTGAAGAGGACCAGTTTGTCCACCCTCGGCGGTTTTCTGGTCTGGTGTGGGGCCTGAAGGAACATCGACATCCATCAGGTCAAACTTCATCTTCTTATCGGGGCGTTCGACGAGGTCATCGCGAGCTTCTTTGCCGCGAATCTCGTCGAGAATGGCGCGCTGTCCGGCTTCGACCATCTCAATTTCCACGAGATTGCGAGCATCGGCATCCTCGGCGACTCGTCTCCAACGGGTAACCCAAACAGCCTTGTCACGGTTGGTAACCAGCTTAGCAACCAGGTCGGGATGGTCATAATCGAAGAGCTCCATCAAGTCATTTTCAACGTCGCGCAAAGGTCTGGGTGTCCCATCTTCGTCCTTGGCACCAAGAATTTCGAGGGCCTCGCCGGCCTTCTCGTGTTGAATATGCGCATCTGAGTAGAGAGCACCGATCTGGCGCTGCAGCCAGTAGGCGTCGATTTCACGGGCCGAGACGTTCAATCCAGTCTTGTCGCCGTCATTATCGGGTTTACCCAGACCTCCGTCAATGACCATTTCATCGCCTTCTTCGGCATCCTGGGCGGCTGAAACGTCCTCTTCCGGTTGATCTTGTTCATCGGCTTCGTCTTCGTCACTGTCTTCGTCCCGGATTTCGTCCACGGTTCCTGTGCGCTCGTCATCCTCGTCTTCTTCGTCGAAGACTACGGCAACACCTTGGCGTTCGTCAAGTTCACCACCTGCTTCGTCGAGGCCACCGTCCATTTCTTCGTCTTCGTCCTGGGCATCGTAGTCTGTAATTTTTTTGCCCACGTTTACAAGTTCGTTGAACTCCTTTGAGTTCATGGAGCTTCCCAGAAGATCGTCGATCTCCTTCTTTTTATCGAAATCCTTCATTTCTTCATCCTTGAGTAGTTCCAAGACAGCATCGGCGGCACTTCTGACGACTTCGTGGGGGACATCGCCAAGGTGGCTTCCGGTAATTGTGAGAATAAGGTCGTAGGTGGCTCGTGTAGCGGGTGTCCGAGGACGGTATTTCAGGCCTTCGACGAAGGCATCTGCCGCTGAAAGGATTCCTTGGCCCCGTAATTGTGCCGGTTGGCCGCGTTGGCGCTTTTTCTGTTCACGTAAAAGGACATCTTCACCCTCACCGATAGCACCTCGCTCGAGGTCTGTGGGCCCAGTCTTCTTTGATTTGGGCGCATTATCACGCGCGACTCGTCCACCCATCTCTCGGATTCCAATGCGACCCGCGAGAGACTCCGGGTCTCCAGTTGGTTCGTCATGAGTGCGACTGATAAAACGACGGTCCGCCTGGAGAACCAGGTTGGACATCGCCGAGTATTTATATTGGGAAATATTTTGGTCCGCCATCTTGATGGTTTTGTGTGGCTTCACGAAAAATGACAGAGAAAGAAAGGTTGCGACAGATCTGCCTGGGCGCGGAGGTCAAGATTCAAGCCGCGCCGAGACACGAAAAATGTCGGCAATTGAGAGAATTTCAGATGGTCTCACAAACCTGGCTCATCCTCCTCAAGTCACGGTACTTGTGAGAAATAAACGCCAGGGTTGATGTAGATATGTGAAGCCAAGGAGAGAAGCTCGGGAAGATTTCGTGGCGAAGGCGGAAGGAGGGGAGCTTTTGTGGTTCTGCCACTCCATACAACTTGAAGCGCGCAACAATGCGTCTACATGGCTTGTCTATTTCTCTGGCATCTGTCAGCTTGAGACCAGCTGTAGCTTCAACATACCCATCCTATCGTTGTCAAATACACCGGACTATCTGCCATCATGCGCGTCGACCCTCAATTCACCCACGCGTGTCTACCGCCCCGAAAGTCCCCATACGAGGCGCAAAGCGTAAAACGACTGTGAAATTGAAGGACCTTCCTCAGGGAGTCTTGAAGCTCGAGGCATATGACAATGGAGTGGACGAAGCTCCTCAATACCCGACTGTGGTACAAGGGCACCGAAACAATATGCAAGCATTCAAGAACTGTGTCATTTTAACCAGAGTCGGAGGTTTCTACGAGGTACGAGAATGAGAATACATGCTTCAGTAAAACGACATGCTTATTGTACGTTTTCTAGCTATATTTTGAGCAAGCGGAAGAATTGGCATCATCTCTTGGCTTAAAACTTGCGACCAAAAAGACCAACGCCGGGCCAGTTCCCATGGCTGGCTTTCCTTTTTTCCAGCTTGATCGTTTTCTGAAGATGCTTGTCCAAGATCTCAACAAGTATGTAGCTATCAGTGAGGAATTTGCTCTCAGTGCAGAGGAGAAAACGCAATCAGGCGGCCTCTTGTTTGATCGCAAGGTGGCCAGAGTCGTCACTCCTGGTACCCTGATTGATGAGAAGTTCATTGAACCCTCTGAACACAATTTCTTATTGGCCATATACTTGGACGTTGCCAGTATGGAGTCCAAGTTAAAACAGCATGCTGATAGTGATGCTCAGCTGTCACATCAACACATACTGTCCTCTGTCCCTCAAAAGGTAGGGTTGTCGTGGCTGGATCTCTCGACCGGTGATTTCTTTACGCAGCTCACAACAACACAAATGCTTCCATCTGCAATTGCACGAATTGGAGCACGTGAAATTCTGGTAGATCAGAATGTGCAAGAACTCATTGGGCATGAATTACAACTACTAGTTGGGCATGATCATCGCCTGGTCACCTTCTTTCAGTTTCCTGGTACATTTGAGCCAGTGTCTGAATGGGGTACCATGCTTGAGGCTCCCGTTCCTGAGGATGATCGTGCGTCCTTCACTACAGAAGAAGTAGCAGCTGGATACAGCCTACTTGAATACATTCGTGTGCAATTGCAAGGATCAAACCTCAAGCTTCAGCCTCCCCGCCGAAGACATCTGAATGAATCAATGAGCATTGATCGTAATAGTCTGAGTGGTCTTGAGATCCTAGAAACAGCAAGAGATGGGTTTGGCAAAGGAAGCCTTCTCCATGCTGTTAAAAGAACTTCAACTAAAAGTGGATCACGGCTTCTGCGAGACCGACTCAGTATGTATAAGTATCTTTCAGTATTCTTCGCATGCTAATATGATACACAGCCTCTCCATCTACATATCTCAAGATCATTAATGAGCGTCTGGATCTAGTCTCGGTCTTCATGGAAAATGAGGAACTTCGCGACAGCGTCGTTCAGTTCCTCAAACGCAGCTACGATTCACAACGCTTGGTTCAAAAATTCGCGCTTGGAAAAGGAGATTCAGATGACTTGATCTGTCTATCTCGGGCCATCCAGGCCTCGAAAGAAGTCAGACAAGTTCTCTTGGACCACAGCAAAACCCCAGTCTCGAACGTTGATCTTAAAGATAGCGTGACAGCCATGATCTCACGATTGTATCTTGATGGGCCAATTGCGTTGGCTGAGAAAATTCTTGCTGCCATTGACGAAGAAGGCCTCCTGCAAAAGCAACGCATTGAAGATAGTACAGCGGCCGAGGCAGCCAGTCTGGCGCAAAAGGTGACTCTTGATGAGGGCACACCCGGCGAGCTCGAGAGCCTACCGAAAAAGGTCAGATCAAAAAACAGTGATCGAACTGTGGCAATTGACACTGAATCCGGTCCTGTCGATACTTGGATTATGAGACGCGACGCAAGCAAGAATCTCAATGCTCTCCATGCGGAACTGGAACGGCTAGGCGATGAAAAGGTTTCACTGACACAAAATCTCCGCGACTCGGTTGGATCAATGGCCTTGACTCTCAAATGGACACCCGGTCTGGGTCACATATGCCACGTCAAGGGAGCCAAGATATCCCAAGAGTCCTTGGAAGAATTGGGTGTTACCCGAAATGTATCATCTACCAAATCCACGCGGTCATTCTATCTACCAGCTTGGTCAGATTTGGGTGCTCATATGGACCAAGTCAAGATACGAATTCGTCAAGAAGAGCAGGCGATTTTTCAGCATCTCCGCCGCGAAGTGATATTGAATCTAGTCAAGATTCGCCGAAACGCAGCTGTCATGGACGAATTAGATGTTGGCTGCTCATTCGCGATTCTAGCCCAGGAACAACAAATGGTGCGACCAATTCTCAATGACGGCGTCTGCCACAAGATTGTGGGTGGAAGACACCCAACTGTCAAACTAGGGCTGGAGGAACAAGGCCGATCTTTTGTGAGCAATGACTGCTTCTTGGGTGATTCCGAGCGGATCTGGCTCATCACTGGTCCCAACATGGCCGGCAAAAGTACCTTCTTACGACAGAACGCATTGATCACAATCCTCGCGCAGGTTGGGTCATTCGTACCTGCAGCTTATGCCGAGATTGGTATTGTCGATCAGATCTTCAGTCGAATTGGCGCAGCAGATGACCTCTTCCGGGACCAATCAACTTTCATGGTCGAAATGTTGGAAACGGCCGCCATTCTCAAGCAGGCTACCTCCAAGTCATTTGTGATTATGGATGAAGTTGGTCGAGGCACGACTCCTGAAGATGGGACGGCTGTCAGCTTCGCTTGTTTGCACCATCTACACAATCATAACAAGGCCCGCACACTTTTCGCTACCCATTTCCATGCTCTTGCAGATATGACGCAGGAATTTGAGTCATTGGCGAGATACTGCACGGATGTCAAGGATACAGCTACCGGTGGATTCTCCTTCGTTCATCGTCTGCGGAAGGGCGTGAATCGCCAGTCTCATGCCTTGAAAGTTGCACAGCTAGCTGGTTTGCCCAAAGAAACCCTCGAGTTGGCTACGCGAGTCCGTCAGCAGATGAGGGACGAGACACCTCCACCTCAGGTCCCTGGTGAACATTAACCCACGTTGCAGAGTGCTTGAAAGCAATTTTTGAGATTCATATGTACTTCAAGGTGCTATGTATAATATCTATGTACAATATTTCGGCTAAAGAGACCAAACTTTGAAGGTAGTGCGGGCCTTGTCCTTTCAGCCAAATCTCCACTCCGTCAAGGAACACCAACGAAGCTTGATATAGATGTGATGAAATCACAGCTTAGACCACAACTTCGCCGGACCCTTCTCAGCCCGACCAAGCTGACCCTTCTTCCCAAGCTTAACAACAACGCCCTCCCCAAACGCAGCCTCCTGACAATCCTCATCCCCAACCCCATTAACAAACTGTACAACAACAAAATCAACCCGTCTCTTCCCTAAAACAACCATAGGCGCATGCCACGTCCCAACACCATAAGTAACAGCCTGACCACCACGCGCAACAAAAGCCTTAACATTCTCCAAATCTGGCGGATCACGAATAGTAACCACCTCCCCAGCCTCATTCTTCGCCGTGGCAGTCTTCCCCTTCAAAGTGGGCGCAACAACAACCAAAAACAACGGCTCATCCTCACCCTCCTCGCCAACCTTCTCATGACTCGACAAATCAACCGGAATAAACGTTTGGTTCGTAAACGGGTGACGCTCAAGAATACGCACATCGAAAACTTCCTGGTCAGGCTGAGCCTGCTGCCGACCCGCATGGATAGTGCGCAATTTGCGCGGGAAGCAACAGAACATAGTCATGCGCGCTTCGGCGGGTTGACCGCTTGGGCAGCCATTTGTGTAGCGGTCGAGGAGCGGGGAGATGGGGCTGTACTTCAGTGCGGAGTTTTGGTTTGCTAGCACCGGTGTTGGGTTGTTGGGGGGTAGAGAGGATAGTTGAGGGGCGACGCTCAGTGCGCGTGGTAAGGGGGAGACGAGTGCTGTGCCGAATGGTGCGAAGTTCATTGGTGTCAGTGGCTCTGGGGTGAGCGTTACACTTGGGTTGGTGGTGAGGATCGGCGCCATTATGGTGAAGGTTTGAGGCGATTGAGTTGTCGATTTGGGGTTTGTGCGTTGGGCAATTGCTCGGGTCTATGTTGCCTCTGCTTGGGCAGGTCTACAGCTCAGTTAAAAAGGAACGAAGTTAGGTTTATGAAAAATGGGGAGATGTCGGCGGGTTCCGGTGATGCTGGGCCGATAAGACAGGTGCGATAAGCGGCCGGGGCCGATGAGGCCGAGTATAAAATGTTAGTTAGGGCTAACAGTCCGGGAAACTTGTAGAAATCCATCATTGGCTTATTTTTAAATATAGCATGCTACGAATGTTCTGTTTACATGTTTGATTTGGTGATGAAAACGATCTAGCACCATGTGTCAGTCAGCTGGAAGAATAATTCACTGGTGGGATGGTCAACTGAATAGTCAACTGGCTAGACGATCAACTGGGGGGGACTGTCAAATGGTGATAGTGTTAAACTGGTGGAAGATTGATCCATGGTACGGCAGTCTTGAACATTTTATATGCACGATTTTCAACTCCTACTTACGTTCATCATGTTACCAAGCTCGATCTATATGTCCTTATCCTCCAGTCTTTTCAGGCAAATTCAATTCTTCGACTCGAATATGTCATGTTGGTCCATTCTCAAGCTACTCTCTTGCTGGATCTCACGCCACAAACTGGTGACTTGGATATTGGACAAGCAACACAGAGCGTGTAGGCTTTGATGCCAGCTTTAGAGCAAGCTATGCTCAGTCATACTACGTCTCTATTGGTGCAAATTTCAGCCCGCTCTTGTCGCCGACCTAAACACATGTAGGTGTCTGAGTGGCTCCGAGCCTATGCGCGAGGGTTGTATGCGCGCCAGCAGAAACGATGAAACTGAAAGTCACCCCCGTCCAATATCAGGGTCTGTTATATTCAACTGGATGCTGAAGATGTGCGAATAACCTGCTTGGTGGGGCTTTAGGTTTGTACACCAGCTCATCAGTGACAGTTCATCGATACCCAACGATAGACACAAACTGGAAACGTTTTGAGGCAAGCTAACTACTTGGATGTCCTAGTTTGTGCGGGGTTCAAGAATACAAATTGCCTTTCAACCGTTTCTGACAGTAGCTTGATGCGCTTTCTGATTGGCCGTTAAGACCGGAAGAGCAGCAGTACCAGTACATTGCTGTATATTTCCCGACCACTTGATGTATGGACACGGGGAGATCCGAGGAGATCTGAGACACAAAGCAGAATAATCTAAAAAGCCAACAATACCCATGGACAAATAAGAGATGGTTCGCGCACTAGTCGCGAGGCAACCACCGTTGATCGCAATTTCATTTTCGAATCCGGACTAAGTTTGCTTCGAAATGAGGCTCAAAATCTACAAGATAAAACATTTAGGCAGAGATTCTCTGCACATGCCCCAGGGCTGGCCAATCAGACAGAAGTTCAGTCTCTATCCAGCGATTGACGCGGTCATCCTGTGCCAATCGATATTGGTCTGTGGTACCCTTTTCTCCGGATATGATGCCGGATTTAGTGCAATCAATATACCGTTGCATGATTTAACACCGTTCTTTGATTGACCACAACTCCTCAGCGTTTGAGTCTTGATGCTGTCTTATGATATGGAATGGAGAGCTCGGGTATAAAGCCACCATGGCTCCGTTGGGTCGAGTGCTGGACTACGAACAATCCATACTTCTAATTGAAACATTTTCTGGATACTCCAAGGCCTTCCCAATACATCAAAAAAGTGCATTAAAGTCCAACGCTGTGACTTCAGTGGCGATCATGGATAAGTCTACAAATCAAGCTACGCCCAGCAACTCTCAAGTCAAATCGAGTGCTGGACAGTCAAACAATACTGGCTCAGGTAACACACAAAGGTAAAATCAGCTCTTATTCCTCGATCTAAACGACGCAAATAACAGCAAAAGGCAGCCATCATTATACTACTGAACGCATACTGAGGCTATCAACTAACGTACTCATTCTCCAACAGCACATATCCCCCGGTCCAACGAGACATGAACGACGATCTAGCTGGAATCGGATCATGGGTCGACAAAGCCAGCCTCAACTATCCTGCAAAATTCTCCACAGGCATCAATTGACTTGATTGCCAACTCAGCGATGCGGCTCCTTTGTCAGTACTTGGGCGAGAAAGGAAGTATTCGGCGATACGGTGAGTCCTTCCGCGTCCGAACGATGTTATGCACTAGTGATGTAACTTGACACCACTTTAGTTGTCTAGAGTCCGAGCAGACCCGAGATCAGATCTAGGGAGACACCCTATACCAATTGTGACGTCTTTTAGGAGTATTGGCTCATTTGTGCATGGATACCTTGGAGACAGCCGCGGGGATGTCCCTGAACAGGGAAGTTGGACCGACGATCGATATGAAGTTATTCTTTGCTTTTATTGTTAATTTCGGTTTTTGCTTTAGTCCTTTCTTTTTCATTTTCTTCATTTCATTTCTTTTATCAAGAGACAGACATGTGAGGGGAACATTGCTGGCGGATGGTGGAGACATATGCAGTTCATCTTTGCATGGTAGCTAGGAGGCTAGCGAAAGAGCATACAGCAGCGTTTCCCACAGTTCCGATGCCACGAGGTGGAGTTGTTAATGACAGGGAAGTTGATATTTTAGCCGATGGACAATAGACTATGTACAGAGTACATCTTAGGGCGTTTTCCCCTCTTTCTCTTATCTCGGGTTTTGGCCATGTTTGCTTCATGTTCATCTTCTACATGTGGAGATTGATACACTTAACTTGAGTTTGAATTGTTAAATCATGCATATAGATGTAACATCGTGTTACATCCTTGATGCAGTAGTACCCAAATAGAGGAGACCGAGACTTGGTGTTGGAAATATAATAATGCAGACACATAAGAGCAAGGATGACACGGATGATACGGTGGGCTAAAGGTTACTGGTAAGCCTGTCATTTGACCTAGTAGGGCTGATAATGAGGTCTCTGGTGCGTCCGACTCCGTGGCTAGTATGGCTGGGCTTATTCGTAAACTCTTGGGCATGATTTAAAGCACTAGTGAGCAATTCTCTTGCGGAAGTATTTTTTTTGATTTTTTTTTTGACCAATTGTAAATGAACGAGATTACGATCCAGTCCTTTCACTGAACTAGAGATACAATTAGCATGCCCCAAAGCTCTCCCATTCAAATATATGCCATTGCCTCAATGGTTTCGTTGCCTTTTAAAAAAGGTCAGTGGCCCTAGCTACATTGCTTAGTTGTCCCAAGGACAAGCTTAGAGGAACTTCTCGTAGACGTTCATAAATGACATTCAAGATGATTGGAAAAAGTCCGGGTTGCAATACTCGATTTGAAGGGAGTTTTCGAAATTCTCCTGGTGAGGGGCCCGTGTTTCGGGGTTGTTAAACTCCTTGAAGTGAATGGAAGCAAAATTGACGTGTTTTGAGTTGACTCGGAAGTAAACAACTTGAACAGGGTCGGTAGACTGTGTTGTCCAGAGAACTAAATACCCATCGGGGTCAATCTAGTGACGCTCGATTTTAGCTAGAGAAGGAGCAGGACTCACAGGTGGTTTGATATCCGTCGTGCAAGTGCGGCTCCCAACAGCTGAGGAAAAAAGACACACCTGGTCCAGTGGTACCTCTACACCGCTTTAAACCTATCACCTTTGAATATCAAACACCTGGACTAGATACCGGGGGCTGACGATCTACCTGATGTTTCTGGCTTGTGATTGGTTCGCGACAAAAAGCTTTGGTCATGAAGTATGGAAACACTTTAGTAAATATAAAATACAAAATATTGGCTCCACATTCGCCTGTTTAGAGTCAGAGATTACTTAGTTCGATTGGTTTCGAAGAGGCGCACATTTTCTTTATGATAAGACTAGCTTTCCGGTAAGTTCTAAAAAACCGATTGATTGTATGGGGGAGAGCAAATAGAATTCTGAGTTTGACATTAAGATCAAGTTGCCTAGCTGAAGGCTGCAGGAGAAGTTTTTCCAAGCGGCCCATGAGAGGCCTGGGCAGACGGCTGACACTAAGAGTTGTTTATTTGTGAAATGCCGGGTAGCCATACACCATGTTATCAATGTGTTTGGGTGTGTTTTCCTAAGCCTTTCGGCAAGTTGCGGCACACGTAGTTATTACACTGCAAATAGCGAGATTATTCAACAGCCGTGACACGCACATACTTATGAAATATCGTAGTGTGTTCATTCAGATCTAGATTCTGTGGTTGGTGTTTCGTTCGATTCACTTGACTTGAAACCCAAGGTTACTGGGTTGCACATCTTCCATTTCCAAGGGGTTGATTTGACTCATGGTTGATATGATTGTAAGAAGATGAAGCTAGATTGAGAAGAGCAGAAGAAAGGATCATAGAAGCCTTCTGATACTCACTGGAAGTGTTATTGATACTTTTTAGACTCTCTCTCAGTTGACGTTACGACATCTTATATTGCTACGGTCAGGGTCTACGTCTGTGATGATTAGCACCGCTTTCGCTATAAGAAACTAAACGTATGGAACTAAACAAAAGCAGGCTGGTATGTGCAATTTTATATTGAATATGTGGATTTTGAGATACTGTAGTGTACTGTGTGACAATTGGTTGGATATCAATTTGGAAAAAACAATAGAGCATCAATAGACACATCAGCTTCAGAACGTTCTTAAGAGGATAACAAAGGGTCACCAGATAACTTGAAGCTATCTGTAGGAGCATTTTCTGCATCCTCTCCTCATCCTAGTGTTCTTTGAAATATTTGGGAACAGGGTGAGTGTTAAAACAGGCCTCAGGCAGCCACCACCGAAGTCAAGGCCAAATATGCTCACAGCAGATTACCCAAGCCGACAGTATACCCGAGAAGACGAGCTCTCTTGGCTTATTGGGTGGCAGAGAAATGAATTTCTCGTAGTGCTAAATTTCATTGCGAGTGCCGACAGTTACCAGTCCATTTTCTGAATGGCCAGCAGACCGAAAGCAGAGTGCTTAGCTTGTTCAGGTAGCATTTCCTCCTTTAGCGTCGAATTTCGCCTTCTTGGCACGTCGCTTGATTTCTCTCTTCGAGAGAGGTCTGTCAGGGTCCTCGGCAACGGGCTCAGAGCTAATAGATGCCTTTCTCTTGAGACTATCAGCTCCAGTTTCTGGTTCTGTCGGTTCTTCCGATTTTGGTGCGCCTTTCTGCTTTTGCGCCGCGCTGTCGGGTTTGACTTTCTCACCACCGTGGACAACATCAACGATACCGCGCCAGCTTGTACGCTTCAACTTGGCCAACGCGATGACCTTCCTCGTCTCTTCGCAGATTCCTTCCTTTCCACGTTCTTGTGACAAGCCCCAGACACAGGTAAGGTTAATCACATCCCACGGGGCTCGTAGACTCAAGGCCCGTCTGGCTTCGCTTGACACAATAATACCTCGGCCGCGTGTTGCGCGGATCAAGGAAGTTGCATTCCCAATGAGGTTCCTCCGCGCATCAAGTCCACTCCCTGTGATTCCTGGCCCATAGCAGATTTCGATTCGGACTCCACGTGAGATCGCTGCAGATAGCATTTTGAACTTGAAATGATATGGCAGTCTCACGGAGAGATCCACCGAGATCACGTCACATTCCAGATTCGTACAGGCATTTAGAAGAGATTTTTCGTTTGTAGGACGAAGCGCAACCAGATCATAAGCTTGAGTCAAGGCAGCCAACCGTTGATTCTGCGCGGGGTCGGCCAGAGTCAGGTTGAGCCGGGTCAGCAGTTGGAGGGATTTTGGCGGGTTCGCTGGGAGAGGAGGTGGGGTGAGGCTCGCAGGAAGCTTCCCATTGATTGTTTGAGATAGTGCCACGGTAGTGTAACCAACTAGCACGTCAGGTTAGTCTCTCATGTGCACCCAAGGCGGATCCTGTGCCGGAGACCGGAATGAACGAATGACTTACTTTCGGCGAGGAAGTTGAGAGTGTGGGGCACCTCTGGGTCATCTGGGCTGTAAGGTACATTCAGGTCGTAAAACATGACGGGATTAAAAGGAGGTCAGCCCTGCCTGTCTTCTTGACTCTTCAACTGGATCACATTGAACTGTCCCAAACGGGCAATCAGAAAATCTATCGGATCAACAGTTGATCCGTGCCTAACCGCTTTCGACCGGCTCCCCACAAACCCTCGGTCCCGTGACTCTGGGATCTCATTCTACGGATCATCATAATATCTCACTCCGTCTATCCCATTGCTCCAGGTCTCTTGCGAGCTTTGTGTTTGGGCTTGATCTTTGCTGGGCTTGCCGCTCTCTGCCTTTGAAGTCGACTCCCCTACCCGTTTCTTGTCACACGGCCGTGCCCCTCGTGACCCCGCTGCACATCTTTCAATTGTGGGCGCACTCGGAATTCGCCTGCTATCGTCAATATGGCGCGCGTCTATGCTGATGTCAACGAGCATATGCCTCGGTCCTACTGGGACTACGACAGTGTCAACATCTCCTGGGGTGTCCTGGAAAATTATGAAATCGTTCGCAAGATAGGTGAGATATGATCAGACCACGCCATTCTGTGGCATACTGGGGGACTGCGTCGCAAACTGTGGACGATAGCTCGATTTTATGGTGCAAGTTTTGCTAACTTTTCGTTGCTAGGTCGGGGAAAGTACTCTGAGGTATTCGAAGGCATCAACGTTGTCAACTACCAGAAGTGCGTTATCAAGGTTCTCAAGCCCGTAAAGAAGAAGAAGATCAAGCGTGAGATCAAGATCCTCCAGAACCTTGCTGGTGGTCCCAACGTCGTTGCTTTGCTGGATGTTGTTCGCGATAACCAGAGCAAGACCCCCAGCCTGGTCTTCGAGGCTATCAACAACACCGACTTCCGGACTCTATACCCCCGCTTTTCCGACTACGACGTCCGCTTCTATGTTTACGAGCTGTTGAAGGCGCTCGATTTCTGCCACAGTAAGGGCATCATGCACCGTGATGTTAAGCCACACAATGTCATGATTGATCATGAGAAGCGCAAGGTTAGTAGACCAGTCGATTGAAGTGGAAAGTGGTCCTAATACTTTATAGCTTCGTCTGATTGATTGGGGCCTGGCTGAATTCTACCATAAGGGCACGGAATACAACGTCCGCGTTGCTTCTCGTTACTTCAAGGGTCCTGAGTTGCTGGTTGACTTCCAGGAATACGACTATTCCCTGGACATGTGGTCTCTGGGTGCTATGTTCGCATCCATGATCTTCCGCAAAGAGCCTTTCTTCCACGGAAACAGCAACTCCGACCAATTGGTCAAGATTGCCAAGGTTCTCGGAACCGAGGAGCTCTTTGAGTACTTGGACAAGTACGACATCGAGCTGGACCCTCAATACGATGACATCCTCTCTCGCTTCCCTCGCAAGCCATGGCACTCATTTGTCAACGCTGAGAACCAGCGTTTCGTCAGCGATGAAGCCATTGACTTCCTTGACAAACTTTTGCGATACGACCATGCTGTAAGTTGTCTTGTCATGTATATTGTTGTACTTCGCTAACCCACTATATAGGAACGCTTGACTGCTCAGGAGGCTATGGGACACGCTTACTTCGACCCTGTCCGTGCTGATGCACAGGCTCTCAGCCACAACAACGTTACCCAGTCCTGAGTTGGAACCGTTGATGATCATGGCTTCATTCTCCCCCTGCAATGCCCGAGTTTCAAGTTCTCCGCATGCTGCCATCAAGATTGCGCCAGGAATCTTGGCATTCATCACCTTTTGCATTTGAATCCTGTTGTGATGAACGGTACGACGGTGATCGACAACATGAAAGGAGCTTGGTCTTCGTACCCACCCTATCCACCCTTTTTCCAATTTTTATCAGGTCCTTCTACAGAATGGGCTGCGGCAATCGATCAAATCCTAAACGAAGACGACTTTGATGACAAGACATCATGACAATTAATCTGCTGGGTCTTTTAGACCCTCTCATCGCCTGGGTCGTTTGGCGTGTCAGTGAGCGTGAAAAATCAGCGTCTTAGATGGGCTACTCTTCTTTTTTATCTTTTATCTGTATAGCGCTGCTCGTGGGTTCCCTTTTAATTGATTTCTCCCATAGTTGAATTGGTGTTACGGCCTTTTTGCTAGGTGCTCTTCGGCTTAGTTATTGTTTTCAAGGGGGGCTCTTTTACAAGACAACGCATTGCATCTTTTCACGCTCTGTCATATGAATGAAACATGTGGATGATAAAAAAATAAAAATAAATTGCCATAGAACCTTGACCTCTTAGATCTAGATATGTGCAATTGTAATATAGTTTTAACTTGTCGACAACCCCAGTGTTTTATCCTACGATGCGTCAATTTGACTAGACGATTCGCTATATGAAACCTGCAATATCATGCGATCAAGGAATACTAAGTTATACTTATAGATCGTTAGTATCTCAGATCACCCGTTGGCTCCGGCGTATCACGTGAGGGCTTTATCGCAACGTCTGAGAAAAGAAACAGATTACAAGTAATGCGCAATCGGGCAGGCAAGATAAAACTCCAATAATGCACAATTAAGTGACTCTTTGTACATTGTATAAGCGTGTTTCGTCCGACTCCACCTGGGCACCGAACCTCCCACCAAGCCCCGCGCTCTCATTCGTTCACCCACCGTGGGAAATTTAATTGCCCGCATTTCGCACAACCATCCCACCTTGTATCTCTCCATCTCTCAAGATACTTATCAGGCGGTTCGTGGCGCGATCGGCGCCTTGGAGATTTACTCCTCACTATCGTGCATTCTCAAGGATGGCTCAGAACTCTGCCTCCCAAAACCCCAGTGAGTACAATGACTCATTACACTTGCGCGGAAGCTCATGCATGTTCCTCGAACAGCGGGTGAGCCTACGGCTCCCCTCACCAGCCCACCCCCTCAGGTCGACGAACAGACTCGCGCCAACATCGCCGATGCCGCCGCAAAGGACCCTCAGGGCCAGCACCAAGGTGGTGATGCCGCTCCCAAGGTGAAGACTGAGAAGGAGTGTATGTTACAACCACGCCGACAACCGGTCCCTTTTTTTCCATATGGACTGTGCTACTATGGGCATTCGCTAATACATTGGATGGGGTATAGTGGAAAAGGAGCGCAAGAAGGCCGAGAAGGATAAGAAGTTCAAAGAGAAGCAAGCGGCCAAGGCTGCTAAGGCTGCTGCCACCAAGGACGCCGCTCCCAAGGCCGAGAAGAAGGCTAAGCCCGAGAAGGAGAAGACCACAGATGCATACGACCCCCAGGTCATCGAGGCTGGCCGTCTTGATTGGTGGGAGGAGCGTGATCTCTTCAAGCCCGAGTTCGGCCCTGATGGCAAGGTCAAGCCCGAGGGCTCCTTCGTTATTCCTATTCCCCCTCCTAACGTTACCGGTTCTCTTCACATGGGCCACGCTCTGACCAACGCCCTCCAAGATACTATGATCCGTTGGCAAAGAATGAAGGGTAAGACCACCCTGTGGCTTCCTGGAATGGACCATGCCGGTATCTCCACCCAGAGCGTTGTCGAGAAGATGCTGTGGAAGAAGGAGAAAAAGACCCGTCACGATATTGGCCGTGAGGCCATGGTTGGTCTGATTTGGGACTGGAAGGACGAGTACCACAAGAACATTAAGAACGCCTTGCGTCGTGTTGGTGGTTCTTTCGACTGGAGCCGTGAGGCCTTCACCATGGACCCCAACCTGTCTGCTGCCGTGACCGAGACCTTCGTTCGTCTCCACGAGGAAGGTATCATCTACCGTGCCAACCGTCTCGTCAACTGGTGTGTGCACCTGAACACCTCTCTGTCTAACCTCGAGGTCGAGAACAAGGAGATTGAGGGCCGCACACTTCTTGATGTGCCCGGCTATGACAAGAAGGTCGAGTTCGGTGTCTTGACTCACTTCTGCTACGAAATTGATGGCGGCAAGGAGCGCATTGAGATTGCTACCACTCGTCCCGAGACCATGATGGGTGACACTGGTATTGCTGTTCACCCCGACGACAAGCGCTACCAGCACCTCATTGGCAAAAATGCCCGTCATCCTTTCTTGGATCGTCTGCTTCCTATTGTTGCTGACAAGGAGGTCGAACCCGAGTTTGGTACTGGTGCCGTCAAGATCACCCCTGCCCACGATTTCAATGATTTCAACCGTGGTAAGGCCCACAACCTGGAGTTCATCTCCGTCATGAACGATGACGGTACGTTCAACAAGAACGCCGGTCCGTTCGCCGGCATGAAGCGCTTCGATGCTCGTTACAAGGTAATCGATGCCCTGAAGGAGCGGGGTCTGTACGTCAAGTGGGAGCACAACCCCATGAAGGTTCCCCGCTGCTCGAAGTCCAACGATGTCATTGAGCCCATCCTCAAGCCCCAGTGGTGGATGAAGATGGAAAGCCTGGCTAAGCCCGCTATCGAGGCCGTTGAAAACGGCGACATCATCATTCGCCCTGAGTCCGCCGAAAAGAGCTACTTCCGCTGGATGCGCAACCTGAACGACTGGTGTTTGTCCCGTCAGCTCTGGTGGGGTCACCAGGCCCCTGCCTACTTCGTCAAGATTGAGGGCGAGGATGGTGATGACAGCGACGGCAACCTCTGGGTTACCGGCCGCACTGAGGAGGATGCCCGGAAGAAGGCCGAGGAGAAGTTCCCCGGTAAGAAGTTCTCTCTGGTCCGAGATCCCGATGTTCTCGACACCTGGTTCTCTTCTGGTCTGTGGCCCTTCTCTACTCTGGGCTGGCCCCGCCAAACCCACGACTTCGAGAACCTGTACCCTACCTCCGTTTTGGAGACTGGCTGGGATATTCTCTTCTTCTGGGTTGCCCGTATGATTATGCTGGGTATCAAGATGACTGGCAAGATTCCCTTCAAGGAAGTCTACTGTCACTCCCTGATCAGAGATTCTGAGGGCCGAAAGATGTCCAAGTCTCTGGGTAACGTTATTGATCCTCTGGATGTCATGGAGGGTATCGAATTGCAGACTCTCCACGACAAGCTGCAGCTGGGTAACATCGCCGATAAGGAGATTGCCACTGCTACCAAGTATCAGAAGAAGGCTTTCCCCAAGGGCATTCCCGAATGTGGTGCTGATGCTCTCCGCTTCGCCCTCGTCTCTTACACCACCGGAGGTATGTATATTTGATGTCTGTCTTGTGCCATTCGCTAACAACTCGCAGGTGGTGACATTGCTTTCGATATCCAGGTCATCCACGCCTACCGTAAGTTCTGTAACAAGATCTACCAGGCTACCAAGTTCGTTCTCGGCAAGCTCGGCGATGACTTCAAGCCTCAAGCTGCTGTTAAGAAGACTGGCCACGAATCTCTCTCCGAGCGCTGGATTCTGCACAAGTTCAACGCTGCCGCCAAGGAAATCAACGAGGCCCTTGAGCAGCGTGAGTTCTCCCAGACCGCCCAGATTTCCTACCAATACTGGTACGCCCAACTGTGTGATGTCTTCCTTGAGAACTCCAAGTACCTCCTGTCCACCGACGCCTCCCCCGAGACCCAGGAGTCTGCCAAGCAGACCCTCTACACAGCCCTTGATGGTGCTCTGACTATGATTCACCCCATCATGCCCTTTGTCACCGAGCACCTCTGGCAGCGCCTTCCCCGCCGCGCCGGTGACGAGACCATCTCGATCATGAAGGCCAAGTACCCCGAATACATCGCCGAGTTCGACGACCCCGCTGCCGCCACCGCCTACGAGCTCATCCTCAACTCTTCCAAGGCTATCCGCTCCATCCTCGCCCAGTACGATGTCAAGACCCAGGGCGACATCATCATTCAGACCTACGATGCCACCAGCGAGAAGACCATCTCCGAGCAGATGACCACCATCAAATCTCTCGGTGGTAAGACCCTCGGCGAGCTGTCCCACCTCGGCCCGGACAACAAGAACCCTCCCTCCGGCTGCGTTGTTGCCCCCGTCGGTGCCGAGGCCGCCGTCTACCTCCGCGTCTCCAAGGAGGTCGCCCTCGAGCAGGAAGAGAAGGCCAAGGCTGCTCTCGAAAAGGCTCTCGCCACTGTTCGCAAGTCTCAGGGTATCATGAATGGCCCTGGCTGGAAGGACAAGGTTAAGGCTGAGGTTCGTGAGGCTGAGGAGAAGCGTCTTCGTGATGCTGATAGTGATGCTGCTCGTCTTGAGGAGCAGATTAAGGAGTTTGAAAAGCTGCGCTTGGAGTAAAATATCTCTGTGTGGTTAAAATTAAACAAAATACATGAATTTATTCCCTTATGTTAACTATTTCTTCAATGGCGTATCATACTATCTAGGTCATGTATAGTTGTTGCGTGTCAGGCCGAAAGGAATTCTCCTTATGAAACATTGTAGGAATGGTAACTCTAATGCCCACAATGGTTGTTGGCCTATTTACATGGCTTGTTCCTTTGTGGTAATGGAAAGCTGGAAGGGTAATCAGACAGAAAACTTTTAGGGTTTTATTATAACATAGGTGTCGGGGAAACCAGCTGCCAATATATATACATTTCACTCTGTAGACACAATCTCTACGACTCCATGATATGCTCTAAATGCATATATAATGTTAAAACAGATTTACAGGAAATAGATTAACCAGCATATGTCGATGTATTTGTTTCCTTGAAATCCTAAACAAAATACCTTTTTAAAAGAAAAGTATATCGTATTGAGAGGCAAAAAAATGAAAATACAAAAAAATGGTTTCCCTGGGAATCGAACCCAGAACCTTTCCGGAACACTTGCTGGATGCAATTGTTAACGGAAAATCATAACCGCTAGACCAGGAAACCAATTCATGAATTGTGGCCCACTTTTAGGCATAATGAGCGAGGCTAGACAATTCCCACGTGATAACCTGTCTTATCGATAACAGCGCCAAGCCATCGATCCAAAACTTTTCCGCTCTTTTGATATTTTTGCTACGAGCCTTTCAGCAGATTATCTACACCACAATGTTGAGAGAAGTGTAAGTTCAAAGTATCTCTCATAATCGCAATTATTCACTAATACATTCATCTGCAGAAAGGCCAAGAACCCGCGCACTGCGCGCATTCTGAAAGCGCGGGAGCCCCAGCTCATCGAACCCCCCAAGAAGACCCTGATTTTCCACGGCACAAAATGTCCTCAGGCCTTGGACACCGTTCTCAAGACTTTCCATCACCTGACGAAGCCTTACTCGGTTCTCTTCCACAAGAAGAATGAGAACCTGCATCCATACGAGAACTCGGAGAGCCTTGAATTCCTGGCGAACAAGAACGAGTGCGGTGTGGTCGCCTTTGGAAGCCACAACAAGAAGCGCCCCAACTGTATCACATTGGCCCGTGTCTTCAACTCACAACTCCTCGACCTGTGCGAGTTGAACTTGCTCCCCGCCAGAGATGGCGAGGCCATCCCTCCTATCAACGAGCTTAAGATGGACGTTGGACTCGGACTCCGCCCTATGATGCTGTTCACCGGTAGCCCCTGGGATGACCCTACATCCACCGCCCACACCATCCTCAAGAGCACTTTTCTCGACATGTTCAAGGGCGAGGAGACCCACCAGATCGACGTCGAGGGTCTTCAGTATGTCTTGATGGTCGCCGCCGAGGAGCCCCAGGATGGTCTCTCTCCTATCATCCACCTGCGCTGGTACAGAGTTGTCACCAAGCGCAGCGGTCACAAGCTTCCCCGCGTTGAGTTGGAGGAAGTTGGTCCCAAGTTCGACTTCAAGGTCGGCCGAACACGCCAGGCCGCCCCCGAGGTCCAGAAGGAGTCCATGAAGCAGGGCAAGCGTCCCAACGAGGAGGCCCGCACCAAGAAGAACATTATCACCGACTCTATGGGCGACAAGATTGGTCGTGTTCACCTCGGCAAGCAGGATCTCTCTGGCTTGCAGACTCGTAAGATGAAGGGTCTCAAGCGCCGAGCGGGTATGGAGTCAGACGACGAGGAAGAGCAGGAGGACGATATCATGAGTGTGGACGAGGACTCTGAAGAGGAAGAAGACAGCCACAAGCGGGCTCGTAAAAACTAAGATTTGCATTATTTCTTTTGCTAAGGCGTTTGGACCGGACGGGATTGTATACTTTCTGCGCCTGTATGAGCAGTCTTATCGGCATATGAAAAGTTTTTTAACTCTACAATGATAAAGATATTTCCTCCACCATATCAAGTGCAGCAGTCAGACATAATATATAATTCGATATAAAGATAGAACATTAGTAGTTTCATATATTGTCAAGATCTATACACAGCCACGTGACCATGACGTCGGCTCAGCTCTCACATGCCGAGGCCCTTCTCATTGCGGAACCGAGTAAAGTGCCGTTCCCCTCCCTATCTCCTTCATCTCTGATTCTTGCTCTATTCCACTCTGTTCAAATTTGTTGTCTCTAAGTCTATCGTCCTGGCCTACCACCCTTGTTGACCCCCGAACAGAATCTGACCTCCTACCGAGGTCCAGCGGCGGCATGGATACACTGCTGGTAAGTATCGCAAACCACCCGATAAACAAAGATACCAACGAAACGCACAGTCCCAACTGGATGCACTCATCCTCAAACCCGAACTCGCGCCGCTACTATCCCTAGTCAAGGGTGCACGCAATGGAATCGTCTACGGATCGAAAGTGCGGTTTCCGCATGCGCTGGTGTATGTTGGCCGTCGGACAAGCGGAAACACGATATAACAGATAGCTGACTGGTGTGGACATCTCGTAGGATGATATTCCTGTTCAGATCTGGAACGTACGTTGCTCCCCTATTCCGGCTTCATAATTTTCGCGGAACTAATCTTTTCGTTATATAGCATACGGGAAAAAACCAAGCTTGTCCTTAAAGCTACTCGCCAGCACGCGCGCAACCTCTCCACATTCGCTATCATATACAAGGCTTCTATGATCCTTCTTCGGAATATCAACCCTGGTGGTGCCGGAAAGGAGGGCCGCTATGATAGTTTCTTTGCAGGCCTGCTGGGCGGGTATGCAGTCTTTGGACGACAGCCGGGCAGTATTAGCCAGCAGGTATGCATACCTACCCTGAGATATGGCGGATCTGGAAATATACTTCATTTTCGCCTTACCACTTCTTGGAGCTAACACCTCTGCCAGATCGTCATCTATGTCTTCGCCCGTGTGATGCTTTCTCTCGCCAAACTCGCCATCCAACCTAACATGCATCCTCTCTCTTCCCTCATCACGCCAGAGGCACGTACTAAGATCACGGGTAATGCCTGGCCCGTGTTCGCCAGTATGACCTGGGCCTTTGTCATGTACATTTTCCGGTGGTACCCGGAGACCTTGGCTTCCAGCTTGCGGAGTAGCATGGTATACATGTATGGTTTCCCACATAACCTGGCCCCAGCATCGCTGGAAACCAGAAGCCTTTTATATCTGATACTGACATTGATGATAGCTACGCCGACTCTGACCATTGGGATTCCCTCCGCACCCTGTTCATTCACAACAAATAAGCTCCCGGCGGGACTGTTTTTTAATGACCTTTTAGTTTTTCTTCCTTTCTTTGGACATTATATGGCGCATAGAGCGGTTGTTATTTGGATGCTTAGTGTTTTTCGTAAGACACATTCGACTCGTGCATTTCATTTCATGACCTGCTCATTACATTTACACCCTGTATTATGAGGCATGGGCTTTCTCTCTTCATATTTTGCTTTCACATATAACCTTTTATATATCTTGATTCCGCGGGTCCGTCGTAGTCTGAACCTTAAAATGCATCACCAGTCTACAGGGCTACCCTATCAAAGTACAGCTTACAATTCCACTTCAAGAAAAGCCGATAAGTAGAACAGAATAAAAGGGTATCAGTTACAATAAAACTTTCAAGGAGCACCATAGTCACAGAAACACAAAGCGACGGGGATATCGTACAAAACTGAAACCAGAGAAGCAAAGAGATCGAGGATCGAGCACCACTAACTACAACAAGCAAAAAAAAAAAAAAAAAAAAAAAAAAATAGAAACCAGAAGCATTACTGCTGGTCACCAACCTCAACAAGAACCTTCAAATCACCATCCATCCAGTCAACAGTATCAGCAGAAAGCAAAGCAATAGTCCAATCCTTCTGGCTCTGAACAACAAGCATCCCATCGGGCAACCAGACCTTAACTCTCCACTCAGCCACAACGGCTGACTCGCGCGCTTCTTGTGCGGCAGTGTTTATATTGAGACTTTCTGAATTCTGGAATGGCATACCGGGGATCTGGCCAGGGTAGCGGCGAAGGATTGCTTGCTTGACAGTATCAATGTTGGGGCATTGGCTGGCAGGCAGGTCAAATCTGGGAAGAATGCGTTTTCCGCTTTGGATGATGTTTATGCGGAGGGAGGTTTGAGCGTTTGAAGGGGGGTTTGTGGCTGTTGGGGTCTGGGTTTGCTCGAGAGGTGTGAATGGCTGCTGGGGGTGGAATTGGTCATGAGTGTCTTGAGTTTGGGCTGGGTGGCCGTGTCTGCTTGCGATGTTCTCGCGGATGATGCGTGAGACATCGCGGGTTATGCTGCTTGCACTGTTTGGGGTGTCATTTTGTGTTTTTGATAATGGGGGAAGATGGTTGCTTACAATTCATCACGGGCCGAAGGGTTGCGGCCTCCGCCGATACGCCAGTTCAGGTCTGAGCATGAGTCTGCGTGGATGATGCGGTTGATATTTTGGTCTTCACAGCCAGGGAGACAGTCGAAGTCTCCGTTATGGATGACATGGTAATGGCTGTCGACTGCAGCGACGATTCCACGCCAGTCGGGCTGCTGGAGACCGGAAAGAGACCAGAGGTTGTCAAGTTCGTATTCTTGGTTGTAGTTATCGTAGCGTCGGCCGATCTCCTCCCAGTCAACGGTGTAGCCGTCCAAGAGGAGATCTGTTAGACTAATATCCATGGGTTGGTTGGCATCTATTGTTGATTGCTGCACGGGAGGCGGAGGAGGAGGAGGCATTGATTGAGACATATCGTCAGGACGATGTTGCTGGTTGTGCATTTGGAGGTGTTGCTCAGGAGAGAAGCGTGGGCTGTTCATAGTAGAGAAATCTTCAGTCTTGCGACGACGACGTTCCTCGGTACCACCGCCCTTGCGAGTTTCGATAGCGTACTGGCGTTGTCTTTCGTTTGTCACCATACGACGCAGCAAAGGAATGACCAGTGAAATGATCTTATGTTGGTCACGCGGCCAGATGTAAGCTCTTGGACCCATGCCCTCATTGACCACATTCTCTCCAAAGAACCGCTCGCCATTGCCTTCTCCTTCGAGGAATTGACGAACACAATTCCAAAGTCGAAGTTTGACCATTTCACTATCTCCTTTTCCACGTTGGCCAACACAGTCCCGTCTCTCGGGGTGTTCGTCATTCAACATGTAATTCTTCGCAGCAGCCTGCAGATGCAAAAAGTTCTCCGGCGAGATCTCAAGCGACGAGAACATCTTCGAGATAGGAGGTCGAGTGTACTTCTTATTGCTGGAAGGCTGGCGAAACAATGCAGCAGCAGAATGTACACCAACAGCGCGAGCATCAGACAAAGATTGAGGCTGAGCAGGACGAAGATCAATACTATCTCCAGCACCAGCATAGCCATGAGGCTGCTGAGAAGAATGAGACTGCTGCTGTCCAGAAAGACCGGCGCCAGCCAATGCCGGATCAAGATTATCATCGTTCCTCTTTCGCTTTTTCGAGACCGTGCGGGAAAGACCCGGAGATTGGGAGTGATCACTGTGACTGGGAACCCGTAAATGTCTGCCGTTGTTCATGCCAGTTCCGAAGTTGGTCTCCGAGAACTTGCCATCTCCGAACCCGTCGTCGTCCAGGTGCATGTCGGCGCCATATCCGTCTAGCTGGTGGTGATGACCAGCAGCGCCAGCAGCAGCAGCGACTGCGGCTGCGGCAGCCCATTGCGAGACGTCTTGGTCTGCGGCTGCGGTGGCCGCCTCTACCAATCCGGCGAGCTGGTTGTCATTCGGCGCATAGCCATTGTTCCCCATTTGCGCATTCGGGTCAAGGTGAGAAGAAGCATTAGCTGCTTGGGCAGGGACGTCAGAAGAAGAGGTGGCGGGAGGCTGATTGTTTGAGGAGCTCATTGTATCGAATTGGGCTAGAGTGCTTTGCGCCCTAATTCGATAAGCTGATAGGGAAGAAAATATGCCTTCGAAGGTGAGGAGTAGGTGGAAATCTGACGCGAGAAGAGGGTTGGAAACAAGAGCTTCCGAGCGCGTCTGAGTGATCTGATTGAGTGTCAAGGAAGTCAATATCAAGCTCTTATCAAGCTCTTGTTGTTATCCGCGCGCGAATAGCTTCGTAATGGGCAATGCGGCTTGATAGAGCACCGTTTCGAACGTCAGAGTTGGCTACACCCCAGAGGGCGACAAGCGCGTGTCTGAGAAAGAAAAATGAAGCCCCGAGAAATCACAAAGCCGAAAAGCTTCGTTGGTCGGCGATAAGAGGCGCGGTTTGGAGATGCAATGTTTGCGTGGTTTGAAGGAACGGCAGACAGTGCAAACCCTGCCTGAATCACGTGATCTCGTTTCATGTGAATGCAACCTCTACGTCAACTATGGAATACTATAAGTTTTACAGAGAATGAGGGAAAATAATGATATGAAAAAAACAGGATGATATAAGGATTATTTGCATAGATCTGATGTGACAAACAAGCAAAGTAATCAAGCTCAGAGGCAATCTGATCTATGAGCATAGAGCGTGCGTACAAACCAACTCTTATACTAGTGAACACTTGAGATATTGGGCATTCATTGTTTCATTCTAGAATATCATAAACCCAATCGAGATAGAATCTAATATACATGTCTAATCAGATGTAACAAAAACCACTCACCCATCATAAATCTAATGGAAATATGCTGGCAGATATATGAGCCTTCTGGCCATGTCCAGAAATGCCGATATATCCAATCTCAAAATATAACCCCAAGGTGCATCACTGGTAGGCAAAACAACCAAGAATCAATGTTGTATAATGCATCCACAGGTACCCAGCGGTGAAATGCCGGGCAAGCCAAACTTAGAACCCATCACCGTCCTTCCAAGGACGACCGGCCTCCAGGGCACGGTTCTTCGGATTCTTGCCACGCTCTACAGCAGCCTCAAGCGTTTTGGTAATCTGCTTCTCCGCTCCCTCAATCTTCTCTTGCAAAGATATATCATCTTCCCCGGCACCTCCATCATTCTCATCGGCAAAGTCAAGGTTATCAGCGAACCACATCCAACTCGCCATATCACCCTGCAACTCAGAAACCTTCGCCTCAAGAGCCTGATACTCCCTAAACTCCTCATTACCCCCAAAGCAGAATCCATACCCATCACACAGACAAACAGTCTCCTCAACACAAACAACAGCTTCGCCTGTGAAAACATACTGCCACAGATATTCCCAAATCCGCCCAGTAATATAATCACTCAAATCAGTTCCAAGCAACCAATCCCGATAAAACACATACCGCGCATGCGGAATGGATCGGATACGATCCCTGGACAACGCAAACTGCGCACAACAGGGTTGAGCCAGAACATTCGGAATCGCCTCGTCGGGGAAGAGTTCACCCCAAGCGCGCGCCAGCATAGTCTCCTCCTGCTTCGACTCATCCGATTCAATGGCACCGGGGTGCATCCACGCCGGACAGCCGGGCCCGTATCCGCAGCGGGTATTCATGTAACCCTCGCGGACGACGCGGTTCAGGTTTAGGCGACGGAGCAGCTCGGCTGCATCGCCGCCGAAGAGGTTATCGTTGTGCCAAGCGACTTGATGCGAGTGCATAAATACTGCTACGTCGGGCAGGCGGTCGTAGTGGTCGACTATGTAGGTAAGGTAGATCATGACTTCGTGGCCCTTGTTCTTGGGCGGGTGGAGGGGAGCGGAGGGGTCGTCTGCGACGTAGACGGCGCGTTCCCAGTCCGGCAATTCCTCTGCTATCCAGGTTGTGTCTTCTTGTTTTGTGCGGGCTACGACCATTGTCTTGGTGTATTTGTAGCCCGGAGGCTTTGGTGTGCCTGGAATGAAGTTTGGCGGGGGCGCGTAGAGGTCGTTGGGGTTGTGACCGCGGCTTATGTTCCATCTTGTTGACCCTGATCCTGAGGCATTGTGAGATGTGGTGAGGTCGCCTAGACCTATGACTTGGGGCACGTCACGCCATGGTCTGGAGAGGCTTCGGGCTGTGAGGAGGAGGATGAGGAAGAAGCAGGCGCTGAGGAAGAGGACCGCTCGCCGTGGGAGAAGCATGGACAGGGTATTTTATTTTATTAATTATCTGTAGGGTTAGCCTTGTGTCGCATGTCTGCAGAAAATGTATGTGTATGTGTATGGCAGGGATTGCACGCCGGAGAATACTTGCGAGGCTTAGCTAGGGGTCCTTACATAGCGAAAATATCACCATTTCCTCATGGCCCTCCGGAGTATTCGGAAGGGGGTTGCAAGGGAGGAAAAGTGTCTAAGGAGAAGGACTCCATGACAGTAAGACACTTATCACTCTATCTTGACCATTGGCCCTGAAACACGGGATGTGGAGTAGTGCCTGCGCAGCGCAATGACGAAACAAGCCTTCGGGCGGTTTTAGGGGACAATCTTAAGCAACTAATTGAAGATCATCTAGATCAATTGAGTAGCAATCGAAGTACTGAAGACCTACAAAGCTGCCAACATACATCTACACTTACTTACGAGCAGTAATTATGCACATTGCATCGATGACGCATAGACGGGAGACTCGACGATCCCCCCTTATCTGTGCACGACTCAGCCACGCGGCCCTGGACTCCGGGGCCGAGACAGGCTCTATAAGCCTACTGTATAGGCCCTTTCAAGTGCAATTTCTTCCATTGGACTACATGTACACATTTGTAGGCAGTGACACCCATAGAATTCAACCGTATAAAAATCGTGAAAAGAAATCTGGGTATGATCTTTTGCTCGCGAAAAACGCCATGCAACGCTGGGGATTGGGGTAAATCAGAAGAAAAATACAGGATGTGCAAGATCAGGATACTTCATCGGTCTCTTCGACTGTTGCTGCGCGAGCTTTGCCCTTGGACTCGGAGTCCTCGGTATCAGTAGCCTCATGCGCAGTTGCAGTTGCGGTCATACTGTTGCTACCCCAGGTAGTTGGAATGCTTGCTGGACCTTCCTTGGGAGACTCTGTGGACTCTGTGGGCGCGACATCAGTCCATTCCTGAGAGGGAGAGTCTGCCCGGGGTTCGGTGGAAAGAAAAGTGGGTGTGGGCTGCAGACTACCATTCCCGTTTGTGATTGCGGGTGCTTCAGTAGCCGTGCCTGATGCTTCTGCTCCTCCATCAAGCTGAGACTGAGCAGAACCAAAGGAGGCAGCCTCCTGGGGGTTACCAACACTAGATGAAGCCGCTGCCGAGGCATTTACCGTGGTAGCCATAGGCTGCACTGTCTGTGGTACACCGACGCCAGGCCGCGTAGGTTGCAGAGGCATGAGAGTCCAGCCCGGAGGAAGTGTGAGCCCTTCTGGTAGACGAGGGTCTCCGGCTTGCATAGAAGCTTCTGGGCTTGTATCAAAACGGTGGCTCGTGTAACCCGGCGGAAGCTGAATAGAATTTGGAGGGCTGTTGGCAAGAGAGTTTCCGTTCATGCGCAATTGCTCTAGTTCCACCTGGAGCTGACGCACGCGGTTCAATTGCTCTGTGGCAACACGAAGGGAATTGATTTCAGCGGTGATCCGCTGTTCAATCTGCATAAGCTGAAGATTGAGATCAACAGCGGAGGATGCATGTACCCCTGGGGCCTGTGGGGCAGGAGTGGGGATGGGGGCTTGCGGACGGCGGCCGAACCCGAATCCAAGCCCAATCTGTCGGCCTGGAGCATTGGGGATTGGGTTTACTGCTGGCTGCCCTGCTGGATTGTCCTGGTGAATCTGTCGGTGAAGATTGTGGAAAATATCTCCGCGCACAGCCCCGAAGCCAATTCGGAAGGGTCCAAACTGATAGACTCGCGCACGAGGCTGTCCATTTACGCCGGGTTGACCGAGCTGACCATTTTGCTGAGCCGCAGCGTTGTTTCCAGCAGCTCCTTGGGTTCGTGTGGGCAAGAGGACAGGGCGCCGGCAAGTCGGGCAGTTTTGTTGTCTCTCAAGCCAGCTTCTGAGGCATGCAAAGTGCAAGATGTGCCCACATGGAAGCTTTTTGGGACGAAGACGGTCAGGAACACGACGCGTTGCAGGTGCTGGCTGCCCAGGCTCTGCGCCGGCAGCAGCTGCCGGCTGAACTGGGTGCATTTCCTCGCGACAGATGATGCACACATCCTCCCGGGAAACCTCCTCTGCCGGTGCATCTGGATACCTCTCATTCATATCTCTTGTCGCATTCCGGTAGCGCATGAAGTCCATAATGCGGCGAGCGAACGAGCGAATGGTGACCACAACATCCCGCAGGATATGAATGGGCAGGCCATAGAAAGTGAGGAGAATTCCAAAAAAGGACAAATAGACCACAAGCTTCAACAAGTCGGTCAAAAGGTCCAGGTAAAACACCCAGCGACCCTTTTCTTCCCATCCAGGCACGTCAATTTCCATCTCATCCACATCGTTCTCATCGGGTAAGTCGGTAGGAGGAGAGGCAGCTCCTGCGCGTGCATGTTCTTGGATAGCCTGTATACGGGCAGCACGAATCTCAGCACGGCGTTCTTCCATCTTGGCCTTGACTTGCTGATGGGTTATAGAGATCTCGGTCAATGCGATGGCGTATCGGAGAAGGGTCGAGGTCGACAGAATAGTCAAGATCGCGAACTCAAATCCAAACATGACCATCATATCTGGTCGCGCCTGAGTGATAACAGTATGTACGCAGTACTGCAACATGAAGGAGTCAAATAGCACCGTCAGCACAAGCGACAGCGCTAGTCGAATATGGAACAACCGCGGATTAGCCGGAGGTTGTTGTTCTAGGTATTCGACACGGCCTTCACCAATCCAGCCCCAGACCTTGCCGACCAGCAGCGAAATGAACATGACCAGAAACCAGCCCCCAAGTTCACCCCGGAATATGGTCATGGCCAGACATGTCTCCGTAACGGCGAACCATGCCCGTTCGTAGAGTTGTTCGGTTTCGATTGCTCGCAAGGGTCCGTATAGAAGTCGCTGAAGCCAGAAGAGTACAAAACCCGTGACGAGAAGGCATAAATTCGTGAGAATCTTGAAATAGGCCAGTCAGCGGATGACCCCGTGCGACAACCAAAGTGGCCAACTCACCATAAGATTCGCGCTACTTTGCGAAAGGTAGATGCATGCTGAATAGAAATTGGCCCTCTGGTGAAGAGCTTTGAGAAATACACCGGTGGCCAGGACCACCGAGGCCTGCAAACGGGGTTAGCGGTCTCCCCTCTCCGTTCAGCAGTACTACTTACTCCAGTATACGCGGCCAGTCTCATGGCTGTCGACTGAGATGGAGCCGAAGGTCATGGACCAAGGAAAAGTGAGAGACTAGCGTCTCAAGGAAGCATTTGGCGGAAAGAGGAAGGGAATGCCGTATACTTGTAGAGTGAGCGTAGCTTGATCTGGACAGCTTTCCAGAGCGCCTCTCCGCATCTTACGTCAGCTGCACGTGCCGTCAATCTATATGGCAAACTTGGGAGTGCGAGGTATTGTAAGATTGTCTGAGATGAATGGAATCGTGTAAAATTGAGTTGACAGGATGTGAGATATATAAAGTATCACTTTTTTTGCCTGGATCTGACTTACAAGGACTTGATTGTTATGACCTCATTGAAGCTTCGGACGAACATCGGACTAAACAAAGCATAGTATGAACATATATGATTTAGATTTTACCCCAATGGAAGATCACAATACACACAACTCCATTGTTGCTTATCAATATCCAGCTAGCAATTCTGAAACAAAACAAGATTTATGAAGAACGTCGATCGGTGTTTATATGATCACCGTCATGTGACCCCACTCCGGATGACCAAATGTGTAACCTGCTCAGGCATCCGACTCTGTGCAGCTGAAGACTTCCACTTCACTCGACACCAAGGGGATTGTCTCTCCTCCAAACCTCACATTCATTGTTCTGTTTGAAATGAATCATAGTTGGTGATGGCTTCGTCACCGGCATTGTTTACTGCCTCGCGCAGCCAGACACTAACTTATCTATTGGCGGTGTGTCCCTTCTCCATCGCCTTCCTAGTTTTCATCAATTCATCCATCTCCTTCGTGGTAACTGATCTAATTGGACTTCATGATGGAGAGGGCGATGCTGTGGGAACCCTGGGCTTCGCAGATGAGCTCCTTGCTCTAGCCGCCTGCCCACTTTGGGGTGTTCTCTCAGACCGCATTGGAGTTCGACATGTAAGTATTCTACTGGTTATCAACGGGTGCAACGATAGTGACCTTTAATATAGGTATGTACTGCAGGCTATGCTATCGTAGCCCTCGCATTAGTCCTCTTCGTGCAGGCCACGAATATCTACCCTCAGCTTCTTCTGGGTAGGTTGCTATTCAGTATTGGTGGCTCTGCTGTCTCGACTATGGTCACCGCTGTATTACCAACCGTCACTGGCAAACCCCTTGATACTCAGGCATACCGTGCATCTGTTTCCTCAGAGCTGACCATCACACCGGAGCGTGCCCGAAATGGTTACAACCTGAGGGATGTCGGTAATCCCGGCGCATCCCCATCCGCTCGACTCTCAGGCTTCGTTGGGATGTGTGCCGGTTGTGGTGCTCTGGTGGCACTGGCCGTCTTCCTGCCGCTTCCAGCTCGATTTGAAAAGGGAGGGTTGACACCCGCTCAGGCGATCCAACGCAGCTATTACCTGGTCGCCGTTATTTCTCTTGTCATTAGTCTTGTGTGCTTTATCGGAATGCGTGATCTTCCAGGCGACAAGGGCAAAAGTTGGAGTGCCCTTTGGAAATCAGACCCATGTTATGACGAAGATGACGAGGACTTGGATATCCCAAAGCTGCCATATTGGAAGCAACTAACAACTGCCCTATTTCTGGGCTTCCGAAATCGCGACATTGGCCTGGGCTACGTCGGAGGCTTTGTGGCCCGAGCCTCCTCTGTGGGGATCTCACTGTTTATCCCACTGGCCGTCAATCACTACTATCGGGCATCGGGTCTTTGTGACGAAGCACAGCCGATACATGGATCCGGAGTGGGCGATATCAAGAAATCTTGCCCACGCGCATATATCGTTGCCTCCATCTTAACCGGTGTATCTCAATTGGTTGCTTTGATTTCGGCCCCAGCGTTCGGGTATCTGACGGACAAGTCGCGTCGGTACAACTTCCCACTCCTCTTTGCCGCCTTGGTGGGAATCATTGGGTACCTAGTATTTGCCAAGCTTCCAAGCCCTCTGTTCAAAGGACCCGATGGTAGTCTAGGGGTATTTGTTGTGATGGCTTTAATGGGAATCAGCCAGATCGGAGCAATTGTTTGCAGTTTGGCAGTGCTCAGCAACGGTATTCTGCGCGTCAGTTTCGACGATGAAACGTTGAGAAAAATATGTGATGAGCAACGCGCCGCGGCGCGCCAGGACGCCGAGCCTGGTGAGGATCAGCCTCTTCTGGGCGGAGCCGTCAACCACCGACTGGAACGTCTGTCGCATTTGAAAGGATCCATAGCGGGCGTGTACTCGTTGTATGGCGGGGCAGGTATCCTACTGCTCACCAAAGTGGGTGGACTCTTATTTGATGTGTTGTCGTCAGGCACCCCATTTTATATTATGGCCGGCTTCAATGGCGTGCTGCTTACCACGGGACTTGTGTGTGGGGGTCTTAATCATTTTGGGGCGCTAAGAGGGAGTCGGTGATTTTGCATAAAATATTGTGTTGAAGGATCTCCACTGAGATTAGATTTCCAGTCCAAGGCTGAATTGAATGCCCGTTTGTATTACGAAGTTCGGCAAAAGTGGGTTGCAATTAATTTGAGCAAACTGGTTCATGGCATTAATTAATTTCCGGTAGATAGCGTCGCGAGTTTGCGACGCCCCATTATATTCTGAATCGTGCACTAAACACGCTAGTGAGATTGTGTGGCTGACTGGGGAAATTAACACTGATACGAAGTAGACACGAACTAGATATGAATGTCTCTGCAGTATTGAACTGAGTGCAATGCATCTCCACCATATGCCGAGTTCCAGATCACTATGGACAACTGAAATTTCAACTGTTGATCTCATCTCGCTAGTCTCCGGCCTAATGAGGACCATCAAACAACCTTCCCTTTTAGGCGCTCGACCCAGGGGTCCGTTCGGCCCCTAGTCCAGGGCGGGTTTAGTGCTGTCCTTAACATCAGAACTAAACTTCAAAGTTCCCCCGTAAACAACCGCACTTCAGGCCAAGCGCCCCCCTTTTTCGTCTTCTTGGCCCCGTCGAACCCCTGGGGCCTGTTCCTGGCACGTTGGAACCCGCTTGGACAATCTAGTCTTAATCTTGGCACGCCGCATTGGGGCAACGCCTGCCAAGTCAATATCACCCCCGTTTCCCATTTCTCTTCTCTTTCTATCTTCAGGCTTCACAAGTCCGTCTTTCACTCTTTTCAATTCGTCTTCAGTCTCTCGTTAAACTCCAGTCGTTCGTTTTGAACAGTCGCTCTCTACCATATACTCAACTTTATCGCGAAATTCCGCCCACTACACCAATTTTCAATATATAAATACCGCCTGAACATCATTGCCAAAATGCGTTTCTACTCTATCGCTCTGTTGACTGGCGCTACCGCCGTTGCTGCTGGTAACACCGCAGACCTCCTCCTCCCCGGCTTCCAGGGCAAGGACCTGCAAGCCGGTATCATCGGCTCCGTATGTACCCCAAGGAGTGTGCGCATAATGCGCGACTTGCGAACCATCGACTAACAACTTTCAGGAGGGAGATGCGACTACCTACCGCATCACCTGCCCCAAGACCGTGGCCGCCTCTGATTGCGGTATCCCCGGCGAGGGCATGACCGCGGTTGCTGCCCCGACTTCCATGCAGCTCAGCAACGTCAACATGCAGGGAACGTAAGTACACGCGACACCACGCGCATCGCATCGTATACCAATACTTATATCAAACAGCACTGGAACTCTGTCTTGCAACGTTGAGGGCACCACCTACGCTTCTTGCCAGGCCTCCGCCGGCACTGTCACCCCCTCCGGTACTCTGGGCTCGGCCGACCTCAACTGGATGTCCGTGACCGTCACCGGTCCCTGCTCCACCAGCACCCCGACTCCCACGTCGACTCCCACTCCGACCCCAACCCCATCCAGCACCACCGCGGTCATGACTCCCACTCAGACCCCCACTTCCACCATGACCCCGAGCATGACCCCCAAGAAGTCCTCTTCGGGCCTCATCTCCACCCCGCTTGTCACTTCCACCCCCCTGGTCGCTGCCCCAACCAGCGATGCAGTCATCTCCGCAACTGGCGCGCCCTCCGCTTCCCCCTCGGCTTTCAACGCCGCCGGCCAGCTCGGAGGAAACCTCTGGACCGTTGGTGGTGCCGTCCTGGCCCTGGCTTGCGCTTTCATCTAAGGCGAAGCATAGAGTTAGCCTGATGTGTCAAGCGACAATTGCGTTGGGTGTGAAGTACGAGCCTCGTGCTCGGTTTTAATTATTCCGGGGTTTCTGTTTCTTCCATTTTTTCGTTCGGATGTAATCATGTATCCCACATATATGTGTCCATCTACTATTCCTTAATGTTTGATACCTTTCTCCACGACAGACTACGATCTAGCGTCTTTTTTTATACGTGTATCTTCATCTGAATATACCGTTTTCTGCCCTTAATGCTCATCCATAATTGCGATATACCTGTATGTCTAATTATCTGGTTCAGCTCTATCCCGCAGAAGACATGTAAACCTGCGTCGATCTGTAGATCATGATCATGCAGCGATCAAAGCTGTCAATTACACCGCCATTGATCGCGTAGCATGCAGCGCGAAGCGCGTCGCTGCAAGGGCGTCATGTACAATTAGGGCTAACTGATAAAACGCCTGGACCACGTCTTGGCATGGAGTCAAAAGTACTGAAGTGGATGTATCACATATCAAACAAAGAGACCGTTCCCTTGGAACCGAATGTACGTAGTTCATCACCGCTGATCGATGTACACATACATCATCTCCTGCCAGATCGGGAATCTTCGAAAATAAATAGTGTAGACGAACAGTAAAATCCATTACCATCTAGAACAAGAGATGTTAACTTAATCTGAATTTGAATAACAAGGACAGAGACCTAAACAAAAACAATAGCTCATAGAAAATATTCATCTATCTTTGATCTCTGTCAGGATCAGGATTCAGTAAACCTAGCATAGGAAACCTCATAACAATTAAAGCGACATCACCATCCCGAGCCCAAACGCAAAGTCGATAAAAAATGATTGGGTAACGTAATTCTTGGATGTCATCATAACAATGTAAAGCACCCAGTCTCAGCCTGCATTTTGCGACTAGGAAAGGACCCGAAGTCGATTGCAGAGTAGGTCACCTGTATCACATCTCTTCAATACAGACAAATCTCTCACTGGCTCAGAGATATATCTCACTGGGAGAACATAGTCAAAGGCTCCTGGGGCGAGGGTTCAATGTCAGGAAATCGATCCGTCAGCTTAACCATCAGAGCAGGCTTTTCCCAAACGAGGTAGACTTTCTGATCGGGCCAGTTGATAGATACTGGCGAGAGGGTGATATCGAAGTTGAATAGCAGTTTGCAGAGGATCAGACGGATTTCGAAGTAAGCGAGGCTGGCTCGTATTTAGTATATCCGTATCCCGTGTGTGAATGACGGGTTCTTAAATATGATCTGAGACTCACGTTTTCCCAAGACATTGCCTGGGACCGAGACTGAATGGCTGCAGGACGTCTTTCTGGTCGTTTTCGAAGACTGAGTCTGTTCCTAGCCAGCGCTCTGGCATGAACTGGTTTGGGAATGCGAAGTTTGACTCTGAACGGTATGAGGCGTAGTGGTGGCACGATACGATTGTCTGATCTGTCTTAGTGACTGATGTGCTAGATTGAATGCTTTTATGGCGCATACTCCCGCTGGCACGAATTGGCCGTTGACAAGTGCTCCGTGCTGAGGTGCAACCCGTGCTAGGTTAGTCACGAAGGGTGGATACATGCGCAGGGACTCTTCGATCACAGCTTCTAGATAAGTTAAACCACACTGGCCCCCGAAAGTGATCTGACTATCTTTCTTGAAGGCGGTCCGAATTTCAGAAACGAGCCGGTTCATGGCCTTTGCGTGGGTACACAGGAAGAAGAGACAACCTGACAATAGGGTTGCCGAGGTCTCGCTACCTGCTATGATGAGACTGTCAGAATTAGCATGTCGTTTCCTTGCATAGACTGGAAGAGGATTGGCCATTTGAGATCCAGAATGCAACCCACATAAAACCATTTGAATGAATTTCGGCTCTAGTCATTGTCTTCTTCGCACAATCCTGACCCATGTCATCCCGAAGTCCATTCTGAAGAATGGCCGATACGAAATCTGGACGACCTATATTAGTTTCCAAACGGCGATCAACCTTTTGCGCAGTCAGATCAAAGTGCTCTTGGCTCTTCTGCTTGGCCTCAGCAGGGACCAAGAGGTCCAAGGCTCCTCTGATCAGAGGGAACTGGTTGAAAACACCAATAAAGGCCATGACTTTCAAAGAGCTGAAAATCATCTGGATCCAAGGGTGAAGCTGGCTATCCTTCAGACAGTCGAAAGACTCGCCGAACATCAGATCACCCGTAATGTCGAAAGTGGTAAAGTTCATCCAAGTTTTGATGTCAACCAGCGAATCCCCGTGCTTGACACGCAACCGCAGTTTGTTAATAAGCGTATCGACATAACCTCGGATTAGACCTTCCTGGTCTTTCAAAGCTTTATCAGAAAAGGCAGGTGCCAGCAATCGCTTTTGTCGTGTGTAGTTGGCATCATCGACCGCACATAGTAGATGGTCAACGCCATTTACTGGCGGAATATAATGGCACCGGTCTTTTTGAAAGCAGCCACCAGGTCTGTGTCCGTAGATATCATGAAATGAATGGGTCGTGTTGAAGGCAAGCTCATCTGGAGAAATCCGAATGGCTGGACCATACCGCGCATGCAGGGCCAGGATATCGAGATGGTTATAACCACGCAAAACGGAGAGACTCAAGGGGATTTTGGAAAGAGCCCATAACCTTGGTCCGGGGAAATGGCGCAGAGGGGAAATCCAGAACGTGTAAACGATGCTGTACGAGAACCAGAGCAAGAACTGTGATATTGCAGATTATTAGCACGGCATAAGGCAAGGCCAGTCAAAATACAGAGAAGCTCAGATTCCCGGAAAGAGGAAGATAAGCTGCTATGTGTCGGGTCGAATTGAGAAAAGGCAAAGAAATTGATTCAGTAGCCTACATCCTGCTCAAACGAGGGTGTACGGATAATGCAATACTGCAGCTTACCAGGCATCCTGCAGCTGAGCTCCAGACGCGAGTCTCCAACGCTGCAAATGACATAGTAAGATATGAGGGGAGGGAGGACCACATTGTCGAGTTCATGCACGCCCCGGTAGACATGCTATTACGAGAATCGGGGACCCCGATAGTTGGAAGAGAGAAGGAAAGAAACTTTGAAAGAAGTGATTGGATGCCCGACTAAGACAAAGAAATCGGAGTTTCACCAAGTGCAGGGGTGACATGGGACAGAGAGAGAGAGAGAGAGAGAGAGAGAGAGGAGCGGGGGCGGACAGCGATAGAGCAGTGACACAACATCTGATATTCTCATTCTTCTGTTACCCCAATTCGTTCCTGGGTATCTAATACTCCGAGTGCCTTCGGGAACCTGGACCAATTCAGATCTGACCCTGGTTGTTTGGCTTCTGACCGTAAACGACATGCAAATAGCAATATGAGTGGACGGCGGGATTCTTGATATCTCTACGCACGCCTGCCAGGAACACCTGGGTAGCCTCGTTAGACCATCCCAGGACCCGAGTAAACAGAGCCAGCGAGTAGGCTTCCACTGCCATTAGAAGAGAGCACTGGTTGTACCGGCCGATTTCCTTCTGCACAAGGTCCTCAGCCCAGGGAGTGGAAATGACCTGATAACATTTAACAAAATCACGGAAACCTACCCAGGGGGATACGGTCATACCTTGTACACATCATCCTTGACGTCTTCAAAACCAGCCTCAACCAACCTCTGCCGGTGACCCTCCGCGATGTTCATAGGACGACCAAATGCCTCACTGGCCGCCTGCAAGTGTCTGATAAACTCGCACAACGTCGGCGCAAGATGCATTGAATCATCATCGGCTCTCAGCGTAACCTCAAACTCCTGCAACTCAAGCCAACCACCTGGTCGGAGATGCTCGTAACTCTGTTGGATCAAACGCGGCCAGTCGGTGATGGCACCGCCGAGATCGCGGACATGGATGAAGTCAAAAGGTCGTTTAGCACTGTACAGCCATTGTGATTCGGCATCGTCCACAACGAATTGCAAGTTGGGCGGGACCCATGATGGCTGGATTGGACTCAAATCGGTGCCAATTACCTCGGCGTTGGGGAATGTGTCTGCAAAGTCGATGGCCCAGATGCCGGTGCCGGTGCCAACGTCCAAGACTCGGTGGATTTTGTCTCCCAGTGGGGCGAGGAAGAGTCGGCCCTCCAGCACTAGGTTCCGGACGTGGTGAAGTAGATCTTGTCGATCCTGTTCTTGATCGTCGTTGGGGAGCACGTAGTGTCCTTCACGGTAGGAATGGTAGCGTCGGTTATTTTCGTATCTGTAGTTTTGGACATCTGATAGAAGGGAAGCTGTGTAGCTGGAACCATCTGAGTGCTGATCAAAGACTGAGGCATCGACACTTGATGCCACAGAGACAGTATCATCAGCTTCTCCAGGGACATCAGTCTCAGAAACATCAGTCTCCCCAGGGACGTCGGCCATTGTGAAAGGGATAGTTGAAGGTGGGGAGGTTGAAGACGAAGAAGTCGAGTTATCACGAGCAGAGGAAGAACTTGACAGAGAGGTCCATCCCATAGTCCCCTTGAACTTGTCTGCTGGTATAATTGTTGGTCTTGGTGATTCCTCTTCCTCTTGGATCGGAGATAACTGTGGTGCTATGTGTTTCTTTAATTCATGTTTGTCTTCTAGCTCCTCTCTAACCATTGAATTTACAACCCTCAGTGTAGGTGGCTGTGAAGTGGCCTTTGAAGACTCTTCCATTGCGGCATCTGTCTCGGCAAAGGTCCGCTTCAAAGGTACACATGCTGGCGTGACAGACCCCAGTTCAGGAATGCTTGGTACTAGAGCTTGGGTCGGCTGTGGTGCCTGCTGAGTTTGTGGAGGAGGTTTCATTGTCGTTAATGCTAGATCCCCAGTTTCGTTATACCCGGAGAGTATAGTCGAGATCGATGGCAAAGCCAGGTCAACGCTCCAGTCAACCCCCCACTCTAAATGATCAGAGCAGAGGGGATAGACGCATAGGCAGAGCATGTCGAAAAACCAGTCTTATGACAGGCTAGCTATTGAAACGAATACTGTGATATGAATGATCGACTAGGATATGCCGTGAGGTGAATTATAGAATATCAAGACAAAGGAAGCCCCAAGCCCCCTTTGCGGGGATTCAGTATTTAAGGTATTACAAGGATTCAAAGAGAGAGGTGCCGGACTATACGGCCGCTTTGATGCTTGATATACCTTGTTTACTCTGCAGGAGCCCTTTGTGCCCTAATTTTGTTCACCGTTGATCCTAGACATTCCCTGCCCCCCTCATCAACCTGTTACGAATATCCTCACATTTGGTCAGTCTGAGTATATGTATACTTATTCTTTTAACAGCGTGATACTGCCCAGCTGATTGTGTTGCACGGCGTCGGATTCTTCGGGGGGATTGGATCGGCGGGATTGATATCCTGTCGAGGGTCGGACAAGGTGGGAATATGATGTTTCCAGCCAGCACCCGGTGATCTTTTGAAAGGAGTTCGCGGGCGGTTTCACATTGGTCATAAAGGACGTTAATTGGTGGATGTTCTGGCTGGGGGGACATCTACACTCAGAAACACGACATATTTGAGAGGTCTTATTTCTGTTTTCTAAGCCAAGTAAAGTCTGCATTGTGATTGCAGCTGGGCATCAGGGTATTGTCTCATTGATCATCATTCATGCTTCCGAATCCCCACGATTGATTCGCGAGCTCGGTCTTGTCATCAGTCGAGCAAAGCACCCCGGGGAAGTTTTCCACCCTTCCAGGTCTGTCCTGGCCTTTCCCTTCTTTCTCCGGGAACGGCTCCCACTTCTAATCCTGCGTGAAGGAAAGCCCCACGCATCATTCGCCAATGAGACTCTTGGTTAAATTCTTGCAGGCTTTCGAGAGTAGTTCGCTGCACCTCTGTCCGAGCGTCGACTTGGTTTGACACGAGCAATCCCTTTTCAAGGTCAATACGGGCATCCAGCACACGCTCCTGAATCAGGGTAATCAACTCCTGCACGAATAGTGATGAAAGGCCAGTAGGACGCGCTTCGCCGCCAATGACTTCCGGTGCGAAGATCTTGGCCATCGATTCGAGACTGACGCTGCTGAAAGGAACCATGTATTGCTTGATAGACTTAGTGCGAATGCGCTTGTACAATGTTTCGAGATAGGGTTGGAGATGAAGGTCGAGAAGGTAGTCTGAGCGGTAGGCTTCCAGGATATCAAGACAGGGACGGAACTTGAAGTTGCAGAAGAAAGCGATTGCGCGGCGCATATGGGGCTCAAGTTCGAGGAAGTTTCGGAAAGAGGTATTGTCAAGAACATTGCGCTGTAGCTCTTCGCGGGTCATAGTTGCAAGAGCCAATATGCTACCATACACAGCAACATCGTTGGGAGTAATGAGTTCATTGTAGTTGTCGCCGAGATCTGGCTGAATGGTCAGGAAAACATTGGCGGCTTCGAGGAAAGCCTGTTGGCGCATTTGTGAGAGTGCATAGGCGGCGGAAATTTTGGATTCGTTCTTCGCTGCGTCCTCTGGCTTTGACTGAGAATTGCGCAAACGTGACACGCTTGACTGCATGGATACCCAATCTCCACGTTCAGCGGCAACATTGACCATCTTGAAAAGCATAGACGTGATATGATTTGGTGCAGTGCAATAGTCTCTCATGCGAGCGTAAGCTTTAGTTGCGGCGGGTAAGTCTCCCGTCTGGTGATAGTGATTTCCTAGGTCTTCATTGCCCATCTGTAGTAATCAGCATCGCATTCTCACTGAAATTCACTTTCATTTCTTACCCGAATGCTCTCCTTGATCAAGTTATTTTTGTATCCCCTCAGTTCATGTTCCAGTCTCTCGGTTTGTGTGCGCACGTATCGCTGGGTGCTTTGAATCCATGCGTTGTCAAGCGAAGCGGACGCATCAGTTGGCGCAACCTCTGCCAACGCGCGGACAGCCTTCTCGTAACGTGCAACATCCTTGCTGGACTTCGCTTCGGTGATGGCAGCCTTCAGGGCATCGACGGATAGCACGGTAGAGCACGTGCCTATGAGGTAGAGACGGTCGTAGCGGGTGCGCCCTGCGAAATGTTAGAAAGGTCAACTTTAAAGATAAAAGCATTACTCACCGGAGTAGTTTGAAATGTAAGTTTCTAGGTCAAATTTTGGTGCATCTGAGAGATCCAGTTGTCAGCGTCACATAACACGGCTGCTTGATGGGCAGCCCCGCGGGGTTCCACGTACCGTCAACCTTCACGGGCGGTACGGATTGAACAGCAGCAGAAGAGACACGAGCAGTAGCATTCGGAGCAGCAACTGCAGCTAAGGTATCGGACTGGGACCGACCAGAGGCTTCAGGGAACGAGGTGTCCATCTTGCCTCACTGTTCAGACAATCCGAAGCCAAGTTAACGGTGTTGGGGGTAGGAAAGGGTTCGAGCTCTGGTGTGAAGAGAATGAGGTGGACAGAGAGAGGAGAGAATAGTAAAGATTCCGAACGCTAATAACACGACGTAGAGTATGTCAAGAGAAGATGAGGTGCAAGTCGATCATGGTCGTTTACTGGCAGTACCCTGCCGCCCAGATCACCGCCCATTGACCGCCTCCATCCACTCGATTGCCCAAAGGTGCATGCAGAGAGTAAGAAGTGGTTAGAGAACGTAGCCAGGATGACAGTCCCTGCTCGAGTATCTCATCAGATTGCTAGATCAAAGTTCAATGTATATGCACACAGCTCCTACATGTTGATGTCTGCCTGAGGCGCCACTCCCGAGGCTCCTCGGCCTCGGGACATTGAGTAATCACGAAATTACGTATCAACTCAACCTATAAGCTCGGAGATTTCAGAATATCTTGATTATCCTCCCTGCATTTGCCGACGATCGACTAAACACATAGTTGGTCCAATCTCGGCCCCGAGGTACAGTCATTGGTGATTATATATAACAAGCATAATCCGGGGTAACGTCAGTCAACCTTCCCCAACATTATATAGCAGTTCAAGCTAGACACCTCATCTGCACATCCATCATGTCCTCCTCCCAGCAAGTCGCCCTCATCATGGGTGCTTCGCGTGGAATCGGCCGTCAAATCGCCATTGATCTAGCAAAGAATGGCTACTCGGGTACATCTATCTACCCCATCCTAGCTCAACGACATAGATTAACTTATCTAACCCAAACTAGTAATGCTAGCAGCAAAGACAGCATCAGACGCATCAAGCATGGTCCCCTTCCCCCCAGACCCAAACTCATCAAAGTCAACCATCAACACTGTAGAGCGAGAGATCTGCGAAGCAGGCGGTCACGCCGCAACAGTCACCGTTGACGTACGCGATGCCGAGCAAATTCAGCATGCTGTTGAAGAGACAGTTCGCGTATTCGGCAAGCTGGACGTTCTGGTTTACAACTCCGGAGCGATCTGGTGGTCGTCTGTGGAGAATACGCCTCTCAAGCGGTTCCGACTTATGCAGCAGGTGAATCCCGAGGGGCTGTACGCGACTGTCCAGGCTGCTTTGCCTTTCTTTGAGAAGAATGGGTGGAAGGGGAGGGTTGTTGTTGTTTCGCCGCCTATTTATTCGAGATTCTTCAGAGGAAAGACGGCTTATGCTATGGGTGAGTGTAGTTTCGGCATTCATTTCACGGAATTGGTTCTGATATCGGGTAATATAGGCAAGGTCGGAATGAGCGTCTTGGTCAAAGGTCTGGCCATGGACTTCGTTCGTCAAGGCCGAAATGAAATGGCGGTGACGAGTATCTGGCCTGCATCGGTAAGTCCATGTATATTGATTCTGGACTGCTTCATTTATGTGAGGGATATTGCTGACTGCATTCATTTGTCTAGTCTATTGAGTCGGCAGCTACCGAGCATAACAAGTCAGCTGATCAATCCTACAAGAAGGATTTGCGGAAGCCTGTATGTGTGCAATCAATTTAATCAAATTAGGCGATTACTGACCTACTGCAATAGGCCATTTTCTCCGATGCTATATTAGCTATGCTTCGTGCCCCACATAGTGTAGTTAACGGGCTGTTGGACACGGACGAGGATTTCCTTCGTGAGAAGTGCGGTGTACTTGATTTCTCCAAGTACTCAGTGATTCCAGGGTCCACCCCGCGGCGGATCATGCCGACTAAGTTCCCGACCTTGGAGGTTGCAGAGCAGGACGATGAAGGGCAGCGGATGGATAGTACCAAATTGAGAGCTAAGATATAGATGTGGTTTCCAGTCAATATAAGAATATTTAATAAGTTATGATATTATCAAAAATTGAAAGTTCTTATACTGCACCATAGCCTCAGCTGTAAAATTAGTTTTAATCAAAGACGGATGAGTGACCGTGCATGAGTAGCTCCACAAAACCACAAAAACAGAAAACCGCTCAATGCAAATGCAATCAGAAATGCAAATGTAAGCCAGGAGAAAATAAATCAAAGAGTTCCAAAGCGGAAAGCACAAACGCCAGACCCAGTGTCATAAGTAAATACCTGATAGGCTGCGAAAACCATAGTTTCCTACCCTACATCAGGGAAGCAAAACCGGCAGTGAAAGCACCGACAACAGCACAGAGCCCATAGAGATGGCTCATATCAATAGAGAACATACGCGGCGCAGCACCAGTCGACCCATTGACTTTGGTATTGACCGGCGTCTCGGTAGCAGTCGCAGTAGCGGTAGACGCAGTCGTAGTAGTCAAATTGTAATGCTTAGGGGCCCGAGCTCCACAGGGGTTGTCGGACCGACAGTCGTATTGGCAGGAGGAGTCGCCATTGCAGTTGGTAACGCATTGGTTGTTGTGCTCTGTGCAGGTATAGTATGGGATTGTCTGGGAGTATTCGGTGGCGTTGGGAGAGACGCCGTTGCTGCAGACACACTCATAGTTTAGTGTTGCCTAAGTTTCGTTAGATCGATACGGACTGGAAGATGTTGGTGTTGTTTCACTCACTGCGTCGCAGGTGTTGGTTGTGGGGGATCCGGACGCACCGGGTAGTTGTAGGCAGAGGAGGGGACAGGAGGAAGTTTGAGAGCCGCACCAGGCCTCTGTCTATATATTAGCTTTGTATTCTGTGTAGCAAAGTTAGGCGATGTATTAACATACGTCGGGTAGCATAGGGAACCGAGGTTGGGTTAATGGTACTGTTAGACTGGCAGCTTGCCAATGAGGCAGCCGATGCGAGAACCAGAAGAGACTTGGAAACCATCTTGGTGGATGTGATAAATGATCTGAGGCAAGACGTGACAGTGGAAAGTCACTTAAATTAAATGTTAGCAATCTAGCTTCGAGGAATCCCAGCCAACTTTGTATACTCCTTTAAATAGAGATAGAGGCCCGGTGACAGGTCGGGGAATGAAGGGGCATGGGATATACTAGAGCTGAAGGGGACTTACCACGGTCAAATTCCTAGACTCCTTCTCGAACAAGCAGGGGAATGTTAGGAGTCAATGACAATAGCGACAGACAGGACCGAGGTGAGAGAATGAGAAGGAAAGAAAAAAAGTTCCCAGCAAGGAGAAAACAGAGTTCATAAAGGAAAAAGCAATGATCACCGGACTATTGCCTATGTATAGATTATCTACTAGTTAGTTTGCCTGGTGGGACGGGCTAGTGCCTTTCCGGTTGTACCGCATTGAATTGTTCTTTCTTTCTGCACTAAGTTATCATATCTGCACGCGCGTGGTACTGAGAGACAGCTTAGTGAAGCCTTGGAAACCTTGGAACCTTGGAAGCGAGGCTTGGACGTCGAGAGTGACATTCCAGGGAGGTTTTTCTGAGACGTGTCAATCCGGGGATGTCGGCAGTTTCGCTATCAAAGGACGTTTGGTCAGCTCATGGTGCCACTTTGCATTCGCTTTCCGACTGGTCTCCACTGCAAGAAGTGTAGGGTAAGACATCACAGTGCTTTGAAGCGATAAGTGTGTCTCAGTGCTCTCTGTAGCCGATCAGCGACGCTTACCGGGTTGGGGTTAGTGCCTTTTGTGTTGGGGATGAGAGTTGCCTCTTTGAAGCTGCAGCAATTATAGATCTTGTTTCGAACCAGTAAAATCATTTGAAGACCAAGTTGTAAAGCCATTGGTCGTGCTCTTTGGGAAGAGTAGTTGATCCTCGACTTTCCCTTAGATAAGCTAGACCCGTGACCACCGTGTCTCACTCCAATTGACTTTCACCTTCTCCAACTCCAAAAGTACTTTGTCTTTGCCTCTGACTCGCCACTAATATCGTGATATCGTGTAGGTCTGTAATACCTCAGATTGTCCCCGTCGCTTATCCCCGATCCTTGCATCACATCACTACGCCCCAAGGTCCAAAATAGACCACGTCTCCCCGCCACTCTACCCTACACTAAATACCTTCCACCCCGCATGAGGGTCAAAGTCCCCGCCTAAGCCACATTCTACACTTCAAGCATCCATAGCGGAGCTTCTACGCCGAGCGCGTGACAGAAGAGCAGCGAGCTAACTTGGACGAAAGTTCCAACTAAAAGGACACGACCACAACCAAACCCAACCTCATCCAATATCTAATGGATGGAGCCAGCTCCTGAGGAGGCCGGACCGGCAGCTGAGCCGCAGCTGCAGCCGCAGCTCTCCTCCCCATTCCGAACACGATCCCGATCATCCTCCCTATCTAAATCTCCAGATCTCCAACCCTTCCCCGCACTCGGAGCGGACACCATTTCAATCGCCTCCATCAAGAGTGGCACAACACCAAACGCCCACAAAGACACCAACCCGAATCCAGACCCAAATCCACAGAGCGCTGCATCTTCTACCCGCTCCCGTCCCGTGTCGAGCGTAGTACCGCCATACTGGCGCCGACATGAGCGTGACGCCTCACGCGTCTCGCAGTCATCTCTAAATCATGTTGCCCCGATCACCCTCGAAGATCATACAGCAGACCCGAACTCGGAGACGAGTCGGGGCCTTTGGGCGCGTAGTGTTTCCATCGATGATCACGTCGTTGTGCAGGGCATGACTGGGGTTGGTTCGTATGTTGTTTGGAATTGTACGATTTATACACTTGATGTGAGTTTTGGCCTTCAAGGGGCTCATCGGTTGTATTTAGAATTGGAACTGGTATCTGACATGTGTTACTCGTGCAGGGGGCACCAATTGTTGTTCGGATGAGGTATGTTCAGACCCCGTCTCGTTTCCATATGGCGCCACACATCTAACCCATAACCCCCGCTTCGTTTAGATACTCCGAGTTCGATGATTTGCGCCAGCGGCTAGTTGCTTCGTTCCCGCATGCTCGAAACGCTTTACCCGCGCTACCCCCGAAGAGCGTTCTCTGTATGTATATCATTTTGATCCTCTTCCTATGGCCGAGCAAACTAATACATGTCATAGTCAAATTCCGCCCCAAATTCTTGGAATCACGACGTGTAGGCCTGGAATATTTCCTCAAGTAAGTTGCTAACACCGATTATATCCATCACATCAAATCCCAATATTGACTCGCCTCAGCTGTATCCTTCTGAACCCAGAGTTCTCCGGCTCCCCAATTGTCAAAGATTTCCTCTTTGGCCGTATTTGTTAATCAATATTTGCCTCGCATCACTGGGTGATACGGAGCTCTATGGCGTTTCTACTGGACTTGCATTTGCATCAAAATGTACACCATGAATTTAATTGACAATAACATTTGCTTCAGTTATTGGACTACAAGAATAATGGATCCAATGCAGGATCTACTCTCCTGTACTGTATTCTGCTGTGAACTAATCCAATTTACTAAATTGATAACCCAGTAGCAGAATTATCCAAAACAATGGGCAGGCCAACACCAATGATAGAGAAGCCAATAGGAGGAACATGCAGCCGAAACAAACCGTCCTATGACAGGACTGACAAGGAATCGTGTTGAGCTATTGGAACAAGACAAGAAGAAACAAAAGACAAGACGCTGAGTATGATACAGTCCCCATATTCTGTGCAGGAAAGCAACCACTAGAACACAATGAGGGGGAAAGAAGAGAAGCGCGACATGGAAGCTGAATCTTTCATGCAATGCCCTGTACCAGTGGGATAGGCCTATCCAGAAACATCGACTTCTTTGTCGCATCGTTGTGAATCCGAGCCTGGTCCTGGTCCTTGGGTTGACGCTGCTGATCCTGCGCTCCCTCAACAGCAGCAGACCTCTCAGCCCTCGAAGCCCAACCCCGAACATCCGCCCAGAAAATCTTGCGCCAGCTAATATTAGCCATATGCGTCATAGCAAGTAAATGCCTCGGCCCAGGAACCCCAGAAGGAAAAACAAGATAAAGACCCGAGTCCTGCATAGGATCAGGCCGGAATTTATCATGGTAGGCCCTCTTTCCACCGATAGGCAACCGATGAAAAGCATGACCATACAAGTCCCTCGTAAGATGAGCAAAAGGACCCGGAATCCCGCTCACGTCATCCCGGGTCAAGGCATGCAAAGGTTCGAACCCGAAGCCGAGATAGGAGACACCAGCGCGGTTGAGGAGAGCCATTGCGGCGACAAGGAGAAGATCGCTTATTCCCTTTGCGCTGCCTGGAGCCGCGATACAAGGATCGACGTGGTATCCACCAGAACCGAGATGGCGGAGGGCTGCGAACCCGTTGACGTGTCGGTCTGCGCCGCAAGTATATACGAATGTCATTAGTGCTGGGAGGGCGAAGGGGTCATAGACTGTTATGAAAGCCTGTGGGTTTGAAGAACTGTTTCGTTCTTCGCGCCATGCATCGTATATGGCTACGAGGTCTGCTTGGAGTTGCGGGACAGTGCCGTGGACGGCGGGTGCATAGACGCCGAGGGTGATGTTGCCTTTGGCTTTGCTGAGGAGCTGGCGGTTTTGGGTTGTTATACGTTTCCCACTTGTCTCGAGGAGGACCTCGTTGACTTGTGGGTCGAGGACGCGCTCTGTACCGAATCGGATGGTTGTCCAGCCTTCTCGTTGGGCATATCCTTTTGTGAAGGTCTCGCTTGCGCCCATGAAGGCTATGCCCCAGTGGTGTCTTTTTCGGTATTCTGCAAATTCGGAGAGGAGTTCTGGGATTGCTGCTGTATCACATAATGGGTCTCCGCCGACGACTGCCACACCGTTTTGTACTTTGAAAGATATTGCTGCTGTTCGAGATTTGTTCACGAAGAATCGGTAGCTGCGGTCGAGGATGCCCATGTGTGCTACTCGGCCGTGGTATGCGGCTAGCTGTTCGATGGCTGTCATTATTGTGAAGTCATCGAGGCTGAACACGTCTGCCTGTTCTGGGAGACCTTTCTTCGGGCGAGGAGCTTTGGGTTTCGGATCTGGGAGGTCGACGGGGGGTTCGAGCGAGTGGGTGACTTGTGGTGGCTCGTTGATGTCCACGCTCGTTGCCGGGGTCGAAATCGATCCGATCATCGTGCGAGTGCTGCGGCTAGCTGAGCTGGCGCATGAGGAAGCAGCTAGGGCAGCAGCGAGATTATTGCGTAGGTGATCAGCGACAGAGATGAAGGATGTAGCGCAACTGTCATCGAGATGTCCATTGCGCCGGGGGCTTGCATAGAGCTGGTCGACTAAGTCGTCACCAATCTCATCCAAGAGCAGGCTCTTCCTAGGATTTGGCCCGTCAATGTCTAGTGTAGCCTTTCGACCGCGTCGTGGACGCCTCTTCTTGCCCGTTGAAATGGATATAGATTCACGAGAATCCACAGCGGAGGCCATGGTGAGCTGGCATGCGGATGAGAGAGTGAAGTTGAGTCTAGGTTTGAGAAAAAGCACAATGACACGTTCCTTCCCTGAGGTATCTATGTATCGACGTGTGTTGCCATGGCTGCTTCAGGGCTACCAAAGGGGTATACACTTCGCCATTGTACTTGGTACCAGGTACCGTCAGCCGTGGGTCACCCGCTAAGCAAACAAGGAACATAATCGGAGGAAACAGAGTCAATTACACATGCAAAACGCTGGTGCCTGGGGAAGTATACAATTTAGCCTCACGGACAAGCCTCTTCAGGGTTCTTGGCAGCGCAAAGGGTCTCTGCCCTATGACATATGATCGACAAGTGGAGAATAAGTGTAGCTGTGGATATTTTAAAACACGAACGAGATCGAATTTTGTTGTTGCCTAACGCTTTCGCAGCCCGCGGGCACCGATCACCCTGAAAGCTTCATTAACAGGCTCCGATATCTATTCATAGGCATGTATTCATGCGAGTGCTTATTTCTACCTGGCCACGAGGCGGTGTTCTTTACGTTGCGTGTGGTTTAACCGTGAATCTTGGAAACATCTCGGATATATCCGCACCAATACAGCTCCAGGGGAACCATATGTACATGTAAACAACGGCAGCCTAGAAACACGAGAACAATTTCATTGACAAATAGCTATGTTGCACAGCCAACCAATCATATTGAAACAATGTCGGAGACAAGAACCAACATGCGTATTTCCAGGATAACCATTGAGACGGCATCAGATGCGAGAAAAAGAGCTCATAGCTGTTAAGCTTGTTCTATCTCGGCAGCGGGGAAGTTCTCCAGCGTAATAGATTACTTGGATGGGCGAGTTCCGAACTCGAATATGCTCTTACGGCCAGAGTTACCAGCGATGATGACAGTGCGCGCACCTGAGCGTGGGACGGTGCCGGTCGGCTTGGGGAACTTTCTGACATACGGCTTGTTCTCGCCGGACTCCTTGGGATCAGGCTTGTTGTCGTCGTTGGTATCGCTGATTCCAGCCTGCTTCTTCTTGCCAGCCTTCTTCTTGACACGAATCTTCTCAGCCTTCTGGTCGGCAATACTCTGGTCAAGAAAAGCATTCATAACCTCAGCCATTCTCTTGTCCTCTGCGTCTTTCTTTGCGTCCTCACATCTCTTCTTAAGAATGGTATCCATGATACCAGTCTGCTTCTTCTTCCGGTCATGACGCTTCTTGAGAACATTGTTCTCGTCGACAATCTTCTTCTCATCAGCAATGCGCTGTCTCTCAGCAATAACGGGACTCAGCACAATCTCCTTCTTCTTCTCATCGTCGATACAATGCTTGAAAGCCATCTGGAGGGTCTCGTCATCCATCCAAGCCATTCTCTCCACAGCAGTTCTAACAGCGGCACTGATACCATCCTCGCTAAAATCGCTCTTGGCAGCCTCTTCATCAACATGAATCTTGGTTTGGACAGCTTTCTTGAAGCTTTTCTTCTTCTCCTCCTTCTTTTCCTCAGTGAGCGCCTCACTAGTGTCAGTCACGAACTCGTCGTCTTCATCATCGGCGTGGGGGACTGCGGCATCGCTCATCTTCCTGATATCGGCAAGCAACTTCTCCTGCTGGGCGAGCAGGTCCCCAGCGAGACTGACACATCTGTCGGCGACATCCCCAGCAGCACCAACTTGACCCATAATGCGGTCGTTGCGAACACCACAGATGTAGTCCTAGATAAAGGAATTATTAGTCAACGTGTTTGCACCAACACAGCTGTATAGAACTGACCATGTAACGAATCCACTGCTCTCCAACGATTGGATCGGCAGTCTGAGGCTGGTAAGGGTGATACTCGCGCATAACATCACAGACAAGACAACGGGTCTGAAGGTAGTGATAGTCTGAATGTCCTTCGCTGAGGCCAGAATCATGGACGGCAATGGTATCGGAGATGTGCAGGCCGTGGGGACAGAGGAAGGCGGTTCTGTTGTCCGGCATCCGAAACGGCTCAGGCTGGGGGGTTTCTTTGTCGTCAACTGCCTTGCCCTTGTCCATATCCGGCTTGTTATCTTCTCCCTTATCGTTGGGTCCATTAGTGGTAGTTGGGTAAATAATGGGAGTCATGGATGGGGTGAAGGGCAGAGGGAAGTGCGTCGACAGGGGTCTCTTTCCATTCTTGTCGCGGTGGCTGTCATTGCCGCCACTATTGAAGGGAATGACACCATGGGGACTATGGGAAGTCATGGCAACAGAATCGGAAGGTGGAATGGATGCGTTGGGTTGGGAGTCGATGAAGGTGGGAGAGAACATGGTGAGAAATTAGGGGGACAAAAGATAATCGACCACTACAAGAAGGGGAATTCTCACCCAGAAGGGCGAAGTGAAAGAATCTCGCGGAAAAGTCGTGAAAAATTCGCGAAAACGTGAGAATTAGGTTCTTTTCCTCAGATAGAGATTGAATTCTTGTTCTCTTCTCTATACTAAGTCTTGGCAAGTCTTGGCACTGTTTCCCCAAACAGGCCTAACGCAGTCCTAGCGTGGACCCACAGACTTGATCAGACAACACCTCAGCGCCTGAGTGAAACGTCAAGGTACCAATATTGAAGAATTTTACTGCTCACTTCAAGATCAGATCAAAAACAATGATCAATCCCCGCGAAGCCACTGTTGCGGACATCCCGCAAATTCGCGATATCAACCACTATTACATCGTCAACACCTCGCTGACATTCGCAACAACCCCGCCACCCATTTTTGAATATGAAGACAGACTACGAGACCTGAAGAGGCGGAAGCTGCCATTCCTAGTCCTGGCTTCAGATCAGCGAAAAACCCATGACGGTGCTGACCTTGTTCTCGGCTATGCATATTTGTCACCATTCCGCGGGCATTTGCTTGCATATGCGCCTACAGTGGAGCTCTCGATCTTCATGCATCCCGAAGAGCGAGATCACGGGCTTGGAACAATCCTCTTGGAGGCGATCATGAATCGCGTTCGTGACGGTCTTGTAGAGCACCGCTGTGAGGAGCGAGTCGGCGATATCGGTAGCCTGGTGCCTGGCGGTTCCATTGCCGTTAGCACCGATGCTAGCGTGCGGAACGTCATTGCGGTAGTGGCCATTGACCCTGACACTTACTTGAATGGCGAAGGACTGAGAACATGGTACTGCCAGCGTGGGTTTGTCGAGAAGGGAAGACTGGACAGAGTCGGCGAGAAGAATGGCAAATGGTGAGTTGTTCAGCAGAAATGAGCCAAATTTGAGCCAAGTTTGAGCAGCTGACTTGCCCAGGATCGATACTGTTTATCTTCAATACACAGCTCCAATGAGTATTCCTACCGAGTTTGGACAAGGGGTTGCCGGTATGCAATCTTGGCATTGACATGTGTGGGATGAAATTAGGTACATTTGAGCCCAGCGGCTCAGCGCTATGCAGATTCAATTTCATCACTCATTTCAATCCGCCCGGACCCACCCCACTTATGCTGAGATGGAGACTTATTATTGGACGCAATTGACGTATCGGGGGGCACTAAAATGAGACCAACCCTGTCAGTTAAGCTCAGCATGAATTAAGTTGAGACGAAAACTTACCAAGTCATCACTCGGCGCTGGTCACGCAGGGGATCTCGACACCCAGGGCAGTGCCCAACAATCCCTCCACAATAACACCGAAGTTCTCGTCGCTCATCTGGTGAGCGTTCTCATCCTCCAGGCGGATCTTATCTTTGACAAAGGCCGTGATCACGGGGAATTCGTCCTCCAGCTCCCGGATCATGATCTTGACGGCCATGTAGTTAGCCATGCCAATTCCCAGACGACGGCAATGTTGAACTTGCGCGCCCCAGACCTCAATGTATTCCGATGCAGTGTCGTAGTTACCTCGGTGGATATCCCACAGATCGAGGACTTCCACGGTCATGCGGTCATCTTCATTGGGCTCGAGGCGGAGGATGTGATACATTGTCTCATCGGCGAAGACGAGAGAGTGGGAGATTTTCTGCAAATTGTGCAGGATCTTAGGGCCGACGGTGCCATACAGCCATCTCTCAACCTTCTGGGACCATCTAACCCAGTCCTGGTACAGAGGGTGGGACTGCTCGGGGCGGTCGAGGCGCTGGTCGATGACATCTTTGATGCCAATCTTGTCGAGGATGCCGATAACGCGACAGAGCCAGTACTCCTGATCCCACTTCTTGGAGAGCTTGCGCATGTTTGGGATGGTTACCTTGTAGTATGAAGGCAAACGATCCGCCTGAGTGGGCGGGGTGGGTAGAGAGGCAACGATATAATCGGGGTTCTGGGTGGCTTGGGCGGGCAGAGGGACACCGTACAAGTCTACCAGAATGGGAGTGAGACTATCGTTGCTGGAAGCAAGGTGGCTAGCCAAGGCAGAATGGTTGATCTGGGCATCGTTCACCGAAGGAGGATGGTCCTCACCAAAAGCATTGTTTGGGGCGGGAAGAGGGGCAAGATGCAAGTCCGCCAGCATGGGGATAGGGTCTTCCGGAAGGACGGGAGGCACCTCATCATCACGAAGAATGAAAGGCGGGTTGGTTTGGTCCCAAGTAGACATTTTGAATGTCCAGGGTTGGGATGAAAACCGTGAGAATACGGACAAGGAACGTAGATGCCAAGGGGAAGAAGAGAATAACGCGGCACACGGTATTTATAGAGGTGTTGAGAGCAATGCCAGGTGATGGACCACACGTGCTCACTTTCAATCGCGTTGTGTTCTTTTTATTCACATTTAACCTCACCACTTTAGATGTAGGCAGATGCCCGCAAATCATGCTTTCCCCCGGAGTATATCTGCGTTCATGCACCTTTACCCCATGGGATAAATTCTTCCATATCTCCCTCTTTAGATATCTCCTCTTTACACTAGCCTATCAGCCAATCATCGTATATCTCTTCTTCCGGCCACCTACCACAGCCTATAATTAACAATGAAGCCGATCAAGCCTCGCTAGAATCGAAAGGCATAAGTTTCATCGTTTGTATAATCAAACTCTTCACATTCAATCGAAAGATTTAAGCCAGGTTAAAATAGCGCTACTGATGCCTCGGTGGGAAGACCAGAGGTCGAATGAAACATTAATGCAATCTGAATCGCCACCTATGGCGTCAAAATCGAACTAGAAATCGTTAACATCGGATCCGGAGCATCTACGTTATAGGGTGGAGAGAACCTCACTCCACTATTTGAATACACGCTGCCGGACTGGGCGATCCCTAGACGGCCTGACACAACAACAAACAGCAATTGAAGCTGAAGTGAGGATGACGGAGAACAGGGGTTGATCTTGCTGCAGCAGAAATTGGCTGGGAACTCGATGCGGAGGTGTTTACATGTCCCGTGAGACAAAGGACGGAGAGGGGGACGGTGTATCCATGCATTCATTTCATCGTTAGTGCCCGACGGCACTGAGACTCTCATTTTCTGTACTGTAGCCGGATCAGGCGTATGGGACACGAGTTCTCGCTTTAATTGGAAAGAAGCGCCTGCATAGTCCTTGCAATACTAGTTGGACTGCAACCGGTTAATAGAATTTTGATTGATTGATCACTCCATAAAGAATTGATGGACTGGAGCAATGTAAACTATTGGAAATTACCAATCCCCGGCGACTAAACATGAGAAGCTTACTTCTAAGCAACGCCAAGTGTTCACTAGAGCAAGTGGCATGTCCCTATTCAACCCAAACAACTACAATCACTCATACACCCTGCTGAAAGAGATGAGCCAATCAAAAGTACCGAAGTATAAAGAGGCTTCCTAATTTTAGGTCCCCAACCCCGCATTTGACGGTAAAGTGGAAAGGGATCCACTTGAGCTTCACTTTGATACGCCACTGCCGGCTATCACGGCCAACCCGGGGATTTCTCCAAGTTTGCCGGCGATAAAGATAAGGTGTATATTTAAAAAAGTACAGGTTGATCGCGTGGGCTGTACCCCTCATTCCTCTTTGTCTTTCCTTCTTCAACATTGCCATATCCCTGTTTTGGTCTGCATACATTCACATTGTGCACATCATGGGTGGCCTCGACATCACTTCTGCGCCGCGGTCGCCGGTCTCTGAAGAGCGGGATAGAAGTGCAGGCGACACCTTCAAAGTACAGAATGAGGACGAGCTGCGATTGGCACAGATGGGTGCGTTTCCTTTTGTTCAAATCTCAGTCGGAACAAATGTTCACAGTGGTCTAGGACACAAGCAAGAGCTGAAACGACATTTCTCTGTTTGGAGCTTGATTGGATTGGCAGCCAATTGTACTATCTCATGGACAGGCGAGTCAAGTCCCCCTGAATCGCCGAAATGACCTCATTCTAATGCATCACAGGTCTCGGTCTAGGATTGATCACGGCGATCAACGCGGGCGGTCCAGGCGCGCGTAATAAATACCCAAGCACCCTCCAGCAGACTCCCGACTGATAATTTACCAGTAATCTACGGCTTCATCCTCGTGTTCATCCTACAATCGTTCGTCGGGGCATCCCTTGCTGAATTCGTCTCAGCCTACCCAGTCGAAGGAGGGATGTACCATTGGATCGCAGCAATCGCCCCGAAGCGATATAACAGTTTGCTCAGTTTTGCGACTGGGTGGTGTACTGTCTTTGGCTGTGGGTGGACTACAAGAGAACCCACCCCAGGTGCTAATGATGAACAGGGATCTTTACGACTGCCTCGACCAATTTGATTTACGCCACAACAGTCATGGCGTTGATTGCGCTATACCAGGATGACTTGGTTGTTCAGCCATGGATGACCTTTGTCGCATACCAAATTCTCAATATTTTGACGGCTGGCGTGGTCATGTTTGGGAACCGTTTCATTCCAATGATCAACAAGTTCTCATGTACGCTAGACCTTCTTCCTTGCACCTACTCCTGTGATTGACAGTCGGAAATAGTGGTTTACTTACAACTGGCCTGGTTTATCACTATGGTCGTCGTGGCTGCTTCAGCGCCTGTGTACAATGACAGCAAATTCGTCTTCCGCACCTGGATTAACAACACTGGTTGGGAGAACAACGTAATTTGCTTCATTACGGGCCTGGTGAATCCGATGTACTCACTGGGAGGCTTAGATGGAATCTCAGTGTGTTCATCTCATCCGGAGACAAAACAAAATGCTAACCATTCTATAGCACATCACCGAGGAAATGCCCAATGTGAGTTAAACTTGAACAGCTAATAAACACTTATTGACATCATTTTACAGCCAGGCAGAAATGCTCCACTGGGTCTCGGTTTGTTTGATCTGAAACAATTTGGAGATTATCGCACTAACAGCATGTACAGCAATCACCCTTTCAATCGCCTTTGTCACAGGCCTCTCCTATCTCCTCAGTCTGATGTTCTCGGTTCAGAACTACGGCAGTTTAGCTGATACACATACCGGACTTCCTCTCGCCGAGCTCTTCTGGCAAGTAACCTCTACAAGGGGAGGAGCATTTGGATTGGTATTCATGGTCTGGGTGGCCCTGGGGCCCTGTGTGATAGGATCACAGCTGAGTGAGTCTCATGTTAGTTGGACAACCAAAGATCCACTCGCTGACAACAGCAGGCACGGGCCGGGTCTTTTGGGCCTTTGCGCGCGATGAAGGCCTGCCTTTGTCGAAAGTCTGGGCACGAGTTAACCCGCGACTGGGCTCCCCGTTGAATGCGCAGTTGTGTGTTGCAGTGATTGTCGGCCTGCTAGGTTGCATCTATTTGGGATCTAGCACAGCCTTCAATGCTATGATGAGCTCTGCAGTGTATGCCCCACCTCTCCCTTGTGATCCAAGAGATAACAGCGCTGATAAGTTTCAGTACCATCAACAACTTCGCATTCCTTGTGCCAATTCTCACAAATGTTCTCCTCCGACGTCGCACCATGCATCGCGGCCCGTTCTTTATGGGACAAACCATTGGAATGACAGTGAATATTGTTTCAGTGGCGTGGCTGACCTTCGCGATTGTATTCTTCTCCTTCCCATATGAGATGCCTGCTACCGGTGTGTACCGATCTGCGAAAATAAGTTCCCGACTCTGTTGCTAATATTACTTCTCCACAGCGTCCAATATGAACTATACTTGTGTTGTTGTCGGCGGATTTTTGATTATTGAGCTTGCTTGGTGGATCATCGCAGGCAAGAAATACTCGCTCACTGTACAGCGGGCCAAAGAGGAGGTTGTCGTCGACGAAGCATCTGTGCAGGGTAAGAACCTTGCATGAGATTATTCAGCTTGCAGTCTCAGCTAGTTATACACGTGTTTGGATTTTTTTTTTCAATCTACATATGAAAATGCCGATCTTGGCCTTATAAGCTGCTCCTATTGCTTCGCACGTGGGGGCCATATTGCTCCGTTCGTCCTTTTTAGGAAATTGGTAGGCAGCAGATTCTTCGCCGGGGTTGTTACGGAAGTCCCCCAATCCAAGTTGAAAAGAAAGGCTGCCCAGCAGCCAGGCAACATCGAGACCAAGCATGCAGTACGTAAAGTCTAGAAGCTTGGACAAAAAAGTCGTTTAATACGGCAGCCACACGGGAGATGATTAAGCCCGATCCCCAACACGAATGCGAGCAGTTTCACATACAGTAGAACGAGGCGCGACATGACAGAATCCAGTACCGGATCTCCACAATCTACCCCACTGAACATCTGCAGGGACCCCGGTATGGAAAAGCATTGATCAAGACCCTCGGTCTGATACTCGATCCCATAGGCCATGAAACATGCATGGCCCGAGTCCCACTTGCCCCAGTTTCCCATTCTAACATCTCTTTACCTAAAACGTGATATGGTCTTCGCTAGTGTGATGCATGGTGTCTGGAGTTTCACAAATGGCAACTGGCAAGGGGATGCATCCAATGCGCCCTGTGGATCAATGTGACAACATGTCGATCTTTACCCTTTTTGGCGCTAATACTGTGCCTTTAATTATAGTATCCATACCCCTGATCGGGTAGGGCTCTGCGAGGTGGTTGTTATAAAACAGTGTTGGATTCCGGGCAGTATATAACAAATATTTCGAGGGATATCTATTAGAATATGTACGCTATGCATTATATCACTGCCACTTCTCTCCTATCTCTCGGCCTTGCCTCAGCCTACGACATCCCCGATAACTTGAAGCAAGTCTACGACAACCACAAGGTCCTAACCCCAGTATACCAACCACAAGACCTCTAACTAACAATCACCAGTCGGGTAGCTGCAACAACAAACTAGCAGGTGGCTTCACAGACGGAATCAACGGCGCAGCAACCTTTGCCTACTGCGGCGACATCAACGGCGCAATCTACCTCCATAGCTCAGGAAACGGCGGCCAATATGACAACATGGACGTAGATTGCGACGGCCTAAACAACAAGGGCGGAGACTGCGGCTCCGACCAGACAGGCCAAGGCGAGACTGCGTTCAAGGATCAATTGAGCCAGTTTGGCATTGAGGATCTCGATGCCAACCTGCACCCCTATGTCGTGTTTGGTAACACCGATTTCGATCCGCAGCAGTATGGGATGGAGCCGCTGAGTGTTATGGCTGTTGTTTGTAACAATCAAGTGGTGAGATCTGATTCCCCTTTTGGATATGGTGGCTGGGATTTTGTAGAGTGTACTGACATTGGGCTCCTTAGTTGTATGGTATTTGGGGTGATACCAATGGTGCGGACTCGACTGGTGAAGCCTCGATTTCTTTGGCCCAGATGTGTTACCCTGATGACGGGCTCAATGGTGATAATGGGCATGGTGATGATGATGTTTTGTATATTGGGTTCACTGGTCAAGGTGCTGTTTCTGGTAGCAGTGCCAACTGGAAGGCTTCGGATCGGAATGCCTTTGAGGATAGCATCAAGGATCTTGGGGACAAGCTGGTCGCCGGTCTCTAGACATGGATTTGAGTTGGGTTGTTATCATCGAGATCTTCACCATTGGTAGTTTCTTCAGCATTGATAGTTCTTCGCGCATGACGCAGTGCCTTATATATGAAGTGGGTCGTGTTTACGTTCAATGGTTGTTTATTTTGTTCTTTGCAGTGAATTTGTTCCCCTGACGTGCAAACAGGGCAAACAACATACCATGTGCACTATCTCTTTTCAGACCTCTCCTTTGTCACCCCTTTATTAGCAGTTCTCTGATGGGCATTCTCTATAGACGCCTTCTTTAGATAGCCCAATAAAGCATCCTTTTCTCTATCTCTCTTCCTGACCAATCAAGTTACCACTTCCCTTTTCGTATATGAAATGAGGGCAACTGAGCACACATGGTAAGCCGATACCGTGAATCTTGGGTATTCACCACTTCATTTTCTGCTCACTTCCAGCTGCCCAAGTGGCTGCTATCCGATGGGTCAAATTCACGGACATCAGTTATCTTTGACATCAACTCGAACACCTTGACAAATACTGGACTGATATGCCAATCACGGAGAAATTCGACCGTTAAACATCAAAGGAATGGCACTATTGAAAACCAAAAGAGTAGTGCACTATTTGCAGATCTCGGAAACAAATCGGCGATCCACATATTACATCATGGTTCCAACTGAGGCTTTGATCGGTGAGATCTCAGTCCCTTGGAGACCTCACGATCGATCGATCGGGAGATTTGGGCACCCACCCAAAATTACCAGGCTGATCTTTACCCAACTGCCCGGTGTTCCTGGCCAGCTTTCATGATGGAAAATGGGTTATTCGTCCCTGTTTCATGATAACCATGGGAGACTATTGAAAAAAAGTCCTCCTAGCTTGGCCGTTAATCTTAAATGAAGTCCTTCTTAAAGAGCCCCGCGACCGGGAATGATTATTATCCCCCTCGCTTCCGTCGCTTGATCAATCGCAGACAAAAAATGGAATCACCGAGTATCCCAGACAATCGACCTCACAAGGCTGCCCCCATGGCGCCTACGCCAGCAATCGTCGAGCCGAACGACGATATCAACACCAAAACACAGACTCTGTCTGTTCGCTCCGATTCTCCTCCCGGGCAAGCTTACGAGCCGTCAGCCTTTGGCCAGCCGGCGATTGGGAGGCCACCGATGGGATCGCGACAGCCCTCCATGGGCGCGAGAACCAACGGAGAGTCCACGCGCAGGTATTCTATTGACCAGGAATCTATCGCCGATTCGATTGGCAACCAATCCCTCGGTCACCATTCCATAGGAGGCCAACCCGACAGGCAGTGGCAGTACGGCCAGCACCAATTTGACCAGCGATCGCAAAGCAATCTGTCTCTGGACCAGCAGTCAGTGGGAAATCAATCGCTCGGACACCACTCTATAGGCGGCCCACCGAGGGGTTACTATTCGTAAGACAAATTTTACGATCACCGAAATCGTCGCTAACCATGCAGATCACCTACGTCCTCCACCCGCGATGTCCATTCGTCCCTCTCGACCAGATCAATGCGCCGGAACTTCGTAGTGAACGAGCTTCCAGTTTTGCAACAAACAAACCCCAATGAGGGCTCCGAACAATTCCACCCAATCATCGAAGAAAATGAGGAACAATCTTATGACTTGGTTGCTCCGTACGAGGGCGACGCGGCCCCACTGCATTCTCTGGAGCGACAAGCGGACCTGATGTTCTGCTCGGAGCACATGTTGGCAATTCTCAACAACCCGCGGTATCTTGCGCGTTTCCGTGAATTCTTGCACCAGGAGCGTCCTGGGTCACTGTCGACTTTGACTTATTATCTAAATGCTTATAAATCGCTCAAGGCTATTGAGTATGCCAATGCGCTTGTGCGATTGGCTGTCGATGTGCCTACGGCTGGTATTGAAACGGCCGAGAAACCTGTTGGTCCAACTGTAAACACCGCGCTTGAAGCTCGCGTGCAAGCTGCATTGGATGCTTTGACTGCGGAGGAGCTTCCTGCTTTCATTACGTCCACTTGTATCAGCATTACTAGCAAGGTCGTTGAAGAGCGCGTGCGCGGAACCCTTCCGGATAAGTTCCAGGGAACCGCAGATGCGCTGGCTGAGGTGTTCTGTTTGACAGATCCATCGCGGCCAGACAATCCTATTATTTTTGCTTCTCAAGGTATGTTTGTTTTCAACATTCTACTGGTGACGGTGTGCTAAGTTGGCCCAGAATTCCATCGCACTACTCAATACGGCATGGACTACGTCCTCGGAAGAAATTGTCGATTCTTGCAAGGTCCAAAAACAAACCCGAACAGCGTGCGGCGTATCCGAGAGGGTATCAAGGGTGAGCGACACCACTCTGAGCTCTTCCTTAATTAGTGAGTCCATCTTTGTATCACAGATCGTACACCAAGCTAATTAATGACCAGCCGCCGCGATGGATCACCATTCATGAACCTTCTCCAATGTGCACCTCTCTGCGACAGCCGTGGAAAGGTTCGCTACTTCATCGGTGCCCAGGTCGATGTCTCAGGACTAGCGATGGAAGGCGCCCAGATGGAATCCTTGCAAAACATACAAGTCCAAAAGGAAAATCCCTCGGTCAACGGCTCAACGATCCACAAGGAGTCAAAGAGCGAGTTCCAAGAACTAGGCGAGCTTTTCAGTCCCCGCGAGCTGCAAAACGTGCGCGAACACGGAGGCAACCTATTCCAACCAATCATCAATGAAGACCCAAATCACCGACTCTTCCTGCAAGATTCAGATACCGAGACCGAGGGCGGCGACCAACCCCCATCCCAGTCTAATCCTACACCAGCTCCTGCTCCTAATCTTTCCCTAACTGGTGTCTACAAACACGTATGTCGAACACCGACTTCTCTGACACCCACAAAACTGACGAATAAAATAGTACCTCCTCGTCCGGCCCTACCCATCTCTCCGGATCTTGTTCACCTCCCCCTCCCTCCAAATCCCAGGAATGCTCCAATCCTCCTTCCTAAACCGTATTGGTGACTCAGGCGCCAAACGAGATAACATCCAGAACGCCATGATGGCCGGCCGGAGTGTCACGGCCCGCATCAAGTGGGTGACCAAGTTTAATGACCAAGGACGCAATCGCTGGATTCATTGTACGCCGTTGATGGCGAATAATGGACAGATTGGTGTTTGGATGGTTGTTGTTATTGATGATGAGGAGGAGCACTCTGTTAGGTGGACTGGCAACTGGCCTTCTAATTATTAAGTTATAGACAGGACTTAAGTGGATGGATGGGGTGAAAACTACTTGTATATATATTGTTTCTCATGGATTTACTTGGAATATTTTTTGAGGTATATTTTCATGTCAGTAAAGCTGTTTAAGGGTCTTTTAGGGATTTATACAGTGTTGGATTAAGCCATAGCTTGTTTCTTTCGGGTTGATTTCGCTTGGTATTTCCAACCTCAAATAAACAAATCATTTAGGCAATAATCAATCACTTTGCCACCACCGTTTCAAGCTGGAGTGGATATTCTCAGTCACGCGATCCAGATCTCCCAAATAAAGTTAAACTTCAACCCCGGACCCCAGATGCTGATGTCATGACCCAAACAATCTCATGCTCCATAAAATGACCTCGAGCCTACACATACAACACTCGGTCTTCACACATGGAAGCAAAAATCTCAATATAGCCCATAATGAACATAAGGCAGTCCATCACGCGCCTCATCCCACAAATCCATACCAGCCTCGAATCCCACATCCTCAGACCGGGTATATCAAACACCCTAAAGCAGCACCACGCCCCCTTCACGCAAATCAGGCGACTTGGTCTATTGGAACATCATTCACATAAATTGCTCAAGGATGTACGGATCTTACCCGTCTTGCTGTGCAATACTTACCTTGGGTAGTTCCAACTCCCAGTACCGAACGGGTTCGTTGTTACGAGCGCGGCGGAAGCTAAGAATGTTGTTATCGATATCAGTGAGCATATTGCCCCCAAAGCTTAATAAGCCCTACCGAAACCAGCCCTGATTGAAACTAGATGCACCATCGGTGATGAAAGCCCAAATCTTAGCCGGCGGCCGCGGAAAAGGAACATACGACAGCGATGGCAAAGGCGGCGTGCGGATCGTCAAGACGTGAGTTCAAAATCCACCATATTGTGATAGGTTCAAAACTAAGCAAAGCCCGCAGACCATGCGAAGCCTTCGAAAACGCAACAAAAATGCTCGGCCACAACCTAACCACAAACCAAACCCCACCACCCGGCCTCCCCGTCTCGAAACTATACATCTACAAAGCCGTAACCATATCACACGAGTACTACCTAGCAATGACCTTCGACCGCCAACACTCTTCCCCGGTCCTGTTAATCTCAAACGAGGGCGGAATAAACATCGAATCGAACATCGATAATCTACACCGGTTATGGTTCAACCTTGAAACCGGTATAACGGATGAAATCGATGCGTATATACAAGCCGAGCTTGGATTCTCGGACTCGGAAATGGGGAGGGTGAGGTATATATTAGAGCAAATGGTTAAATTGTTCAAGGAGAAGGACGCAACGTTGTTAGAATTAAATCCGCTTGTGCGAACCGAGGAAGGGGAATTTGTTTGCTTGGATGCGAAGTTTGATTTTGATAGTTCGGCCCGGTACCGACAACAGGATATTTTTGGGTTGGAGGAGCGGTCGCCTCAGGAGCAGGAGGAGTTTGAGGCGGCTCAGTTGGGGCTTTCTTATGTACGGCTTGATGGAGATATTGGGAATATTGTTAATGGGGCTGGACTTGCTATGGCGACTAATGATTTGATTGGGCTCTTTGGGGGGAGGTGTGCTAACTTTTTGGATGTTGGGGGTGGGGCTACGAAGGAGACTTTGGCTATGGCTTTTCGGATCTTGGGGAGGGACGAGAGGGTGAGAGGGGTTTTGATTAATATCTATGGTGGTGAGTCTATGCTTTCTTGAGGTAAAAGGTGCAGATGGCTGATATGGCCGTAGGCATTGTGCGATGTGATATGATCGCCGAGTCGATTATTGCCGCTGCGAAGGAGATTGGGGGCTTCAAGATTCCTGTTGTTGTCCGGCTACAGGGTACGAACAGTGACAAGGGACTGAAATTGGTGAATATTTGTTCCAGGTTGCAGCGTGTGGCTTTGGCTGACGTGATACATAGATCGAGGACTCAGGATTGGATAATTTATTTGTAGAAGCGGATTTCGAAGAAGCGGCGCGAATCATTGTTGAGCTGACACCAAAACGCGATTGAAAATTTTCTGATTATTGAGACTTTGTGCAGCAGGACAGATTCCATAAATTCGAACGCTATGTCTAACTTGGCATAGCACTCTCCAATGTCTTCCTTTGCCTGTACTTTTATACGAGAAATCTCACAATTTCGCTCGGCTAATCTCGAGCCCCAGAAATAGTCAGAAATAGAAGATTTAACATAGCTAGTATAGCTCTGTCGATGCGACTTTGTCGGTTATATCGCTCTTACACGTTATCACGGGTAGACCCGAGCCAATAGGGTCATTCTTGCGGCAAGTCACCAATAGTAGTATCCTAGAAGCCCAGGCAGGACATAAAAAAATGACAAAGAAATTGAAAATGTGTCAAAATTACTATAAAATGACCGAATAACAAGTCATTCATCCCATCAACCACGAAATATACCACCACCCAGCCCAACCCAAACTCCCAAGCACTGCCCAACTAACCAACCCCTTCGCAACCAAAATCCCCTTAATAATCTGGAATGTCTTCCTCTCATTAACCCTGGGAAAAGCACCGGCAGGAACCCCAACACCCAAGAATCCACAAAGAGGCCCCCACCCATCCTCAGCCCGAAACTCCAAAACCTCCCTGCCCTTCCCCTTAACATCATCCCTCACAGACTCATTATACAAATCATAAAACCTAGCAGTAAATATATCCCCCTCCCCAAACCTCTCCCGAACCCACTCTACAATCCTCATATTAAGAGCATACCACAACCGATCCGTCTTCCAAAGGAATCCCACAGCAAGGAAAGTCCGCGAAAAGAAGAACCCAAGACTTGTATAACAACTCTCCGCCCAGGTCTGTGCGTCTGGACGTGTCGTCAGGATGACCTTTGCGTCTGGGTACATGTCCATGAGATCGGGTAGGAAAAATATGGCGGGCATGTCGCAGACGGCTTCGTAGCCGGCGGTTAGCCCGTGTAGCAATTTTTGCCGTTTTGCTTTGTCTTTTTCGTGCGTTGCTGATATTAAGAGTTGTTGCCTGTCTGCGTGTGGGATAATTTGTGCCATGTGTAGGCAGGGGTTGTAGCCTAGGGTCTCTAGGGCGGCTTGCAGGGATGATGTTGCTGTTCGTGGGAGGCCAGCGCCTATTACTCTAAGGGTTGTTTTGGGGGCTGGGGTTGGGGCTGTTCTGGGGTCTGTTATGAAGCGGACCATTTTGGAGGCGGGCTGGGTGTGTGTCCAAAGGGTTCTTTGGTGTGTGATTTGGGGATGGGTTGGACCTTTCTTTGTACTTCATCGTCTAGATTCATTTTGTCTGACGTCTGACGTCAGCAGTGGGAGCTTGGCTTAGGCGTCCAGCTTTCTCACTGCGGACGGGCAGAGATTCTGGGCATGTAAAGTGATTATGCAAATCTGCTATAAGGGATATCAAGACTACTATACAAGCGCATATAAATGCTATAGGTGGGACGTGCGAGGGCAGCAAGTAGGATGGCTGGATGGGATTGATCCCGATTAGCTTGAGATTTGACCGAACCCCCATTGTAGCATAATCGCAATTATCCAACTCATCCCTTTCTTCGAGTTCACTTTCAACTCAAGCACCTTCAATGTTCGTATCCAATGACCAAATGCGCAAGTCAGGCTCTATAAACCGAAGTCCGGAGCCTCGGCCGAAGCTCGAGACCCAGTCCCGATCAATGACGTCACTCTCACCACCTTGAATTTCCCAAGCTACAACTTCCTCCCAATTCAACAATTGCACCACAGCAACAATCTTAACCACCCTAATTCCTTCGCATTATTATCTAAACTACGTCAAAATGACCGACGCTCTCGCAATCCTCCGCCAAAACCGCTCCGACGAACTAGCCAGACTAGCCGACGATCACATCCAACACGACCTCCAACCAAATGACCGCGATAAGCTCAAAGCAGCTGCTGCCTCAGTTTCGCTATGGACAACGGTTGGATCGGCTGTTGGTGTTAGTCTGGGATTGCTAGCTGCTATTCGTCTGCGAAGTACGCGCAAGGCGTTTTTCTCCGCTATTCGTGCGCAAGAGAGGCCCACTAAGGTTGTTTTTGAGGATGGGCGGACTGGTAGGTTTATCTCATGCTGTTTTGAGAGTTTGTTGGCTGATGTTTATGGTGTCGCAGAATCAATTCCCGATCTTACGCCGTTGTTGAAACCTACTACTTTGGGTGACTTTGCTACTTATTTCTTTGCTTCAGCTGGTGGGTTGCTTTTGGGTGGTGAGCTTGGTTAGTATCTCAATGCGTGTCAACTGGAGATGAAGGCATGCTAATGCTTGCTTTGGTGTAGGCTTTGCTGGTGGTGCTGCTAGTGGAGGCCGGACTATCTCGTCTGATCCCGAGAGCAAGAAGAGGATTGAGACTGCGTTCCGGAGGTTCCGATCAGATGTTCTACGGAAGCAGGCTGATGCACTGGATAAGGCTGGCGAGGGCTCTGAGTTGCTTTGAGGGGTGTGCATGTACATTGATTAGACGCATTACTTGGTGAATCCCCATAAAGCTATACGTTTGGGGAAGCTGTATGATATGGTCCCGTTGATTTCATTCATATGTCAGAGTATTGTGTGTACAGATTAGACCTCGAGGGCCTTTAAGAACGCAGGACATTCGTGGCCTTGAGATACCTTTGAGATAGGGGTGAGATATGCCTCTTGCACACTCTCCTGGATCTTGCGGACGTAGAACTGGGCAATCTTGAGCCACATGGCCTTCTCGCCCGCGCTAGCTTCAGATCCCTGCCAAACCCAAAGTCTGCAGCCAGTATCATAGAGAAAGACATCCTTTCCGTCAAGGTCGGACCGGTTGACACGCTGTCCGTCCTTAACAAGATCGAAAGACAAGTCACCGGAGGCATCGCTAAGTCTGAACAGCTTGCGTGATTGAGAACCAGCACCAGTCTCGCTGGCCTTCTTCCCGAAACGACCGGGTCTCGGTGCCTCCAAGGTAGACGAAGCTTGTTCCTTTCCACCGAGTAAATCGACCACGAGTCTCGACCTCGACTCCAACTGCGAGAGGACCTCAACATCAACATGTTTCGCAAGAGTCATATCGTTAACAACCTGCGCGGCCTTGCCCTTCTCCATGGGACTACATTTCTTTCCCTGCCAAACCCAGATCTTGTTGCCTTTGTCCAAAACAAAGACGTCATTCTCATCGAGGCTCTGCCAAGTCGGCTCGACCTCATGCACGATGAGCGAGTCGATGCGACCAGCACCGGGATGCTTGAAGATCCGCAAAAGCGTCAGGATATCCGGCTTCTCCTCAGGCTCGACATGTGTAAAGCCAGAGCGGACACCGCCAGACCGGATAGAAATGTTACGGAACAACGCCAAGAACTCATCGGAGGGTGACTGCTGCACCTCACGATGCTGAGTCGCAGCACCGTAAAGGAACTCGTCCAGCTCAACGGTCTTGTAAGCGGCGGTGCCGGCTTCATCTTGGGTGGTCTTGCTGCCGAGCCAGAAAAAGACGTCATGGCCTAGTTTGTTGTCGCCGACTTTGTACGAGTGCAGCACGATGAAGCTGTCTCCATCGTAGAATTGGCCGTACTTTTCCTTCGGCCAGGGGATGACTTCGAAGTTTTCGATGCGCCAGATGTAGAGCCCGGCTTCTTGGCCGATCTTGCCGTTGTTCCAGGCTGGCTCGGTGACGGCGGAGTTGTACTTGACGCGGTGGTCCAGGTCAGACCCGATCAGCTCAACATTACTGTCTTTGACGTCGTACTCCTTGGAGTGAACTAGTCCTTCGTGTGGAGGCATGATTGTGTGATGTGTGCTATTGACGTTGACCTAGGGATGTTGATAAATGGACCATGTGGCGGTGGGTGGCTTAGCGGGGCATTGGCCAATGACGTCGTCAACATTGTAGTTCTTTTTTTAGGACATCACCACAGTATACAAATGGAAAATAGAAACCCATACAGGAACCGAGGTATGTGTATTATAGTTTAGTTCGTATGTTATTAGACTTGTTAGCTGCTGACTCTATGGCTGGTGACTTTCTGAGCTTGTGTCTGGAGATGGTCCTACCAAGCCATGGCCCGACTCTCAACTTTCTAACAATGCATCCATCTGCTATCAGCTGCCACACTCCCCAACATGAAAGTCCCTAGCCAGACACCCCCTAGGACTGACATGAAATAGCCAACGTTCATCGTCATCACCGCAAGCATTCTGTCACACGGTCAGTCATCAACCAGAAAGATGACAGGGAAGCTCTACTCACAGAAGATAAGCCACACCAGCAAGAATAACCTCATACGTCGCCCGACCAGCAGCAGGGTTCACACGCCACGATGCCCATCGACTCCCAATTTCCTGTGCACTCATCCGTACCCCAGATGGAGTCCGAGGTGACTTGCCAGCTTCGACATGTGAGTGACCATGAAGCGCATGATCATGAATGCTATCCGTCCACAAACGACCCTCGAAGATCGGCTTGCAGGCCAACAGAACGCGCATGATAACTGCTAGCGCGATGATGAAGATACATGTCCCGGCGTACTGGCCTTTCGTTTCTGGCGTCCACTCGGTGGAGAAGAGAGGTGTTTTGAACGAGACGAAGAAGGTCATTACCATGTCAGCCATTGACATGGACATATCAGACATGGATGATGAGGTTGATGCTGCCATAGACATGCCCGTCGTTGTGCCCATTGACATTGCCGTTGTTGTCGCCATGGACATTGTCGTTGACATGTCTGACATGTCCATTTTGAGCACTACACTGGTGCACACGCGACAAAGAAAGATTATATTATAGGGAAGAAACAGCAAAACGACTATTTTGACCCGTGTGAATTAAGAGGGGAGTACATGGACTAAAAAGGTGATCGGGACCAAGCGAAAAGAACCTTGGGAGTCAGCCCACGGACCGCGACGCCCGAGTTCCCACGCGGCCAACGTGGGCCACGCGGGTCAAAGAAATCATAGAATAAGGGAAAAATTCCGCAAAGTTGAGGGAATTGATGTATATCAGTGGGGCCGCTAATGCGCTTATATCAAAACCTTCTCATACTCCCTCACTCGTTTCGGCGAATCACAATTGCCCTATTCAGATTCATGGCTCGGACCTTTCCGAAGACCCTCATCATTTTATACACTGCGCGGGCAATTTGAGCATGTTCTCATCCAATCATTCAGATCTCGTTTGATTGTTTCGGTCTTACCTAGGGCTGGTTACCCGCAGATGATCCGGCGGGAACGGTATTAGTAACACGAACAATATCCGGCGAGAAAGATTTCATCTTTTTGGATATAATCCAGTCACAGACGGTTGTTGATCTTCAGCGCATGTGGTAGTAAATTTCAGCAACACCGCAACGATGAAGATGGAATCGAGCACTGGCATGGTCCCATGGCTGGACCAACCTGTCATGCTACACTCGAGTCGCGATGCGGGTGAATGCACAATGACCCCTGAGCAATGTGCATTCAAGACTGGCTATTGGGTGTTTTGGTATGAAGCCGATCATCGATACGCCTTGCCGACGGTTGCGTTCTTCCTGGTTGCGATTATCCTTTTTACAATCTCTCACATTGCTTCAAAAGCCGCACCACAAAGCCTAAGGAACACTTCAATTTGGTCGCGTCTAGTGGCAGCATGTCGCTTCCTATCTTATAAGAGCTGGAGGTTCGGTGGCTGGAACACACATTCTCTCGGCGTTTGCTTGCTTGGGGGCGCTGGCGCTGTTTTCTTCTTTGGTGAGTGATCTGTTTTATCGAAGGGAGCTTTTCATTAACCAAAGCCACATCAAAAGCTATGACTCTTGGCCCTCGTCCTTACTACTGGCCTAACACAAAGGAAATCAGCTTTGGAAACTCTCCTCCCATCGCTACCCGTGCCGGGTTCTTGGCTCTTGCCTGCATGCCATTCCTAATGTAAGGCTCATACTATCGACCTGGAGATTGGAAAGCTAACCAAGCCACAGTGTACTAGGTGCCAAGGCGAACCCCATTACAGCATTAACCGGAATATCCCACGAAAAATTGAACGTATGGCACAACTGGGTCGCATGGGCAATGTTCGTCCTAGCATTAATCCACACCTTCCCATTCATTGTCTTTCACGCCTGGAAAGGTGACCTCGTTGCATCTTGGAGCGAGGGTGGAGTCTGGGTGACAGGTGTGGTGGCACTTATAGCACAAGCGTGGTTGACCTTCATGTCTATCCCCTGGATCCGGTATGTCATCTATCGCTAGAGACCTAACAAGTGCTGACAAGTACGTCTATCAGAAACCGGTACTACGAGTTCTTCAAAGCAACACACTACTTCATGGCCCTCGTCTTTGTGATTTTCTTCTTCTTCCACTGCGACTTCCGCATGTCATCCTGGGACTATTTCATCGCCACGGCAGTGATCTACAGTCTCTGCTGGCTATACTCCCAATGCAAGACATACATTGAGCATGGTTTCAGACACAAGGCCAGTCTCTTACCCGAAACTGAGGATACGCTTCGCGTTACTATCGATACGAAGATGCACTGGGCACCTGGTCAACACATCTTCCTTCGATTCTTGACCTGTGGTGTTCACGCCTTCACAGCTCATCCATTTACAATCTGCTCAGTACCGCAGAAGAACAAGAACAACGAACTAGTTTTCTATGTTAAGCGACGCGGAGGACTAACCGGCCGACTGATGAGCATGGCGCAGAAGAATCCGGGCGTCCAAGTTTCTGTCTTGCTGGATGGTCCGTACGGAGGTATCCCCGAGGACCAGCTTGCGCTTTCTGACAAGAGTCTCATTATTGGTGGTGGCGCTGGTGCTGGCTTTACACTTTCCATGGTGGAGGACTTTGTTCGATATTCTTCCCCTCAAAGAAAATCTGAAATGACGGTGGTAGTTGCTACCAGGGACCCCGGAATGCGCGCATGGTTTATCCAAGCATTGGAAGATATGGCGCTGCGAACTTCCCAAGAAGGCATTATCCCGGGTCTTTCTGTTCATATCCATGAAACACATGCCGAACATCCGGTTATGGAGACGAAAGCTGAGACCGAAACGGTCCTTCCAGATCTGAAATCAGAATATGTGAAGACCAGCAATGGGGCTGTCAAGGAGACATTCAACCTCGAAATGTTTGGTGTCAAATTCTTCTCCGGTCGTCCAGACCTGCCAGCCTTGACCCGGGATTTGGCCGGTCAAGATGGTGTCTCTGTTGGTGTTGTAGTGTGTGGGCCTTCGTCTATGACCCACGATGTGGGTGAGGCTGTTTCTTCTGCTCAGTATAGAATTCTGGCCAAGCAGAGTAATTGTGCGCGGGAAGTTTGGCTCCACACTGAGAACTTTTCGTGAGTCTTTTATTATCCTTTGATTTCCTTGGACCTTGCTAACATTCCCCTGTTAGATATTAAACCGCACTTGGTTAGTGACTGCTGATAGTTAAATTCGGAATTTTCAAAATTAATGTTCGATGTAATATAATTTGCCCAGAAGAAAAAGTAAACATCACTTTGAAGGACTCATCATACAGTGTCTAACATAGCCACCACCACCGCTCGCCCAGTGTCTGATGGTTATTTCAGGTTCGTTTATACTCCGGCAGTTGTGACTGCTGTCTATTCAAGAATTATCCAAAATAATTAACTCCAGGTGGTGGTAATCCTGTACAACCCCAAAACAGTAAAAGGAGTGACCTGTAGTCCTTGGCAGTAAACATGCTCATACCTGCTCACAACGCCAATATTGGCGCCCAGTCACTTGTTGCCTGACACATGCGTTTGCCTTTTGGTTCACACGAGCTTGTGAACTTATTAACACCACAGCTGCTGTTTTGCTTTTCTCCCACATCTCGGTCTCTTTCACCCCCCATCATGGATATGTCCATGGGCACCACCACCTCTGCTGCGGCGGCTGCAACCTCTTCCGCTTCAAGCATGGGAGATATGGACATGGGTATGGGCATGGGCGGCGCTCACGCATGCAAGATCTCGGTAAACAACCCTCCACCCTCAACTTTCACTCCCCACGCCGCTCTAACCCTCTGTTTACTAGATGCTATGGAACTGGAACACAGTCGACACATGCTTCATCGCCCGGTCATGGCATATAACCTCCCGAGGAATGTTCGCCGGCTCCTGCATCGGCGTTATCCTTCTCGTTATCTGTCTGGAGTTCCTTCGTCGACTGGGAAAGGAGTACGATCGATTTCTGTTGCGACAGGATAAATCGAAAGTTGCGGCATCTGAGACCAGTCAGGATTCTCCCGCGAAGATTCCGTCGTTTGGGTTTCGACCTACGGTTTTTCAGCAGATGGTTAGGGCTCTGTTGCATATGTGCCAGTTTGCGGTTGCTTACTTTGTTATGCTGTGAGTTTCTTTTTATTGATGTCTGCTCGGATTTGGAGTACGATCTCTAACGTTTTCTTTAGGCTCGCGATGTATTACAACGGATACTTCATTATTTGTATCTTTATTGGTGCATACATCGGCTCGTTCATTTTTACGTGGGAGACTATTAGTTCTGGGTGAGTTTGCTTTCTTGCGTTTGGGAGTATAGTTAATTGATTAACTAACATTGCTATGTCACACAAAAGGGATGGAAAGCAGACAAGTGTTGCAAACGAATCAACTGTTTGCTGTGGCTGATGTTCTAGTAGCTTGATGGGTGACATCGCCTGTAATATTCCATTCGATGATGCGGTCGCAGAAGCTCGATTATCTACAAAGTGATAGTAACGCAAACAGGATCATCACAACTACTTGTTGCGGATAGATCAAAAACAAAAGCATATTGCCTCTCCGTCGTTCATATCGTATAAAAAAAGCTCCTAGAATAAGATACAAATATAGTACTCCCATTATTCATGTCCAGTGTGATTCTTGTATCCTGTTGACTGATTGTTGGCATTTCAGATTCTCCGTCTTCAATTTCTATGACAGCTCTGTCATTTGTACCCAAAGGAGCTCAGCTCGTGTACAAATGGATTGGAGGTCGTATCCATTTCCTGTGGTCCTTTGTAAGAACTCTGTTGATAAGGAGGACTTTGCTGGCAAGGAAGACTCTGTCTCATGGTAGGATCATCCTTTCGTGGTAATCGGTGCGCTTTCTTGTGGAGATATAAAAACCATCCAATGAGACCCGCAATTATGGCAATCGCGGCAATGGAGCCGACCACAGCTCCTGCAATCCAGCCTTGGCTCTGACCAGATTGTGCCCCTGTCACAATCTGAGAATCAGCGGCTTGGGAAGCTGTGGTGGTTGCTGCGGCTGTAGGTGCCTCCGTGGTTGGAGAATCATTGGAAGATGTTGTAGATGCCGCGGTGGTGGAAGGGGCGCTTGTGGGGGAAGATGTGGAGAGTGTGGAAGACCCTGGAGATATGACCAGTCAGCTAATTTCATGCTTGGCTCTCTTGGTTGGGCAAATACTTGAGCTGGTGGTTGATACTGCTAATTCACGGTAAACAGTGAAGGCAAGCCAATACTCTGCGCAGAAGATATTGCTGGCTGATGGGGATGCGTATGGTGCAGATTGGAAGATGGTCATGGTTCGGCATACATTGCTGGAAGAAACCAGTCAGCTTGATCTTTCGTTGAGTGATACAATCTCCCTTGGAATAACGTACCACGAAGATGTTTTACCATCATCATATGTGACACTATTACCTCCACAGTCCGTGGCATAACCACAAGCACCCTTTGAACAACCACGTGCATAATTCCCAGAGGTAGTCCATATTTCAGGGTCTGTTAATGCCTGGGCTAGAGAATATAAAGTTAGTCCAGTTCAAAACTGCAGGTAGATCGATCGTTGGTATGTTCGTACTAGTTGACGGTCCCATATACCATCCAATAAAATGTGGGTCACTCTGTATCGATGTGTTTACAGCATTACTCTGCCCCATAGCACCATAGGACCAAAAAATGCTGCTCAATAGCATAACACGCACTGAAAACGGGCCGAATGGAGAGTAAATCATCGTTTGTGGAAGATCGTCTCTGAATCCGGGAAATGGAATGTCGCGTGGAGCAAAGGAAAAGGCTGGCCATCATAATTTATTCGGATTGATGCCCAGGATACAACGCACTAAGTTAGCCGCCGAACAGGAGCCTCAAAAACACGCGAACTCCTAGATGCTATTTCGGCTCTATAAACCGGCACTGCAATGCAATGTCTATGAGGCTGTAGCGGCAGACCAATCAGGGGACTATAAGAACCGCCGCTAAGGCCCGGCAAATCAAACAGCTTCGTTCGACCACTCAGCAACACTACATCGCAGAGCCTAATGCACTTGACCCTCCTGGGCCACTTTCCGATACGCTTGGACCAGTGGATCAGAGACAGACGGTGATCCCGATGGATTTAACCGCAGACCCTAGGCGCTAAAGTCATGATACTCAGCTTCATTTCGCCTCTCTCTTATTTCCTGCTGTTTTCATCGTTCCCATCCTCTGTTTCTATCATCTTTACACGTTCATTTCTTCACTTTCGCGTTTGATTTTGCTGTTGTCTCCTTCACCTCGTCACATCTGCCCTGAGGGGCCCCCACACCATGTTATCAATCACCAACTTGAACAACTCGCGCTTGCGCCTGGCAATCCCCATTGTCGTGATTTTCACGCTCGTCTTTCTCTTTTACGCGGACTGGAAGCCCATCAACAAAGCCATCCTCACCTCCAACTCCTCCTCAGGGGCGATTGCGACCGGCAACACGGGTTCAGCTCCCACTCCACCGCCCGAAATCCCTGCGGATCATCCGTCACCCAGCAAAACCAAATTTCGCTATTCCAACACAAACACTTCAATTTCTAATATTCCCGATAAAGTTTGGCATTCCGCAAAGACGGATAGCATATCGGAGAATCAACGCCAATGGGTCAACAGCTGGTCAAGCTCGACCCCGGAATGCCGCCAAGAATTGCTTACCGATCGCTCCGGTGAGGCGTTTGTTCGCGCATACTACCAAGAGACACGGCCAGATATTGTTGAAGTCATTGAAACGCTCTCAATCCCAATTTTACGGGCGGATCTGCTTCGTTATTTGATTGTTCTCGCTGAGGGTGGGTACTGGAGTGATTTGGATGTCACATTGGACAAACCACTTTCTGACTGGGTGCCCTCGGAGTACAAAGGTCGGAATATCGACATGATTGTCGGTCTGGAATTTGATTTTGCATACCGCGGCCCGGAAGCTGAGGTTGCATCGCAATTCTGCAACTGGGTGTTTGCTGCGCAGCCGTCATCTCGCAATTTGCTTGTTGTTGTTAATGCTGTTATCAACAAATTGAAGGAGATCGCCACGGCAAATCATGTGTCAATTGCCGGTATCACCTTGGAAATGTTCAAAGATGTTGTGAACGTGACTGGACCTAAGATCATGACGATCGCGCTCCTGGAAAGCCTCGGACAACTGCTAAACAGGACCGTCGATGACCGCGATTTCTCGGGTATCAAACATCCAAAGCTGGTCGGTGATGTCTTGATCATGCCAGGTGTCTCATTTGCTGCTGCTCAGAATGGGTTCCCTACAGACCAAGGTGATGCCCTTGTGACACACCATTACGAGGGCTCGTGGAAGCAAGCAGATGCCGAAGCGAAGGAAAGAAAAAAAGCAAAAAGAGCAAGAGGAACAACAGGCACAGAACCACCAAGGATGAAACGAAGCACTGTAATAATAATCTGCTGTACAAATTGAACAAAATATGACCATGAACACCTCTCATCAGACCCATTGTAGAAGACCTGTACTTGAACAATGAATATGTATAGCTTGTACGACTTCGGGAAATTGTTGTATCACTTTCAGGGATCGATTGAAGAAGTAAATCCTGAGTCATACGTGTCACCGGCATGAAAGCAGGGGTAGACGCCACCGGCGGCTTGATTAGAATAGCAAGACGGCAAGCGCTAGAGATGGGGAATGCCAGGAAGGTAATTCAGCTTGTGAAAAGGAATAATGTCAATTGCCAAGCTCAAGTTTTAGCAGGCTCCAGCAACGAATAACCCAGAAAGCCTTGTCACTTTGTAACTTACATGTTGACTCTCCATATAGTTAGCTTACAATAGGAGTCATGAGTTTATCTACCCCTAACTGTGATTCTGCTGTATAATACGTGACAAATTATTGTAATTCCCTGTAGTGCTTTGGAATGCTTCACATATCTCTATGAAGCTAGGACTTGTGGAGCTAGTTCATGAGGCAGATTTGCTAGACGCCTATGAACTGATATTTGAGTCGTGGATGCCAGTATATTCCCATTAGTACCCAGGGGTAATATTCAGGCGACCGTTTTTGCGGTTGCTGAGCAGGCGGCCGATATCATTAAGCAGGATCTAGAATAGACGGCTGAGACGAGTTGATTGGAATCAAGTCATTGGGAGAATTAGTCCTGATAATGATGCATATTCGTGAGAAAATACATATAATCGCATTGGTATCTATCTGATTACAAGTCGAATGATATCACAATGGGGAAAAGACAAGGGTGAAATGTCAAAAATGTGCCCATGCATTAACGCAGTACAAGGCTACAGCCAAGTCAAGTTAAGGCCCCGAAGTATAATCGGTGTAAGCTCTAGCAGCTCTCTGTCTCTCTCTCATGTGAAATTATACAGGCTGATGCATCATCTTACATCGGTTAGAATAAATAGGTTTCTCGGTTTAATCCACATTGTCAGCTAAGACAGAGTTTTGCTGCCGTTATATCCTTGACCGTATATCTGAGATTAACTTATACCAGACCGATAAATTATGGTATATCTGCTGCTCAAAATCGCTACCTTGGATACGGTTTCAAGGCTTGAATCACGATATTAGTCATTCTAATGTCACGTGCCGTGGTAAGTTAAGTTTTGTATTGCAATTACTAAGGCTTACCACGGACCCCCGCGAGGGTAGCTTTGCAACACTCCCTTCTCTATATTCTGGATTTCTTAAAAACAACACTCATAGTCAATTGACATTTGCTAAGAAATTTGAATGTAACAGGGGCATTATCCTTTGGGTAGTGCTCTATTTCCAAATGTCTACCTCAAAGCAACGAAGATCTTATCGTGTTGGACCTTCATCAAAGCGAAGGTGTTGGACCTGTCGCGGTAAGACAATACACGTTGCTTCTAATGGCAATATATGCCACTTGAATTAACGAGACCCTGACGTATGGTAGAGCGAAAGATATCTTGCGATATGGGCCGTCCGGGGTGCCGGAACTGCGCAGCGTCGTCCCGTATCTGCCAGGGCTATGGCCTACGGTTGAGTTGGCCAGCGAATGGTTCCAGCAGATCCATTCATAGCTCAGCCGAGGAATATCCACCAGAATGGCCTAATAATTGCAACCCTACGCATTTTATTAATACGTTTATGACGGATATTGATATACATTATCTGCAGTATCCAGGAAATATAGGTCAGTAACTGGGACTGCTTTAAGATTGAGCTGACTAGGAATCTTCTGGTGCTGACTTCATTGGCTGTTGGTTTCTTAAGCAATACTGCCACCTCCCAGCATGTGGATTCCGCCACTGTCGAACTTAACAAATGCCCAGCCAGCAATAGGCGATGGAGACCATTTGTTGTCATTCTGTACGGAAGGAAAAGCAAACAATGATGACCCAGCTAATTTCTTCAATCTAGTTATGATCAAGGTAGTCACCTCTTTTGCGCCAATCGGGTCGGATGGATATAAGCTTTGGAAATTATTATTTCAGCTTTCATTCTCCGATGATTCGCCCGCTTCAATGGCCGTGCTACGAGCAATATTGGCCTTGGCTTCATTATATCGTCATGGGCATGGGAAGGAGACTCTTCGACTAAAAGTGGCAGCTCTGAGCTCTTTAGCCACATCCATGAAGGAGCTTACTACCGGGACAAGAGAAATTTATCAACATGTCGCCGTGGACATGCTGCTCTGCGCATTTGAGGTATTTCTTTTTTGCCTACAATTATCAAACCCTACTAAAAAGAAAAGATCTTTGTGCCATCAGAGACCTCCTTCCAATGGCCATTATACCTGTCAGGCGCTAAGATCATGCTCCACGAAATATGCGATGAAGGACACCCCAAGCTGATAGAATTCGACGTTCTTATACTTTGGGTGCACTATCACGATATTCTCGGAAAGTTTACTTCCAGACATTGGAAAGTGAACTCCTCCGAAAATGCGTCAATCTTCAAGGTCCCCGGCATGGCTTCGAACCTAGCTTCTGTGGAACGTGATCAAGTAAGGCAGCAACTTCTCCCGTTGGATTTAACTAATAATGTTGAAAGGTCCTTAGCATCTTTGGATGCTCAATGGAGATGATAAATCTTATCGCTAGAATGTCGGAGATCCAATTGGATAGTAAGACGTCATTAAAACACCATGACGCCGATCGAGGTGCCCTTCATTCTATTGAGCGCGAAATGACCATAATACAGCAAGACACAACAGACATCTCTGAGACCAATAATCCAGAAGAGGCTGAGCGCGGAAGAAAGATGGCTACGCTCTATCAGCTGGCAGGGTTGATCTATTTCGAGCGCGTTATGAAGAGATATTCTGACGGCAAACGACTGGAAAGGTGGGCCACTGAAGGTTTCAATCTCCTCCGGGACTTGATAATATGCGAGCGACCCTTTCCACTATTTTTCATAGCATGTGAAGCCTATACTGATATCCAGCGGGAGCTCATTCTCTCTGTATTGGAAAAAACACAAAGAAACGCCAGTCAGCGGAAGCTGTACGTTATACGGTCAATGATTGAGTCTATGTGGGTGCAGCGTGACTTGATCTCAGACTCGAATGGAGAGGGGAATACTTATTCTGATACGTTGAATACCATCATGTCTTCCATCGAGCTGCTTCCCACACTAGCCTAGTCGCTTCAGGCCGAAATTTAATTGCAAAAAAGAATTCTCACGAAAAAATAAGATACGACAGATTTCTTTTGAGCATGAACTTTATTGAAAGTAAATTTGGTCTTGGCTTCCAGCTTTCAAATGGCCGCCATCGGCTCATTTGGCTGACTGATAATTGGGCTGAGACGCACCCACCATCTCCGTCTGCATTCCATACCCATTTTTCGTACTTTCAACCATCATCTTCTGTACTTCCAGAGTAATGGTCGCGTCCTGAAGGCAGTACAAATATGCACTTGGAACCTGTTTCCAAGCCGCATAGGTGCAAGGACTGTGGAAGCTCTGATAGCTATGAGGTCTAAGAGCAGCAACTGCACCTTCACCCTTGGTAGGACTGCAGTCATTGTAGAAGAATTTGTCTGGGTTGGAAGGACTGACCTCTAGTCAATCGTCTGCCCCCATAAACCAAGGGAGGTCATTGCCACCAAAGGCACTGATAGTATACCAACACAGTATAATGCAGGCGGCTATATTGGCAGTTACTTGGTATGATTGACTAGATATTATTGTATTTTCTGACTTGTTAAGCTTTATCTTGCTCTTCTGATGGCCACAAAGAGAAATTGAACTGACTTGTTTTCAGAGTTTGAAATGCAGAGAGTCAAGAATGAAGATGGGTCCGAGAGGGAAGGGTTAAGCTGGATTCAGAGAACCTGATTCGATTATACCATAACGGATAAACAATCAAGTGGGTATTACTGTGAGACTTTCAGATCTTACCCTTGCTTATGTTCAGCCACAATCTCTTATTTATCCACTGCTAAGCGAAGCTCGCAAACAGTTGCTATGCTTCGACTTCAATGGCACAGAAATATCTTACTTGGTAACCCACAACGTATCAATGCACGCTAGAAGCTTGTTTTACTTAGTTGGCTTCCGCGGCAGAAAATATCTGACAAAGACCACCCCTTCATGACCAACAACCCTGTGCTGGTATTCTGACAGTAGTGATTTGAATAACTCAGTGAAGGATATAGAGATTCGAAAATCGTCTTGGTGAGAGAGCAATTGCATTTAAAAACTTGAGCACTGTTTAATTCAATACAAAACACAAAGGTTCACTCATGTTTTGAAATCAATCAATATCTTCAGCTTCATGCAGCTTACCTAAAGCCATTGCTTGGTTCCGAGATGCGAGATGAACGCACCGCCATCTCCATTCTCAATCGAGGCCTTATTCATGACAGAAAGTACAGCAGTTATTGACTCCTCAGGTGTCAAGGGTCGCTGGAAGTGCGGTGCATACTCAGCGAACTTTTGCACAAGTACAGCCACTTTGTCCTCATTGCCTGGTGGTGCTCCTTTTATGATATTGTGGTTAGTATGGGCACTAGTGGCAATCAATTCATTCTTTTTGTTGGACATACCAATGTTTCGCTCGGTTGCCACATATCCAGGGCTGATCGCGAGGAAAAGAACTCCCTCCTTCTTGTACAGAGCATTGTACTTAGCAACAGCAACATTGACAGCGGCCTTGCTAATAGCATATGGGGCGGCAAATTCGATTTCGGTCTCATTGATCAGGTCGATGTCGGCCATACCGGTAGAAATAGTAATGACCTTTTTGCCCTTGCCCTTGAGAATTAGAGGCATAAAGGCATGGATAGTCTTAATAACAGCCATTAAGTTAATATCCAGTGATTCTAGGAGGTCTTTTTCCAAAATCTCAAAATCATCATCACTGTCCATTGTCAGTATTCTGCTATCATTGATTGAAAGGGCAATGCACACAAATCACCCAAGCCCTTGAATTCACTGATGCTAGAAATAATGGCGGCATTATTGACTAAATAGTCCAAGCTTCCGCCTGTGATATCTTTGACAATTTCTGCGGCTGCCTGAATGGTATAAGTATGATATGTTTATTCATTGGATGAGTCCACACACCTTAAGGGATGCCAGATCTGTATACTGAGCCTCGACCATGTGGACATTTTGAAGTCCTTCTGCTTTAGCCTTTGCATCAGCGGCAGCCTTGTTTCGGACGAGGCCAATGACCGTATTCTCTGGATCCTGAGCAAGGTGCCGAACGAATTGGAACTGTTCATATTAGTATGCAACCACTCAAACAGATTAATATGAAGTCACTAACTCCCAGGTTACGACTGGCACCAGTGATAAGGTAGGAAGACATGATCGACCCTGTATGTAAATCGAAGAAGAAGATGATTGAGAGAGAACAGAATTGATAATATAGAATGGCAGGAGACCACTCTCTATATATACTGTTAGCCTATACTGTGTTCTCGAACATTCAGTCGCGATGCTGATTAAAGGCCATCTACAAAAAAGAAAAGTGGTGAGCTCATTTGCTTACGAACAGCTGGCGGAGGCTTAGTTGAGGCCTGTTGATTGGGTGGGTCATGAGGAGAGTCAGGTATTTGCGAGCCAATGGGAAAAACGTCGGCCTTGGCATACCTCACGGGACTATACTACTTGTATTAATACCATTAGGCTTATGCAGTGATGGCCTTAGTTCAGTGATCTATACTAATTACTCACCATAAAAGTTGCTCGTGGAAGCGATCGTAGCTCCAATCAACATTCTTCCGCGTTAAGAAAATGGTCTGGCTTTGCGTACCCTAACACAACTAACAATACTTCGTCGTTTTCTTCTCACTAGGTATAAAATTAGCTGATCCACTCAATTTTGTTCTTGTTACACTCACACCCAATTGCTTTATCTCAATATAAATAATCATATAGGCAAGTATTCTCCATCTTCAGCATCTTCCCTTGCCGGCTCGAAACGCACAATGATCATGAGCATCGCGTCGGATACATATAGAAAAGCCTCATGACACGGCAAATAACCTGTCATTTCCTGGGTATACTCGACCGCACGATAGATTGATCGGATCATGATAATGAGGCTAGCCACATAGATCGTAACGAGATATTTTTGCCAGGTTCGGGTAGTAGAAGCAAACTTGGGAGATGGGTGATGTTTCCGGGAAAATGAGCGGGAAAAGCCATGAAGACGCCAAAGAAAGGATTTGAACAAAAAGGCCAACCGCAATCATTCGCTCGCCGAGGGCTATCTTCCTCTGTTTGATGAAGAACAACTATCATGTAAGGCCGAATAAGCTTCTGAATTTAAGCATCGTATGGCTGACGTATGTATTCAATTCGCGGCACCAAATCCCTAGTTTTGTTGACCAACAGGGGTAGTAAAGCGTACGACAGATAAAAAGTGTTCCTGAATATCCTTTCCTCAGGGAACAGCCAAATTTCTTGCAGGAATGGTGTACGCGGACGATATCCGAGGGCAGATGGTACATGGGGAGGGGATTGTAGGTCATGGTTTTCGAGTATATTTTGTACAGATTTCGCGTTCAATAGGATTAGCAATATCACGCCCACTTCTGTCACCACATTCTTTCCAATTTGGTGCCACCTTCACTAGCGAGTCCTCACTCTAGAGCCTCTATTTGCACGCATTACGACATAGGCAATGCAGCTAAGTGCGTAACTGATACGAGCAGACTGGTAGCTCGAATCAATCCTTCTATCAACAACAGAATGGTGAACTTCGAATGTACTGCACATAAACAACACGATAACTTAAAAGATGCAAACGCAATGGACATCAGACATAATAGCAGAAAGAAACAAGAAACTAGCAAATTCGGTTGGGCTTTGGCTTGGCACTAGCACGTGTTTGGCAGAGACTCAAGACTTACCCTTCCTCATCTCTTCTCCCCTCAACCACCAAGTCAAATTTCACACAATCGCGAATAAAACGATCAGTTCAATATGAACGACCTCCGAAATAGCCTTTGCACTTACCCAGACTGGGGATATGTTATCTATCGCACTACCTACTCTGCTGAATCAGATACTCTATTCCCAGACGCTATCAGATTCATTGAGGCCTGTATTAAGCGAGCATTCTTCCAAGAAAACAAAGAAGATCCTACAAATGAGCCTAACAAAATTTGGGCCAAACACCGGTCGACTATCGCGCAAGATCCCGCGCAATTTAACGGGGCGTCTCTCGAGGCAATTCGCGCTCATTTTGAGGCCTGGGTGAACGATCAAGGCTTGCGTGACGATTGGACCAAATGGCGAATGTGTATGATTATCGATGAAGAATCTCTGCAAACGCTAAAAGGTACATCAGTCGAGGCCCTTGAAAATGAAAGGTCAGAGAATTCCGATGATGAGCTACGATATGTAAAGGTTCTTGAAGCATTCCCGCAAACGGATCAGTATGACAAATTTCCGGGTTGGATGAGATGTTGGACATATGCGCTCTGGGATCTCTGGGCGATGATGGGAGATGGTGATGAGATAAGGCAGTTGTTTGACTGTATTGATAATTTTCCGTTTGAGGAGGTGTACTGCGGATGATTCAGTGATGTTTTAGTTGGCATATGGAGTGCATCAGAGATATGTGGTTCCAAGGTTGTGGAAAATATCGTTTGACAGGGAGTCAAACAAGAAAGAAATACTTTTTGATTCTCTGAGCCATTTTCGGCGTCGGTGTAGTCGCTAGTGGAAACGAGGGGAGCAAGTGTGCAAGTCGAGCGTCAATATCAGGACTGGAGCATGACTAAAAGTGCTTGGCGGGTGTAGAATAGAGGTGTTATAGGGCAGTGGGTGGTTAAGGGGCGGCTAGACGTCCAAAGTTACGCGTGGAAAGGCAGCCGTTTCTGGCCTCAAAAGCGGCCCTTTTCGGCGTTAATCCCACGGGTCCTTATATTCTAGTTATAATGATTATTTCAGAGCAAAAGAGGAAATCTGATAACTAACGTAGGATTTTTAAGCTATTTGAATATTCTACTGAGTGAAAAGCAAATACAAAAGCAAATCGATATTAATAATAGTTTAATGGTTTTTTTTACTAGAAATGAACATTGTCAGAGACCGTTCCGGGCTATCGTAGCACTTCAAAGTGCATACGCATATTTTGGCCTCACTTCAACTTCGACTGTAACAGACTCCTATCTCATATTAGTACATGTTGAATACGGCTATCCCGTTCTGAACCAATATGTTCGATCGTGTGTCTAGATTCGCCTTGTTGAATCGGCGCCCCCTGAGACCCCTTCTAACCGAGAATTAAACATCCTGCTTCTAAATAAGTGGGCTAGTTTATCAAATTCCTTATGCTGACGAGGCCGTTCATACAGATTCGTGTAATAGTGTTGATATCAGCGGCAATCAAGTTTAAGAGCCGGTTCATGTGGGCGATGTCGACCATGGAACCACAGAGGTATTCCGTAATAGCAGGTCGATTCTATCCCTCTTCTCTAGCGAAAGTTGAGGATTTTTGGTTCGGAGCTCGTTTCACTTGCAGAGACTATCCGCGTGTATGATTAGACATCGCCAAAGCCCACGCCAACCCGAGCCGAACCCAACCCAACCCGCAAATAGGTTGGGCTTTGGGCCCAGTCTTTGAGCCCACGATGGGCTGTGGGCTTTGCTTATGGGCCCCAAACAATGCAAACATAGCAGAGACTCGTGACTGCATAAAATATACAATCTTCGCTTGTATTTTTAGGTATTTCTTTACTTGACTCTCAATTTTTTTTTTTGACAAAAGCCTTAGTTTAAAGGTATTCATTTAGAATTTTAAATTTTAACGAATCTATCGTAGTGACCAAAACAGGCGTAAGAAACAGTATTTTATTTAGGTGGATCAGCAGCTTTATGACCGCCAAGACCTAGATTTTATGAAAAGTTGGGGTATGGGTTTAGGGCCCAAACGTGGGCTTTGACCAAGTCTAATTATACCCACGGATAAATAGTCTTAGGGTAACCTAGAGCCTACTAGCGGACATAGCGAACGAAGGATATATAAGGACACTCATTTATGTACTTAGTTTAGTTCTTCGTGTTCAACCTCACATTGTTACTTATGTTCATTGTTCAGAAACCCTTGGTGACTCGTACAACTTGATTATAACTTGATAACACTACGATCAGACCAATACTCCGGTATAGATCTATTCGGCGCTCTACCTAGCATCACTCCTCGATTCCCCAAAAAGACTTAGCCCGTATAAGGCCCGTGGGCAGCGGTATAGTTGAGAGTATAGATCGTTGACGTTGGAAAATATAGAAGCATGGGCAACTATAACCCAGGAATCCTCTAACATAGCGACGACCAGTTAGTCGTGCGTAACAAACGGGGTGGGCTCTCCTAGTAGAGGCTATTTAACATGGGGGACAGCGTTGCGGTGAATCAACGCTGACGTGTCGATACCTGTACGTTGTCGATCCTCTATAGTAGCGAGAGATCAATGCATGGTTACTAATGCATGCTTCCTGAAAGCTCCGTGACAAGCTTATTGAATTTGATGGCATTTTGGTTGAGAAAAATGCATTGTAATTAATGATTCATGTAGAGGGTGGGGTGGCCGCTCGGTAGTGAATTACGTTAATATGAATACCGAAGCATCACATATCAACCAACAACCGTAAAGCGGCGCTTCACCCTAAACTCACCCGGGCGGCAGCCAGCCGACTATCTGCTGCACATAAGCCACACGCCGGTAAGTTAGTAGTGAGTTGGGTGACCTCCAGCGTATTTATACTTAATAACATGTCTGATGCCCTTTTTCTTTTTCTTTCCTACTGTCATTAGAATACTAGGACATGTGTCAACCGGTAGAAACTATTACTAGAGAGTTGTAATCAAAACAAAACACCGGAGAATAAGTCAGCATGGGAGGAGAAGGACACGTCAGCGGTATAGGGGCGTGCAGGATATTTAGGTGTAGAATAGTAGGGCGGCAAGGATACAATATTGCAGGGAACATGACAAAAATGAAGAAAAAAAACATACAACAGTAAGGATTCGCTAGTGGTCACCCACCTAACTACTAACTTACCGGCGTGTGGCTTAAGTACGGCTGAGCGGACGGGAAGCCCTGTTCTCCACACCCTGTGGTCGTATGTACTAGATACATTATTGAATATAATTATGTGCTATTCATTAAATAATATATGTGCAGTAGTAGCGTTCTATCTCCGCAGTGCTCATGACATTGGTGGGCTTCTAACTTGGGTTGTACGATAGAGAGACAGGTTAATTAAATCGCACAATTGCCGAGAAGAAGATCAGGGCGAGTCGAACTTCAGTGACTTGGGCATCATCGTAGACAACACAGACTGCAGCGGCAATAATACCTAGGTTGCGTAGAAGTATATCTTCTAGTTCTGAAGGGGCTATTTGGAATCTGAGATACGTCAAAGGGATTAGCCAGTATCGATTAATTCATGAATTGAAACTAGGTAGATGGTTCGTAGGGACAGTGAGGTAGAATAATAAACCCCAAGTATCAATGTTAAATAATTCGGGGAAAATGACTAATAAACCTCATAGTGGACTAATAAACCTCATAGTGCCACGATTGGCCCCCAAAAAGAGCCCATTAGCGATAAACTTCGAAGCTGGTCTATTCCAGAGCATGTACCTGTTCTATACGCGTCAGTACCTAAGTATAAGTTAGTATTGGTGCCGTCCCTCCTGACGCACATCCCCTTGGTCGGTGATCGCGTTCAGGGCGCTAGAAGGGCCAACAGAACCGCCGAGAATGACTTGAAACGCATAAACAGCTGAAAGCCTCAAATACTTGACCATAAGCCTGATACTCATATATCAATCAAAAGCCACCACAACTATGATTGAGAAATTATACTTCAGCCCATACTTCGTTCTCAGGTTGGTTCAGACACTGTATTTGAACCAGGCATCCTCTGAACCACTATAATCTCTATAAGAGAAAATGCCCAAATTAGCTTGCCTCAAAGAATGGAAATGTGTTTAACACGCAAATATTAATGCCCAGAAGTATGTGAACGAATTGAGAGATTCGCTTTTATGGCTACCACTCTTAAGATTTCTTATCTTGTATGGGTGGTCTCTGGCGGGGATTCCTCTCAGTGGTTTTTGGCTTTCACCATGGAAGTATTTTGGTGGAGCGAGATCTAAGTCCAACCGACTCTGTCGCACCTGAGACAAATAGCCGAATACTGTCCATTTTTGGAGACCCTAGTGACCAATATACAATGTACATATGGCAACCTACAGGAAGTAGTTTTATACAGAACGTTGGGCTCAATTCCAAGACCGTGGCACCTCATGTTGGATCTCGATATTTCGGACTTTCAGCAACAGCCCGGTGAACCATTACCTGAAGATTCACATGATGAACTTACCTAGTGGCGGATTCCGTTTGATGCTGATGCTGAGGCGCTTCCAAGTTTGTGTCATACATAGCGGGCAGTGAGAAACAGCCACCAATGGACAAATCCGCGCCTCTCTGATCAATGCAGCGACCGAAAAGACACCAATATGTTCACTCCTCGAAATGGTGTTAGCTGCGAAACCCAAAGGATCGATATCACTAAAAGGAGTTGACATTAAAGCCATCAGAGTGGGTCATTTTGAAAGAGATATTTCTACGACGACGTGTGTGATGGACGTATTTGAAACTTTAGCAAAGAAGTGGCGGGTTGAACGGAGCCCACGCGATGGTACCGATGAGTTTGTGGCAACAGAACCAGGGATCCGGTATTTAGCGACGCGAAGAAAGTTTTGGATCCGGAGTTTGGCAATGTATAGCGCTCAATAAGGCCAGAACACGAATTAGGAGATTGGAAGAAGGAATGGCACAGCTTTGCGCTTGCTATCTGAATTTCAGTGAATTTGATGTTTCCCCCGAAGGCGGCCGTACATCTCAGTATGGCATTGAAGCTAGCACTTTGTTTCCTGTGCAGGTATGGTTCAGTTATAACTGACTTTATTTCTCTTTCGGAATGCATTGCCAAGTTTGATGATTCAGTTTCAATACTAAAATGAACATGATGACATAAAGTATTGCGCAAATTTCAACAAACGCATAAAAATAAAAGTAAGTGGAACATTTCATTCTTTCTTTCCTATCTCGGCGTGTGCTTTCTCGAAATTTTTTTTTCTTTTTCGTTTTGAGATGCTTTGAACTGATTTTACTGATCGTATAAGGTCGGGCACTATGGACACCCATAAAGCGCTTGCCGAGACCTTTTCCACCTCATAAGTTCAATCGAACCCTTCGGCCTTCTCCCTCCAGGTTCAGGCCGAAAGATAAGACCTTTCTTCAATTCTGCTTGATTGAAGCTCCTGGTATGCACAACATACGTAGCACCCTTCGAGAACCTTTTCCAACGCGGTGGTAGATCGGTATCCCAAATTGGGTCCAAACTCACTATTCCATCGACTTCCTGCACGTCGTTCTCTTCTCCTTGCTCTTTGTCATTCGAAGTCGAGCGAGCTACTGTTGCTCCATGTTTTGGATACGGCATATGCTTCCCAAATAAGTTAGACAGGCTGAGGCTCTCTAGCTTTGGCATCGATTGGCCAAGGTAAGCGAATATCGGAGTCCATGACCCAGTGGTCAAAGAACATTCATGCAACGTGAGAGATCGAAGGCCGGAGTGTTTCTGGAGAAGAAGTAGGATCGACTGTCCTTTAGCCATGAACCCGGAAAGCGCACAGCTTTCCAGCCTCGGGAAATGGGTTTCAGAGGCGATACTTTCAATGATTGAGTCGTAGCTGTGCAAGTTTCCACCTGAAAGGGCCCGACGGAATGATAAGTCCAATTCCTTAAGAGACGATGCATACTTGAGTATGCTTGTGACTCCAGGGTTTTCACCAGATAGCACTGCACGGGGATCTTCGTGTGATAAATGTCCCTTTGAAAAGCCAAATGTTCTGCGAGATGCTTTTTCATAATCACTTAGATCGTCTTCATCGGAGTCACCATTTTCAATAACGGCCTGTATTTCCGTAGAAATACTCAATTCAAACGACTCCAGACCGTTGCACAGTACGTGTAGCTGATTTGTATCGAGATAGGATGCATAGGCAGTGATATGACCGGATGGAATGCAGCATCTAGGAGTATTGCGATAGACATTAAGTTTCTTCACCGGTATCCGACTTTGCAATATGGCTGTCATAACCAAAGAGAATACATGCGACGCTCGCATCCAGAGCGGATGCCACTCCCCATTCTGAGTTGATTCTCTCTGGGTACGTCCGGTGATGGCGGCACCGTCCAAGTGAATGGCATCCAACTCGCCAAACTCTGTGAGCGCAAGTTGGAGAAGTTCAATCATCTCGCTCGACGATTCATTGTTCCTGAGTTCTTCCTGTTCTTTCAACCACTTCAAATCGGATCCAGCATCTGAAAGTTCCTTGGGGGTATAGGCGACCGTAGTGGCTGAAACAAAGGGCCCATTGACCTCCCGTACAATGTATGTTCCAGATGCCACATTCTTTTTTAATTCCGAAGAATCCAAATTTGTAGCTAATAATGTCAGAGAATGAATCCCCTTTTTAAGTGTACGATTGCAAGCTAAGGCCCGAAGAGAACGAAGATTCTGTGGCGATACATCGAAAGTTGGTTGTTGGATGGAGCCCAGGAACCGGGGTCCAATGCACCTTTCTGCGAGCTTTCGGTCCGTGAGACGAAGAGCTTTGACTGTGTCAACATCAAGGTACGTGAGAATTGTCTCGAAGACTTCTGGGGCTAGCGTAGTTAGGTTCATGGCGAGTGATTAATTCTGGCGTAAAACGAGCCATTGAAAGTGAGACAATCTGATGAGGGGTTTGTTTGGGGGCCGGTAAACCGCCCGGAAAAGATGCCTGAACGAATTTAGAGAAAAACACATCACGAAAATCATCTTTCATACACATAATAGGGTGTTTGACTAAATTGAGTCGGGGATTCTGAGCATAGTATTTCTAACATTTTTTGGTATCATTTCTACTGCCATGTGGTTACTTCTCATTGTACGCAGCCACCTTGAACCCGTGCCGTGGAGCATGCACCCTCACACTCATATCTCCAATTGTTTCAACCGTCAATTCCTTGCTATTCAAACCAATGAGTCTCCCCAACGTTTTGTGTCGTGAGCCTGTATCGGTCGGCCAAAGCTCTACTAATTGCCCCTGTTGTAGATCACTCGAATTATTTTGTTCCTGGCTTGGGCTTTCGTTGTATGCGGATGCGACGATTTGTTCCGCAGCCTCCTCTCCTGAGAGTTCTCGAGGCCTCGATAATTGGGCTTCTCGCGCTGAAACCATGGCTTGCAGTCTTTCAACCCATCCAAAGACTTGAGGGAAGACCTTCGATGAGATTTCGTTCTCTGCGAAACACCCCGGTGTTGTAAAAACCCAGTGTAGGGGCCATGACATCTCAATGTCCGCCAAGCTAGGAGTCTTTGTATTCATGATCCATTCGCGGCCGTCGGCCAGGAGCGTTGTTTCTAAAAGCGCGATGATATTCTTCACCTCGTTGATTGCCTCTGGTCGGGCGGCCATTAGTGCTTCTTCATTCAGTGGAATAGTATCACCAATCAAATCCATTCGGTCTTTCAGAAACACCGAATTGCTCAGAGCCGGCGAGCTAGCCAGCAAAATGATGACCACATATCTTACTAAACCAGCATCCATCACCAAAGTCTCGAATAACCGAGAGAGAATTTTGGACTCTGGGCTTGCATCAGGTGTGAAATGAGGTCCGTCCTGCGCGAGGTCTTCCAGCTTCTGGAGAATGAGACGAGAGTCAAGGTAAATGTCACGGCCTATAGAGAGGACAGGAATCCGCCGATAATGAACTCCCAAGCGGGCGAGATCGGGCCGTGGAAGGATTCGAGGTTGAATCTATATTTTCTGGTCAGCTTTCACATCAAGAGCAGGTGAGGGCGGATCTCTTCCTGCGTACACATTTCATGTAACCAATATCCCGCAACGCAAGGTAACAAGTCACTCTTCGGGAGAATGGGGATCCATCATAACAGTATAGAATGACAGGTAGACCGGAAGATGATGACATATTGGCGTTAATACTCCAGAAAGGCCCACTGACCGCTAGTATAGAGAATACAGATGTGGGAGACCGGGAGTTAGCGTTCTCTATGAAAGTGCGGGAGGAAAAAAGCCTCCGGATAAGCTCAACTGAAGCGGGGCTTGGGCCTAGTCTAATTCGAGTATCATGTGGCGCTCTGACAGACATGTTGGCGTCACAACAGCGCCTCAAGGATTTACGCTCAGGTCGCTTCCATTCCCTCGGAGCTTGGTGGAACTTGCTCCGTGTTTTGTGAATTTTAAGTCACCAGTGCAAGATGTCACCGCAGTTTTGGATTCTTTGAGCTTGGGGTTCATATCCATCACACGAGTATAGCTTATGGTAAGTTGTATAATTAAGCCTTGATAGGGTCCCACCGACTTCACTGCGCAAGATCAGGTCCTGGTAACCCGATTAATATATTACTATATAGTGTGAGCCACAAGACAAAGATATCAAGTTTTGTATGGCACAAGAATGCGGTATATTCTTGCTAGTGAGAAAGATGAGGAAGGCCGCACGTCAATGGGCGTCGAGTGGTAGCTCTAAATCATACGGAGCGTTCACGTCTCGACTTGGTTGCTCTTATCCCTACCATAGTCCAATCGCTCCCATCTCATCACTAGCCCGCAGACGAGACAGATGGCACCGCCGGCCACGACTAAATAAAACTCCCGCCCAATCACAGTGGCAACGGCATCAATCCCACGAGAAAGAACTTCTGGGTTGTCGGACTGCCACACTACTGACGATACACCAGCAAGCGCCTCACGCAGATCTTTTTCCGAATACCCATTATCACCAATGGCGTCCGTCAGCAGGTTGTACCCTACATTTTGGAAAATCGAGCCCGCAATCGCCAAAGCAATTGCAATGCCGCCCATCTGCGCCATGTTGAACATGACCGCGCTATCGACGCGGTCGCGGGGGTTCTTGTTTATCACATTTGAGACACCCACCCCGTGCTGGAATGAACAGCCAAGACCAACGCCAATGAGGGCTTCCAAGCCTAGCACCTGGGACTCGGAGACATCGGGACTCAGTGTGCCGGCCATAGCACCTGCTCCTGCGACGGTTGCAATGCCAGCAACGATATAGATCAGGTTGTAGCGACCAAACATCGGGAGCGAACCCCCTACGAGGATGACCACGGCGATGAAGACCAGAACGAAAGGAAGAAGGCGAACAGTTTGCTCCATCGCGCTGTGGCCGCGAGCGAACGCAAAGAAGAGTGGCGTGTAGTAGAGTGTGATGGCGTACGACGCCCCCGCACAGCCAGACGCGACCCAAAGTGGAAACAGGTCAACCCGGCTGAGCAAATGAAGGGGAATGGCGCGTTGCTCAGGCGTTGTGCCAATGCACCAGTATTGCTGGATTACCCATCCTAACAGGACGACGCCGAAGATCACCCAGACCGCGATAGACGCGCCAGAGCCCCAGTCCCACACAGGACCGGAGAATTCCAATGCTAGGGCGAACAGTACTGGGGTAGTGATGTTGAACACGATACCCAGTGGGTCAATGGCCATCAATCGGGAGGCTAATGGAGTGTCTGGCCCTAAATATTTCCGAGGAAGGCAGAGAATGGCGACCGCAAGACTGAGACCTACCCAGGGTAGATTCATGTAGAAAGCCCATCGCCAAGTGGTGTGTCTGTTCGAAGCGAGAGCGGACCCGATAGGACCTCCAATGACGAGACCCACTGCCCATGTTGCGCTCAGCAGACCGAATAGACGAGGTGTCTCATCGGGCGTGGCGAAGACGGCAACAAACGTCAAATTGCTATGTCACTGTGAGCTTTATGATTCTAGCAACATCAGATTTGGACTGCAGTAGACCTTTGGTAAACAACAGCACCACCGACACCCATGATTATTCGTCCCACAATGACCGCAGGGAGATTCGGGGCTGCGCCAGCCACAGCAGCACCGGCCATAAAAACAACAGCGCTAGCGATATAGATCCATTTCATGTCGAAGCAGTACAAAATCTTCCTGGAGAGAGATAGTACGGCAAACACGGCGAGACTGAAGGACAGGCTGATCCATGGCAAGAGCGTAATGTTGCCGAAGGCCTGGTAAAGGGCGGGCTGGATATTGGCGACGTTGCTCACATCATAGCCTAGAACAATGACTTTGTCAGAATGATAAATTGGCATGCACCAGGTGCTATGATACGTGGGATCGACCGACCATTAATCAGGGTTGTCAGAATGAGAACTGCAAGGGTTCCTTTCCATTTCCAGTCGGGAATGTGGCTGCGAGGATGAGTCTCTGGCGACAGTGAGGTCTCCTCTTTCTCTAATTTTTCTGATGATGACATGTTGAGGTCAATAATGAGCAATGGCTTTTGACGATTAAGGTGTCAATACAGGTCAGCGAACGACTTTGGCTGCAAGGGAAGGGTGGTTCTTGTAGATACATATTACCTTTTTGGACCCCAGAGAGGTGGGGCATGAATCATGAAAGAGCGGTGTTTTATCCGCGTCTGACAAAGGGTCGCCTGATATATTCCATAAATAACCTCCAAGTGGCAGCGCTAATGCAAGACAGACAAGGATACTGACCATGTCGTTCTTTGTACTGGTCCGAATATCTTCTAGATCTAAACCCACTCATTGCGATTTCCAACATGCCCGGGCCCACTAAAAAAAGACATCTAATCCAGTATTCTAGCCTTCAATGGAATATAATTGGTATGAAGTCAGCATAGTTGCTTACCACCGAGTCTGTATCCCATCTGCTAAGCGCGGGGACACCTGGCACCATAGAAGCACTCTACAGCCTCAAGTAATCATGATCGGCACGCCCAGAGAAGTGTTGGTTATGCCCAGGGGTATCGGATTAGGAAAAATGCAGCGGTCAGTTGAAGTTGGCGACACAAGAGTGGCTGCCGTAAGGCTTTCAGGCGTTCCACCACCATCATCATCATCTTATCTCGCAAGGATCTTGGTTTCGTTGTTCACCTACGCTAAATATAGAGTCAGATATAGCTGGTTCATTATAAACGATATCACTCTCTAATCTCTATATAATGAGTGAAAGACTTGTTTTGTTTATTCAATAATGCGACGGCATAGTGCAAGTAAATTCACTTGGTAGTGCCTTTTTACCCATTTTTGCCAGCCTTCTTCAGTCCTTGATATACTGAAGAATCTCTAAATAAGGTTTTTATCATTACTCACTTCTTCTACTTTGTATATTGACCAGACCCTCTTTCCCATTCACCTATCACACCATATCTGAGTCAAAAGCGCATCTTAACACCTCCTCCACTGGTACCACAACACTTGAAAACATTCTCATGCATAACTGGCTCGTCCCAGCCTTTGTGGCACTCGTCTTTGTATGTTGTCTGCTTCTCTCGGTATATTCCACCTTGCGTCATGTCCAGAAAGCTCGCAGGATGGGCTGTGGGAAAGCCCCTGTCTACCCCAGCCAGGACCCTTTCGGTATTTCCACCCTCCTCGAGACGCTTGAAGCAGCGAGAGATAAAATGCTCCCACAACTTGCAGAGAGACGGATAGCTTTCCTGTCACGTCAGCATGACAGATACGTTTCTACCTTTCGTATGTGTCAGGCTGGTCGGGAGAACTTGTTCACGGCAGATCCCAAGAATGTCCAGGCCATGCTGGCGACTCAGTTTAAGGATTTCGGCCTGGGTGATACGCGCCGTAACGTAGCGGGTCCTGTCGTAGGTCATGGAATTGTGAGTCTTCTCCCTGCGTCGGAAGTAGCCTTTTCTCTTAGGCGAAGTTTAGCTAATTAGACCTAGTTTACTACTGATGGCGAGGATTGGTCACGTTCCAGATCACTGCTACGACCTCAGTTTACGCGAGATCAGATGAGCAATCTTGATAGAGAAGAACGTCATGTTCAAAATGCGATGCGTGCCATTCCAATGCTATCTGACGGCTGGTCATCCGAAGTGGATATTCAGTCCATCTTGTTTCGTCTCACCCTTGACTCGGCTACGGAGTTTCTTTTCGGTAAAAGTTGTGAAAGCCAAATTGCTGCCACGAAACAAGAAGCGGGACAAGCCTCTGATGATACCTTTCTCTACGGATTTGACCGGTGCATGTGGTATCTCGCGGAGCGACTCCGGTTCGAGCGGCTCTATTGGATTATACACAACCAGGAGTTTCGCAAGTGTATCGACACTGTGCATGGCTTCGTGGACAAGTATGTTCACTCTGCTCTATTGCAGGCACAGCAGCAAGAAGAGAAAGCCCAGGGCAACGAAAAGGTCACATCGCAGTATATCTTCTTGCAGGCCCTGACTGGTACTACAAGAGATCCTGTCAGGCTGCGCGATGAATCATTAAACGTCCTTCTAGCAGGCCGTGATACAACGGCTTCTCTGCTGAGCTGGACGATCCTCCTTCTCGCGCGACATCCGCATATCTTCGCAAGACTTCGATGCGACATCATCAAGAAGTTCGGTACTTATGATCAGCCAAGCACCATGGATTTTGCAGCTTTGAAGTCATGCCAGTACCTCCAGCATTTTCTAAATGAAACCCTTCGTCTCTACCCGGTCGTACCTTTCAACCGCCGTTGCGCGACAAACGATACTACTCTCCCTCGTGGCGGTGGGAATGACGGCACATCCCCGATATATATTCGCAAAGGACGTACAGTCATGTACAGCACCTACGTCCTACACCGTCGAAAAGATATCTGGGGCGAGGATGCTGAAGTGTTCAATCCGGACCGGTGGGCCGGCCGAAAGGTCACCTGGGAGTATATCCCGTTCAATGGGGGACCCAGAACGTGCATTGGTCAGCAGTTTGCTTTGATGAGGGCTAGTTATGTACTGGTGAGATTGTTGCAGAGATTTGATAAGATTGAGGATGTGCACTCTGATAGGGAGATTCGTTATGGAGTTTCGCTTACTTCTTGTCCGGCTGATCCGGTGACTGTGAGATTGCATCAGGCAAAGATGGAGCTTTGAGTGGTTTTACAGGATCTGTCTAATAGTGGTAGCTGTGGATTTGATCTCCTTGAAATATACTTTGAGACCATCAAAAGATTTCTCCAAATCATCACGGGGAGTGTCACCTCACAGATCTAGATTGTGTTCAAAAGTTGCGTACTAGGGAAGAAAAGACTAGGGAGCAAAAATTGATGGAGCGAGAGAGAATAAAAGGGATCTTGGAGGATGATGAATTCTTTATGAGGAAGCCACCTAAGCAGGCCTTGGCAAACAACTGCAAAACAACTGGCAAACAGATGAAGTATCAGACACAAGTGTCTTGAAAAGGAGGAAGGCGGACAAATGCAAAGCCCATATCGATAATAGTCAGTGTGCCTGGAGCGAAAGTCCAGCCGATCTGATGGTTTTATTGGAATTGCCATTACTGCCGACCACAGATCCCGACCCGAAGAATGAAAATTATACTGCTTGAGATTCATGACGCATCAGGCATGAATCTGGTGATCAGCATTAGACCTACCATGTCAAGTATAGATCAGGAGAAAAAGTTATCATTTATATAGGGTCTTTCACTCAATGAGTAAAAGACCAGGCTTAAACAACCTCGTCGGCCTTGACATAAATGCTTCCCAATCCAGTAGACATCCAAGTTCGACATATACCATCGGGAAGTATATATATCCAGCATAGACATTCATAACACTATTAATAGGCCACAACATCTTCTTTTCAATCAATATAGGGGGCCTTCAATATTACGTTGGGACATATAAAGTAAGGAGCATGCTAAAAGGACACCCCCCACCCCCAAGTGCTAAATCTACGTTTGTATTGGCGCAAAATGTGCGGTCAATCAGAGGTACTTTTGTTAAAAGGTGTAGCTCGTTAAGTATGCTTCATCCTTCTGTCTCTGCATACACCATATTCGATTTCGTCTGATTGACTCTGACTTTGGCTAACTATTTTATGTTTTTTATATGAGTTCAGCCGCCCGCCATCATAGAGATTCACAACTCCACCCCCCGCAACTGAAAGAGGACTCCTATCTCGCCGTGAGCTTAATTTTGAGAAATTTCAAGGAATTGCGCAAGGGAGAAGAGCAAACGCAAGAAAGGTGCATGCCTGTGATCGGATCATAGCCTATTCAAGGCCACTCCACAATTCGCATACGACTTCCTCGTGGCCACCCTGGATAGATCTGAACATGATGTGATGTTTTTACGACCTGCAACCCCTGGGCTTAGAGGGCGGAACAGACAATGGAAGAGTAACATGAAGCCGTGGGCATGGTTGAAATTCTCCTGCCGTTCGTTCACCAGCAACGACACTTGGGCGCTCGAGTTCCCATCGCCACTCAAGAACCGAAATTTCATCTATTTTCTTTAGCGCTATTCAACCCCACCATCATCTACAGCTTCTCACGGCAGAGTGCCATCAGCTCAAAAGCCATTTTCTTATGTCAAGGTATCGCCGCCTAATTATCCGCAACTATTGCTCTTTTGTCATAATATAAACCCTTCTTTGACCTATTTTGTTTATAGAACCTACCCTGCTTGTGAATAATGAAATTTCAAGGTAATGAAAAGAGGCAAAAAATAAGCCAAAAAAGGCGGGGTTAGAGTAAGGTAAGAATGATATTTGCGCTTTCCTCATGTGTACTATCAGGCTGCCATAGCTTCTCATCTCCGGCATGGTATGGTTCAAGGTCATCAGTGAACAGTTCGCAGGACATCAATTCAAGTGGATCTGATGTCGGAATCTCACCTGGTTACAACTTTTGCTAACCTTCCCGCCAAGAAAGATTGAAAGATCGTGAAGAACAGTCAAAGAGCCCGCTGCTGAACTTGGAACGGGTTCAACATCCCAAAGCAGACAAGGGAAATTATGAACTTATTCAAGGCCTAGGGCACTAGCAAACACTAGTAATCTGCTGGCTGTTCTGAGGATAAGCAACTATTTCGTCTTGGAAATCTGCTACTGTAAGAACGGCGTCGGATCCAGAACCACATCTCTTTTGACCACCGCTTCTGCCACTCAATAATGGGAAAAATAGAGTTAGTTCAAAATTCCGGCGTAAGCTAGCTCGGTTTTACATGACCCTCGGCACTTAGTTTTATTCTCAAAAGGAGAATTTGTCGTCCATTGAAAAGACTCGGCTGAAGAATTGACCCGGGCTGCATTGGTTCGTATTCGGGACATTCGCCGAACGTGATGAATCAAATTAGTTGACTCAACCAAGAATGGAACAAACTCTATGGTAGGGTTGCAGCTCACCCTTGCATGGATGATAAAAATAGATACTACCGGTCAGAGTCACGAGAAAAGGAAACAAACGACTCCTTGGATTGCGGATAGACTTCGTCCGCGCTTACTCCATATTCTGAGCTAGTGGCCTCCGCAATGATTATTTAGTGAAGATTATTGAATGGGACTCAGACGATCGCGATCAATTGTATTAAACTTCAACTATTGAACGATACTGTATCTGATTAAGTACGGTGACAGCTTCCGGATCGACAGGCACGACTAGATCAATGATCTATTGAAAGGCTAGATTCTACAGCCCGTAAGTATACAAAGACATTCCCTTCCATGCTGAGACTTTCAATAATAGGATATTTAGCAGGGAGAAATAATGCCTCGGTTGCATACCAATACAGTATGTACATACACAGGCACAGGCCCCGGAAATGACATGTTCACAAGGGTGTGGCGTTGTGGACCTCGGCCCCGGGTGCTTGAAAAAAGTTGGCAAAAGAGAAACAAAAAGTACCAGTAGAAAATGCAAGAACCAAAACTGCATATCAGACTTGTCACTGTCGCAATGAATCGAGGGGGTGCTCCGTAGTCCCTACATTGTTTACTAGATCTCGCTTATCGAGATACGTCCACCTAGCGGACAGTGTGGGCCAAAACAGGAACAAAAAGGGGCGGTGGGGTCTGCAATTCAAGGGTCGTGGCGCACAAACAGGTTGGGGTTGAGGGACATGACGGACTCCCTGCGAGCTACATATGGCCGAGCCTAGAATGTGGTTCCTTAATTTTGGTGCCTGCACAATGATACGTCGATTCTCGGAGCTGCGGCAATGCGTCGGATTTTTGCACTAGCGTCCCCTGGTACCTGCATGTTCCTGCATGAGTAGGCGGAAACAAATGGTTCGCACTTGGAGCTGAGATGAGGCGCAACGTGCCTGACCAGGGGTCGGTCTAGATAGCAATGCAGAACGAGGTAGACGCAGGGGTTTGGGAAGACCTGTGAAGGCACTGACAATATGAAATGAGCCGGTCTATCCCGTCCGCAGTGCAGGGACTGCGAAAACTGGAGACATATCCATCGGATTCGGATTTGTAATGACATATCAAAGGGATCATATGCATGAATGCTTATGTTGGATGGAGTACGGAGTACACGTCGGAACTGAATCCGCGTCTAAGAAGAGTTCAAACTAAGGGGTACAAAAGGGTAGAGCATTGAATGTTTAAATGGTAAGAGTCAGATCCGATAATATACGCTCAAAAGTCCATAATAATCGTATACTGTACGGGATACAGGGCGGCCCCTGAGCCCGCGCAAAAATCATCACGATCCGGGAGGGGCGGTGTGGGGGAACTAGTCGAACTAAACGACGCCCTTAAGCAATCACAATTACGCCACTGGAACTAGCGGCTCAGGATGTGGAGTTTAATGCCTGCGCTTGCTTGCTGGGTTTAATTATTATCTGCATTTCAAAGAAGCTGGACTTGTGATCCATCCGAAGGGGGAATCATCCAATGAGAATCCTTGCGAATAGGGAAATTGGACCGGTTTGGTCGCTTTGAAGCGACTCAATGCTACTTGGCTTGTCAACTTGGCAGACCCTTTTGGGATCTGATCGACGTTATCCCCTTTTCAAAGTGGACGACTGGACGACTGGACGGGCTGTTGTGTTGGTCCGGCACCTATAAGGCGATCATCGTCCGCTTCCTCTTCTTCTCTTTTCTCTTCGTGCATAGTATCTGTTTCAATCTGTTGTGATTTATTCACTTGTCTCTCTTTTTGCTGTTCGCAGCGTCCATTCTTTGATACTTTTGTTACGCTCTTTTAAGAATCCTCGGATATCTACGTTTTTTTATACACGATGAAGCAGTCCCTTATCACTTCCCTCGTCGCCCTCGCGGCCTCCTCTGTAAGCAGAGACCCTGACATGTTTCATGAATGTGGAGCTAATATATCATGAACTATAGGGTGTTCAAGCCACTGAGAGCTTGATCAGCGTCCCCGTTGGTCTCTGTACTGGTATCCTCGGCGAGGCTGAGTGCAAGCAGCAGAGCTCCAACGGCGGTCTTATCAACGTCCCCGTCAACGCCTGTGTTGGTGCTCTTGGTAAGGCCAAGTGTGACCAGGCCTCTACCGCCAGCTCCGATGAGGGTTCTTTGATCAACGTCCCCATCAACGTCTGCCTTGCTGTCCTCGGCGAGACTCACTGCAACCAGAAGGCCGACACCAACGGTGGCCTCATCAACATCCCCGTCAACCTCTGCCTTGCTGTCCTCGGTGAGGCTGACTGCAACCAGCAGACCGGTTCCGCCACCACTTCTGGCGCTGGTGCCTCTTCCACCGGCTCCTCCGGCTCCGGCAGCCTGATCAGCGTTCCCGTCAACCTCTGCGCCGCTGTCCTCGGCGAGGCTGAGTGCGAGCAGAAGACCGCCTCCTCCGGTGGTCTCATCGACGTACCCGTTAACGCTTGCGTTGCTGCTCTTGGCAAGGCCAAGTGTGACCAGATCGCTGGTGGCTCCTCCGGCAGCGGCAGTGGTTCCGGCAGCCTGATCAACATCCCCGTTGGTCTCTGTGCCGCCGTCCTCGGCGAGGCCGAGTGCAAGCAGAAGACCGCCCCCTCCGGTGGTCTCATCAACGTCCCCGTCAATGCCTGTGTTGCTGCTCTTGGCAAGGCCAAGTGTGACCAGGTCGCCGGTGCCACTGGCAGCGGCTCCAACGGTGGTGGTCTGATCAACGTCCCCGTCAACGTCTGCGCTGCCGTCCTCGGTGAGGCTGAGTGCCAGCAGACCTCCGGCTCCAACGGTGGTCTCATCAACATCCCCGTCGACCTTTGCCTTGCTGTCCTCGGTGAGGCCGAGTGCAACCAGGGCTCTGCCTCTACCACTACTCCCGCTGCTGCCTCCTCCACCCCCTGTGACACCATCACCTCCGAGCACATCGGCAGCACTGTCATTCCCGGCGCCTCTGAGACTCCCTCCGCCGTTGGCCCTACCGGTGCCTCCACTACTCCCTGTGACACCATCACCTCCGAGCACATCGGCAGCACTGTCATTCCCGGCGCCTCTGAGACTCCCTCCGCCGTTGGCCCTACCGGTGCCTCCACTACTCCCTGTGACACCATCACCTCCGAGGAGATCTCCAGCACTGTGATCCCTGGTATGCCCGTTCCCTCCGGCTCCGCTCCCTCTTCCGGTGCTGCTCCTTCCGTCACTGGTCCCGCTGGTCCTTCTGGTGTCTCTCCCTCCGGTGCCTCCACCACCCCCTGTGACACCATCACCTCCGAGGAGATCTCCAGCACCGTGATCCCCGGCATGCCCGCTCCTTCCGCCCCTGCTGGTCCCTCCGGCGGTGCTCCTTCCGGTCCCGCCCCCGCTGGTCCCTCCGGCTGGTCCCCCGTCTCCTCCGGTGTCCCTCACCCCACCGCTCCCGCCATGTCCTGGTCCACCCACATCGTCACCAGCACCGTCAAGGTCTGCAACGCCGCCTGCTCCTCCAAGTCCATGATGATGTCCAAGTCCATGAGCGCCTCCAAGTCTTCCTCCACCGCAATGGTCGCCCACACCTCCCCCGCTGCTGGTAACGGCAACGGCAACGGTAACGGCGCTGGTGCCGGCTCCTCCGCCACCGGGGCTGTCGCTACCCCCTCCTCCAGCACCGTTCCCTTCAACGCTGCTGGCCGCACCACCGTTTCCGGCCTCGCCGTTGTCTTCGGTGCCCTCTTCGCTGCTGCTATGCAGTTCTAAATGTTAGAATAGACTTTGGTTTGTCTATGTTCTAGCGTTTTGTTCGCTGCATTGTTTTGCTAGAAGTGGGTCTCACGACGTTGTTGTCAACCACTGTTGACGTTCATATTTTGTTTCCCTTCTTGTCAGATATCCCAGTCTTACTATATTTTATCTTCTATTTCAGTGGCTTCAATCGGCCTGAACATAGTTCTCATATAATACTACGATATACGTCCTTTGATTTGTTTATTTTGTAGTTGTCGTAGCATAATCAAGCCTTTGTATATAGAGGCCATCAGTCCGTTCGTGCCAAAACCTTTGTATGCTTTACAGAATCTTGCCTCGCTGTCCTCGGAAATGGGCCAGAAGCCCCGATAAAGATGCCTAAGTAAGGCGAACAGAATAATGAGACGGCACACTAACTTCGAGGCTTTCTTATGAAAATATCCAGGTTAATACTACAAATCATTGTCTACAGTACAGTTAATTGGATGTAAAATCTAGAGGGGTATATAGTTATACTCAATGGTTGAACTAGTACATACGACCACAGGGTGTGGAGAACAGGGCTTCCCGTCCGCTCAGCCGTACTTAAGCCACACGCCGGTAAGTTAGTAGTTAGGTGGGTGACCACTAGCGAATCCTTACTGTTGTATGTTTTTTTTTTGGATCTTTTATGCTTCTATCTGAATATGCGGGATATAATTGTTCGGGAAGGGGTTTAGATATCTGGATTTAGCCAGGGAATTGCAAATTATAGGAGCTAGTTACATATATACGTAGGGTTGGTACCAAAGCCGGTCTCAAGTAGTTAGTCATAGTTCATTAGTTCAAGATCTCCGAATGATTTCACTAGCAGTCTGTCTTATTAGCTCGCTATGACTTCCCCTTCCTAGCGCCCAAGATTACTTTTCTTCCCGCTTTATATCGTTATCTGTATCCTCTGCTCCTTTGCACCAAGTGCTATATGGCTGTCAAGGTCAAGACCCCAAGCTATTGCTTGAATCAGCGAAGTTGAATACGATTTTGCCGAGTAACATGACTAGTTGGACGATATACGCCGTGTGATTTCACCCCACGGTGAGGTAGAATAATAAAACCTACGTATCAATATCTGTTAAATAAATCGCGAAAAAATAACTAACAAACAGTCTTCTAAAAGCTAGGTATTCTAAGTTACGAGCTTGTTGAACATAATGCTGTTGTTAGAAACTAGGTCGCTATAGATGTAATCCGTTTCGTACAATCAGAAGGAAGAGTACCGCGCACAAGTGTACATGTCTGGAGCGAGATAGTCATCGACAAAAACGCAGTCATAGTTGGAAGCAGTTCTAGCTTCGGTGGCCTCAATGGACACTAGCCATAATCATGTCCCGTATAATAAAAAAAGGAAATCCAAAAAAAACATACAACAGTAAGGATTCGCTAGTGGTCACCCACCTAACTACTAACTTACCGGCGTGTGGCTTAAGTACGGCTGAGCGGACGGGAAGCCCTGTTCTCCACACCCTGTGGTCGTATGTATTAGGTTCGCCATTAAATGTAGTCATATACCATTATTTAAATACATTGCGGCTACATCTGCTAAACAAATAAAGTTTATAATGACTGTATTTAGCTGATAATTCCATGTGTTCCATATCGTTGGTAGATAATCTTGATACAATGTATATAATTATCAGAAAAAAATGGAATTTAGAGTTACAGTCGTGATGGACTTGGAAGCCCAGGGAGATGCACGGTATATATATAAAAACAGGGGTCACAAGTCCTTTTACCACACCCACCTTTACGTTATCACCATAACCAACTCGAAAGCCCCAAGAAACGGGAGAAAAAAAGAGACAGAACTAGAAGCTTCACTCCAAGCGTTTGGTGTAAAGTGCACTGTACACAGTTATCATTCTCCGTCGTACGTATGGAGGCACCAAGCCATGGCTAAGGCGCTCTGCTCTTATTTTCCGGCGTAAGGACTGAGTTATTGCATTTAGGTTGCTATCGTATCGTCCTTATTTTACACCAGACACATAATAGATTCCCACTAGGACTATGTCTCACTCTAAGAATTCAAATTTCCCTCGCGTGGATGTCAATGGAGCCCTTTAGTTCTAGTCAGAACACAACATGGTGCGATGAGCATGATAGAGTTTGATCATTAAAAGCCTGACACAAGGAGTGCAACTTGTTACATAATATTGGCCTCCCATTGAATGATAGAATATATTAAATCGGTTCGGTCGGAAATGGATATCTTGACTGGATCCCGCTTGCGCCGAAAATGCTTGGCACGTGGCGCAGACTACGGTGAATGTGCGGTGGTTTCAACGAATATAGCAACCCTTAATATTAAATCTTTCCAAGGTACTCTTTTGCTAGGTTTAACAACCCAGGGGCTGTCTCTTAAGTACTTTCTTCAGGTCCCTGACAGACATCGGGCGGTACATAATTATCTGCTAGGCTTGCAATGGTCCTCTCTTCGCCAAACGGTCAATGATTGCGACATGCGCAATAGCGTCATGTATGCTGCTACTGAGTTTTAACCTGCTGAAAACCCAGTGCCCCGTGGCCCGGGTGGTTCGTCCAGACACTACCATAGGCAATACAAAGACAGAAGCATTCGGCGGTCTGGACCCTCACTGGACAACCGAACAAGAGGAGCCTAGGCTTGCGTCTGTTCAATATGCGACTTATTTTGACTAACTGTGTAATGCGGTAGGTATCAAAGAACACAAACGAGCTAGCCAAGGTACTATGCATACCAAGTTCCATGCGTTTGCTCTGACCGAGTACACGCGCGTACTGGTGTTCGACTCGGATTCCATGGTGCTAGACAACATGGACTTCTAATTCCTCTCACCTCTTGCCCCTTTAGCGGTTCCTCGTGCCCACAGCTCAAAGACAAGGATGCTAAAATCAAGGATCGGATATTCGGATCACATCTGATACTCATTCAGCCAGATGAAGACAAATACCGCCGTATAATTGAGGAGGCGATATCGTCGAGAGCCTTTGATATGGAAGTATTGAACCATCTGTTTCGCGACTCAGCGATGATTCTGCCGCATCGTCGGATTGCATTGCTGATAGGCGAGTTCCGTTCCAAATATCATGACATTTACCTGACGGAGGATAAGATAGCGACTATAGAATTATCGACTGAAATGTCTTCCCAATTTGAGATTGATTGGAACGGGAACACAAAGCGAAAAAAAAGTTCCCATCGAGAACTACTCAGCCTATGAGTAAAACGTTGGGCACTAAACACGATTGATATAATGCTGAAAATTGAATATAAAATTTAAATATTCAATCAGAAAACATAAAACCTCTATAAAGCAAAAGCAAAAGCAAAATGAAACCCTTTTCCTTCGTCCATCGTCAACTCAAGGTTTGTTCAACTGCTCATTGCGGAAGAACATAAAGAAACCAACAGGGATCGCCAACTGACAAATCAAGGCAATCCAAAACCAGGGCTTCGAGATACCCTCAATAATGCCCGCCGAAAAGTCGGGGAACACATCTCCAGGTCCATCACGATCCGGAGCAGTAGACCGAGCAACCAAAGTTGTCACTGTACCGATCAACTGCGCAGCGCACAACGATGCCGCAATATGGATTCGCGTGAGTGTCTGCAATAGAATCATACCGAATCCTACTCCTTGAATGGAATCCAAGACTCCTAGCCATAGCCAGACTGCTCGGGCACCGATCGCGTATCCAGTTGGACCGCCCAGCATCCACGGCACCCACCAGCCGATACCAGATGTGCTCCAGAGCATCTGTGCCCACCGTGGGGCGCCGAGTCCGATAGCGAAGATGGCCATGATCCAAGAATGACTTTTGGATCGCCAAGCCAATATCGCCAGGAGCACATACCAGACTCCGAGGAAGAATGCCACGGCAAGCAAGAATATCGCCCAACGTGGCACGTACTTAGATGCCCAGAGATAATTCCAATTTCGTTGGTAGGGCATGCTGAGAAAGTAGTTCTGTAGTACCACTGATACTGAGAACCAGATGATGACCTTGCGTCGGAGGATGCTCTTGTAGAAAGCTGGGATCTTGCCAGGGGTCTGACGGTAGTAGCTGGGTAGCCCGGCGAATAGGACCACTGAAATGCCGAATAAAAGAGCAGCTATCGGCATCGTGATTGCTGCGACAGCGCCCGCATTCTCAAGAACCCCTCTGCCATTTCCTGAGGCGATATCAGCGCCCCAGAAGAAGAGTGCAGCGATGTAGAGATTCTGAGTGCCTTGAATGATGCAGGCGCGGTACACCCAAGATTCAATCTTTGAACCACCTGCAAGAGGGTTAGCGAAGAAATGATAAAGGGTGTGGAAAGACCACGTACAATCATCTCCAAAATTGAGCGAAAAGAACATATATCCACTGGAAGAGCCAATGATGTAGAAAGCAGTGGCAATGTGATATGTCCAATCTTGGCCATTGCCCTTGGGAACAAATGCTGCAATACCAATAGTCAAAAATGCCAGACTGTAAAACACAAAAGGTAGAGAAAGTAGATAAAATGATGGGATGCGCCGGAATGCGAGCCACCAACAACAGGTTGTGACAATATAAACACTTCCCAGAAGATAGAGAGTGATGGGGCTTGAGCCTGATGGCGAGGTAAGTAGTGTAATCTGAGATGAGTTGGCGGCCATAATCTGACCCAAGGCGAGAATGATGGAGTAGACTGGCCAGTCAAACACGCGCGTCAACAACCAGCGTTGGATCAAGGGCGGTCGCTTGAAAGCTGCAGGTCGCAAGAGTTCTTGCATTGACAATTCCTCCCAGTTGGATGCATCGTCATCGATATCATCGTCTTGATCATTGAGAGATGGTGATCTTCGAGATCCCAGATGGGGCGAAGGACTGTGACTGGATATACGACCCAGCTTGACTTCACGCACGCTATCAGACCATTCTTTTTCACTGTTTACGATAAAATCCTCAATGCAAAGTTCAGTTTCCGAGTTCTTGCCAGTCAAGCGCTGCAACATGCCCTGAAAATACCGCGCATATTTGCCATTTTCGTCTTTGAACGTGGGGTCTGCAGTCTCCAAGGAGAAACTTTGACGAGTTCCCTTGATCTGGTCCACGCTCAGGACCGAAGAGGACCTCAGCCTGCCCCTGGTCGAATGAGCGTCATGAATTCCCAGACCTGCTACCGCCGAAGGCTGTGACAAAGTTGTCACTGAAAGAGATCGGCCTCGTCGCCTGTCGTCAGTGTCGGTAACAGACGACGAAGGGCTATTCTGCCCTTGCCTTATGATTGCCTCGGCTGCTTCCGGTGAGATAGGCTGTTCATCGGGATCCGCAATTTCTTCCAGTCTCGGAGTCAATGCAGTACCTTCATGTAAGACAGTTCGTCTAATTTGATGACCCGGGCCAGCCCGGACGCCCAATGAGAGCGTTCGCTGGAGACCTTCACCAGAAATCTGTGCTGGAGTCCTGGGCATTGGATTCATCTCATCAAGGTTCGGACTTGCAGTTTGCGTCGAAAAGAATGATATTTGACTGAAGCTGCGCGAGTAGTGAGTACTCGATCGCTTCTTTCGTGAAGTGTCATTTTCCTGCTCATGCATACGAATCGATTGCGCTTGCAGATGATCGAGATCTTCGACCCACCGAGCCACTGGGAAGCGCTGTTTAGCTGAGCTCGCTCGCATCATCGCGCGGTCTTTCAGCTTTGATCCGATAGCGCTTTCGATTGCCAATTTGAATTGTTTCTGGAGATGTTTCACTGTCATGGACTCAACGGGGAACCACCAGCCGGGCATTTGACCAAGACCACCGACCAAAGCTCCAACACCTAGTGCTCCCTTTCGGCCAAACTCCACCGCCACAAGACCAAATGGCTCGTCTCGCGATGGTATAAGAGCAAATTCAGCTCCCGTAAAGATGAAGGGAGGTAAGGCAGTGAACTCGGGCTTCGAGCATACTCGGCCGGGGTAGAGATTCATCATCTCTTCCAGCTTGAGCGCGGCGAATTTGCCGTACATGTCAATGACAGGGCCGATACAAATCAGCTGTACATTTGAATGCTTGTCCAAGATTGCTGGGAAGACATCGGCGATCAGATCAACACCTTTCTGAACTGACCACCGCCCGACGAACACAAATAATTCAGCGGTCGGGTCGACTTTTAGTCCAGCCCATTTTTGCGCCTTGGAACGATCATCACCACGAGACTTTTCATACGCCTGGTCAACCTTAATGACCTGGTTAGCCTCTGTCTCAGGATCCCATGGCTCTGTGTCGGAAGGATCTGGGTTAGGAAGCTTGCCAATCTCCTTGAGACCCCAAAAGATAGGATATCGTGCATAGGAGCGATCGCCGTATTTGTTTGAAACTCCCACTGCACCAAATCCACGCTGGTGCACTCGAAGGTAACTAGCTCCCGCATGAAGTAGGTTAAAGACCTCGCCAAATTGCACATATTTGCGGATCATAGCAATATCGAGGTTGAAAACCTGGCTGATTTCATCCAGCTCTTTCTGATCTCGGAGTGGCCATAAACCCTGGAACTCAGCGTTGTGTAGTGACAAACAACACGGAATAGTATTTGGAAGGAGGTAGAGCGGTGCAACTGCACCATGGTAGTCGTTTATGTGATAGATATCGATGCAGTGAGAGAAGCGCTTGACCGTCTCAGCGATGCAGCTGTTCCAAGCACTATAATAGATCGCGCTATGAAGGTCGTCCATTCGAGGGGGATATGGCTCTGATTTCGTTTGCTGACGGAAAATGGGGGCATCTAGAAGGACATACGTAATGTTTCGCAGCTTGTGATATTGAACCTGGACTTCGTAGACGCTGTCGACGATGGTGACGGACATAGGCTCGGCTAATGTGTCGATTGGATAGTCGACTCCCCCGACGCATGGAACCACCCAAATGATGTCGTGGTGCGGAAGATTCTTCCCCATGAGCTGGGCCATCACGCCAAGTCCACCAATCTTGATCTTGATCTCCCAATCCTCGATGTCGTATTCCAAAGTTGCCAGCAAGACTGTTCGTTTCTTCTTGGAAGAGACTGAAGCAGCCAATGGGAACATTCCTGTGGTAGATGCCACAGTTATTTCTGTCATCAATGCTCCTTTGGTTTCTTCGCCGCTCAATTGCTCAAATCCTTGACGTGGGCGGAGGAACGCAGGTAATATGTGAAATGGCAGGCTGGCACCTGTGCGGTTGAAACTGATGTTGTAAAATGCACCCATGTAAATCAAAACGCTGAGTCCCGCAGTGAGTACTGGAAGAAACCACAACAATACATAAATGATCTGTTGGTGCAGGCGCAAACCGGAGGGCACTAGCTCAAATTGCATATTGCCATCGTCCAGTTCCATTCTGTAAGCCATGTATGGTGCGGGCGGCAACTCAGTGAAGTTGACAATATTATCGGCGACAGAAAGAGAGTCAGGCTGAAGCCGATTTAGTCGACTGCTGTTCAGGGTGTCTCCGAGCACGAGAGTGCGATCAAGCTCCTTGTCAGCATTGAGACCCCAGACATTGACTTGGAATCGCGAAGGCCATTCAGCCGACAAGTGGAATTTCCATGTGCCCTCCTTGCGATCATGTGAGAAAGCGCTTTTGAGGCCGATGTCTTTGCCAAAGCGATTGAAATCTCCAAAAGCGAATAGGTGAGGGAATCGCCTTGGAGCTGTGTCTTTTGTTCGTAAATCCATGCGTTGAATATGTTGAGCACTTCCAGCTGCTTTGCTCCAATACTGAAGAATGACATGATCACCATCCCATCGCTGTTGCTTTGTACCGGACCATGGTAGAGTATTGATTCGGCTTGAACCCCCATCATAGGATTTCCATGGACTCCACGAGCTTTCCCAGTTTGTTGAATACCGCCACTTGTCTGCACCGGCAGCATTGTGATGTACCAAGAAGCCATCATTCTCCATGAATTTGGTGAGGCCAGTGTTTGTGTAGTTTGCCGACATGGGAAATATCATGGGATTGTCTTTGCGCCCGATGCGGAACATCAACCGATCAACAGAATTTGTAGACCGGGCCTTTGTTGCCGTGGAGGCATTTTTGACGTTAAGAACATGTATTCCATGGGTGACATTGTCCAAAGTTGCCTTCCAGGCCCATGCGCTTGAAACTTGACCAACGTGCTTCAGAGCTCCTGGCTTCACCGTCTCGCAGGAGATGCTCTCTGTGTTGATTTTTGGAATCGTCTGAGTCTCTGTAGTTGATGAGATAGTAATGCTTTCCGTCACCATGTCACAGTCGAGTTTCTCTGAGAACCGTAGTTCTATGTCAACGCTTTGCTCGTCAACGGCCGTAGTGTTCGATTCAATCCGAGCATCGTGTCCTGGTGCAAATGCGGTCATCACCACGGGCGGATGAACCCATTGCGCCTTTGGGACGTAGGCACGGAATTCGAAAGGACCCAAAGTAGCTCGATCAAGGCAGCCGTTGAAATCTTGGGATCCATGAATCTCTAGCCTGATTTGAGTGGATTGCAGAGTAATCTCATCGTAAGGCGCTAGCAAATTCCTCACTTTGCTTCCTCCTTCAAAAGGGGCAAGGAAGCTGTCGGTAGGTGAGTTGCAGTCAAATTCGTACGACACCGAAGTATTTTCGTTATGATAGACGAGCCAAATTGCAGTCTTGCTGGTCGGGTCTAAGTCATTCACGCCGGGGTACTGATCACGAAGAACACTCCATATTCCCAGTTCTGTTACAGTGCCACCAGATCCAGGAAGGGTGACATTGCGGGTATGCTTGGAGAGACTCTGGAGATAGTAGCCATCCTTAAGTGATGGAAGTTGTTCACGGAGATAGTAGAATGACTTGATGATGTTGCGCACTGGATGTGTGGGATCCCGGTGGTCCGTTCCCACCTTGTCGTCGTGACACCCTGTCAATGCAGCCTCAACTGGAAAATCATTGTACTGACTTGACCCGAGTCCGTAGCATCCCTGTATCTGCCAGGAAGGTGACGAGGTGATCGGCTGCCGACCGAATATACCCAGCGGACTCGTACTGTCGAGAATGTAGAAATCTTGCTCTTCACCCCAGAGTAGGAGGGGGATGCCAGGTAGATGAAGGGATGTAATGAACTGCCCTAACAACATCTTTGCCGTTCCCTGTCGAATGGATGGCCAACGAAATGTATCTTGGTTAGCAGTTCCCATCATATGCCTAGGATCGAACTTCCCAGTGTTGACGTTGACGAGATCATTAGTTATCAAGATATCGTTCCAAGCATCGACGAAGTCAACACGAGTATCTGCTGGTGCGGTGAAATTGCCATCCATACCAAGAAACCTAGTAAGAGCACGATAGATGCCGTAGTGAAACACTGCCGCATCAGCCGCGTGTCCCTCTGGCCGCCGAAGGAAATATCGATCATCTGAAGCATTGGTGAGAGAAATGCCTTCAGTTTGATTATTGGGTCTCATTTCTGGCTCGCGTCCGCGACCAAGATAGATCGATGCGTAGGAGTTGCTCGCAGTGAACTCGCCCCCGATGAAGAAGTTGTCCTTACCCAGGCGAGACGCACATTCCCGAATAGCCAGAGAGCTGATTGCAAAGGCATCCACTGTGATTTGGCCTGCTTTGTCAAAGCGGAGCGCATCAATGTCGAGGGAAGTGATAAGCATGCAAGTGAAATGCTCGATCTTTTGTCTGACCGATGGAACCCATTCTCGAAGCCGATCTTGCACCAAGGCAGCTTTTGCAAGAGACTTTTGCCAGTCAGGCGCGAGGCTAACAGAGTCCATGGCACCATACTGTTTATCTTGTTAAAATTCAGAGACGAAGAGAGGGCTCAGTCGTTCACTGGAAGACACTGACCTGGTCAAAGTCACTATCATAACAGCCCTTCAGTAGATTCAGGAACTCAGTTTCATTTCCAACGGGCACTCCCACCTCGGAATAGAATGTGGGATACTTGCAATCTTCCTTGTATTGATTGCTCGGGGAGAAATCGAAATATTGCTGATTTTCTTTCCAAACTGTCCTGTATTCAAGTGGGTTCAACGGCGCGGTGCTGTTGAGAAATCCTTCAAACCCGAGCAAATCCGCCATACTAAGAATGTCAATTCGGTTCTTCTTGAGAGGAGATCCAAGATACATACGTTCCGTAGGTGCTGTCCGCCATTACATACATCCCTCGTCGGTGAATTTCATCGATCGCAGATCTCCACTGTTGGATAGTACCATAGTGTTTGTCCAGCAGACTGAAGTCTAAGGGCTATTTCCGGTTAATAGAACATACTGCCTGCAAACAGGATTGCCTACCGAATAGCTATCCGACTTCCAAGGAAAGTTGACAAAAGGGGTACCAGCAATATAGACTCCCTTCAGACAAAGACTATTGTTAGTTTTATTCATTACAGGCCTATAGAAGCGTTGCTTACCTTGATTCCAATGCCTTGTATATAATCTAAATTCTCCTTCAATCCATCCATGTCGCCTCCAAAACGATACTGGTTTGAGAATGTATCGGTCTCGAACACCGTTCCATTGATGTCATTGTTTTCCGGATCGCCGTCAGCAAATCGATCGAGGAAGAGTGTATAGAAGGGAAATCGCCAATTTGAAGGCGACGGGTTGTACTTATGCTTTGGCCATTTGCCCCAGTAATCAAGAACACGCTTTGCAGTCTTGTTCTCATTAAGATTGTAGTCAGCCAATTCTTGATCATAGTGCAGACCAAGCACCAACTGACTGAACAGGAGCACTAATAGGCAAAGTACGCCCATGGCTCCGATTGTCAGACCCATCTTCTCGCTAGATTAGCACCAATTAAAACGATAGAAACCCAATATTCTTTCTTTGCCATATACCAACAGAGGGATGCTTGGGGTTCTATTATATACCATACCGTATCCCAGGCGCCTCCTATCATGCAAATCAGCACAGAATCCTAGGGTGCTTTGACCGCCATTCTTCTGTAATCCTCTGTAATGCGCCTAACTCATCACATAATATTGAGGCGCAAGGCTGAGGCTCAATCAATGCCTCGAAACTAAAAAGTCCCCAAGACTGGATTGTGGCCAGCCTCGCCTGAGGTGCAGAATCTTACAAATGCACAGATACCGTTTCCATGCATAAGAACTTCCCGCCCCCAATTCTGCGCTGTATGGGACAAGTCAAATCTAATTCCAAATTGCTTTCATAGTCTTTGACACTGGAATTTCTGGCTTTTCTGGCATCTCGCCGCAGGTCGCTCCCATTAATCATAGCTGATAGACGTCTTGCGGCTCCAAAATAACCTAACCCAAATCTAGGAAACGCTTAGTTGAATAATGGGTTGATGGTAACGATTATAATTTGCTCTAATCGCATTTTGCCATGCAGATGATTGCAGGAAAAGAGTATACCGAATCGTTGTTACTGGGGGCGAGGGGCGATACTTAGTTGGCTGGGGTAATCCCCAGTCCCCGTATAGAAACTCTTAATATACTTTAATTTATAGTAAAATATTCAAACATGGGCCTAGGCCGTGCTTGGCAAATCTGACATTCGTACATTTTGGTATTATTGCCGCTATACTCAGCGTAAGAAGATTATATACGAACACGACTTCTTGGCTTGCATGTGGAAGATAGCGATCAAGCGATTTGATGCTCAGGAATATCCATTAAACTTTGACAATAATTATTTCAAATGATACGGATGCTTCTTCTGTATTTTCTTATTCTTTGGTGCCTCCGTTCTGATGACCGGTGTTCAAAATGTATGTAGGTAAAGTTTGTATCGCCATTCAAATCAATAGCTGGCTTACATTCATACGAATCCTGAGAGCCCGAATCTATATGAGGTATCAATAAGCAAAGGAAAAAGAAGTCTCCGCCACCCTTTGGCCTTATCTGGGCTGAGCACATGTGTATCAAATTAGATGCTCAGCTGGTATTGATGGTATGCAGGCGATGGTGGTCATGCAACACCTCGTACTCCGCCAGCCTGGTCGAGAATATCCAGGATCGTGTGATAGAAGGCGAATCTTGAGGCCATAGACGGCTGGATTGATTTCATTCCACCAGATGCAATTGAAAAATCTTTTTAGACAATTTGGCTGCCATATAGAGCTAGGTTGACTTTGCCAAAGAGTGCGGCCCAGACTGAGGGCGAAGATTAACATTTGTGTTAGCGAAAGATGGTATGTATCAGACAGACCCTCTTGAATATGAATTCGTCTTTCTGGGAGGCGAAAGCCGCAAAGCATTATGATTTTTATCATCATCCCGAGGTTTTACATGGCCTATGCTTAAGATAGTTTGGTTAAATAACTTATTGCTTCGCAAAATTTGCAAAAAAAACTCAGATCATAGAGAAAAAAGAAGGGCTGAAAAGACTAAAAAAAAACATACAACAGTAAGGATTCGCTAGTGGTCACCCACCTAACTACTAACTTACCGGCGTGTGGCTTAAGTACGGCTGAGCGGACGGGAAGCCCTGTTCTCCACACCCTGTGGTCGTATGTACTCAGTATTTAATTAAACAGACCTATGTAGGAACATGCGCAGATAGATTATTCTCAAAATCCATTGCATCCGGCACACAATATAAGATGTCATGGCACTGTCCAAAAAAAAAAAAAAAAAACACATATGATGGCTTGCGGGCAACTTTGGGATACCTACCGTAAGAAGTTCACGAAAACTTGAATCGAGCATGCGCAGTAACTGCCATTTCCGTCAATTCTAATGTTGTATGACCTCGGATTCAATCCAGAGCCCTCTTTCCGATAAGCCATGTATGACAAAAATGCAGACTTTGAATATCGATCTGCTCGTTCGACTAGCTATGGCCATGATGTGCGGCCAGAAGTATGACGTGACGTAGCCTTGCATGATTACCGTATGCATAACAACTACCTCGGTCAACACCTTCGGGAACTTCTTAGAATCTTGACTCGGATATTGAAGAGATATTTTTGATTGACATGGCTTATAAAAAATCCAAATCCAAGTCCACGGTAATCTTGTTAGCCCTTGCTTCCACCATCAGTCTACAACTTTACATTGAAGCTGTACCAGGAAACACAACTCCAGCATGAAAACACAATTTGCGTGGATCAGCAAGACACCTCTGGGAAAATTATCGCAGTTACTTGTTGGTCAAAGATCACGGCTTTCTTCAGAAGAAGTTGAACGAGCCGATGGCCTTAATGAGACTGAGTGAGTCCTCGAACCTCACTTGATATGTACCAGGTCTAAATTTCACCCATTGATAGCACCAAATCATCCGATCCCATCATCATATCTTGGTCTGGGCCAGATGATATTGACAACCCACAAAACTGGCCCAGACTTCTCAAGGCATGGGTGGCTGGTGTAATATCGTGCGTTGCTTTCTATCCGACGTACAGAAAAGTAATCAAACTGACAATGACAGAGTATACTCTTTCACTGTGTACTGTGGCTCCTCAATATTTGTGCCTAGTTATGAAGCAATGATGGCCCAATTTGGGCACTCAAGAATCGTGGTGTCTCTTGTGTTGGCACTTTACGTCGTGGGATGTGAGCACTTCGAAGCATCTTCCAACGCTTTGTACCGAACACGGAACTCAAACTTTGTGTTTTTTTAGATGGTATCGGCCCATTGTTATTTTCTCCACTGAGCGAAATCCCTTCGATCGGACGCAACCCACCTTATGTCATATCCTTCGCAATATTCGTCGTCATCTCGATCTGTCTAGCTGTGCTTGACAATTTCCCTGCGATCGTTGTGCTTCGGTTCTTTCAAGGTTTCTTCGGTAGTCCATGCCTGGCGACAGGAGGCGCAACTATATACGATATCTATTCAGTATCGGCAGCCCCTTACGGTATTTCTATCTGGGTAGCCTGCATCTACTGCGGCCCAGCAATAGGACCTCTTCTTGGCACACTGGCGGTTAAAAATATAAATTGGCACTGGCCATTATGGCAGATTGCCATTATGGGAAGCGCAATTCTGTTCTTCATGATGTGTTTCCTCCCAGAGACATCTTCAAGCAACATTCTTCTGCGTCGAGCACACCAGCTCCGCAAAGCTACAGGCAAAAAGAATATTGTTGCTCCGAGTGAACTAAAGCCGATGAAAGTTTCAACACATATCTCCCAATCGTTGATTCGGCCAATGGAAATCGCAATCAAAGACCCTGCGATAGCCTTCGTGTGCATCTACGCTTCATTCATTTATGCCATTTATTACTCCTTCTTTGAAGTATTTCCGCTGGTATACCAAGATATTTACAAGATGTCAGCCGTTTCATACAGCTTGACATTCCTTGCTATCGTGGTAGGATGTCTAGTTGCCTTTTCTGTCTACATTCTCTACCAGCGTCAGGTGAGAGAATCACAAGAAGGATTGATTTCAATGAATCGGCACGAGAAAAATCTCGTTCCTGCTCTTCCGGGCGTGATACTAACACCTGTCGGCTTGTTTATCTTTGCCTGGACGGCACGAGAATCTATCCATTGGATTGTGCCCACTCTGGGGATCGCGATTTATGCTGGTGCCACCTTTGGTGTTTTCCAGTCCATTTTGACATACCTCCCAATTACATATCCGCAATTTGTGGCATCACTCCTTGCAGCGAACGACTTTACACGGTCAGCTACGGCGGCAGTTCTTATCATTGTCAGTACTTATATGTACGACGATCTTGGAGTTAGCAAAGGTGTGACTCTTTTGGGGAGCATATCCGTCTTAGGTATCGCTGGCATGTGGTTATTTTGGATTTTTGGAGCCAGCCTAAGAGCAAGGAGCAGATTTGCATCCTCGTAGGGAGAATGCGTTCGGTACACTTTGTCAAGATCCTATTCATGGTGGTGAAAAGATCATAGAATAAAAAAAATAGAAAAATAGAAATAGGCCCTAAAAGGCCCACAAAAATAATTCCATGTATTCTATCCCTGTTCCTGGAAAGACTTTCTATACAGGTCATTGCAGATTCTATACGCGCTCGTTTACTCGGACCGCCTTGCAACCACGTTGTAACATTCCTTACGATATCAGAGCCCGGAACGGCATAATTTCCTACATAACTGGCGACATTATTTAAATTGCTTGCCAAGTCCAAGTGTGTACCATTCTATATCGGATCACGCTATACTATAATTATCAATCTGCCTCGGCGTACACAGGCATCAAAGGCTTCCAGAAGGTGTTATTGTTGCATATAGCACGTAAGGCATTAAATGGGATGCTCTTACTCGCTCAAGATCCCACTTGCTGGTTATATTGATTCGTCAAAAGATGGTCAAACTGCGCCCTTGGGGTCACGTATAACTAAGTTTATACGTAACTTCAGCATAACATGACGCGAACAGAAGTGACAGCGGTGTATATTTAAGTCAGTAGATGGCCAAGGGTACTGTCTACGGTTGGGATCTTGCTAACTGAAGAAACGAAAGACAAGTCATGGCGCCATCTATCATCGGATCTCCTGCTGCGGAGAACACCGTCCCTATCAAGACAGACTCTGAACCACCCCGTTCTAGCCTCAAAGACCGAGTGAGATGAATCATCGACGAGGAAGGAGAAAATACCACTGCCACTGTATGTCACCAATCCTTCTTAATACCTTTGCATTAAAACTCAAGCAATGTTAGTATCCAGCCTACCTCCCAATTTGGGACTACGGCGAGAAATACCCTGCCCTTGAGCCGTTCAACCATGTCGACCACGGCAAAGATGCAGATCCATCCCTGAAAGACCTCCTATCGGAAGGATCCGAGATCCAAGAGCTGAAACCAACGATCGGCTCCGAAGTCACAGGGATTCAGTTGAGCAAACTCAGCTCCGCCGGAAAGGACCAACTCGCTCTTCTCGTTTCCCGACGCAAAGTCGTCGCCTTTAGGGACCAAGATCTTGCCAGCTTGCCAATAAATCAAGCACTCGATTTCGGAGGATATTTCGGCCGACATCATATTCATCCAACAAGTGGATCCCCAGAAGGGCATCCAGAGATCCATCTGGTTCACCGACACAATAACGACTGGGGACTGGACCAATTCCTCGCTGGGAAGAATAGCAGTGTATCCTGGCATTCTGATGTTACGTACGAGCAGCAGCCCCCCGGGACGACTTTCTTGTATATTCTCGAGGGTCCAGAAGTTGGCGGTGATACTGTTTTCGTGGACCAGGTTGAGGCTTATAACCGCCTTTCACCGGCGACCAAAGCAAGACTTCATGAATTGAAAGCTGTGAATTCTGGGTTTGAGCAGGCTGAATTCAGTCTGGGTCGTGGAGGTGTTGTGAGACGGGAGCCCGTGAAGAATGAACACCCCCTTGTTCGGACTCATCCCGTGACGGGTGAAAAGGCGCTTTTCGTGAATGCTGGCTGTAAGTTCATTTCCTGGATGCTAAATAACTGTGCTTACACAGTGGCAAGTCATCCGCAGTATTGTTGGCCTTAAGAAAGAAGAGAGCGATGCCCTTCTAGGTTTCTTGTTAGCACATGTTGGCCGGGGTATTGACTACCAGGCGCGCATTCGGTGGGCTCCCAACACTGTTATTGTTTGGGATGTAAGTTGGTTCCGCTATCACTTCATCTGCAATCACAGAAGCTAATACATGGATAGAACCGTGGCACTGCGCACTCTGCAATTGTTGACTGGGTCACTGGTGAGCGTCGCCACCTGGCACGTATCACACCGCAGACCGAGCGTCCTTATGAAACACCATACATCGCGGAAGCGGAGCAAGCAAAAGTTTGAAGACCAATTTTTAATTGGGCGTACATATAGGTGTAGCCACAAAAGAGCATGACTATTAATTGCTGAAACATCAAACACGAAGATTGGAAACCGATGAGCAAAGTGGCATAGTAAATACAGGGTAGCGCTCACTTACAGGGCCTTTTTGGCCTGAAACTGCCTAATCACATACTTTACCTTCCATTTAAGCAATTTAAAACTGATTTTCTGCGGGAAGGTACTCGATGGAAAATGAAGCTAAATTCTATACTTGTTTTTTGCTTAAATCAGACACGGAATTCAGTTATTCCTTGATCCTTCCTCATTCCAACGTTGAGATGTTAGATTTACCAATTGATTCTTCTACTGCTATGATATAAACCCGAGAGCAATCTTTTCTAGCCATATGCTACCTCTAATATGAGTGAGCATGCATTGCCGCGGTTGGCGTCTCCAAACGCCTCACTAATATTGCAACATCGACACCAAAACTGGCGCGACCATAGTTGGCAAATATAAATGGGTGAAAATGGCCTCATTCAAGCCAAAAAAATTGCAATTCAGGTGAGGATTCAATCAGATTACTTCTATTGCCTTATCAACGGTTCGGTGGCTTGAGCTATCACGATCGCATATGAATCCTATGAGGCCAATTGCCTTGAAACAATTCAGTTGGTTTCGGATGGGTATAATAAGGATGCCTCAGGTAATTTATAATGCTTGACATGTGGGTGTAAGTTGACCATTGCTTCCATTCCGTCGAAATATATAAATCGCAGCCGCAATTATCCGAGCAGCGATCAGACTTCGCAGAACAAATCGGAAGTCAATTCTATATTGAATTGTTAGCTCGTCATTCTGCTACAATTAGAGGATTTTAGCTTGCATACCTCTTGTTGGTCATTACTGGATTTTCGCGTACGTAAAGCTCTCTTTCTTCGCTTGTCATGGCATTGCATTGGGTGGCATTTTGTCTAGAATAAGTCAGAAGATACTTTCTTTATAGACCACCGGAGGCAATATAGGCTCACTGATTGCGCCAGACATAGTAGAACCTTGCCGCAATGAACAGGGTTATACCAGTGACAGCCAGTGCGATCAAAACTTTGTTTCCGTGTCTGTAGTATGGTGCATCTTTAGTTTGGTAGACCTGTTTATGGTTGTCAGCATCGGAAGGCAATCCACTCAAAATAATGATCGGAATCTGACATTAACGCCGACAATGCTGGAGACTTGCACGGTCATATTGTACAACGCAGAAGCTACGGTACGAGTCCGTACAGATTCGGCATTCCGCGCGGTCAAAGCCACTAGCACAGGGTGGATACTGGGTCCTCCAACCAGCTGAGTGAGGATAGCCCATCTGGGCCAGGGTATGCTTTTCTGAGGAAGCACTTCCAAGGCAATCAACAGAATCAGGTTCCATACACCCATCAATGCACCACATAGCAGGCGTTGATTTGTACGCTCGGCGAGCCAGGTAATAGCAATGATAGTAACGATACCAACGACGGCAGAGGGAATAACCAGCAAGTTAGTCTGGAAATTCGTGAATCCCTGCGACCGCAATTGCAACGTGAGGTAGTTGGTGGCGGGCCCAGCGGGAATCATCCAGATCAACCCGATAGTATAAAGGGGCCACATATGGAAATCCTTCAGCGATGCCCACATGAAATTCGGTGTAATTGCTTGCCGATTATGCATAGTACCCTTGCTAGGATCATCTCGGACAACTCGATTGACAATGATCTTTTTTCCATGTTCAGTGAACCATCCGTTCTTTCCGCGGAATCCTCCCTTGGTTTGCACAGGAGATGCTGACATCCAAAACACGGCGATAATTCCGATGACGCCGGTTATAAGGCCTTCGTATGCGAATAGGTATCGCCATGAGCCGCCACCATGAGAGTCGTTTACATGGAGGAAGCCGAAGGCTAAGAATGCGCCAATAATACCGGAAACGATGAGGGAGATCCAGAAGCAGGTCAACCGTTTGGGTAGCTCATTGGATTTGTAGAAGAAAGATAAGAAAAGGACTGTGTCAGGGATGCTGGAAGCAAAGGCCAGTTACGCATGTTCAAGTTGTTCGAAATGGAAACTCACAAGCCGCCTTCCAATAGTTCTAGCAGGGCTCGAAGACCCAGATATGAACTCCGCCCATGTAAAAATGCCTGACAGGCCGCAACTAAACTCCAAGAGATCATTTGAATTGGAATCTAGCGGTCGGGACCTAGTCTCTTTGAGATCAACTGAGAGGGCATCTCAGCAAACAAAAAGCATACCAGAAAGATAGTCTGACCCAAATTGTAATCGTTGCTTGTCATGCCCAGATCCTTGAGTAATGTACTCGACAAGGCCTGGCCAATATTTCCTCGATCAAGCTGTAGCGCGAAGAATGTTATGCAGGCAAAGGTGCAGCCACGAAGGTCAATCTGTTCAAACGTCTGAGTTTCTGTACCTGATCAGAATGAAACGGATGACTTAACTTTCTGACAATCTTCGTCTCTTCCTGTTCTGTCCATTCAAAATCGGGGTCCCAGCGATGAAGCCCCTCGTAACTGTCAATAGGCCTGAAGAGATGAGGACTATCGCTCGCCTCGAATGTTCTCTCTGCTTTGCTCGAATAGATCTGCTGTTGCTCCTTATCTGTATTATCCCCGATTCTAGCTCCTGGGGTCCCTGGGGAGACTTTTGGACTGGCAGATATCTGCACAGCCTTATAATCTTCAATTGCCATGTTGAAAGATTGCAGTAAGATGTAATATGTGTTTATACCTCGTAGAGGTTAGTTGATCTTGGTAAGCATATAGAAAGATCACAATAACTACAGTGCTTTTATATTTCTAAAGATAGCGCGAGGCCATGAAGAATCCAAACTGTCGCGCAATTCTGGTCAACAAAGACTCGTAGGAAGATGTTGTGCCTACAGGCATTAATGAGGCTATCGCCCGGGGTAGCCACGCTGAAATACGCCTCTTCGTAGCGTAAGGATAAGCGAGGGTAAATAAGTAGGATATTGGCGCTAGAGCTTATCGTATAGTCATGGCGACATCTGGGAATATTTAAAACAATCCTTATGTTTGCCCATATTGATTTCAGTCAAAACATAGGTTTGTGATGATCTCTAAAAGATCTATGTCGATCCCGAGATCTTTCGTTAGATCTCATAGATGTTTCAACCTAGACTTCAGAACTTAATGCCTTGTCAATGTGCCGTGACAGCAGGCAAGGTATTTCCTCAGAGCATTTTTACGTTTTTAGCTAGCTGAAGTGGGTCGCCGGCTTTCGAACTCACATCGCCGGCAATGAAAACACGCGATCGCCAAGTCCAGATCTTTTTTTTTTTTTTTTTTTACAAAGTATGGAGTACGGAGTACTCCTTGCTAAATCTCTGTAAAATCAAGGAAGTATTAGTGGAGCGTGTCGTTCATTAGTCTCTCAAGTTCACGGTGGATTTTCGCTCTTGTTCGGGTTTTGATCCTGTTGGGTTTGGAAACCCACATTGACCCAAATACCATACAAGGGATCACTTAAAAGAGGGCAATCAGGTTACATATCTACACGTGAAATCGATTGATAGTCTGGAATAGATGTATCTTGGATTGACATTCAATTAGAGTTCTTTTTCTTTTTCTTTTTCTTTTTTTCTTTTTTTCTTTTTTGACGAAAAGGGGTTCTTTTCCCCTTACATAGTCGATGAGAACAGACCACGTTATGATGCACTATTGTGGATCAGACACCCAACAATTCGTTAGTACGCGATGAGTACTCCACATTGGTTGTCGATAAGGTTATTCAGAATACATGGACGCGACAATCAAGAGTAATTTATATTCAAGGACTGGTGCTTGAGGATCGCTCAGCTATTTTCCACCCAGCTAGTCACTCTTCCTTGGCCCGCTCGAGCATTTCTCGTACCGCATTTCCAAGCTCACTGATGATAGGTTCTCCGCGTGGAATAGTGTGTCCCTTGCCAGTATCGAAGAAGTGAGCCGTATCGGGGTCGCAGAGGTTGTATAGCGAATCGGCACCGCAGCGGTAGGGGTCTAAACATGATAACACACAAGTCAGCTAACTTTCGAGAGCCGTTTGCCGATGGAAAGGAAGAAACATACCAGCTGCGCCAATGATGTGCATCGTTTGGATATCGATCATATCCTCTCGCTCATCAGCGAGGACGAACCCTTTCTCTTCGCCCATGGGGGGCATGCCCGCGAAGAACATAGCGCACTTCACCCGCCGAGGGCGACCGTGATCTTTCTCCATCCTTTGCTCGTGCAGCAGATACGCCCCTGCGACAGTGGCTCCTTCGCTGTATGCAAGAAGACCCTCGATATCAGGGTTCGCCTCAAGGTGCTTGTCGATTTGATCCATTAGATCTTTATGATTAGTCCAGACAAATTCGCAAGGAACCTTCGACCTAAGAAGCTCTTCTGCGGGAAGATCTGCGTTTTCGTGCGCGGTGCGGACTGAATCGTGCAGTTGTGCAGTTTCAATTCCGTCGTAGTCGAGCCAGCGGTAGTGTGGTGGAGGTCCAAAGAAACCCATGAGTTCTGAATTTATTAAATCGCTTCATTTCAACCACCGGGGGTATATCATACCTTCGGGTGCAGATGCGGGTATAGTCGCATTAATAAAGTCAAATGAAGCAGAGTTGTCGGCCTTCAAATTTTGTTGGAGTGGTGCTATTCACGAGTAAGTTTATTGTAGTCTTTTCACCAGCATTGCCATGATACCTAGCATCGTGTCCAATTTCTGCGACAGTCAGTATGATCCCTGGTGACCGCACTTGAGGCAAGATGGACACTTACATCGCTACTGCTCACTGAGCCGTGAAGACACAAGAAACGCATTTTGAAAGCTGAATACCGATTTGGTCGAAGAGTGAGATGGGAAGTAAGAGTCAACTGCGACAGAAAGCAATCCCAAAACTCCTATCTTCGAAACAGCTCACGATGATCCCTACCTCTTTAGATTGGTTGTTCCCGCGCTCTCATGGAACACGTATATGGAGCTGTACTCAGTTTACAGTCAACGAAATTATAGTATCCAATTGATTCGGCGAGTGCCCTAGGTCTCTCCACATTTGACGATCGGGACCCCTGAATACGAGTTTCCTAGTGTAGAAGGTTTTCAGCTATGATCCATAAACCCAACGTTCCACTTTATAGTGGAGATTCGAGTGAAGGCCATCAATTACACATTCTAGCGCTGCAGATCTCGAACCCGGTGATGAGCCGAGAGACTGCCGTGGAAAATTGAAATTAGGAATAGATCACTCGTTCCTCAACAGCCGATCCGACCCACCACCGACGTAATATAACATGAAAGGTATGATCTGCGCGATAACCCCCTTACTCCTCAGGTTCCGTCTTCTTGACCAATTCCCGAAGGGCGTTGCTCAATTCTCCGATCACTAACCCCGAGCGGGGGATGACATGCCCTTTGCCCATATCAAAATACTCGGCAGTGTCAGGATCACAGATATCGTAAAGGGCCTCGGAGCCGTATCGGAAGGGATCTGCATGGATGGATCAGCCCGATGTCAAAAATTTAGGAGAGCAATCATTTTTTACCATTTGCACCCACAACATGGAGGGTGGGAATGTCGATCATTTCGTCTCCCCCGTCGTCTGCCAGAATAAACCCGGCGTTTGGTTTCATGGCCGGCCAGCCGCCGACGAACATGGCGCATTTGATCTGGCGCTCTCGACCTTCCTCTTGCTGCCGGCGGGCTTCATCCAGAATGAAAGTGGAAGCTGCCATGGCACCTTCGCTGTATGCGATAATTCCACCGATTTGAGGGGTTTTCTCTAATGCGTCGTAGATGTATTTCATGAGCTCTGGGTGGTTCTTGCACGAGCCTTCTCCGAGTAGCTCTCTCATCGCATCTTCGTTGTTTGCATCTTCGCTGGGAGCTGCATTGCCGCGAATGCGCATAATCCAGGAATCTTCTGGTGCTTGGCCATCGTCAGCCCACCTGTAATGCGGTCCGACTCCGAAGTATTCCTCAAATCCTGTAGCATTGTTAGGCCTGAAACAAAGGTCTTTTCCCGGGCGATTATTCTCACCTGGCGGAGGGATGAAGGATAGGGGTCCGTTGATGTAGTGAAAAGTTGCGTCTTCGCCCAAGTCTTTCTGGAGTGGCGCTGCATATAAATTTCCCCATTAACAACCATAAGAACAGCCCTTCGGAGGTCAATTACCTAGCTGAATGGTGATATTCTGCAACTGTTAGCATGGCTTCAAGTTCATACTCGCGACTTTGCGCACTCACATCGGTGTTGCCAATGGCACCGTGAAGACATAGGAAATGCATGATTAAAAAGTGTCGTATGATCACAATGAGAGGATGAAATGAACAGAACCAAAGATTAAAAAGCCAACAAGTCCATGACAAACAACCAGGAACTCAAAAATAATTTAATAAACTGTTGGGGAGCTGTGCCGATCCCTGTTATCCCAGTCCCTTCGATCGACGTATATGATCCATAGGCTATTTTTCTAAGGCTATGCGATCGGCAGACCGCCACACTTGAGTTGCTCCACACATAATCAAATCAGATGCAGGAACAGAGACCCATAGATCAGGTCCCCAGTTTTCTTAACAAAGAAGCCACAAAGTCTAAGTATTGCTTTAACTTGATTGGATCTATCTATCCCGAAAATTGAAACAAGTGCATAGCTCCCCACTACGGAGGGGGTTGCCAACCTCCGTTGGCCTTGGAGCAACCCCTAATCTGGAGACTATGTACATGTACGAGGCAGAATTTGGACATCTTACCCATTGCGGTCTGTACTTGTATTGTTAGTTGTCAAATAGCCCCGTCTGTGATTTAAAATATGCCGATCGCTCTACCTTTCTTTCGCTAAGTGGGCCGTCTGCTCTGCTCTCTCTGAGAGGACAATTTACACGTGTGAACTGGTGTGTCCCTACTCTCAGTTGATCTTTTTCTTTTCTCCTTTTTGTCTTCTGTATTCTTTCCTCTCTTTGCATTCCATTCCCTCATTCCTTTTCTGCTGGGCTTCAGACTAGCACATAGCGGTCTTTAATACTTGCCCTTTCTCACTATACTATTCACTCCTTTTGAACATACGCAGAAAGATGTCTCCAGCTTTGGACACTACAGCAGGCTCCAATGGGTCACAGTCTCCAGTCGACTCCCCAGCCCTGGAGCCCATTGCGATTATTGGATACTCCTGCCGACTTCCCGGTCAGGTCTCTTCCCCAAGTGATCTTTGGGAACTATGCACGAGAGGGCGCAGCGGCTGGTGCCCCATCCCCAAGGACCGGTGGTCACCAGAAGCCTACCACCACCCGAACCCTTCGAAAGCAGGCACCTCCAACCAAAAAGGTGGCTACTTCGTTGAGGACGTTTCACGATTTGATGCTCCTTTCTTCAACGTCAGTGCCCAAGAGGCCATCGCCATGGACCCACAACACCGCTTCTTGCTAGAATGTTCATATGAAGCAATGGAGAGTGCCGGTATTCCCAGAGAATTCATGGCCGGACGCAGTGTTGGTGTTTTCATGGGAGGAAACTATGCCGACTACGAGTCCAATAACACACGCGATACTGAAACGACTCCTATGTTCCAAGCCACAGGATGTGCGGCTGGTCTGAAATCCAATCGAATTTCATACATGTTCGATTTTAGAGGCCCCAGTTTTACTGTTGACACGGCTTGTTCGTCTTCTCTCGTTGCCTTGCACTCTGCTGTGCAGAGTCTGAGGAGCGGAGAATCTACTGAGGCTCTTGTTGGTGGTTGCCATTTGCTTTTGAACCCTGAAAATTCCATTACCATGTCCATGCAGCAGTAGGTCTTCCTCAACCGCAATTTCGATCTGTCATTGACCTTTCTATTTCCACAGACTGCTTAGCGAGGAGGGACGAACATACGCTTTTGAAGAGAGAGGAAAATCTGGATTTGCTCGTGGTGAGGGCGCTGGTGTCATCATGCTTAAAACTCTCTCTGCTGCAATCCGCGATCGCGATCCCATCCGTTCTGTGGTCACTCATTCCGGTGTCAATCAAGATGGAAGAACTAAGGGAATTACTCTACCAAACGGCCAGGCCCAGGAGGATCTGATTGGCCGGGTGTACCAGGAAGCGGGCTTGAACCCAGTAGACTGTGGCTACGTTGAAGCCCACGGCACAGGTATGTCACGAAATCCCCAATGAATCTTCTAGAAAGCTCATTATGTCTAGGTACCGCGGCCGGTGACCCCATCGAAGCAACTGCTATTCATGCAGTACTTGGACAGGGTCGAAACGCCAGAAACCCGCTATACATGGGATCAGTCAAGACCAACGTTGGTCATTTAGAAGGTGAGATCCTTTTGCTTCCTCTTTGTTCATTGCTAATTGAATCTGTTTTCTTTAAAAGGTGCCAGCGGTATTGTTTCAGTTATCAAGTCAGCTATGATGCTCGATAGCGGACTTCTACTCCCTAATGCCGAATACAAGAAACCCAACCCCAAGATTCCCTTCGCTGAGTGGAACATGAAGGTTGTAAACTCGACGCGCCCGTGGCCCCGTGGCAAGAAATATATCAGTATTTCTAACTACGGTTTCGGCGGTACGAACGCACATGTTGTCTTGCAAAAGGCTCCTTCGCAGCCGACACCAGAAGAGACCATTAAGGAAAAAGATGGCAAGCGCCGCCTGATCGTCATTTCAGCAAATGACCGAGAGGCTCTTCGTCAGAGAAGCCGGGACTACGGTATCTATTTCGAACAACGTCCTGAAGTGTTCGAAAACACCCTGTTCAGCAACTTTGCCTACACAGTTGGAAGCAAGCTGTCTAACCTTCCTTTCCGTATCGCCCTGTCTGCCACATCCCTTAACGATGCAGGCATTCAGCTAGCGCAGATGAAGATCAGCCCAGCCCGTGTGGTCGGAGGTGACGGTCCTTCTGTTGCCTTTGTCTTCACTGGACAGGGAGCTCAGTGGGCTCAGATGGGTATGCCTCTGATGGATGAATACCCAGTTTTTGCCTCTGCCGTTGAGCGCGCCGACAAGTGCCTGTCCCAGGACTTGGGTGCCGACTTCTCCCTTCTCGAGGAGCTGCAGAAGGATGTGGAGACCTCCAGGATTAACACTCCTTATCTGAGTCAACCGGCCTGCACTGCTCTGCAGGTTGCCCTCGTTGATCTGCTTCGCTCCTGGGGTATCCGCCCAAGCTCAGTTGTTGGTCACAGCTCCGGTGAAATTGGTGCGGCATATGCTGCTGGAATTTTCGACTTGGAGGGTGCCATGACCCTGGCATACCGCCGTGGTCAAATGACCGAGTTGTTGAAGAGCACTTTCCCTGACCTCAAGGGTACCATGATGGCTGTTGGCTCCAGCGTGGAAGACATCAAGCCTATGCTAAAGACCCTCTCCACTGGATACGCTACTGTGGCCTGTGTCAACAGTCCTTCCAGTGTCACTATCTCTGGTGATGTTCCGGCCGTTGAGGAGCTGGGGGCTATCCTCGAGGAGAAGAAGATCTTCAACCGTAGGCTCATGATCGACGTGGCTTACCACTCTGATCATATGAAGAACGTCAGTGAGGCATACTTGAAGGCCATTGAGTCAGTGCAGCCCTCGGACACAGCCAGCGCTACCTTCTTCTCTTCTGTGACCGGTGAAATTGGCAAGGCAACGGATCTTGGCCCAAGCTACTGGGTGCAGAACTTGACATCGTCGGTGCTGTTCGCCAATGCCCTCAGCAAGATGTGTGGCGCTGAGAACAAGCCCAACCTACTCGTTGAAGTCGGACCTCATTCCGCTCTCAAGGGTCCGATTCTCGACACCCTGAAGACCCTCGGCACATCGGTTGCTACCAAGGTCGGCTATGCCCCAACTATTGTCCGGAAGGTCGACCCCTCCCAGTCTGTTCAAGAAACTGCCAGTGCCGTATACGTCCGTGGTGGAACACTGAATATCAACGAGATCAACTTCCCTCGCACTGGCACGGCATCTCGCACATTCCTCCGCGATCTGCCCCGGTACCCCTGGCAGCACGAGACTGAGTTCTGGCACAAGACCCGTATCACCGAGAAGCACAAGTTCCGTGATGGAGTACGAAACGACGTCTTGGGCGCCGAGGCGTTCTATTCCAACGACTTAGAACCTACATGGAGAAACATCGTTCGTCTCGACGATATCCCTTGGCTCCGTGATCACAAGATGCAGGGGATGAGCGTGTACCCCATTGCCGGTTATCTGGCTATGGCAATTGAAGCCGCTCGCAGACGCTCAGAGAAGTATGGCACTGTTGCTGCCAACTCACAGTTCGAGTTCCGCGAAGTGAGTGTTGGTGCCGCCCTCGTCTTGACCGACGACACAGACGCCGAGACTACCATCACCCTGAAGCCTTACACTGAGGGTACTCGTGGTAACTCTGACGCCTGGGACGAATTCCGGATCTGCTCTTGGAACAGCAAGCGTAACTGGACAGAGCACTGCACAGGTCTGGTCCGCACTCGCCCAAACAAGAAGACCCAGAAGCAGAACTCTGTCGTCAATTCGGTCGAGTTCGAGGAGAAGGTTTTCAGAAAGAGGATCACTGAGGTCAAGGGCGCTGCTACTTACAAGATCGATACCGATAATCTGTATAAAGTGCTCGCGGACGTCGGCGCTGGCTATGGAACTCCCTTCCAGGGTATTGAGAACTGCTTCTCTGACCCCCACCACTCGCGTGCCGACCTGTACGTTCGTGACACCAAGTCAATGATGCCCAAGGAGTTCGAGGCTCCCCTGACCATTCACCCTACCTTCTTGGATGCTTTGCTGCACCTTACGTGGCCCATTCTTGGAAAGGGTCGTATGGAGCTTCACACGCTTTACATGCCAACTATGATCAAGAATCTTGTTATCAATGGAAACCTCTCATCCACCCCCGGTGACCACTACCGTGCCTGGTGTATCGGAGGTTCCGACTTGGTCAAGCCTGAACCCACCAAGTTCGACCTGTGGGTGACATCTACGAACTCTAGTGAGGTCTTGATCAACTTGGAGGGCCTGACCATGACCCCCATTAACGACGCTGGAAGTGGTGACAATGGTATCAGCGACCTTTGCTACAAGCTCGAATGGAAGTCCTTGGCTGAGATCGAGAGTGCCGCTGCCGAGGAGGCTGAGGTCAAGGAAACCAATGGCAATGCCAATGGACACTCCAATGGACATACCAACGGCCACACTAACGGCCACACTAATGGTCACACCAACGGCGTCAATGGGCACCACGAGGAGTCCAAGGACGAGCTCCTGATTGCCCAATTCGGCAAGTCTGAAGTTGCTGCCGAGCGCTTGAATGAGGCTATCTCCAGAGAAGCCATTCGCTGGTCGACTTCCATCTCGTCGCTGAGTGAGATTGACGCCAGCCAGAAGCGCGAACATGTTATCATCCTGCACACTGCGGCCAAGACCCTGCGTGACCTCACAGAGTCAGACTTTGCCAACATTCAGAAGACTCTTCTCAACTCCACCAACGTCATTTGGATCTACCGCAACGACACTCCTGATTCTCAGATGATCGTTGGGCTCACTCGCAGCTTGCGCTCCGAGACCATGGCCAAGGTTGCCACTATTGGCCTCAGTGCCGAGGACTTGAAGAAGCCCGCTGGCCCTGTCCTGGCTGCCATGAAGGCCTTGTGGCCCGCTGACAAATCCATCCAGCCCTGCAAGGACTTCGAGTTCAAGACCGAGAATGGCGAACTCTTCGTTCCCCGTGTCACGAATGACACTGCTCTCAACTCTTTCGTGCACAATGAGACCAGCTCCGAGCCCATGCTATCTTCCCAACCCTTCGCCCAGCCCGGTCGCCGTTTCCACCTTGAGATTGGCAGCTACGGTGCCCTGGATACTCTGTACTTTGCCGACGACCAAGTTGTGCCCCTGGCTGACGATGAAATCGAAATCGAAGTTAAGGCCACCGGTCTGAACTTCAAGGATATCGTTGTCACCATGGGACAACTTGCCCAACCTTACATCGGTATTGAGTGCAGTGGTGTTGTCTCTTCCATTGGTAAGAAGGTCACCAACTTGAAGGTTGGCGAGCGAGTCATGGCTTTGCCCCTGGGTGGTTACTCTACATTCGCACGCTGCAAGGGAACCAGTGCCACTGTCATTCCTGAGAACATCTCACTCGAGGTCGCTGCCACTGTGCCCGTTGTTTTCTGTACCGCGTATTATGCCCTCTACGAGCTTGGTCGCCTAAAGAACAACACCGGAGAGAAGGTCTTGATCCACGCCGCCGCCGGTGGTGTCGGTCAGGCCGCGATCATGCTGGCCCAGATGGCCGAGGCTGATATCTATGTGACTGTTGGAAGCGCCGAGAAGAAGGAGTTCCTCATCACGCAGTACGGTCTCCGCGAGGACCACATCTTCTACAGTCGTGATGCTTCCTTCGGTCGCAGCATTCGCGAGGTTACCGGAGGTGTTGATATCGTTCTAAACTCCCTCGCAGGTGACTTGCTTCGTGAGACCTGGGAGTGCCTTGCGCCCTTTGGAAGGTTCATTGAAATTGGCAAGGCGGATATCACCAAGAACACCCGTTTGGACATGCAGCCTTTCGAGTACAATGTCTCCTTCCACTCTGTCGATCTCACGAAGATCGCCGCCTACAAGCCTCGGTTAATGAAGCAGTTATTGGACAACGTTTCTTCCTTGATGGCCCATGGCTTCATCCACTCCATCTTCCCTCTCTCGTCTTATCCTATCTCCGAGATTGAGAACGCTTTCCGTGCCTTGCAGACCGGAAAGTCGATGGGTAAGATCGTGGTCATCCCTCAAGAAGGCGATCAGGTCAAAGCAGTCGTCGCCAAGACCGGCTCTAACATACTCAAGGCTGACGCCACCTACATTCTCATTGGAGGTACTGGTGGTCTGGGCCGAAGCATGGCCAAGTGGATGTCGCAGAAGGGTGCCCGCAACATCGTTCTCGTATCACGAAGTGCTGCAATCAATGCGCAAGTGCAAGCCCTGATAGATGAATTGGCCCCTAGCGGCACCAACATCACCGTCAAGGCCTGCGACGTCAGCACCCGTAAGTCAGTCGACGCTATGCTGAGGGACATGTCGGATCTGCCACCAATTCGCGGTGTCGTCCACGGTGCAATGGTTCTTCGGGATATGCTCTTCGAGAACATGGACCTCGAAGACTTCGAGGCTGTCACTGCCAGCAAGGTCGACGGTGCCTGGAACCTCCATGACGCCCTGACCAAGTCTCCTCTCGACTTCTTCGTGGCGCTCTCCTCCGTTTCCGGTGTCGTCGGTAACCGAGGACAAGCCGCCTACGCAGCCGCCAACGTCTTCCTCGACGGTTTCATGGAGTGGCGCCGTAGCCAGGGTCTCCCTGGAATTACCATCGACCTTACTGCCGTGCGCGACGTCGGTTATCTCGCCGAGGTCGACACTAAGCGCCAGCAAGAGGTTCTCAAGAACATCGGTACAGACGGTATGACCGAGGCAGAAGTGCTGGCGCTTCTTGCCGCAGCCGTGACGGGCGATCTGACCGAATCGTGCGGCGGACAAGCCATTACCGGCTTAGAGTCCAACACCCACGATCACTTCTGGGAGCAAGACGCCAAGTTCAGTCTTCTGGCCACAGCCAACAAGACTCAGGCAGGTGGAGACTCGAACGAGATCGCTCTACCGCTCCACGTGCAGTTTGCCAACCTTGAATCCAAAGAGGACAAGCTGCAGGTTTGTTACAAGGCTTTGGCAGCCAAGCTCGCCCAAGTACTTGTGCTTTCTCTCGAAGATATCGAGCCCACTATCTCGGTTTCCTCGCTCGGGTTGGACTCTTTGGTTGCCATTGAGATCCGTAACTGGATTGCCCGTGAGGCCAATGCCAATGTGCAGGTTTTGGAGCTCTTGTCGACTGGTTCGCTGATGGCACTTGCTGATGTCATCGTGACCAAGTCGCAGAAATAATTTCAGATTGTACAGATTGAATGATGTGAAGGATTACGGCTTTTTGTGATATGCTTTATAGATTGTACAGTCCATTGATGGCGTTTACTGCGAGGAATTTCTTTATTATTTACATTGGCCGATTGATTGATGTTATAGACTTAAGCAGACATTTTTGCACTGTTCAAGCGACGATAGTAGGGTACAGAACCCTTTCACTTTTCCCAACCTCCAGTTTAGGCTCATCCCCTACATGCGCGCCCATCTCGGTCAACATATAACCAGGGCTTCTGTCTGGCCATGCATCACTTAGTTCATCCCATAATTGCGCATCTACAGCCGACTCAGGGTACGAGCCCAAATCGTAAGATGCACATATTGAAGACTCAAGGCTTGGATAAATGCGTGACGTGAGCGCAAATCGATCATTGACATATATTTCAATCAGAGAAACATCCACAAAGATGCGAACAACAAGATCCTCCCCGTCCAGAAGGTTGAGATCACCAAAGTCAGGAGTTGATGTCCCAAGCCCATGAACAGAAGACTTGCTTCTGTCAACGGTGGCCACACCCTTTACAAGATCGAAAATGAGCATGGTAGATTCGGCTTGATCGGGTGATTGGCGAACATTGAAAACGAATTCCTCGTTGCCGGAGAGGTTCCTGAAGGTAGCCGTGAGCTCAAAAGTCTTCGATCGAATTGAGTTCAACTCCCGAAGCGACTTTGAGGGATAGCCAGATCTGAGAGTTGTGACTTGTGGTGCTGGACAAATTCCAAGTGTTGACATCGTACCGGATTCTTCGTCAACGAACCATCTACTGTTTGCTCTTCCGGCATCACTTATGGGCTTTGACATCTCGAAGAGCTCCCGCGGATGGGCTAGACACCCTGCCCAGCCCTGAGACACTATTACAGACTCTTTGGCACTTTCATCGGCCCAACCAAGTTGGATTAGTCTGTTGTCACTATCACGGAAGATATGAGCTGCATATGTGATGCCGTGGTCTAACAACCCATGAGACTGAATTTCGAAGTCAAGACTGCCATTCTTCGGTGTGAACTTGCCGGAAAGCCACAAGAGGTAATGCCCATTGTGTCTTTTGCTATGAGTATCTTCCTCGACACCCACGATGATATAGTCTTGCCGGCCTAGGGAAAAGAACGAAACACATTCAAAGTTCTTCCCAAATTGCAAGCCGCTGGTGGGTGAGATGTTGGAACCATGCTTGACCTTCAAAACTGTTCCCAGAAACTCCCATACAAGCAGATCATTGGATTGATATAGACAAAGCTGAGATCCAAAATCTCGGTCGCCCGACGCGATCATCATAAAGTTCGTGTTGACATCTCCCCCCAGTAGCTTGGAAAGAGACTGGGACTGGGAAACAAAAGGGTCCCGCCATCCAGTGGTTCTTTTTCCATCTGGTGGTGATAAAAGAAGCGGATTATGCTGATAACGATGCCATGTTTTCCCAAAATCTGTTGAGAATGCAACAGACTGGGACTCACAACCATCGACGTAAGGTAGCGACCAATGGATTGGTAATGAAGAGACACTCGTATAGAAAAGGTACAAAAATCGCTGCCCGTCGACAATTCTCGAAACGATTGATCCAGAGAAAACACCTAGTGAATCATAGGATGTGCCGTTGCTCAAAGCCGGAGTGCAGTCATGCCAGGTGATTAGATCTTTGCTCTTTGCCATTCCCCAGGCACTATTTCCCCCCTTGGAACTACCGGGGCTCCATTGATAGCAAACACGGTATTCCTGCGTCTCTTGTATCCAGACTGCACCACATGGGTCGTTCATCCATGAATGAGGAGCAATGAAGTGCGATGTAGGCCGGAAGCGATTAAAAGCCATCTTGTAATATTAAATAGGTACGAGGTATGTTCAAAAAAAAAAAATGAAATTACCGATTAACAATAAACCAGTGACCGGGGCCACTAAATATGTCCAGTTTTGTTTTATCGTTTTCGATATGCTTCAAAAGATTGCATATTAGTAGCATAGCATTCTCCCATCTTCGGACAATCCTCGCGACAATCAATCATGGTCGGGAAAACAATCACACTCGAAACGATCTGTTAGCAAGTAAACACACCATTTTCCAAGATTTTGAGTTCTGAAAAACCAAGTCTCGATTTTGTGCCTCCATTCTTCGCCGAGCTGTCTCCCACGTTCTTCCTGGCGGACTGCATTCCTGAGCCGATGATAACCGCACTATTCTATATTTTTACCGACCGGAAATTTATCAATGCTCCGAGCGTAAGAAGCTTGACATGAAAGCTTCGACAGCGGCAATGTTGATCGCTTAAACGCCGGACAAACCTCGGCGATATCTCAAGACTTATGAGGAGGTGCGAATAGTTTCGCCGATATTCTCAACCGTAAGCTTACCCGACTGGTCTTCCAGATCTGTCAGGCTCGATCAATGAGCCAAGGAAGTGCGTCGAATAGGTCTGGGGATGCTGGAATCCAGAATTTGATCCGTGATTCCCCAGATGAAGATCTGTTGGTGGTACGATTACATGTTGCACATACTACGAATTGAGTTATAATGTGAACGTCAAGCCACCCCTTGAATATGAGAAAGCTATTAGGGTTGGTCTTCGAGATTATAATACGAGACTTTCTATTAATTTCCCATTGAGCTCATTTAACAATGGAGTCGAAGACAACCCATGAAGTCGTCTCGGACTCGACAGACCTCAAGGAGAAGTCGGTCACGTCGAACATGTTGCAAGCAGTGTGGACATAGCCAATCACATTGCCAGACTTCAGAAAATACTATGACGAATGCCATGGTGTCAGAGATCAATACGTTGTCCCAGCACTTTGGCGGACACTTTGGAGCACAGCAAGCACTATCGGCCAGGTCATTGCGACGTTTTTGGCCGTGCAGTTTGCTTACCACACTGGACGACAGCCCATTTTTTATCTTGCAGTTGCAATTTCAATCAGTGCCTCTTTTGCATTGGTCTTTGCTCCAAACCTACCTGTCTTGTTTGTCTCCAAATTGCTTTTCGGCTTTTCTGTTGGATGCTCAACCGCAACACCCCCCTCTATATGCTACTACTAACGCAGCGGAGCTTCGAAGCTCATTCTATTCCCTTACTAACTTTACCATTGTTCTTGGATCTTTTCTTTTATCTGTTACAGGATATGGAGCTTCCTAGATCGAGGGCGAATGGAGCTTTCGCCTGGCATGTATCATGACATTCGTTGTCCCAGGCTTGTCTCTCATTCTCTCATCGGGCTTCCATTCCTTCCAGAGTCTCCAGTCTGGTATTTCAAAAAGGGGAGAGAGAAGGATACCCAGAAAGCAATTTTTGGACTATTTGGTCCACAAGTTGATATAGACGAGCGAGTTTGTCTGCTCAAGTTGGACCTCGAAATGGAGAACGGCGACAGACGAACAGACCACCTAGCGTATAGAGCAATTTGGATGCATTTTTGCAGGATAATGTCACTTCCGCATATTGGTTTACTGAACCGCCTAGGACCATTTTCCTGGGAGACGATTTTCATGACCATTCTATGTGCCCACGATCAAAAGTTGAGAACCGGATAGCCATGAAATTTTTACACGGATGGGTAGTCATATAGAGGTGGATTATCCCGCGTGTGTGCTAACTCAAATAATATGCCTGGGTTCTGTCTGATACCTTTCTGTACTGTGTATAAATTTCTCGACTCAGCTCTAGTTGGAATTGGCATTTCTCAGAGAAGTAAAGGACCACAAATTTGGCATGTTACGCCCTAACAAGACATAGCAACCAATAAAGAAATGAGTGGATGATGGCGAATGGAATTGGATGTAAATTAATGGATGTATATTAATTCCTGAAACAAAGAATAGGAGGCTTTATGTACATTCGCGATAGAAGGATTCGAAGGCCTCAGAATTCAAAGATTTCAATCTTACTAGGCGCTGTTGCTTTTAGCTAGCGCTTGATATGTTATCCTCTTTCATAACTTTATCTGCCCTAGATGTAGATGCATTCTGCTAAGAGGACAATTCAAAAAAGGATCTTTATTGTATGTGTTGTGAGTGCTGTTTGTTTCGCTTGATATTCATACAATAATAGATGTAAGTGACAGAAAATCCATCATTGTTTCGAGACAATGTGCTTCCTTGTATGCTTTATCTTCTTAGATGCCATTGTCTGTTCCCTATGGCAATCTTAATATAGCATTCTGCTTCTTTGTCCCTTTGTGCCGGAATTTCGACCGGTACACATCACCTGTTTATATATTTCGAGTAATTCCCTCATCGCCGAGGTCTCAGTTTCAACCATCAAGCCTATATTATCTCAAGCACAAAATATGGTACCCCCTTTGCCTGTCGATATCGAGGAAAGAAAAAAGTTCATGCCAAGACCGGGAGCCCAGTGTCAGGAATTCGAAAAATTCGAGTCGATTGGTATAATCACGGCTATAGACCAAAACAAGGCTCGAGGATTGCTCTATCAAGTATACTACGACATCGTGGAAGAAAAATTTGGCACTAACCCGGGTTCCAGGGGAGAAATCCGAATGTTTACCTACCCTCCAATCCGCGAACAGGCTTTGATAAGGATTATAGAGTCAATAGGTCAGTTTCACTGTCTTGGGAGTGTTATCACCTATGAGCCAACATTCGTTGTCAACCGTCTCTATGAGATCCTGAAATGGAATCGACCTTGGCTCATGGTTATAAGAGAACGAGCGCCGATACAGAAGAAAAAGCCAAAGCAGCAGGAAGAAGCACTTGAATATCAGAAGCCTGATGACCAGAATGGGATAGAAGAGAGCACAAGGCTTGAAGCTGTTTTCGCCTACCAAGAGACAGAGGAAGAGTCTAATCGGTGGAACGATGAGTGGTTAGTTCGTTTTGATCAAGCGGGAGGATTCGATTTCCTAAAAGAATGATCTTCAGGTTTCATATAATTTGCATTTTACTCTTCGTACTTTGCTCACATTATATTTTTACAGACTGCCACCAACTAGCGAATATCAATACAAATTTTTGTTTGCAGATGAAGTTTCTCGTGAAACTTCCACTTTCCCCCTAAAACATAATATTATAAGCCGAAATATCAATGAGCATATATTCTCCTTTCACTTTCCTAAGTAGGTAAAATCAGTATTTCTTGTAGATATCCGTATCCTCGACACTAAGTGTGGGGCGAGTAAAGGCGGGCTGTACTCGCTACCACCAATAGTGTCTTCATATTCTGCCGTGCCTCGGAGTTCAATCTGACATCCCTCGACCATAACTCAACTCGGCCAATAATTATTCTTGACATTACTTTCTGCCATCTGAAACTTAACCTAGTCTACACAATCCTTTACGAAAGGGCGTGTTCGAAAAATGCTCCTTCGATATCTCCACTCTTTTTGCGGCATGCTAGATACTGCGGCCATATTGTATGGCTTCGTCACAATGTCACTTCTGTTGTGCTTGCTCTTTGCGGCCATTGCATACTCTGGCAGCACTTTTGCGATGAGAAGACAATTGCAAAATTTACGAAAACATGGTTTACGCGAGAGCAACATGACTGATCAATATGATCGCAAATATGAGTCACCAGAAGGAACCGCCGTTGATGGACTACCTCGTGTGAAGGCGATATACATTCATCCTGTCAAGTCATGTGGGCCTGTTGAGGTTGATCGCGCGTTGCTTACCAAGTCTGGATTTATGTATGACCGATCTTTCGCACTGGCAACTGAGAGCCCTCAAGCCGAAGACCCTGCGACCTTGGAATGGCGTTTCATCAGCCAGCGCACAAAACCAAATATGGCTCTCATCGCATCAGAGTTATGGCTGCCGACCAAGGACAGCAACCCGGATGACCCGTTAGTTCAATCAGGTGGATGTGTGGTTTTGACATTTCCAGACCTAGATACGCCAGACTGGAGAACTCGATTTGAGACAATTTTCCATACATGGAGCCTCTCCGCTACACCTAAGGTATCCTGCGTTGTACCCCTCCAAATTACAGCCACTCAGATGGACCGATTTAACATGAAAATGAAAACGTTCCGTATCCACTCCCGGGATGCCAAGGGCCTTGATATGGGAGAAGTACCCTCGGTTGCGTCTGCCTTGCCCAAGCTGAAGAAGTTTCTGCGACTTTCCAATCAGTCAAGTCTTACGATTTTGAGGTGTACTCCAGATACCCTCGTGCACACCGATAAGAACCTCGCGCCACTGCAGTATATCGGCACACCAGCCGTGCACGGCTACACAGACCAACAGCCTATCAATATCAACAATTTGTCATCCGTACATGCTGTGTCAGCACTTCTTCCTCAGGAGAACCAACCCCTAAATGCACTTCGCTTCCGGGCAAATATATGGATCACAAACACTCCCGCCTATGAAGAAGAGACATGGAAGCGCTACCGTATACTGCCGAAGCATGCCCGATTTGATTCCAGTGAGAAATTGCGCGCCAGTGTGGCTCCTGTCCTTTCTGTTGTCTGCCGCACATCTCGATGCACCATGCCGAACGTCAACACCGACACTGGAAAATTCGAAACGGACATTCCTCTCCCAGAGAAAAAGAAAGGCAAACCACAGCCAAGCACAACTTTAGTTCAGCACCGTACGATCGAAACGGGAAATAAGGCGGCACTCGGTTATCTTGGCATGCACTGCGTTCCTGAAGATCGGAACTTGATGGAGGCCGAAGAGCAAAATATGGGGTTATATGTTCAGGTCGGCAATGAGATTGAGGTTCTTGAGCGGGGAGTTCATCTTTACGGGTCTACGGGAAATGACTATTAGCGTCGCTTCTCTCGGCTTTCAGGTGGGAATACCACTCAAGGGGTAATATGATCTCACGTGTGAACATGGGAAAATGCAATTCAGGATTCCTCAAATGCCACCAGAGAGGAGCTATCCTGGTTCTCCGCAAAGTCATACATGGGTCAGTGCCGCACCTGTAGGCCGTGCTTACAATATCGACCCTCGTATCCAGGATGTGTGCGTTTAGTATACTATTATAGATATACGATGATACAATAAGTTTCACATGCTAGACCTTGATTGACTTCCTCTATCTGGCTCATAAGTTACGCCAGATATTAGTTGCTGACCGTGTATCCGAACAATCTGCAGACTAACAAGGGGGTTGAGTTATAGTCGGGATGTTTATGTTTGAAAGCTGATGATCCATGGGGCACCAATTAATATACTTGCTTTGGGATGAGTTAGTAAATTCCAGCCATAGGGTGCATAGAAATATCTAGAAAAAAGCTAATGTCAAAGTAACATACTGGGGTCAAAAGCTGTGGAGTTCAAATACTTCCAGAGCCACTGTAAATAGCCTTAGACCGGTGGACTGCCACTCACAAATATGCAACCCAGATATTTAAGATAGATCGTGATTAAATATACACGCTGTCCTGAGGATTCTTTAATTCAGTAAATACTGTCTCACTTAGTCTCAGTTTTCCCGGTGGCGGGAAGTCGATCTTCAACCCTTGCAAAAGCAAACATACCATCAACGAATAAATTGGCATTGGAGTGCCCTGCCGACCACGGCCGGATTATCCTAACATTTCATGCAGGCGCTAGTCTAGATCGCTTCAATGGAGCAAGGCCCCTGACCGTGGCTCTCGTATCGGTACATGCCAAGGGCAAACCATTTGGGTCAGCCGATTTGATTGGGACGCCTGAACAGAGATCAGATCTGACATACCATAAATAATAGATGAATTAGGCAAAAATGCGGCAATGAAAGCTCTATTTATACCAGGACCAACGCCGTGGATCCCCAAAGGCCCCTTTCACCACAGATCTAAGGAGCTAGGGTGAATCGTTTCGCTCAGAACCGAGATGAATTTGTTTGCCAGCTCATGGGCACCCTTGCTTGCAGCTATCTTGGCTTGCTTTTTTGCTTCGGTGGAAGCGTCCAAGAACTCTCCCACAAAGCATGCAAAGCCAACATTCACATTTGACCAGCTTTGGGATCTTGAAAAGACATTTTGGGATGCTTTCCTTTACCCTGCCAACTTGAAGCAGACACAGGGCAATTCGTCTACCATATTTGCTTCCGATGTAAGATTACATCCCTTTAAGAGTCATTCTTGTATGCTTAGTGGGCTTTTCCCCAAATCATAGGTTCAAGGGCGCGTTGACATTACCCGCACTTTTGATGGAGACGAGCTCAACCGCGAATATATTTTCGGCCTCTTTTCAGATCCAGTACATGTCAGTCTTGTCGGTGTCCCAATAGCATACAACATCACCCAGTTTGCCGCCAACGATAATATCGCTTCTGCGACTACCGTGGTAACCTTCAACGCAACCACCTTCGGAGTTCTCATCCCCGTCACAATCGATACATGGATTGAGTTCAACAAAGACGGAAAGATTGCCCAATACGATGCCGTGTTCCGTTGGTTTGAGTACCTAGTTGACTTCCTGATCGGAGGCGTGGCAACGAAGATCAATGCCACATCCCCGGACCAGGCTGTCGCATATGTGGCTGATCTGCTAGCAAAAACGATTTGCGAGACCCACGAACAACATTGCACAGGATCAAATCAGCAGTATACAGATAGTGCTAGTTGTTATGACTTTTTGACCAAGATCGCACGGTTTGGAAAAAGCTATGAGCTGGGTCGGAATACCTTGCTGTGTCGGGAGGTTCATGAGCATATGGTGCAGTACCGGCCCGACGTGCACTGTGCCCACATTGGACCTGGCGGGGGTGGGTACTGCGTCGATGATATGAGCTACGGGCAGACTGTGCTACAAAGGTACTTTAATGATTCGTGGATTCCATATGGATATGGGTTGGACCAGAATCTGTGGTTAATCAACTAAGAACATCTGGTGAATGTTCGTGAAGTGTCGTACATTTACTGGATTTGAACCACAACATTAGCAACTAGCGAAATATATTTAGCATACCTAAAGACCTGGTTTATTGTTTATAATGCCTGAGTAACCAGCAATGTTTGCTGCATAGGCCCCATTGAAGCTCTTTACGTATATATATTTCTGAGTATACCATCCTAGGAGCAGCTGCTTCGCTATAGTGGTCGCGTGCCCAGCGCCGGAGAAAAGCAAGCAGAGAAAAGTATAACAGCGATCAGCATCGATTTCAACCATGTTGCGTGCTATGTCACATTAGGAACGAGATCATTGGAACATCCACAGAGCCCCTTTTTTGTCAAAACCAAGAACAAAGTTCTTGACTTATCACGAGTCTAACGTGGTCTTACGGGGAATTATGCAAGCAAGGGGCTTTTTCAGCTACGGATTACAGCTTGAAGCTTGATCAATGATATCATATAACACACCTTATTGATAAAGTCTCCGGTGTTTTCAACCTTGTTTGGAAGCGCGCGTACCCTACATTCCAATCCCTTCGCATGCCCGTTCCTAGCCGTCTTCCATCTGTCCTAGCTCACAATCCTCCGACACAGACCGAATAATCTTTCTATTCTCCACGCGAAGCACGTAAATTGGGGCCTTTCGCAATCTCTACGCCTAGAGGAGACCTAAAGCAGGGGCTTTCCGCCATGGCTTGGACAGTGGATCCATGAAAGTGATCTCACAAGTTACACTTCTGCTAGGCCTAATCCCCAGATTCCCGTTCAGATTGCACAATCAATGACCGGCGTCTCAAGATGAGAGGCAAAATTGCCGGCTATAACCCGCGGATCCCAGAAGTTACATGCCAGCCTTATAATCCAAGACGTAGGGAAATTCTTCCCGTCACCTGGTTGGCCTCTGACATGGTTTTGCTCATCCCTTCCAACAACTTGGACCTCCCTTGACAGTCATCGAGCAATGTGACAAAAATTAATCATAGGTGCAAACACATGTAGTTATAACCGATAGGTCGGCCGTCTAAACCGGATCCTTGTCTTGTCTCACATGCTATGTCATTCAACCTGACAGACTACGATCAAAATGGAGACCCGACACTCTTGCAGCATCAATTCACGAACTGGAAGCGAGGCCCAGATACGCTTATGTCCTGAAAAGTTTGATGATATCTCGACTGAAGAGGAACGATTACCTCCGGTGGATGGAGGGATCCAAGCATGGATGTTCCTGGCAGCATGTGTTATGCTTGAGGCTCTTATATGGGGTAAGTAATACAGAGAAACTTTCTATCATGCAGAACACGATAATTAATGGTACTATAGGCTTCGCCTTTGGTTTTGGTGTGTTTGAAAAGTACTACCGCGAGCTTGAGGAATTCCAGGGGTCTAACATGGTAGCTGTTATTGGAACATGTGCTACGGTTAGTGTGCCAAATCTTTATTCCCCGTTTCACTGCTAACGGCTTGCACAGGGAATCTCTTATCTGAGCTGCCCCGTTGTGATAATTGCAATGATTCTTATGCCCAAGATGGGGAGATGGTTTTCCATTATAGGATTAACCACGATGTGTTTTTCTCTAGCGATGGGTTCATTCTCAACAAACGTTACCCATCTAATTCTCTCACAAGGTGTTGGATTTGGAGTTGGTGGCTGTATTGCATACAGTCCTTCAATTCTCTACATGAGCGAGTGGTTCGTCAAAAGAAGAGGACTTGCATTCGGCATAGTCTGGGCTGGATCAGGGGTATCTGGTCTAGCCTTCCCGATCGGCGTGGAAAGACTCCTGTCGAACTTTGGATATCAAACTACATTGAGAGTCATCTCCATTCTCATTTTTGTTCTTGCGGCTCCACTCTTATACTTCCACAAACCACGACTGCCGGTTTCAAAAACAATTGGCTACCACCGTCTCAACTTCCGATTCCTTCTCAACAAGGTATTTGTCATCTATCAGATTGGCAACATCATGGAAGCACTGGGCTTTTTCCTACCGGGAATATACCTGCCAACATACGCTCGTAGTATCGGAGGCTCTAATTTCATATCCTCACTTACAGTGATGCTGTTGAATCTAGCGTCTGTGTTCGGCAGCGTGGGCATGGGTCATCTAGCAGATCGGTTCCATGTAATAACCTGCATTACAATCTCCACTGTTGGCAGTACATTGGCCGTGCTATTCCTCTGGGGATTTTCGTCAACAGTTCCAACATTGTTAGTCTTCAGCGTGGCATACGGACTATTTGCAGGATGCTTCTCGGCTACATGGTCGGGGATCACGAATGAAGTCCAAAAAGTCGATCCAAACGCTGATGCAACCATAATATTTTCAATCATTGCCCTGGGAAGAGGAATTGGCAATGTCGTCAGTGGGCCTTTCAGTGAGGCTTTGGTTCGTACAGATCCCTGGAAGGGTCTACTTGTCGGGGGATATGGCAGTGGATATGGTCTTGTCATTTTGTGTACGGGACTCAGTGCTCTGTTGAGCGGGATTTGTATAGTTGCGCATCACATGAAATGTATATAGATAGACTCGGTGTGAATTTATGTACATGATTGGCGGCGGATTATATAGCGTGAAACATGGGTTGGATAGTCATCTTAAGTCGATAGTTGCTAGTTTTGTTTCAGAACCTGTGCGTCTTGTCCAAGTGCACCAAGCTTGGATGCTCTGGACTTTTATAGCCATTAAAATTGTCAAATTGAATTATGAGAAGTTTGATCAATCATTGTAAAGAAGATATTTCGTAGTCTTAGACCTGATTATCCGCTCTCATCCGAACGGCTAAAAAATGTAACAACGTAGAATATGTTACCTTGACGGGGAATCTTGATTTTATTTCAATTAGAGTATATAAACTTTTTAGTAAGATATAATCGTATTAAAAAGTCCATGAAATTCCAAGTATTTCAAGATGCAACTGAGAGCTTTTCCAAGTCTACGACGCCATCATCCGCGCCACACCGGGTATCCCGACTCCCCCGAACTACAGTTCGCAGCTCAAATCTTGCGCTCCACGCTCCCGAAACTTTATTGTCATACTGGGCGGCGATTTGATCTGGCCTGTTGAGATATGCAATGGTATACGTCACTTACATAAAATATAGATATCTCATTGAACACCATAGTTGCTGTTCTCCAGTATTTCAGGCGCATTCCCTGCCATTAACCTCTATGACGCCGGCATGGAAAAAACTACCGGTTGTGTGCCAGGTTAATTTAGCGTGATTTGTGAGAGTCCTGCCGCATTCATATCTAGCCATGATCATGACTCGAAAACAGCTTATGCGTGCTTCGTGGTGCAGTGGTATAAAGTCGTGCCCGGGTACGCATGGCGTTTCTTTTCTCCTACATTCACCTCCCTCAATATTATATCCCTTAGAAGTGACATATAAAATATGCGTTTCCTCAACTTGGTTGGCCTCGTCTTGGCTGGAGCTACTGCCTCTAATGCTGCCACTTCTTGCGCACCCTCTAGTTCCGATGCTGCTGTTCTGGAATTCGCCTGGGGTCTAGCTGACTTCATTGGCGGCTACTACAACTCCACTGTCGACTCCAACTTCCCTTCCAACTCGAGGAACGCGACTGTCCTGGGCTACAAGAAGATTCTTTCCGGTCTCTCAAACCAGAACACCCTCTCGGTCGAAGCTATTGATAAGGCCTCCTCCTCGCTCTCCGGCTTCCAGGAGCCCCAGTGCAGCTTCACCTACCCCCAGGTCAACACCACCGCTGCCTGGGCTTACTACGCCTATCAGTTTGAGTCCACTGTGACCGGTGCCTTCATTGCTCTCGCTGGCTACACCCAGTCTCCTGAGGTTTCCTTCCTCATGGCCCGCCTGGCTGCTGAGCACAACGGCCACGCTACCTTCATCGGTAGCCGCGTCAACTCTACCCTCTTCGCCGACAACGCCACCTCTTTGGTGTCGGCCTACGGTCCCAACCAGGTCATCTCCAACCGTAACGCCACTGGTAGCCTCGGCCAGTACCTTGGTGGCTGCCTCACTGCTCCCTCCAGCCCCTGCGGTCCCCTCCGCATCGGTCCTCTGGATGCTACTCCCAGCTCCTCTGCCGGTGCTAGCTCCACTGCTTCCCCTAGCTCCACTGCTTCCTCTGCCGCCAAGAAGCACCACTAAGGGGAAATAACGGTCCACCGTGTATGAAATCTCGATATGTTCTGTCTGTGAAGGAGGGGAGTTATTGGTTAGATGTAATGATCGAAGAGCTCAGAGTTACAATAATGTATGTTTTAAGACAGACCATTTGAGTCTCGCAGACAGATAATAGATTCGTAAGGAGAAGAAGTTGGGGTTCCTGAACAACATGCCCAGATGTAGACGAACATTTTCAATATCGCACTCTGCCTTACGAGCTTAGGTGACCTCAAATTTTGGCCTTTGCTACCTTGACCCCGCAGATGCGTTCGGCGTCGCCCGAATACGAGCAGACTGTGAAACGATAGCACATTTCACCGATCGTACTTAATTCCACTCTCAAGGTTCACCAGAAGCAACATTACGGCCTTCTCTTTTACAAATTCATCATAAGTTCTCATGGCTCGAAAACCAAAACCCCCGGACTTGGTTCCTCCCCGACTGAACGAAGATGCCATGGAGCGGAAGCGTGTCCTTAACATTCTCGCCCAAAGAAGATACCGTAAGGCGCACCACCTAAGCAAGCTACCGCCACTAAATGTTTAACAGGTAAAAGAAAAAGGGATTAGATCCAAGCTCTGGAATCTAAGGGTGCGGACCAGATTGATGTCCCTCAGGACGTATTGTCGCCTCCAGCCACGGCCCAGTGTGAAGCTCATGCCACGGACAAGCAAATTGGCTACACCGGATCCATCTCAACTGAGCTTGGAATTGAATCTTATGATCACTTCACCGATGAATCGTTTCGTGCGGACAACCATAATCACGCAAATATCCCAGTATTTCCTCAAACACCCTCGTCCGACCTCTCAGCGATGGGGCCAATATACTCTACATTGCCATTTAACAACCTTACTTTCGGCCAATCAATATACAAAATCCCCCCATCGTTAGAATGGGAAAATGCAGAGGGCCAAGATGCGATGCTGAACCAACTTGAAAACCGACCCTCACGCAGTCTTCCCAACAACTTAGACTCTAACATCGACATCTCCACGGAACTTCAAAACCACGACGCATCATTCTTCAACTTTCCCGATGATCACTTACTTGATGTCCCGTCCTTAACTCTGTTGAATGTTGCAATGAAAGTCGCACAGCGACTAAACATCACCGAGCTTATATGGGATATGACAGCCATCAGCCCGTTTTTCCAATCGAACTCTTCTCATTGGTTCAATATACTACCTCCATCCTTGGAAAGTACAGGTTCATCAGCAAAAACATCATCAACAATTTATGAGCTACCATCTCACCTCCAACGAACACTAACCCAGCGCCTGATCCCCCACCATCCAATTCTAGATCTTCTCCCGTGGCCCGGCGCACGAGACAAACTGATCCAAGTGTTCAACCTTCCTATTGAAATGCGCCCAAAAAGCGCACAGGACCAATTAGGCCTTGCAAGGCTGGTATATGATATGGAGGATCCTGGCGGCGAGGGAGTAAATATCCGGGGTCGGGACATTTTTTCGCCGGTTGAGTGGGAAACTGGTCAATTGGTGTAAGAGAGATGGTGGTGGGCATTTGAGAGTAGTATTGTCGAGAGTAGTAATGATCTACGGCGGAAGAGAGGGGAGAGGGCTTTGACTCTGTAATGTTATTTCATTTGACGAACGGAGTCATTACAAGGGATTGAATCCCAGCACTATCGCAAGACATAGTACAGTAGCTACCGCTAGCATCACTCGGAGCCATAAAGAACCTTCTCAGCCTTATACAAAGCCCAAATAGGAAGCGAAATACTCCAAGCCCAGACACCAGTGCGCAGATAACTCGCCGCCTCAGATCGAACACCCATATAAAGGGCCGTATACAGAATTCTTGCACCGAGGTACTCAACCGCTAAAGTATTCATATCTTTCGCAGGAAGCTTCGCCAGGGTTCCTGTCAGCTATAGGAAGCATATTTGTTAGAGTAGGGTATCTAACATAAACATTCCAAGGTCCAAGTGTATCAGTGAATGAAACATACCATGGCAGCAGCAAATATCGGAAGTCCTTCCATGGCATTCAAATGTGCACCGCGGGCTCTGGCGAGCCTTTCCCATACTTGGGTTGAGATCTGACCTTTCAGCGTGGAGAGGTTTTCTCGAGGGCTTTGAATTTATTAGCCGGATCCTCTTGAAGTATGGGTAGGTGTATAGCTTGGAAGAATGTACAAGATATTGCTCGATTGGCCCTTTGCATTGGCCATCATCTTTACCAGGTAGTACCCGTGCGGAGCAATACCGAGGCCATAGGCGGCGATGATTGATGGGATGGAGTAGTTGTTGGTAGACATAGTGAAATCTGTTTCGAGGAGTCTTTGATTTGTATCAAATTGGTCTTTATTGTGAGAGATGATTTCTATTGTTTCTTGGACTTATACAAAGCTCTTTTATGTGAACATGGTGGGGGCAGGCATAACGTTATGGTTGTTATTGACTCTACTCATTAGATTTAAGCATATTGCAGAGAAAGTAAATAGCCCAAGGCCACCAAATAAGAATGTATACCATAATCTAATCATGCTACAGCCTTGGAGGTGGAAATACGAGCATAACGTTAATGTTCTCGCAAGCCACCGGTGGGCTGTTATGGATGACGTCATATCCAGAAAAGTCTCTTGAAAAGAGTAAAATTTGTACATTCTTGGAGGTTCCCCCTTCTAAATAATATGTCATCTTCTTCGTAACAACCAATCACAACACAAAAAGAGATTATCTACAGGGCAGTAAAAGACCCCTTCTGCTGAAGGCTGTCGATGCGCCCGAGCAAAAACTCAAGATGCCTATAAGCCGCACCAGGAACATACTGCGGGATCTCATGACCAGATCCATAGACAGTACTAAAGGTAAGGCCACGCTCAGTATGTGCGGTTCCGAGAATACCAGCACCGGCATCAGCAGTCCAAGGCGTGCTCGAATGGCCATTCGCAATTTTTTCCAGAGCATCCGTGTACGGCACGAAGAACGGCTCAGTGGGAGGCTTTTGGAAACCTTGCTTCCCATTCCAGGTCATGTTCTGGATAGTAGCTAGCGATCCATTCGCGAAGAGAAGGTAGTCGTACCAGCCGTGGCCGAGGAGGACGTTATTCGTGCGCTCGATGACGCTGGGGAGGGGTCCTAATGCGCTGGGGACTGAGCCATCGCCATTGGGGAAGATGTCTCCTCCGCAGACTGCGTAGTTTGTTGGTGGGACGTGGAGGGCTTCTTGGACGGCTGATTCGTTGAAGTAGTTGTTTGGTCCGCCTGCTAGCGATGGGAAGCCCATTTCGTCCCAGAGGAAGGGGCAGAAGTCTGTTAGGTGGTACATGTTGAAGCAGGGGTTAATGTAGGTTGCTGCTTTTACTACTTGGTCCCAGACGTCGCAGCCGTGTTTGCTAGAGCTTGGTGCGACTGGGAAGTTATTTGGTGGGGGAAAGGTTAGGGCTTTGCTTAGAAATTCTGTGTAGCCGCATTCATCGTTGCGCTTGTTGATTTCTTTCATGAATGTTTCGTTTAGGCCGAAGACATTGGAGAAGTAGTTCAATGCTGGGACGGCGGGGGCTAGGAGGGATTAGTGGATGGCATTTGGACGAAGATAGTGGTACTCACCATAAATAAGAACATCATCCTCGTTGATAGAGGGATCGTTAATTTGAATGCCCTTCAGGTTGAAATGCTTCTTATCCTCGCGGTCCAACATCCCAGAAGCAATGTAGGGAATATATTGCCCAGCATAGCTCTCGCCGGTAATGTAAACCTTATAGCCCTGCATGCTGAAGGTCTCAATGAAGTTCTTCCAGAAATCGTTGAACTGGTTCGCCACATCAATTTCGTTCTCCACCGTAGCTGGACCAGGGGAGAAACCAGTGCCGGCAGGCTGATCAATGTAGACGACATTGGTCAGTTTCGTCCACGAGTAAGGGTTTCGCACAGGCTCATACACGCCCGACTGCCACAGGAATGGGCCATTCTCCTGCAACAGACCGTCGAGCGAACTACATCCGGGGCCTCCGTTCAACCAAATGGTAATCTAAAAAAAAATAAGAATAGCGCCTGTAAGGGATTGGACGGCGAGATACCTCTTTCTTCGCAGCCGGGTTGGTAGATGGGAAGAACCAGAAGAACAAGCTCGAGTTCCCATGAGGCGTGTTGGGTAACAGACCGGAGTAACTTTCACCGATATCGAAAGGCACTTGGGGAAAGTGTGTGCCGTTGACGGCGAATTCTAGTAACGTCAGCATGTGTTGTTCAGTGTTACATCCGGTAACAGATAGCCCAGACTTACTCTCCGTCTTCTTATTCAAATACTGATGCTCAGTTTGACTAGAAGCAGCTCCTCTCCTGTTAATAGTCCTAACCGACTGTTTCAAAGACGCAGCCTTGTGGTGCGGACTCTGCAAAGCAGCGACCGCAGCCACAAAGAGTGTAAACGGAGCCAAAACCAACATCATGAAATATTCCTGCTCAACTCTAATTAGACACTGCGATTGCGAGGCTACCCCATCTATTTAACGACTGCATATTGTTTTTGTTTTGCCTACTCCATGCCCGGATTAAACACAGATCACTGCCTCACCAGAGACAACCGCATCACCAAGCTTCGCCGAAGCTGCAGGGCTCCACATCGTCTGGCGGTGATATCCGCCGTGAAGCAGCCATTCGTCGGCGCCAAGCGGGGTAACGTGGTGGCCTAGAATAATTGCAACGCTGCCAGGTATAACTAGGAAGGTGACATGCTAAATGATGGCGTCATGTTCGAAATTGAGGGTCTTGTTGTAGGGGAGTTCTATAACTCCGACGGAGTCCTGCTTCGCTTGCAGATTGCGCCTCAGTTAAGTAGATGATCTTGACTAATGGGACTTAGCCAGGGGTCGTTGATGCGAGGGGTAAATTGGAGTCAGGAACGTCACGATTTGTTTCGTCGTTTATGCGGTGGAAGTGGCCTTTATTTCTTTCAGTGAACTCGACTTTGGTGGCGGGAACTACCTGTGAATATCCAGGTTGCCGATATGCTAAGCATTTTACCGAAAGCTGCTGACCACGGAAATTTTCCTCCAGTGATATGACACCCATGAGCTGACATGATCGTAGCGAACGGAGTCTCGATGCCTTCGATCCGACTTCGATGGCATTGATTTCTGCAGGGTGACCCAAATGGGAAACTGGTCGATTTGTAGGGTAGATAGAATCCAACAAGATTAAATTTACTCCAGCTTGTGTAAGTAGATATACCAAGCAAAACCATGTTTGCCTTTCCATAAGAAGACCCGGATAGTGCCAGTCTTTCTCTGATGCCTATCCCACACAGCTTCCGCCCAATGAGGCGAAATCTTCTTATCGCAAAGCTAAGCGCAATTTCGACCTAAATATTGCCACCCTCCCAGTGCCCCGATCAGAACCTATGGTGACTGATCTCAAAAGGCAGGGGAAGGGGCGGTATAGCAGCAGGATATAGCTCGTATTCCCTATTCCCCGTATGCTGCCAGGTATGCACCAAGCTGGTCAAATAATCAACATTAGCTCACAACCCTGCAACAAAACACTTCTCCGCTAACCGAATACGGTCATCAAAGCCGAAAATATGTTTGCTTTTTAGATATCAGACGATCAAAGCCACCTGCAGGATATTGAGATTGTAGTTTTCAACATCGGATACTGGAGCCGAGCATGGTAGCTTAGACCGATAGGAGGACTATCACTTTTTAGCCTCTGGCGGGGTGATATCTTTCACATGAAGCGGGGGAGCGATCATCTTGGTAGCTCAATGCATACCAAAACCCCAAAACTATAGGCAAACGCAAAGTCAAGTTCCAGATCGTGGGGCAATAAGCGCACGAGACACTGCACCCCGCATTTCTTGTCGGTCGCGTTGCGACTGCATGGAGATATACATGCAGGTGTATAGATGGCACGTGGAAGACTGGGTTTCTTGGTGATGTGGAAGTGGCTGATATTTGCGTTGGCACCATGGGGAACAGATGACAGGACGCGGCAGGTGACCAGAAGGGTCCAAGAATGCAGAGTTTGAATGGTGCGAGTCGGAGATTGTCTCACGGAGTCTGGGGATGAGGAGACGCGAGGGATGCACGGGATGGGAGCGATCGGCGTTGTGTAACGCGTGACATTTCTGAGGTTTGGCATTTGAATCTCCAAATGATAAATGATCAGGTGAGATTGTAGGCCAAGAAGCTTGGCTAGTGGGTATGTTAGGTAGGAATATACGAGGGTCATGCATTTCAGTAAACATTGTAGTGATATATTGACAAGACCTATATTAAACACCTAAAGCACCTAGAGGGGATGAAACAGCCTCTGGTATCATAAAATCACAATAACCAAAAACCGATGAGCATGAACCGATGAAAAGAAACAGTGACCAACACCGAACCCCAATTGAAAGTGTATTGAGATATCCCATTATCCAGGCATAATAAAATCGTATGAGAATCATAAAGAGCATGTCATGAAGGCGTCAAATTGAGAAGTTTGGACGACGACAAACTTAGGCAGTGCTGCGGCGCTTCTTCAAGCGCAGACTGATTCTCTTCTTAATCGAGGAGAACGGGTTTGACAGAGGACGGTTGTAGAATGGGTCATTTTTGAAATCTTCGTCCGTGAATTTCTGTACCAACATTAGCAAGTGCCACTCAAGAATTAATTGATCAAAACATACCGTTCCTGGCAGGCGCATAAAATTGCCGGAGAAATCATTCATCATGTTGGAGCCTTCTTCGTAAGTATACTCCTGGCCACTCCGGTCCGTAGTTCCGGGTGGGTAAAAGGCAATTCCGTCCAATGGCCGGTGGCTGTTCAGGGCATCCGCAATCTTGTGATGCGGAGTCGCCCGGAGGGCCTCGGCATTGGACTCCTTGACAGCTTCGAGTGGGCTGTACTGGCTGATACGGTTCCGTTCGGGACGGGCAGCATCGTAAGGACCCTCATGGTGATAAGAGAACAAGGACACATCGTCCAGTTGATCGATGATATCGGGTTGCACAAGCTGCGAGTGTCGCGATGGCTTGTGGGGGTTGTGAGTAGTGCGGCGGCGTCGAGGCACAGATGGGTCCTGGCTGCGTCTCGGCTCAACCGGATAATGTTCGGGTGTGCCGGAATACCAGATCGACGGCGCAGAGTTTACTGACTCCGAGCGCGACCGTCGGGAATAGGCAGATGGAGCAGGGGAAATGTAGCGAGCATATGGGTTGTTGCTGCTCATGCCTGAGCTCATACTTGGGCGCCGATCTAATGAGGTATGTTCATTGAAAGGGTGGTGAGGATGGTGGCGCGAAGCCATGGACATGCAGTCAACAGCCATTTGCAATGTTCCAGGGTATTTTGAGAGAGAAGAAAGGTTGAAGGCGAAGTGTGAAGGAATCCGGTGATCACACGATCTAAGTATGGGAGTATAAGTCACCAGTTTAGAAGTGGGGCTGAGTGCTCGTACAGCGGCTGAAAATGAACTGAGTAGAATGGAAAATCAGATTTACAGAGTAAAGAGAAATGCAGAGAAGTAAATAAGTCAGGGACAGGAAGCTACGACTGTGACGTGACGTCTTGCGCAGCTCATGGAGATCAGACTTTATCCGAGTCTAGTTCGCGCGCTAGAATTTTCATCGGTCCATGACTTTACCAATAATCGCCTAGTACCATCTGTCGACATGGTTATTAGCCCCAGATTGCCGTGGGTCCCACCTATTGAAGTCTACTTTTGGACCCTGCCGAATCTTCCTTTCTCTGGTTGAGTGATATCATTCCGGTAAGCCCATATTGGCTAAGGCAACTAACGCCACTCTTAGAACAGGTCTATTTCATGCCCTGAGAACGTTGGATGTGAAAAGTTCGAATAGTTTCAACTACACTTGACTTGTTACCTAATTCACATCCCATGATTCACCATACATAAAGACTAAAGTCATGCAAGGCCGACGTTGCATCCACATCCGAGACCTCCACTGATCGACTCCTATGACGATATCCCTTCCTTCCTCCACTTTCACCACATCCAATCCGCTGTCTACTATTTGACTGATCTGCTCATCGTCATTCCACATGAATATAGCTATCGTCATCAGTATGATCAAAACTTCAGTGTTGACAGTGTTGACTTCCGGGACTCCCGACCGATGACTCACTCATTAGCATATAAGCTTATTGCTAGGGACCGGTCCCTTAGGGCGGTTCCTTAGAGCCACAGTCACACCCCTGGCGTGGGCGCGGTCTAGATTCGGGATTATAATGTTCTCCCTTGCTTGTCTGAGTCAACTGTGCCAATAATGGACTGCTTTTTATTGGATAATTCCCCGTGTGAGTTTTATTCTCACCGCTTGTTCCTTGCCTGGCAATACTATTTTTATCTTTTTATATGTATTCTGATGGGGTGATATTGATTGGAGTCTTGAGTACGATACACGAAAGATGAAGTTCTCTTGAAATTATCATAAATTTCGCTTATAGCATACTCCATTGGACCGTTGGATGACTATGCCGCCATTTGCATGGAGGCCTGGGATTTTCGCGGGTACATACTAGATGGGTCAAAGTCTCTCGCTCGAACTGAGTGGGTAAGAAATGCTGTCTTTTGAGCCCGGGCATCAGTAGTAAGCTAGATGTAGCCTCCAGTTGGATATGGGTCCACTAAGAATGCATGAGAAATCTGCTTCACTTTATAAAATCGCCTCATTTGGCATGAAATTGCGTCAAATAATGCTCGGTTTCTTAGCGCATTTGATTGGCGTCCTTGGACCTACTCCATCGAGCCTTTCAGACGAAACATGTCTACAAGCTTATGGTTTATAACTAGTCTCAAGTGAGGAAACAATTTAGGTCCTAACGAGTGTGGCCTCTCAATTGAAGCAGGCTAAATTAATCCACCTTAAATCTCGACTATAGCAGTAGTCAATATATTCCCAGCCCATAAGTACTAGCGAGTGGCATCTTTCTTCGAGGTTGAATACTTTGAATACCGCAATTACTTACCATCCACCTCCACGCCCACCACCCCAACTGCCTCCTCGACCACCTCCTCGACCACCTCCTCGACCACCTCCTCGACCACCTCCATGCCCACCATCACCCCAGCCTCCACCACGACCACCCCCATATCCTCCGCCGTAGCCGCCACCAGGGCCGCCATGATCCGCACCATCGGCGGCATTTGTAGCAGCCACATCACGCTCGACGACGTTCTTCTCCATGTCATCCCAACCTTTCGTTATTTAGAAGGTGTCACGTCGAAACTTGCACACTATAATCACTTACCTTGTGCATCACGGCTGACCACGATTCGTTCGCCTACGATGTCATTTTGGTCCTCACCCCCTTTCTATTCATCAGAAGTTGATTCACCAAAATTTACGCACTTTGATGACTTACACTGTGCAACAGGGGTTGCCAGCGCGGCAAGCGCCATGCCGAGGAACAAGAAAAGGCTGCCTGACTTCATTTTGTCGAGGTAGTATTTACCTATAGCTATTAGCATGTCTCGTATTTAGGTAGTGCTCACAATAAGTCTTACCAGGATAGATTGTAGAATCTGATGAATCGATTGTTGATTCTTGAGTAATGATATCAAGAACTGGAACATGTCTCTATCTTATATGCAGATTATTAACTCGGTGGAGCGGCAGCGTCAGGATCTAACAAAGTCTCGCTTCATGAGGGATATTCTGTTGTTCCATTTCATCCGATTGTTGGATATTGTGGTTAACCTCCGGCTAGTATGACATTGTCCAACGGTCGAGTATAGAATGTTGCAAGGGGTGTTCATACTGTCAATAGTAAAGCTGAGAGTGTATGCATGCCATGTTCGCAAATTAGATCACATCTGAGTTGATCTGCTTGTCATTTGTTACTATTGCGTCGAAGTGCTGGAGAACTCCCGCAGTGATTAATGATATGGGAAGGGGAGATAGTAAGGGGCTGACAGATGGTATATGGGAGGAAGGCTAACAAGGAAGACCTGGTCAGTGGAAATGTCACACCCTAGGGATTTTCTGTGCTGAACATGATTATTTCCGTCCGTCCGCATTTAGAGACCCACAAGAGGAGACATTTGGGTTACTCTTCCATTAGTTAGGGTTTTCTTAGTCCTGTAATTGATTCTTTCTTGAATAAGGAAAGCCAACAAATACCTAAAAAGTCCTAGAGACAAGAGTTAATTCCTAAACTTGCTTAAGAGAAAATAGACTAGAGATGTGGGAACCTATATTTTCTAGATGACAAATACACTTCACAATTTGAAATTCCTCGCCAGGATGAATGTCTGTAAATATAAATTGCACGGTTCATTGGATGTTGCACTGATCTGTATCTAGCCATACTTGGTTCCCTGCTTTCTCCACGATCCTAGTTACTCGGCAGATATTTGATTAGTAGTGACCGGCGAGAGGATGATCTACTAACCCGTTCAAGTTATTGTTTTACGGACTGGGAACAGGGAGAAAACAACCAGTATAAAATGAGGGGGAAAGCGGGTACCGCTGCTCGTGATGTCTAAATTTCTTTGAATAAACCGCTTGAAAATGAGCAAGAGACTTTCCGGGTTCAAAATAATGCGTTACAGGCCATATGATACATTGGTAAAGGATAGAAACGAGATAGCTCAAGACCGAAAATGCATGTTGAAGCTTCTTAGATTTGACGGTGGTTGACCCACATCAAACTCTCCGCCCAAACAGATCGCACAACAACCTCCACAACGACAACCAGATGTCTCTGGTACAATATTCCGATTCAGAGTCAGACTCCGAGTCTAGAACGTCGCCCCCATGCAAGAAAGCTCGCCATGACCCGAAACCAGGGCCATCGCTGCCGCCCCTGCCTGCAGCGTTCCACGACCTCTATGCTTCCAGCACACGCGTCAGCGTGCAAGATGATCCCAGTCTTCATGGTGGTCGAAAACGCGCAATCCCACATGTAGAAGGCAACTGGCCGACACATCTGTACCTCGAATGTACGTCGCAGCCCCTCGCAATGATTCACCCAGAGTCAGCAGCTAATTCTTGATAGGGTATCCCGCGAAAGAAGAGCTGTCGCTCCTTACAGAACTTATCGCCCATGCTGAGACCTCACTGGATGAAAATGCGCCCAGTGTACATAGTCTGTTGCATAGTGATCTTGATGCTCAGCTTCCACTTCACATTAGCCTGTCTCGTCCGGTGGTCCTCCGCACTGAGCAGCGTGCACCGTTTACTGAGTTGCTGCAAAAAGCCATTCATGACTCGCATATCTCACCGTATGTTCTAGATATTCAGCCCAGAAACATTCGGATTTCTCCGTTTTCATTTGCTAATACGGCTTAGGTTTGAAGTACTACCCGATTCTTTGGACTGGGCATCCAACTACGACAAAACACGCTGGTTCCTGGTGTTGCGTGTCAAGAAACCAGCACATGATAGTTTGAATGGTCTGCTAAATCTGTCAAATACCGCCCTTGCTCGCTTCGACCAGCCGCCTCTTTATGCGGCCTCCTCGCATAAGAATAGTCATCAGCGTGCCTTGCCTCGTGGTGAGAAAGGTGCGCCGCTAGTAGAAGACTATTCAAACTGTTTCCATATCTCACTCGCTTGGAGTCTATCAGGGCCTAGCGAGAAAGACTGCGCGCGGGTTGCTGGTATGGACTTGAACGCATTGCGAGAATGCAAGATCGCGTTTGATAGTGTCAAGGCCAAGATGGGGAATAATGTGGTTAGTATCCCATTAGGAAAGGATCTTTAAGCTATGCTTTGAGTTCTTGCATCAATAAGGGACGTTTGGGGAGGAGAATTGGATATGACCTCCAAGTGTCACGAGACCAGAAGACCCCAAGAACAAATAATAATGTAATGAATCTATGACCACTTTAACCAGATAATACTTGTAAAATATTGATTGGGGCTGGATATCTGTTGAGTTCGATCTATACAGCTGAGCAGGTGGGTACTGGATTACCGTAAGCATTTTCACGCGACCGCGTCTTCTCCCCTTCGCGTCAACACCTCCCATCATGCAGGTCCCCAACGTAACTCTGGTATGTCTTCCAGGCTTTCAATAGCCTTACGCTTTACTAACCTGGCTTTTATCAGGATGACCTCCAGGCCTTCCACTCCAAGCACTTTCCAGGCAAACCACAGCCCACCCTCCCACAAGAAAATGACGAGCCCGCAGAGGAGGACCTCGGATACTATCCCGACGGAGTGAAGCGCACGCTCACAGATGAGCAGATTCGCATATTTAGGCACAGTGAGATTCATGCCCTGCTCCGACAGAAGCAATTGCAGATAGAGAATGCAGAGTACGAAGCTCGCATGGCATCCACCGGAGACAACACACCTGCTGCGAACAGCCCAACCGAAGATACCAAGGCTGCTCCTCGCGCTGCTGATACTCATGCACATCAACGGGGACAAAGGAACTCCAAGAAACGTGTCGCTGAGGACATCAACTCTGAGCCTCTTGATTACGGTGACGAGAGCTCTGATCAACCTCCGGCGAAGAGGCCAGAGTCGCGGGTGCCATACCAGGGTCGCAGGATCATCTCTTATGATGATTGAATGACCAGATACCGCGCCAATGTCCGAAAATATCCCGAGTCACCGCATTAAGCTATTCGAATCCTCGAGCTAATGCAAACGCCCACCTGCTATCCTTCAAAGGACAGAAACTTGATAGTGAGTCCTATGCATCTCAGCAAAACCTCAGTCCCTTCTCCTGCATGATGAAATCCAATGTATAGTCATCCTTAGCCGGAAAGCCATGCCATCTGCGGATGTGTGAGGCATTGACGACTTTAATCTTCTCTCTGAAAACCTTCACAATACTTGTCAATGATATGCACGCATGCTGAGTTGAGATGCTAACTGTCTGCTTATCAAGATGTTATCCACATCCGGTTTACACAAATCTCGATACTACAGTGTGGTTCTAGTTACCGGGGGATAATAAATCTCAAGGTTCTACCCACCTCCACTGATCACCTCCCACATGGCGGCTCATTACTCACATGGCATAAGTGAATACAGTTCCAGGGTCAATAACACAAGTGGGAAGAAATTTCAACAGTGGCAGCACGCAACCGCGAAGGCCCCGACTGCCATGCCCAGCAGGAAAGATATCCGGTATCAATCAGGGATCAAAACAGGCAGACCATAAGAACTTCTCGCCGAAGTCGAAAGAAGTTGATATACTTTCTGGTCACCTTTGATGCGTCAGATAATTCCCGGCTTACCCGACTGACGAAGATTACGACTGAAATGAAGGATTGCTTCTGCTATTGGAACTTTTCAAAGAGCTTCTTATGCTGTCTTCTAATCTGCGCCTATTGGCTTGCTTCTGTCCCATCTGTACCGCCCCCTTTTTTTTCCCTCTCTCTCTCTCTCGCTCTCTCCATAGCCTCTCATGAGAACCACACAGGGTTGGTTAGAGCCAACATCTCATCACTAGTCGAGTTCCTCACCTCCGCCCTGACAAACTTCGCCCCCAAATGCACCGCATGCACAATTTCCTTGTGGCCCGCGATTGACGCATTGTAAAAGTATCCTTGATTAGAGATAAGACACAAACGCTGCCCAGCCAACCCCTCAGCAGCAAAGCGAACATCCTTTCTCTCAACGCTCACCCTATCCCCAATCTGCGCCGGAGCCACTAAAGACGCGGAAACAACCTCAAAAGCAACGTCCATACCAGGCCCCTGAACCAAATATACCCTCCCAGCCTTAACACCCTCAATAATAGCCGCCTGACTCCGTCCCCTTCCCTTGACAACAGAAGTAGGCAACCCATTAACAGAAGGCGGCGAATGAGAATCACTCCCACCAACAGCAGTAACCCTTTTTCCATCAATAAGCATCCTCTGCCACAACTGCACAGCCTGCTCATCCGTCGGACCCCAAGGCCCATTCCAAACCTCCACAGCATCATTACTTTCCCACCCTAGACTCCAATTGCAAGCTGGACAATCCGCGAACGGGTGGTTTATAGATATGAATCCACCAGCTCGACGGACGTGCTCCGCTGCTTCTGCAAAACCGGGCTTATCACCTGGTTTGTATCGCCAGTCGATTAATTGTTCCCGTTCTATACCGACGGCATGCCAATGTCCGTACCGGGTTGTAACTTCGATCGCTCGGCCGACTAGTAGATCGGGTGCATGTACAGCTTGGACCGATCCGGCGATTTGATTGCTTGTATCTGTGTTGTGATCGCTGAGGAAGACGAAGGATAGATTCTGCGATTGGCCGATGGCTAATTGCTGCTCTGGTGTGTATTTCCCGTCTGAGTAGATGGTGTGCATGTGGAAGTCACCGCGCTGCCAGGTGAATTCCTCTTCCTCGGTGTAACCGTTGGAAATCGGGTCCAAGTTTGTTGGGGCGTATGTCGGCGTGAATGTCGCGTTGATCGCATCGAAGCCTAGTGAGATTTGTAGTGTCCAGTCTATGCCTTTCGCCGTGGACTCGTATGGACCTAGGGCTACGCTCCAGGTTCCTGGGCTTATGGGACCCGGGTTGTAGCCCGGCGTTGCCCATGCGGGCGTGATAGTGAAGTTGTTTCTGTTGGCATTATGGATATCAGCTCACTCGGTTCTTCTGTGCACTCGAACAAGACTTTAGATTAGTCTCACCTTTTTCCACCCGACCATCCTCTAGTACCGAATTGACCAAATGAATCGGGGACCTCGTTGCCTCGTTGGTCGAATAGACCCAGATCGAGGGAACTGCCATTTCCCTTCAAGGCGTAGTCTTGCACGACGCTGATGGAGGTGACGCCCTCTTCCACTTCGAATGGGACGTATACAAATGAGTATACCTGAGATTGATCAATGTGTCCAGAGAGACTCAAATGAACAGTTTTGCGTGTGCTGGTAGCCGTTGTCCAAGTAGAAAGACATAAGAGTGAAAATCTGAGGGCATTCTTGATATTGAACGCCATATTTGCAGTTCCAATGGTCTTAACAAAGAAACACCCTTTTACACAAAAGCAAAGGCCATGAATTTGAATCAATGGCATCTCTACTCTTCATTTTATACATCGCTGCGGTCGTGCCTCGCGTATCATCCCGTCTGGCGGGATACGAGCGCGGCTTGACCCGACAGCTGCGCTACCACGTGGGACAGTATTTCGTACAACAGGCGCGTTGACTATGTCTGAGAGCGCGGGAAGAATATCTTCAGGGAAATTGTCGAATTTCAAGTTGGAGATATTGTGCATGGACCTTTGTTGAGGGCTATCCCCGCTTGACGACCGGCTTTTCATGTTGCAATCATTGGAAGATGGAACGATTAAGCGGAATTAATGGATTGAATGGTACAATAGTAGTTTGTAATTCAATCAAAGCAAATACATGTTTGTACAGGTCTATATAAAGTCAACTGCGCGGCAGTATGACATGCAAATAGTAGTAAGTATACAAGGCCAATAAGCCATAGAAAACGACAACTTCAAGCGAGCTTCGTCTGCCACAATAAAAGATGAATGCAAATGCCCCAAAACGCAAGATAATAACGCCATCTCTTCTATACCCATGTTATGCAAGCCAAGCAAAATTAGCGATAAAATTTTATGTGCATTTAAGCATTATTAGCGCAGGAGAAGCTTTCGCTGCTGGGGTTGTCGTGGATTGCTTTGCCGGAGACGTAGAGGCCGAGACCACACTGGATTTATGTTAGCAATTGAGATGACGGCATTCAAACGTGGATGTGACGTACGATAGCTGCACCGATGGCAATGATGAAGACATTCAGTGCTGTCAAGGCGATCTTTCGTGGCGAGGAGGACCAGAGGCCCTTGTTCATGAATAGCCAGAATATTCCGCTTAAGCCGTAGGTGAACCAACTGGCGAAGAGGGCAGTCTGGAGTAGAAGTTAGATTTTGACAATAATCTCATAAGGATGAAGTGATACATACGATCAGACTGAGCAAACTGCTGAAGACTGGAATGGCAGTGGAAATGATCCAAGCCAGAATCCATAGTGAAAGAGAGATACCGATCCAAGAGCCAACAGCGACAGCATCACGCTTATGCATACGGTCCGTACCGCGGAAGATGCGCGTGTAAACGTATTTGAATGCGACGTGGCCGTTAATGACACCGGCAATGATGATAGTAGGCAAGGCAATACCATATGCAACCTTAGCGACAACAGGGGAAGCAGATCCCAGAGCAGGCGAGGTAACGTCCGCGCCGGCATAGCGGTAAATTACAACAGCGGCAATGATGTAGAGTGCCATATCGATACCCTGCAGAAGACAAAGGGACTTGGTAAAGTCGCGTGGGTTCTTCAATTCGGCCATCAAGCCGAAGAAGGCTGCGTGACCGCAGAAGGCGAAAACGATGTTGCAGACGGCCGAGAAACCGAGGTACAAGTTTGTTTCAACGGCGACTTCAATGCGGCCGTTGGGTTTCTCGATGCCGACGCCGATCATGACAATCAGGACTGCGGTCATGATACTTCCGAATGCTGGAGGTTGTTAGTTGATATTTTGGGATCGAAAAATTGATAATATACATACAAACTAGGGAGAGCCATGACATCTTGACCAGAGTTCGGGGTAGAGAACAGATAAATGATACAATCATACCCACGATACCGAATACGATTGAGCAGGTGCCGTGGCCAGTGATAGTATTCATAGCCACGGTGAAGGTCAACAAATGGCTGGCCATGACGAAGATTAGGAAGATAGTCTGCGCGACACCGAGGATTTCACGACCCCATTTTCCTCCCAGAACTTCGCCTGCATCGGCCATTGTCGAGATGTGAGGGTATTTCCATTTCATTTGTCCTATCACATAACCCGTATATGTAGCCAGCGAGCCGAGGAAAATAAGAATAATAATCGCACTGTTAAGCATGTTAGCCTGGATTATTTCGCTTCGAGTTTCAGGCGAGGGCATGCATACGGAACAAATCCAAGGCCTGCGACAGCAGCTGGTAGCGACAAGACACCTAGGGAGACGGTTTCGGCGACCATGACTGGTACACGTTAGACTCGGATTCAATTCGAAAATGATATATCGTCACATACGCAGACCGCATTGCCTATAAAATCAAAGTTAGCCACAGGATTATCACAAATCGAAGCTATGCAGACATACCACCACTTGAGAACCTTATATTTCACCTCGGCATTCTCCTCATCACCAAAAGCATCCTGCCTGTACTGAGGTACAAAGTCGGGTTTTTGGAGATCCGCATCCAAATCAGTCTGATTAAGATCCAAGCTCTTCTCCTTGGACCCAACCTCCAAATCCGCAGATGAGCTCATAGTGAAGCCGGATATCGAAAGCAATAGATGCGCCGTATAGATCTCGCAACCAGATCAAAGCCAAACGAAAGACCAAACAACCAGCGATCGGCGAAAGCAGAAAGATATCAAGAAAACAGCAAGAAAATGACAAAAGCAAAAGCAAAAGCAAAGCTCATGAAGAATAAGAAACCGCCACCCAAAATGGAAGTGGAGCGCCGAGACGCGGACCGTCGCAACGAATCAACTCGGCGCGACGTAATAGAAATTTACTGAAAAGCCTTAGCCAAATGGGTCGGATGCTTCAAATATCGTTGAAAACTGGGGAATATAGAAAACTTCGCTCCGATGTCGGTCTGCTATACTACATTTTTAATAGAGGCTTCAAGTCAAATTGTGATCACATTGATTGAAACGCGGTGGAAAATTCCATCGGCGGGTTCCGCTGATCCCTGCAGATTTAGGGCTGGGATTTTTTAAGCTTAGTCTCGCCAGTCTAGCCTCTTTTTGAGCTGAGCCTTTCGGCTGCTCTTGACTGTCTATTGCCGCACTAAATTGCAGGACATGTCGGACGTCGATCGGAGTTGCTGACTGGATCCGGTGGGATTTTTTTTTCTTTTATTCATGACTCATTTATGCCTTGTCTTGGATTCTTATTAATTCAATTTTAGGTTGGCATTGCAGCTATGAATTGTACTGTACGTTACGATCTTAGAACGGCCACTCAGATAACATCTTATTGCTAGTCAGCACAACCAAATCTATCGCAATTGCAGACCAGCACAGTATCTTTCAGCTCAGGTGAAGAATACTAGCAGCATGTTGTGTCGTTCCCACACTCGACTCTTGAATCATATAGTCATCAAGTTCTTGAAGCATGTTGCTTGCCCAAGTAGTCATTGTATTTTGCAGTCTCTCTACCCCGTGTCCAGTGAGTTTTGAACGATCATTTGGGTTCAGGAGACAGAAAAACAGGCACGACCTCTCAGAATAACGGTAGGAAAGATGTAGGAAAGAAAACGCTCATAATTTAGAATGAAGCATGTCGGAAACATAGAGCGGGGTGCTTCCGGGATGTTATAGCGACGTAACAAAACAATGATAGCATGTGCAACGAATTTCCCCCTAACGAAACAATTGAGTTGAAGCATCAACTTTGGGTGGGGTTTGGAAGTATGAATCGAATATTCACATGTACTGATTTGCCAGTTCATGGGTTCAGTCTGGTGTCTGGTTTCTTTATCAACGATTTCTGTTCTTCCACCCCCATGATCAGAGCTTTCATAGCCTTAGTGAAGGATTTTGTCGACTGATGAGCCAAAAAAAAGTAGAACTTTGTGGCTGGAAGATAATTCATAACATCAGGCTCGAGCTTCGAGCAGAGCGCCAATGAGAGAAGTTAGAAAGGACAGAGGAGCAAAGCTCAAAATCAAGTGTCTCGCATTTCACGTATGATTATATATAAGTTGGATAATGTTCACAGAGAGGATTGCAAGAAGGAAAAATCGAGTAGAAAGAGGGGGCGTAGGTGAAGAAGAAAGAGTAGGAGGTTTATGTACTTAAAGGCAGTGACATAACCGAACAAAAAAACGAAGTAGTAGAGCTCTAGCACATAGAATAATCTTCAGAAATAGGAAGAACAAAGACAGAACAAAAATGCACAGCCAGGTATACATCCCACACCATTCTTCCTCGAGATACACTTCATTCTACACGAAATCTACTGGCACCAGACGATGGCACCAATATTACAGACACTAATATTACAGACAGACTTTCACGAAATTCCAAAATAAAGAGGAAGGATGAACCACATCCCCGTAGTGAATTTAGAATGCCATGGCCTAAGCTACCTTCACGACGGATATAAACATACAACCCACGAGCCTCAACCCAGGAAACCCGTATTCCATCGACGCCTGCGCCGGGACATCCAGTCCATAAAAAGTGCATGAGAAACATAATGAAAGAGAACGCCATGCCCATAGCGCCAGTATGCTATCGTACAGAAAAAGAAGAAGAAAAAAGAAAATGAAGAAAAGAATGGGAGGAAGAACAACCAATCATAGTCATGCAAACCCATAAACACCACCATTGCATCATACAAACCCCATAAACAGATACCCACCTTGATTGAAGCAGTAAGAATTCGAATCACCCATGACTCTGCCGCTTAAGCCTCCTTCTCTTCCGCTGAGAAGCAGTAATCGCCTCTTCAGTAAGTAGTTCAGCTGGTGGCTCGAACTCCTGCTCGACCTGTTCAGGAACAGGATGACCAAAAGCAAGAGAAGAGCGTGAGCCACCACGACGATCACCCTTTGTTGCAGCGATGGCTGCTTCGCGGACATGCCTTTGGCGGAAGAATGAGGTGAAGGGTTTACCTTGGACGACTGATTCATAGAAGAAAGAGAGAGGCATTTGTTTGAGATTCTTTGGTGGAGTTGGATCTGTCTTTTTCTTTGCTTTTGGGCTGGTTTTCGGAGCGGAGGGTGTTTCAGTGGTAATGTTATGTCCATGGCTGTGGCTGTGGCTGTGGCTGTCACCGTCTGTACGGGTGGTTTTACGGGATGTTGATGGTTTGCGTGGTTTGAGGGCTGATGCTGAGCGCGCTTCTTGGTGCAGTTGGCGCGCTGCTAATGCGTCAACGTCGTTGGGATCGGGCGTGCTTTGCATGTCTGTCCCTGGTGCTGGAGAGCTGTCCATGTCCTCTGCTGGACGGGAGCGTTTGCGAGGTTGGTTGCGAGTTGCAGCATCGGATTCGTCTAGGGCTGGCTTCTCTCTGGCGAGCTTGCGGCGTCGTTCTTCATCTTTCCAGGCTTGGAATTTGTTGACTAGAGCGACTAGCTCTGAGATGAGGATGTCACGCTTTGGCTCGTACTGCTTCTTGTCGCTCTCGTGCACCCCGGGCAATCCCATCACCCGTAACCAGTCATGACCGCGGAGCTCGTCGAGGAGTCGTTCGAGGACCTGCTGTTCATGCTGTGCGCGATCTCGCTCAATGTTTCGTAGTTGTTTCTCCTGACGCTCGAACTTGCGATGCGCGCGGAAGTATGTCTCTGCGCCCAGCGGGTCAACAGCGGTTGGACTGGCTGCCGGCTCATGGAGTGTGATTTTCTCGCAGCCGTACAGCTTGAGGAGAGGGTTGCCAAAGGGTGTCGGGTCATGTTGCGAGGGAAAGGGCAGGGATTGCGACAGGTCATCGACGAGGATGATTGTAGTTTTGGCATTGAGAGATTCTGTTTAATCATCCAAGTCAGTCAAGTCCAATGCATCCTGCTCGCACTCAACTTACCTGGCTCAGGGTCGTCCAAACTGATAATCTGCTCGTAGCTATGAAAATACTGCGCAAGCTCGCTCTTACACCGTGACCCGGTGTCAGTCGAGCGCAACGACCGCCGCCCAGTCTGTTTCTCATCCACCTCAGCCTGCTCGCCGTCGCCCCCATCGCTCTTGCGATTTCGCGTCGACCTGACCCCAGCCGCATCAACGCCGCCTCCATCACCACCCACACCCTTCACATTTCCCTGCTCCTCACTCAACACTTGAGTATCAACCCGTCGAGTCGCGCGAGCCACAGGCGAAACAGTAGCCTTGGCATCCGACCGCGCAGTCACAGCAGGTGTAACAGGCCGTTGCTTAAACGCGACAGATGCAGGCGCGGGCGAAATCGTATCCAAAGGATCAGGCGACTCCCTCGACAAGTCGGTCGCGATCGAAGGCGTATTGGGGTCATGGGCGCGGGCCCTGCCATTCGCATTGCGGGTTGCCGGCGTCGCCAATTGCGAGGCGACCGTGTCAACAGATGCGGAGGAGTCGCGGCGATTCACGGTCCGCGGGCGCGCGAGTTTCAAGGGGAGATTCGGGCGTGGTTTGGGGTCTGGGGTTGTCGTGTCGAGGCAGTCTGGGGAGCTGCGGCGGCGGTTCAGGCGATGTTTGCCGTCAGGTTCTTCCCGTCGCACAGAGCGGAGGGAGGGCCGTGACAGAAGGGCCATTGTTTGGTGGTTGGAGGATGTTCAGTCGGTCATGGGAGTCGAGGGGGGAGTTCTTGGCGGGATGGGTTTAGATGGGACGGCGATGGGGAGAAGGAGATGATGTTGATTCTATTCACGACTTTTGCTTACTATTGTTGTTTGAATTCTCATTTTTATTCGAAATTGTGCGTAGTGAATTGATTGTATATGGGGTTGCATACATGGTGTTCACTTGTAACGGAAGTAGACAATATCAGCCTTCTACTCATGCATGTTATAGCACCCTTCATCTCACATTCGATCATATTTGCCTCAATTGCCCCGAGTGCCTCTCCGCCTCAATGTAGCATGTGTAGTCACGTTAGACGGCAAATGAACCCCCACGAGCGAGTGTGGGGGATTCTCCAAGTTCGGAATTCCCATATTATGCAGGTCAGATTACATGTGAATCTCCAAGTGAACATTGACGTATATCAGAAGGGAAAGAGTGAGACTGGGTCGACTGGGCTAGACAGAGATCAAGGGCCACATAGAGCTCCGAACAAGTGTACTTCGAACAAGTATACGTCCACCTATAACATACATAGTGCAAGGAAACTATACCAACCCCGCATAACCGTGGGGGAAGCCCTTGTTCATTGCAAATGACTTCACTCCCACGACAAGGCACTGTGGGGTGAACGTGGGGGGTGGACGGCGAATGATGATCTGCCCATTTCTCAATATATAAAGGGCCATTCTAACACCTATTAAACTCCCTAGACCACAGACCACATACCCAACATGACGGCCAACGGAACAGCCAAGCGGAATCCCCTCCCCCACGGAGTCTACGTCCCCACAGTGGCCTTCTTCAAACCGGACGAAGAAGTTGACATAGCCACCGTTGAGAAGCACGCCGCCTACCTCGCCCACAGCGGCGTCACAGGCCTAGTAACCCAAGGCAGCAACGGCGAAGCCGTCCACTTGGACCGCGACGAACGCAAAGCTATCACAGCAGCCACACGGCGCGCCGTCGATGCAGCGGGGTACAACAGCATGCCAGTAATCGCTGGCTGTGGTGCCCCCTCAACGCGCGAGACCATCCAGTTCTGCAAAGACTCCGGCGAAGCTGGTGCCGATGCTGTCCTGGTGCTCCCGCCGAGCTACTACAAGGCTCTGGTGAGCAGCGAGTCCATGCATGCACACTTCCAGGCTGTGGCTGATGCCTCGCCGGTGCCGGTGCTTATTTACAACTTCCCTGGAGCTTCGTCTGGGCTTGATCTGAGCTCTGATGATATTATTGCTTTGTCGGTGCATCCTAATATCATTGGGTGCAAGCTTACCTGTGGTAATACTGGTAAACTTGCCCGTATTGCTGCGGCGCAGCCTGATTTCCTTACCTTTGGTGGCTCGGCCGACTTTACCCTCCAGACTTTGATTGCTGGTGGTGCTGGTATCATTGGTGGCGTTGCCAATATGATTCCTAGATCTTGTGTGCGGGTTATGGAGCTCTATCGCAGTGGAAAGGTTCAGGAGGCACAGAAGGTGCAGGCTGTTGTTGCTCGTGCTGATTGGGCTGCTATCCACGGTGGCTTCATTGCTGTCAAGACTGGTTTGCAGTCTTATCGTGGCTATGGTGGTCTTCCTCGGCGACCTTGTGTTGTCCCCGATGTCAAGGCGGCGGCGGCCATTCACGACGAGTTCCGGGAGGGGATGGAGCTGGAGAAATCTTTGGAGAAGTCTTAACTATAGAAGTTACCTGAAATGATACCTAAGCTTCTTTAATCTATCTGTGTGTAGTAGATCTGAGTGTAGATATCCCATGTCACTGTACCATTGGACTAGATACAGTAGCTCACCCCTCTTTCATGTGTCCTCGTGGCCTCGAAGCGAAGCTCAGGTCGTATGCGGAGGTTGTAGTTATCTCTGCCCTTAGGCTAGTGTAATTAATGTCATTAGTGTCGCTAGTACAGTATAGAGTAGTTAGAATGTAACATGAGCGATGAAACAAGGGGTTTGTTTGTCTATCTTCATCTCCACAGTTGCACTGAAAGGATCGGCATGCTACACATAAATAGTCCGTCGTTTCTTATCTGTTCAGTCGTTCTCTTCATCGCCATCACTCACCTCCTCACGATGAAGTTCGCCTCTGTCTTGAGTGTCCTCGGGGCCCTCACGGCCGTGTCTGCTGTCCAGGTGAACCCACTTCCCGCCCCCCGCAACATCACTTGGGGTTCGTCCGGTCCGATCCAAGTGCAACGATTGTCTCTGCGCGATCGACACACCAGTTCAGTGGTGACCAAAGCCTGGGTGCGAGCATGGAACTCCATCACCACCCTGCAATGGGTTCCCGCCGCTGTAGAAGCTCCTATCTCCGACTACCCAGCCTTCCCGACCTCCACCCCCGAATCCAAGACCAAGCGCACGAACACGGGGATCCACTACGTCGAGGTCCAGATCAAGGACAGTCGGGCTGATCTGCAGCATGGCGTGGATGAATCATACACACTCGAGGTGACCAAGGGATCCAACAGCATCAAGATCACCTCCCAGACCGTCTGGGGTGCGCTGCACGCGTTCACCACCCTGCAGCAGATCATTATCTCCAACGGAAAGGGTGGTTTAATCATTGAGCAGCCAGTCAAGATCCAAGATGCACCGCTGTACCCATACCGCGGCATCATGATCGACACCGGTCGCAACTTCATCTCGGTGCGCAAGATCATGGAACAAATCGACGGCATGGCTCTCTCCAAGCTGAACGTCCTGCACTGGCACCTGGACGACTCCCAGTCCTGGCCGATGCAGATGCGCTCCTACCCCGAGATGACCAAGGACGCCTACTCCCCCCGCGAGGTCTACACCGAGGTCGACATGCGCCGCGTCATTGCCTATGCCCGTGCCCGCGGTGTTCGTGTGATTCCCGAGGTCGACATGCCCGGCCACTCTGCTTCAGGCTGGCAACAAGTCGACCCGGAGATTGTGGCGTGTGCCAACTCTTGGTGGTCCAATGATGTGTGGCAGTACCATACCGCAGTTGAGCCAAACCCGGGTCAGCTGGATATCATCTATAACAAAACCTACGAGGTTGTCAACAATGTTTACCACGATCTTTCCGCTATCTTCGATGACAACTGGTTCCACGTCGGCGCCGACGAGCTCCAGCCCAACTGCTACAACTTCAGCGCGCACGTCACTGAATGGTTCGCTGAGGACCCAGCGCGCACATACAATGATCTAGTCCAATACTGGATCGACCGTGCAATCCCTATCTTCCGCAGCGTAGGCAAACACCGCCGGATGATGATGTGGGAAGACATCGTCCTCTCTACCGAGAACGCCCACGACGTCCCCAAAGACGTCGTCATGCAAAGCTGGAACAACGGCCTAGACAACATCCAAAAACTGACCACGGCCGGCTACGATGTCGTCGTCTCCTCCTCAGACTTCCTCTACCTAGACTGCGGTCACGGCGGCTTTGTCACCAACGATCCCCGCTACAACGAGAACTCCAACCCAGACGGCGGCGTCAACTTCAACTACGGCGGCAACGGCGGATCCTGGTGCGCACCCTACAAGACCTGGCAACGTATCTACGACTATGACTTCACCTACAACCTCACCGACACACAGGCATCTCATATCCTCGGCGCCGAGGCACCTCTTTGGTCTGAGCAGGTCGATGACATCAACATCTCCAGCGAGTTCTGGCCTCGTGCCGCTGCCCTCGGTGAACGTGTTTGGTCGGGTAATCGCGATGCGACTGGTAACAAGCGCACTAATATGCTTACCCAGCGCTTGCTGAACTTCCGCGAGTATCTCGTTGCTAATGGTGTTATGGCCAATGCGCTTGTGCCTAAGTATTGCTTGAAGCATCCCCATGCTTGTGATCTTTATCAAAATCAGACTGCTATCTCTTAAGGGATGGCTACTCTGTTTGGCTTCAGTTTGATCTCGGGATACTGGGTGTCAGCGTTGACTTGGAAGCGTTGACTTATACTCTATCTACTATTCATTAACTCATATCTGTATATACTTATTCATTCTTGATACCCAATACTATTCTGGGATTCCATTGATCAGCCTCTCTTGTAACTGACAATCGTAGTGAACCAATTCCCAAACAGGCAAAATGTTTACACTCACCAACCCCAGACCAAATGCCAATCCAAACCCAAATCTAAATCACGTTTTCCATCCCAGAATCCATAATCCCAAATCCATCATGCGATTACCGCACAAAGTCAACAAACCCACCACATTTACATCCCCAAATTCCAGATCGACGTAGCCAAACCTCTGGATCAATCCCTTTCATTCCACTCCATGCCTTCCTACTAACGTTGTGCAACGCCGTCCACCTTAGAAAATAAGGCTCCACTTCCCATTTCTCTAATGAGGTGTGCTTTTGTTGGTTTTAGTATTGGTCGGGATGTACCTATACGTGAGGCAGGTGAGATGCAAGCTACTATATATCCTTGCAAAAGCCATGCTTGCCTTCCTAGAGTGGACCTCCACCTCCCGGTGCTATACCTATATAGTCGCTAAGATCTTTATCCTATTCATAGATATCTACGCCGAGAATACTGATATATGTAGAAGCAGTAGGAATCAACGCCTGTAAGGGGTAAACCGGTGATAACTAGGCTATGGGTGTTTCTAGCGCGTCGCGGAGGGCGGACAGCGTAAACCATGAGTATGCGAATATAGGTTCCTCGGCTGCTATCAAAAATGCTGTGATTTTGTCCCGGTTAATGATTTTCGAGATTGCGTTTTGTCGGTGATCAGGGGTCTACTAGGTACAGACATATTCTATTGTTCACGGGGTTACCTACCAATCTAGTATCGGGAGGTCTTCCCAAATTTGCATGTCGTAGAGAATAAGTGCGTCCCCGCTAGCTGTTTTTGGGCTTAGGAGCTTAGAGAGTTAGACTAGGATATCGATAAGCTTGTCATGATATTCAGGAAGTTCGCAGGCGCATCTTACGATCAGACCCCAAAGACGACCAAGACCTGCTTCAGGTTCTATTGATGAGGAGATTGAAGCGAGATTCCTCGCGGCTTCTCGTGCATACATGTCGTTGAATAAGCCCTGCAGGACTGCAAACCAGGAAGCAAATATTTCGTCTGTGACAGCCGTCATTTTGATGATGCAAGTTCGCTCACTTATAAATACATTACCGCTTCAGTGACGTAGTAACTCTAGCCCCCATGTTACATTTCACGAGAACTAGATATGTCTATTAGTTTTTCGGACTAGGCTGGGCCAGTATACTTTGCGATGATCGTCTAGAAGATGGATGTGGTGGTTATCTAACTTCGAACCAGACCGGACTGGATAGATAGTACTGGACTCCCAACTCACATGTAGCACAAACTACGAAGACTACAACGAATGATGAAATCAACTATCCCTCCTATCCGTTCCATGTTCTGAATGTATCAGTCCATTTGATCTAGATCGGCCATGCCTCACTTGAGTATATGTTATGCATATATATACATACATCAGGTCAAATTAAGCGATGTACAACCAAAAACAACGAACTAAATGGAAAACAAGTATCGATTCTTAACAGCCAATTTTACGTATCACAGAATCCCTATCTCCAATGCCATCCAAGTCTTCCATCCTCCAATCCCACTCGGCCTCCCTCGGGTATCACCACCAAACAAACCCAGCCGAATCCTGAGTAACCCCGCGCACCGGGGAACACTTCACTTCGTGTTTGTTGTTCGCCGTTCGGTTAGCATCGACCGATCGGGACGGTGAGCTTCCACTTTGGGACTTTGGGACTTTGAGTGAACGGTAAGCATAACTTCGGCCGTTTACTGTACTTCTACTGTATTTCATGGGAGAGGCGGGCGCTGTGTGAGAGGTGTGTTTGTGCTTGATTCATCTTGGTTTCGCTTACTTGCGGATATCTTGCAGCTTACAGTACTCGAAGAGTGTTCTGTGCGACGTAATTGTTTCGAGTTATATTTCCGAATTTGGGGTCGTACGTGCTTCGTTGGATTGGGATTATGTGTGTTTTGGGCTTAGATTGTTTTAATGGTTTCATATCGTGCAAAGGTCCGTATAATACTAGGTTTTGCTGGTTGTCTTGTTTGGTTTGTCAGTGTTGTACCTGGTGCACTGATATAGGAGGAGAGGTGTTGAAGTGGTCAAATCAGACGAAACATTCGCTCTATTTTTTTCTACTTCTGGTTCTGCTTGTATTCAATTCTCAATTTTTAATGGGCCTTGATCGCGCTCAATCTGATCGGCTCCGTCTTGGGTGTCAGTTACACAGCATCAACCCCAAGAACTAGGTTGTAGGTGATAGTCTGATGGCAGGCCGCGACTAAATCGTGTTGGTTATGTTTTACGATTGAGGGATGGGTTTTGTTTATTGTTTTTTTTTTTTTTTCACGGGACTGCGGAGATTTTGCGACAGTTTTTGGTTTCTGATTCTGCATGTACTGTGCTTATTTGCAGCACGGTCGTTCCTAGGTGTCCGAGGTGAGATGGTTCATTATATAGCCCAGTTTTAGAGGATGAGAGTCCTGGAAACTGTGTAAATTTGCCTAGATACTTGCTAGAATATATCCTGGTTGTTGCATTATCATCTCCGAGGAAGGTTTCCGCTTCCAAGTAAATGACCCTCAGATTTGATATATTACACTCTGCAGACTCACCACAACAGCGAGCCAGGACCTCGAACATCACGGTCGCAGTGCTATGACTGGATACTCACACGTTGTCAACCCAGCTCAATATCCAACTCGAATATCACGAGTCCATGAATTATGGGCCATGCCTGTCCTGAGGCAGCGATCAGACATAAGCAGCGAACCGAGCTCAAGCGAAGATCCCCGCAAGTCAACATAACGCCTTGCACTCTACATAAGCATTGTAGTCATTTACGTACCTGCTCGATGAATGTACGCCACTATAAATCACGACTTGTAATAGGAGTACCTGATCAAGTACACCGACAAAAAACTAAGGAAAAGCCAGACCCTGCAGCGTCCCCAATATACTGCACACAAATACATCTGCATAGGATCGCCAACTATAGAACCTAATCATGGCCAGTTCCTTGATCTGCCACGGGGTCATGTCACAATCACAGTTACAGTGCATGATCTCCAAAGATCACCAAGTGGGAGAATGCGTACATTTGTGCAACATCAATGCACAGCGCTCAGGCCGACAATGACAATTAACAGCTAAACAGCGGACGGGAGGGCTAGCGGTCGCCCTGTGCCGTCACGGAAATAAGCGACGCGGATATTTCAGTCTGTTTTCAAAGGCGCGCCGGAGCGCCCGACTTGCCCCACGAAGTGTCACCAACATCGTCATTTTCGGATACTCGGATGAATTGATTAACACCGCCTCAGTGGGGTTCGCATCGAGCATTGTGCGTCATCTCGGGGAGGGCGAAGCTGCTCCCCCATAGGCTGTGTGCAGTGGCTAGAGGGCTTGGGGTGGGGACAATATGGGGGGACTCAATTTTTGTCTGTGGCACAGCTCAAAACAGCCAGAATGGTGGGATTACTGTATGTGAACTGTAATTGTCGATCTGTCGTGTTTACAGTATTTCGTTCCAATGACCCACAGCACATCTTTCAGACACAGTGGGCCGTCATGTTCTTTTTTTTGCGCCCGTGGCTAGTCCCTAGATGATAGGTTGTTTGCTTCGCCTTTGTTCGGGGAATCTGCGTGCCGAAGAATTAGGGTCGAAGTGACAGATCAGAAGTAATAGTCAATCTATCTATGTCGATCGGGGTTTTGCGTATACATGTACTCTAACTTGCAGATATACAATCTGGATCCCGAGATCTTTGCCCCTTGTTCACTGTTGCATAGACTTGTTTTATAAAAAAGTTGACTACAATTGGACCAATGGAATTCCTAAAGTACCAGTGTACATGATATCATGTCATTTACAGTACAGCATAGACTGTTCTATAGTTTAGATAAGGCACCAGACAATCGGAAACAGATAAATGTCTAACAGACAAGGAACAGCTGCTCGGGGAGCTCGTAGTAAGTTTCGCCAGTGCAGCAGATGAAACACTAAAAATGCCACTGCCTCGTCCTCGGTGGAACACTCCCATCATCTGATTAGCCATAGGACGCATCCACGATCCCTATTAAATTGTTACACATATCTCAAAGACCAGGGTCAGATGATCGGGCCCTAGTTCTGATTCAAATCAAAGCCTGGATGAGGCAAGCCTGTGAGAGCCTAGAGGATTGGGTAAAAGCCAAGCCGAGGGGGTGCTTGCGGATCGCTTTCCCACTGCGAAGTGATTGGAAGATATCCCATGTCTGTGATAGTGATACGAGATAGCAGTTATCGAACCATAAATTATATCCCCTCCCCAAATCTAGAGTCCAGATCAATCGATCTGTGCAATTATCCGGCTTTGCACGGAGTGTACATGTAAATGCACTGACTCAAGGGTTGATGAGGAAGTGGGTCAATGATTCACTGGGTATAGAGGTATAGAGCTTGGCTCTGATCCCGAAGCTAATCTTGCATCGATAGTGTCGTCAGTGGCAGGCGGGTACGTGGGTGATTGGTGGCGTTTGACCCTCGTGCAGGGGTGATTCACACAGACGAACTGGTAGATCAGAGCTCTGAGCCCGGGTGGCATTACTAGGCACTGGTGGTGGTCGCAGACAGGAAACAAAAATACAGATTCACAAATTAAGTTGTATCATGTATACCAATAAAGCTATATACACTAGTGCTGTCTATGTACAGTGTCCTGGGAAAACTTTACCCTGGTGAAATGGCCGATTGTCAACCCTTTGGCCATTTCAAACAGGATTTAAGGAAAACAATGCCATAGTAACTTTGAGAACGGCCCCAGATGATCTTTTACATTGTATCAATAACACAAAACAAGACAAACTTATTCCACATCTATCAACTATAAAATCCACATAAGACTTTATTGCCTAATTGGGACAAGTAATTTACTTATCGCAAGGCGTGCAACGCCTAACTGCTAATGCATACCGACCCTCGCTTCCCCAAACTCAACCAGCGTCAAACCAATCCCCAGTTCACATGGACTGGCAATTCGACCCAGCCACATGGAACCGTGGAGGTGTAAGGATCGGTCCGCGCACGGCACACGGCATACTGGGCAGCCGGCGAAACCAATAGCGTAGTCTGAAAATCGCGGATATATATGTATCCAAAGGTAAGACAGACAGGAAGATGCGAGATACCCAGCGAAGACAATTTGAGTCAGGTAACCAATATGTCACCACTTGCCTTATGCAGGGGGCGGGGTTGGCCATGTGACTCCGCTGGAGATCAGAGCGCCGGCCTTGCAGGGGTGGTATGGAGACCGAGGGGAGGTGATTAGGATCAGACAGGAAGGAGATGGGTGCTAATGCATGGGTGAGAGGCGACTCGGCTATTGTACATGTACATTTGTACATTTGTAGCGAGTCATAACATTGATTTGCACGTTAATTCTCCTAATTTGTTACCTCTATTGCTGGATTGGGGTATTTGTCACCCCTGACAGGGATCTGTACAATGGATCGAGTCTACTAAACCACAACCCCTAAAACCCCCGTACCAGACGAGCCTTTAACCCAATTCGAGTATGTTATTCAAGATCGCCAGCAGAAACAGGCTTGTATTAGCAAACACATGTCGCACCCTCCTCGCGGATACGTCAGGCGGGTCCGACCTGTCATGCTGGATTCAATAGTGCAACTAGCGTCCGCACATCACGCCCAAGCCCGGCACTCCTGAGTGCTCGACGGAGAATACTTTGTCTTGTGGAGCTGAAAACTGTACACTGACACTATACACTAGGCTTGATCGGAAATTGCCGCACATTTACAAACAAAGAAACCTGTCGACTCCCTATGGCTGCCTGAATCAATAGTATTATGGTTTTCATGTTGGGTTACCACCCCACTTGAGTTTCTTTGTCTCATCCGAAACTTAGACATTTCCCCTGTCACTTATCCGCTTAACCCGGGCGACTGGGGCTTGATTCACCGAGCCGTGCACGTTTCCACGCCCAGACTCAACATGTCGATTGTTGAACTTGTGCTGCCCGTTTAGTGTATAGTATAGTATACTAGAGTAGAGTAGCAACCTTGGGGGCCAAATTATAGGCGATGTCCGTGAATTACAACACCCGTTTTTCTTAATTAGTTGTACATCTGTCGTAGAGCTAACAAAGTTAGATATCAACAGCCGTGGTTGGAGGAAGTAAGCAACCGAGCCACGCTAGCATTGAAAGAGGCTTATCTGGTCGCTTTTGGCCCACAAAACCTCTCAGGGGCAAGCACAGCGGTAAAACTGCGGGTGATATTCCAATATCCAACATCCGACCCCAATTTTGGGTTCGGGTGTTGGGCGTTGGGTCGCAAGAGCCGGATCCAGACACCTGGAGCTGTCATTCGGCTGTCTACGAGATTTGGGTCTAGAGCGTTTGATCGTCAAGTTGGGTTGGGGATGTGGACTTATCAATCTTCGGAGGGTCTCCGATGAGACAGAATAGGACCAAACAGGAAGTAGTAAGAGGTACTTTAGTTCGGTGATACTGAGGCGTATTAACGAGAGAAACCAAGAGTGGATTCAATTGAAGGCTTCTGCTAGATGCCGAGAGATTGCGTACATGTCTACCGTGCAGTATGCTGTCGGTCTTGTCGGCATGGATGGTACTTGGTTTTGGCAGGGCATTGTCGCGGCTTTGCTGTTGTGCAACGTGCCATGTGTGAGACTCGGTATTGTTCTGGAAGACCCTTTGGCTTGTTGGCACAGGGTACATCCCTGTAATTCATTTAGTCCTTATATCGTGGCGCGCGGTTGAGCGACACAAGGATCGCTTCTTGAAACACGCCTCTGGACTCGATAAAGTGAGGCCAGGCCCGATCGGGCAAACTGTCAATTAAGACTCGGTGGGTCCGCTCTGTGTTTTGGGGATTTGACACCTAAAAGAGATGCCTGCTTATACGCCGAGTGTGGCCTGGAGATCAGTATTCCGTAGTGTATGTCGAATTGAATAGGGGAACCATGATCTCCATTGTATAGGCGCTCTTGCCACGGCTCTAGACAGGGATCCGGACGAACCTATATTCTTCCTGGTTTTTTAATTGGAAGATAAGGGCAATCTAACAATATACACCCCTGCGAAGCGCATGTTCGAGCCCAAAGTAGTCGTCAGAGCATCAAGGCGTTTATGGGGGCCAATACACCAGAGTAAGCTAAGATTTGGGGTCCAAAACATTACTGCCAAAGTAAACAAGGAGCAATAGAGTAAATTCCGTTGAGATAACCCCCGAATAGACGAACGTGCAAACGGCGGATGTTCAAGTTGTGCGACTTTAGCAGCGGGGACCATAACATCCATGTATCGCCGACCACATTGCAACTCACACCAACACTTAAAACATGGTACCCTGAAATGTAGCTAACGTTAGATGGTAAACATAGCAACCTCCGTCATGCGGTGCACCCAGGAAAAAGGAATAAACAGAATCGTCGCTGCATCTGCCAGGATCCCTTGACTAGAGTAAAAAGCGCACATGCCTAATTCAGTTAGCCATCTCAAGAAGTAAACAACATGCACGATCTCAAAGCATGTCCATGCCGATCGTTGCCCCTCCAGACGTAGGTGTTTCACCTTTGACTTGTTTCAATTCTTATTTTAGAAACACCACATGGTTGACAGGGAATAGGCCCTGCTTACCCCCTCCCCCATTCTCTCCCACCCATAATGTATGCCCTGTTTCGGTAAGGCTAAGAGCGGCTCTTGATGTTATGAATAGACCGGAGGCTCAAGAGTTGGGATCGGCAGGGAAGCATATGTAGATTCAGCGTCTACAGGACGGAATTAGACAAGGCCGTGGTTTCCTCTGATTTGTTGGCTGTGTGTTTATTCTTAGGGTGTAATCTTGATGTCTGGGGAAAGACAGAAACATCAATGCTCGACGGGTAGTATTTGCCACTTTGGGGAGAAATGAGAAATGAGCCTCTGGGTGATCTGACCACCAGGCAAATCTTTCAACAGTGGAGAATCCCATATTTACCTATGGACTGCACCTAGACCAAACATGCTTTGCCCCTTTTTGGTAGGGTGTTATGTTCTCAATCTATGAAGTTCGTTTCCGGAAGTGCCGACGCATTTCTCTCCGTCACGTTGCATTCTTAAATCAAGCTGACATACCAAGAGCCTCGGTTTATTTTCAATCTCCGTATGGCGGGCCTGAAGAAAAAGGCTTCGGGGTCGCCGGACCCGCAAAGACGGTCGCAAGGTGAGAGGGCATGTATGCATGGTGAATGGGCAGACGATCATCCCGGGGCCGTGGTGACGGCTGGGAGTGGAGAGGTCTTGGCCGACTTTAATCATGACAGTGTTTTACGCGTGTTTCCGGTGGATACAGAGTAATTACCAAAAAGATGAGGCTGTTGGGGGCCAACGTGGGACGGGCTGCAGCGAACCAGATTGGTCCCTGGTCGGATCTGCCATCACACGTGTGAAGGAGGTGTTCGGATCATGCACTTCTGGGTGCTTACTGGCTACTGTTGTCTGTCGAGGTCTCGTTTCAAGTTGGGTTTGGGTTTGACACGTTGATCATGCCATCTTACGCATAATGTATAGGGTAATCAGGGTTAACGGGCATCCCGGTCAGAAAGCCAAGTCTACACCTTGGGATCTAAAGTAGATTAAACCACTATATACACAGCCTCATGTCAAGCATGGTGTAAAGATTCTCCGATTCCCCCAGGGCAGAATACGAGATGATCTCATTTTCCCCCAGTTTTGGCGTAATCTAGATTTTAGGTACATTAGTTACAGTAGCACCGGGATCGCCGACAAATACGAACCTCTTTGACTGTCAAGCGGTGTATTTGATCAGACTGCGCCTCGATTACAGTACTTGGACCCGCTTGCCGACATGTCATTGTCCAATTATCCGACGACTGATCAACCCTACAGCCATTCACAGGACCTGACAGCCTTCGTCTCCACCTGTGATAGGGCAATCCCACTGTGGGCCTGTGGCTCAGGCAGGTTTTGTGGCGCTAGTTTCGCGCTGGCGCGTTGACACTCACCGACCCTGTAGGGACGATAGGGACGGGCGCTCCGAGTTGACATCGGCTAGGGCTACATGTAGTCTATGCGCAAGAAAATTAAGTGGATTGGTTAATCTTTCACCGTCTGACAGCATGAAGATTATCTCAATCCATATTATGTTTACCGCTCCACACGGGATAGGACCAAAAAATCAGTTGTCTCTACTGTATACCCCATTAATCTGAAAATTTCACTTGGAAATCCATTTCCGACCCACATGGCCTTCCTTTTTTCTTCGATGAGCTTCCGCTGTCACTATTGACGGCAATGTGGGTAATCCCACGATGTGATAGATATCGTCAGATATTAATTTTTAAAAAAAAAGGAGATCTAGAAAAGGAAAGAGCTGCAACGATGGTACATGTACATTACATCCGAGTATGCCAGATCATCCCATCGTTCCAAGGCATAAAAGGCAACCAAACGCAGGCCGAATTACAAGAGCTATGCGGCTCTTGCACGAGCACAAGGACAACACCGAGGCGGCATCAGAAAGGGTATAATTAAAATTACACTAACTGCAAGCAGAGAACCAGATTACCGTAAGGTGTAATGTGTTCATTGTAATGTGTAATGATCGCCAAGGACCAACGCAAAGAGGGTATAGCGTCTCCAAAGAAACTAAAACTCGCGAACCCACGCCCTAAGGAACCCCCTTGATCGGAAGGCCTTTCCAAGCCCTGATTGGGGACTCCTCGGGGACTCGCTCATTTCACGTACGATTGGGGGACCACTTAGACCAATCCCATGCCCGTGCGGGCAGTGGCCGTGCCGAAATGGCTGTGTGGGGAGGGTAGATGGTCCCCGGAGGATCGACTGAACGATTGGATTTGTACAGTCTTCAGTAGCATCGTCGGCCAGATCTTGGACTTCCCTCCTAGGTTTAGATGATAGGCGTTTGACCCACTCAATTTCGTCCTTTCCGTCATACACCAAATGCTGAGTCGGATCCGAACTACTGGGATGAGATCAGATTTTTCTTCGGTACGGTCAGATACATTTCCTCGTCTACGGAGTGTAGAAGATGATATCCTTTACATACTCCCAATTGGGTAGGTGACAAACCTAAACGGATGCCAAGCCCTGCCATGCGGACATGCCGATGACGAAAAAGACATCTGGGGCTATTACTGTCACTTCTCCACCTAACAAAGAATAGAGTAGAGATAGCTACAGAGTATTTCATGATGCATCAGATTGTAGAATTCTGGATAAATGTTGTTAATTCGACCCCATGTGTAATAATAGCCCGAGACTATTAAAAGAGGTCCACCCTAGTCTGCATAGGCGGCTAACCCTTGTCCCTGTTCGTGCCAACAATACGGTATTTTATTTTTATCCCTTAATGATTTTTATTTTTATTTTTATTCTTAATTCTTCATTCTTAATTCTCATTTAATTCTTATTTAATTCTTATTTTATATTCTAATTACATTTATTTTATTTTGGATTCTAGACACTGCAGACTATATCTGTAGGGCGGGTCTGTTTCTATAATATCCCTTCGCCCCCCCCGTAATTCATATTCTAAACCAGCTTATCCTCCTTACAACTTGAATGCAACCTTTAGAATTCCTCTTCAACCTCCTTACATCTCGCACGTTGCCTTTCCGTGGTTGGCGTCTCTGGTTAGCCGAGCGGGCCGCGATCTCGCCCAAGAACCTTGGTATGTACAACGACAGCGACAGCGACAGCGACAGCATTTACTAACCTGCTCCAGCATTGAGGGCATGACGACCTCTGATTTCGTTCTATTTCCCATGGCTTTCCAAAGATCTAAGCAATATTTCATGGATCCCGTCGACATGTTTTACCCGGTGGATGTCTACGGACAAACCGACCTCTCCCGTCTTCCCCATTCGTACTTCGATACCCACATGTTCGAGTCCGAGCTCAAGAACCCCAATTTCTCTATGCCTACAACACCTCCTTCCGCATACTCTACAGAGCCTCAGGTTCCCACCGGCTCTGCTGCCTCTGGGCCATCCATTGCGAGCGCATCCTCCTCGGCTATGGGATCTCCATATTCAGGGACCGCGCATGCTTTCCAGGAAAACTGGGTCAACACGAACAACGGGCTGGGCTTACCAGGTGTAGTCATGAATGACTTGTTCCCGCAAGAGTATATGGGAAACACCATGGACATGGACACGCTCTACCAAGAAAAGTTCCCGGACAGTTATGTCGGTATGTTGTCGCCAATTTGCTGGAGCAGTCGCAGATGCTGACCGATACAGACCCTTCTTTGATTCAGCCAGCGCAACAAAACCATGGTCTTACTCCCATTATTTCATATCCCGAAAACTCCAACTCCTACTCTAACTTGCCACACAACTACCTTGTGCCTTCTCCCGCAACTTCTCCCCTTCCATATAATGATATCGCAGAGCGCCAACCCTCACCGCGCTCACACCCGGTGCAGCATGCCGGACCATCGCCTTTGATGGTACCACACTCACAGGCCCACTCGCGGCCAGTCTCATTATATGATAGACGGTCTTCTATCTCCTCCATCCGATCGCGACGCTCGCAGCACAGCCCGGCGATGAGCAGCATCGAGCCCGATGATGAGTCCAGTGAGAAAGGGCGTTGCCCACACCCCGAGTGTGGACGCGTCTTCAAAGATTTAAAAGCCCACATGTTAACTCACCAGTCAGAACGGCCAGAGAAGTGCCCGATTCTGACCTGTGAGTACCACACCAAGGGATTCGCTCGCAAATACGATAAGAACCGCCACACCTTGACCCACTACAAGGGAACAATGGTCTGCGGTTTCTGCCCGGGACCTGGATCCCCTGCCGAAAAGAGCTTCAACCGCGCTGATGTCTTCAAGCGTCATTTAACTTCCGTCCACGGTGTGGAACAAACACCACCCAACTGCCGCAAGCGCAGCCCTGGCGCATCATCAAAGAAGGGCACAAACTATAGCAGCGATGCCACCGGCAAGTGCTCAACCTGTTCCGCGACTTTCAGCAATGCCCAGGACTTCTACGAACATCTCGACGACTGTGTCCTCAGCGTGGTGCAGCAAGAAGAGCGCTCTGAGGCCATCAATCAGCAGCGCCTTGCTGAAGTTGCCGGCGACGAGGAGGTCAAGAAGACCATGGAAAAGCACCAACTCGACGTGTCCTCCCCCGTCGATACATTCAATGATTACGATGAGCTGAACGATGACGATTCTCATGACCTCTCCAACTGGGCTGCCGGTCGCAGCGGACTAAAATCTACCAAGGGGAACAACATTCCCTCCTCGCGTCCCATTATTGGATCAGGCAATGCTATTTCCAAAACAAAGCCCCCTCGCGCAGTCGCAACCCGCCGTCGCAACAACCGTGGCAACTACCCTCAGTCCTGGGGTTGCCCCAGCAGCAGCATCAAGACCAAGAAGCGTGTTCTCTGCGTCTTCGATGGCCCGCGCCGGCTGTGGAAGGACGAGATGATGCTCAACAATGAATTTGAGGTTCGTGTCCGACTTCCTCGTCGCCCTGAGGATGACCGCGATGCCTATGTCACCGATCTGGATATCGAGACTCTCAACCGTGCTGAGGGTGTTCTAGGTGCTACTGACGAGGAACGCGGTCCTTGGATCGGTGGCCCATCGTCCTATATTATGGGCCAGCCGGCAATGCCTTTGCCGGAAATGTGCCAGATGCATGATGACGAGGTTTCCATCAATGAATTAATGGCTTGAACGATTCTCCTATTCTCTTTCATTCCCTTCTCCTTACCTCTTCTCTCTTCTCAACCTTCTGGCTTGGCTGTGTGTATTTTCTTTGATGTGTCATGTTTCCGAACAGCAGCGGCTTCTTGGCGAGCGATTTGTCTGAATACGGATTATGGATGATACCTTGGGATTGATATGGGATGATTTTCTCTTTGTTTCTTATGTTATTCGCCTGGCTGCATGCTGGCTATACTGTGAGCCGAATTCTGCTGGCCAGGATCTTGGCGATGGTGTTAATCGGGGACTCAAAATGACTGTCTTCTAATGAGAAATCATATTCTACGATGTACTCCATACTTTAGTCTATTCAATTATCTGGTAGTTGTCAATTGCCAATTGCAACTGTATAGTAAAGCTGGCGGACATACCCAGTTGCCGACCCCCAATCCCCACCTCCCCATGTTCCTCCCATCGTCAAATCCCCAGCTCCGTCATGCAATTAGCTCTACCAGAAAGTCTACCGACATTAGTCGCAAAGCGCTTTACAGCTGCCCGAGATGCCAGTCATTTGGTGTTCTCTTCAACTCACTTGTCGATAATTAACGCCTCAGGGATATCGGTGAGTGACGTCTCCGGGACAGGTCAAAGACGTAGCTAACACCACCCGACTACAGTATCAACTTCGTTACTGCCCAGCTCTCGCGAAGAAACCCTCCAATATCAAATCCGACAATGGACCCAAGACTCCCAAGCCCGATCCCTTCCAGAACCCTACCCCAGAGCTCCTGGTCGCGCAATTCCCGCCCGAGAACCCCGCCTACAACCTGATTCTCAACAAGTTCCCTGTTATCCCGAACCACTTCCTCCTCGTGACAAGAGACTGGCAAGCGCAGACCGATCTGCTAGAGAAAGCTGATCTAGAGGCTACATATGAAGTCTTAAAGGCGTGGAACACGTCTGAATCGGACCAAACGAATGGCTCGAAGAACCAGGGCCAGAGCCAAAGCCAAAGCCTCTTCGCATTTTTCAACTCCGGCGACGACAGCGGTGCAAGCCAACCGCACCGCCACCTCCAATTCCTCCCCGTGGAAGCAATGCGCCAACCCGGGTCAGAGACCTGGCACCCGCTGATCGACCTGCTCACATCCCAACCCACATCCCCCCCCTCTTCACCTTCTTCAACGCCCAAATTCCAACACCTCCATGCCCTCCCATTCGCTCACTTTGCTCTTCCGCTCCCGCAAAACCCTTCACCCGAAGCTCTCTATTCGATATACACCACTCTGTACAAGGCCGCCGTTGCAGCAACACGCGGCTGTAGCCCACACCAGGATACCGGGCCAGTTCCTACACACGGTGCATCGCATATCAGCTACAATCTCGCCATGACACGTTCGAAGATGATGATTTGTCCGCGTCGGCAGGAGACGGCGGTTGTGCCGATTGACACTGCGGCAGCAGCTGACATAGTCGATCCCGGGGTTCTCTCGTTAAACGGGACTATCCTTGCAGCAACGCTTATGGTAAAGGCTGAGAGTGAGTGGGATGTACTTAGAGAGAATCCAGAGTTGCTTACGCAGGTTCTTGCTACGGTTGGATTCCCACGGACAGATTCGCGAGGCCCTTCTCTGTGAAGGGTGAAGGTGGAATAGGTGTTTATGTATGACTGTTGCTGAGTTGAGTTGCTGACTTGTACTTTTTGGTCTTTTCCTTTATTTTCACCTTGCATATCAGCATCAAATGGAGCTTCGCTTTGTCATCTACGACTCGAAGACTATTCACCAAACTCGAATCAAAACCTACTATGAGACATCAGATATCAAGATAGCATGTGTGCATATACCAGCAAACAAAAAATAACAAATGAAGAAAAAATGATGATATTCAACTCAATTCTAAAGCTTCGACCCATTCGCCTTGGCGACCAACTGCGCATTAACAGGCGTAACCGCCTTCCCGGTCTTCTCAAAAGAAAGAATATTCTCCATACCCAACCTCTCAAACCCGATATGCGAATCAACCGAAGCACCAGCATTATGAGCCATCATCTCGACATTGCGCATAGAAGCAAGCTTAGGACACACCCTCGGCTCATCGAAATGCACATCCAAACCAGCCGCAGCCAACTTCCCACTCTCCAACGCCTCCACAAGCGCGCTTTCATCAAGCAATTTTCCTCGAGCAATGTTAATTAACCTGGCTCCATCCTTCATCTTTGCCAAGAGACTCTTATTAAGCAGTGTCTCTCCACTAAACGGTGTCGCAACCATCACACAATCCGAAACTGCCAGCAATGTATCCATCTCCTTGTGGTATGTAGCTTTTGACACGGATTCAAGCTCGGACGGCATTCTCACGATATCGTGGTAGTGGATCTTCATCTTCATCGCAAGGTACGCCTTCTCAGCTGTTCGTCGACCGATCTGTCCGAATCCGATGATACCGAGTGTATGTCCGTTCGGGTTGTGAGAGACCATAGCCAAGTTTCGGTTTGCGTCGACGAATTGATCAGCGTCTACAGAGCGCGCAGCTACATGAGACCAACTAAAGAGACGGAATGTAGAGATGATCAACCAGATAGCGGCGTCAGCCACAGACTCTGTGCATGCAGCTGCGGCGTTGCAGTAGGTGACACCTATTTAGACGACATACGCATCAGCATCGACCTCTTTCTCAAGTTCACCCCCCATAACCTTGCGTATTAAGGGGGTATACCTACCCCTCCTAGCTAAAGCAGCCGTATCAACCCAATCAAACCCAGCACCAGCACTAGCATAAACACGACAAGTAGCCGGCAACAGCGAAACAAGTTCTTCATCCCAGTTGCCCATCTCACCACCAGTATTCCAGAACGGGCGGTAGATAGCAAAGAAATCACCGAAGGTGCGCTCTTTCAGGGCACGCTTGAAATCCTCCCGGTTCATACTGTATGAACGGCGGATGTCGAATGCATCTTGGAATTTGGCGTAAAGCTCGTGGTTCCAGCGGATGTCGTCGCCTAGGTGGAGGACGATTGGCTTGGGCATTTTGGTTGTATGTGTTCTTTGGGTTTGGATGAATATGAATGGAATAGATATGGGTGGGAGAATGGGTGTAATGGAGGAAGTTTGGTTGAGCTTCAATTGAACTGATTTTGTATTATATTCTTACAGACACCGGAACTACTTAAATACTTCTATTTCTCTTGCTTTCTGCTTCCTCCGAATTGCAGTTGTCGCCGGCAATTGCTATTGTCTTTTTTTTTTGGTCGGCTATTGAGTTGCTTGGTGCCGGGTATTGTGAGGTACGGCTAATGAAATCCGAGATAGACGGTGTATGTGGGGTGATCATCGGAACCCCCAATGGAATGATGATAGTGTATATTTCTGGGGTGTGGGGATTATTGCCTGATCGTTTGTTCTAGGGGCGAAGTATGTATCTCCTTGTTCTGGAGTCTGCTACTACAAATTTGACATACAATAGGGGCCACAAGTCTTTTACATCCTCGCTTTTATATTACCTCATTAGGTCGGCCGAAGCACTCGAAATTGGGCAAACAAGAGGCCAAAAAAGAGATGCCAAACTAGTTCAACATGCCGAGAAAATGACATATCATGTTTCCCTACCTGAGGAGACTCCCAGCACTAGGTCCAATGAAGACTTGTAAGAGCTATACAATATGGTCTTGATTGTTGATTGGACATAATTATTGTTGTGCTTGAATGGAACGCAGTCTAAAAGTTCAAGAGCACCCAACGCTTCGATACAAAGAATCAGACCAGCTGAGAGAAACAACACATTTGAACAAATCGCATTCCTCCCAGAAATTACAGACAGCCTCCAAGTCAAAGCTTGATATCATGGATCTCGCACCACTTTTTCTTGCATGTAGCGTTTCCGAAATAGTATGATCCACCGTGACTCCAAATATACTCTGCAACCTTCTTCCAGGATACCTTAGGCGGCTGGTGCATGTTAATACTGAGCTGTACGATGGAAGTGTATGCCTCAGGGGATTCGGAGCAGACAAATACAGCTTCGCGGAGGAGTTTGATCTGTAAGACACACAAATGATTAGTTCAAGGGTCAATGTGTGCAGGCGCAAGTCAGTTCACGTACATCCTTGGTTTGCCACTTAGGCTTCCTCACGCGCTGATCTTTGGCTTTGGTCAAAGTGCGGAATCGGCCACGTAGTGTAGACTCTGCCTCTTTGAATCCGCCAATTCTCTTGATATCTTTGTAGGAGAGACCGTGCCGCTTGCAGTCAATCAAAAATGCATTACGGGCATCGCTGTAGTGAAGGCTTGCTTCAATGGTGGCTCGGTCGTCGCTGGCTGGTTGAGGAGACGCTGACTCCTCCGTTGTGGGGTGAACATATGAGGGACTGGGTCCGTTCAGTGGCAGCTGGTCGAACGATCCAGCCTCTGTGTCGGAGTAAACAGCCCCAGAGCTCGATGCGTATCCATTGTCTGGGAAGGGTTGCTGGTTCTGGGGCACTTGGATTACTGTTGGCCTTGGGACCGAAGCGAAAGACTCTTGGGTGAATGAAGAAGTGGTCCCAGACATGACAATATGGTCAAAAGGCGGCATTGGCAAGCCATGGGTAGTGACAACGGAAATTGAGGTCTGTTTTGCGTGTCTGTATGGATGATTGACGGACCAAGGCCCTTCATAAGTGCTGGCGGTCAGCCAAGTCATATCATCAGCTGCATCACTAGTGACGCGAGAATGATACCACATATCAGGCTCAGTATTCATACTCCACGAGCTACATGCAGGGCCATTCTCAGAGCTAGTGAATTTGGTGTATGGAGAGGTGTGAAGATCCATGTGTGCCTTGTGTGTATGGAAATTGAAATCACTCTGGTTCGTATTGTAGCCAGTCATGCTTGGGACATAAGCAGACTGCTGGTTGGGGATAGCACAGCCTTTTTGCTCATTTGGGACATCGAACGAAGCAATAGATGGAGTGTCTTCGGTGGCTGATAGGAATGAAAGATTGTTGGCCGCCATGTGTGAGTTTCTTGGAATTGGGTGGACTAGCCCAGCGTGGGAGCCCACTCTGTGACGGTTGAAAGTTTCATCGTAGTTTTCCAAAGTCCCGCTGTAGGATTCGCAATAACCATTGTTGTTATTTGGGATACTCCTCCTGATATCGGGTCTTGCCATGCAAGGAGAGACATTCTGCGCATACTCAGTTCCATATTGATCTCCCACTCTGTGTAGCATGGGGTAGATGCTATTTTGATAAGGGACAGCATGAGCAGCCAAACTCCGTGGGCTAAGCATGGCTTCTGGAAGGTATTGTGTTTGGTTTGTGGGCAAGTGATGAAGGAAACGGAAATTAGGATGTGGACTTGGTTCAGAAGAGCAAGTATTTGAATGCCAGTCACTTGAGAGACTGAGGGAATGCTCATCCAAATACTTTGGGCTGCCAGATAAAGAGGGAGACGAATCTGAGATAATACTGGGGAGCCCAGAGCAATATTCTGGAGAAGATACCCATGGCTTCGGGACCCCGGCAATAGCCAGCATACCAACCATTGTAATGGCCTTGGGCGGAGCAACCGGGCAAATAAATTAAATGAAAATAAGAATAAAGTCACGGTTGTGGACGTGATCCTATCCGCACTCTTCACCGTAACTGTTTGGAAGTGTTGTACGCGGGTCGTCACTGGGTGTGGACTACCGCTACGCAGCAGGAGCTCTTTATAGACCAACCAGTATACACCGGGTAGGTTGTGGAGACTTTGAGGAGACCTGCAGGGCTGACCGTTGGGAGAGGTTAGTATCCTATTTCATATGGAGATGTTTCACCAAGATAAATCATGAGAAGTAAGTTTCCACCCACCGTATGCAAATTTAGACACTCAAGATTGTAGATATAGAAGAGAATCAGATATTTGCAGGTAGGTGGCAGGATAGAGATATAGATATATCCTAATTGTGGAATTGGCGGCCACACGGTACTTGGGAAATGTAAAGCTGGGTTTTGACAACTTGACCTTGGTAGGAACTGGACTTTAGGTCGAGCCGTTAGATGCAATGCAGTCTCAGATCTGCTTGAAATGCGGCTTCTGGGGGTGAATCAGTGGCAAGTTCTAGATAGCTGGTTGTTCGGCCGGTTCCAGGATGGCATCGAGGGAGATTGTTTGAGAGACAATGTTGATAAAAGAGATGAGAAGTGATGGAGTGGACTCAAATTATATCAGTATACAAAAAGGCACAGCAAGATTTATGATATATCTGCGATTTTTAATGGACAAGCTAAATGACCAGGTAGTAGATACATGAACCATGTCTATGATCCCGCCAGTTTATTTCAACCTCTCGGCCCGGTTAATCTCATTCGAGGCCCGTGCCATTACGCAAAGGTCAGGGAAATCCTCGCCTTGGCATCTAAAGGGAGTAGCGTTAACAGAGAAAGAATATCAGTATAGACATGGGTTGGCACTCCAGGACCACCAAACCCTAGCCAGGTCACGAATTTCGCTAGATCCCAGTCATACAATAATAATCCACTTCCCGAGTGTTTCAGATATCTTCTCTATTGTCTTGCTTTAGCCTCGATTCTGTGGCAGTAGATGTATGTTTAGGAGAAAATTGAAACCTGAGCGAGCACGGTGGATGGGTTGTATTCTCGGCGGCACCGTGAGGAAGATCTTCCCTTCCGGCCGTTAGACCTAAGGTCATCTAACTCCGTCCCGGTTTCTTTTTCCATAGCTCCTAGTGGTCAGATAGTCAGAGTTTGTTCAATTAGCCTGAGAACTGCATCCCCGTTGGCAAAGGCCCAAGAAGATGATTCCGCACCAATCGACGGTCCCACCGTGTGCAACCAGGCTAGGCTATGCAGCCGTCTGCATTCTTACCTGTTCAGCAAACTGTCTAGAGCTTCATGCCTTGTCGGTGGCTCGGGCCGTTTCTGAATGTTCCATCTTGGTCGGGTACTGACATGGACCGTCTGGGGGAGGCTTAGTGGCATCCAGATCAATCAGGCCAGGGGGCTGATCCAACGTGATTGGAAAAAAGCAATGTGAACAAGGTTGTGGTGGATCAAATTACTGGTTTTGGATGTGGTGGAGGAAGTTTTGCCGACATACGTTACCTATCAATTTCTGATGTTCTAGCCTCCAACACTGAGACTCTTAGTCCTAACACCAGTGGCTAACACAAGTGGTCCATCGAAGATTCCATAGGAATAAGCGCCAGAGATTGCCAAGCGTCAAATTAATTCCTATAGAGTACATTTTCCACTGCAGGGAGCAGGGTTTACGAACTATAGACGGGTGATCGGTAAAGAACACCCTCAACTGCCGGGTCAAATAAAAACAAAAATAACGGGACCGTTGAAGGATAGCTCCGGCTCGCTTTCCCCGGATTTACAACGCCCTAGAGTTGGACCCATTCAAAAGAAGCTTCTTAACTGCGTCTGGGATGGTTTGGGTGGCGTTGAAACCAGCAAAATCGAAACGGAGCATGCAGTGAAGCGTCACTAAGCCTCCGAAGGGTCCCCTAGGCAGGGAATTCCTGATTCGGTCAAATTACAGGTGCCATAAAAATGAAAAACTTTCCTTTCAAGTAGTGCTATTTACCCTAAAGCTGAGTTGCGTTTCTCGGGACGAGGTTGTATTCGATCGACAGCCAGGTTAATTCCCGGATCTGCAAATCATATTTGCAGGGATATACTTTTATCATACAGGTGAATTAGTCGGTGATTCTTCAACAACCCTGAGACTTAAATGAGATCCGAAACAAATCCGGGGAAGATCGGGATGGCAGCTGACAGGATGGTTGAGCTGGTTTGCGTTGATGCAAACAGGGGCACTAGGAGGATCAGTGGAAGAAAAAAAATGGGGGAATGACGATGTGCAGAAAAAGCAAAAGGATGTTAGTGCTGTCTACTGTAGTTTGAAAGGGGCCCTTTTTGGGGCTGTTGGTTATCTGTTGGTTATCGATCGGCCGAGTTAGGGCTCAACAAGTCCCGGGATCCCAGCGCTGTGCATAGTTGCTTTGGTGTCGGCTTTAGTGAATGATCATCTCTGGCCTCTTGCACTAGTCTAAAGTGCCAAGAGAAATAGAAAATTCGTTTCTCTTCTACTTCTAAGGATACATGGCCCACAATTTTGAGGTTGAAACAGCCTACCTAGGCAATGTTGTTTACTATTCAACACGTACTCGAATCCTCCCTAACAGAGGCATGTATTCTCTCGCAAACTAGAACTCTAGGCTGTTGAATGAGACATAGAAGCCAGATCAAATGTGGAGTAACATCCAGCCTACTGCATTTCAAGTCTTGGCTTGCTGCATGTCTGGCATCCCACAACAGTGTTGCTGGCAGAGCGTTTACTGTGCTGAGAAATTTGAATGACGTGGTTATATTGATGAGAATGTTAGTTTAGGTTTCAGATACTTGAGCAACATTCACTTGTTTCCGCAAATAAGAGGCATTTTTGAGCGAGGTAATCTTAAGTGCCGGGACATCGAGGTGGCGATCTCCGCTAGGGATATGTCACGCTAACATGGGATTCCTCACCCTAGCTCGCCGTAGACTGGAGAATTAGGGAAACAAAGAATTGACCCTCCCCAGATATCGCGGAGTATTTCCAGAGGAAACCAAGTCCTAATGTCACATCCTCGAACCGTACTGGACATATTTTCCTAAAATCCCGCTGAGACTTTGAGATAATCAAATATTCTCAAAAATTTTAATGTGCAATAAAACCACACTGGCTAACTTCTAGATCTCCACCGGGGGCAAATTATAGCTCAATCGTCTGTAACACTGAGTGGAAGAGGCGATAGCGGACATCCCCGGGGCAGAGTGTAGACGTTTGAATTCCCAGTCGCGTTCCCGCGTCCGTCGGCCAGCTGCGTCTCTCTGCGGATGTATTCAGGCAAAAAGTCGGTCAATGGAGAGTTCTTCTAGCCAATGAAATAAGATAGCTGTCAAGGATGGAGAAGACGCACAGATGATGAGATTTAGAGGTATTCATTTTGAAAAATGGCCAGTGTATACAGCAGAACCAAGGCGAGGAAAATGGACCAGTGTCTACAAGTTGGCAAGATGCGCAATGAGATCGATACGACGGGTTGAGTATGCGCGCAGTGCTCCCACGTTCCCAACAACGAATACAGATATACAATTGCCGATAAAAAAATATATTGACTGATCTTTGAACCATCAAATCAAGTTCCAAAGTTCTGGTTCTCCGTGAAGACTTTGAAGCGAGTTCCTAACTTCTACGACAGGAATTGTACCGGATTAAACCGACCGTTGAAAGGGTGTTGGGCACCACTTCACGGATTGCTACTCCTAGTAGAAAGAGAAATGGTTAATCGGGCATCTTTTACACCTTTCCCGCTGCGCCGTTTTGTTGACAAAATCACCGAGGTCACCAAGGCAAAGGATGGACAATGAACTCCTATGCAGGCATCGAGTGAGTATTTCAATGCAAGAAAAATCTAAGCATAGACTTCTCTCTGATGATAGTTGGTGATGTCATATCGAGACAAATTGGCCTCGGCCCGTGATGTACAATATGGTTTGCCAGACACAATATAGCTCTCCACCCAAAAAGACAAACAAATGTTAGAAAGGAATTAGAGGAAAAGGATAAAAGAGCTCCTTTTCGCCTTAGATTATGGTGTCATCCCAGGGTCGATAAATATAGACAATGGAAAACTATATAAAGGCCCCTTTCGCCTCTAATAATGAGACAGCATAACGCAATTATTGCATTCAAAAAGTGTTACCAAGTACAATTAAGCTATCTAGTTGTATCTCATCCTCTAAGCAAATCGCTACTGACGACGACTCTAGAAATATGGAACACAAGCAAAGGGATCACCCCCCCCCCCCCCCCCCGCGGGTTCACCCTCATGGTCACCGCGTAGTCAATCGAGTTCGAGTGATGATAGTGCTTCATTTCTCTTATATCTCCTTAGCTAGTCAATTCAAATTGAAAACTGCTTAATTTATGATCTACTCCCCCTCGTAGTTTCATACTAGTTCCCCATAGTCATATTTAGCATAATTTGTAGAAGTTCGTACATAACACATGAAACAACCAACCACGTATCTACCTAGGAAGATAGATACACATCGTAGTGATAGAAAAGAAAGCATTTTTGGAGTGAAATCAAGCCCACAATTGATGTATGGCGTATAGGAGCTCTATGGGAAGAATTATTAAGTGATTGTGTTGAGATTCATGGCGCATCCAGGCTAGATGCCTGACATATAAGGCATGAATCTGGTGATCAGCATTAGACCTACCAAGTAGAGTATGGATCAGGAGAAGAGTTCTCATTTATATAGGGTCTCCCTCTTATGAAGAGAAAGATCAGACTTAAACAATCTCGTTGGCCTTGATATTGATGCGTCCCAATTCAGTAGACATCCAATTTCAACAGATTGCCAATATATATTTGTGAGGGTGGGAGCCTACACAACATTATGCCATCAGGATGGAAATTCGATGTCATGAGAAAAAATCAAAGAGCTAATAACTTTTAAGTAGTATGAAAATGTAAATGGATTGCATAAATATTCCATGGGGTATCAAAAGAAACAACGTTGAGTCCGCATACGGAGGAAGCCCAGTAAGGAACGTATCCTTAGATACAAAATGCAGGGTGCGCAGAGGAGAAGAAAGATTAAGACTCCTCAAAGCTCGAACCTGATGAATCCGACATTGGTACAGGCGCACCAATGCTTTCCAATCCTCTGGAATTCTCTAGAGCCCCCTTCGAAGCTTCATCCTCGACAGTCGGGTCAACACCGGCTTCCTTCTTGAGCCGCTCATAGTTGTCACCAGCCTCTTTGATCATAACTTGAATTTCAACTTCACGATCCGCGATGTCGGCCTTCTCCTTCCGCAGTTCTTCCATACGGGCAATCATCTGTGTTTTCGCATTCTGCATGGATGCGAGAGACAAGCGTAGTCTTTCGAAACTGGTAGCCAGTCGAGGCAGTGATGTCATTTTAGGAGGAGTCTTGGGTCGATCAATGTCAGATTTGCCATGTCCCATAGCAGCTTTGGTCTGTGCTGCTTCATAGGCAGCCTTCTCTTCAAGATCGGAATCATCTTCGTCAGAAATCCCCTCAGCATCATTTATAAGTTCTCGCATAGCCTCGCGGTCCTTTTGTTTCTTTTCGCGTTCTGCTTTACGCCCAAGCGAGATTTTGCCGTCTTCCACGTATTCCTCGAATCCTTCCGCAAAGTCCTCGTCGTCTCGGATAAGTCTTGTGTCTGGTGCTGGTTTCTCTCCTCTTGCTACTGCATCCCAATCATCGACATGTGCAGCGTCATCGTCCTCTAATGAGATGAAGTCTTCCTCGGCACCAGCACCGTGTTCCATAGCCAGACGCGCTCGTCGGGCTTTCTTTTTCTCGAATTTCGGCTTCACTGGGGATATGTGATTGCCCTGAGACGGTCATGACGTCGCCAAATTTCGCTGCCACATCAACGGCCTTGGTTGATTCTTCGTCGGTGCTTGTCTTCGGTGTCGAGGGTGTCGAGTCCCGCAATTCCTTCAAGTAGTCATTGTTGTAAGTTGGTCGATCTTGATCCTGGTTGATACGAGAAGAGATATTATGGGAAAGTATATGCTGGCCAGCACTCCGTTCAACAGCTTTGCGTCCCAGACCATGTCGTTTAGGTATAACAACCTCGCTTTCTTGGTCGTCGCCATCGTTCATTGATGTCTCACTTGGACCAAATGACATGCGCAACTTGGATTTCGGTTTCGGTTTCGAGCTTGCCGGTCTCTTCACTACTGGCTCTGTAGAACAACACCATTAGCCCTGCCTGCAAATCAGATCCTTTGGAATGAAAAAGTTAAGAAACAGCCCACTCACCTGGTGCAGCACCCTCGTCCTCATCGTCACTGCCCCCGATCTTCCGGGGCTTCCTGCGATTGGCAAACCTGGAACTCATAGTGAAAAGTGCCAAAGAAAGTGAAGAGATGAGGAAGTGAATGCGGAGGCAATTTGGTGAAGCTCTTATCGCATATCAGGAACAACCATTCTCCGACCCAGCTTCCACCAAACTCCAACTCCGCGATCTCTCGAATCCTGTCAAACACCCAAATACCCAACCACATTGCCCAAGATGCCTCAAGCTCAGCCAGAATTGAAGAAGGTGAGTGCTGCCCTCAAGTCACCGTGTGCCTTTTGTCCCGAGACCCCTACTGACAACGCGCTTTTTCTGCAGTACATGGAGAAGCGGGTCTTCTGCCAACTTAACGGCAACCGCAAGGTCATTGGTATTCTCCGTGGCTACGATGTACGTCAAATACCCTATCCCCAGATGCTTCCATATCACGGCAGTCCGTTCAACGCGCGAAGAAACGAACCCACCCCTGGGACTTTCGAAGACCGCATGCCAACAACGGACAAATGAGCTAACGATACTTTCGCGCAGGTGTTCATGAACATCGTCCTGGACGAGGCATATGAAGAGAAGGAGGGCGGAGAGAAGGTTGCCATTGGCATGATCGTACGTCAACTCCACTCCTTATCGAGGTCCAAGAATCCAAACTTAACGACGACACAGGTGATTCGCGGTAACTCAGTAGTGATGCTCGAGGCTCTCGAGCGCATTGACAAATGAGTGACATAACTACACGATGTACGACGTTTCTTTTTTGATGGAAGGGGCACGCACATAGGCACAACTCCACCAACCGAGTGCCGGGAAAAGATCATAATGCTATTGGGAGTTTCTGGGTCGGTTTCTCTGATGGGAACAATCAAAACCTCTTTTTTTTTTCTGTTCTATTTCTTTTCTGCTCATTGGCCAGGGCGTACTTTTAGACTACTTTGCAAAGGCTATCTCAATTACTTTTTAACCGATTGCTTGCACTACTGTTGGATGAGGATGCAGAGATAGGCAGAACTCATGTGATATTGAGTTTGAAAGCACTGTTGAATCGACTGCACGCCTGTAGCCATGCTGCTGTTCATCCTCCCGCTTGATTCAATGGTAGACATAAATGGATAATAAGAATATTGGTAGAATACAGGGACACGTCGAAATTACAGATTTGGTTTTCTCATGCTGGTCTTGAAGCGAACTTGAGTTTGAGCTTCAGCGGACCTCCGCTGGCTGGGGTTGAGGGCGTAGATGGGGCCGGGGTTTTGGGGGTCGCGCTGGGTGTGGCAGAGGGATTGGGGATGTGAAGTTTTGGGAGCGGGGTGGCAGACGGGGTGCCGGAGGTTGCGCCAGTTTTGGACGTTTTGAAGGTAATGCGAGTAGATGGCGGAGGCATGCCTTCTTCGCGTTTCCGCTTGGAAGAACCCTTTGATGGACCCATGCGGATAGTGCTGGATTTGGTAAAGTGCAGTTTCCCATGTCCCAGATTTTTGACCTTCCAGTAACGAGGGAGTTTCAGGCGTACAAGCTTAGTCGTGACAGGGTCGTAGAGCACGCGGCAAAGATCGGTGAGTTCGGAGAGTTCTAGTAGGTTCATGGTTGGAGAATTGCATGCGGCCCACATGTACTCTTTCATAGATCCATCGAGAGACAGCTCTCGCTTGAGAGCTTCGATAGCGCCTGGAATGGTCTGCCGTCTTGCGATGTCATCCCGGCGGATTTCTGTCGTAGACTCTTGTTCGATGATCAACCCGTCCGCCTGCGTGCCTTCTGGTTGTTGGGGACGACCAAATGCAACTTGTGCCAAGGCCTGTCCTAGCAGACCCAGGCCGTGATGGCGAATCCAGGCCGAGGAATCGGTCGACAGTGTAAACATGAGCCAACGCAAAAGCTCAGGGCTTTGACCAATATCTAGGTCCACCAGACACTGGAATGCCTGGATCCGCAGGAGGTCATATGTTCCTGCCCGTGTGTAGGGGAGGAAACGCATGAGATCCACATTTATCATCTTTGCTTGCATCAATTGTGCCTGGCAATGTAATGCGGCTCGTGAATAAAGGTTTTGGAATGAGCTGGACCATTCATCCATTCGTCGATAACGATCAAATTCGGCAATGGCATCTTTCTCGAGCTGCTCCTCAGCTTGAGTCTCAAGAACGCGTTCCATGTCGAAATGATCTAGCTCTTCATCACTCCGTGACTCGCTCCTGCCCAGCATTGCATGACACAGAGACTTCATGAGCGAGGCAACGTAGAAGTTGTCAGAGTATTCATTATTGGAGTTGTCATTGAACTTCAGTTTGTCAAAGAGGAACCGCTTTACCCGCAAAGGGGTCTTTCCACTGTTGTCGCGCACTTTCGAAATCGCATCGGGAATGACTTGCTGTAAAATGTAGGCTGCTCGGTCAGAGAAATCATTCGAACGCGTCATGGGCGAGCCTGGAAGACAGAAAAGCTCCTGGAATGCCGTTTCAAGATGGTACAGACCAACCCAGTCAACTTCGTCCTTGGCATGTTTGACCAATGCGCGAGCCGCCGTGACACGAATACCATGGAAGTATCGACTGTCCATGAGAGTTCGAACGAAGATGGTTGAAATGAGAGGATGTTCTCGTTGCGCGGCCATGTATTGCAAGGACTATGATTATTAGCCTGACGTTTGCGCAAGGAAATTTGACAGTCTTACCTCAAGCTGCGCCACAACATCTCGATCCTGTTGTAGCTGGGACAGATACATGTAACCCGGCATGCCAAGAGACAGTTTGCAGATCCATTCAAAGTCTGCGTCCATACGAATCCACTCGTAAGACTCCTGTCCCATTCGCTCTTCGTCCTCTTTTGTCCAGTCAGCCAGGCGCCAAGACTGTGCTTCCTCCTCTGTTTGGAGTACGTCTCCCAGACAGTAGAGGAGAACTTCTTCTTGGACCTCGGCATCTCCACTTGCCACAGCTCGCTCTCTTTGTTTCTTGTTGCGTTTAAGCCTCTTGTACTTGGTGTTGTACGGAATATCGAACTTCGTCACTCCCTCCTTGATCTCAACAATATGTTCATATGGTGTGCCGTCGGCTTCGTGAATCCGAAGGGTCATTGATCCCGTAAACACCGGTTGTACTGCACCCGCATAGACGTGCCGAACTTCTTCTTTAACGTCACGGAGGAATGTATCCTTTTCCAGATCTTTTGGAGGCTGTTGCTCAGCCTGGATTTGTCGGATCATCATCTCCACAACAAGCTTTTTCTTGTTAAATCGCTGACTCGCAGTGAACCGCGGGCATCCTGCACCGTAAACCCATTGCTGGAAAAAAACGTCTAGCTTGGCGTGACCGAGTCGCTCGCAAGTCTTTTGGAAGAGAGATGAGGTAACAGCTCCGTTGGGCATGTCGCCCATGCGAGAGTTTAGGAACAGTCGAGTGACAATGCGAGACATCGTGGGCTTTCCACTAGCCTTTGTCAACCGACGATCGAGGATCCACAGGACCAAAGGGGCCTTCAGTGCAACGAAGCGGTATTCAGAGGGGTCAACCTTGAGGATATTGCCCATGTCGTAAATCGATGGACGTTCAAAGTCCAACTCGCAGACTCGGTCAGACATTTGTTTGAGTCTGAACCGGTATTCGTTATTTCCGCAAAGGTGCTTCATAAATGTGTCTGTAATATACCATGCCACACCCACTGTGACCCATGTATCCGCTGGCTCATTTGGAATGATATTAATGCCCGACCATTGAGAGGCCAGACCATGCACCAGAGTTCGCGTTGATTCATACATGGGGTCGATCATCTCTGGTGGGAATAGGAGATGGCTGCTGCAAATTGACATGCAAGCAGTAGGAAGGCTGTCCGTAGGGACGTCATCCACGAAACAGATCTTGTAGCTGGCAAACGGGTAGGATCCATAGGACAACGAAAAAAAATCGATAGCCTGGGCCATGGGGAAACTCGTATTCTGAACTTCATCGGCTCGACCTGGGAGACAGAATGCGTGTAAAGGAATCGCGTTTTGTCCAAGCTGTTCGTCCTGGTCACTCTCGCGGAAGTCGGCAAGGTTAACATACTCGAATGGACCAATGGCGAATCCGATTTGTTGAGCCCCCAAAGGCGAGTACGAGGAAAATGAGACTGTTTTGCGACTGGGGTCCTTGGGATCGACAATATCATCCGTCAGGTCGCCAGAGCAAACCACGGACATATCTAGGCTCTCGTCATCGGCAGAAAGTTGGCGGGTTTGCGGCCGTGGGCGCGAGGGCGTCGTTGAACCTGGCGCACTTTTGTACTTGCGGTCAAACACATCACCGAGCGAGCTGGGGCAAGTAATCGAAAAGTCCCACGTGCATCTCGAGGACGTATCGTCGATGCATGGGAACAGGGGACATCCGATACCAGACTCGAGCGAGTTGGTGGTGTATGCATGTGGATAACGGCGATCTCCATGTTCAATACCCACGAACTGTAAACCATCACGAATGCTGTCAATGACGAACTCGATGTTCACGGTAAGAGCTGCGAATCGTGGGAGGGCCGCTTCTTGCGCCCTTGAACCTCCAGGCCCATCCACATCACCGGTTGTCGTTTGAAGGGCAATCTGGTCTTGGGCTTCAGCTGAAGATGGATCTAGCTCGTCGATTCGAACGTTTTTAGGAATCGTAATGGCTACCGTGGGCTTCGGGGGGGTTTGGAGTAGACTGTCGAGTTTGGGGACCAAGCGTTCATGGTAATGGGGCCCGTAGAGTTGGATAGATTCGTAGGGATCGGAATACTTCGCTGTCGCCTGTTTGCCGTTGACGCTGAGTCGCTTGATCTCGCCTTGCCGAAAATTCAACCAGATCGTTCCCAGATCTTGCCTGTGTGGGTGGACGGTGATTTCGGTATTGCCCTTCAGGCTTTTGCTGGCCAGATCGATATCAAGCTCGACCTTTTGATGCCCGACACTGAATCCTAGATCCCAAGCAGGTGCTGCAGCCCCGACGGGCGTATCAACAACACCAGGCATCATGAAGAGTCCTTAGTGACGAGACGCGCGGGGAGCGCAGCGAAGACCATCCACCGGCATCCCCAATCAGACTCGAAAGGCGGTTGTATCGAGGACGGCGCAGAGAAACCGAGGACAAGAGATGCGAAGATACTTGCAAGGCGCGAGTTGAAGCTTCAAGTGAAGGTGCGGACGGATGACTGCGCGAAAGAGTTGTTGACAAGGGAAACCGCAGGCGGGCGACCAACTCCGGATAACGTCTAAATAATTGGGTGGAAGGACGGCGACAATCGACAATGTAGAACACCCTCGCGTGGTCCGGTCGAGCTTCCCAGGGAGCGCGTCCCAATGCGGGAGCGCACGTGATGCCGAACCTGAAAATCCATGTTGAGACATTCCGCTCCTCCTTTTCTCCACGTAAATCGACTGTTGTTCAGGGCATGATCTGAGTTCCTATTTGCCTGTCTTTCTTGCTCGTTTGTTTTTGGCTGCGCGCGATGAACTGAGGTGTTGCTGTATACCCCCGACTATCCATTGAACTCCGCCTGCCCCCTCAACATCCACCATGAGCGCAATCCTCCGTATGGTCCAAGGTATGTGACAGGAACTCGTTAGATTTGGCTCAGAATATTTGCTCATTGACGTCTTGCATCTGAACACAGAGACCCAAGATTCCCTCTCCGACGATGCCCTCCTACCCCTTAAGTCGTACAAGTACTCGAGTGTCGACAAATCGTTTATCTCAAATTACATCTTGAGACACTATGTACGAAATTCAGATTGCAACACATTGCAGCCGCTCTGCATGTGAACATACAGCTGACTTATTCTACGTTTAGTGGAATGCCTTCGTCGAGCTTGTTCCTATGTGGATGGCACCTAACATGGTGACCCTTCTCGGGTTCATGTGGATTGTCGCCAATGTCTTCATCATTGATGTCTTTGTGCCGGATATGGTGGGACCTGTAAGAATTTGTTCCTGGGTTGGACGGACGTGGCAAGTTGACATTGATTGAACCAGGGCCCTGGGTGGATTTACTTCAGTTTCGCTCTTGGCATGTGGATGTGAGTGAACGGAATCGATTGTCGCATGCATCTCGCTCACACGAAACAGGTACTCGACCCTCGACAATGTGGACGGTAAACAGGCACGCCGCACAGGAACATCCAGCGGCCTCGGAGAACTTTTTGAGTTTGTACCACCCTCCGCCCAGCCGTGGACGCTCAACTAACAAGCACAAGTCACGGAATCGACTCTCTGAATTGCACCCTGGCCAGTCTGCTTTCGACTGCAGCAATGGGCTTCGGCTCCACGCAACTCGGTGCTTGGACTGCTATTGTCCCCTGTCTGGCCATGTACTTCTCCACCTGGGAGACTTTCCACACCCACACCCTGTACCTCGGCTACTTCAACGGCCCAACTGAGGGCCTTTTGATCGCCATTAGTATTATGGTCGCCTCCGGTATCTGGGGCCCCGGTATTTGGTCTCAGCCTATTACTGGATTGATTAACATCCCGCAACTCTTTGGTACCGCTTCCATTAAGGACCTCTGGGTGCCGATCTTGCTCGGTGGTTTCTTCCTCGGCCATCTGCCCGGCTGTGTGATGAACGTTGCTGCTGCGCGCAAGAAGCAGGGCTTGGCTTTCACTCCCATCCTCAAGGAGTGGGTCCCTATGATCGCGTTCACCAGCTGCATCATTGCGTGGCTCTTCTCTCCTTACTCAACCATTCTGTCCAACAACCACCTAAACCTGTTCTGCTGGGTCATCGCTTTTGTATTTGGACGTATGACCACCATGATCATCTTGGCCCACCTGTTGAGACAGCCATTCCCCTTCTGGACTGTTCTGCAGGCCCCACTCATCGGTGGCGCAGTGCTTGTCAACCTTCCCATCCTTGGCTTCCCAGTCATTGCTCCATGGTTAGAGCTCCTCTACCTCCGCGTGTACCTTGTCTTCGCCTTTGTCATCTACATGCACTGGGCAGTACTTGTCATTAACCGCATCACCACTTTCCTCGGCATCAACTGCCTTACCATTCGCAAGGACCGCAGTGTCGCCAGAGACCGGGCTTACCGCACTCTCGGTGACGCTCCCCTTGAGGAGCCCCGCGTCTCCACTGATACCAACAAGACTCATTAGATTGATTTCATCGCGCCACCTTGCATGCATAACGGATTGATTCCTGAAAGAAGTCTCCTCCATATTAGCATTGCCGCCAACGGACCCGAGCGGTTCTTTGAAGATTTAAAAGCTGCCATCTTGTAATTACGACTTAACCACCCTCAACATTTTGCTTGACCATGTCTTAATCACCAGAATGAATCAAGTGAGGGGTGGAAATTTTGATGAACCCACGCATGGAAACTTGCCCTGCATATTTGTACTTACGCCATTATTAATATTTGTGAATAGACAAAAAAGATTCAAGTTCATTAGTCTTCTCAGAGAAGTTGAAATCGAAACGCAAATGTTGAACAAAGCGTCATAGTACAGGAGAATCAACCATTACATATATCACAAGCATCGCAAACAATCAACGCTGACCACAACAAAAAAATCATAATAAAAATATCAGAACCAGATCCTCCAGACTTTTATTTGTTTCCAAGTCCAAGGGCGCCAGTCAAACTGCCCAAGCCAAGTCCATCAATAATCTTGTCAAGTCCTAAACTTCCAAGAATACCATTCAACAATCCACCAAGACCAAGACCATCAAGCAAACGACCAACAAGACCAAGCACACCGTTCAACAGTAATCCGACAGCAGCAATGATCTGGAACAAAGGCTCAGAGAGCAATCCCCAGAGAGGGTTCAGCTTCTTCTTAGCGTGAGGCATGTCAGCAATGCGCTTCTTGCCGTTGTCAATGGTCTTGACCACAGTCTCAGTGAGCTCCTTGATCATGTCGGCGAGCTGGTACTCCTCAGGAGTAGCATCACGAGAAGCAGCGCGCGCCTTGGCGGTCGCGGCGATACGTCCGTCTGGGTCAAGGGCGCGAATTGAGCCATTGCATTCTTGCAGGATGCGGCCGCCTTCTTCCAGGAGGGGTTTGACTTGCTGGACGAGTTTCTCTTCATCGAGCTCGTCCTTGGGGGTTCGGTCGGCTTTTTCGACGGCCTGGGATTTGTTAGTATCGTCCTGAGAAACGTACATTGGAATGAAACTTGCCTCGGTTATCTGCTTGCAGACTGGCTTGACGGCCTCAAGGGTCGAGTTGAGGATGTAGCACATCTTCTCGGCGAGCTGGCGGTCTTGCTCAGCCTTGGCCTGGGCTTCCTGCTCCTCGGGGGTAGGGCCCTCCTCTTCCTCTTCCTCGGGCTCGGGGATGTTCTCGAGAAGAGTGCACTCGCCGAGCTTGTTGCCGTCGTTGTCAACGACGAATCCATTATCGTCGACAGCCTTACCGACAAGAGTGGCCAGGTTACCGGCAGTCAGCTTGCCGATGAGGTTGCCGTCAGCATCGCGGACCTCACCCTCCTTGGTGACCTTGCGACCAGCCATGGGGTTGATGTCGCGCTTCTTCTCCTCGGGCTCCCAGCGCTCGGCTTTGCCGATCGTGTTACCGTTCTTGTCGGCGACATCACCGTCCTCGTCGACGCTGCGGCCGAGGAGGCGCTTGGCGTCACCTTCAATGAGACGTCCGATGATCTTGTCACCGCTGGTAACGACACCATCCTTACCGACGACGGCATTGTCAAAGCCGAAGAAGGGTCCCTCGGCCTTGTTCTGCTCGCCACCGGGGATCAGCTCAGCGCGACCAACGACCTTGCCGTTGTCACCCCAGATCTGGCCCTTGCCGTCGACCTTGCAACCTGCAAGACGCTTGTCGCCTTCGACAACGCGACCGACAACAGCACCAGTGGCAGGGTCAACAACGTTGCCAGACTTGTTGACAACCTTGCCCTCAAGGAGAGAGAGGTCCTCTTCCTCGGGGGCCTCCTCCTCAGGGGGCTCGTAGGGCTCAGCACGACCCTTGACATTGCCGTACTTGTCAGTGATCTCACCATCCTCATCGACAGCGCGACCACGCAACTTCTTGGGGTCACCCTCAACAAGCTGGCCAACGATGGATCCTTCATCATCCTCGACGAATCCATCCTTGTTCACAACGATACTTTCCATACCAGCGAAGGGGCCTTCAGCCTTGCTGTCAATCTCATCCTCAGGAATGAGTTCAACACGACCAATGACCTTCTTGCCGTCGTAAACCTCGCCGTCTTCGATCTTCTTACCGGCAAGCTCCTTGGGGTTACCCTCGACAACACGGCCGATGGGGTATCCCTCAGGTCCAATGACATAGCCGGCCTTGTTGCAGGTGAGACCATTCAGAGCAGAAAGGTCAGGACTAGCCTCTTCAGGCTCTTCAGGCTCCTCCTCAAGACGCTCAGCACGACCAATTACATTGCCCTTGCGGTCGAGGATTTCACCATCCTCATCAACACCGCGACCGCTGAGCTTCTTAGCATCACCTTCGATCAGACGGCCAACACGAGTGCTGTTCTCGTCCTCGACGAAGCCGTCCTCGTTGACGACCAAGCCTTCGAGACCGGAGAAAGGTCCTTCCTCGCCATCATCTTCTTCAATGGGGAGGGCCTTGGCCTTGCCGATGACGTTGCCGCGGTTGTCCCAGAACTGACCCTTGTCGTCGAGGGTGGCGCCAAGCTTGGCGATCTTCTTCGCGTCGCCTTCGATCAGCTCGCCGACGGGCTTGCCGCTGTCTTGGTCGATGATGTAGCCGCGCTTGTTGCAAATAAGGCCCTCGAGGGTGTCAAGGCTAGGGATGCGCTGCTGGGCGTCTTCGGCAGCATCCTGGGCGTCTTCGGCAGTGTCTTCGAGATCACCCTCGACACCTTCAGCGGTGTCCTTGGCGCCCTCGGCGGTCTCCTCGAGATCACCCTCGGCACCTTCGGTAGCGTCTTCAGCGGTATCTTTGACGCCATCGACATTGTCTTCGAGTTCGATCTTGCCGTCTTCGGCAGTGTCTTTGAGGTCACCCTGGGCATCCTCGGCGGTGTCCTCAGCATCGCCGACAACACCTTCAGTGGCATTCTTAGCCTCATCGACGTCATCGACATCGTCGACGGCACCTTCAGCCTCATCGGCGACACCGTCAACAGCGCTCTTCGCTTGGTCGGCAGTCAGGTTATCCTGAGCATCTTCGAATTGATCCTCAACATCATCCTTGACACCATCGACCTTATCAGTGGCATCGTTGGCAGTCTCTTCAATGACCTTCTTCTGCTCCTCAATAGGAACAAGATCAACACGACCAATGGCATCACCTTCATCATCAACAATCTCACCCTCCTCGTTGAGAGTGTATCCGATCAGATCTTCCCAGTCACCTTCAACAATGCGACCAACAATCTGACCAGCGCCATTCTTGATAACACCACCGTCAGAAACAGGCAAACCCTCAAGCTGAGCAAGATCCGTAACAACATTCTCCAGATCGCCCACCTTGGACTGCGCCTCGTCAGGGATGTTCTTCGCCTTATCGGCGAGCTCGTGCATGATATCAACACGACCAATCAGATCACCATCCTCGTCGACAATCTCGCCGTCGTCGCCAACAGTCTGTCCGACCAGGTCTTCAGGGTCACCCTCGACAACCTGACCAATGGGGTTCCCATCCTGTCCAAGGATGTTACCACCATCAGCAACCTCAAGACCCTTCAAGGCCGAAAGGTCAAAGGGAACAGGCAGGTTATCAGTTGGCAACTTATCAGTCGCCTCCTTGGTGCCATTCTGAACAGTCTCGGCGCCCTGCGCAGCTGTATCCTTCGCCTTTCCAGCAACACCACCAGCAAGACCCTTAGCTTTACCAGTCAAACCGGAAGCGGCACGACCGAGAGGGGCAGCCGAGCCGGAAGCCTGGGAGGCGACATCGTCTGGTGGGGAGGTAGGGCGGCGCTGCTCAGAGGAGGAAGTCTTCTTCTTGGACTTGGGGGAGGGGGTCTCGGGGATGGATTGCTCGTCGTCCTCGATTGGCTCGGGGGCCTTTTGGGAGAGTTTGCGGGGGGTGCTCTTCTTCAGGGACTTGGGGTTTGGGCTTGCTTGCGTGGTGCTTGGCTTTGAGGCGACGCTGGAGCCGGAGCCTTTGCGGGTTTTGGCGGGCGTGTTGGTCTTCGAACCCAGCTTTGGGGGTGCTTTGCTCACTGCGGGGGTGGCCATGATTGAGGTTGATTTGGTTCAATGTGGTTGTGTTTGAGTGTGCCGTTTCGAAGTCGATATGATAAATCGTAATCAGGGTGGGATCAAATCAAATCAAATCAAATCAAATCAAATCAAATCAAATGAATAGGAAAATATTCAGTCGCTTGCGTGGAAGGCGTGACGTATAATTCGTAGGAGGTCGATAATAATACAACAATCCCAGGACCAGGCAAGAAATCAATCGAGTCCGGGACGAATAGGAGTAGGAGTATAAAGGGAAGATATTTCGTGATGAATAGATATCAGAATAATCAAAAGTGATTCAGGAATTAGAGGTTCGAGAGTTATGCTTATAAGAAGTATCCAAGGATTCTGATATCATTGCAGTAGACCATCATAGGTGTCTATATAGCTACACGAGGCAAGCAGAGCCCACTACGTCATGGGCCCGTTGATATCATAGCCAGCTTTGCGTTGTGGCTTGTAATCCCTGTTCGAGAGACGATCGTCCCAAGAGTTAATCTGTATGGGTGCACGGTGCATGCCAGTGGCTGAATTGTATGGTAGGGCGGTTAGTAGCATCATCGGCATCATACGAGTGGGTCGATAAGATGAGGGATCAGTCGAGAATTTCGTTGATCCAGAGGTTGTTGCAGGACAAGCGCTCCAATCAGGGGTCTGGGCTGGGGTGTATGGGGTCGGAAGGTGGCTAAATCGGGATGTAGGAGAAGGTGGATGGAGGTGGAGCTCCGTGCTTGTCTAGAGGGTATGATCATGTTTGAAGTTGTACTACTCGGTGCGAGATATCGTGCAGGGAAAGCGGATTGAGTTATAGATGAACTGTTGCACGGATGATGGCATTAGAGTAGAAGTGTAGATACGGCTTTTTTGCTTCAAGGTGTATCCTATGTCATGTTCCTGAGTGTCCCAAAGAGGCATACGCGTCAAAGGCAAGAAACAAAGAGAATAATTGGAGACAGGCAAAAGCAATGTGAGTGGTCAAATGTCAGAACATCATGATCCATGGAAACCCCAGGGCCACGCTATACGAAACATGGAAAAACGTGGGTGAACAAATCAGAGAAGTATATGGCCTCCACATTAGGACTGCAGCATCCACCGCGATTTGCCTCCCGCACTGTCAGGCTGTCATCCCCTGTCACTGTCCCTGTTCTGTGGCTGAGGATTGGTATACTGGTCTCATTGACCTTCGAATCATCATTACATCACAAGTGCCAGACTGCATAGGACGTGTTGAAAGTGCAACTATACAACGTTATAAGTTAGTATCTCTTGAACATGGTTTCCATACCCCACAAACGCAAGAAGCATCGCATCTGGGTTCAATAGTTAACACAGATGACGTCCAAACACCACGTTAGCACGTTATTTATACGACAAAAACGCACAGGAAAATACAAAGCACTTGGGACTTCCCTGTATAGGCGGAGCGTGCATCGGGACTCGGCCGGATGAGATCATTTTAATTTATTCAAGTGGAGTGTTCAGCCACTCAAGTCATCGCGGATATCGTCACGGTTCACAATTCAAGGCACAGTCTCGACCGAACCGTAGTTGTTTCAGCCTTTTGAACCAGTCCTGGAATATAACCCAGTTGAAACGGTCCGGACGCCTAGACGTCGCATAGCGTGGTACACCGTTAGACGTGGAGTAGGAAAATCTCCGGGTTGTCTGCCGAAATCAAGATTTGCTCCTAGCGGCGGGGGTCCGTGCGGTCATGTCCCAACGGTCTGGACGAAGTATACATTTACTGGAGTACAGTATAACTTGTTTTTGACCTGTTGTATATCCATCGTTTGTTCTATTCAGCAAGGTTTCTTTCTGCCTAAATAGATACACAAGAGTCCACCACCATTCATATCCCCCACCTCAACACTACAGCGCCATGAAACAAGACGTATTACATGACAAGGTATAATAGAGACAAAATCCATCTAGACTGCTCCAATTCCAATCTCGGTGTGTTCTATTTCTATCCAAATGACATACTTAGGCCACTCTTCGCCACCGTCTTGCTCGAGTAGGAGATGATCAACGTTGGATCTTCATGTTAAGAAGTCAACTAAATTAATTCTGCCTTGTAAACGACCATCAATGTAACATTCTCTAGGCATTCACTTACCGCCACATTGCTATGCAGGTAACCATGTGGAAAATGTGGCTGGTGAGTTTGCATTAGCCACGATCGGTGGGTACAAACCTACGGGCTCGGGGTATCTCCACAGCCCGGAAGTCCCTTAATTTGAATGCACGATGTAATTTAGCTGAATGATTATCAGGTACAATTATATACCGGTGCTTGTCAACGAGAGCGGACTATCAGCAGAATGATTTAATCTTTTTGTGATAGATTCTGAAACAGAGATCCTGTCCGTTTACGTTGCACTAGCCAATACCAACAATTCAAATTTAAAATCGGATATATAAACTAGTAAACAGGTTAAAAACTGTTGCAACAAACCCTGCAAGGACCAACACAAGATATTCAGCCCAACAACCAGGAACACCCACGCAATAGCTCGCCCAAGTAAACTATCCGGCAACCTGCGGCTTCCGGTTAATCCCCTCCCTAGGACCATCCCTCCGAAGAAGACTATCCCTGTAGAGATTACACTTGCTAGAGACAGGGATATTCTCAGAATCCATACGTTTTCCCTCACTCAAGTGACACTGAACCCACTCCCAGTCCCCACGCTTAGGATGATCAGGGTCCTTAAACTTGATCTGCAGGGCCTTTGATCTCCAAAATGTTTCTTCTCTCTCGCCTAAGTGCACGCTCAACGCCCATGCATGCTGCGGGCTTCGGGTCGAATCTATCTTGTGTTACTGACACTTTATGGAGGTATGCGAAATCTCTGTCCGAGATGGTCATTATGTGGGTGCCTGAGTCTTTTATATACAGTAGTCACCGTTATCGCCTTCCATGCTAGATGGTATAGAAAAAATCTTTTGAAACCTAATCACATATAACACTAATCCTCATTTGGCTAATTCTGTAGTTGTAAACACTAGTGTAAGTAAATATTTGACGTACTGATGCGGTTCTAAAATACACTATAGTGCGCTTTGCGCGCGTGATTGGGCAACTTGTTAATATACGACCAGCTGAGATTACATTCAGGAATCAACATTGCCAGTGTCGTGGCCAGGGTTAGTTATTGGTGCGGGACATATCAGTCTCACGTCGATGGCTTCCTCGAGCCAGTACACGTTCGGCAAGTTCAAACAAGCTAGCTCTGTTATAATGGCGAAGCAAGAATCACCCACACTGGTCGGCTGTCTACTCGATGTGTCGGGATCGATGCGTAAGGTTCTCGAAACAGGTCGATCAGGTGAGTGCGCGGCTGATCGCTTCCATGCCGTGCTCCGCGCGGCTCTCAACATTGCCCGCAAGGAGCAACAATGTAACTCCAAGATCAAAATGTTTGTGGGCGCGTTCGATCTTGATCGCCAGGCCGGGTATCCTCCAACCGTGGACCTCTGCGGCGTTGCCAAAGCTCTCCTCGAAGGCGTCGATCGAGACGATCGCAGCGGTCATGATCTGCTCATCGCGCGAATGAGAGCAACCTAGTTCATATAACGGAGTACATCCGGAACAAGCTTACAGATGGTGTAGCGCGCCTTGTCCACGCGTGCCTTCGTAAGCGTCCAGAGCGGGTTTCTAAGTTCATTGACACATTACCAAGTACGGATGAAATTCAGGTCTCACGGAGAATGAAGAGTAGGGCAACATTTGGAACTGCCACCATCTTGACCATTGGTGGAATGCAATTGGGTCCAACCTGGGGCAAAATGGGTGCCAATGTTTACGAAGACCAAGCAATAGACTCCTCAGAGGGACTTCAGCTCGCGCGCCGAATTTGCAGAGAGTGGCTTCAAGATTTCGTGGACTTCGTACCACGGCTAGTGAGTAATGTGGTAAGGTTGCTACAGGGTTTTCAGCGGCATTCCACAGGAGTACGTAGGTGCTTATCTAGAACCATTGAGGAATCCATGTACGGCTCCAATGTGCGACGTTTTGAGCCGGTCATTGTCCGTGTTTTGTGCACATCCTGAATTGGACCAGCGAGTTCTCGTGCTTTTGTCAGACGGCCACGGGACTGACGGTGATCCCGGCGAGAATCGCTTCTGGCCTGCATTTGGAATAAGTCACTGTGGCAGTTGTGTACTAGAACAGGCAGTCAGGACCGCTGGTCCCAAAGGGCTAACGCTCGGTCTCCATTCAAGTCTGTGCTGGAAGGAGATCCGACATCGACCATCCAACTTTCGTATATACCCACTGAAATTGAATCTCTAAATCACGACGACGAGGAAACCCAGATAACTTGGCCAGACACATCCGATGATATTCAATCCTCACCACAATCGTACTCATAACACATAGCGTATATCCGCATTCGGGGCCCCAGAAACACCTGATTTCCGATATCTGAATCACCTGCCAATATGTTCCACCGCCTAGCATACTCACCACAGAAGTGTCCTTTCTCCAAAAGTATCATCGCAATTGCTGGCGAGAACATAGGACCGCGACTATTACGCACATGGCTCTTTAACATTATATTTTATGAGAAGCCAATTCATTGGGACTGCGGTCCAGTGGCCCAAGAACATGCCCACCTGGGATGAATCAGTCTTCGCTCTCATAAGAGATGGGAGATCTTACCTGCATCATCCACCAATAAACCACGTTATTTGTTCGCAGGCTGAAGTTCCAGATGGCTATCTGGTATATGGCCATCCATCCGTAGAGTCCGACCTGGAAGGAGGTCAAAGACAAAATGTCTGCTTTCAAAGCGCGCCAGATGGTTACGGGGCCATATTGCCGGGACATCGGAGCTATTGAGAAGTACTGGAAGAAGATTCCAAACAAGAGCGCGAACCCATAATCTTTTTAAAAACCTCAGTGATGCACAGAGAACTTCAAAAAATATAACATACCGACCAAATAGGACACCCATAGATGCCGCCCATTGATTGTTGCATCTGCCCCATACACGAGCCATTCCCCGACGATATCTCCGAGCAAACAGCCGGCGCCACAATGGCAGACGGCGACCGTTACTGTAGCAAACATGGGCCGCTGGGACATGTGTGTATGACAATGGTCACCTCTGTTTTGCGAGTCTTCAGCGCTAGGCTCAGGACTATCCCGACTCTCGCCGGAATAACCATTATTGTTCCTATGGCAATGCATTAGTATAATTGTGATCTAAGTTAGCATTGGATAGGGGATACGAACTGGCTGCTTGGTTCTAAATGCTTCAGCTCTGGTAATGGAGGCCGACCGTACTTAAAGTATGTCCACAAAGTGATGGGAGCTAGATATAGCGCATTTAGGACATAAACCGCAATCCTGGAATTCAATCACAAAAATTAGCTCCAATGCGCGGCAAGTAACGAGGCACATCAGGCTTACATAACACCCATCATTGATCTCCAGCCTCGTCGATATATAATATCAAAAAGAATCACTAAGGAGGTAATCAGGCCCAGCCCGATGAAGACTGTTCCCAGAACAACAAGAGACAGCGGCGGATGGTACGAGACCATAATGAATCTGCAGGGTTAGGTACAGCTGAAGATTATCTAGACACACTACATTGAGTATCTACCTATGCTTTCGTTATATAGAACCTCGACGATTCCTGATGTCACCTTAGGAGTATTGCCACGAAAACAAGACTTTGCTTCCGTTGTGGGGAAATGTGAGTAGCCCAAACTCTAAAAAGCGCAAAAAGCGCGTAGGGGCAACAACCACCAGGAATAAAAGTATATTATTGTTCCCGCCAGTCTTATCAACTAAATAAAGCAAGGTGTTCAAGCCTGAATAATAGGCAATCGGTTTTTGAATGAACGCCATATATATTGCGATTGTACGGCGAAGGAGAGCGGTGAGTTCAAACGGGTCTTCTGCCCGAAATCGGCGAGCGCAACTCGTCGTAAACGTAGCTATTGGATAGTTTGCCACCTCAACGCACAAGTCGCGCATTCATCATTACGGTATTATAACGCTGACTCATCTGATAGTGACAGCCGGAGCCAAAGTCTGTTCTGGTCATAGATACTGCATCGATTCACCACTCCGAGTGGAATTCGCAGATATATGCCGATGCTGGAGTCAAACTTGTTTCTTTGCCTCCATACTCGCCGGACCTAAATTCAATGGAGGATTTTTTTTTTTTTTTGCTAAACTCAAAGGCTTTATAAGACGCATTTGGAGCTACTACGCAGATGATCCCAACCGAGAATTCGGGTCCTTTCTTGAACGATGTATCAATCAAGTTGGGGAAGACAAGACAGTACCAGAAGCCACTTTCGGCACGCAGGGGTGACTGTTGATCATTACTAGAACCTATTTCGTACAAATATTCTTAAAGAATTGAAGGGGCAGAGAAATGTCCAGAGGAATGGCCATGACATGTTCTTTCGTTGAATCCTCTTTTTTAGCACTCAGGAAACAACCAAGGATCAAATCCCTCTTTCGAGAACAATGTGCTTGTATTATCGCCTTTTGATGTGCTATTCGAGTAACGTTAAACGATTATTGCTGTCGCTTCTGGCGAAGAGCCTCATGCATAACACGTGATCGAAAGCACCTTCTCATTTACGTGGCACCACAATTTTGATCTGTTCGTTAACATCAAGTGGAAAGATGATGGAAGGGTTTAATGTATTTACTCTCAGTAAGTTGTACTCCAGTTCCTTTGGCTTACTTTGCTGGATATACGCAATATGGCCATCTGTAATCTGGCTTTCCAGTTTGCAAATAAGGAAATGGAACCTACGCCAAGAGCTCTGGTGTACCTTTGGACAGGGGTTCTTATCAATGTAGCTTCATATGGACTAGCGTCGTGTCCGGTACAGGCCGAGAATCAAGACCGTGAGTGTCTGGGTGTAAACTGTTTTCGAATTCTACAGTAGCGTTGTTGAGGACCGCCGTCTATATTAGTTACATAGGCATATATGATTCTTCTAATGGGATGAGGGCCCATATTGACAGTGTGTTATAAGGGGAAGTCGTGCCATTTTATAGGCTGGAGGGAGTGACGTGTCAGTTACGGATCAACGTCCGACCCCCTGCAGCTATACAAAGCAGAGAGACTGTGGATGTTCACAAATCATCAAAATCACAAGACAATCTGGCATTCCATGATAATTGACTGAAAGGAAGAAACATAGGAATGAATCGTAAAGCAAAATCGCCATCGACATGAACACAACTCGGTGATAACGCACTGGATCCAACATGAAACAATCAAAGACGAGAAAGGTGAGAGAATTCGCCAGGGGCATGGTAATTTGGCACTCTCATATCCAAATCTGCGCCAGAGTATCCCAAATCCTCCGCCACGAGTATGGCACACTTCTCGCCAATTAGCAGCGCAGTCTATATGTACCATCACTGTTAGCATCACGATGATGTTAAGAGAGAGAGAGACAAATACTTACGCTGAAAGTGTTGCAGCCCACATTATCGGGACAGATCGACAGATCGCAGACTTTGAGGCCCTTCACACCGTGAACATTCAGGCGTTCGTCGACAACACCACCTTGCGGCGCAATCGAGCTGCCCTCTCGTGGAGCCATGCTACATGTACCGAGACAGTGCCAGGTTGTCTCAACGTGACGTTGAACTAGGGATATTGATCAAAAACAAGTAATTACACGGAAACAGGTATTGACTTACTCCACTTCTCAATGTGCTTGATATCCTCATCGCTGTAGTTCAGAGGGTCGCGAGCCTCGTGCTTATTGGAGTTGAGGATGGAAGCGGAAGGCTGCTTTCCAGGTTCCAATGGCTGAGTCCAAGACCCTACACACCCGCGTTAGTGAGTAAACAGATAAGAAAGAATCCAAATAACTCACCGTGTTGAATACCAGCTGAAATATGGTTCTTACCAGCGTATGCCTTTGTAACAGCCAGATCCATGTCCAGCGCTCGAGCGGATGAGCTGTGAGAGAACTGGGGATGCATGCCAGTTACCTCACCAGCGTACGCACTCATACGTCTGGCAGTCTCGCGGGACTTGATGTACCCCCATACCATGGGGGCCATATCGCGCTTGTCGTTCATGAAACCTGCATCGAAGTCGGGCACCTCATAGGGATCGGCAGACTGGATGTGGGTGAATCCACGAGAGAAAGGATATTCCTTAAAATTTCTTGTTAGCTAGACTCATCTACCTAGTGCAAGTATGTCAACATACCAAGAAATGGAACATGGTGAAGAACTTTCCGGGTGGCATATGCATGTGGTCTCCAAACCAGCTAAGTCGAATGTCAATATAGTCTTTCGCAAATGATTATGTGTTTGACTTACCCGGAGATGATAGAATAATGCATAACAGGCTTATCAGGCTTATTCTTGAAATAAGAGTCGTAACCACCAACGAAGTCAGGAGTAGGCCACTTCTTCATCTCACTCAGTTCCTGCTGAGTTGGACGGATCTTTACACCAGCGTCGATACCGTTAGTCGCGAGAGGGCCAGTGCCCTTCTTATCCCACTCCTCAAAGACCTTCTTCTGAACCTTAGGATCACCACGAATGAAGTCATCAAATGACTCAACGTCTGGCTTTGCGCGGTAGACAGAGAACGTCAGGTAGTGGTCCTGGAAGTTGCGACCGACTCCAGGCAAGTTCACCAAGGGAGTAACACCTGCTCGGCGAAGCTTGTCTGGGTCACCGAATCCAGATCTCTGGAGGATCAGGGGTGAGCTGAGTGTACCAGCGCTGATGATGATTTGCTTTCGCGCCCGAAAGATCCTGCGGACTGGCTCCCCTCCGTTGAGGGGCTTGGTGGGGATAGTTACGACACCAACGGCGCGTCCATTCTCAACGATTACCTTGTCGACTTTGGTATTGCACTTGAGATGTAGGTTGGAGTGCTTGGCTCGAGTACTGTGGACATAAGCATGAGCAGCATCACTTCGTCGTCCTATTCAACGCATTAGCGGCAGGTTCAAAACTAAAAGGAGGTATATCAGGACTATTTTACCTGTGTCGCGGTTGATCCACTTCAACCAGTGCTCGGCGCCGTGTCTGCCATGGTAAGCTTCTTGTCAACTGATGAGCAGAAAACCATGTTGATATGATCACATACCCAGTTTTCAAGTCTTGCAGATCATCCGTGACTGGAATGCCTTGGGACTCCGCCGCACGAAGGAAATCGTCTTTGATGGGGTAGGTATAGTTGCCAAATGAGACCTTGATAGGGCCATCAGAGCCGTGCAGCTCGGGGTTGTTGCAGGCTCGCTGATATGTCTCATGCTTCCTCATCAGAGGCAGAAGTTCCTTGGTGGTCCATCCCTTGGCTTGGAAGTCATCATAGTCGGAGGCCGACGCTCTGGTATACATCTTCGCTCAAATTAGCCAAAGCCCTCCAAAAAGTTCCCCCTGGGATGGAAAGGCATGCCATAAAATTGATTGAGCTACCACCTCCAAGAATATTCGCACATGGAACAATAGCTTTACGTCCATCCAGATGCTCAGATGGTCTTGAGTGATAAAAAGAGGCTGTCTTTGAATCAAGCTTCATGTTGTTTGGATAGATACCGGGACGATATACCCTGGTCGGTTTTAGCGTCTCACTTTATATAACACAGTACTTTGAGTCTGACCATTGGTTGTTCAGGTTATCTTCACCGGCCTCGATCAACAACACAGAGAGGTTGTGATCAAGATTGGCGAGACGGCCGGCAGGGACACACCCTGAACTACCGCCGCCGCAGATAATGATGTCGACTTCGTCTGGGATCGTCATATTTCATATAAACCGAGTAGATAAGATTAAATTGCAGTAGAGTTGACCTGGTGAAAGAGAAGGACAAAGGTCCGAACTGGGGTCCTTGGGGTCGTTTATATAGCTAGCTCTAGCTCGGCACTGTTTCGATTGGAAGGAGATACCATTAAAAATGCAACAGACCCCCAGTTTCTAACTGAACCCCGCGTGCGGAGACAAAGTTCATCAATTGAGTGTGGCTTAGAGCTATGCTGGCCCCTACTAGAGGGATAGTACGTTGTTTATGTATGCCAGTAGCCGGGGGTTGTAACTGCCTTATCCCACTCACTATCACATCAAGCTGGATTGTTCATTGAAAGCTTTGATTAAACCAGCATTGATTATCACATAGAACGCCGTACTTTCGAAAGCCAACGTGATTGAAACCATGTTCCACTGTTGTGCGCAGGTATCACCACAAATTGACGAAGGCTGAAAGCTACTTACCCCAAAGATCCTTGAGCAGAATCCCCGCACTTCATGCGTCAGGTTTGATTCCAAAATTGGGTCTCGATTGGGTCTACCTAGAGATACATGCAAGTGGGACATCGCCAAGAATCCCAGTTGTACTATATGCCTACTTGCCCTGCCACCAAGCGATCATTGACACTGCTTTACTATAATATGAACTTTCTATGAGATGCTTCCAAGTTGCGGAAGATATTTCATTGGTGGATGGGGGAAGGTTGAGGAATACTGTGCTGGACAACTGCCGAGAAGCAAGAATCTACGGCAGGATGCAGGGGTCTTGGCTATACGTGAAAGGGAAACGTTCCTACGCGTGGGGAATAAATCAATCACGGTAAGTTTTGTGATATCATTTTTCGAAAATGACTTGCTTGTTAAGCAGGGCCCCCAAGAAGCCAATATTGGTTCGAATACCATTTTGATACGTTTCATGATCCTTCTATCGACGACTTAAGAACCCTGGCCTACGGTCAAGAGGCCAGCAACTATAGAAAACCAAAATGAATCAAGAAAGCAACTCATAAAAATTGTACAGTGGAGCTTGAGAGGTCAAGGTATACTTCCTGATTCAGTAGCGTCCGGATGCACCGGCAAGAAATAGCAGACATGATTCAAAGTGCCAATGAGATGAAGCCCGCATACGCTAGTTGAATCCACAATGTATACCTCCCCACAACGCACGACCTCAAACATGGATTTTGCGGGGTATGCTGAGTGGCGTGGGGGTAGACGCCTAGTCCCATATGTACTTTGTATGAGCGATGCAATTGGAGGAAACTAAACCATGACCAATCCCGCCGTGCTTTAGCCTGCCTGGAACCAACTCGATACAGCCCACATTCCTATCTTCTAGTCTCACCCCGATAAGTCCAAGTGTATTGGGACGTTGGGACTTGGTCAGCTAATTGGCATTTACTGAAAGTGAAGACAGAACGACACCGAGAGCTACTTGATAACATGCGATAGTGACATGAAGCACTATGCTAAAATTGAAAATCAATTTCCTAAGATCTATTTCACGGAAGTATTTTTATCTTGATTACAATCAGATTTCAAAAACTGATAGTCGGGTTTCTCGCCTTGGAAGCTATGTATTCTATTTAGTGGTGGGTGGACTCACGGGGACACAAGGCTAAAAGGCTAAAAGAAGTGCCTAGCAGCGCCTTCCGAAAGATATTCATCGGACAAAAGAATGCCTAGATTATATCGGAATGCAAAGGCAACAAATCAAAAGGAGGTACTTGAGCTGTTGCATAGCAGATCCCCCTTCCCCACAAGTGGAGAAATGCGCGGATCACCCGATAGAGGATGATCTCCGCACCGGCCGACGTGTTCCCTCTAGCTAGTGAAAGTTCCTTCATTTGAGGGCCAAAATAGGTTGGGTAGAAGTCTGCCACGAGTCTGAATTCCTAAAATAATTCTCTAAGCCTCTTAATATATTCCCTTATCACCCTTATTGGCCTCTCCCCATGTCAGTCTCAAGATACTGATTTAATTGTTCCCAAAGGTCCAGCTGTCTTTAGCCTATATATGCATACACACTAATACACTAAAAACGATGACGTAGGGCTGCAACAGTTATTGGCACGAAAATGGGCTTAGAAAATCTTACAATGGTGTAGATGTGGGTCTCTAAGCTAGCTTTGTACAAGTCCTGCTTGTCGATAGTTTTTTATCCGTGTGAACGGACTCCTTGGGTGGGATTTCTTCAACTCAGTCCGCAAAAGGAGGACCTGAGAAATTTCAAACTTCATGCATGGCCTTTCTAAACTTTTTCCACCAATCCAATGCGAGAATTGAAGCTCCAAGTTGGCTTTACTGGATTTAGATGCCATAGAAAGGGAAAGTATTGACTGCTGAGATTTTACCACCGGCGTAAGAAACCAAAATACTAGGATAAGTTATCAATTACTGGGCTCTACAGAGTGAATTGGTATAAATTTGGAGAGCGAAAGTATCTTCATTTGATTTACGTTTATAAAGTATGACCATGTCCACCAAAAGTGGTGCATATAGAGAAATGATTGTAGTGGGAATGTTTGTTTTGTAGAGAGCAAAATAGTGATGTCGGTTTGGGTAATGCGCTATAACCCAACTGTCAGAATGAAAGGCAAATTAGATCTGAGAAAAAAAATAGTTAGCTGTCAACGACTGGATCGTGGATTAAATATGATCATTGATCATACTCCCGCAATATCAAATCGCATATTCAAGTTCCAAAAGTCTTCGGTGTGGAATGTAACGATTCGGATAATACGCTTTTTACCCCGACCATACGCACACAGAATGAAAGCTGCCGCCATCTTGCCAATTCCCGTGCCAAGCAAAGTATCAAACTCAGCTGTTCCAAGGTGCCAAATCAGGGGCTCCTTAGACGGGTATTCGTAGGGTGTGATGGATCGGTAAATCTCATATCTGACGCAAGGCACAGTGTCCTCGTTGATAATACCGTTAATGAATACATGTTTAAGGGTACTCAATGGAAAGTCCATCTCATAAGCGACCTTAGTGAAATCGGACATATGCGGAATGTGGGAACTGTTGTGGGACCTGTAGACATTGTCAATAAAGATCACGCCCGGTCCAGTACGCCCACACCAGTTGACTGGGGAGCCGCAGCGGTTCATAATTTCGATATCCCGATACTTGGATTCAGCGTTAATTACATTAGGATGCTCAATAAGCAAGCCTAGGGGTGCCAGCAATGGGTTCCAGGCTGCCATTAGCTTTGAGGGTGTGCAATTAACCCTGTACTCTGGGTGCCTTGATTTATAGTGTAATACAAGAGTGCTTATTGCAACTGGACATCCAGGTTCACGAGAGGTCTCCATCCACTTTCGGTAGAGCCTTCCCTTGGCCTCTTGTCCATACTTATATTCTGCCATGATTGCTTGGAAGCCGCCTGTGGTCACTAAAGTAACTGTAATATCTTTGCAAATGAGTATAGAATCTTTTGGGTGATTGCTTGGTGTAGAACTCAATTATTGGGTGTCGATAGCCCTTTATAAAGTTCGAGTTCAATCCGTGTTGACTGGACAAACAAAGAGCATCGATCATTCAATCCGATTGTTTGAACAATGGAGAATATACGCGAACAAAGATCATACAGGATTGCTAAGAAAGCAAGTAAAATTAGCAGCAGATTTGGTGCTAGATTAACCACCTCTGTATTGAGATTCCACCATTAACCTACTCTACACGGTTCGAATCTACTCCAATTTCTGCTTCTGACTTAGAAGTACATTATAATGCAAAATTATTACTCCGTTCCACATTTGATGGGATACTAGTACATACATCTCATCTTCCAACGTGCCTTAGGAAGCCCAAGAGATGACGGGGATTACTTACGGTACCATCAGTCGCATTCGCGTCCGTTAATAGGAAGCAAGTTTCACTTACTACAACGGTGGCTAGAAGTCCTTTTGCACACTCTTATTTATGATATGAAAGGTTCACCCGAGGTACTTGAAAATGGGCAAAAAATATGTGAAACAGGAGGCGAGAGAAAAGATACAAATAATGAATGAGATGGCACAATCACTTGGAAGATTTTCTAAATAACTTGTTCAATACTTCATTGCACTGTGAACAGACTCATGACCCTCATTGTGGGTTGTAATATCCCATGTAGTGCATGCGTATTTTGCTCTCACTGAATCTGGCACGGAACTTTGTGATTGTTACGTCGATAACTTTGGCAAAATTATATCATATGGGTCTCTCGCTCTTCTGTGCCTATGCAATTAGTTGGAGGGTTAGTTGGGGTTTCATGAGAAGATACATACCCCCTGTAGGTAGAGAAAGATTTTACGCTTGTAAATGATCTACTTAGTCTGCCAAGACGATGGATACCGTGCTACTGATGCTGCCATGTGCCTCGCGCGAATGGTCCCAGGCTTCCGCGATACTTGACGGTTTGGTTTTGCAACTCCCGCAGCTCAACGAAACCTATTCGATGATACACGCCAAGAATTAGGACACTGTGAGCAAGGACCTCACAAACTGGTCGCTGAGTCACGTGCATTCCTTGGTATGATCACTGCTCCTCGCTGAAAAGCCATTTATCGTGGAATGAGATTGGTAACTTCTTTGTCAGCAAGTGCACCAACAAATACGCGCGTGATCTATGTAAGCAGTCCAGAAAGGAAGGCTATGAAGCTATTGCTATGATGTTTCAATATTACCCTCCACCCCAGTGAAGATATCAATAGAAAGCACAGGGCAGGGATCTATACAACAGATTGGCTGTGAGCCAACAGAAAGTTGATTAGCTAGGGCGAAACATATTTGTGTAAATGACATAGGTACCGTGAAAGCTCGCCGTAGACAATAGCTTTATTGTGTACACGGTGAACAACTGCGTGGGCTAAAGGAGCCCAATCGTTCTCACGTGAATAATCTATTGGCACTACAGTGCTGCGGGGCTTGGGTGGCTCAAGTTACAGTAAGCGTATCGAGTCGATGACACGCTAGATAGGCTTTAGCCGAAGTAGCTCTTCGACCTATCAGTGCCAAGTACGATTGACAACTGGCAAATAAATACCTAAGTTTTGCATTTTGTTTGTTTTTTTTTTATAATGGCCGACCTGCTCATTATCCTTCTCATTTGATCTTATCATTCCAGGTGGGAAATAAGTTGAGAAAGTCAGAGCTCGCGGATTTAAACCGATCTGGGAAGTGGAGATATGTGGTCGGACACGCGACTCCGCTTAAATTGTCCGATCGTGGCCTGGCTTGGGCGCCGAGCCGCAATCAGTTTAGGGGCGGTTGGCCCATCCACTCATTTGCTTCTTCCGACCACGTGCTTAGGCTTGCCCTGTTGATATCTTGTACAAAGCGAGGAACGAGGCCATGGCACCGGGGCTGTGTGAGGCTGTCAGATGTGTCATCCCAGCCATCGATTAGCCATGGATGCTATTTGGAGCATGCGATTGCGCTTTTGAGGTCTTCGAGTCTACGACTAATTTCTCATTTCTCCTAATAATGCGGCCATCCAGATCGAACATAGTCGATTTTATATCCTTCGTGCCGGATGTTGACGAGGCTACAGCTTCTTTGTTTCTCGAAGTATGTATCGCCAGTGGTTATATTGAATTACAGTTCACTAATCTTGTGGGAGTACGCGAGTAGTATCAATGAAGCTGTCGATCAGTACTACGAGAGCCCTAACCGACATTCCCACCAGCTTCATCGACCAACATCCACTATGAACAGCTCTATGGCAGGCTCCACGAGCGGCTGGAACCAGCCTAGCGATTTTGACCACGCCACTTCTCCCATATCCCCCACAGGACCCCCTTCATATGCCTTAGCCACAAGAACCATCTCATCCTCAAATGGAAGTCAAACAAGTCGAAGAGCATCTTTCGTTACAGCAAGTAGCAGTGCCTCCAATCGTCAACATGAAAACGCCTTGATCAGGGCCGCTAAGGTCCGCGCCCAAGATGAGGCTGAAATGCAGAAGATGCTCCACAGCGTTCAACTATCATGTCGGATCTACAACCCCGAGATTGAACCTGAGCACGAAACATATTTGCTTTGTGAATGCCCTGTTCACAAGTACTGGAAGAGAAGACTCGATCGCCTCGACGTGCTCGAAATGTGGTCCAAGGCCGTGCTTTATCCCGGCGAAAAGCCATACCATGATTTTGCGCACTTGCGCCTGTCTAATAACAACCCATATTCTAATATCATGTCATCCTATTCACTCGCGGGATCTTCGATGTACGGAATTGGAAGGCCTGATCCACAGCTACATGCTAAGTTCATCCAGCAAACTAACGCTCTGGACTTGGCTCTCAATGAGAAGGCACAAGCAGCTCTTCAACTTCTAGAGCCATCTTTCAATATTTGGGAGCTTGAGCAATTGGAATCATTCGTGTCCAACATGTCTCTTACGCGCCGCACATCCGCGAATGGTGAGCTGACTACCGAAAAGGCATCTAAGCGTTTAAGCTTTAGGAAAGCGCTCTCTGTCAGGAGCTCTGATGAACGAACTGCTCTCAAAATCAAGAAGAAACTTGCTGTTTCATTTGATTTACGAAATGAAATTCTCAAAGAAGAACAGGGCCGATGGCAAGATCGTATCGATCGACACATTGTCTCAACTTACCAAGAAATTGTTGGAATAGCTCGGGCGGTTGCGGAGATTCGAACGCAAATGCCTATTCAATATCTCAATCTTCTACGAGCAGGATACTTCGAGCCTATTCCTGTTTCCTGGCAGTCCCAGGCCTCAAATCCATTGAGATTCGCTATCGACGCCTCAGCGGGATGGAGGGGTGTTACGCCTACGTGGAGAGGTTACAGAGATACCGCTGAAGAACGAGTCTACTGGGTTCTAAACCATAGAGCTGGATTTCAACTTACAACGAAACAAGATTTGATTTCGGAGCTTGAACTGGCACGGAAACGAATGGGTTCGGCGGTGGAATTGCAACCAAGATATCACTCTCCCGATGATATTTGTCGCAGTCAATACCCCCGGGAAGGTTACTCGAAACAGATTCACCCGCCTGTCCATGCTACTCGCAATATCAGGTCCCCGACAGATGAGACGATGATCTTGATGGACGCTCGCGGCTCTATGGATTTTAATCCCTTGCTACCCAATTACAACCAGTATCTCATCACGGGATTTTCAACGGCCAACCAGCCAAAGCACAAAGGTAAATCTTGCAGTCTATTCTTGCCTTTATCATAGACTGACCGTGAAAACACAGAGCTCGCAAAGGCTATTCTAGGTCGCTTCGTCGAAGCACTTGGGAAGTACGACAATAACGCACAGGGTTACCCACTCGTTACATTCAGCAGCCAAGCAAACTACATCAGCTTGGTGAATGGAAGGAATCTAGGAGACATTTGCCGGGCTATCAAGTTCATAGGACGCAGTCGCATCATGGTTGGATGGCGAAAGGTCAAGGAGATGCATTTCCAGAAACATTCCGAAACAGCAACATTCCATCCTGTTTATGGGTGGCAGGCCGGAATTCAAACACCAAGATTGCGACTAATCCTAATGCTTGGCGGCGAGGTCAACGACATGGATGAGTTCGAGTTGAACACTCTCGATGCATCCTGGGCCTCCATTACTATTCTCTTGATGGGTGCTGACAGCTGTCCTCATCACCACCGTTTTGCAAGCCGAATACGGCGGATGGCTGATTCGTATCCACATATATCTTTCGTTGAAGCTCAGGGCCTTGTCCCGGAACGATATGTCACGCATGAGCTTCTGAAGCATCACATCGGGCAAGAGCTCTTAATATCAGAGTTCGAAGATTTAGAGCAACAAACAGCAGAGCTTCCGTCTCCAGTAAACGCCCGAACCTGGAGAGCTCAGTCAGGCCAAAGTCAACCGGAAGAATTACCCATTGAACTTCCTGGAGAGGAGGAAACCCGGGTCTGGCAACGGGATCAGAACCTTCCTCACTCGCCGGGCCTCCACGAGCTACCAGACAATCCAAGGCCTGCAGAACTACCCGTGAACGACAGATCATCCCCAGTGCAGCAACCTCCCAGGCCGAATCGGCCACCTCCCTCAGTACCGCAGCCAGAACATCCCTTGGATCCTCCGCCTCCGTATTTCGAAACTGAAGAGAGTTAGTCGTCAAAGTGAAATTTTTGTTTATATACCCGATAGTTGATACTCCTTACTACCTATTGCCTGAAATCCAGGGAAATCTCGATTGTGTGAATACAGATGTCGATTAGACAAGAGCATGCAACGTTCGCATTGTTTAGTCGTAGTAATTTGTGTAGTCCGTGGCTGTTCCTAGCAGGCATGTACAGTACTGTAAATTTAGAATACAACTGGAAGGTGGCGAATAATATCTCTATCCTTAGAAGAGGGGCCACTCGGATTCAGGACCTGCAGCAGCCTGGGATCACAGTGTGTCAGATTGATCAGCGACTTTCCAGACGGGCGGGTGGCGGATCGGATGGCTGGTCAGATACCGGCACTCCAAGAGACATCCTCGGTGAATTGAATTTGATCAATGTTCCTGTACCCATCCTCGCTCAAAAGACAAAGACAATCTTTGCAACATCGGTGACTGGATTTTTAGGCAGCCAGGTGGTTCGGGTATTGCTAGAGGACCCCAGTGTGGGCCACATTGTGGGCCTAGTGCGTTCGGGTAGTGAAGAGGAAGCCCGAGACAGGATACGACCTCCTGCTCAACTTGGTCAGTGGTGGCGTGTTGAATTTGACTCTCAAATCGAAGTATGGCTTGGGGATTTGAGTCTTCCAAGGCTGGGGCTTGACGATGCGCATTGGAGGGGCCTCACAGGTCAGATGCGCATCGATGGAATCACCCACAACGGTGCCCGAGTCAACTGGTTGGATGACTTCTCGACGCTGAAGCCCACAAATGTTGACAGTACCCGCACTACCTTGGAGGCCCTGTCCAAAATGCCAGCACCGTGTCCATTCACATACGTGTGCGGGGGGTATCTCCCATCGCCAACAGAAACTCGAGAGCAAGTTTTGAATAATCTCGCTCATGCATGTGGGTATGATCAAACCAAGTTTCTATCACGGATGATGGTGGAGAAATACAATCGCCGGCTCGACCAAAGGCCGGATCCGTCAGTCCCGCGGGGACGAGTGGTACAACCGGGATATCTGGCAGGCACGAGATGGGAAGGAATTGCCCACCCCGAAGATTTCCTGTGGCGCCTGGCTTACAGTATTCAATCTCTTGAAACTGTGCGCAGTGATTTGCGGAAAGCACATATACCGGTGGCAGGAGTAGAACAAATGACTTCCCTTGTGGTGGGGAGTGTTCTGAATCCGCAGGGCAAACAAACAGTGGATTGCCACGATGGGGTGTCAATTGAGACTTTTTTGCAGGATTCTCACCAGCCGCAGTGGTCGACTGATCAAGACCATGGGCCATAGCGAGTGGATGGCAGCGTTAAGGGCCGACGTCGAAAGCAATGCACGGGACCACCCTTTCTTACCAGTGTTGGCTTGGTTTGATGCAAATATGGGGCAATTCACGGGCCCTCCTCCAGTAGAGTGGCCTGGTGCTTTTATTCAAAAAGATACTATTGTAGCGCTGGATAAAAGCACACGGTACTTGGTCGATATCGGCTTCCTTCCAAGCGAAGATGGCAGTTGTCGGCCCGTTGATCAGCGCAACATCCCCGGTTCCAACGATCCAGCAAGTAGAAGCAGTGCATAGCTGAAACCTCAAAGAGATGGGGGGTATGATAGGGCAATAGAGAATCATGAAAAAGATAGCAGTTTTCGATATTCAGTGTTCGCGTGATAAATTATTGCAGATGGAGAGCTCGGACTGTGTGGGAGACCTCAAGTGGTAAATTAATCTGCCATGCTCACGATGAGAAACGGTCACGACTTGTTTGTATCACTGATACGGGACTTGCTGACATACAAAGACAAGAAGGCCATACTCAAGATATACAGTTATGGTCTAAGCATCTACAATTGATACGTAACTAGCTAATAGAAACAAGTCGCTTCTTTATACACTTATCATATCACTTTCAATTTCTCTTTAACTTCTCTCGGTCTATAGGGCACAAGTAATGGTCCGGGTAAGATTTAAAAGTACATCATAAAATTAAGTCAGTCCTGTGGTTTTTACACATTCAGGCCCCCCTTTGTGCTACCAGAATAAAGCTAGTCAGTTGGAGAGAACAAAGGTAGCTTGGTTTTACCAGGGGGCTGCATACTCAGTGGAAGTACCCAAGAGTGATAATCGCTCCGATGATACATTTTCACTGATGAATGCAGTTGTATAAAATTAACGCGGCCGGGCTAACAAGGTTTGGCGTGTGCATGTAGGGTCTAAATGAGACCAATGTGCTCGTAAAAGATTAAGCTTGTAATGAAGCACCCTACAGCGGCAAAAGAGCCACAAATTCAAACCTTTCAGAATAAAGGAACTGTGTAGAGCTGAGGTATTGGACAATTTTTAATCGAAATTGCAAAGAAAGAATAAGCTATGTTCCTTGTCGGCTTGGTTTTACCAGACAAACCTCCTCCACAGAAAAGCGCGGCATAAAAGTGCTGGTGTCTATGATCCACCCATCATAAAAGATGGATTCAGTTCACTCTTTTCAGTGTCAATCCTGAAAGTGGAATTTCAACACTGACGAGCCTTCCATCAACCAAGTTAAATATGAACTCATCAGAGGGTCCAGCGAAATCAAGATTCATCCACGCAAATGAGTTATCAAACAATCCTCCCTTTCCACCCTCAACAGCAGCACGAGGCTTCAATTTGTTCGGTGGTACAACCATGCGGTGCGCGACGCGCATTGTACCCTTACTCTTATATAGGGAAGACAATGAATTCGAAAAGGAGTTAAGACCGGTCGGATACAGACGCACATGGGTATTATCAAGGCCGTTGACGCCTTTGACCCAGAATCGCTTCAATCCAAGGCCGGGACGTGCCTTGTCGACGGTCAATGTGAGGTTTGTTCCAGGTGAGCTCTCATCCACGAATGTTCCGGCAAGGTTGCGCTTGGCATTCTCTGCTGCTGCGTGCTCGGCAGCTGGAACAAATGTCTCACCAACTAGGTCGCGTAGAGGCCAGCGGGCCGACGAGGCGGTTGATCCGGCGACTAAAATCGAATAACCGATACCTTGGTCTGGCGATAGGGCAAAGATGCATGTGTAATCACCGTTGCCGCCGGCTTTGGTGTATAGATCTGAGATGCGGGTGCGGTTTGATCCTGGGGTAACTGGAATTTCGAGGCGTGAGATCTCCCATGGCGCTCCGACTAGCTCGACCAGGGAACCTGTTCCACTTCGGGGCTTCATCCATTCTGACGTTGTGGCTGCGGACAAAAACTCGGAATTTAAGATGGCAAGGCCTGCGGTACGAAGATCCTCGCCGTTGGCATAAATACTCCCAGTTCTGTAGAAATGTGGTTAGCTAATCATTCCGCGGCCGTGTATTTAGATAACTTAAACTTACGAAGCAACAATTTCAAGGTCGAGTCCCCATGATGAGTTCTTGTCGATAGAGGACCGATCGATGACATTCAGGCCTGAGCCCTTCGGCACCTTCGTTGACATGCTCTCCAACCCCATTGGATCAAACAGAGTTTCTTGAATTGCCTCGGTGAAATTTTTCTTCCCTGTCATGCGCACAAGAACCTGACCCAGAACAGCAAAACCGGCGTCAGAGTAGATAGCATTTCGATAGGGAGATATGACAGGTGCTTTCTCGTCCCGCATGAATTTGAGGAACTCTAAGACAGACATATTAATAGCTGCTCCCATGGAACAAAATATTCGAGTGCTTACCCTCGGGCTTGTAGTTCAATGGGTCGTCTGGGTTTGCATACTCTAGGAAAAAGTCTAGAAAGCAAGTCAGAACATCGCATGCAAAATCATTACAGGATCACATACCGCCAATACCGCCAGATCCAGCCTGTTGAGATGCCAGGGCTCCGACAGTAATATCATCCCAGCGGATTCGCTCCAGGGGATCACTAGATGCATTACCTCCAAGCTCAGGCAGATACTTCGTGATGGGATCGCTGAAGCATCCAATTCCCGCCTTGACGAGGATTGCATAGACAGTAAAAAGTTTTGTCACACTCCCGGTACGGGAGATAGTCTTGTCATTGAGGGTTCCAGCGGTGAGAGTCTCTTTCATGTCCTCTCCGACATGCGTATATCTGTAGAGACTGTCATTGGTTGCGGCCGAAAAGATATCAATAGAGAAGGCTAAATCGGTGCGATTGAGAACATTGGATTGGAAGAGGTTATTGATCAGCCCAGGGAGTTCCGATCTAGCGTTGCGAATCGCGAGGGATCCAGAGGGATCGAAGTTCGAGATGAATGATGGGCCGATCAGGGGCACTTCATCTGTTGCCATTATACGCGCTGCCGAGATAATTGGAGCACCCAGAAGGGATCCGATCAATGCTTTATGGAAAAGCATCACAAAGGTATTTCAATAGATTGCTTGGTTTAGAAGATTGAATTGATTCTGTCTTGACTAAATGGCCAACAGACCGCATCTTATACCTTGACATCTTTTTGGGGGCCGTAATGAAGAGCTTTGACGAACCTTGGATATATACGAGCGCCTTGGACGTGGGCCAAGGGATCATCCGCCAATAGACCGTTTACAGTGTCACGCGCCGCTGACTTGTCAATCAAGAAGGCGGTGTCATTCTAAATAAGGATAGATCGCACTTTGGGGCCCGCTCAGCCTCCTATCCGTTTATAAACCTATGAGCAGACGCCTGAAGAAGGGTGCAGAGTGCACTAGGGCTTGGCAAACATAGCGGCCCATAGTTCCCAATGCGGATGCCAAGACAAACAACATTGACCCAAATGACATCATCGCATATACTTCAACGTGGCACTGTCATCGTCAAGGCTCATCCCTGGATATTTTGAATAATGATAGATAATGAGAGGCCCTTGGTAATGCACAGCAACGTTGGCCAAAATGAGCCCAATGACAAGTAACGTGAAACAAGCAAGATTGCTGTCGGACATTGGGGCGTAATCTGAGAACTGGCAGCTAATTACAGTATGGCATTCTGACACATGTTGCAACTTACAGGCCATGAACTTGGGTCATATGAAGACAATGTAGAATATCCACAGTGTGTGTTAGTGCATCAGGTTGGAACCACTATATATATATTGAAGTTGGTCTGACATCGTGATTCTAAGTCCATACAGCCCAGCAACAAGAGGAAAAAGGTCTGGAGCAAAAAGACATCTTTGTGAATTCCTATCCCAGATTGTCATGAACAAAACATGGAATCTATCCCCTGATCTAAAATTGTTTGCCACGCACAATTATTTCACGAATCAGCCTTGGACGATGCTTGGCTGCATCATACCCAACAGAAGAGTCAAAAGCGAGTGACTGGTCATATGCAAGAGGTGCTACAGCCCAGTCTCAAACTGTCCCAGGCTCTTACCCAAATATTTAACCCTGCTTTCAATGCCGAAGAAATGCCGAAGGCCATCTTGCAATGACTTCACAATAGCACGGGACAACTCCGTCGGCTCAGCTCCGACCTCTCCTTCATTGAGCACTTCACTCATGAACATGACTTCAGTACTGTCGTCTGTCGCAAGAGCCTGCTTGCTCTGCAGCCACGCCATGTGCCTGGTCAAGACAATGTTCCCTTGAGCATACAAGATCTCCCCGTTGCCCAAAATTCCTGGCTGCTCATCAGCAGCAGCATCCAGAGGAACGAAGATATCCTCGGGGCGAGCGAGACGGAACTCTAGTGGTGCGTTGGCAGCGTGGAGCTCCGGGAGATCAAATGCGCCGGCTGGCACAGCATGCTCAATGCTGATAATATTGTAGAAGTCCACTACAGGTGAAATGGGCCGACAGGCCTTCTTCTCCTTCGGGATGCCCTTCAGTATTGACTCGTTGGACAGCGGATATTTCTTGGATGAGCTGTTCGCAACATTTTTCAGCGTGTTGCGGTACAGTGCCACTCGAGGTGTGATTGGGCATTTGTATAACCTTTCTGTCCACGATAGTCTGGGTCGTTTTAGATCTCATGTGAAAGGTATGTGTTGCTTGGCGGTGTGCTGACCTGGAAGTGTGAAGCAATGTTTGGATTGACTGTGCGAATGTCGAGTCCTTTCGCAGTCACAACTACCACTTGGAGGGTAGGAAGAAGCTCTGCAACTTCACTTGAGATTTGAAGGTAGCCATGGTGCTATTAGGGATTCTAAATTCTTGACTTTCGCGGCAACTGACAGGCTTTCCAAGACACCGGAGAACCTGAAATTGAAACAAAAAGGGTTGTTTTCTATAATACAAACGTCGCTACTTCAGAGTGTTTTATATGTCGGCGTGGGAGTTTACTCCGAAATGCATTTTTCGCCGCTCAGACCTAGTTTACCCCGTGATAATAAGTGGGTCCGGCCATTACCCAAGAACCTGTACCTCCGGTTTTCTTTCTGAGCACGAAACGGTCAATCTTTGAAGTTTTAGCATAAATTCGTAAGCGATTTACGCAACAATGAGTATACAAGGGTCAATGAACAATAGTGTCGGGTATGGCGTTTCAGAATTGAGGCTCAAATGGCTGTTACCATCACAGTGGGAGTGAGCTCATTGCTTCTCATAAGCGTTCTTTCCAATTCAGATTATGGATCGTCCACTACATACTGAGATAAAGAAGACGGTGCAAAGAGCACTTTAGGCTTTATGTCATCGAAGGAGAATGTGTTACCTGTTGTGAGGCCTGAGTTCTATAAATAGGGAATCACATTGAACATTGTATCATAATATGTACAAAAGCATCTCTAATAAACAATTTCATATATGCTTGCAAAGATCGTTATTCATAATTGTCTTGGTACTCGTATCATGCCTTAAGCAGATATTCCCAACTTGTCTTGCCTCAATCCTCAAGAAGCTTCCAGGGCTCTGAGGAAGCAAGCCTTGGCGATAGGGCGCCCATTGACCTGAGTCCCCTCCCAGCCAAGTCGCTGGTTATTCTTCCAAGCATACTCGGAATCACTAATTATGTTCTTCTCAGTCTTCTGCTCCTCGTCGTTAATTTCAAGCTTCATGATCAGCAATCGCAGAGTCCAGTTCTCTCTGTCACCAGCTTCTCTTTCCGTCTCCATCAGCATACGAAGCAGTTCGAAATGCAGTCTTTTCAAAACAGTTTTTGTTTGTGAAAATGCACCTCTGGCGGTGATCTCCTCGAGGATATATTGTTTCATTTGGGGCGAGAGGGTCTGACCATGTTGACAGCTTCTGAAGATGCTTGAAAGCGCGGTGTTGGAGAACCCTGGCATTTGCATTGACAGGATGATCGGGAATGAGAGTTTGCCCTCATCGAGATCGTCACAGAATCCCTTTTGTGTGGTGTACTGTAAGAGAGTCAGCCTGGGTGCACAATGAACTACAGTCCAACGGGGATATATTACGTCGGCACTTTTGAGATTCTGGTAGTCATCGCGGATCTGGAAATACCTCCCAAGAAGGGTGGTTAACTGACCCAAGTCAAGATCCCTGTACCTGTATTAGCGTTTTCAACCTTCATATTATGATGGGATTCAATTACCGATTTACTGTAGCCTCTGACTTCATCAGGCGACTTATAAGGCGGAACAAGCCACCAGTTTCTGTGATCATGTTAGACTATAATTTTGTAGAGTGTGCAAATGTGCATCAGATCCTTACTGCCATCGACCATTCCAATATATTGTGCTGCAGTAGGTACGTGGGTGTGATAACTCCAGTGCAAGTCACGTCCCTGTCCAAGTTGAAGATGGCGCATTTCCTCTAGTTCATGTTAACTAACGGAACTTCCTTCCCTGCAAGCTGTTGACGACATACCTGAGTAGACCGATACAGCAGATCTTGAGAGCATTTGCACGAGACACAAGGCTTCATTCATCAAATACGTGGCAGTGTTGATCGTCTGGCCAATGCCAAAGATGTGGTGAGCGACAGGCTTGCCACGTCTCAAAGAGCTGCCATCCTGGATATCATCAAGTCTAATTGGTAGTCAGAAAACTGGTACATTCCAATGGTAGGTATTTCTGACTGACAATAATGACGAGTTATGCAGGAAATTAATTGCGCCTTCAATGATCAAGAGGGATTTCTCAGGCACCCTATACCAAGTGTTCAGGGCGGAGATCAATGTTTGTCTCACATTCTTCGATGGAAGTGAGTTTATATAAGTGTAAGGGTCCAAAACCGGCTGAGGTTAAGATATCAGTTTCTTCTTCTTAGCCTCAATTGTTTGGCAGCCGAACACTAACCTCATTGGTCGAAAACCCGTTTGATGCGAATTTCATCAATGCGTCATCTTCAATTGCTATTCACCGAATAATATTAGCACACTTGTTCTCTTACTGGTAACAATGACCAGGCTTTCCCGGGTTTGCCTTGTACTTACTTTGCTTCTTAATGTCAACGGAGCGAATCTGTGTCGCGTTTTTGGAATCTGTGCTCGAGTCGAAGAATTGCTCTGGTGGTGCGAGAATTCGCACCTTATTAGTGCCAAAGTTCTCTAGGTGATCTTTGTATGGGTTACGCTCAGTCTTCCAGTAGCGAGGAACGCGAAGACTCCAAACCCAATTACCAGCCATTGAGTGCTCCAGCAAGGCCAACCAATCAAGCACCGACCTTGAAGGCCTTTGAGTACCCTTGTACTGCTCTTTCAAGTGACAGAATCTTTCTTCGTGTGCTCGAATCTCGGCCATTACAACAGCCTTTGCAGCCGAATGTGTTAGACCTTGATTTACCGCAACAATATGGACAGCATTGACCAAAGGTACATCTCCGCCACTCTTAAGATGGGATGCATATTCCTTCTCCCAGGAGAATAAATCATTGACGAGACAGAGCTCAGCATAGGCCATGTAACTCATGGGGTCAGCGATTTTCTCTTCTTCTTCAGTGAGAGTGATGCCTGATCCCCATCGGAAATTATAAAGTGTCCAACTGTCAATCTGTCAGAATATTGTGTTCTGTGGTTGGTAATACTGGGCGATCATACTCGGCTGCTGCATCGACAATTCGGAATGCAAGGTACTCATCCAGACTGGCAAACTCAGTACTTCTGACCTCTTCCACCGATTTGGTAAATGTCTCCCATCGTGAAATAAACCAGTTACCGAAGACCGGATCCAGACGCAGATATTCGGCTGCAATCTTAGCTTGGACTTCAGACTTGCGTTGTGCTTTTTCTGAGACTCTGGTTGAGACAGAGGTCATCCCACTCTGGGTAAGTGCCTGATGAAGCATTTGATTTTCAAGTAGTAACTGAGAGTTGAGTTAGCCTTTTAGTCACTAAGAATTTGAATTCGTAAGTCCATACGGCATCATGGTCTGCAGCATTGTCTGTTTCGTCTGTTTTCGAGTGTCAGTAGCAGGACAGGTTTGAGTGGCTTAGTCACGTACCATCATGAAGGAATGCATATTCAACGGTGTATGCCACAAGAGCAAATCTTTCAGGTAGACAATTTGGCGCACACAAAGAAGTGAAATTTCCAGCATGTGCATTGAGATTGCCAAACTTGGACCCAACACCATCAACTCCGTGCAGGTCTATGTGCAATTGGACTGAAGCATGATCGGCCACCTCCGTCTGCTTGTGAATATAAGGGTCAAAAAGGGAGGTGTATCCTGGATCGGCGGCATAGATCTCAGGGTCAAGCGGAACGGCGTATTTCTTGAGCATCTTGCTTACTGTAATTGACACAATATATGAACCCTCGTCGTTTGGGGGGGTATTTAAGACTATAAATACTACATTGTATCGCTTATGGGACAACCCGCGCCCTCAAAAGGCGCTAAACCAGACGCATACTCGGCGATAATCTACATGGGGAGAGCAAAGCCCGGAGCAAACGGTTCTCTTCCTCATCGGTACAATTTTGCATACAAAGAATGGACTGTGTGCGGTAGTCTAGCCTCTCCGAGCGCCACAATCCGGTACACTTAATGCAAGGGCCAAAGTCATTGGCAGACCAGGGACATATCATTAAACAATCCTCATAGCGTATGACTCGTACTCCATACAAAACCTAAAAGACATTTTCCTCCGATTCGTGTCTCATTTGCTCCTCCATATACGTGTCTGCCTCGGGTTCGAGCCCACTTGCCTATCATTGTTCCAATGCAGATCCAATTGCAGGGTGTCCTGTCGCCCCTTGAGTATTCCAGGATTGAGAAGCGTTATTTACTATCACTACAAGCCAATGTTGAAATTTGCCAAGAAAACTCCAAACTCCACATGGAGGTTGTAGTGCGGGGCAGTAGAAGCCACATTGTAGTTCGCAGATATGTGGCATATATCACTTTCTGACACCTATTTCACCCTTCTAGACGCATGTAAATCTATCACATATGCACCGCGTCAAGGTTAAACGCACTCATGCGAAAAAATGTACAGAACGTTAGGACGCATGGTACTTTGTCATGCCATGCGAGGGGCACAAATGTACTTTCGAGAGACGGCCCACTCCCTCCACGCTTTTAATATGATTTGTGCATAGCCGAACGCGCAATTCGAAGATGACGGTCTGGAATGAGACAAAGAACACCATATGCAGCTTGATGGGGTCGTTTAGAGTGGAGCGAAGTAAATGAAATGCGACCATAGCAATCCGTGTATAGTATCCCTTCCGCTTTTAATATAGCTCGACTTGGCATTCTCTGTGAAAATCATTGTTCATGGGTTGGATTTAAGAACTGAAGATCATCTATTAATATATGTAAACGTCTTACTAATACTCCGTAGAGCCCTAGGGCATGTTCCGACGCTGTGGACTAACCCCGGGCATCCCCCTTGACTATTGAAGGCACAAATCCTGCAATGCAACTACGCGGAGTAGCGTCGGGGCACAATTGCTAGGATTCCGAAAACATAAATCCTGCCGCGTCTAACTTTTAGCGGGAATTGGGGAGTGATGCCACGTAGCAATATGTGTGTTTCTATTCGATAAGGGATCTGCATAGAGTCCCGGTCAGCCCCGGTGCGATTGGCCGATTGCTCGTTACGGACTTATACATGAACACATCCTGCATTGCAAGCGGTCTTTGTTTTCCGCCCCTACACTCCCCAACATCACACCACACTCGCCATGTTGCTTCCGCTGTGCGCTGTTCTTCTCTATGTTTGCGGTGTGGTTGTGTACAGGTTGTACCTTCATCCTTTAAGCAAGTTTCCGGGACCAAAACTAGCTGCGGCATCGACTCTCTATGAATTCTATTATAATGTTATCCAAGGGGGTCGGTATCTGTTCGTGATTGAGGAGTTGCACAAGAAATATGGTATGAACTTCGACGTAGAAATTTTGAAATCAGCTACTAAAGTTTGAAGGTCCGATTGTGCGCATTACACCTCATGAACTTCATGTTTCAGATCCATCTTTCTACACGGAAATCTATGCTGGTCCTACTAGAAAGCGTGAGAAGGACCCAAGAATGGTCCGGTTGGCAGGACAGCCGACTTCGATGTTCGCAACTGTCGACCACAACTTGCACGCTTCACGGCGCGCTATTCTCAGTAGTTACTTTTCGAAGAAGTCTATCACCGGTCTGGAGAGTATGATCCAAAGTAAAGTTGATAAGCTTATGGGACGGCTCATCACTGCCTGTGATCAAGGCATCGTGGTCCCCCTGGATTGGGCATCCTCAGCTCTGACTGCCGATATCATTTCGGAGTTTGCGTATGGTGTTAGTCTCGACTATCTGGATGACCCCAATTTTAAGAACGAGGTTGCAGAGTCGATTTTGAGTCTTGCATCTTCTGTTCATGTGTTGAAATTTTTCCCTTTTATCCTGTCTCTTTCGAAAATGATCCCAGACAGTGTTGTTGAGATTCTTTCCCCCGAGGCTTCAAAGATTTTGCGATTACAGAAGCTAGTCCGTGCACAGGCCGCTGTTGCGTTAGAGAATGGAGGTCATATCAAGGGGAAGAACACAATGTTTGGAGCTCTCTGTGACCCTTCACTGCCCCCACAAGAGCGATCTCTCGATCGGCTTCAGGACGAGGGCTTCTCACTGATTGGCGGAGGCACCGAGACTACTGCAGGAACGCTGAAGATTATCATGTTTAACTTGCTGCACGACAAGTCTCTGCTATTAAAGCTTCGTGAGGAGCTTGCCCAAAACTCAAGTGGTACATGGGCTGAGCTCGAGCAATTGCCCTACATGGTAAGATATCCGATCAGGGGAAAGAGTGAGACTAACCAGGAATTCTAGAGAGGAGTAATTAATGAGGGACTTCGTCTTTCCGGCGTGATTACTCGACTTCCACGACGTGCTCCAGATGAAGCATTGCACTTGAATGAGTGGACAATTCCCGCGAACGTAAGAAATGGTCTAAATGCCGAAGACCACAAAATAACCTCGGCTAACAAATTATAACCACCAGACACTTCTGAGCACATCATCCTGGTTTATGCATATGAACACAGACCTGTTTCCTAATCCGCATAAATTCGATCCTGAGCGATGGATTCGCGCCCAAGAAGCCGGACAGCGTCTTGAGCCAATGATTGCCGCCTTCATTAAGGGATCCAGACAATGCCTGGGTAACAAGTAAGTTATCGTTTCATCTGGCCAGTTGAGATATGAAGCTAACTTCATTTACTTTAGCTTGGCTTTGGTGGAGCTGTACCTGGTTATTTCTGCCTTGGTCAGACGATTTGATATGGACTTGTACAAAACTGGACCCGAGAATATTGTTACTTACAGGGAGTTTGGCTTTGGAATCCCCAAGGAGAAGGGAGGGCTGAAAGTCATCATCACGAAGACGCTAAGCTCATAGCTTTTGCCAGCTGGTTCACCAGTTGCCTCGCAGCTCGGTTGTCCAACAACGAAGTGATGGATCACGATGTACGACATGAAATGATGGACAATTTTTCTTAGCTCTAACATTCTGGTTCTGGAAAAACAAAAACAGTGAGTTCTACATTGAAGGGGCTACAAATTACCCGCCAACTGGATGTTTGCTTTGTGACTATTGCTTTAAGGGTATTTTTGTACCTTTGTCGAGTTGCCATTTGTCGAGTCTCAAAAATAGCAGAAGATTCAGGAATATCATTTTCCATACTCATCACTTTGCTGGCTTGCTTTGTACACTCCTCGGGAGGTGTTTTCTTTTCCTTTCTTTTTTCGAAAGTAACGAAGGGACCGAACCATAGAACAGATAATTTCCTGCGGGCAATCATTCGGTGTCCGAGTACAAATTTCTCGACAATTACGAGGACATACCCTTTTGTTCATACACAAGCGTCGATTCGTTTCTTACTCTAGGCTTCCAAATTTACCAATATCCACGGCAGCACCAAAACACTCGCACCTAACAGTAATAGATACAACGTGGCGGAAAGCAACTCCGCCACAAGTTTGCGGCAGGAATTTGCTGACTTCTTCTACTACAGACACGCTCGAAATCAGGTTCACCTGTATACTCACTTTAGTTCTTTGTTGAACTCTATTTTGCACGACGCCCTATCTTTAACGGTTAGCTTGCCCCTGACCCATATCCTTGACAGTATCTCATTACGGTAGCAAATAAGGGCATTAAAACAGCTATGGTATCAAGGCTGTATGAATTCATTCCTCTTACTTACGTTTTCCGGTCAACTTGGACCAGTATGAAAGTGGATTAGCGGGTCTTGGTACGTTCTCGATCAATCACATGATGTCTAGGAAGCCTCGCAAGAAAGCCACCTCTACGGAAAGAAGTTATCGAGACATCTACAAATTCTGCTCAACCGATGTCCTCCTTGTCGTTCCCCTTCAAGTGTAACCCAAGCCACAATACTTATTGATGTCTGTCTCGGCTCTTCCCACGGAGCTCGTACGCGATATCTGCAGCCATTTGCAACTGCGCGACTGGTGTGCGTTTCGTATCACTTGCAAAGCCGTGTACATAAAGTCACTGGAAGCTTTTGCAGATCAGTTTTTCAAGAGCATTGGGTTCATTCTCACCCGCAACAGTCTTTGTCAGCTGGAAGAGCTCGCCGCACACGATATTTTTCGGAAACGAGTTCAAGAGCTATGGATAACGCCATCTTTGTTCGAAGGTTATTACGAGATGGACCTGGATTCCTTTCGTGACGCAACCGGTTCATATAAAAGCAAAAGGTCCGCCCATATGATCAAGACTAAGTATATTGCATATCAAGGTCTAGTAGCAGAACATCTCAGCATCGTCGAATCTGACTCTCTTAACAACGTTCTCAAGAAATGTGTTGCACTCTTTGATAACCTAACAATCATCAGATTGCAACACAGCACTGATGAGTTTTTCTGGGGTCAATCGGTCAATAACAATTTCCGGTGCATCGGTTGGCGCGCGGCAAGACGTCAGCTTGGATTTGATCCATTCGCGTTGAGAGCTAGAAAACCCATACACAACGTTTTGAAGACCAGAGCCAAGGACCATGCTGTAGCTTTCTCGGCTCTTCTAGAGGCAGTGGCAAGCTCCAAGAGGAGGATCAAAAAGCTGGACACATGTAACGATGAACATTGTGCTTTGCCACCTTCGGAAGTTACACTCAAACAAACAAGCCAGTCTCTGCTCTCGTCCCTAAGACAATTGGAATTTTTACATCTCTGCACCAGCATCTGTGAAATACAGCCTGATGATTCTATGTTTAGGAGCCTTGTCGATCTCCTTATAATGGTTGCACCAAGTCTCAAGGTGCTAACATTCTCACAATGGGACCTGAACGGTGCACTGAGTCCTCAATATTTTGATGACCTCTCCCAACGGATCAATTTCACCAGCATAAAGGAACTCAATCTTTACTGGATTGAAATAACCTTTGATACCTTAAAGGCCTTCTTGCACACAGCAAGGCCGACGTTGAGGGCTCTGTCCCTAGAATCAGTAAACCTGAGGGGAGCTTTGCCGCCGACAGACAACCACATCGGCCATCAACGGGATCTCCGGGATTGCCAAGAGATGATTGAGGAGAGCAATTGTGCTTGGCAACAGGTTTTGAATTTCCTCGGAGACGAGTACTCACTGCGATCGATTTGCTTGAAGAATCTAGGTTATCGAGGCTATCGTTTGGACATGCATGATAATTTGAGCAAGTTGAGTGGATCCCTCGAGCCAAATTTTAGGAGTTTGCATAGCTTCAATGCTGAGAAAGCTGGCGTTTCCTTCAAAGAGTGGATTTTCCAGTTACGGCCAGGCCCACCGCGGGGCACGCGAGGACGTATTGCTACCTTACCAGGGGAAGATTATAGTGCGCGGTGGACCACGCCGGCTCCCCTTTAGGCGTACAAGGATCTCACTTTGGGATGTCTGATGGCGATATGTTATATATATCAACCGACAGATGACAGAAGAATAAGCTAAATAGTGATTCCCTCATAGGCACCGCTATGATAGAGTAGTCCATACCAGGCCTAGCGGTTTTACATTTAGACTTCCAGAAACATGTTCTCGTGCAAAACATAGAAGCCGATTTCAAATGTCAATGTACATCAGTTTCAAATCGCGTTAAAATACTTTGGCTCTGTATAGTCGGAATGGTCAAAGGATACGTTTGTCTACCAATAAAAAAAGGTAGGCTTCGGCCAGTTCGCGCAATGCTAGAGGCTCCTCAATGGAACCCACGAAAACCGAAGCGTGGGTCGAGTCCCAAAACACTCGAGCCAGGCTGATACTATCCTAACTGTATGCTGGCAGCACAATGGAATTTGGAGACCTCTGCGAGAAAGAATGCTTCTAAAATTCATTGAATTAGACAGCAACATTTTCTGATCCCGCCGAAGCCGTAGGCTTTGCCCTGACCCCAATGCGTCGCCTCTGATGCCCGTTACTACTATTAATAACATTGCTTATGATATCGTGCGGAAGCACAGCCAGCACGGAGCCGATCGTTCTCGTCTTCCATTGCATTGGTGAGTTTTCTTTATTTTGATACTATCTCTGTAAGTTGGTCTGTGTTGCCTCATGGTCTTTCAAGCCTTTTTTTTCTTTTTAAAAGTTTCCGGCTGGCATCATTTTGGATTGGAGCTCCCAGGTCTTTTTTAAACATGGAGTGAAAGTGATGTTACGTCCAACTCATTGTTTCTCGTTAAAAAATAGTCGGAAGATTTCTGTACGCATAGGTCATCAAGAGTGAGATCAAGATCCTCAAAATTACCAGTACACAACGGCAAATCTCACACAATTGAATAATACGTGCAAAAGAGAAAAGAACTGATTATATTCAAGGCACATAATTCACTAAACCTCAACTTACGCGCACACAAAGTTTTCAGCATAATCAGAATCAGAACTTTGGTGTTTAAGGCGAGCACTTTGAGGCCAAGGGCAAATCCTCCTCGTGCGATTCGATCCATCTAGAGGATGGGAGGTTAAGATCGAGTCTGGGAATGTGTTGTTTTCCACCCAAGCGCGGAGTACATCATCGGTATGATATGTCGATGGAGCGGAGGGAAAGTTCGTCGCCGGACCACAGTGTCCACCACCTGTTTTGGGGCGTTATTATCATCTTGCCAATCGGCCAGTATCAGCAAAGTTCACCATACCGGGAATCATAAACAGATTGAAAAAGTCAGACACGTCCTCATTCGCGGTCGCATTCTGCAATTGCTCAAGATGCATAATGGACCAGAGGGCGCCGTAAGGATCGGCCCAGCCTTTCCTCGATTTATTAGCTCTGGCAGTGACTCGGAATCTTTTATATCTCACCTTGCGCGACAATCATCTTGCCGCCTCGCTTTCTGAAAGCACTCAAGTCCGTGCTAATCCCATCAATGAGCGGACTGGCAATAGCATCAACTGCATCAACGTCTGCTCCAAAGTCGAACTGGTTGATATCAAATGACAAATTGTTGAGGACGAGGTTCTGCAAGATTGGGGTCGTATAGTTCAAATATAATGACGTCTCCTGCATCAGCCACTCCTTCTCACTTCCGAGTGTGCAACCGGGGTAGATGATATCCCCATTGCGACTATCAGTGGGCCCTGCATAGATAGCTTCGATGGCGTTGATTTGGGGTTGAGTCAGACATGTCACATTTGTACTTGATGCCATGGATGAGTCTGCTCATGCCAGCGAGCAGATGTTGAATGGGCAGTTGAGTGGCTTTTCGATCAGACCGTCGACTACTCCATCGATACCGTCGCACTCTTCTAGGACAGCGTTTGTGGTGAAGTTAAGAATTGACTGACCAAGGTATCCATCACCCTGGGAGTATTTAGCTTGAATCTTAATGATGACTATTTTAGGCAGCTTTTCTCTACCTTTGTGTGCTTGGCGTTCCACAAAAACGACAGTATGAGGTGCGAGTACCAATTTCCAGGACTACCAGTATAGATCCCATCAAAAAAAGTCAGGGTGCAATTGTGCGAGAGCAAATCCTTGGGCTCCACCGGTTGAGCATCTGCTGAAATAACTGAAGCTTAGCTTTGATCCGTAGTATAGGGCGGATAAATCTCGAGTCGGTGGTGTCAACATGGCGATAGAGTTATGAATCCAAGCCTTTGTTTGAGCTGCGCTATTCAAGAAAGGGATGTTCTGTCCTGGTTGTGTTGATTCGTTACCATTCAGAGCAACGTCGTGGCCAGAATGCCCTCTAAGATCCAGATTAGTATCAGGCTTCTTAATTAGAGGAGAGGCACATACGCTGTCACTGCATAGCCCCGATTGAGATTTAACATCATGGCAGATGTATCAATCGTTCCTGCAAGGCCTCCATTTCCTGTTCATTTTAAGTCAGTCTTGGTCTCTCTTTCAACGGGATACTTCAAACCTACCAACAACGAGGTATCGCTCATTGTATGAGTCCTGCTCTGGTAACCATAATTCAAAGCCAAGGGACTTGTTGCCACTATATTCAATGTTGCCTTTCACCCGACAGAAGGCATACTGATTCGGGAGTGCCGCTCCTGTACTTGAATCAGATAGAACCAGGTCATTGCTTGAGGTCCACGATGCTGATATCACATTTATTTCGGCGACTTCGTTTGCCAGGGCAGGTAAATTGGTGCAAGAATCTACTGCAAGGGCAGAAACTCCAAAGAATGCCGCAAGGGCAACCATATTGAGCGGAGTTGTTATTCTCATTTTCAGCGGTGTTTCAGCTACATCTTTCCATCATGATGAAAAATAGACCTTTTGGGCTGCAGAGTGTAGCCTCTCCCGGCTAAACACCGGCAATTGAGTTCCAGATTTGCTGAAGATCAGCAGTGCAAGTGAAACTGGGAATCGGACAACGGAGCCGCTCGCCGAAAGCTGGGCAATCCCCAATGTGGGGGAGTGGAGAAGTATAAAGGCATTTATCTTTGCTATGCCTAAGCAGTTATGATGTAGTGTAGTGGCTGATTCTATCTGGGCTTCGTACAACAGAGGCCATTCTTTTCAAGTCCCTACACCATATATCATGAGCCCATCATTTTTGCCCAATTATAATCTAGAGCGCTTAAAATAAGCAAAAGGAAGTCAAGAAAAGTTGGTGAAATAATACATGGAACGGTCCATCCTCTTTGATGGCTTCGCTTATTCAACACTTTATTAGTGGTACTGTAAACAGACTTATCACCCTGTTGTATTAACATATGGGAGGCATTTTATTTAATTCAGTCCCCCCAATCTCTCCCAGCCAGTCATGCGATAGCTGTCCAACAGGGTCATCTCCACAGCCATATGGCTGGAAGCGTTGCAGATCATCAAAACACTCATACAGAACAGAATCCACCGCCAGCGATACTGGCCCTGTCTCATCGATGGGCCAATAATTGAGTGTTGTGTTTCCCGTACCACCAGCAGAGATAGAAGTATCCGGTAACACGTCTCTCGCAGGTCCAGAGTTTTTGGTGTGATACTCTACAGCGTAAGACAACATTGCATCACTGAGACAATTAAAAACATCATGGCAGTTCTTCGTAACATTCCATCGTTCAGATATAGCGACTAGAATGCTCGAGCATGCTCGTGAATCATTCACAATTTCGATAATGGTTGGATCATTATCCAGTAGGGCTGTTGGTGTGGATGTGGACAAGTTCCATTTATGAGAGCGAAAATGTCGACCAACTGCGTATACATATGAAAGACCCGCCATGAAGACTGAATGCAGCGTGATCCATGTATAATTGATTCGCCGAGATCGGTGAAGGTGAGCATAGAGTGTTATTGCTTGTTTTGCTGCGATGAATATAGTCTGTAGCACTACTGCATCTCGCGATGAGGCTGATGAGAGACCTGGTGATGGCCTGTATAGCATCAAGAGGGCATTTTGATAGAGCATTTCGTACCATTCCCGCGTCCGAAAGCTGGATCTGTCACCTGGTAGTGTACTCGATAATTCGACGTCTGAGAGAGAAAGATCTGCTGTATTGCGACGCCAGGTTGCTAATTCGTGGGCTAATCGTTCCCGTGCTGCGAGGGCTGGTGCCTCGTCTGTCTGGGTTCGAGTGGAGCCGTTGTGAAGGGCCGACAATATTTTGCCGCAGATTATGCGATATCGTACTATATGGACGAATAAAGCTGTTCTGCAGAATGTCGGTGCTAGATGGTCTGTGTCGGACTCACAGTGGTTCACCGTAGTGTCTAGGCTGGGATCTGGAAGTAAAATGTCTGCGTCTTGTAGATTGATTGCAAGTGATCTCCCTAGTGTGATGCTCACGACTCTACCTGTCATGTTAAAGAGTCATACTGGGGGTCTGGGAGGTAACTCACCTATCCATGGCAACAACACACCAAAAGCAACGACGGCGTACTTCATGTGCCACCATCTGCTTTGAAGAAATGCTCCCAGCAGTTCCTCTTGGTAATTTATAGACCTGTTCGCGGTGTAGACCGAGCTCCAAGCACATCCTTGACGCAATACCAACGATATGCCACATACTGCTCGAGGTATGCTGGATAGAATTGATCATGCGATATTGTCCGAGCAATAGAATAGCTTGCAGAGCCTGTATATTGCCTCTTCGTAGTACCTCATTTAGCCTTTTTGATGCTCTGAGTTGATACCCTTCAGCATTGGGTAGTGATTCCAAATCGAATTTATGCACGCTCCCAGTTGCGATAGCCAAGATCATATCGAAGGCGAAACCCGCGAAGACATCTCGTTCCAGAGATTGTGGGTCTTCTTATGCTCTATTCAACGCATTCAATGCAGTCCCTCTAGGAAGAAAGGGGTATGAAAGGTGATCCTTTTCAAAATATGCGTGGTGAAGATCACGAGCAACTCGCTCCGGAGGAAAGAAAGAGGCATCAAATGGGAAAGCCGAAGATTTCGGGGCTGGTAAGACACCACTAAGACCAGAAGCCCGTCTCTGGCTCTCCTTTTGAGGAGTCCTCGATGTCACTTCAACAGTCGTACTGACCAAATTCGCAAAAGGAATCCCACTAGTCGAGCCCAGGAAATGATGCTCTCCCCCAGCACGGCGCGAGAGAAATGATACCTCTTCCATAACCTCATCACCACGATCTAGTTCTCCATCATCTCCCTCGGCAGATTGGCCAACATCGGCATCCGCACTCGGCTCGGACGCCCGTCCGATCACCGTCTGAGGTGATATTCCTAGCTCCGAATGTGCCAGTCGAGCAGCCAAACTGGAATTATTGGCTTCGGCCTCCGACGCCGATCTATGTGAATATCTTCGCTGTGATTTGTGCGATATTACAGTGAACTGTTTGCTAGTTGATCCAGACGCATTTAAAATATGGCCAATTTCCCCGGGGTTTGATTTCCCCGCGATTCTGATTCAAATGAGTCAATATATATCTAGTCTTAATGTCAACTGAAAAGCCAATGACCCAGAGCGAAAGCATATAAGATGTCGAGCGAGCGGTATGATGACTTCCTACTACCTTTGCATCACTCATAATCTAATATTTGCGCTCAGACCGGATCATGTAGTTCTGATAGCGAGCCTGAGTATGACGAAAATGTTGTGAAAGCACTAGTGCGGAAGCAGGATGTGAAGATTCTACCTCTATCTGCATTTATTTACTTGCTTTGCTATTTGGATCGGTCCAATATTGGTATATAGTTTCTTATATTTCAATTGGCATGTGACACTTACGCTCTTTTTCAGGTAATGCGAAGGTTCTCAATGAAAGTGAGGGCAATGATCTTCTCACGGAGACAAAGATGTCCAATTACCAATACATGTACGCCAGAAACCCCTTGAACATGTGCTGGAATACAAGTACTAATGGATATATTTCAGCATCTCCCCAATGGTATTCCTCATTGCATATGCCATCTTCGAAGTCCCCTCAAATTATCTACTCAAGAAGCTAAAGCCAAGTGTTTGTCATTTCACTCACAAAAAGAGAACAATATCTAACCGATATAACGTAGAGATGGATCGCTTTCCTCATGTTCTCTTGAGGCGCAATAACAATAGGCTTAGGCGGAGCTCACAACTTTGGCCAGGTAACAGGCATCCGCTTCCTCTTGGGAGTAATCGAAGCAGGCCTATTCCCAGGACTGGTATACTACCTCACATTCTGGTATCGAGTCTCAGAACGGTCTCTCCGTGTTGCACTCATTCTAGCATCTGCTACACTGGCGGGTGCTTTTGGAGGAGCCATTGCCTACGGTGTTGGATTTATGAACGGTGCACTCGGATTATCAGCCTGGCGATGGCTATTTATTATTGAGGGTGTCCCATCGTGTGCTTCTGCCATTCTTGTCTGGTTTGTTTTACCAGATTACCCCGAGACGGCGGAATGGTTGAGAGATGAGGAGCGGGAATTGGCGATAGAGAGACTGAAGCACGAAGGGTCCAAGGGAAATGCGGCTGCAGTGACGTGGGCTGGTATCAAGAGTGTTCTGACAGATTGGCGGCTTTGTGGACATTACGCTGTTCGTTGTTTTCTCATGATCTAGAGCTTTGGACAGTCAATTGCTAACGCAAAGCAGATTTATTTCGGCATTTCGACACCCTTCTCCAGTCTATCGCTCTTTACACCATCCATCACAGCTGGTCTGGCATATCAAAATCTCCAAGCTCAACTAATGACCGTTCCACCTTATGCAGCTGCATATGTGGTAACACTTGCAGTGTCATGGTCAGCGGATCATTTCAACGCGTATGTCATGCATTCAAAGAATGACCCCCTTACAAGAGAAGATGTTCTAACTAGATCTCATATCATGCAATACAGTCGAGGTCTACACTCCGCCGCATTCTCATTTATCGGCGCTATGGGTTTCTTGGCATCAGCTGTTCTCCCAGTAGATGCGTACTTGGTACGTTCTCAACCCCTTGCGACAGGATCGGCACTAACGGGTCATTAGCATCGGTACGGTTGCCTGATCGTAGCATCCAGTGGAGCGTTTTCTTGCATATCGCCTCTTCTTGGTTGGCTGTCGTCTAATATTGATTCGACTGGTGCTGCTGGACTGGCTATTGCGTTGAATATCTCGTTCGGTGCTCCTGGGCAGATTGTCGGGGTTTGGATTTATAAGGCGAATGAGAAGGCACGCGGATACCCTACTGGCCATTGGACTAATGCTGCTTTGCTATTGTTTGTTTGTGTTGAGTGTGTTTTTTGCTAATAAGAAGAGGAGGGCCTTGGGAGAGGTCAAGGCCTATGCTTATTAAGGCATGTACACAAGTTAACGTGATAACGTATTGCCCGAGCGACCGAATTGACCGAGCGGCCCTACCAAAAATCAAAAAACCTTCAATTTTTAACCACGACTAATGCCACAAAATTGACTCAAATTTTGCTATTTAATACGTGTAGGGCATTTAACATAGGTATGACCTTTAATCCCACATCCAGAGCAGGTGACCTGCCGCCTAACCGTAGGCATAGACGGTAAAGCAGGTTCTGCAGGTGGTTCTTCAGGCAACTCTTGCAAAGATATATCTTCACTGATACCATCATCCTCAACAACTACATCATCCTGACCATCCTCCCGACTCCCGAAAATACCCCTCTGGCTAGTGAACTTATGTTTGATGGCTCGTTTTTTGATCTGTTTCTTATTTGAAGCCTCCAATTGGTCGCAGCGATTCTGAAGAAAAATATGATGATGGACCACTTTTATGGTCATTTCATAGGTCCTCTCAATCTCCCGTTTGGTTGGTGAAGAAAGGATGGACGAAGAGGATTCCAGACCTTTTTTGATCCGAGATTGCGATTTTGAGAACTTTGAGAGAGTCCAGAGAGTATTTGGATCACTATCACTGCCAGAAGATAGTGGTCGCTTAGGAAGAATATCAAGAGGAGGAAGTTCATCCAGGCATACATTAAGCTTTTCCAAGACTCTACTAGCATTGAATGGTGCTAATCCAGTAGCTAAAAAGCTATTCTGGATAGTAGAGGTCTTAAAAGCTCCCTTTCTTGCATCTGCAATCAATTCAAGGAAATCTTCCTTATCAATAGAATTGACTCCATTCCGCATCATGGTTGAAACCGCTCCTCCATAAAGCCTCTTCAAAACCGAAAAACAACCCACATCCAAAGGTTGTAAAAGATGCGAGGCATGAGAAGGCATACAGATAGCAATAATATCATTTTCTTCACAAATTCGATCGAATTCAGGAGTTAAATGACTCCCATGACCATCAAGGACTAAGAGGCAGTATTTTCCAACTCTTTTCCCAATATTTGGAATAAACTGAGATTTCAACCACCATAAACCAATTTCATTTGTAGTCCAGCCATTTTTGCTCACAGTCAATCGAGATCCAGGTTGATTTGAATCAAGGGGGATGCGTAGATGTTCAGGAAAAAGTTTCCCCTTGAAAACGAAGAGTGGAGGATGAACACTTCCATCAGCTCTAATGCACTCAATTGAAGTCACCCACTCGCGATTCCCAGCTTGTAAGAGGGTTCTTTTCCCATGGTACTCAGCTGAGGTAATAATCCTTTGTGTGGTACCAACTCCCATGGCAAAACCAGACTCATCAAAGTTGAAAATATCATCCGAAGTGATACCCCATTTTTCAATGGTATTTTGGACCAAATCAAACCATGGTTTGATAATTCGAGGGTCCTCTGAAAGAGCCCTTTGATAGTCGTATTTTCGAGATAATCGTGTGGACAAATTTGGATGTCGTTTGACAAAGTGAGATGCCCAATCTCTACCAACAGTAGAGGGGATTGCTTTTTGGGCATGACGGAGTAAATTGGCCATATCTCTCAACATAGGCAATGTAAGAGCAGCACCCCTCGTATCCATATCCAAGAGCCATTTTTCAATCGATTGCTCTTCAACCTCAGAGAAAATAAAGCGATTGTGTCGTTTTTCAGAAGCAGCTTCACGCCCCTTAAGGCGGGCCTTCAAAGTTGAGACTGGTAAATCAAAAGACCGCGCAGCAGCTGCAGCAGAGGGATATTTACCATCTTTTATAGCTTTTATAGCTAATAAAAGACGACCCTCCTGTTCTAATAATTTTCTCCTTCGATCAGACCGTTGGGGGGGCATTATCATTGTGGTAAACAAGAGATGTTAATTTTTGAGATGGCTTTTTGGTGGGGCCGCTCGGTCAATTCGGTCGCTCGGGCAATACGTTATCACGTTACAGGTGGCAAGATTTATAATCAATGCAAAGTGGGATAGACCCTGATCCATAGGCAATACTCATTCGGGCCATAGCCACGTATCCTGTATAATAGTCGGAATAATAACGCCTACATAAGCCGACAAGTAAATTGCCCGGGTTATAGGAGAATATCAGGCCATATAGTGCCAGCGCAGTAACATCCTCCAAGTATATTTCGGAGTTAACGAGGCTCAAATCCAGGGCCCCATAAATATTGACCAATCAACCGCCTCCACAGTCAGGCCATTATCGATCTTCACATTCGAGGCCAGCTTGTCCTCACATCTGTTTTTCTTTGACCCCGGCATTCCTTATTATTTGTCTTTTCGCAATACATTTTTCTGATTTTTCTATTTACGCGCAATTTGCACAACTAATAGCCTGAACCTCTGGCTTTACGCCACCGTGCTGTTACAGTGACTTGGCTCACTCTGTTATCATAAATTGGAGGGCAAGATGCGGTCTGCGGCGAGGTTGTTATATGCAACCGTATTCGCATTTGCGGGGCTTAGCAATGCCAGCGATAATGGCACTCCATTGGATCCAACCAAGTGTGCTGTAAGTCAAGAGAGCGCGCCGGAAGTTCGGACCAGATAACTAACAGCTTTTTCTCTATAGCTCGAGCCTTCGGCTATGGTTTCAGACGCTTGCGTATCCTACGGCTCTATCGACGGTATTAACGACATGATTTTTACGACCCTCAACTCTCTCACGCAAGACACGGACTTCTTCTCATATTATCGCCTCAACCTCTTCAATAAAGAATGTCCTTTCTGGAACGATGCGAACAGCATGTGTGGCAATATTGCCTGCTCTGTAAACACTATTGACTCCGAAGAAGACATCCCTCTCACATGGCGCGCAGAGGAATTGAGCAAACTGGAAGGCCCAAAAGCAATCCATCCGCCACGCAAGATCCAACAACAACGTCCGAAAGAGCGACCCCTACAAGGAGAGCTGGGAGAGGATGTTGGCGAAAGTTGTGTAGTTGAATACGACGACGAGTGCGACGACCGCGACTACTGTGTTCCGGAGGACGAGGGTTCCGCCGGGAAGGGCGACTACGTGAGCTTGGTGGACAACCCGGAGCGGTTCACGGGATACTCGGGTGAAGGCGCACACCAAGTGTGGGATGCGATCTACAACGAGAACTGTTTCCTTAAGCCCGTTGAGGAACTGGAGGAACAAACGCTGAATGTCCCCATGGGTGGTCTCCAGGCAGCCTCGGACTTCCGCAATGTGCTCCAGAAGGAGTCGCAGCGCCTGGAAGGTTTGCCGTTAGACAATGAGTGTCTGGAGAAGCGCGTCTTCCACCGACTTATCAGTGGCATGCATGCTTCCATTTCAACCCATCTTTGCTGGGACTACCTCAACCAAACAACCGGCCAGTGGCACCCCAATGTGCAATGCTACAAGGACCGTCTCCACGATCATCCCGAGCGCATTTCCAACATGTACTTCAACTACGCGCTGGTATCACGCGCCGTGGCAAAACTCCGCAAACACCTTGAGGGCTACACCTTCTGTACCAGCGACCCAGCACAGGACCTCAAGACCAAGGGGCGCGTCAACAAGCTGACCAGCACACTATCGGATATCCCCCAAATCTTTGACGAGAATATCATGTTTCAAGACCCCGGCGCACTCGGTCTGAAGGAGGACTTCCGCAACCGCTTCCGCAACGTCAGCAGACTGATGGATTGTGTCGGCTGCGACAAGTGCCGTCTATGGGGTAAGCTCCAAGTCAAGGGCTACGGAACCGCACTCAAGGTCCTCTTCGAGTACGACGAGACCAAGAATGGCGAGAACCCAACCTTGCACCGCACCGAGCTAGTTGCCCTGGTTAACACGCTCGGTCGTATCTCTCACAGCCTTGCTGCTGCGCGTAGTATGAAGCGAGCTCTTATCACCGGCAACACGCACATGTTCCCCGTCCACGGCGCCGTCCCTTCTAGACACCAAGCGAGCGCCCACGGTGAAAAGCCCCAACGGCGCCTACTCCAAGATGGCGCTGGAAACTATTACTACGAGAACGAAAATGAAGAGGATTACGTCTACGGCCGGGAAGCGCCGACACGTTACCCCTGGGAACGCCCACCACGCAACCCAAACGCCGGCGTTATTGAGGAATTTATGGTCGAATGGAACATGATCTGGGGAACGGTCGGGTATATCTTCCAGACCTGGATTGATCTCCCTAGGACATTGTAAGTCAATTCTCACATTCTACTGCGTATTGTTCGAGACTGATACTCATTACTGCAGATTCCAACTCGGAGCACTTGAATCCATGCGTCTTTACAACTACTGGCTCGGTCTACCTGTTCCCCCTCGGCCATGGAAGCTGAAGGCCCCTGAGCCGCGTCAACATACCAAGCTCCGGGCTTATGAGGAAGCTCAGGCCCAGGCTCAGGCTCAGAATCAGGCCCAAGCTCGTGATGAGCTCTGATATATTCATTATTCATTGGCATTGGCATACACTGTACATATACGGCTTTGTGCGGCGTTTGTAGACTTGGTTTGGGTTTCGGTTTGGAGTTGTGAATCTATATTCAGTTGATTTGATATTAGAATTTGACTATGATGATATATATATACATGTAAACACGGTGATAGGTACAGTAGGTCGGCTCGGTCTATACGGGTGTTTTCCGAGTGGCGCGGCAAATGCAGCGGGGAAGTTGGGGACTTGCGGTCAATAGATAGGAGAAGAAACCCCTTGTATGCCCAAATATATTTACAGAGTAGATAGTGATGTCTACTTGAAGACCTCTATATATCAATGTGGTTCATGAAATACTCTATACTATGCCTTGGCTACAGTGCGAGATCTGCCTCGGTCGCCCAAGGCGGAAGGTACACGCATTCGCCACCGAGAATTCACCGTGAAAAATCCATCAGTCAGAGAGGTATATAGAGAAAATAGAGTAGTAGAACAGTAGTATGATTCTGCGGCGTATTTCTATCTGTACATATGTATATATGTACAACTTAATAAATAGCAGGCCCAGAGTATATCGTATACTGTCGGTTATGTAACAATCGGCAAACCCCGACCTCGGTATCTCCACTCCGGCCACATGCGACTTTTCCGCCTCTTCGACACCCCCCGGATTCTCATCCTCCCATATCTGATCTAGACCTCGATGCAAGTACGCTGAAAACAATCTCATGGCGACGGCTTCGCCACCAAAACCGTGGGAGAGAGCGGGCGCCGGTAAGTCAGAATCTTATCGTGATCGCCTCACAACTCGCAAGAGCCGAGCGCGATCCATCTCCTCCACAGTCACAGTCAGTCACAGTCGGGGTATACTAACTCTCCCTCCAGCAGGAAACACACTATCAACAGCACCAATCGCTGGCACCCCAGCAGCCTCAACAGCAATGACTTCAACCACCCCCGCAACGGCGTCCACACCCGACCTCCCATCCCGACCCAGCGCCCTCAACTCAGTGGTGAACAACACCGCCTCAAACTACTCTCCCTATGGAGCCTCCCGGCTAGGCACAGGCGGCTACGGAACAGGATACGGCGGTATGGGTGGTTACTCGTCGCCGTACTCCCGCTTCGGCTCCATGGGCGGCATGGGCTCCATGTACGGTGGCTATGGCGGCTACGGGAGTAGCATGTATGGCGGCATGGGTGGTATGGGTGGTATGGGCATGGGAGGGATGTACGGCGGCATGCCGGGACAGGATCCCAATGATCCTAACAGTTTGACGAACTCGTTTGGGCAGAGTACCCAGGCGACTTTCCATATGATTGAGAGTATTGTCGGTGCGTTTGGGGGCTTTGCTCAGATGCTGGAGAGTACTTATATGGCTACTCACAGTTCTTTCTTTGGTGAGTTCTTCGTTATTGGGATGTGTGGGGGTGTTTGCTGACGCTTTTTTCTAGCGATGGTCTCGGTCGCAGAGCAGTTTGGAAACCTGCGCAATACCCTCGGCTCGGCTCTGGGTATTTTCACGATTATTCGGTGGTTCAGGACTTTGATCGCCAAGTTGACTGGTCGTCCTCCGCCTGCTGATGCTACGTCTTTGACTCCTGCTGCTTTCGCGGCTTTCATGGGTGGACGCGCAGCCACTACCCTCCCTGATGGCTCGCCGGCTCCTGCTAAGCCATCGAAAAAGCCTTTCTTCATGTTCTTGATTGCCGTGTTCGGTCTGCCCTACCTGATGGGTAAGCTCATCAAGGCGCTGGCACGGTCCCAGGAAGAAGAGGCCCGTCGCCGCCAGCAGCTGGTCGGCCCCAACGGCGAGCCCGGCTCGGCATCTCTCGACCCATCCAAGCTGGACTTCTGTCGTCTCCTCTACGACTACACTCCTGAGACGCAGGAGAGCAACGGAATCGATCTCGCTGTGAAGAAAGGCGACATCGTCGCCGTCCTCAGCAAGTCCGACCCTATGGGCAATGCCTCGGAGTGGTGGCGTTGCCGTGCCCGCGACGGGCGCGTCGGCTACCTTCCCGGTCCATACCTGGAGACCATCCAGCGTCGACCCACCCAGCAAGCGATCACCACCGGCAGCGAACCCGGTTCTCGCACTACGTCATTGAAGGGCGATGCCACCGAGGCCCGCACACAGAGTCTATCCTCGCTGTCCAAGCCCGAGCAGAAGCCTGAGCTGAATGGCAAGATGGGTGATATCTCACCCGAGAGCTTCCAGAAGAGCACTTTCTACTCTTGAACCCCATAAATGTCTGATACCTAGTTGGGTTTCTTATTCTGTTCTTTGGCATGCTAGACGGTTGGAGCAGGATGTGATTTGGTCAAAAGCTCTCTTCCCCCTCTTCCTATCCCCCATTCCCACCCTCACCTTTGCTCATTCTTATATATCCCCACGAGCGTGCGGCTGGAGGTTTCCCTTATGATCTGCTGGCAGGAACACATGACGACAGTTCATCTCCTGTCCAGACATCCTACTCGTCCTCTTATCCCCAGGATTGAGTAAACGTCCACAGTTTACGCTTTCCTACTCCTCCTATCTCAATTCTTCCTCTCTTGCTTTTTTTTCCCCTTTCTTTCTTATTCTTTTCGTTTCTGGATTGGATTCATTTTAGCGACGGTCTCTCTGGTCCCATTTGGATTTATGTATTTAACAACTTGCAATGCAATGCATGGACATGATAACATCAACCCTACTGTATACTGTAAATGTAAACTATAGAGTAATCACCCCTCAACACTGACCACCCCTGCCGCACCCGTGCCCGTCTAAAAGATACCCACAGTGGGCCAAACGGCCCTACCGTTCCGCGTCCCCACAGAGAACCAGAAATCCAAAGCCAAAGTCCAAGCACAAGTCCAAAAGTCCAAAACTGACATGTCGAATATCAAAAATTTCAGCCCAATGTCAACCCGAGGCTATGTTTCTTTTGATATCACATACACTTACTGGATTTGAATAAACATGCAATGCGATTACCCGTATGTGAGGCACATGTATTCCGTATGTGTCTTGCTTGAGTACCAACCCCCTCTCGCCTACGCATCCCTGTATCTCATTAACTATCCTTGTTTATATTAGTAATCATCATATCCATGCCCATACTCCCATATATACTAATCTCAATATCACTACTCGTATCCATGTTCTATTTTCCTATATCACGTTAATAAGTCCCACCAGCCAACACAACATACGTGACTAAAAACTCACTCCAAATCCAAGTCAAGTCCAATCCAAGAACCAAAGCCCAGGATCGAAGACGAGGATGCACTCCCACAATCGGCATGTTGCATCTACAGACTCCATGTCACATCACCAGCCCAGATTGGAATGTCAAAGGATGCCTTTTGGATCCGGTGGTGTGGTGCTGGTCTTGATTGGGATTTGGCTTTTTGTTTGTTTATGGGGTTTGCTTGGCTTGGCTTTGTGGGCTGGGTTGGGGTGAATAGGGGTTCTGGTGTTATTGAAAGTACTGTACGTTATGGGGTTATGTGAGGATGTAAGAGAGGGCAAAAGTGGAAAGTAGGTTGACTACTTTACCGTAGAAGGATGTACAGTACAGTAGTCAAGGGTATTTTCTCGGCCTTTTTCGTTCGAGGTGTACTATATTTAGCTCCACGTACTGTAAGTGAAAGGCCTTCCCCAGCTTCAAATTCAACTTCAGCTATCAAGAAGAGTAGAAGAGCATGTAGCAAGTTGTGTCTGATTGTACTCCACTGTCATTGTTTCTAGACTACACTATCAACCTATTTTGTATACCTGATTGACACGCCAACCTCATAGATCCCTCGGGTAGCTAGGTTCAGTCAGTACTTCTCCCCTCCGCTCAGGATCACTCTGAGAACGGAAGGGAGTAGACAACTACTGATTACTGATTACGGCGTACTGTATATCTCCATCTCGATCGTCTCTCTTCTTCTCCCCTCTCCCCTCTATCCAATGTCTGGGGTCTGGTCTGCTGTCACCGGACTGGGCATGGTAACGCACCGTGCGTGGATTATCCCGGACTGGGACTTGAACTCGGATGAATGGCCCGGATTTGGTCATCATGTCGGGTGAGTATTGGGTATCTTTTGGGTGGAGTGGCGGAGGGTTACTGCGTTCGGGGAGAGATTCGGAGGAGCAGTGAGAGGAGCAGGAGCAGCAGCAGTAACAGTATTGTAGTAGTGGGGGTCCACGGAGTATTGTAGCATCTCGTGGGGGTTGAAGTGGGGGTTAAGTAAAGGGACGGCAGAGAGTAGAGAATGTCTCAGGTGGGTAAGACGAAGATCAGTTGAGCGGGATGTATGTTTGTCGAGGACGTTTCTTCCTTTCTTCCGTTCCTCGCTCTCGTCTCGCTACCCATACTTGCAAGTCAGGATACACAGAATCATAGAAGCCATAATGTATATGCATAGATCGCCATCACCACATCACCATCACCATCACCAATCTAAAGAGAATGAGAACGCCCATGCTATGACTTTTCCTCGCCTGACCTATGTCTGAAGGAAATTAGAATAAGAAATGCAAACTCCTCCAACGATGAAAGTAAGCACGATCCATGTACATAAAGAAGAACATCAAACAAGAGTGGAATGGGAAGATCACAAAAGGGAGAAGACAGGCTCACACGCTAAAATGGAAGACAAGCATCATTAAAGGGGGAAGAGAAGAAAGCAAGCTGAAGAACAAGAGAAAAAGAAAGAAGAAGAGAAGAACACCAAATCACATCCCCAACCCCTCATGATGAGGAATCTCCTGATTAGGATCCCCCTCCCTAGCCCACTTCGACATAGTCTGCGTAAGCGTATAATCAAGACCCTGCAACCGAGTCTGGAATGACTCAATAGTATTCCAATCAGGCGGATGAACATCCTCCTCACCAGGCGCATCCTCCAAATCCCTAGAAGCGGATACGGAAGCGGAACCAGTCACAGGTGCAGGAGACGAAACAGCTGGAAGGGAAACAGGCAAAGGCGCCGGCGCTGGATGATGCTGATGCTGATGCTGATGCTGATGCTGATGCTGGTGATGCGAGGGTTGATGCTGTTGATGATGCAAAGGCTGATGCATGGAAATGGAATTCGATGAGTGCGGATGCGGCAATGAAAGAGGAATATGGCCATGGGATGCGTGACTACCATGAGAGCCATGGCTAACATGGCTGACATGCGACGAGCCGTGGCTGCCATGTGAGATATGATTACCCACGCCGATAGAGGAGCCGATGCCAACGCCAGCGTTGTGGTAAAAGGCGTGAGTTGGGGCGTGGCTCTGGGCATGGCTTTGGCCGTGACCATGGCCATGGTGGCTCTGGCTGTGAGACGTGGCGTGGGTGTGCCCGTGTCGGGGCATGGTCAGTGGCATGGCAGGATCGTCGTCTATGATCAGGTCTGGGAGGGATTCGAGGTGGTTTGGGTCTAGAGATAGATACCGGCAATCAATATCATTCGGTATGACGCTCACCCTGGAGTCCGAGCTTGAATTACCGTATGAGCCGAGTGGGAATGGGGGCATCTCTCTTGGTGAATGCATGTCCGGCAGTGGGGAGATGGGTGTTGTGGCGCTTGATTCTTCTGCTGGTTCGGGCGTGTAGCAGGTCATGTCCGAGGGGGTTTCTGGTTTGTTAGTATGGATCGAGCGGGACGATACTATACTATACCATATAGTAGGGGTAGACTCACGAGGTTCAGGGCTTTGAGGCTCTGTTTCCGCTTCCTTTTGGTTCGTATCCCACGATGTACCGTAGCGACGAACAAAACGAGCGATACGTTTAGGGTCGACGTTTTGTCCATTCACCCGGAAAGCAGTCTGCTTCCCCTGGGCGGCGCGTTTCTGTTGCTTGCGAAGCATGATGTGGACCTCTTTGGCCTTGATATTCTTCCGGACATGCCATGCCGCCAGACGATCTTTGTATTGTTTTTCTCTGATAGAAGTTAGGCTCTATACACGCACACACACACAGAGAGAGAAAGAGAGAGTAAAAAGAAGAGAAGTGAAAGAAAAGAAAAGCATTACGAGGCATAGAATTTGTAATCGCGCTCCATGATGCGTTTGACATCGCGCAGTTTCAGCTGATCATTGCGGTAGAGCTGCTCAATAGTTTCGCGATATTCATGCCAGTCGTCCGATCGGCGAGGACGAAAGATCGGGGGAGAGAACGGTTTGTCCATACTGGAATATCTAGAGAAGAGAGTTTCATAAAAGCCGTTAAAGAGAGGAATGTTATAAAAAGAAATATGACGGGGGCCAGGAATCCCTCTTCTCTTTACGGCGACGTGCGCGCGGACGCACGACCCCCTGCTTCCCCGGCCAAATCAGCGTGTTGGATGAGGATCCATCGTGGGAGGCAACTTGTTGAGGGTATTCAGTCAGGAGAATATCCCCGAGGTCTTATTAGATAGGAGTTGGCAAGGTGTGAAGTATTGGATTTGCTTGTTCTTTTTCCTTATTTTTTAATTGATTTATCTCTTTGCAGTGTATTGATTTGACTTGTTTCTTTTGAGTGGAGTGGTACTTTTGCCTAAGCGAACTATTACATGCAGAGCACTGGCCGCAAATTGGGTGCATTTCCGGCTGCCTCATTCAAAAGTAGATTAAATAATTACAATCGCAGATCCAACAACCGGGAGCGGGCCGAAACTTCCCTGACAGCTCTTTGCGCTTGGAGCCTAATCTCGTAGTCTTCCTGCCTTATTGGGAGTATAGGATCCAAATATTTACAGTATGGTAACCAGTGCCCTACAGTGATATATGACAGTAATGACAGTAACGTGCGATCTGAAGCAAGGAGGAACCGTTAGCCCGTTGACGTTGTAACTACCAGGGGGCCCGCGTGAGGGCTCGGACCGTGTTCCCCTCCGGCCGAAAGACCTTACGATGGTGCGCTTTTGTACTTTCGTATACTATTCTCGTACCTTCGTCTTCTTGCTTTTTAGTCTTATTCTTCTTGATTACTTATACCCCGTGTACTCCCCTGTCTGAAACATATACCCCCCGTACAGGTAGTCCATTTTTCAAGGGCTAGAACACTATATAGATCATGCAGTGATTTCCTCGGGGAGCTGAATTCTAGTCCCCGAGCTTGAGCAGAACACCGAACCTTAGGTATTCAACTAGTCCTTGTGCAGTTAAGATCGGACTGCTAAAGTGCGGGGGGTACTTTGGCCCATCCTTCCCTGTACATTTGACCCCTCCCGCCTTTCGCGCGGTAACGGAGATATCTGCCGTGTCCATGCTCATAGGTCCACCGTGGATCGTTCACCGGCTCGGATCGCATGCAGGTACTAATACTGGATTCAATCGTGGCGGCGTAACGACTGTGCAGTAGACGGGTTCACTCCGGGATCTGCGCCCAAGTCAACGTGAATAGGGGGTCTGTTCCGAGTCCACGCGCAGCACCTGCACTCAGCCGACATATGTCAGGGAGGGGATTGGTTGAGGCATGCGCTGGTCGATCCAGCCATTCGGTCGCAGCCCAATAATACCCCGGGGATGCACTGGGTGAATCAACCAGCTGTACTGTTTCAGGCACGTCATTCCCATTCCATCTAGAGCTTATCCCATAAGTACGAAAGTGAAGCGAGGCGCAGTGTAGATTTTCAGGATCTGCGCGATTTTCTATGACTGGCATCATGGTCCTCTGCAGCCTCACCTTGTTTTTCTTTTCCCCGTTTTTTTTGGTTTCTTTTTCCCAACCGTTGTATCATCTTGGCGGAGTCGCCTGTCGGGCGTGATCGGCGGCTGCCACGGCTGCAGCCGCGACAGCTGCCGAGTTGGAGCCCGTGCTGGCCAAGTTGCTAGCGTGCGCAAGGAGGAACTTGCAGCAGGTCAGCGTGTACTTGCAGGCACGAGTCCACGTCTCGTCATTCTGGTTGAAGCCCAACTTGATGCTGGCATCCCCAATCCGATCTCGTTTAATTTCATAGGGTAGTTTCAACCCCGGTGCAGAGGCGCCGGTCTGGCCCCGACGTGGCGATACCACTGGGGCAGGGGTCTTCTCGACGAACCGCCCCAGCTGGCGAAGGCATTCGAGGAACGCCACCATGCCCGCATCAAAGCGACGGTGCAGCCAAGGGAGGTTCAGCGGCAAGTCTCCTGACGAGAAAAGGTCCAGTTGAGTAACCTTGGCCGCAACTCCTTCGACGGGCTGGCCAGATGGTTGGACCGGGTATTCGATCTTGTCGATCCGTGAATTGGACCCCAAGGGTCTGAGACGGTACCCCTGGAATTGAAATCCGAGTTTGTCAGCCATCGTAGCCAGAAGCAGCGCCGTTTGTCCCCACGCAGCATTGATCTCAGGCCAGTCAACGGACGGGTTAGCCAGTCGGCCGAGGCGTAATCCATTGATGGTACCGAAATATCCATCGTGACCAATGCAAAACGCGTCATTGTAGACATTCGTCCTTTGAAGTCTTTCAAGCTGCTGCGAGTCGTGATCATAGCGCATATTCAGTGCATCCCGTTCGTTTTGAAAGTCGGTCAGCGTCAAGGCAAAGGCGTTGCGCTCTCGCCAAAAGTTCTCCTCCTCCACATCCAGCTGTCGCGACTCGATTTCCAGTCCGGCAATCTCCCCATCTAGGTCGGCCTTTTCCTTTTCCAGGGCGACTAGTTCAGCGAATGCAGCCCGCTCCGCTTCCACGCTTTCGTTCAAAGTCTTGTCTGCTGCTTGCACCTCTTCCACGGTCGGGACTGACGTATTCAAATTTCTCAGGAATGAAATGTAGGCATCCCGTTCCTTCGTAGCCCCCGTCAATCGTTTCTGCAGTCCCTCCACGAGCAGATCCGTACATTCCACGCAGATAGGATGGTCGATATCAGAACGTGCCGAGACAATCTCAAATAACCGGGTTGCCTTCTCCATTTGATCCACGAATGATTCGTTCTCTTGGCTAGCAGGTTGGACAGATGCGTGATTTCCTTTTCGAGTGTTCTCAACGGGTGGCACGACTTGAGACTCGGTCAGCATGACAAATGACATGTTGCCGCTATCACCGCGAGAGGGAGGTCCGCGAGGGGCGGGAATAGACCGCCGATAGACTGGCGGCGTAGCATTTTTTGTTGTTTGATCGTAGTGTCCGCGTCGGTCGGGTGGATAGGAGGACTTGGAGGATGCAGCTCCATCTGATAGCGTTTTGCCTGTAGATTCTGACTGGTCAGCGGGATCAAGTAGTGAAATAGTATGTACTCACTGACAAGCAGATCAAAAGCAGCTGGATTCAGAGACTCTAACGAGCCATCCAGCTTGAGTGGTGTTCGACACTTCTGGCAGTACATGTCGGGGTGTGGGGAGGTGAAGTTGGGGAGCGGAACGTCATTTGTTTTTCATCCGCATTTGTTTGTCGCGCACCTGTCCATTGCCTCACTTCAAGTATGCCTTTATCTCACCAAGCTTAAGCTCGTCTTACCTGATCGGTGATTCCGATCATTGATCCCGATTGAGATTGACTCCGATCATCGAGATTGACTCCGGGCGCAATCATGTACTCCGCGCCAGACCTCGACCGACCAGCGAAGAGACCGCGCCTGTCATATACCCCTGACGATTCAGAGGAAGTTCCAGAAGAATTCGATCTTCCGGCTGCGCGCGCGCAAAATGACTCACGACTCAAATCTTTATTCGAGGGTATCTTCGCCAAATACAGCCAGGACTTTACCGACGTCGGCGATGAGATCGACCTGCAGAGCGGGAAGCTTGTGGTAGACAATGGACATCTGTTGAGCATGCAGGGAGAGAGTGACACAGGCGGCCAATCTACGTGGACTCAGGCTGGCCACGAGTCGGATGATGCTCCAGACGCTGAAGGCGAGGGAGATGAAGACCAATACGCAGTCTCTCACAGCGGTGATTTGCCGGACGATCGATACGAAACGACTACGAATTCGGGCATAGAAGAGACCGCAGACTCAGACTTTGTATTTACCTTCACAGCGTCCGGGGCTACAGGACTCAGTCCAATGACGAAGAGCGAAAAAGGCACCCAGTTGAACACAACACCAAAGCCTCAGGATCCCGTCCGGCAGGTCCCTGATTTGCCACAAACATACGCAACACCCACCACCGGCCCTAGCGGCCGAAAAGTCAATATTGCCCTCACCCCACAGATCAGATCTGCTCGGTCTCCATCGCCGCCTGGGAGTGGCTCGATCTGGGCCATTGCCAAACGCGGCAGGCCACGAACCGAGGGGAAACCCAAGGCGACGCCAAGTCAGCGCCAGCCACGTGGAAAGCGAAAATACCACTCAAGCCCACTGACATCTGACTGGTCTTTTGCAAAGATACCAGATGGTGATGAGTCCGATGATCCTTTGCAGGAGAAGGATTGGGCGTCACCTTCACCATCCAAAATGAGGAACATCCGCGGGAAACGCGTGCAGGTGCCGGAGAAACGAGGCGACCGTTCATCTTCTGAGCATGCTCCTTCACAGCCAGATTGTATAGACGAAACCGACGGTGGGGAGGGACACAACGAGGGCCAATCGCCACAAACAAGTACCCAAAAGGAGGGGACATTGGATACTGTTTTACAAAACAACGACCCAATTTTCAACCCCACAGCTGCATCAGTGCACTCCGTTCAAGATACACCAAGCAAAAGGCGACACATTACGCCCGACGAAGCAAAGTTGATCGTGTCAATGATGCACAAGGGCGGCAAGAAAGTGAATGACGTGGTTCAATGTCTTCCAAATTGCACCAACCGGACTATTTTAAATTGGTACTACTACCATTGGACTTGTCGTCTGGTAAATCCGCCTCACCTTTCGGGCCCCTGGTCGCAGGGCGAGCTTGCAGCTTTAGGTCGTCTCAGCAGCCAATCGGGTCTCTCTTGGGCTGAAATCAGAGATGAGTTTCACAACCGATCTCTCAATGAGATTGAATTCCATATGCTTCGTCTTTATGTCGATGGACCCGCTCAGGGAGACGTGGACGGACAAGAGCACGAGGGAGCCGAAGTGTTTACTTCGATTGAGCAGCTTGGAGATGGCGCAGCTGAATGCCCCACAGTTGCAAAGGTACTATCCGTGGCAACGGGAGAGCAGACTATTAAAGAAGAGAGTGACGGAGTTCAAGCATCTCAGCCAGTCGGAGATCATACGCAGGATCTGATAAAAGAGGAAAGTGATGCAGATGTTGAAGTCCCTCATTCACATACCGCAGAAGGGATACCCATGAAAGATGAACGCATGGAACAGAATCCAGACGCAGAACATGGATCATCTACTCCAGAGGCAGTACAGGACGCAAGAGAGGAAGATGTCAATGCTTCTGCATCTCCCACTGCTTAAAATGATCAAGGGTCCATCGAGGCAGATGCCAATATGAGCAACAAGCCTACACCCCAGACCTTACTGGGTATCTATATAAACACAGCATTTCGAAGCAATTGAACCATGCTAATGGAGCATTAATTATCGATTGACCGCTACCTACCAATATTATACCCCATGCTAGCTATGTCAGCTATTCGAAGTCCTCGTCTCGTGCATTCATAACATCCTCAAGCTTCGTATCAACAGCCCCACCAACATCACCAGCTTTGGCCCAGAACCGAGACAAATGCCGCGAGCCAGAATCAGAAAGTACCGTTACAATCCTGTGACCAGGTCCTAGCTTCCTAGCTGTCTTGACAGCAGCAATGCCTAAAATCCTGTATCAGTATCAAAACACAGCGCAAAACATGAATAAACCCACAGTTCACCGCACTACTACTCCCAATAAAAATCCCATCTTTCTCAACAAGCCAACGCGCCATAGCCAAAGCCTGCGCGTCAGTAACTCTAACAGCATCATCAACAAGCTCCTTCCCTGCCTCAAAGTTCGCAGTAACACGATTAATCCCAATCCCCTCAACAATAGTATCAACCTGCCGTCTCCGCCTGGTTCCCTCTCGCTCCTTAAGATCAAACATAACACCATAAACAACCCGATTAAACAGCCCACTTCCCTGCGGATCAGCAAGAACAACAGTAAGCTTAGGCAAAAGAGGCTTCAAAAACCTCGCCACGCCAGAAATCGTCCCGCCAGTCCCGGCGCCCGCAACGAAGGCGTCAAGTCGCCCGTCACATTGGGCGTACAGCTCTGGTCCTGTACCTTCGTAGTGGGCGCGCCAGTTGGCTTCGTTTTCGAATTGGTCAGCGAAGAATCCCCGTCCACGCTTCATGCTCTCGTCCGGTTCGGGGAGGTCGGCTTTCTCTTCTGCTGATGCTGCGGATGGAGATGGGGGTGGAGAGAGGCCGGATGAGGCCGTGTGCGTCTTTGCTAGTGCTCGTGCGCGATTGACGAAATTGTCTTTTTCGACGATTGGGGCTGGGGGAACCCTATCGACTATTGCGCCGAGCTTTAGGAGCAGGTTTGATTTTTCAATTGCCTGGTCTGAGGGCATGCAGCTGGGTTGGGTTTAGTTTTGGTTTCTGTTTGGTGAATACTTGGTATTTGGTGCATACATGTGTGCTAGGTAGCCTTTTGCGCGGGCTAGAGTTGCTAGTGAGATTCCGGTTGATCCTGACGTTCCTTCGTAGATTGTGTCACCTGAATGGGGCGTCAGGATTCCTTGCTCTTCGGCCTGTTGGGGTTAGTGAGTCTAATCTGGTGTTGTGATGTATGACTTTTGGATTTACATACAATCTCAATCATGCTTAATGCAACTCGGTCTTTGGAGCTTTGACCGGCGCCGTTCAGAAACTGCATACCTTGTCAGTTATGTTCTTGGAGCTATATCAATGCGCATACCTCTGCCTTGGCCAGGATCTCACATCCTGTCTCGTCTGATAATGATTTGATTCGGAAAAGAGGCGTGTTTCCAATACATCCCTCAATTCCTTCGACAATGGTTGGTGGTCCAGGTCGGGCGACTAGGTCTTTGGTTCGCGGTTGCTCTGTCGCATTCTCATCTTGCTTTGATCGAGATAGTTCTTTATATGTGAGAGCCAAGCAGACTCCAGCCACAAAGGCCGTGCCAATATATGCCGTGGAATGATCAGGCATTGTGTTCAAGGACTTTTTCTGTACTCGATAGACGTGCGCATAGGAGATAAAGTTCGGACAACTTAAGAATGTTCGATGGGAGGCTCAAACAGACATTGCATCACGGTAAATGGTCTCTAAGGTGCATATCAACTGATTCGATTAATAAATCAAAGTACTCAGCCGGAGTGTCGAGCAAGAACCAACCTTGAAGTGAAGCTCAACCTTGCCTCACGTGCCATTCTGCCTCAGGCCTCCACAACTAGTTCTCCAAACGTTCTCCATCCCCAGAACATCAGCTCTTAGGTCACAATGGACTCGCCAGTCCTCACCCAGCTGTTCCGACAGCTTTTCCGCCACCCAGCATGCCAATCATTAAGGCGACGACCATATTCTCTCACCGGACCCCAGACTCGAACCTTTCTCTCCCGGCGCACACCCCCCAAGCGCAAAACGCAAGATGACTCTTTGCTTTGGACAAAACGCGGGGACTACCCTAAAAACATCGATGAGGAGTACCGTACATATCCACAGGTCACAGCGAAGGAACTTCGGAGTCGGCGCGAACGGCCGCGGCAGGTTAAGATGTTGACGCGCGAATTCATTGACGGTAAGTTCGGCGGGCGAAACATATGCAACGACATCTGACATTGTGATTCCAGACAGTCTCTATAATCCTCATTATGGGTACTTTTCCAAACACGCGACTATTTTCAGTCCCGGCGAACCGTTCAATTTCAACGCCATCGAGGATGGGCCTGCTTTCCACAAACTCCTAGGCCAACGGTATACGGAGTTTGAGGACTTGCTAGATGAGACGAATCCAGATATTGCGCGGCAATTATGGCATACACCCACCGAGTTGTTCCGGCCGTACTACGGAGAGACAATTGCGCGGTATCTAGTGTCAAACTACAAGTTGACCCTGTACCCATACCACGACCTGATCATCTACGAGATGGGAGCAGGAAACGGAACAATGATGTTGAACATACTCGATTTCATCCGTGACACAGACTACGAGGTGTACCAGCGAACGAAGTTCAAGATTATTGAGATCTCTCCCGCGCTAGCAGATCTCCAGTTCAAAACCTTGACCGACAAGCTCACAGCCAAGGGCCACCGGGACCGTGTGGAGATTGTCAACCGGTCAATCTTCGACTGGGACACATACGTGCATTCTCCATGCTTCTTCCTAGCTCTCGAGGTCTTCGATAACTTCAGCCACGACACCATCCGCTACAACCAACGCACGGAAATGCCCCAGCAGGGCGGTGTCCTAATCGACGCTGACGGCGAGTTCCACGAGTACTACAACAACCAACTAGATCCCGTTGCTGCTCGCTTCCTGCGTGTGCGCCAAGCTGCTGCCCGTCGGCCTTTCCCGAGTCCCTTGGGTCCATCTCTTCTCCGTGGCCTGCGCTCTGCCGCGCCTTTCAGCAAGGAATACTCCCAGCCGGAGTATATCCCCACTCGACTGATGCAGTTCTTCGATATTCTGAATCAATACTTCCCGGCACATCGATTGGTTTCCAGTGATTTTAGCTCTTTACCGGATGCCGTACCCGGTATCAACGCACCTGTCGTGCAGACCCGGTACCAGCGGCAGACAGTGCCGGTGACAACTCCCTTTGTATGTTCTTCCGCTCTACACGTACGTTGACTTCAACTAATGATTATTCATAGGTTCACCAAGGCTACTTTGATATCTTCTTCCCTACGGATTTCAATGTAATTGAGGATATGTACCGTGCTGTGACGGGCAAGTTGACCCAGGTCACCAGCCATGAAGAGTTTGTGCATCGCTGGGCTTACATTGAGGATACTGAGACGCGTAATGGGGAGAACCCTTTGCTGAGCTGGTATAAGAATGCTAGCATGTTGATGACTGTGTAGATAGGATAGCAATACCAATTCCATGGGCTCCATAGGTGCCATGAGCTTCAATTAAAGAGCATAGCGAAGAAATTGAGCGGGCTTGGGCCACGTTCCTCTGGAAGCACTTTTCTCTCTAATGGAATACGTGCATCATCGTAGATCTGCCCCGAATCATATCTGAGCACCACAATAGATCTAGTAGAGATCAACGTACGGAGACCCTTAACGGACACTATATGGCCAGTGCGGAGGCAACTTTCTAGAGGACTAAGTCCATGCAGTAAAAAAATAAGGAAAGAGGTTGGCTCAGACAGAGCTCGCGGGTGGCAGTACCCCAAAGAGATCTGGGTCCATGCTGGAAGTTTTCGACGTAATTACCGATCAATCACATTGGACTCATTATATTCACATGTTCTGCCTACGTGCCAGCATTAATAGTGTCCCAAAAAAAGGCTTGAGCTTTGTATTCAACGAAAACAAGGTATCATGATTTATAGTCGTCGACCATTTACATGGTAAGACGTCATGAATGCATCTCATGAGAGTGTTGATCATCATTTGTATGCACCTCCTTACCCCCACGCTCATCATCACGCTCCTTACGAACATCCATCCATTTCCTCATAGGCCCCCACTTGCGACACGTATGAGTCTGCCCAACCCCAAGGCCAATATGATCCCCGCCGAAGAAATAGAGAGGCACCGGCGACATATCTCCTTGGCATTGAATAGACTGCCGGAGTTGATCAAGGCAATGGTCCATATGAATACGACTCCAGTCATCTGGGAAATGAGGAGATTCTTGAATACGTTGGTTGAATGTTTGGTGGTGTCCCATATGCTGTGAATAATAGTCCGAGTCGAGCTTCATTCGGATTGCATTTAGGCAGTGGAGGGAGTGGAACATGTCTGGTCTTGTGGGATGTTAGATTGGGTTCATAGCAGAGTATTGGGGGTATGGGTGTGTTGATTACTTACTCCATGTGGTAATGGTGCTTGGTGGGATCAGTGTTGAGGTCTGCGTCGAATGGTGCCGCTTCTTCCTCGGTCATATCGACAAATTCACCTGTAAAAGAAGTCCTTAGTAGAAATCTCGAATGTGGAATGTAATGACTATACCTCGAAGGAGATCATCCCAGGCGGCATCGATTTCAGGGCTGGGAAGCCCGAAATATTGAGGCTCGGAAGGGTCAACGTCTCTATAGACCTTGCCTATCGTCTCATTGTACCAGAATCTTCCAGTGTAAACACGTTCCTCGTATGAAATATATGGGTGAGAATCTTTAAAATCGGTTCGGAAGGCCGGCGATGCGGTCACACAGGTGGACCAGCCATTGATTTGTTGTTGGAATAGTAGGTACGCAGAAATCAGGGCGAAAGTAATGGTAGAAGCTATCCATGGCCAGACGAGGCTAATATATGACTTTCGGTGCGGCTTATGTTCAATGAACTCTGAGCTGGTTGGAGATTCAAGGTCTGAATCTTCGTGATGGACTGGCTGATAGATATGTTCTTTGAAGGGGTCGACTATTGCCATAACGGAGGTAGAATACTTTCGTGACTGGGAAATCGAAATGAAAAGGGACAGTAATGGAATTTCTGCGAAGTTTTCTGTTGTTTCAAGTGCTGAAAACCAGGGGGACGGCGGAGAGTATGAAAGCTGAGACGCACAGTATCATGACGCTCAGGTGAGCCTAAGATTTAGCTCAGCAAGCTTCATAGCAAGAATGCATCCTCGTGCATGATGTAGTATTTCGGTCAATCTCGGTGTAGAGGTGGGTGCAATGCATAGATGCAAGGATCGACACACATTAGATGACGCTATGTATGATCGAGAATCGAGGATCTACAGATACATTGCATTATGTGATCTATACCTCCACCTGTAGACCCTGTTTAGTCTGTTTAGTCCCCATTTTTAAGGATTGCTCGCGGACTTGCGGGTCATGATCCACATCAGCCCTGAGCCGATCTCGAGGCTATTGTTTTTGACGTCGATCTAGGGGTGATCTTCGACCCTAGATGTATTGGTGAGATCATTGTAATCCAAAATAGTGGAGAATTAGAAAAGTAAACCTCATACTGCATTCTTTAATACTGAGTCTGAATTTTGTGACGAACACCATGCTCCATAATGACCTCGTCGATTTGTCGATAAGCACTTCGTGCAGAATGATCTACCACGATCGCTGTCTCGGACTCATCTGCAAGGGGGCAAACTGCATAACCCAACTGAGGGAGCTTCGAAGAGTCACGATCGATCTATGATCAGAACTCTCTATAAAGATACCCAGGTGCGTCCACCCTTAGCTATAACAAATTCCAGTTTTCAACTCCAACACATCACGTCAAGTGAGCACAAATCGTTTGCCTACAATTTTACCTTCTGCTAATCAAACTTTAGTCCACATTCGCAAACATGAAGCTTTCCATGCTCACCCTCGCTATGAGTGCCAGCTTGGCTCTCGCTACCCCCCTCAACCAGCGCAGCGATGAGATTACCAACCGTGCCCTGACTGGCGAGAACGCTGCCCTCGCCAATGAGGCTGGTGATATCACTAAGCGTGCTCTCACGGCTGAGGATGCTGCTGCAATCACCAAGCGAGCTCTGACCGCTGATGAAGTACGAACAGTCGCCAAGCGTGCTTTGTCCGATCATGAGATCGACGCAATTACCAAGCGGGCCTTGGCTGCTCTCGAAGACGAAAACATTACCAAGCGTGGTGCTGGCGCATACAAGCGTGCCGTTGCTGGCGAGGAGGCTGCCGATATCACCAAGCGTGGTAATGCTGAATACAAGCGTGCCCTCGCTGGCGAGGAGGCTGCCGATATCGCCGAGCGTGGTGTTGGCGCATACAAGCGTGCCTTCACTGCTGAGCAGGGTGATAAGATCACCAAGCGTAGAGACAATGTGGAATAAATGTCTCTTTCAGTATCATGAAGGGTCTGGCTCCTGTTCATCACCGGTTACCTCTGGCTGCTGAATACTTTGTGAAAGTACCTGGGCTAGGTTTGAAGAAGAGTAAATGGCTTTCAATTGAGCCAGCGACTTTGAATTATGATAATGATGAATTGTTACAAGTAAAGCTAAACTCTCCAACATCGTAGACTGAAGCCCTAATTGCTTATCTCACCACCTCAGGTGAGGGGAAACCACCTCGGCTGGTTTACGACTTCATCTCTTCAACACTTTTATCAATCTATCTATACATCTATGACAATGACCATCGACACAGATTCAAAGGCAGAATTCAAACAGACCCCAACATGGAACAACGTCGTTGCCGAAAAGCGCTCCACCCAGCTAAATCTCATTCCAGAAAGCTGGCGTCTCCCAGCTGAGGTCCTAGTAAACCCCCCAGCATCAAGTCTAGAAATAATACGGTCCAGTGGGATTCTCTCCGCGGAGGAACTAGAATGGACTGAGAGAACAGATATCCGCGAGCTAGTCTCGCTGATTACTAGCAGAAGTATAACAAGCCAACAGCTCACAACAGCTTTCTGCAAGCGGGCTGCAATTTCCCAGCAGGTGAATAAATGCCTGACGGAGATTTTCTTTGAAAAGGCAATCCAGAAAGCGAGACAGCTCGATGAAATTCTTGTGCGGACTGGTGAGGTTGTTGGGCCTTTGCATGGTGTTCCTGTTTCTGTCAAGGATCGTTTTGATGTTGAGGGGGTTGATACTACTGTTGGTATGTTTATTCTTATTGCAACTACTCATGCTACATTATCTGGCTCTAATTTGAAATAGGATGGGTCGGTCTTACGAATAAGCCCGCTCAATCAAATAGCTCGGTTGTACAGCTGCTTGAATCTATGGGTGCGGTGCTATATGTCAAGACCAATGTGCCGCAGTCTCTCATGGTACGCTCTATCTTATCACTCCGTTTAGATTTCAAATATCGAGTATCCATTCACTAACCCCTGCCAGATGTCAGACTCATACAACCACGTCTTCGGCCAATCTGTCAACGCATTCAACCACGCCCTAATCTCCGGCGGAAGTTCCGGTGGCGAAGGCGCACTAGTTGGCAGCAGAGGAAGCGTTTTAGGAGTTGGAACTGACATCGGTGGTTCGATTCGAGTTCCATCAGGTTTGCAAGGTTTATACTCCATCTGCCCGACGACGGGTCGAGTGCCGTGGGATTGTTCCTTGTAAGTCACTATACATATCATCGGTAAAGGACCACTTCAAACGGTCTGATCTTCTAGTCTACATCAACACTACCTCATCCCACCAGTCGCCGGACCGATGGCTACATCTCTCGCTACGACGGAGTATTTCATGGAAAGTCTACTCAAGTCTGACCCGTGGAATATTGACCCCGGTGCTATTCCCATTCCCTGGAGGAAGGAACTAGCAGCTCCTCCGACAAATAGGAAATTGAGACTTGGCGTTGTATTTGATGATGGTGTTGTTAAGCCTCAGCCGCCTGTTGCGCGGGCAATGCGCGAGACGGTGGCTGCTTTGAGAGCTGTTGGTCATGAAGGTATATACACAGTTTGAATTATGAGGCGGTATGCATGTTAACCCTAATACCAGTAATCGAATGGGATACAAGCCTCCACGTCCCGGTAACGAATCTATGGACGAGAGGCATCCTCGCTGACGGCGGGCAACACTGCCACAGTCTCTGTCAGATAGTCGACGAGCCATTGATTGAAGGGATGGTAGTAGGAACGGATAAAGATCTTCTAACAATCCAAGAGCGAGAGAAGGTAAGAACCCGAACATGCCAGCACACAAACAAGACTCTACTAATCGCATGGATGCAGCTCGAAGAAACAAAATATGCCCTCCAAACCACATTCCTCAAACAATGGGTAGGATCAGGCATCGACGCCCTTATCATGCCCGTCCTCCCCTGGGTAGGCTACAAGCCCAAGACGTGGGTGCGCAGTAAACAATGGCTAGGATATACAGCTATGTGGAATTTGCTGGATTATGCTGGTGTCACTGTTCCTGTTACTAGGGCTGATCGAGGTCTTGATTCTATTGGGAGTGGGTTGGATGTTGAGTGGGAGGGTCATGTTATTCGGAATGAGTCTGATGCGTTTAATTATTTGCAGTGTGAGTTTCTTATTTATATCGGGGAGATGGAGAGGGGAAGCGAGAGAGAGTATATGCTAACTGTGTTTGTGTTAGATGATATTGACCGCGTGCATGGAATGCCTATTTGTGTGCAGATTGTCGGTGGTCGTTTTGGCGAGGAAAAGGCCGTTGCAGTTGGGAAGGTGGTGGATGAGTTGATAAATCCTACCCCTTTCCATTCATAGGGCTCAGATTGGAGGATTATACAGTACATGTATAGCAATGCATTCATGCTCGTGGAATCGTTCTCGATATGTATGAGGGATAATTGCCCTCGGCCGTAGATGTAGATCCCTTCTAAACAGCCAAAAAAAATAAAAAGTTGATACAATGCAGCCAGGCCATTTGCCATGAAACCGGTAGATATCCCATAAATTCCCATCCCATCTCCAAACCACCGATCAAGCGGCTAACAAAGAACAAAGAACAAAGAACAGCAAACCTAGAATTCAAACTCCTTACGGAAGATGTTCACGTCCATACCGGCGACAACCTGGTCAGCCAGGTCTCTCCGGCCCATCTGGCTGAAGACCCGGCGCAGCGTATCGTAAAGATTAGTGCTCTGATTCTGACTGATATGCAGCATGCGCTCGAGACGCTCGTCGTCTAGACCATCGGGGTGAACGCCGTCGTTGATGATCTCACGTGCACGTTCACGGCCCTCCTGCTCGACGACGCGGTGCATGGACAATGCGCCGAGGAGGTGCTGAGCGGCTTCGGGATAGCAGCCGATGTTGATACAGGATACACCGAGATTGTAGCGGGCGCGGACAAAGTTGGGGTTAATGTTGAGGGCCTGTTCGTAGGCTTCGATGGCTTCCTCGGAGCGGCCGGAGTTGGCAAGGGTGGCACCAAGGCGGTTCCAGAGGAGGTGCAGCTGTTCTTGTTGATTTGTGCTGCCAGATTCCGTGGATGCAAGGGCTGCGGAGAAGCAGTCCACGGCCTTTTCGTATTCCTCGGCGCAGTAGAATAGCACACCCAGGCCGACTTGGACGTCGGGGTCCATCTGGGCACCTGAGGGAGAGAGCTGGGCTGCTTGGATGAAGAGCTCTGTTACTCGGTCATGCAGGAGCTGGCGGTCTGTGAAGCCGAGATCGGAATCACCAGATACCTCCTTCGGGTCGATGATAGTCGGGTATTTGTTTGACAGCCAACGCTCGAGTGTGCGGTAAGCAGTCGAGTCGTAACCCTCGTTGGTGTACGAGACAGCAAGACCCATCAAGGCATCCAAGTTCCCAGGGTCAACCTTCAAAGCCTGCTCCAAAGCACGAATAGCCGGCAATTCCTTCTCATTCTGCGCCTGCGCAGACCCCAGCATCGTCCAAGCGTGCACATGCTGCGGGTCTTTCTGGACTGCAGCCTCAAATGCCAGTGCTGCAAGGGACAGGTTACCGCCCTCGCGCATGATCTTCATACCCTCCTCGAACGGATTACCCACAGCCTGGTAGACATTGTCTTCCTCGAACATATAGTCACCAAGCTGAGGATCCCGGAAGCGAGAGTTCAGACTGTCAAAGCCCTCCCAGTCACCCAAATCGCCAACGTGCACGTTATCAGTAACCTCGAACTCATTCTCTTCGGCAAGTTTCCTGCTCGTCGCTGTCTCAGCCTGAACTCGTTCCCAAACGGACTCAAAGGCGTCATCATGGGGCACTGACCTGTCCAAATCGTTCAGCTCCGCCTCCATTGCCGCATTAGCCTCGTCATCCGTCCGAGTCTCATTGCCAGCAGTCTCCATCTCAGCAAACTGCGCCTCCCAATTCTCATCATCGAGCTCGACCATCCGGCCCTTTCCCTTATCCTGCGTCTGACCCTCCATAGGTCCCTGCTGCATGCCCATCTGCCCACCCATCATAGGCTGCATCATGCCCATACCTCCCATCCCCATGTATCCACCACCCATGCCCATCGGCCGCTGATAGCCAGACATCATAGGCGTGGTCGAGGTAGCCGGGCTGGACGTCTGAGGCATACCCATCCGGTTCTGCTGCTGGAAGCGGGAGAATTCAGCCGGCGAGAATCCAGACCCGTTGTTCATCTGTCCTGGGAAGGCAGCTTCCATGCGAGCCTGCTCGCCGGAGTCGAACTCCGCTGCCCACCCGGGCGATCCTGTGCGGGCTGGCGCTGTCTGGAAGTTGTCCAGCTCGCGGCGCATGTGCTCCATGGCAAATGGCTGCGGTGGAGGGCCGTTTAATTGTTGTCCTGGTTGCTGCATGAAGTCGTCCATCATCTATTGATGTTTCCCGACGAGGTCAGTTTCCGCTCGGGAATGGTTAGCTGGCTGTTGATTTACTTACTTGGTCTTGTCCGCCCATCATGTTTCGTGATCGCATGCCTTCTTGCATGCCCGGCCCGCGGCCGACCAGTCGGTCGCGCTGTAGTGACTTATCATCTTGGACGTGCTTTGTGAATTGAGTGAGGGGGTTTCCCGCCGTGGAGCATTCCGCACCACCAAGGAACGACATGGCGTATATGTGGTAATGTAGTCTGAGGTTGAAGTTCGGGAATTAACACAAGGGAAGAGGAGATGTAGAAAGGCGTAGTTCCCCCGGATGTTGAACGTGGGGTTGGCCGATTGACTCTTTCCAGCCGAGGTTCCCCGGCCGGTCACGTGGGAGCTTATAAATGCATACTGCCATTTTGAATCTGTTGTACAAAGTGATATTTACATTCAACCTCACACGTCGACTTTTCAAAGATTTCCCTTGGAACTGCTCCAAGTTCACTCCTTCCAATTTGGCTCCTGAGCCTCCTGGATCTCTCTCTCACGGGCATCACGATCCTTCTTTTCCAGGGCCTTTTTCTTCTTCTCAAGCTTCCTCTGGTTTGTTTGCTCACGGAATTCCAAACTCATGACCTTGGTTCTGGCATAGCTCACATTCAACTTGCGGCCGTAAGGCGCTCTGCGAGATAGCTTCTCCTTGCCATCAGTGGCGCTCAGCTGATCGATGAAATCAACATGGGCAAATCCACGTGGTAAGCCTGTGCGGCGATCAACGGGAACACGGATATCATCCACGCCCTTGATATCCTCAAACAGATTTTGTAGATCCTGATCTGTCAATTCGTAGGGAATATTACCGATGAAGAGGGTTAAGGAAGGGCGCTCTTCACTCTGGGCGCGGTAAACAGTGTTGGCAAATTGTACAGTAATCTGGCGGCCCTCGAAAATAGTCTCATTACCTCCTCTAATGGCATTGGCGGCTTCCTCGGTGGCGCTGAAGGTGACATAACCGAAGCTGAAACGTAGATTAGCAAATGGTGCCAGCCGATCACTGATAGTCCAAACTCACCCTTTGCTTAATCCTCGGGAGTCATGCACAACGACTGAGTTCTCCACCACGCCGAATTGCTCAAATTTAGAGCGCAAATCCTCGGCAGTCACATCGAAGAACAGGTTTCCAACGTAGACCGTGTTCTTTGGCGACGCTTGTTCTCTCATGTTGGTACGTCTCGGTTGCCTTGGGGCTACAGGGCGTGACGCAGCCCTCTCTTCCAATTGCTCCCAGCCTTTAACCTCATCAAATCCCCTCGGTTTGGTGTAGCGGATAGAGGGACGCTCGCTGTTCCATCGCATCTGTGTGGCTGAGTTGACGGTCCGCGCGGTAAATAGCGATGTTGAGGAGCCACATTTTGATTGTGATAGTGTTCTGGAGGCGATCGAGGAGACAGGAGTAGCTGGCGACAATTGAAGCCGACAAACGGCCCGGCGGAGACCGTGCCTGCGGAGTGAATCAGCATGAGTTGATTTTCAATTGTGGGGTACGACAGCACGCCGTAATAAAGAAATCAATTCGGTTAGACTTACATTTTAAAAGAAATCAACTCGTGGTGATTCGGACCAGAACAGAAAGTTGGCTCGACAACTTTGGAATGATTTCCGCCAACAATATTGGTCACGTGGTTTGATTTATATCAGCTTATCGTACGATGCCAAGGACAATTCGTTTTGAACTATTTGAGGAGGTTATATCTCGGAAGAGTGGAGGATATATTGGAATATTCCTATGGTATGATACATTATATAGCCCAGTACACCGATAAATCCGTCCAAATCCAAACAGCTTTTCCCATTCGCTAAAAGTCTTCCCACTGGTAATCATAGTTGCAATTCCGTATTCAAACACAGAAAACAAGCAATGAGATAGCATCATTTTCTCAGGATTTCAGACCAATACATCAATCCGGTATGTGCATAAGAAACAAAATCATTCAAGCGTAGAGAGATCGAATCATATATCATGATACAGATAGGTTATAGTCCGCCTTGGCCTCGACCAGTATTACCTGGTGGAGGCATTGGCGCACTATACCCAGACACTGGTGGAACTCCACTGTCAGGACTATTAGATGGCGGTGTAAACATTGTTGGTAGTCGTTGCAGGCCAGGAGCGGTTCCGCTGCTTGACATTGAGGGTACCCGGGTGGAAGCGAGAGGACTTGATACTGAAGGCTGTGACATGCCTCCAGATTGAGGTGTTGGCTGCCGTTGGGCATCCATCATGGGCCAGAATTGATTTGATGAGTCGAGAGTTGGATTTTGGAGATATGTGTCCCAAGCATCCTGGTATCATGTTAGCATCAATACTTCATACGGGTTGAAGAGTAAAGCCTACCCAGTCAAGATTAACTTGCATGTCCGGCATTTGACCGAACATGCTACTGAATGGCGAAAGTGCACCACCTGGCATTTCGGCCGAGGTGCCTGCGCCTATTGGCATTGGCGAGTCACTCATTTTGAACATAGGATCAGCGAATGGAGGCGGGCCCGGGTTCATTGGGCTCATCCCGCTGCTCAGCAAGCCAAGAGTCATCGCAGCATTCTGCTTCTCATCTTGGGGCTCAAATGTAGCAGCCCCAGCACTATTCTCAAGGGTAGGGGCTACCATGAGCAATTTGCTGAGCATCACACCGAGAACACTAGAGGCCTTGTATGCCTCCATGCTCTCATCTTTCATTTCATCCCAGATCTCTTTCGAGCGCTGAAGCGCCGTCATCATCTCTTCGCGCCGCTCCCGGCCCCATGTGTACGTGTCTCCTGATGGCCGTCCTGAAACCTGCATTTGCAGGCCTTGGTACAGATCGAGAGAGACGACTGTCGCTGAGAGCAGGAAGTCGGCCGAGCTTAGAGAAGTGATTTTGCTCTGACGGGTGCGCAAACGTCCTTTGCGTAGTTCTGTGTGCAGGAGCCCTTGGACTTCTAAGAGTTCCATTGCTGAGTCGATACATGTTCTTCGAGAATACGTGAAGCGAGGATTCTCTCTGGCACGAGCCAAATACGGTCGATGGAGCACACATTGTGCTTTATCATAGACGGCCTTGACCTGCACGAAGATTTAGTATCGATAATTGGTGTATGCTTCAAGCGACTTACGGCAAATCGGGACATGATGAGGTTGCAAGGGTCTAACTGGCAATCTTCCATGGGTCGGATTTTTAGGTGAGGAGGAATCAGGTCTCTTGCCTGTCGAAGCTCCGCATCGGCTTCCATCACATTCTCATATGACGTGTTCGAAATAGCAGAGCTCTGTTCAATGACACGGCCGAAGGCATATGTCAACCGCGCCTTGGCAATCAAGTATGAGATTGGCGTAGGTTCGCTCAACGGACGAGATGGGGGAAGCTCCTTGCAGTCTTCGTCAAAGTCATCATCGTACAGATTGCTTGGTAGTTCAGTATCGCTGTCGGTGGAGCGGATCATGCTTGGCAGTCCAACCTGGAAAGAGAACAACAGATCGGCCTGACGCACAAAGCTCCATACTCGCCGTCGCATCTCGCCCTGGAAAGGTGTGATGTTCGGGAACATTTTGGAGTCGCGGTGGTATCCTGATCGCATTGCCAAGCGTGTAATAACACCAGCCAGTACCCAAATTGAGACGTCAGTCTCCCGACTTTGCGAAAAGTCACCATGGAGATGGAACACCAGCGCTTCGATCAGATACGGATGGGGTTTTGTGTAGTCGGCCAAGGTCAAACATTGTGCCACGGAATTGCGGAATCCTCCTGCCATGTCCATGGATTTACCTCTGAACTCAGGCGGTTCGTCACCTTCGTTGTAATATGATAGCATTGCTAGTCTCATCATTGCAAAGAGCATGGCAATCCAGACAAGTTCTGTTTGAGAAGGGTCTTCCCAATGTTTGTTGTACTAGACGAATCAGCCCTATTCCGATACCTGTTACCACTGTAACACTTACCTGTGCTTGGAACGTGGGCCCGTGCAGAATATCTAAAACAAGGTCAGGATGTCTTCAACATCATAAAGCTATGGACACTCACGCGTTGCAGGGTCATAACAGTTGAAATAGCGAGTCACGAGGAGATCAGTAGTGTATTTGGATGGCAACGCAGACATGATCTCGCCGCGGCTCATCGGCTTCATCACACCGAACAACAAAGTCGACCCAGGTACATCAGTGGGCGGTCGAGCGGCCTTGACTTTTTCAAATTGCTCTTCAAATTGCTTCTTATGTGTTGAGAAGAAATTCCGCACTTCGGAAATCTATTGAACCGTTAGAAATGCGCAATCTCAGCGAAACATCCCGACTTACATCATTCAATATAGAAGCCCAGTGAGCATTCCCCATATAATAGGACTTGTTATTGTCCATCTTCATGACACCGAACGATTTGGTCACCTGTTCAGTGTCGCTCTCTTCAAGACCCATGCCCTCCTCGTCGATATCGAGTTCATGAGAAGGGCCAGCCGAACCCGCACTACTTTCTCCCGAAATGGCAGCCATCGCAGCAGCCGGACCGGCAGATTGGGATCCATTTGTCATCAACGAGAGCACCAACCCTTCTAACCGATCGATGCGATTCTGCATATCATCTGGCGAGTTCGATGAGGACTGCTGAGGCGAGTTTTTCTTTCGGGAGCTTGCTTGCGCGTAGTTACATGAGACGGCGTCGCCTCGTTTGACACAGTTTTCGCAGGGGTTGGAACGATTGCATTTCAGCCTGGAACTGTTAGAGATACGCGACCTTAGCCATATCTTGAATTGCTTACTTTCTGTGTCGGCATGGACCACACGACAGAGGTACACGATTTCGCTTCCGGACTACTCTGTAATCAGGAGAGTGGCCTGCACTCGACGAGTTTGTAGAGGGGGGTGTGGGTGTCATTTTGCTGGGAAGTGGCATAGTCGTATAAGCTGGGTATCAGATGGGTATATAGTAGGTTCGAAGGGGCGGTGAGATAGTGGGAATTGATCCCAGTCCAGTAAGGCTATGCGCTGTGAGCCGTGCTCTTTGGCGGGGTTCTCACACACGCTGTCGCAGTCGCGCAACGCACTGAATCAGCGCAATTATTCCGCACGGTTTGTCGCAATGGCTTGTCGGTACTTAGAGCGCAGAGTAAATTGAGTTGAAGTGGTTCCCAGGCCTCTAGTTCCACGGAATCACTGTGTCGTGAGCACTGATGTCTGAGAACTTGGCGTATCGTTAGGCAACCGCGCCAAACCCGAACCACAGAGCTTATATGTGAATTTGAACGTCGCAAGTGATTTGCGACCTTGGTGTGATTCAAGTCGTTCGTATTCAGCTGAATGTCGATGCGATGTGATGGGACGATGCGCGAAGCTTGTGCAAGATGGAGGGGTGTGTGGTGTCTGGCCGGTGGTGAGATAGACAACTGAAGGCTTCAGCACTAGGCGATGGAGTCCAGATTAAAGAAATGTCTCCAACAAAGAAATGTTCAGGGAGTTCAGGAGTGTAGGTGAAGGAAGGTTGGACGAAACTCGATGATTAATCCGTTATCTCCGTTTTTGGGGAGATGATCTCACGCACACGAGAGTCCATACACGCACTGCACGCCTGCACATACAGATCACACTCGGACTACTTTGAATGTTTTTAAATACTAGCTGCAATTTGCTTTCTTAGATAAGCTTGTATATCACAGAGCAGCTCAGGCCTCTCTTAACTCCGACCCTGTTGCGTTCTACACTTAGCTGATTGGCTGTACCAAACGACCAGTGACTCATCTGTAGAGGTCCAAATAAGCGGATTGTTGATTTATGAGGCACTTGATATCTTTGTGTCCTTATAAATCCACGCGTTTGGCCTCAATTTCAACACCTATGTTAACAGTTCATATTACACGTAACTTGTTTGCTATGAAACAAGCTGATACCTTTTATCTGTAGATAGGCGCCAGTTCGTACCCCTGCATTTGCTGGCAAACAAACGATGAGTACATAACCCCATTGCTTTCCCCATATAATTTTCTTCCTTCCCGCCTCCCTTACATGGACCATTCATCTATAGCTGGGACATTTAACCATGAGTGACAACCCTAGAGGTCGTGGACGTGGTGATCGGGGACGTGGGGATCGTGGTCGTGGTGATCGTGGCCGCGGTGATCGTGGCCGCGGTCGCGGTGACTTACCCTTACGCCCCGCTGGCAGAGGAGACGGAGATCGTGGAGGTTTCCGCGGGGACTTTCGTGGCCGCGGTGACAGAGGTCGTGGTGACTTCCGTGGCCGTGGAGATTTTCGTGGTCGTGGCAGAGGAGATGGTGGACGCGGCCGTGGAGGACGCGGTGGAGTTATGAACCACGGCCCGCCCATCTTCAGGTCAGCTCTTCTCTCTATAATTTGTCGATATCATCTAACGATTTATCAGACAAGACGAGCCTATTCCTCCACCTAGCCCCACCGTTACTAAGACCGAGGATAATATCGCCAAAGCCCTCGCTATCAACGGTGCAAAGGCCCCCAGGCAAGCCAAATATCCTGAGCGTCCTGGTTACGGCACTGTTGGCAGACCGGTGATTCTATATGCCAACTACCTACCCTTAAGCCTGCCTAACAAGCAGCTGTTCCGTTATCATATTACGATCGCGGCTGATGCTGCGGGCCGGACTGCACCGGTGGGCAAAAAGGCCCGGCAGATTGTGTGTCTGTTGTTGGACGAGCACTTCCCCCAGCAGAAGAGCAGTATCGCGTCTGACTTCCGTTCCACGCTGGTGTCAGGTGTCAAGCTGACGGAGGGCACCTACGATGTGCGATACAAGGAGAATCTGCTGGATGACTACCCTGAAGCTCCCCGCGTGCATCAAGTCACTGTGCAGTACACCGGTCAGGTCAATCCGGTTGATTTGCTGAACTACTTGACTTCCACCAATGCCGGTGCGATCCTGGACTCCAAGTCTGAGATCGTTGCTGCTCTTAACATGATCATGGGACACCACCCTAAGACTGACGATAGTGTTGTCTCTGTCGGAGCCAACAGACACTATAGTCACCGGCCAGGTATCCAGGAGTCATACAACCTTGGTGGTGGTCTTTCCGTCCTCCGTGGATTCTTCGTCAGTGTGCGTGCTGCCACAGCTCGCGTCCTCTTGAACGTGCAGGTCAAGTACATCGCCTGCTACGATGAAGGACCTTTAGCCAATGTGATCCAAAGCTACGGCGGCCGAAACACCTACCGTCTGGAAAAGTTCCTTAAGAGCATCCGGGTCCGTATCACGCACATTGCCCGGAAGAACAGCCGCGGTGAAGCCCGCCCTCGTATTAAGCCTATCCATGGGCTTGCCAACCGCGGTGACGGTGGTAAATCACCCAACGCACCTAAGGTTGCTCGTCATGGTGCCGGTCCTGCCGAGGTGGAGTTCTTCCTTGTCGAAGCTGGCCCTAAGCCTGGCACTCCTGGTGCTACGCCTAAGCCCAAGGGAAAGAAAGCACCCAAGGCTGGTCCTGCTGAAGCTGGACGCTGGATTTCCGTTGAAGCATTCTTCAAGAAGGGTACGTGAACCTTCACCTATCGGTCACTTTTTTCTTACTTGATGCTTATTTCACATTTAGAGTACAACCTCTCTCTGAATCGAGATCTACCTGTGGTCAATGTCGGATCTCGCGAGAAGCCTGTCTATCTTCCCGTTGAAGTCTGCGAGGTCGAGCCCGGTCAACCAGCCAAGTCAAAGCTGTCCGGTGATCAGACTGCCCAGATGCTTCGCTTCGCCGTGATGGGTCGTAAACCAGGCCAGAATGCACACTCCATCGTTACTAAAGGTGTAGGCGTTTTAGGACTGGAGCCTCAGTGCTCTACCTTGGTGGGTGCCCTCGTTCCTAATCTCTGATCAAAATTGCTAACCGAATGCAGTCCGCCTTCGGTATCAGCTCCTCTACAGAGCTCATCACCGTTCCTGGTCGCGTTCTCCCCGCACCAAGCGTCTTCTACAAGAACGGCAAGCAAACCAAGGAAGTCCGAACCATGGCTGGCAGCTGGAACATGAAACAGATTCAATTCTCCCAGGCCAAGCAAATGAAGACCTGGACCTATCTCTACGTTGTCAGCGAAAGCAGCCGCCCAGTCTTCAACGCTCCTGAGGAACTTGAGACATCTATTCGGGGCTTCCGCAAAACCCTCATAGATATGGGGATGGCAGTCGACGTCCACAAACGCGGCAAGCGCGTAACCCTCACAGGACGCAACGACGCAGCCGACATCGAAAACGCCGTCCTCGATCTGCAAAAGGCATATAACCCAGTGTTTATCCTGGGAATACTCTACGCAAAGGACACAGCCATCTACAACTGCATCAAGCAGGTCTGTGACGTCCGATGCGGTATCCGCAACGTAAACGTACTGGCCGAAAAGCTCCGCGGCTCCAACGACCAGTACAACGCGAATGTGGGCCTGAAAATTAACCTTAAACTTGGCGGTGCAAACCAAAGCCTCCGCACCTCCGACCTCGGCATCATCTCCGAAGGCAAAACAATGCTAGTCGGCATAGACGTCACCCACCCGTCCCCAGGCTCGGCTGCCACGGCACCCAGCGTGGCGGGTATCGTGGCCTCAGTCGACTCAACGCTAGCGCAATGGCCAGCCGAAATCCGCGTCCAAGGCGCTCGCCAGGAAATGGTTGCGGACCTGGAAACCCTCCTAGCATCCCGTCTCCAACACTGGGCCAAATGCAACAAGAAGGCTCTCCCCGAGAACATCATCGTCTACCGCGACGGCGTCTCAGAAGGCCAATACAACAAAGTCATCGACGAGGAACTGCCCCTCCTCCAAGCCGCCTGCAAAAAGACCTACCCAGCCACGCAAATAGCAAAGGGCCTGCCACGCCTGTCAATCGTCATTGTCGGCAAACGCCACAACACCCGGTTCTACCCAACAACCGAGCAAGACTCGAACCGCGAGAACCCAATCCCAGGAACAGTCGTCGACCGCGGCGTCTCCGAAGCCCGCGACTGGGACTTTTTCCTACAAGCCCACTCCGCGCTCCAAGGGACAGCTCGGCCAGCTCACTACTTCACTGTCTGGGATGAGATTTTCTATCCGCGTCATCCTGCCAACTCGGGTGGTCCCGGTGCGGCGGATGTGTTGCAGGATTTGACACATAAGATGTGTTATATGTTTGGACGGGCGACGAAGGCTGTTTCTGTCTGTCCACCGGCTTATTATGCTGACCTTGTCTGTGCCCGGGCTAGGTGTTTCCTTTCGGATCTGTTTGATCCTACGCCTGTTGATGCTACTGGTGGGAGTGTCAGTGGTGCTACTGAGGGGACAGCTGATCTGGCTAGGATGGTTGATGTTGTCATCCACCCTAATATTGCAGATACTATGTTTTACATTTAGGGGTACTCCGTGGGAGTATGGAGTATGGTAGTGGTGGGAGGGGGAAAGTGGGTTTGGTTGGTGAATTTGGTGGATTTTATATGTTCATTCTCAGTTTGGATTTTGGAACATTGGTGAGATCATCATTGGTAGGAGGAACGAATGAGAGATATGACATGGTCTGAGATTGGAAGTTGGAACAACGTTAGAATGGAATAGATTGACTTGCTGGACGAAGACATCTGGAAGATATTTGAGGGAGATTTTAGTATCAAATTGAAGGAGGCCTAGCTTAGCAAGAAGCATAAATTGAAATTTGAAAAGTGGACTATGTTTGTTTCTCGTAGCGTCAGCTTCAATGCGTGGCTGTCTAGCCTCTATTCACTCCATTTCCACGATGCTACAGTGTATATATATATATCTCTCTCTACATCTTAAATTCTACAGGCCAATATCAAATAAAATAAATGGTCAAATTAACAGATATCGATCTGAATGGGTAAACTTATCCAACAGGAAGGCAAAGTACAGGTGTTAGAAGAAAGAAAGCAAAAGGCACAGCCGGGAAAAGAAGAATGACAAGAAGAGGGATAATAGGGCATTACGACCAGCAGACTCATTCGTACAAGCAGGCCAGACAGACACCTGTTAAAGTGCCCATCCCCTGGGATTTTGGTTTGCAAGTTTCGTTAGGACAAATCCTAAGTTCGTGCGGGTATCGATACATATTGCTCGTGATCTGGATCGGCCGTGGAGTGTCAAGACGAAGGTGATGAACATCGACTTCGACTTGGCTGTAGACAGGATACAAGGTATCTAGTTAGCTCCCTTATTCGTCACCATGAGTCCAGCTCGGCTGGTTGTGACGCGTGGGATCGCGTTGAGACGTGGCAGTTCGCTTGGGCTCGGGCGAGTCCTCGAAGTTATCCCAGGAAGACTCCATCATCTTGACGGCCTTGGAGTGGTTCTGAGCGGCGGGCTTGATGTTTTCACTGGCTTTGGGGGAGTCATCTCTCATCTCCCACTGAGAGTCGAAGTTCTTCTTGCGGTTAGCGGCATTGCCAACAACGCCCAGAGGCTCCTGCTTCTTCTCCTTCTCTGTGAGCTCGGGGTCTCCGTGCTCGTCGTAGAGACGGTTCTGGTAGAGGTTCTTGCCACGGCCGCCGAAGGAGCTGATAATGCGGGCATCCTCCTTGTCGTCGTCGTCGGTCAACTCGAAGTGGACATCAGCATCACGACGGGGCTTGGCCACATTGGCCTTGCCTGGGGGAGTCTGGAAGCTCTTCTCGTTCTCAAAACCAAAGTGGCGCACTTCCTCGCCGCGGGGGACCCGCGAAGGCTTCTTGGGAGTCGCAGAAAAGTCATCGAATTCCCAGTGGGGCGTGTTGTAAGCGTTGGTGTGTCTGGTTTCGTGCTGGATCTCACGGTTGGAGTTGTTATCGCCGCCAATCTCAAAGTGACTGTACTTTCCAGGAATGGTCTTGTAGAAGCTACGGTTCTCGTCAACGGGGCCTAGGCCAGCGTTTTCTTCCTCGTCGTCGTCCATCTTGGGGACTCTGCGCTGGGGCTTGGAGGGCGAGTCAGGAATATCGTCATCCTTCAAGAACAGCTCACTGATGTTGCGCTGGGGAGGACGAGACGCAGATGGCGCAAAGGGACGCATAGGCTCAGCGGCCTTCTTGCTAGGGGACAGAAGCTCATTCAAAGATCCAGCTCCATACGGGTCCTGGGTATAACGCTTAGCAGCGGTAGCACTCCTGGGAGGTGAATCACCCAAGTCAAGCGCAGCGGCTTCCTTGCTGGGGGAGAGCAACTCAGTCAAGGACTCTGCGGCATATGGATCCTTAATGTGACGCTTGCCAGGGGAGGCAGGGCGCTGAGGAAGCTCGCGCTGTGTCGAAGACAAAAGCGAGGGCGTGGACGATTCGGTCGTGGCAGTCTTGAGACAACGGACCTGGTCCTTTCCATCACGGATGGGCCAGGCGCGTCCACGCGCGCCAATAACCTCGACTTGCTTCAACAGTGAACCCTGGTCCCAGTAAATGCGAATCTGCTTGATTTCATTGTTCGCAAACGTGACGATGTGCATCTGCAAGAGGCTGCATTAGTCGCGATCTATGCGCTATGCGCAATCTCGGGGAATTTACCGTGGGGAAAGTGACGACACGGTCGGCCAGGAAATTATCGTCCAGCGAGGGGAGATAGGCCCCGCCACCTTCCATGAACTCCAATGTAGTCTCCATCTCTAGGCATAGCGCGTCGGAACCCTCAATGGAGCTGATGATCTGCTCCGATCTCTTCTTGACCACGAAGCCCTGTTTCTGCACATGGGTAATCACTGCGTCGCGCGATTCGACCTTGGTGGTAGTGGGAACATAGATCAAGGACACGTCGTCGGCCAATTTGACGGCGTCCGACTTGGGATTGGCCTGGTACTGCCTGTACTGATCCTTGAAGTAACTCATGGTGAAAGGGGGAAGGTGTAGAGAAACAAAACAAGTGGGCTCGGGAGGCTTATCAAGGAAAACACGGGGAAGATCCAGGTACTGGATACATCTCAACTACACAGGGGGGAGCCACGGATAATGGGTACCTGGTACCTTGCATCTAAAACACATGCAGAGTAAATAAAACACGCGCACGGAGCCGATCAAAATGCGCCAGTGTTTCACTAAAGTGGCGCGGTTCAGGAGGTTTAGCCCTACTTGCCGTGTTTCTCCGGCAACTAAATGCCCAGGGGCGTCTAGAATGGCGTCTAGATTGAAATATATCGCTGTTTAAGGTTTGGTTCTTCGGCATGGACATGCAGGTACCTGAGTATTGTACTGTGCATTGCAGTCCCTGGGGTTACATCTGAACTTCAGGCCTACTCCAGGCTTGACACGGGCTCAATTGATGAACGCTTCAGTCTAAATCTGGATGGCTTATGTACCGAACAGGGCCTCAGCTCCCAGCTCCCAGCTCCTGGCTGGTCTTCTGTTTCTCCAGGCAAAACGCCCTCCCAAGCACTCGCTGTGTCGGGAAAAGTAAACGGCATCGACATTATCGTATGGATGAATTGGTTGAAAAGGGTGGGTATGTGGTGCAACTCGTGTCTCATTACAGAGGTCTGTAGGGAATGAATGTCAGCGAGCGCCCTCTACAACGGGAATCGAGCAACATACCCAAGATAATCCTCCTTGATGGTGCCAATGGCATTGATAGCAGCCACGTCAGGCTTGACACCAAGAATCTTAAGACGCAGACTGGTTCCTTTCTCGATCACTTGATCGGCGTGGTCAGTGTATTGCGGCGGCACAGTGTTGGGCTCCCATTTGATATCGGATGGAATGTTCTAGTAGGCCGTCAGCTCTGCGTGGAGTTCAATGGACAGCAGAGAACACACCTTTCGCGCAATGAAAACAGATAATGGGCCCGCCAGGGTGAAAATACCCGTAGGCTTGACGGAGGTAACAATTGCATCGACCTAGGCTCAATCAGCAAGTACTCGGTATGAGCAATTTCTAATCACAAGGGCATACCGTCTCGCCACGGAAAGGCTTCCAAATGATCGCACGATATCTGATGGTGTATTCTGCCTGTCCGATGCCGGGCATCACTCGTCCCTCGCCAATATCAACCATGTCCATGACGCAAATCACAAAGTGATCGCCCGTACAACGTCCCTCTTCCTCCTCGTTGAGTCGGGTGATAAGGTATTCCCGCATGTTAGGTCCGAAAAAGGACGGGTGCATGGAGATCACCTTGGTCTCTTCTTTGAGGAAAAACATGGTCGCGGTTGTAATATTTGAATGCGCTGGAGTCGGAGTGGGAAGGTATCAAAGGATTGGTCTCGGTTTCAGAGTGCTGTCAATCAAGGTCAAGCAACGGCGTTTGCGAGCTCATGACCTGCAGCGGTGGGGCACGGGAAAACTGTAGCCACAAATGAGTGAAAGAAGATCCGAGAAGTCGGTGTGGCAGATGTTGTATCTGCCTTGGATGGGCGGAGAGGCAGATACAGCTAGAAGCGCAAGCTTTCTCTTGTGAGAGCATCTCGGTCTGGCGGTCCAGGTTTGGATGGATGGATCACGTGATGTTGACAAGAAGTTCAATGTCAAGATATTGTTTCAATGTTTTATTTGACTAATACTTCTTCAATACGAAGTACAAGAGTTTCAATCTGTGCTAATTGTCAATTTCCCTGTAACGTTGAGGTCAATGCTTGTATGCACAGGATGATCAGATCTATAGCGTGCTCAAAACAACCAATTTAATTTCTGGTGATTAAAAGTGTTTCTCGTCATTATTGACTTTATGCTTTGGTATACAATATCTATTCCAAAAGAATTGACAGTCATTGACCTTTTCTTTTTTTTTTTTTGCAAACGGCTCCTAGCTAGTCAGTCAGAACCTCCAGGCATATATCGAGCGAATATATATATCGAGATACATTCACAAATGCAATAATGTAGCTGTCAAGGCTAAAACCAATGATGCCGAAAGGCCCATTGCTGCTTTGCAAATCAAATGGCAATCAAAGATCAATAATTCAAGTATCAGGTATGAAGGCAGCAGTGTTGAAGACATAGCGTTATAATCAACTCAACCAAACACTATATATGATAGACCTATTAGTTGCAAGCCATTCCGATGGTCCACTAAATCCAAACCTAATAACAAGTATAGATCTCAATAATATATTCACATAACTTTGAGAGTGTAGGGGTCCAACACCCTGCCAAGACCACGTCTTACACCTCGGCTTAGCGTATGACGCCAGGACCTTCAATATCAAACCACTTGGCCCAACACTTTCCGCAAATGCCTCGTCCTTGATTCTTGATTCTCTCGACCCCGTCACATTCGTTCTTTATCAGACCGACAAGATGGCACTAAACCTGGAGAAGCAGCTGCTTTTTGTAAGCCCCCGCGCCCCGGATGCTCCGAACAATAGCTGACTCTGATATCCTCATTAGTACGGCGCCTACCACAATAATCCCGTACAGATGTCCTACTCCATGGATAATGACCAACAGGTTCGCTGACAGTGCAGGTCAACGTCGCAATCCATATCACTTGCGTCCCAATCCTGCTATTCACCGGCATCGTCCTGGTACGCACCCAGCTCATTCCATGCCCCTACAAAACCCCAAGTCGCCGAAAAAAGTACCGAAACAAGATGAAACGAGACTAATGGTATCCATACAGGCCTGCAATTGCCCACCCCTCTTCACGCTCCCAGACGCGCTCCAAATCCAATATCTCCCCGCAAATGCTGGCACGATCGGCGCCCTCATCTACGCCATCTTCTACGTGCTCCTGGAACCTATTGCTGGTGGTCTCCTCGCCCCCGCCGTGATCGCAGCTGCATACTACGGAAACTACTTCCTCGGAACCTATGGCAACACCGTGAACTACTGGGCCGGCGGCATCCACATCGTCTCTTGGCTGGCGCAGTTTGTCGGACACGGCGCGTTTGAGAAGCGAGCCCCTGCGTTGCTGGATAACCTTGTCCAGGCTATCCTGCTTGCTCCGTTATTTGTCTGGATAGAGGTTCTGTTCTTCTTTGGCTATCGCCCGGAGCTGCAGGAACGCTTTGAAAAGGGTGTTGAGCTTGAGATCCTGAAGTTCCGGAATCAACAGGAGTCTGAAAAGGAGAAGGGCAAGGCCAAGGGGAAGGGAAAGGCGCAGTAGTTGCAGATTGCAGGCTGCATATGGAGTAAGGGACCAAGGGGACCTCGGGAGTGCTGGCCAAGCTGGATGAGAGCTCCCCGGTTGCCTCGGAGGGATCGACTGGTGTTTTTCTTTTGCTTGTCTAATGGGTCATTATTGTTTAGCACAGCGTTCAAGGTTGCTTTGTTATGTGTTGTGGTATATGGATAGTTCGGGTAATGAATTACCGACTTGGCGTAGATATGACATTTTCACTTCACCCCCGTGTAACTGGAGTATAACCACTAGAGTAGTTACAGCTTCAACATTATAGTATAGCTATGATATAGCTATAGTTATAGTTATAGTGACATGGTTGCCCAGGTTGCCAGTGACATAAGCGACACCTGACCAGGAATTCCGGCGATCCGAGAAGAGAAAAAAACGGGACGAGAAGTGTGGCCCGTGTGGCTCCTGTTCCGGTCGCCAAAGCAAATTGTCAAGCCATGGGGGGACACTTGCGCTTCATGTTTTGAAATTCTGGAAAAGCCATAGCATTTTAAATAGAGAATTTATTGTTTATAACAAATATATATATGAGGTTATAACACAAAAAGGTGGCCGGGCACACTAGGGCCACCTCGGAGGGCCCAGTGTCCGAAACGGTTTAGCGCCAGTCCTGAGAATCCAATCCTCCCCCCGACGACAAAGCTCTCCTTCCCGTCCACAATCCTCTCTCCTCTCCCGTTCTCTCTCCCCAATTACATCTCTCCCTCAGAGAATTCATCCTCCCATCCTCTGAACCTCCCTTTCACAATGTTCAGAAACGCTCTGCGGTCGTCCAGCCGCTCCGTCGCGGCCGTTTCGGCCCCTGGCCGCATCGCCTCGGTGAGTCCCATCCCATCCCAGCCGGTCAATCCATCGCCAGTCCGACATCGTTCATCTCAATTCCGAGCTCGATCGGTGCTAAGACCTCATCACTACACGGCGCCTATGCATGCAGGATACCTAGGACACGTTGTCCTCGTGGGAGATGGTCATTGACAAGTTTTTCGTCCCTTCTAGGTCCGCGCCGCTGCTGCCGGCCCTCTCAACGGCGTTCGCTCCTACGCCTCCGAGGCCAAGGCTCAGCCCACTGAGGTCTCTTCCATCCTTGAGCAGCGCATCCGTGGTGTCTCTGAGGAGGCTGGTCTCGCTGAGACCGGCCGTGTCCTGTCGGTCGGGTACGTTCATCGCCCTAGGGGCCACGAAGAAAAATTCGGTCCCCGGCTTCAATACCATCGAATCCGCCCCTTTCCATCAACATTCGACAAAACACGAATACAGAAACTGATTGAGCTTTGAATAGTGATGGTATTGCCCGTGTTCACGGTATGACCAACGTCCAGGCTGAGGAGCTGGTCGAGTACGTGTTCCCCCCCCAAATGTCTTGGCATTATCCCGCCCGGAAAACTAACCCATCTCCAGGTTCGCCTCCGGTGTCAAGGGTATGTGTATGAACTTGGAGGCCGGCCAGGTCGGTGTTGTCCTGTTCGGTTCCGACCGTCTCGTCAAGGAGGGTGAGACTGTCAAGCGTACCGGCGAGATTGTAAGCCTATCCCCTGGGTCCCCGTTTTGATACTGGACTACAATGGCCTCAATCTTCTTGCGACATGTACTAACAACCCACAGGTCGATGTCCCCGTCGGCCCTGAGCTGCTCGGCCGTGTCGTCGACGCTCTCGGTAACCCCATTGACGGCAAGGGTCCCCTTAACACCAAGGAGAAGCGCCGTGCTCAGCTTAAGGCCCCCGGAATTCTGCCCCGTCAGTCCGTCAACCAGCCCGTGCAGACTGGCATGAAGTGTGTCGACTCCATGGTTCCCATTGGCCGTGGTCAGCGTGAGTTGATCATTGGTGACCGTCAGACCGGTAAGACCGCTGTCGCTCTCGACACTATGCTCAACCAGAAGCGCTGGAACACCACCGGCACTGATGCCGAGAAGCTCTTCTGTATCTACGTTGCCGTCGGTCAGAAGCGTTCCACCGTCGCTCAGCTCGTCAAGACCCTTGAGGAGCAGGATGCCATGAAGTACTCCGTCGTCGTTGCTGCCACCGCTTCCGAGGCCGCCCCCCTGCAGTACATCGCTCCCTTCACCGGTTGTGCCATGGGTGAGTGGTTCCGTGACAACGGTCGCCACGCCGTCATCATCTACGATGATCTCTCCAAGCAGGCCGTTGCCTACCGTCAGATGTCCCTGCTCCTCCGTCGTCCCCCTGGACGTGAGGCCTACCCCGGTGACGTTTTCTACCTCCACTCTCGTCTCCTCGAGCGTGCCGCCAAGATGAACAAGACCCACGGTGCTGGTTCCCTCACTGCCCTCCCCATCATTGAGACCCAGGGTGGTGATGTGTCTGCCTACATTCCCACCAACGTCATTTCCATCACTGACGGTCAGATTTTCCTGGAGTCTGAGCTGTTCTACAAGGGTATCCGTCCCGCCATTAACGTCGGTCTCTCCGTCTCCCGTGTCGGTTCCGCCGCCCAGGTCAAGGCCATGAAGCAGGTCGCCGGTTCTCTGAAGCTGTTCTTGGCTCAGTACCGTGAGGTCGCTGCCTTCGCCCAGTTCGGTTCCGACCTTGATGCCTCTACCAAGCAGACCCTTGCCCGTGGTGAGCGTCTCACTGAGCTCCTCAAGCAGAAGCAGTACTCCCCCATGGCCGTTTCCGATATGGTTCCCCTGATCTTCGCCGGTGTCAACGGTCTCCTCGACACCATCCCCGTCGCCAAGATCCTCACCTGGGAGTCTGACCTCCTGTCTCACCTCAAGAGCTCTCACCCTGAGATCCAGGCTACCATCGAGAAGGAGGGCCAGGTCAGCAAGGAGTCCGAGGCCAAGCTCAAGGAAGTCATCACTGCCTTCAACTCTACCTTCAACGCATAAGTGAAGAAATCACCCGGATGACCCTTCGTGGTCGGCTTTGTTTTCTTGACTCTATGTTGATAGACAAGATAGCCTGTACAATTTTGAGCCCATTGTTTTGTTCTGTTCTCTTGATGCCGGTGCTATAGCCGAATCTAGGTCTGCCTCTGGATGTAGCGATGTAATGATCAGCATGATCCTGGGCGGACCATGGATTTACTGTAGTGCCTTTCCGAGCGAGCGCAAAGCTAGGCTATCAAAATGTGATTATATCCTGTACGTTTAGATTTTATCCGCGCAGGGGGCGCGAGATGGGAGGACGACCGTTCTAATTCCGTCTGGTCTCCTGCTCTCCATGTTGAACCGCAATTTATTTCATTTGTTCAACTTCTCAGGCGGTACAGTTACAGTAGACCGTAAATGTAAAAAGCGTACGACCATCCCAGATCCCAGATCTATTCATGGATCTGGTATAACTTGATAAATTAGATCAAGATTGGTTATATTACCAAGTCAACTAAATTGCATTCTAATCATACCATTTAGTGCTATGCAATTTTTTATACATCACTACCTAGAGTGAGTATACAGACTCGGCAAATGAGGCCGAAACCGGCAGCCGATCTGTTATCGATAAGCGAACAATCTTTTTCCCGCCAAACCCGTCAAGTCTCCCCGCGTCGCAAACTTCGCATTTCTCTTGTTGAATATATCGCCGTCATGTCTGCTCCTTCCGCTGCGTCTACACCTTGCAAGGTGATGCTGAGCAAGCACGTTGCCACCCACCTCCTCTCCGAAGTCGAAGAAGGCCTCAAGACCCTCGAGAAGCCGCCTCACCTGGTCGGTTTCCTGGCCAATGACGACCCTGCTGCGTTGGTCTACGCGCAGATGACCCAGAAGACCTGCGAGGAGAAGTAAGTATATGCACTATTTCCATGTTGTGCGGCCTCAATGGCTTCATTCTTGGTGGGATGGTGGGGTGTTAGTATGATTCATACTACCCCTCGACCTTTCTACATCACTCAAAACCAAAACAATTCTCACTGAATTGATGAAATTCACTGGTGCAATGGACTAACAAAATGTCCCTCCAGTGGATTCAAGTACTCCCTTCGCGAAGTCTCCCGCGATGACATCGAAGAAGCCATCCTGGCCGCCAACACCGACGACGCCGTCGACGGTATCATCGTCTACTACCCGATCTTCAACAATCGCCAGGACCAATACCTGCAGCAGATCGTCGACATGACCAAGGACGTCGAAGGTCTGAGCCACAAGTACATCTTCAACATGTACCAGAACGTCCGCTTCCTGGACGGCGAGGCCAAGCGCCAAAAGTCCATCCTGCCCTGCACCCCTCTGGCCAACATCAAGATTCTCGAGTACCTCAACATTTACAACACCATCTTGCCCTACGGCAACCGTCTCTTCGGTCATACCATCTGTGTCGTGAACCGTTCTGAAGTTGTTGGTCGCCCGCTTGCCGCCCTGCTGGCTAATGACGGCGCCTGTGTTTACAGTGTTGATGTTACTGGCGTGCAGAAGTTCACTCGTGGTGAGGGTCTGCAAAAGAAGAGACATGATGTTATTGAGTTGGAGGGCAAGACTCTTAAGGACGTTGTGCCGCTTTGCGATGTTGTTATCACTGGTGTCCCCGGTGACAAGTACAAGTTCGACACCAGCCTTCTGCGCGAGGGTGCTGTCTGTGTCAACTTCTCTAGCGAGAAGGTATGTTTTGTTCACTGGCTTGAGACTGTATACTTGCTAAATATGATTCTCTCACAGAACTTCCCCCACGAGGTTCGCGAGAAGGCCTCCCTCTTTGTTCCCTCCATCGGCAAGGTCACCATTGTTGTCTTGCTGCGCAACCTTCTGGTAAGCTTTCATATCTACCCTTTTACTTTATATCCTTGATATAGTATCTAACTATGAAATTTCAGCGCCTCATCCAAAACAAGCGCATGGACGACGTCAAGCCCGCCGAAGCAACCGAACGCCCCGGTACCCTCGAGGCAAACTCCTAGATGTTAACACGAGTTCAATATTGACTGATATGATATGCTAGACGACCTGGACATGTCATAAAAAATTCCCATAGATTTTGTTTGTTATTAGCCATTTTGATTATACACTGAAACCACACGTTTCTCCTGTCCTTTCTCTCCTCCAACTTTTGTTTTTGGTTCTCGTCTTTTGACCCCTGCATCTGATATCTCCATCCGCATTCGACATGTTATCTTATAACGTGAAATATGACCATCACCATGAAGAGAAAATTAAGAAAGCACATGATACACGACAAGTAACGTTAAAAGGAACAGCGACAAGTTATCATAATCTCCACGAGAATAACCGCTCAAAACCAATGACCGTGTCGAGTTGGGAAATAACTGAATCCAATGCCTCGCTGGCAGAGAGCAATCCGTAATCCAGCTCCTTCTCGGATCTGAAGCTGAACCCTTTCAGGCGTGGAAGTTCGCCGACGAGTAGGGAATCCCGTGTCCAGCCGTGGATTCGGACCATGGGTGGCATCACTATGAGTAAAACCCCGATGTTGGATAGGTTTGATTTGGGGTTGGTCTTCGTCTTGTTCTTGCTTTTGGATTTGGACTTGATACGATATATCCGTATTTGGGGGAACTGTTCTTTTGGTGATATTTTTGAAGGTTGTTGATTGGTTTCGTTTGTAAATGCTGTTGATTTTGGTGTCTGTGTGTGTGTCGCAGTTGAGGTCGAGATTGACGAGGCTGAGGATGTAGGCATAGATGCATGACCCGACTCGGAAGCTGCATTGAGTGACCCTACATCTTGCAATTCAAGATTTCGAGAAGCCCTCACTGCTATTGTGATATCTGAATGAGATATATGTGTGGTTATCAGGGTAATTGCAGGAACAATTGGGTCTGGCAAGCTATATTAGTTGACTGTCTGCTGGGGGTGTGACGCAGTTAGGGCTTAACTTACCGCGATTAGACCGAGGACGAGATAACATGGACCCCATATTGAAAGAGTACTTTTTTTTGTTCCTCCTAACTTGTTTGCTTTAGCTCTGTTGCTAATGGGCGAAGACAGCTATAATAAATATAGCAATGGTAAAGGCTGGGATTGAGGGATTCAGGCAAAAAGCAAGGGATGTTTCGAATCACACCTGCCCTGGTGGCTTGTATCACCACGGTTCAGATTATTGCATTCTGTTTTTCCACCGAGTGTGTTCAAGGATTGGGCCGAAATTACCTGTTGAACCTTAGGGAGATTGTTTGCAGGTAGTTGTTTTGTATAGTATGGCAAGGTTTCACGTGAGTTTGTTAGCCCTCAATGATGGCTTGCTTGATTTGTACAACGCTGGGGGTGATTACATTGGGATGCAGATGGACCAAGGATGCATTCACTACTGTATATTATGGAGGTTGGCAGGTAATTTTGGCCTGGTTGGTGCAAGTATAGCTGTACCTAGATTGATTGGTTGGGTACAATTTCAGGGCTAGTCTACCAGCGCTGCCTGATGATTTTTAGTTTAAGCTAGGGATGTGAGCTGAGCATAAAGTGGCCCAAGGCTACTTTTGGGAAGTGTGACGACGAGTATCAAAGACACCATGTATCAGCGGAAGTAACACATCCAAACATGTGTCGTGGTGTCTTCGTTCTCAAAGATAGCATTCTCCCATCAAGCGCGAGGTGCAGTTTGCAACCCTAAATTTGTAGATAGGCTACTATTTTTACCTAATTATGTGAATTGATATCACGAAATCGACCAGGAAACACAGTCCTCAGCTGAGTGTTGAAAAGCCTCGGATTCAACCAGACTTCTTCTCATTTTCCTTCGCCGCCAATCTCAGAACATCAATCTCACCAGCCAGCCAACTGCGGAAAGGCTCGGGGTGGAATACACCTTCTGCCGAGAACCAGGTTCCGTAAGGAGCCTCGCAGCGCTTTTCTTGGAGGACTTTGCCAGAAGCAGACTTATAAGAAACGTGCAGCTTGTAGATGTTGGAGAACTTCTTGGATGAGGAAGATACTGATATCTGTTAATAATACTATTAGCTTGCTTCTGAAAACAGAAGAGGGCAATAGGCTGTTGCCCTCAAGATCAAACATACCGTCTCTCCGGTTTTCCTCTTCCCGCAGTACACCTCACCAGCCTCAACGCCCCAAACCCAGTATGTGAGAATGCTGTTTAAGATAAAGTAGGTAACAACTGCTGCGATAATCCAAGGGGAGGTGGTAGCTTCCCAGCCAAGTATGCGGTCAGCATAGAAGGTAAACCCAGCAATCGCGACTGCGCTGTATCCAAGCAGGAAGCGGATATTTGTCTTTGAATGGTCTGGCGTGAACGCGTATGGAGCGGGAAGGTTGGTCAGGTAAGGAAGGAGAGCATCGTCGCTAGTAGATTTGAGATCTATCGTTCGCGACTCGTTAGTGTTATTGTTGTATAGAGTAGATCGAGGTTACGGACCATTGGTCGAGTAGACCGGCACCTTGGTAGAAGCCATGATGAGATTGATCAAATATGCGAATCAAGATCTTCGTAATAATTGAAAATGCGAGCGTAGGTCAGTATGCAAGTGAGGCAGGACTGTGTTGGTCAAAGATGCGGCGTGGCCCTTTGGAGCTGGAGCTAGTAATGACATCTCTCTCCGCCTAACCTCTCCCCCTTCAACTTTCCACTCCCCCACCCGCCAACTCTCGGGACTTGTCACTCTAACACAGGCTACACTCCTTTCTGTCCTTTATATTCATAATGGCAGTCCAAGGGGTTGAGCAGACCATCCTTCGGGATCCGGCACTATTGTGAGAGAACCCGAATTGACTCGACTTGGAGAAGTCGAACTGACCATTGCTTATAGCTATTGGATACTGTTCCCGATTTCAATTGTTATGGTATGAATGACTTATAACAGAGGAATAGTGTCTCGTGATGCGTCCGGAGTATAGCTGACAGCTACGATAGATTCTGACCGGAATCCTGCGCCACTATGCCACGGTCCTGATGAACTCGACTCCCAGATCGCCATCCACCCTTGCCGAATCTCGCGAGCGCCTTGCCCTCCTCCGCGGCGTAAACCTCCGCAACAATGCTTGCTCCGTACTCAACCGCGAATCCTTCGAGATGCGCAAGAACTACATGATTTCCGGGTTCCGAAGCGGCGCTTTCTTGAAGGATCCCAATAACCGTGGCCAGCCTCCTGCGAACCCCATGACCGATCCTGCCGGCATGGAAGCCATGATGGGAATGATGAAGGGAAACATGATGATGATGGTCCCGCAGACATTAATCATGAGTTGGATCAACGCCTTCTTTTCTGGATTCGTCATCTGTATGTTGCAATGTGTTTGATGAAGTATGGTCAATAGCTTACATGTCGCAGTGAAATTGCCCTTCCCTCTCACAATTCGGTTCAAGTCGATGTTGCAGTCTGGTGTTATGACTCGTGATCTTGATGTGAGATGGGTGTCGAGTCTTTCGTGGTACTTTCTCAACTTGATGGGCTTGCAGTCCGTTTTTGGATTTATTCTTGGCAGTGATAATGGTATGTATTAGCTATATCAGGCTCGTAGTACTTTAGCGCTAACAAATTAAAAGCCGCCAACCAAATGGCCCAGCAGATGGGCATGGCCAACCCTGCAGCAATGGTCAACCCACTGCAGCCCGGCCAAGACCCCGACAAGCTGTATCTCAACGAGGCAGAGAATCTGGAGGTGATGGAGCACTTCTGCATCCTTGATGGTGTGGAAGAGAGAATCCTGCAGAACTTTGCTCCCCAGGGCATTTGATTCTGAGCTGGCATTGCTTGTGTATAGTGCTAGGTATACACCTGGCTTGAGACCAGCTAGCTGGTCTTGAACAGATGAAGAATAGAATGCCATGTCTCTTCTGAGCTATGTATCATGTCTACACTTAATATCGTGAAAGATTCATATTGCCAGTGTCCCATAACTCGTAGTATTATCGTAACTCGTATCAATCACTCTTGACGATAATTGATGACATCGTTCAGAATCCAGACTTCTCCATTTGAGACCTTCTCTGCAACGGAGTCAACTTCAATATTGCCCGGTTGGATCTAGAGATGACCGGTTAGTCAAGTCGATACTTCGGAGAGGTTGAGAAACATACAAAAATCTTGTCACCCTCCTTGGTCCACTTCAGCTTCTCCCCCGCAAGGGTATCAACCTCTTCCCCAACCCTCCAAGGGCTAGCAGGAACAAGATGAGCTTTCACGAATCGCTCTAGATTGTGCTTTGCCCGGTCTTGGCCATCTTGACCTTCATATGCGTTTACTTCACCAAACTTTCTGTAATCCTCTGGATTCTCCCAAGGCTTCCGTGGAAGAGCTTGGATTGCACTATTGCGAGGCGCCAGCACCGTCATGTTCTTGGATGCATCGTTGAGACGAGAGGCGATGGGCTCAAAGTCCCGGGTCAACCGAGCGAAGATATTGATGCCCTTTGTCTTGGGAAGGACGTCTGAAATTATAGGACCGTCTCCGCCAAACTTTGCGCTCAAATCTTCAACCGGCGCCGTTGTTTGCGGCTTGAGGATGTCGGGAATAATTGTATCCATCATGGATTGGTGCTCCTTGTGTTCAAGGTCTAGTGGTTGCTGACGCGAAGGTATAGGATATGATAGCCCCCAAAGCGCAGATGCGGTACTAGCAAATAGAAGCGCAAATAGAAGAGATGTTAGTCGAGTTACTTCCATGCTGTGTATTCAAGTCGTCTTGTTCAAGGAAAGACGGCCAAGTCGGACCATGACGCAACGGGCACGTGACGTGGGGAGATAACAGAATCACCTGATATCGATAAGCCACAGAAATTGGCAGCGATCGTGAACTTGCCCCATTATACACTGGTTCGCCTTGATCGATTGGCAATATGTCGGCTCTGCAGACCTTCATGCTGGTCGTGGACCATGACAAAGAAGAAGCAAAGCGAATTGCCGAAGGAATCGCGCAAGGTATGGCCTCTTCACCCCGCACTTGCTACTCAGAGGGGTGACTAAATGAGGGCATTGCAGATATCGAGAACAAGAAGACGAAGTTGATTGATACGGTCCAATCGCTCGGCGAATATATCAACGATGAAGACCCGATTCTGCGCGGAAAAGCGGTGTCATACCTTACCGCAGTTATCCAAGCCCTCTCGCCGAAGTACCTCTCAAGACAACAGATCCAGGTCTTGACTACATTCTTCTGCGATCGCATTGAGGATGGAGGCGCTGTTGCTGGACTGGAGGCTCTGCAGGGTCTGGACCGGTTCAATCGGTTATTGGCCAGCCAGGTAGCACAAGCGTACGTCCTATACTTCGCCTTCAGTGCCAAATGAGCTTTGCCTTCGTCGGACATAAAGGTTGTTTCGATTATGCTCATATGCTGACTTGGCTATAGTCTCTTTTCCAACTTCCAGGACCTCCAGTCTCGTTCGCAATCGCAACGATTCCAGGTTTATCAATTGCTTAATGAGTTGATGTCAACACACCGCGAGGGTATGTTCATCGCAGAAAGTGTCTTTGGATCTCGAAACTAACAGTTGTTAGCAATGCGCAACATGGGAGATATCTCACTCCTCGGAGTGGTCGATATCATGACAGGAGAGAAGGATCCACGGAATCTGATGGTCGTGTTCTCCATCCTGAAGGTTGTTATGGTTGAATGGGATATTTCCAACCACGTTGAGGTATGCACCTTTCTTGCGAAGCTGCAGAACCATCAGTTGACTCTAGAAAGACCTTGTTCGACTCAGTATATAACTACTTCCCGATTACATTCCGACCCCCGCCCAACGATCCATACGGAATCACTGCACAGGATCTCAAGGGCCGTCTCCAAGATTGCATCTCTTCCACTAGGTATTTCGCACCTCACGCCATTCCCGCATTATTGGACAAGCTTGATTCCACCTCTCCCAATGTAAAGGTAAGTTGGAACACTGCAAAATGGCCCTGAACTAAGTCTAACTTTCTCACAGAAAGATGCACTTAATACATTGATTGCTTGCATTAATTCTTATGATCCTGATACAGTGTCAAAGTACTCTATCACTATCTGGGAGACTTTGAAGTTCGAGATTCTTAACGCCCAAGAGGAATTCCTATCTGAGACTTCTCTCGAGGCTTTGAAAGCTATCACGCAAAGGCTTTCTGAAGGAGTTACCGAGGTGTCACAAGAGCTTCCTCTTGCGCTGTATCTCAAAGCAATCACCAAGGAATGCAATGAGCAGCTTCAAGAGCCTCAAAATAAACAAGCCAAGCCATTCCAGCAGATCCTCAGCTGTGTTTCTTCCGCTTCCGCTGTTTCTTTTATTCTCATTGTCCAGACTGTTGTTGCACCTATTTTCACAATTTACCAAGAGGCAGATGGAATCGTCAAGCAAAGGGCACTTCTCGAGACCCTCAACATCTTGTTCGAAGCTACGACGGATGTATTTGGGCAATGGACCACTCGTGGCGGTGAGATTGCCGTCGAGAATCCTCTGCTTGAATTTAAGGACCAGTTCTCGGAGATCTTCGGCCAGGCACTGATGGGTGCAGCCAAGGAGGAGGTTTCATTCCGGGTTACTGCTCTGAAGGGCTTCTTGCGCCTATCGATATTGCGCGATTTCTTCCAGGAGAACGAGATCGGCCTTTTTGTCCAATACTTAGACGAAATTCTTCTGAAGGAGGAATCTGTCGGTCGTAATGATTTGAAGAAGGAAGCAATCGCTGCCCTTGCTGAGGTTTCCAAGCACAAGCCCCGGCTGATCATGGACATCACATTCCCTGCATTCGTGGCGACTCTACCAGAGGAAGATGAGGGCTTAGATGCCTTGTATCTGCCAACGCTCGAAACCCTTGCCCAGATCAGCGTTGAAAGAGACATATTCGAGACTCTGTTCCGTCGTCTATTCAGCAAGCTGACTATCTTATTACAGAAGGAGCAGCCTGGATCAGTGGCTTATCCTCGTGCTATCCTGATGACATTGCTATACGTGATGCAGCAGCGAAACATGGGACAAGACCAGAGTGTTGATCTGTACTTTGACAAGATTGTGGTTGGACTTTGCCGTGACGTGGCTGCATCGTCCTCCGGTAAGGCTAAGAACCGAATCCTTACCGATCCTACTGTGCTCGATACCTTGGGACGACTTTGCAACCTCCTTGTGCGGTCTGTTTCCATTGAGAAGCAGGAACAAGTGGCAGAAAATGTCTACAGTCTTTTCACCACCAATGAAGACTTTGCGCCTGTGCCATTTGCCCAAACGACCAGCGCAGACCAAGAGCGTACCTTGATCATCTCAACTTATCTTCTCGCGGGACTTTCCATGGACTGCACCAACCGAATCCCACAGGCCAGTGACATGTCAGCTTTGCTGTCCGAGCTGGTCAGCCGTTCCATCTCATCCACGGAACCAGCTACCCACCAGGCCTACCTGCGTCACTTGGCATTGCTTGTGAATAAGTTCTTGTCCAAGCAGGATCTGCCAATCGCCGAGAAACTCTTCGACTCTCTCATTGAGAGCTCAGGCGCAGAACCTCAAACTCTCAGTCCCGCAACTATCCGCACCATTTTCTGGCTATCAAAAGCTCTGGTCCTCCGCCTTGCACCCACAACAACCCACGTTCTGACATCCCTGCTTGCCCTGATCTCTTCTCCAGACCAGCAGACCAGCACGACCGCAGCACAAGGCTTCGCCATCCTCCTTGGCGAAGACGACATTATCTCCCCGACTAATGGTGCCACAATCCGTCTTCTCTGCAGACAGCGCTTATTTACAACTGTCATCCCCTTGATTTCGTCTCGCATACGCGAAGTCAACATTGCTGGCACAGATGACTCTGCCACCGCCACAAAGGCACAAGACCACATCAAGCCAGCCCACCTCACTGCTCTTGCTGGAATTCTCTCCACAATTCCAACGGCCCTAGTCATGCCAGAACTCCCCACATTACTTCCCCTTCTCCTACAATCCCTCGACCTCCAGACTGCCGACTCCATCGCTGTCCGAACAGCAACACTCGATACTCTCGCAGTAATCATCCGTGACAACGGCGTTGTCGTCATCGACCAGTGTGGCCACGTCTCAAGCCTTGTCACGAGACTCCTCAAAACAACGGCTACAAACGTCGGCCCTGGTGCTGTCAATAGTCCCCGCCTCCGTGCGGATGCGTTGAGATGTCTCAACCTTCTTGCTACGCACCAAACCTCCGCTGGTGCTGATGCTACCACCCGTGCCCCACCGTCCATCTCGCCGCTTCTGCCAGTCAAGAACCAGGTACTCAGATCCCTGCGTGCAGTTCTTGACGACCCCAAGCGTGATGTGCGTAAGGCAGCAGTTGATGCTAGAGGTGCTTGGCTGCGTGGTGTTGATGATGCGCCAGAGGAAGACGATTGATCGACCATATTTCACAACTCAGTTTATATTCCCCAGGAAGAGATAGAGAAAAGGCGTGTCTGCATCAAACAATGTATCGGGCATAGATGTTGTTTTTCGGATCTTTATTTGCATTTTTGTTTCGAGTATATAAACTGATATGAATCATGTCATAAAAATTTGAAATGTGAAATGCAAATTGCTACGATTTTTTTCCCACATTTATGGTCACCCAAATCTACGTATACTACATCATCCCCTCAAAATTAACCAAATCCCTCAACAGTGGAGAAATGATCCTCTCAAAAACACGCTCCTCAACTCCTCGATCGACACATAATGAGTGCACACTAGACCAAGAAAGACAGCTTTCAACAGCCTCTCCATAGGGCACGCCACTCTCAAGATAAACCTTAGGTACAAGCCTGCTAGCAGTATTGCGCCTCATCCTCTCCTCGTCCCAGTCCTCATCTTCAGGGTTATATAAGAAATCCAAGGATTTTCCAAGTGATAATTCTACCAGTGCAAGCCCAAGAGGCAAGAGCAGATTATTGTTCGGCTGCCGCATAGCTGGAACAGTATTTTCTGTCTCTGTCTCTGGTGTGGACAGTGGCCAGGAGAGATATACACTGTCGAGTAGTATATCACAACCATCTTTATGGGCTGTCAGATGGATATCAGAACTATCCCATCGGCATTTCAACCAGTTGCCGCAATATTGAATCACGCCGCAAGCTAAACCGGTGGCGATATGGAGGCGGTCGTGTCGGCTTATTTGGGATATGACTTCTATTAATGGTTTTGGGGGTGTGGAACTGAGGGCTTTTGTTGAGGCGTGCATTATGTAGGTATCCAGTTGGCTTGAGATCATGCCTGTTGTTGTCCAGTTGGTGGTTTTTTCGGTAAATTCTACTTTGGTTATGCGGAGTGAGGAGCAGAAATCATTGATTCGTGGTGGTAGGGAGAGTGTTGTTTGGGAACGATCTGTTTCGGGGGTTGGCGTATCAAAACGGACTTTGGGCTTTTTGTGAGACTCTTGAAGTGAGAGGCTGGATAGTGATGGGATGTTGTCGTCTTGCCACGGCTCGAAAATAACTTCTGTCCAGGTCCAGATCTGATTCTCCGTTTTTCCAGTGTTTGAAAAGTTCATTTGAAGTCTAGACTGGATGTCTGACTCCCTTGAGGATACTAATGGGTTTGTTGGTAGTTGGAGGTGGACGCAGTGTTGTTCATTGCACTGACAGCGCCAATAGGCTCCGAAGACAGTCTTGAAGAGAGCTTCTGCGTGTTTACGTCCTTTTTGATATTGTTGAAGAAGACGCGGCAACGGGTGTCGTTTCTTGTTTCGTGCTTCTTCTTGATAGAGGGACTGATCCAGCAGAGTCTTGAGTATCGTATTGGCTCCATCAATCTTTGCGAGGAGATCTTCATAGACTGCTCTACTGAGCATCTTCCAAAAATCCTTGATATCCCATGTTTTGGGATCGGCACTCTATGGATCAGAAGTTAATCGGCGACACCAACGTAATTGAAGAGACCAGCCACACACCCTATTCTCTGAGATACTGATTCCTAGCTTCTTAGCAAGCTTCAATATCTCCTCATTCAGACCACTCATATTATCCAGAAACAGATCATAGTTGCGGTCTAGGCGTAGACGAAGCTCCCGCTGCAAAACAGGGTCTTTCCAGGCTGGCCCCTTTGGATTGTCGATCAACTCAGAAAGTTCATGCTCATCATTGACAATGCCTCCAAGAGTTTGGATCAGTGTATTTATAAGTACCGCTCGCTGTGTTGAAAGTCCTCTTGAATAGTTCGCGAGTTCTCTTCGATAGCGCCTCAGCAACTTGACTTTCTCTATACCTCGAACATATCCATCGAGCTGATTGACGAGGAGAGGAATAACAGCAAGCGTAAGTCCGACAGCCTCGATCCCAGTCACCATCTCTCTGACACTTTAGACAAAGTTAACTTTCATGTCATGCCAGCTTCCTATGCCCCGCGCTAAATGTGCAGCCTCGTGTGTGGGCCAATCACACCCTGGCATGTTATGCGCCTGTTGATCGCAACTTTGTCATCTTTGCTGCTTCAATATTTGACGTCTCTACGTGAACATTTGCAAAAATGGTCACGGTGTCGGAGCTGGTGCGAAGCTGCTTGACCAAGTTCACCTTCTTGGTCGCGTCGCCCGCGCTGTTTGAACATGCGGAGGAGATCTCTTTGCAGTTATGGAAAGATGAGATGGGCCGACTGCGTATATGGTCGGCAAATATTGGTGCACATCAAAGGGGTCAATCATCCCTTGACTTTCGCCTAAGGGATGCATCTCACATAAAGAGTCAAACGATCAACCTTCTTCAAGGACTTGAAGACCTTCTGAACGATCTCAAAGAAGTTCTCGAGGAGGCTTCAGACGATGAAAGCCCAGAGAATGTCGAAATACCGGAGGATGATGATACGACTGAGATACAACAAATACACAAAGACATTGTCGAGACAATCCATCATCTCTATCGCATGTCCATGATCATCCGGACGCCAGCCCATCACGATCGAGTTCTCGGGACTGACAAGTTAGATGCCCAGCCCTTCAAGCACTGGGCTCACAAACATGCTTCCGACAAGTATCCCCTTGCGGATGCTGTAGTTCTCGAGTGTGTCAGTTCCGCAATGGCATTGCAGAGAGCCATCTTAAAGTACCGTGAAAGGCATCATGCCAAACTCAGCCAGAATCTCGACGACGTCAAAGAGGGCGATCGAAAATCAACTATCCTTTCAGAAACAGTCGCGACGGATATGTGCCGTGATCTAGCTCCTGATCTCATCGAGATTCTCTCTGTGGCAGATACAGCTGAAACACAAACTTCCTATGCAGGAACGTTGATCGACGGCACAGAGGCCAAAATCCCGCCCTTACCCAAAGAAGGTGCCAACAAAACACCTTTTGAATGTCCCTATTGTTTCTTAATTATCTCAGTTCGAGATACGCGAGCATGGGCTCGCCATATTTTCCGCGACTTAATGCCATATGTGTGCATCTTCCCGGGTTGCTCTGGCAAGCTTTATGACAGTCGTAGACATTGGTATGGCCATGTTGAGAATGCACATGCAGATTCAATGAGAGCCCCTAGATTTGACTGCTCTATCTGCAAAGCTTCTCTTTCTAGTGTGATGTATGAGCGGCATGTGAGTCGTCATTTGGAAGAGCTGGCTCTCTTCCTTCTTCCTCGAACAGCGGAAGGCGAAGAAGACAGCAAGCAAGACACAGATGAAAATGCAGCACACGCTTCGAGTGATGAATCGAGTAAGAAGTCTCATGACGATGAATCTCCACCGAAACCTTTTGAGCTTTTCCAGTGGATACTCGATGAAGCGGAACCTCTCTCAAGCATTTCGAAATCCTATTCCGGTGACAAGGAAGGACCTAGAGAGATTGACCATCATCGGATACCAGCACCAAATAAGTCTTATGACGGTTCAGAACCTGGAGAGACCGAGGGCAGAGGCGTGTCACCTTCAAATTTCGAGGCTGTCAATGATCAAATCAGCGAGAGAGACCATGAAACCGATCTTGAAAGGACTCCTCTCAAGCCCGAAGTTGACATAAACCACACTTCGCCCTTTGAGAAATTCAGAAGGAATGATTTCCTCGTTATGAAACACCGTGAAATGTATCATGACTTATCATTTCCCGAGAACAGCATTGATAGTGGAATGTTAACAGTGGGCGCAGTTCGGATGGCAGCAGCTGAAGTACTTGGTGCAACAAGTGAACAGTCCAGTCTTCTGCTTCTGCATAGAGGGCGAATGCTGAAAGATAATAAGACTACATGTAGAGCGATAGGGCTCAATAACGGAAGCCAGCTGTCGTGCTTTTCTGAAGAGCTTCCACTCAATGGGCCAGTCATCGAGAGGCTTAAAGAAGATCCAGCGCTATCTTCGTCGGGTGGTTTGGACAACCCTGCACTATCTCCCAATATGAAGTGGTTCCCAACTCGGCTGGCGCAAATCGCTGCATTGACCCGCTGGCTGCAAGAGGAGATGGTTCCGTTGGTTAATGAGTACGTGGCGAACCCGCCGAGGAACCCTGAAAAACGAGAACGGGAATATAAGAGATTGTCCGAGACGATACTTTCACAGGTGTTGTTGAAAGTGGATAACATTGATACAGTAGGCGATCAGACAGTTCGCATGGCACGCAGATCCCTCGTCAAGGACGCGCAGGCGGCTATTAAACAGCTGGACACAATTTCGAGGCTCAGTTTCCTCGAGATGCTTCATGTCGAAGACAAAACCAAGACCAACGAGCCCAAAAAGAAAAAACATACAAGCCCAGTGTCGTCTCGGCGATCATCCATAGAAAGCATTGTCACTCCACAGGATCAAGTCAATGACCTTTCAGAGCATTTCCTTTCCATGGAGAATGCGTATGAGGATGGTGAGTCTGGAGACAACAGGAGCACCATGACAACCACAACCACAGAACGCCTGAACGCTTCATTGGCGTTTTCGGAAGCTGATATCTGTTTGGATCGCCTGCGGAAACAATACACCAATCTCTGTGCAGAGTTGGGAAATCTGTCAAGCAGTCGCGAGAAAAAAACAGACGACTGTTTTGAACTCATCAGGGAAATAACGGAACAAATTGACAGGGTATGGGAGATACTGTCTCGGTACCCAGCTGAGATCGCTGAGGTCCTGCCCCGTCTCCAAGGGTTGCAAGGTATGAAGGATCAAGTTCTTGCAGCTCTTGAAATAGAAAGATTCGAGGGAGACCAGCGAAATCAATAGAATCCAGGCTATTAACAGACATGCAATGAAGAGATCCAAGATAATGCCTAGGTTAATCTTGGAATGTTGAATATGAGCCTGTGGAGGTCTTCGTCGCATTTTAAACCGACCGGTTGCTAAAAGGGTCTGCGCCATATTAATATCTGTATCTTCGTAGCGTATGGCAGCTCATATCTCTTTTACTACAGCCAAAGACACTCGAGGTGAACATAAAATCCATAGAAGCAGAGAGGTCAAATCTAGGTGGAAACAATACATGAAACTATGTGCTCGCTTCGCGGCTAAATCTTATATAGAGACTGTCTAATACAATACTAGCGACACTGCGTATACATGTGTGACTAATATTAATTTTATACTAGGCTAACTTAGTGAGTTACCGACAGATACTTGCAGCGCCCAAAAGCATTTTATGCTAGGAATAATCTAGAATAGGAGAGAAGGTTGATGTGACCTAGTATGAAGACAAAGAACAAGACAAATCAAAAGCAGTATGATAGAATTTGGAGGGAGTTTCTGAAGTGATATAAGGGAAGAAGTCTCGCAACTTTGCTTTTATGTTTAGACAAACAGAAAGGTCATGTCTTGGCTTGAGTACTTCACCTTTCACTCGAAGTTGAGACAAACGACTTCAAAGCGAGCTTTAAGCAAAAAGCAATCTATCTGAATTAACCTCCTTCCAAACATCAAATCATGTTAGTAACTAACCAATTAAAGAATTCATAACACCAAGTAGTTAATCCACACTTATCTGACTAGAAATTCAGCCGTAAATAAGACAATCTACACTCGTCTACTTATCTCTACACTTATACCAAGTCATTTAGTACCATTTATAGGGCTTACATCTAGAATGGAAGTGAAATTGCAAGAGAAAATAGTGATTGTAGGGCCAAGGCAACGAGGCGCCCCGCCAACTAATCAAAAAAATAAAACAACTTATGCCCCCCTTCGTCCCCTTCTCACCTCAGACTAACGGGTACCCAGTCTCAGCCTCATCCTTAGACTCATCTTCAGATTGCTCTTCAGATTTGTCCTCAGATTAGGTATGAGACTGGGACCCCCTCGCAGTCAGCACCCACCTCCAGGGAGCTGAGGTCAGTGACCCCCTCACCCTCACTGGACGCGATCAACTCGTCCAGTGCCCCCCGGCTTAGGAGAGAGGCAGGGCCCTTGTTCCAGAATCCCACGGCATCAATGCCCTCTACCACTTTCTTGCCAACATTGAACAAGGCCCGAAGGCCAGAGCCGGCCACCCTACCGAGGACGTCCTCCGGCTTCCACTCTTCATTGACAGTGCCGGGATCTATCCTCTGGTTTGAGGACAGGATCTTCTCCACGGAAGCACTGATCAATGAAGCCCGCCACCATTGAGTACCGTCGCGGAGCATTTGCTCACGCGAGCCGGCCTGCACGACCATGATCTCGGAATCCCTAACTGACACCGAGGCGTACAGTTCTTGGGTTTCCTTGATCTGCAGGTGGATGCCGTGGGCATCTTCCTGGTCGTACTGGTGACGGGTCCACCGCTCCAGAACGATCTTGTCAATCGTAATTCTGGACTTAGGAGGGTGGAAGAGGAATTGGAGGCGGGAGTGGGGTTCAACCCAGATGCTCTTCACCATGGTGCGCGCGATCTTGTCAAGCTCCAGGTCAACTCCGGCCGCGTAATTAATGGCCCCTGTTAGGTTGGCTGATGCATCCCAGACCTGGCCGGGGAAATTGAGGTGCACAGAGCCGAGGTTGACTTCTGGGTAGCGGATTATGGAATTCCCGCGTTCATCGACTGAGATGATGATCTTGCGCTTCTTGTCGGCGTGGCAGTGGAACTCATACTTGATGCACTGTCGGTTGATCTCGTCATCGAAGATTCGAGTCTGGTTGACCTGAAGACTGATGATGTGGTCGATGTCGGCTGGCGACGTAGTCAATCGCTTGAAGAATGCCGTGCGTGGCCGCTTCTCCGCTCGGTTGAGAGGAAAGAAAAGAGACTGTAGCTCTGCATAGCTGTACTTGGGATGTCTGGCAAATTTCTGCATGCCGTAGATCGTGTGAAGACCGAGCTGGAACTCCAGGCTCATTGCGCCGGGGAAAGAGGTGGCAGTGACGAGGGTTGGTCTCAAAAGCGCAAAAAGAACCTGAACGGGGTCTGCAGGTTCCTCTTTCTCCAGGATAGCTGCGTTCAATTTGCGTGCAGCGGTGATCCTCTCCTGCAATTGTTCAGGACCGAAGGAGTCGAGCGCACTTTCTTGCCTGTCAATGGTAGCCTGCTGATTGGCGATGGCTTGTCCAAAGCTCTCCAGATGAATCTGGGGATTAGTACTAGGCTGCTGATAAACCTCTGTTCCATTCAAGCTGCCAGGGGAGAGGAAAAGACCGTTACTCCCCAAGTCTTGCGACTCAGTTGAGTCCTTGTTGGCCAGCTGCTCTGTGGAGCCGGGGCTGTCGATCCTCTTCCCATCCCAGATGTCAGCACCCGTAGTAGGGGGAAACTCCCAACGAAGACCTTCCAGGTCCGTATGAATACGGGGTGCTTCCCCGTCCCCATTGTCGGTAGTCATCATAGAGTGAGTCTTGGAATTGTTGCTGACATCAGAGTGAATGCCAACATAATTGCGCAGATAGTTCATGCCAATTTGATAGTCACTCTGCGAAGAAGCGACACTGAAATAAGGACTCGCAGGGGGCGAAGCAAAGCTGTCAAATAGCACTTCGCTAGGAGTGCGATCAATGCCCATAAGGGCTCTGGCAGCAATGGTGGCCTGGACTTGCCGGACAGCGAAGTTTACGCTGCTTGAGCTGGCCCCAGAAGGGTTACCATCTGCGTCACCAGTATCAATCAATTTTGGCAGAATTGATGCAGCGAGAGATTCGAGTGCTTTGAAATTTTCTTCAAAGGTCTGAGTCATGATGTTCATTGCAGACGAGGCAAATGTATCGCAGTCTATCTGGGGAACATCGTTCTCAAGGGGCGCCAGTAGCTTGGGATCATTCTCGGCAGTGGAGAGCTCATCAGGAACTCGTTGGTTTTCGAAGTCCGAGCTGTTCTCCTCGCCGATATCAACCCATTCGCTGATGTCGAATGCCTTTTTGCGGGTGAGGTACTGGTGAGAAGTACTGGTTGAAGCGGAAGAAACCTGAGATTCGGATGGAAGATGCGAGTGGACATAGCGATCGTCTGCATAGCTGTTGTTGGAACCAATCTCGGGGAAGATAAAGTCATCCCAATCTTGAATGACGCTTGATTTCCGGTTGACATTGATATGCGGTGGATGGCGAAGTTTGCGCATTGGCCGGAATCGATTCTTCTCCTCGTCGAACTCGCCTATTACCACAGTCGACATGTTGTTGAGAATCTCGGCGGGAACACCACTAGCCAGAGCACGCCATAGGGCTGTTGCACTCAGTTCGGAGTAGTTGAGGATGTTAATGTTGGTGTTTTCAAGGTCAACGCAAGGACCGATGAACATCAAGCCTTGAATGGGGTGTACCATGAGGCCCTAAAGAAAGTCAGCTTATGTAGGCATGAACATTGGTGGTGTAAAAACATACCATGCATTCCTCAAGTGTAGAAAGCTTCCCAGCCGCTCTGTCAATGTGTTTGATATCCGGTGCCTTGATGAGAACTCCAGCTTCGCGGTCATTGCACTCGATACTGATGCCGTCGTCCCTTCCGATACGAGGCAACAGAGAGTATGCATCACGGTGGAATTCATTGATTCCACAGCGATCGGGCTTCCAGTGTGTATGGTGCATTGGAGCATTGGCAGAGCGTGGCAATGGCTCCTGACTTGGATGTTCAGGGACATCTCCATCGGGGGCGCGCACGACAGGTAATCGAAGGGAACTCGAGGATTGGATGCGATGAATACGAGGGGCCTATATAACAGATTATACGTAAGTATAGGACCATAGAAGGACGCGGAATGTGATGGGAAGGGGATGGGTCAACCCCGCCGGCGCGCGCGCGAAGTTAGGGCTAGCGACTCAGCGCACCAACCCGGCCAAATTTTCGCGACTTACCCCAGCAAAATCATCTGTCTGATGGACACTGATGTATTCAGCTAACAAGCTTGTACTTCGGACTTCAAAGTCATCGCTGGAGACGCCACTGATGATCAGGGTCTGAATAATTCAGCTGGTTAGCGACGCCTGCACACCAGCACGAACGTTCGAAATCGCTGACCTCGGACTCTCGGAGATATTCAAAGTGAATCTCGGTGTCAGGATAAGCTTCTCTGTGTAAATGTCAGACGAGAGAACTTGAATTGTGGGGGAAAGGGCGTACTTGATCTTTTGCTGGATCTCCTCGAACTATGAAGCGCGCAGTCAGTAGCGGCCGCGCAAGATGAAATACCAAATACTTACCGCTCTTGGGTCAAGAGCCCAGATGGTGGTGAAGAGCATTCTGCGCGGCGAATTCCAGTTCGACATCTTGTTGGACCGATTCAACGGCGGAGGTTTGTGATCTAGATCGAGAAGCGTGCGATTTGGTTGAAAGCGCGGCACCAGGGGCAGACCTGGAATGTAGCCAATCACTTGGTCAGCAGTGACAACGAGTGAATGGCCTAGAAGACCAGAAGAGAATCAAGAGCGATTGGCGTGATGATGGTGTTATGGATGACAGGTGATGGCAGTGCATGATGAAGGTTAGATCATCGCAACAGGAATGTGTTAGACTCACAGCGTATCTGAGAACGCACGCCAGGTGTCAGTGACTACGGCGCAAGGGTATCCAATTTGGATGAATCAACGAAGAATGGAAGAAAGGAGGAATCGAAAAGGATAGATAGTCCAGGCTCCGTGCAAGATGAAGCAATCGAAGTATGGGGAGCGTCGGTTGCGAAGTACGACGATGAAGGAAGAGGCATCCAGGAAGAAAAAGTTAAATGAATGATTATTACGCAAAAGAACGCAATACGACGAGATACGGAGATGTCTAGTAGAAAATCTTTTCAGGATGGCATTGAGCGACGACAAAGAAACGCCAGCACCACTTGCCTGTACATGCGCATGACGCCGGCGAGGTGAGCCGAGTGACGTACCCTAGACTGGAGCTTCATGTCCGCTCCCTAGACTGAAGTATTTGCTGAGCTGCGGAGCATTCACGCAAATCAAAACTCAAAATGACCATATTCGAACTATATAAAATAAATCTTAGCCCGAAAAGGCTGATGCAGTATGCCCTGTGCAGCCATTCCCTCGTGCGAGGATTACCCCCTGGGAGTATCATTTACAGAAGGCACCCCAGGTTCAATGAAACGGAGATCAGCTGGGATGACTAGGAAGACTCAAGACACATCGTCAGCCTTAAGGAACATTGAAAATCTAAAACAGAGCGCGAAATGAACCGCACTTAAGATGGGAAATGTACGACGAATATTTATTGAAAATATGAAAGGGCAGATAAAAGAGAAGTGGGCCAGCCTAATACACCAAGTTGGGACGACAAAGTAGAAAAATAACATTTTCAATGGAATCCCATGACCAGGGAACGTTCTCTGTTCAGTCATATCCAAGAGGTAATAATATGCAGTCATCAAACATCAAGTCTAATGGGTTCGTCAAAACAAAAGAAATGAAAAAGGTCACCGGATCAAGCTCTGCCATGGCGGGTATCTGCTGCAAAAAGAAACGCCATGCACCTGCAATGGGAAGAGGTCTATAATATTGGAAAAGTGTGTTGATGTTTGATGAGGATGTAGTTAGGTAGGGTTTGAGCTGTCACGGGACGAGGGTCGGATGACTGGCCGTAGCGGTGAGTGTCGGAAAGCGAGAGAAAGAAGTGAGGTGTGTTTGAGAGTCTTGAGACAAAGGCGGAGAGATGAGGTCTTGGTGGAGAGGTGCGGAAGCGAGTGTGTTGGCGGGCGCCATGCAATCAGCAATGCAGACAGACAGGCAGCACTTATTCACTGGCAGGTGGCTTGACTTGGCTTTCACTCAGCCGAACTACCCACTTCATCTCTGATTCCGTCTCCTTGATGCTAGCCAGAGCTCCATCAATTTTGTCATTGTTGGACTGGGCCGACCCAAGGGTGTCCCGGAACTCCTTGTCCTTCATATCCTTATACGTAGTATGTGTAGCCAGCAACTTCTCATAAGATTCCTTGAGAGCCTCGATCTCACGGTTCTTTTGATCTGCAAGGACCTCCAAGCGTTCCGTAGAGTGTATATGTGTTTTTTGCGCATTGGCTATGGACTGGAACTGCCCAGAGATAGCATTGATGCGTTTTGTGAAGTCTGCCTTGTCGCGTTTCGTCGCGGACGATAGTACTTCGTACTGTGTTTCGTGGTGCTTGGAGATCTCCTGTATCCGAGCTTGTTCGCGGTTATGGTTCTCGCGTTCCTCGCGCATCATCTCGTTGGTTTGATTGGCATCCACCTCGGCATCATGGCGCTTCGAGCGCTCATGTTGTATGTCTGTTCGTAGTTCTTCCAGTTGCCGGTCCTTGCGCGCGATTGAGTTGAGATTCGTCTCGTTGACTTGTTCAAGATTTTGTAGCCGCTCGTTCATATTTTGTTGCTGGATCTTATAGGCTTCATTTGACCTTTGGAATTCTTCGGCGCGAGACTTTTGTAGAGTGCATTCACGCGTTAGACGCGCGATTTCCTCCTGGAGGTTGTGTATGACCCGGCCGGATTTTCCGGTTGCTGCATGTCCGACTGCCGACCATTCTGCCGTTGATGGTTCGCCATTGCTGGTATCTGTAGTAGCGGAGGGATTTGATGGTTGGGAAGGAGATGGAGAGGTGTCATTGGAGGTTCCTGGGAGGCGAAGAGAATGTGTCAGCTCTGGAATGGCTGGTAACGAGACCAAAAGTACCAACCGTTCTGACCTGCGGCCGGGGACTCTTCGTCGAGGAAACCGTTGTGCATATTTAGCTGAGTGTCCACATGCGGGAGATTGACCTGCGGTGCGTCTGCATGAAGAGGGGGGTCAGCACCAGCTGGGGCTAGATTCTTGCTGGAGGTGAATCGCATCATAGCCCTTGTGAAGCCGCCCATGTTGACCAAAACATGTCTGGAATTTGCAGGCCAGAAGATCGAACGCAAAGAATCAAAATGACAAACACGCGGAGAGGGCTCATACCGATATTAAGTGTCGCAGGTGCCTGTGACTTAATATTGCTTAATCATCGAGACATTGCAAGGGACAAGCTTTCAATAATTGAGACACACGCGCACTATAGTTTCAATGGTTCAACAATGGCCCCTCAACAGATGCAGATATGTTCCGATGAAAGTAGCGGTAAAGAGGAGAAGTGAAGTGGAATCGGTCTTGTTTGTGTTCCCGCTCCGCTGTCCGCTGTTGACGTCGCAGAAAGTAGCGGGACAGGGGTCCTTTGGTTGTTAGCGACAATTGATTCTGCAACGAACATCGCATATAACTCAGTTAATTGCAAAAAATATATTAGCACCATACGAGCAAGGGAGCAAGGGTAACTAGGCCAAGATAAAGTATTATGAAAGAATTGATTACTTCTCAGCGCCTTATGCCACCTATATATCGACGATATCCAGGGGTACTATATATACAGGAAGCTATCCCGACCAGTTTTGCAAAACGAATGAGTATGCCACTCCGAAACACCAACAAACCAAAACCCCTAGAAGAAACTTTCTACTGAACAAGGTAGACAAGCAGACCAGCAACACCCAATACGAACTTCATGGAAGACTGAGTAATTGAACCAGCATCGGTCTGTACGCTACCGGTGGAAGAGGCCTCCTTGCCGTTGCTAATGTCAGTGATCATGGGAACATCATCGGAGCTGCTTGTAATGGATGAGCTGGCGACAGCGGAGCTAGATGGGGTGGCGGAGCCGCTGGCTGAGGAGCTGATGAGGGCCTTGCTACTAGCGACATCGGTGGTCTGAGTGCCTCCGGTGGTCTTGCTGGCAGCAGGGGTGGTAGCGGCGCCAGTGGTGGTGCCGGTGGTGCCGGTGGTGCTGGCCTTGTCTTCTGGGGTATCGGCGGGCTTGTTACCAGCAGAGTGAAGGAGAGCAGTGTAGTTCATTTCATCTTGTTGAGAGATTTGGAAAGCGTAGGTCTGACCACCCTTCACGTCGCTATCGGGAGTCCAGGTGAAGCTGCCATCCTTGGCTTGATCGGTAATGACCTTGACATCCCTGAGGTTGCCGGAGGGTCCCTCGCGGAGGGTAATGGTCACGGGCTAGTGGATTATTAGTTGCCTGTCTCCACTCATAGTAGTAAGCTATGTACCTGATCAGGGTGGGCGCCTCCAGTCCATCGAAGGGTAACGGGCTTGCCAGCCTGCAGCGGCTCAGTAGGCCAGGCAGTGAACGAAAGAGGGTCTGCGAGGCCCAGGGTGACAATGGTTGCCATGGTGGCAATGATAGACTTTGAGAAGAACATTCTGATTAAAGAAAGTAAAATTCGGGTTGGGTTTTAATGAAAGTGGGCGATATTTTTTTTGGGCGAATATGGTCGATGGGCGGATGGGCGACGTGAATGGCGATACAACTTTCAGAACTTGAGTGGCGCATCGCGATTCTTATCTGCTAGGAAATATTGCCGTGAACTCTCCCAGCCCCGCAGAATCGAGCTTGAATGTCGCGTGTTGGTATTCGTAGTGAGACCCAAGGGCGTTTGGGGAGAATGTCGCATTCCTCTAGCCCTAACGGTGAAGCAGCAGCATATTGCCCAAGAAAGCATGCTACTTTCTAGTCTGGGGAATGCCTGGTAGAGAGCATTGGGAATTCTTGACACAAAGCTAATTTGCGTTGAATAAAGAGCTTGTTAGTATAACGTGAGGATGTGGAACTGGGCCATCACTCGGCATTTTGTACATATACCACCACGGGTGGCTGCGGAATGGTATCCTTTTTTATTCTTCGAGTGGCTGAAACCATTGATTGGATATTCAGCCATCAAGTTAAAAACTTATCATTGAGGAGATCGAAGTGTCGAGACCCAATAACATGACCCGGTGGGACATGCTGGAATGCCATCCCTTCCCGAGTTGTTTTGATGGGTATTAGTCCGTAGGGCAAGATAGACTAAATATCGATCTTTCAGTCTATAAGGCATTTCTCAGTCCTTGGTTTTGCAGAAAGCTCATACCAAGGGGTGTAGTTCAGGGTGGAAGATCGGTCTCGGGAGGTTGAGGTAGCTTGATCGCCATTCATAGAGCAACATTCAACACTTATTCCCACCTCCCGCCTTCAAGCAACATGGCTGAAATAGATAGATATGATTGAGATATATCATGAATTTGTTGAAAGTAACAATAACATATCATTGATCAACATATGCCACGGGATTCGACCGCACGATTCCTAGGGTATCCTCTGATATCCACAATTATATATTTATAAAACAAAAAAGCGCTATTTTTTCAACTAAAACCGCAATGACCATAGGACCGAAAGTATTCTCATATTGAACCGCAAGACTCCTGGTAAAGTAGCAAATCCACCACCTGTCAACTGAGCTGGTATGACCCGGTGGCTTCAGCCAAACATCCAGTGTTCGTCCTCAATTCTGCAAGGTTAAATGTAAGCAAGGGGTTTGTTTGTTGATACGATCATTCCCTTTAATGAAGCAAGATACTTATACCCCGCAAGATCTACATCTCCCTTGGAAACTTTGCCAAAATGCATTGAATAGAATTGGTATACGCTGATAATTTTTGAACACTTAGAAATCCCACATGCCACGCATAAGACACCCAGCACCAGAGTCCACCCCGCCATCCTCTTCTAGTAGACGATCTGTGAAGATACGTTTGGGGATCTGGTACTCGACAACAGGAATCTTGCGGATATTCCTCTCCTCCAACCCTAGCTCTGCTGTCACCATGCCCTGGTACGTGTGATCGAGGAAGTCTTCCAGGCTGTAGGCCTGCTTTGTGAACTGTTCCGAGATAATGCGGGCAATGGCGGCCACGTTTGGGTGGTAGTGAGACTGAAGAGTCTCGATCTCCCACAGACTACTCTCAATCGCGTCGGTCTTGGTAGGGTCAGCCTCTGTGGCATCGAAGGGGTCGTCCATCCCTTCTTTTTCCACGTCCGCGAGGAGATCCTTGTCACGAATTGACCGGTGCAGGAGGAAGGATGTGGTGGGGTGGCTCTTGAAGAAGTTGTACATGAATGGTACAATAACCACAATAGCGGAGGGAGGAGCGTTAAGTGCCAGCCGGGAGAGACGCTTCATGAAGCTTGCAACCAGGGTGGCGGGAAGATGGGACGAAGACAGGAAGGTGTTGAGCAGACGGAAGAAACGTGACCGGTGCTTGGAGTGCAGGAGCTCGGCGTCGAGGAGAGAGTAGAGCTTTGCGTAGAACTGAGGGTAGTCCAGGTTCTTTTCCTGGATGAGGTAGAAGAGACCGGACAAAGCGAGGAGAGAAGTGGCACCGCCGACATTGAAAGAATCCGTCAAGAAGTCCATCAGGAGTTCTGGCCGGGTGAACCAGGGCTCGATGTTGTGGACCATCATGCGCAAAAGACCCTTTCGCTGTGCTTGTGAGAGGTTGTTCCGGAGAATAGCCAACCAAGCCTCCTGGGCTTGCTTCTTGTGAGAGTGCACAGAAGACAACCGCTTGTTTTTGATATCCCGATTTGCGTAGAAGGTTTCGAATTTGTGTTCCGCTGCGGGTACTTCGTCGCAAGATTCAAGCATCGTGATGAGAATTTCGAGGATGGCCGAGGATCGCTTCGTTGCGGCATATTCACTGTCATTGTCAGTAAAAGAAGCAAGGAAAAATAACGACGAGGTACATACGCCATCTGGGTGAATGTGTAATATCTGACTTCGTCATACTCCTTCATAAATTTGTTCACGAATTCAGACTGCAGATCCTGGCCGTTACGGGCCTCGACAACGGCCTGTAAAATGTCCTTGAATCCAGTCGACCAGATTGTACTCTCGGAACCGGGGATATGAGCAACACGTTCTTTGATCAGGCGCATGCTCAGTGTCAGGGCAGTGATCTAGAGACTGTCAATAAACGCAACTGAGCCACCAGATAGTATACACACCTGAGAAGTGCCATCAGCCTCGCGCATAATGGCAAGAAGAGCATTCTGGTACTCAAGGCAGCGTTCCTTCAGCCATGCCACCACGATCTTCTCATTCTCGGCGGCGCGAGTTGATTCCGTGAGATTTCCTCCGGCAATCAAGCGACTGAACACACGACAGAGAGAAACTGCCACAGCCAGATCGGGCTTCTCGGCAGATTTCTCGACATTGAGCATAGAAATCAGAGTCGCAATATTGTTATAGTGCTTCCGCGACTCCGCAATCTGATTCTCTAGCTCTTGAATAGTCTCCAGTCGCTCAGCGAAATCGTCCTCGGCAACAGCGCGACGTTTGGAGGAGGGAGCGCTGGCATTCTTGCCGCTCTTGCGCTTCTTGGAGCTCGAATCTGTGGTAGGCATGTTGTATACTGTCGAATGGTGATCGTCGCAACTTTTTTTTGTCTGGGCAGATTCGGATGCGGGTTTTTCCGTGGCACGGCACCAACGCCCAAAACGGCTAGCGTCTTCACCTCCTAGCCATTCCGAACCTCAAGTCTCCTCAGTTCCGTTCACCCACCCCATTGAATCAATATCTTTCCATCCGCAACAATGGCTGCACGTCTCGCTAAGAGCGCCATTGGTACGCCCCTTACGATACTCGACCGTCTGATCGACTCGATGCCTTCAGTTGCTAACTTCCCTTAGGCGCATCCCGTCTTCGGCCGGCTATTCCCGCCCGTGGTGTCCCTGCCGTCACTGCCAACCTGACCTCGTCTCGCTCGGCCTCCAACGTGCCCGCCGAGGATCCCGCGAAGAAGGCTCAGTCGATCCTGAACGCTATCCCTGGCAACTCCCTGGTCACCAAGACCGCTACCCTGTCTGCCGCCGCCGGTCTGTCCATCGCCGCCATCAGCAACGAGCTGTACGTCATGAACGAGGAGACCGTCGCTGCCTTCTGTCTGCTTTCCGTCTTCACTGCTGTCGGCAAGTACGGTGGCCCTGCTTACCGCGAATGGGCTGAGGGTCAGGTCCAGAAGCACAAGGACATCCTGAACGCTGCCCGTGCCGACCACACCAACGCTGTCCAGCAGCGCATCGACAACGTCTCCCAGATGTCCGGCGTTGTTGAGGTTACCAAGCAGCTCTTCGCTGTTTCCAAGGTGGGAATCTCGGTTCATCTTGGTGTGTGAATAGGTTGTTGACAGATCGTTTCAGGAAACCGCCCAGCTCGAGTCCCAGGCCTACGAGCTCCAGCAGCGCACTGCCCTCGCCGCCGAGGCTAAGACTGTCCTCGACTCTTGGGTTCGCTACGAGAGCCAGGTTAAGCAGCGCCAGCAGCGCGAGCTTGCCGAGTCTGTCATTGCCAAGATCCAGAAGGAGCTTGAGAGCCCCAAGGTTCTGCAGCAGATCCTCCAGCAGAGCGTTGCCGATGTTGAGCGTAAGTTTAATACGTCCTTGCATCTTTCCACGAATAATACTAACTTTGCGCAGGCATCATGGCCTCCAAGTCCCAGTAAATGGGTATCAGCAGCTCACTGCATTCGGCATTGTGTACAAAACTATAAGGGCTATTTGCATCTGCCGAGTTAGACCTTGCAATACCATTTGAATTATTATTCTATATTTTGTGCGACATGAACCAAAGGATGTGTTGATGAACGAGCTCGCCTGGCGACCCCTGAGCGTGATGTCTTCACATGAAGCTCGGCGATATACTTTGTAGACTGCCAGGGATCAGAGACATTGGCTACCGTAGCTAGATCCCTCTTGACGATTATAAAGTCAGCTTTGGAGTCTCTGACACGGAAATATAAACACAGTCAATTCTGCTATGTCCACTCTGTATCTGTGTGGTACTATGACCTGCAGGGACTAATGCAGCAGCCACCCGTGGAGACTGATAACGATCTATATCTTAAGATCTATATATTCCATAATCTCCAAGTCTGGGGTCAACTTCACCATATCACCTGTGTACAACTATGTATAACTTGGGCATTGCGCATGGAGCCGCCAGCCAAGACATACATATCCGCAGCCGCCGGACACAGCCACTGCCATATGTTTTGACATATATTGTTTCTATTTTAGATCTTCACATCTACTAAACCTCTACTTACTTTCGTTTCACTTATCTATCCCACCTATATACAGTACCACCAAGATCCACCCCCGCACCATTTAGCCTATGCGCCATGCCTTCCCTCCGCAACATTTTACACAAACGCGACGAACTGAGCAAAGGCCCCCAAAATGACCAAACAGCAGCTCCCCCGCCGCCCGAATTCACGCTCATTCGAACAGACACACACACCCAAGAAATCCTAACGGCACCAGCAGACCCGGACCCCACAACCCCAACCCTCCAAGAACCAGACAGCAACACGCTCTCCCCATCCCCGCGCCGAAGCTTCCAACTCTTCACGCGCTCACGCAACAACTCCGTCTCCTCCCCTTCCCCGCCGCGCCGCGAACGCCGCCTCTCAAACCTGCTCCATCTTGACCATCGCAGTCGCAGTAACTCGCGCGACTCGTCTGCGAATATCCCTGCGGATTTACCGCAGATTTTGGATGATGGCGGTGCGAGTAAGCAGGAGCGTGAGGCGCAGTGGGAGAAGAGGGCCACTGTGCTTGTTCAGCGGAATCCGCAGTTTGGGAGGTCTGGTTCGGAGTTGGCGTTAGCGGGGAGTGGGAGTGGGTATGAGGATGGGGATGGGGATGTGGGACAGGGTTCGCTAGGGTTGGGGATTGAAGGGTTTGGAGCTCGTTCGAGGAGTTCGAGTCAGAGTCGCATTTCTGTTGGGCCGGCGGAAGATGTAAGTTTGTCTTTGGTCCCTGGGATCGGATGTTCTGTTTATATATATGGGTTGGTTGGAATGTGGGACTGATGTTTATAGGTTAATATCCAAGAGGCCATTCGACTGCATGAATCTGGTGGTGAATTTTGGCCTTGTGGTGGAGGTATATCTATATCAGTCGCTGACCCTGGTATATAGATCTTGAACGGTCAACACAAATGTTTGGACAACTCGCAGATGCAAACAACCCCTTGAGTCAAGTTCTGTATGGTCTTGCACTACGGTGAGCGCATTTCCATTGGAATTTGATTGTATATGCTGATTCTTACTAGACATGGATGGGGCTGTCCTCAAGACCCAGCGCGCGCAGTAAAATACCTCTCTGCAGCAGCATCCAACTCAGCAGCAGTAGAAGCAGAGGCCCTGCGGGCCGGTGTGAAAAAGGGCGGATCCGCAAAAGGAGAGCTCGTCCTAGCGATGTTCGAACTTGCCAATTGCTTCCGTAATGGGTGGGGTCTGGAGAAGGACCCTGCTGCTGCTAGGCAGTATTATGAGACTGCGGCGAACTTGGGTGACGCCGATGCCATGAACGAAGTGGCATGGTGCTACTTGGAAGGGTTTGGCGGGAAGAAAGACAAGGTATGGTGTTTGTTAATGTATATTGCTATTATGCATGCTGATTTGTTGATTTATAGTTCAAAGCAGCCAAATATCTCAGACTTGCTGAGGAGATGGCGGGTCCTACTGTTGGCAATTCTTGGTATGTTTTGATTGACCTGGGTAGGTGTTTCGTGCTAATGTATTGATAGGATTTGGAAGGAGAAATATGATCCCAAATGACCGCATTTGACGACCTAATCTGGTTTTGTTATGAGCATGAACGCCTCCGATTTACGAGAAATGCTTCCTGATCTAGCTTGATACATATATTGTTTCTACTACGCGCTGTACTAAAAATTAATGCGTGAATGACTTTCATCTATTTTCAGAACAATCTAAATGTTTACAACACCATAATCTAGATTTTTATGATATGAAGACCTCTCATACAGTCTCTCTATGTTCAATCCTCCCAGCCTGTTTCTCCCCCACAGCTTCAAAGTCAGGTACAACCACGCGTGCCCTCTCCCCATCAAAGATGACTGCAATCTCCTCAAGCGACCTCCCCTTAGTTTCAGGATAAGCTTTCCAAACCACAACCAGAATGAAAAGCAAAACACCCAAAAACACAAAATAATACTTCCAAGAAATACTCTCGAATGCAATGGGGTTAATAAGCTGATTGAACGCCAATGCCAAATAAGTCGATCCCATCGAAAGAGCAACACCCTTGGCGCGCATCGAGAAAGTCCAGATCTCAGCGGGATAGGCCAATAGCAGAGGCGTAAAGGCAATATCATAACCAGCGTAGTAGATGAAGAGGAATGGTATGACCGCTGTTCCAACAGAACTGGTTTTGGTTGCGGTGAAGCTGCCTGAAAGTGCCGTGATGAAGATGTAACTTATTAGCATTATAACTGTCGATGCGAGGAAGAGGGCGCGTCGGCCGGCGCGATCAACTAGGCACGCGCCGACAATACTCATTATAAGGTTCCAGAGTTGTAGGAAACCGTTTATGAGTGTTTGGTCTGTGGTCGAGGTTATGCCAATTGTGTTGAGGATGAAGGTCAGATAGTAAGACACCACTCCACTGCAAGAAAAACACCTTGTCAGTACAAGCGAACCCCATAACCACTCAAGTCAATACTAACCCGCCATTCCACTGAGCAAAGATCCCGAGCGAAACGCTCAGGAAGAACCGATACCGATTCCCAGGCGTGGTAACGCAATCAACCCAGCGCGACTCAGCCTGAGCCTGCTCTTCCAGAAGCAAACCCTGACTAATCTCCTCAATCTCAAAAGCAACCAACGGTGAACCCTCATCGCCACCCGCATGGAATCTCCCCAGAACATCCTTAGCCTCATCAAGTCTCCCCTGCTTGATTAACCAACGTGGCGACTCAGCTACAAGCAACGTCCCCGGCAACGCCACTAACGGCAGCGCAACCTGCATCAAAACCGGCAGCCGCCACGCCCAATTGCCAGCCATATTCCTCGTCCCGAACGAGATCCACGCCGATAACGAAGAGCCCATATAATACTGACACATATAAATAGCAGTAACAAGCGAACGATGCGTCGGATACGCAATCTCCGTTACGAGAATCACACCACACTGGAACCAAGCACCAGCAATACCAATAAGTAGTCGTGAATAGATGAACATATCGGGATCGCTTGCACCGGCTTGGATGCCCACGCCTAGTGCGAGGAAGATGTATCCCACTAGGATAGTTGGCTTGCGGCCGAAGCGGTTGGCGGACCAGGCTTGCGCCGGGAGGAAGAGAATGCTGCCGATGTTCTGCAGGGCGTTTATGAAGCCTAGCCAAATTCCTGTTGGGTGGTTCATGAAAGTTTGCCATTGTGGGAGGGATTGGAGGCTGTTCATTAGTGAGATGTCGTAGCCTAGGGTTCCTGAGAATAGGATTAGGCTGGCTATGTAGGTGTTTAGGGATACTAAGTGGGTCGTTTTCCACCATGGTTTTGGATTGGAGGGAAGGACCTGGTGCTTTTTGTCAGTATTTGGTTCTTGGTAGCATTGGGAGGGTACTTCATACTGAGGCTAGGCCATTGCTAGGTGCCGTGGAAGGCGGTTTTGCCTTCATGGCCGCTGTCTCCGCAAATAAGAGGTGCCTGGAGTCGGAGGGGTTGGAATTGGATGATGATCTGCCTTTATACAGCCAGCTGGGGCATCTGATCAGTCCATTCCGTCTCCTTTGATGTGAGGCATTCCACAGGGAGCGACGTTCAGGGGAAGGAAGATCTTGCGGGGATCTGAGTTTGTGGAGATGTGGAGAGGGTTCGGATCCCCGGACCAGTTAGTCATCTTAGAGTTATACAATCCATCCAGCCAGGTAGAGATCATATCCGCTCTATGTATATGCTTGATATGTGGGACGGAAGGTCAACGTCCACAGACCCTTGCATGACAGGGATGCCACCACGTGGGAGGCGACACATGTCTCACCTCAAGCAGGTACAGGCAAAAGCGAACTTTACCAAATGACGGCCCTTGCTCGCAATTTATTTGTGTTTTATGTATTTTGTTTACTTCGAATACTGTGCATATCTTTGTTCTGGCAAGATGCTCATTTTTGGGCATCGCTACTCGCCCCACATAATACCTATAAAGGAAGTGATACCAAGCCCCTTCATCCCTCTGTGCCGTAGCAAAGGCAGCACAAAAGCCAATTGCACTGACATGGAGATGTTTTGGCAAAAGTTGAGTTGTCACAACCACAACTCCTAGGAGCATGGGATCTAAGAAGAGTCCTTGCAGGGATACTGCGATGGCACGTGGAAAGAAGTTGGGAACCAGGTAACGAATGAAACAAAATGCGATCCCAAGCGAGATATAGATCTGTTTGATCATCAGCAGGAGCTCAGAGAGTGTAACATACCCAAAGAAAGGGGTCACGGTCATGGCAAGCTTCTCTCTAATCGGCGGAGTCACAGATTCCAGGATGATACGCCCAACGGCAATTCCAAGCCAGAACCCGGTAGATGTCGTACTTCTTTCATGAACGTCACGACCCAACCCGCCTAAGGCGACTTCGATGCCAACATAGCCAAGAAGGAAGACCGAGCGAATCCAATTGACACGCGCAGCGGGCATCTTGAACTTTCGAAGTCCTCCTGTCTGATCGTCATCATCCGGACTTTGCTTCTTGGAAAGTCGGAATGAACCACCTGTTGAATACCAGAAAGAGGCCACACAAACAACGACTTCTATCGCAGCACCGCCAATCTAGATAGACAGCTAATATCATCGAACCACTCCGATCTACCGGGTTGAAGATATTCCCTGTTTCGGTGGCTCAGGGATATATTATGGCGAGATACAAAATTCCTCATTCCGAGTCCGAGGAACCATCATCATCGCCCCAAAGGCCCGAGACACTTTTCCGAACCTCATCCATATCAACATAATCCAGCCAACTGCTGTACCAATCTAAGAACTCAGGAATTGAATCAAATCGCGGCTCCCGACCATACAGAGTAGTCGGGTTTTCACCATCCGCCCGGAAGATTACAACACGCCATGCCCAGTCCTTCAGAGTTGTTGCAGATTCACCGTCAGACCGACAATAGAGATAAGCACTATGCCATTCGTCGTGTGCTCGTCGACAGCCGAGACCGGTATCAAATCCAACCTTGACCTCTAGGTCTTTATCCACAATGCCTTGAATAAAATCATCTTGAAGAATATCCGCTTGTAGGCATTCTTTCAATATTTCCCGTGATTCCGAGATATCGGGAGAAGATAGTGCCCGGACTCCTGGGCGATCTGGAAATGCATATTGTCGGATCCCAATCCGGCTCACTGGTGTAAACGGACAGATACCAGAGGCGCGAAAATCTGGATCTTGGACACCGTTGGCAAATTTGATAAAATGGCCTAGTTCGTGACACATTGGAACTCGGAAGTCCTCGCCAGCTTCATCCTGCGCGGCTGCCTCGTTACACACATGCTCCACAACCTCCAGAAACATTTGGCGCCATTCATTGGTGACCAGCGATGGTGGGATAATTCCATCCATATGTTGATGGAAGACTGAACCAACATCTTTCAGCCGGGTAACTGCTCTAGCCTCGCAAGATTGTCGGACAGGTTCTAGAGCGGCCCAATCATTCCAACTCGCCTCGCCTCCGGCACCTAAATCGTGCCAGTACACCCACATTTCGTTCAATTTCTGTTCTTCCGTAGACAGGCCCATGGCTTCAATCTCATCGATACGGTCCTGCAGGAATCGCCGATTCGAAGACTCCATTTTGGTGCGAAATCGTTCTACGGCCAGGCGCATAGTCTCAGCTGGGTCTGCGTCTGGAGATAGCATGTCGGCTATGGTCGGGGGAAAATAAGCGTTGAGAAAGAAAAAGAAGCAAGGAAAACAAAGCAGAAGACGGCTTGTGGCAGTGGACTACTTGTCAAAGCGGGAGCCCTGGGAGTGGGAGGAGGGGTATTTGGGTCCATCCCAACTAGAATGAGTCGTTGCGAAAAGGGAATCACAGCCGGCAACCAACAACCCACTCCATCTTTCGTCATCACCGACTTTCTTCGACAGAGAAACGAAATCATCTGTAATGGTGATTCGTATCTTGAGTTGGGATGTTGATGTCAAGTTAAAGGAGACTGACGATTACTGTCCGAAAGCAAGGGGCGAGCAAAAAAACCCCGGGATTTAGATCATCCAACGCCCAATCAACTCTTTGAACAGGATGCCTTCCGTCGTATCGAGTCAGTGCATCATCTCGAATAAGATTCAATGACTCACGGACAAATCAGAACCCAAGACCCGCATGAAGCTATTTCAAGAAGATATCCTACCAAATCTCACTCAACACCCAAGCCTCGAAAGTGACACTGCACTCTCGGGCACCGTGCCCGAGGCTGAAGCATATCCCATACGAGGCAAGGCTAGCCATGTTTTCCGACAAAATCACCAAAAGAGGCTGAATACGAGGTCCAGCGGTCTTGGCAGGGAGATCATATCGCGATTCGGCTCGGAACAATACGAGCAATATGATGGTATATAGATACCGCAGAGGAACGGAACTGATTCGATGCAAATCTACGTTCTTCGTGAAGTCGATATCCACCATGTGGTCTTCGTTGTCAAGCGGCCTCCTCCCCCTCGCCCTACTATGTAAATCCGTCACCGCAGACGACAATTACAACAACCGCCTCGACACAACAGCCACAAACGCCGGCCCTCTAACAACAGTCTTCACACCCCCAGCATCATGCGCTGCACCCCGCACAGTTGCCAACTACGGATACCCATATCTACTCGAAGGCTGTGAAGGCCCATACGGAGACGAGTGCTGCCCGGAAGGATGGAAATACAATGCGTACTTCAGTCCAGGCCGCTGTCCAACATCCTACAAGACTTGCACTTTGCCAACAGGCGCACAACGCGCCGAGACGACAGCATATTGCTGTCCAAAGTGAGAGAGTCACATTCCTTGAATGCCGAGTTGGACCAACACTAACACCATCTTACAGTGGCTTTGACTGCGGAGGTCAGGGTTACTGTGCGAAATCTTTCAACACAATCTCCACCATGACATACGTGGATGCGACACTCTCGACACAGCGCAAGATCTATGGTATCACGGCATCGCCTATCCAGATTCGGTTCAAGGCTGCTCAGTCGACGATTGTGCCTGTGCCAACTGACTCGTTGAGCCTGCCGCGTCGGTTCCTGTATACGCGCGAGAAGATTGGAATTGGGATTGCGGTTCCGGTTTTTGTTTTGTTTTTGACGATTGGGTTCTTTTGGTGGAGACGCAGGAGGGTGAGGAGGGCGAGGGCGGAGCCTGAACCGCTTGTTTCTGGGTCTGGATCGGAGTCTCCATCAGATGATATGCCGCCGCCATATACTGGTCCTGCTGCTGGTTCTACTGCTGCTGGAGTAGATGGGAGGTCTATGTTGGAGAGGTTGACCGGGGGTGGTAAACGGCCTTCGTGACTTGGTTGGCTACTCAACATGCAACGATGCAGCGGAATACCACAAAGATCCTCGGACAGACTGGGTTTCCCATATGTACCGCGGCTTGTTCCTTTTTAGCCCAAGGAGGATCATGGGATTTGGCAGCGTTTTAGTTACAATTTGGTACTGGGATGGCCGTGCTTCTCAAATGGGGCACTGGGTTTGTTGAACCAGGTTGCTCAACGGATGCGAAGCTCTAACTTAACAGAATTTCGATTGAATAGCAGATACTAAACTGCAGCAAATATACAGATGAGATGACAAAAATAGATACTACCCTCGATCTTGGTTCCCCTTCCGAGATCGTTGGCTTTCCAGGGCCGTTGATATTCCCTCTCCTGCCGGCGCAGGGAATGAACCAACTATTGCAGTGACCGTCAGTAATCCAAAATGAGGGAGAGTCTCGATTTTGAGAACGGTCGGCTGCGCTACAGGGACTTTGAATGAGGTAAGAGACCAGTTTTTGCCATGATATATTGTCCAGTTCTCGATTTGGAAGTGTCACTGTTCTGCGCACAGCCCATAAATCGAAATGGAGCTCTCACTTTATTATTCTATGTACTTTGAATCGCCATATCTCACTTTAATTATTTTACCCCATATATGAATCATCGTACACTCTCACCAAGACACGATTTTATGCACACCCTCGCTCAGGCCCACTTGCCAAGCAGCGCCATGATACCGGCCCCAAGCAACAAGGTCAGCACCATGAATGTCAGACGCTTGTCATCCTGAGTGCGGTGAGGGTCAAACAGGAAGTCCCTCGCCAGCAACTCAACAAGACCAGTGTACAGCAGGATACCAGCAGAGATGGCATCCAGCACACCCGAGACAACATTCGCAGTGAACGAGCCAGGGTTGTAAGTCGTGCGCAATCCCAGGCCAATCGCAATAGCAATCGGCGTGGTCAGTCCATAAGCAGTGCACAGCAACCAGGGCAACCAGCTACCCTTCTTGAAGGGAATGCTGGACATCCGAGCACCGATACCAAGACCCTCGAAGGACTGGTGGAAGACAAGGACAGGATACAGAGTTGGGAACTCGTCACCGGCAACACCGAGGTTCAGCCCGATGATCACAGAGTGAAAGATGACACCGAACTCGAGAATCAGGAACGCGGCAATCTGCTGCCTGAACGAGCGCTCGATGAGCAGCTCCTCAGACTGCGACTCAATCTCCTTGACCTGCTTATCATGCGAGTGAGAGCGTGAGACTGATCGACGGACATCGTTCTGCACTTCGACTCCACTGGGAGTCGCCATCATCGGCTCAGGGTCCTCGCGACAGATACCATACTTGACCTCGACCCAGCGCTCAGCACCAAAGTCCAAGAGGAAGACAACCATCAGGGATGTGAGCACGATGGCCGGGCACCAGGAGTAATCGGCCCAGTGACCGGTCAAGCCGACGCAGGAGTTTCCACCGATCTCATCATAGGCGGGATCGAGGAGATGGATGAAAGCCGTGGCGATGATGACACCTGCGCCGAAGTATTTCGCAAAAAGGTAGACGTATAGTGGGATTCGGAGGCGGGGTGCGCGCTTTGCAAGCACGGGGAAGAAGGTCGCTGCCGAGGAGACGATTAGGATGACGAAGATTGCAGAGATGCGCGCGCCCATGCGGCCGTCATATTCGTTTCCCTCGGAGTTGAGATAGCAGACAATCTCAGCTGGGTCCGCCGTGTCTAAGTCGACATTATGCGGGTCGAAGGCCATTTCTGGGATGGGTGGTTTGGACCACTGGGTTGAGGAAGGGCAGAAAGAGAGACTGGATGGGATGAGAGCTTCGTGGGAGCCTGGGAGAGAGGGCCTCCAAAAAAGAAAAAGCCGCGATGATCTTGCTTCAAATTAGGAAGGAAACCTTCGGCCGTTTTATATCAGGTTCTTGATTGTCGGCTTTCTCCGTGGTGAGGACCTTGGGGGGATGGTGTCTTTGCCTGCGCGTTTTGGCCCCCATTGCATGGTTTGGTTCGCCTTTAATGGTGTGAGGTATTATTTCGTACCGAGATAATTAGCTGAATTATTTGATTGGAGTTGCCAAAGCCTTCGAGGCCGTTTACATGTCAAGAAGGTCACGACTTAGGGTTACGCACACTCGGATAAATGGGCAGCCGAACCCTCCGTCTCTACAGTACAACAACCAGACAGGTACGCCTGAACCCAAGAATCCAAGACTCGGATACTTTCTTGACCAAAGCTTGAAAGCGTCCAAGCCTCGACGCAAGACTTAGCAGCGGACCCGCAGCCACTCGTAAGTGATTGGGTCTGTCAGCACAACCTACCACCAAGGTCCTTCGGTTAAGATTACACGTGGATCACGGCCCTGGAAAAGCGCCTATAGTCGCAGGAGATATTACTGAGAGCGGCAGGTGGGCTTTCCCTTTGAACCTAGCCAGAGTTTACCTGCCCACAACTGCGTAGGAATGTGGGTATTCCGTGGCCCAGATCCGATGTCCCTAGATGAGATATCCGTCAAGCGCGGAAAGGGGAAAGGACAACGTGCTGGGTCGGCTGAGTCTGATCCAATGATTGATTGGAGAATAATCATAGGTATTTGTTCATTGTAATGGACATTAAACGTTGGATAATGGTGTCTCGCCAATATTATCATGTTGGTTCGTTGCTTCATCACATTCGTGGGCGTCGCCGCCAGTGGGTTGAACACAGGGAATTAAAAATGGAGAGAGAAAATAGAACCTTGGAAGCTGGATCCCAAGGTCCACGTCTCTCTGTCCAAAGCCAAAGCCAAGAAAAGAAGAAACAGAAAAAGCAATTTCATCCAGCCCGAAATGACAAGCCCTTCCCATACAAGTAGCCATGTCTTTCCTAATGGACACGCTGCAGCCGGAATCGCTGAACATAACAGAAACAGTCCTAAAAGAAGAATAAAGCAATAGGAAAAAGAATATAATAACAATAATTCATCACAATGCAAATCACCAGATGCAAAGATTCATATCATATCTCGTTTCGTTTCTCGTAACCCGTGCCGCAGTCTCCTGCGAGGTTTCCAAGGCTGTCTGTACAACAAACATCAAAAATCACACATTTGCATTCACACATGATTCAGGTTCCCACCCTGTCGTTCATCGTTTGTATAGTATAAGTTCCCGCCTCCCTCCAGCATTGAAAACAAAAACACACGCTCCGAAGCCAATCGCTAAATCATCACGCTAAACAAGAAAGAGGAGAGCCCACAACCTTGGCCGGTAATACTGAGCCCAACCACCAGAAAAATCACATTGAAGAAACAAATGTCAAAAAGATACCCAAAGAAATAAACGGAGCAAAATGCTGCGTGGTCTATCGTTGCACGCTATCATTTCAAGAGCCATTGCTAGCTCGTATTTTTGAGAAAGAAAGTAAAATGGGGGCGGCTTATCAGCCAGGTCTGAGGGCCAAGAAGAGAAGAGAGGAAAAGAGGAGGAGAAGAAGAAGAAGAAGAAGAAGAAGAAGGAGAAGAATAAGGAGAAGGAGAAGGAGAAGGAGAACGATAAAGAGAAAAAGAAACTGTCGTATCGAAATAGTAGCCGAAATAAATCAGCTAAGCATGGAAGACACCCTCCTCCTTGACAGGGGTAGCGTAGTCCTGAACCATACGTCTGAAATCGTGAATAACCTTCTCAGGCACACGATCCCACATAAGCGACCTGGAATACACATCCGAAGGCGCGGCATGCAGACGACCCTGCTGAGCAGCCGAATTACGCATAGCAGCAAGGGCCTGCTGCAGATTCGACGGCTGCTGCGTTTTAAAGCCAACACCATCCTCTTCAAACGTTGTCAGGGAGTTATACTGATCAGCGTTGAGAGCGAAGACTTGGTCGCGCTCTTGCTGCTCTGTTGGCATGACCAATGTATCGTGCAACTGATCTAGAGTCGAGGGTCCGACTTGTTGATGTTGATGTTGCACGCCCATCTGGCCCATTTCTACGCCGCTGATTGTTGCGGGGGTTGGGCCTGTGGCTGTCGCGTGCGTGGCATGCAGATCCTGGCCGGGCGATGAGGCCAGCACGGCTTTGAGCACGTTGGCTGACTCGGCGCGGTACTCTTCTGAGAGTTGGGGCAGGGAGCGGCCTGGGATGGAGGTGCTGTTTGAGGCGATGAATGCGCCGAACAGGAGACACATGTAGAATGCGTTCCAGCTGATTGGCAGGTCGCCGGTGGATTTCTCCGGGGCTTTAGGCTGCATCTGCTGGTTTACGTTTACTGTGTGGGTGTGGTTGCGGGCCTGGAGATGGTCTTGTTGCATGGGTATTCCGTTTGTCATGGGGAAGTCATCCCAGTGGGGGTCCATGGTGAGGTTCTCGAAGCCGGTGAAGTCGCCCGGGATGATCTCCGGTGCTGGCTTGACATTGGCGCTTCTCTCGAGTTTGTCCACGGTTTCCATGAGGATGTTGTTTTTCTTGCGCAGCTCGGCTGTTTCCAGCGTGTGTACGCGGATGACTTCATCCTTTTCCATGTGCAGGCCTTCGATGTATTGATTCATCTGCTGATGGGTGACGATCCACTCGCTCTTTTCACGGAGGAGGTCGGCCTCGCGCATTTTCATGCTCTGCAGTGCCTCTTCTAGGTCGCCGATTGTTGCGGTGAAGTGTTTCTTCTCTTCTTCCAGCTTCTCGGTGTGCAATTTCTTGCGCTGACGAGAGTCCAGTCTATCACATGTTAGCAGTTGTTTCCATCACATGTCTGGGTATCACTTACGCAGCCTGCCGATTTCGCAGCAGTCGCTTCTGTTGCTTGAGCTCTTTGATCTCGTCCTCGTTGTTGGACTGACTGATCAAGTGGTCGATGTTACTCAACGTTCGCTCAGCGGGGATCTCAAAACGGGCGTTCTTCTTCCGGATGCCATCCCGGCGCACAGTCAACGGGGAGCCATGTCGGTATGTGGGACTCTTGGTGGAATGTGAGGGTGCATCAGCTAGGTCCATCGGCGCCGGCATCCAGCCCTGACTCGACTGCGGCGACATAGCCACGCTCCCTGGCGCGAACGACATACTCCCCCGGTACGACATCGGGTTCATAGGGATCGCACCGACAGGACCTACAGCACCCCCGGAGAACGGAGCAGACTGGCTCTGCTCTGCTTCAGCGGGATACTGTTCGTAGCCAGCGGTCGGGGTACATGAGCCGGAATCGGGGCGCGGCATGGACCATGACGACTGGTATGAGGCTGAGTGAGGGCCGTCGACGGGCATAAATGAAGCACCCGTTGAATTAAGCATGGAGTGACCGAGATGCGAATTTGATCGGGACTGGTTGGAGGTATGCGAGTAATTGGACCAGACGGAATCCCGATGTGAGTAGGCATCTGGAGCATCGTATGTGGCGCGGCGATCGTGAAGATCTTCGGACGAGGGCTCCAAGATCTTGTCATCCAACACACTCATCTCGTCTTCTTCTGTGACTTCTAGTGTTGGTGACTGTTGATAGAAATCAGATTGGAAATATCGTGCCATCATGAAGAGGCGGTGTGGTGAGGGGTGGGGCGGGGCAGGATTTATAGAATAGATGAAAAAATCGTGAAAAGCGAAGTAGAAGAATAAGGCAAGATAAAGAACAAAATGGGCAATATGAAGAGGGGAAGATGTCTAGTTCCCGGGGGGGGGGGAAGACGCAGGCTATGTAGCAGACGCACGCCCTCGTGCGGTTGACATACAGGTACCGAATACCGACGTGCCTGCTTGAGATTAGCGTGTCGATCAAGTACCCGGTACTCAGCGGTCTGCGCGGGAGTGGGAGTGTGGCCCCCGGGGCTCCATCTCCGTTATTGGCTGCATCATTCTGCTTGGGCAGACCTGCATTTGATGTTTGATTCTCTGTTTTTGGTCTTCAGCCGCGAGGATTACTAGTATATACGGCTCACCTAATGGCCAATAGCGTTTCACTCGTAACATGAATATTGAATCTATCTGCCTTCATTCCTCTAGTGGGGGACTTGCTTATCGCCTATCGACTGTCGTGGGGGTGGTCTGTGCCAGACGTTGTATACTTTAAAGTACCTCAGGTGGTCAGATGCTCTTGGATGTCCTCACTACCAATCATTCCAAAGTGTGATATTGGTATACTTCATACACTTTGTACTTCTGTTCTGCCTTTGGATCTCCATCTTGTTGAATCTTTGGTACGGGTTCGGCCCGCCGATCCACTGTTGGGCCGACCACAGTTTTCAAAGACAGTGAGGGAAGTGAGATCACTTCCCTCCTGATGACCACAGTTTTGATCTTAGGCAAGGATCAAAGCTCTAATCTTGGGAAATCCAGATCTTGTTGGAGGTATCTCTGCGCCTCCCATATGGTCAAAGCAGCCGCTTTTCCAACATCCACAGGCTGACAGCCCACATGTAAATAGGTGCGGAGTGCAGACAGAGACGCCAATAATTGACGGACGGCTTCCGGTTTCTTACTCGTTACAGGGGGCAGACAGGGTGACTGGCAGGGTAGGCACAGTGACAGACAAGGCGGCAGCACGAACACCCCCAATCCAGACTCGGTCCTGCAAGATACAGTACCATATTAGACATACACTATCATAGATTAAATCAAAGCCAACGATCAAATAATACCGTTTTGCTTTTTTCTTCCCTTGCACATTTCCTTCTTCTTTCTTCTTTGTCTACCCAGTCCTTGCCCACAGTGTTGCCGCCCAAACCGCCGTACCTTGTTCCTGTCAATATTTTCCCAGGAGCACAAACCCCTTCGGCGGTAGCCTCCTGAGTCTGTTCGCCAGCTATACATAGTGTCAAAACAGCCTGTGACAATGATAGGCCTGTCAGCTGGGCGGGTAGAAAACCTAGCCCGGATAAGATCTGGCGGTGAAAACGCCGACTCTGTCCAATGGAGATCCAGCCTATCCATCGGCCTCTCCGTAATGTCTTCTGGCAGGGTGCAAGGTACCCGACGTTGTGTATTCAGTCAATGACGTCTTGATTTTTATTCTGGACTCTGTCTACCGGGAACTTTCCCGATACATGAGAGTACGAGGTACAAGTTATGGTTAGCGGCTACAAGTCTCTACCCCCAAGACTGAACTACCGAGCAAGAGACAAAACACAGATCCATTTCGCGATAATACGGTGAAGCATGAAACTGCCCATCCAACCCATGACTCACAATGAAACTGTGATCGACCTTCTCTCGCAGCGCTAGAAAAGACCATGGCAGACCCACCGGCTCCACATCAAATTCCAACTCCAATACATGTACATACTGTACTCCGTACTCCCGTACTGTCTATGTACATGTACATGTAGACATCATGTAGGATGCCCACATCCTGGAAACGGCTCTTCCATACAGAGCCTGTACAACCGTCCGTGCCCAAGCACTCTAAAACACACCTCCTCAGCCAAGCCTGAGCCAAACTCAACTCAAAGCCTCACTTTTGTTCTGGTACCTGCCTGATCGGCTGTACGCTGGGTACATTGGGCATATCATCCGCTCGGTTGGTGGTTTGGATTGGATGGGTGCTGCGCTAGGTGATCATTCGGTAACTATTGGTTTCCATTTTCTGATTTTAGGACTCGTTTCGGGAATGGCTTGGTGGTCGTCTTTTGTTTGGAATTGTGTTTGGAAGATCCCAGGACCTTTGATTCACCGTTTTGTTGACTCATTTTGTAGAGCCCTGAGGCATTTGGTCGGATTTGGGGGGTTTCTTCATGTTCCGCTTTGAGCGTTGGAAGATGAGGAATCTGTTAAAAATGGCTCAAGACTGGGTTTTGTCATTAGAGGATTCTGTGCTAGTAAGTTTTTCTTCTTGCAGAATGAGTCACTATCTACTCGGCTATCTCACAACCTCTCTGTTCCCTTGCCCTCACCATCTCTTTTCTGGTTATCTTAGCTTTTTGAAGCATCGGATCAGTCACACCTCTAGTCCTAAACAGTAGATACAAACTCCAAATGAGGCTATAGAAAGCTAGAGATTATGTTTAGGCTAAAATTTTATAGAACCTCGAGGCAAGATCTATTCAACCCTCTAGACAGTTCAACGCTTCGGAGCTCATCAACCAGCGACGATGCAAACACATCGCCCAGTAATACAAAATGTGGTACATTTAATAGGCTTCTCTATGCATTTTTGACTCGAGAACCTCAAACAGATGGCTATCATACAATTTAATCCCTAGATGACTGATATCATCAAGGAACCCCGCCGTGATCTACTCCAGAGTCATGTTCACACTATGGCCCGTGACTGTTAATTTTTAGACTTTTACTATGGAGCTAGCTTTATCTTACTTGGTTTGTTCTATTGGAAGTCTTACAAGAGCTATCAAATACTCCTATGTATCATTGATTAGGGTACGATCTGTCAACTAGAAGAAACCTGCTACCATTCGCAAAAGAGTCCATAAAGCACGCTATCAATATTCCAATTTATAGGCTTCAATCCTAATCTATTGAATGCGTATAATCATATGTTCTACTCTGCTGAACTCCGGGCTGTATCACCTTACCGCGGAAGCTACCACATCGAGGTCCATCCTTGTAGGTCTCGGGGCGATGTCCGTCTGGTTCTAAGATAGGAGTTCGCTGCGACACTAGATGTGTTAGCTTCGAAGACCACACAGAGACTTTAAGTACTCAGGTCACACAGTCAGTCAGCAGATCAGGATGCGAGGTCCCTGCGGTTGAATCACCGTCACATGTCTTGGCGGGAAGTATAGACAATCACACAGGCAACTAGTACGTAGGGGAATTCTATGATGAATTTCATTAGGTTGAGGAGAGGGCTCAGTTCAATACAGTTCATTCTTTTTCTCATATTTGCATGTCTTTTTTGGGTTTTTTTTTTCACGTGTTCCATATCCATGTCCATCTTGCATATGCTCGTGTTCATGCGTGAATGCTATGAACATTTCTGGGGTATCACCATCTCAAACTAAGCAGAAGCAGAAGCAGAAGCGCAAGCTATCCAAGCTACAGAGATCTAGAAGCGGATGAAATCCTGCTGTCCGGCTGTCTCACCGCTATCCACGCCTTCAATGACAGTATCATCAAAGGCATCCGAGTCAACATCATCCGAGTCAATGGCATCGTACTCCTCTTCCTCGCTAGATGGATCAGAATCATCCTCACCCAAATTAGCCTTGTTAGCAGCCGCAGCTGCTGCCTTGCGGATCTGGCCGGCACGGTCGACGTGCGGCAGCTGGCAGCGCTTCTTGTTGCAGGCGCCGTTGTTGGCGTAGTCAGGGCACTCGTGGACGTGCTTCTCTTCGCACGCACTTCCCTTGTCACAAAACCCTAGTGTTGCGAATGCGCGGCAGACTGGTGCGCCGGGTGTTACCCGAATATGGGCGTAGCGACAGTCCGGGTTGGCGCATCGGCCTCTAAGGAAATGCATACAGGTAGGGGAGCGGTGGGGCGACGGCTCATGGGATAGATCACAGCTGGTACCTGCGCCGCATTGCCCGGTTTGTAAGAAGTCTTTGCACATGGCAACCTTCTCTGGGTCGTGGGTGAAAAGGCAGTCCGGGCCTTTGTAGCATGTACCTAAAGAGCTGTCAGTTTTTGTACTTGTAAGGGTGGCAAGTCGGAGCAAGGCGGTCCGCTGGAAAACAAAATACCGGTCGTGGAGAATCTTTTGCAGAGCTCGTCGCGTTTCTTCGTGGTGGTTCTGATTGAAGGTCAGTATACGAACCGGGTTTGCTGTCGCAAAACTCACTTTTTGGAAGCCACAGCGCCAACGCGGTGGAGGTTGCCATTCTTACTGCGGACAAAAGCCACACCAGCAACTGTGACGCGCTTTGGTGTAGTGTTGGCAGTGTTGGGATCATCTATGAGGGGTAAGCCAGTTCTGCGTGAAGGAAGACCAGGTGAATACGCACTGGAGATGCGAACCAACTTGCTTCCGCCTCGTGCGATCTTGAATGGAATTTCGTTGACAAGAATCTGATGGTCAGCTGAAGGATTGGCTGGAGTGGACACTTGAGCAGCGCCGGAGCTCTGCGCGTATCGAAGAACCTTGGCTTGTTCCCGTTCAGTCCGTTTCTGTTCCTTCAGTCTGCGTGTTTCCTCAATAGCCTTGGACCTAGCCTGAGTTTCCTTGTCGTAAATAGCAGAGTTGATCAACTGCATGTGGCGATCGCGCTTTGCGACCCAGCCGTTACCAACCGAAGTCGGTGCCGGATTCCCTTCGCCGTTGTTGTCACTCATGGATCCAGGAGAAGGTGTTCCTTGGTTTGCTCCAGCACCTCCGTTGTTCAAAACAAGCGTGCGGTGTCGGTGAGGAGCAGGTGCCCCTCGACCTCGGCCTCGACCTCGGCCGCGAGGGTATGGAGCCCATCCGGAGTGAGTGGGAGCATGGCGAGACACATATTGGGACTGGTGGTTAGTTGGTTGGGTGTCTTGGCTCTTGTGGCGATTGATTTGACCTGCTGAGGGTAAGGTTATGTCGAAGCGAAGCTGATGTCGGGCACTGTACCTGCAAGTTGGCCAATCTTGGCAAGAAGATCTTCGTTTTCGGTCATGGTGACCGGCTGAAGCTAAGGTAAATTAGTGAAGGTCAGATATGACCGAATATTTCGTAGTTCAAGGAATAGATGTGGGTGTGGAAGGTATGCGTCAGTGGGAAGAGCTCAAAAGTTACGCGCTCATCAGCGCTGGTGGCGCATCGCATCACATGACGAGTGTGTTGACTACAGGTAGCGGCTATGGCCACAACGGCAATTTCCATACTTCGCTCATGAACACTTTCACCTCACTTTTACTTACAGTCACATATTGAGATTGTGTCAATGAAGCTTTTTTATATTGTGCTAAAAGTACGAGTGATATGGTTGTATCTGACCGTTCTTGTATTGCACTCTCACCAAGCACCTCTCTGCGTAGCCTCTACGCGGTAATGCATAGCAATGAGAATTTCCATCACTCCGGTGTTTCGAATTTCAAAAAGATTCATCGCGTAGAGGTTCAAGGGAGTTAAATAATCACGCTTTGTATTTTTTCCACAGGTTTCGCTTACGAAATCTCTGTGGCTATCTAGCATTGCGTGCCTAAACACGAATGAATTTAGTGGGTATTTGACCGTAAAGCTCTCCCAGTATTACCAGATTGTTGTTGGCTGGAGATTGGATCATATACGTATCCATCTGGTCAAGTCTATTGACAATTCGAGAATTGTGTCTACTTAATAGCCATGCTTCTTCACCCGGGCTTGGGGCGACGATTTTCCTATGTGCTTTACTACCACACAGGACAAAATGGTGTTTTCATGCCAGGTCATCCTGAAGAATGATTATCCCGGGCTCAGAGTAAGAAGAAGTATAGGTTTCTTCGATCAAGTGAGTGGTCTAATCGCCGAGAAGTCTCCAAATGCTGTAACAACTTAAAGGATATCAAGTTCAAATTGAAAAAAAAAACCTTGCAGACTTGATGGGACTTGCCTCGGCTATTTGACAGAATGAACAGCATAAAGGATGCATAGGAGGTGAGTTGGCCTATTTTGCAGCTGATGTGGGGAGGCGTAATACTACACTACAGTATGCAAGGACAATATTTTAGTAGGGAGAATTTGAGCATCTTGAATCACCTTTGATTCAGTTGGTTAAATGGTACCAGGTTTGTAGGCCTAAAGTGTTCTACTGAGACGAAAGATGATGAGAAAGTTCGGAAATAGCGGTAAACTATACAGGGCAACTGAACACAGATTCAAAATACCCGATATACACATATATTATCTACTGAATATTAAATGGTCATGTAGGGGTCGACGTTGTTTTTGTTCATTGCAGTTTGAAGCTAAACTCCGCATTGGACAGCCCAAACTCAATGACTGCCGATGCTGGAACTTTCTTAGCCCCCACAACATTCTTATTTACACCTACTTCGAGCAGACCTTTCATGTACCCATCTCAACCAGTGAATCTCTACGGACAAAACGCGAGTTGAGGTTGAGGTCATACAAAGAGCATCTTCACCGCCTTCCGCTTACAGGGCTGAATAGCTCCATCCCGAGTGTGGCGTGGACTTCGTCTCAAACAATCACGCGCCTCCTCTTCTCACCACATCTTTGGGCTCGTATTACCATCTGGTAGCGGTCGCATTCTACAAATCTTCTACCTCATTTCCGAAAACCCTCGACGCCCACTTCCATCATGGCCCAGGTCAAGCAAGACCCAGATGGCCCGTACATCAAGCCCGATCCCGACAGCAAAGACAGAGTCCTGGCCGATATTGACGACGAAGACCTCTATGAAGACGCTGGAGACCTCGATTTCTCACAAGCTGGACAGAATGTTTGGCTCTCGCGATTGCCCCGCCAGCTTTGGGAGCACTGGGCCCATCTGGATGATGACGAAGAGATTGAGATTGGCACAATGAGAGTAGAAGGGACACCAGACGATATCAAGCGGGTGAGTCAATTATGCGCATCTTCTCTGACTAGTTCTAATGTTCATCCGCCTCTTTAGGTTAGCTTGCGCCTACACGACCGTCCAGACAACCGGGAGATCCCAAAAGACTACACGCTCCAGCGACAAACCATCAATGCTGCCACTGCATCACACCTGACTCATAATACATACGTCTTTACGGAGAAAGACATTCCTGGCGCCGAGAACCGCATGATTGACTTTGGCGGGCCGCGCTCGGTTCTCTATGAATCGCAGAAACGTGAAGAGCGCCGCAAGGACCAGGGAAAGGTACATCAACCTTGGCAGCGCAAGACGATACCCAGTATGTTAAGTCTCAACCATGTGACATGGATACTGCTGACCATACCCAGAACAAACTGCTTTAGTCGGCGCGGTTAGCGAAGAATTCAACTGTCTTCCCGTCGAAAATGAGGAATTCCGACAGATCTCAGAGAAGCGAGCGCTAGAAGCTCTGAAGCCTCGGAAGGAAACTGTCTTTATTGACAAGATTCCTGGCAAGATTCTCCAATCACGCCATGCCCTTCCTACCGAGCAGGGCCAGTTCGTTGTATGTATAAATTCTTTCTGGTCCAAAGCACAACTGCTCACCTTCTACAGCAAGCAACAAGGCCTACGAAAAGCAAAGCTCAAGAAAACAAGTCCACACGTATGCCCCAAAACGAGCTTCTGGATCTTATTTTCCAGTGCTTCCGCGAATTCAGATACTGGCCATTTAAGACACTCAAGTCAAGACTGGCTCAACCCGAAGCTTATCTCAAACAGACCCTGGAGATGGTTGCTCACCTGGTCAAGTCCGGTGATTTCGCCATGACATGGGAGCTGAAGCCGGAGGCGACGCACAGCCAATATTCAAATGCAACCTCTTACGATGGTGCCAAGGAGGAGCTACCGCCCGGGGCTGATGATCCTTATGATGATGCATCTGATGATGATGCTTCCGGCATGGACGACGTTAAGTTTGAGAATGTGGGTTGAACAGGTACCATACCTCAATATGTAGCATAAGCAGACAAGGTGTTATGGCTTTAACAATTGGGTGGGATCGGATCTTTACAAAATAGTCATAGAATGGACAAATTCGCTACATGCGCCCAGCTATTCTTATGGACTAATGAGTGGGTTACAGAGCGGCTAAGCCACCAAGATCATAACTATCTCTTTCTACTGGGTTGTTTAGAATACAATCTAATCTGTAGCTTGTCCCATGGCTTGTATATATCCCATAGAGCTGCATGTCGGCTGTCACGTCCTGGCTTCCCTTCTACAGCTTAGTGTCGAGGCTTGTGAGTACCCCACTGGGATTCCCTCTATACTTCGACACACACGAGATTGACCAATTCCTATCGGCGTCGCAAAGACCTCTCATATGTTACGAGCTTCTTCGTCTCGTTTTCATCGGGTTTACATAGCTGGGACATATCCAGATTATATGCTTATGCTAAACTTCTAATGCACAAGAGCGGCAGGAAAGTTGAAGAATCCTCAAGTTTCACCGACATATCGGACGAAGAGACGAAATGCTCAGAGCTGGACAGCATTGACATGAACATGTTGTCCTTGTTCTACGTCAATACTATATGCAGTTGCTTAAAGCAAGTGATTACCTTGAGACCCACAGAGCAAAAGAACTGGTGCACTCCTACAGTATGCTGAGAGCTCTCTCAAGATTACCAATGACAGACTGCGAGTTTTTCTGCACAAGATAGACTCAGCAAGAGATAGTTAATGGGAGATGCCGCTCGGGCCTGTAATCAAAAGGCTGAGACAGTGTGCAAAGAAGTAATAAAAGACATGGCTTCTGGGGTTTCAAGTCTGTCGGTTAACCAGCACAAAGCACCGAGGCAAAGCCCATTTATAAAGGTTTGTCTGAACTGACTGTTGTTTGAAAAGGATTGAGATTCCTGTCTAAACAATATGTACTGTTCACCGCCCCTGTATACAAAGCTCTTATCGATAAGCCCAAGCAGTATCTCCCACTCTTCAACCTCCCCGCGTCAAGGCCATCTCAGAACTGAACATCACCTAACGACTCCACGACTCAGCGACTCAGCTCCTCTTGTCATGGCTTCTCAGAAAATTACAAATGCCCTTGCAGGCATCGAAGCCAACTCCCACCAACCCACCAAGCTCCAACAGTACAATGAGCTCCTCAACAACATGGTCAGCAACACATCCGGCCACGAACTAGCCCAAGACCTAGTCTACTACCTAGACTCAATCCTCAATGAAGACGTCAGCATTGTCGCAGCTCGCCCCCTCCTCGACTCCTTCATCACAGTCCTCCAAACCCTCGAACCCGAAACCAAAATCAAAGTCGGCCAACACGCAGTCACCCTCCTCCAATCCCGCTCCGCCTCAGTAGAAGAACAAGACTCGCAAATCCGCGAGATCCTCGCAGATGCCTACGAATCCGAGGAAGAATACACAGCCGCAGCACGCGCCCTACAGGGGATTCACATCGACAGCTCACAGCGCCTCGTCTCCGACGCAGCAAAGGCCCGCCTCTGGATTCGCATCGTGCGCTACTACCTCGAAGACGACGATACCACATCAGCAGAAGCATTCCTTAACCGAATCAAGAATTTACCCAGTAAAATTGAGGACCACGATTTAAAGCTTTACTTCCAGCTCTCGCAGGCCCGTATCCTCGATGCTCGTCGCCGTTTCCTAGATGCCGCGCAGGAATACTTTAATGTTAGTCTGGCGCCTGGCGTGGACGAAGGTGATCGCCTCACGGCTCTGTCGGCTGCTATTCGCTGTGCTGTCCTCGCGCCTGCTGGTCCCCAGCGTTCGCGTTCCCTTGCTCGTCTATACAAGGATGATCGGACGCCGTCTGTCGATGAGTTCGCTATTCTTGAAAAGATGTTCCTTGATCGACTTTTGACTGCTGAGGAGGTTGCTGCTTTCTCGAAGAAACTTGCTCCTCATCAGCTTGCTGTTACTGCTGATGGCACGACTGTCCTCGATAAGGCTGTTATTGAGCATAATCTCGTGGCTGCAAGTAAATTGTACGAGAATATCCATATCGATTCTCTCGGGTCGATCCTGGGTCTCCAGTCTTCAGGTGATTTGTCTGCTGGAGAAAAGGCTGAAGCCTATGCCGCCCGCATGGTCGAGCAGGGTCGTCTCCGGGGTCACATTGATCAGATTGACGGTATCATTTCTTTCAATGCTGAAAGCTCGGGTGGTTCATCTGCGGGCGGGTCAAATGGGACAAAGCTTCGTCAGTGGGATCTTGGTGTGCAGGAAGTTGCTCAAGACGTGGAGCGCGTGGCTGCTAGTATTTCTGATCAATACCCGGTATGTGCTGTCCCTTCTGTGAATATGTAGATGATAGATGCTAATAATCTGATAGGAATTCACTACAAGCCAGATGGTTCATTGAATGAGACTTGTAACCGACACGCCGGTCCTATCTGATGAACTATCTACGAATTGATGCCAGCCATACTCCATTATGTCCGTTTAGACAGCCAAAAATACAATTATTTGCTGATATTTTCTCATGTCCAAGTGTATTTATTTGACTTCATCTATTTGCGCCTAATATGGATAGGATGAAACTATGTACATTGAAGATCAAAGACTGTACAGGATGTAGCAGCATGCCAAATAATGCAGCTGGAAGCCACTGTATGTTTAACAGGAAGTAGTAGAATGACAAGTAAGAACGAAAATGAAAAAGACAGGTGAATCCAATTGCATGTCATGGTTGTAAACCCCAAAAAGAAAAAGAAAACAGAATAGGCCAACATAAGCATAGCCAATCCACAAGAAGAACAAGTCATAATCATAACGGCATGAAACAAAAACAACATCAACAACAACCCAACTCAACGAGTAAGCGTAGTCTGTGAGCCATTGTCAGGCGAGATAGAAATATCCGTCTGAACATTAATATTCAACGGCCTAAGGTCAGACCCAAGGAAACCAGGCGACGGACTCTCAACCTGAGCATTATAAACACCCGCCTGCATCTTCATATATTCAAGATCCGGCGAACAAGGCGACCCCTTCGACAAGAACATAGAGTTCGTATGATCGGTATTGATATACGCAGGCCCAGTACCATTCCGCGAACTCTTCAGCTTCAACGCAGGGAAGAGACCACGAATAATAGGCAAATTAGAACAAATTAAGCCAACAGCCGGTTCGACGTGCGTCCACAGTGTCGCTTGGTATACCGTGTAAGTGGGATCGTCCGGACTAATCCAGAAGAGGACGACAATGCGGTAGATACTAGCGAAGCAGACGAAGGCGCCTAGTGCGAAGACGCCGTTTAGGGCTAGCTTGTCTTGCCAGGCGCGGTGGAGGTTCCAGATCATTGGGATGGGCAGGACGAGGATGGCGAAGTCCATTAGGATGTTGAAGGCTTGGTTGACGATTATGAATTCGTTTGCGTTGAAGCAAGTTCCTTCGATTGATTTGTCCCAGTAGGCGCGGAGGGGTCGACATTGCCCTGCGCATGCTAGGAAGATTCCTGTGCCCCAGGCTGCTATGAGTGTGTTTAGGGCGAAGGATGCTTTTTGGAATTTGGGGGTTGTAAAGACTCGGCGGTAGAAGCAGATTATGCTTATCTTTATGGCTGGGCATAAGAGGAAGTAGGTGAATTGGTTGGCGAGGAAGATCTGTGGTGGTTAGGTTTTGGTAGACAACTTATACATAGCGTTACTTACCTTCCAGTAGTTCATGAGGGTCTTAGGGCTCAGTTCTGTGACGTGGGTTCCATTGCCTCCAATTGCACACCCTGGTAGTTATTAGTATATATACCATGGGGATGGGGTATGAGGACGAACAAAGAATCAATTCGATCAACATTCCAATCATCAGCACCATTGCCCCCATACTGAGGTAATCATCGATACCAAAGCCAACTCTCCTCCTCAACCGAGCAAACACTCGCAACGCAGTCGATATCAAACAAAGGCTAACCAAGACTGAGACGATCTCAATCATCGCCCAGCCTCTGTTACTCGGCGCCATAGTCAATGGTCAGGTATCAAAGATAAAGGAAGGTGGGGTAAACAACGGGAATAAAAGAATGGGTAAACAATGAACGGGGAATAAAAGAATGAAGACTCCTGGAGAGCAAAGATCGGTGAAGTCTTCGATATAAAAGAGATCCAGATCAGTGCGGTCAAGCCTCGCGGGTTCTCAGAATCCACCCACATCTGCTAGTGGGCGATCAATGGCTCGATACGGCACGCGATTTGTGCACGCGAGATATACTCGCCTGGCGTGAAGAGTGGAGAGCATAACCTTGGAAGCGTGGTCGATAGACATTTCAAGGATTCCTGGTTCACTGTCCAGTAGTTCTGTTCATCGGGGCCCATTCTGACTGAGAAGGGAAAGTGAGTGCGTTGATGGATTGTTAGTGACACATTCTTTGCTCTCTCTGGAGAGTTGGCTCCACGGTGGGGATTTGGAGGCGCCCAGTCGGGAAAAACGGCCCTGCGATCGCCATCTGATAGTGTGTTTGAATCATGCATGTTCCTGTCTGTTCATCATTACACTCGAACATGCAACTATATGTATAACCATGCCTTACGTTTCTTATCACCAGCATCTATATCTATACATCTCTACACGTGTATCTATATCTATCTGCTACACTCGCTTGGAGCCCCCACGTCTTTCCATGGTTCACAGCGGCCCAGTCGCAGGCATAGTTCAAAATGACGTGCAGATCGGGTCAATAGCGTCGGGATTTATACTCCCGTCTTCACTGCCTCTTTGAAAATAGAAGTCATATAAAGATGTTTGGAATTGAGTGAGCTGTAGGATTGAGCACTGCAAGTTGGCAAACTGCCGATCGAATGTCTCATCTCAAACACAGGTAGGCTGATCAAGTTCCTACTATGGATCAAAATCAATACTACGGAGTTCATCGCACGCGAACTCGAGCTTTGCATGTGCAGTCTTAAAGTCAGACTATAGAATGGAGATATAACGCTCTACTTGAAGCTTACTTGACTAATCCTCTTTTTACCCTCTTTTTTAACTCTCCTGGGATCTTCGACGCTATTGCCAGGCTATTATTTGATTCTTTTCAAGTATAAGATCAACTTCATGTGCAACACATGTGATACGGGAATAATACGGCAGTTGTGCTATCCCACGGGCGCACAGTGGACCCTCTGTACTCCGTAGACCCTTGCCCTAATGTGAGCTGTACGCGGCTGTGGGTCTATTTGAATCATTCTTCAGCTGGTAGCTTTTTTTTCTCGATCCCACCCCTGGCGCCACGCGATTGACCCGCTTATTAAGTTTTATGTCTTCTGCGGGAATTTGTACTCACAGTATTGGGAATGTAGGGGTAGAGAACTACAATTTACAGACTTTGTGACAATGGGCACGTTAGAGCCAAGAAAAGAGATGGGCAAGGAAGAAAGCTAGTGGGATAACTGTAAATAGTGCGAATATAGTGTGTCCATTGGAGTTATCACGGTACTGATCAACAATCTGAGGTTATACTGCATCATTCGGCGCCGAGGTCCCCTCACCCCTCCAGTCTTACCCCAACTCCATTCCCACCTCATTTCCAGTTCTCTTTCCAGTACTTTTTTCATTTCTCTGTTAATATTCACATTCACATCCCTCTCCCGCCACAATGAGTCTCCCAACAATTCCCCTCCTGATAAACAACACCTCCGAACCCCCCACAAAGACCTTCGAAGTAATAAGCCCCTACACAAACGAACCCTGCTGGACCGCCGCCGCAGCAACACCAGACGATGCGATCCGCGCGGTCGAAGCCGCCAACACTGCCTTCCCAACCTGGTCGCAAACAAAGCCCACCGTGAGACGCGACATCCTCCTCAAAACCGCCGATATCCTCGAATCCCGCCTGGAGATATGCGCAGAATACATGCGTACCGAGATGGGCGCCGACGTAGGCGCTTCACAGATGTTCATCGTGCCATTAGCTATCCGCATGCTGCGCGAAGTCGCTAGTCGCATTACTAGTATTTGCGGTTGTGTTCCTGTTGTTGAGACGGAGGGGCAGAGTGCTATTGTTTATAAGGAGGCTATGGGTGTGATTCTTGGGATTGTGCCGTGGTACATATACGTATTCACCAACATAGTACAAGAGCGCAAATCTAACATAAATACAGGAACGCCCCCTACGTCTTCGGTATTCGCTCCGCAGCATGCGCCCTCGCAGCGGGCAACACGACTATCCTCAAATCCTCTGAACTAACCCCGCGCTGCTACTGGGCTATCGGTCAGGCATTTGTAGACGCCGGTCTACCAGCTGGCTGTCTGAATGTCATTCATTGTGCGCCGCAGGATGCACCCGCGGTTGTCAATTCCATGATTGAGCACGAGGCAGTGCGCAAGATCAATTTCACGGGTAGTACAGCCGTAGGCCGGAAGGTTGCGCGCGCTTGCGGACAGAATCTGAAGCCTTGTCTTATGGAACTGGGCGGCAAGAACAGTTCGATTGTATGTGCGGATGCAAACTTGGAGGTTGCTGTGCAGGGTGTTTTGGCGGGTGCGTTCTTGAATGTAAGACCAATTTCCACATCTAACACCTATCCATCAGTGGAATATCATTTGTGTAAATAGAAGACCCCTTTGCTGACTGGTCAGTCCGGCCAAATTTGCATGGCAACAGATCGAATCCTGGTCCACACCTCCATCCTCCAAGCCTTCACAGAATCCCTCCAAAAGTCCCTAGCAGCAGGCGCCGCAGCCTCCTCACAACCGCCCACCCTCGTAAACACAGCCTCTAAATCCCGCGTCGAGGCACTAATCGCCAGTGCCGTTGCCGCAGGCGCTCACTTCATCTCCGGCTCGGATACACCCATCCCCACCACCTCCGACTCCGGTGTGCGCATGGCACCCGCTGTACTCGGTGGTGTCAAGGAAGACATGGCGCTGTGGCAGGAAGAATCATTTGCTTCTGTTGCTGCGTGCATGCCTTTCGATAGTGAAGATGAGGCGATTCGGTTGGCGAATGGGAGTGGGTATGGATTGTCGGCGTCTGTTTTTACGGAGGATTTGAGAAGAGGGTTGGCTATGGCCAAGAGGATTCAATCTGGGTATGTATCTGGTGTGGTTATGACAATGTGTGTGATCTTTGCTGACCGTTGTTAGGGCTGTTCATATTAATAGTATGACTATCCATGATGAGCCGGCTCTTCCTCATGGTGGTGTGAAGAATAGTGGTTGGGGGAGATTCAATACTGATGAGGGTTTGAATGAGTTTTTGGTTACTAAAAGCGTGACCTGGATGGATTAATGTATATCGCATGAGCATGAGTAGGGGGTTGTTTTGTATTGTTGTGTTGGTGGTGGTGAATGTTAGTTGTTAGCTGTAGCAGCTATGAAATAGCTCCTAGCCCCTCCATTCTTACCCAACCATTCTTCTTCTAATCGCATAATTCATACACGTATTGCATAGTGTTCACAGTCCAAAGTTCTCGGACGAGAAACATCCTGTCGTTCGGTGTCTGGACTATCTCGGTATGCATTAACCCGAGGAGTAGTGTGGAGCAGGTTATTCAAGGTAGACCAATAAAAGTGAATATAGTCTGGAAGGAATACCAGGGGATAACAGAAGATAAAACTATACAATGTTGAACGGCAAGAACAGAGTATATAGATCAAGTGTGCATTTCGTCGGTTATTGAAGGGGACTCGGTGACATCATTGGCCCACTGGGGCAATTCCCATCCCCGGATTTGGCCACGGCCAATCAGGGGCAACTAGTAACAAATCTCTTTTTTTTTTTTTTTTTTCTTTGTAAGATATTTTTGGGGGTATAGGGATGGGATACAGAGTAGGTATATTTATATATTGGCTATTAGGACTACTTCTCTGTTTATCTTTATATGTACAGAGTATCGTAACACTCTGAAGCCGCAATACCGAGTCGGAAACTTCGGACCGTAAGATGTATTCCGAGGTTTAGCTTGTCGTGGAAATAGAGGATCGGTAACTGGGGACGTGGAAGGAGTACACCGAGATGGCCGGGGTCTGTTCACCCGGCCAATAGCCACCTTCACAGGAGTCAGCTCAGAGCAGTAAACATGTGAAAATGAGCCCATGTCACAGTGCATATAGTTGAAGTGTATACGTAGTAACATAACATGACTAGCATGTGAACATGTGAACATGCAATGGAATGTGAATTTCCCCAGACTCATCACCAAACCAGCTTGTCGTAATTAATAAAGCGGGTACCCCCAACTTTCAACTTTCGACCTTTCCCCACTGCCTCGGCCGATAAGTTGTCGGCTTCTGATTTCCCCTCTTACTTTAAGTCTGGCTTTTCCTCTTTCTTCCTCTTCTCTTCATCTTCCCCTATACTCTTACACATCATGGCTCCTCAAGTAATTGTGGTTGGTGGTGGACGTAAGCTCTCCGTTCCCTCCGACTGAACCAGCTGACCATCCTAGTGTCCGGTCTCAGTGCCGCCCACACCGTCTACCTGAACGGTGGCAACGTCGTTGTTCTCGACAAGCAGGCCTTCTTTGGTGGCAACTCTACCAAGGCTACTTCCGGTATAAACGGTGCCCTCACTCGCACCCAAACCGACCTCGGCATCCAAGACAGCGTCAAGCAATTCTACGATGATACCCTCAAGTCTGCCCGTGACAAGGCTCGTCCCGATCTGATCAAGGTCCTGACTTACAAGTCCGCCGCCGCTGTTGAGTGGCTGCAGGATGTCTTCAACCTCGATCTTACCCTCGTTTCCCGTCTCGGTGGTCACTCTCAGCCCCGGACACACCGTGGTCACGATGCCAAGTTCCCTGGTATGGCCATCACCTATGCTCTGATGCAGCGCCTCGAAGAACTGGCCGACAAGGAGCCCGGTCGTGTCCAGATCATCAAGAAGGCCAACGTGACTTCCATTAACAAGTCTGGTAACAACGTTACCGGTGTTTCCTACACTCTCAATGGCGAGCCCAAGTCCGTTGATGGTATAGTCGTTCTTGCTACCGGTGGCTACGCCGCTGACTTTGGTGACACCTCCCTGCTCAAGCAGCACCGTCCCGACACCTTTGGCCTATCCTCCACCAACGGCACTCACGCCACTGGTGACGGCCAGAAGATGCTGATGGCCATCGGCGCCAACGGTATCGACATGGACAAGGTCCAGGTCCACCCTACTGGTCTCGTGGACCCCAAGGACCCCCAGGCCAAGTTCAAGTTCCTGGCTGCCGAGGCCCTCCGTGGCGAGGGTGGTCTCCTCCTGAACTCTGATGGCCAGCGATTCTCCGACGAGCTCGGTCACCGTGACTACGTCTCTGGTCAGATGTGGAAGGAGAAGGAGAAGGGCAAGTGGCCCATCCGCCTCATCCTCAACTCCAAGGCCTCCAATGTCCTGGACTTCCACACTCGTCACTACTCTGGCCGTGGTCTAATGAAGAAGATGTCCGGCAAGCAGCTCGTTGAGGAGATCGGCTGCGGCGAGGCTGCCCTCAAGAAGACCTTTGACGACTACAACCAGATTGCCGACGGCAAGAAGAAGGACCCCTGGAACAAGCGCTTCTTCCACAACTTCCCCTTCACCCTCGACGACGAGTTCCATGTCGCTCTCATGGAGCCCGTCCTCCACTTCACCATGGGTGGTATCGAGATCAACGAGCACGCTCAGGTCCTCAACGGCGAGCAGAAGCCCTTCGAAGGCCTCTACGCCTGTGGTGAGCTGGCTGGTGGTGTCCACGGTGCCAATCGTCTGGGTGGTTCTTCCCTGCTGGGCTGTGTCGTCTACGGCCGTGTCGCTGGTGACTCTGCCTGCCAGCACCTCTTCCAGAAGCTCATCACCTCCGGTGGATCCGCTTCAAGCCGTCTCGGCCAGATCTCCCTCCACATCGACCCCAACACCCCGGGCAAGGTCTCTGTCGAGTGGGGTGCCGCTGCTGGTGGTAACCTGCCCACTCTCGCTGCGGCCCCTGCCGACGCCAGCGCCACTACTGCCGCTGCCGCCGCTCCTGAGCAGAAGGCTGCCAAGCCTGACCCTGCCAACTTCAAGATCCCCGAGACCGAGTACACCATGGAGGAGGTTGCCAAGCACAACACTAAGGAGGATCTCTGGATTGCTGTCAAGGGTATTGTCCTCGATGTCACCAACTGGCTGGACGAGCACCCCGGCGGTGCCAACGCCCTGTTCAACTTCATGGGTCGGGATGCTACCGAGGGTATGTCATTATCTCCCAGTTCTCACAGACCATTCACTAACCTGTTTCTCTAGAATTTGCCATGCTCCACGATGACGAGGTCATCCCCAAGTACGCCGGTCACACCGTGATCGGTCGTATCAAGGGCCAGACCCCCAGCCTGGACATTTGAATTGAAGAGATATGACATACCTCTTCTCCTTCACATCTCCTCTTTCTCCTTTCCTCCCTCCCTTGAGGTCCTCCTCTCCCTCAACGAAATAAGAACTTCAGCGTGTTCCTACATACCCCGTCTTCGTCTCTTTTGATTATGCTTTCATGATTGGATGGAATCTGGCCGTTTCCGTTTGGAAGTTGCTTTTGGTTTCTTTGTGTATCATACATAACATTTTTCTTATTTTCTGGGATATATCTTCTAGAGTAATATTCTTTGTATACGTACTAGTAGTCAGTGTGGGTAACTTGAAAGATGTCAAATCGCTTTCGTTGACTCTATAGCATTGGTTCTCGTATTTCCACGCCGTGAAATTCCCCTACTGTAATTCAATTTACCGCTAATACATTTGCATGCACCACTGTATCTCAGGGAAAGGGCAAGTCGGGGTAACCCAAATCACCGAGACCTCGGCTCAGACTCATGACGCAGGAATCGGCTGATGCATGCTAACTACCGAAGAGCCGTCTAATCTCCGAATTGCTAGTCTGGACATGACTGGTCGTTAATATTGACGTTAGCATAAACAAGTTACGGAGTTCTGTAGATAAAAAGCTATCCTTCAATGATTTCGCAATGGGGTATAATTCAAGCACAAGTAGAACACCGACCTACATAGAGCTATCTCTCTACAAACATCCTTCTCTCACCTATCCCCTACACCTTAATTGTAAAGTTTTAAAGTAGCCTACCCCTTCATATGCCCTAAAATCATCTTCAGCCGTCTGACAGCCGGCCCATCCCCATCCTCATGCCCCCTCCCCTCAACCCTCTCATCCTCAATCTCCTCCTTCGCAGCTTCAAGCACTGGCTCTAGATATCCCCATACATCATCAACATACCTCTCCTGCACGTCCATCCAGTCTGTCGCGCCGGGCAGGTATGTTGCGATTGTATCGCGGAGGGAGCTCCCCGAATTGGTTCTAACCCCAGATCCAACCCCATGGTCATTCTCCATGAGGAATGTATCGATATCGGGTATTAAACTCGTTCCTGATATATTCCCATTCCCACTCTCCCCTTTCTGCATCGCCATCTCCGCTTGAACGCCCCGATCTACCTCTTCACGCATGCCACCACTAACATCCCGTCGAAATGACTCGATCGCTTCAATTTCACCGGCTGATAACGGAGCCGGTGCTGCATATCGATCTAGAGAGGGATGTGTTTCGGGGAGGGTGGCTGGATCCGTCTCCATATTTGGGTCGAAGGATGGATCGGTGAGGAGGGAAAGGACTTCTGAGCCGTCATTTGGGTCAGGTGTGTAGGGCGTCGATTGGTATTGGGTGGTCGCTGGGAAGTTGCGTTGCCAGGCTGTTTCGTATTGCGTTTGGGTTGGGTCTCTGGCTCGTTGTTTTCCTTTCCAGGGGCCTTGGGTTGATTGGAGGTCTGTGTTTGGATCTTGAGTTTGGTCGTATCCTGATTCTTGGTCTAATCCCTGTTCCAGTCGTAGGGCTTCTTCGAAGTCGGTTTCTGTTAATGGGGGTAGCTCGACCCCGCCTTGCTGGTGGGTTTCATTTCGGAAGGCTGGTGCTTGGGTTCTTGTTGCTGTTGATCCTGCTCCTACTCCCGATCCTGATCCTTGTGTTGCGATATCCCGGCTCGCGCTGTGTGTATTGGGTGTTGGTTGGAGGGAGGATTGTCCGGCTTTGTTGCCGGTGCTTGCTGCTAGAGATTGGGAGAGCTCTGTTGACGTAGGTGGTTGAAAGGCGCTTCTCGCTAGATTTGTTGCCGAGGACTGGATGCGGGATGCTAGGGAGGGTTGGTCGGAGCTTTTGCTTCCATTGTCGTTGTTGGTCTCCGAGTTGCCGTCGGTCCCGTTGTCCTTGGTCTTGCCCCGCGTGTTCGGCTCAGTCATGGTGGCTTGATAGGGGTTTTGAAGGGATGAGGGTGTATAGGGATAGCTGTTGGGGGAGGATAAGGTAGTGCCATTGTCCAGGGTAGAAAGGGTATTGTCGGCTTGTTCGGGTCAATGGGTCAATCAGCCGGATATCAGCATGTGAAGGATGACTTGCACTAGACACTTCCTAGGATTAGAATGATATCACATAGTTTTGTTTTTTTATTTTTTGCTTTTGTCGTGTGATCTGTATCAAGTGTGAGATCTGAGATTGTGTTTTAAGGTGCATTGGACATATAGTTGAGAAACTGGACCAGCACATTACGAATAAGCTCACCGACAAGTGAAGCAGACATCAAAACACTACTACTATGAAGGTCATTGTAGAATAGCTACTAATAACTGCTAGCTAATAGCTCAGACTCTCATGTCCCGTGCTAAGCGTGGGGATCTGCTTAGGCGTCAAAGATGACGACAGAGGCTGTGATGCCATGCATACAACTTCACACTCTCTATAGATGACCTAGATCTCTGAGATAGAAAGTAGAAACACACAATCCTTCATCAGAACACATGTCTATTCAATTGGTGTTCATGTCGAGAGTGGGATACGGGCTGTAGGGCCGAGGGGCGCAATGTTACAGTCGCTAAGTGTTGATGTCAGCATTGTGGAGAGTCATGTTTGGTACCTAGCAAAGTAGTAGTAGCCTGACTAGAACAGCCAGAGACCTGGAGATCAGAGATAGTTCACACCTAACATCAACTCAACTCATCTCACTGGACGTGCGTAGTCATTTTGACGGTGGGCAGAAAGGGTATCGAACTCTCCCCACCACCGCCTCAACTCTCCTCACCTCAACTCTTTTCATCCTCCTTCATCGGTCTTGTACGCTTCCCCCCATCCACTCTGTCTTGGTTTTGTGTGCTTTTCTTCTCACCCGCCTCTCCTCCCCACAGAATCTTTTTTCAGCTTTGCGGTCCCCACCTCACCGGGCTAGCTTCGTCGACTCACTCGACCCGTCGACTTCACTTCGCGATCTCCTCTGCCCCTCCCTTACCGCCACCTTCTTTCTCCGAATTTCATCGGACATTCTTTTCTCTCGGTTTCCGCGCACGACCCGAGTGATTCTCTGCCCTGATAGAGCTTTCGGAAGCATTTGCCAACTCTATTTTTCCTGTCCTTGCCCTCGCGCGGTCAAGGGCTAGAACGAGAAAATGGTAGACAGAGATCCAGGCACACCCACCTGGAAGTTTACACAGTGAGTGCTATGCATGTTAATTCTGTTCAGCAGCTGACCGTATTAGATGCTTTGGCGATAAAGGCGATGTAGAAGATATTACAGAAGGTAACTGCCAGCTTCCCTCGCGCTCGACCGCTCAATTTACACCAAGTGCATCAACTGACATGTGCACGCCAGCGGACATCATCTCCACTGTCGAATTCGACCACACCGGTAACTACTTGGCCACTGGAGACAAGGGTGGACGTGTGGTGCTGTTCGAGCGAAACGAGACGGTAGTACTCCCGGCAGCACTCGGCAGCAGCCTTGACTGACCATTGATTGCAGAAAAAAACCTGTGAATATAAGTTCCACACCGAGTTCCAGTCACATGAGCCGGAGTTTGATTATCTCAAATCGCTAGAGATCGAAGAGAAGATCAACAAGATTAAATGGTGCCGACGACAGAATGCATCCCACTTCCTCCTTTCGACGAATGACAAGACGATAAAGCTTTGGAAGGTCTTTGACAAGTCGCTGAAGGTGGTCGCAGAGAACAACCTATCAAATGAACTCACTCCGGCGAGCGCGGTCGGGGGCGGTGGTATGCCTCGTGCACCCCGCGTCTCCTTCAAGGACCCCGCGGCTCTCAAGTTGCCTCGTTTGACACACCACGATACCGTGGTCGCTGCTGTTCCACGGAGAACATACGCCAATGCCCACGCCTATCATATAAATAGCATTTCCGTCAACAGTGATGGCGAAACCTTTATCAGCAGTGATGACCTCCGAGTGAACTTGTGGAATCTCAACATTCAGGACCAGAGCTTCAACATTGTGGATATCAAGCCGGCAAACATGGAGGAACTCACCGAGGTCATCACAGCGGCCGAATTCCACCCAGTCAGCTGTAACTGGTTCATGTACGCCAGCTCCAAGGGTACCATCAAGCTTGCTGATATGCGGCAACGGGCATTGTGTGATGAGCACGCCAAGTGTATGTATTCGTCTTTTCCTTTGATTTCGTTGACTAACACCGATTAGTGTTCGAACAAGAAGAAGATGCCTCCTCCCGTTCTTTCTTCTCCGAGATCATTTCCTCCATTTCCGACGTGCGATTCTCCAATGACGGCCGATACATCGTGTCCAGGGACTACCTGACGGTGAAGATTTGGGACGTGAACATGGAGCGACAGCCAGTCAAGACTATCCCCATCCACGAGCACCTCCGCCCCCGCCTCTGCGACACCTACGAGAACGACAGCATCTTTGACAAGTTCGAGGTGGTCTTTTCTGGTGACGCCGATAACGTCATGACCGGAAGTTACAACAACAATTTCATGATTTACCCTACAGAAGAACAGAAGGATACGGAGATTGTGCTACAGGCGGACAAGTCGGCATTCAAGGCAAAGAAGGTTGGTGTACCGACACCTATGAACAAGGGTAACGGAAAGAAGGCCGGTTCGCGGTCCGGAAGCCCTGCTGGCCCCGGCAGTCGGATGAAGAAGGAAACCGATGCCGACCAGATCGATTTCAACAAGAAGATCTTGCACATGAGCTGGCACCCATTCGAGGACAGCATTGCCATTGCGGCGACGAACAATGTGAGTTCTTCAACTTGGACTACCGAACTAGCACTGACATCTGCAGCTCTTTGTTTTCTCCGCTCTCTAATCGAAATGCCATTATCATTTTTCATGGACAGGCGCATCTGGGGTTTGGATCGGGCGGCTGATGGCCTTGAACAGGCAGATACGAAGGACGAAAACCAGAAAATAATGATAGCAGCATGCCACGGTTCCATGATCTCAGGACGTTCCTTTCCCATATCCTCGAGCTCTTATGAGTACTACGAGGTCCTAGTTTCTGTTTCAGCCTTGCTTTCCATTGTCTGCTTCATGCAGAGAGGTAGCGAGGTTGTCGAAGGCGTTGTATCAGGCCTATTCATGATAGAGAATGTCGTGCCTGTTGAAGGCGTTTTCATAATATCTAGTCACCGCATGTAGACTTGACTATTCGGTACCTAAGTGTCTAGTCCACACGTAGTCTGCGCCCCTTTCCGAGTCCAGTCCCCGGCGCACTTGAGTCTCCCAGCCCCCAACTCGGAATTATTCTCCATGTCCATTCAAACCATCAATACGATTAACAATAGCCAACAAACCTAATCAGCCCACTTAGCCTACTTCGCCTTTTCAGGCTTTCTTCAGGCCAACGAGTCATGGTTTTTTCTGCCGGATTTTAAAGGCGATGACGAAGGCGGACACGCACTCTCCACCAATCAAAATGCCATCGCCGGAGAATCCATTGTCCGACCATGGCCCAAATAGGTTAGCGCCAGGAAAGCCTCCACTGGAGCCCGCGATCGGTCGCGCGCAATTCCATCACCCCAGTTTGTGTCTCCTGCCTATCTGTTTCGGTTCTTTCTTGCACTTCTGCAAGCCTGTCGTCTCTCTACTCTCGAGTGTTCGGGTCATGCTGTGACCCCAGAGCAACCTGAGCGTTGCCGACTAGAGACAGCTCCAGCTCTCGATTACTTTCCTCCCCTCCCTCCGCTTTCCACCTCTTCCCTTTTACTGGGGTTCATGCATAGATCATGAATTCTGGAAACGATAACTGGCACTCCTCTGGTGGGCCACCGTCACATTCTGGCATGGACCAGATGAATCAACAGCCTCGGCCCCTGGGGTCGTTCAAGTATGCATTGACCCGTATTGCAAGTGTTGATCAGAGACTAATCGATGGCTTCGGTCCAACAGTCAAAATCCGTCTCAACAAGGCCCGGCGTCGCAACCCTCTGGCCCCGTTCTTCCTCCCCCAGCTGGTTAGCCCACCTGCACCCTACCTGCTCGTCATACCTTTCTCGAGGACTGGAGCGAGGTCGAGAAGCTCATAAGCTAACTTTCGTGCTACTGCAGGTCCTTACCACCCCGGCCAGTCTGGCGGTCACTCCCTCCCCGGTCTGGCAGAACTCAGCCAGACCCATGGAGGTCCGCACCAGTCCCCAGCCTACGGACAGCACCCCGCCGGTCCTTCTCACAGCACCGGTCATTCACTCCCTGGAATTGGTCAGGCCATGCAACATGCATCCCCTCAGCTTAACCGCGAACGCGAGCGCGATTCACGAGAGCGGGAGATTCTTGAGCGCCAGCGCCAGGAAGAGATGGCCCACCGTGAGCAACGCGAACGCGAGCGTGATCGCGAACACCGTGAACAGATTGAACGGCAGCTAGATCGCCGCGATCAACCGCACCACCCCGTCCAGAGCCACACTGGCTCAATTCCTCTCCACCAGCCTGTGGCCAACAAAGTTCCCAACTCTATCCATGGTCCAGGTGGTCTCCTTTCAACTCTGGGTGGAACACCGCAGGGTGGCCACCAGGGTGGACCTCAGTCTGCTGCTGGCTTGTTTGGCCCGCAAATGCAGCATGGTGAAGGCACACCTCGGTCGTACATGCAGCACCCGGGTGGACCCCCAGGACAGCCTATGATGGGATACAATGCTTCTGGACAGCAAATACCTGGGAATGTTGCAGCTCTTGCGCAAGGCCAGCAGCCGATTCTGAATGACGCACTCAGTTATCTCGATCAGGTCAAGGTCCGCTTCGTCGATCAGCCAGATGTTTACAACCGTTTCTTGGACATCATGAAAGACTTCAAGAGTCAGGCCATCGACACGCCTGGAGTGATCCAACGGGTTTCCACCTTGTTCAATGGTCATCCTGCTCTTATTCAAGGATTCAACACTTTTCTGCCCCCGGGATACCGTATCGAGTGTGGTACCGAGGACAACCCTGACGCAATTCGCGTCACCACGCCATCAGGCACAAACACACTCAGTATGCCTCGCGCTGGACGTCCCTTCGAGACTACCACCAACCCCCGGCCTGCCAGCGACGTGCATGGGCAGTCCGACTTCTACCGTGACCAGTCGCGCCCCGGCTGGCAACAGACTCAGCAAGATCAAGGCGTCTCTGGATCTTACTCTCCTGGCTCAAGAATGATGGGACCAGGCATGTACCCGGATGGCCAGGGCCCAGCCCAGGACCATCACTACGGCTACCCGACTCAGCAGGAGCAACAAGCTGCTTCAGTTATGTCTCACCAGCAGGATCACCGCGGTGTGGCTCAGCTTCAGGGCGCTGCTTCAGCAGCCTCTGCTGGTCTTGGTAGATCTTCTCTCCTGGGAGTCTCGGCTGCCGGTCAGACCAACAGCCTTACTCAGCCCATGAACAGCTTGGCTGGTGTCGGAACTGGCATGCTTCAGGGTGCTCAAGACTTGAACAAGCGTGGCCCTGTAGAGTTCAACCATGCCATTAGCTACGTCAACAAGATAAAGAACCGCTTTTCTAGCGCGCCGGAGATATACAAGCAGTTTCTTGAAATACTTCAGACATACCAGCGGGAGTCGAAGCCCATCCAGGATGTCTATGGACAGGTCACTCAGTTGTTCAACACTGCCCCTGATCTCTTGGAGGACTTCAAGCAGTTCCTCCCTGAATCCGCCGCGCACGCCAAACAAGTTGCCGCACAACGCCAGGCCGAAGAACAAGCTCCTCTCAGCAACCTTCGAGGTGAGCCTGGTGGCTTTGCCTCCCAGACTCCCAATCGCGATGTGAAGATGCCTCCTCTTGGCCAATTCAATGTCAAGGACCCGAAGGAGAATAAGAAGCGACGTGGCGGCCCAGGAGGGGGTGTTGGCTCTTCGATCTCTGGACCTGCCGGCGTTGAAGCTGCTCGCTTGTCAGAGTCAGGCAGAGTTGGCCAGAATGGACAGTTTGGCAATGTCAGCAAGGTAAGTTTTACTTGAAATTACTTCCCAATTTGCCATCACCAGTACTAACTTTGTCACAGAGAACCAAATACCACCATGGCAAACCCTCCATTTCTGAAATGGCAAACGTCTCGCCCACCTTGATTCCTGCTCTACCCGAACCAATTCCTCCTTCAGTGTCGATGACTCCAAGCCAAGAAGAAATCGCCTTCTTTGACCGTGTGAAGAAGTTCATTGCCAACAAAGTCGTCTTCAGTGATTTCTTGAAACTCTGCAACCTCTACACCACTGATCTTCTTGACCGCCACGTCTTGGTCAAGAGGGCCGAAGGGTACATTGGTTCTAACGCCGAGCTTATGAGTTGGTTCAGGCGCTTTATGAGTGCCGAAGAGCCCGAGGACAAGACAATCGACCCCAAGCCGAACACCGAATCAGGCGTTGTCAACTTGGCTCACTGCCGGTCTTTGGGACCGAGTTATCGTCTGCTTCCTAAGCGTGAACGCCAGAAGCCCTGCTCTGGCCGTGACCCGCTTTGCGCCAGCGTTCTCAATGATGACTGGGCTTCGCATCCTACTTGGGCATCTGAGGATTCTGGATTCGTTGCTCACCGCAAGAACCAGTACGAAGATGCATTGCACCGCATTGAAGAAGACCGCCATGACTACGATCACCACATCGAGGCCTGCGTCCGTACCATCCAGCTGATTGAACCGATCTGCCAGCAGTTCCTCCACATGAGTGAGGTGGAACGTGCTTCGTTCAAGCTGCCTCTTGGTCTTGGTGGTCAAAGTGAGGCCATCTACCAGCGAGTCATCAAGAAGATTTATGACCGTCAACGCGGCGAGAAGGTCATCCAAGACATGTTCCAACGTCCATGCCACGTTCTCCCCATTGTCCTTTACCGCTTGAAGCAGAAGCTTGAGGAGTGGAAGGCCTGCCAGCGTGAATGGGACAAGGTGTGGCGCGAGCAGATGCAGCGTGCATACTGGCGCAGTCTTGACCACCAGGCCATTGCCACTAAACAGACTGACAAGAAGCTATTTGTTGCCAAGAACATCCAGCAAGATCTGCAAACCAAGTTTGAAGATGGTCAGTCCCTTCGCAAGAGCGGATGGACACCTCCGAAGTACCAGGCTGAGTTCAAGTTTGATGACACGGAGGTCCTCTTGGACACTGTCTTCCTGCTGCTCTTGTACTTTGATCGCAGCACTAATGGCTTTGGTGCTGAGCCTTCACGACTCATCAACTTTGTCAAGGACTTCATTCCTATATTCTTTGGCCTTGACCGTGAGATCTTCCACCAGTACATTGATGAAATCTCCATTGCTATCGTGGATGACGAGGATTATGCGAATGATGATGCCTCGAGTGGCAGCCGCAAGGTGGTCAACACGCAGAAGCTGGATCTCCTGCGTGAGGCTCTTGACCGTGGAACTGAGAAGCCCAACAAGGAAGATGGCATTACCAACCATGACGAGACACCCGTTGTCCGGGCTTCCTCTGCTGTTTCTGAGAACGAGGAGAACTTTGACGTCGCTGAGCTCAGATGGATGGAGCACCCCGGCCAGGGCAACTTCAACCTCGAGCGTGAATACACCTTGAACGAGAAGCACAAGAAGAGGGAACACCACATGTACTCCAACCTCAATATTCTCTGCTTCTTGCGTACCTTTGAGATCCTATATTCGCGTCTCCATCGCATCAAGCAGCAGGAGGGCGAGGCTCGCGAGCAAGTTCGCCGTGGTCTTGTGCCCAAGCCTGCCCACGATCTTTGCTTGATGGACCGATTCCCCAGTGATTTCTTCTATGACGTTGATCCCAAGGCCAATCTTTACAAGCAGATTGTGCGCATGTGCGAGGAGGTCATCAAAGGTGACATCGACCAGATTCACCTAGAGGAGACTCTGCGTCGCTTTTACATGCAGAGCGGATTCCTGCTCTATAACCTGGAGCGCATCTTCTCGTCCATCGCCAAGTTTGTGGCGTCCATCTTCACCGGCGATTCTCGGGACCGCAGCTCGGACATTGCCAACCTGTTCTTCAGGGAACGCGAGAAGGATGAGACAACTCACCACCAAGAAATTCAGTACCGCAAGCAAGTTGAGCGTCTGGTCAAGGATGGCGATATTTACCGCATCACCTACGTAAGTCAACCACCTACCCTTATTATCAGAGGAAACGCTGACCACCTCCAGCACCCTACCGACCGCCGCGTCACGGTCCAAGTAATGACCAGCGAAGAAGCAACCCTGGACAACGAAGAACTCACCGCGGAAGAACGCTGGTCCTACTACGTCACGGCCTACTCAATGCGTGACCCAACAGAAGGCGTCCAATTCTCCAAAATGAACATGCCCTTCATGAAGCGCAATCTTCCCTCAAAACTGGAGGAGGAAGAAGAGTACGACCGCTACTACCGAAACCTCCAGCATCACGATGGCCTAATTATTCGCATTTGCGCCAACAACTACACGATGCTGTACCAGCCCCCAAGCTACGACTGGTTCTGGCGATCCAACGCCCCAATCCCAGAGAAGGATGCCGACGCCGACGCCATCAAGACCCAGCTCGACGAGGCTGCAAAGGAGAAATCAGCCATCCGCGAGAAACGCCATGATCGCTTCGTCGAGAAGTTCATTAATAACCCCTCTTGGGCTCGCAATCTCAGCAAGGATAACGTCGATCAATCCAACCAGCGCTTCCGCTCTTGGATTGACGGCACTCTTTCTGATAGCCCTGGACCGTCTAGTTCCGAGCTTCCCGCCAAGGGTGATATCTCTCAGAAGGAGAAGGCCGATGACAATGGCAATGGCGATGCCATTGATCTCAACGCCAACACCAACGGCAATGCCAACGCCAACGCCGATGCTGAGACTGGCTCTGGTACCGGTGCAGCTTCCAACGATATTGACGCCGCGGCTCCAACTGCTCCCTCTGAAGCCCCGCAACTCCAGAAGCTAGCAGAAGGCGACACAGAAATGACAGATGCCGAGCCCGCCGAACCCTCAGCTGAAACTGAGGCCTAAGCGTGAATTGTGTAACATATCGATGGGGTTTAGTTCCAGTTTCAGTTTCTTTGCAGTTCTGTTGTCTTTTCTTACCGTGTGCTATGGAATTCTTCCCCCTTGTGCCTTGCGAGGCTTGATCTTGATGTGCATTCTATTTATTTTTTTGTGTGGGCGGCGTCTACTACGAGGAAATTGCGAGATGATGTTGCTACGGTCTGCTTTTCTCATATGTTGTATTTGTATCTTTCTTTCTATTTCCTTTAGTTGATTTCTTTCTCTTAGTCAATGGAATGGCTTCGATGGCTGGGCTGTTTTAATCTTCACTCTGCTGATTGTAGACATGTGGTCAATGTAGGTTGTTTTGCTCTCAAGATAAACAACCTTGGGATAGGTTTCAGGGTAAGTTGAGGTATGAAGTCAATGCAGAGGTACGATCTGTTCTGGAAAGCTTACATGACGATAATAATAGGGAATAGTTCCAGCGGGCTATTCGCTGTAAACAAACCCCTGCTTATCTTTGAGTATCCTGATTTCGAAGCTCAAAGACAAGGGTTATTGCAGGACACTATCGGAATGACGATCATCTATTCAAAAAGTACTGTACCGTGCATGATGACGAATTCATGCGCTTTAGGGTAATGACAGTCCATTTCTGGCTCTCAATAATTTCAAGATTGCTACAAATATTGTGTCTAGCTCTGTAGATAGCCAGGTAAACAGGGATAGTTCACCTTTTGAGGTGTTGTTGACACCCCACAATTTTAAGTCGATCAAAGATCGACCCAATAGTTCTCGCCTAATTTGAATCAATCTTGGCAGGGATGCTCCAGTACTGTCGGTTATAAAAATGAGAGCTCCGTGTGGCCGAACAGCTAACCGATACAAGCCCGAGACGCAGTCGGGCGAAACTCGGGCCGGGTTCCTGGACTTCATCCCTTTTTTTTTTTGCCCTTAAATAGGGCCTTTTTGGTCCTTTTAGAATGCCTGGGATATAGGAAAGGCCTTGAGATCACCGAGAATCACTTTCATTAGACCTTTTCATGTTGGTGTAAGGTGCGATCGCTGTCCGGGGTGCAGAGCAAAGCCCGAGCTCCACCGAAGGAAATCCGATCACCGAAGAAAGGCCGGGGTTGACGTCAGCATGAATCGGGGGTGACGTTTTGGGAAATTGGCATCATAGAGTCAAAGGGGGATGGGAGAGGAGACAGGTTATTAATATAGATGTGATATAGATGCTATTGTGCGCAGGGGTATACATCGTAGCTTTCTGTGAAGAGTATAACCCATAGGACTGGATCAGAATACACAATCCATCGAGAATACACAAATGAAACCAGTCCACCTTCCTTTCTTCCGGGACTCCGTATTTGTGGGGATTGCCGGGGTTAGACATATATCTATCCCTCCGTCCTCTTTCTTCTTCTTCAACTTCTAGACCACTCTCCACTCCCCCATATTGTCACCATGGCTGCTTCTGCGCTTCTGAAGAGCCGTGTGCGTCGGCCTTCGTATCTGAAGAAGCTCTGTAAACCAGAGGACCTCATTGACCTCTTTCCCAATGGTTCCTACATTGGCTGGTCCGGATTCACCGGCGTTGGATACCCCAAGTACGATACACAGCGAGGAATGTGTTTCATTAATTCTAACAATTGCGCAGGATGATTCCAACTGCCCTAGCAGACCACGTCGAGAAGAACAAATTGGAAGGGCAGCTCAAGTATAACCTCTTCGTGGGAGCTTCCTCCGGTGCCGAGACGGAAAACCGCTGGGCGCGTCTGAACATGATTGAACGGCGGAGTCCGCACCAAGTCGGAAAAGAAATTGCCAAGGGAATCAACAATGGCCAGATCAAGTTTTTCGACAAGCATCTGAGCATGTTTCCCTCGGATTTGGTCTATGTGAGTGCTGAGTTTCGGGAGAACCCGCCGGAACAATGGCTAACCCTAACTCCAGGGCTACTACACGCTCAACAAGCCGCACAACAGAATCGACGTAGCTGTCATTGAGGCGTCGGCTATTACGGAGAATGGCGGTATCATTCCTGGTGCTTCCGTGGGTGCATCCCCGGAGCTTATCCAGATGGCCGACAAGGTCATCATCGAAGTCAACACTGCTAGTCCTTCCTTCGAGGGTCTCCACGATATCGTGGGCTCCGACCTTCCCCCAGGTCGCAAGCCATACCTGGTCATGGCCCCCGAGGACCGTATCGGAACACCTTACATTCCGGTGGACCCCGAGAAGGTCGTTGCGATCGTCGAGTCCAACTACCCGGACCAGACCCAGCCCAACGCCCCAGAAGACGAAGGCTCCCAGGCCATCGCCACAAACATCATCGAGTTCCTCAAGCATGAGGTTAACCACGGCCGCCTGCCCCAAAACCTCCTCCCCATCCAGTCTGGCATCGGCAACATCGCCAACGCAGTCGTCGGCGGTCTCAGCAAGGGAGGCGCAGACTTCAAAAACCTGAAAGTATGGACTGAAGTCTTGCAAGACTCCTTCCTGGACCTCTTCGACAGCGGCAACCTCGACTTCGCAACAGCAACCTCCATCCGCTTCTCGCCCGACGGTTTCAAGCGCTTCTACGACAACTGGGAGCAATACGCCGGCAAGCTCCTCCTCCGCTCCCAGCAAGTCTCCAACTCGCCCGAAATCATCCGCCGTCTCGGCTGCATCGGCATGAACACCCCCGTCGAAGTCGACATCTATGCCCACGCGAACAGCACCTGCGTCATGGGCTCGCGCATGCTGAACGGCCTGGGCGGTTCGGCCGATTTCCTGCGTAACTCCAAGTACAGTATCATGCATACACCCAGTGCCCGGCCCAGCAAGATCGATCCCACTGGTGTTAGCTGTATTGTGCCGTTCGCCACTCACGTCGATCAGACGGAGCATGACCTCGATGTTATTGTTACTGAGCAGGGTCTTGCTGATGTTCGTGGTCTTTCGCCCCGCGAGCGTGCTCGTGTTATCATCAACAAGTGTTCGCACCCTGATTACAAGCCTATCCTTACGGATTACCTTGATCGCGCGGAGTTTGAATGTCTGCGTAAGGGTATGGGTCATGAGCCTCATTTGTTGTTTGAAGCTTTCAAGATGCACAAGAATTTGCAGGAGAACGGTACCATGAAGATCGACTCTTGGGAATAGGTTAGATCGTGTGATGCTCTTGATACATTTTATGTAAAATGGCTGTCCAAGCCATGGTACAGGTGTCGGGTGTTTTGTATATATTATATTAGCGCTTTCAGGAATTATTCCTTCTTAATCATCTATGGCATGGTAGTTGATATTGTAGATAGTCTTGTTCCACCTGAAGTTGTAGGCTTGAAGTCAGCTTCGGGTGGGATGATCTACAATCTCCCTCTCCGAGCTCGACCACTGATCCTCCATCATATGTATCATTCATGGCCTGATTGGTGTGGTGAAGATTTCCTCTGGATCACGTGTTGAAGCAAGGAGTAAATGCTCGACCTAATCCCATCTTCCACTCCAACCCTTTCTCGATACAGACCAGGCTATCTTTATGTAATGCAATTGCTCTATTAAAACCCACTTCGCAGAGATTATCTAGGTACGCTGCGGTCTTTGGATAGGGGAATGAACTCCGGTAAGAGAATCTCTGATCCTTTTGGAATAATGCAAGAAATGTATGATATCAACAAATATAGAAAGAAAAAAAGGCTGACTGTTTCATCATATGCAGACATAAACACATCATGATAAAACTCCAATCAAACCAACTCCAATGCCAATAAAGCAGTCCAAGAGAAGACCAAAAACATAAAGAACTATCCAAGCATGGCTCATCTAAGGCGAAGTACCAGTGAGACTAAAGGGAGTCAGTCAAATCCAATGAAACCAGTCAGAAGAAAATGGCAAACACATACCGACCCCAGATCGAACCAAGGAATCCATTTTGCGAATCTGCAGACTTACGTCTAGCCCAGCCAGACTCGACGTTGTAGTGCTTGGTATCCTGTAGACCCGCGAAGAGGCCACGACCGGCAGTTGCGCGCTGTATACATGTTAGTATATTATCCCCAACAGGTGGTGAGGTAGAGACATCGGTGATGAACGTACGCGGTGTTCTTGGGCAGAGCGAACCCAGTAGTCAGCGCCGAAATCATTCTGAAGACGGGCGTGCTCAGAGGCGGTAGGGTTCTTGGAGGCAGAAGACATTGTGATGTTGATGTGGTGGTGGTGTGAGAAGTATAGACTGGGTAGTAGATACTAGTCGAAGTATTGTGTGATGATAATGTATCGAGGTATTCAATAGAATCTTGTGTGATGATGAACAAATAAAGTCAAACGTCGTGTAACACGAAGACCCTTATATACACAACCTCGGCCTTTATCATCTACACTTGAAAAGTTTTTCTTCTTTACTGCAACAGAACACCCGAAGCTGGACCACACAGCATGGCCTGATACGACCGGCTGAACCAAACAAATGTCAAGCTGAGCCTCAATTCGGTTCCGAGATGCTGGATCTCGGAATTCCCCAGCCGTTTCTCGGTCGATGCTCTACATGATAGGTTCAACCGACCGGAAATACCAAATTCAAACATTGGATAGCATGATCTCTATCCCGTGCGATTGGATATCGTCCGATGCAAAATTATTAGGTCAGATGGCTGTTGGGGATGTGGTTGGGTGAAGATTTCGAATGGTGACGTATAGACCGGGTGGTGCGGTATAGGGCGCGGTCGGCACTTTGACTTTCTATGTACGGGGATGGCCGTGGCCGTATCTGGAGTTGCTTGAGGATCTTCGGTGCGGAAGTTGCCGAGGGTTGGTTTTCGGGGTCGTCTGATTTGTTGGTTGGTGTTGGTGGCGTTGTCCTTTCGTTTGGTCATGTGTTGGTGGTATGATCAAGTGGCATGTTCTATGGGCAGATGTATGGCTTTGCGAAAATCGGTAGGAATAGTTTCTTTGAAAAAAATAGTCATTCCGAGTTATTTCAATGGTTACATTTTATTCGTATGTGCGGTGTGATCTGGTATCGCTATATATATCTTGTCCGCCTCATACCTTCTCTTGAAGCTGAATGCGCTGTCTATATGTCCATTCTCAAGGAGAGTCACCCCGAGGTTGCTAACTATATGGAAGAAAGCATAGTCCTCCTGACCTAGTTGTCTCAATGAGATGGTCTATTGGCAAGTTTGAAAAACCTCGCTATGCTGTTGGCTTACGAGTGATGAGATCTTCAGTCGAACGCTTCCCTATTATGCGTATACGATGTCTTGGATGGAATGATCAGACAATGAAAATCGCAGTAGCAAGCAATATGATTTTAATCTCCCGGAGAATGAAATGGAGATTGTGTCAAAAGATGGGCAGTTTGGGGTTGTGAGGTTGTCTAGTGGCACAAGTCACTTGAAACGAGTCCCTGTTAAGTGTGCAAGTATATTGAAGTATTTCATGCGATAGCAAGTGACAATCAAAGCGAAATAATCATATTCAATACTTGATAGAACCTACGTTTATCACAACACGACACCGGGAGGAGCACCTGGACCGGGAAGATGATTTCACCGGGTCAACAGTACCTGCGCCGGGAACAGCACCTCCTGGGAACAGTGCTTGAATTGGGGACAGCACTGCACCGAGAACATCACCGGGACTCGAGTCGCTGAATTAGGATTTAAAGCAAAGCGAGGAGAATGTAGATCTGGCGATCCCGCATTCCACATATAACATCCCATGTGGATGAGTGACACAGACCTCACCCCAGAATACTTGAGAGTGGAATGTGAAAACGTTAATGACACGTCTCACCCACAAAGTAGAGAGATCATATGCATTCGAAACCGTTAACCCCAAGCCAAAAGAGACGCAATTTGTCAAAGAAAAAGCCACAGTAGACCCTTGAACTCATTTTGCAGAACTCTTTTTGCTTTTGCAACAAAAGATCCCACTGGATTGATCATTTGACAAAATGGTGCCCCCAGATTCAAAGAATACCCCTGGACAGTAGCCCCTGAATAACCTCAAAAAAGGCAGTGCCAAGACCACACTAGACAGGGACTGTATCCGCTCCAGCCCAGGAAGCCCAGAACCGCTGTCACTCTTGGCCAATCGATTGGAATCCAAGATAAGTCAAGGTAATTTTGGCGGTCTGGATTGTGGTGTTGTTCTGAGTCACTTGGTACTAGCGGTTATTCACAGTTCCCAATTCTCTGTACAAAACAAAAGACACGGTATTGTATTATATCTAATAGTGCTACATATCCCAAAAGACAGTCATTCCTAACGGTCCCCCCAAGATATTGCCAATGTCCTACCCAGACTCCATCCAAGTTCTCCATTCCAACAATACCGCCCCGAAGAAACCTCACCAATAATCCAAGCCAATCATGACACTATCACAACAAACCGCCAGACTAGCGAGCTGAAAATACCCAGTCATGGATTCAGCCTGATTCAGGAGAGCCGGCGCTACCTAACGTTAGCGCCAATAAACAGTCCTCGTAGTCTTCTCCACAAAGGTAACCCGGCCCCCAGCATCCGCTGGGATCTACCCCGAGGAAAGGGGATCGCCAGTCCAGGAGATCCAGACTTGGGCTGGACTGGATCAGCATGCATTGACAACAGCGACAGTATAAATGCACTTGCACTTCAGCGGTGTATGTCTGTGGTTGCTACTATAGAATATATATATATATATATTAACTCTACGGAGTCTCCGGATACTGTATAGTTCCCACTTAACTTCGCTTCGACCGTATACGTAGGCTGCCATGTTTATTCTCTGGTAACGAACACACTAGGTACATGCTATACTCTGTGTAGAAGGTGGTTCGCGGACGAACACGCGGTCGGTCTCTAGTTGCCGGGAGAGTTGATATGAATTATAGTTAATTAATTGAGGCTGTTGGTTCATTGCTTGGATTGAGTTCTTGTCGGATGATCGGCAGTTCGCGGCACATGTACCAGTATTGTAGGATTGAGTTGATCGTCAGGGGGTGAAAACCGCGCATAGTGTAGAGTGCCAGAGGATAAGGGCAGAATAGAGAATTGAATGTATGTGATTATATGAATAACGTTCTAGGATATTGATATGGCAGAGTGCTAGAACGACTAGAGACACATTCTCTTGGCGTTCTCACACCGTACTATGGAGTCAACAAACAGAGATACATTACAGTACGGTATTTTGATTTGATGAGATCGGCAGGGCGGAAATTAAAGATACCCAGTCAACCAATCAGCAACCATGATCTTTCCTGATTTAGTTTCCACTTTTCCTGTTTAGGACTGGCCGAGGACGCTATGATATCCTGCCCCACATCGCGTGGGAGGAGATTTCCTGTTTTCTTTTTGTTTTGGTGCAATCCAACTCTGCAGACTGAGATTGTGGGCTTCGGGCACTCAGCTCCACTACCTTAGAGACACTCATCTTAGGGAAATGAACAACCGAACATTCTAGAGTTCTAGGGCTCCTGCAAGAGTTTGCCACTGTGCAGCCACAAGTGGTACCTTACATATGTCTGACAGGGACCCGTTGTTACCGGTGGCTTGAAAGAAGTCAGGAGTATCTGGGGGAAAGCCCTCGCAGCGGTAAGGGGGCTGTGAGACAAGGCTATTTTAGATGTAAGACCAGTGATCCGTGCGGATGTAATAATCACATACAAACAATAAAGCAATGAGAGCGGTAGGATGTGCGATTCTGATGAGGTTACGGAACAGTCAGTGTACAGGTACAACGCACAAGGTACATCTGCATGGTGGAAATGAACGTTGGGCGAGATCGTAATTCTATACATCCAGATATTGAGTACTCCGTATACAAAGAGGACAAAACAGTAACAATAATCCACTCTGCCCGACCCGTGCGGGCCAACCATAAGCAGCAAACAGTTGGGTCTGCAGAATTGAACCAATCAGATATTGTTCGTCCCTGAAAACACATCTAGACCCCAGGGGTAATTTTACACTGTCGAATCCCGGCCTTTTTATGTCTTTTCTCCCCTTTTCTTTCTTCTCCCCCTAACCGCCTTTTCTCCATCAAAAGGCTCTTGCCCCCTCATCTTCCTTTCCTTTCGCTACCCACGTTCCTTGATATCACTGACCACCGCTTCACTCGTTCAGCGGGCATTCATTCTTTTTGTGTGGGCATTGAATCTCCAACATGAAGGGAGCTATCTTCGCCGCCGCCGCCATGGTGGGCTCTGCCATGGCTGACGGTGTTCACCGTCGCCACGACGCTTTCCACCAGCGTCGCGAGGCTTCGTCCAGTGTCTGGGCCTCCAGCGTCACTGCTACTCCCTCTGCTCCGGCTCTTGAGGAGGAGACCTGTGGCTGCACCACCAAGGTGATCACCTTCTACGGCGAGCCTACCCTGGTCCCCATCTCCAGCGCTCAGCCTACCACCTCTTCCACTCCCATCCCGGAGTCGACCAGCACTCTCACCAGCACTGTGCACTCCACCAGCACCAGCACCCTGACTGTGACTGTCTCTCCCTCCACCTCCTCCGTGGCCGCTGTGTCGACCAGCCCCGCCAGCACCAGCACCGTCCCGGTTCTGCCCACCCCCGGTGTCAGCACTTTCCCCTCCACTGGTACCTACACCGTCCCGGCCACCACCATCACCGTGACCGACAGCACCACTGTCTGCGGTGCTACCTCCACCGAGGTGCCCAGCGGTACTCACACCTACGGCGGTGTCACCACCATTGTCGAGACCGCTACCACCGTCACCTGCCCCTACGCCACTGTCAAGCCCACCGGCACCACCGTGACCAGCGTCATTGAAACCACCACCTATGTCTGCCCCTCGGCTGGTACCTACACCGTTGTGCCCCCTACCACCACCACTGTGCCCACCAGCACCGTCCTGGTCTACCCCACCCCTCAGACCGTCACCCCCGGCACCTACACCCAGCCCGAGACCACTCTGACCGTCACTCGCACCGACTACACCTACGTGTGCCCCTTCGCCACCCCTACTCTGGCCTCAACCACTGCCCCTGCCGCCGTTACTACCACTGCCGCTCCCACCACTGCTGCCGCTACCACCACCGCTGTCCCGGTTGAGTCCACCACCAGCAGCGCCGTTGCCACCAGCACCCCCAGCTCCAGCACCGGCATCACCGGTGAGGGCCAGTACGGTATGACCTACTCTCCCTACACCGAGAGCGGTAACTGCAAGACCAAGCAGGAGGTCCTCAAGGACATCAAGGTCATCAAGCAGAAGGGCTTCAACCTCGTCCGTGTCTACTCCAGCGACTGCAGCGGTCTCGAGTTCATCGGCGACGCCTGCAAGGAGCTCGGCCTCAACATGATCGTCGGTGTCTACATCGACTCCACCGGTACCTCCGGTGCCCAGGAGCAGGTCGAGGCCATTGCCAAGTGGGCCCAGTGGTCCATGGTCGAGTTGATCGTTGTTGGTAACGAGGCCATCCAGAGCGGATACTGTGATGCCAGCAGCCTTGCCTCCTTCATCGCCTCCTCCAAGACTACCTTCAAGGCCGCCGGCTACACTGGCCAGGTCACCACCACCGAGCCCATCAACGTCTGGCAGCAGTACGGCGCGTCCGCCCTTTGCTCCCCCGTCGACCTCGTCGGTGCCAACATCCACCCCTTCTTCAACGCCGACGTCACCGCCGAGAAGGCCGGTGAGTTCGTCGCCACCGAGTTCAAGGTCCTCGAGCAGATCTGTGGTGGCAAGGACGTGATCAACCTCGAGACTGGCTGGCCCAACGCCGGTGAGTCCAACGGTGCCGCCGTCCCTGGTGTCTCCGAGCAGGCCACCGCCGTCAAGGCCATCGCCAAGGCCGCCGGCTCCAAGTCCATCTTCTTCTCCTACTCCAACGACCTCTGGAAGTCCCCCGGTGACTTCGATGTTGAGCAGCACTGGGGCTGCGCTGACGTCTTCTAAGCGCCACGTCTGATGGTTTGATTTGTTTCACTGCTATTTTTTTTCTTTTCTGCAAAACTTGTACAGGAGGATAAGGAGTGTCAACCTTTACTCTCTTTGGTCTTGTCTATAGTCTATGGATTATGGCTGGCCATTTTCATTCTTGGTTTCTATTTTTAAACTTGCCTTGTTTTTGGTAGATACTCCTTTTATTTGATGTTGTCTACTGACCTGGTTGTGCCGACCCTGTTTCTTTGTTCTTGTGATTTTAGTGTATATTGTTATTGACGCCTTCTTATGAGTTTACCAGTAGCTGAGTATAGTAGTACAGTAGCGGCATCTATCTATGCACCATCCCCCCCCCATTGGCGTGTAAGCTTTTCTATCTACGGTCCCCACCTCCCACTGCTAGCCAAAGCCAATTGTTCTAAAGAAATCCTCATATGTTGCCTTGTCATTGTCTACACACCTCTATCTGAAGTCAAGTTACCTGAAGTCCCCTCCCAAACCTTGAGCTACTATTCCTGAGACCAAGCTCTCTTGCCTATGGATACTTCGACATCATTACTATCAATGCCTATTCAAGCTTTCAATGAGTCATAGCTAATATCAATATCACCTCGCAAACCAAAACCAAACTGCTCAAATTGGCATGATACTTTCCAGGTACATGTTCTCTCCATCACATTCTATATCGATCCTGCTACATACCAAATGCAATAGACACTCGTATGGTAAAAATTTGAATGCGAAACTCCAGTCTGGTAAAGAAATGCTGCCTACCACTGATCTTACAAGACATTGATTGGACTCATCTGGGGATTGATGCTATTCAGATGTGAGGTGGAGTCCCCATGGGGAAGGAGCGATAGACTCAACGTTCTACTTGACCAGCTGATCTTGTCCTCCTCTTCCTTTCTCCTTTCCGCCTTCTCACTTCCATCATCGATCTTTCCTCCACTCTTGATCTTTAATCTTCGAGCTCACCGTCCTCCACATCTCTGCGAAACCTGGTGAAAATCAAAGAGCCATACAGACCCAACCGCCGGAGCAAGTGGGCGATGGGTGGTGGCTACGATTATTGTAACTTTATCGTGATGTAGGATTGTGAATCGTGCCATCATTGCGCTGCGTTATCAAATATGGAATCTGGATGTTATCTCCAATGCTCGATCTTGACCATGACCCTTGGTGCTGCGTTCAACAGCATCCTGCTGTCAGCTATCTTTAGCAACTGTCAGATGTCCAGTCATGACTTGTACTTCTGCTAATCAGCGGAGATGGCTATCAGGCCTCTGATGAATACTCACGTTATCAAAACATATACCTTCTTAAAGTAGCAGGCGATTGGAATGAAGAAATATGTACCATTAATCCGTAGATAAATACAAAAGAAAACGAAACACGCGTCCGACAATACGTATATTAGCCAACCCGAGAAAGAATATCATCATGTCGAGAGTTGACCTTCATGCCGCAGTCATATCCGATATTGAGCTTGTTACAGCTGGGTGCAAGTCTATGAAAACGGTTAGCCCATTGCTCAAGAACGCAGAGTTGAAAATGGGATCCAAATACTCACGCCGTTGGAAGAACAAGCAAGTCCCTCACAGCAACATCCCTCAATACCACAGTTATCAGCGATGCAAGCCATAGTTTCCTAGGAAGAAATCAACGTTAGCAATCATCCCTGCTACAGCCGTGTATCCTCATTGATCTGATAATCACAAAGACAAACTCACAGATTGACAAGCAGTCTGAACCTTAGGCATAGCCTCAGGAAGAGCGACAGTGAGAGTAGCAAGGAACCCGAGAACAATAACGGAAGCGCGCATCGTAAATTGAATTGGCGAAATCGGAATGAAAGTGGGAAATTGGTAAAATGTGCCAACGACAAGTATCTGAAAAGCAAAAAAGAAAGTCAGCGACCGAGCGAGAGAAGTTATAAAAATAGAAATCAATTGCAGGGGAACCTTGAAAGGTCTACGCATGTGCAGTTTTGCACCGATGTAAGGGCCAAGAAACGGTGTGAGATACGAACCTTGCTAAACAGAGTTAAAGTGTGATGTTAGTGAGATGACAGCGGTTGAATATCAGACCAAATCAAAGAGATGTCACCTCGGGCCCATTCTAGTCTTATAACTCTACGAACTTTAGAGTAAGGCATGACACAGGCCATGCAGGGCGAGGATCTATCATGCTGAAACTGAAACTGAGCTGGAGGATCTACAGGGGCAGTTTGGGGATCGGCGGATTACGAGGGCTGGGGTCTGCCAAGTTGTTGTTTGCCCTACGGCAGGGTTGGAAGGGGTTGCGATGTGATGCTGTTGTTTGCAGTAAGTCTGATTGATCAATTGAGTATATATAGTGGCTGTTTACTATAGTTTTCGAGGACACCGTTGACAAATGCCTTATCACTGTGGGAATTGTGGCGGATGCATGCAATATCAACAATCCACTTTCTGACCTCATACAGCGTCATCCAATTGATAAATGAGTGAAGCTGCACTTTGATGTTCTGGAATCAACTGGCTTATACCACATCAATATTCAATGACTGACATTCGGGAAGAGACAAGCATCCGATACCGAGCCACGACCCAGTACATGGGGCCTGGACTGTAACGCGGCTGGTATACCAAGCCCTTGGCATTATACATTGCAGGAGACGCACGGTCAGTTGAGGTTGGTGCTTGCAGTGACACACGGAGCTTGCGTGGGCTGCCCAGAGTGGAAATGATGTTCTGGGAGGTGGGCCGTGAGAGCTAGGGGTTGGTGCCGTGGAGATTGGGGGGGGGGGGAGGGGTCAAGTTGGAGGAGTGTGGTGGGCTAGGCTCACCTCAGAAGAGAAAAGAGGGAGAAGAGTGTCAGCCCTAATGATGACTTATTTGATGTTTGAAAGAAGCTTGGAATTCAATGGTCAAGGTGATGGTCCATATCGACACCTGAAATCTCAGGCGTGAGTATGTGCCTTAACTACCAGGCTACAACGAGAATAACGTGGTTCCCTATTTAGTATTGAGGATATCGCGGAGCCGGAAGAGAGATGGCGGACGTATTGGGACAGCGAAGAAGCATGAAATGAAGACACTAAGGAAGAATGCCTTCATGCAGGGACATGGCCAACGAGGTTATGGAGGCAGTGCTGAGGAACATCCAGGGCTGTGATTATACGGATTGGGCTGATAGCGTCTCATGATGACACGGGTTGCTGAGATAATGGAGAGAGCCGAGCGGCCCATATATGGTCGTGTATGGCCATCAATCCTTGGCTCCAACGTACAGTCTACATCTAGGTATTAGGGCTATTCATAGGCGGAGGGTAGGGTAGCATACAATTTCGCAACATCATTGACGCTATGATATGCGGTGACTTTATGCGTTATAATAACGGAGAATGTTGAACCGCTGTGGGTTTTGTACATGTATCGTAGATGTTAACTTGAAAATTAACTGGATGAACAGTATGATTGAATAGGGTTGAATGACAGTAGATATCTGAAATCAATCGCTATGGCGAAAGAAACTTATTGGTTCTTCGGACATATCGCTTGAGACCTATGAAAGCTCAGCCCAGGTCTAGAATGTTGGCGATTGCAAAATGCGACACTATCCAACGGGGACTCCACAGACCGCTAAAAATACCCCATGTAGATAGAGTTGGTCCGACTCCACGCAATCTCAAAATGAGATCTCGGGCCTGCCGATCGCTCTTCATTGCCCGAGACACACAGCTGGTTCTCCCGGTTCAAGTATCGTCAGGCACAGATTATTGCGCCCAAAAGCCGAGGATGCAAGAATCGCCAACGACAACGCGCCGGCACATTAGCGCGCAAACATTTAGAACTTCAGCCGAGCCACAGAAACGGGGTCAGCGAAAGTAATCGCCGATAAGCCACTCAAAAATATGAGGCTTTGGCACAGAAATGGCAATGCGAGGCATGGACTTCACGGGCTAAAACAAGACTACCACAGCAAATGTGGGTGGAGCGTCGGCAGAAATGATAAGAATAACCTGTTGATGATACCAGCTGGCTTGGTACAAATGTTTCTCTGTTCACTATTGGCTCATCGTTTGTTTTGGCTTCATGACAGCGGGTACTCCGAGTGTGGCGCATCGGTATGATTGTCTTCAGGTGAAGTACGTGGGGCTGAATGGCATTTTAATGATAATGAACGTCCAATGTAGAGAACAAAATTGAGTATACCTTTATCAAGAGAATATTTCTATAAGATCAAGGTTGGCCGAAGCGGGGTCTAGTATATTTGCCATTCAATTTAGATTTATTCTCGGATATCCTGCTACTATGATCACCAAAGCTTTGCCTTCATTGCACCCTACCCTTTTGCAGGTTTATCTTGCTTGGGTTGATGCTTGGTGCTCCATCTCAAATGGTCATTACGAGCCCGAGCCAACCGAGGAGATTATCTGCTTAGATGATATAGGTTCTCTGTTCAACGAGGAGAATCTCAATCAACTGATAACCCACTCTCGCTTGATACATGTAATATACTCATTCCAACAACACGTCAGACACAGAAGCGTCCGATTCGGAGGTCCAAACCCACCATCCTGTGAAGAAACAAACCTCATCTCAGAATCATACAACCCCCAAGTTACCTGCATGTGCGAAACCATAAATCCAAGCAAGCAAACAAAATCACAATGCAACACACTCTTAGCCATGCAAAAAAACATGGAAAAGGTCATATCTCGACAAGACGAATGGCACAGCACCGGCCTATTCACACCAGCAAAACTCCGCCTCGCCGTCGACGAACTCGTCAACTCAAACACAGACCTCCAACCAGAGTCAAAAACCTGTCAGGGTTCACCTGCCTCTTCCCACATCCCAACAATTAAAGCTCCAGATCGCCGCCCAAACCCATTGGTTGATAGCAATCCCCGAATCACAAACCAAATCTACCAAACCACGGAACAGCTCAAGATCTGCACAGATGCAAAGTACTTCGGCGTGGTTGCCTGTGGTGCTAGTCTCAGCGATGAAGGGCTTGCACGCGCAGTCGCAGACTCATGCAACCATATCCTTATCGGCGATTACTGCGAAGCGGCAGATGCAAATGGCCTCAAATTACTTCAGCAAGTCGGCGCTGCGGTAATGGCATTCTTAAAGGTCTGCAATTTGGCCGGTCGGGTTACTAACTGGCAGTTTGATAACCTGGCTGCTTATATTGTTCAATGTCGGGTTCTGGGGTATTATCGCGACCATAGCCGGGGTAGACTTCACGATGGAGTGTACGGAAGTCGCATGACTGGGCTTGGTGTCCATCGGCATATTGATGTTGCCGCTTTCCATGGGGTTATGACTGCTTCGCTTGGGACGGGGATGGTTGTTGAGGAGGGTCAGTATGAGCGCATTGTTGAGGCGGTTGTTTTCATCAATGATTTTGTGGATATTCGCGGTGATACTTTGCGCAAGCAACGGGAGAATGTTATTCTCAGGGGACTGCGTGGTGATCTTTGTCGGTATCTTGATCGGTCGATTGGGGAGTGTCTGGATGTTGTTGCTGATGTTATAGAGGAGAGTGAGATTGGTGCTTTGGTTGTGATGGGCTTTTGTAATTGGGCTATTATGTCGTCTCATCACAAGGTGTATGAGTTGGTGAAGGGGGCAAGTCCGGTGCGGAGGTATGGGTGTTGTGAATATACTTCTCTTACAGATAATGCGCGGTATGAGAGGGTGGTTGAGGCGTTGCGACCATATCGTACACTGGGTGTCAATAGTCCCAGTGTGCAGAAGAAGAGGATTGAAATGGATAAGACTTACGATGTCTGTCGACAGTCACCAGAGCTACATCTGTCGTGGCGTGCTGACGCCGCTCGGATTTTGTTGGAGCCGACGACGTTGAGGCAGATTGTGGATATGGTCCATTTTGAGTGGAGTGGCGATGTCGGAGTTGTCGATTACTGCCCTTGAGCTTATAGACTGCATATATAAACGTGTGAATGAATTGATGATTTCTAAGCTTCAAAGTTGGATGCGTGACTAAGTAGGGCCAACCCGATATCAGGAAAGTCTTCGGCGCCACTCCACCTTCTTCCTCTTTTACCCCAGATCCCCGGATTTCAGAAGGAAAATGGAAGAACCGACTCCATTATTAGAGTCCCGAATCTCTGAGAACTTCACACCAATTGAAGAAGACTTTTTATCACCTGGCACATTCTCCAGCGCCGATGAATATGCCGCCAACCCCAGATTCCTGGAACTACAAGAAGAACTCCGCGGCGTCCTTTTCTCAGCAGTAGCGAGTCTTGAGCCATCAACCTATACACCAATCCCCCAACCAAGCCAACCACAACGCACACGCCAAAGCCTAGACTTCACCCGGGTGATTTCAATTCCTAAAATCCGCCTAATCTTCTACCTCAAAAATTGGATCACAGAATGTGCCCCATACCTTGACAAATTCGACGAAGCCCGCCATTTTGGCGTGCACATCCCAATCCTAGCCCAAGGTTCCCCAGCCCTCTTCTACGCTATCCTCGCCTTCTCAGCCCGCCAAACAGAGCGCAAAGCCTGTCTCGACAAAGCATACGACAGCCTCGAACTCTACCAAGAATCAATCCGCCTCCTAGCTCCATGCCTGCAAGCAAAAGACCCAAACGTCCTCGTGACAGTCTGCATCCTAGCAGTAATGGAACTAATGTCTGTCAGTCCCCGCGACTGGCGCCGCCACGTAGAAGGCTGTGCCGCCCTCTTCGAATCATTCAACGTAACCGGCCTCTCAGGCGGCCACCTCCAAGCCGTATTCTGGTGTTACGCCCGCATGGAATTATGCGGAGCGATCATCTCCAACGGCGCAGAAAGCACAGTCCTCCCATTAGATAAATGGGTGCCAGGAGTCCCGGCCAACAGTGCGGAGGAAAAAGAAACCAGAATCCGTGATCTTTTCTGCGACCAGGGTCGCGTTTCTCCTGATATGCACGCCAACTGGGCTGTTTACCTCTGCGCCAAAACATGCGATCTCTCCAGTCGGCGCACGCGTTTTCTCGAATTAGGCGAGATATCCTCCGACCCACGTCCTTTCCCGGAACAATGGAACCGCCTCTGGGATGAATTACATTACTGGCTTGACCAACGACCCCCAGCAATGCTACCCATTAAAACAACTGGAATGGGATCGGGCCAGATATTTCCAGAAATATTATTCGCGCATTGGGCCGCTATCTCAGGAAATCAGTTATACCACGCGGCTTGTATAATGATGCTTGATATGAGGCCTATAGAGCGTTGTCCTGGTCTGGTCCCGGCTTCCAAGCCGTATTTCTCGGCGATTTGGCATGCCAGACGTGTGTGTGGGATTTCATTGACGAATCCCCATAGTGGGAATTTGATTAATGCTATTCAGCCACTTTATATTGCGGGTAAGTTGCTCAGTCATCGCAGTGAGCATGTGGAAGTTGCGAAGCTTTTTAAGATTATTGAGAGGACGACTGGGTGGGGGGCTTTGTGGAGGCTGAGAGATCTTGAGAGGGCTTGGGGGTATGAGACTGGAGAAATTTTGAGTGTTATTTAAATTGATCTGGTTTACGTTGTATTCTGATTTGGATCTAAATACCATTCCATGCCCCATATCCCAGCAACACATGAATATTTACAAAATTCAGCACGAGGCAAAATATTCAACCCTCTACTGCAAATCGGCGCAAGTCTTGGGATATTGCAATGCGTGCTTAATCCGCTGGATAAGTCTATCGGCATCAACCTCAAAGACATAGTTCACCTCTCGGATTCCCTGAGGTGCAAGAGCCTTCTGGTAAACGTGGATGTTGCCATAATTAGGGCTCCCATAAGAGGTATCCACGTCCAAGAATACTAGAAGCAATAGAAATTAGTCTCATGCCGATTTCTGGTCAATTTTTTCACGGTTTGGCATACCTGAAGTCTGGTTGACGGAAATAGTAGGATCAACCATCAATGCAGCAGCTGTTTCATCCCAGAAGGGGAACGAGAGATCGTAGTATTTATCGAAAAGCTTGCTGTATGGATTCGGCACGGAGAGGACTTCTTTCTTGAATTCCTCCGTAGGGAAGACCTGATTAGCGACATTACCAGCGATGGTAATGTTAGGGAAATCAGCAGTCAAGGCGATCTTTGATGCTTCGGGGTCGATCATGAGGTTGATCTATAGTCCAGTCAGCCAATCATCACGCTATAAATGGATATTTCTGGTATAATTCTCACATCAGACTGATAATCAGCAAGCATAATACTCCCAGTAGCTTCAAGCATGTTCAAATCAACATATCCACCCATGATAACCAGGTCCTTAGCAAGCGATGCGAACATCGGATCCATACGCACTGCCAGCGCGATGTTTGTCAATGCTCCGGCTGAGTAGATGGATACCTGACCGGGATACTTGTGCACCATCTCGACCATAAAATTCGCCGCAGATGTCGAGTTGTCCGGTCGGCCTTTGGGGAATCCCTCTTTGAACGCTTCCTTGACAATGCGATTGGGATTGCCAGAGGTAGGATCATTGCCTTCAGCTTCAAAAGTCCTGTTCTCGGGCGCAAAAGCGCCTTCCCAGGGCAGTTTGCCGTGGATTGTTTCCCAAGCTTGGAAGCGCAAAGGTGTGTTGATGAGTGGCCATGTTGCGCCCGCGTAGACGGGGATGCAGCTTAGGTTTCCTGCTTCTAGGGTTGCTACGGCGTGAAGAGCGACTTGGGGTTGCCAGCTATTTGCCGTATCTGATTTGTGATGGTGTTAGTGATAGTCTGATACTGTCATTGTTGAAGTATACTCACCCGAGGCGAGGCCTAAAATTTCCACATCGCCGTCTAGGGCAATCAGGTACGGCACAAAACCCGCTGTATACCAATCATTATCCATGATGGCATAGTGTTTACCCGCCTGAGCTGCAAGCCCAGTCGACACCAGACCAAGTAGCGAAGTTGACCAATGCATGTTCACGGGGGGATATGCTTGCCGGATGTAGATGGTTCTGTGTATACTCCATTGCAATGGACATCTTCTCTCAACCTTTTATACAGAATATCATCGCTGTCCCAGCTTTTTCCGAGGATGCGGCCCATTCCGAAGGAAGATGCTTGGACGATCTCGGGTGCCCCAGTGTCGATCTGCTTGGACTTGGCCAAATTGGCAAGATGAAGGCTCTGATTTCCCCAATTGGAGACAACCCCACACTTTACAAAGCTAGATAATAGGATCAGGTGAGACAATTCATGTGAAGCAAGCGTGGGCTCAGCCGTGCAGGTTCTGTGGAGCCGAAATTTCCACTCTTTTCCGTGTGTGAGGCCGATGTTAGCCGAATCGGGGGATCGTAGGCTCTGAATCGCTCAATTTGGTTTAGCAGTCGGGTTCTCTCCACGTTTTGCCTCCACAAAATGTGAAGAGTTCCGGGGGATTTGGTCTGGCAACGAGTCGGGACGCCGAGATGAGTTTTTGTTACTCACGTGGCGCCACTTTGACCTAATTCTGCAAGTCACCTGTAACTGCAACTCGATATAGTGAAAAGTGAGTATATATGGGGCCCCATTTCCCCCGTATTTTCACTTCCCCACGTTTGAGATTGAGATTGAGATTGAGATTTCACATTGCGAGACTTGACTCAATTGCCCATCATGGATGTCATCGCTAAAAAGTCCATGTGGCAGTCCATCTTTGAGAACCCCAAAGTCCTCTTCATTGCTTTTTTCGCATCGTGAGTCCACAGCAACCACACTACGAATGACACTAACATCCCCAGATTCGGTGGTTTCGAATATGGCTACCAACAAGGTGTCTTGGGTCAATCCCTAGTGATGACCCGATTCACAGAGAATTTCCCAACAGTTGTCGCCTCATCGACAGCAACAGGATGGCTCACCTCTGTCCTTCAACTAGGCGGTATTGTCGGCTCATTGTCAGCCGGTATCCTGGGCGAGATCTACTCGCGCAAGTACACCATGTTCTTCGCCTGTTGCTGGGTCATCCTAGGCAGCTACCTGTACATCGGCGCAACAGCCGGCAACCCATCGCTGCTTTACGCTGGCCGATTCTTCACCGGTTTGGGTGTTGGCTTGTTCAGCGGTGTCGGTCCTCTCTACAATGCCGAACTGGCAGCTCCTGAGATGCGCGGTCTGCTTGTCTCTTTCTACCAATTCGCGACCATCCTCGGAATCATGATTTCCTTCTGGGTCGGATATGGAAGCAACAATATCGGCGGAACAGGCGCGACTCAGTCTGACCTTGCTTGGCGCTTGCCATCTATCATTCAGGGTATCCCTGCTGTCGCATTGGCCTGTGGTATCTGGTTCATGCCATTCTCGCCTCGCTGGCTTGTGAAGAAGGGTCGTGACCAGGAGGCTCAGCAGACTCTCGCGTGGATGCGCAAGGTTCCGGTCGAACATGAGCTTGTCCAGGTTGAGTACCTTGAGATCAAGGCCGAGGCTGTCTTTGAGGAGCGCGCTTTTGCAAAGGCTTCGCCTAAGCTTGCGGATAGTGAGAAGAAGAGTGTTCTTATGAATCAGATTGCACAGTATGCCAATTGTTTCCGCACTATGGATAACTTCAAGCGGGTTTGCACTGCTTGGTTGGTCATGTTCTTCCAGCAGTGGAGTGGTATTGATGCCAGTGAGTTGTTTGCTCTGGTCTGGTCGCTCTTTGCTAATTGGTTTCAGTCATCTACTATGCCTCAAATGTGTTTGTTAGTCTCGGTTTGACTGGGGGTACTATCGCTCTGTTGGCCACTGGTGTGACCGGTGTCGTTTTCATCATCAGCACAATTCCTGGAATGGTACGTCAATTACCCCCAGAATACAGATCATTGCTAACGATACTAGTTGGTTATCGACAAAATCGGTCGCAAGCCCATGCTCCTCGGTGGATCCATTGTCATGTTCTGTAGCATGGTGATTGTTGGTGTCATCGTGGCCAAATTCCAGCACGACTGGCCCGGCCATGTCGCCGCCGGTTGGACAGCAGTTGGTGGGTTAATCTCGTTCCACCATCCTTTACAGCCGCTAACAATTTGCAGCTCTGATCTGGCTATACATCGCCGGCTTCGGCGCAACCTGGGGCCCGGTCTCGTGGACCCTCGTCTCAGAAATCTTCCCTCTTTCAATTCGCGCCAAGGGAGCCTCAATCGGCGCATCCAGCAACTGGATCAACAACTTTGCCATCGCCTTCTTCGTACCACCCATGCTCCAATCCTGGGAATGGGGTACATACATCTTCTTCGCAGGTTTCCTCCTGGTCGGCATCGTCTGGGTCTGGTTCTTCCTGCCCGAAACCAAGGGTGCATCCCTTGAAGAAATGGATCGCGTTTTCAAGAGCAACGCCGGCGAGGCAGATGCGGAACTCCTCCGCGAGGCCCAGCGCGATGTCGGTCTGACCGATTTCCTTGCGCGCATGGGATCGGCTACTGGTCGTGATCTGGAGAAGATGGAGGGGTCGCAGTATATTGAGAAGCTTTAGTTTTATGCTCATAATTGACAGGAAATGGCTATACAAATAATTAGCATAGCTTTAGTGATACCAAAAATGCAATTAATGAATGACGTTTCGCACTTCAACTTCACCTTTCAACCCTCACTTCAACTCCTTACGCTGTCATCGTCATAGCTTCCATATGACCAATCCAATCCCCATCAACTTGACCCCATCATAAATCTCGGAACATCGGGTATCATCTCCATAAACTACCTTATTAGGTCAAACCCCAGAGAAAAACCCTCAGATCGTCCGCATATAAATCCCCACTCTCGGCTCGACTCTCCCCATTGGTGGCGCCCGCCAAAACCAACGGCCGTCTCCGAATCAAGAACTGCGGAGCCTCCACTTCCTTTTTTTCTCTCGTATACGGTCAATGTATGCATCAAGATGCCCAGAAAACCCACGCCGGCAGCCAAGCAGCGCGTGCGGACGGGTTGTTTGACGTGTCGCAGGCGCAGGAGAAAATGTACGTGTCACGTGCTCTGACGTTCCCGCGATGGCATTTGATGATGTTTGATACTGACAGGGTTGGTGTAGGTGATGAGCAAAAGCCACGATGTGCAAACTGTGAGGTTAAGGGGTTTGCTTGTAAATACGGGGCTGATTTGGCGTTTGTTTCGTCGAGGGCTGGTCCGCATGGGTCGGGGGTCGGGCAGGGGTATAGCTCTATCACGGTTTGTGTTGCTTTGAGTCCATGATGGACTGAGAAATACTGATCTTCTATAGTTTGTTGATGACTCCCCTCTTGCAGCTGGTAGCAAAGATAAATCGAAGGAGCAGCAGAATCGCCCGGATGAGGTTCATGGCAATGCTGAGTTCACCGAGGGCCTGCAGCCTTCTGGTGGGAGCCAGGATGATACAGACGATGGTCGAGCCTTTGAATTTGAGAACATATTAACGACGAATGCGCCGATTGTTGATTTTTCAGAACCTCCGATTGCATTTGTTGGAGGACGAAGCACTCCAGATGCTCGACTTATGACTAGTCCTCCCTATTTTGGACATGCGGGTTCTGTTGCTAGTGCTCCGACTATCGAGCGTCAAGGAATTTTTGCCAATGGAAACCAAGAAACCGATCTGCTGCGACATTTCCGGTATTATGTCGGTCCGTGGATTGACACTGGAGATCCTGAGCTCCCATTCGGTCTTCAAGTGTTGCTTCTTTCGCGGACAAACCGGGCTTTGCAAGCTGCGGTACTTTCACTCTCTGCTGGACAGAGATTGCTTCTGCCACTGGCGACCAGTGAAGATGTTGAGAGTAGTCGGCTGTTCCGACGAAAGGCGAAAGAGAGTCTTGCAGTTGAGCCTGATTTGGCTAGAAATGCTGGTCAAACACTATTGATGCTTCAGGATGTCCTACCTGCTGGACCACAGCAGTGGAGAAACATTCTCATGCATAGTATGGAAAAAGGATGTGATTTTTCATCGAAGACCAGCTTAGGAGAAGAGGTTGGAGAAGCATTGCTGTGGCTTCACTTTCGACTCGGTATGTGGAAATCTCCAAGAAAATGCCTGAGCTAACTTGAAAATTCCTTTTTTAGATCTTGCAGGTTGCATTACCTCTTCCAAACCACCACTCATCCCTTTCCGATCACTACTCCGACGCGACGGCACATTAATCCACCACCCGCAATCCCAAATCCAACCCCAAACCGTCAACCGCGTATACAAAAATATTCTATGTCTACTCGGACATTGCTTATCTCTGATCTATGGAGACTTCGAAATGCCATCTCGGCAAGCAACGGCTCCGGAACCCGCATTCCCCTCACTACGACAATCACACTTCCTCTCCGAATGGACATTCCTTTGGACGGACTGCCAAAAATGGTACAATGAACGACCAGTAGATGTCCAACAGATTGTGGATATCCGTGGTGGAGAGGCCGATCAAATTGATCCTGACCACAACTCGTCATTTCCGATTCTCATCTACACGACACCAATGGCGCTGGTCGCTAATGTTGTCTATCATATGACATCTCTGCTACTGTTGACTCACAAGCCACGGCTTCTGAAATCTCTTCCAGGGCCTAGGTGTTATACCTCGCATATCTGGCACGCGCAATCAATAGCTGGAGTTGCAGCAAGCAATGACTCACCGGAACAATGGGATCCAATTCTGGTTGCAAGTCTTCTCATTATTGCCCGTGATATGACACATGAGTCGCAACAAGCTGTTCTTTTGGAGCGGTTAGCCAGGATCACTGGCACGACGGGAATCAAGCTGGACCATGAGACTGAAGCTCTTCAAGCAACGTGGAACATGGCACGATACGAGGAGGAATTTGATGATGAAACTGATGTTTGATTTCCTAAATATACCCAAAAAACGCCATTTACCTTCTATTTATATCATTTTCCCGTTCGTTCCATCTTACACCATGTCATAAGCAAACGGAATACTTTGCATCGCACCCCGGCGCTGCACACAAACCGCAGCAGCAGCGTTAGCCGCCGAAACAGCCTTTTCAACATCTTCAAACTCGTCCAGTCTCTTCCCAGTAGCAAGAAACCGTGCCACAGCAGCCGAGAAATACCCAACAAAGGTATCACCAGCCGCAGTGGTATCAACAACCTTGGCCACCTTCACACCAGTCACAGTCCCACACTTCCCATTCCGAATAGAGAAATAAACACCCTTCGCACCAAGGGTAATAAGAACTATCTCAACCCCAGCCATTTCATGGAAATTGCCAGCAAACCCAGCAGGATCAAAGCGATCTTCATCAACAACAATATCACTCTGAACAGGAAGACCAGCAATTGACCTCGCCATCTGCACAACCTCCGTCTCATTCATGATCAAAACGGCCGTACCACGCAATGCAGACAAAGGGACACCCTCAGGGAATACAGGCGCCGGGTTAAAGATAACCTTTGCTTCCCCCTTCCTATTAAAATGTTCCAATAATCCCATGGTCGTCTCTCGCGGAATTTCACCTTGCAAAACGACAACCTGGGACTTCGGCATCACACGAACAATTCCATTGATATCACTCATCAACCCAGCATGGTTGGCGCCAGGCACAACGAGAATCCGATTCTCTCCACTGCCCTCTTCAACAATAATACTCGCAGATCCAGTTTGTGCAGTAGTAGATTGTTCAATTGATGCTGTGTCAACGCCTGAATTCTCCAGTGCCGGTTGGAGGAGCGTGGAATAGTATGGATCCTCGGCACCAACACCGCCAATCATGCTAACAGTGACATCTTGTTTATCCTTTGATATGAATGAAGCGCGACCAGCTGCTACGGCTTGGTTGCCGCCTTTTCCGCCCGCGAGGACGCTCAATGAGGTTGCTGTGAGGGTTTCGCCGGGTCCCGGGCAGCGGGGGCTTGCTGTTACGAAGTCGATGTTTAAGGAGCCGATGATCGTGATGTGTGGGTTTGGTAGCATTTTGGTGGTTGGATTAGATGTATGGGCGTGGTTGGTGGACTTCGGTGTATACCCGAGATAGTTGGTTTATGCGTTGGACTCGACGGTTAAGTAAGAAAGAAGAATTGGGCCTCAAGGAATTGAAATATGCGATCCCGATCTTTTTTATTTTCTCGGCTTGTTGCCCCGTCGGGATGTTTCTGTACTTGCCGATGTTCTCGATTGGGAGGGCGTAGGCACCGTACTTCCCAACTTGGTTGTATTGGTGCAAAAACACTCCCAATATAGTTTAGCGCGCCGGCAGCAAGCCACGTCCTTCTTTCGGACGATTGTCGACCCTTGTGCTCCATTAGTCTGGGGTACACGACTTGAACTGAATACTGACGATGTCAAAAAAAAAACAAATCTAGATGGGCCGGAATAGAACTGCATAACTGCCTTCTGTGTGAGGACCCTCAGGTAGTTTTTATGGATCTAGTAGATAATCTTATTGTCGCGTGCACGATGGTGTGGTTATATACTTTCTTGGATCTTTGGATCATATCTAGCCTAAGTTCTGACAATTTAATTTGTTATCCTATGGTCGCGCAGATTGAAACCAGAATACTATTCATGGATATGATTTTCTCGTATCTTTATGCTGGCTGCCTTTCCATACCTTTCCAAGTGATAGGGGCGAGTAGGTCAAAGTATATACCCTATACGAAACTTTGAACATGTTTTACTGAAAAGAAATCATCCGCAGAAATAGTTGGACAATGACTATTGCTGTATTGATTTGGTTGGTTCACTGGTCAGCTGGAAATGAGGAGCACGCAGTAAATCGCCAAGCTCAGATTCTTCAACGTATTGTCATATTTCAAAGGCAGAAATAAGAAAGTGTAAAACTCTTGTAAAACAGAAGCTACACGCACAAAAATGGTTGAAGTAAGCCTCAGCCATCCAGCCGAACCAAGTTAAAGTAGAGCAACCGATCCAGCAGAATTATATACAAAATGTATTGTGTTTAGAATGAGTGATCTATTAAAAATACGGAAGAAAATCGCTGCACATCCAACGACCTCAATCCAACTTCACATCAATTACCAATTCCTCATTAATTAAGAGCTGGCCTTGAGCTCGTTGAGAATCTCGTCAGCAGCCTTCTCGGCAACCATGTAGGTAGACACAGCCGTGAAAGTACCAGGGATTCTGGGGTAAACGGAAGCATCGACGACACGGAGACCGGAGACACCACGGACGCGGAACTTGGAGTCCAGAACAGCCATGGGATCGTCATCAGCACCAATAGGGCAAGTGCAAGAGGCGTGGTGTCCCCAGGCGCCATCCTTGACATATTGCTCGACGTCCTCCTTGGATTGAACGTCCGCACCGGGGAGAACCTCGGTGATGTTGACAAGCTGGCGGTCGAAGGCGTCACGGGCGAGCTCGATGGCATCGTAGAGGGCAGTGAGATCGGCAGCGTAGTCGCCGACACCGGTGTCGAAGTAGTTGAAGGTGATCTTGGGCATGTCGAGGGGATCGGCGGACTGGAGAGCAACGGTACCGGCAGTGTTGCGGGGGTGGGCCTTGAGGATGGCCCAGGTGAACCAGTTGTGCTCGTCCGTGGCGTTGATACTATAGTCGGGGAAATAGCCACGGAAGTTGACGGGTCCTCCGAAGCAGAAGATGTCGAAGTCATCATCCGAGGTGGTACTCTTGTACAGCATGGTCGCGGCGAGACCGGGGGAGGAGTAGATGCCGCGGTCGCCGAGGATGGGCGACTCCCAGTCGTTGATGCAAGGGTCGGCCTCGTCACGGATGCTGAAGGTACACTTGTCCAAGCAGGAGAAGTCTTTTTCGATCTTGCCCTGCACGGAGATCTCGTAGTGGTCCTGGAGGTTGGTGCCAACACCGGGGAGATCGCTGACAACGTCGATACCAAACTTCTTGAGCTCATCGGCGGGACCGACACCACTCAGCTTGAGGAGCTGGGGGGAGTTGTACACGCCACCGGCAACGATAACCTCACGAGAAGCAGTGGCCGAACCGGGAACACCCTTGAGAGCAGACTTGGACATGGGGCTGGCCTTGTAGAGGTGCTCACCATCGAGGAACTCAACACCAGTGGCACGAGGGGTTTCGCTGTCATCGAAGGTAACCTTGGTGACGTGGGTATTCAGGCGGACATCGAGAGGGTACTTCTTTGTGCCATTGTCGTTCTTGGCATCGCGAACAGCAATGATGAACTCGCGAGCACCGTTACGGTGAGCATCATCAGTTGAGATAGGGATCTGGTAGTAGCCAGGCTCGGTGTCACGGCTCTTGGAATCAGCATTGGCATCGCCAGCCAACAGAGTACCAATGTTCATGATGTTATCGGTGAAGTTGCCGAGAGCGAACGCACCACCGGTGAGCATGCTCAAAAGCTGAGGGTCTTCCAAGACAATGCTAAGGGGGGCTGTCTCGGTTGACAGCCAGCCGTCGTAGCCGTGGCCCTTAGCTCCGGGAAGCAAATATCCGTTGTTCTCGAGCTTGGTGTAGTACTTGCGCATGTTGTCAGGAGTCCAAGAGCTATCGCCAGTGAGCTTCTCGATGAACTCAAAGTCAGACTGGTGGGGGTAGACGGCAATCAAGGCGTTGTGAGCAGTGCATCCACCGAGGGTACCTGTGCGAGGGTAGAGGGTTCCCTTCATGGTAGAGCCCTCTGGAGGGTTGAGGCCAGTGTAGATGCTGCCATCGGGTGTGTCGTAGCTCGTCTTCCAATCGCGAGCTTGGCGCTCCTCATCTTCATAGTGGTGGGCGAAGAAGTTCCACGAGAGCTTCTCATCCTCGGAAGCTCTGGCCGAGTAGGCAGGGATAGTGTAGTTGTAGTTTTCTCCCTGGTCGTCACCAGACTCCAGGAGAAGGGTCTTGTGGCCGGCCAAAGCAAGACGGGCAGCGAGAGGGCCACCACCAGCACCGGATCCAACAATGACATACTCATAACCGGTGATGTTGACGGCCTTGGCGACGCCGGCCGTGGCGACCAGCGCGCCAAACAAATGGGAAAGAATCATAATAATAAAGAGTGACTATGGGTGAATTGACGATCTATCGGCAGGGATGTCATGTTCGCTTTTATACCAAGTGCAATTTCCCCTGAAAATGGAGAACTCGTATGCAATTGTGGATTTAAGCAAAAGCCGTTGAAGAATTGCCGCGGCCCTAACTAGCTTGTAGATCTACAATGAATCCATCCACAAACAGGCCGAGACAGCATCAGAAGTGTCAGACTAAGACGTTTACAGTGGAAATTCCCGAACGATCTTCACAACTTTACATTCGAACTCCACAACGTTGACCTGCCATTCCTGCTGATCGCAAAGGGCTCCACAAGTCTCGGGGCTTTCTCCTTTTAACACAATTTTCTCTTCGTTTTGCCAAGCCGCTGTGGGGATTTCAGGGGATTCAGTGCCGATACGGAGGAACCGGAGGCTCTGTTTTCCGCACACCGTCTTTTATACATACTGACATGTTGTCTCATGGCTAGTGATTCTATGAATTTGCGACCTGTCATGGGGTTTCATGTTCAAGCTTAAATTGTAGCTATACATGTGGACTCCCGTCCACGGCGCGTTCCTTGTAACCGTTTGACAGGTTTGACAGGGAAATCCGCTTCGCTCTCGCTCCGAATTGTGGGTTTTTCGAGTGGATACACTATCACCAATGGATGCCCCGGTTTTCGAGATTGGTGTTCGGGCTGATTTGCGTTCCTTGATTTCCTTGTCTATCCATTGGCGGGGAACGCTCCGTGCATAAACATCGCTTAGGAGATTACCACGGACTTTTCCTTTCTTGTCGTCCGTGACTGGGACCTTACTATAAGTAGATATAGTAACTATATCTACTTATATTTACTATATCTACTTATAGTAGTTCGGTACTTATGGCCCAAGCACAATGATTGGGGCATGATCATTGGCACCAAGAAAGATCTAGAAAACAACAAGCTACGTTGTAACCCATTCCAGGCGCGAGGATCTGCTCGTTGTTTTCACCACTGTCCTTAGACTCCAGATTTACGCGAATGTTTCCTCGCAACTTTAGTGGTTGGAGCGCGGCAAGTCCATGGGCTAGGTACGAAGGAAGTTATAAATTAAGTTATATATAACCAACATGATTGGTTCCCTTTCGGAAATTCAGGGGAGGTCAAAGCAATGGAAGAAGAAGAAAAAGCAAAAAAACATACAACAGTAAGGATTCGCTAGTGGTCACCCACCTAACTACTAACTTACCGGCGTGTGGCTTAAGTACGGCTGAGCGGACGGGAAGCCCTGTTCTCCACACCCTGTGGTCGTATGTGCTTAGAAGCTCATTTAGAAGGAATATATTGAGCTGAAACCCCCAAGACTATATTAGGCTCTATAGGAAGAGCCGCTCATCGTCACGCAACCCGGGATTAAACGTGAGTGCGCTATAGGCAACGTGAAAATTAGGTTTAGAATCACCTAAGCTGCGCGACCACTGCACTGACCCCCTTAGCTGAACAATAATACTGTCACCAGATTGTATAGTTCCCTCTGAAAAGCTCGGCACTTTGGTGTCGGTATTTATATAACCATAAACAGACGTATTATGCAGCAGTATCTCTTCAAGGTGTCTTCAAACCTATAGTCTACCTCACGTTCTCAAAGGATTGATGTGAGACCCTGTAATAGTCTCCGGATTTAATTGGGTAAGGGAGGTAGCAGCCTTAGTTGTGCGTGCGATACAATATGGTTTATCTGTGAGAAAACCAAGTCATCAACCTCTATATTTCTCCAATACTCTCTTTTGTTATTCCTTTCGGACGTGAGCTAACTGCCCCTTTCACGCGATTACATAGCAACCAATTATGCGCCACCCCGGGCTCATTTCACTCATAACCTGAAATTGACTGTCTTCCGGGTCCCAAAAGCGTTGCTGGCTGCTCCGTCGAAAACAGAGAGCGAAAGGGTCATTCGCTGTCTAGAACATTCTTCGGAACCTGGTGGTGGACAACTTGACGTCCTTTGATCCAAACGTTCCTTCAGGAGCACTTAATGGTATAGCATTGGGCGAGATATAATTTTGCATTTGATAGTACTTGCATTATTTAGCTCAAGTCATTAATACAATAATGAGTGCCGTTACTTCCCCTTACTTCTAGCCACTTCCCGGTACTACTAGATTTAAGGTCTTACCCTAGCCGAGATGTCTATAGTCTGTATATTGAAATGGGGATGGCAGTCTGGCATGGCAGACGGGTCGGTGTCGACGAGGAGGATGCACAGTCAATCACTCCCACACATGTGAAGGCATAAAGAGCGGCCTCCGAAGATGTAGATCTTACTGGTCCTGATGTTATATCACGAAGCGAGAATTTTGGTGAATGACTGTAGTCATATTGAAAGATTGGATGATGCTTCTCTCTCTTCCTGAGGCATTTTGATACCTCATGCCACTAATGGGCTACTCTCACTGGTTCCACCACTACAATATTGAACTTAGGTCAGGATTCAAAAGACTCTCATTTTTAGCGTACGGAGCCCGTCAGCTCACGCCAAACCTAATCAATTCTACTGTAGTAATCACACCTCAGATGCACTAGTATTAGTTCTTAGTAGTACTTAATGCTCATAAACTCTGGGAACTTCTATTTACTATTTAGTCCCCTCAGAAGACGAAGGTACCGCTGTTCCATAATCACCACTGGCTAGACTAATTAGCTTCTTGGCCCAAAGATACTTCAATCTAGTACCCGCAGCTCCCATGACCAGCCTGACTTTCAATTCCCGCATCCTTATATTTCAAAAGAGTCAAATAAAAGCAAAACACCATCGAACACAGCGATCTGGTGGTTCTTACCAAAACCTGCCAAGTGTTTCTTACCTGATCTTGGGATGTGATCAAGGAGATGTGATCCTTGCAGTCTTATTGAAAAGGGGTTGTAGACCAGAGGACAAGGAGAAAATGATTCGTGATAGCATGTCTTTCTGTTTAAATTTAGGTACAATCGTTTGTGTAGCTATAAAAAGCGCATAATACATGCTTGAATACACTCGGAAACCCGTATTGGTTCCGTGCCGGATTGAACATGCCAATCACAGATCGTCACCATCAATGATGAGACTATTCGAATGACAGGGGCAGAAATCCTTCGGAATTGTAAGAATCTAAGGGCCATGACCAATCTGAGAGCAGTTCTGGTGGCAGCTGAAACTGGGACATCTGCTCGAGGCCAGTACCAGCCGAGGCTCCGACGGCGGGGGTGCCCTGTGCATACGCTGACGGAACGGCAGTTTCAGATTTTGTGTCGATGTCTTGCATCGCGTTATCTGGTGAAGTAAGATCCAAGAGAAGCAAGGTACGCATGTATCCATCAATTCGATCAACTTGGGACCGCAGTCGTTCGCCAGCACCGGAGGCACGGTGTAAGCCTGTTTCAAGACGTTGCAAGAGATCTGCCATTTCAAGCCTACATATGAAGATATCGGTTAGGCTGGAGGTCCCCAATTAGCAGCATCTGAATAGGGCAACGTACAATAATGTTCGAACTCGTTTGTATGATGCTTCAGACAAATTCCCTTCCATGACAGAGCCGAGGATGTAGCCAATTCCGCCAAGGTGATGGAGCTGGAGTTAATCAGTACATATAGTAGAGAGGCATGGAGACTCCAAATACCAAAGGGGAGCTTGTCGCTTTTAGGTAGTCGACGGGTACATTCGAAAACACGCTGAGTACTTCCCCCGCTATATCACATTTTCGCTCCACCCCGATCTCCTCTGTAGATAAGAGCACCATTCGAAGTAGTTGTAGCGTCGCCTGAATATTGGCCGACTGAAACCCGAATAAGTCCTTAGACATGTCTCCTGTAGTGGGCGGCGTCTCTCGAAACTGAGTTGGAAGTGCTGAGTACATAGTACGGACTTGTTCCATGACTACCGACTCTGACATAGATAACGGTTGAAACAATGACCACACTTCTGTCGTCCCGTTCGCGGAAGAGAGGCAGCGTCTATTGCTATCGATCACATGCTCCAGAATCCGGTACAGGTCTGTGGTGAAGTTCCAGCCACGTAGCCAGGTTATAGGCTGGCGAGAGACGACGGTCACATTGCTAGGCGGAATCGAACTCGATTCCGGGTATACACAAGGCACGCCATAGCCATGTTGGGTGATGAACTCGTCCTCTACCTCACTGGGGTAGTGCACTAATGAATGTGCTTCACGATATCGGATGACGCCACCCCACACAATAGTCGAATATATGTCTAGCGTATAGATAGACCAAAACTACCGTTGCGGTCAGTAAGGCGATAACAGATAAAGAAGATATTCCATACAAGTCGCCGACGCTCCTCTGTCTCAATTGGACTTAAGTCTTCCGGCCAGAGCTTCTCGTCATAAAGACCATCCATCGAAGACAAGGTGTGGTATAAGCCGGAATACTTCTGCATGTTTTTGATCTGACCGTTTTGAATGCTAGCGATAGCAAGTATGGCACACGCCCGCATGTACTCAATACCTTTGACCACGACAAGGTCCTCAGGAATCGAGTCCCTAGCAGCTGCAAAGAAAACCTCCGAGGGCGGATCTATGAGCTCCTCTCGGTCCCACCTCTTAGTGTACAACGCACCGTCACGCACGCGACCGGACACCAAAGAGCAAACGGCCATTGTGGAGGCAAAGAGCGCTTGGTTATGAAAATACTCCTTGTTGTTGACCTGCTCTATGAACGATGGCATGTGGAATAAGGGAAATCTAGAGATAAAATGCTCAGTAAATGTAGTCAATCAAGAGAATCAGGAAACCTTCATACATTGGATACACGATCTCGAAGTAAACCTGGACTAAATGATTTATCTGCCGGTCACAGGCAATGGCAAACGCTTTCCAAGAATTGCGCAGCGCCCCATCGTCTTTATCACCTTCAGCTGTTGATGAGCTATGATTAAACGCAGACCAGGGATCACGGGAGGTTGATTGGATAAACGAATTGCGAGAAGTCGAGGAGCTGGGGGTTATTCCGCCAGTTGCCGTCGTGGCTGCCGTAGCACTATCGTGGTCAACTGATGCTCGCACAAACTGAGCATCGCGATCACTCGCCCGAGTGCCAGCCTTGACGCCCCCGCGTTTTACGGGGCGATCAAAGGTGCACGGCACATCGAAGTCCGTACAGTTTTGACAGCGGCCTAGCGGGTCCTCACCCTGACTGCATTTAATGCTGCGTCTGTTGCAAAAGTCGCCTGCAGTAGATTGTGTAAATCAGCGAATGCAGGCCTCATGCCCGGGGTTTAGGGCGCCAAGCCATGTGAAAACTTCCTGGTCAAAGAAATTGAGCGTTGGGGGACCTACAGGCTTTGGAGACGCGCTGAAGCTTTCGCGGTTTTTGCGCCATTCGGTGATTAGATCCTTCTAGCCTGGACAAAGTCTGATACTCGAGGCAATACGTAAAGCTCTGGCAAGTCGCACGGAGTTTGACCAAAGAGTCCGCTGGGTGAACGTGGCACGTGTGACCGATGTGACGAGCAGAGGAATGCAGTGGGATTGAAGACCGAAGGATGTGACAGATACCCGTCAAGCGGTGAGTGCTATTCAAAAACTGGCAGTGGATTGCCTCGACGACCTATTGTAAAAGAAGAGCCGTAAGTCCGAAGATCATAAAAATGCATCGGGGTCTGAGTTAGTGGAGTGTACTTATCCCGTGAACACAAAGTGGCAAGGGTTGAACGCTAAATTATGAAGACGGTGCCAAGGGGGACGAGCATGCCCACACTTTTCGGCAACGCCGGCTTAACACTGACGACAAGTTCCACTAGCACCGGAACACTGGAAGTGATTGGTTGAATGCTGGTATTGCCGAGGCTGATATATGGACACTGCTCGCCATGGCGAAGTGGGTGGCGGAGGAGGATGCCTTATACGTGACGCTGCGCGCTTGATGCTCGCGTAAAAAGTAAGCGACTGGACGGGCAGATGGCTAAATCAGCCTGATCAGATGAAAGAGAGTAAGCATTATTTGAAGAAGACAGCTATAAATCTCCTGAATTTTCTTTTGATGAATTTGTTTGTTCTACGAAGGATGGACTACTATTAAAGTCTGAAAGCAATCGACAGCTGCGTCTATTCATCAATCTGAAGTTAAAAATGAATATCCCCATTAGAATACATCTATCTAGTACATTATACACATGAAAATGACAGGTACGTTGCTCCTCAGAGACCACTATTTACCATTTGTTGTTGAAAACCTTTCCATCGACATAGTTGACCAGCTCCTTCACTGGCGGGAGATTATCGCGGCCCGTACCAAAGAGCATACCTTGGCGTAGGACTTTGCGGTAATTCCTGCCCGGAGAGACTTTTCCAAGCACATATTCTTGACGAGATTCAACACGCGTGGGAACAGGAATAGAGCGGCCTACCACAGCTTCCATACCCTGCCAGGCAAAGGTGATAGCCTCCTTAGCGCCAGCAGGAATCCCGGCATCATCTAGCATCATGATACGCGTAGTTGGATAATGCTTTTGGATAAACGCCGTGATATTAGGATTATACGCGCCGCCACCGCACATGAAGATCTCGGCAATCTCAAGGTCTTTCGGCGCGTAACGACGGTAGTGGTCGACAATGGCCTGGGCCGTGACACGGGTAACGGTAGCAACGACATCATCAGGGCAGAGACCCTTAGCCTCCGCCTTGGTAATAAGTTCATGCGCGAGCGTGTCACGAAAGACCTCGCGGCCGGTGGTTTTAGGTGGGTCTAGAGCGAAATACGGATGACGTAGGAAGTCGTCGACGAGTTCCTGATCGACTATACCACGCGCACCCATCTCCCCGTCTCTATCATACTCGCGCTCGCCATTAGTGTAATGACGCACCACAGCATCAATAAAAACATTGCCCGGGCCGGTATCAAAGTCGTAGCATTCGTCTACACCGCCATGGCTGTCCGGAGGGATGAAGCACACGTTTGCGATACCCCCGATGTTCTGACAGGCACGTAACTTAGTCGGGTGATGCAACACTAGCGCGTCGAAAAAGGCAATCAGCGGAGCGCCTTGGCGTCCGGCAGCTTGGTCGCTTACGCGAAAGTCCGTCACTGAGGTGATACCGGTGCGCGAGGCCAGGAATGAGCCCTCGGCCATCGTAAGTGCGCTCCGAGTCTCGCCTGGCTCGGGCATAGAAAGTAGCCAGATTGTTTGGCCGTGGGAGCCTAACACGTCAATCGAGTCAATCTCGATATGAAATTCCTTACAGAACTGGTGCACTGCCGACGCGAACGTTTCGCCTAGAATGACGTTCACTTCTGACAACTCGGACGGTGAGGTTTGGTTGTGTAGGATCATGTTCATCACCCGCTTCTTGATCACCGGCTCTAGCGGGATCTCTCCATACTACACCAGATATTAGTTGTATTCGGTGGAAATAGAACAATGAATTACCTTCAGCAGCTCGAATTGCATTGGCGACTCCGGAGTCTCCTGGCGGAAGCGGCAAAGGGCGCAGTCGATACCGTCCTTCATTCACCGTGAGATTCATCTTCCCTTGCTATGATATTCAGACTAGAGCACTCACCATCGATGTCCCGCTGTTCAAACCTAGGACGGTCAGGTCCAAGGCATGGCCAGCTGTGCCGTTGGCCGAGTTCGAAATCATCATTGATTTACACAAGAGGGACCAATGACTCTAGGAAGATTGTACGCAAAGAGTCGTGAGCGGGGATCAACGCCGTATTTAACGGAAGCCGAAGTCTCTATCGCCGAATAGATGAGAAAATTCACCAGTGTGGTATACATTCGATACCCGCCATTGCGGTATACATTCGATCTCCAATTAGGCTCAGCGCCAAAATTGCTAAACGGTTTATTCGGCTAAACGGAAGACCGGTAACACGCTTATAGTCCACTCGCCGCTCTACGAGGCCGAGCCGAGTGAAAGCCGAGAGCGAAGAACGCGCTTAAACAGGAGAAACAAGCTCAAAACCATCAAGTTCTGTTAAACGGCTACGCGCCTGAAGAAGAGTTGGAATTTAGTTCCCCCGCGCTTCTCCAGGATCAGCTCCATTCCGATCGCCCGGGGAAAAATGCCCCACCCTATAAAGCATTCGCGAGACCCCAGTAATTTCGATGTAAGAACTAGGACAGAAAAATAACGAAACATGGGCTATACGACGCTCTGGAAGAGGCTTTCGCCGCGGCAGCTGAACGTCACGATCCAGGTGTTCGCGCTCATCTCCATCTTCTTCGAAGGCTATGATCAGGGTGTCATGGGCGGTGTCAATGCCTCGCCTAAGTACGTGACCTTGGTCGGCATTGGTGAGCCAGATGGCACCGTGACGGACACTACGCACCAGGGCGGTATCGTCAGTGTCTACTATCTAGGTGCTATCATCGGCTGCTTTGCCGGAGGGTGGTTGGCTGACCGAGTTGGTCGAATCAATGGCCTGCTGATGGGTGCGTTGTTTGCATTGGTGGGCGGTGCATTACAGGCTGCTGCTCAGAATTCAGACTTCATGATATGTGCTCGAGTGGTGACAGGCATTGGTACCGGAGGTGAGTTCTTTTGCACAATAGCCGACCCTTCTTACTTGTTCTGACCAATGATGTAGCCCTAACTGGAATTACCCCTGTCTTGGTGTCAGAAACATCTTCCGCAGATCACCGCGGCGGATTTCTAGGATACGTCTTCATTGCCAACTGTAAGCAGAGCCGGGGGGTTTTCGTTTAAATGTATTTTGCTAACACCTCTCAGATCTCGGGATATCAGTCGCATACTGGATATCGTTCGGTCTCGCTTTTATCAATAACGGATACTCGGACGTGCGATGGCGGTTCTTGCTTGCCTTCCAATGCGTTCCAGCTCTGATTCTTGTCTGCTTCATCAAGATGCTGCCGGATAGTCCTCGGTATCTCGCCTCCGTTGGTCGGAAAGAAGAGGCGCGTGAGCTTTTAACGTGCATTCGCAAACACAAGGTCAGTCCAGAGGAGATTGATCGGGAATATTTGGAGATTGTTACTATGGGAGAGGAAAGCCAGCGCAGCTCTCCTATACAGTTTGTGAAGATATTGTTCGGGAGAGGTGGAAGGCAGCATCCGAACTTAGGCAGGCGAGCCTGGCTGTGTATCTGGCTTCAGATCATGGGCTCCTGGACAGGTATTACGGTAGGTGCATCCCAACAAGCATTACTCTATGGCAATTTCTAATCTGGTCGAATACAGGCTGTCACTGCATATGCTCCGGTTCTCTTGCACCAGGCCGGATACAGCACCATCACGCAGAATGGTCTGGCTGGGGGACTTAACACGGTTGGCATTATCGGTACCATAATAAGTGCTCAGATTGTCGATCGCCTAGGTCGCCGTGTCTGTCTAATGGGTGGTTCCGCCGTCTTATTTGCTGTCAACATAATTGTATGTCTTTACATTCATGGAAAATGCGTTATCCATCTCTAACTGGAGGCCAGGCTGGAGCTGTCTACGAGGGCTCATTGCATAATCCTGATAAGGCTGATCGGTACGCTCCCGCAGCTATCACGATGTTGTTCTTGTTCAATATTGGGTTAGTCGACTACATTCCATTCTAAAACGTCGTTCTATACTAATGATGTCTTTTAAACAGTTATGCTGCGACCTGGGGTACTGTCGCGTTCTTGGTGCCCACTGAGATATTTCCCAGTGACTTGCGAGCCCAGGGTAATGGCTTCGGCATCACTGGGTGGTCTATTGGTGTGGGCATGACCACTTTAGTCAATCCGATTATGTTCGAGGCCTTGACGGTAAGCTTAACAACTAATGCCCCCTACATGATGCTGATCACTATTTCATAGAGCCGCACCTACTTCCTTTTCGCCGGCCTTAATTTAATTTGGATCCCCATCATTTACCTCTGTACGTTTACTAACATATCAGAGTGTTGAAAAGTCAGAGCTAATAACAGTCACAGTCTACCCCGAAACCCGGAACCGCTCCCTGGAATCGATTGAAGCACTATTCTCCACTCCGAGTCCATTTTACTGGAAGATGGAGCAGGCGTATAAGCTTCATGGTGACGTTTTAGTTCAATACGGACTCAGTAAGGGCGATGGCCTTGATGCTGGCCAGAACGAGTTGACATCATATGAGAAACCAGAGGAGCAGACAGTTCCCTGATGCCCTATAAACTCTTGCACAGTTACTTAAAGTGATTAAATCAATGACTTTTTTTCAAATAATCAGAATTTATCTATACTTAAGTCAGCCCATGTGTTTTAGAAGTCATTCATCTATACTTTAAAGCTTAATCTCGGTTGAAGCGAAATGCTTGTAAGTTTCCAAATGCCATTGCTGAAAAGAATAGATAAGAAGTAAAATGGTCTGGAAGCAGTGCTGAGGACGTTAGCACCGTCGAAAATCATCAGAAAGAAAACTCATCGGGATGACGAAGCCATTGCTGGCGGTAGTATATAGATATGTAACGGACAACCCGTCACAACACCGACACTCCTGCAAACTCGGTGCTACCCGTGCCATAGTCAATCTCACAATCCTAGAAAGGCCCCTGAACCCTCTACTTATTCCAAAATTCAGTCTCCTTATAGGAGAACCCTATCGTTACTCTTTTATCTAGTCATTAGCTTCCTTGTCTGATCATCCGACCTTATATTTTTCTATAGCTCTCTTATAAGATGATTGGGTCTACGACAACGATGTCCTGTTTGGTATTGGTCCCCCGGGGCAGCTTTCTACCTTGTTTGCCCGCTGCAGAGTTACCACGCGTTTTCCCGCTTCGCAAAGCCCACACAGCATGATCAAACGCATTCAATAACAACATAATCGACATTCTACTGTGCACCTAGATCAATACATTTTTTTGTCCTAGGCAGCTGATCGCGAAACGTCGAGATCAAAAGGGAAATAATAAATATGCTCTAGTTAACGTTAGCAGTTCAAGGCTGACTAATAACCAGATGGAGCTAAGGTTTGTCTTTTCATTCGCACCGTAACATACCAAATTCTCCATGGCTTCGCAAGGCTCCCAATCCGGGATGGCAACACAAACCTGGTTTCTTCGTTTGCCCACTGAAATTTGTTTATTGATTGTGTCCTTCTTGCCAAGCAAAGATGTCAAATCCTTGCGCTTGACATGCAAACAACTCGGCGAGATAACGCCATTCTCTTCGTCACGTGTTTTTCTTTCGGCCAATTCGTTAAACATCCAAGTTTTCCGTGCCATAGCGGACCATCCAAAGTTTCGTCAACAGATCACAGAGATTATTTGGGATGACGCAAGTTTTGCCTCTGCGGCATTGATCTGGGAAGGAGAGCCTCCAATAATCGACCCCCAAAGCTTGCAAATCAACCCTAAGGAAGGATGTCCTAATTGGTTCGTGGATGAATGCGAAGAAAATCGCTATATGATAAGACATCGAAAATATCGTGACGTGGACAGACCCGATCATGTTGCTCGGAAGAACCAATTGGATGCACAAATGCCCTTGAAAGCCTGCTGGGAGTATTACTTGCAAGTATTGAATGATCAAAAAGCTGTGATTGAATCTCAAGAAGACGAAAAAGCCTTTCTTTACGGCTTAGAGAGGTTTCCACGGCTAAAAAGAGTGACCGTTACGCCTGCAGCTCACGGCTGGCTCTTTGCTCCCCTATACGATACACCGATGATCCGAGCATTCCCATACGGACTTAATTATCCTATTCCCCGAGGATGGCACTTTGATTCATGCGATGGGCGAACTCCGAACCCATTGCCGTGGTCAGAGACAACCGAGAAATACAAAGAGTTGTGGAGAGGGGCTCGAATCGTTCTTCGGGTTTTGTCACAAGTTAAGAAGCACGCTGTTTCTGAACTAAGCTTTGATTCAAAGCTACTTGATACCGGAATAAACTATATGATCTTTGAGCGGCCGTGTGAAGAATATGATTATTTTGCGCCTATAATGAAACGTCCAGGCTTTCGGCGCCTTCATCTATCGTTGCTTACTAGCACTAGTGGAGTTCATGACCTAAGGGGATTCAGAAGCGGATATTTCTATCAGGCTATTAGCCTAGCTAAGGAATTGACTCATATCTATTTATCAACTACATCTGATGATGGATCTGCATGTTCTATGTTGAGTCCACCTATCCCCCTGAAAAAGATTTTCCCTATCGAAGAATGGCCGAACCTGTGTTATTTAGGCGTTTCTCGTTTCAGCGTGAATACGTCGGAGTTAATCGATATACTCAACTCAGTACCGGCCTCATTCCGTTCTGTAGAATTGCAATTTCTCGTTTTCCCTTGCGATAAATTCCATTTCTCTGGGCTCCTAAAGAGAATGCGTGAGGAACTGAACTGGACAGAGAGATATCAACCATTAAACGCGACCGTCGCAATCGCCATGGAAGGCCGTCGCGGAGGGCCTGGAGGATCGGCCGGCAGGTTCATTGAGCTTACTCATGAAGTAACGAACTTTCTCTACGGCTCTGGCGAAATTCCAGTGGACGAAAAAGACATACGCGCACCCAAATCTGGAATGGGGATGTGCCATGACCTTTTTGAAGTGGAGTATACACGGCCAAACGTCAGTTTCAAAGAGCTCGCAAAACTGGGAATCATTCGTTCCTAAGAAAGACCAAGACCTTGAGCATAAGGTCTAGGCATTTTCTAGGCAGGTTATGGGATATCGTGTGAGTTTCGGATGAGCGCCGCCTAGCGTTACGCGACCGGTCGTGAGTGTGACTGCATATAGAGGAAGTGAGAATTGGGGTGGAAATTGGATGAAGATCACCCACCACTATGGAAGACAAAGATTAGGTTCTGATCTCCTCAAAAAATGTCGTTGTCTACTGTACCGAGGGCGATCTTTGTACACCTTCAGAACAGATACAATCTGAGCATATATCTGAGGTCGATTATCTGCCTTGTGAATTAAACATTTGACCAACACGGCACTAAATGACCGAAGCAGGTAGGGAGAAGTAACAAGACGAGCGACAAACTGAGCGTGTACGTAACAGGATGATCGGAACAAGTCATTATCAAGGTGCAGCTAAGGCTTCATATCTGGAATTCGTTGCAGCATTGGCAGCTTCAGGCTGGCTGAAAGGTGATTCAGTAGGAGATCTGAAGATAAAACCCCGCTTTTCACATACTCCACCCCCTTTGACAGCCCTCGCTGATGTCTGGTTAACCTAACTGGGCGCGGCTCGGCTGACTCCCGTAGACTCTAATGAACTAAATTGGTGAGGTGCTGCGGTCATGCTTCTTTTCAGCTAGTCATATATGAACAAGCCAATAGAAAGTGAGAGAAGCGTACTTTTACAGTCCGGCGCATCCGAGCGAACTGTCAATCGAGGTGCAGGAGCGATACAGTAGGTTCTGGGCATTTTAATAGTTTCATATGCCTCTCAGATCCAGGGAGGTCCACACTCATTACCTTGAAATTCAATGGAAGCGAGCGAAGTTATCGAAGAGAAACCTTGCTAGAACAACTCGTCATAATCTCAAACAATCTTTTCACTCAAACAGGGTACTAGTAGCAGTTTGATTTAAGACTTACAACCAGTTTCTCACTTGAACGCTAAGCACTTGCATAGATCCCCACAGAACATTATAATATTTTACTCCATAGAAGCCCATCGGCTATCAATGCCTATTTAACCCATACCGTTAAATAGTCAGCTTCTAGCCTTTCATGCATAGTACTTAGCTCTCTGCCAGTAATACACAGCCAGTTGTTGTTAATACCCCTACATGGTGACTTATGAACCTTGCTCGTTCGTCTGGCGGTTCCAATGCCAACAAAGCCAAATGACCAACAGCCAGTAGTCAGTATTGCTCGCTTTTTTTGCCCACAATTTTGCCAGATCTACTTTGTTCTCGTTCTTATACAGTGGGAGGACTATAAATACGGGTGGGAGTCTGCATGCTGATTCGGACAGACCTACTGTTCAACAGTAAAGAATTCCATTCACTTTTACACAAACCTAAACAAACCGTATCTCTGAACTTTCCGGCAGATATGAAAGCCGTTATATACAACGGAGACAGTAAGATCGCAGTCGAAGATCGTCCGAAACCGATGATTTTGGAACCCACCGACGCTATCATCAAGGTTGTTCATACCACTATTTGTGGGACAGACTTGCACATTCTACAAGGCCACGTTCCGACATGTATTCCAGGCCGCGTCCTTGGCCATGAAGGAGTGGGCCTCGTTCAATCTCTCGGTCCTGCTGTTAGGAACTTCACCGTCGGCCAAATGGTGCTCATCTCCTGCATCACCAGCTGTGGAATGTGTCATTACTGCCGCAGAAAGATGCCATCCCAATGCGAATCCGGCGGTTGGATCCTAGGAAATAAGATTGACGGTACCCAGGCTGAGTATGTTCGCATTCCTCATGCACCGTTCTCCCTGCATGTGCTGCCGGAGAGCATCGATCGGAAAGTTGCGGTCACCTTATCCGACACGGTCCCGACTTCTTATGAGTGTGGAATCTTGAACGGCGATATTAAACCTGGGTCTTCTGTCGCAATCATAGGAACAGGCCCTATTGGGTTGATGATCCTCCAAATGGCGAAGAATCTGTTCGGGCCGTCGATGACGGCGGTAATTGGCAGGGGTATTCCAAGGCTTGAGACGGCAAAGTCCATGGGCGCCGACCACACATTTAGTATTATTGAGGGACACGATGCTGTGATGTCTTCAGCTCTAGCAGCGACCAAGGACCGAGGGTTTGATGTTGTTATCGAAGCAGTCGGGACACCTGAGTCTTTCGAAATTGCACAAGGTCTGGTAGGCGCTGGGGGAACTATCGCTAGTTTGGGCGTCTTTGGCGAGTCGTGCAAACTGCACCTGGAAAAGCTGTGGAGTCGCAATATCTGTATGACTCTCATATACCTCTTCCTGCGATGCTCACCACTGACTTTTTCTCCTAGGTTTGAGGACTCGCCTCATTGATGCCATTACTACTCCGGATCTACTGAAGATGGTTGAAGCCGGTGGCATTGATCCCAAATTCCTAGTTTCACACAGTGCGTGTACCTGACCCCTTCGGCCTCGATAATCCTAATTGGTGTATAGGTTTTACATTTGATGATATTCACAATGCATACGAAGCATTCGAGGCATCTTCCAAGCATGGCGCCCTGAAGGTAGTAGTCACCATGCCCGATCTTGTTATGAATGGCTCTTCCTAGCTTTCTTGTTATGCTTATCTATTTATCGTGATTGTATACTCTATTTGACCGGGCACAATCTACAACAACTATGTAGAATAGTGCATTCTGCGTTGGCCCTACGAGAGATGGTCTAATGCAAGATGCGCCATAGCCAAAGTTTGCCGCTACTTGAGTTGACAAGGAACACAAAGTGACAACTGCAGCAGTAAAGAGAGCATTTGCATGTATAGCAGGCTTGGCCTGAATAGATTGAGTGACTGATTGGTTGCCCAGAGAGCTTCCTCAGGGGCACTTGGAACTGCTTTAATGCATACACTTGAGGAAGCACTCTAGGCAACACCCTTATACCGCACCCCAAGGAAAATTTTCAGTAATAATTTGACACGTCTCACAAATAAATTGTAACCCAATATCTCCGGGCCTTGCCTTTGTCGATGTGACGTAGTTCAAGGGGTATATCCGCCCTGCGTGGAACGTAGAATTTCACTCATCACCACCTGCAATGTGAGACAAGCATAGACAAGAAAGTTTCAAATAATAGAATACCAAAATGAGACATATATTGAAACAGAACCAACTATGGGGAGAAGATGGAATCAGTACTACATGCTCGGCTACATGGGATGCGTACCTTGTGCTTGCAGCCCGTAACCGCTAGAGACCTCCCAATTCAAAACCAAAGTCTTTGTATTTTGTTACTTCGGAAATATCGAGTTCACTTTCAAGTTTATGTGGAAGGGCATGACAAAGCCATTCGGGAGGTGGAGGAGCCCGGCAACGGCAAAGGGATTTCTCTCGGAATTTGGACCATCTTCAGCTAAACATACCCGACATGGATCACTCAACTGAGCAACCCTTTAAGCGCAAACGCCTTTCTTTTGCCTGCAATTATTGTCGGCAAAAGAAAACACGCTGTGATGAACAGCAGCCCTGTCGGACATGTCGGTTGGCGGCGGTGGAGTGTATCACTACCGACAAGCGACGCGATGGTGTACCAGTTGCCCACCGGCGACGTACAGGCGCAACCCCTTTAACGTCCGTGCAGCAAACGCCAAATACCCCGGACTCGCATTCATCGTCTGTCGCCCCCGCCCAGGATCGCCCGCGATTGTGGTCTCAATGCTGGGGTCGGGAGCGCTGGAGAACGGGCCGCTTGCCAATGATGCCCCGCCTAACTGGAGCAAGTATGCTCGAGTTGATGACTGAATGGCTGGACCTTGCATTTTATCGACTCAAAACCCCTAGACCATCATCTGTTTCCCCCGTGGTCAATGTTCAATTTGCGGCTTTCGCTCCAAGCGCGCCCGCCCTTCCTCCACCAGAGAAGACTCGTGGTTTTATTGATCTGTACTTCCAGACCCTTAACCAGTTTTTCCCATTTATGAACCGCGATACTGTGGAAACTATCTATCATCGCGATCTACTGCACTCGCAATGGGTGTCTCGATGGCTCAGTCTGTTGGACTCAATCAAACAACTAAGCCACATCTTCGGCCAGATAAAACTAGTGCCTCCGACAATGAAGAACCAGGGTATCGTACATGGTGGTGCCTATACGCCTTCGAAAAGATACTTGCTTTTGAGAGCGGACGACCATCCATGATTTGGGATCGTGAGCTTTCCGGAAAATTGGCCAAATTCAACCAAGCCGATTCATTGAAAGACCCGGGACTTCAATTTCGAAGAGTATCTGTGAGTTTAGCAAATATTCTCCACGAGATGCAGGAACGGTCAGCTAGAGCCTGGCGCCGGGAAGAATGGCTGCCCCAGTCGGTCGAGGAGGCAATCGAGGAGAAGTTGAAAACCGGAGGAGAGTTAATTGCGCTGCTTGAGAGTTGGAGAAATAGTCTTCCCAATGAGTATAGGTATGTATTACCTCATTCTGAAAGCAGAAGTGAAATCCGTGAGCTATTAATGAGTTATGCCATATCTCTAGACTCGATGCCCCATCCTCAAGTAATGGCAACGGAGCTCGGAAGGCATTTCTCTCATTCTATTACAACACGGCGTAAGCAACCCCTATGTGCTTTGCGTGTTGTATTTTACACCGAGCATACTTCTGGTGTTTGGTGGCTTGGACCATTGATTTATTGTTCGCTAGTTTGATACATTTACACCGAAGCACGCTCATCATATCGAAAGAAGAGATGAATGATGTAGTTACCAGATATGCATCTGGTGGGCTATGGCAAACAGAATTTCTCAACGGCCCAACAATTGTTGTTGAAGCTGCTCGGGATATGGTGAAACTATTGGTTACACTCATTGACTCGGGTACGCCTAATTATCTTCTTGCAATGACTTCGCCACTAGCCGCAGTATATACACTGGCTGTGCATATTTTTCGAGAAAGAAATTCATTGCTCATTCGTTCAGATTTTGAGGTAAGTAAGAGGCTTTTCCTGAGGTCCTGTCCGAGGTTTCCTCGGCTAACATTCTTCTCTGCCAGCTGATGAAGGTTGCTATGAAACTCGCCAAGCAATCCTACCAAATCCACAGAACTGTGTGTAATATTGATGATATTCTCACTGATCTAGAACAATTCACCTCGCAATGTCTGCAAGACTCTGGAGGCAATCCCACTGAGCGAACAAATAATTTTCTAAATGAGACGCTTCTACCCGATCATACACCTACTATTACATCAATGGATTTAGCTTGGGGGCCATCGGCTCTTGACTGGGCGGGATGGGACTGGAATGATTTAAGTCATTTATTTGAGCACAGCTAGTAACGACCGTGTGATCGTTTCAGAAAGGATTCAGGCTCAAACAATAGAATAAATAGTAAAAAACCTTTATAAACACAAATTAGTCCATGCGACTAGTTCATCTAGGCCATTTGCTCAAGATAAGGGATACCGGTTAACTTGAATCCCCGCTCAATAAGTTTCACCGGTTCACGAGGCTTTGAGCGGTTATAAGGATCCGCCTCTCCGTCCCTGAAGACCGGAAGATCTACAACATGCATTGCGTTGGGCCAATGAATGGTCATTTTGGTTTCTAGAAACAGTGAGAGACATGCTCATTCATCCGAGTGCTGAGGATAATTACCTTCAAAAGCCATCTTCTTCACCTGAAGCTGTTCCTTTGTCGCATCTGCCACAGGCATGAAACAGGTATAGACACAGAACCTGTCCTGGTCTGTCTCAGAAGTCAAATTGTAATGAGGTGTGCGCGAATCCCCTATTAATGTTAGGGTATTACCATAGTATATCACCGGTGGTAAATCCTTCTTACAGAGAAGCAAGTCGCCCGGTTCAGCTTCCACCTTGAGCCACTCGCAGCCCTTTTCTTCCAACCAGGCCTGCCCGGCTTCGGTAAATCCATACCATTCCTTGGTCCTATTTCAATAAAAGTCAGTGAAAGCGAGGTTGTACAAAAAGTGTTTCTTACCATGACCAAATTTTTTCTTCATCTTTGAAGTTTGCATGAAACTCCTCACTCAACCAATGCGCACCCTTGCAAACGATCAAACCACCATCCTTTGGTCCATTAGGAAGTAGATTGACAAGGCCCTGCAAGCATCGAAAGCCAGGCTTCTCGGGATCCTGGTCTTGGTGAGGCCAGGGCGAATTTGGTTTGATATCCTTCCTATTGGGGAATCCAATATTGACAGAGTCGAGAGAAACAGTCAAATCCTCCGTGTCGTAGACCTTCTCGAAAGCGTTGACCACAGCTGGCTCTTGACGGACAGCCCAAGTAAATGACTCGTGCGAAATGCCGTAGCCCAGGCACATTCCTTTCTCATTGATATCAGGAAATTGATCTTTGTGGATTGTTGAACGGTCGTCGCGGTGGAATCCGAGCTTGCTAGTGCAAAACAGACGCTAGGCATTACATTTGTTGTCGAAACTTCTTTAATCACAAGAGAGGAAATGGCTTACAATTCCTCCAGCCAAGTGTAGATATCATCTGCATACTTCAAGGCCCGATCGCGTGGAACCGCACCATTTACCACTGCGTAACCATTCTGAAGAATGTCATCACGGAAGTCACCATATTTGAATTCAGTTCCCTGAGAGAACAATCTTCCAGATGGAGTTTTCAGCAGAGTGGAAGGGCCAGTTGTAGTTGTTGTCGCCGACATGTTGAGATGCTTTCTTCGGTCACTCGGTTGGCGAGCTTCAAGTTACTCGGTCGTCTATTTCGTACGTTGCTTGATCACACAAATCCTTGTTGGTACTTATATCCACGCTTGCATTGTATCAAGATCCTCGTTAGTGGCCCGGTCCGGCTGCTCCGGTTCGGTTCGGTTCGGTTGAAAGCTCCCTTGCTGCCTCTTCAGACTCACCTTTTCAGCTAGCTTGTTTTTTTTTACTATGGTTGGTGGCAACTTAATTGGGAATCTTCGTGGCCAAAGCAAAAGCACAATGATCGGTATGTTCACATAGCGAGGAGTGATTGAGTTCTCATCTCACCAAACGTGAGTTCCGTTCCTATATCTATGTGCTAGGTAGAAATCAATTTCTCTATGTTGGATTCTAATTTCCTGTTGCTGGCATAGCATAGCAGTTCCTATTTCTTTCGAAGGCCACGCAATGTAATAAAAGGAACGTAAGCTGTTTATCAGGCAGAAACATAGATGTAGCTAGGTCGCCATTGGAAGATATTGATAAAATAATATCTTTCAGATATATCTGGTCTTGATATAGAAAGTATGATTATAGCAAGGATGATGAATCAAAGCATAGCCACCGGGGTGTGAGGATTTTCTACTTTAGCAGTGATAAGCTCTATAGCCTCGTGGGGCATTTTTCGAATGAAATTGTAGATTAAATATACTTCTCCTCCTCATTCATGAAGAAACGCCGAGAAAACGGTCGAATTCTCGGCCCGAAAATGTAGACCGGGATAGTCAGAACAGCCAAAGCGCCACAGATTACCCCTTCCACAATCATGGTTCCATCATATCCAACAGTAGAAACAGCAGGCAAAGTAGCATAGCTCAACCCAAACGAGATAGTCCCTCGTCCAGCGCAGATAACAACCAGGAATGGAGCAGCACGTTGGGGGAAGCTGTCAACAGCGTAAGTGATGCCGACGATGTTGGCTCCGATGAACGCAAAGAAGCTAGCATTATACGAGACCACCACAGCGCTGACATTCCATTTCTCTGGATTGCTTGCTGCTTGTCCGTATATAATACAACAAACGACGCCAACCACAGCTGGGATAACCATCATAGGTAGGCGGTATTCCGGCTTATACAGACCCTTGTTGCGGCGACTCAAGGCGCGGATGGTCAGATCGCCTCCGTAGCCCAATAACGGGAGAAAGATGACACAGCTAACCAACTGGCCTGCCTGGACGTATCCGAAGGATGTAAAAGCAAAGTTATACGGTGGTGGCATGAGGACACTTGAGAAAGTTGAGGACTGGAAGACATAGGAAGGCACCGTTAAGCAACAGCAGCCAGAAGATTGATGGAACACAGAACCCTTGTAGGGTCTGCTTGTAGAAGATAGGGATATCACGCAGGCGTGGTTTGAGAACTATAGGCTTGAGGTCATCCCTCCAACGATGTGGTCCGTACTGGTCGATGTCAAGGACAGTACCATGAGCGCTAATTGTGATATTTTCCATCGCATCGACTACCTTCGGATACAATGCGGATTGCCTTCGGATTGCTTCTTCCCGGGTCTCACAAAGTGAGACTCTGTCACAAAGATGACCGACAAAACGAATATCAGGGCATTCATGAGAGTGAAAAAGCCATACCACCATCTCCATCCCCAAGCAGAAACCATGTATGTGGAGATAACGAAGAAGACACCGGCAGCGATGTTTTGGATAAAGACAAACCAGGCAATCTTACGACCGCGCTCGTGAAGGAAATGGATCTCTTGTACAATCATTGGAGAAAGGGCTTCACTTTGTCCGGCAGCCAGCGACATAATATTGCGGCCTGCAATGTGGCTCCCCAAGCTGTTTGAACACTGGCACCAAATACCAGCTCCAACGAGGAGTAACATTGATGCAAGAAATACAGGCCGCCGACCAGCTGTGTATGCCCATGGAATGGCGATGAGGTTTCCAACGCCCATGAACAGTGTCGGGTAGGTCATGAGGTCATTAGCTTTCGTTTCCTGACCGGGATAATCCTGCTCGACGACGGAGAAGATAGGACCCATTCCGGAAGCAAGCACAAGGGCTGTGCAGCTGTATGCTGAGACAAGAACCAAGAGAATCCATTTGCGCCACGGAGGGAGGTCCAACGGATCTAGTGGGGTTAGAAGCTTGCAGAAATACTCAGTAACGCAAGACATACCTCTAGGGTCTGCAGAGGGGGCCGGGATGAGTACGACCTGGTTGCCTTTCAAGAGCTCAACCTGTCCATCTTGGGTTGGGTACTTGTTAGATTCTTCTGCAAGCTCGACATGACTGATGTCTGTCTTATCCATGATTGGGCTTTATTGAAACAGAGGTAATTGCGGGGAAATAGCGACTACCTGAGTTATACAACTGTGCAAAAAGCTCTCATTTTTATATTTTGAGGACTAGCAACCCCATCTCAATTACTGCCGTCGCGTACGTTGACCCCAGGATTCTTGAAGTTTCTCCACACGGGAAATCTGGGGTCGACCCCCGCATGCCGAACCGAACCGAATCGAGCCGGAGCAGCTATCGGAATCGTGGTTTAAAACCGCAACTACAGAATCGAGAGACTGATGGGCCATGAGAAAACATTCGAATCCTCAAATATATTGCCCGTGAACATTATGCCAGTCAAATACAATGTGGACATCCCACTGGCGGAGTTGAAGGAACCGGAGGTTGGTCATGGGAGATATGAGCCCTTAAATCCACGCTCAGAAGTGCTCTCCAAAGGAAGCTCTACTGCGCCAGGAAGTCTTGCACTACATTGTGATATTCTTGTGGAACATGATGCTGCGATCGCAGTGAGAGATGGCTGCAAACTTTACGCCGACATTTATCGACACCCGACAGCCCCGGCACGTTCTACTCCAGCAATTCTATGCTGGAGTCCATTTGGCAAGAAATTTAATGGGATAGAATCCTTGCGGCTCATGACACCATGGAATTTCGGAATTCCCGACGGAACACTCAGCGGCCTGGAGAAATTTGAAGCCCCCGATCCTGCGGAATTTGTTGATCACGGATATGCTGTTATCAATGTGGACTCGCGTGGTGCATTTGATTCTGAAGGAATAATGGCAATCATGGGAGCACAGGAAGCACAAGATGGGTATGGTGTTATTGAGTGGATTGCTCAACAGTCTTGGTGCAATGGAAATGTTGGAATGGCAGGCAATTCGCACCTTGAGATTGTGCAATGGTTCATTGCTGCGCTGCAACCGCCATCCTTGAAAGCCATCGCGCCTTGGGAAGGATGTGGAGACCTGTATCGTGAGCAGTTTGCTCGAGGTGGTATATGTGGTGGCGATTTGTTTGATCACCTGATCATGAAATACATTCTACGAGGCCGAAATGGAATTGAAAGCTTCCGAAAGATGTTTGACAAACACCCCCTTGCAAACGACTGGTGGAACGACAAACGGCCCGATATGACGAAGATCAACATTCCTACCTACATCACCGGAACATGGACCAACACAATGCATGGAATGGGTGCAATTCGAGGCTGGTCAGAGGTCAACTCGCCCCACAAATGGCTTCGTTGGCATCCATACCAGGAATGGTACGATATTTGGGGAAACCAGGAAGCTCGACTTGAGCTCGTTTCTTTTTTCGACCGGTATTTAAAAGGAGTTGAAAATGGCTGGGAATCGACCCCTCGCGTGCGAATGGCAATCCTGAAATATGGGGAAAAGGCCCCATTAGAGAATTTGGTTGAAGATGATTTCCCACTTCCTCGGACGGTTTACCAAAAGGCCTACCTCACTGCCAATGGTTGGTTGACACTTGATAAGGTCCCTGAGCCATGTTCAATGTCATACAATTCGGAGGATCCAAATGACATCGCGAAATTCACTTATACCTTCACCGAGCGTACGCAGTTGGTCGGTATACCAAAGGCAGTTTTATATATGCACTGCGATGATTTGGATGACATGGATGTATTCCTGAATTTAAGCAAGTTGTCTACCTCGGGTGAGCAGCTTCTGAACCTCAATATCCCGTGGGACAATCTGCCCGTTTCAAAGATCTCCGATATCCCAGAGGACAAACGCACTGAGGTCATTCTTTACCAGGGCCCGACGGGAATACTTCGGGCTTCAAACCGCGCCATCGATGCAGCTCGCTCTATGCATGCCAACTGGCCGTTTTACAGTCATGAGAAGGAAGAAAAGGTCCAACCAGGATCTGTGGTGCGACTCGAAATTGGAATCTGGGGCATGGGTGTAGAGTATGAGGCCGGCGAGAGTCTTCAGTTGCGAATCAGTGGCTTTTACCAGGGGATTTCTAACTTTGGCACCAATGAGCACATTCGTAATCGGGGAAGGCATTGGGTGCATATGGGCGGAGAGTATGACAGTTATCTCGTTCTACCTTTTGTGTAAATCATTCTCATGGCCGTTTAGATGTCCTGCTTGACACTTAAACAAGGAGGGCGGTTGCCTTCTCCATGTTAATCTACATCCCAATAATGCCATTAATATTACCCAAGTTTTTATTCAATTAGTGTATGAAGAGTGACCGTGGCCACTGCTTATTAACTCAATGATTCAAGGCCCACCAGACAGATCATGAGACACAGTCCCAAATTCCTCATGCCATTCGCCCGCGATATTCCGGCTCGTTCCGGGTGCAATCATGGTATCCCCACGATCTGGCTGGGAAAAAGAAAGCCATGAATTCTTCTAGGGACTGGAAATCCGGATTCTTGTGCTTCTTGTTGTCGTCCGGATCATTTCGTTCGAGATTCAAATTAGTTACAGATATTTTCGTATCCGCTACGGGATAGCTGTGTACGAAGGACCATTGACCAGATATGAAGCCACGCTTTTATTCCTTAATAGAGCTGATTGATGATAGCGAAGGGAACAAGCGCGACGATTAACGAGACATTGATAACCGTTGCGCCTTGCTATTTGTTTCTAAAATGTAAGAGCAGGCCAAGACTTAGATGAACTGGGCCACCAATGTTGATATCGATCTTCGTCGACCTTCTACAAGAAGTTGGCGGGATCTGTCGTAGTACCTCGAGGAGATGCCGCACGCCGGCATTGTGGATTAAACAATCAGGCTCTGGATACTTAGCGATGATTGTTTCAATGAAAGGAGAGATTTCGGCAATTTTCCCGGTATCAAGAACAATGTAATCTCTCGCGCCGATTTGTTCAGCGGTCTCGCGAAGAGGACTTTCGGCTCGGCCATATGGTCGTAGATAGTTGAAGCCACTTACTGGCTACATTCGGACATTTCAAGGTCCTCAACACTAATCTTGGTATTAATATTGTTATTCATATTCTCAGCCATTCATACAACCACAGTGGCTGAAAGCTGTCTCCTTACTTTCTTCCTGTGATTTCTCTGTGCCCAGAGGGCGTGTAGCTCAATATGGCAACGAAGCCATTAAATCGTATATGATGCGTGACGAAATATCGTATTGGAACTGCGTTTCCAGCAATTGTCCCACCCTACGTGTAGATGACATAAATATGGTATAAATATGTCATTTTCTGCATTGTCGAGGACAAGCCCGTATGTATGTTCATTGTGAAGATGGTGATAGACTACTGATTAATTCTGTCCAAAGAAGTATAGAGAGCAATGTGTGGCGAGGGCACTATCGGTTATGGTGCGGTCTTTGAGACTTCAGTGCCGCCCAATTCGTGATAAACTGGCTGAATCTGTGTACCATGCCCATCCAGCTCCATTCCATTCTCATCAACACTCTGCTCATGATTTCCATTACCACCACTACCACTGCTCTGACCATTATTACTGTCGCTGATACCGCTCAGAATGGCATCTGGAGACCAGAATCTTGACTGTGGAGCAGAATCGTCTGACGGTTCGGTAGGAGGAGGCGGAGGAGCGTTGTGTACCGGACCAGAGAGAACAGACTCATCTGTCTCCGGCAGACTGGCCTTCGATGACATCTTTTGGCGTTGACGGCGAATGAAAAAGAACAACACTGCGGCTAGAATTGCGACACCAACCAATGCCGCAATCGCGATACCAGCTACGGAACCGTTACTCAGTGTTGAAGAGTCGTCAGGATTACCACCAGTTGATGGACATGCATCGCCCGAGCAAGCAGAGGAATCGGAATCTTTGGAGGTGATGGTCACTATGTCTTCTTCTGCGTCTTCATCCCACGCGCATGCCGATACATTAAATGTACTTCGCTCGTAATCAGCTGAGAGATATCTGGACCGGTCAGCATGTGCCGAAGTATGGAAGCTTTTTATACTCACGCTTCTTGCAGAAAGGCCCGACCCAACGTAAACTGAGTAGAGTTAGCTGCGCGTTTTAGCGGAAAATAATAGCTGCTATTGTCGACCAATGGGGCTTTTGCAGTCAAAGCAAACGCATCATAGGGAAGAGTGATTGTCACGGCATCTCCACCAGAAGACACATCGGACAGTCGAAATGTCACTTGCGCATTCGAGTTGAGTAATTGGGTGTTGTGGGTATCGTTAACCAGATAGAGACCACTGTCATCATCGAGCGTGAGGTCAAAGGCCTCTTCAAATGCGTCACAGACACTTTCAGGGAGCCAAAGGTTGGGGTCAGTTGAGTCGATGAAAATCAAGATCGGCTCAGAGAGCAATGTGGCTGAGGTTGATCCACTATAACTGATGGACTGAAGATAGACGACCAGGTCACGGGTGATGTCATCGGCCATAGAGAATGACACTGAGTTCGAAGTGAATCGTGATGTATCATATCCAGAGAAGATGAGTTGTCCGTAAACTTGTTTCAAGCCTAGGCCGAAATGGCGGATTAGAGACACATTCTGCTGCAGATGTTGCCTTGGAACTGTCCAACTTACGATACTTGGCGCCGGCCGTATAGCTCCAGCTGAGACTCGGAATGGTACCCTGGTCCTTGAGTGTAGTAAAATATGAGGGCGAAGAGAAATTTCCCAAAGAGGTAAAATTGACGGGCTGCGGGTTCAGACCGAAGATTCCACTGTTGATACTCAGATCACTGAACCACAAAGAAGAGGGAGGGAGAAAATCTTTACAGATAAAAAGGATCGGGAGTGGCAATCCCAGCGACGGTTTGATTCTTAAGCGTCGGGCCTGTGAGGCCAATACTTAGACTATCTAAAGCAAAGTCTGCTCTTTGATAGTATCCAAGGTTTGCCTCAAGACCAACTCCATTCTGGTTAATGCCGAAAAGCCCCAGTTCATCCCAGGTAGATGACTGATTCTCATTGAACAAAGTACCCCTGGAAACTGCACAGTCTGATGGCGCGTTGGGAAACACTGAACTGGAGCACCCATGGTCTGACAAGACAACAAGTGACTCTGGGGAAGCCGTAGAGACTAGCACGCGAAGTGACTGCTCCGGCGTTCCAACTCGGAGATTAAAGCTGCTCCAAGGTCCATCATTTCCTTCACTAAGCTGGAGTATTAGCACACGAAACCCAGCCAATCCAGGAAAGCTCGGAGGAAATACAAATATTCGCTCGGCGAGATAGCGAGGGCAGATGAAGAGCGTTTGGCTATATCGGTCGCAAAACAACTTAACATCCAAAAACTTATTAAAGTCAACTCCAGCATGGGTTTTGAGTGCATTGTGGTGACCTGAGAAATCACATAGGTGAGCCTCAGGGTATAGCGATACTAAATTAATTCCCATGTGGCTAGTGTGGCGACAGGAACCTGCAGGAGTCATAGTCCAAGCCATTAAGTTTGAACTGCCACATCACTGCCGAATTCAATATCTCCGGGCCAATTGTTGTATTGAGATCGGCGTTGTCGGGGCCCAGGGGCAACGGGCGGCCCTGACAGGTCGAATCCCACGCACGGCCAGAGTCGCAAAACCGGCTGAGGGTCGGCCAAAAACCTGCTCCACCTTCAAATCAGGAACCAGAAATCTCGTTTAGCTTCGTTTAGCCTCGCTTTCGGATGTGATGTAAAGCTCAACGGTACTTCATGAAATCTTTGCCTTTCTTGGTTAGTGAATATGTCTGTCTTTACTCTTCTCAGTTAATACGCTGCTCGTGTTAGGCACGATGACCGCATCGAAAGGCAATTGCTCGTTGACACGAGATTTTTAGTTCTAGTCTTGTAAAATCATTGTTTACCGCTATTTTTATCTTTAATTTCGGTCTTTTATTTGAGAGTCGCCTGTTCCTTGCTCTCCTGTTTATCGTCCGGCCTCTGCATCCGTATCGCGTATTCAAAAAGGATTAAATTGTGCACTGTACTTGCGACAAAATCCGTGACCATGTTTTCTATCACGCAATTGGTGTCTTTCGGGCTATTTGTTCCCTGGACGAACGCTTTCCAGAGCTCTGGTAAGCAATTCACATAAAAACAGTCTATTTTGGGCGCGGCTGACAGAGTGAAGTTATTCACATGCCGCACTCCCCAATCCACGATCCTCCAAGCAGCAGTATCACGACCTGTACGTCTGAGGAGATCGATCCCTGGCCCACTTCGTCCATCTATACCAGCCATAGTACAATCGACACCACTACTGCTATTCAGGTGCCACCGCCGATGAACAGTTCAACTGTACCAACAACGTCCACGGCATGCTTCAACAGTACAGTCACCACTACTATCATAGTTTCAATGATCGAAACTCAATGGTTGACTACCTCATTGACTACCACTTCTACGATAACAAACACAACCACGGACATAATCAAAGACACTATCACGGACACTACTACTGTGACGAATACAACCACAGAAATAATCAAAGATACTGTCACGGATACGACTACGGATACGACTACGGAAACAACCACCGACACTACAACGGCTACAAATACAATTACTGTGCCGACAACCATCACGGAAGCTCCAAATCCCTGTCCGACCACCTGCAGCATGTAAGTCTCCACGAAGTAAAGAAGCAAGTGCAGCATTGGAATTTGTACTGATTTGAAACAGGTCCGTGGGAACCGTCAACTTGTTCTACTGGCCAACGAACCAGCCACACCACGTTTATCCATCGACTTACGTGAATTCGCATCTCAGTCAGACTTTGTGAGACCACCATTTACTAGCACCTTTGCTGTGAAGCTAATGTTCATCACCAAACAGCACTTCACCCTCAGTATACATGATTGTCGACTACCTCTATGGCTACAATACCGCTGGTCGCGCTGGGCCCTCTGGCACTAGCGTAGTATTCTCTCTCGACCTGAACCAAGTCTCAACCATAGATCTCACCAACTCAGCTACGCGACAGCTTACCTTGAATGACCTCGGTACAGATTGCCCACAATCCGAACCTCCCTCGGTGATCGCGACAGCAGCGCCTAACAGCCGGTGTGATCCTATCCTGGTAGCTCCAGAGCCTGTGAAATCATGGGCTTCGCCCTGCAACGCATGCGGTAACTTCGGCCTGTTCGATCCACCGTATGCCGTAGCTCCTCTCACAGGGGGCTTGGTGCCGGTGACAACGACTGCTGCAACTCCGTTAGAAACCCAAGCTACCCCGAGCACGACTTTGGTTTCTGTCACTGAAACGACAGCTACACCAGTGGAATCTTCCACGGTTGCGGTTACTACGGATTCCACTTCCTCTAGTGAGACTTCCTCTAGTGAGGAGTCTATTTCGTCTGTTGTAGAGACATCATCCCAGACTGATACTACTTCTTCCGCTGCGATCCCAACTCAGACGTCATCCAGCAATAGCCAGGCTGTCACTTCTTCATCATCCAGCCTAGTCTCCAGTCCAGCTACTACTTCTCCGGCGTTCAATTCTGCAACGAGGGAAAATTCGGTTGGTGGACTTTTGAGTTTGGGTTTCTTTGTGTTGGGATTCTTTCTGTAATTCAAATACAGTGATGGAATAGGGGTCACCCATGTACATACAGTTCCATCAAAGTCAGTCTATATTCGAATCCTACCCATCAAGTGCACATTTATATTGGGTCATGCATCGTCCCGTCGTGAAGTACTGGGTGCAAAGATATTTGAACCTCCACTGTATGTTGACTGTTGGGGGGGGCGCTCTGAAGAACAAGAATTTATTAACCAGCGTGGATGAAAATGACCAGAATCGATGTCAATAACTAACCACCCTCTTCTATTTGTGGGTTATCATTCAAGTGTGGTTTGAACATATGAAATCAATTCTATTACAATATATAAGTACTACCTGAGAATTCAACCTTTTCATATATGCGAAGGAGAGGATTAAATGACCAATTATCCAGTAGTTTAAATAGATAGATATAAGGGAGAAGAGCGGAAGACGAAATTTTTACGGTTGATGGATCTCTTCAAGAAGAATGCAGAATAAAACAGGCCCTGGAAGACAGCTAGCAAATCACAAGCAAACAAAACCCCGAAAGCCTGGACATATATATAATAATTGTTGTACAGACTTTGACATAAATTAGAAGCGTGTCTGCATGCTTTGGTAATCTAGCATGATCGGCAGCTTGCAGATCTACCTCTTCTTTTCAATCTCTATATTCATCTCTTGGTATAAACTCCAGTGCTTACAGGATGATAGCCCTTTTTGCCTACCCTCGCCGTCAAGTCACTCATCCATGTCTCGCCGCGCACGAGCCTTTCCACTGTCTTTCCAAATGTATACTTCGGATTCCACTCCAGTTCTTTTACTGCCTTGCTTGAATCATAGACTCGATCGATCCTTGCGAGATGTCTCCACCCCTTTTCCTTGAATATGGCGTTCACATCAGGAAAGATCTCGGTCACAACTTCGGCTGGGTTTCGATTCAAAGCATCGAGTGTGTGTATATCGTTGCTGAAAGGTGGCGGAGCACTTATTATATACTTCCCCCATTGAATATCCTTGGCCTTTCTCATTGCGCAGACAGACGCGCTGACAATATCCTCAAGGTCGCATCTACGGTAGGCCAGTTCTAGAACCTTCAAGTTCTCGTCGCTCATAGCCGCGCGGCGGTCTTCATCGTCGTCTTCCTCGGGAAAGAATCGGCTTGTGCGAAGGACTAAAACAGGCATTCCACTTTGCTTTTGTACCAGTGCGCACATATCTTCAGCCGCAATCTTCGTCACACCATAGATATTCTTTGGCAACGGAACAACAGATTCATCGATCCAAGCGGCGGGGTACCCCGGCTTGGGACTTAGCGCCATACCAAAAGCGCTAGTTGTGCTAACGAAGACAAAGCTCTCTATCTGCTCTCCGAGCCTAGAAGATTCTTCAAGGAGAATAAGAGTACCAATAACGTTGGTCGAGATAAATTGCTCCTTGCTGTGGCTGCAGACGTGTGGCTTATGCAATGTCGCAGCGTGAATGACGTGCTTAATGGGGTTGGAGTTGAAAAGGGAGAAGATAAAGGCTCGGTCACTGACAGAGCCCACAAGTGTCGTGGTTTGGGAGGGGAGAATGTCAATGCCCAGGGGTTTGAAGCCAAGAGAAGGTAGCTTGAGCATCAGAGCGGTACCGAGATGACCAGCCGAGCCAGTGACAAGGACGTCGTACAATGAAGACATTTCAAAAATTCAAAATTCAAAAAAGTGACTCAGTGCAACTTTGTGTCTTTCGTCGGAGCAATTGATGGCGCAAGCCATTGAGGACGCCGGATTTTTAACTAGGGCGAGCAGGCACGTGCAATTCCCCGCTATTTACATAAACTTCTTAGGGCAGTTCCAGGGTTGTATATGGCATACGTCTGAGTGGAATAACGCATTTCAACTCTAAGCTTCTGAACAATTCGGCGGGGTATCTATTTCTGAATTTGAAAGTTGTTACTCCATCCCTCGGCAATCACTCCACAGCCCATAGAGATCCCCGCGAGGGGAATTATCTGCAAGTACGGACCAAATCAAATTCCATTATCTAGTGTATATGACATCTTCGAAGGAGACATTAGACCCTTTTGTTCGCTATGTAGAACATTCCTCCCAGCTATGCCGACGCCTCAAAGGCTTTATGATATGATACAGTCCCAGTAGGTGTTGGCTTACGCCAAGTGAGAGTCATGAAATATTCCGGTGGCACTCCTGGTAGTTGCAGAGAAGGATCTGCCCTAAAACCAAAACGCTCGTAATAGTTCGGGTTTCCCAATACAACACACCCGGCTGCATGGCTACTCTGGAGTTCTGCCATTGCTTGTTTCATTAACCTTGACCCCACGCCAGTTCCTTGATACTGAGGTAAAACAGAGATGGGCCCTAGCCCGTACCAATTCTCACTGCCATCCGAGATATTCACAGGTGAGACAGCGGCATGACCCACAATAGTACGTGTGGCTTCGTCTTCTGCGACCAGCGAGATTGATAGATGGTTCGCCTGGCGGAGACTGCGGACGATGAATTGCTCGTTGTGGTCGGTGTGTTCAGCATTCAAGAATGCGACTAATGTGACATCCTCGATTTCTTGCTCGTCGCTTTTCGTCTCGGGTCGGATACGAATTTGGGTTGCGCTCGTCATTCTTACAAATCGTTCCCGAGGGCTGCGAGGCTTTTTTGTCCTCTTGGGGGTTGTTACTTTTAGTCAACAATGATAGAGATAGACCGGGTTCAGAGGTAAAACAGTAGTAACAGCTACAATTTTAGAAAAAAATTTATAAAATAGTTGCTGTAGTGGATGAGATGAGTCGTAATGAGTCACAGGAGACATATCTCGGGAAGTCGGGACAGAAGTTTTGTCCGGCTCGGCAAGCATCCACACTTTCTCGTTTGACTCTGGGTTGGATATCTAGATTCAATGAACCGCGGCTGCCCGGAAATCTACGCCACTTAGACGTGCGACGGTTGCGACGGCCTGACTCTAATGATCATTATAGGCGACACAATACAATTCAAGATCGAGAACACGAAGAAATAATGCGCCGATAAGATTCTCTCTTACGAAAGGATAGTTACCGTTATACCATCTTGGTAGACATGCAAATGTAGGCTTTCAGGCTTTTTTTTGCTTGTTGCTCGCTTACTGTCTATCTGTTAGCCGCCTAATGGCACCTATTTACTTTGCTTGCTTCCCATGGATAATTCATCATCCCTGGGGATCTCCCTTCCTTCATCTCTTTAGCTAGATCTATGCATTGACCCATTACATATGAGCACAGAATTTCTCATGATCGCTTGGATAGGAATGGGAATGGATGAAGCTTGTGCTGGAGGCACCGGGTGGGTGGAAAAAGGGCTGGATCAATTTATAATAAACAGTCACGAGAGGATATATTAAGGTCGAAGAAGATACAATACGCTAAACACTAATGGCTTTGATAGATTTTCCGTTCCACGGTTAATTTGAGTCTGTTTTGTCACCGGCTAACTAGTTAGGTAGGGTAAGGAACCTGTTTTCTCGGGCAGTATTGTGATCAGTACCGCAAATGCGTTATTCTACGAGGAATTTCCTTTTTTGGATGGATATATTAATGAGTTATTACAATTTTTTACTATTATTAACCGCTTTTTGGTTAGTATATTGACAACTATTAACTCCTGATTTAGTTTTGAGAGAATCATATAAATTCGCTCGTATCTTAGAAATCGAGTATTTAGAATTATAATCCCGGTTATGTATAATAGCTTGGAACATTTTTATAATAAGGTATTACCCTTGAGTGTGGTCAGTATTGTATATAAAGTAGAAAATATAAATTTCTATATGAATGTTGTATCACTATCTTTACTAACACCTCTTTCTATGACTTTGGTTTCCGAAACTAGCCCCAAAAACCGAACTAATTGCGGTTTGGGACTGGCGTAGGCTGGTTTGCGCAGAATTCTATGTATATATGTCTGGAGGAAGTAACGCATGATCAATTCGATCCGAATAAGCCACAAACCTAATTTTGAGAGAGAGACGGATGATATTGAAGAGGTACAGCAAGTTGAGCCTGGCGAAAGCAAGTCCATTGGGGATTCATATGCCACACATGTGTTACATGCCACAGCAGCGTCACAAGCACTTGACGTAACTATCGTATATATAGCCTCACGGATGCCTTGCTACCTGAAAATTTTGGCAACACCCCATCTCTCCAGCAATATGCATCGGCTTTTGTTTCGACGCTGCCACTTTCTCTTTTATAAATTTTCAAACCCCTGAAATTTATCGCTCTTTCTTTCATCATTTTCACAATGTCATTCGGCCTCTCGATCGGCGATATCTGCAGTCAAATTACGTACCGGCTCTTTACTGCTGCGACATCTGGTCGGAAAGATGCACCTCGCAGGCTCAGAGAGCTGGATGACATTTTGCTCGGCTTGAACTGTGCTTTGAATTGTCTTCAAAATGCCTCTCTTACAGTATTACCGACATCAAACGGCGATGCCAGCAACTATCACCGTCAAATTGGGCTCATGCTCCGCTCATGTCGCCGAACTCTAGAAGAATTGGAGAACGCAACAGCAAAGTGCCGGGAAGCGGGACAGAGTCCTACAGTCATACGCGATAGCAAAAATGGCCTCAAATTATTTCCCCAGGAGTTCATCGCGCATGTTAAGGTTCAATGGCGGAGGTTTATTTGGGATCTTCAAGAAGACTCATTCAGCCAATACCGACATAGAATTCAATCTCACACCAATTCGATCAATCTTCTGTTGAGCACGCTGATCTGGTTTGTGTCCCGCCATGGCCTCGACGTTAGACCAGCTAAATCTGATAAACCCCACAGGTCTGCCACCGATCGTATCGAGAAAGATGGCCGACGCCAAGGAAAAATGATGCAGAGATTATTACATCAAGCCTTCTGCCTTAACAGTGCATTGTTTTCTCCAGTGCCTAATCAATACGGTCTCGCAAAGTCTCATCGCTCGTTGACGTTTCCTGATATTTCGCCTTCGAATGCAATGTCATCGCCATTGGTCAAGAAAGTGGATTTCAACACCGAGTCACAATGTGCTTTTTAGAGCCGAAAAGGTGACATACGGAACCATAATCTTTTCATTCCATCCTCCTAGTCTACAGATGTATCAGAGGCTTCAAGCTGCCAATGACCAATGAGAATCATGACAATTAGATGATCATATCTGAGTCCCCAGAGAAAAATTCATGTATCTTGTTGAGGGCCACTTGAAATGTATCACAAAACAATGCTTTGTGTTTCTTCTCTTTGGAAAGAATTGTCATAGACCAAGGGGAGATTCGAGACTTTTAGCGAGCATATTATATTCATCATGACCGCTCGTTCACTTACTAGTTGACTAGTGGCATTCTATTTGCATAAATATTCTCTTCGTTGTTTAAACTGAAATGTCAAAAAATATCATGTTCCGTCTAGAAACAGCGGTAGAAGGTCTAAGACCGATAATGTGAAGAGAAAGACACCTTGTCTTTGAAGCCGTTTGGCCGCTGAACAAGGGAGAGCCAGAAGATCCCAAATTCGCGTTAATCTCTATCTGTATTGCGCAAGGGAGTGAATAGAAAGATTTCCACGAGGTTTCTCCGACCTTTAGATTCGCCAAGTCCCGCGCGACTTGGCCATATAATAAGTCGACATAGCCAGGAAAGTCGCGCCAAGTAGCGAAGAAACCGCACCAAAAATTTCCAGCCCGGCGAAGTTGCTTCCACCTTGATTCTTCAGAATTGCACCCATTATAGGAAGGCCTGTCAGGCAGCTATATAAAATTAGCAAAAGAAGCCTTGAACACGAGTATGAAAGGACAGGAGAAATACCCAAGAGCAACAACCATTTGGAATGTTCCAAATCGGACACCTAGTGTCTCCAACTTCCCAGATTTAGCAACGCAGGGCATGAGCAGAGAGACAACAGCCCCTGATACGAATCCGTATATGAGCGAAAAAATGATCAGGCCCGCATGAGATGGGTGATAATGGAAGGGTAGCCAGAGGCACAGAATTGAGATTCCAATCGCGAAGGCGCATGTGGTGACAACATTGAAATGACCGATATGATCTGCGATATGGGGAGGAATTATGCGGCCTGGTATAGAAGTCGCACTGCAATTTGCTTAGTTTTAAGTTAAATGACTGGATTAGGAAGCTCACTTGATGATTGAAATGAGATAAAGTGCAAGATCCGAAGAGAACGAAGCCTCTGTTTGAGCCATGCCTGGGAGGTAATCAAATGGACCCCAGAGTCCCCACCTATCCCAAATTTAGCAATGTCTCCGGTCAGAAATCTTTGGCAGTGCAAACAAACATAACAAAGAAGGCTCCCAGACTGTAAAGAGCGAATTGCTTTTCCTTGAATAAGGTGAAGTCGAACCACTGTGCTTTTCCATTCCATGGTTTTCGCGGGAGCCTGGATTTCACCATGAAGCAAGAGCCTGTCAACAGAATTCCAATGAACAATGCGGTGTAGCGGACAGATCCATAGAAGCCCTTCTCCTCAACAATACGATTCACGAAGAACGGGAAAATAACACCACCTAAGCTCGAGCCACACGCCGTGATACCGAGAGCCAGCCCTCTCCTCTTGACAAACCATTGGCCGACACAGACCATCGCAGATGTAAAAACACCCCCGGCACCGATTCCAAAAACGACGCCCTGCGCAAGAAAGATTTGATAGTACTCATCTGCCAGGCTTGTCATGCATAGACCAAACACACAGAGCACACTGCACGGGTAGAGCACTGGGCCAGGGCCAAAGGTATCGAGAAGACGGCCATAGAGGGGCCCCATTGCCCACATCAAACATAATTGGACTGCAAAGATCCATGAGATGTCGGAAGAGCTATAGTTGCTGAGAGCATGCTGTTCGTAGTATGTTTGGAAGACACCGATTCTGTTCAAAGTTGCACGACGTCAACCAGAGGTATTCTCTAACATATCAATCATTTCCGAGGCACACTCACGCATTCAAAAAGCCGAAAGTGCAAAATAGGCATATGAATGCACCAACCACACAAATCCATCCCCGAGTGCCTCCTTCTGGGGGCAGATCTGGCTTGGTAGCAGTGACCACTGGATCGTTCCTTTCGGAGCGTTCCGCATCATTAAATGTGTCAACTTCTTTAGAGGCCTCATGACTTGTGTTGCTTGAAGACATCACGGCGTTGATGGGGAAAGCACACAGAATTGGAAGTTGATATTGTTATTAAAACGGTCAACCCATCTTACGTGCAAATTCAGGGTTTTATATGCAATTCTATTGAGTCAAGGTTACTGGTTTCTTTGAGGGTGTTGGCGATTTCGTCCACACGTCGACACTATCCACCGACGGCCGCTTAAGCTCTCCACAGGCGGCCGACACGACCCACAAGGGTCCCACTGGGACGGACCCACAGGCGGCCGACAGAATGTCAAAAGTACCTTATTCGATCCGACCATCGGCCGACACGATCTTACTCGACGATCCATTTTCAACTAAAGACTGGCCGGACTCCGGGTGGTCCGGGACGAGGTCCGCTTTTCGGCGCCGCTATCCCCTTCATGATAAAAATCGCCCCGCACATTGATTTAAACCAGGTGAATCTGATCTAACCTGCTTGATCAGATACAACCCTTTTGGGCCCTCTTTGCAATTTCCTTATTCGTCATGCCTACAGAAACAACATCCCCTGTCTGTGTGAACTGTAAGCTTCGCAAGAAGAAATGCGACAAGGCGCGGCCGCGCTGTGGATACTGCGCCCGGTACTTCTACGCTTGTATTGACAACTGTGACAATTCCTAATATGGCTACAGGAAGAATTTGACCTGTCAATCCTCAATAGATGCAAAATACTCTCAATTGAGACGCCTGCCCATGATCTCTAGTCCTGTCATCAGCTCGTCCTTGCTGCTAGCCGAGACTTTGTCAGCGGTCTTGCAAGACGAACCAACCAGCCTCCACTCCACAGTGTATCTGCAGATTCTCCGGATCATTCGTTTGACCGATCAAACTATAGATGAGATCTGCCTCCGATACTTCCGAGGCATGCATTCTTTCATACCGATCCTATCGGCCCCGCGGTTCCATGAACAGCTGATCCACTCGGCGGCGCTACCCTCTGCGACATTCTCAGTATTGCTTTTGTCGATGGCCCTGGTAACGTACCATCCTAGCCTGGTCACTTCTAGCTCTGCTGTTGACCAAGCGACCCTCTATTTTACTGTAAAATCGCTGTACTCCCAGACACTGGCATCTTTTCCGGATTCTCTTCACCTTGTCCAAGCTGGTACAATCATCGCTAGTTATGAATATGCGACTCGAAGGATTCATGAAGCTTTTTTCTCTATTAGCGTCTGTGCCAGAATGGGTTATACAATTGGCCTTCATCTTCTCAGCCTGACTGGACGATCTGATAACCCCTCACAAGCGACAGAGAAAAGTGATACTTGGTGGGGCGTTGTGATCACCGAAAGGTTAGCTCTTGAATCGTATTACCTTGAGTGAGACTGGAAATCTAAAGCTATTACAGGACTATATTAAGTGAAGCAGAAGTTCAACAGCCCGTCCTTTCCCGCTTTGCAGAGGGACAAGTTTCACTACCAAGGGAGCCTGTGTCATTGGAGTGGGACTCGGATCTATTCAACGATATCGTTTCCAAAAGGTGTCCAAACGTTGAAGATTGCGATGGATTGGCTAGAGTGACCCAGGCCATATGGCTCTTGGATCAAGTGTTCAAAGCCTCAGAAGAGCGGGATGTCACTGTCCGATTGGCTCAGCTTGACAAATTGGATTACTCGCTGCGAGGATGTCTAGCGCTGACAATGGATCAATCTCAAGGCCGATGGGGGCTATTCTGTACAGCGAATGCCATCATCTTCAGGTATTCGTGTCTTCCAATGGTGGCTTGATGAGGCGATGTGCTAACCCTAACACGGCTGCTTAGGGCGCTCTTCATTCTCCACCGGAAGGTCATCCATAGTGCAGCGGGGGTTTCATGCTTGAGCTCCCATATTGCACTGGAGACAACCATCCAGATGGTGAACGACATTGCTACAACTCAACAGAATATGACGCTCGCAGAAATGGATACGCTACCACCGAGTCGGGCCTTTGTCTTCAGGGCAGCGCTACACTATCTTGATGAATTTGGAACAGACTGCGGTCGATGGGACACTGTTCGGACATGTCTTGAATCATCGATAACAATGTTTGATGCCCGTTGGAATGCAGTCTGTCCTCGTGAAATACCCCTCTAAACAGCGCTTCAACAACCACCATTCACGTTCGCCAATTATGCCCTCGTATTCTGTGTGGATACAGAATCTTACAAGACCATCTACGGCTTTAAACTTGTGGCTCAAGTCAATTTCTGCAAATCAGTTACGGATGACGGGGTGAGATTATGTTCCATGGACCTGTGGGAAATCAAGTCGAAGTTAGTCGAAGCCATCGGTTGGGGCCGAAGAAGGACCGGACCATCATCCCTCCCGTCTGGGCAACCATACCCCATTGAGATCAACAAGGGTCCGAGCTCGGAGCAGATCGGCTCACTGCTTTTGCAGCACTGGAAAAAGTACTTGACAGGGTTTTCCTGCTGTCGGTTCGTCAGCTTCTAGTTCTTTAACTATTCTTTATTTCTTTTTTTTTCTTCGGCTGTAGCAACAGTCCTATTTGATCAAAACGATTGGTATGTACATCATATCTTACACACTTTGCCCGTTAGGCTGCCTGAAGTGGCGACATGTCGACCATATCGGGCTCGGTCCGGGGGATCCAGTCTCCGAGTCAATCATCTTTGACGCGTGTCAGACCATGGGGGGCCGGATCCTGAAAATGGGGATATGCTTACCTGGCCGAGGCTACCAAGGTTCAGGATCGAAGAATTAGCTGACGCCAGTCGCATCATTCCGCGTTGGAAAGACAGGAGCATATGAAACTGGGGCGGAGATTCCACACTTGGCCAATACGCTAAATATGTACAAGGGAAGGAAATCAGAATCTCACTTCATCCTTCTCTCGTACTTTTGAGCTTAATGGGTAGGTATAAAAGCCTTTGGCCTCTCAATTGAATCTCGTCCACCCTCACTACCAAAAATCAGACCTTAGTTCTGTATAACAATCGCCACTATCTCTTTAGCAGCCATGTGTACTCCACCGTTGAGCTTCGCTCCCGCACCACAGCTTGGGTAGGCTTCTCGGACCCCACCCAGATAGACCGATGCTGATGAATTCCAGAAAGGCCGCCCAGGAGCAGGACAAATTATCAACCAACGACTCTATGGACAGTGACGATGAGTCTTTTCGACTATCCTTGTCGGAATTAAAAAACACGAGTCCGGATATTTATGAAATCCAGGATGGGTTTTTTCGCGCTTCAGAAGTCCAAGATTGTTTTAACTCTACTTTCACGACGACAGAAATTAATGAGCTTCAATGCAAATACTTCAGGTCACCATTCAAGTAAGTAAAGACAAACACACTGAATAGGTAGTGGATCGGGTTAAAAGGAAGATAGTAAGAGAAAGCAAAAGCAGCTGACTCGGGTTGAAATGGCAGCGAACAAAACGAACCCGTTATTCTCTCGCAAGGCATTCTGCCAACCGGAACCGTTACGAATCAATCTCAAGACCCATCTCACGATCCATTCCTGCGCATACTTCAAGCCTCCCCGGACAACCACACCCTGAATCAAACGCCAGACCCACGGGTCCTTGGCCTCGACGAGACACATGAATTACCGCCTATGGATGAAATTCCAATATGTTGGGAGCACGGTTGCAATGGCAAAGTGTTCTCAAGCTGGAGCAATTTGCGGCGGCACGAGCGAGAACGGGACTCTCAAGCCCCGAGGTGCTATTGTCCACGGTGCGGTGCATACTTTACTCGAACTACAGCACGCAATCAACATCTTGCCAATATGAGCTGCTCAAGAATTCGTCGGTACTCTAATGGTCGGACAAGACTTATCACGAAAAAGATACAGGATAATTTTGGCTTTCAGATGTGAGACAGACATGGGGATATATAGAACGGAATTCTTGTCACAAGTAAGGAGTACAATAGAGCTGCCTCAGGATAATGCAGAATTGACATATATGGTATCAAGTACTACCAACAACTTCTTGCATGGCCCACTATGCTAGCAAACCATGCTAGGAAAGGTGGATATCCTGATGTAAGAAAGAAAGAAACAAAACCTGATCTATAGCTTCAGGTTTTATCAAATCTACTTTAGAACATATTTGGTTATTGCAGATTGATCCCACTTACTAAACACCTATTGGGAAAATGGTTAATGGCTGAAATAGTGATTTACGTAGGACAGGACATATTGTCGGGTCTTCTTGAAAAATGGCATTGTCCTGTCAGCCTGATACGCCCTACTGATGCATTAAGGTTGGACCTATATCTACTGGAGGACTTGCGCATTTCGCCTCGGCGCTGAAGCTAAAAAGTAGAAAGTGGAGACGCAGGACAAAAAAAAGCATTGAATCGTGTGGATTGTTGTTGATCAAAATTGACTAACGATAACGGGAGAGGACATATCAGATGACTAACAAATACAACTTCGGAGAATCAAGCAATCTAGTGAATTTGCTATTCACTTGTTAAATCTTGATGGCATGACTGTATGAGCATATTATGCTTTTCTTGTATTTCAGAGCGCCTTTCTGGAGTCATAGAGTTAGCTCGTAGTAAGGCCTTGATCCCATCCGTCGTGTCTGGCCACGTGATATGAGTGCTTGCCTCGTCTTCATCATCTAGAGCTTCTGTTAGAGTGAGCTCGGAGTATTGCCGATCTTAGAGGGTACACTTGTTTTGGCCCTTGTGTTTTGTTCGGGGGGAATATAGGGCAATTTGGAACCAAGTCGCTTTTCTTCATCTGGTCCAGAGGATATTTTCTGGTACAAACAGGACAATCACAGGGTAATATGGAAACAAAGCACTGATACTTTTGAAGCACCCGTCAAGTGGTCGATATCAAGATATTATGACTTCGTCGACTTGAAGGTCAAAGCCTAGTTCCTCCATGGCTCCAGATCCAATATATTCTTTCATACCGCTCATCTTCTCTACGAGAAAGAGAAAGAGATTATTGTTGTGATATAAGACTGGTGTAGATCAGGAACTAAGTCGAACCATCGACAAACGGGTAAAAGGCTAATCAATCTCACTTCGTTCTTTTCGGGGCACAATATCGGGTAAACCCCACAGAGCGTAGAGAATATAACCACAGTGGCCGACCCAGTTCGCAGACAGACAGACGGGGTTTGGTTCCTTCTCAGGTTCCCTCTTCACTAACGTTTTAGTCGTAGATGTTACCCTTACACAGCTCCTATCCCAATCACCTTCACTTCTCTGTATCTGTCTCTTAGTGTTAATTTCAGGGATCCTGACACTTTCATTTGTAGCAAGACGTGAGAAAAGATTTTCTTCTTAAACTGAAAATATCATTTGTACCTAGAATTGGGTTAAGCTGACGAGCTTTGTCATTTGATGAGAAAGCTATTGAGTTTATCTATGTCCTGTGGCTTGCCGCAATCATGGTTCTTTGCCAACCGTATGCAGGATCGCCCTCGACAAAGTCATCCTTTCCCATATCCATGTACCCTCGAGGATCCTCATTTCGCGGCACGACAGTAACACACCGCCCTATTTTACAGTCAAATTTAACAGTTCAAACTCAATATATAGAGAATCCCTACCATTCAACAGGGAATCGGAAGCAATGTGCATAGAAGCGGTTGCCCCGTCCTCGGGCTTTGCCCAAATCACCCCCTTCTCGGTGAGGCGGTCTTGATTCGCCTGCGGTATAGCCGGTGTGCGGACATACCTATGATCATATCAGACTTGTATCTCTATCGTGGTTTGAGTTATATGGGGATTCTCTCACCAAGGAGCAAGTAGGTTTACGCGCACATTCTGCTTGTGCGCTGTCCGACGAAGGCTTGTCATTACACCGCGAATGCCATGCTTGGATGCACAATAAATTGGTGTTCCGGGTTGATCACAGTATCCAGCAATACTGCTCATGAGAATCAGGCAACGATCGTATTTTCCATGATTCGGCTGACGGGCGAAATAGTGCAAAGCTAGCTTCGAAGTGTAAATACAACCAATAAGATTTGTCTGAAGCACTTTGAGAGATGGCTCAATAGGGTCTTCGTCCCTTGCGCTGTCTTCAAGGAATAGGTTAGACCACCAATATAGCAGTATCTGAGAGAATATTGGATGAGGATATTTACCGTCCCAGTACAGGGAATCTCTTCCCGAAATTCCAGCGTTCGCAATGACAGTGTCGATCAAATGATACGGAGACTGATCAATGGCTGTTTTGAAAAGATTGACTAGGTCATACCAGTTCGTCACGTCTGTCTTGACGAAAGTCGCTCGGTCGCCAAGTTCTTCGGCTAGCTGTTGGCCGCTCTCCTGAAAATCACCTATAGTTACAAATGCACCAGCGGCCGTGAAAGCCTTAACCATGTCCTTTCCAATACCGCTAGCTCCTCCTGTGATCACAACGCTTCTTCCAGTAAGCTTAGTAGCGTCGAACCCGACATTAGGCGTCAGGCGATATTGACCGTCATACTCCGGGACTGACATAGTTTTCGATATATTGTAAGGGCAAATAATGGAAAGAGAAAAGGAAGGGGGCAAAGTACATTTATTGCAGATATAGATAGACTATGTAGATTAACAATCGGTATTCATCGAAATATTTGGATTTGTCAGAAGCTAGCTTAGTAGGAATAAAGGATGGGAGGATTGCAGGATCTGTGACGGATTTCAAAACATAATCTTCGTTACGGAACAGTCCTTTTCGTTATTTAGTTTAATTCACTGCCCACTTTGGAATGGATAAGTGAAGCAAAGGAATTTTAAACAAAAGAAGCATACTTTGAATTGTCTCCATATAAATACACAGCATGAAGGCTATCATCTTCACCGAACCTAAGCAGATTCGCTTGGTAACCGACCGACCTCTGCCACCGATTCGGGACAACACCGTTCTTGTCAAAGTGGTAACCGTCGCCCTCAATCCAACTGATTGGAAACATGTTGCATTCGGAATGGCCAAGGAAGGTTGCGTGCTCGGCGTTGACTACGCGGGTGTTGTGGAACAGAGCAATTCGCCGGGCTGGGTGAAAGGCGATCGCATTTGTGGTTTCGCCCATGGTGGAAACTCAATCCAAACCGAAGACGGTACCTTCGCGGAGTATATCGTCGCGCCCTTGTTTACTGCTATCAAAATTCCACCAGGGGTTTCCTTCGAAGCAGCGTCCACCTTGGGGTGTGGAATTACCACTGTGGGCCAAGGCCTCTTTGAGCCGGGCTACGGGCTCGGCCTTAATACGCCGTCCAAACCGATCACTACTCAGGTACCAGTTTTGATCTATGGTGGAAGCTCCGCAACAGGTTCTTTGGGAATACAGTTTGCTAAGGCGTGAGACTTCCTCTCCGGTGAACAAGACAGAAGAGCTAACTGAAAAAATACAGAGCAGGCTACTCCGTAATCACCACTTGCTCACCGAAGAACTTTGAAATGGTTCGCGCCCGCGGAGCCAGCGAGGTCTTTGATACCCATGACCCTGAAATCGGTAGAAAGATCAACGATTACACGAATAACCAACTGCAATACGCCTGGGATTGTATCGGAACCGATGAATCAGCCCGGGCTTGTGCCAACGGACTCACAACCAACCCTGGAGCACACTATGGCACTATTCGCGCACCGAAATTGCCTCGAGATGATGTCAAATATACTGCCACCATGGCTTATGTCGGCATCGGTGAAGACTTTGAAAAGGGTGGCAATTGGACTTGTAACAATGAGGCGCATGCTTTATGGCAGACCAAGATTTGGAAAATTGCGTACGATTTACTAGCGACAGGAAAGATACAAGTCCATCCTACTCGGGTGGAAAATACCGGGTTTGAAGGAATTCTGGCTGGTCTGAAAGAGTTGGAGAATGGAGCTGTCTCAGGGCAGAAGCTAGTCTATGTACTATAAAGACATACCCACAGTGGAGACGCCATATGGACCTTTTCTTTTGGCTGACAGGGATTTCGAGTTATCCGAGTTCAAACGTGCATGTATGGAACTGCAATGATCAAGTTCAAAGAGTTAGACGGTAATAAAATGCGATAGATGATCCCAAAAATACCAGTAATTTAGATTACTTGACACAAAATAAATATTGCTCATCGATACCAGTTTAGTCGTGGTTTTCACGTCTTACACTGTCCAAACCTATCGGCTGCGAAGGGGCCCATTGAGCCACGTTGAGTACTTTTTAGGCTCCACTATTTGGCCTACTATTGGCTGGAATGCAGGATCAAAGGAACAGAGGATTGAGCAGAGCAAACCCACCGCGTGTAGTATTTAATAGAAAGCAAGACAATTCGGGCGACTAGCGAAAAGCTGACATCAATATCGCCTCGATATGTCTTGTCCCCCAGATTTGGAAAAGTCGAGCCACCATACAGACTCGCCCAGCCATGACGGACGCCAGAGAAGCCAAGAAGAAATTCGATTTGCAAAAGGGGAAGACCCAAAGTCCTTTAGTCCGCTCTATAAGGCGTTTGTCACGTGGGAAATGAGTATGCTCGCCTTCGTCGGCTCTCTAGGTTCATCTATCATGTCACCCGCACAGGCGGACATGGCGATGTATCTGAATATCAGTGAGCAAGCTACAGTTTTGAGCTTGTCACTCTTTGTTCTTGGTCTGACCATTGCATGACCTTCTTACTCCATGCTTGCGACTGATCACCATTATTAGGATACGCATTTGGCCCGCTGATCTGGGCACCGATAAGCGAGGTTTACGGTCGACGACTATCCATGCTTCCAGCTGTCTTCGGACTGTGCATTCTGAGTATCGGAACCGCTGTGAGCAAAGAGCCGGCTAGTGTGTTCATTACGCGATTTATCGGGGGTGTTTTTGGCTCGGCGCCCATCAGCAATGTGTCTGCGGCGCTAGGTGATATTTATGATCCCCGCGTGAGAGGAGTACCTATGGCCTTCTATGCCCTTTGTGTGATTGGAGGGCCCACTCTTGCACCAATTGTTGGTGCAGCATTAACCGCCAATCCTCACCTTGGATGGCGATGTACGTTGTCCCTTAGTGAGACGGCTTGTGGCTAATATTGATCTAGGGACTGAGTATCTGGAAGCCATCATCGGATTTGCCGTCTTAATCACTACGGTATTTTTTCTACCTGAAACATATGCCCCGGTTCTCCTCCGAAGAAAGGCTCAGTTGATGCGAAAGAAAACCGGTGACCCGAGCTACTGGCATGCATCTGAAAGAAACAAGATGGATTTGAAAACAACTATTACGAAGCAATTAAGTCGTCCTTTGCAGTAAAGCTCCTCTTACAAAATCCGAACTTTGATGTTCCTGAAAGCTAACCAGTTGCAGAATGTTCTTTTTAGAGCCAATGGTGTTCACAATTGCCTTATATGCCTCTCTGGTTTACGGGATACTATTCTTGACTCTCGAAGTCTTTCCCATTGTCTTTAAAGAGAAACGCCATTGGAGCCCTGTAATTTCTACTCTTCCATTCTTGGGCTTACTAGTCGGTGTCATCTTCGCACTTGCAGTCAACATTGTCAGTCAGCCATATTATGCCCGTACGGTTGCAAAAAACAACGGCAAGGCGGTTCCAGAAGCGCGTTTGCCGCCAATGATAATTGGAGGTTGTCTTTTCTCGATAGGGCTCTTCTGGTTTGGATGGACTGCAGACCCAAAAATTGCGTGGGAGTCGCCTATAATCGCCGCCGGTACGTCGAACGGACAATTAAATGAGCCGGAATTATGCTTTCCTGGATTTTTCCAACATTAATGATAATAGGATTCATTGGTGCCGGGTTCAATATTGTTTTCCAACAATGCCTCAATTTCTTGGTCGATACTTACGGTCAATATGCTGCAAGTGCCGTGGCAGCAAACAACCTCCTTCGTTGCTTAATGGCTTGTGGCCTGCCATTGGCGGCGAGACCCATGTTTCTGGCATTGGGAGTGGGACCCGCATCGAGCATACTCGGTGGAATATCGATTCTGGCCTTGCCTGTTCCCTTTTTGTTCATGAAATATAGTGCTGTACTTCGCAAAAGATCGAAGTTCATTGTTTCATGAACTCAAGGGCATTTGAAGGCGAATTCAAGTTTACTATACTTATTTCTCTATGCATTGATTCATTTATTTTTTCTTTGCTCAAATGGGACAAGCCAACTCTACTGGCCTTTGGTACCTTGCAAATTCAAGTAGTTCGTAAAAATAGTGCCCGGAGGGCTTCGAGTATGGAGCAAGCCTCTGAGTAGATCTGTTGCTTCATTATTTTTCCGTTTTGCATCATTTGGTCATCATTTAACAGTGGGGACCATAGCATTTCAGACCATTTCGGAAACATCGGTTACGGCAGGCCAGAGCGAGGTACGGGATTGAATGGGATTGTGGGATTGAAGGATCGTCAGAAAGTGATATGAAAGGAATGTGGGAATGAAGGACTAGCGTGGATTTGTGAAGTTGGCGTCAACCACGCCTGGTGTCTTTTGATTCTTGCTTTGATTTATCTATAAGTACATGTTTGAACCATGGCTCGAGTTATTCAATCACAGAAACGACAAAATCTTTGAATAATCCAATTCAAATTTTCATACAACCCTTCAAAATGCCTTCCGTCGCTGAAAACCAGATTCGCACTGCCAAAGATCTCTTCGAGGGATACAACGAGTATACTGCTGACGCAGTCCTTCGTTCTCGTGCCGACAATTGCGTTCACTACATCCTCCCAACCTCGCTCAACCGTCCATCTAAAACCAACGAGGAGTACCGTGAATTCTTTGGTCCTCTACAGAAGGTTATGCATCGTTTTGAGGTTAGTTTGAACTTAGTCAACGAGTATGTTCTTCTGCTTATATGAGGCAGACCACCATCCACAGAATTGTCAACGATCCCGAGAACCACTGCGCAGCGGTTCACGCCTCCGGAATTGGAGAATCACCTGTTGCTGAATACAAGAATGAGTATGCATTCTTCTTGGAGTTCAACGAGACTGGAGACAAGATTACCAAAATTGAAGAATTCGTGGACGCTGCGTTCAGCAAGAACTTCTTAGCCAAGGTACTTGAGTGGCAAGCAAAGCAGAACTAGATAGTTCAGGCCAGCCCATCAATACTAGATGAAATCGAGAGAATGCACTTGTTCTCTCCACCTTTTTATCCTTCCTGGTACTCTCCAAGTAGAAAAGAGGCAATATTCCCTCCGGCCCTGAAGAAAACCCGAGTTTGCAGTTAATATGCAGGAGCGGGGGCAGAACAAGATCCTTATGCAACTCAAACAAGGCAACAGAGTCCAAGCCGTTGATAAAGGGGCGGTAGGGGGGTGGAGGAGGGGATAAAATAACAAGGTAGAGTAGACCTATGGGTTTTAGATATCCATAAACAATCAATTACGGTGACATTTTCAGTGTAAGATAGATTAGAAACTCCCCTTGTAAGGTCTAGTCCACGTAGGGGAGGCCAGCCCTAGGTGGATCAAACAGAAAATATCGCACATACAACACTGTCCTCCTGATAACAAGTCGATATTCGAACAAAGGAAGGCATCCTATCCAGAGACTTTAGGTTAAACTCCGTCTCAGTTGTCTAGTGAAGCACATGTGACCTCAATGTCAGCAATAGATGTATCCGGATCCCGACGGGCAGCTTAAGGATTGCAGGAACTGCTTCAGGATCAAGGAATGCAGGACTAATAAATGAAGTCAAATTCTAGGTTGCCACCACCGCTGTCAGAAACCTAGCCTTACGTGTCATAACACATTTAAAATCAGCGTCCGCTTGAATGACTGCTGAACCTTTCTCTCAACAAAACACTCGATAAACATGATTTCAACTACAGTTTACACTCGTCACACTCTTGATTCGTCTCTCCCAACGGTTTCTTTTGAAAGCAGCAAGGTAACAGATGAAGCTCATGAATTGCCAGCGATCATAGTTGAAAATGGGCTTCAGCCAGCTATTGGTCTGCTTATCCCCCCTCTCCCCATGCGGCTTTCGGGCAAGAGCTGACCATTTAAAGACATCTATAACAAAAATCAGGACGTCGTCGAAAGGATTCTCGACGTTTTACAATCGTACTTTTGGAAGGCCGAGGATGACACCGGAGATAGCGACTCCTACTGGCCAGGTCGAGAAAATTTCAAGAGCCATGTTGTACACTGGATGGAATTAGGGGAACCAGTTCGAATGGCTCTCCCCGCTTTTCCTTTCAAGTCTGTAAGTGGGAAAATCTTTCCAAGTAAGATTCAATACTGAACAGCCATAGACCAACATGGACAAGGTACTCGGTGTGCTACCTGACTACGCTGAATACCTCGGGTTACTTCGACTAAACCAAATGTGTTTGGATATCAAAGAGTGCTACAGTCCTGGCGCTGAGGTGACCATCGCTGCAGATGGCGTGGTTTTCAACGGTATGAGAAGGCCAAAATAAAGTCTCCTAGACTCTCGATCAATACTAACATAAGAAATAGATCTTCTTATGATTAGCGACGACGATGTCTGGAACTATGGCCAAGCTGTCAGAGAGATGGTACAAAAGCACGGCTTTGACCAAAACCTGAAAGTTCTCCATGCGATGGAGATTTTATCTCTCACAATGACCGATCCGACCACCAAAAGCACTACACTTACCGAAGAGATCTTTCATAAGACCATAGCCTCTTCCCGCGCTGTAATCATCAGTGAATTCTGTCAGTCCGAAAACGTCACACAAAAGCTCGTGGATGAGGACATCGATTCACGACTCACCTACAATGGCATGAAAGCTTTTGTCAAAATCGACCTCGCAAACACATCAATTCGGAAAAATGCTGCGAGTAAAAAGGACTATCACAATGAGATTTCAAGCTTGGCTCTAAAAATGATGGGCCGCTCCGAAGGCTTTGGCAAACTGATTCGGACTGCAATGCCTCATCATGTCCGCCTCTCCATTCACCCGTCCTATGGCACTGCCAAGCTGTCAATCTGTCTGGTGCCTCAGCTTTCAGGCTTCACAGCCCGGGCGCCATGGATGAGCTGCATTGCTGTCGATCGACAAGGAGCGAACCATACAGCGCACGCAAGAGACGTTCGGGTCACCCATCAGCTCGTGGTTGAAAATGGGATGCCGTGGATGTTCATGGAACGTGCAGCTGCTCCATTGCCGGAATGGCTCCTTTTGCGAAACCAGATGTTCGAGGAACTATGGCAGCAAAATTTGATTGACTTGAAAAAACAACCCAGAAAGGGGATCAAGATTACTATCGAGATTGACGGCAGGCCTGAACGTACTGTCGATGCCATGTCATGGCTTTCAACTCCGAAGTCATTGCTGGCATATGTATCAGAGGAACTACGCAATTCTGCACTCATCGCCAAAATCAATGGCAGAAAGTACTGGGATCTAAACCGACCATTTGAGGAGGCCTGCTCCGTTGCATTCTTGGGTTGGGATCACCCTGAGGGACAGCAAGCATTATGGCGCTCATGCGCCAACTGTCTTGCTGAGCTTTGTGAGCAAGAGTTTCAATGTGTCATCGCCGACACCATGACCTCGACCCGGGGCTTTTACTGTGAGATGTCGACTCTAGATGGGTAGGATACCTTAAAACCCTTGGATCCATTTGTTACTCGTAGCTTATTTCTTCTAGTCGCGGAATCACGGAGACTGACCGTGAATTGCTCACACTACGAATGATGCAAGTCGTGCAGAAACCACGGGGATTTGACCGATTAGAACTTCCCAGACATACTCTTCAAAAGATTTTTGCGAGCAACAAATACCGTTTACATGCGATCAACAGAATGGCTGAAGGTCAAACAGCCATCATTTATCGTTCGGGGACTTACGTCGACCTGGCATATGGCCCGCACATTCCGGACATCTCTCTCATCAAAGCATTTAGAGCAACGCAGGTTAGGCGATCCATTTCTCCTTTCGGGAAACTTTGATTATAACCATGGATACAGAGCTCCTCTGCGTACTTTTTAGGAGACCAAAACGAAAGCTCTCTGCAACGAGTCTCAGGTATCGCATTTCCACATAAGGGTCTGATGAATCAACATCTACAAGCTCTCAGTAAATTACAATGTGAAGACCATATCAGATTGGGAAAACAGCAACAGCTCTTCTTAACCCATGAACTCTCTCCCGGATCTCCTTTCTTACTTCCACATGGGGTACGGATCTTCAATGCGCTGCAGAAGCTACTGCGAGCTGAATATCACACGAGAGGGTACCAAGAGGTGCAAACGCCTAACATGTACGACGCTACTCTGTGGAAAACCTCTGGACATTGGGCACATTACAAGGAGGATATGTTCCGCTTCAACCTTGGGAAAAAGGAATGGGCGCTCAAACCAATGAACTGCCCTGGTCACTTCCTCTTGTTTACAAGCCGAGACAGGACCTTCCGGGAATTACCTTTGCGCTATGCTGATTTTGGTGTTTTGCATCGTAATGAGGCCTCCGGGGCCCTCCGCGGCTTAACACGAGTCAGAAAATTTCAGCAAGACGACGCACATATCATATGTCGCCCGGACCAAGTAATACAACGAGACCGTGTGGACCGTATTGATGGAAAAGCTTGACTAACAATTTCAAATAGATTGTATCCGAAGTTGAGGCAGTCTTTGACCTCCTAAAAAGCCTTTATGGGCTCTTTGATTTCACATTCAAATTAGCACTCTCTACGCGTCCTGCTAAGTTTCTGGGCACGATCGAAACTTGGAACGAGGCCGAAGATCAGCTCCGTGAGGCACTGACTAGATTCAAATGTGACGATTGGACTATTAATCCTGGTGATGGGGCTTTCTATGGGCCAAAGATCGACATCACAATCGCCGACTCATTGGGACGCGAGCTACAATGTGCTACAATTCAACTCGATTACCAGGCTCCGATCAATTTCAATATGAAATATACAACAGAAAAGGTAGAGCATGGCATTGCCCGCCCTGTCGTCATTCATCGCGCGATATTCGGAAGCTTTGAGCGCTTCCTCGGTATACTTATCGAACATTTCGCGGGAAACTGGCCTTTCTGGCTAAGCCCACGACAAGTATTGATCGTTCCAGTTTCGGATTCTCAACATGAGTACGCAAAAGAACTCGAGCGGACTCTGCAGGGCGATAAAATGCATGTTGATTTGGATCTTCGTGATGATACACTCAGGAAGAAAGTACTGAGAGGGCACCGGGAGAAGTACAATTTCATCTTTGGTATTCTTACCCCGATCCCCCTCATCTTCACGACGCGTTACTTATTTTTTTACAGTCGTTGGGCCCGCCGAAGAGAAGACTCGGACAGTTAATATTCGCAATCGCGATAAGTCCGAATCACAGCACAGAGGTACACCGGTGGCTGTCGATGAGGTGCGCCTCATTTTGAGAGATCTCAGAAAACGACGAAGACTCGCAAATACCCTTTAATCCACTCATGGACACATTTTCCTTCTCACGTCGACTATATTGGTCCTCTTAAATACTGGATTTATATGCCTGCTATGACTAGCGAATTTCTTTCATCAGTGCGGACTATGTATAAAGAAAATTAGACTGGCCTTTTGCCTGCAATAACGCTTCGCAACCTCTCACGCAGTACATTGGTGAGGCAAAAATTAACCCAGTGGAAGCCTCTGCGGTAAGCTATTCTAGTAGATGCCCTGTAGAAGGGCCGGGGGGGGGGGGGGGGGGGGGGGCAGCAGGGAAGAACTTTAGGCTATATAGAGATGGAATGAATCAAAGACCAATAAAGCGTATGACTTTTGCACAAAAGCAAACGCTAATCTATACATATCAAAACAAGCCCGCTAAGATAACCCCATAGAAATGACCATGTGAGACTCCAATATCATGCACAACACTCAACAGAACCATGTTTATCAAAGATCTCACTTGATTTGGACCTGGAACAGATACCGTTGCCTAATCTGAGCAACATCATAAACAATGTACTCATTGTAGTAAAGAGAAGCACTCTGCGTCTTTTGTTGCTTGATCTCAACATCAGGCATAGTAACACCCTGCAAAGTAGAATTCAAAGAGACAGCATCCTTCCACCCACCCGGGATATTGCGACCTTTTCCGAGAGTTGCTAGCTTTCCTGTCTGTTTGCAAACATCGCCGGCATTGTAATCGCTGTTTTCTAGCTCCAGCATTGGAGCACCGACTTCGGCATCGCAGAGTAGCAGAAGGGCCATACCGCCACTGTTGTAGTGGCAGCAGTAGTTGGCGGATTTGCTGGATGTGTCCGCCAGGTAGACTCCCTTGCCGAACATATAGCCGTTGACTGGGGCTTCCGGGGGTGCAATGCGGAGTCCTTGGCTTAGGATTCCACCAAAGTTTGTGCTTCGGGACCCGTGCCAAAGGAGGCGACGGTCACTGTTGGCGATGCTAGCGTATGGGGATGTGTTGAAACGGTCATTCTCGCCTTGACGCTCGACGCGGAAGATGTTGATCACGCTATATTCCAGATGGTGGGTTGATCCGCGGGAATTTTGGAGGTAATCCTCTAGTTCCTTGAACTCGGTCGATTCCTGATCCACTGATTGCAGTTAGCTTTCGCCCGCCCTGGTGGTGTCATCATTTGAAACTCACGTTCAATCATCTCCTCCATTCCCAAGCTCTGGAACTGGCGATCCAATTCATGTATCTCATTGGCACCTTGGTTGTCTTTCATGATCTCGTTGGTGACATCCATGTCGGTCAGGGCCTCAAGCAGCTCAACCTCCTTCTTGATCTGCTCATTGCTCCCAAGAGTTGGAGGCCGGTTACGGCCAAAGACGTGGGGAATCAGTGTATAGTAGCGGTCACTGAGGCTTTCAATTGCCTTCATGTACGGCAGTCCGTATGTCGCATTGGCGGTGGCCGGTGCCGCAAGCAGTTCGGAGAGTTCTTTGAGGACCAAGAACCCATTCGTCAAGGTTCGCTTGCTCAGCTTTCCAAGAGGCATTTTTTTGGCATCATAGGACATTGCTGCCAGAGCTTCGAGAACGTGGTTGTTATTGAAGATGAACTTCATCAAGTTCTGTATAGGCTTCGAGAGAGCGCTCTCAACCTTGAGTCCATTCTCTTTTTCGACGCCGTTCTCTTTTTTGGCATCTTTTTCTTCCTCTTCCTCGTCGTCTTCCTCGTAGTTGCGCTCAAGGAACGTGTACTTTCCATGCTTTGGAGTAGCCAGCCGATCTTCCCACCTCAGGCCTGTCTTGCTTTTGAATTTTCCCTCAAAATGTTTGATTGCTTCTGTCAAGCTACCACTTCCAAGCCTGGCCGACTGACCGTGCTCTCCAACTCGGCCCCACCGGGTCCAAGCGATGTATTTTTGCTGCTTGCCGACCAAGATTTGGACACGGTAGAACTTGTTTGCATTGTTGGCTGACACGGTTTGGTTCAAAGTTGCGTCCCAGATCAAACCCGCGTCGTCGATGTAAACGGTGGGTTCTGAAGTGAAACGGTCAGTGTCTTGTTTCCATGACATGTCACCATCTCAACTCACGCATAAAACCGTCCGATCGATCATCAAAACCTTCATCAACTGGGACATTCAGAGACTTCGAGCTGGCCTTTTGGATGTCCTTTAGCTTCTTGTTAGGCTCCTCAGTCGGTTCGTCTTTCACTGCGCGCTTTTTCGTCTCGGCCTTCTTGTCGGTGCCACTTCCATTCTTCTCGGTGTCTGGCTGAGGCGTAGGCTGCGCTTGGCCGAGAACATACTGCTTTTCAGGCAATGGTTTCTTTGCCTCAGCGGATTCAGTAAGCCAGCTAAGAGAAACAATGTGGCAATTTGCGATTGCGCTTGCTTGTGTGCCTGGCTTGGTAATTAGACAAAGGCTCATAGTGTCAATTTAGTTAGCTTTCTCACATTTGGTGGTTTGCTTTTCCACGTCCTTGTCTGTGGTCACAAGGTGGGTTACCTCATCTGTCACAGAGGTGCTGAATGTGGCCCCATTATCCTCAATCATTGACTTGAGGTCCGCTGAGCCAATGTCATGTGTCAGCACGATTTCAATGTGTCAAACCAGATGCACCGTGTATTGAGTAGGGTCTTACCTTGTCTAAGTTTGGGAAATGTCCCACTCACAGCGATGACCAACTTTTTGAAAGATCTCGCAGGCATTGTGTACCGAGTTTACGACTGACAATTGAGTAGCAGGAAGTAAACCAACTGCGCTTAAAAGGGGCCCCGGGCGAAGACGAGGTGGGGGCTAAGTAGAAAGAGGGGAAGAGGGAAGAGAAAAGGAGGCCCGCAATGGAAGTGATTAAGATGAAGAAGTTGGACTGGCAGAGGATAAGCAGTTACCTTTTAAACCGCCAGTGTTGTGGTCATCTCGGTCACTCAACAGCTGTGAGGCCTAAGGAACCAGGCACCAATGAGACTGCTGCCTGGCTAGCGCAAGGCAGCAGGGCCCAAGTGGGGAATTTGTGCCTGGGAGTGTAGAAGCCTTGTTTTTGAGCTCGATTTAGACTGAATAAATTTAATCTACTCTAGTTCCAGGGAATTATGAGATTCTGCAAGAGGAGTCATAGTTCCAGAAACCAAAGTAGCTCGCGGGATCCAAGTGTGACTGCCGAGACATTTCATAGCTAGTGCTAGATTCCATTGCATGTAAAGACACTGCAGATCTTGATATTATCATTTAACATCAATCGATCCAGAACAATCCAAAGGAATTAGGATTTGTTCATATAAAATGTTGAAGTGATTGCATGGTGTCGGACTTTCTTCTTTAGGCAAGTCGCCGCTCCGCTCCGGTGGCGGGGAACCTTTCTACGAGGAAAGGAAAGGGCCGTAGCTCCCATTCTTCCGGCTTCTGATATCATGATGGAACTGAAATTTTTAATTAGCCATGGCGGAGGAAATGTCAAAAGAGGCCAGGCGAGACGAGCATGTAACTCCTGTCGTCGGAAAAAGGTCAGCTGCAGATATGTATATATCAGTGCGGAACACACATACTAATCCCCTCTAGAAACGATGCTACCACAATGGAGAGGCGAACATGAAAGAGGTTCTACCTGACCTGCGTCCTATTCCCACTTTTATCTCTACTCCCTCTAACACACCTTGGTCCTCGAGGGGGGACTCAGTGACCCGAGGTAGATCCGCTTCTCCAGCCAGAGGGCAAGGAAGGGACCCCACACTTCAAAAATCCTGGGATCGTGAGACCGTTAGCTCAACCATCACCCAACCAAGTCAGACTACAGAAAATGAGCCTGATTCGCGTCAATTTGCTTGCGACTCAAACCCAATGGCGACGTTCATGGGGAAAGATGGATCGCGGTTACAAAACGGCCAGTGCCAAAGGGGCGATGTAGGAGCATGGTTGTGCCCAGAGGAAAACTACCTTGATCCTTGGGAAAGCCGTAGCCGGCTACAATCATCACGAAAGCCACATTCACAGCCAGCAGATGTCAACGCATATCAGCTGCCACCAAAAAAGAGCCAAGAAGTTCTAATAGACGTCTATTTCCGCCGAATACATCCCCTACTGCCTCTTCTCGATGAACAGACAGTGCGAGCCAATTTTCAAGCACAGTGTTTGCATATCAGGCTCCTCCAAACAATATGCCTTGTCGCAGCTAAAGACAAGACCATGGAACCCTTTCTATACCTCGACCAAAGCTCGGAATTGCTCCAACTGGAGAGGTTCAGCAGTATACTCTATACCGACATCATGCAAAACATACCGAGGACGCCCAGGAAGAAGATAATCTACATTCAAATCCTGGCCCTTTTGTCGCTCCAGGAATGGGGACCTACTGGATCCGAGGATCGTTCTTTGAACTTGGCTCAGGCTATCCACCATGCACATACCATTGGGCTGCACTTGATGAGAATAGATCAGCAGCCTACTGCTTCACTAAAAGCTCTATTTTGGTGTTTGTGGAGTCTGGATAAATGGAACGCTGCGATGAATGGAAGACCGATTATGATTCATGACCGCGACATGAACCAGGGGGTAGATGGCGTTATCTCATCGTTCCCAGCCTCATTCCGGCTCTGGCTTCTCATCGCCGAGAAGTTGGGAAGGGTGATTCTATTTTATCGGCCGATCGTTGATGGTGCCGATCATGAGGAACTTGATCTTCCCTCCTACGAGGAACTTGTTGAGAACTGCGATGCGTGGGACCTACCATCAGATTTACTAGGTATATAAACCTACTTTTATGCGTTTGAATGGGTACTAACTGATAGATTAGATTCAAACGAGCTACTTTATCACGCAGTTACTATTCTCTCCACACATTCCAATGGCCTTCAAGGGCGTTCACGGCCAAGAACTTCCTGTATTCGACAAACCCATTCAACCTTCTCCATTGCATCCCTGATACGAAAGAGGGATATTCGAATTCTACCGCCGATGCCAATGCTCGGTTACACTATATCCCTCGCATTCTCGGTAACCTACAAACAGCTAAGAGAAAGCCAACTAGCCAGTACCCGCCACACAGCTATTGAGCAAATGCGCCAATTTCATCAATGTATTGAGCAGTCTTTCTCTGCATGGTGGTCTACTGCTGTGATGGCCAGACTAGGAAATCGTGTGCTGGACAGCATCCAGCCCTCCGTAGAGCTTCAAGGTTCTACAGCCCCAGTGAATGATACTCTCCGACCGAAATCTCGACAGGAAGTGGGACGTTGGCGTTCACAGAATCTTGAGCATATTGAAATTTTGGGGTCACACCCCAGCGTTGAGTGTATGCAAGGGTTGGGGCGGGCAGAGGCTAGAATAGAGAGGGTCGACCCTCTCGGATTTCAACCACGATCAGATGACTTGTCTGATTTGGACATATCAGTCGCAAATCCATTTCTGGGAGCTCCTGGCATCGAGGATTATGACATTTTTTTCAAAAATTTCCCTGATGTCAACTTCCCCAGCGGCAATGATCAACTATTAATGGAAGTGGAAATGTCGGAGTTCGAGTTTGAGTAACCAAGGGATGTATATATATAGAAATATACCACTGGAACAAGTTTTCAATTAAATCATCATACCCCGTATTTTCGCCGTATGATTTCATACGTGGCCAAACAGAGCCAAGATAAAGCTCCGTTCGTTGGAATTTGAACTCCGACCCAATTTGGGAAAGCCCGCATTCTTCGCCGACGCGAGTACAGCGTAAATAAAGTGCGATGATTCCCCCGAAATTAGATTTACCGGTTGGAATATCACAGAATGATGATTTCTAGGTTCAACTCTTTAAGCTTGAAAAGCTCCTCGGTTCGCAGCATGTTCGGCAAGGACATAGCTAGCTCTGAGTTAAAGTATGGTTGTCTGCTTGTCATCACTGACTAATATCTGGACACGATATTAACTGCAAATTATTAGGCTTGATCAATCATGTATATTCATACAAGAAGAACGGCCTGCAGAGCTATCACCTTCGGTTACTGGGAGATTCAGTCTCTCACTCGCCCAACCTGCCGCCTTCAAAAGTATCAAAGTCCGACTTAGGGGAATGCTGTCAATGTAAGATACCGGTGCAAATAGCAAATCGTTAAACTGGCATCTAAACTTTGGTGTTAATAGTTCAATCGAAGGATTACTCGGCTCCGAAATTCGCGAACAGCTGACCTTCGACCATGAGCAAGCTCTCGCATCCACGAAAGCCCTCAGTGCATTCCAAATGCCAGCCGGCGATCACGAGTTTCTCTTCAGTATTCCACTTCCACCCAAGATGTTCTCAACAGTCACAAGTCCACACCACGATTATCACAAATACAACGTCGAGGTTGTCATTGAGCGACGTCTAAAAAGTGACTTTGTGGTCTCACAACCGATACATATCTACCAGCTTTGCGGACTAGAACAAAGCTATCTAAGACCATGCAGTCCATTGGTTCGTTACTATGTTCCAACCCGAGATTTCGTGTCACGGCTAACGGCTTGCGATATGTAGACTCTTGAAGGCCAATCCGATCAAGATATTCAATACTGTATTTCCCTTGCGGATCGCAATATTCCTTTCGGTTGCACATTCCCCGTGGAATGCTGGTTCGCTCCGCTATGCAAAGGCACTAAACTCAACGCAGTCACGGTCGAAGTCCAGGAGAGGCAAAGTGTGCGCTTGGATGCTACTGCTGCGGAGTCGGTACGACAGAACATACACTTTGTCACCTGCGCGCACAGCCATACTGTCTTCTCAAAGAAGATAGACTTTGCTGATGGGAGTGAGCCAACGGGTGCTGATTTGATGGAGACGGAATGGCGCATAAACACATCTGTGTGTTTGCCACGTACTTTGGGCGGCTGTTCACAGAGCATTTCCACAAAGCACATCAAGATCAAACATGTCTTGATTGTAAAGGCAGAGTTCTGCACCGAGGAGGGCGAGATAAGTGCAGAGGTATGTACATTTCCACGTCAAGAAATGGGTACTACGACTGACCACGGTCTAGATCTCAGAAGTCATTCCCATTGACATCTATATGACTCCTTGTGTCATTGGTGAGAATGGGTTCATCCATGGACGGGATGTGCAACAGCTGCAGGGGAACGACCATCCTCCCCCGGCTTACAATGACCACTTGTCCGACCTCATAATTCTGACAGCTGCTGATGTCGACCTTTGTGGGAGAACAATCGTTACGGAGATGAATCTTGAGCGCAGTTCCAGCCAAAGTTCTTCCAGCAGTTCATCTTCTGATCCTGCACCTTTATATGTATAACGAACGATCAATCCGGTTTACGGTGTGAATGTGTCTCGGTCCTTGCGCTTTATCTTAAATGTTTATTCGCTCTACTCTTCTTTCACTCTCGGCTCATTGCACTTTGTATATATATTCATTGCGTCATCCGGACATACCCACGAAGCAATGTTCTACTTGTACTGATCTACTGAAATCTATAAACCAATCCTTCTTCAGCCCCAACTTGACCCCGACACAACCTTTCCCAGCCCTTCTCAATACCATCACCCGAAATACCCGTACCCCATACAATCTCCATCCCAGGAACACTCAAGTGTCGCTCAGACAACCATTCCTCCCAACGCGCATCCTTAGTAGCGAAGTATTCCTCGGGACCCATCCGTTCAATAACAGTATCCTGAACACCAGAAGTATTAAACGGAATTTTCCCAAGCTCCACAACGGCAGCTCTCTGAGCCAACATCTCCTCGGTAGAATAGACCCTCTGCTCACTCCCAACCTGGAGAATAACCACCTTCAAATCCTTCAGATCATCACGCCCCTTGACCAACTCAATCAAATCACCAAGAGCATCCCCCCTAGCCCCAAAGTCAATAATAACAAGCTCCTTAGGCTTCCGCTCAGCAAGCCAATCCCCAGTCTCCCCAGACCCAGCATCCTCATATCTGACAGCTTTGGATGGAATCCGAGTGGCTAGATTCTGATCGGCTTCTGTGATACGTGACACGGCTGATGTGACGTGCAACAAGCCGAGGGGCATTGAACGCTCCGGCTTGCGTGATAGATAGTACGAGAATACACGAGCCGTTTTTGTCGACGCTGCTAGGTTGATTGTAACCGCTGAGGATATGTCGCCGTCCGATTGGGACCAGGGGAGCTTAGATGCTGATCCTAGCGGGTGGATGGATGGTTGGGTTTCTGGGTTTGAGGAGAAGACGTATTCACTTAGAACGTAGCCCGCTACGCCCCCAATGAACAGAGTCGTCCATGCCATACGCTCGAGTTCCTCTTGAGCGGATGGTGGCGGAGTCTTGGTGACTAGGTCGTTGATCGTGTTTGATGTTGCTGTTACTGTATAGCGGTTGTACAGGGGCATCATCTTTTGACGATGTCCGCTGATCTCGATCCAGTGACCGGTTGGCTTTCCAGGTTTGAGGTGGAGATCAGTTGGTGTGCTCGTTGTTGGCCAGAACCCATACAGGACTGTTCCTTTGGGTAGTTCTGGGATAGTCGTTTCTTCCACAGTTGCGTAACCCCAAGCAGGAACAATTCCCCATGCTGATGGGTCGTTGTATGGAGCGGGATAGTTTTCGGACACGGGGTACGCATCCCACCTAAAGGCATGCATGAGTTTCTGCATGTAATCGATGTTGGTACTGGGCTTACTACTCACCAACGTAGAAGCTCACCCATGCGGGCGTAGCTCAAGTTGTTCGAAGTCAGACTTATAAGTAGCGGGCGAAGCCGGATTGAAGACTCAGGCAACGGGGCCCCAGCAATAGATTGGACATCAAAGCTGGCATGTTTGCTGTTGTCCAGCTTGGAAACCACATGAACTGACATTGTGCCACAAGAGAATATGTAGATTGTATGATAAATAAAAAGTTGAAGATGTTAGCCTGCTTACATGGATCCCAAGATAAAATATCAGTGGATTACTGATCGGGATAATTCTCAAAACGCCCCGACGGGAAACCCCCACCTGAAACAACAAGACTGCGTTTTTGCCAAGCTTGACAATCACATGTTCAAGTCAAATATAGCTTGGAACGTATCTACGACCACAATGGTCATCAATCTCAACATCATGTTTGCCATGGATAGCTTTAAGGTTAACTAACCCAGTTTGTGGGACTGCAATGGCGTCATAGTGTTTTCCAACTCCAAAGTCGAATATCACCTATTGAACGGAATGCAACTGGATGAGCTAAGTTTGATAAGCAAAGGGAAATGGTCGATCCTATTTGCAGCCATAGAACACCAAGAAAATGATCCACAAATATTCGCGGAAATTGAGTGGGTGTTATCCCCTTCGTTCATCCGCTTGTATTCCAGCGCTCAAATGTACACAGAATGCCAAGCTAATACGTATATAAGGTCTGTACGGTCTAATCGCCGCTCTTCTCATGAACGCGCGCGTAAAAGATGCCGAGAAGTGCACTCGAGAACCCCCTTTCACAGACTAGCATCGGAAATAGCGAAATTATGCAACCGAACTTTTGGTAGAATGGTCTGAGATCTTCTCCAGGCTTTGATGCTGTTGCAAGTCCAAGAGCATATTTCTATTCCGCTGGACGGATCTGAATCAATGATATGCGGAGGTGCTACACTAGTTGCGCGAATCAATATGATTCAGACGGTCAATGAAACTGTCTATTGTCTTTTTCATGTATAAGATCCGTTTTATAATCATTATTGAATGTTCGGCTTAAGCCAAGAAGCCTCCCTGCACGACTCGCTAAAGTCTGTGTTTATCCTGAACCCTAATTCTGACATCTTTTCGATGTCCCAACCGGATATGAAATCTTGATCGTCAGGCGTAGGTGTTCCCATCTGGATCGAGTTCCCAAACCGGCATTTTTTGGAAGAATAGGAAAATTGCAGGCAATTTGAGTCCACAGCGCAGGCGGTGCTGCACGCTGTAGCAGAATAATGGGCAGGGGAATCCTCTGGTGGAGTAATGTCCGAATGGTTGTCCCAAAACTGTCGAGTGCGCTCGTCGCGTAGGTGGGAATGGGTATATGCGAGGATCGAGGAGTGAAGAAAGGGTTGCTAGCAAACAGCTTTAGTAGGGGAAACATTCACAGAAGGCGAGATAAATATACCTCATTATACGGCCTCGTCCGTTCCCATTTCCATAACGCCGTCATTTGCTCTGGCGACATTCGATGAAGTGCAAGCAGCGGGATACACCACCTCTCCTTGTCCACTTTAAGGGACCCGAGGTCGTCACCAGCAAACGTAGGATAAAGACCCTCCAATTTTACTCCAGTCTTATCCAGGATGGCATAACCAAGCACAGCATCGCCGCAGCAGTCCTTCTTGGCCCAGTCCTGGTATTGAACACTCAGGCGAGAGTCGGTGCTGGGGTTGCCAACGAAGCGTTTCATTAAGCCCGTTGACAGCACAAAACCTGCGCCACCATACGCGAAATATCGACCGTCAGATCCCGGGGCCGGTGACCCTAGATAATGCATCTTGGATGGGTCGAGCTGATCAAGAATGCGGAATATTGTGTCCCAAAAATAATAAACATCGGCTTCAATGAAGACGTACCAATCTGCGTGCGGGCGCATCTCATACGCCTTTTCAACCATAGGCAAGAACTTGAAGCGGTCGAGTCGCCACCCTTCCTGCGAATAACCAACTGAGCCACCTTGTGAATGGGCCAGCTTCTGGGCACTGTAAGCCGCGAAATCCGGGTTGTTGGAGTTGTAGGTTGGCGGGAGGTCGTCAAGGACATCAATGAAGTGATGATGACCAATGTTCTCGTCGAAATCGGAAAATATAATGAGGTTGGTGATGCAGGAGGTAACGGTATCAAGATGCGCTTTGTTCTTCTCAGGCTCGCCAGTGCCTGTTTTGAGGATTACTTGAACGCGATCTAATAAGTGGGTGGGAAAGTTTGCGCAGAACTCGGAGGATGTCAGGTCTCTGTCCCCGGCATCGATAAGCGGCGGGAAATAAGGCCTGGTTATCCATGAATAGTATCGGTGCCCAGCTTTGGAGTAGTATGGCGATTTTGCGTCAGAGAAAACATCCAGGGGAGAGCCGAAATGCGGTCGGTAGACATAGTGGCCGAGACCGATCATGAACAAAATGAACAGAAAGATTGATAAGTAGATTGCACGACCCCGAAGCGGCCACGACGACCGAAGAGTGGGCATTGCTCGACTTTCAGGGCATTTAGATGAGAATGTATAATATGAATCGTTCGATTCTACGCCAGCACACTAGGAATCCCATGCGCTAGTTAGTCAGTTAATGGCGAAGGTAAGGGTCACTTGCAAATGCCTCATTTTTTTTTGTGCGCCACTTCCATCTGCCTTACCCCTGTAATGTAATTGTGGAGTCCCGAGATAACAGGTCACTCTCCAGCATTCCAGGTTTTCTCCAAGATAGGCAGACATTGGTCCCCTGCGTTACTAAGCGCGTATATGTATATCCAGTCATATCGGCCAACTGCAGCATACCCACGTAGGCCCATTCGACTCGTGGGGCCAGTAGCAAGATCGCAAAACAAGATTCTTATTTCTATATCACACCGATCTTCTAGATAGCTTAATCTTGGCAATGTTTGGCTTTGTCTCACTTCATAATATTCCTGGAGGTTGAATTGCTAGAGGTTCCCGAACAGTTATAGGGTTCGAGAATAAAATACTAGTGCGTGAGGTCTTACGTGAACTCCCTATTTCGGCAAATGATATTTCACTATCTACCACCGGAGACCCTTTGTTGCTAGTAGTCACCCAATTAAAGATGCGTGGTCCGTCAGACGCACGATCCACTCGCCAAGTCTCCACTTCTGAATAGTTTCGGACCCTGACGCTTTACTAAAAGTAAAGTCATCTCCTCGAGTAATCGAACAGAGATTAGCTCGGTTACTCAAAACGTCTAGGGCGGGCGAGTCGACCAAAAAAGACGTCGGTTGGGGTTCGTGTTCTAATGTCCGCTGATTTGATTGATGCCTCCACAACGGACCGCTCCGCTCAGCCGATTATCCGACGGATCTCCAGTCCGGGCTCCAATGTTTGGTAACGATATCCCGTTATAACATGAACCCTCACGTGATACGGGGGAAATTCTTGGACCCTGTGCTGATCCGAAACACTAGAGAGCTCTACTTTGGTCATTGTATCAGTCTCGCTTTGAGAGAGCCCTGTCTTATTTCCTGTATCGATTTAGACTTCTTTGCCTGATCACGAACCCCATCACCATTTCGGTAACACTCTTCCAAGGCTACAGGAGGCTTGGGCAATATCTTCCCAATTCACCCATAATTCAGGTACAGCTGAGTAAAGTGTGTACATTCAATTGGTGGGCTTCAGAGATCTGACAACTATAGGCACTTATGGATCTGCTGGATCTCGTTGAGGGTCCTACATGTCTGCCCAGAACCATTCTTCATTATTTACGTTATCTTGTATGGTGATTTCTTAGACAGCAGGGGATTATGCCCAAGGATCTGAGCCCTCTGCATACCATGGTGCTTTTTAATAATTTGTTTACTCGACTCTCCAGGCGTGGTTTTTGCCCTCCCTGGACCCCTCCCTGGGCCACTCCTTGGGGTTTCTCACGTCTTTCAATCAAAGTTTTGCGCTTAAAATCTTTCACCGATCAACAGAAGTCTATCACTTAGTTCTACTCGAGTCTATTGAATTGTAAATCTCGGAACGAGGCTGTCATAATATTCTTGCCCTAAAACGTGCGCACTTATGTGCGCGATGGAATTTCTTGATAAGCGTAACTTGACCAATTGCCGTTGAGTGAGATCCAAGGTACGACAAGCAAATGGCCCAGTGTAGAGTAACGCACTCTTGAGGGGCAGGATGCCTTTTTTTTCAAGGCGCTCTGCCTTCTTCATGGCTCATACAATGACTTAATTGATATCTTCGGGCGAATCAGCTCATGGTTGAATATTCAGGGATGGTCTGTAATTAAAATAAAGGAAGGTCAGCATATCACATGAATAAAAATGGATTTCATCTTTATGTACGGTTTGACTCACTTGAGATTAAGGTTATAGTTTCTTAGTGTATCAACTTTGCTCACTGATTGGACACTGAGCATCACTGAGTGCCTAGCGAGCATCCAATGAGCCTCAGCTCTGGGCATCTGTCACTCTACACGTAAATCTGAGCCAGAGCCTCATAAAAGCTGGTCAAATAGAAAAGCCCCATGAAAATCCGGTGTAGCTGCTTATACAAGGACACTAAATGATTGCCTCTCAGACCGAAGTACTCAATTGACACAATACTTCGTACAACTATAGAAAGGAACGTGAAGAGATTATGTCAGGATGCGAGGATGCAAGGATATAAAGAACGGCGGAAAATGGCGGCAGACATTGGTTCGAGCCTCCTGCAATCGAGCCTCCTGCATGTGAACTGCACAAATAAAACCACCAAACATGAGAAAGCCTAAAAAAGAAGGAACCCGATTTGACATGCAGGATCAATATGCAAAGTGTGCAGGTGTAGAAAAGGAAGGTGGTATCAACAGGTTTGAGGGTGGAATGTTTGGTTCAAGAGATAATGAGATTGAGATTTGATCGCTGAAAATGACCATTCACGTTGGCGTGAAAATATGCAGGATGTGAGAACCGGGTTGCCGGTGTAGAATAGACGTGTATTATTGTCAGAGGGGGTGATTTGATGAGAAGAGATGGATGATCTGGCTTGACTTGGGAGACACAAAAATTGCTTGATGGAATGCAAGATGCAAGTAGGTTGGGTAGACATGGAGATGAGACGAGGGATAGAACAGGGGTCGTAAATGAAGTCTCGTATATGAGCTCAGAAAATGACGAAACGCTTCTGTTTCGGTTTCTCGGCTTCTAAAGAAAAGTTAGAGGGAAGTATACCAATTATCGCAAATCATAAAAACTCACCTGAACTCTTTGCTGGAACCTGAGCCATAGCAGGTGCCTGGACCTTTGGCTCAGACTTCCTCAGTCTTCCCCCACCTCCAGATCCCTTAGTCCGAACCCCATCGGCCGCAGCACTAATCGTAGCAATACGATGTCTGGCCCGCTCATCGCCCTGCTCAGCAGCCTTGACATACCAAACATTCGACTCGAGCGGGTCCCGTCGACAGCCAATACCCATCTCTGTGAAATAACCCACAGCATACTGGGCCTTCGCAAGACCTAAATGCGCAGCTCGCACAGCCCACTCATACGCCTCTTCATCGTCCTTCTCCAGTACAGGCTCCGCACCAACAAGGTACCAGGCACAAAGCGCCATCATAGCAAGAGAATGTCCATTCTGCGCGGCAGTAGTATAGAAATGGATACTGAGCGCCGGATCGCGTGGACAACCCAACTTGCCATGCTCATATGCATCACCAAGTCTATAACAAGCCTCGACATGGCCCAGTTCAGCGGATTTGGTGAACAATTGCGCAGCGTATGTAGCGTCTGGGAAGACGTCGTCGCCGAATCCTGTTTCATGGAGTACGCCTAGCTCGTACGGTCCCGCGTTATACTGTGCATCTGCGGACTCGGTCGCGCGCTTGAGCCATTTGATACCCTCGCGGTAGCGTTTGCCGAGACCCATATCGCCAGCTAGACAGGCCTTCGCCATGCGCATCATTGCGCCTGGGTGGTTCTTTGAGGCGGCTTGGCGGTAAAATTGGACGGCGCGACTTCCGTCGGGGCGGGTGCCCCAGCCGAATTCGTAGCAGAGGGCTGTGCGGTAGCAGGCTTCGACGTGGCCGTGTTTACTGGCTGCTACGAAGAGCGGGAAGGATCGGTCGTGGTCTTCTTTTCCTTTGTTGAAGAGGCCTGACGCGTAGCCGTCGCCTAGGTAATATTGCGCGAAGGGGTAGCTGCGGTCTGCAAGGCGCTGGAGGATTGATTTTGACTCGCGGAGGAGACGGGCGCGGGTAATTGGGCTTGCGTCTTCGAGGTCGACAGCTGGCATTTCGCGCATGGAGTTGATCATGAAGACGGCAAATTCGTAGAGGACTGTTGGCTCGTCGGTCTTTTTGACATTTGCGAGGTACATTTCGAATGTTTCTTTGTGGCTGAGGAGGGAGGCATTGTTGCCGACTGAGGCCTGAAGGCGGGAATTGCCGAATTGAACGGCTGTTGGTCCTGGTTGGGGGTAGGAGGTGTTGAGCAGGTCGATGACCGACAGAGGCCGGGTATCTGGGGACGCGGTGGAATTTCGTGATCCGGAGCGGCCTTGTAGGTACGGCGATGCGGAGAGATTGCGGCGGTGGCCTCCCACATCTGAATTGGACGAGTATGCCGAAAGAGGTCGGGAAATTCTCGACCGCCGCACTGCTAGCTTGTCTGTAGACCCTGAGGGGTTCTCTGCGGGATCTGGCACGGGCTTGCGTGCAGTTTTTGCGGGCTGTTGCTGGTGGTGGTAGGCAAGAGGCTCGTAGCTGTCCGACGCCTGCGCCACGCTATCCAAACTGCCCCTGGAAGAACTGTTGTAGCTCAAACCTTCGCGTTCCAGAGAGGAGCCACTCTTTTTCGGATTTCCGTGTCCTCCATCGTCCTTGGGCTCTACCACTGACCACGAGCCGCTGCTGGCGGGGGTATGTCCATATGGGTGCGGATGTTTGTACTGCGGAGCCTTTGTCGAGTCTCTCCGCGGAGGATAGGAAGGGTTCCAGCTCTGGCGTGGTTGTTGCAATGAATCCTCGAGCGTCATGTCGGTGAACTCGGAGAGCTCCAATTGGGGCGTGATGGGCCCATTGTAAGGTGGTTCGATCTCGGCGCTGGACGGCTGGGGGATGACTGCGCCATGATCGATCTTGACCGGTGAGCGCGGCGAGTTTTGAATCACAGGTGATGCTTCCGACTGTGCAGGGGCAACTGGTTTGCGACTGAGGTTCAAGCTCTGGGGGCGGTTCGGGATGGTTCGAGGAGTTGATTCAGGAAAAGGAGGCGTTGATCGGAGGTAGGCGGCCGGCGGACTCGGCAAGGGTTGAGCATATTCGCCATGAACAGGACTGGCCATTCTGAGAGAAGCGACAGAAATAAAAAGCGAGTGCAGGTCAAAAAACGAACTGGGGAAAGCTGTGGAGAAGGGACCCGTTGAAAGAGTGGACCGCGAGATCTGATCCCATACACGCCGTCCAGAGGAGGAAGTAACAACTCAAGAGCAAATAAGTTAGAAATGAAGCGAGGGAGGGGCGACAAAGAAGGCATTCCCCCACTTCGCCAGAAATCCCCTTCTTCTTATGAACTATGGAGCCTGCTGTGGCTATTGTGTGCCCACTCTATGGCACATCCGTATTTTTAGGCGCCACGCTCTTTTCCCCGTATTCCACTTCACCGAATGTAAGGCTATATGTACAATATAATGATTTGTCTGTACGGAACCCGATCAGACTCATCCGAGACATGCTAAGAATATCTGCTGACCACATAAGACACCTTGGCAAGTCAACGTGGTCCAGCTCCGTCTTTTTACTAGATCATTGCATAGAATCGTTTGTATTTGTGCACATTATCCGATATTTCCGGCGTGCGTGGCAAGTATACTTTACACTAGTTAGGCCAAGTACACTATTGAAGCGTCCCTGGCGTTTAATCAGAGCCTACGCTCTGATCTCTTACCCCAAATCCCCCGAAACATAGAGGCGTAAGCCATAGCCGAAATTACATTCCCTATATCCCTTTCTCTCTTGACTCGAATAGTTACGATTGAGTTCACCGTACCTTGTTTTTTTGTCGCGTAGGTTTCGCACGGCCCGTTAACCATGGCATCGATAGATTATATACTCCTTGCTCTCCTTGCGCATGCATAAGCAATAGCTTTGAGATGCTACGTACTGTATAATGCTAATTGGCATAGCGAATGACGACATTCAGTGAGCATCTCATATTCTAATTCAACAGAACATCCCTCGCTGGTCCGATAATCGGAGTATATACTTCATTCCACACAACGTGGAACGTGGAAGGCGTGGACACCGAGACCGAGACCTTGGATGCCTGGTCCGCAGCATTCTTGTGAGATCCGAAGCCAAGTCGAGTTTTCAACTCACAATCAAGTAAGAAATTAGCAAAGGGGTGAAAATAAAAGAAACGGGGTTCTTGTGGGACGCGATACGTTCCTTTGTTTTGTCGGTGTGTGATTGGTATAGGATAAATAAATAAAGAAACAGAAAACAACCCCTGTAATATCTGGGGATAATCGATATGGCGCAGGTAAGGCTGTCGGGAGATGGAGTTGGGTCCGATGATCGACAATTGGCGGTTCATCATTGTCATTATTGTACATGTACTGTCCCGTTTTGATAGGATTTGGATCTCATGCTCACTTCTCAGCTTGAGCTACACAAAGCATCTGGTCACACAAACTTCGCCACTGAGATTGTGTTTGAGAATGCAGAGATGGTATGCATTGTCTAGACTCAAAGATCTAGATCACTGCCACTGTTCGTATTGAGGTCGCCATACAGTAAAACTATGCATTGTATGGATCACATTGATGTTTCTTTTCTTTTCCTTGTTAGGAAGCTAATAGAATAGAGCTGCGTGGCAATTAGGACGTGGCAAATACCTCCCAAGCCCAAGGGAGAAGGACTAAAAGCACTAAAATAGAAGCCCCGTGATGCGCAGAAATGAAAAATAAGCCCTCGGCTTCTCTTCCCCTCTGTAACAGTTCACTCGCCTCGGATTGGATCGCTTCGCCAATGAAAGACCCTTAGGATGGGCCGACCGAGGTTGAAAAGTGGTCTGATTGGTGGGTGAAGTGCTTAGGGGGTCTTAGGGGATGTTTAGGGTGGATTAGCCCCGGGTTATTGCCCCTAGCGACAGAAATAGAGAGAGATAATATGGGATTATTACATGCAGTTAATGGGAGAGACAAAGCGGCCAAACATGGTCCCGGTCACTGTCACTGACTCCCAAGTCTCAGGCCTCACTCAGACTTCAAACCTTTCCCTTCACTCGTTTTTGATCTTCGGTTTCTGCTCCTTAATTTCCTTTTTCTCATTCGCTATTATCCTGCTGCGATTAGTGACGTTGGGTGGGACTTTGTTATTCTCCACCCCCGGGCTCGTTGCACAGGCCGACCGTATCTCTTGCATCAGAGCTCTTCAGATCTCGATCTGCTCTCAGATTGGGCATTCGAGACTTTTCATATAGTCATCGGAGTCGCTTTGAGGATCGGGTTAGCGCATTGACATGTTTCAGTCGGGAATACGCAGCTCAACACTCTGAACAGTCTTCCCATTCAACCTGCTATTGATGACCAGCAAATCATAGCAGTGAGTGCGACAGCGAGGTCTACAGATAAGGTTTCTCATTCCTGACACCGGCACGTACTAGAAACATGTCTTTGCCGCAGAGGCCAGGCAAGGCCTCCCCTCGGCGTGAGGAAGCTCGCGCATTTCGCGAGCCCTCTCGGCGTCGACGCCGAGATATCGACTCGGGCACTTATAGCGACGATCCCAACACTTCTCCTTCACACCGACGCCATCGCCGACACTCTAGCCACCGACGGGGAGCCGACACTGACGAAGAGCGTATGGAGCGGGGCGGGGATGTGCGACGCAAAAAGAGCATGGTGAAGCCAGAGCGCCGGAAAGCAGATCCCGACCATCCCAATTACCATTATCGCCAGCGATCACACCACATGTCCACTTTTCCTTCTGCGACGGGCAACGATCCATTATTAGACCACCACGATGGTGAGGCCGAGACGAACAGTTCACGCAGCACGGATGTGAAGAAGGAGGGGCTGTACGGTGCCCGGGGTAATGTCAACAAACCCATGGAACGAGTGCCCAGCAGACATCGCTCGAAAAAGAAGAGGCGATCCAGGCGATCGTCAAAGGGCGCGGTGGAGGAGCGAAAACGTTTGAAGGAGATCGAACAGAACGGCCCGCCTGAGTTGTGGCCGACATATTGCGCAGTGCTGACGTTCTTCATTCCTGATTTCGTCCTGAAGTGCTTTGGTATGCCCCAGAAGGAACAGCGGACTGCTTGGCGAGAGAAGATCGGCCTGATCAGCATCATTTTGATGATCGCTGCATTTGTCGGTTTCCTAACATTCGGTTTTACTGCTACTGTTTGTGGCTCGCCTCCGGTGCGACTCAAGGTCAATGAGGTGAACTCCAACTACATGATTTTCCATGGCAAGGCCTATGATTTGACTGGATCTAAACACGGTGCCGCAGAGGGTATTCCTTCCGATACGAATGTGCTTTACGATCTGCCGCACAAGTATGGCGGCCAGGATGGCAGCTTCTTCTTCCAGCAAGTCAACGGTGCATGCAAGGGCTTGATTACGGCCCAACCGGATGGTGGTGTTCCCACGAATTCTGATGGAGACCTTGGGTGGTATTTCCCCTGCGCGCCGTTCAACCAAGATGGGTCGTCTTCGCCAAATCTGACGGTCGATTACTACCTGGGCTGGGCTTGCCACACCAGCAAGTCCGCCCGGGAACCTTTCTATACCCTGTCAAGTGACGGAGATGTTTACTACACTTGGGAAGACACCAAGAACAAGAGCCGAAACCTTGCAATCTATTCTGGAAATGTCCTCGATCTCGACCTTCTGGCTTGGTTCAACGAGAGCCAGGTGTCGTATCCAAAGCAGTTTGATGAGCTTCGCACCAATCCTTCGATTCGGGGTGTCGACCTGACTTACTACTTGCAAAGTGGAGAGGAGAAGAAGATGGGCAAGTGCTTGGCACAAATCATCAAAGTGGGCAGCATTGACACTGATACTGTCGGTTGTATCGCGTCCAAAGTCGTGCTCTACGTGTCTTTGATCTTCATTTTGTCGATTGTGGTGGTCAAGTTCGCCTTTGCGCTGCTCTTCGAGTGGTTCCTGGCACCAAGATTTGCCGCGCAGAGCACGAGTATGAGCTCAGATGCCAGGACTCGTAACCAACAGATTGAAGATTGGTCCAACGACATTTACCGGCCGGCTCCCCGAATCGCCGAGCCCATTGCCCCAGACCGAGTCAGCAAACGCGCCAGTTTCTTGCCTACCACTTCCCGCTTTTCAAGTCCCTACAATGTGAGCAGCAGCGGTGGCAGCAAACAGAGACCGCTCTACGTCACAATGGCTAGTCAGAACTCGACCTCCCGTCTCATGCCTAGTTCCAACCCTGGCACCATGTACAAATTGAGTCACAATGGTAGTGGTTCCTTGAGCGCTGATAATTCACGAAACAATGCTGCTGCGAGTCGAACTAGCTTGGTTCCTCCTGGTCAGCAGGATAATGGTTACTCCACGTTGATGACTGACTATGAGGGTCCGGGGCCTGCTGGTTTCATTCACGAAGCTGTTGTTCCCCAGCCACCTCCAGAATGGCAACCGTTTGGCTATCCCTTGGCTCACAGTCTGTGTCTGGTTACTTGCTACTCAGAAGGTGAAGAAGGTATCCGCTCAACACTGGATTCTCTTGCTATGACCGACTATCCGAACAGTCACAAGACAATTCTTGTCATTTGTGATGGTATCATCAAGGGTAAAGGAGAGGAATTCTCAACGCCGGACATTGTGCTTGGTATGCTGAAGGACCCTGTGGTGCCCGTCGACGAAGTCCAGCCCTATTCTTACGTGGCCGTGGCTACCGGCTCCAAGCGACACAACATGGCCGAGGTCTACACTGGATTCTATGATTATGGTGACACCTCGGTCATTCCCTTGGAGAAGCAGCAGCGCGTTCCTATGATGGTTGTCGTCAAGTGCGGCACTCCCCAGGAATCTACCCAGTCAAAGCCCGGTAACCGAGGTAAGCGAGACAGTCAGATTATTCTGATGTCGTTCTTGCAGAAGGTCATGTTCGATGAGCGGATGACGGAACTCGAATTCGAGATGTTCAATGGCATGTGGAATGTTACAGGCATCCCGCCCGACTTCTATGAAGTTGTTCTCATGGTTGATGCCGATACAAAGGTCTTCCCGGATAGTTTGACACACATGGTTTCGGCCATGGTCAAGGACCCAGAAATCATGGGTCTCTGTGGAGAAACTAAGATCGCGAACAAGACAGACAGCTGGGTGACCATGATTCAAGTCTTCGAGTATTTCATCTCTCACCACCAAGCCAAGGCCTTTGAGTCCATATTCGGTGGTGTTACTTGTCTCCCAGGTTGTTTCACCATGTACCGCATCAAAGCGCCTAAAGGTGGACAGAACTACTGGGTGCCTATCCTGGCAAACCCAGATATTGTTGAGCACTACTCTGAGAACGTGGTCGATACCCTGCACAAGAAGAACTTGCTTCTCCTCGGTGAAGATCGTTACTTGACTACCCTCATGCTGAAGACCTTCCCCAAGCGCAAGCAGATCTTCGTCCCACAAGCCGTGTGCAAGACCGTTGTCCCAGACGCATTCATGGTCCTGCTTTCGCAGCGCCGTCGTTGGATCAACAGTACTGTACACAACCTGTTCGAACTGGTCCTTGTCCGCGACTTGTGTGGTACATTCTGCTTCAGCATGCAATTCGTCATCTTCATCGAGTTAGTTGGAACCTTGGTCTTACCAGCGGCCATCTCCTTCACCATCTACGTCGTCATTTCCTCTATTGTCAGACGACCTGTTCAGGTCATTCCTCTAGTCCTGCTCGCTCTCATCCTGGGTCTACCCGGTGTCCTAATTGTCGTCACTGCCCACCGTCTCGTCTACGTCCTGTGGATGTTGATCTACCTACTCTCTCTCCCAATCTGGAACTTCGTCCTTCCAACCTACGCATTCTGGAAGTTCGACGACTTCAGTTGGGGTGATACTCGCAAGACGGCAGGCGAAAAAGACAAGGGCCACGGCGAGGGCGAGGGCGAGTTTGACAGCACGAAGATTACGATGAAGCGGTGGCGCGATTTTGAAAAAGGTGAGTTCGGTCCCCATCTCCACACTTGGGATGCGCATGAAGTATAATTAAAGTATAAATTACTGACATCTGCTCAGAACGCCGCCTGCGCAATACTGCATGGGCGCAATCCCACGGTCCTACGGAGGGATATCCATCGCACTACGAGACGTATTCACACTATTAACGAAAGCGAAGCGGAATTTAATTGTTCATTATTTTTATTATATCCTTTTCTTGTGTGGAATTGTATTCCCTGTACTTGGGACTGTGATTTATTGTATCCTTTACATACTGGCGTTCAGACATTCCATTCATATAATGCAGTTCGGGCGGGTTTTAGTTTGCGAGTACGAGAGGGATGATAACTTATTCTGTTATTCTGTTGATTCAATCACTGCGATCAAACGGTACTTTACGATCTGATACAGATTATTCCATGTAAAATATGATATGAGATTATGCCCTTGCAATCCTGCAACCCAGAACCCAGCCCTGGGCTGTGTATTGTAAGATGAGACGAATGCCCGACATTAGCAGCTCATTGGATGACGCACAGGGTTACGATTCCAAAATGAACCATACTCTTCCCTGTCCACATAAGCTCTCATGGCTGCCACTCTGGCCTTTTACAGGCTCTTCGGCCCAAGCTGTGCCCAACAGTATCAAAGCGCAGGTCACCAGGCTTGCTCGGGTTGGATCTGCAGTGCATTACTCCCTGCATTATCATTTACATATGCGTTCTGTGTCAACTCTACTCTATATCTATCTCAGGGCTGACTGCCTAGAGGGGTGCTGACTAACACATCCTCGATTCTACCCATCACTTCCTGCAGTCTACGAGTCTCACGAATATCTTCCTGGGGTCCCCCGCGTCATCTTGCTTCCACGTTCCCACTGCCACGTTCTGATAGTCTTTTTCATCCTTGCTCCCCCCCTTAGCCTCACGGAAAAGGCTACCGCGCTTTGTCCGGCCCCTTCGAAGCCAGGTGTTTCCAAAGACTCTCCCCCTCCGTTGATTACTTCCCCTCTCCGTCCTCTCGCGGTTGACTCGGCATTTCTGTCTCGGCCGCATTCCTGTGCACGCCACGCAGTGTGGGGACGAGTCAGCAAGACGTCAACGCACCTTCAAATCCCGGCTTTAACCTCTTAGCTTGTACAACTTTTGCCCTGGCTCGTGATTGTGATCGCAACCGTCATCTCACTCTCACTCTAAGTTCCAAGAGTCTCGGCGGGATTCCCCTTTCGGTTCATGGCGGGCGATGCTTCATTCCTGTGATTCGAGTCGCCCGTCATCCCACCTTCGAGATACGACATGCCATGTGTCATGTGATATCGAGAGGTCCCGAGTCATGAATCCTTCGCATTCTTCCAGAAATCGATCACCCGAAGGCGATTCGACCTTGCACTCGGATTTCTTTTCCCACGCCGATCATTCTGCGACCATGGCCTCTGCCGTCGATCGCCGTTTACATGATGTCGGTGTCGCCGCCCTTGCTGCTGTCTCGCAGTATCCTCGACCTGTGAATGACCCCAGCGGCTCTTTTCTGGTCTCCGAGGTCGTTAATGCTGTTACTGACGTGGGGAGTCCTCCGGATTATCAACTCTTCAGAGGGAACTCCCTCCTACCCGGACATAGGACTTTTTACCCGACACCGTCCGACACGGATAGTGCTTCCGGGCCGGACTTTGTTTTTGGACGCCCCGATCGTGATGTCAACATGGACTCGGTCGTTCGGCAATTATTTGATCCCGCTGCCGACCATGACAATGTTGCCATGATCACGCAGGAATGCGACGATGCGCGCGACAAGGATATGGTTAGGGATTTCGAGTCCGACGTCGAAAATCATACTTCCCCACCTTCCATCCCAGATGATGAGTTTGAGGACTTTATCCGATTCTATCCGGACGAGGAGGAATACTACCGTCAGCGCAGGGGTCGCCCGACCGAGGATGTCCCAATGGCCGATTTCGATATCGATGATTTTTATCTTAATATCAACTACGACGATATCGATGTGGATCTACCCCAGACGCTTGGCATCCCTGTTTCCGATCCCTCTGGGACCCCGGACTTTGCTGATCAGCCGGAATTCCCTGGGCCTCACCCGGCAACTATCATCCACACCTCTACGTACGAGCGCAACCTCACTATTGATGAGTTCATCCAGCGCTGGATGGTCCAAACGAATGTCATTCCCAATGGCTTCCATAGCGAAAGCAGAATTCCGCCACAGCTCCGCCCATTATCCAAGATGATTAGTTGGAGTCCGCCACAGACGGTCGTTCGGCCACATGAATGGAGACGCGACTTCTACGATTTGCAGCAGATTCCTTGGACGGAAACACTACGAGTTAAACGCACTGATGCTCGGACGCTGCGTGATGCTTGGTATACATCATACCACAACTTGGATTATTCGCACATGAGCCACGCCAAACGTATTCCAGGACATGAGTCATTTTTCCGCGGGGCTTCCATGCACACTTCACACAAAGCCTCCATCGAGCACTTCCAACTCCGCAACTTGATGTCCGCCCCAGCATCCAACACGGTCAATTTCGCCTGCCAATCAAAGGTGCTATCATGGACCCCAACAACCGGCGACGCCCGCTGCCTAATTGATCTCAGCCAAGCAGACCCAGACTCAGGCTTCCTCGGCCCAGTCAAAATCTCAACAATGAAAACAGCCCACGGCCTCACAATCGCCGGCGGTTTCTGTGGCGAATATGCCCTCCGCAGCTCATTCGGCTCTGGCGCCGGCACAAAAGGTCTAGTAACACCCGACTTCAACGACGGCATAACAAACCACGTGGACATCATCTCCAACCGAACAGGCCCCTCCCCAATCGGCGTCTTCGCCTCAAACGACAAACACCTCCGCGTCCTCGACACAGAAACAAACATCTTCACCTCCGACCACGAACTGTCCCAACCAATAAATTGCACGGCTACCTCCCCGGATAGCCGTCTCCGCGTTGTAATCGGCGACTCGCCAGACGCATGGGTCATAGAATCCGACACTGGCAAGCCCGTCCACCCTCTGCGCGGCCACCGCGACTTCGGCTTCGCATGCGCCTGGTCACCGGACATGCGCCACATCGCAACAAGCAACCAGGATAAAACAATCATCATCTGGGACGCGCGTACCTGGCGGCCGCTTGAAACAATCGATTCTGACGTGGCAGGCTACAGATCTCTACGGTTCTCGCCTGTCGGCGGTGGCCCGCGGATGCTGCTATGCACGGAACCAGCAGATCGAATTTCAATTCTGGATGCTCAACTCTTCCAATCGAGACAGGTTCATGATTTCTTCGGGGAAATCGGTGGCGCGGATTTTTCGCCTGATGGCTCGGAGATTTGGGTTGCGAATACTGACCGCCATTTTGGCGGGTTCATGCAGTATGAGCGCAGGCAGTGGGGGCAGAGGGTTGGGTTGACGGATTTGCCTAGTGAATGGGCGAGTGAACTTGAGTTGGAGGGGGATTCGCGGTGTGTGTTGAGTAAGCGTGAGAGGTCTCTGCGGTTTTTGAGAAATTTGTCGAGTGACGACCATGAGGCTTTGATCCTTTGATTCTCTGCGTTTTGCTGTTTTTGTTTTGTTTTGGATTTTGTCCTAAGTTGGTCTTTTTGAGCTTTTCATCTGCATCTGATACCCTGGTCTCGGCGTTGGTGGTTGTTTTGTTCTTATTTTGTTCTATTTAAGTCATAGAGTATGTATATGCATGTCTCTTGAATTACATAGTCATGCAATTGCTACTCTGTTGTGCGTCACATACTTGCGTCTACAGATTGAGTCGATCGATCTACCTTAACTATCACCGCAAACCATAACTATAGCTACTACACCAACTATTAACAATGAACCATAAGATAGCCAAGCAATAGATCTACTAAAGAAACCCCTAAAACAATAGTCTCCCAATAATCAGCCCTACAAACCTCCATTGGCCCACTCCGATCGATCAATCAGCCAAGTAGACGTAAACAAGCCCCGCCCCTCCACCCCTCCTGAGCTGAGCTCGGAGTACTTCCACCTGATTCTTCCACTTTTCCTTCTCTTTTCTCCCTCATCCTCCATCAATCTTCCATCTCCATCGCCATCAACCTCAATCACAACCACAATGTCCTACGGAAACCAAGAATACGGCGGCGGCGGCTCCGGCGCTAACAACTACTACGACCAGAGCAACGACTTCTCAGGCCGCAACGAATCCCACGGAAACCAGAACCAGGGCTACGGTAACCAGGGCAGCTACGGTGGTCGTCAGGAGGAATCCTACGGTGGTAACAACCAGGGTGGTTACGGCGGTGGCCGCCAGGAATCCAATTACGGTGGAAACAGCGGTGGCTACGGTCGTCAGGAAGAATCCTACGGTGGAAACAACAACTACGGCAGCAACCAGGGTGGCTACAACAACTCCAGCTCCGGCTACGGCGAACAGTCCCAAGGCCAATCCCACCACAACCGCCGCAACAGCAACAACAGCGACGACTTCAGCAGCGCCGCCCAACACGCACAGGAGCAGCACGACAGCGGCGCTTCGGGCAGCCTTTTCAACTCCGCTTTGAACTTCATCAAGGAGCGGAAGAGTGGATATAATGATTCCGAGGTTGATGAGGAACATGCTGTGAACAGTCACCAGGCTATGTATGGATCTGGATCTGGATCTGGTCAGCATGATAGTCAGACTCTGGGTGCTGGGGCTGCTATGCAGGCTTTGAAGATGTTTACTGGCGGTGGTTCTTCTTCTGGTGGTGGGTCTGATGGTGGGATGGATAAGAATAAGCTTATTGGGCTTGCTATGGCTCAAGCTGGGAAGTTGTGGGAGGAGAAGAACTCTTCGGGGAGTGTGGTATGTTTTTCCTCTCTCTTTTTCTGTTCATTTTGGGTTTGATCTTATTGAGTATGTGGTAACTAATGCTGTTTTTAGTCTGGTGATAAGCAGTCTGCTGTCAACCATGCTGCCGAGATGGCCCTTAAGATGTACATGAAGAGTCAGGGTGGTGGTATTGGTGGTACTGGTGGTGCTAGTGGATTGATGGGTCTAGCTAGCAAGTTCCTCTCTTAGATGGATGCTTAACGTGACTTGACTTGACTCGACTGGCTGGTTTCATTTGATTGTATGTAGTTCGGCATACCTATGACCAGCATTAGAATGACAATGACACATATGAACTTGTATGCATGAAAATGAAAACGGTATATATTGAACTGGATGGAATCTACGGTAAAAGGCCACCACAGTAAGCCAATAACGGAACTGAAAGACTCGCTGTCTCGTGATAAACACTGAACCAGCATGGAACTTGAACGCAAAGGTCAACGCTAAGCGCAGAAAAAGTACACCGCGACCGACCGTAAACAAACGCGAATACTCAAATCTACCACTCGTCATCGTCATCGTGTTTGCCCTGCATTGCGCTCTGGCGTGCCCGTAGCGCTTCAGCGAGTCCACCTGCCAAACTGGCATTTGATGCGCTGTTGGGTGTGCCGCGGCCGCTGGCGCCGGAGGAGTCGCCTGAGTTCATGCTCGTGGTGCTGTCCCTGGGTGCCGGTGGAGGTGCGGGCTTGCGGCCGGCCATATTGGGTCGCTTGGCGGGAGGGGCAGGCGGGGCGGGCTTGCTCTTGGCGGCTGCGACTGCACCATTGGGGGTAGGGCTGGGAGTTGCGCGGGGTGCCGCGGGAGGTGGAGGGGGTGCGGGTTTAGGCGTGGGAGCGACGGCTACTTCTTCGAGGTAGGCCTCAGGGGTCCAGCCTTGCGTAGAAGTTGTTGTGTTCATGCACAGCCACCAACCTGGGAATATTAGTATTATATCGCTAGACTGGAGAACGTACGTACCGTTTCCTTCCTTGGACACAATCTGTACAATTTCGCCCGTGCGGATGGAAAGCTCGTTGGCCCGGTCGCTGTTAAAGTCATACTTGACCTTTGCAGTGGGCTTCTTCGTTGCTGGAGGTGCGGCAGGGGGAGGTGGTGGCGGGGCTCTCATAGAACCAGTGGACTCGTTGCGAGTGTGGGCAGCGGCCGCAGCGGCCACGGGTTGAGGCACAATCCGCGGCTGGGTAGGCTGCGGTGCTGCAGGCTGTGGGGTAGACCGAGGTAGAGGTTGCGCAGCAGGAACAGGTCTGCGAGCAGCCTGGGACAGTTTCGAGGGGCCGCCACCAGGACCGCCGGGACGGAGAAGCTTGCCCTTGGTGACTGGGCGAGCAGCAACTGCCTTTGCTCGTGGGGTAGGCTTGGAGACGGAGTTGGGAGGTTCACCAGCACTGGTGTGGATAGTACTACTCTTGTAGCTGTCCACATTTCCAGCAGCCGGGTCCTTGACCGCCTTGACCATGGCCAGCTTGCCAGGCTTCTTGTTGTATTCGATGCTGTCTCCGACCTTCAAGGTGAGAGAGCCGCGTAGAACAGTAGTAAGGTGGGTGAAGAACTCGGTCTTGAATACACAGTTGAGCAAAGGATCGGGTTCCTGGGCTCCAATAACTAACGAGAACCAGTCATCCTTGAGGTTTGAGGTGCTGACACTCTTGATGGCTCCAACAGGAATAGTCCGTTCCGAAGCGATAACAAGCTGGTTGTTGACGATGCTCTGCGACACAATGTAGACATTTCGAGTTGTCAATACCAGAATCCGAGGGACAGGCTTGCTGGAACGGCCAAACTTGGAAAGTAAGAGCTCAGCACGGCAAGAGAAAACGATGTCTTCTGAACCGCCGATGCCTGCACCATTGCGGATCATTTCACCAGGACCACCTGCATTACCGACGCCAAGATAATCACCCAGGAAGCGTCGAGAGCCCAACAGACTCATTCTGCGACGCTCCTTACGACCTTGGAGAATTTGGTGTCCTTGGTCACGGACCTTGATCAGCTCGAGTCCACCGTTCATGCGGCGCCAGAACCGCTGAATACGGATCGCACATTCAATGCGGTACCGGAGGTAGTTTCTCCAGGCGCGCTGGATTCGAATGGCCATGTTGTGCCAGTACTTATCGCGCATCGCTTCAAGCGCAAACAGCGTCTCGGGAGTCTTGACGAACACCTTGGTAATGCCCATTTGGTATTCCTCGGCAGGAATCCGGGTGTCCTTCAAGATCTGCTTGGCACCGGTTTCCACATCGCCACTCCATGTGTAGTCACCGGCGTAGGATGTCTTGGGGGATAGAAGGTAGAAACGTTCGACGAACTTGTCAAATGTTTGACGATAGGCGAAACCGGCACGACGAATACGAACGTTCTCTTGAAGACCAAGGTACTTGATCTGGTGCAAAACGTTGCCAACATTGTACTCCTTGGGAGCCTTGTTGTCGTTGGGCTTGATGGTACGGATGTAAGACGGCTGCGCCTTCATGAGGGTAGCCACAAGGTCATTGGCAGATGCCTTGATCTTGTCACCAGCTGTAGGTGGGCGACGCTTGTCATCCTGGTTAACCTGGTTAGGGAACAGAGTGTGAACAAATTCATTGCTACTCGATTGGGCGAGGTTCAGCAAATCCTTCAACAACTGGTCCTTGTTCTTGTCGGTCATTCCCTCAACGGCGTAGCTGACATCACCAGCGTAATGCTTGATAATGAACTGGCCCTGGCGGCCCTCGAAGTTGGGGTTCTGAGACAGGAAGTTCAATCTGCCAACGAAGGTATTATCGGCAGCGCCGGAATCGGCGTGCGCTGTTGCGCAAGCATCATTCAAAGCAGCGAAGACACCAGGAGGACGCTTGTCCTCGATCAATGAACAAACAACCTTGTTGTCGAAGTACTTGATCGGGGTCCACTTGATCTCCTCACGTGCATATTCATCCTGCTCGGCCTTCAGCGTCAACTGAATGAAAATCTGCTGCAACTTCTCATTGACGTAGTTAATGCAAAGTTGTTCGAAAGAGTTCTTCTCGAAAATCTCGAATCCGTAAATATCTAGAATACCGATCGAGTTGCTGATAGACCCACGAGCAGTCAGAGACTGGTTGACGCGACCCACAATCCAATCGAACAGGTTGAAGTAGATTCCCTTGGACAAAGCGTCCCGAATGGCAGAAGCTTGGACTGTGTTGAGTGGAACCTCGTAAATAGAACCCCTGCGGCCGCCTCGGGCGGTTTCCATCAGGCGAATTGTCAAGGCCTTGTTCACTTGGGCGGCATCCACCTCCAGTAGATAGGCAACAAAGTCGACAACCGACTGGTCGGTAATCATGGCGTTGCCAGAATCATCCTCGCTGAACTGAACGTTACCGATCCAGAGAATAGCGGCCAGCATACGGAACACATTGTCCTGTTCCGAGTCGCTCATTCCAATAACCTTCATCGCATCCAGTGTATCCTTGAACTCAGCAACATCGTCGACTCCGGGAACATCGAAACATTTCGAACGACTCGTGTAAAGGTATGATTGCGGCTGCTGTAAACCGAAGTTGTCCCGGTACTTTTGTGGGGCGCCCTTTGTGAGCTGGTAGAAAATGTGGAAGTTTCGCTCGTTTGTGATCTGTCCAACGACTCGGGATTTCTCCAGTAGGTAGTTGGTAATGTTGGCACCGACCGGCTCACCGTTGGTATTGAACTCCAATTCCAGATACTTGCCGAATCGCGACGAGTTGTTGTTGCGCAGGGTTTTCGCATTACCAAAAGACTCTAGTAACGGATTGGTCGCCAACACCATGTCCTTGGTCTGCTGAATCGACGAATCGCCGCCGCCAGATACACTGGCAATGTATTGCATGATCCGCTTGGCTGCCTCCGTCTTTCCGGCACCGGATTCACCGGAAATAATAACACACTGGTTATCCTTGTAGGACTTCATATTGTAGTATGCGGATTCGGCAACTCCGAATACATGAGGAGGGACTTCGAGACGGTTCTTGCCGCGGTAGGAATCGAGAACATTGTCGGTGTAGATGCCCACTGGATCACACGGTCAGCAAAGCAGCCTAAACCTCATCGCGGAGCAACTTACGATCTCGGAAAGGGTTTACAGAGACCAACACATGGCCAATGTACGTCTAAACATCTCCCGTCAGCCTGTACTCGTGTTCGCGCACAACCCCGCAGTCCGCGAAAGCGATCCCTTACATAAATCTCGTCATGTTCAAACCGGAGTTTCAAATTGTCGTTGATGGCCTCGTTGGAAATCTTGCTGAGCAGAGTAAGATCCGACACTCCAATCTCCTTCTTTTTGCTGCTCTCGAACGTGGCCTTCTTGACCTGCGGCTTTCCCGCTGACCGGCCATCGCCAACGTCGGCGACAGCTTTGTTGCGCCCGAAACGGCTCTTCTTCTCCCCACCCGCGGGGCGTCGTGACTGACCCTGTTCAATGTCAGTGGGGGTGTTCTCATTGCGGTCCAGGGAGGCCTACCATCTTGTGTGTCAAGCTCTCCGGATGTCGCGCCCAGGCGACAAATGCAAATATGACCTGTCAACTGCGCGGGGGCAAATTGAAAGAGTGTACAATACAACGAGTGTGTAAAATGTGTAGAGTGTCGAGTGTCAAAGTGTAAAGTACAGGTGAATCGAGAGAGACTGGGAACTTACGTACGACCAGTCAAACGGAGACAAACACTGCGCCACGCCAGGGTCTTCGGTTGCTGCCTCAGGGGCAAATCAGACTCCGTAGGCTCCGTATAGTTCTGTGGTCTACGATTATTCAGACCTCTCCTCCACTCACATTGCTTTCCTTTCTTAATTCTTTTCTCGACCCGTCCGCCACGCGCGTCACGGCTTTGTGGCTAATGCGGGTCAAGAATAGAAGCACCGACGTCATTAGGCATATCCCTTTAACTATACTGCCTAATCAGCCGCAATCTGGCCAAAGTTGCAATTGGGCTTCAATTTGTGGCCCAGGGGATGAACGGTGAATGAAACATGAGTCTAGATTGTATTATATGGACGTCTGTAAATCTGTGTATGAGGTAGCTCTGCCGGGTGGTGGCATATTCGCGGAGAATTATTTAGAAGTAAGAGACGCAATGGTCAAATTAGGAAGTAACCAGGGAGACAAAGGATATTAAAGGAGAGTTGCGTTGAAGCTTGACTGTAAGTCTATATACATCAACAAAGAGGGGAGAGTATCAACAATTAACCCCGCCAGAAATTGCAGAGCAATAACCTCTCCAAGGCTAGCTGGAGCGAGGTAAATCCTCGTCTTTGAATGTGACAGGGTATCTAGATAAACAACAGATGAAATGCACACCTACCTTGAATGGCAGGATTTTGGTATGTATCAAACGCAATAATCAAGCGACATATATCAGGAGCCCTTTGGCGCAGATACTGGTGCCTTTTCGGCAGCAGCGGGTTTTGAGGTCTCCGTCGTCGAAGCGGACTTATCAGATGCGGGTTCGCCATTAGCTACACCCGGAGATCCAGTCGGCTCAGCACTCTGACTGAAAGTCATATAAGAGGCAATGCGCGAGAACCATCCCTGAGGGACCTCTGGTGATTCCACTTCTGGGGCTTGTTCATAGATCTCCTTCGGCAGGATCCTGTTTGTCGCCAATTTGGGTAGCTCTCCATGCTTAGCTCTGAGCTGAAGCAACTCTTTTTCGAGAGCCACCAAAGCTCCGCGTGTCGCCTGCTCCGATTGTTCCAATTCGACCAATCTCCCTTCAACGTCTGATCGCCGTGTGCTTTCCTTTTGCCGTGAGCGCCATGACTCGAAGAGAATGAGACCTCCCGCAACAAGGAAAAGGAAGGATTCGGAGATGAAATTGGCGCCGGACTCGATAGCTTTCGATTCGGAGAGGGGCCGGATACGGTAGTGATGGGGTTTTGCTGCTTCTTCAGCTGCAGCTTTGGCCTTGGCTTCTGCCTCCTCCTCAGCCTTGGTTTCTGCGGCGTTCTTGACGGTCGGCGAGGTTGGTTTGAGCTTCCTGGCTGCAGCTTCGGCCGCTGCTTGTTTTTGAGAAGCTGCGTTGTCGCGAATAGATCCTAATCGGAGGCGCATATCAAATCTGTGAAGGGCCTGCGCCATAGAGACGCAGATCTTGCGGAACCGCTCATGTTCGCGGGCTTGGCCTTTGATTTGGCTCTGGCCTCGTTAGTTTGAGAATTAGCCAGTGGGGGAGGAAAACTTACAGCAATAGGCTTGGACAGGGTCCTAATTGCCAAGGAGGACAGCTTCAGTGTTAACGACATGGCTGGTATTCGAGAGAAGATGAAGCTTGAGTCACTTTCTTACATCAGATCCAGGCACCGCTGACTCAGCGGTGGTCCGGGCTTCCAATTACATCCCACCTGAACAAGTGGAGGATGTCAATAAATAACTCACACCTCAAGCTTGCTGCTCAATTCTATGAATCTCATATTTAATCGGCTCAAACTGCATACATTCGTCTCCATCTATGCTAACACACTGTATCTAAGCCCAACAAGCACCCTACTGAGTCTCTAATCCCACCTTGCAGATCTGCTTGGCTGCGCTTGGATCAAAGTCAAATGCGATTTACGTTGATATAAGCAAAATGTGAAACCTGGGCGGAAGTTTGACATGTCGGAGACCTCCGAATGTCGTGAATTCTCCCGCTACGGAGATGTCTTTTCCGGTGTTCTCGTTCGCGACCCAACAAGCACACAAACATGCAGGTGTCGAATCAATCACCTCATGCAGGCGTTCCTGACATCACTCGGGAATCCCGTTCAAATGAGACACTCTAAGCAAGCTTCTTAGGCCGCAGCCTCGGTTCCAAAGATAAGACTTGATTAGCTTCCCTCATCAACCACTCAAATGGTGTGATTGGTTCCCTAGCGTAGAAATCTTTTCTACACTGCTTCTGTCCACGTATTTTGTTCCCCCAGACAATATGGCAGGTTTTGAGGGCCACCCCAAGACAGGGAGCAGGTATATCGTGCAAGATGTGGAAGATCAACTACCCCCACATGCAGGTCCATCTAGGGACATAATCCCTGACGATGGCCAGATCGTTACCCAGCGTGAGCGCCAAAGTCTGATTCGGGGCCTCGGCCAGCGCCATATTCAGATGATTGCTATAGCGGGTGCAATTGTATGTTGGGTTGATGGTTCTTGTCGTGTTCTCGTCTAACTATCGCATAGGGAACTGGTCTCTTTCTCGGTCTTGGTGGGTCAATTGCTACTGGCGGTCCGCTGGGTGCTCTTCTGGGCTACATGTTTGTTGGTATAATTGTCTGCTGCATTCAATTTGCCCTGGGTGAGGTCTCGTCACTACTTCCAGTCACTGGATCTTTTGTCCGACATGCAGAGGTCCTTGTTGACCCGGCACTTTCATTCGCGATCGGATGGAACGTCGTGTACGGATGCTTTATCAGTGTTCCGAGTGAAATCTCCGCCAGTGTAGTCCTGATCCAGTACTGGACAGACATCAATGCAGCCGTGTGGGTGACTATCCTTATCGTGGTCTCTGTGGTTGTCGCTATTTCGTTCATCCGCGTCTATGGTGAGATTGAGTTTATCTTTGCTATATTAAAGATCCTCCTCGTCATCTTTGTGGTTATTCTGGGTCTTGCCATTGACCTCGGTGGTGTGTCAGGTGTCCCGCGAAAGGGTTTCCATTATTGGAAAGATCCTGGTCCGTTCGTCGAGTACATCGCCAACGGTTCTTGGGGCCACTTCCTTGGCTTCTGGGCTGTCATGACGAACGCCGTGTACTCATTCGCCGGAGTGGAATCCCTCGCCATGGCCGCTGCTGAAACAAGGAACCCGCGCCAAAATATTCCAAAGGCCTGTAAGAGGGTCTTTGCCCGGGTCTCCATTTTCTATCTCGCTGCCGTGCTCATTGTGGGCATGTTGGTTTCCAGTGCGGATGAACGTCTTGGTAACGACTCTGGTACGGCGGCAACGAGTCCATTTGTCATCGCTGCTGGTGATGCAGGAATCAAGGCTATTCCATCCGTTGTGAACGCTGTCTGCTTGACATCTGCGTGGTCAGCTTCCAACCAGAGTATCTTGGCCGGAACAAGAACTCTCTACGGTCTTGCCATTAAGGGCCATGCTCCTAAGATCTTCCTGCGGACTAGCAAGTGGGGAGTACCATACATGTGTGTGCTGCTGCAGATTCTTTTTTCTCTTCTCGCCTACATGTGCGTCTCTAATGGTGCCATGAATGTTTTCTGGTGGTTCGTTGATTTGACGGCTGCTGGTACTTTGGTGTCGTGGATCACCATCGCGCTGAACCATATTCGTCTCTTGCAAGCAATGGATAAGCAGGGCATTCCTGCTACAGCTTTGCCATGGCACAACCGGATTACTAGTGCGTACCTCTGCTCAAATCTTATGGTTGATATACTGAACTCCTTCCAGGATACACCAGCTGGTTCGCGTTGATCTCTTGCGTCATCATCCTGCTGACAGGAGGATTCGTGGTCTTCACTAAAGGAAACTGGGATCCGGCCTCGTTTGTGTCATCCTATCTGTATGTTTTCTAACCGTGTAGCATGACCCAGCTAACAAGCCACAGCGATATTCCTCTCGTTCTCCTTGCGTACGGGGGCTACAAACTTATTCGTCGGACTAGAATCATACCGCTAAGCCAGGTGCCAGTGCAGCTGGCAATCGACGAAGCAAATGAGGACCCGGAAAATGTGCCAATCAAGAAAGATAGTATCTGGGCGAAGATGAACATCCTTTGGGGTTGATACACTTTCACCATGCGAAGCGTACATTTTCATTGGGAGTTTAGCAAGAAGCGGATGCGAGACTTCAAATTTCAATACATAATCAACATAATACAATGCACACGCCATCTGGCCAATCTGGTTTCCTTAAACCTTGAAGCAACCAACACCCCGGCATCAAGCGATGGTCGGAGTTAACAAAACCCGCACACAGACCCCTCGGATCAAATCCACGTAAAGAATACTCCGACGGATTCTGGAAATTAACAGGATTACTTGCCAGCGACCAAGTCCGACGTTGAGCGGCACCGGATGAATATTGAAAGCCATGTGGAGTGCAAATCCCGTTAACCCCGAGGGATACGAGTGGAGGACTAGCGTCACACATCACTACTCCACTTCCCTCAGGTCAAACTGAACATTTATATAAAGCTGGTCGGATGGTTAGTTTTAGTATTCATGCAAACGAATTCGATTTAGTATTCTGATTCCTGCTCATTCTTCACTATGTCCGCCTCAAACACTGGTGTCTGGCTTCTCGAAGCGGGCGGCCAATTCGTCGTTCAGGAAGCTCCGATGTATACTCCCGGTCCTGATGAGATTCTTGTGAAGAATAAGGCTGTTGCTGTTAACCCGAGTTCGTTCATTCAGCTTGTCAATTGAAATATCCAGACTACTAATGCATTATGCGGTAGTGGACTGGAAGATCCAGCTCTATGGTCCTCATCTACCCTTCCCCAGCAAATACCCATTCGTGAGTACCTCTGCCACTATCCAATGTTTGAAACAGTCTAGCCAATGAATCACCCTACTCAGATCCTAGGTGTTGATCTCGCCGGTGAAGTCTACGAAGTAGGCAAAGACGTAACAAAATTCAAGAAAGGCGACCACATAGCCGGGTAGGATACAACAAACCCTACATCTAGACCTGAAGCATCAAGCTAACGCAGCTAGAAATGCAAATTGGTTCCTCTCGCACGAGATCCGGGAGAGCGCCTACCAGAATTACACAATAATCAACGCGGCCCTCGCAGTCCCCCTCCCCCACACTATCACCTTCACAGAAGGCAGCGTCATTCCTTTGGCAGTAAGCACCTCGGCAATGGGTCTCTATCCACCAGCTCGTTTGGGCCTTCCCCTTCCCCAATCTCCTAAGGCAGAGCGTATTGGAAAAGTGGTCCTTGTCTGGGGTGCCTCGTCTAGTTGTGGATCTATGGCTGTTCAACTGGCCGTTGCATCGGGTGCTACTATCGTTGCTACGGCTTCGAGTAAGAATCATGAGTTTGTGAAGTCGCTGGGTGCGACTGCTGTTGTGGATTATAATAGTGAGACTGTTGTTTCGGAGTTGGTTGATGCGGTTAAGAGTACTGGTGAAGAGTTTTTGGGGGCTTTGGATGCTATTGGGGATGATCAGACTTGGAGACTTTGTGTCGAGGTTGCGCAGGGTCTTGGGTGTGGACGGGTTGTTAGTAATAATCCCAGGATTCCGGTTGAGGATATTCCCGAAGGCGTTGAGGTTCTTGGTGGTAAGTCATACTGTTTTTTTTTTGGTTGCGATGTTACCTCGAGGTTTGATGCTGATTCTGATGATTGCTGGTAGTGACTGATACCGCGAATATTGGTGACAAAAGGGAAATTGTTGAGGGCGTTTGGGGGACTTTCCTTCCTAAGGCTTTGAAGGATGGGACTATCAAGTGTGTTCCTGAGGCGGTGGTGTTGAAGGGGTTGGATAAGGTAGCTGAGGGCGTTGCTTTGTGCCAGAAGGGGGTTTCGGCTGCTAAGGTTGTAGTGGAGCTTTGATTTACTCCATATCCACTTTCAAGTCATTGAATTTTTTTGGTTATAGTGGTAGCATAGTATGATATTCTTGGACATTCTCTCAATTATTGGATTTTACTTGTTCTTATTTCGTTGAAAAGCATGGTGGTCAACATTTGTTTAGCCCCTCGCTTCATCAGCTGATAGCATTTTCTAAGATATAACTATCATGGTGTACTTTTTGAGCAGTAGCATGCAAGATTTTTCCAGAAAACAAATAAAACAAGACATAGTTGCCCACACATCAGACCATCAGAGAGGGGAACTGTAGACAGTAGAGTAAGTTTATGGCCCTTAGGAAAGTGGCTGAAGACCCCCGACTAAGCACGCCCTCGGTCATGGTATGTGAATAATTTTCAAGTCAAATCTAAGTACAAAGTAGCAGCCTTGCGTACACTTTGACTAGGTTTTGCTTACTTGGTTAGGATTTTCATGTAAACAAACGGAAATATATATCATAGCAACGCAACAAAGCCACCAAATAAGCCTGAGAAGTTCAACTATCGACAAAAACTAGTTGTGTTAACTACTTAACAAGCTATGTAACATTTAAATAATTATTCAACAACAATCAAGGGTAAACGCATGGGATGAGATGCACGTGACCGCGGGACTGTTTATCGATTTCCGCATTGAGCAAACTGTTGTGGTCTTGTCTTCCTCAACTCCCAACCCTCAATTGAGGCGCCATTTTTTTTTTCTGGAGCTCTGTACAGTTTTGCTTCATTAGCGCTTTGCATTTCAGTACGCCTCTCTCATCTACTCTTCATGTCCCCGTCCCGACCGACCGGCTTCGGGTTCCCGATTGTACGGATTCTGACCTGATCGTTCCAGGGATACCAATCTTGCACCACTTTGATACCCTTGAATACCAGCACTTAATACCCTTTTTTACGACATTCATGCTCGATGCACTTTGTCTGCGCACCTTCAGTCCACCGCGATACGATAACTCGACATCTGCTATAGAAAGACCGACCCGATGAGAATGGAGGCCCTTTCGCCACGCACTACGAACCAGATGATAAAGCCCAAACTGGCTATGGATCGTAAGGCTTTCGACAAGAATACTGCGCCGCCAAGCGTGCAACCAAAATCCTCATCAGCCAAGAACCACGCCGAACCGCCGCCGTCAATAGTTTCAGAGCCGGAAGATGGCGGGGAGCGATACTCGATAGGCGCATTTCTAGGGAAGGGTGGATTTGCAGTTTGCTATGAAGGTGCATTGGCGCGCAACGGTCGCGTGTATGCCATGAAGGTGGTAAAATCACAGATGCCACAGAAAAAGATGGAGGAAAAGGTATGGAAACAGTTGGACTCGGTACTTCTGACAAGGTTCTGACTTTTTCACAGTTTCGGACAGAACTCCAAATTCACTCCAAAATGCGACACCCGTTCGTCGTTCAGTTTTACCGCGCATTCGCTTTTGAATCTAGCACATACGTCGTTCTAGAGCTATGTCCAAACGGATCGGTGATGGATATGGTACGGAAACGTCGATGTCTCAGCTTACCCGAAGTGCGACGATTCATGATTCAGCTCTGTGCAGCAGTCAAATATCTTCACAAGCGATTTGTCGCACACCGCGACTTGAAAATGGGAAACCTGTTCCTAGATCACAACATGAACATCAAAGTTGGAGATTTCGGACTTGCAGCGATGATTCTCTCAGACAAGGATGCAAAGCGACGAAACACGCTATGTGGAACCCCCAACTACATCGCTCCTGAGGTTCTTGATAAGAGCAAAGGGGGCCATACACAAAAAGTGGACATTTGGTCATTGGGGGTTATTTGCTTCGCCATGCTCACTGGATACCCGCCTTTCCAATCAAAAACCCAAGAAGAAATTTACAAAAAGGTCCGAAACTTGAGCTATGCTTGGCCCAAGGAATCAGACACCAACAATTTCATTCCGGAAGAAGCAAAGGATCTCGTGACTAGCTGCTTGAATCTAGTTGACGAGGAACGACCAGACCCGGATGATATTGTTGAGCACCCATTCTTCACCATGTACGATGGCTGTATTCCCCGCCAATTGGATGCAGGTTGCCGTTACAACAAGCCACTATGGCTCAAGGATGCTTCCCCACGGGGTGATTGTATGGTGGGTGGCTATGGCTTGGATTCTGACGAAAAGCTTCGCGCCTACGTGTATCAAGTGGACGACCCCAGCCAGCGGTATCATTCCTGCAAGGCTGCCTTCTATTCCCTCTGCGGAGTTGGAAAAAAGCCCGATGGATCGGCTCGAAAGTCTGTGGGGAGGAACTGCTCCAAATCAGCCTATGCTGAGTGCGATGCAGAGGACCAGAGAGGTTTGCGTCCAGTTATTCCGCTGACCCCTGACTATGTTTACCGATGGCCACACGATCTCGATGGAGATTGGTGCCTGTTGGAAACTTCTCGCAAGGTCCGCAGCGAAGAGTCAATGCTTGACAGCAGCACTCTTTCAAGGCGCAGTGTTGCAGCTCGGCCTAACCCCGTAGCAGCTTCGCGAACCAACGCTGCTCTGCTTGCTGCTCAACAAAGACGTATGGAGGGCCAGAGTCACGCTGCGACCCTTCGTCAACAAGCTCGTGTGCCTCCTTTGTCACCTAGAAAGGGACCCGGGATTAGCGAACCTCCGGCCTCATCCAGACCATACCGCGATGCTCCAGAGCCAGATCCGAAGCTGCCTTTGGCCCCTGGAATACCCGCCGGTGGTCTAGCGGAACGTCCCATCCGCACGCGAAGAATGGCATCTGCATCTCAAGCAACGACTCTGCGTAGCAAGGAAAGAGATGTTGTTCCTCAATTAACCAAGTCAACAAGCATGCCATCTGGCTTGACTGTAGGCAAAACGCGTTCTCAGTCTCGCAGATTGGCAGCCGCTGACCAGGAGTTGCCGCAGGCTTCCATCCCAACGAGAGAACGGCAACCATCTACAATCCCCGAGGAACGCAAAGTGCCCACCCGGCAGACATCCCTACGATCATCTTCAAGGATGGAGCCGAAGACTATTGCGGAGAGAAATGAGCGTCAAAGGGCCAGCCCTGTCGAGGAAGGTGTACGATCGTTGTCTATCCAGTCCAAGTCTTCGTCTGCGTGTACTGGACTAGCCCGATCCGACTCCAATGGAATAAGTCGGTCTAACAGTAAGACCGCCGGTAGGGCCCGCTCCAGTCTAGGATTGAGCCCCCTTTTCCACACTGAAGACCTTTGCGAGCTTCTTCCTAGGACTTCGTTGACCGAAGTCAACACTGACCTTCGCCTGTTGCTGTCCAACTTGATCAATCATGCACCTAGTCGTCGACGCGGCGGAGCAAGGAAGCAGCCTCACGCCTACGTTATTAAATGGGTTGACTACACAAATCGCTATGGCATCGGGTATGTCTTGGATGATGGAAGTGTTGGATGTGCCTTCAAGGGAGAGAATGGACAACCAGCAACGAGTGTCGTGGTCCGAGACGGGGAGAGACATATTCGTCGCAAGGCGCGAAGTGTCGACGACGGCGAAATGAAACCACTGTTTTACTCCGAATCGGATCAGCTCGTTCCTCGCAACGGACGTGCGGTTGAGTTCTACGAAAACAGGGACGATGACTTGTTAGGGTGCCGCGGCATCCGGCGAGCAATGATCTCTCCGTCGCTTTTCGACAAGAGCTCAAAGGCGATGCGAACTCGCACCCAGTCAGGTACTGATTCCGAACGAGCCGATGCCGAGAAAGTCAAGCGTATGAAGCTAGTGGACCAATTCGGCAAATACATGATTGGGGCCCTCGGTCGCCATGGCGACGAAGGTATCATGGACGACGACATCCCCCAACAGAACAGCGGCCAGTTCATCAAGTTCTATCAGCGCCTCGGCAATGTTGGAATCTGGGGCTTCGGAGACGGCGCCTTCCAGTTCAACTTCCCCGACCACACCAAGCTTGTCATCTCGCCTGGCCGCACCCGCAGCTCATCTCCTTGGATCGACTTCTACCATCTCTCGCCATCGGCCGCTCGCTACTTCGCCGCCAAGGGCAAGATGCACCCGAACGGATTTGATACACGAGCCGTCGCCTCAGACGAAGCTGCCACATTCCTCAGCATCGCCAACGGCGACTCGGTGAACTCGATAGAAGACCGGATCCGCGATATCTTAGACGCCAACGCCTTCATCCAGAAAATTGCTTTCATCAAAGATACCATTAAAGTCTGGATCAAGAATGGTCGTCTTGGTGGTCGGCCATCCTCTGCTGACATGGCTTCCGCGGATCCATCCACACCTACGGAAATGTTCTGGCAGGGGACCCAAGAACGATCGCAGCCCAATACTCCCGGCACGAAGTTCGTCTGGGTAACAGTTGGAGCCCCGGACGGCGATGGCCAATACCAGTCCATGATGCTGAAAGATAGTGATCGAGAGCGTATGGCTAAGCGTGCTAGCACGGATTATGAGAAAGAGATGGACGCATTGAAAGATCGGCTTCGAGCTCTTAATCGTTGATTGCTGGAAGTCCATTTCTTGCTGTTTACACATTCACCTTACGATGTTACGACTTTTGCTCTTGTCAGATGCAATGCTTTCATGTTTATTTTTTTTACTTTTTTTTTTTGATCGAGACTCAAGCTAAGGCTTTGATGTTTGGAAGTTTTCGGCGTCTCTTGTTGATAGTGTTTATCGAATTCACTTGTGCTTTTGCACGGTTACTCCCAGATTGTCTTATCGTGCTTAATCTAACAATCCGGTTAGCCATGCTTCTCAGCCTTGCGCATGCATACTGGCCAGCAGTCACAACTCCATCCTGACCATCGAGCAACATTGTACCAGTCATACCCTCTAGATATAGAACGGATCATCACGTCGCCAATAACTTTTCATTGTTCGCGTCCTTAACCTTGTGAATATCAGGCCTCAAGCATGACAAAAGGTTCTTGGTGGTGCAGAATGATGCGTGGATACAGGATGCTGCCATACCTTCGGCTGAATCTACTTAGCTACCCACTGCATCCTATATGAGAACATCTCGGTACTTTCTCAGCATATGTCTTTGTATATGCAATACTTAGACAGATATAACCGCAGAATCAGCCAATCCGGCTCATCGGTCGACTATACGCCGAAATTCCCCCCCCGCGCCCGACCACCCGAACCCGGGGGGTAAATACGACGACTTATAAAAGACGATTCAATCCCCCGCATAACTTGAAACTAGTAGCCTTCTCTAGCGTGGAGTCATACCCCATACTCGGTCATCATACATCTACGTCTACTTCTTCTACTACGACCTTCTTTCATATACCTCACAAGATGCAGAACCCCTCATGTCTTCTCTATGGCCCAGGCGATGCCAGATTCGAAGATCGACCTATGCCAACGATCGACAATCCCTTTGATGTAATTATCCGCATCGAATACGTAGGCGTATGTGGCAGCGATGTAAGTACCACCGGATCTATACCCCATACCCTGACCCACTATATCATCAACATCTAACTTAACAACCAAAAGGTCCATTTCTGGATCCACGGCGGTGTCAAAAACCACGTCTCAGAAACAAACCCAATAGTGATGGGACACGAAGCATCAGGAACAGTGTACGCCATCGGACCAAGTGTTAAAAGGCTCCAGCCGGGCGATGCAGTAGCCATCGAGCCCGGTTTCGGCTGTCGGATTTGTTCAAAGTGCAAATCGGGCAAATATAATCTCTGTCCCCAGATGAAGTTTGCTGCGAATCCGCTGGATACGCATGGCGCTCTGTCGAAGTTCTTCAAGGTTCCTGCTGATTGCTGCTATAAGATTTCTGGGTCAGTTGACTCTGAGTTTGCTTCTGAGTTTCCTCCTGGAATTGGGGGCTCGGGTGGAATTGGACTTGATGAGGCGGTACTTATTGAGCCGATGGCGGTTGCTGTGCATTCTGTGCGGCAGGTTGGTGTGAAGCCCGGGGATCGAGTTATTGTTTTTGGGGCTGGGACTGTGGGCCTTCTCTGTGCGGCGGTTGCGCGAGAGTTTGGGGCGAATTTGATTGTTTCTGTTGATATGAGTGATGAGAAGTTGGAGTTTGCGAAGAAGCTTGTTGGGGAAGACCGGGTTCGTTTTCGCACTGCGATTCCTGCTCCGCAGTTGAATGCCGAGGAGAATGCTAGTGGGTTCCGAAACTGGCTTACATGTGTTGACCCTGATGCTGATCTTCCTGGCTTTGATGTTGCTATTGAGGCTACTGGGGCTGAGCCGTGTATTCAAACGGCGATTCATTCGTTGAAAGTTGGGGGTTCCTTTGTGCAGACTGGATTGGGGAATCGAAATGTCAACTTTCCTATTTCGACGGTGTCCGAGAATGAGATTACTATCAAGGGGTGTTACCGGTACGGGGCAGGGGATTTCCAGATGGCGCTGGAGCTGGCGAAGTCAAGGAAGATTGAGTTGAAGCCTCTTATTACAAAGGTTGTGCCATTCGAGAATGTGGTAGAGGCGTGGGAGACTACCAAACGAGGCGAGGGAATCAAGACTTTGATTCGAGGAGTAGAACGTGCTGTCTGAAATGCTCAATCTGACTTGAATGGAGAATATGATTATCATTATTACTCAGTTTACACTCTAGAGTACCTTCATCAATCTATTTTAGAGCATTCACATCACCACACGGAAGGTCGGCTTTCAGGAGCCATCATTCTCCCTGCACGCATCTCCAAGTCCTTCTCGCTTGCAATAGTCTCATCGTCGCCTCGAAGACCCTGGTTTGTCTCCAAGTCACGGTCCAGGTCGTAGTGCTCAGTGAATAGACTAATCACTAGGGCCACACCGGAGACGGCACAGCAGACAATCCATACTGTGCGCAGACTGTCGGTATACGCCTCTTTGAGATTAGCTTTGTCTGCACCATCTGCCATAGCCTTGATAATCTGGACCAAGCCCGCGGCATTCTTGCTATATGCATCGGCCATGGGAACCAGATCAGGATATCTCATAAGATTGCTGAACATGCGGTTTTGGAAGACCACTCCACCAACTGCAACACCAATGGCTTGGCCGAGGGCACGGAAGAAACTGAACATGGCGACCGCAATGGCGAGATTCTCTGGCTCTGACGAAGCTTGAACCGCGTAGCCCAGGGAAGGGAACAAGATCCCCAGTCCCAGACCTGAGACGATGTTCAGAAAAATCCACCCAACGACGCTGGTGTGGACTTTGATCAGACACATCAGACCAAGTCCGATAGTTGAAAGAACCCATCCCAACCACACAGCCCACCGATAACGACCAGTGACTGTAATAAGAATCCCAGCAATCATACCACTAGGAGCAACAGTGAAAGTCTCAGGGAAGAGGGCCACGCCCGAAAGGATGGGGCTATACTCCTTCACGGCTTCATAGTACAGAGGAAGATAATAGAGAGCACACCAGAGAATCAACCCCTGTAGAACACTTCCAATGAAAGAAGCAGTTGCGGTACGGTTCTTGAAAATAAGAGGTGGAATTATCGGGTCGGATGCGAAGTAATACTCGTAAAATGCGAAAAAAAGTAGGCCGGCGCCTCCCACGCAGAGAGGGACTAATGTCCGCCATGAGCTCCAGGGGTAGGAGACTCCACCCCAGGTGAGTGGGATGAGGAATGATGAGATACTTCCAACAAAAAGTACGGTTCCAAAATAATCGATTCGTCGAAGCTTCTCGACTAATGAACTGGGTGCGAGCTTCAGGTTGAGGAAGAGAATGACGAGTATGAAGCCGACGCCGATGAAGGGAAAATTGATATAAAAGATCCATCGCTAGATCCTGCTGTCAGACCTATCACTTTTGTCTTCGAGAGACGAAAACTCACCCATGATACATTCTCGGCGAAACCACCTCCAAGAATCGGTCCTGTAACTGATCCAATACTCCACATTGCACTCAGAATGCCGAAGTACTGTCCTCGCCATCGTAAAGGAACAAGATCTGTAATTATGACCTCGCTCAGTGAGATAATGCCTCCGCCACCGACACCTTGTATAGATCGACCGACTAGCATGTAGGTAAAGTTGTTTGCAATTGCCGAGATAATGGCACCAACACAAAAGAATACGAGAGCGATCAGTATCATGGGTCGGCGGCCAAATATATTAGAGAAAGAAGCAAAACTTGGTTGGAATACTTGGTGGATGTGAGAGTGGACCCTAAGAATGGATGTCTTCATGGTATCGTACCTGTTGAGCATAATAGGAACGAGGTACCGCTCCAAAATGCTTCTATGGCTGTTCCGTTCAACTCTTGAGCAATGTCCTAAAGCATGTAAGCATCTGTATTCTATGAATCTCCAATGTATTACTTACCGGCAGCGCAACAGACAACGAAGTCCCATCGAGAGCAGCCATCAATGTAAGAACCGCCAAAGTGAAGAAGACAAGAATTCCCCTCCTTCCCAAGGCAAACTTCTCCTCAGGATCCGGTTTTCTTTGTTTGGCATAAGAAGGAGGTCTCACACTATCATCATAAGAAGGCCTTCCACGCCTGTAAAATGGGGAATCCGCGTCCGCCATGGTGTAGCGACAAATGATGTACCGTTTTGGTGAGGCCTGTAGTCAAGAACAAGTATCGCCTTATATTGCAGCGTCTGTCATCAGATAAAAGTTGTTTTACATTGGAGTCCGTAAGCTGGACAGATATATAGTAAATGAGCTGTCTAGCCAACGCCACACGGGATTGGCAAGATGCCTGTGGGTTTGTAATGGGACGCAGAGTTCCTCCGCTGCGACCCAAGATCCCGGAATTGAACACCAGAGAATGATACATGTCAGGCCGTTTCAATCTTCAGGGACTCCACGACAGGGTCAGGACGTAGTTGGAACTTGACTGCGGCTACTTTGGGAACGTTCGGCATAATGTTGCCCCGCCGACTGGCGCTGTCAGACGGGATTCGGGCCAATTTCATTTGTTCGCAATTTTCTTTTCTTTTTGTATGAGCTGATAATCTCCGGTTGGTTGCTTCGTGGCTCAGTTGGACTTGGTTTGGTTCGGTTACAGTTGACTTTATCTGAGTGGCTTGGAAGTTGCGTTAATTTGGCTTTTCCGACTTCGTGATCGTGCTATACATACTCGATTGGGCCACTCTTGTCGGCCATTTGACAAAATGTAAGAAAGGACTCGTACATGGGAGTGGCTGCTGTTCTATCTCGGGTATGCACTTGTACAACACTGGCGGGCCTTTGGTTGCGAGGGATGAAACGAGCATGTCTTGACTTTGTATATCTAATCTGGCATTTAGTCGGATTTCCAATCAGACCGTCACATCTTCGAGGGCTCGACATCGCATCCTATTCCTCCTTGTCCATGAGATAGCAGTATAAGACCCAGCAAAAGCCTTTAGGTCACCCTCTCACGGCACCTCGCTTCATCATGGATCAGCAATGCATGATCTGAGACAGACAAGCCGAGCTACATGCCGTGTCACCGAAGACCCTGCCCACGTCTGAAATCAAGAAGAAGCTTGCAGAGGCTGCCTCTCACTCCGAAGAATCTCAGGCAGCATCCACCAGACTGGGTTGGTACGGCTTCCAGCCTAGGATCTTGCGGGCGCTGGGAACGACCACGAGAGTTCATGCCCCAGCTAAGAGACTCGAAGCCTGCATACTTCGTGGCACTTTCCAGGTCGATTGGCTCGGCTTTTGGCTCGGGGATGTACCCCAGTTTGGCGGCTGCATCTGCTGTAGCTTGTGTTAGCTCGCCACAGACGTGTTCCCCGTTCTCAGTGAGATAGTAGGCCTTGGCTCCCCAGAGCCCGTCGTCGGATCTGCCTGCAAGCGCTGCATCTACTAGGAGTGAGTATACATCACTCAGGTCGTGAACGTGTACGTTGTTCCAGATGGACTGGCCGGCGCCGATGATCGGGCCTTTCTTTATGCGGAGCGTCACGTTGGCCAACTCATACACCTGACGCCCACGCTGGGAGCAAGGTCCTCGACGCTTGCCTTAATAAGGATTTAGTCTTTTGCTGCACATAGGGAAGGGAAATTGTTACCATAGATTGTAGGTGGGCAAACGAGTGCTGTCTTGAGCACATCGGCATGCTGCGTACCCGCATCAAGGATGATCTGGTCTACATTTCGATGGAACGCATGGTCTGGGAGGTTAAGCAGCTCATCAACACGATCCCAGTCATTGTAGATCTTCTCGCTTCTATTTCCATATTCGTTCTTGTCGCTGTCTTCCCAGGTAAGGATACCCGTTCCTCCGGTGTGGAGCAGGTAACCAGGGTGCTCTTTGGTGTGGCCAGACACCAAACCTGCTATTATGGCCTTTGCAGCACTGACATGGTCGCTTGCATCGGCGGTGTCTGTTTTCGAAGGATCAGTCTAGCTCAGCTGTTGCGATGTCCTAGTGAAAGCACTCACGTAGGACGATATCTGCTGCTGCACTTTCTTTCTCCAACAGGGCAGAGTCGTCGAGGTATCCCAGGACGATGCGGACATTTGGATACTGGGCCTTGACCTGCTCAGCCTTCTCGTTGGTGCGGACTAGAGCTGCATAGGAGAAGTCTGGGTGCTTGGCAGCGAGTGTGGCTAGTGAGTCGCCGCCAATATAGCCAGTAGCGCCGGTACTATGGCGGTCAGATAAAGAATTGTTCAGCTTGGTGGGTCTTACATGAAAAGTTTGGTCATTGTGCTATTGGTATCTGCCAGGTTCGCGATGTGTATACAAAAGATCAGCCTGAATTTCCCCCATTCCAATCCATTGACACTCAACCCCGTGGTGGGACAGTCATAATTTGTAAACATCCAGGAAAACTCCATGAGGTGGTCTACGTTTGCATCCATCCTCAGCTTGGGCTCACTGGGATGATATGTTTAGGCTAAAGCAAATTTCACATCCGCTGGTTGATTAAAAAGTTGTCCTCATTTTGATTAGCCTTGCTCCACGTTGACGGTTACTTCAGCGGCATTTTGCCATAAATCGACTTTAATCGGTGCTTTTTGTAAATCATTCGTTGGATCATGGCGGTGACGGAAGATCTTCATGATTGGGCGTAGTTGTGCATGGGGCTATTGTCAATAGGGTGCGCCACACACATTTCCGTGAATCCTGCATCAATGGAGGGGATCTTTGTAAACCTTTCATTCTGTGCATGCAACTATTCTAGCATCTGTCATCGTTCTCACACCACGAGTAAGATCTGCAACAATGCTCGCATTGGCATCGAACTTCTAGCTCGTGCACGTACGGAGATGAGAAGCAATCATACCAGCAATGGGAATCATGAACAAGAGGGCCCTGGAGACGGAGATTGAACAAAGATCTGGAGCAGAGGCAGAAGTGCAGAAGGTGACACTAGGCGCAAAAGGATCGAAATATCCGAGACATTGGGGGTGCAAGATTGGGCAAATTGATGATCAATCAATCATTCAGTCCTGTCTACCTTGTGACCTCGCGCCAGAAGATAAATTCGATTAGTTCTTCTGAGATTCTCGCCTTATCCCTGATTTTAGTTGAAAATGGTTCCTTAATATCCGATGTACTTTTGCCGTAGGCGGGACATCGCCCTTCGTGAAACCCTCTGGAAGCTTTCCTTTTCAGCGCTTCCTCCGCCTTTCTTCCGTAATTGTTCATTGTTACTGTTGTATTGTTGTGGGGCTATGGGGAAGAAAGCCTGGCGTTTGATAGATTGTTTACATTCAGGCCTTGTTCGCGTTTCCTAACCTATAGTTAGCTGTCCTGTGCTAATCCTGGATATCTCTTCCCTAGTCCAACTCTCTCACGGCCACTCCACCGAGGTCTCTCTCTCCCTCTCCCTCTCTTTATGTTAGTTGTGTGTTGAGTTTAATGATGATATTCCAGGTTAGGAATTGCCGAGGTCTAACTAGTGGCAAAAAAATCGTCTAATATGCGTAGCAACCCGCATGGCTAGTCCTGCTTATCCCAGGATACGCCGCCTAGTGCAGAATATTTCATATCGCCGAGGAACAAGACATCATTCTGTCCACCTGGGCAATCATTTCCATGATCATCAATACTATCACCCTGACTCTTGGGTGATTTGCACTGCACAGCGACTACAAGATACATACACTATCAGTCTCTCGTGTGTCAGCTAGATCTTTTAATGAAGGGTGATATCCAGCACGTAGGGTCCATGCAGGGGTTAAATCGCCAAAAATGTGACTGCTCTCTGCATATCCCAAGCCAAGGAAACTCATCACATATGTTCAGCCAACAGAAAAGCATTTTAATATTGTATGCATGATAAATTTGCTTTAATCTGTAGCCTCTTGACAATATTGTCATATACGTAGGGGATGGACATGCGATATGTAACACGATGAGCTTGCCGCGCAGAAGAAACTACCACCTCAGAAGGGTATATATAGAGACTCGGAACCCGGAGTAGAAGCACCTCATCAACACCTCAAATTTGATTTACACCGATTTCCTCCAACATGAAGTTCACCAACGCTATCCTCTTGTTTGGCGCCACTGCCCTCACAAAGCAATCTTCTGCTGCGAACACAGACACATGCTCGCAGCAGTTGCACAAGTATCAGGCCGCTGATCTAAATGCTTCTTGTAATTTTTAAATAAAAATTTGCGAGATCATATTCTAACTTATGTTTCAGGTGCTTCAAACTCGGGCTCGGGGCCTTTTGACTACGGTCTTTCCAGCAAGGCAGTGACTGTTTACTGTGGAAAGTGTACGTTATTTTTATAGTTGCATTGTTTAACCCCTTTTCTAACCTCTACAGGGTACCGAAAGGATGGATTCAGAGTCTTAGAAAAGTCTACTTTCAGTGACTGTGTTGATGAATGCATCTCGAACACACGGTGCAACAGTGTGATCTATGCCAGGGAAGGGCAAAGACCCCTCGGAGACAGGGGCAACTGTGTCTTGAACGCCTTTGGCCTCCCAGACTCGCCACCGAACCGCTCAGGAGCAGCATGGAACGCGGCCTACATCAAGTAAGAATAGGCTTCGGTTCCAATCCTCGGAGTATTGTCCTTATGACTGGCGATATCATGATGGCATGTTGATTATCTCGGCATAGGTTTTTTTTACCCTTTAGGGTTGGTTTCCCTATGCTATGATGCAAATGCAGTGGTATTTCGGCCTTGGTATCAAAATAAATCTTTTATTCGGTCACAGACTTTGGACTTTGAGTTGCATTTTTCTTACTTTTCTCCCCCTCCTCTACCGACTACTTCTTCGTAAGATCTCAAGCCAGACATAGAATCACCGTAGATGCCATCGCTGTAGCCAGTCAACACGGAGAGCATGTTGGTTTGTGACCGAATAACAGGATCATGGACCAGGTAGGACAAACGGAGTTTACGATTCGGCGAGCGAGATTTCGGGGAAGAGCGATAAGTGCAAGATAAAGCGGTAGGGGAAATGAATAAGAAATAAGTAAGAGAATGGAGATCGAACAGCGAAAACGGAGATCTTAAGTCGAGAATATTAAGGGGAGGTTAAGTGAGGGCCTGGAGATTTGATGATGGGTAACAAATCGCAACTGCGGCGCGTCTGTCGTCAATATTTTATCCGTTTCGGGTGTCGGCATGTCTACACTAAGAGCTCAAACGACAAAATGAAGCTATTGACCTTGATACTGATGATGATATCTTGATAAAAACAAGCTTCAAAAAAAGTGGATGAAGATGGAGAGAGAAGAGGAAACTGCGAATATCCTGTCTAGAAGTGAGTTTATAACTTTATAGCTCAATGAGGTCTGATTAGCTATAGTTAGCGAATAGTCACTGATTGCTTAAAAAAATGGCATCTGCGACAGAGCGAAATTGAGCAATTCCCCGTGGCAAAGCTAATCCCTGTTTGCAGGCGTTCTCTGTTGCTCTCCCTTCAAACAGGTCAGTGGGCCACAAAACATGCAAAAATTGAAAGGTTGATTGAGAAACATTCATTCTCTCGCCATATAAAGAACAAGATCGGCGCGATTGAAGACATACAACAAGATTTATAAGTCTGTTTTCGGTGCTATAAAGTATTGCATAAGTTCTTCACAAAGCTCTCGAAATGACTACGCCATTGCATGAATTATCTGTGCCCTAACCTAGCCTCTCTTTTATCACCTCTTTTTCATTTCTTTTTTGCTCATGTTAAGTGCCTCGGGTGAGCCATTTGAATCATATAAACGTGGAGGTAGTAGATTATTTATGGCCACTGTTGTAGAAACATCCTAGTCTACTCATGTTCGCCTCACAGCATGCAATTATTCACTCGGTATTCTGGGCATATGGATGCAAGGGTCGCAAAATGAGATGGTAATTATTATACATGCACGACATCTAGTTTCAAATGGCTCACCCCCTTGCTAGGGAAACAAATGAGATTTATGCATAACTTGAGATCTTCACTGCCCCTTTATCGGTCGCAACATACATACTTGCACATAATCAGGGTAAGGCGAAAATGACTCAAGATCCCGGAATCCATACTTCTCATACACAGGCTTGCCCTCCGGCGATGAAGACAAGTAAACCTCTACACCCTCATCATCAGCACGTGCAAGACCCCATTTCAAAAGCTTCGATGCCAGTCCACGGCCCTGGTGGGATGGATGCACAGCCAGCATGTCAAGATCTAAACATCACAATTAGCGGAGCTGTACTCTATAAAAATCGATGGTCGCATGTAAAGCATAATAGAACCTAATAATCGAAGCCACCAGATAAATCCCACAATAAAATTACAATAGAAAGAACAAAAAAAGGAAAAAAGAAACATACAATAGTGCGGTCTATCCCCCATCCACTTCCCTTTCAGTTCCTCCATACCACCAAAGAAACGATCGCAGAGTTTCCCGTCACAGCTAGGGGCCCAAACCGCCGATTCCTCAGGTTCGTGCCGATCGCGACCTGCAGACGTTGGACACTTCCATTTCGCGAACGCGACAATCGCGTCTTGATCTGAGTCCACGACTTTGAGGAAGACTTCGTTGGTTCTGCCTGCGATTGAGCGTGTGATGCTGTCGTGGAAGATTTGTTCCCACCAGACGGTTACGTCGGGGGTCTCCGGAAACATCTTTCTATTGAATTCACCCCCGAAGGCTGCATAGAAGATCTCTGTGAGCTCGGTTCCGTCGGCTGGAGTTGCGGGGATTATTTCTAGTAGCATTTTGGTGGTTCTGTGTGTAGGTAGACTGCGGTTGTTGAATATGTGTCTGGATTGAAGTTTTGTGGTGGCGGATTTGCGGGTCTACATCATCCATCCCGGTCTTGAGCTTCATTCAAGAGACTGCATAATTCCTACTTTCACAAAGGCTTCAAATCTTGTTTCATGTTGAATTTATACTTTTCAAAAAATTGTTAACTCGCGTGGTGGAGTAATAGTGCTCGAATTTTTCAAATTGACAAGGTGAATACATATATCTCGAAGAGTTGCTAGCATATTGCTCGGCTACCAGAACGACTGTTCCAGTTCATCTCGCGACAGTCCACCAAGTTTGGAGACAAATCTAATCAATTAAAGCTAATCATTTATTCAGTTCAATTAAGAAATATCGAGTTGGTTGGCAGGTAATTAAATCATTGACATTTGTAGACATTAACAGGGACTAAACCAAACTAATGGCCAACGTTATATCCATAGACTGTGACCGCTTGAACGCTCCCATTACGCTCGGTGGGGTATATAATTCAGACAACTATTGACACTGGTACAGCAAGCGACGATTAAAGTTATAGAAAAAAGTTTGTTCACGCAAGAAAGGGAACATGTCAAACGGCCAGGTTTCGGGGGGCTTGGTGTGTTTGCGCCTGTGGCGCACTGCTCAGAAAAAGGTCACTGTTTCTCTTTCTCCAATGCTGGCTCCGGAGTGGCGATTGGGCTGACTGGCCCAGGCTCAGTATGTTGTCTCTGGCAAGATGGATCGTAATTTAGGGTCGTGTCTGCGCGTCCTGGCTGCGTAGATCCTCTGTACGACTGATCATGTGAGGGTGGCAAGACAGAGCGACGGATGCGTGGATCGTCTGGTTGCTGGTTCTTGCTTTCGGTGCTCTTTGTAGTCTCCATTTCTGATTTGACGCTTTGGTACATGCTTTCGACGATGAAGACTTCTTCTTGTACGTCTAGATCACAGCTGACCAAACAGAACTCTCGCTCGCGTTGCTCAATGTACTCTCGGATATTCTTCCATTGGTTTTGGTAGTTCTTGAGACGGTCTGGGAGTCCTGAACCCCGGAGGTAGGTCAAGACACCGGCCATAATCGTGTTGATCGCACCGAACGCGGTGACAGCAGAGTGTGGGCCGCTGGCTGCGCCAAGTGCAGTCACTGCAGCGGCAACGACGACTTGAACGCCGAGACAGGTGTTGATGAGGAAGTTGAAGATTTTGTAGGCGCGCTGAGCCTTGGTTTCATTTGTGATAACACGGGTATAGATACCGACATTGGGTGCACTCCGCAGGAGGTGGCCCTGCTGTGTGAGTGCAGGGACACTGTCGATACCGGTCAAGGCGCGGAAGACGAGGAGCTTGTCGTTGATTGGAATGAGAGATTCCATCTGTGTTGTAGTCACTCGCTTTGGTGGGCCTGCTGGCATATCTTGTCCATATCCACCATTTTGCGCGCCCATAGCCGCCGCTGCGTGGGCAGCCATGGGCGGGTAGCCCGCTTCTTCGCGATCTAAGGCTGCCTCAATGATCCGGTGTAGGAGTCTGCGGTTGGGCTTCTTTTGCGACATCTTGTGGGTATAGAGAAACTTAGGAAGGGAGAAGTAACAAATAGAGCGCTTTGCGCAAGACAGAGGGGGAAACGCTCATATTTTTAAACACACGAGGGGCCGGCAGTGCCGTCAGACTGCTTTTGTGTAATACCCACCTTGCAGATGCAACCAAGATTAGTGCAGCAAGTTCCCGAAACCTAGAGCAAAAGTAACCCTGCGTTCAGTCGACATCGAGTGAGGATGTGCACAGTTATCTTCCACATAGGGGAAGGCTCGGAAGAGAAACCTGCAGGGTTTGACGAATAGCCGGTACAACGAGATCAATCTGAATCATGACAGGTTAGACGCATGGCGACCCGCGCATGCACCGTAAACTTAGCGGCATCGGCCAGCTGGAAGTGCCTCCCTCCCTAAACTCGAGTTCGACCTGTCTTGGCCCGAATGTGGCTTGAATTGGTAGAGATCTGCACGGCGCGCGTTCAAGAAGCAGTCAAGAACGGTGGGGCTAGTCTTGCGGCGTCGAGGAATCACACACCACGATCATGATCTGGTGTAAACAGAACAGCGACTATCGCAGGAGATGAGTCTGCAGCTTGCTCCATGATGTGCGAAAAATCCTCCGAGAAGCGCTAACGATGGAGACCTTTTTCCATGGTGATGCCCACTTTCAGGGTCTTCAACGAAAGAGATAAACATTTGGCAGTGGCTGCATGACAGGCGCAAAACCCTGGGTCCAGTAGCGGCAACGAGATTGTCACTTTGCAGATCGGACATCGATTCAGCAAGTTTAGTGGATCCTATCGCACGGGATGTGAACTCCGCTGTACCAAAGTAGCAGACTGCATTTGATCAGCTGCACGGTGTGCGCTGCTTCTTGTGTCAGAGCAGAGATTAGTTGTTTTGGTTCATGATGTTGAAGCCCCTGGCGTAACAAACAAACACAAGCACGGGCTATCCTTCGGGCCCTCGGGCAGGAGTTCCACTAGGTGGATCAGCTGAATCAACCCCTGAAGTGTTCGAGTTGAGACCCTAGCCTTGTGCCGAGCGATTTAGGGTGCATAAGAACGATGTGATTGGCTTGACTTGCTCGCCAGACATTGCCGCATTCTCGTGGCGAGCTGAAAGTCGGCGTATCACACCAAAAGCTTGGTGAGGGTGGGGTGAGAGGTTGTAACATCGGGAAGATTGGGATAGGCAAGGGACGGAAGTTCAGACGACTGTCACAGAACCTTATGAAGAATTCAACAGCCGAGTTCTACTGTGAAGCAGATCCCATCCCCCATCCCCAGTTCTCCAACACTTCGTTGTAGAGTGCTTGGGTGCAAAGGGAACCCCATGTTAGGGGTTACCGCCCTTGGCGGCAATACATTTCCAGCCGTGACTCCAGTAGTAGTGATTGACGAGATATTCATAATCTAATGCCATTCCTTGTTATCCATATCTTAAGTATAAATATCGAGAAGGGAGCCTTGAACCTTGAGGGAGTGTTTAATCTCTAGTGCTGAAAGCACTCTTAATGAAATTGATTTCTCAGGACTTGGTCAACTTTTTTATTCCACTGCTGTAATTTTGCAATCATAACGTGGTATTGCACATAAACTCACCAAGCTGCTCATTCGCCGAAGAAGTTTCACCGAGGAAGTTGAGTCAAGATTCTTGCTTTTCTGACACGCAAACAGTCTCTATGTGAACTGTTAAAGAACAAGTCCGTTCGACGGCCCAGAAATAACGATTGGTCTATAATAAATCGCTCACGGAAGCTAGGTGACTTGGGGTTAGTCAACATATGTATGGAGGCGTAACCCTATTACCATCTCCTACTTCAACGTTCACGCAGAACTAGTGGCTCTGGCTTCATGGAAATGGATTGAGGCAAGATCAAGAGTTTGATACCAAAATGGAAGCAAAGAATCCGAAAATCCGCGTTGTATATATATACCTGGGCAAGATGATGGGACATGACTAAGGAGAATCAGCCTTCACTGGAATTCGTGAAGAATGCAATTCCGAAATCCGATCTTTCCATATCACTTTGAACTTATATCATCATACTACTAGACTTGCCTCGGTTTTCTGATGGCTTAAATCAGAAAATTATTTTTTAGATTACTCTATCCAAATTTTGTTCAACTATAATGTCCACGTAGAACAATCTTTTATCAGTTCAAGACTAACTTCCCTCATTTCAATTGCATGTACTTTGCTGTCATCTCTTGTTTGCATCCAAGATCATCTCAATTTCACTTCTTCCTCTCTGGGTTCGTAGCCTCAGCCAAAATGATTGAATGGCTTTGGGCTTCGACTCCTGCCTTCGATCTCTGGAAGTTCTTACTAACGATCTTCCTTGTGGTCAATTTCAAGAATTTGCCATTGGTCTTTCATGTAAGTATTGATTCAAGATGGCTATAATGCATATTACTGCCGGTTCCTGTCTATATTTTCTTTCGTGTGCTAACATGCTCTAAGTATCGAATCTTCCGTCCAATCATACAAAGTGCATTCGGGGAAAAAAGAAGACATCAGTTCATTTCCATCAAGAATGGAGACAAAACTTTGCCACTGGTATTCCTTCCTTGTATAACAACCACATACACGCCAATGCTCGAAGCCGACTACAACCTCCACAAATCGAACAGCACATACTTCACGGATTTGGATGCAAGTCGCTCCCATCTATTGTCATATCTTTGCTATAGCGGAATTTCCGTTGTAGACAAAGAACTCACCACTGAGGGTAAAAAGGGAATGCTGGCTGCCATAATTGGATCGGTTTCAACAAGCTTCAAGAAGGAAATTCGAATCTTGCAACAGTACGAAGTTTGGTCGCGAATTCTTACATGGGACAAGAAGTGGCTCTACATTGTGACACATTTCGTTCAAAAAGGAAGTGTCAAGCACGCATGTTTTGTCACTAATATGTTGCCTGGGGGACATATTTGCGGGAAGTGTGGTGGTGCTAACGGGGCCAGCGCAGTACGACCTGTCGTATTTGCAACTTCGGTCTCCAAATACGTCTTCAAAAAGGGCAGATTCACGGTGGCACCAGAGCGACTCCTGAGAGCTTCTGGTCTATTTGGAGATAGTGATAAGTTGGGAGGTGAAGACTCTGCCAAAAGCAGTGGAGCTAAGGACGGTACGGCAATCGGCGAAGTTGTCGAGAATGAAAGAGCCAAAGGATTTAAATATGCTGAGGCTTGGGATGAGTTGGAATCTCTCCATGCGGAGTTTGCTGGGGAGAATGAAATAGCCAGCTGTATTCCAGCCATTGGCCATTTCGATGATGTTGCTGGCTACGGGTTTTCTTTCTCTTAGAGATCGCACTGTAGGTATAGAGACTCAAGGGGGAATTGCACGTCGGTTGCATTTGGTTTTATATCTTAAACATATAAGTTTGGGCAAACAGTTCTACTTTCGAGCATATTACCTTTAGGTGATAGTTCTAGTTCCGCGTCTGCATAAAGTGGGGCATCGGGGACTCGGCCTTTGATCTTTGATGAGCAGACTTCTAAGAAAGACCCTGATCACCGAGAAAACAAAATTTTCATCTTAAAGATCTTGATTCTAGTCAGGAATGTATCAAATTTGCAGTCGTCCTGTTTGAATGACTTTCTAACTCGTTCCGCGACCTTCCGCTGAGACCATATTTCAAACGAGTGTCGCCATACAACGCAATTCTGGGAAGAAATGCATAGAATAGTTTCCTCTGTCTCAGTCCCAGTAGAAGGAATGCATATCTATCATTTTCATTCTTCGTGGCTTTGAAGGTTTCCCCTCTATTACAAATGCCGAGGTGGGGAACCTTGACTGATAAGAAAAAAAGTCCGCGCCCTACGGTTGACAGCTTTGACATATATCTACCCTTGATATCTTGCATATTCTTTCATATTTCAGACACCATGGGAGACGCACCTTTGCCAGCCGAGCATGTGCTCATCGTCTTTTATATGCATATGCCCGAACCGCTGCAAGAGGAATTCCGCCGCAAGTTTGCCGGTGCCAGGGTCACTATTCACAAATCAGAGCCAGGTAAACCTGTGCCGCCAGGTAAGTTACTATAAACCTCAGGGCTATCAGTTGGGATTCGTCTGTCAATAGCAGATGGTAACATTGTGTATGCAGAGCTGTACCAGAGTGCCACCGTCCTGGTCACCTTCACGGATCTGCCAGATCCCAAGGATGCGACGAAGTAAAATACCCGCTGCTGTGAAGATCACTCATTCAATATACTAACAAAAATGTAGCCTGAAATTCATTCATTCATTCTCCGCTGGCCTGGACCATCTCATGCAGCACCCCATTCTACGGGAGACTGACATTCCCATTACCACAAGCTCTGGTATCCACGGTCCACCTATTGCGGAATGGACCGTGATGAATTGGCTGGTCTCCTCCCGGCAGTATGTCAAGACATATGAGGCTCAGAAAGCGCATGTATGGGCAGATAAATCCCAGTTTATGCATGGCCTGCATGACCAGGTCGGCAAGAAAGTTGGCATTCTTGGATATGGCTCTATCGGCAGACAGAGTAAGTCTCATTCCTGAAGGGAAAATACATAGAAAACCTCAAACTAAATTTCCCCAGTTGCCCGTGTCTCCATCGCTCTGGGTATGACTGTGTACGCGCACACTGCCTCCCCGAGAACAACAGAGGAATCTCGGCGCGACACTCACTACATCGTCCCCGGAACCGGCGACCCAGATGGCTCGATCCCGGTCTCATGGCACCACGGCACAGACCGTGAATCCATCCGGTCTTTCCTAGCCCTTGGACTGGACCATCTTGTCATTTCTCTTCCGTTGACTCCGGAAACGACTTATCTCCTTGGTCCAGAGGAGTTTGCTATTCTTTCTGACAACTGCCACCACCATGCTACCAAGCCATATGTGACCAACATATCACGTGGTAAGGTCATCGACCAGAAGGCTTTGATTGAGGCCTTGAAGTCTGGCGTGCTTGGCGGTGCAGCTCTCGATGTTACTGATCCCGAACCTCTGCCCAAGGATAATCCCCTTTGGGATGCGCCGAATGTGCAGATCAGTCCTCATATGAGTAGTTTGGGTAACGAATACTGGCCCCGTTCTATTGATATTGCAGTGTTGAATTTGGGAAGGCTGCAGAGGGGTGAGCCTTTGGTTAATGCATACAACCGGCGCAGAGGATATTAGATTGTTAACCCGGGATTACATGTCTAGAGATTTAGCCTATCATATAGCCGAAATAAATGAATAGGATAATGATTTTTCTATGAAAAAAACGCGAAAGAAAGGATCTCATGGCTTCCTATAACGGACCAAAGTGTATGAGCACATGAAGTAGAGCTCAACGGGTGCATGTAGTGCAGGAAAACATACACTCGCGAGTAAAATATCCCTCCATCATTATAGTCCTAGGCATTAAAGTATCGCAAGAGGGTCACCTTGACCTGTCATTTCGAACTATAAAATCACGAAAATCTTTCATCGTCATTCAAATTGTCATGCGACACTACAAGCTCTCATCCCTTCCTCGAGCACCACAGCAATAAACCCACAGCCTGCAACAGCTAAAGCCCATGGGTTCATCAGGTCTTTTGGAGAAGGCCAGAAACTGTTGTTTTCCTTCTGCCAATGCTGCAGCTGTTCATACTTGTGAGCATCTTGGGCCTTGTATCGCTCTTCCTGGCTGGCCTCTGTCTGCTTGTCACCGCCAACGAAACGTAGGAACAAGTAGTTCGACAGCGGGCCCAGCAAAACAACAGGGTCGAAATTACCTGCCACGTTCAACAGAGCGTAGGAGAAATGAACCAGTGTGTCTCCCAAGTAGCTGTCAACATGTGAGTACATGTTTGAAAAGATAAGTGGTAGGAGTGAATGAATGGGACTCACTTTGGATGCCGCACGATACTCCAGACTCCATGCCGACACAAATCAGTCCGTTCCTTGCAATGCAGGACAAGCTGGGTATCGGCCATAACCTCCATAGCAAATCCAGCACCAAAAAGTGCAACGCCCAGCGAACGAACCACATTAATAGCATTTTCTCCCAGAGATATTAGGCTTCCACCCATGTGGAATGGAGTGGTGAAAGGGAGCGAGATAATACTCAAAAAAACAGCCTCGGGCAAGAATATCTTCAGAAAAGCTGTTCTCCAGAACCCAGGCTCTTTCTTGGCAGCGTCATACCGCGCATCATCTTTGCCGCGAGATAGAGACCGCATTGCGATACGACCAAAGAGCCTAGTGCCCCAGATAGTGACACAGCTCAGAAGCACCTTCTCAGTCCAAGGAAGAGAATCCCAACATGCGTTGAATGAGATCCCTTGATCGTACATTGGTTGGCCTATGGCGCTCCACCAGGCATTGATGACTTGGGCCGAGGGCCATAGCCAGTCTTTTAGTTCGACCCTGTCTGTTGTCTCCGCTGCAATATATGTTGCCAGTGAAAGGCTTGAATATAGGCTGAATGAGGGGAGGATAGTTGATTTTAGTATTCCAACATCCCCTGGCGACATCCTGAAATTTGGACGTGCACCTTGTATGGATGGCGAGGATCGTGGGTGTGGGGTCTGAGTGGCGAACATTGAAGGTGGAATCAAAAATGCCATTCTGGTAACATCTCCAGTGACTTTGGCAAGCTAGATATGTTAATGGGGAGAGAGTTGGGTCATGCTTTCTTATTTAACTTGTTTCGTGCTGTTGATGTCAAGATTATGTAATGTTGCGTAGCTGCCCGGCCAGCCGTGGATATTGGGAGGTGTTCATTGTTTGGACTCGATCGAAGTAGCAGGCTTAATTAAAGAATTGAGTAAGATATTAATATACAATAATATTGGGGTATAAGATGCGGACAATGGTTGGCATAGAAGACAAAGCGTGTTTAGAACCAAGTTTGAACCTCAACTGGCATCGATTTCCATCAGATGTTTGGAGATAATTTCGGAAAGATCAATTTTCCCTGTGGGTAAAGATGTTTGATCATCATTCTTAAACTTTTGCTGCATGAGTAGCGATAAACGCTCATCCCAGAGCGGCGTGCATGCTTCCACGTTAGCACTAGAGAACGCCGTTGCTTCGTTGTCCTTCTCAATATATGGTTCATTCTGCGTATGCTGCCCATTTATGTGCGATATTAGTGATAAATCAATCAAGCACGTAGTCCCGAGATCATGCAAATCATAGCCATCTGGTATACGTTCAAGGGGAAGTCGACTAGAAGGCAGCTTCCGGGGTTCCGTCCCAGTCGTTGAAGCCTCGTCCGATTGGTTGCTGGTTTGATTGCGCATAAAATATGCTCGCGGGTCATGAGGAGAAAGGGTAGTAGTGAAGAATGGGTCCGTATTTGAAGTTTGCGATGAGGTTAAAGCGGCCTTTGCGGCGAGGTATCGGCTATGATGTGGAGAATGAGAAATCGGGCGTCTGGGTTGTGAACTTGACAAGGACTCGTTTTCCCTGAAACGAATACGACTATCTTGTATGGCTCGCTTCTTTCTCCTTTCAAAGTCAAGCGCTTTCTCCAAGTCCGAGGTTTCCTCGACTGTAACACCGTCGTGAAGCCGGGCGGCCCATCTGTCAAGGACTGGAAATCCTCGACCACTGTCCAAAGACTCATTGATACCGTTCAAATCGTGTGGCAGAGAAGAAGCACGTCGAAAAGATTGTTGTGTTTGGCCATTCTCGGATAACTCGTCAAGCGTTCCATCGTTCTGTCCTTCAATGGGTAGATTGTTCGGTGAGGACCCCGCGTGCAATCCAAATCTCTCCTGCGCAAGTGAGGACAGGGGTAACTCCGTTTCTCGGATAGATTCGTCCTCCGCTGCACTCCGTTGGAGTGAAACTTGCGTTGTCCTCTGAAACCACGTATCCAGCGCGCCATTGCCGTAGCGTTCTCGATCTCGTTCCCTGTCTGCTCTGCGAGCACTTGATACGCGAGGCCTTTCAGGAGAGGAATCAATCGGTTCCTGTGGATTTCTATGACGTCGCCGGACGGGGGACCCAGACGCAATCCTTGAGATAGGAGGGCTCGGAAGGTCTTGACTTTCGGGTGAGTCTTGGGGGCTGCTAAGCTCGGGACTTCTTCGCCTGGAGCCTTCTGGGCTTCGAACAATCAAGTCCACAGAACTCCTCTGACTGAGTTGATTCTGATCACGTTGTGATGTTTGGAAGGACGTGTTGATTCTAGATATAGACCATGGGTTGACAAAGCTGGAGCGTTTTGGCCTATTCGCATTAGGTTGCCCAGGGCTTCCATTAGAGCTGGCTTTGTTATCGTGAGGGGATATTATGTTTTCCGGTCGAGATGGTCTCTGCAAAAGAGGAGGGCGGATGATAGCATCACCAAAAGGATCTTCAGCCTGGTGAGACTGAGTGCTTGGTTCTGCAGGGGGCTTCCTAGCCATCAGGAGGTTAAATCCACCATTACTAGCAGTTGCATCGGATGAAGTCGTGTTTCCTTTGGTGGAAGGTTTCTTTTCGGTTTCTGCAATGTCTCCGTAATGGTCTCGAAAGAGACTTTCTGCCAAAGACAAAACAAGTCCCCGGTTCTCAAATAGCAGATCGTCTTTCGCGGGTTCAATATTAACATCGTAGCTTCCTCTTGGACAAAGTATTTGCAAGCACAGGAAAGGGTCCGTCGCCGTTTTGAAAGATTCGGCTTGAGACGTGGCGAGACGGATGTATGGCTTGAACAGCTTCACAATGTCTTGTCCAATTCCTCTGCTGCTGGAAAGAGGACGACCATCAACGCTGATATACTGCCCTACATTGTTGATTTTTGATGTATCTGCTCTGGTTAGCGATACTGAGTGAGAGTTCCAAAAAGGCTAACCTACCAATGGGTGTTTTCGGGAGAAAAGCAGTCACTTTATAATCTGCTTGATCAGGTGAACCTTCAATCTGGGCGAGGGCTTGGGAAGAAAGCAATTTCAGAACACAACAAGACGACACTTCCGTTCCAGCAACTTTTAGGGCTGCATCCTGGAGGGAGGCAGATGTGCCTGGTGCATATGTCCAGTTACTGTTTTCATTTTTTGCCTTGAGAACTTTGAGCGAGAACTTCTTTGATGGCTGTGCTATGGCATATGCCTGAAGAAGCTTCTTGATTCTTGTCAAGTTTCTGGTGGCTGCCTTCAAAGCCGTTTGCTTCCGCACAGGGATATGTTTGAGGAAGTTCTCAATTCGAACTGTCGTACCCCGTGGATGAGACGTTCTTTGTGTTCTGGAGTCAAATGTCAGCTGTTTCATAGCATTCTCGAGTCTTCGCCTGATCACTCACATAATTAACTCCCCATTTCTTCCATACTTGTGACAAGAGCCAACAGCTTCCGACTGAACTCGAGTGGAAACAGCGATCACTCCTGACATCTCTGCGACACTCGCCAAGGCTTCTCCCCGAAAGCCTAGACAAGATCCACCAACATTTTTGAGATCGTCCAAAGTCTGGATCTTGCTTGTGAAGGAACGCTTGCAGACATACTGTTGGTCCTCTGGTGGGATACCATGCCCGTTGTCTTTTAGCTGGATCACATCGATGGTATTTTGAGATATATCTATCTGCAAGGAGGTGGCGGACGCATCCAGTGCATTGTCAATGAGTTCTTTCACCACTGAGCATGGATCGGAGATGACTGAAGTGGAGCCAATCGCCTGGATTGTGTTCTGAGGAAGCGCCTCAATCGGCATCCTGCGATCGTGGTATTATACGTTCATCACGGGAAAATGCAGATATCTATGTGGGCAGGTACACTGCCCTTGAATGATGGAATTCGACTGCAAAGGATGAAGATGGATTCGAGTTGTAATTCCACGCACGAGGTCGACAATCAACATGATGAGTCAGCCACGCGATAAACAGCACGTCGGTTTTGAACACTCTCCAATCTTGACCACATCTCAAGACGCTGAGATGTTCAGCGAGCACTTTTCAATATCTCAGCTGGCAGTCCCGGCTGTCAATATCCTGATCAGCTTTCTCGCGTATACATCACAGTACCTCTTTCTGCATTTTGAGCCGTTGCCACTCACCAAGGTTGAGACCTGGTCGATCAACATATTCGCCTTGTGCATTTTCATATGCTATTATCGAGCTTGTTTTGTAGACCCTGGCCGGCTACCTCAATCGGAAAAGCGCTCAGAGCCCAAACCCCAAGTGGGTGACGGGTTGACCGGTCGCCAGCGGTGGTGTCGTAGATGCGAAGCTTACAAACCCCCACGAGCTCATCACTGCAAGACATGCAAAAGGTTGGTCAAGAAGCAATATTTCAGGAATTTTTGCTCACCTGTTCTCAGATGCATTCCCAAGATGGATCATCATTGTCCTTGGACCTCTAACTGCGTCTCACATTTCACGTATCCGCACTTCATTCGCTTTCTCTTCTACGCGGTTGTCGGCATGTCGTATCTCGAGAGTTGTCTTTGGCAGCGTGGCTCTTTCGTATGGAAGAACAGCAATTTGCCCAGCGTACGTATCGTGAGATTCGCGCTGACACTTTTCATTGCTAACAATTGTTAGTACCTTGGCCCGACACTAGGACAGCTCATTCACCTATTCATACTCTTCATGGTGAATAGTGTTACCGTATTTGCTCTGTTTATTCTGTTGATCAGGAGTCTCTGGTCGCTGGGAACCAACACTACTTTCATTGAATCCTGGGAGATTGAAAGGCACGCCACTCTTGTCCGACGGTCCCGTGTTCTGGGCGGGTATCTCGAAGGCCCGGGTGGAATCCGAGTCCAGATCAGAAAACAGGAATATCCGTACGACATCGGGATTTGGGCCAATGTTAAGCAAGGCATGGGCGGTAGTGTCAATGTCAGTCCCCATCTATATCTGAAACAAAAAGATATGGCTAATGTTCTATTAGTTCATAAGTTGGTTCTGGCCGCTTGCTAGAAGTCCGGATCGTCGGAGTGGTTGGGAATATGAAACCAATGACTTTGAGGGTATGTGAAGAATCGAGAATTCAAGACCAACCCACTGATTTTCTATTAGAACCAGGTGTATCATGGCCACCGCCAGATCCTGATAGGATTCCCATGCCATTCAATTCAAAACTAGGTCCCAACTCACCTCAGTCATACGCCAATATCCAACAGGAGATTGATGCATTCAACCGTCGCAAAGCGGAAGACATGAAGCGTTTTACGAATTCCGGTGTGCAGCGCCGCAAGCCCTTTCATGATCGTTATCAGAGAGATGGATTTACTGCAACTGAGAGCGATGAGTCTGGGACCCAGTCAAGCAATGACTCAGACGAGGGCGAAGAGTCCTGGCGCAATGCTGAAGGAGAACGATTACGCGACTTTGGCGTCGACGAGGAAGCAGAATTCTACGACGAGGAGGATATTCCTCTTGGGGTTCTTCTTCGACAACGCAGGCAGCAATGATCATCCAATTGAACAGCTGACTACAGAACTCAATAATAACAACCCGATCTATCAAATCTTCTTCGCGATACCCCTCAGCCTTACATATCCCAGCCACTGGCTGCCATCTTCACCGCGAGTAACAACATCCTCGAGGACCTCGCAAACCTGGCGCACAACAGCATCCCATTTCTCCTCAGGCAGAGCCTCAAGGAACTGAGCACCCATCAGTCGAACCCACCCCTCCAGTCCACCCTTGGCATCAGTAGTCAGCTTGGTCGGGCGGTATTCTAGTTCAACCGTCTCAACCTGGAAACCCACTTCCTCCAGCGCACTCCGCATCCAGGTATCAGACGGGAAAAACCAAGGACTCGTCTCCTTCGCCTTTTCGATGGGAATACCCTGCTGCACGAGTGCGTAGATCAGAGCAGTCTTAACCTCGGCAATATTACCGTGCCCACCCATTTCAAATACATAAGTACCACCAGGCTTCAGACTGCCATAAATTCCGCGAAGGGTTGATATCCGCGTTGTCTCATCGCGCAAGATCCAGTGGAGGGCTGCATTGGAGACACTGGTTTTTATTAGATCCATCACGCGATTCGTATATAATAGTTGAATACATACACTTTATCCCAAGATCCATTCACAATGGATGTTTCCTTCTCTAGATACCGGCAGTCCACAACGCGGAAGCTAGCCTTGGAGCTTCCGTAATCTTTGTTGGCGGACTCGATCATAGACTGAGATGAATCGATACCAAGGACGGAGTCGATGGCTGGAATAAAATTTTCTGTGAATTTTCCATCACCACAGCCGATATCGAGGACCTTTTCCGTTGGCTTGGGGTCTAGGTATTGGAGCAGCTTGCCGGCGAGCTTCGGCACGAAAGATGCAGAGGTAGCGTAAGCCTGGTCCTGTTAGCAATGATGAGCTAGCCCCAGTTTTGAAATTTTACACACCTCAGCTGACCAGCGGTCTTTAGTCTCCTGGGCGTTTGCTGCCATGATGTGCTAAGAGGTCGATGTACAAAGATGAGAGCTCTCAGTCTTGGCGTTGGAATATATGCGACGGGAAGAGATGGGTAATTCGATGAAAAGATAAGGATGATTACAGTGCACCCGTAGAGTCATACACTTGATTATTCTGATTGTTCCCTATTGCTAGGCAGTTGAGCTCTTTTATAGGTATCTGGGCTCATATGGCGGAGATGATGTTCAGAGGACAGCGAGGCCGATATCGGACCGGGCATATCGGCGTGATGTAGTGTATGGTCTACCTTTGGGTATACTGCGATCTCAGAGCGCGTCGAGTCATTTGAAGGTCTAAAATTTAGATCCAGGAAATGGACACATCGCTTATTTCGTTAATAATTAGAGGCTTATTATAAGTGACGTTTCCGAGGGCAGCCGCTGGGTTGCTGTTGAGAAGCCCCAATAACGTACTTGCATGTGAATGAATGCAAATTAAGAATCAGAAGCACGATCATACTATTGAAAGCCTTTTGTATCCCATATAGTTTCAATCTTCCCCGATATTGTGGAACTCAATACACCAATTGATCTTATACAGCACTACTAAATTGACGTGAGTTGACGGGTAGCGGAAAGAGCAAATTGAATTCCGCTATTTTCACTGGCCAAAAACCCCTCCCACTTCAGATATATAAAGTTGTTTTTCTCAATTGATTCCCCCAAGGTTCCTATATCACTCGTCCTACTTCATTGGTGTATCTTATTCCATGTACCCACGGTATATATCGCAGATCTTCGACCAATCAACAGCCACCATGTCCTACCAAGGTCACTGTAACTGCGAGAGCATTCGCGTTGCCCTCCCCCAACAGCCAGCAAACACTGGTATCTGTTATTGGTATGATCTTACCTTGGACATCAATTATCTTAATGATAGCTCTCTTACTAATATTGGGTATCACTTTAGCGATTCATGCAGGCGGGCTGGTGGCGGCGGTATGCATACCTAGCCGACGAGTAAGAAATGCAGTCGACTGACCCTCGTACTTAGGATTTTCCTGCAATTATTTAGTTAGCGAGGATGAACTGACTGTCGAGGATTCGGGCAAGACCCTGACAATCTTTGACGACAAGAAGTCTGCCACTGGAAACATTGTCAAGGTAATTCGGATGGCGCGGCTTGGGTTTCAAATACTAAGTACCTTTGAATAACACTAACGCTTCCGCCTTCTTATAGCGCCACTTCTGTTCCTCCTGTGGCAGGTATGTACTGTAATAACTGCCTACGGTAGGAATACGGCTAACATCTTGAACCAGCCCCGTGTTTACTAAGACCCCCAAGGCGCCCGGAATGGTCTTTCTGAAGGCTGCTCTGTTTGATACTGTTTCCCCTCCTAAAGGTGAAGTGTTCAGCGAGAAGCGAACCAACTGGCTCAGCGTTGAGCATCAGAAATAATTGTCAATAACGTGGAATAGACGTGTTTCATCTGGAGCAAAGAGTGATGAGACACGTAGAAGAAGTTAGATAACATGCAATGCGGTAACAATGACAAAGATGCATAGATGGTGCAATCATTAGAACGCCCACTATTGGCCCAATCTTTGTTTCCAGAACAACTTTGGATCTTCCAGACCTATGCTTAACGTATAAAATGCTTTTTAGCCCAAATCATATATATCTAAATTATTCCAACGTGAATTAGTTAAGTTAAATGCCAAAGTGACATGTATAGAGCCAAATTGCGGGGCACATGTCGATCCGCGGAGTGCAAAACGGTGATAACAATCCAGCTTTGACCTCCTTACCTTCAAGCCGGCCACATTAGCCATGCTACCTTGTATGAATCAATAACCCGAGAGAAAATGACAAAAGCCGTAGCTGAAGCTCCAAGCCCCGAGCGACCGGTAGCTGTCCTGCAAAATCCCCGACCGGGCCTTGCGCATGACAGCGAAACGGATACCCGCGAGGCTCTCGAGCTACGAGAAATCCAAACACTCGAGGATAACCGATTGGAAGAATCAACACAGTCAAACTCATCCGGCGACGAATATCGCGTCGTAACTCGACGCACAACCTCGCGCGCTGCGGCAGCTCGTGTTGAGTCTCGGCGACGCCGCCTCGCAAAGAAGGGGGCTTGGGGGAAATTCGCGAGGTTTTGGACACATCATGTTACTTTGACTGTGCCGCACAAGAGTAGCCGTGATTATTTTGGTAAGAGTATTCCTTTTCTTGCTACTTGTCTTTCTGACTGTCTCGCAGCTCTGGAGCGGACATTTCTTGCTTATATTCGGACCTCATTGGTGGTCACCCAACAGGGGGTGCTTATCGCGCAGCTATTCCGCCTGCCGGCAGCGGAGGCCTTGGCGGATCGTTTGGGTTTCTCTCATGTTGGCATTCCGCTTTCTGTTACTTGTCACTGCGTGGCTATTTTTGTCGCTTTGCTTGGCGCTTATCGTTTCTGGAGACAGCAGAACGCCATTGCGAGGGGCAAGGTACATGCTGGTGGGTGGGAACTGAACTCAGTAGGGATTCTTTTGGGCTGTGTAAGTGTTACACATATTAAATGGGTTTGGTGGCATGGCTAATACGATCTAGATTATATTGACGGTGCTCATTGTTTGTATCGCTATTGTTGTCGAGTATGAATCAGATCCATCCATACTAGGTCGGTGGATATTGAGGCGATAGGTTGCCAGATTTTGGATAATATTCATGAGATATGACTGCATTTTAGCTGAAGTTGCGGAGCGAAGTGGGAGACGCGTTTAGCAGCGTCTCGAGTCTGCTGAGAGGCTTAACCGAAGGTGAAAGAGGTAAACCAGACACCGTCTCGCGGGCTAAGACGGTCACGGCCGTGCTAGACCTTGCTGAGGCGTCGCAACGGTTTTGGATTCGTGCGCCACGAGGGCAGCCTAACAGTGGGAACGGCAACTAGGCCACGGCAGGCCTTGGCGAGGCTCCAAGTTCGTTTTCAGGAAGTGGAACACTCTACATGTACGTACGCGCGGATATATATAGTTGAGGTAGCCTGTATATCGCTTTCAAGCAATGGGTCAGGGTAATTGACATCAACTAATCAACCAACCAACCAACCACTGTCTCAATGTCCTCCCGGCAAGATCATCTCAGCAGTCGATACATTCTCCTGCTAATAACGCCATGCCCAACGGGCCCGGCTGAACTGATTCAATGATGGTTGACGGCCTGCTAGATGTCGCCGTGGAGGAATATACCGAATAGCAGCAATCGCGGGTTGAGCAACGAGACTTTCAGGAAGAACATCACTACAGCACGCGATGTGACCCTCGAAAACTGTCTCGACCTCATGCACATCTATAAGGATCAAGATTCAGGTTTCTTTGTCAAGCACGGTGTGAAAGTAGGTGCCGCCCGGGGGTTTGTTCGTGACAGACTCTGGAACTGAATACGGGCCAGTTTAATTATTCTCAATCGCCATATATCCATATTATGCTGTGCAGACAGTTGGATCTAGATAATTGCTCATATCGGATCAATGGTAAGTTGCAGAATCTCTATGGTTACTCAAGACGCCATGCGCTAGATTCAACTAACCACCGACGGCTAGGTGTATTCCTGGAGTGTGCAACTTCCGCAGCGGGAGGTATGAAGACCCTGATCAAGCAGCAAAGACGCCCTTAAACTCGGACTCTTCCTGATTCACTTTCTGCAAGCACGTCATCCTCAGGCCTGCGCATGTGAGGACCTCTCCTCATGTGGTATCCCAGTTTTGATCTTGGCACATATCCATCTCTGTGCCTATTCAATCTAACAAGCAAGCAGAAGGTTCGAGTTGTTGGAAACGTTGCATGTGACTGATGTCCCATTCACGTATCTTTAGAGTAACTTGGGAACCTCTTTTCTTGGTATATATTGGAGAAAATCCGCAATGAGAAAGATCTTCAATTTCTGTACCTTCGTTGTAGAAATTGAATTGAATGCAGTGTCTAGATTGTAATACCAGAGCAAAATTATTCGCAAAGCTACTGAGATGAATGCAAACTGACTTTTTCCTAATATCGGTGACATCCAAAAGGACATCCCCACAACGGTTTCTTCTTTCTTTTGCAGTCACAGTCCAACCTATTGAATGACCCGCTGTCCTTTCCTATCATTTTGTCAAACCAGTCCTCTATTTCTAGATTCCATCAGTAACCACAGAGACTAAATAGGGAGGCATTACTAACCTTTGTCTTCCTTGAGGTCTAGAATGCGATAACCGGCAGTGAGCAATTGGCCTCAAACGGGAAATCCATTCTTTCAACGAAAGGTTAGCCTTGCAAATGTCAAAATCCACTCGGCCGCTTTGTTCGTTTCCATTGACTCTTTCGAAATAATGATAATTGCCGTCACAGATAATATCCTCCAATGAGAGTGTTTCTAGAGATAGCTCATTCTGTAAAATGTCCAAAAGGCTAGACAGACAAGTCACCTTTTCTTCGTTGCGTCTCCATCCCATTTGGGTTTCCCGCATCGGACAGACTGAGCCTCGAGCAAGTTCAGGTGGAGAATATGGGTGATAAGTAGATAGCCACTTTGCGCTTGGATGTTCTTCTGTCGTCGACTCAGAGGATTCGGAAGTCGAGGAATGCTGTGGGGATTGGGGTGCACTTTCTGCCCATGCTGTTTCAGGTGCTGGCCGTACTGGTAGGGGGGCTGGTCCATATTCCGGCGGAGCTACGGTCGGCGTGAACAACGGCGATGGTGAAGATGATGGCAGTGTTGGTTGAAATGACGGCAATGTTGGTACATACGACGGCGAGGTTGTTACAAACGATGGCGAAGTGAACTGAGACGCTGGTGATTTCAGAGAAAATCCAGCGCCGTAAGGTGTGTTGGTATGTTGCGACCTAGGATTTTCTGCAGCTCTCAACTCCTCGCTGCGAATTGTCACCCGTTCAAGTGTAAGAGTGACCATATTTTTCTTTACACTAAGCAATAGTGATTTCAAAGAGTTGAAATAGATATCAAGCTCGTGAATATGAAGCTCTCGGAGTCGAGTGAAGCTAATGTTATGGAACATGTTTCCAACGTAGCTTTTTGCCGGATAGGCAGGCATCTCATCTTGAAAAAGATAAGAAAACATATGATCTTGCGACAAAACCAGTCCTTCTAGTTGAGGTGCAAGCTTCGTGAAAAATTTCAGCCAAGCCGCCTTATTGAGATCAATACATAAATAAAGATCCTCTAGGCCTTTCTAGGCCTTTCAAAGTAGAGAGTAGAGAGTCAAATTGTTCTTCGGGGAGGGCAATTCTGGGGCCGATATCACCATAGGAATTGGAATCGTAGATATATAGCTTTCGGGGTCTATAGCTTAAGCCACATAACGCAAGAAAAAGCTTCGATAATGCCAAGGAGTTTAGTTTCCTTATCTAGCTATACTGACCGGTATAGGTAAAATATCCTAGGCTATAAATATCGAATCGAAAATCAGTCCGGCTTATTATCTGTCGCCTTCCTAGGAATAGAACTGTCTGCTGCCGTGGATCGAGCAAAAATTCCGTTTTGTAATGTGCGAGTCCTATTGTTTGGAGGCTCTGAAATCGATCCATGCATTCCCGAAGTCGAACGCTAAACGCTTCTGATTCTAGTAGGTTGGAATTATCCGCAAGCATGGCTTTATGGATAGCATGCCGACTTTCTAGCTCATCGCTATTGACTTGTCGGCAGCTTTTTGATGATATAGATACTATGCCGAGGGGCTTTTTAGTACCATTGAACACAGTTAGTATCATCTATAGCTCTTGAACGTGCTTGCGGAGACCATTTGACTTAGATAATTCTTCTAGTTCGTGGAGACCTTCGCTTGTCACAATGAAACGGATTTTTCGGTTAAAGGTCTCCGCGAAATTCTCCAGTGAGTTTTTGTACAATGCGCGGCATGATAACCTCAGAGCGACCAATTGCTGGAAATCCAAATGGTTACATATCTTTGAGATCAATTCCACGGGCAGAGCTGCAATGGACATTTTGGCTGCGCGTGTGGCGTTTCAAGGTTGAGAACAATACTAATAAGAGGCTCGGTTTGTTATCCGCAGAAATGAGTAGTAACCAGCCTCACTCTCTAGGGCTCCGGGCTCCCTTTGGCGAGAAAGCGAAATCAAGGTAAGATTTCTGCGCTGAGAGACAAAGGGAAGAGTATTATTGTGCAGCGCTGGAGCGGCAGCCCCCGTTTATAGTTTGAGACCCACAGAAAATTGAAATACCTGTAATACCATATCAACAGCCCTGATACAGCTTCAACCCCCTTTTTTTCAAAAGTGCAGAATTCTCTCAGGGGAATATTTGAGATATAGCGCATCAGCTGAGCACCCCGGAATATTCACGATAGAACGATACACCCCTTTACTATACTGGAAGAGCCTGGGACTACACCTTTGAACGCGACAAACTTCGGATATATGGACCGAGAATCGCCGATCGGTGATCAACCTCTCAAGCCAATTCGTGTAGCACACCAATGCTCGTTTTTATTCCAGATGGCACTGTACAGCTGGAAGTCAAACAGATCGTATTAATGCATTCACTTATGAAATCGGCATCGCCAAGAATATCAAGGAAATCAATTTACGACAATCTACTGGTCTATATCGCCATCAACTGGGCTCATCTCATGTGGATCTTCCGTTTCTTGCCATAGCCAGTCTTCTACAGTTAGTAGTACATACTGCTTCGCGATGATCACAGCATCAATTCCTGGCGGAAAGGGGTCTAGCCTGGCATCTGGTTCGCCTCGCCCCAGCAACCATCCATCAGCCTCAAGCTCGTCCTTTGCTGATTGTTCCATGTCGGAATTATGGCTATCGGTATCAGAAACATATTGTTTCTCCGGCCTAGTGCCAAGATACGCCAGTACATATATGGGAAACCACTGGACCATCGAAGTTCCTGTACTAATTCCAATACATTTCCTTACCACAAGCGCCATGACCGGTACCGTAATTGCATGGAAAGGAAATCCACAGTCAGCCGGATTATAGTATTTCCGTGGTCATGCAAACAATTCAAACAACCCAGCCGAAGATGACCCGTGTCTGGTGAGGTGTTGTCTCTACCAGTCTCTTACAAGCATAGGAGTTATATACTTGGACATGCCGATTTCCGAGTATACAGTTTGGTTCGGAGAAGATGCCGAGCCCCCTCGACATGTCTTTGTACACAGCCCCCTGGATATAATTCTCCATTTTGGCGTTCTTCCGATGCCTCAAGGCCAATCAAACAGCCATGCGAGCTAAGACTTTGTCCACTTTCTGCTGCGCCCGATAGCAGGGCGGCCCCACTGGGGCTAAGCTTACTCTTGGCTTCGGGGTCTTGCTAAATCACCAGATCGCATATATGACCCCTCACGCAGAACAAACCAACTCAAGACAATTCCTATGCAGGCATCTTCACACAAACACTTAATTTGAGACCGAGAGCTGTCAACATCCTCGCACTTAGACCCTACATTCACAACATGTCCACTCTCCACGAAGTACTAGCATCAAGACACCGCCTATCAGTGTACCACGTCTACCACAAAGGCGAAGAGCACGTCTCCATAACGCCATTTCTCAATCCGCGGAAAGAACTCGGTTGTACCAAGAAGCAACACGAAAAACTAGCAAGGAACTACGGCAGTGAACCAGAGCGACGCGATTCAAACAGCTACTTCGTACATAAACCATGTCTCGCCTTCCATGACGCCCCACGAACTCTCCGGCGGGGAAACTTCAAACGTGGACCCCCAATATGTATCATGAACTGTGGCACTTTTTGGAGAAACTGGAATATCCAGTTTGGGCCTGATCTCAATGATATCATTGATCCGAGGGGTGTGGTTAAGTGGGAACATCGCAGTAATCCCAATAACACTACTCTCAATGATGATCGCGCGCTGAAAGGGTATAAAGTTCGTACATGGCGGCTTTGGGGGAACAGTGGGAAGGAGTATCATCGTCAGGTTAATTTCCGCCGTAAGGCTAGGAAGCAGGAGGCGTTGGAGAAGACGACAGAACCAGAGGTTGTTGACATGGGGCCTGTGAAAAGTGACAAGACGGCATTGGAAAATGAAAAGACCACTATGAATGAGAAACTTCCCGATTATGCGCGAGCCCAAGCACCAGTATCGAAATCTACATCCGAGGAACCTGTGCCACTGCCCGCTGTAGCCGAGGAAGCAGTACGGCTTGTCTGGGATTTTCCGATATCAATGCACTGCCGACAATACACTTTCGAATACGCCGATATCAAATTCACCTGGGAAGGGACACGAGACCTCCAACCAAACAACAAATGGGCCAGGAGACTAATGCCGTTCAACCATCTGAGGTTACTTGCCAGGCTACCAGGTCGTGAGAATGAGCGTCTGTTTATTGCACAGTACACATCCAGCTTTGCATACCGGAAATTCGGCGAGCTTTGGGTCTTCGATTCGGTGATATCTGATATTCTCAAGGAGACGGGCAACTCTTCTCTATGGAGCACGAGGAATGAGGATGATGAGATCTTTCAGTTGGATCCGGATAATGACATCCGAGAAACGAGGCTTTTTGATTTGGTTATGGCGACGGCTATGTGTATGGTAATCAGCGAGTGGAAGAAGCGGATGGTCTTATTGATGATCCTTGCTATCGCCAGCGAAGGCGGTGATTTATAATATTCCTCTCCGAATTTTATTTGGATTTTGCTTTTAGCTGTTGTCTTCGCTATCTCTAGGTTTTAGCGATCTGGATATAATATATGTCATTAATGGCATTGAATTATACTACATTAAACAGTAACTATGGAAGATGGCCATGAGACCGGATATAGTGGCTGCTGTGTCGTTTCGTCGTTCGCAGATCTTCTTCAAGGATAAACCACTGCCTGGCAACTTCTGCCCTCTCGTCCGCAGAAGATTTACGCATCTCTTCTTGGCCCTGTGCTATCCGAGAATATACAATAGCATCTTGTTGAGCCTTTCCGAGTGATACTTGGAGTTTTCGGCGAAGTCCAACCAAGGGGTACCCAGCCAGTCCCCAGATGCCTGGCTGAATGTCAGCATGACTCTTTTTATCATATTGGTCACATTGGACCACATTTCACATACCTGCTGGTGGCTTGAAGAAAACACCGCCAATACCCTTGCCAATTCCCTTGGCCATTCCAGCGGCTCCTCCATGCTTGTATCCATACTCGGGTTGAGTGACTAAGCCCGTGACTCCGTAGTAGAAGCCATCTCGGAACTCCTAAGATACTGGTCAGCTGATGAGCTATCAGGGAAGCAATGTGGTTCTCGCATACCTTGCCAGCTGCCCGGAGTCCACTACGAAGACCAATCACCTTCGGTATGGATTTGACCATCGGATCATGATACAACTTGGGGGCATTGTGGAATCCTTTTGACAGACTTAGTGTGAGATCCGTTGGGAGCCAAATCACAGTTTTCAAAAATTTCTTCGACATCCGACCACCATGATATTGCGCTTCAGTAAGAGCACTCTTCTTTTTCTGTGTGCCGCATGTCATCGTGATAGATTTCTCAAGTTGCAGGCTTCGTCGGCGATCCAAACTAGTCCCCGATGTATCGCTGTCTGACCTATCGATGTTGCTGCTGTCGCTCAGACTTGATCCGTCGTCCGAATCAAACAAGTCACGAGTTGGCGTCTGCGTCGATGACGATTGCTCATTTGGCTCCTCGTGCTGAGAGGACTGCTCATCTGATTCTTCATGCTGGGAGAAATCATCGCTTTCAGAGCTTTCGCCTCGCTGCCTTTTTCTTCTGTCTTTCCAATGGCAGGCCTGACTAGGATCTGTATGGTTATGGGGATTTCCAATCGCACGACCGGCGGACACCATATCAGTGACCACCGTCATAGGTAGATCGGCTAGTCCAGTCACAAAGTTTGCGATGGCACCAACTAGCACTTGAGTTGATGCGCTGATTGGACCGACTGGGTCGCGGTAGGTATCATATTCTTGTGCGCGATTTCTGTGGTAGTTGTCAGTGAGTTCGATATTGATGACATCTTCGGGTTGCTTGATCTTACAAGACGACATCATCGGGCTTTAACCGGCCCATCTCGACCAGAACTGATGCTGCAAAGGCGCTAAGCCCGATATCGGTGTGTTTAATATGCCAGACAGCAGGCCGAGAGGGACAAATCGCGCATCGTAATGTCTCCAAATCAAGGTGACGATGGAAGCTGCGCACTCCGTCCCGAACACCAGATTCATTCTTCATCTTTTCACTGATTTCCTGTGCCTTCTCTTTTGTTGATGGCTGCAATGCTGTTTGGATGGCTTCGGTCAACTTTTCGGCTGTCAATTGCTTGTGCGGAATTGGCACCGGTCCAGCCCCTGCCCTTGCGACAATCTTTCCCCAGAATTGTTGGTCTCCAAAGAATGGAATTATGATAGTCGGGCATGCTAATGAAAGCCCAGCAGCTGTTGTACCTGCGCCACCGTGGTGAATGACACATGATACTTGCTGGAATAACCAGTCGTGTGGAACACTTCCTATGATTAGAATGTTGTCGGGGACATCAACTTCATCAACTCCCAGATTGCCCCAGCCCTTTGAAACAATGGCACGTTGACCAGCATTCTGGATTGCTTCAAAAACGATCTTTGTCAAGCTGACCTGATCATCTACCACAATGGAGCCGAACCCAACATATATTGGTGTTGGCCCAGCCTCCAGAAAATCGGCAATCTCTTTCGGGGGTTCATAATCAGATTTTGTTGGAAGGAAACTGAATCCGCATATGTCCACGTTTTCGGGCCAATCCTTTGGCTTTGGGAGTAACGCCGGTGACCTAGATAGGGTTCTTAGCGGTTTCTTTGGTTTCATCCTGCTTTGAGAGCTCCTACCAAAGATATGAGTAAGGAATGTGTAATCGGTGGATCAGACTGGGTGCCGTAATCGCATCCAGATCGTCCAATGCGAGAAACTTCTTCCGCCAGGTGTTCACCAGATCCCCCAATCCCTCCCAGATCATCATATCAACGACTGCGTAAGATACAAAGTTTGCGACCGTGGGCTTGCAGCCATCCTGATTGAGAACTGCAAGCGGATGAGAAAATGACTGTGTGGGCGTCCATGGCATTCTGTAGAAATTGAGTTAGTAACTTCCTTAGATTTTCAAAATCGGAATCTAAACCCACGTAAACATCATGTGAAGCGGAACCCCTAATCTTTGAGCGCAATGAATATGGGCTAAACTGGGTGGGTTGGCGATAATGGCATCAGCGATAAATGGACGTCGTCGATAATCCACTGTGTCGCTCCAGAGATCTTCCTTGATTTGATGCAAATCTGTTCCATCTCCTGTTTCAATGCAAGATCTCCAACATCCGTGAATAATGGATTTCATATCTGCGCGGCGCTTTTTGATAGCTCCACTGCGAATCGTGCTGAGTCCCGGCAGCAGTCCAGGGTTCTTGACCATGAACGCCATGAGCTCCTCTGGGTCTCCTCCAATATTGAAGAACTCCAAGCCACTTCCAAGCACGAAATCTCGGAAGGCAAGATGGGTCGCTAGTCGTACTCGGTGTCCATGCTCTTTTAATTCTTTGCCTAGCGCAACGAAAGGTTGGATATCGCCTCGCGAACCAATCACTTGGATCACAATATTCAACTGTAGCGGGAAGTATTTCCCTTCGTCTTTCGGCATGGCTTCTGGTGTGGGCTCTTGCTCGAGACTCTCTAGGTCGGATGCTAGAGGCGTGTTCTGCATGCGATTCAACAACCCTGCGATACTTGGCTTGTGTTCGTTGATTTTTATGTCCAGACGTCCGTCACCTGTGAGGTAAAGCACGTCAATTAGTGAGAGGTCTTCTACATGTCTTTATGGATACAAACCAAGCACCCGAACACCAGTGTTCAGCCCATCTCCATGGAACTCCATATGTTCCCAATCTCGCCTGTCTGGCTCGTTGACCTCTTCGGGCCAGTCTTCCGATCGGATAGATCCATGGCGACTAGACCTGCGTCTCGTGGAAGTCGGTCTTGCCGACGCCATGCTTCTCGGGATATCGGCTTAGTTGATCGACTAGGGTGAAGTGTGGGATTATGCGAAGCAGCGATGAATCGACGTTGTCGATCAGCAAGGTGAAAATAGCTTATGTACTGAAGGAGCTACGTAAAATTGGTTTGTCAATGTCCAGTATGAATACAAGTAAATTATGAGAAAGGGTCTCGCGAAAATATGAGCCAAGTTATTGATGATGTCACTTAGGGTCTATCCCGAACATCCGGCTTCCCGGGTCTTTCCACTGCAGATCACGATCACCAACAAGGCTGAAGGGGGTTCGTTGCTTAGTAACAGTAGAAGAATTTTAATAAACGGTGAGATATATGCCCTGTTTCTGACGTGAGTTGCTATATTAGGGTTGGAGTGAATCGAAGCCGAGGGATCTTCAGGGATGATATCCTATCATAAGCTATGACTATGGGCATGTGATTATCTTTTCTTAACTAGCCAACTCCTCGGGCGTTTCAAATTGCCTTGGATCTGAACGTTCCTCTAGATTCCAGAACAAGAGATCTAGGCGAAGCTTTTCAAAGATCTACCGAGGTAAGTGAGCCGCCAAGACCAATGCCAAGCCACAACGATCTATGGTTGATGCCACTGGTTTGTATAGAATGTTATGATATTATGTACTTCTTATGCAATGCTCGCTAGATACATTAGATTTAGGTCTCACCGACTCTTCCGTGTTCCTCGGTTGCCATCGCTTCTCTCTCGTCAATGGTCATCTCGCTCTTCGCCTCACGGATCCTGACAAAGAAGCCCACAATTAGCAATCCAAGAATTGCCAGTCCGGTCTGGTACCAGAAAACTGCTTTGTAACTCTTCCGAGTACCCAGTTCTTCCGTCTGAGTCTGTGTGATATCCGCGAAGCCCAGCATCACAGCAATTCCCATGTGTAATGTGCAGTTGATCAACGCACCAGCCAGGCCCTGTCTCGCCTTGGGCAAATTTGTCGTAATGAAGACATTGGCAAGGTTGAAACTGATATCGATTCCGATCGTACCGCATATCATTGAAGGGAACACGAACGCCCAGTAGTTTCCACCAGGCGGGATCACGGCGAAGAACAACCCAGATCCCACGTAGCCGAGGCATGAGATCATCATCAAAATTGTTCCTGGTACTTTGTGGAATATCATTCCTCCTCCGACGGACAATATTAGTCCGCCAACACCCATAGGGGCGCACCATGCCACGATTTGCATTGGGGAGGCACCCATTATGTCCGACATGCTGAACGAGTTTGTTAGTCGAGGATATTAACAGCGCAAAAATATTGGGGAATGACCTACTAGAGTACAGCATAGAGCATGAAGATTCCCAGTGTGCCATATAGGAATAGCAATGCTATTACCAGCGGGGTCATGTACTTCACATGGAAGATATCACCAGGCAACAAGGGGTTCTCGACCACCCAGCCCTCAACATAAATCATGGCACCGAGTAAAACAAGTCCAAGTGCAAGGAAAAGCGGAATGTATGGTGTTTTCCATCCTTGGGGTGCATACGAGCTGTCTGCAATGGGGAAGACGATAAGGACAGCTGCGGGAACAGATAGGCATGCACCAGCCCAATCCATCTTGATACCAACATTCTTCTTCTCGTGGTAGTCTCGCGGAATGGAGAAAGATGCTAGGGCCGTGGTGATGGCAGAGAGAATTGCACCGAAGAAGAAATACCATCTCCAGGTGAGATATTCACCGCAGAGACCAGAGAAGAAAATACCAACAAAGAAGCCGAGGGCTGCGCATGCGCCATAGATGCTAAATACTATGTTCTTCCTGGGTCCAGGTCGATATGTGCTGCCCAGGACCATGATACCTGATGGAAGGAAAGCGGCCAAGCCAAAGCCTTGCAGTGCCCGGCAGATGACCAGCATGAGCCATGTTTGAGACACGCCGCAGAGGATTGATGATATTGTGAGCCATAGTGCGCCGGCATTGTAGATGAGATATCCGCCGAACATGTCGGTCATTCGGCCGAAGATGAGTAGGGTGGAGGTGACTACCAGTGACAATGCGGTAGACGGCCAAATGGCGGAGGCTGCTGGAAGATCCAGCTCTGCAACAAGGGTTGGAAGGAGCACATTTGATCCTGAGATGTAGTATTCCTGATCAATATACACAGGTCAGATGGAAGTCGAAAACTGCGCGCGGGATCCTGGGTACTTACGGCCAGAATCTGTGACATGAAGATAGACAAGCAGAAGCAGACCTCTGACCAGAAGCCACGGAAGCATTTTGGACGCTCTCTTCCTAGCCTTTCCAAATCGGTGATATCCTGGTCTATTCTGGCCTGCTCAAGGTCGTGTGACAAGGCATTACCATTCGGGTCAGGACCCTGTGGTGCTCCCATAATGTTAGGCTAGCCACGATGGAGTTGACTGGCGATCAAGTATTAAGATATGGGGTAGAGAGGCATGTTGATGGAAGGATATTTGCACTCATATTTAATCTTTCACCGGTGGCTAATTTCTAAGCAATGACGACCTAGCATCCGGATGGCAGACCCAGTAAAGTAGTATTAGTTGATAAATAGTATCCTTTTCAAGAAGGCTAAGAAAATATTCTGCCGGGGAAGCTAAGATGATTTGTGGGTGAGCATCGGACTCTTTAAGGTACTAAAGATAATGCCACGGCTTCTCCGCTGAGCTTCCTCTTTAGGAAGTTGTGAGGAGTGGACCGGGCGGGATCGGGAAAAACACGTTTGACATCGGAAATTTACGCACGTGTGTTACAAAAATTTGAAAACGGTGCGGTGTAAAAATAAAAATGAGCAAAAATCTGAACAACTAGATCTGAAGATCAGATTATCCAATTGGTAGTTGGTTCCAGAGGGGGTCGAACCCTCGACTTTGGCGTTATTAGCACCACACTCTAACCAACTGAGTTATGGAACCTAGTTAATGTGACCGGCCTGGATTTTGTAAATTTTATGTTCAAACCTGTTTCCGGAAATATAACATGTATGGCTCAATCATTGCAGATTTGTTTCTTATGTCTATCTACGAGCGATTTTGAATATGTACCTCCAAAAGCAGATTTCGATTGTAGGAAGTAATCAATTTTCAGAATGTATATAGCAGAAATTTTGTCATCAAATGTTTCATTGATTTGGACCCATGGTTGTGATGTACTGTATATACAGCTCGATTGTCCCCAAAAAGTATTCATGAGATAAGACAAAAAGCGATCTATTTGTAGCGAAATCTCACCTAATCATAAGAAATGACAGGGGGATCAGACCCCGCAACTGGCAACTTAAGCAACTCGTTCGACGGTTTGACGAGGGTTTGCCGCCACGTGTGACCAAATAGTGGCTTCAATCCTAGAACGCTGATCTCTTTCATCACTGCCAGTGTTGTCCTGGAATACTTCATCCATCTCTTCCAGGGTACGTCCCATTGTCTCCGGGACGAAGAACCAAGTCCAAACAAAGGACAAAGTACAAAAGACACAGAAAAAAGCATAGGTTCCGTACCCGGTATTTTGCACAAGGGGCGGGGTGATGAGACCAATGATGAAGTTGTTCAACCAGTTGGACATTGTTGAGTATGCCATACCCTTCGCACGCAGCGAAGAAGGAAAAATTTCAGCTGGCATTGCCCAAGGGATAGGCCCCCACGAGGCTCCATAGGTCAACATGAAAAAGCACAGGAATGCGACGCAAACCCAGGCTTCTCCCGTGTGTGAGCCCCAGTCCGATTGGAATTGGCTCATTAAGACGGCAATAATAAGATGGGAGATAACCATGCAAACCGCACCACTGAAGAGCAATGGCCGACGACCGAATCTGTCCATTCCCCAGAGTGAGACGATGCAAGCGACCATCTGACAAATGTTGAGCACTCCAGACATATTAAGCTGCATGAAGTAATTGAGACCCATTGCTTCGAACAAACTGGGCGAGTAGTAAATTAGGGCATTCACACCACCAAATTCTGCAGAGTTCCAGGTTAGTATACTTATGGAAGATAATGCTGACAGGGTGAAAAGGAGGATGAAAAGTTACTCACGCTGAAAGAACATGATTCCAATTCCAACGTGGGTCCGTTTCCAGCAGCCCTTGCGGAAGCAATCGAGGTAACTCCACACGTGAAGCATGGCACGGCTAAACATCGTCCCATCCTGACATTTCGGATGGCGTGTAGCGATCAGTTCCTTGCAGTAGGCAACCTCCGACCGAATGTCAACCCACTCTCGTAACACACGCTGATCTGTCTCATCAACGTCTCGTAGTTTGCAGAGGGTCTGCAAGGCTTCTTCGTCACGACCTCTTCCCGCGAGCCAGCGCGGTGAATGTGGGAGAAAGGGGATTCCAATACCGAGGAATAGGGCAGGAATAATCTGTTAATCAGATTAGCAGGGATGAACACTGTTTTTTGGCTTGCGGACATTTACCTGAATTAAGAACGGAAGACGCCATGACCATTCACCGGGGATGTAGCGAGTTCCATATGTGATGTAGAAGGCGATAACAATGGCCGTGACAATACTCAGCTCTTGTAACACGAGCAATGTACCACGGATCTCGGGAGGTGCAATCTCTGAGATGTACAGTGGTGCCACCATTGCAAGCATGCCAACTCCGATTCCTCCCACAAACCGAGCCCCCACAAGCATGCCGAAACTTGTTGCTCCAGCTTGTAGCGCGGCCCCAAATATGAAAACAATCACGGCAGCCATGATTGACCACTTGCGGGAAATCTTGTCCGCAAGCCAACCTTGGTTCATAGCTCCCAAGAAAGCTCCCAATTCGATCATCGCCGTGAGGATACCCTTCATGAAACCACCACCTGGAGCATCAGCACCAACTTCCGGGAACATCTCGACGAATTGGCCCATTGTGAGAGTAATGCTCACAACACCCTGGTCATACCCGAACATCGCACCACCCAGAGTAGCGAAGGCTGCACAGGTACAGACATATTTGTTGTTTACAATGCCCTTTAAACCTGTTACGTGTAATAATAATTAGCTCAGGGACTTTGAGGATAAACAGAGTCTAGCCATAGATTTCATACCAGCCTCGCCATATGGTTCTCTCGCTTGTCCGGGTATGAGACTAGCAGGGTCTATCTTCACTTCGGATTCAAGATGCTCAGCCTCCGGCGATGCCGGCGATGCCTTTTTGTCCGCCATAATTATACCGGTTGTAAAATAATGTTCGCTGAAGCCTTTAGATTGAGTTCAAATTTTCCAGGAGAATTGGAATCTTTATAGCAAGGGTAGCCCTGTACACGCAATATAGATGGAAATAGAAGTGAAAAAGACTGGGGACGGAATCCTAAGAAACAAAGATGAACGACATATTTGGGCAATTTACATTCAATTGACCGCCCTAAGTCTAAATTCTACCATACACTGTACCTCTGTAGACGGCTGTTGATATGGCGTTCGGGCTTGACGCCATTGTCCCCACAGCCCAGAACGCGGGGGAATGGCCTGGGGGTAACGGATATTCCCCGGTCGGACATCATTTTCCGGTCCGGGTACCATCTTCCAGCTCTGATCTATATCCCTCTGCATCCTAGTCATTCCGAGTGATAGCGATTCATATCCCTTTTAAAGCAAATGACAACCCGGATTCCTGCCCAGCCCGAGATCTACATACACGTCCTAGTGTCATGGATTATCGGGCACGCCTCGTGCATGATGAAACGTTTCGGTATTAACATGCTTTCTCACTGTTCAATTGCCTCATAGCTTCCCATTTTTCCGTTTTGATACTTTCGTCGGGAGACCTTTCTCTCCAATTGAGACATCGAACTTTGCCTTCGGCGAGAGGCTGCATGGGTATCCCGCACCCGGCAACCCGATAACTTGAAAGTTTATATCTAAGGTCCATGTATTTGAAACATTGCTGTCGATTGGATTGCCGAAGTTATATCTCAATCTGATCCATACTTTCCTTATGATTATCCAAAGAGGATAACATTACTTGTATAAACCAGCGGCTTTAGGAGTCTGTTTTCTTTCCCCACGAGGAAATGAACGGGATTGATCTCGGGATGAGGATTCCGACCCAGATGCTATAGCCTAACCATGCGGGTCGAGAGAAACATGGGGGGAGTAATGAACCTCAACTATGCGATAGGATGCAAAAGACGACCAAAACTTGATAATTGTGCGAGTCTGAGGTGACTTCACACCTACCAGGTTCTAGATATTGCTTGTAGCCAATCATTCTCACTAGTGCATCCTGAACTTATGAACAGCGGGTGGCGTGCAGCTTGATTTCCTTGGCTTTATAAACTAGCTTTGCTTGGCGTAACCGCATGTGGGCTTCGAGCAGTGAAATGAGACAGAGTTTTGAAGATTCATCCTTTGTCACTTCGGCTCTTAGGGCAATTTTCGGAGTTTTATTCGTTGACCTTGTTAAACAATGCCGAAGCTAGCCCAATTGTTTGGTTATCCTTTTATCCCAGATTTATATACCACCCAAGTCCATAAGACTGCAATGCTCTCCGATGTTCTACGGTGACTAGCGCGTCACCTGTAAAAATCTCGTGGTTAGACAGAGATCCCTCCCGATTTGCACCGGCCTTCCTAGAGATAGTATTCGAAGATTACTGCTGGAGTCAAGAAATAAATCACTGAATGTAGGGAATTAGATGATTTTGGCGAAATTCCTCGTTGGGACTTTCCTTGTTCCAACATTTTTTGTTGACTCGGATAGTGTGATACTTGTTCGCAGTTTCAATAAGATCCCCCGTCTTGACGGAAACAATTCGGCACGGCAGCAGCTAGATCTTCCAGTTGGTTTTGGTAGCTTGTCTGCCGGTCTTTGCATCTGCACCCGCAGTATCCCGACTAAAGCCGACCTAATTGATACAGGCTATAAGGCCCTATGCCGAGAGTTGGATTCCCCTGTTCTTCTGTCATTCTTTTCTTTTCATTGAATATTCCCAAAAATTTTCATACCTAATACCCGAGGTCAAATTGGTGTTCTGAGGCTGAAAGGTTCAGATAATTCGTCGGTATCGATGCTCAAGGTGTGCGAACTATCCTTGCTGAGATGACATACCGAGGGCGGCTGACGTTGATTTGAACCGTGTTCATCTAAGTTGCGAGTGGCTTTATTCACAGGGAATTGACTGGATGTCATGACATGAATGAATACTCCAACTGCCGCACTGAATTCTTGGTAGCAGGCATGACGACTGATATACTGCAAGACAGAGAAACGAACACTTAACATGCTAACTCATTGACGGTGCGCTTTCAATTATTTCAAAAACGGTCCTTAATCTAACATGATGTTCCAACTCACAAACTCATACAGTACGTTTTGAAAGTGCCGAGGGGGCTCGAGCCCAGCCCCGACCGGCCACGAAACGTTTTCTTCCGCCGTAACTCAGTAATTGTCCGGAACGATGATAATCTTTCCTATATGAGCCAAGTGGCGTATATCCGCAAATACTACCTGGCAGGTGGCATCGAGGCGACTACAATTGAGGTGGATACAGCTGTCGACAACTCGGCTACTATTCCGCGATCTAAACAGGTATAAGGTCAACAACTACGCGTCTCTTAATTTCAATATACTAATCGCCGAGAGACTGTAGCATTTTCAAGCAATTCATAGTGTTTTGGATAGTAACCTCGTATCTCCAATGGGTCCCGTCTGCCGATCAATGTAACACCCCTCGATTTGTTGGCAATGCCTCGGATAGATAGCGGACTAGCAAAAAGAGCCAAATAGAACAAAGATACCACAGAGAAATGCAGATCTAACACTCAATATCGAAACAATTCTTCACAATGAAGCTATCCAAACAGATTCTCCTTCCTTTCTTGCTATCTCTTGCACCTCAAGCAACGACTTCTCCTACGGAGGACCTCTCAGTACAAGTTGGACACCATGTTATTTTCTCATATCCAGGCCTTGAGCCACCATCCCACCTCTTCGATCTGGTTACTCAAGGCAAGGTTGGCGGCATCATCCTTTTCGGCGAGAATGTCGGCGAAAACCTCAGCACGACAATCGAACAATTACAGAATACCTACAGAAACAGCCCACACTATGCAGGTAGTCCTCTGTTTGTAATGACAGACCAAGAAGGAGGCCAGATCCGCAGACTGCCCGGCGGCCCAGAAAGCAGTGCAAAACAAGTTGGCCAAGCATCCAATCCGAGAAAGGCAGCGACGCAGATGGGCAAAGATGCCGCTAGCACTCTTGAAGCTGCGAAAATAAATTTCAACCTGGCTCCTGTTTTGGACGTTTATCGGAAGCCAGGTGATTTTACGGATCACACTGGTCGTTCCTTCAGTAACAACTCGGATGTTGTTGGGACTTGTGGATCGGCATTTATCAAAGCCCAGCAGTCTGCTGGTATCATTTCATCTGCCAAACATTTTCCTGGACTAGGCGCTGCTGGTGCGACTGAGAATACAGATTTACAACCGGTCACTATCGACTCGAGTCTGGAGGTGTTGCGATCTGTTGATACAGCTCCCTATAAAAAGGCGATTGCCGCTGGTGTTGATATGGTTATGAGTTCTTGGGCTATCTATCCTGCTCTTGATGCCCAACATCCTTCTGGATTTAGCAAGGCTTGGATCCAACATGAGTTGCGGGGCAGGCTTGGTTTCAAGGGTGTCACTATTACTGATGCCCTTGAAGCGGGGGCATTGGAGGCTTTTGGCGATGATGCCAGCCGTGGCCTGCTGGCTAGTCAGGCCGGCATGGATATCCTGCTTGCATCTTCGAGGAATGTGACTCAAGGTGAGAGTGTTGTGGATATTTTGGTGGCTTCTTTGAAGGATGGTTCGTTGGATATGGAGTATTTTACCCTGGGGACAAAAAGAATCATGGAAGTTCGAAGGAAGATTGTCTAAGAGTCGAAGTAAAAGTACATTTAGATATGTGCGAAAACAATATCTACAATGAAATGACAAACCTGCGCAGAGAAAGTTGTTTTATTGGGTTTCATTGGTATCATAAGTGTGTATAGTGTGGCATAAAGCAGCCCTCCGTTCGTGGAATCTATAGCAAAAGCTGGAACATACGGTTTATTTTTCACGTCCGGCAAAGTCATACGATGGTGCTCGTCGTCGAACGTGTACATCCCGACAGGCAAATACGAAGGAGATGGAATGAGCGACTCTGTTCAAGCAAAGGATCAGTAAAAGACTTTTCGGTGTTTATTGCCACGGCAGAACTCACCCAGCCACGACTTGTAGGGCTGAACTCGCAATCACTAATGCCGAGGAGTATAAAATAGTGGCAGAGCCGGAGGTAATACAGGCGGTGCCCACTATGACGAGGACTCCGAAGACAATATTGGTAACGGCAGCGAACAGATCCAATGCGACCAAAAAGCCAGCATGAGGAGCCTTTCTTAGTTGAAGAAGGATTAGATGAATCAATGACCAAAGAGAGGAGCCCCCAGTCTAAATGAGCTGAGGTCAGATACGATATTGGGGGCCATGTGCGGGGGATTCTTACCAACCCAATCGCAATATAGTTAGGGTTCCCAATGCTACAGACAATGACTGCAGCGATAGCAAAGAAAAAACATGTGATTCGCAGGCCAAGTAGCGTTCCATGACTTGTAGTTGAAGGGAAGTAGTTATTCATTGTGAGGGGGCGTTTTGATATCTTGAAATGTGGCTAGCGGGCATCGGGGTACGGGAGGGCAGAAGATATTATAAGTCTATGCAGGGAATCAACAGCGGGCAGTGTATTTCTAAAATAGAACTTTATAGAAGTTAATGAATCCTACAGAGGTTTGGACCCAAAATCATCACCGTTTGGTATCCAAGCACACGGGGTATGGGTCCAGCAAGGGTTCAATACCAAGGAAGATTGGGCTATGGTGGGCGGATATCCTTGCCAACAAAAGTAGAGCCGGGATCTTTTTGGGGGCCAATCCTCACCGCAGGATTGTAATCCAAAATTCTGCCTTGAGGCTTGAAGGGGGCTGGCTAATTGGGGCTATGCTGAGCCGCTTGGCTCGATGCTTCTGAGCCTCTTGAAATCAGGGTCTTGTGGCTCTGTCTGGTATGGCCCAAGATCTAATTCTGCCCAAATTTAAGCTTGCTAGATCTGATAACTGTACAATATATAAGAAACGTATTTGTGCGTCCTGGTGTGTTTTTGTATATAGCGAAATGTCTGTTGTGGTGACCTTGGCAGTCAGGCTTGTATTCTCTTTCCAGATTTGGGTCATGAGGTCGTCAATAAGCATCATTATGTGCCCAATAAAATGAGTGTTCTGTTGGTCATTCATAGGACTAAAAAAGGTAGAGACAATACCTGGAAACAGACGTATTCTAACATGGAAGGCCTCGGTTGGCTAACGAGACCATTTCAATGTGATAACCCAAGGCTTTAATATAATACTGGTGTGACCATGTCAAAATTCCTGGGATAATATTGCGACTTTCAACCCAGCTTTATGTCATTTTTGTACTTATTCTCAAGTGGGTGCCTAAAAAACGCAATATCATAGTCACGAACCTTGAAGTATGTCACCCGATAGCCCACACAATCTTCTATTACTGGGAGCTGTTGACTGATTTTAACATGACATGCTTAGCTATAGTTCTAAGAATCTAGAGGTAGTCGAGGAGCGCTTCGAACTACGCATGTATTTGACTCCGTATCCACATAAAAATGAAAATAAAGATCTTCTTCCGGACTGGTGCACGGTGAAAGGTATAGGTATTCAGTCACGCGAGCATTTTGATAGCAGTGTCGAAGCTCAACCCTCAATCGCTTCGGATTGGGGCATTTTGTTTAACCGGGAAGCAAGCAACTCCACCTTTCACTTGTGTATGAAGTTTTTATTGGGGCCGTTTGTAGTCACACTAGGATTCGGAGTAGGAGCTGCCATTTCCCCGTGAGAACAGAAGTTTTCTCGCTTTGTCAGCTCTAGACTGGCCCACAGAACTCCACCATGCCGCGTGGATCCCGACCTGAACGGGGCAGCACCTTCCAAAGATCCAATGAACATGTTTCCAAGCGTAAGCAATCCAGCCCTAGGAGCATGAATGGCGAAAGTTTCATATGCAATACGCTATCCATAGAACGCCGGTGTGCCCCTCCAAGTCTGTAAGCGAACTGGTTCGCTTGTGTATAGTTTGGGAGTTTGGGGGCCAAATGAACGATACTCTCTAGAACTCACCGGCGTGCGCCTCAAGTGCGAAATTAGCCAGGCTACGAAACAGCCGAAGCCTGGGAACTCCACTGCTTAGGCTACAATATATGAGACTGGATACTATAACCCGCGCCATATCGCCAAAAGTGCCGATGTGTGAAAAATCAGTCAGTTGGCGTTTGTGGGACAGGCCGGGATACAAAATGCTTGATATCTAGGCACGAGGCCCTAGGAGACGCGTGGGTATTGACCGGGATCAAAGGGTCAATCACAGTACAGATATGTAACTAGCGTAGTCCCGCCGAAATTGGCCGGTTTCGGAATTTCCATTGTACAACATTGGATGTATATGAAGTGAGAAGTGGAAGGAGTTAAAAAACACGACATCTGAAGGGCCAGACTCGGTTGAATAAAGACCCAAAATTAAGAAATTAAGTTGGAGCAAATAAAAGACTTCCCACGAACTAGGCCGACCGGCGGCTATTGGATCCACCCAAAAACCGCATACCGGATACATCAAAGATTATACGGGCAGATACATATAGATGCATATATTGATTATGCTATCGCTCTCTTGAAGGTACTAGAGTCTAATTATAATATACTAAATAAACAATGAGTAAGTTCCTTTTTATACAGGGCAAGGAACAACGTAACGCCACCGGGTCCGAGTGGTTCCGCCGTTTCGAGCTCCACCAGCTCTCTGCGTCAAAGTTGCGCTTTTTTCTGCCTTTAAACCCCTCCTCTGACCTTCTAACCTTTCTGATTCTATCGGACTTTGAGTCTTGACTTCAGTTTACTAGCTTTGCCCTGCGCTCCTGAGCGCGCCCACAATTCACCATGGGGCTTTCCAAGGAGAAGCGTATCATGATCCTGCTGGTCATTGATACGGCATTCTTCCTGCTGGAGTTGATTACTGGTAAGTTATCCCTGGATCTCGATCTAGCGCGAACCAATTATTCTGACGGTGTGCTTCTTAGGTTATACCGTCCACTCGCTCGCCCTTGTTGCCGATTCCTTTCACATGGTACGCGATCCGCACTGCACGTTCCACAACCGGATTCTAACCTCACCAATAGCTGAATGATGTGTTATCACTCTGTGTCGGATTATGGGCCGTCAAAGTCGCAAATCGGGAGACGACCTCCAATACTTACACTTACGGCGTAAGTTGACAACCGGACCGAGTCTCGAACTATCTGACAATTGTATTTTTGAATAGTGGCAACGAGCCGAGACTCTTGGTGCCTTAGTGAACGGTGTTTTCCTAGTCGCATTGTGCATGTCAATTTTCCTGGAAGCAATCCAGCGCTTAGTGGAACCCCAGGAGGTGCAGAACCCGAGATTCGTGTGCATCGTTGGTTGCTTCGGACTTGCCTCTAACATCATCGGATTGGCCCTCTTCCACGACCATTCGCACGGTGGCCACGGCCATGGTCACAGCCACGACGAGGAAAATCACCACAATGATCACGACCATGATCATATCGAGGATGAAGAGCATGGCTACAGCGACCACCAGGAGGCCGCCCCGCAGAGCATCGACGCCCCTAAGACTGCTACTCCCAACGCGCTCACTCACTCTGTCACTGAGCCTGCATCGCCCCAATCGCGCCGCCGCGGCACCCCAACCCGAAGCTCGCGGAGATTCAGCACCTCTACCGGACGCGTTTTCGTGAGCGCCGAGGATATTCCCGTGCTCCCAGAAAGATTGCGCCAAGGTATTATTGCAGCCAGTCAGTACCAAAACGAGCAAAATTCGGATTCGGATACTGGCCATGACGAAGATGAGATCCCATCTGAGCGCTCTGGTCTTCTGCGTCACCGTGACCGTGCCGCCAACTACACCGACGAAGAGGGCGCCGCTATCAAGCCCTCGGATCACCACCACCACGATGAGGATGTCCACAAGTCTCACAACCACATGAAGCCCAAGTCCAAGGATGGAAAGAAGAGTGGTCACAGTCATGATCTGAACATGCGCGGTGTGTTCCTCCACGTTATGGGAGACGCACTGGGCAACATCGGTGTGATTGTCTCTGCGCTTATCATCTGGTTGACTGACTACGAATGGCGCTACTATGTTGACCCCGGCATTTCCCTGGTCATCACGCTGATCATTCTTGCCTCCGCCATCCCGCTGTGCAAGGCTGCCTCCCGTATCCTTCTTCAAGCTGTTCCCCCTGGAATGAGCATCGACCACATCAAGGAGGATATCGAAAGACTCCCCGGTGTTATTGGCTCCCACCACTTGCATGTGTGGCAGCTCAGCGACACGAAGATCGTGGCCTCAATCCACCTCCAGGTTGATACCGAGATTAAGGGCGAAGGTTCGGAGCGATACATGCGTCTGGCCAGGCAGGTGCGACGCTGTCTCCATGCCTACGGCATTCACTCTTCAACCATTCAGCCCGAGTTCGCACCTGAGAGCGACACAGAGGACAACCACACCCACGCATCTTCCTCCCGAGGAACCGTTGAGCACCAGCCCAGCCGCGCAGCCAGCGTCCGGGAAGGTGACAATCAAGCCTGTCTTCTGGAGTGCGATGAGAACTGCGCACGTGGAGGACAGTGCTGCCCTAAGCCCACTTGATTTCCTACCCACACACCCCTTTGTTTCCTACGTGGATACCCATGGCCACCAAAACATTTCTATCCGACGGTTTCCCTATTCTGGTACCTAACATCATTCCATTTATCTTTTATGTCATTTGCCTCTGTGCTTTTCTGCCAGAGTAATCGTCTCCTATCTCTCATCTTTTCGTGGTTTAGCCTCGAACTGCCAATTCCTTGTGGAATTGGGTCATTGGAATGACGGTGTGTCATAGCAGCATGCACTATGATACTGATTGTGTACGAGTCTCTTCTGTATTGTTGAGCACCTGGAGCGCAGTCATGTATTTCTACCTATTCCTAATCAACACTTTATCTCAAATTGCATCGAAATGACTGCCAGTAGAACCAAATTAGACATGCCTTTCATTCACAGGCGTTTGCGCCCTCTCTTATGATGAGGTAAACTTGTCCTTATTCCCATGCTTCTTATCAGTGAAACCTACAAATCTCGACTGCCTGTATGCAGGGATTTGTGCAGTACAGTACTTTGCTGTGGATATAAATAGAATCACGTGATCACCCCCGGGGTGATCTGCACGTCTGGCCTGCAGCTTGAATTGTCACCCCTTGTTCCTAATGCAGTGAGATCCTCTGCTTAACTCTTTATCTATTCATTCTTTGCTTTCTTTTCTTTTCTCTATCCTCTTTTTGTATGCTCAGAGCATGCCCTGTCATTCCTTTCGCTAGTTCAATATTAGCCCCATCGTGTTTGGGGCCACCCTGTCACCTAGGCTCACTGTCAAGCTAACCCAACATGACATACCCCTACGAACGCTCCGCGGGCACTTCTCCTCTTCCCTCCTTCAACCAGACCTACACACCAAGATCGCCAAGTTTATCCAGTCGCGTGTGGGGATTTGTTCCCCCAATCGCAAAACAATGGCTTTCGGAGGGGCCTCTCAGCCGTGGAATCGGTAGACATCGAGGCAGTGAGGGGATTAAGATCACCGCAGTACGAGCTGTGAAGTCCGTCTTTTCCATCTCTACTGCTATCATTTTATTGTGGATTTACTCTATCTGGTGGGGCGAACGGAGAGTATTTGAGGAGCACATTAACCAATGCCTTTGGGATAGTTGGGAAGAATGGGTAAGTGCTGTCGCAATCGATTGTATTCTGCATGGTACTGACTGCTGCATGCTAGCCCCAAGAAGCAACACCGCACCACATCGCCTTCATCTCAGACCCCCAGCTCGTCGATCCCCACACCTACCCTGGCCGACCATGGCCTCTGTCAACATTGACTGTCAAATACACGGACCAGTATATGCGCCGATCATTCTCCTTGATTCAGGATCACCTCGAGCCGGACTCGGTGCTGTTCCTGGGTGACCTTTTCGACGGTGGCAGAGAATGGGCCACTGGTACCTACACCAGCCCTGAAGCCCGATATAAGAATATCAAAACCAATTTCTGGAAAAAAGAATACCGCCGCTTTATGAACATCTTCTTAGATCCTTGGGAAAAGAACAGGCCCCCACCGGTGGATGGACGAGGGCGCAAGTTGCTTGCCAGCTTACCTGGAAATCATGATCTCGGATTTGGAAATGGTGTCCAAGAGCCTGTTCGTGATCGGTTCCAGACCTACTTCGGACACAGCAATCGAGTAGATGTGATTGGAAACCATACCTTTGTTTCAGTTGATACTGTCTCACTGAGCGCGATGGACCAACCTGATCCCTTGACAGGCAGCTCGCCAACAGCCGCAAACGATGACGCCTGGCCTGCTCGCCCGATTTGGAAAGATGCGGACGATTTCCTGGACAAGATGGCCATGCACAGGGCCAAGGCCGAAACAGAGGAACTGCGAATGCTGCAAAACCAGAGCGAGGGCCATCTGTTCGACTACCGTGTGGTCAATGCTGTCGATCCAGCAATCCACCACATGCCCGTGCCAACAAGCCCCGGTTTCCCTACGATCATCCTTACGCACGTGCCTCTATACCGTAAGCCTGCCACTCCATGTGGGCCTCTACGCGAGCGCTACCCTCCATCTTCGGACGAAGAACTGGAAGAGGATGAGCCCAATTCTCTGAAGATCTCGGGTGGCTACCAGTATCAGAATGTCCTCACACAGACCGTATCCAACGAGTTGGTGTCTAAATCAGGACCCAATGTGGTCCAAGTCTACTCTGGTGATGACCACGACTACTGTGAAGTCTCCCACCGGGAGTTCAACGGTTCACCAAACGAGATCACTGTCAAAAGTATCTCCTGGGCAATGGGAGTTCGCCACCCAGGCTTCGTGTTGACCAGTCTGTGGAACCCAATTGACCCCCAGACAGGTAAACCAATCAAGGACGCCTCGCCAACCATCCAAAACCACCTCTGCCTTCTCCCAGACCAACTGGGTATCTTCATCCACTACCTCACCATCCTCGGCCTCAGCGTCGCCGTCCTCTTCATCCGCGCCCTCTACCGGGCATTCTCCTCGCCGGAGCCATCACCAACCGGCGCCCTTCTTCCTCTCTCTGAACGCCGCCCGCAACATAACCCCCAGACCTCCGGTGCATCTAGCTCTACTTTGTCAGCAGGAGGCCTAGCCAGCCGCGGGATGACAGCGTCTCCTCGCTACCCTGGAACTAAGTCACCTGATGCCTACCGGGTCGACGAGGACATGTTCTCCTCGAAAAACAAGACTTCATGGCGGCCGGCATCAGCTACTGGGCCCCGCTCTACTGCTTCCCTTGTCTTGCATGATCTGTACCATTCTACCAAGATTGTGGCGCAGGTCGTGTTGTTAGCGTACTTCATCCTGATCTGGCGCTGGTAGCCGGATCGTTCCAGCGAAAATAGACAATAATAGACTTGCATATCGATCACCTGCTGCAGAATCTACTAGCTCCAATCTAAACCTGCTTATAATAATAGCATAGCAAGACTAGGGCTAGAACAAGCACTTGAAAAAAAAAAAGATAACTAGAAAAAGCACTAGAGCTAGGACAACAGCTAGGCCCGTTGACCTCGTGACCAGACCCTGACCCGATCAAATTTTCCGGCCCGGCCGCAGGCCCCGGACCTGCCATGTCTTACACCCCGGCTCATTAGACTCTCTCGGAGTCCTCCCGACGATTCACCGACATGGTCAAACCTCGGCATAGCTTCGGCCTGAGCGTCCAATCCCAGACACGGGAAAAATCCCGCACTCGCATGTCGACCTCTTGCCAAGCCTTAACGCGGGCCGTTCAGGATTTGCAACTGTTTACTCAGTGTAGACTGCAGATTACAGTGCCACGGTTTTTCAGCATCCAATAGTTACTGGATTATAGACATACTGTATTATAGAAACTAGTTAGCAATAAACTGAAACAGTCACAGTAGATATTTTTCATCATCCGAAAATCTCGTAACAGAATTCTTTCCATGTGGGAAATAGAGTAAAGTGGACCCAAAAACACGAGTAGCCAAACCTTCACCCAGATCAAGACAAGTCAATTAATGGTGCAGGGGAAATAACCAATTTCATTTCCTCATTCCGGCTCCGGTGAACAAAACCAACATTCCCCTCGTACTTTCCTGGGGTCCAACGTTCCTCTGTTGGTTGACAAACTCGCCTGCGGGTCATAGATATGTACACGTTATTGGCTCTTCCCCTCTTTCCTCCACACTCAGGCCCCTGTCCTGTCTGGGGTTACATGGACCGTCTGGGGAGAAAATCTGGAGCGGGAAATGAGGGACACAGTTCTCCCATGTTCGTTGTACAGGACATGCTACGTTTTTGTTGATCTGTGGCGTTGAGGTACATGCCTCCTGCATACATTTACTTGGGGTTTGTAATCGTTGAATTTACCTGCTGCGTTTATTTTAGTCCTCGTATTAATAGCCAAATCCGGATTTAGCCATTACAATCCAGATCCCTAAAGCAGGTGACAAGAAAAAACTGGAAGAAATTTTCGGCGGGAAATTGACCTGGGGGGGGGGCCCGTTGCCCGATGCGGGACGCCGATCGGCATCGCATGTGGCTCAGTACAAGATGCCGGTTCCGGCTGTCAACCTCCCATTCCCCGAGTCATGTGGTTTTGCTTGGCCAATTGCTTATAGCCTTACTGAATAGCTGGGCGTAGTCTTAGCATTCTACATCATGTGGCTGATCCCAAGGCGGGATGTCTACAATTCCTTACATCGGCGTCCGGTCCCAAAGGGATTCTCGGCTCCGTCCGAGTTTATCTGCCCGCGTGACCAATAGCTGGCCCTGTGGCTGAGCTGCCCCATACCAAATCTAGACTCGATTGGTCCACCCGGGATTTGACAAACTCTAACCCCGGGCTCAAAACATCTAAATAAAATATATTCAAATTAACCTAATCAAGAATAAATCCAATTAAAAATAAACAGGAAATGAGACAGATCGTGGAGCCCCCGCATACGTTTTCGGTTTGTTTGTTCGGCTTTCCCCGGGGTTGACCATGTGGTGGGAGGATAAATAGGTCGTGATCGTCCCTGGTTTTTGGTCTTCATCTTCTCATTCCACTTCACTTCTATACATCTTCACTTCTCTCTGCTGTGCGGATTCTCATTCTATCTCGACTCATCTACTCTTGACTACTCCTTTTTCACTCTACTCTACTCTCTTCTCTTTGACTGATCGGACTACCTCATCTCGTTCATCAATCGTCTATATTTACAATGGGCTTCGCGCTGAAGAGGCCTGATGACGCCGTGGGCTCTGCTGCCCCGGCGATCATAATTGGATTGTTCGTTGCTTTCGGTGGTGTTCTCTTTGGGTATGTCTACTATCTTGCAGTCTTCTCGACCAGACGCTAATATAGCTTAGATATGACACAGGTACCATCAGTGGTATCCTCGCCATGAAGTTCTGGCGTGAGATGTTCTCTACCGGCTACATCAACGAGAAGGATGGCCTTCTCGATGTTACCTCCTCCCAGTCTTCCATGATCGTCTCCCTCCTCTCTGCTGGTACCTTCTTCGGTGCTCTCGGTGCCGCCCCTATTGCCGACAAGTTCGGTCGTCGCATGGGTATGGTCCTGGAGACCGTCGTCTTCGTCTTCGGTGTCATCCTCCAGGTCGCCGCCACCTCCATCCCCCTCTTCGTTGCCGGTCGTTTCTTCGCTGGTCTCGGTGTCGGTCTCCTCTCCGCCACCATCCCCCTCTACCAGTCTGAGACCGCACCCAAGTGGATCCGTGGTACAATCGTTGGTGCTTATCAGCTGGCCATTACCCTTGGTCTCCTCCTTGCTGCCATCGTCAACAACTCCACCAAGGACCGCATGGACACGGGCTGCTACCGCATCCCCGTCGCAGTCCAGTTCGCTTGGGCCATCATCCTCGTCGTCGGCATGCTCATCCTCCCCGAGACCCCCCGCTTCCTCATCAAGCAGGACCGCCACGAGGAAGCCATCCGCGCCCTCGGCCGTCTCCGCCGCATGGACGTCAACGACCCTGCCCTCGTCGCCGAGCTCGCTGAGATTCAAGCCAACCACGAGTTCGAGCTCCGCCTCGGAAAGGCCTCTTACCTCGAAATCGTCAAGGGCTCCCTCGGCAAGCGTCTCGCTACCGGCTGCGCCGTCCAGGCACTCCAGCAGCTCGCCGGTGTCAACTTCATCTTTTACTATGGCACCACCTTCTTCCAGAACTCGGGCATCCAGAACTCCTTCGTCATCACCCTCATCACCAATATCATCAACGTCGTCTCCACCTTCCCCGGTCTGTACATGGTCGAGAAGTGGGGTCGTCGCCCTCTCCTGATGTTCGGTGCTGTCGGCATGTGTGTCTCGCAGCTCATTGTCGCCATCGTCGGCACAGCCACCAACTCCGATGTCTCCAACAAGGTCCTCATCGCCTTCGTCTGTGTTTACATCTTCTTCTTCGCTAGCTCTTGGGGTCCTGTCGCTTGGGTCGTCACCGGTGAGCTGTACCCGCTCAAGGCCCGTGCCAAGTGTCTCTCCATCACCACCGCCACTAACTGGCTCCTCAACTGGGCTATTGCATACGCCACCCCATACATGGTCAACAGTGGTCCTGGCAATGCCAACCTTCAGTCCAAGGTCTTCTTCATCTGGGGTGGCTTCTGTTTCATCTGTGGTATCTTTGTGTACACTTGCATTTACGAGACTAAGGGTCTTTCCCTTGAGCAGGTTGATGAGTTGTACGCCAAGGTCCCTGTTGCCTGGAAGTCGGTTGGCTTCGTTCCTTCCGTGAACTACACTGATGTTCGCGATGTTGCTGATAACGTGAAGGGTGGTGACCTTGCTCAGCTTGAGATTGATGCTGGTGAGAAGCGTGCTGGTGAGCATGCTACTCACCACGAGAGTGTCCCTGCTAAGACTGATGTCTGATTGTATTTATAAATGGTTCATGGGATTTTGTATGATTTTCTTCTTGTTATCTGTGGGTATTGAGTCCACGGGTTGGATTGCATCTTTATCATGATATCTATGGTTGTTTTATAGCGGAATGCATTTACTATATTATTTCTAGATTTTTCATTATTCTCATTGTAGATTAGAATACTCCTTTGACATAGGCATTGTTTCAGCAATGGCTCATAGACGTATAACGCCGGTACTCGGCCAGTGTGACCGATATTGTTTCTTGTAAAGAGAGGGGTCATCTTTACTTGTAGATTCCATTGGCCGAGGACCCTATGCAGTATCCCTGAGAAAAACCCTTTGAAAAAGATGGGGACAATTAGGTCTATTTGGTGTTTAATATATTGAGACGAAGCATGGAATATATATAAAAGAGAGGATGGGAATCCAAATGAAAAAGAAAATCACCCATATTGCCTACATGGAACTAATTATAGGTACATACCGTTTCAGAACTCCAAAAAAAAAAAAAAAAAAAAAAAAAACAAAAACAACCAAAAGAAGTACTTGTGGCGTGGTAGTCCAAAAATAGAAGTTGTTGTATGATCCAAGTTCAACTCCAAATGGGGGTTCAACTGGACTTGGCACTGCGACCGGGAAGAAGCAATCCACAGTGGGACAAATGGCGCGTGAGTACTAAGGCAACTTGGCCTGTTGCGTCTGTTGAAATTAGAGAATATCTTAGAATGTATTGTAAAAGCGGACTATTTTTCAGCATAATTAGTTGTCTCTGACCCAGCTAATTAGTTATCGTGATAAGCGCCCATGCTATTGAGGGGTTACCAACATGCAAGTAAGCAGGTAGTCCTTTATTATGCCCTGCAAAATTGGTTGCTACCTCCAGGGCTTTTGTAATCCCATGGACCAGGTCCTATACATGTTCGGTAGTACACGTTACACTTCACCCCCTTTGCTCGACAGACTATTGGCAACATTCGACGGCTCTGTTCAGCTCAGTCTTACCCCGTTAGCAACTATCGACCGCTCGTGCGATGTCTTTCGGCCTTAGTTCTGAAGCTCTCGTTTCGAGAGGGTCTCAAGTCATCAATGCGGGGTTAGAAAGCGGCAAAAGTGCAATAGCTTACGGGACTCCTCCCTTTGAGAAGGCCGTGACTCTGACAGCTCAGGTTGGTTTAGGCCATTTTAAATAGAACTAATTTCACATTTCATTTCTAAATCCCGACCAGGCAGCCAGCTGGGGTGCTAATAACCCCCTTCAACTTACCTGCGCAGCTGCCGGCACAGCTGGTGTCCTTGTCGTCACTGCCCCTGTCCTAGTATCGGCCCCGTTGTTGTCGACGGTAGGGTTTACAGCAGGTGGTATTAAAGCAGGTATGTCCCGCAATAGCTGAACCATGCCCGATGACACGAGATTAAGCCCTGAATGACATTTCGTCTTTACAATATACAGGTTCTGCGGCCGCAGTTGCTCACAGTTATGTCGGAAACGTCGTAGCTGGCGGTGCGATAGCTATAGGACAGAGTGCCGGTGCAGGAGGCAGTGGCCTAGCCCTCGTCAATGGGGCCATACAACTGGGGGCTGCTGCGATGACCGTTGGAAGTGCAGGCTTATCATGGGCCAAGGCTAAGCTGTGAGAATTCAACATGTGCAGCGGAGTTGACAAAGAGAAACTAGTTTTGCATTCAGCCGTCGCTCTATGAGATATTTGCCATACAAGAGCATCTATAAGATCCTATCCCATGCCCCTGCTCATTGGGCCGTATCTTTGGTTAACAATTTTTTTCTGATTTTATGTTCTTTGATATCTTCCTATGTACATGTATCAGATTCCTCCTATGTGGTACAGGATCCAAATTGCCTTTAACACTCTCTTTGTTAATGAACCTTCCGTATTCTAACTTGATCTTCCGGTGCCATCCAACACATACCCACTCCACATATATTAAACCAGGGCCTATCTCCAAACATGCGCCATCTCCACTCGAATGAGTGCCATCAGGGTGACCTGTCACCATTGGTTATTAACCATATCCCAAAGCTATTATATCCCCAACATACCAAGCCGAGGTCTACCCCTTCGGCAACCCGAACCCGAAAGACCGAAATATCCCGATCCCGCACAAAACGCTCCTTGATGTTGTTCAAATGGAAGGAGATCTCTGCAATTGTAGAATTGCCAATGTTAAAATAATTTGTTAACCCCATTGCATCACGCGGTCGCATCTCGACAACAGCGCCGGATCCCAAGATCTTGGCGTCCACGGCTGTGTGCTTCGAGGTGAAGAATTTCTTATGAGCAATCTCGGCGATTTTATTGCCATCAGGGTCTTCTGCATGCCACCCTAGCTTGCGGCGCAGGTCAAACACTGGCTGCCCCGAGGCATCCTTCAATGGCCTTCTCAGTGTCATCGAGCTGTAGCCACCTGGGCCTTCAACGGAGAAGAGCCTCTCGCCATCATTGTTTATGATGTCGATATTCTGAAGATGCTGGTCATGGACTCTGACCCACATCACAGACTCTTGCTCGGTCGTGTAGCCTTCAGACAAGAAGACTGGTGCAGGTGGAGCTTGTAGCTGTGCGTCCATTGCGGTTGAATACGTATGCCAAGAGCAAGCAAACCGGATAGGTGTCTGTTTTCTGTCGCGAATATTCCAGATGTGACAGAACAGGGGGCAAAGGGGAGGAGTGTATGGGCGAAAAACAGGAAAGATCCAGAAAAACAGATGAGGTCAAGATCTCCAAACACTAGCAGTAAGAGACTTTTTTTCGAATTGGTATGTGCAGAACTGGTATGTGCAGAATGGTCGGGCTATTCCAACTGCCTGAAAAGGAGCTCGTTAGTTGAAGCGTGGCAACGCAATAGCTGCTTTTGATACCGGTTGAAGGAAGGTGGATGAACTCCTGGCAAGGTTTCTCACATCAGCGTGGAATGCTTGGGGGCGGTAATATTAATAAAACCGACTAAGTACGATTGTGGGGGTGATATCACCAGTAGTATTTTGTATTGCGTTCCTGAATCATTCAGTCAAAATCAGCCTTGATTGCTGATCCTGGTCCACTTTGCTTGGCTCAATTTGAGTGTGGATCAAGCTTTCCACCTAAAGTGGGTCATTCTTCTGCAAAGCATAGGGACCAGGGATGATAAGACTACCAAGGTCAATACTATACCAATTTACTATTGTATAAGAGGCAATGTATTACAGGGATGGAGACTGGCGATCTATGGGGCTAACCTCACGAGATGGGGTCTTTTTTTTATTTTCCATACGGGCAGTAACCTTGGATACTTTATTATCAGATTGAATTCGAAATTTCTATTTTAACAAGGCACAAAAAAGATAGATAAGTGGCCTCTTCATCTCAATTTTAGGAGGGACCGTTTTCAGCTAACATTTATACTCAGCCTTTGTTGTCAGCGGTGTGCCTCCAACTTGCATGAACCTTGCCACCGTCATTACTGGCAAGTTCGACGAGGGCAACCCAGTTCCTCTCAGCAACAACGCAATCCGCTTCACTGGTCTGACTGACGACGATATCAACCAGATCCAGGATGCTCTGAACACCCATGCATAGATTAACAGAGTACTGTTTCCTGATTGGCAATGATTTTGAACTAGTTGTACAAGAAACGATAGTGTGATTTGATTTGATTTGCTTTATATGCATCATGTCTTGTCTAGATTGGAACTGATACTGGCGCGTGAGATCAGCTCTGCACCGCCATTTTTTTATATTCATAAGTCCAAACATCTCATGCTCGCGTATTAGATCCAGAGTCTATAGAAGAGCCATGGTTTCCTGATTTCTCATCTTTTAGTGGCTTCTTAGATATACCTACCGTTAAGCTGCACAGGGAATCTATTAAGCCAGACACGAACCGCTCTTTCAGCCTGTAGTTGTTACAAGAGAACAGTCTTCTGGGTGTATTTCCACCAGAAATTCTCAACATCATATCTCCTTGTGCATGTTCTGAACCTCTTTGATAACTTGAAACGTCTAAAAAGATTGAGTAAAACATATGAAACAGGCAGAAAATTCAGCTATGATAATTTGAGAGAATATTTTATCTTTTGATAGACTGTTGAGGATGCGAGAAGCTGGGTCGATTTGATAAGTCAAACAATTGTGAAATCAATCCAGATAGCTTGGAAGCTATCTTAGATTCATCTCTTCGCTATACCCATAGGAGCTATCTTGTAAATCGAATATTGTCCTAACGCCATTTGTGATGGAAGTTGGTGAAAGCGTGTATTGGGTCACTGTGCAACACTGTCACCAGCCAAACAAAAGAGGGAAATGGACAAAGCCCGGTGCAGTTGGGGCTATAAATAAGCACTAGACCGTTAAAATAAGCGCTGATCAAGATGGACCCACAAAGGGAATATGCCTCTGTGAGACTTCCGCATGAAGGGATTCGACTACAGTGATGTGGAGCCGGGTCTTCACGTATTTATGGTCCCTTTTGGGGGCTGTCTTATAAACAGCAAGTACCCCACATTTGGGGGCCAGCTGCTCCACATGTAAGCCTCCCTGCAGTAGGGCCCCCAATCAAAGCATGATTAGCATTAGGTCCTACTGTCGCCCGAGAAATTAGGGTACTGCTAGGGGGCCACCGAACAATGGGCTGCGTAAAGTATATCAAGTGCGCAAGATCACTCTTTTACCGCTTTTTCCATAGCATGCTGACAAGAAAATATTGGGTACAACCTCCTCATGCAGCTGAAACAAGCACTCCAAGCCTTAACGCCAGCGCTCTACCTTGGTCTGTCTGGTCTTGCATTTGCCGTCTCTTTGCATGCACCAAAACAGGGACAGCGCGTGGCACTGCTGCCAACAATTCTGATACCCACCTTCCTCTCGTTGTCCGTGGTACTCCATGTGCCCTTTGCCCCTGGCGTCTCACTCGTTTGGGGTCAAGCATTAACAGGATACGTCCTGCATACTATCTCGACCTTGCACCTGGAGGCGATCCCATCCCCATGTTCATCCATGCCAGGTTCAACGGCGCTTGGATCAGAATACTACGTTAATTTTGGATACTTCCACCGAATCTGGCTGAATCCACGTTTGATACGTACGCATTCAACACCCCCGACATCGCCGAAGCAACCGGTGAAGCAGTCTCGCGGGGCCTTCCTCGTCTTGCAATTATCCAAGCTGCTCACGTACTACATTATCCAAACAAAAATATCTCCTGCAGTATTTGACGAGATCGTGATTGATATCCTGCCTGATGAGGTTGCCCCATATCAACAATCTCTCTGGCGACCCTTGGATGACTTCACGGCGCGTGAGTGTTTGAACGTGATATTCGTCACTTTCTCATCATTCTGGACGACATTCGTGTATCTCGACGGGACCAATGCTCTTATGTCCATATTCCTTGTTGGGATCGGCTTGGATGATCCAGAGGATTGGCCGCCACTTTTTGGAAACCTGTCCCAGGCTGTTGGGCTCCGGAAATTCTGGTCAAGATTCTGGCACACGCTTCCAATGAAACCTTATAGAAGTTTTGGGGAGTACATCAGCCTACGAATATTTAGACTCTCCCCTCGATCGTTCGCTCACAAGTCGACTAACGCCTTCGTTGCGTTTTTGCTTTCAGGCGCTGCCCACGCTTTGGTGGACTGGCTTCGTGGCAGCCCTGATTGGCGTCTGGACTTTTATTGGTTTTTGCTCAACTTTCTTGGTTGTATGGGTGAATCCCTTCTTGTCAAGACACTTCGCCAATTAGCGTGGCGAGCTGGGCGAGAGCATGATCTTCAGGCCCTCGAGACAAGCTGGCTAGGTAAGTTTGTAGGTTATGTTTGGATAAGTCTCTTCTTTTGCTGGACGGTGCCTATGTGGCGATTCCCCGAGATTCATAGGCAGTCTTTGGCGTTCCAGAAAATGAGACAGCTCCTATCGAACTTGCAGATAGTTTGACAGAAGACGCACTCGGTACATTTTGTATCCCACATAGGACAGACAGCGTGACGGAGACACCCCGTCAACAAAGATTCCACTCTGGCTATTATTAATGGATAGAAACCCTAGTCTAAGTAAAACTTATAGAGTCCCCCAAATCCATTTGACTTCGCAACTTGTTCAAAGTTTGAAGATGCCTCTATTTTGATTTAAGTTAAATTAACAGCAAGCTACGATTCTCATTATTTTAAGATTACTCAACAATGCTCTCTAAGCAACCGCGCGAAGTTGAGAAACGCCGATAACGCCGAGCCGCCCGACTCTCACGTCATCCATTTCCCGCTCCACTCCACTCCACCCCGGTTACTCGCGGTCTACGACACCAGTCACGTGAAACCGCTTCCATAGAAGCTGTGAGTCAATCTTACGCCCAATCTAAATTCTATGCAGCTAGACCCTTAGTTGATCGAACACCTCATTGCAAGAATACATACTACCGGCCAAAACCCCGGTTAAACGGCGACATGGCCACAGGTACACACACAATGCCCACGACGGCAATCGAGCTCCCAAACCTGGGACAAAATACTGGAGGAGAAAGACAACGAAATCTCAATTCCTCTAATGCACCTGAGATTGACGAGGTTATGCAGCAATCCCTCATTGCCGATTCACAAGTTCCCGACGGAGGCTATGGCTGGATTCTCATCGGTGCATGTGCCGTTGTGACCTGGTGGTTTGTCGGTGCCTCGTATACATGGGGTGTGATGCAAGCAGAGCTAGTTGATAAGGAGGGATATTCCTCTTCGACTTTGGCATTTGTTGGATCGCTATGTCCGGCTTGTATCTCTCTTCTTGCTGTTCCTAATGCGAGGGTTATTGGAATGATTGGAGCTCGCACGACAGCCATGCTGGGTATTTTCTTACTCGGTCTTGGTAGTATCCTGAGTGGATTTGCCACACATAGTGTCCCTGGTCTCTTTATGACCTGGGGCTTTGTTGGTGGTCTTGGTACTAGTCTGTGCTTCATGGTTAGTTGGTTGCTCCCTAAGCCGAGCAGCGGGCATACTAACACAAGGCTGTGATAATAGGTGGTCTCTGTCACACCGGCTCAATACTTCAAAGCAAAGCGTGGCATCGCCAACGGGATCGTCTACGCGGGTGGCGGACTAGGTGGCACGGTCATCAGTTTTATCCTCGATGCCCTTCTCCAGAGCGTCGGCATCGCCTGGACATTTCGGGTCCTCGGATTCCTGATTTTGGCGACAGGACTTCCGGCTGCCTGGTTCATCAAAGAACGCGCACCTATTAAACCAGCAAAGATAGTGGAATGGAGTCTGTTCAAGGATGTGCGCTTTGCAGTTCTCTTCGCTGTCGGCGTTATCGGTACATTCCCGCTCTTTGTGCCAGCTTTCTTTTTGCCATTGTACACCAACTCTCTTGGCTTGCCATCCAGTGCTGGAGCGGGTCTCGTGGCCGCGTTCAACTTTTCCTCTGCGATTGGACGTCTTTCGTGCGGATTTGCCTGTGATCGGTTGGGATCACTGAACACACTGTTCTTATCATTGCTGCTTAGTGCTTTGAGTATCTTTGTGCTGTGGCCTGTTTCTACTTCCATTGGGCCTTTGATTGCGTTCACTATCATCAATGGTTCTGCGAATGGCGGCTTCTTTTCGACTATGCCTACGGTCGTCGGAAACGTGTTTGGTTCGGCGAGAATGTCTGTTGCAGTGGGCATGATTGTTAGTGGCTGGCTTGGTGGGTATCTGCTTGGTGCTCCCATCGCTGGTTATATCTTGAATGCTTCTGGTGGCCAGGCTGGTGGTGTTAGCGCTTATCGACCGGCAATATTTTATGCTGGATCCATGGCCACGGCTGCGACTATTTTGGCAGCATTTGTGCGTATTAAAGTTGATCGGAGGATCAAGAAGACCGTTTGAATCGAAGCGAGGATGGAGACGATACAACAATTATGACTATGCTCGCGTGCTGTAACATCTGATCCAATTTGGAATTGTACAATTAAATGAATTATGAACAAAGGAAATATTCAACTGTAGCTGCTAATTGAACTGCTTTTGGAAAATTAAATCTTTAGCACAGACGATGAACAATCATGCAGGTGATTGAGCGTTCAAATATGAGATATGTAAGTTGGCGTTTTATGTGCTACAGTAGAATCAGGTAATACCCGCAATCTCAAACTTCTCAGATCATATGTTCATTTATTCGTAGTATTTCATATGCAGACGAAGTCATTTATTGTGTTCATTCCTTCTAAAGACGGGCCTTCTTCTCCTCACGACCTTCAAGGTTGGGGTGAGGGTTGCGAATGGGCCGAGTAACGGCGTAGAAGGCAAGCCCCGAGGACTTGGTCGAGAACTACAATAGATCAACCATGTTAACTAATTTCCCACGGTACTTGGAAGTAGATTGGTGTCATGACAAACCTTTACTTTGGATCCGACGTGGAAGAAAGCAAAGTCTCCTGGTACTAGGTGATGGGTGACACCAGTAGCCTCGTCCTGTAAATAGTTCCACGGTGATTAATATTGCGCAATATTATGAATATGTCAAAGGATCGGGAAATACACTATTATATGGACCAGGAGGACATACCAAAATATCAATCTGACCACTCAGAACATACTTAGTCTCCTCGAAATTGTAGTGTGCAGGCCTTTGAGAACCAGCCTCGATCTTGTAAAATCCCGAGGTGAAGTATGAGGGAGAGTCGGTCGTCTTGGTGCGGATAGAGTGGAAATCGGCTGTGGTTGCGTTCTCGCCCTGGGGCAAAGGAATGAACTCGTGGCCGGCGCCCTTGATGACGGTGAGAGGAACGAGCTTGTCAGACACTTTTTGAACGAATCCAAATGTTAGTGATATTTAAACATACTCTCAGAAATACTCTGTTTCATAGAGCATTGGGTCTAATTAACTCACTTTTAGTTTAATTTTTGTGATGGACGAAGATAATATTGAGAACCGCGAGGGCCCCTTTTAACGATGATATAACATTATATGTTCTGAAAGACACCCGGGGGTGTGGCCGGCTGATAGCGAGGTCCTGCATGCTTTACCCCGATGAGGAGAAAAAGCCCCCGGCGCATCATCCGTAGGTGGGGAATATGTCGGATGGACGCCCGATGTCCATTATACAAGGTGTTCCGACGAATCAAATTGGCGATTGCGTGCTGCGTGCTTCTTCAAAGAGAATGATTTCCCTCGAAGAGAAGGTTTCCCCGAATGAGGGAAGAAAAAAGAAGGCCTGCATCTATACTCTAGGTGGACTGTCCTGTTCAACCAATGACAATATTTGGTTCCCCGCACCCCTCATGCACTTGGAGACAACAAAAGATAAATGTCCTCCGCCTGTGGTTTTATTGACTGATCATCTTTCTGCTTTTATGAGATGTTGGACGGCAAAAGACGACGGTAGGTTATGTCAGGCACCAGGCACCCGGTGGCAAATTGGCTACTGAAGTATGTTTCAATTTTTTATTGGAAGTAATTGACGATGCTCGTATCCTCAAGACAAGTCTCTGACCCTATGTAAGAGCCTCAATAATATTTCTGCCTTAGTCTTTGGCTTTGACACGCCTAAATACGTTGAAGTCCCAAGCGGTGTCCTATTGATATAGATTTAGCCCCTCTGATTGGCCAAGAAGACCCACAGCCACATGCTAGCCCCTGGAGCACGTGACCAGACTCGGCTGGAGTGTGCTTGGCGTGCTTAACCCCGTTGCATCCCCGGTGCATATACGATTGAGTGTGCAAGTCTCTGTCGCGATTGACACCGATATCCAAAATTGGCAGCAGTATGCCCCCTTTGGATTCTGGGTGAATATCTAACCAGGCGACTATGTCGGTCACAATTCCGCTCGAACCCCTCCACACGGCACATGTGAAGACGGGTGACCGTTCCTCCTGTCACGCCGACGCGCCTATTCAAGACCTCGAGTTCCCCTCACTCCATCATGATCGAAAAACAGATATCGGGACAGAGACCGAACACATAAATGCTGTATTAAACATGAACAGCACGCGGAGCGAGCGGACACCAGGTGCCGAAAAGCAACCTTCACCCGGCTTGCATTTCCTGGCCGAAGCGTGCGAGCACCCGCTTTTTCCACCTTTGCCTTGCTACGGTGCTCCATCGGGGTTGGGCAGAGTCCGAGACTATGTGTTCATGGTGGCCTCGTTCATTCTCTCGCTTTGCTTCTTGACAGTCATATTTGTCGGAGCGTTGTTTCGCACAGGCGCAATCGCACTATCAGATGTTCGCTTACGACTTAGCGGAAAGAATCCGGATACACATAGAGCATTTTACACCGAAGAACAAGCACGACGCAAAGCACGGAAAGAGGCCGATCGAAGATGGCATCTGCACAAACAGAAGAGGGATACGGACGAGGAACAGGCCTCTGGACAATATTTGTCGCTAGAAGGCGGAAAGGATCCTGTTGTCTGTGATGTGGCGTATTATGCTCGACGTGTGGGTCTTGATGTGGAGAAGTTCCGCGTTCAGACCGAGGACGGCTTCATCATCGAGTTGTGGCACGTGTATGATCCCCGAGATTACCAAGCACTATCGGCCGAGGAAAGGCGTGAGCGTGGGCCGAAAGTTTTCACCAAGCCCAAGATATCGCCTACCACTCGTCCGCAGTCTAACCGGCGCTATCCCGTTCTTTTGGTCCACGGGTTACTCCAGAGCGCTGGTGCGTTCTGCACAAATGATGAAGATAGTCTGGCATTTCATCTTTGCAAGTCCGGGTATGATGTTTGGCTGGGCAACAATCGATGTGGCTCGAACCCGGAGCACACGACACTTTCGACCGCTGATCCGCGAATGTGGTCCTGGGACATTCGACATCTAGGAACGCTGGACCTCACAGCCCTCACTTCTCGTGTTCTATACGAGACTGGATTCGAAAAGCTTGGCCTTGTCTGTCATTCCCAGGGAACCACCCAAACATTCGTCGCTTTGGCAAAAGAACAGCGCCCTGAGCTGGGTGAACGCATATCAGTTTTCTGTGCGCTCGCTCCAGCTGCATACGCTGGCCCGCTCGTGCACAGACCGTACTTCCGCTTCATGAATATTCTATCCCCGGCCATGTTCAGATTCTTTTTCGGCATTCACTCTTTTATTCCCTTAATGATGACAGCGCGAAGTCTGCTGCCACCTAGGATATATGGAACCATGGCATACTGGGTGTTTTCGTTCCTATTCGACTGGTCAGATACGCGCTGGGAGCGTGATCTCCGTCACAGAATGTTCCAGTTCGCACCGGTATATGTCAGCGCTGAGTCAATGCGATGGTGGCTTGGAAGCGAAAGCTTCGCCAAGCACAAATGCATTTTATCCACAGATGAGGATCTACTCCTCGAGACAGACCTGAACAACACTATGTGTGGTGATCCTGTCTCTGAGCATGGTGATGATCCTGGGGATGCATGCTTAGGAACTCCAAGGCCTAGCCCTTGGTTCGGTCCGCGAACACCCCCGTTCGCATTCTGGATCGGTGGCTCTGATGCCCTCGTTGATGGTCGCCGGCTTCTGAATCGGTTCCTAAGCGGTCGCGAGCCTCATGTCCGCCTCGTTCACTCCAAGGTTATTGACGAGTATGAGCATCTTGATGTCCTTTGGGCGATGGATGCTGTCGAGCAGGTCGGCAATGAGGTCCGTCAAGTCATCTGGACGACGATGCCCGAGGATGCTCGACAGGTTTGTCGAGCCCCTCGGGGAGTCAATCTAAATTTGGAAGAAAGAGGGTAGACTATCGGTCTGTTTTATTTTTTGAGTACATAAGTCATCGATAAATATACTTTTATCGCAAGCCAATGAAGTTATACACCACTTTCCGCCGGGGACCACAGTAGGCATCAGCCTTTCACAAACCACAGTGACATGTGGATCAGCGAATCGGTCCTCATTCCAACACTATATGGGTCAATTGACAGTTCCGAACCCCAAGGCTGTGCGTTGAAACAGATGGCGCCGTCCTGCTACTCCAACAGTGTTTTTTTGCCCCACAAGAACCTCATCTAAACGATGCGGCTGTCTACCAGCCAGACTCATGTTGTCGATCAGGGTTTTTGACCTTACTGAATTGTACTCTGTGGATTTTAGCTTGGTTCACAGATCTTGAGAGAGACATCTTCACCCCGATTGCCTGTTTTAGGCAGATTTCAGCCTTAGTGCATTCCTTTGACTCGCTTCAAGTTGTGGCTTAGCTGGTATATACTAATTTCAGCTGAGAGAGCTCCACTAGAGCCACAGAATGCATATCATCATGGAAATGATCTAAGCTTCCCTGCGGCTTGACCCGCAATTACAGTAGCAATTGAACGGGCCCGAAAACCGATTGGCAACCCAGTCCGTACCTGACTATTTATGTCCCGACGGCCGCCACAGACTGATCAACCATACTAGCTGCAGGGGTGTGGATTTTCTGTAGCATATCTTCCCTCCTTTCTTCTAATCATTCAGCTTCAACTATGCTAATACCAATCGAACCTTTCCATATTCCACTATAGGAGCCTAGGAAGTGGTGACTCGTTAAATCCTCGCACTTCTCCACTCCTTGAAAATGGCAACCTCGGCATACAGACGAACACGCTCTTTGATTTGTAGACTTACTATACAGATCCTAGTGCTCTTGGACCCTATTACCATTTCTACGCTTGTCGGCCTATGCCAATTGTTGGCGGATTACTCTAGTTCTGGCGAGCATCATACTCTCTCGCGACCAGGGTCAATTGTCGTGAAGCGTCTACCAAAAGGAAACCCAATATAACAGAGCGAATTGTCATGGCAATCCATAGAGAATTGTAGATTGGATTATGACTTTTGCCTTATAGAATTAGCAAACGACTGAGGCAAACAAAGACCTGAACAACTATCTTAATGAAGGCGCCATGTCCTAGATAACCCCCCACAACATTTCGTTCATATTTAGTTGCCTCTGACCCCCACAAGTAGAGTGGCCTTTCAAAATCACAAAATTGCCCAGCTCACACAAGACGACGTCTTAGGGTTGCCACCTGAATCGCGTACCAAGATGATCTAAGATCAGACAGTCCCACTACCCCGCAAAACCCCAGATTTGGTGTGGAGCCGGGACTCCACCAAAACATTGAATTGTTATCAGTTTGCCCTAAACCTGTGTTGACTGCATTCATAAATAGTATAGAGATTGTATCAATGCTGTATCAATGATTAGAGCTAGGACTGTTCCTGGGCTTTCTTCAGGGGAAGTAGCCTATAGCAGAGACATCATCCCAACATGGAACATGGCCCCTATTTTTTTCGTGTCACGATGTACACCGGTCTTGAGTAGTCCCCGGTACATGGTTACTTCCAATGCCTAAGTATACGTGTCCTCCGGTACTTTTGGCCTATCTCTGACGCAGAACCTGGCCAATGACCATCTGTCAGGCCACCCCAGACGTCCTCGATGCGCCCAGCGACAATGTTGAGAGTGGGCTAGCCCGAGATGATCGACTGACCCTGCCTCCACAATTGCCATCTGCTATCATATAGGAGGTTGTCATCGTCGTCAATGCTCCTCGTCTCTACTCGTATCTTTCCAATGGTTACCGGTGAAGTCAGGAGTGTACCTCAATTTTGACAGCTCTTCATCCATGGAACAAAGCTGCGATATAGATCATAGCCACGACATCCAGTCCAGGCTATACTGGACCAAAGGATCATGAAAGCTGAAACTCTGGCGATTACCTGACGCATCACAGTATTCTCCATTGGCTTGCCACCGTGCAGGGATGTCCTACATGTCACTATTGATTCAGTCCAAACTGACTCCCAACCCCGCATTCTGTCAGATGATGCCTACCTATATAAGTCCACTTGTACTGAATCTTTTGACCTGAGTACTTTGTCTGTTCACGAAAGAAACTCTCCTCTCCATCGCACCATATAAACTTTCATTGTCAAGTCAACCCTCTTCCATCATCTACTCATCTCACAACACACATCCAAGATGTCAGCACCAGTCGGCCCTATCTTGGCCCAACTTCAGATGCTTCCTGCTCGCTCGCGACAGGGTATCAATAATCTCCGCCAACGTCTCTTCCAGCAGGGTATGTTTCCCCCTGAAATCTTCCGACCGGCTCATACACTTCCCCCTTGATGATTTACTAGAACTGACATACGCAACAGGCGAGAAACCACCCAAGGAGAGCCACTTCCTACGCACCTCGTTCAGCGTTCACCGTCCCGTTTGGATCACAGCTGGTGGCGGTCTCTACACATCCATGGCCGCTGTGTATCTCACGATGCGATACCTGAGACGTGTTGCTCGGTAGATGATGAAGACATCACTACCTCCATCGCTTGCTGTCTTCACTCCTCATATGCATATCTTTTACTCTTCAGATACATACCCCACCCCCTTTGTTACCTGTCAACATGGACTCATCTCGACCAGCTGTGTCTGATTAGGAATCATGAACGACTCAAGGACCTCCCTAGTTAGGCTGTGCCTATTCTTTCTTTTGTTCGGTCGGTCACATTGTACGTCGCCATAGAATGGCTGCAGACCCGGTGTTTTTGTTTTCAGGGCTACTGTACCCTCATATGAATGCTACAATCATTATATTACACTTACAACCAGCTATGCCGTAGAGACCCCGTACATAGTGTAAAATATGATTCTCTCACAGCTGGTATTATTCATATTCTACTCCTTTGATTTCTATCGTGATTTGTGTCTTGGTCATCATTACATCGCTTAGCCGATGGTACCGCACAACAGCGGTGATGGTCAAGGACGCGGTCATGATGGCTAAACGGCACTATAGCCTGAGACAATTGTCAACAAGTATGAAGGCCAGTCTGGACTGAAACATGACCTAACTTGCCATAAGGGCAATAGGGATTGGCTATCATGCGATGCTCTGACCTAGTCTATCCAGGGGGTGTACAAAAGCGACGGCGGCAAAGTGTAAATGTGACATTCCAAAATAGTACTGTATGAATGGTCAAATGAAACATGGAAAGTACCCAGTACCTCTTGAGAAGTATAGCAAAGTACACGAAGTGACAGATTTACTCGGCTGAAGAATCCACCCCCAGGTTCTGAGTATCTCCACTTCACCCTTACCCAAAGGAATCAGGAGTGCACACAGCCCTCCTTTCAGCGCTACTTCAGGCTGTCATTTTATAAGCGAGCCTATGATATCGTGTCTCTTACTCAGGGAGGCGTCACCGCACTTCACTAGCCTATAATATGATTACTCCTAGATGGGTGCATGCGTTAGTTTCTATTAAGGGGCTTGGCGACCCCGCGTTTTATTCTCTCTTGCTTCTTTATCTGCTGGGCCGATACTGACATATTGTTCTGTTTGCTCAGAATTATGATCTGAGGAGCATAATAGGGTCATAAAAGTGAGTGTGACGCGGAAGAAGTCTGACAAGAAAAAGGGTGTTGTTTGACTCCCCAGTCAAGCAGTGCGATGTACTTCTGATAGAACGATGATCGATAATTTGCGTGAATATACTTAACAATCATGTGATTGGTCTTTATCTATCGCACACATGAGGCGCTAAACAATTTGCACCCCTAGAACGCTTACAGTAGGCGACAAGCTCTGGCTAGGAGTTCACGAAATTGGACTTTTGTATATGCATTAGACTAGATGCCGAAAATTGAGCCTTTATCAATATAAATCATAGGAAATTTAAGGTAAGTTATGAGCACATGTTCCAGCGATAAATACTGTTTTTCAGCCGCTGGGTTCAACACCAATTGCTGTAATCGACGTTGTGTGATTATATCCACCAATTTGGAGAATATGCAAATAGTAATGGATGATGGCTACCTACTAATCTCAACGGCATGATTGGTAGTATTGACATAGCTGCTTCCTGTTTGCTTGGGCATAAAAAAGCAATCTGCGTGACTTACCTTACGAGGACAGGTAATACGCTTAGTAGCAGATTGTCCTCCTTGTCTCCCTAACCTAGCCAGCCACGGCAGATACCAAAATCCATGTAAATTTTTATGGATTATACGAAATGCTTCAAAATCTGTACTATAGCGGATACAGAGAACTCTCGGGTTCGAAGGGAGGATCCAGGAAATCTGCCTGCTTCAATGTGCGCGCAGAAAGATAACGATGAAAGAACTGATCCAATGTAGACACAGTAGGGGGAATAGGAAATATACAAGCTCAATCGCATTTGAATGCCTCAAAGCCGATTATAGAAACAGCGCGTGTTGCTCAGGTTTTAAGCAATTCTATCTACACGCCTTCCACAAACAAGTTCTGGCTTTATATAAGCACAAATATATTGAAAGCCTCTCATGGTATTTGAAGATAGGCCTCAAGCTATTCAATAACTGTCTAGGCGCTCCAAGGAAACGCAAATATGCCACCCGATACGCACTCGCAGCCTGAGGTACGACCTTTTGTGCCCAGCAAGCAATAAGTCAATGCTCCTCACTTTGAATAATTTGGAGGAAACCAGAGAAAGCCACCGGTGGATAGCAAAAATATTCTCTAGTCCATCCTCGCTAATAGACAGCCTCACGCTTGGCCTTGCCAGCTTCCCGCCTCGCACTGATTCACAGGGATCATTCGAGGCCCAGTATGAACACAAGCAGGCCGAGCTCTATTATATTCTTCTGATCAAGCTTTCGTGAGAATTGAGGGAGTCGACTATGAGATCGCTGATGGACATGCGTTGTTTATCCCAGATGATGCTGAGCATGGCTTCCACATTACTAGCACTAAAGAGCCCTTGATATTCCTTTGGGTCTCGGATTGATTAAAATGGAGAGGTTGTGTACCGCTTCATTCATGAGTGAGATTCTTATGCTTGCTCAGAGCACAATAGTTTATCCTAACTTTCATTTAAATCTCGTTGGGTGCACCAAAATTACGATATAGTTTAGTTAATTTACACAAGACCACATGGTCAGGGAATGAGTTTTTTGCGTGAGGTAGTCTATAAGATAGTCTATATTATCTGTTTATAGGTATAAGCGTACCTAGTCGAGAATATTCTGTGCAAGCCTCGCAATTCAGTAAATCACGCCGACCCTTTGGCAAATATTCCTTTTCTACATAACATTATCAATTACTACAGGCAAATGCAGCCCAAAAGAGTATCCTAGTGGAAAGTATCAAAATAGCAAATTGCGGTAAATTTCAAGTTGATGACCCCGCCGGAGCCAGATCAAGCATCTTGAGACACGCGGACAAAGAACCCATTACCCCAGTATTGCTTACCCGGAATTGCCAAGCTTTTTCCAAACTCCGGTGGTGCTCAGAATGCCAGTAATTTACCTCAATCTTCTACTTAGTCTCTGAAGAGTTGTAGTAAATGCAGCCTTATAGGCTATGGTCTACGAGAATCCAGCCCACACGGAAGCCCTAAGTAAGGCAAAGAAGCCAATATCAAAATCTTAATAGATCTTGATTTGTTTCACCTCACTTTATTGTTTATATCTAGCCTGCTCTGCCCTCCATTCTCCATCCTTCATGTTTGACAACCGGCCACTCCTTATATTCCACGGCCCGGTGGGGGAGTGTTTTTGAATCCTTCGGTCTCCGAAATTATATGTTCACCACAAGCATATCCTCTCCAAATCAAGATCTGGTGTTGAGCTTCGGAATCATCTGAACAGGATTGAACCTCCGGCGGCGGAGTTCCGTCAGCCTTATGCGGATCATGCTTTATATAACCCACTCCCCCGCAAGAAAAGAAAAATGGGTCCATGAAGCTTGAACCTCCGAACAAATTGATTGCTACTACTTGCATTTTACTGTGACAATACTGGCCCACTTTTCTCTCATACAACGACAGGCGACTATGGCTACAGAAAAGATTGTCCCGACCGATCGGGAGCTTCACAATATTGAGCTGAACAATCCTGATGTTATCGAGCTTACTCGTCAGGCTGAGGAGAGTGATGCCGCCGATCGGTTGTTGACGGTTCGCCAAGCTTTGGTTAAGTACAAGAAAGCAGTTTTCTGGGCCACTTTCTTGTCCACAAGTTTGATCATGGAGGGCTACGACTTGGTCATTGTCAGTATTTCCTCGATTTGAATCAGAAGAACATGTTACTGACATCTGGGCTCTATAGATTACGTCGTTTTATGGCCAGTCACAATTCAAAAATCGCTTCGGAGAAGTAGATCCTGTCACTGGTGCCAAAACAATCTCTGCTTCCTGGCAATCCGGTCTCTCCAACTCAGCAGTCGTTGGCCAACTTGCCGGATTAATCGCCAATGCATACACCCAAGATCGGTTTGGCTGTCGCCCAACTCTGATGTTCTTCATGTGCTGGATGATGGTCATGATCTTCATCCCTGTCTTCGCACCATCGTTGTCAGTTTTGGCATTTGGGGAGGCAATGTGTGGTGTTTCATGGGGTGTGTTCCAGGTAAGCCAGAATGAGCAAAAGATGCAGGCCCCAATCACAATGCACATTTAGCTGACCTCGCCATTGTTCAGACTCTTTCCACGACCTACGCATGCGAAGTTGTTCCCACCGTCCTTCGACCGTATGTCACCGCTTATGTGTCCATGTGCTGGGGAGCTGGTATTCTCCTTTCCTCCGGTGTCGTCCGGGCTGTCGCAAGTCTAGAGGGTGATCTTGGCTGGAGACTTCCTTTTGCACTGCAATGGGTCTGGCCAGTTCCTCTTTTCATCGGTGCATACTTCGCACCTGAGTCTCCCTGGAACGCAGTCAGACGGGGCAAACTTGATGTCGCAAGAAAAAGTTTGTTGCGGCTTCATCAAGATACACCAGAGAAGGAACGCGAGGTCGATGCTGCACTTGCTTATATTAGACACACCACAGAATTGGAGAAGGCGGAAACTGCCAACGCGAGCTTTCTGGAATGTTTCAAGGGGCAAAATTTGCGAAGGACTGAAATCGTCTGTATTCCCGCTCTTCTAACGGATTATATCATGGCGCTGACAAGGTCTCTGTCGAACAGAATTGTGTTGTGTGGGCAGCTCAAATCCTTTGTGGAAATGCTCTCCTCGGATACTCTGTTATCTTCCTCGAAGCTGCCGGTTTCTCTGAACTTCTGGCGTTCGATGTCAACATCTCGCTTTCCGCGTGTTATATCGTCGGCGGTATTATTTGCTGGCTCATCTTCCCTCACCTCGGTCGTGCAACCATCTATATGGGCGGCATGGCTTTCATGTTCATCTGCCTTATGGTGATTGGCGGTCTTGGCTGGGTCGACTCAAAGTCTGCTCAAATGGCCATCGGAGCGTTACTGGTGGTTTCCACCCTATGCAACATGATCACAGTGGGACCGGGTTGTTACCCCATAGTTGCCGAAACACCTTCTGGCAGACTGAGGTATAAGACAATTGTGATTGGTAGATTCGTCTACAATGTTACGGGCCTTGTTCACAATATAATCACGCCTCGCATGATTTCTGCGACCGGTAAGTTTCGCTATATCTTAATAGATGCATAGAGATCAGCTAGCTGACCTGGAATCATATTCTCAGCTTGGAATTGGGGCGCTAAGGCTGGAATCTTCTATGCTGGAACAAACCTTCTTTGCAACATTTGGTGCTGGTTCCGTCTCCCAGAGACAAAAGATCGCACGTTTGGCGAGATAGACTTGCTCTTTGAAAATCGGGTTCCAGCAAGAAAGTTCAAGTCAACCAAAGTCGAACGTAAGTAAATCGTGTTACCCAATCGACTCGTCGAGGCAGCGAAATAGCTAACACAATCCGATAGAATTCGCTCATCCATCGGACATCAAGGTTAAGTCTGAATTGGCAGGTGGTCAGGCTGAACATGTAGAAAGCCTTGCCTGACTATATGATACTCTCATTCGTTATTTGAGACACGCTTTGTAATGATTGGTTACACAGATATTTTGAAAGGCATAACATCTCACACTCATCATAATCCAGCAGACCGAGGGTCACCTTATGCGGACGTAAGGCCAAAAACACACAAATTAGCTTTTCATATGCTTGAAATATCCGAAGAATTGCCTTCGCTATAATATTAAATTGTGATGGGTAGAAAAATACAGGGAGAGAGGAGAATAGGGTTCTATCAAACCCGAAGCGCCAACTTGAATAGATTCGAGCTTCGCCTTTTGCTTCAGTGGCACTACCGCAGTAATATGGACTGGACGCCATTTGCGAATAACAACTTTGCATAGATATAATGGAACCACTCAAGAAATTTCCCCCCGATGGCTGATTCTTCTGAGGGTTGCAATGGAAGCCTTGTAGCTCGAGCTGCACCAGAGGTCTGTCGTTTGTTGATAGTAATCGAGTGATCTGAAAACGGTGGCAACCCGCAAATCCGAATTCATCTGATCCAAAGCCATAATCAACATAGCTGGCACGATCTTCTGATGATTTCAGGGATATTTGCATGTCCAGTATCTTGAATGATCCGAAAAGACAGCTACCCACAGGAAGAAGGCTGGCACTAGAAAGCCCAGAAGGATTCCAGATTTGAGATGCACTTGAATCATCGTTGAAGCCTATTATACTGACATTAGCAATTGAACCAAGTAACCCAGGAAGCTCCTTACCCGTATAACGCGCTGGTAACAGCCGCCAGCCCCCCATTCGCAGTACAGTCCTTTCGAACCCGAAAATGAAGCCGCCAAAAAACCCACGACTGAATAGTGCTAGTACCTGCTCGTCGCTGAGCCCCGCTAACGCAGACTCTGGAAATATCTGGCTGACAGTATCCGTGCCTGCTACATGATTTCGTGGATTGATAAATTGAAAAGAGGATGATGCGAGAAATTCGGATCGAACAGCAAGAGTAGATCGAGAAAGACCCATAGATTGAAAGAAATAAAGACTTGGAAACCACCGAGAGACCATGATTGGGGCAGATGAAGTGCGCAAAGACCAGTTGACTTTTTGTGTTGCAGAAGAATCACCAATTGATCGGACAGAAAATTGTGAAATGTGATAAACAGAGGATTTGATGGTTCTGTTTCTATCTTATAGTCGAGCAAATAGCTGAACATGAGTCAGATATGTTTTGAGCTCGATAATTACGCGGAGGCTGTGGACCCGGTACGACCCGGCTCAAAGTGGATAACTCCAAGCGGCTCAAAGTGGCAGTTCATTGGTGGGCTCCTCCATCAAGCCCAAATCGACTTGGTACTATCAAGTCTGGCGTCAATTCAATTTAGCAAGGTCGCAGTTGTAGGCTCATCAACCTTTCCCCCAGAACAGGCCTCTGCGTGGCTCCGGGAGGATCACCAGGTTTGCACTAGACCTGCACCTCAAATCGCCTATATGAATAACACCCACCCCTCTGTTAAAACCGATGAACATTCACCGAAAGATAGTACTGATAGAAATCCTGAAGAGTAAAAACTCATGAGCTCGTAATCAAAACGGATGAATTCTTGAGAGATCGGAGAAAGCCTACCAGTCCGCAACATCACCGTCGACACATGTCATTTCCAGTCTGTGACGAGCAGACTTATTGCAAGGTTCTATTACGATATACTGACTCACCGTGAAAAGATCAAGACGTTGTTTCTAGACACTTGAGAATACGGGTCCGGGCCGCGGGCGTTCGGGTGACTTCCAAAGTTCTAATCTGAACACCCCACACCGCACATATCCCTGATCGGGCCAGTTAAATATCTCGCTTATTATTTCCTAAGTACTTTAAACAAGTTGGTAGGGGGCCAAAAGAACTGCTCATTGCCAAACGAACTGCAGCTTCCGCTTATGCGCCATGAGAGAAGGAACACAGGCATGGTAGTTCACCGGGGGTATATTTGCCTCCGATGACACGTGCTCATAACTTTATAAAGCTCCAATCATTGACTGGCAGCAAGTGAGGCTTACAAGAACAAGTGTTGATTACTCATGTGATTTCGAAATATGTAGTTGGAGAAATGAACTGGCAACCCCCGCTCAAATCCTCAATAAGCAGCCTCTTCCTATACGAGGGATATGAATGCTCTTCTATTTTACCCTAAGAGATGAAGCTGGCCGACTGAGCGACAACCCTCTTGCTCTTAGGGGGCTCATCCGGATGTATCGGAAGTCCGTTTCTGAATTTGCCAGTGAAACTTCAACGCAAGGAGTGTTATGTGGTCTTGTAGGGCTGAATTGACCACGACCGACCGCCCTTGCACTTTAGGCCACAGACTGTATATCCCAGTCAATTGTTTCACATGGCTAAAGTGCAGAATCAGGAACAAGAAAGGAACCTAATAATCGTAGGGCTAGATTTGACTCACAAAGTTAAACTTTTTGACTCTCGCCTTACGGTAAGGGACCATAATGGGCTTTGGCCTTTCCTGTATCCTGTGTGTCGTTTTATGACTCGCATTCAAGGGCAGGACAAGTAACAATGGCTGTGATCAGGGATGAACTACTTGAACTTTGCTCTCCGTTATGTCGTTCTGTTCGAAAACGGTTCTTTAGCTTCCATTAATGTCAAGTAACGCTTCAAGCAAAGAAGCTTTAGTGACTAGGTGCTTTTTTCAAAGTCGTTCCGGGATGCTGCATATCGGTATTGTATTTCTTTCGAGTTGTCAACTCCCGGAGTCCGTAAAGCCAGGGGCACCATATCCCCATGCCATAACCAAGTACCGAGAACCGGCACCAAAGGGAGAAATCATCTCCGATATAGCCTCCTGATCAATTCCTTTCGGTTTCCCTTTGGGTCTAAGATGGCACTGGCTCGCTACCAAATCCATTTTTGGCTGCTACTAATTTTATCGCGCGGGGTTGCGGAGCTTCGGCACCACTACGTCCTACAAAAAACATGTTTTATGAATGATTCTAGTGGCACGTCCCTCCTTGCCTTATTCTCACTCATGTACACCCCTGCTTGATCCACTTTCCTCGCAAATAAGAGAATACAAACAGGCATCTAGGCCGCGAGATAATTTCTCGGCAGTCCAAGGATGCCCAACAGTGAACTTTTCCTTTGCTTTGCCACAGATTGAACCATCTCTAATTGTATATGTCTCTTACCTCGATGACTCGCATTTCTATTCTCATGCGGAGATCGAGTGGAGACTGGGGATCCACTACCCGTTGAGGACCGTTGAAGCCTGTGTCCACATGTTGCGGAATAGCCGAACGAGGGCCACTCTTGGCTCTGAAGTAGCTTGCATGGATTTCTTGGCTGCTAAAGCTTAGCCCGATCAAGGTTCATCCACAGCTATAGAAATGAATATACACCTCGTCCGTCTTCTTTGGTGATAGCCGTGGTCATCCGATTGGTAATGCCTGATCCATCGTCTGCGCAGCATAGACAATCCCATGACGTTCTAAATTGGGGTTGGGGCAAAATCAGGTGGATGCTACTTTTAGCTGCATGGACTGAGAGCCTTGCTCTTCCGGAGGCTTTCCTTGCTTGTACATGACAACGTGGATCTTGTTTTACTTTGATAAGTGACCCTCATTCAATGTTAATATTCGCACCTGGATTGGCTACTAGCAAGCTTGAGCCGTCTTTATTTGTCTAGCCTTCTTATGAAGTGGATTCTCCTGATTCAGGCGTATGATACCAACAAGGAAGTTTAGCATTCTTCGCCTCCGAGGTACATTCCGCACCTCGCTTTAGTTATTTGTGGGGCTTAAGACATGCAGCCAATACAAGGTACAATCTAATTATTCTCCGAATAAAGTGATCCACATTGCCTAGGTGGAATTGCCATCTGACACGGCAGATGATGGTGCTATAAGGCTCTCGGTGAGGGGTGAATGGGACAGAAGAGTTGTCTATCCCCGACTCATAATTTCTTCCGTGTTTATCCCTTTTCCCCTCTCCGTACTATACCCCTTTGCTAAAATGCAGCCAGTCAGCATCGGATTCTGAAGGACCGATATTCTGTACCTTACCTCGTTGGGGGTCGCCATGAGGGGGAAGCAATATCTCCACTATGAGAACATTGGAGAAGGCCTGTCGGATGAGAAGGAACATATGATGCAACTCGAGAAAAGACAAGGCTAGCTCTTATTGGTAGCCTGAAGTTTGGAGTAGATATAAAAGGCTGATGGTGCGCTGCAGCAGGTCGAAGTCATTCAGGTTGAACAGCTTTCTCAGTCTCAGTGTTGCCTTCAGCCTCTGCCCGCTATGAAAATGAAGATCCCTCTCCTTACAACACTACTACATGTGCTTCCCCTGGTACAGGCTGCCCCAGCCCGAAGGGATAGCGATTCTAATCCCGGCCTTCGAGGAAGCGAATCGCTCGTCGGATATTCGCCAACGGAACCCTCTGCTAGTAAATCAGCACCTGACATCACATATTCCCTGCTTTCCGGACAGACGGAGGACCCGAAAATTGGATCATATCTCGATTTTGAGAAAGTCGACAACCCCCAGCCAATCCGTGGTTCGACTGGCGGAGACGACCCGGGCCCGAGTACGTTTGCGTTGAGCTATTGATTTCGAGTCGAGATTTGAATGCTGACACGCGGTGGTTATTCGCAGGAAATTACAATTATGACCGCATCAACAGTGATAAGTTGGCACCTCCGGGGACCGATCATGGGCAGACAATCAATGCTCAATGGCCAATGGGTAAGTATACTTCCGTGACTGGCATATCTAAGGTGCTAACTTCGCAGCAGGACTAAGTCACAACAGGTAACTAATTGCTCTAGTTATGCGGGTTTCTCTATACTAATATCTCGCAAGGCTCGGAATCGAGGGCGCAGGATGGGCTCGCCAAGAAAACACCGTCGTGATGCCCGATGCCCAATTGATGGCAGGAGTCGATATGAGACTTGAGCCAGCTGCCTATCGTGAACTTCATTGGCATGTGGCATCGGAATGGTCTTTGGTGTTGAACGGGTCATGCAGAATCCAGGTATTGGATCAATCTTCAATCGGACTACTTCTTGGGCATTAATTGACCATTTCAGGCAATTAACGAGAACGGAGAGACGTTTATTGATGACTTGAATGCTGGTGATGTCTGGTTCTTCCCTCCGTGAGTATTCCGACGGCCATTTAACATTAACTTTGCTGATAATTTGGTGTCAGGGGCATTCCGCATTCCATTCAAGCACTCAATGATGGAGTAGAGTTCCTCCTCGTTTTCGATGACGGAGACTTTAGCGAGGACAACACCTTCCTTGCCACCGAAGTCTTCCTTCACACCCCGGTATGATCAGCACATTTTTAGCATTGCATTAAGATTGAAGTACTGATTTCTCGCACAGAAAGAGGTACTCGCCAAGAATCTTGGACTGACCACGTCGGCATTCGACAACGTCCCCGATGATGAACTTTACATTTTTAAGGGAACACCAGCACCTGCAGATATTGAAGAGCAAAATGTGACAACATCTGCCGGACCTGTGCCTCGCACCAAGAGCTACTCGTATCACTTCTCAGAGCAGGAAGCTCACAGCGTTGCTGGAGGGTCTGTGAAGATCGTCGACCCAATCAACTTCCCTATTGCTAGCAATTTCTCCGCTGCTATCGTCACCGTTCACCCAGGTGGCATGCGTGAGATTCACTGGCATCCGACTAGCGATGAGTGGACGTTCTTCATCTCCGGCCAAGGCCGAGCTACTCTCTTCACCGCCCCGAACGCCGCGACTACATTTGATTATAGAGCCGGAGATGTCGGATACTTCCCCAAGTCTAACAGTCACTATATTGAAAACACAGGAGATGAAGATTTGGTATTCGTGGAAGTGCTTCAGGCGCCCGAGTTTACTGGTATGTGTTCTTGTTGTGGTTGCGTGAAATCATACTGACAAGTCTTAGATATGGCCCTTGGTCAGTGGATTGCCTCCACACCAAAGCAGATCATTTCCGATACCCTGAATCTGAGCAATGACACGCTAAGCAAGCTCAAGAAAGAGAAACAATATGTTGTCGCTGGAAACACCAGTTCATAAATCTTTACATACATCGGTTATCTCAACACGCATCTTACATTGTCCTGTTGGAGCCGCATATAGTCACCCTTTGAATGCCTCAAATAGCGATATGCTACTAGACAGATATAAATCAACAAGATACTGGAGGGTTGCAAACAATTTGCTTCAATATTGCTGTACTACGCCTTATAAGGTGGCGGTAAATCATGACAATCATCGGAATCATCATCGCCGTCAATACTAACATCGGAATCGATAAAATAGGCAGAAGGATGATCAGCCAATCTATTAGCAGCCTTGGAGTCCAACTGAGGAACTGCAGGTATCCCAACAGGAGCAGGAACGGATCTCTAGAGAAAAGGATCAGCCAATATTCATATCCTAGATTGCCGATTCGTGTACTTACTCCAACCCCTGCAGCGTCCATCTTGATAGCAACTGGTTCATGATCCCCAATCCTACCAACAAGTACGCCTTTTTTCCAGAAACCGTATTTGAGAATCATTCCTCTGAAATCGGACCGGGAAACAACACATTCGATCACATCACAGTCTGTCAAGCTAGCCCTGTCAATGTGACTCTTCACAATTGTTGTGCCGGTAATGGTACAGCGTTTCAAATCACTTTGATCTATGATAACTGCCTTGCTCAGAGTTGACCGGTTTACCGAAATTCGACCTTTGAGGACACTATCCGCAATTTCGCTGCGCTTCAAAAGCGCCACATGTTCAAAGTTGGAGTTTTTGGCCGTGGAACGAGACGCGTATTCAACATTTGATAAAACTGAGTCATTCAAATCGCATCTCTTAACTGATGAATCACTGATGGTGCAACCTTTTAGACTGCAACGCATGACAGTATTGCCGTCGCCGCTGAGAGTGCTGCCACTAGCCTGTGATTCGTCCATGAATGTGAGTTTTATGGGTACTTCTTCTCCGCTGGTAGTGAAAGCGAAGAAATAATAGTGTTTTTGTGCTGTAACGGCTGCAAGGGTGGAATGAGAGGTGGGACAAACTTCAAGCTTATTTTGGAAAGGGAATGTGTTTTATAGAGATTTCTCGGAGGCGGGGCTGCTTATTTCTACGGAATGCTGCTGCCTATGCCGTCTTGATATCTACGAATCAATTCAAAGCCAAATTAATCCGACAAATATTTATGTTTTCATGATACTTACGGTAGGTTGTATAAGGAAAGCTAAGATTGACAAGAGCTGGTGAAATCCTGGAACCCGTTGTCCCACATTTGACTCTAGAGAATAGAGCAGGGACAAAAAGGATAATTAACATGTCTCAGCTTTCATCGACATGTAACATAAATACCGACAAATATGCGATATTAAGATAACGTACATAAAACATCCTCGGTGTCTATCCTTATTTAATTTACAAAAAAAAAAAAGGTTATAACAAGTCTTAGACCGAAGCCTTGATATACCCACAGTTTCCGTTGGAAAGCTGGGTACCGCTGTAAGAAGATTGGAGATTAGCTGTTCCATAGGTGGAAGAAGTCGAGCAAACGCTTGTTGCGATCTTGTAGCAGTACTTCACGGATCCACTCGACCAGTAATAAGACATGGCACAATTAGAAGCCTCAATGCAGCTAACGCAGCAGTCGTAGGGACTATCTGTATTGCCAACACTAAGGCTTTCACCGGGGACATGAGAGAAAGTGAGAGAAGAGATGTAGTATCCAGCGTAGGAGCCGAAGTCGGAAGAGAGAGGGCTACCGGCGATGTTATTGGTGGCACAGGCGGCATATGCAGCAGTAGTAGTCACACCAGCAAGGATAGTGGAGGTGGAAGTGACGGTATCCGTCTCAGCAACGGCGGTGCTTGTCTCGGTGATGGTAGAAGTGGTGCTGTAGCTCAAGGTGGTGGAGACATCTGAAGGGAGAACCACGGAGTTACTGGTGATAGTGTTGGTCACAGTAACAGTGGTGAAAGGGGTGGCCGCGGTGATAGTAGCAGGGGCTGCAGTGACGGTCGAGACTGTTGTCGTCTTGATGACTCTCTTCTCATGGCAGACAACCTTTTGGGGGTACTCGTAGTCATCAAGCCAGGGAGAGCACTGCTCCTCTTCCTCTTGTTCCAAGCTGCGCTTGTACACAGTAGGAGTAGCAATAGTGTCCGCAATAGGAGTGAAGCCTGCCGAGGTGGCAACAGTCGAGGTGACAGTGCTGGTAGAAGAGACGGTGGCGAAGACAGTCGCAGTGATAAGAGCAGGAGTCAGAGTAAGAGTTGCAGTGTCATACTCAGTCGAGGTAGTTGAAAACGTATCAGTAATTACATCAGCAGTGGAGAGGAGTGTCGTAGTTTCATAATCCGTGATGGTCTCGATTGAAACAGCGGGAGTCACAGTGAGGGTCTCCTGGGTAGTCGAGAAGACCACAACAGGCGAAGGATCATGATAAGTACGAGTGATGGTAGTAGTAGGAACTGCCTTCACCGAACTAGTACCAAGATGTGTCCGACAGTTGGCTGTATGCACATGGACTTGACTGCTGGCCACCTGGGAGCTGGCGGCGGAGCTGGTGGCCGAAACCTGACCAAGCAAAAGACCAGCAGCGAAAACGAAGCGACTGAAGGACATGTCGAATTAAAAGAGTGATGTTCACTATTTTGGGGGAGTTGGTCTCGCTCGGACTATATACTTCTCTTCCTTGTGCCAAGTGGAGCTTCCCGGCTATTTTCACCACAGGCAAATTCAAGACACAAACCACGTACGCCAAAGACCCATCGGGCGTTCAATAGTGCAGATAAAACCAGGAACCAGATCGTTTTCGTTGTTTATCGTCAATTTAGTCCTAGTATTGTGTCGGCGTTGTCCGTACGCGATAATCGGGAAACCGTAAGCGAGTAAGCGATCTATATACAGGAGCTGATGGCTTGGTTTAATTTTCATCTTAGCATCATTCATTTTTTTGTGGTGACTGGATCGTGTTTTCTCTTTTGCTCTTTGCAGCATTGTCATTCTTTTACAGTCACTCTTTCATGCCGTTTGGTCGCTATCAAGATGGGCAATTTACTACTTCGAGCATGGATCCTCGCCGCATTCCTTTTGCAATCGAGTCTTGCTTCTCCTTCCGAGTCGGCATCTGTAACTCCTAGCCCAATGGCTACTGTGACATCCAGTCATCATCATCGCCACCACCATTGGACTCATCCATCGAGACCCTTACCAAGCCGGAAGCCCTGCAGCGCTCGTGTTTCCTCGTCTGCTCCCTCCTCCAAGTCGACTGCCTCTTCATCAGTCATTCCATTCTCAAGTGTGTTTCTTTCCTCTGCGTCAGCTATCAGCTCGCCACCAAAGGCCTCTTCTACTCCTTACGTGAGGCCATCTCCCAGCCATTCGCCGCATTGGACCTATAGCTCCAGACCTCTGCCCCATCGCAGCCCGTGCTCTTCTTCTTCTGGGGCCATCTCTACTTCTTCAAGTCTTGTTTCAATTCCTGTTCCCAAGGCCTCCACTACCCCTGTTGTGGTCATTCCCTCTGGAGTACCGCACTCCAGCGGGGTGTCTGTTACCGAGCAGGTCTCTTCCTCGCACGTTTCTTCACAGATCAGCCTCTCTGGACCTTCATCTACTCCTACCGCAATTGTCGTTCCTGTGTCCAAGCCCGGACAATCTATATCTCAATCGAGCTCATCTCTTGGGGGTACTACTGCATCTGAATCTGCTACAGTGCAATTGACTACATCGACTGTTCTCTCTACTCGCACAGCCACCATCACCGCATGCCCCTCCACAGTTGTCAACTGCCCTGCCAGCTCAAAGACAACCTTTATTACCACAGAGACAGTCGTTCTGTCTACCACAATCTGCCCTGTCGCCGAAGGTAGCAGTGCTACTCAGACCGTGCCCTCCCTTCCAACTGCTACTGGAAGCATGGGGAACTCTGGCTCGGCGCACAATGGCTCGGAATTGACCACGTCCACAATCTACAGTACTCGCACTGCCACTATCACTGCATGCCCCTCGTCGGTCACCAACTGCCCCTTGAGATCGAAGACAGCCTACCTGACCACCGAGACTCTGATCGTTTCCACTACTGTCTGCCCTGTGACCGATGCCACTGCCACTGCTGGTGCCGTCGCAACTCAGGATGTCACCTTGCCAGCTGTGACACAGATTGCTGGAGGCAATGATAACGGCGGTTCCCAGATGACTACTTCCACCATCTATGCCACCCGTACAGTTACCATCCTTGCCTGCCCTAAATCAGTTACCGACTGCCCTTTGAGATCTAAGACCACCTCCGTAGCTGTTCAGACCGTGGCTGTCGCAACTACTGTCTACCCTGTTTCCCCAGTGTACACAACAATCAATGCTGAAGGCGCTGGTACTGTTGGTGCTACTGTCACTGTTGCAACCGCCCAAGCTACCCAAACAGGTGCTTCCATCCAGGATATTACCACCGGATCTGAATCTGGCTCTACTGGCATGACAAAGTCTGTGGGTACAAGCTCTGGTGAGAGCTCAAACTCAGATGCTACCTATACCACCTTCCTCGCCGTGGAGTCCTGCTCCGATGATGGTACATGCACAGGGTACGTCAATACCATTGTGATGACCCAGACTGGTATAGCCCAAACTACCGGAACCACCACCGCCTATGTTCCTCACTTTACTGCTGGGGCTTCAAACAACTGGACTGCTCCTGCCTCCGGTTCTGCCTCTGGCTCTGCCTCTTCGACTCCTGCGTGGGTCCAGAGCACTTCCCCCAGTGGAATGACCACAGCCGTTGCTTCCATCACCAGCAGCGCTGTGAATGCCGTGTACACTGGTGCCGCTTCATTAAGCCAATTTTCGATGATCCAGGTCGCTGCTACTTTGACTGTGATGATGGTGGCGATGCTTGGCTAAGGGATGATGAGCCGCTTTTAATGTTGATATTAATTTTCACTTCTATATATGCCTTTTTGTTATGTCCAATTAAGGACACCTTGAAAGAGATAGATATTTATGTGCAGGTAGCTAGACACAATTTTATCAATCATACGCATCTTTACTATTTACTATTTTTTCATTTTTAGACAGTGAGGCTAGAATTTATCCATCTCATTTATTGCGACTAGTACAACAACGGCTTTTGTGAGTGTCATGTAGAGAAAGCCATAACTCTGACTCCATTTCTCTAACTCATTAGTGCCGTTCCTATTTGGTGATACGTCCAGCATTCGCACGGCCAGGCCTCATTCTCGAGCATTGGAGATGGATCATAACAGCGATCAACAATGAGCTGAATACCACATTCTCGAAATTGGTCGATGTCATAGTTCCAGGCATGACCCTTCGTAGTCTCCCAGTTATCAAATTCGTCAGGATGGTAGTATGTCTCATACTTGATAGTACGCAGATTTGGGGGCTGCCCATTCTTCAGCATTCCAATCAAAACATCTGTCCGAAGACCTTCTCTTTCGTAGTCCTTGATCACAAGATTTTCCAAAGTTGTGGGAAGGCGTCTCCCAGACGAGCTGATGTCTGTGTGCAGTGCTTGAGGTTTAAATATACTTGCGGGGACTATCAGGTGTTTCAAATTCGCCAAACTGGTGAAATCCGAGTGAGATTCCGCTTCGGAGACATCGAGGTCGAGATACTCTAGAGTATCTGAAGTGTTTGTTGCCAAAGCTCGTATATAAGCTTCTGTGAATCGATGTTGGTAGAGCCCATACGGCCAGGGAAAATCTGGATCTGAGCCCTTCAAAGTGAATCTTTTGAGGCCGCCAAAGAATGTGAGAATCTCTTTGAGCATATCCGATGATACATCGCAGTTCAGTAGGATTAGCTCTTTGAGACCGGTTTTCTGCGGGGGTACCCTTCTGTCAAATACTCCGGGATGTAAGCGTTTCACTTTTGCTCCTTGGATGCAAAGTTTCTCGAGATTTTCCATGAAGAATACGATTTCGTTGGGACCTAGGGGCCACCAGTCTTTATCTTTGCCTTTGAATGCTGCTCCGAGATATACTGAGCCTGATCAGTAAACTCACTTACAATCACTAGTAGGTATACTAAGACTAACAAGAGCGTAACTTGTGTCCAGCAGAACTGACTCTTATTTCACCAATTTCGGTTCTTGGGACAAACATGCCGATGAGTCGGTTGCTTTGTTCCTCTAGAACACCCTTCAAAGGCACGCTTCGTATGCTCAAGCTTTCCAGATTTCTGAGCTCATACAAAGTGTCCAGAAGTGATTCGTGGACTTTGTCCATCACGTCATCGTGGTAATGGACCTGTAGCTCCCGCACAAGGGAAGATAGCGTGGACGTACTCTGCACAGTTTTTGCAAACTTTTCGCCGCAGCTCAAGTTTCGCAAGCATATTGATGAATACAAAATTGGATTGATTATGGTGTGAAATCTGTGACATGTCTGTGCAAGGGCTCGAAGGGATCCTGGCAGTCGTCGAATATTGTTGAATATGAATTCCAGTAGCTCCGTGGGGAGAGACTGAAAGACGGAATTGATGGTCATTATGAACGATCAGGTTGAGACTTGTGTTTGGAGGAATTCTCGTCTACACGAGGTCAGCAAGATCGCCCAATTGGAAAGCTGACAACAGACAAGACAACGTGGGGTAGCTGTGGACTGGGCTAGTGCAGGGGCCAATCATATCAATAAGTTGACGAGCATTGATACATGTAAGTTATATCTTGACGTTAATAGCTCATAATTGATGGATTGAGGGAAGAAAGGATGATGGATCTCTTTAGCAAGAGTCGCAGACTAAAAGGTCATATGGACTAGGGCAAACACACAAGAAGGCCTGATCTCTGAGGCAAACATGTCATTCCACCTTCCTACACCCAGCACGAGAATCCCATCTTGGATGTTAGTATCAACTAGTATAAATGTGATAATCACGACTACACGCATAACAGTGACCGCTAAGCTTTGGTCAAATTTCACATAGCAATATTTGACAGACAACTGCACAGTATTATATTTCTCTTAGAATCACAGAGAAAGGGCTATCGACCGAAAAAGAATGTACATCTCCACCAGATAAGGTGTCAAGTGTTGTGATAATCTAGTCCTTGAATAGATCGATTACTCGAGATCAGCACATCCGAGAGCGACAGTGCCACCCTATAAATATATTAGTGCTGCTCCAATGAAAGGTCTCGTTCAATTGGTGGCCATCACTTACCAAGAGGTTGGCCTCACTGCAGCACTGGGGAGGGGTGTCACACTTAGCAGCCTCGTAGGCGTGGCCTGTCATAGGTTAGATTGATTGAGAGTCGAACGAGGTATCAAAGGAAGCTTACATGCGAGACCAATAGATCCGACAATCTCGGCGGCATTGACACCAAGCTCCTCAAGGATGGGGTCGACAGTCTGGTCAAGAGGGGTGGTGAGGGTGCCACAACAGAGGATAGGCTTGATACACTCGGAGCGCTGCATTAAACCACCAGCCTGGGGCATGGCGGAGACCATGCCAGCACCGACGAGGGAGATGACAGAGAGGACGGAGAATTGCATCTTGGTGGATTGGTTGGTTGGTTTTTTGGAGAAGAGAGATGTTGTTCTTGAGAAGGATTGAGAGCTGTAGTTGTGAATGATGTTCAATTCTACGGAATGTCGTAATCCTTATATAGATTTTCCAGTGGTATACCTAGGGCACCAAATTTGTTTCCGAGATTCTCCTATTTCGCAAAATTGAGTACCATCATCGTCCTTGGACCATCCGGTTGTGAGCTATAGAGAATGGACTCTCCGGGTCATCAGCTTGGAGGATCTGCAAAACTCTAGATAGCAGTTCATGGCCATTGAGGAAAACTAAGAGGGTAAGATCACGAACCGAGGTCCAAGACTGCAGGAACAGAGACACCGGTTTCCGAGTGGTAGACCGGATCCATAGATTGAGCTCACAATGTATAAGATTCCGCGAGAGCTACGCGAAGGTCTTGGCTGTCGATCATTCTTGGCTGTGTAATTGCCATTGAACTGCTGATTTCACTGGTTCCAAGGTCATGTAGGTGCAAAATAGCCTGCGGGTCGCCGGTTCTTCCTCATCTGTTCTCCGGGAACCCTTATCAGTGGATCCGAATGTCGAGATGATCTGCGTCGGATCAAAGTCACGATGTCGATCCGACGTAAGGTACGGAGGAACAGTGCACGATGCGACCTATTATAATCAAAGTCAATTGATAATAGAACAGGCAAATATGAACTGTCATGGCATGGACCATGTCGTGTGCACAATTTGTCATGGCGCGTATTGCGGTTGGTACCGAAGTCGAAAGCACCGAAAAAAGGAGCCGGAGATAAGCTTGAAGTCTTTGATTGAACACCGACGAGAGTGTTGGAAGTCCCACAAACTTGGTAACATTCGATCTGCCGTAGTCAATCGCGATGGCTGTGCTCTGTACCGTCCTCCGTAGTCCTAATTCCGTGCAAGCGAGGCTCCGTATTCTTGGCCTGATCTTGGCTTCACTTCGTTGTCGTCATGGAGATAAGTGCAGCAGTTATGTGAACACATTGCAGATATCAGCCGTCTTCCTTCTGTCCATATTTTGAGTCGATCATGTCTTGGATAAACCTTGGGATCAATAATTGTCAATAATCATCAATCCCATGTACCGAGCAATGTGGCCGGTGAGAAGACAAGGGGGGAAGCAAGCCCAGACGTGATGAAGGATCACTCATGGATCAGTATCCCAATATCTGGCAGCCTCTGGATGAAGACATAAACAATATCACTTGCTCGCCAGCGAGATGAACACGAAGTCAAAGACGACGGCTCTGTATGGCAATATGTGGCGGTGCTGTGGCGCTCGTTGTTCTCACCGCCACAGCCTCGCGACACAAAAAACTTCCCTCAATTATCTCCACATTGGCAGTTCGACCAACCAACCCTTCTAACTTTTTGGTTTTTTGAGTATTTGCCCAGCGCATAATACTCTATCATAATCAAAATGGCTCCCATCTCTATCGCCGACTTGGTGGCCGCCCTCCCTGCGGAGGATTGCTGGGGCCCCTCCACCGGCGCCGACAACATGCTGTCTGGCGTCCCTTACGCTCCTTTCTCCAAGGGCGACAAGCTCGGCCGTATGGCTGACTGGACTGCCGAGTCCAAGGACCGTCAGAACCAGCGTCCTCAGTACAACCGCGGTTTCAGAGGTATGTTCTTTGACGGCTTTTTATCTGCCCCTCTACCATTGTTGAATATCAATTAACTCATCGAGTAGACCAGCAAACCTACGGTGCCGGTGCCAGCAACCTGTTCAGCGTTGCTACCGCCGAGGACGAGTCTTCCTTCTCCGTCGTTGACAACACTCGCACTCAGAAGCGCACTTTCGGTCGTGGCGGTGGGACTGTTTTCCGCGGCCGTGGTGGCCAGCGTGGTGCTATGAACCAGCGCGGTGGACGCGGTGGTTTCCAGCGTGTCGGTGCCGCTGGCCGTGGTGGCCAGCAGGGTGGTTACTACGACCAGCGCGGCGGTCGTGGTGGCCGTGGTGGCCGTCGTTTCGGCTGGAGAGACTACGACAAGCCCCAGCGCATCCGTGAGCCCTCCGTCAACATCCGTCCCGACTGGACCATGCTCGAGGAGGTCGACTTCAGCCGTCTCTCCAAGCTGAACCTCGATGCCCCCGAAGGCGAGGACCTCGACTCTTACGGTTTCCTCCACTACTACGACAAGTCCTACGACAGAGCCCCTGTTAAGAACGCCGAGCGCAGAATCCAGGCCCTCGACCGTGCCGCCTACAATGTCACCACCTCCCAGGATCCCATCATCAACGAGCTGGCCGAGAAGAACGCCGCTACTGTCTTCGCTACTTCCGATATCCTCTCCATGCTGATGTGCGCCACCCGCAGCGTCTATTCCTGGGACATCGTCATTGTCCACCAGGGCGACAAGATCTACTTCGACAAGCGCGACGGCGCCTCCTTCGACCTCGTCAGCGTCAACGAGAACGCCGTCGACGCCCCTCTCGAGGCCGCCGAGGCCGCCGGAAAGCAGGAGCAGATCAACACCCCCTCCGCTCTCGCCATGGAAGCCACCATCATCAACCACAACTTCGCCCTGCAGACTCTCACCGAGTCCGAGTCCCAGAAGGTCTCCTTCGCCAAGCCCAACCCCTTCTACGACGAGGCCGAGGAAACCGAGCCCCTCGCCTCCAAGGGTTACAAGTACCGCCGCTTCGACATCTCCCTGGAGCGCGACGAGGAGCCCGTCTCCATGGTCGTCCGTACCGAAGTCGACGCCGTCATGAAGGGCGGCCCCACCGGCACAGAGGACCAGCAGCTGACCATCAAGGCCCTGAACGAGTTCGACCCCAAGGCCCAGGGTTCTGGCGGTGCCTTGGACTGGCGCAGCAAGCTGGTCTCGCAGCGCGGTGCCGTCCTCGCCACCGAGATGAAGAACAACTCCTCCAAGCTCGCCCGCTGGACCACCCAGGCTATCCTGGCCAAGGCCGACGGCATGAAGCTTGGTTTCGTTTCCCGTGTCAACCCCCGCTCCGCCGCTTCCCACGTTGTCTTGGGTGTTGTCGGCTACAAGCCTAAGGAGTTCGCTACTCAGATGAACTTGAACCTCGGCAACGGTTGGGGTATCGTCCGTACTATCGTTGACCGCATCCGTGCGCTCGACGCTGATGAGCCCGCTGATAAGGTTAAGAAGTACGTTCTGATCAAGGACCCTAACAAGTCTGTTCTGCGTCTTTACAGCGTGCCCGCTACTACCTTTGAGGAGGAGGATGAGCTTGAGGCTGAGGTTGAGAAGTCGGATGAGAAGTCTGATGATGAGTAAACCTTTGGATGACTTATGTTGTTGAATGTGCATACGTACTCTACCTAAAATTTGATTCATATCTGCTTCACTATTTATATGTTGCATCTACATCGTTAGAATGAAAACTAATCACTTTGATACATTTCATCCTAGTAGACCACCATTACCAACACCACTAAAGTTATATAATTCCAACAGTATACAGACAACTTTTTCTCTGCTGCACACAGACCGAATTGATACGAGGTAGAAAAGCCAAAAGCCAATATAGTATAACAGCATGCAGTGCAGTTGCATTTCGCACAACAGGTTAGAGTCCTTCGATGCCACTTGATGGCATTGCAAACAGATTGATGACCCCTATTGATAACCATCTATGCAGTAAACTCGGGTTCCACAATTCAGCTGTACTCCGTACTCTCTGTACTGCACTCCGTGCGACAGTTAACGTGAACCCCTGCTTCCAATCTCCTCGAACCGTTCGTTTAATTAGTTGTTCCTCGTTAATGTTATGCATGTTACAGGGGGTTGATACAGCCACGGACGCCAAGGGATGAGAGCTTGGTATTGGGTTGGTGGCTTGATTTACTCAATACTTTGGGGGCGTTGGGATTGTATAGATGTATATACATAGTAGGTAGTTATGGTAATTCCGCCGGTGGATGTAAGAGCTGGATGTATAGGGGAGATATCCAAATAGTATCGAGTATCATTGGTAGCCACCAGGGTGACTAATTGACGGAACAGATCAAATGAGTAAGAAAGACAAGTATGGGGAATGAAACATCAAAAAGGTAGACACTTGAGAGTCGAGGTATACAATCACCTATGGTAATTTCATTTTATATACAACCCGCTCAATGAGTGGGTGTCGGAGAGAAGAATAGGAAAGAGGAATGGGGGGCAAAAAAGAAAGAGAAATAGAAATAGAATGTAAAGGGAAGAAGATAATTCAGACAGTTCACAATAACGATAACAATCACAGCCCAGTGAAGTCAAGTCAAGTCACGTTGAAACCGGACCAAACTGCAAACAAAGCTCCAAAACACTCCAGAAAGGAAAATTCACAATTTTCAGACATAATATCATAATCGTTTTCGTTTATCAACGCTTAGCCATACATCGAATCATCGGCTGTGCCGGACATGCCGAGATCGACCTTTGTGCCGAGCACACTGCTCAGACAATCGATCAACTCAAAGTCCTCGACAACAGCGCCAAAGCCGTAGCAGCGGACTTTAGTGTTGAGGGTATCAATGATGATCTTGACGTCTTCGCGCCGGAGGGTAGTGTACAACTCGTGGTTCTTGAGACACTGCAGAGCCATGATGGGTGTAATTTGGCCTTCGGTGACGAGCTGGCGACTGAGGTTGAGGAGCGTGCTTAGGTTTGCATGCGGGAGGTCGGGGGCTTTGTGTGGGTATGGTTGTTCTGGTGTTGTCTTGGCGATGTAACTGGGTGGTGGGCACGTTGCCATCAGGGCGTGGCCTGAGAAAGGCATATCCTCGTCATCGGCTTCGGTTACTGAGCGGCGGCAGAGGTAGTCCGTATGTTCGCGGCAGGGGCCTTCCAGACTGTGGTGGGGTAGTTAGTTAGTTTCTTTGTTTGGTGGGCTGGACTGAGGACTTACGTTAGGATAAAGTCAACTTGTAATTGCGGGTCACTTTCAAAGACACCGCTGATACGAGGCATGGGGGCAGGCTGCATGGAATCGACTGGTCCACCTGAAGATTTATCCATGCCCATGGGAAGATCGCCTGGACTGGACTGGTACACTTGCTGTTGAGGCACATATCCAATTGGAGGCGAGATGTCGGAGCGGGAGCGATCGCCAGTGTTGTGAAGCGGGCTCATGCCAGAAGATGATATCGTGGTGGCAGGCGTGGTATTGTGGTTGCTGACCGAGTGAGTGAAGCCTGCTGTCTGCGATGCGGATGCAGTGCTGCTGCCACCGACAGGGCTAGATTGGTAACCGACCATCGGGGGACGCTCCGCTCGGCGACGCTCCAGATCAGCTTCGTATTGGATTCCGTGTGCTGCCAGGATCTCTCTCAATATCTCGTTCTCTTCCCGAATTGCATGAGTGATCTCCCGTTGCTGCTGGGCTGTGAGATTTGCCTCGGCGATTTCGGTGGTGTATGCCTCCTTCAACCGCAACACTTCCGTCTCCAAGTTCCGCATGTATTGCTCCTTTCGTTCACGGTGCGTCCTGTAGAAATCAGTCCTGACCTGTGGAACGAATTCGGGGGATGTACCTCTGAGCTTGGCGGTTCAGCTCCTGTCGCCTGGTCAATGCAGGCTTGCTATCCGGCTTGGGTCCACGACGTTTGGGCATTTGTCCATCTAAAAGGTTGAGCGGGGTCCGATGCGAAACAGAGGGAGACTGCTCACCTCGGGTTGTTTTCTTCGGTGCCTGTTGTTGTCCTCCTCCTCCTCCACCGAACATCTTGAACAACTCCGTACCGAAACCTTTAGATGATGGGGTAGACGGCTCCTCTGCGATGAACTGCACCGTGCACTCCGGGGCCAAGGGCCGGGCCGGAGATGCATCGGCGCGAAAGAGTCAGTACAAGATCTCAAATCGAGGAAATCGAGTGAATTGGGGGTCGAAGGCTCGGGCCAGCGGTCGGAAAGCCACGATCCAAACTCAATAGCTTCGGTGGCGACACTCGGGGATCCCCGTTGGGCTCAACTCCGGGGTTCCGAGCTCCGCCAGAGTCACCAACCAGCGCCAGAATCGAGGACTCTGGGGGCAATTGAGACAGTCTACTCCGCTGTGATCGAGCAGAGCTGTGACCAAGCGTTCTCCGATCGCAAAAAAACGGGCCTGTTCAAGAATATCCAGACCACGCCAGCTCGCCAGATGGATATCGCTTGGAGATCGGAAAGCAGATTGGAACGCAAGATCGGCCGATCGAATAGGAGAGATCTCGACCAGAGACCAGTACGGAAAATTGCACTCACCATACTGCATGGAGTGGTCCATCGGGTAGACCCCACCGGCCATGATGAAGGGATAGGCAAGGAGAATGTGTCAGTGAGATTAAAGCGAGAACAAAATATGAAGGAGAAAGTTGGGGAGGTGAGGAAGAGAAGTGGGAAGTGGATGTGATAAGTAGGTATATTGATCTTCAATTATAAACGAATTATGCAGAGGCGTTTCGATCTATCTCCACTCGACTCTGTCCACTCTCTGCTTAAGTAGTTAAGTCACTTTTCATAATTTCCTCTCAACTGCAGGCTCGGGGCTAGGAGTTACCTGGGCGGTACTTACTCTGCCGTCTGATCACCGAGCCCGGGCAAGTAATTGCAAAGTATCTGGTACAACCTTGTGATGAGTCCAAAGGCTCCTCCAATCATCCCGACTTCCTCCCAATAGTTCTGGGGAAACGGAGCATTCTTTGGGTTGACAAATACTCTGCCAACTTGCAGAGACCGACAGCCTCTGCTTCCCATGTCCAATGGATGAAATTCTCGTTCATGTTACAGCCCCCAGTTCCGTGCGAGACGACGCACGCTACCGGGCCCAAGTGGCCGCCATTCTCAACTTCCAAAGTGCGCGCCACCCAATCTCAGGCACTGCACATAGCCATACCGACCCCGGGGATCATCACTCGCATCAAGTATCCGCCGTGGGATCCCCTTTCTCCCAACACGAGGCCTCCCCATTGCGGGAGGCGTCCCGACCCGCATGGGAGACATTCCCAGATCGTCTGGACTCTGAGGCCAATGATCTACAAAACCCGGACGATCACATAGACCTCGACTCCCTGGAGAGTCTCGTCAGTGTGATTCCAGATTCTCAGGAGATCGTCGCCCCAGCTCCAGATCCAGTTCCAGATCCCGAACCAGTTGGCTCGGGCCCGGCTTTTGCAGTGTGCTACCCACCCTCCAAAAGGCGTTGCATACAGCCACAGTCCCTAAAGACGCTTGCCCACTCTCCTGCAGCTGAATCTGATATCACACGTCCGGCCTCTGCAACGGACCAGCCCGATGTTGATATCCACCCTATCCACCCTGTGCAACATGTTATAGGGGATGCTCTTAATCCCATTTGTATATCGAGTTCCATTGAGTCGATAGGCGAGAGTACAGACTCTTCTCTACCGACTCCTGTGCCAAATCCTGAACCCCTGGCTCTTGCATCTACTGCAACTGCCCCTGCTCCTTCCACTACTGCTCCCACCTTCCCTCTCCCTCCTGTCCTCAATCTCACATTTCCTCTAGAAATACACGCCCCTCAACCTCCAATCTCAACAGCCCCCTTCACAACCCATATAACATCCACTCTATCCATGCTCAAAGACCGACTCAGACCGGAGCGTACCTATAAACCAACTCACCAAACAAGGGATTTAGATCCCCTGGAACGGGGATATTGGTTTATAAAGTTTAACATTGGATCGAACGAAAAAAAGGGGGATCAAAGCTGGTCTACATCCTCCTTCCAAACATTCTGGGCCTTCCTCAAGGACTTCATCGCAAAGGATGGTCGAGCGGGCTGGGGTGTATGGTGTATTCTTGAACGATCTCCTCTCTCCAGTGAAGTTGGTTCGACGAGCCCATCGAAGTCCACTTTGACAGAGACTATAGACGTCTCTGTTTCTGTTTCACTGAAGGTATATGCATGGGGCGAAATCGCCATGCATATTTACCTGCTTCTATTCCTTGCTAGTGAGCGACGTATTCGAGGGATGGGGGTTCAGTGGAGGGATGCTGGGGAGACGGCTGTTATTCAGATGCCGTAGATTGAGATCAGGTGTTATGTACAGTTATAATGAATTTAAGCTTGATTGGCGTCTTGGAGAGGTTGCTACTAGGGACTTGTATAAAATATGCCCACTGTTTTGGAGTTCATGATATCTGGATCTTCAATTTCTGATTTTTGAAAATAGGGATATTGTACATGCTGAAGATAGAAAAAAGCCCGACGGGTAAAAGTGATAAACAACAGGAAAGAAATGGGAAAAGCAAATCTCACGGATCGAGGAAGCAGTGGAAATCAGTAAATAAGCAAGTCGGGACCATCGCCCTCCAGACATCCTGCCGATGCGCCGTATCGCCTGAAGGATTGAAAAGGAAAACTAGGAATAAGAAAGAGAGGTTAAACAACAGAAGAGAATGGATAATATCGGAAGTGGTAGATGTCATGCTGAACTAATAGTTCAACTCGCCGCTGCCGGAGGCATCGACGGCATCAAGGTCCTCGTAGCTCTTCAAGCTGCGGCCTTGAACGGCTTCACGGGGTGGCATGGTTCCGCCGTTCGAGCCCATGGAGTCTGGGAACGGGTTCGGTGGGACCATGTTGGCGGCCGGATGGCCAGCTGGAACTGCCGGGCGACCACCGTACATGCCGGGCATGCCGCGAGGAGGGCTCAATCTGCCGTTGCCGTTGAATCGGCGACGGTCGTAAGGACCGGGGCGGTTGTGGCGGTTTTGGCCACGGCGCATAACGCCGGGCTGATGCAGACCGTGACCGTCGTGGCCCATTGCATTGCCGTTCCAACCAGTCATCACGGGCATTCCGCCTGCGGGGAAGTTGGCCATGTTGTTGGGCATGAATGGCATGCCGGAAAGGCTGAAGCCACGAGGTGTGCCGGCTTGGCTGTGGCCTGGAAGGGGGAAGTGACCGTTGCTGTTGGCATCCGACCGAGATGGGGCGATGCGTGAGGGGTCAAGGACGTAAGAGTTTACAAGGGCGAGCTGATAGAGTTAGTATGAAAGATGTCATGGACATGCTGTGAGTACTTACATCGTTCTTGAGGCCTTCGAACCATTCGGCGTGACGCTTCTCAATGTGTTTGCGCCAGAACTCTTGAGCTTTGAAAAGCTTGGTGCATTCAGGTGCCTTGCAGCGGAACTTCGAGTCATCCTCCTGCTTCATGTACTTCAGAAGTTCATCCTCAAGAGCATCTTCCACGGGTTTGCCACCCAGCTTGGCCAGATCAGCGTTCTCGGGTTCCAAGATCTGCAACAACTTGTCCTCAAAAGTCTTGACCCAGTTGAAGGCACGTTGCAACTGTTGTTCCGACTTGGAACCGTGTCGCTGAGATCGCTTATCCAGGATCGGAGAAGAAGGGTCTTCGCCTTCCTCGCTGGGTTCCTTCTTCTTGACAGGGAATGGCAGGCCAAGAGCGCTTGCTCGGGCAACTTCTCTAGCCTGGCTAGAAAGACCAGTACGTGGGCGACGAAGATGTCCTCCAGGGCACTTGCGGCCAAGCTCGTGAACCGAATCACTTTCGAAAACACAGAAGAAGCAGAAGTTGTAGACGCGGCGGAGGTACTCGACAAGCAAGTCCAAGGTCTTTTTCTTTGCTGTCAAGTCCTCGTCGTCAACCTCTTCCTCCACAGGGGGTTCCTTCTCCTCGCCTTCTTCGACCTCTTCTGGGTCCGAGTGCTTCACGCTAACTGGTCCAGTGGCAGGAGCCTGGAGCTCACCCTTGCCACGCAGGTTCTCGACATATTCTTCAACCTTGTTGAGCCCATCTGCGTTGCCCATTTCAGTGTCCAACTTGGAAACCAAACGTTTGGCCAATTCAAGGTCACGGTCAACTCGCTCGGGTGCGGAGAACAAATCCCACAGAGCTTTCTTGCGGGGTTGCACCGCGGGAACATGGATACCAACATGGCAGACGAAGTCGCCGTGAACAGCATCGTGAATCGTCTTGTCATTGACGGCCTCGAGAGCTCTCTCGGCAACTGTGCCAGTGGCTCCGTTGGCGCCTACATCCTGATCCATATCCTCGCGCTCCTCATCACGTCCATCTCCTCGCTCCACAACTGTTGTGTTTGCAGAAGGGTGTAACATGATCCATCCCATACGATGGAATTTCTTGGAGGGGTTTGGATCGCTCAGGCTGAGACCCTTAAAGCCTCCATCCTCTTCCCCGAGGTGCTCCTTGCAGAACTCTTCGATCTTAGTACGACTAACGTTCGGTGCAAGTGTCTTGATAAGAAGGGCAGGCTGAGAGAGAGCTTCGTCACGAAGCTCTCCACCACGGACTGGAAGCAGATCCAGAACGCCCATGTTCTCCGTGGGAGCAGTAGTCTCGCCTTCCTCTTTCTCAGCCACACCCCCGGCGCCGTCGCTGTCACTCTTGTAAAGACCCTCAAGTGTGAAGTCTAGGAAAACATCGTTCTCCAGATCCTGCTCCCATTGCTCATATGCAGTCCGGCGGAGAGGGAAGAGGCGAGCACGAAGGGCATCACGTATCTCAGGAACATAGCGCTCTTTGAACCATTCCTCGTTGCGGTGCTGCTGAACAAACAACCTGGCCAATCGGACCTGCAGATCAACCTTGTATGCATCATAAGCCTCCTGGATTTGTGCACGTTCCTTCTCGCGATCCTCGCGTGCTTCGCGCTCTCCTCGAACTCGACGTCCACCATTGTGGACACGCTCTCGTTCATCGTTCACGTTTTGCTCGGCTCTCCACCATTCAGCAAACCAGTTGAATCCCACTTGAAAATCCAAGCTAAGAGGGTTGGGCATCGGGTTCGTCGGAAGGGGGCGCTTGCCGCCATCTTGTCCAGGAACATAACGGTCAATGTTTGCGGCCATTGGGGAAGGAGGGCGTCGGCGATCTTCGCGCTCGCGGGCAGCATTTTCACGGGAGCCATTGTAGAAGTCCTCGCGGTGAGAACGGCGTTCAGAGGGCTCATAGCGGTCAATCACAGGAGAGCGGGAGCGCTGACGGGGGCGTCGACGATCCTGGGATGCTGCTTCATTGTTAAACTTCACATGTCTCCCAGAAATGCGCATATACTTACCGGGAGAACGACGTCTGTAGGAGTCCCCAGGGGTACGTCCCGGAAAGGAGTCACCCTCGCGGCTTCTGCCGGGGGACGTGAAACCATCGTAGGAATCCATCGTTCCGAAACTTCCGATGTTATCGTCCACAGTACGCGCCCTGGCCACAGGTATTGGTCCAAGACTGACTCCGGATGGATAGGCAGGCGCGGAGCGGTCTCAAATGATCGATCCGAAAGTTGGAAGGGAGGAGCCGCACAATAAGCTAAGATTCGGTATCGTCAACGTTAGACCAAGCAACTTCACACGAGATAGCGGTGGCGGCTAGAAAGTTCAAGGATAACAGAGGCATTGTGTTCGGGAAATAGAAGAAAGAAGGTCACACTGCTGTCGGACTGACTGTCCCAGGGAAGGTAACGTTGGGGACATCGTGCAGCAGGTGTATGGGGTTTCAAAGAGAGAAATTGAAGGAGCTCGCAAGAGCCATATCAAGCAGTCAAAGATGCATAGAAGAGCCAACAAGCGCGGCAAGAAAGGGGATCAAGCAGGGATGGAAAAGAGACTGGGGAAGAAAGCCAAATCGAAAGAGAAGAGGGCCACCTACAAGAAGCCAGCGAAACGTGATTGATGAGAGAAGAAGAAGCCGAGGAGGTGAACTGAGCTGGAGAGAGCTTGGCGCTTGGCCCAAAGGGGTAAGGCGTGACGGGGATAACTGGCAGATGTTGATTGGCTGTTTGCGGACAGGAACAAGGCTGTTTGGCAATGTCCAGTTGTATGTAGAATCAATTAAAATAGAATAATCAGAGAAGGCGGGAATTTGAAGAAATGGATGAACGACTCTCTGTAGAGTTATCAACGTAATTATCGTGGGATTGGGGGTGTCGACAAGAGTAGGAGAGCACTGCGTGAAGACGATCTATAGATCGCGGAACTTCACATCTCTTATGCAATGACGCAACCTTGTTCCTAGTTTGGTATCATGCTACTCAACTTCTTTGTATCATTTCTCTGGTTCTTTCCAATTCTTCCAGCCATGTTATATCATTTGTAGGATCATTCCCGCTTCGATGTATTGGAGCTGGCAAACAGAGTATGACACGTGGAGATCTTACCTGGATAGCAAATGGCCAGTTCTTTATAGTAACCAGGCTTTTTTGAAGGCTCATATGGATTACATACGTCGTATGTCAATAGGAATGAGCTACAACTAGGGTCGACACTACGCATGTAGATCGTAAATCCTTATAATTTGAGAGTAACCCATGCGTCAAATATACATTTGAGATATCAATCCTGTACAAGATGTTGTACTGATTGTATAGTTGGCCATGCCTTCGATCTCTATCTTGTCGCTTAATATGGTCACCTTCTTGTGTCGTCCGTTTCGCCTTGCCAGTTGATACACAAAAATAGTATTTTGGATCATTAAACCATGTATGATACCTAGATTGAGCCCGGAAACTGTTCTCTCTAGTAGCAGACTATAGGTGCGCTGCCTATTTATAAAGCCTACCAACGTCGTCATATAACCAACTCCCACCTTCTTTGTTCAACAGCCACAACAAGACGTGACAAACGAATATACAAAACATGACCAATGAATCTAGTTGTTTCTGCAATACTCGAAAGCTTCCCACAAACCATCACAATACCGAAAGTCGCCTCATCCATATACATATACTCCCTCCACATCAGCCCAGTCCGCTGATTGGCCAACACGCACGCACCCACATCACCACCATCAAATGCAGATATAACTCACGACCCAATCCAATCCACCCCAAATTCAGAACAATGGGGAGTCTAGCCAACTCCCGCTGGGCACCGAACACATCTCAAAGTGAACGGTACACACCTCAACCCGGATACCGCACAACATTCTCCACAAATAGCAGTATCCACAATGTCCGCAATCAAAGCAGGACGAACACAAGAACCTCCAGCCCAGCTTCCACGCCACCATACCAGCCACATCATCCAGGCACCTTATTACCACCGGCCGAGGAACTCTCTCGATTCATGAAAATTGTCGCGCGACTGCGCTGGAAGCTACCCTTCCTGGCTGAAGGGTACAGACTAGCAACGATGACTGATGGCGTTGAACCGGGTGATACCGTGCACGCCGAGATAATGTTCAAGATTGACTTCCATGAATATTATGCTCTACTAGAGCGTGCGATTGTGCATTTACTTGCTGTTTTTAACATTTCCGTTTCCGCGGGGAGAGGTGGGGGTGTTAGTGTTGATGGAAATGGACGTGGTGAAAGTGTTCACCGATACCATGCCAATGTTCTTGAGGCATTACGGGAACAGTCGACACCTTTATCGCCTGTTCTTGGGAGTGGGGTTATTTATTCGCAGTTGCAGCGCGCGAAGGATTTGCGGAATCGATGGAAGACCGCAGATTTGACACCTGAAGAGAGGGAGAGACAGGGGGAGCGGAAAGAAGTTGTTGCGCTTGCGAGTTTCGACTTTGAAAGCATTCTATCTGATATCTTTCTGGGGTTGGAGGAGTCTTATGTGCGTGCCAAAGATCATGTTGACAAGTGCATCCGGCCGGATGATGGGCCTGAGGTTGAGGCAGATGAGGAGGCTGGGTGGGGATTTATGGTTGATGCTATGGACTGGGAGGCCGTTTGAATGTTTGTTTTCTGGTTTATGTAGATACATTGTAGCATCGGTTGCTGGCGACTGGTGTTGCCTGAGTTTGCGTTGTGGCTTCGATTTGAATTTTGACATGGAGAACATCCATGCTTCTGTACTTAGGTACTGAGATGTCTAGATTACAATGCATGATATTACTAAGTCCATGATATGCATGGCAAAGGAACCAACTTCAGTAATAACTTATATCTGATCTGATATCAATCTTATGAATCTACACCTAACACCACTCCACCAAATCAAGATCAATAAAAGCATATTCAAATTCAGAATGATATCCATAGCACAATCAGTCGCAGATCCAGACCAGTCCAATTCCAGTACTTCGAACCCCGATTCCAATACCGATACCGATCTGTTTTTCCAGTGATGGAAACCTCTCTAATATTCCCAGCCGAGAGAAAGGAAAAGAAACCCAATGAACCGGTAACACGAGACACCGAGAAGTGAAAAGAAATAGATAAAAGACCGGGGTATGACAATCCACATATCAAAGTAGACCCGAGAAGAAGGAGTATAGGAAAGACAATAGATAATAGAAAAGAGGAATGACAATCGTAATCCGTGAGACTGGATAATTGTTAGGGGAGTGATATACAGGAAAGCCGTATAAATAGTATTGGATATTGACATCCCATACTAGACCAAACCCAATCAATAGTCTCGGAACGCGTCAACAGAGAAAGTTGATTTCGATTCGGATGCTTGAGAGTCAATCTTGTCTTGTACACGGCACCTCCAGCCTGAGGAGCCATCATCGAAGGGGGAATACGAACAAAAAAAACCAATCCAAAAATCCAAATCGCACAAGAGGGGGAATGAGAAGTGAAAAATCGTCCCAGCGTAGCGGTTATAAACAGACATCATGGGCAAATTGGGAGATCAGAAGAGAAAGGGCAAAAAAGCACATCAAGGGGCATAGAGCATAGAAACAGGTGATCCATACACATCGCTCGCTAGAGAAAAGGTCCAAGACATCCATCCATAAAGCCGTGACTACAAAAGAAAAACAAAAGAAATATTCATATCAATGGACGTCTAGGTAAGACGTCTTGGTGATACTTGAAAAGGACTGAGTACTTAGCCATCCTCATCCGAGGCATCAGCAGAGTCTTGCTCACTCCCGTCAGCGCTGGCGCTCGTCTTGGTCTTCTTGGAGCTCAAGACGTCGTCATGGACTTCGCTTGACTTGCGCTTCTGTCCGGCGCCGTTGGCTTTCGCAAGATCCTTGCTGATATCCTCAAATGTGGCAGATTCACCAGCCTCCACGCGCTTTTCCATAGCGGCAACTTCATCTGCTGTCAAGAAACGGCCACCGGGACCACGGGGTCGGCGCATGGCATGGTTGTGTCGTGACTCGTGGAGATAAGGCTTGCGACCCTTGGACGTCAAGCGCAATTGTTCTTCGAGCTTTTGACGCGCTACTCTGCGCTTCAAGATGCGGTGGAATTGCTTAGCGTTGACGTACAAAGGCGACTCCTCCTGATTGCTGTTCGGGACCATGTCTTGGGAGGCCTGGTTCTGAACGGCTGCCTGGGGGAGCGGGGGTGCGATGGAGGGTCGGCCGACGTGAGACATAACCTGTGCGTTGGGTGCATTTGGGCTGCCGACATGGCTCATGCGGCGTTGCGATAGCTGCGGATTTGGCGGCATCTGGACTTGTGATCCCATTGGGGGCATCTGTCCTCCCATCTGAGGAGAGCGGGGGTTGCGGTCCTGCTTCATCTGCATGCTAGCCATGCGCGGTGAGCCTCGGGATCCTGGCGCCATCTGTCCGGCCATGGAGTCCTGGTGCAGGGGGTAGAACTGTCCCGAGGCTGCAGCGGTAGCCATGGCGGCGGCCTGTGTTGGTGAGATACCATAGCCCTGAGGCATAGGCGCGGGAACACCGTAACCCTGAGGGAAGTTCATCTGTTGATGAACGGCGCCGGATGCATTCTGGGCTTGTTGATAATGCGGTTGCGATGGGACGATGGGAGAGGTCTGGTGGGAGGAGTGTGGTTGGATAGGTGCCTGGGCGTTGGTAGGCGATGCCATGGACCCGACAGGAGGACCAGCGTTGGGCGCGCCGGTTTGGTAAGGACCAGGGATGTGAGAGGGTGCGTGGGGATGTTGGCCATGGGACTGTTGATACTGAGGAGGGTACTCCATGATGATCGAATGTGATAGATTTACACGGCGTGCAGCCCTGTTTCAAGATCGGTCTAAAGTGGCGATGGATTGCAGTCACCAATCAGACTGGGCAGATTGAGTTAAAGTCGCACGTCAAGACGGATCAAGGTTGACGGGGACGTTTGTTTGGTGTAGAGCGATATCGCGGGGCGCGCAATGAGGCAGTCACCACAAGCGTCAGGCTATGCGGCTAATGATTCGACGATAGGTCTGCAGGGGGGTCTTCGCGTCAGCCGAGCGCATCGCCTAGCGGTCACTGGATTGGGTGGGGGGAGAACAACAACACAGGGACCAGGCACGTACAAAGGTATTGGCCGTCAAAGGAAACTCTTTAAGCGGGCCTGTGAGAATAATCTCGAACGGCGGGTTTGGCTCTTTTGTGCAAATCCACACGCCCACAGTCGGGTGTAACGTGGTTGGGCTGTGATGCAGTACCGGGGGTACCCCTCGACGCGATGCTTGATGCGTTGTCAAGAACCTGATGATGCCACAATGTGGTGGCTACTTCCAGCACGGTCACAATTCCACTGCCACGTCTGTTTCAATCTGAGGCGGTGCTGACTTTGCGACCTTGATGTCAGACTGCGACTTTAGGCTCCACGCAAGACTAGAGATGAAGGTTAGCATTGTCACTAGCCAATCAACGCGACAAGCCAATGATCGGTGCGTTGTCCGACAAGCACCCAGGAGGAGGGGTGTTGGGATTCCGAGGCGGGTTAGACCCAGGCTTGGGGCATGTATGCGTTGGCAGTGAAGCTACATACTTTTGACTTCTGCAGAAGCAGATGAAGATTTGAGGCGAGACTAGACACGACCCAACAGCGAATCAACGCGACTAGAAGTATGTTAGTTGCAACTGGATACCCACGAGGGATGATGTAAATGTCAGGGACGCGTGCAGGGAGAAATACAAAGCGCGGGTAAATCGGAACCAATAAGAGAGGGGAGGAGATAGATAATAGTCCAATCCCACACGCGTTGTTTTGGGGAGCTCGTTACCATAATAGGCACGGTGGAACAGATTGGACAGAGATAATCTCCGTGGAAGAAGAGATCCAAGGTTGTGATTTGACCAGAGATGGGGGGGGGGGGATCGTGCCAACGAGGTTCTGTGCGTGTCACGGACAGTTCCGCTCGGAAGTGCAGAGTGTAAAGATTGTAAGGGAGTGTAAAATAGTGTAATCGGTGTAATAGTGTAAAATGACATATAGACAACAGGCATAGACAATAACATACGCGTCTGGGGAATCTCAAGAATAAATGCGATATATCTTACCTTCCAAATAGACACCTTAGGATATCAAGTACAGGGTTACCCCGACGAATAGTGTTAGAAAGGGGGCGCTGTGCAATGGTTGGAGGACTGAACAGGAGCGGGCAACCAACGAGAGAAGGCAGAAGAAGGGAAAGGCGAAAAAAAGGGCGGATGGGGCAGTTTTGTAGGAGATTGACTGGCCGCTGTGGGTGACCGCCTTGAGTGTGAGGGTTTTGAGTGGCTGGAAGAGGTTACTGCCCCATTACACAGTATTACTGGCTGATCGGACACGTTTGGTGGCCTTAATTGGCGCAATTGGTAAGGCTGTGACCATACGGTAAGTTTACCATCCGGCAGTTCCGAGACTGTGTGACCATGACGTAAGTTACCATCACGGGGTTTACAGGTCACTGATATCACTTCACCTCACTCTATACATTGCTTCGCTGGTAGTAGATTTTGTTCATGGATTGTTTTGATAATTTTGTTTCATTTCGTTATACTCCTTTTTCTACGGAAGTAGACTCGGCTCTCTGTCCTAGTCGGGTAAGTGTCCTCCACCTCATGTCCCATTCAACCATGATCCTTGCTCTCAGATACTCTGAGAACAGTAATCAGAGTATTCAGAACACAGTCCTCACCTTTCTGCGTTCCCCTTGTCACGGTACTCGTCACAGTCCCAAAATAGTGTGATGAGATGCGAGTGGCGGTAATGAAACCTCCTGGGCGCCAACATTACAATCAGGGCGGAGTGACGGCGTTTTTGGACCTTGGAAGTGTCGACCTAGCGCCTTACCCTTCTCCTAAGATACGACTGATTTCCCTGGAAAAAAAAGTGAATAAAAAGACAAATCAAGTCATGACGCAATCCGTTGACCCGAACTAATTTCATGAATTGGCGGTCGAATGCTCACCGTTCATTGACATCTCCACTCCTCGTATTCCATCGAAGCTCTTGAATCCGTTGAAATTGCACTTAGGCCTACAGTATATGGTAGACATATACTCTGTAGTATATTCCACGTGCATTCTAGTCATGAACCGTCATTTTAGTAGCATCCATGGGCCATTCACACGAGGCGAAACCCCCGATTCGCAGGAACAGATGGGTCCGATCTCCGGACCCCACGTGTGGAAGCTTGACCGCCTCGGAACCATAGAGATCCGAGCTTCTGTTCACCGTGTATCTTGTGAGGCATTTTATAGAGAAATTTACCATATGTTGCGATTTGGAGATTTGATCAATCCTGTGTTTAAATTCAAATGTATGCAGGTGTAATTTGCGGTTTTGGCGGATGAGCAACTCCATATTCCATTATCCATATCAAACATATATATTGCGCAACGCTTCAGCATCATGAATATAAAGCCAGTCCCAATGTCTGGACAGATTCAGCCAGACTTAAGCTAGCAAAAGTAAACTTAAAAATAGCTACACTTGAGCAAAACTCTCTGAGACTTGGGTATTCTTTTATTTCGGGACCTTCTGTCCATTCTCAATAACATAGATCTCCCGGACATCGGAATTTCCTTGAATGCCGCGATGACACTGCAAATCTTTTCGATAATGGAACCTACGGCGTGCATGCTTATCAGTACTACTCAATGATGAGAGGCAGCTCGATAGGGGGGATCTTACGTGGTCGGGATGCTTCCCGTATTGTGAGCCAGCTTTTTGACGTCTCTGAACTGGCAGCGATTGGAATATCCGGGTGCCTGTATATAAATTCAGAACCATTCAAAGACAAGGAAAGATGAAAGAATAGTTCATATACATACTTGCGCCCATAATAGTAGGTACACAGTATGGTCAGACAAACAACAGGGGCTGAACCGAGTGGAATCCCAAGGCCTGAATCGAGCTTTGATTTGTCGGACATGTCGATATTAGAAAGCAAAAGATTTGGATTGTTCCATGAATGTGCGCTGTAATAAGTTGGATCTGACCGAGTATCTGATGATATGCGATAGAGAAGTTGAGCAGTAAAAGCAATTCTCTATCTCAGAAGTTCCCATTTATGCTGTCATTGTCACGTAGAAGGCCATATTATAGACGTATATATAGGTTTCTTAACCACATTCGAAAATGGCACCAGAACTCGGTCTCGGGACTAGGCTTTATATAAGGCCCCATATTACAACAGGCACCACTTGCAAAAGAGATTTTGGAACTTGGAAATGAGAAATAGATGAACAATTTATCAAGGAAATGATAACATGAAGCTCAACGGCCTTCAAAATAGTTCGGAACCCATCTGGTTTGAATGCCATGAGCAGACTCTGTAGACAAGAACGCTTTAAAGGCCAGATCGGAGCTTAGGCTAGACGGGAAGACTTGAGTACGTTCTACAAACTTTTGATAAACTCCTTTCCAATTCACAGAGGACGACTTGATGTAAATAAATCCAAGGTGGAGTAGTATAGATATAAGGTGGACCATGAACCAAGCTTTGGATTTGAAGTACATGTACTGTTATCACAGGTGTTTTCCAGATATGCACCAACCAACCAAGCAATGACATCCACCAGTCCATTATTCAAACTATGATTCGTTCATCCAATATACTAAGTGCAAGTCATCAACTCTTCAGCCCCTTGCAGTGGCGGTGGACCGCTTACTCAGCACACCCGCTCCGGGGACTCATGTGGCTTTTCCGCATGGACAAATCGACTCGACCACAATTGCATTCTGCTGTTCTTTGTGCTTCAAGCAAATCGAGTCTCTGGCTGGCGTGCCTTGGTGCTCATCTCTCCAACCTGAAAGATCCAGGCCCCCACGCCTCTCAGAACCCTTCCCCACAAAAAAAGCATCACAGACGCGCTCCCAATATTGGACCGATACATGACGTCTTTGTTGACACCCACCCATTCGACTCTTGCGACCATCCACCCCCGAACAAGCACAGGCAATTCACATCTCGCCGAACTTGCGCTTATCACCCTGCGACTGCCCTTTGAGCCGCGCTCCTCGCGGAGTTCGCGCATCGGTGTACCCCTGTCACCACTTGCATCCCACTTCCGCACTCCGATCTCCATACACGTCGATTGTTGACGATCGCCCCCGGTGCATGGGGTAGAGAGCAAAGATGGCTCCAGGCGGCGCTGGAAATATTAAGGTGGTGGTGCGAGTGCGGCCTTTCAATAGTAGAGGTGAGTTGAATATGCCAGGAGGGGTCATCCCTACTGCAGGAAGCTGACCATCTGTCTCTTTGTAGAAATCGAGCGCGGCGCAAAATGTATCATTTCCATGAAAGGTCCTCAGACCGTTATCACGGCACCACCCGGCGCACAGGATACATCGTCACGAAAAGGCGGGAAAGGAGCTGTTGAAGGGCCAAAGGTGTTCGCCTTTGATCGATCATATTGGTCATTCGATAAGAAGGCACCGCATTTCGCTGGCCAAGACGACCTCTTCGATGACTTAGGTTCTCCGCTTTTAGACAATGCCTTTGGTGGCTATAACAACTGTATTTTCGCATATGGTCAGACCGGTTCAGGAAAATCATACTCTATGATGGGTTATGGCAAGGAATATGGTGTCATTCCGCGAATTTGCCAGGACATGTTTGAGCGAATTGTCGCAATTCAGAAGGACCAATCTTTGAACTGCACAGTTGAGGTGTCATACCTGGAAATCTACAATGAACGAGTACGAGATCTGCTCAACCCGTCAAATAAGGGCAATCTGAAGGTCCGTGAGCACCCGTCTACTGGTCCATACGTCGAAGACCTGGCCAAACTCGTGGTCCGCTCCTTCGAGGAGATTGAGAACTTGATGGACGAGGGTAACAAGGCCCGAACGGTTGCCGCAACGAACATGAACGAAACCTCGAGTCGATCACATGCCGTCTTCACCCTGACCCTAACACAAAAGAGACACGACAATGAGACATCAATGGACACCGAGAAGGTGTCGAAAATCAGTTTGGTTGATTTGGCAGGTTCAGAACGAGCTAATTCAACGGGTGCTACTGGTGCACGATTAAAGGAGGGTGCGGAGATCAACCGTTCCTTGTCAACGCTTGGTCGTGTCATTGCTGCCTTGGCGGATGTCTCTGCCGGAAAAAAGAAGAATGCCTCCATGGTTCCTTACCGTGATTCAGTGCTCACATGGTTGTTGAAGGATTCATTGGGTGGTAACTCCATGACATCTATGATTGCAGCCATTTCTCCTGCAGACATCAATTTCGAGGAAACTCTTGGTACTTTGCGATATGCCGATTCCGCCAAACGAATCAAGAACCATGCCGTTGTGAACGAAGATCCAAATGCACGCATGATTCGTGAGTTGAAGGAAGAATTGTCACAGCTCCGATCCAAGCTGGGAGGCGGAGTAATACCAGGAACAGCCGGTGCAATCGGTGGTGTGGGAGCTACTGCAGAGGAATCTTATCCCCCTGATACGCCGCTGGAGAAACAAATGGTTTCTATCCAACAGGCAGACGGAAGTGTCACGAAAGTCAGCAAGGCCGAGATCGTGGAACAGCTCAACCAGAGTGAAAAGCTTTACAAAGATCTCAATCAGACTTGGGAGGAGAAGCTGCAAAACACTGAGCTTATTCACAAGGAACGTGAAGCTGCGCTGGAGGAACTCGGTATCAATATTGAAAAAGGCTTCATTGGACTGAGTACACCGAAAAAGATGCCCCATTTGGTCAACCTCAGCGACGATCCCCTTCTCGCCGAATGTTTGGTGTACAACATCAAGCCAGGCACCACCACAGTTGGTCACATGGACCAAGGCCAAAGTGTCGAGATTCGATTGAATGGATCCAAAATCCTTGAAAAGCACTGCACATTCGAGAATGTGGACAATATTGTGACAATTGTGCCCACGGAAGGAGCTGCCATCATGGTCAACGGTATGCGGGTTGACAAGCCAACACGACTGAAGAGTGGTTTCCGAATTATTCTTGGTGACTTCCACATCTTCCGATTCAACCACCCCCAAGAAGCCCGAGCCGAACGTGTTGAGCAGAGCTTATTGCGTCACTCCGTTACCACCAGTCAGCTCGGATCACCTGCGCCTAACAAAACCCATGATCGGAATTTGAGCAAGACCGGATCTGAAGTGGATGGTGATTCAACCGGGACAGACTCACCGATGCCGTCACAACGTGGCCGTGAATCGGATTGGTTCTTAGCTCGCAGAGAGGCTGTGAATGCCATGGTTGGACCGGATCAGATTTCTCATCTGCCAGACGATGAGCTGGATACTCTGTTTGAGGATGTGCAAAAGGTTCGAGCGGGCCGGCGTGGCCTGCCAGAAAACGAGGAAGACTCCGACTCCATCAGCTCTTTCCCCATTCGAGACAAGTACATGTCTAACGGGACAATTGACAATTTTTCTCTTGACACCGCCATCACAATGCCCAGCACCCCAAAGCATACTGACGAAGAAGAGTCAGGAACTGCTTCGCTCAACCAAGCTCGTCAGGACATGCAGCGGCAGCTGGATCGTCGCAAGGAAGAATTCCAAGAAAAACTGAAGTCCGTGGAAGCATCCTCTACCCCCGATTCCCCAGAGCTCCGAACCGAGAAAGAGCGCATGGAAGAGGCTCTGCGAAGCGCCAAAGAAGAATTTGAGGAGCAACTGAGAAAGCAAAAAGAGGTATTCGAAACTCAAATGCGAGATATGGGCAAACCAATCCCACAAATCTTCGAAAATGGCTTTACTAAGCTGGACGATCGCGAACTTGGCGTTGCACGATCGGTATTTGGCCGCTGGTCCCAGCGCAACTATGTTCGCATGGCGGAGAAGATCCTGCAACATGCCTCGCTCATTAAGGAGGCACAGATTATGAGCCACATCATGGATAAGCATGTGGTTTTCCAGTTCGCCATTGTCGACCATGGCCACAACATGGAGTCGTCATATGATCTTGTGCTGAACGGAATATCTGGAGACGAGGACATCCTGCTAGACGAGGCTAAGAAGCCTTGTGTGGCAGTACGCGTAATTGACTACAAGCAGTCCGTGATTCATCTTTGGTCAATTGAAAAGCTCCAGCGTCGCGTTCAGGCCATGCGCCAACTACATCAATACATCGATCGTCCCGACTACATTCAACACTTCAAACTCGACAACCCTTTCTCCGAACCGTGTTCACCTCAGTACTCTCTCGTTGGCGATGCCGATATACCCCTGACGGCCGTTTTTGAGACCCGCGTGCAAGACTTCTCCATCGAAATCACGTCACCATACACTCAAAATGTCGTCGGAATCATTCGACTCTCACTCGAGCCATCCTCTGCCCAGGCACCGTCGTCAACTCTGAAATTTAACGTCGTCATGAGGGACATGGTCGGGTTTGCAGAGTGGGAGGGGTCTGATGTACATGCACAGTTGTTCGTCCCAGGCATTTCAGAGGAAGGAGGCGCAACCACAACTCAGATGATCAATGGGTTTGAGGATAGCCCGGTCCGGTTTGAAAGCGTGCACAGCATGAGCTTGCCACTCTCGAGTCCTCGGACAGCCGCATTGAAGGTCTGTGTCTACGCTTGTGTGACTTCAGTCCATCTTGATAAGCTACTGAGCTGGGACGATATGCGTGACTCGGCAGAGCCTTTGCCACAAAAGCGCACTGCTCCTCGAATTGCCGAATCTGAATTTTATTCCGAGGAACGGCACGACGTCTTTGCTCGAATCCAGATTCTGGAAATGGCTGAGTCTGGTGAATACCTCCCCGTGGAGGTTGTCCAAAGCAGCAGTCTTGATGCTGGCACATCTCAGCTTCACCAAGGGCTGCAACGCCGAATCTCCATCAACATGACCTACAGCTCGACCGAAAGTCTCCCATGGGATGACATAAACAACATTCGCGTGGGATCTGTTCGCCTTCTCGATCCATGGGGAAAGATCCCAGACCAGGATTTCCAGACTCCGGACGTTCCCTTGAAGTTTGTTCAAGAGCCAATGGTCAGGGACAACGCCGATGGAACCTCGCATGTGACAATCGTGGGTCAGTGGGACTCAAGTCTTCACGGCTCTCTCTTACTTGATCGAGTGACGGCAGAAAAGTACCGGGTACAAGTGACAGTTCGCTGGGATCTTGTTTCAAGTCGTCTTCAGAACCCCGTTGTGTTCGAGGCCGATCAGACCCTTCAAATCCAGGGCCGTACCTATGTCCGCCAGCAGTCAATGTTCAAGCAATTCTGGAACTCTATTCGTGTTGTGCATTCGACGACCCGGATGTACTCCTTGGTCATTCGTCCAATCTCCGCCAAGCGCGCCGCTGACCTGTGGCGCATGAACACACAGAATGACTATGTCAAGGGGGAGGAGCTATTGACTACCTGGGCACCCCGAAAAGTCTCTCTGGTGCGCGACTACATTGCCGCTCGTAAGCGTAGACTACGTGTGGCCGAACTCCATGCTGCCCGAGGCGCTCTCAGTGCAGGCAGTCTGAACGCATCCTCGGCTCGCAGTGGAAAGTCCACCCCAATGCGCGGCACAGATCTCAATGAACGCAAGTCAAAACTACTTCAGAAGTACCTTGATCTGTGGTCGCTCAAGCAGGATCCCACCGAAGCGATCCTGATCCGAAGTAATACCGAACCCCCTACAGATGGAGCGGCGAGTGCGTCGTACATCAAGAACTCAAATGATGCCAATGGCTTCTCTGACAAGGTGTCACTCAAGCCTCGCTTTGTGGCAACCATTCAAACCCTTCCCAAAAATCCTTCCGCCTTGAAAACGGGCTACGTGCTTACCCCCGATGACACAAACAATGTCTGGGTTCGCCGTTTCGTGGAGCTCCGCAGGCCGTACCTCCACATCTACTCTGTCCCAGAGGGCGACGAGATCAACGCAATCAACCTCCGCAACTCGCGAGTGGACCATGCTCCCGACTTTGCCAGACTACTCGACGGATCTGGAGCTGGAGCGGACCGCTCACTATCCGCTAAGGGACGACCGAATATTTTCGCCGTCTATGGAACCCAGAATACGTTCCTCTTCGCTACTCGTACCGAGGCGCAAAAAGTGGAATGGATCCTGAAGATAGACGAGAGCTACTTCAATAGCAACAGTCCCAGCGCGGCTGCAAGCAGTGATGACCGATGATTCTTTTCATTTGCCAATAGTTGTGCTGCAGACATACCTATGGAGAAGCGTTTGCTTCGTCTGCTTCATGTGTTATGATATTACGGGTCTAAGTCTGCCTTCTGCCTTATCCTTTCCTTTTGCCCGTTTCCTTTCATGACCTGTTGAGATACCCCTTGAATATATCGACTCGCGTGGCCTCCTTCTTATGTACATAATAATCCGATATAGTTGGGACTATAGATTGATTGCGCATATCTTGTTCTATTTTAGGAATAGCGTGGTATCAATGTCAGACTAATAAACAATCACACACCAGACAAGAAATGAACTAGGTTGTCGCGAAGCCGCGAGTGGCCAGCGACAGTGCGGAAGATCTCAATGTACTATGGGTTTTATTGTTAAGCTGCTTGCTAACCAGTCGGAGAGATTTGTAATTAGATGAATTGAGATCAAACACCACAACTCGTGCGGGAGATGTGGGAGAGAAGACATTGTGGAGCTCAGCTGGGAGAGGCTGCACTATAAGCCGAACCTGGACTGTAAGAGCTTCAGCCCACCTGGTTTAGAATCGGTTCTTTAAGCCGCGATGACCTTGGACAATGAGTGGCAAGGATATGTCTGAGGAGCAGCGGTTTGCTTACCACGCCCCCCAACCCTACGGGCGGCGGAGCTTGAACACAACAACAACCAGTAAGTACTGTGAATCTTGCCTTATAGAACTCATGTACTCAGTCTCTATACCACAGAGCACAAGCTACAGGAGCATCTCTATTTGGCCACACCAATAAAGCAGTATGTGTCTTTCTGGAACATAGTCCCACCCCTCCATCTCCCAAGATCGTGTTCGACTTGTACAGCTGCGCAGGGGTGATACCCTGGTCTTTTAGAAATTCAATACAGTTTCCCCCTTCTTTGGCCATGGAGTAGCCATTACAGTTGTCTAGGATGCTATTAGACTGCGTTGGAGAAGGAACGGATCCGCTAGTTGTCGTGGGGGTTCCGGTAGTGGTACTAGTGGCCTATGTACAGGAAGTTCTCTCTGTGTCTCTGGATGAAGTCGAAGTGGCTATTGTAGGCCCGGCTGTTGCTGTACTTGTACTTGTGGGTGCTGTTCCGCTCGTACTAGGAACACCAGCGGATATCACCCAGAAGGCCTCGGCGGCTTGACACTTACTATATCCCGTGGAATTATATTGCAGATCGGGCCCATCGACGGGAGACTGGTAAACTTTGACTAAGACAACATCATAACTTGTCATGTTAAACACATCTATGAGTACACACTTACAATCCAAAATCATCTCTATGATATCACTGGTACTTATGTGTGGATTTGGATGTCTCAGCTGCGTTGCCATGGAAACAATCAGCTTTGACATCGACCATATTGGACGAAAACACTTGACCACGTCTCAACAGAAGACGTAGAAGTGATTGAAACCCACTGAGCTATTCGAATTTTGAGGGCATACTTCGAAATACTCCAAATATGTTCACCCAACGCCCCTCATTCCGCTACATAGCGACAGGCGCCGTGGTATCTCTGTTCGCCCTTACATTCCTCATTCTCGGCACTGGCACACCCCGCGAACTCTCATCAAAATATATTCTGAAGGCGCCTTCAAGACCTTGTCCAGCTTCGAGTTTCTCAGGGAATCAAACTTGGGATTTTGTCGTGGAGCGGGATGGAAATAACCACGGGCTGTCGGAGGACCAGTGTCGCATTGCATTCCCTAAGCTATATAACGAGCTTGATAAGTCTTCAGCTTTGAGAGCCGATCGTCATTTCACATACAAAGAATTCGATTCCCGGACTGTGGATGACCACATGGTCCGTGGTATCATTGATCGCGGAGAGGTTAGTAAACACTGGACTACAGTGACACTGCTATGAGTGCCATTGATACTAACATTTCAACCTTTTAGTTATATATCGTCGACTATGCTCCCATGCCTGTTACAGCAACTCGCGCCCGCGCAACCCTCAACTCCCTCCACCGAGCCCTAACAGCCTTCCCAGATCGACACCTCCTCCCTAGCATCGAATTCACATTCACATCAGAAGATTTCGCCGCAGACTCGAATGGCATCGGGCCCGTGTGGGCCTATTCTAAGCGCGACTCGGACGAATCAGTCTGGCTGATGCCCGATTTCGGATACTGGGCCTGGCCAGAGGTCCAAATCGGCCCATACCACGAAGTCCGGCGTCGGATTGCGGCTATCGACGATGGAGAATTCAAAGGAGATGGCAGTTTTGTTCCTGGTCTGAAGTTCCAAGACAAGAAGAAGCAGCTCGTGTGGCGTGGTAGTCTGGCGACCAACCCTCCCGTGCGAGCTAAGCTGCTCAAGTCTGCGTTGGATCATAGCTGGGCTAGTGTGCGGGTTATCGACTGGGATGATGAAAATGATATCCGATTCAATCTTTTGCCTATCGAGGATCACTGCCGGTATATGTTCCTGGCACATGCGGAAGGCCGGAGCTTCTCTGGTCGTGGTAAGTACCTGCTGAACTGTCGCTCTGTTGTCATTTCGCATACACTTGAGTGGCGGGAGGCTCATCATGGCGCGCTTATATCGTCCGGTCCAGATGCCAACTATGTTGAGGTTGACCGTGACTTCGCCGACTTGCCGCGCAAGATGGAGTATCTTATTGACAACCCCGAGGCTGCGGAACGCATTGCTAACAACGCTGTGCACACTTTCCGTGATCGGTACCTTACCCCTGCTGCTGAGTCGTGCTACTGGCGCCAGTTGGTGCGACAGTATGCTGCTGTCTGTGATTTCGAGCCGGTCTTGTTTTCGACTACCCGCGAGGGGAAGATGCAGCCTCGAGGTATGCCTTATGATACCTGGCTATTGACGCATTGATATTTTACATATGATTGCTATCCCTTTCTTGTTTTACTTGCATCCCGGTGTCTGTTCAATATTCCCGGCTGGCGTTGGTCTAATGACCCGGATGATAACGATATTCTCACTTTGTACATGACCGAAATATGGATTGGTTGTTTTTGAACACGATATTTAGCTTGGATATCTAGTAGAAGACCCCAGGTATGGTTCACAGCAACTTTTCGACTGAAAGCATCTTATTGTCGTCTCTATGCCACAGAATTTGCTGCCAAGTATAAATCAACACTGCGCAACGCACTCGCCAAATCAACATGAAAGAATGGCCGAGTCCTATTTTTCAATATAGCAGCCTTCAGACCAGAAGCATCCGACTGTTTTTCTTGAGCCTCAATCCAGTTGTCAGAGCGTTTCGAAGAAAGAGGCTCGCCGGTGGATCCAGCCATCTCAACATCAGATGGCCCCTCCTGACTATTCAGCTCGCTTGAAGCAGTCTCCTGGCTTCCTGTTAATGGCAAAGACCCAAAGCCTGCAGCACCGAGTGCACGCTTTGTCCATCGATTCTTGATATTCGCAAAATGCCACTGTACAGCAACAGGGGCGGAGCGACGATCGAGTTGCTTGCGCACGTCCATCAAATTCTGTACACATGTCACATCCACATTATTGACAGCGGAGAAATCAAGAATGATAGCACGGAGAATGGGTAGATGGTGGCCATCTGTGTTTGAAGAAACTGGGTCGTTCCATGGACGGTCTCCCTTCTTTGTATACGCTTCTGTGTTTGTTTGGCGGGTGCTCTTAGATAATGTATTAACAAGGATATCAGAATAGTGGTTTGCATTGGGGTAGTTAAAGCCTTCGGAAAAGCGGTAGAGAAAGACACCGGGTCGGGGGTTCTCGAGTTTGATAGCTGGATTTGCGTCTGCATCTTCCACAGAAAGAAAAAGGGGACGCTGAGAGTTTTGGTCGTTCACCCAGGTTTGGCCTAGGAAATGCCCTGGGGCTTTTGCGTGGCGGAATAATAGTACCGCGACTGACAAACAGACCGTTGCGTAGATACTGTTCGGGATTGTGCTCACAATTGCAACAATCAAACCGACTGCAAAGATCACGGCGTCCAATGGCGAGATGAGCCAGAATTGGTAGATTGTGTTCGGAGGCACAATTAAGTCACCCACTGCATGGATGATCACTCCTGATAATGACGCTTTGGGAATATAGAATAGCCCAGGAGTCAACGCATACATGGCTATCAAAACCACGCAAGCAGTGATGATACCAGCAAATGGCGATCTGACACCAGATTTTGATTGAATTGCGGAACGCGAGAAAGAGCCTGTTGCTGGGTAGGCACCGACGAAAGGGCCCAGGAGATTCGTGACACCAATCGCAATAAGTTCTTGCGAGGGATCGATTGTGTAGTTGTTGACTCGTCCAAAAGACTTGGAAACCGCAATATGCTCAATGAGTAGCACTATCACACAGGCTGGTAGCTTCGGAAGAAAGAGTTTGATCACGTCTCCTTCGAGTACTGGGACACCGGCATGTTCGAAGCCTCGAGGCACACTTCCAACCAAAGCGAAAGCAGGACTGGCACGGCGGTGGAAGTTGACCGCGAAGCTGATAACAGCAAAGAGAATAATGACAAACACGGTCCTCAAAGCATCCAGGAAGAAGAAGAGCTTGGAATAGCGTGGATGCTTGCGAGCACCATATTTGCAGGCCTCGCGGAGGGAGTATAAAGTGAATAACGCACTGACACCCATAGCGGCATCGTATCCCCGCGACGTGGGCAGAGACTTGAGGGTGTCAATAATGATTTTATATGCTGGTGCACTAGTACTGAAGTTGGCTGTTTCACCAAGTAGCCCCTTGACCTGCCCGGAGCAGATTGTTACTGAGGAGCCAACCATGAATGCTGTGATTGCAGGAAGGGGGATGAAATCGACAATAAAGCCAAGTCGCGTCAGGCCCATGAATGTGATGACACTCCCAGAAACTATGGCAATTGAGAGTGCGATTTGTGGACCGGGAATGTCTGGGTAGACGTTTTGAACATCAATTATAATGCTGCCAACGACTGTAGACATCACAGCGACGGGCTGATAAGTTAGTTTATGCAAGTGCTATATTCTGGCCGAAAGCTTACTCCGATGGTAATATCTTTGGATGTTGCAAAGAACCAATAGATCAAGACCCCCATGAATGATGTATAAAGCCCGTATTGTACAGGAAGGTTGGCCAATTTCGCATATCCCATACTCTGAGGAACTACAACGGCCCCAACAGTAGTCCCTACTGCGGTCAGCATAGGCTTAAACCAGAGTAAATTCTGCTCATACCTGCAACTAGATCACCCAAAAACCATTGAAAATTATAGTGTCTGATCCATTGTGTGAAAGGAAGCAGTCTGGCGAAGTACAGCCCACACTGCTTTCCGGAAGGAAAGACGTCGCTTAACCACCCCAGCACAGTTGGGTCAGCCTCATAATGAGGTGTATTTCTATCTGGAAGATTAGGAGGGTCTTGCAAGCCAAGGAATTTCTTGAGAGTTTTAGATCCCATATTCTCGACAAGTGATATTCTCAAGAGATGGACAGAAATGGACAGATCAGCATTGTCAGGAGCATGAGAAGGGCACCTCAGATTTAAATAGCCCAAAAGTCCAAAAGGAAACTCTATCCGAGACACTAGATCTGGCTGGCTCTTTCTTGAGCTAGCCATACCACAGCATTGTGATGTAGAGCCAATATCTCACGCTTGCACATCGGAGCCGCAGACAATGGAATGTGGCTAAGTCCTCATTGGTGCTGATGTGGATTATCCCAAAGATTAATAATTGGCAGATTGAGCTCCATCCTACATGCCAAGCAATAGCCAGTCCAAGAATGGTTGCATCATACATGGGAAATCTTGTTGCCGGGAAAACAGTGCCGACAAGGGGGGCATTGCACGATGGCCCCTTGCACCAGTCCCAAATATGGGGTTGGAGAGTGTCTGTAGTCTGTACCTAGAGGTGTAACGGTGCCGCACTACGCTAAGCTTAAAAGGTAGCTATGCATGGGAATGTGGGTGGTAGTATGAGACACTTCTATAGAGTTCTCCTGCTAAAGGACATCCATCTATGAAGGAGCTACCCTTCGTAGGGCTGATCATGCTTATCATAATCACGCTTGAGCAAATTTTGATATAACTGACGGACAATTAAAGTTGTAGAAGTATTTGATGTTTGCATGAATGCATTGAAAATCGATTGCACGGTCCGCTGTGTCAATGGGTTGAGAATATCCCTGTCTGCCATGATATAATCCCATTTTGCGGTATCATTCAAGGGCACCACAGCCATGCTTTCTAAATTCAAATTATTTCTGGATCGAAATGGCTCAGTTTGATAGCCTTAGATTGCAGGTGCCAGTGCCGAAATGCAAAACCTCATTAAGAAACGGTACCCTTGACTTGGGCTCTTGGGAAATCCCCGATCACCATGTCAATGCCCGAGCTCTGTGAAAGACCTTTCAAATGAGGTGCCTGTACACCTCTTTTGGGTCGAGGTTCTCTGTAGGCTCATATTAAAGTACACGGGATCTCACCGCCAACAACTGCCCTCTTGCCGCTGCTCTCATCGCCCTTCCTCACTGCGAGCTCGTGTCAGATGAGCCCAAGCCATGTCAGATCCAGAATTCAAGTGCCCTACCTGCCAGCAGTTCTTCTCCAGTAAAAATCACCTCCGGCGACACGAGTCGTCGCGTAAGTCATGTTGAACCCGCGGCCAGACGAGAGATTGACATTTCCCCACAGATACTTCCCGATCTCCAATAAGGTGTGAATATTGTGATCGCAAATATTCAAGGAAGTGAGAATGTCCAAATGCGCAAACTGCTCTCGTGACTTACCTGTATAGCGACGCACTTCGGCGACATTACAAGAGTTGCCCCCGGATTGGAGCCCAACCCAAGCCCGGGCCGAGCAGGCCCGGCCGCCGACGCAAGGCATGCGATAGCTGCACCAGACAACGAATCAATTGCGATGGAAGCGTTCGTTGCAGTGCCTGTCAAGCTAATGGGGTTCCTTGTACTTATCAACATCGTGACACACTACTGCATGACTCGCGTGCGCTCTCATTAGCCCATGGCATGCCAACCCGACGCCAAAGCCAGCGCAGTGCAACCAACCCGAACGAGCAAAACCCGGAGAAGACCTCTTTGCCATTCTTACTGAATTATTCTGCGCCGGGAAACCGCAGTTCGAGAGATGTTAATCGCGTTCTCTCTCTGTTCTCGACTGCGGAATGCATGGATGAAAGTCTGGATTCCACCTTACCAAGTCTTGATATTGAAGCGAATCAAGCGAGTCTCTTCTTAGAAGATTCTTGGAGCCTGCTCTTTGGTTCTTTTCAGTATGATGGACACGCTCCACGCTCATCACTGCCGCTAGGGCTGGAAGATCTAAATCAACGCCAGATAATTTCTGCCAGGATGGTCGAGTGCATTGTCAGAGCAAAGGCCCAAAAAGGCAACTTTGAAGCAGGCCCCTTTACTGGGAATGCGCAAGAGTTCTTTGCAGAACACAAGATAGGTGAGTATATCGAGGCGTACTTCGAGCGAATAGTGCGCCCACGGTCTCGCGTCGTCTTGAAGTCTACTTTCAACCTGGGAACAGTCTCCACTCCTTTACTGCTGTGTATATTTCTGATGGGCGCGGATTGTGATACGTCCTACAGCGCCAAGTTACAGGCGGTTGAATATGCGGAACTGACAGAAAGTGTGGTGTTCGAAAGCGCGGACTTCCAACGGCTTATGTACAGAAAAGCGAAAGGTGGCTGGGCCTCGCTAGAGGAAATCGAAATTGAGCTGATTCAAGCTGCGATCCTTATACTTCTGATTCAATTATCGAGTCCTAACGGTGAAACGCGCCGTAGGACTCGGATCCAGCGGTATCCGGCTCTGGTATCGGTCGCTCGAGTGACATCCTTAACGCAGACTAAAAATTGCTGGCATGACAATAGTAGGCCATTTTGTCACGATGAGTTTCTCAAAAACGAGACTTGTATCAGGTTTGTCTACTTTGCTTGATCTACTTATTAAATTGGTGATCACGTTGGTTAAACTGACGGTTTAGGATGATGTCTTCGATTGCCATGATGGATTGCCACTATATCATGTTCTTCAACGACCCACCAATTCTATCAGCTCCGGAGTTAGGATTTGACCTCCCAGCCGAAGAGAAAGGAATGGACATCCCGGACGCTATAACATGGGAGCTTTGGGCGAGAAATGAGAGAAAGCATCAACGACCGCCGCCATTGAATCTCTTCATACAAGAGCTTCTATTAGACAACTGGACGGGCTCGGAAGATCAACGCTACAAAAACCTTAATTTCTTCGCACTATATGTGGTGATCTCTGGTGAGTTCAATCAACCTAGCCCGATTGACCTTGAGATACATAAGAATCTCTGTGCTGACAAACAATGAAGCATTCCATCGCATTATTTTTGGACTCCGAACAAGTCTTTGCGATATGTCTGATGCAAAAAGACAGATTGACAGGGCTCTCTCCCGCTGGATTATTCTGTGGGAGGCTTTGGAACACAAATCAAGCCAAGATCAAATCTATCGAGCGGGAATTATGATTCACGGGCAAGATTTGTGTGCATTCGCCAAGATTCTGCTGCGTACGCCGTTGTCGGAAACGGGTGATATTGCCCATGACTCGACGGCACATATCCACGAGCTCCTGAAGCGACGCCCCAAATGAGATGAATTCTGCTACTTTATGAATACAAAGCTAGACTAAAAGAGGCACACATGCTGCATGCAAGTACAACCCATGTAGCCACTCCACTCCGTGTCTTGCTCAAAAGTCGACCTGAATCCCAAACCAAATGCTTCACTCCATTGAACCCATGGTACATGAATGGCATTGAGAGTCCAAACTTCAAAGCTGCCTTCACAGCGGTCGGCAAAGATCCAATTGTGGCTGCCATGGCTGTTGAGTCAAGGCTTAGATCTAGGACAGGCGCACAGAGATACAGTGTGGCAAGCCCGTACAAGCTTCCCGAAAGCAGGAGCCCGGTGATCCGCTGGATCGCAGAAGCGGAGGACACATAAGTCCACTTATAGGTCGTGAGATGTGGAGCGATAGGACGATTTCGACGCTGGGCGGCGAGTCGGTCGTGTGCACATTCAGCTGTCACTTTTTGGGTTGCAATGCTTCTCCTGCGAAGCGATCATATTAGAACCTGCTGTATATATAAACCGATGAAAGTATGATGGTTCCTTACTGAGTATTGATTGCCTTTATTGCCCTGGGATAAGTCCTTGTGGACTTGGAAAGCAGAGACGAGAAACGCAGCATGCTGGAGACAACTGCAGAATACTCAGTACCAAATGGGATCAGCGTGTGAGATTGTGCTCTGGTGACCAGCCTACCTTGGATATTGTATTTCTTGAGAAAATCGACTACACCAACGCCACGCAGTTTAGATATACTCCCGCAGAAAACCCGCCAGGAAAATACCCACAGCCGGAAAACACCCACGCGCCAAGAGTTCCGTTGAACTAAACAATTGCGGATCCATCGATCGAGGTGGTTGTTCAGTTGGCTTTAGAGTCTTGGCTTCAAACAAACAACCTCTATTCACCAAGTCTGACTTGTACAGGCAAAATCGGTTATTCCCCCGTGGTTTCAGCCTGTCCCTTGAGCCAAGCCACTTCCGACCCCTACAGCCGTGACGAATTCCCCCGCATTTCCAGTATCCGTGCCTGAAGATGCATATGATGATGATAACGACATTTGGCTGAAATGATTAGCCGTGCCAATAACTTACGGCAGCGAGCCTTCGCCTAAAGAATAGGCCGATTTGACTTTAGCCTAGCCGGGTGACTGGCGATCATTTTTACACCAGCGTATGAGATGAACGGAGTCTAGCACCTGGAAGGAAACAGGTCCGCCGGTCACTAGTGCTGTGGAGCCTGGGTGGTTTGGGATAAATCGCTGGTTAAATTAAGTCAAGACAGCCAGGAGCTGAAACAGGGCAGAAACGTCCGCCCCACTCACGACTGTCAAAGTGAATATAAAAGGGTCTCAATTCCCGTGAAGAAAATCTTTGTTCAACCACAGGAAAATCAACAGTTCACTTCTCACTTACAACGCCTCTCCGATTGTCAATATGGTCTCCTTATCAGGCCTCTTCTTGGCCGCTTGTGCTTTCGCCAGCGCCTTCGCTGCCCCCAGTGACTTGAGCAAGCGAGCTATCACCACCAGTCAGACCGGAACCAACAACGGCTATTACTACTCCTTCTGGACCAACGGCGGTGGTAGTGTTAGCTACACCAATGGCAACTCCGGTCAATACAGTGTCTCTTGGACCAACTGTGGAAGTTTCACCTCTGGCAAGGGCTGGAGCACTGGCAGTGCCCGGTAAGCGTGATCTACCTGTTGCTCGGCTAATATAGTACTGACGGCTGGGATCTTTTAGCAACATCAACTTCTCTGGATCCTTCAATCCCTCTGGAAACGCCTACCTTGCTGTGTATGGCTGGACCACTGGCCCTCTCATCGAGTACTACATCATGGAGAGCTACGGAACCTACAACCCCGGCAGCAGCATGACCTACAAGGGAACCGTCACTAGCGATGGATCGGTCTACGATATCTATACCCACCAGCAGGTCAACCAGCCCTCTATCTCAGGCACTGCAACTTTCACCCAGTACTGGTCCATCCGCCGCAACAAGCGGTCTAGTGGAACTGTCACCACTGCCAACCACTTCAATGCTTGGGCTTCGCTTGGAATGAGCCTTGGGTCTCACAACTACCAGATTGTTTCCACCGAGGGTTATCAGAGCAGTGGATCTGCTACCATCACTGTTTCGTGAGCGGAATCATTTTGGCATTATGGAGAGGATCATGGCAAAGACAGTTCATTCAGCGGCTCGGAAACCGAGCTAGGCCATCTCTCAGTACATAATGTATTCTACTTCTGATAGCAATGCATTGATCTCTTAGCATTGTTCTATTGATAGGCCTATTGATCGTTTTATTGATGTATGGCCGGTCAATTCAATACGTAGACCGATGAACTGATGTATGGCAATCTATACTTGAGATAGCTGCCTAAATACACACTGCTTGCTTTGACACGGTGCGTCTTCATCAATTTCAAGCAATCGGTGGACCTGTATAAAAGGGCTTCGACGGATTTTCATTCTCTTCCTTCTTCCACATTTCCAATCTCTCTTCACCCACCGTCTCTGACGCTTCATCCAAACCGTGCAATGAACACCAAAAGCAAGTACAAAACTTCGCTCTCATATTTGTCAATGTAACATCCGACTAACATTTCCACCAGATCTTCCACCCCCCGGTCCGGCCAAAATGGCACCCACTGTCCCCAACTACGTTGCTTTCAATATCCCAGTCCTGAAAGGCGGTTCGAACTGGGATGAGTGGCATGAAAAGTTCCTGCGGGTCACATACTCCATCAATCCACTCTACTGGGAGATCTTCGCTGGTAAAGTTGGTCCCCCAAACAACACTGACTGCAACCTCAAGATGCACCCCCGTGATGATGCCGTGAACGACAATTCCACAATGAATAGTTCCTTGCAACAGAAACTTGACCATAGTCTGGAAATTGATGTCTCAGACAAGGAAGTCGGTGTACAGTATGATATTGGCCTTGAACAATGGAGTCGCTCCCTCTTCGAGGCTCGGGAATATCTGTTGTTTACTCTTGACCGAAAGCCTGCCATGCATATTCAAGGTATTCTCAACCCACGAGAGGCGTACCTGGAGTTGCAGAGGGCCTATTCAACCCTCCATGCTCAATCCCCCGTTCATGTCTGGCAGAAGTGGTTGGCCATTCACTATGAAGGTGCGCGAGAATCTCCCAAAGACTTCGTCAACAGGTTCAAGAAAGCTCTGCAAGAGCTCAAGGATCAGGGAATTCGGGTGAGCCTGGGAGTTGAAATTGCTCAGTTTCAAGCGGCCATCATGCAGGACCCCGAGTGCCTGCATTTTGTGGACACTTTGCATATTGATGCGCAGAGCTTCGTCGAGACACCGTCGGTCTATGCCAACTTCATTCAGAGCCAGACACAGAGCCAAAAAAGCCCCGTCTGAGCCCCGAGGGATCCCTCGTTTCTCACGTGAGCATTTGTCGCATCTCATGCGACATGGAAACTGATGATAGTGATTCGGAAAGAGAACGTTTTTCACGACCCCAAGAAGGTTATTTTGCTTATTTCTTGAGCCTTTCTTTTCTCGTTGCAGTCTTCGATATCATTATTTGCGTTTTGCTTTGTGATTCCCTGCCGGTATGATCTGGACATGGTTGAAATGGAGGACTGTGACATAGTTTAGCTGAGATTGCTTGACAAGTCAACTCAAAGTTCTATCCAACTTCCTTTTAGAACAAAATAAAAAGGGCTGCTTCGGTGCCATTTTTTTCTCCTTTCTTGAAATAAAATGTACCAGTTGGGAAGATGCTCTGTCGTTGGAAACTTTATCAGCCTTATTGCATAACAATACAACCCGAGCTCGAGTAAGTAGATAGAACGCAAATAACCTTTACAGACTGAGAATATGCTGTTTTGTTCACTTCCAAGATTTGGGAATTTTGTCACATTTCCAACCTGGCACAGTTGCTAGTCCGAAGGCAACACACAGTATCTGTCATCAAAGCCAGGCCATACGCCCAGAGGACCACTCATCAAGATATCATGTTCCATGAAGGTATATACTGAGAATCTGAAAGGATTTCATCGGTTGATCTTTGTTCACCCTACATACTTCGTGGGAAATGGGGTGTCGCGATGGACCGAAAGCTTTCAGCCCGGACTCAGCCGCGTTTGCGCCATCATCTAGCTGCTGCAACAAAACCTTCACAGAATATAGAGATAGAGATATTATGCGTAAGTAGTGTTTACATCTTTGTCTCAGGGCATAAGAAAGTACTTAATTCCACAAGATGCCTTACGTGTGTGGACGAAAAGGGTTGGAGTGGTCTTTCGAAAGGGGTTCTATTTTATTTGACTTCTCAAGAATAGAAGATGAGACACCTTCACTTTTCGCGTAATCGTTTCCGTAGTTGGACTTTGAGGTTGGGATACTACTAATTGCTCAACTGTTCCATAACCTAGGCTTCCGTGTGGGCAGGGGGGTTGATTTGAGTAGTCTCACCAGCTTCGGTCACGGCCTGGTAGTGAGGTTCCGTCACAGAGTCAGCATGGTCGGACTTAGAGGCCCCAGCGGTTTTAATCTCAGCAAGGCCATGAGTTGTGGTGCCTTAGGGGTCGGTCATGGTGGGCTTGCAGGGGGAAGCAATATCGAGGCCGGACAAATTTGAAACGAAGGAGAAAAAAAAAATAATCCAAGTCCCTAACGCAATAGATACAGTTCATAAATCGCCAACCACTCCAGGCTTTGAGGATCCTTGAGCGGTAACTCAAAGAGAGATATCCAAGGCATGCTCATTGTTCTCAGAAAGTAAGAAAACTTTGCTATTGATCACACCTTCGCTTTTATCTCACTGTCATTTTACTTTGTTCTCACTTTCAATCAAAAATAATCAGCACCAAGCGAGAGTATAGCTTGACATAAGTCAAGGCACATTTTGTTTATAAAGGTGTTCAGGACTTTGTTTTGGTTCGAAGTTGATGACACCGCCACCGGCAGAGGTGCAAACAAGGATGTAGGCGTCTAAGATCCTGGATAGAACAGACTTCTAGTTGAGAAAACACTGCAAATGTCATCCGAATCCGTTTTGTCAGGCTTCTCATGAGCGTCGTGCACCCATCTCATTCCCGTTCTGGTTGAGATGACGGAAGCATACTGCTTGGAGACGTGAGTTTGTTTCAAATAGACGAAAGGTGTATAAAAGGAGAGCAGTGACAGATTCTAGCATTTAACCTTGCGGGTAAGCTAGCTTTAAATGCCACGGCACAAAAAACAACGCTAACTATGTCATTTCTGCCTAGCGTGAGGGGATTCTGTAAGAACTGTCTGCTTTTGATTTAGTGTGCTAACAGAAGACTCGTAACGAGAAGCACGAAGGTAGATGCGGAGTAAAAGCATATGGGATTTAGCCTAATTTCGTTACATTTGGAAGGAATAGCCCCTCGAACTAACCACAGAGACGGCCCGTCTGAATTTTAAAAGGCTTAATGTGCATGTATGCAGGCCTGAAGGTGAAGTGCTTATTTGCACTCAGGACACAATAACCAAAGAACCATGCCATCACTTATGAGGACGGTAGTTTTCGTGGCATCCGCAGTGACCTACGCCTACGCTGCTACAATATCCCCCACAAAAGCTGCCAGTATTTCAGTCAACACAGTAATTGAATTCCAAGAATTGGATGGATTCGGCATCTCACAGGCTTTCCAACGAGCCGAGGATATCTTTGGCAAAGAAGGTCTTTCTAGCAAAAATGCCAAACATGTTCTCGATCTTCTTTTCAGCATTGACAAGGGCGCTGGATTCTCAATACTGCGCAATGGCATCGGCTCCAGCAACAGCTCGGACAGCGACTTCATGAACTCTATCGAGCCCTTTAGTCCTGGATCACCGAGTGCGAAGCCTCATTACGTCTGGGATCGCAATGACAGTGGTCAGTTCCCACTAGCGCAGGAAGCCTACGATCGCGGTCTTGTCGGGTTGTATGGTAACGCATGGTCGGCGCCCGGATATATGAAGACAAATGGGGACGAAAACAATGGCGGGTATTTGTGTGGAGTGACGAACACTTCCTGCCCGTCTGGTAACTGGATGGAGGCATACGCCGACTACTTGGTGCAGTGGGCAAGGCTGTATAAGGAGTCTGGGGTGAAAGTGACGAACATCGGCTTCTTGAATGAGCCCGAATTCGCTGCCTCCTACGCGGGGATGCTGTCCGACGGCACCCAAGCGGCGGATTTTATTCGCATTCTTGCAAAGACAATCAAGGCTTCGGGTATGAATCTAGCAATCAACTGTTGTGACGGAATTGGGTGGGAGGAACAAGAGCAGATGATGGCTGGTCTCCAAGCCGGACCTGATCCCGCAGAGAACTATCTCAGTGTTGTGACTGGTCATGGATATAATTCCATGCCCAATTTCCCACTATCCACCAAGAAGAAGACATGGGTGACAGAGTGGGCTGATCTCTCGGGCGGGTTTACTCCCCACGCCTTCTTCAAGTCTGGTGCCACTGGCGAAGGAATGACATGGGCACGCAACATCCAAGTCGCGCTACTGGATGCAAATGTTAGCGGATTCTTCTACTGGATTGGCGCCGAGAATTCAACCACTGACAGTGGTCTCATCAACCTCATTGGTGATGAGGTGATTCCAAGCAAGCGATTCTGGGCTTTCGCTCAGTTCAGTCGGTTTGCTCGACCAGGTGCTCGTCGTGTTGAGGCTACGAGTTCCGCGCCATTGCTTCATGTCAGCTCATTCCTCAATAAAGACGGGAGTATTGTGACTCAGGCCATCAACAACGCTACCGAGGCATATGATATCAGCCTGAAGGTTCATTGCTCTGCAAGAATAAACAACGCTCGGCCTTATGTGACAAACAACGCAAATGACCTAACAGCCCTAGCACCTATTCGTGTTGCAAGCGATGGCACCTTCAAGACAAGAATCCCTGCCCACTCGCTGGTGAGCTTTGTTTGCTCATAGATAGGAGATCTTTCTGGGCTTTAGTACAACCGGGGTTATGTATCTGCTTACTGTGCTTTCAAGCATTAGAAATATACGAAGCCCTCGAATCCAGTGTAAGATTACATGTGTTTTTGGGGCCCTAATTGACCTCTCTTGTTCCACCTCTTTTGTGCCCAATTTCGATTGCCTCGGGCGAATCAATTAGGTCCTGTAAAGGCTGGGGGCTCAATGAAATTATGGCTCATCTTGTAGACCTGAAGTAAAGCCTCACCGGAGACAATCGTTCTGAAACTCATAGTCGTACATGAAACAGCCAAGTCCAATTCAATGAAAACCGTGACACTCGTATAATGCAAAGTAGATTAATGTGACAACATTCCAATTAACCTCCCCAAAGAAACGTGCGCGACTATCCTGACCGGATATCGGTCAATTAATGCTGTAATACGACCGCATGAATTATGTCCGTGTGGAGCCTGGAGGCTTGGGGGTCTCTCCGTTCCCCAACTCTGACACATCAGAAGCACCTAATTCCACAGGAGGACGGGGTGTTCCTGGCTGGTGAAAGAAAGGTTGGTTCATCGGTGCCGGCGCACTTATTGGCTGTGACAGAGCTTTGACACGTGCTCGTCTCTCCCAAAGGGCCCATGCTATAGATGCGAGCGCAATCACACCCAGTGGTACACCAACCCCTGCCCCGATAGCTGCCTCACGCTTGGCATTTGACCCGCTGTCGCTTGTAGGATTGGATGTTGATGTTGGGGCGGAGGTAGATGAGCCAGGAGACGAAGTCGCAGTTACTGAAGAGGCCGCAGAGAGCCCAGCGACACCAGCGATAGCTGTGCCATGCGGTACTTCAACCGATTTGAAGTTGCCACAATTGACGGTGCCATCCTCCCAATTTGCTGTGCCGCAGCAGTGAATGGTGCTGCTTCCATTATATTGAGCGGAGACGATCGGAAACCCCGAACCTTTATTATAGGGCACTAGACGTATATCATGTTAGCTGTTCGAGATATTCAAAGTGCGAATGATTGCCTCTAAATGCAAGATCTTCCACTTACTGCAATATGTGTAAGAGCCACACGAGTTCCAGCTCCGATCAGTGCAGCTTGCGCGCGAAAGCACAAAGCCGCGCTTGCCCTGCAGATAGCATAGTCCGTTTGACATGCACACATCGCCTTTGCTGCAGCAAAATGTGGTTGAATCTGAAGTACAAGGTACATCATCGGGCGCTTGTGACCCATCAGGATTATAACAGTTAATATCAGCTCGAGTTGCCACAGACCAGATCAGACCTGCCAGGAGAAAATGTAACCACCATTGTCGTGAATCAACCATTTTGACGGTTGAACAGCAAGAAACAATGAGAGGTTCGGCGCGAGAAAGTAATTCCTCCCCATGTCAGAACCAGCTCGCCTGAAGAGCGGCCAAGGGTCTTGGCCCCTCTTATGGCAAAAGAACTGAGCGGGGCGTCGTGCAGCATTTCAATGTCATCGTGCACGAAGGCGTTGGGGGCCTAAAAGTTTGAGACGTTGTCATTGGATGATCTGATCAGGAACTGCGCCCTGATCTGCAGCAACGACACTGCTTGTGGCTTAGTGAAACCTGGAAAGGAAATGATGGATGAGCGAGACCTCATTCCCAGCCACTCTGGCTTACCACCGCAGTTTATTCCCCTACAAATGAGCTTGAGCCAAGAGTCGAACTTGCGCATGATCTTGAAGCTAATGCTGCAGGGCAAACAAGCAGGAAATTTCGAAATCGTCTTATATGCAGACCTAGAACCATTGTAGCCTTTCAAATGTATAATGAAGCGGTCTTGGTCACATTAATAGAGACTATATTGAATGGCCTTAATTGGCTCCAAGTTTAGACAGGGGTTCATTTCATGACGGATAATACTCCACATGTTTAGCGCCGGCTAGCTTAGTGAGAGCTTCGCCGGACCGTTCCAACCGTTCCACCTCCTCACGGGCCATCTTCGATTGTATCTACGGAAATCCGTTAGTCCAAGAAGCAAAACAATACTCTGGAGAGCTTACCTCTATACGGCGTGGAGTAATCAGTCCCCTCGAACCCGTGATCTTCCATTCTGGTAGACCCTCGGGCTTACCCAAATCTCTCAAAGTCTTTTGCTCAACCAGACTATACTGACCATCCGCACGGCTAAAATTGAAGGGCTCTTTGAGGGCCACTGGTGGATTGGTGATAATTCGAACGTCGCGGCGGAGGTTTCGAGAAGCGGAGTGTAGCATGAATGGATGTAGAAGATATACATCTCCCACTTTCCCAGTAGCCTCGTGAAAAGACTCACTCCTTGTATCCGTTGAGGAATGCGCCCACTTATTCCAAAGGTGTGGTTGCTCGCTGGGAGTATTTGGGACATGATGAGAGGTAAGGGATGGCCATGTTCCCTCCGGGTGATCATGCTAAAAAAGGGTTGAAGTCAGTGAATGACGCAAGGTAAAAAACAATGGAATTCCTGAAGCAGGGCATACCAAATGTTGAGCTACTAGTCCTATACCATCGGTACAGATCGCAGTCCCACCGCCCTTAGACTGGATATCACTAAACAATGGAATAACCAACAATGCTTGCTCAGGGCTATCCAAGAAATGAACAAACCAATCGCCGTCATTATGCCAATCAGTTAAAGATCGAAGATCTAAAGCATCCTCTGCGTTGTATTCAGGCTTCCCCATGTTCACAATCCAACCATCTTTCCAGTCTTTGCACCAGTCTGCTACCCGATCAGCTCCACCAACGAGCTCGCAGATGGCATGCCAAGCTTTGGGGGCAAAGGTTTCCACGCTGATCATCGTGTGACCAGGCATATTCACCTTCTCCTTGGTCCAGGTTGTCTTGTCGGTGGGTGAGACACCCAAGCGAGTCCAAACCGAGGAGGTGAACTCTGCAGCGGCTTCGCGAGTGAAGCACTGAGGGACTTTGACGAAGCCATGGTCGAGCCAGTGCTGCTTTTGATCCTCCGTGAGTTTATATTGAGGCTGAGGATCAGTCATGCTTGACGATGATGCTGCACTATCCAGGGATTAAGGGACGAGCTGTGGGGGGAAACGTTGGGCGTGACCTGTCTTATGAGTCCCGCTGGATAAAGTGCAAGTAAACAAGCCATTGGCATACATGTACTGCTGTCGAGTTGTTTAACCGGGACTTTATCCGCTCAATTGTAACTGTAGCGCCACGAGGCGTTTCCTCCCACCAAATCACTTCCGAATACGAGAGATTCCCCGCACTCGCTGTCTTTGCATACAACAAATGTGTATTAAGCGTTGAAATGTAAATGTTTCAGAGGGGAATAGAGTAGTCAATTAGCAAGGTGCCTATTTACCCAGAGAAGGGCTGTATATGGTAGAGATGTCGGTATAAGTTGCCTGCGATGTATGTAGCTTGTTAAATCCAGAATCAATAAACAAATCACAAAGTATACCGCATCATAGTAACACTGAGTAAATTTGAGGCTATCTGAGTTTCATATAACTATTATCAAATCGAAGCGCTAGGTCTATGAAAAATATGGGGACAAGACACTGAGATTTGGACTTGTCTAACCGATCAATACTTGCCATTCTTGCTTTTTCGGTCATTATTATTATATTGAGAAAGATACTCAGATCATAGTTAGTCATCTCAAGACCCTAAACTAATGATCAATGTCGGGTTTGGGGTATTCGGTGAAGCCAACTGTTCTTGAAAAATACTCGAAAACACCTGATCAGATCGGCAGACGGAACATAGATTTGATAGAACGAAATTTGCGGAGCCGAGGCAAGGTCCAATCCGTTTCTGGTAACAATCGGCGGGAGCCGCAAACCGTCGCCACCAGCAGAGTATAGACCTGGGGGATGACATCAAGATCTAGGAACAGCCATTTAGCAATTTTACCCTTCTTGGTGGATTTTGACTGCGCCACAACTTCAAGACGAAGCACCTACATGGCATGATCTCGGCAATTCAGCCTTCGGCCGTATGCTAAATCTGTTTGTGGGCTATATTAATTCGACGGTTTTCCCCTTAGGCTAGAAACCATTTGGGCCCTCAACGCTAGCTCCACAATGGGATCTATCCAAGAGTGACATCTGGTTCTCTACCAAGAGCTTCGGAGCTTGGCAGGGCCACCCAAGCAATATTATCCAACTAATCAAAGCGAACCGGGCGTGCGATATTGATTTCGCTCGGCGCCAAGTAGACATGCCCAACGGACAACCAGATCACTGGAAGGCTGTGTTGATCATTGTCCCAATCGTCTGCACGGGTCTTGCAATGGCTTGTTTCCTCCTTCGCCTGTACTCGAACTTCTTGGCACATCACAAACTGCGAATTGAGGACGCACTGATGGGAGCTGGTCTCCTTTGTACTTGGGGAGTCGCGATCTGCATCGTATATTGTGAGTAGCAGAACTATTAGGACAAGAAAATTATCACTAACCCTAACTAATAGCCGCCATTCATGGAATCGGAACGGGAGGATCGATCTGGGACCTGCCTCGTGAGCAAAGGTTGCGCATCTCACTAGTAAGGTTTATCAAACTTGGCTTTGGAAATATTACATTAACATTCGCGTTTCTCAGTCCAACTGGATTTTACAGAAATTTTGGCCAGTCGCACAAGTCTTTGTGAAAGTTTCAATCTTACTCTTCCTTCGAAGAGTATTGGGCATTGTTGACTGGGTCAGACATACTGCAACTGCTCTCATGATCTTCGTTGTTGCTTGGGGAGTTACAGCCCTAATCGCGAATACGTTTCAGTGCTGGCCTGTCCAGTATTTCTGGATCAAAAGCATTGAAGGATCTTGTATGCCTGGGCAGACTACCCTTTACACTATAATTGGATCATTCTCGGTGGTGGGGGATGTTCTCATTCTTTGTCTGCCGCTTCCAATCGTGTGGGGGCTTCAGATGCGCCTGCGTGAAAAGATTGAGCTCACATGCTTGTTTATGATGGGCTGTTTGTAAGTCTTCAGGTTGTGCTACTGGGTCCTAAAGCTGACCTCGCTGAAGAGTATTTATATTCAGCATTCTGCGTCTGCTTCAGTTGAAGAATTACTTGACAGATAACCTGACATGTAAGCATGGTCATTCACTATTTCTTTAAAGAGGCATTATCTTATATTTTATCACAGATAGCAGTGGCATGTCATTGATATGGGCGATCTTGGAATTAGACATGGCAATCATATGTGGTTCTCTGCTATTGGTCAAACCTCTCTTCCAGTCCTGCATGGGAAGAGTACGGAAGGGCCTCAACCGACTTAGCAGTGGCTCGCACTCACTTTGCTCTAACGGTGTTGCCAACCCATCTCGTGGATCCCGGGAGCCAAATGAGGTTGAATTTGGACGTGCTGAGATGTTGACCATCCCAACAGCAGCAAGAGTGAGGCCCAGTCCAACCCATAATGCCAATTATGGTATTGATTGGAGTATGACCGAAGATACTCCAGACTATGATCATTTCTTAAATCCCGCTGCACAAAAATTGAAGAGCACCGTTGTGACATGAGTTCATTCTAGAAATACATAAATGGAGAAATATTTTACGATGTACCACATTCCTGTGCACCATGAATGCTTAATTCCATCCCAACCGGATGAGAAACTTGAGCAAAAGAAATATCATGACTGAATGCGATCAATCTGATTTGAAATTTGAACCTCAGCCAGTTCATCTACCTGGTGCCAATCGCGTGTGTTCCCACATATGTTTAGTGAAGGTCCCGTTTAAAATCGCTCTTTTTCTATTTATCGGTCGTTTCTCATAGCTAGATATATTTCGTCACATGTATGTGAATGTTCTATCAGTCATTTCAATCATTAATGTCACGGCCTGGGTTGCAGACCAGGGTCGCCACTTCGACGCGGTCCTTCAAAGCGTGTCTGACAGCAGGGTCGTGACAAAGCACTTCCTCCTTATGCCACTCTCTATCAACGTCACAGTATAGTAATCTGTAAGATTTCATCTTGTAGTTGGAGTGATTGGGGGTTTCCTCCACATGGGCCATACTAATGCGGTTGTGCTCTGGCACAATCTCCCCCGGAGTGATACCGGCATGCTCGATTTCATAAATGCGTGGCAATACAACCAGAGCTTCAGACGTGGAGTAAATGCCCTCTCTCCGGTTATATGTCTCGAAGATTTTCAAAACTCGCTGTCGAATGGACCAATCCCGACATGCTATCCCAGCCATGAAAATCGTTGGGATCCAGCCTTCCTTGGCAGAAAAGTAAGGATCAAGCATCCCACTGAAATCTGTTAACAATTTCTCGGCTGCATCAACGGCTGCTTCAAAGTGAGGCAAAAGGGTGTCCCATTCCATTTCAGAGCCTGTAAAATGTATGGCGGTAAGGGTGATATGGAGTATTTCATTGTTTATCTTGAGCAGCAACATGGCACGCTCTTGATTCGGAGAATTTGTGGCAACGCTATTTTTATGAAGAACAACACAGTTCTGGTATCCATTTTTGTATCGATGGAATTTATCAGAAACACTGTCCCACATGAAGCCTTGGGGGGGCGCGGAGTCGTACGTCTTCGTATTAAAGCGTGTTGGATCGCTGAAGAGCACTAGCCAAGCTTGGACTGGTAGAAGGAGCGTTTGCCGTGTTTGTTCATCTGGATAAGTCATAATATCCTGTATATTATCATCGATGAGTTCCATAAGGAAGGGCCAGTCCGGCCCCTTGTAATCATTCATCCATGTGGCACTGGCCCAGTGAAGGTGGAGTTGCACAAATGTGTTCAATAAAATTGGGGCAACAATGCTATGCTTTGCGTTGTTCTTTCTCCACTCATACAAGAGCTTTGTTCCAGATCGAAGATGACAGCGAACGGCCTCGACATCGCCCTGAAAAAGAGCAATGGTAATCAAGACAACACAAGCAACCAACACCTTCTCCGTGTGGGATGGGTCTGACAGGTCGTCTTCTATGATGCCTTTCCGAAGATGGCCGATCGCTTTATTGCACTGCTGAAGAGCGAACATGTCATGCTGACCAGCAATTGGATCCGCAAATCCCCGATGCAGAGCACTGATAGCAATTGCTGCATGGCGAACCACAGGATAACATTCACTAGCTTGATGGACAAGAAGTTGCCAAAATGGGTCGAAGCTATACCCTGTGCAATGTGCAGCGGTGTGCGAGCGGAATAACGATAAGTACTGACGCTCCTTGTTGGACAGTCCAACCTGGCTAGCATCAACGATGAGCACCAGGCTACCAGTCATGGCAGCCTCTTTGTTCGTAGGCACAACACTAAAGGTCCTACCGCTTGCGCGTGCATGGCGTGCGTCTCGAACTTCACGGGTCCTTCCGTCGGGGGGTGTCACGTATCCCTGGCATTTTCGTCCGCTACGGCTGCACATAAGACATATGGGTCGGGTTTCATCGCACTTCTTATGCCGGGACCTAAGCAAAGAGGATTTAGCACCGGGCTGATTCCGACATTGAGATCTTAACTAATTTGGCAACTCACTTGCAGGTCAAACAACCGGTACGAACCTTCGGAACACTGGCCCTCTTCTTCTTCTCGCTCACTGCTTCTACCATGATTGGTTCACAGCTGACATGGGCCAATGTGGATCTGGGGTAGCTGACGGGGTGTGACTTGGCTATCGGAGCCTTGCTGGAAAGCGATGGTGGGGATCGCGTAAATGCACTTTTAGCCCCCAATTAATATGACAAGGATCATCTTCAATCGTCCAATTGTGAAGGTCGTTGATGTTGGGGTAAGGCCCTAGTGCCTGAGGCAGAAATACCATGTCGAATCCTTGTGAAATCCTATACCGTAGCGCCCAATTGGAGACCTCGAAGACTCTGTATTGTATTGCCCCTATTACGGAGCTATTTATGCTGGTCTAATTACATAATCCATTGGCATGGATCATCGTATCTCCGGTTTCCATGCAGTATTCGTATGATATTGCTGTCATACCAACCCAATCTCACCGCCAATGGGGTCCGAGATTGTTGATTCTTCGCACATGTCACATTGAATAGACAAACATTGTAGTTCTGTGAGATGGCCCCCATAGCCAGAGATGCATTGGACTTTCCCGAGTCGGATAGGAGCTTCCTAGACCCTCATCTTCCGGCCCAGGATGGCACTGCCCGGGATCTCCCCTTTACAACACTCACTTTCGCCACATCGCTCGACTCCTCCCTTGCTCTCTCGCCTGGGGCCCGCACGGTCCTATCTGGGCCCCAGTCGAAGGCAATGACACATTATCTCCGGTCACGCCACGATGGTATTCTGATTGGTGTTGGCACGGCAGTGGCGGACGATCCAGGTCTCAACTGTCGCATTGCAGGAGTTGGAGGCTACGGCAATGACGGTTTAATTGGCCAACCGCGACCAGTAGTCATCGATCCATCTGCTCGATGGGATTTTTCCGATGATAGCAAACTGTTTCAACTTTGCAGAGAGGGACGTGGTCGCGCACCGTGGATTGTGACAGCACTGGACCAACCCTCGGCGGAGAAACAAGCTCTGCTCGAGAAATATGGTGGAAAATTCATCTCGCTGGAAATTCCAGAATCTGATGAAGGGCGGCATCAAATCAATTGGCGCGATCTATTTGTTACGCTCAAGTCGAATGGTCTTTTGAGCGTGATGGTAGAGGGTGGTGGCCAGGTCATCAATTCCCTCCTGAGTCCTTCCCATATGTCACTACTGAATTCTGTGATTATCACGATTGCTCCAACTTGGCTGGGTCAAGGTGGTGTAGTCGTGTCACCAAATAGGCGGTTCGATGACGGAGGAAACGCGGTTTCTGCTGCGAGATTGACCAACGTCAAGTGGTACCCATTTGGTGAAGATGTTGTCTTGTGTGGTCAGGTGAAGCTTTCCGAGGCTTGAAATTCAACGCATCCACTCGGAGTTGAGCAAGCTTTCACAAGCGGGGGTTTAATTCTCTTGGCTCCCCAGGCAGCTATGAACACATGCATAAGCAACGGCACTGCTTTGCAACGCAACTCTTTCCTCAGAAAGTAACGTACTTTCATGGATTCCGTTGTGAAACCTCCCCTGTCATAGATTTTCAAACTATACCAGCGCTAGATCAACCCTATGATACGGGAGGTTGCTTAGCTGGGTATAAAAGGTACGTGGCTGAACTCGTGATGATTGATTCTTTGAATTACACGAACCATGGCCCCCTGCGATATCTTATTACCTACCCCATGAATGTACGGGGCGCAGTTGGGATTAAACATTCTGAAACTTCTCGGCCCATATAAAATCGGCAGATCATCTTTCTCGAATGATCAGAAATGTGGAGACCGTCGTAATCAAGCACAAGATTGCTGTTTCGGTCAGTTTTGAGCGTGGCATTTTAAGAGAAGGAAACCCTCCCTTTGGGCAACATAGGCAATGAAGTGATCTTACCAAGAAAAGAATTCATAAAACAGTATCCAAAGTCGTCCGTCAGTGTACTAGATATCAAAGGTCCACTAAACATTCCCAATTTCCAATTGATATTGAATAAGGACAAGGAGCGAGAATATCCACCGTTTGGACCGAATAGTCCAGGGAACTCCTCCTCAACCCCATTTGTGCCATTTAAATACCACCATCAGCAACGCCCGAATTCGCACTATTTGGTATATTTGATCCGATGTTCCAAAGGACAGGGAAACTTGCGCATGATCTCAATGCCTCCAAAATCTAGTAGAAGCGTTCTGCAAGAACCCAGTCCCACAAGCCCTGTGATTTAGATTGCTTTCCCTGTTTTCCTTATATCGGTCCATGGAATTTTTCATTGCCAGCTACTCCAAGAAGCCAGAGCGAAGAAGTAGTCAATAAGAAGCCAATTTCAACTGAATACCTCATGCCGATTTTGTCCTTCGCCCATCCCGCGGGAAGTACTAAGACTACGTAAGGTGATTAAAGTAGGAGAAACAGTAGGCCCGCGTGAAGACTATCCCATTGAAATATTGATCTGCTGTGGAGGGGAATTTTAGTCTCAAAGCTGGCGAGGATCATGGCGAATAAAACATCAGCAGCTAGCGCCGTTGAAATACGAATTTGATAAATCATGAGGCAATACACATTCTGTGTAGCCGGCTGCGGTAATTTGAATTATTCTAAACATTTGTTCACCTCTATACTTGAGAGCGATTGGTACGTAGTCACCGCCGGGGAGTTTGAGTGTAGAAAGCCTGTTTCGGTGACGGATTCATTGGAGCTGAAACGTGTCAAGGGAGTTTTCTCGACATGCTTGGTGGGGCATATCATAAGCAACTGCAGGACCAATCCGAGAGCTATCACCACGAAAGCGATTGCCCACATCAATGAATAAGACACCAGCGCGTACAATGTCCCTGAAATGGCTGGGCCAACAGGAAGCCTGCAATAGCGAACATGTATCTCAACCCGAGCGCTTTAGCGCCAACGGTATCTGCAAGAACTGCCATTCCAATTAACTAAATCAATGATCTAGAAATGGTTTGAATGGGTCGGCCAATAAAGAAAATGTAGACTCAGGTAACATAAGTTGCTATGTTGTTAACAGGGATGTGCTAGCTTACGTTTCGCTGGCCGTGCACTGAGGAGTGTCCCAATCACGCTAATTGCCCAAGATACTACCAAAAGGCGGTTCTTCTTGGATGTTTTGTCGGCGAGATGACCTATGAAAGTGGCAATGCCAGTCGAGACCAGTGCATTCATCGAAAGGATGATTGAAATGAGGATTTGAGTGTCCGCGGGATCTGTTCCTATACGTACTTCGAGCATGTCCAGTGGAATTGGAACTACGAAGCTGAATAGAAATGCGTCTGATCACAACGTTAGCTTCTACATCATCTTTTCCAACTGCTTTGGAAAAAAAGAACAAACCAGAGAACATAGCGAATGAGATAGCAGTGACGACAAAAATCTTGGGCGATCGCCATCCGTGGCCAGCTGGTGAGTCCCGAGTAGAAATTCCAACCGACATATCTCAAATTTTTGAGGTTAATGGGCTGTCTGAATAGCGATGTAAATAATCCAAAAACCAAAGGCCTCCCGTACGGATGGATTGATCGCGACATAAGGAAGCATTAAACACTAGTTGTTTCCATTGTTTCGCTCTTATCCTAACATTCATTTCAAAGATGTACCCTTGTTTCGGAATATGTCTTACTGAATGAACTGGTTTGAGCATCCAATAGACGGGATCGATTCAGGCTAAACCATGGTCATTTGGGCTGTAGATGCTGCACGTGCAAATCTAGTTTGCTATACTAAATTTAAATCGGTATCTTGATCTCGACTGCATATAACGCAGTAACAGGTTCTAGCAGTGGACCCCATCAATACCTTTTTAATCAATACTGAAACTCGGCATGGACATAATGTGAGACAGATCCATAGTCCATCCAATGGTCTTTATCTTGTCTGTTACATTGTAACAACCAACAGGACAGGTCCCCTTTTTCTTTGCTCTTTGTTAGGTGTTGGTGGAACAACAGTGATTGGAAAATGCCTTATGTTGTTGATAACTCTGGTGTGATTTATTTCATAACAATGACCTTTGAAACTCATTTTCATACCAAGTCATCAATGCAGAAAATAGCAGTATAAATAACTTGAATCGCCCAAATTCTTACACTTTTACCATCTGCAAGCTCTTTCGACTATATTTCAACCTGGCTTAGGTTTGCCTGGTAGAACTCTAGAGCCATGCCTGGTCTTTCCTATGAATGGAAGCCGCAATCCGAAGAACGTGAGGAGCTATTAGCTGCATTACGACAACAAGTTCGCTATTTCAGGTATAGACCAGAGTGCCGTAGTGAAGTGATTCAGAAGCTAAAACAAATTTCTCAAAAAGCATTTGAGCGCTTGGACAATCCACCTCAGGCCTATGATTCGCGACTTGAACAGCTGTACAAGGCGCTGCGGGAATATTTGCCTAGGGCTATTGAATTTCTTATGATTAACCCGAAACATGATCCAAGTGCTGCTGACGCAATCGCGCAGATCTGTCTCGCCTCATCCGTTTTTAACCGCTTTGGGGTCGATATCAAGAAAGCTGGGACGGATAAAGAAACTAGCTTTTTGCCTTGAAATATCCTCCGTCATTTTCATCTCGACCTTGGTATCGCAGATTTTACCCATATAGAAGGGCGAGATGTTTTGAGGTTTGGAGGTAAAAGGAATTAGATTGTTCCCTTTTGAGCCCCTTTTCTCATTAGAATAGTGACATCTTTGGTTTTTATAGTATGAGTAACTGGCTTAATTTTGAACAGAGAAAAATAAGAGAAGCGATTCGAATCAATATTAACCATCTATCTGCGTAGCTCAGTGGAGACTCCTTGGCTTATCCAGTAGTGAGTCGACATTTATGACTTATTGAACCTTTCCCCTTGAATCAACTGGCCAAATCTCTTCAATGACGCCCTGGCGGTAAGCATAATAGAAGTCATGCAGGTTGACAGTGGGGTCGATATGGCTCGGAATCATTTCAACACGATCACCGACCGAGAGGTCTGGCGTACCCTCCTCCCACATAAGAGAACCATGCTCATCACCAAGAACTCCATAGACATATCTCGGATCCTTGCACTCTGCCAGCCCACTGTCCGTCGTCAAAGACTTCAATCCACTATCGATCGTCACCGCTCGGGGCCCTTGCTTGCTCACAACCGTTGACAGGATTGTGAGACTGTTTGAGTAGAAGGTGCCGACGGCGTTTCGGTAATCCGTGTCCATGAAGATGAATGAACCAGGCTGAAGCTCAGTGACGCCAGGAACCGTGGCACAAAACTCAGCCGTCCCAGTCCCTCCTGTGGTGACTACTTCAATGCTGAAGCCTGCCTTCCGCAGGGAGTCCGCAGTACTTGTTAGGATCTGCATAGACTCCAAGCACTGACTTTTGCGGTCCTCTTTGTCATGCAAATGCTGCAAATGACCTTCATAGCCTTGAACACCAATGAGTTTCAGGTGCTTCAAACCACCGACATGTCGAGCCAGAGCAAGGGCAGGTTCGCCTGGGGAAACACCAGTGCGGTGAAGCCCAACGTCGAGATCAATAAGCGTCGTGATTGGGTCTGCAATACCTGAGCTTGCCAAGGCATCGTTGATGGCTGATGCACCGGTTTCGCTGTCAACCACAATTCTTATCTTAGGGTATTTGCGGAACAATTCCACTAGTCTCTTGACTTTAGCAGGGCCGACAATTTCGCATGTAATGAGCAAGTCGTCGAAGCCAGCTGCAGCAATTACTTCGGCTTCGCTGACTTTGGCCACGCAGCCTCCCTTAGCACCGGCTTTCACCAGCTTTCCAGCTAAAATGGCGCTCTTCGTTGTTTTAAGATGAGGACGGATGTTGAGTCCAGTTGGTAGTAGCTTGTCCATGAGCTTCTTAATGTTTGCTTCCATGAGATCGAGGTCTGCAATCATGGATGGCGTATCAAGGCTATCAAGGCTGTCACCGACCTTGGGAGAATACATGTTGCGCAGAGATCTGGAAGTTCGGAGACTCAAAACTGCTAAGTAGCGGAACAAATTAGTTCTATTGGTAAAGAATTCTGGAAGTTGGGAAAGTCCCAATTTATGTTGCAAGGACGCAAGGGGGGAAGATACCAAGCTGCCCCCGCACTAACGGTGTATAACGGTGGGGGCATACTTTGATAGTGAGGCGGTGTTCCGCGTTTACTATGGGCAGAATGAGGGGGTAGGGTAGCATCGGACCCTGTGCCTGAGTTTTGACAGGCTATGGACGATTTCCGGTCCTCCGTTTGCGGCAAAAAAGAATAATTTCAGGGGTAAATGAGGACACACCCAAGAAGTCGAGGATTCTTTAATAATGCGAGATCAATATGTTAGACCTATGGTAAATTTGGAAATAGAGTATGGTGATCCATTACAGTACAATGCCGTTGTATAATAATGTATTATCATCAATCTATTCTATCCATGGATGGCATTTCTCGAAAATGGCATTTGCAAAACATGAGCAATTTTTGATGCAGCAAAGGAAGTATATGGCTTGACATTCTGCAAGTCCTACGGGGAGCACCTTTCATAAGTAATTTGTTAGCGCTACTGTCACTGCGCTTTGTACAATTCCTTACGTTTCTATTTTGATTCTGTATTACGTTTTCTAAAATGAAACCGAGGTGTCCATGTGTTTCTACAACTCCAAGGAGGCCAGTGCGGAGACTGTTCACCACAATATGAATCCGGCGCTGCTTCCTATCTTGTTCACTACCAAGATGTTATATTCTATGAGATTGCCTTCATGGATAATATTCACGGGGGTAAGCCTCTAGTATTAGGTGGTTACCGTAAATTAAGTCTCTGTCAGAAATTAGAGCTCACCCCATATTTTCCACGATAAAAAAAACCACCTATGCATCTCAAGACCTCTCAAACTCATACATCTCATATCCTGTAAAGTTTTCCATATTATTCAATTTATACACCCACATCGGGCATCTTTTTGGCATTCATAAGCCTTGTGGGGCCAGTAAATAAACAAAATCAAGAAAATATAAGCTCCACATACTGAGCTAAGCTCATTGTGGCGGGAGGTCAACAAATAGGCGTGTGGAAAGTCAAAGGCCGCAAGATTGCGAGAAATGAGCTTTGGGTCGGCTTGTCGGTTTCCAGAATGGGCTAAGAAACATTGACCTGATTGGTCATCAGCCTGCATAACGAAATATATCACCATCCTCAGAAATGCACGCAATTCTAAGACGCGCACCTTGTATTATTGTCTGTGGCTTGTAAGATATATAGGGCAAGACTCAAACTGAAGATTGCATGAAAACCAGTTCATTTTCTTGGCAAGGGTCCCGGCCAATAGGAATGGATTTCGGGGGAGTTTCGCCGATTAGTAAGAATGGCTTCGGTCCCTGTCCGGGGCGCGGTGACGCGGGGACTGACGAGTTGCCCCTGTTTCTTCATTGGCCGTCGAAAGACCTTTGTTAACAAACTAGCAGGCTTAGTCGATTATGGCTATTAAAAAAAGATACGAATATCGACAGTGCATAGCAATTCTAATATCCAGCTGCAATAATAAACAGGCTCTTCTTTTCGAACAATGTTGCTCCCGTTCACAGACCAGATGCACATGAGTCTATAAATAAAGTTAGCTGTTTTGAAATCAAACTGATTCTATTGGAACTTGAGCCCAGCCCTAGGACCTGGCCCGCATGTCTCCACGGCATGGTCTCAACTTATTCGCCCGGATGAGCTGGAACAAATAGACATCGCGCGGAACAACCGTCGTCAGCGTTGTGGATACAATGGAATAGCGGTAGAAGAAAAGGGAAATTACCGATAAGGCGAAGCACAAACGGGAAACATATATAGAGCTCTCTTCCCATGAGTCAAACACGATCTTTACAAGTAACTCTCATACTTCACCGCGACTCATGATGCGCAACACTTTCCTCACTTTTCTCGCATATGCTACGGCCATCTCGGGTGTTTTTGGTAAGAGATACTCCCCTTATTTGGAGAAAGTATTGTAGCTGACAACCTTCCAGCGCACCCCGAACGCCACGATCATTCTAAGATTCATGCGCCCTCCGTTCAAGCTCGCAGTGTCGACAAGTGCGCCCGCCACATTGAGCAGCGCCGTGATACTGCGCTGCTGAAGCGCAGAAGTGCCATGGCAAAGCGCTCAGCGTCTCCTAAATCCACTGCCAGTCCCTACAAGTATACCGAGGTCCAGAACAAGACTTGTCTGTTGGCCCCAGACACCATCTTCGGTCCCTATGATGTGGACGGCGAACTCCACCGTCATGACGTCCGCGAAGGACAGGAGGGCATTGAACTCTACCTCGACCTTGGCCTGGTCGATGTGGAGACCTGCGAGCCTCTCCCTGATGCCTGGCTGACCATTTGGGTAAGTGAACCTGTATTCATAGCGATCTCACGTATATGAAACGCATTCCTGACTTCTTATCTAGTCCTGCAATGCCACAGGTACATATTCTGGCTACGTCGGTATCGACCCAGACACCGTATCAGCTTACGACGGCTGGACTATGAGATCAGACGGCACCACCGACGACGAGACATTCCTGCGCGGAATCTCCAAGACAAACGAAGCTGGTATCGGTGAATTCCGCACCATTTTCCCAGGATACTACTCTTCTCGCACAACCCATATCCACGTTACTGTGCAAACTAACGTGACAAACGATGACACCAGCTACTCCGATGCGGCTACCAAGCATGTCGGTCAGCTTTTCTTCCCCGAGGATCTGATTAACTCTGTTTATCAGTTGGCGCCTTACCATGCTCATCTTTCTACTCTGAATCGTACCCTCAACAGTGAAGATTCAGTTTACTCTGTTGCTAATGATGATGGGTACTCTGCTATGATTTCTACCGAGCTGATTGGTAAGACTCTTGCTGAGGGTTTGATTGGATATATTACTATTGGTGTTAACAAGAGTGCTTCGGCTATTGCCACTACCGGGCAGGATGTAAACGTGCAGGGTTACTTGCCTACTGTTTCGTTGAGCTCTAGTGCTCAGGCTGCTGCCAACACTCTTGATCTCGCCGAGGGCTACCGTGCTAACGGTATGAAGGTTTAAGGGCTATTGACTAAAATTAATCGTTGTTGAGAACATGTTTTATTAAGATTTACAGCAGGTTGGCTGCTTGAAATGCAAATGAAAGATAAATATAACGTGTGGCTGAAATAAATTATGATGCAGAAAATTAGAAATTGATAACACGAAAGATTAAGTCAAATCAATCTGCTATGAAAAAGAAAAGATTAGAGCTTTCAGTCCTTATATGGCAAAGCAAAAGATGGCCCGGTGGAATCTCTGCCGTCAGACTTCTCAGCCTGCGGCTTAGAAATCTCCCGTCGAAGGATATCAACCAGCTCTTCTTGATCCGCCATAGTCGTGACGGTCTCACGCCTTGGACGCGCAGGTCTTTCCTCATTCTCGGTGTCGGCTGTCCTGCTTTCTTGTTCATCTTGGAGAGTCTGCTGCCGTACCAACGAAGCCGCCTGTTGCTCGGCAAGAGCTGCCGCAACACGCTCTTCAAGTGCCTTCTCGTCGATTTCTTTCTTGAGAGTAGCATAGTGTGACCGACGATAAACGCCAATAGTGCTAAGAACGATGCCGAGGATTTCATAGAGAAACATTACCGGCAAAGCGTAGTTGAGTAGAGGGTTACAGCCCCCCGACCAAATATCAATCAGCACTTGGAAGATGCTGTGCGCAGGCAATGCATAGCCTACTTGGTAAAAGGCCGGGGAAAGCTCGAAAGGGAGTAGGATTGAAGTGACATTTGTCACGACCCAGGAGATCAACGCCATTGGCACGTAAGGGGGTGGGAGCCAAATGGTGAATACATCCATGACGAGAAAGTTCAGATGCGCGAAGAGCCATAGCGCCATCCAGGTCAGCATGAACTGGCCTCCGTTGACATGCCAGCCATGTCGGAAGGCCCAGATTGCGCCCGTCGTGCAAAGAGATCCGACGAATGTGTATACTACCGAGATGATTTGGCGCACGATGGCAATTCGATGTGGAGAGACCGACGCGTAGAGGTTGAACTGGGCGTATAGACCATTCACGGTACCCAGGTAAAAGAATTCTTGGATCATGATCAAAATGATGACCAGAGTGTTGTAGATAAGGCGGGACCCCTGTGAGGTGGGTTGAATATTGGTGGAGGCCAATGTCCACGGGTTGGAGAAAGCCGCAAGTGCAGCAGGATCTGACGTGTCGAGACTCTTGAGAGCTCGTTCCCCGTTCGTATGCGAATAAGCGACCCGTCCAGCTTCTGACAGGGACTTTAGGCTAGTTTGAAGAGCCGAGTCTACCACTGTGGGGTATCGTGCTTCATTCCACACCATGGTAATGACATTGCTGTTGTCGTATGATGAAGCAGCCGATCCACCGGCAAATGCGGCAGTAAGGGCGTCAGAGGCATTGGATGTGATGTAGAGACCTCCCCAGAATTTGATGTCGCAAACCGCGCCTTCGATATTGCCTGCCTGTGGATATAAAGAAGCTGGGCGCTCAATCAGGTTTGGGAATCCGGCACCCTCGAGCTTCTGATACGCATCGCGAACTGCATCGCCGATCGCGCCGCCATCGTAGTCGACAAATAGAACATTGATGTTGTGAATATGACTTGACTGTTGGAACAGAGATCCAAAGATGTAGCAGAAGAGACCCAAAAAGAGAATTTGAAGCAGGAAAAGATTGACGGTCGCGGCCTTCAGCACCGCCAATCGACGCGGCCGAACAGACGGATGGTGGATGCTAGGCCGCTGCTCGCGCGCCTTGGGATAGAACTGCATATGCCCTGGCGATTTTCGCCTATATAGCTCGTAGTGGATCTGAATATTCCTCCAAGGTACTTGCAGAAGACTTATATGAAAGTATTGTTGCTGATCCAAGCTCAGCATCAAACGCCGAAAGCCGGAGAAATCTCGTAATTCGGTGTCGGTGGGCCGAATATCTCCCCACCCGGAGATAAACTAATTTAAGCTCCGGCCGACAGACCAGGGTCCTCTCAAGCACAGAGAACCAAGTTCTGCCTTTGTTGGGGAGTAAAGGGCCATTTATCACATTACAAGGGTGCTGACAAGTCAGATCTGAGGTCAAAACGGGAAAATGGTGCGGGATCTGTCAAGCCGCATAGGGTAAGTCGTCTCTGAGTAATAAGCTCCAGCTAGTCCGTTTGAGCCGTGCCAACCATAATTCCCAGGCACCCGATCACTCTATTCAGATCTATAGAAGTGCCGTGTATCCGTAGATTCGTAATGATATTAATAATTTCGGTGTTTGAATAGGTGAGGAATACATGTTTATTCAGAACACAAGGTGTTCCCGGTCAATTCCCTTGCTGGATGGCATTTGTGGTTTCTTTCATTGATTGTTAGTGCTGATTGGCTTCTGCTAGCGTAAAGCTGATGGGTTTGCCCGACGTATCTGGTCGGTTAATTTTTGAGTAGAGAGGTATTTCATGAAAAAATGGTGAGCCAGTCGTTAGAAAGTGCCAGAACTAGGGTCCAATTCAAAGGCTGCAACTAGAAATGACGATGGTATGTGTGAGTAACATTCCATTGACTCGTGCTTGTTGTCTCCTGTGAGAAGCAGCGCTCACTTCCTTGGCAAAGGGAAAACAATTCTTCACTCAACGAAGCCATTCAACTAACTATATCTTGACTCAACAAGCAGATCGCATTCAACAAGTCTGAAAAATACTCTGGCGCATGTTGAGTAATCATCGGTGTTGAATAATCAAATATTGCCCCTTTCGGCGCTAGCTTCAATCACTACCATCTATCATTCCCCGGATATACTGTTGAGTAATCTTTAATTTTCCAGCTACGCAGGTACACAGGACGTCCCCAGGAAATACATTGATCATCAAACTCGGCCTCGGGCTTCACCACGATGTGATTTATCAGCCTTGATAGGAACAACGTCGCGACATATACTTACTACTACCGCCCTCATGGTACTATATATTTCTTGTTCGCTATAAAACTACTGTACGACCTCCGTTGGTCTGTGTATGCCGAACTGGTGGGACGAGCATACTTTTAACATGGCGCAACTCAGAACTGACCAAGATATCGACGTGCATGACAAGATCGAGGATTCCTCATCGTTGTCCGATGATAAGCTGGAAGCTGGACTGAATGCCTCCGCGGGAAATAATGACACATGGGACTGGGATAATGATCCCAGGAATCCCTACAACTGGCCATCCCGACTGAAAGTTCAGCAAGTTCTAATGATTGCTTCGGCAGCACTTACAACGTCTGCCAACCTCACCCTATCTATACAGCGGAATGCTGGCATATAGGCTAACATGTTATCCAGGTCTCTTGGTGTATCGATCCTATCCCCTGCTCACTCGGAATTTATGACAGAATTTGGAGTCAGCAGCACAGTGGCTATCCTACCCTTGTCTCTCTATGTCTTTGCTCTGGGCCTCGGTCCTATCGTCGGAGGGCCGCTATCCGAGACTGTTGGAAGATATCCAGTGTATATCGGTACCATGGTTCTTGGCACATTATTTACTTTGGGTGCTGGCTTCAGTCCTACGTTTGCTGGGCTTTGTGTGTTGCGATTTTTGGCGGGTTTTTGCTATGCACCCACATTGGCTATCGCTGCTGGGACAATCAACGAAACCTTCAAGCCAGTGAAGCGTGCTATTCCGTCAACCATTTTTATTTTATCCCCTTTCTTGGGCCCTGGACTAGGGTGAGCTTCCTTTCCACGCAACTCAAGAGTGTCTGATTTGACTAACATCATGTGAAGACCTGTGATTGGAAGTTTTGTCGTGAACCGAAAAGGCTGGCGTTGGACTCAGTGGACAATGATTTTCTTCGCCATATTCACTCTCCTCACAATTGTTCTCTCTAGAGAGACCTTTCATCCTATACTGAAACGTCGACGCTCAAAAGAACTCGGACTCGATATCCCGCCGTCCCCGCCTCTTTCTTCCAAAATCAAGCTTTTTGCAACTATTGCCCTTGTGCGACCTGTCCACATGCTGTTAACAGATCCCATCGTCGCATTCATCTGTCTCTACGTTGCGTGTGAATTTGCAACACTCTTCTCATTCTTCGCCGCGATCCCTCTGATCTTCCAAGGTGTCTACAAATTCGGCATCGAGGATTCCGGTCTCGTATTTCTGGCAATCGTTGTCGGATGTCTTCTTGGAAGTATCACTGTGCTTCTCTGCAACATTCTACTCTATTTGCCGCAAGTCGCAAAGCACAAGGGTCAGCAGGTTCCGCCTGAGCATCGTCTTTACCCAGCTCTCATCGGCAGCCTTGGTCTCCCGGTGGGTCTTTTCTGGTTTGCTTGGACTGCTAGAGCGGATGTCTCCTGGGCAAGCCCTGTTGTCGCGATCATGCTGTTTGCATGGGGCAATCTTTGCGTCTTCATCAGTACAACTCAGTATTTAGTTGATACATACCATGGCCTCACTGTAGCAAGCGCCATGAGTGCAAACAGTCTGGCCCGATATGGACTCGCGGCAGCATTCCCTCTATTTACCATTCAAAGTATGTGTCGATCTTCGGACTTTGGGCTTTACACTTTATGTTAACCATTTTCTAGTGTTTACAAAACTTGGCACGGGCTGGGCCGCGAGTTTGCTAGGCTTTATTGCGGTTGCTCTTTTGCCTGTTCCTTGGGTCTTCTTCAAAACCGGTAAGAAGCTGCGTGCTTTGAGTAAATACGAGACTGCGGAAGCTTAGGGACTATAATAGGAATGATAATAGATTCTGTACAAAATTGATTAATTAGCTAATATATTGACGTTATCTGCAGCTCCAAGTTCATGATATTCACGTTAGAGAAATTGAGTTGCATACCGATTGGTGAAGATCCTGCCTGTGCATGCTACAAATATTTGTTATAGAATGCCATAGAAGTACCCCTGAGCCATTTAGACGGTGCTCCACTTCATTCGTCAGAGCAGGTCTGAGTAATACCCTTTCCCAACATACATTTCTCAGTCTGTCGATGAACCAACCCGCTTCAATGCTAATGGCCGATTTTCGGCGGATTTAAAAAGTAATCCTACGTCGTTTATGTTTCAAAAATCGGTTGGGGGAGGGTGCATATGACTCGAGGTATCTCAACGTAGGAATCAGTAATCGAAAATTGCCATCCAGGCTCTATAAAAACGTGAAGTTCAGCCAGTCATCACAGCTTCAATTTGCAATTCAATTTCAGAAGCACACTATTGTCTTTTCATCATGACCGTTCCTAAAATCACCTTCTTCTTTGACATTGGCAGCCCCTTCAGCTGCATCGCATTTCATGTATTGAGGGCAAGTTCCATATTCTGATAAAAATGCGTTCAACCCTTCTAACATATGCCCACAGAACTCTCCTGTTTTCTCGGACTGTGAAATTGAATATGTTCCTATTCTTTTCAGAGACTTGATGCAAGCCTGTCAAAACAAACCTCCAATTTCAGTGAAGAGTATGTTATTTCCTATTCCTTTGTTCTGTCTTTAGCCGTGTTCACTTGCTGGATCTAACTGACCACAACAGACAAATTCCAATGGATAAATCGAGAACGAATCTACTGGGCTCGTCGTTTCAATGTTCCCATGTCTGAAGCTATCCCAAAGGGCTTTCCTGCACCTACCATTGAAGCTCAGCTTGCTCTAGGCGCCATCGCTACCCATGCACCAGAAAAGCTGGTTTCCGTCACGGAAAAACTGTATCGTGGATTCTGGGCGGATGGAGACTCGGCCGTTCTGACTTCTGCTGGGCTTTTGCCTACTCTCGAAGAGGAGCTTGGGGAAGATAGAGCAAATAATATATTGGAACAGGTAAGTCATATTCAAGACTTTTCATTGAGAATTTTCTAATTTTTGCCTATCAACAGTCAAAAAATACCGAGGTGAAATCTAGCTTGGATGCAAGCACTCAAAGAGCATTCACTTCGGGTGCTTTTGGCTTGCCATGGTTGGACTGCACAAATTCCCGGGGCAATAAGGAAGGATTTTGGGGAATCGATCACCTAGGTTGTGTGGTGGACTTTTTGCAACTCGATGCCAGTCTGGACCATGCTTTCCGGGTCTTACTTTGAGATCTCTCAATTAGTTGAAGCATGCATCACCTAAGCTCTAGGCTTATCGTACGACTTATCTCAACTTTGTATCAGCTATATAATCATTTGTTTAGTTGACTTTGTTCATCTTTTAGCTTAAACCATTATTTCTTTTTGTAAATCATCATGCGCGAGTCGCATAGTTTCTTTCTAGAGAGAACTCACATGTTAGACATTGACTACTGTGTTATCCACATCTGCAGAAATCCAGACTTGTTTTCCTCCATACCAAGTCTCCATGGTCCTGGCTTTTAACAAGGTATTAGGATCCCATTCCATATCAACAATGACAAAGTCCGCTAATTTTCCCACAGCCAACATGCCTGTCCTGTCTTCCGCAAAAACACTTCGAGCTGCACCTCCTGTTGCTGCAACCATAGACTCGCATAAACCAAGTTTGAAATGTTCATTTACGGTCTGGGAGTATTTTTTATCTCTGGCGGAGTGTCGTGTTGTCGCAACATAAAGGTTGTGCATCGGCATCCACGGCGAAGTGGGACTATCACTACCAATAGCCATCAAAGCACCAGCATCAGAAAACTCTCTGTATGCAAATGCATGTTGGCAGCGGTCTTTTCCAAGCAAACGGGGCCACTCTGTCAAGATTGACGGGTCGGCATGAACCGGCTGAATTGAAGCTGTCAATCCCAACTCTCCCAGCCTCTTGGCATCTTCTGGAGATGCAAGTTCGAGATGCTCAATGCGGTGGCGCCTGCCTGGCGTCGCATATTTCTCAATCGCATCGATTGCCATCTTGATGGCCGCGTCGCCGATTGCATGGAGGGCTATCTGTAGACCAGCAGAATCGGCCTCTTTGACAAGCTGATCCAAGTGTTCTGGCTCCCAGATTGGTGGAGGTGAGTCTGTCGATGCATAAGGTTGTGACAAAAAGGCCGTGCAGGCATCAATGATGCCATCGCAAATGACCTTTACGCCGACTATGCGCAAGTCTGGACTTGTTGCGGTGTTATATTTCTGCGAAAGTTCAATAGCGCGTCTGATTTGCTTGGAGATTTCTTCAGAGCTTGAACTGGGTTTTATTAGCCAGTAAGCTGAGACTCGTAGTGGGAAGTCAGGCTCCATTTTGCGCAATGTGACAAGAGAATCCCACGCCTCTTCGTCCATGGCCATCTCTACCACGCCAGTATAGCCAGCTGCATTGTACTCTCCAACGGCTGCATAAATAGCCTCCATTCGATCTTCTTTTGAGCTTGATACAGCTTGGAAAGGCCAGATGATAGACATCATGGCGCCTTCGTCCAAAACACCGGAAGGACTCCCGTCGGCGTGTCGATGGATTTTGCCTCCGGCAGGATCTGGCATATCAGCAGCGCCCAGCTCTTTTAAAGCAGCAGAGTTACACCAGCATGAGTGTTGAGAGCTTGCGTCAATGAAAATGGGGCGAGAATCGATATCATCGAGCATGTCCGCTGTGACGCCGTTGGGAGTCATGGAATGCATCCAATTTTTGCATTGGATGCTTGGCTTATCTGGGTTTGCGGCAGCATATTTTTTGATTGTCAATTTTATATCTTCCACAGTCTTGCAGTTCTTCAAGTCAAGTTTGCGGAGCGATTGGCCCAGAAGGAGAAGGTGCATGTGGCCATCGATGAAGCCAGGAAGGATGACCTGCTGTCCAAGGTCTCGAGGCTTAAGATTCGAACAGAGCCCAGAAGAAATAACATCTTTGTATGATCCGATCGCGGTGATCTTATCATCCTCAACAAGCATGCTATCTGCAAAAGAGGGGTCCGCATGCTGACCAGTGCCGGCATCAATTAAGATACGGCCATTGGAGAAAAGTGACCGCGTTAACATGGTAATAGACAATATTTCAACGTCAAAGGAAGATTGAAGACGAGAGCATTTAAGGACAACAATAGATATGTTGGTATGTTCAAGGCCGGGATGATCAGCTAACTCGGAGATAAATCTACCCACTCCCGTCCCCACCTCGCCTCGACTTTCCCTCCGAGAATATCAACACTCGTATACTTCAACATCGGATATCAACGGTCTGGGGATTGTAGCTATCAGAGTACCTCGTTTGCTGTATCATTTTGTCAGATCAATGGCAATTGACAATGACCCCAGGATTTCTTCTCCACTATAACCACTGCCCCGGCCCGGTCTTTCATTCACTACCTACAAGAGGCCCAGGAAAGTGTATCGTGTGTCGACAAACTTGTCTATTTCCTCTCTGCTTTGTCTCCTCCCAGTCAACATATCAATCAACCAATTTCCTCTGATACGACAATCTGCACTCTCGAGACGCTAGCTTCAGCAATGTCGCAAGCCATCATTACTACACACCACGCCAACGACTTTCCCAAAGAGAAGTCCAACAACACAATTGACCTCGAGCAATCTGAGGGCGAAGTCATCAATCAAACAGAACGCAAACATGAGCATGCTCTAGAACATGCCCTGACCGTGGAAGGCAACGAACGCTTCCATCGACTTGGTTGGAAACGCCTCACAATTATCTTGATCGTTCAATCTGTCGCCCTCGGGAGTCTGAGTCTTCCTTCAGCCTTTGCAACACTGGGTATGGTCGCAGGTGTAATATTATGCCTTGGTTTGGGCTGCATTGCGATTTACGGGAGTTACATGATCGGTCTGGCAAAGCTTAAATACCCGTACGTTGCTCATTATGTTCATTTTGGACGTCTTCTCATGGGTGGATTCGGCGAGAAGATTTTTTCCGTGGCTTTTGTCGCCTTGATGATATTGACAGTTGGATCTCATTGTCTGACGGGCAAGATTGCCTTTACCACAATAGCTGGCAGCAGTGCGTGTGCTCTAATATTCAGTGCCATATCCGCTGTGATCTTGTTTGTATTTGCAATTCCGCCCTCCTTTGCTGAATTGTCAATTCTCGGTTTTATTGATTTCGCTTCTATCATTGTGGCTATCGGTGTCAGCATCATCTCGACGGGCATTCAAAGCAGTTCCACCATATCGAACTGGTCTGCGTGGCCCAAGAATAACTTAACTCTTAGCGAGGCCTTCGTTGCTATTTCGAATATTGCCTTCGCTTACTCTTTTGCTGCCGCCCAGCCATCTTTTATGGATGAAATGCACAACCCGACAGATTTTACAAAGGCAATCGGCGCCTTGGGTGTTACCCAAATGAGCATCTACACTCTGACTGGGGCACTCATTTACGCATTTGTGGGACAGGATGTTGAGTCTCCAGCCTTGCTTTCGGCAGGTCCTCTTATTGCGAAGATCGCATTTGGAGTAGCTCTGCCAGTGATATTCATTTCGGGATCAATCAACACTACCGTTGCTTGTCGTTATATTCATGGAAAAGTCTATGAGAACTCTGTGGTCCGCTATGTCAACACCATGAAAGGCTGGATTACCTGGCTGTCAATTGTTGCTTTGATCACCATTCTAGCTTGGATAATAACAGAAGCTATTCCCTTTTTCTCCGAATTGCTTTCTATCTGTGGTGCCTTACTTGTCTCCGGCTTCTCGTTCTATATTCCTCCGGTCCTATGGTTTTTCCTACTGAGAGAAGGGAGCTGTTTCAGCAAACGCAATATCCGTCAAGCAATCTGCAATCTCATCGTTTTTCTTGTCGGTATTTGTGTACTCGGATGTGGTCTTTATGCAAGCATCACAGAAGTGGTAAGACATCCTTGCAAAGTCTTGCATGCTGGCGCTGACTTGTTGCAGATTGTCAAATTCAAAAATGGATCCATCAGTCGGCCTTTCTCGTGCGGCGTCAGCGAGTGATTTGAAATTTATTGCCATTCATGTAGAAACAAACATGTAACGGGGAGAAGGGGGAATCATTTCCCAAAGTTACAATTTATACCGGAATTATCATTACGATTAGCTGGGCAACTGCTAAGTGAATACGCCCTACGGCTATTCGAGTGCCTCTTTCTTAAAATAGGCTATGTTGTATATATATTACAAGTAACATACATTTTTAAGTATAGCAGATGACAATATACTGTAATATAGATACCAGTCTAACCTGTTTAGATGTACTAGTTTATTTTAGGAAAGGGGCCTCGGAATAGCCGCAGGGCTTGTCCCTTTGTGGCACTTCTCTCCTCCTCTCATCACCGACTTTCAATCAACCCCACATTTTTTGAAATGCGTTCTGAGACTGCTGGTTGCTGGACGTGTCGTCTTCGGCATCTAAAATGCGATCTGCATGCACCCGCATGCAAAGAATGTACCGACAGACATGTTCACTGTCATGGCTATGGACCGAAGCCGTCATGGATGGATGGCGCTTCCGGAGAGCAGAAAGAGCGTCAAAGAATCAAAGCTGCAATAAATGAAAACTTTCGCCGTGTGAAGAAATTGCAAGGTCGGGCTCGCCGAAGGGCTAGGGAGCAGTCTCAGGCATTGTCGGAATCACTAATGAATGCAGAAGCGCCGCGAGCAATGATCACGCCTCCTCAGCCTCCTTATTCGCCTTGTTTATCTTGTCAAACAGATACTTCAAGGCAAAGCATTGAGCCAGGAATCAATGGCACAAGACAAGATACGAATGAAGATCATAATGAGGCCCCGCAATCCCGAACTGATTCCGATGACCAAAATTCCGAGCCTTGGGGCGGTCTCGATTCGCGAGAGGCATACCTTTTAATGCATTATCTTGATCAAGTTTTCCCATGGCAATTCCCCTATCATTGTTCTAGATCTCGTCTAGGAAATCGGGGCTGGCTTTTTCTGTTGTTGATCCAGCGAGGACCTCTTTACCACGCTGTTCTCAGTTTATCTTCACTCCACCAAGCTGCTATACTCGGAACTGAAGAGGAATTCCAGCAACAGCAAAAGGCATTTGAACATCACTCCAGAGCACTGCGGAAACTTTGTGATATCATGAGCGAAAAGGGCGACCAGCTGCTGGATGATCATCCACAATTGGCAGAGTTCTTAGCATGCAGCTTCATGTTGATCAGCTTTGAGGTAGGTATCAAAATTGTTTCTTGGCGTGAATACTACTGATCTAGTCTTTCAGGTCTTCCGGGGTGCCGAGCATGACTGGCTCCTGCATCTCGACGCCACTGCATCTCTCATGGGCCTTTTATCACCAGAGGCTATATTTAACTCAGACTCGACTATCTGTGATCTTAGCTCAATCCCATTTTCTGAGCAGTATCGATCTCCAAAAAGCGGCATGGTTGAAGGGCTGCAATTTCTCACAGTGGCCGTGATTTGGTCTGATATCTTCGCCTGTGTTGCAACCGGTCGAGCGCCACGACTTCCCTATCAACAATGGCTTCGGATTCAAGGTCTCAACACTGCAGATCTGATGGGCTGCGAAAATTGGGTAATGGTTGTTATAGGCGACCTCGCTCATTTGAGCATCTGGAAGGAAAAGCAGGAAGAGGAGGGTATGCTGAGTATCCGAGAACTCGCGAGCCGTGGTAAAGAAATCGAGCGGTGCTTGGAAGGCGGTATCCAGGACCTTGATTTGGCACGATGTGTAGGTCTACTATTCTTGATGATCTGATTCGCAGTTGAGTGAGACTAATTATCGTTTACTTTAGGCACACCCTGGTGTGGAATCTTCTACAAACTGGGTCTCACGTCTTTTTGCCTACGCTGCCCTCGTCTTACTACATACTATTGTATCAGGTCCATTGCCAGCACTACCAGAGATTCAAAGCGCTGTTTCTCGGGCGATTGGCACTCTTCAGAATAGACCACAAGGGTATTCACTTACGGGGTCCGTATGGGCATTATGCGTTATAGGCTGTATGGCCCAGCTACACAATCGTCCATTATTCGAGATGCTCATGACGGACCTGGTACAAAAGTCTGGAAGAATTGGTAACAGTGCTACAGTTTGGAAAATTATCAAAAAATGTTGGGAGATGCAGGAAACTAAACGGGCAGACTGTCGCATCACTATGTCAGAGATGGGTATACAGGCGATTTTAATCTAGAGCCAGACTTTTATATACTCGAGCCACGATTTGATCAATATATTGGAGTTTACATCATTAGCAATCATCCAACATCTCTACATATCGTATTTTCCCAGTCGCCGCCGTATCTCAATATATATCTTGTGAGCAATGGCCCCTGGTTTTGAATTTCCTCCACGCAGTGATAACATGCATCAGGCATAACAGGAACAAATCAATATGTCACCATACTGTAAAGTGGTGAGGCTCTAAAGATCATGGCTTATCTTTAGAAATGCTGGAAACTCGAGCCGAGATAGTCGCAAAGAGAAAGTCGAACCGGGGTTACAGATGAGACCAATCAGAGGCTACTTGGGCAATATCGCAGTATAGAATGATCGTGGAATAAGCAAAATCACAAATGAGAGAAGTATCACGGTGAATCACGGGATTTCATAATGGATGGTCGTTTTCAAGCCCACCATTGCTTTTCATGTTCTTGCTTACCGTCTTAACTCGATCGCCCAACATGCTTGCTCTTAAGATATAACGACCCTCATCAGCCGTTTGGGATCCTTTCTACATCTGCATTAAGGATTTTGGAATATATTCTTGATTTGAGTGTTCAGCTCGTGACACCTTACCTGCACCGAGCTGAGTACATCAACTGACGTAGGTAGTGTTGGATTTCAGTCTGGGTGCTCAAACCAGGACATGACCGTTGCTGCAACTGTCTGCTTTTACCAACTTAGTCTCCTGGTCAATAATGCCATGGTCCTATCACTGTACTAGGTTGAAATTGTTATGCTTGGAAGCCAAGCGGTGACACAGCAAATGCTACCAACGAGCACTACCTAGATACACTTGGCACCAGTTCAACTCAACCTCCTATATCACATCCTTGCCTTATCCGTTCAAGCAAAAGTCAAATGACGCCGTTCCCCCCGCATTTTCACGATTTAGAATCCCGCTCTTGTCCCTGTCATGCGGGCGGCCGATCTATAAACTAGTGAACGCAGGGATTCCGGTGACATCATAGCCTCAGCCTCGAGTGGGAAGCCTTCACCGACTGGTCGGGCTTGACCTCCATGAGGCGCTGTGTGGGGTAAAATGGTCAGCCTTGCTCGATTTGTTGTCAAAAGTTGGAATTTAATGATACCACCAGGGCTCCCGGTTGTACTCGGTGTGCCTCGGTGTGCCTCGGTGTGCCTGAGTCATACTCTGTTTTCACGGACTAAGAGTTTCTTCCTTAATCTTGGGATGCAAGGGATATTAGTCAGTCCCATCTAATCTTCATAGCTCAGATATGATCGCAGTCGGTTCTTTTGTCTTGAATTTGTGCGCTCTTTGTTGGTTCTATAGGGCGGGTTCAACCCGTGGATCTCCGAAGTATAAAAGACTCGATAAACAAAACACCAACTAGTGAGACTATCGAATATCGGGACTAGATTCGATCACTTTTTAGTAACGAGATATTAAATTTGGTATGTGGTCTCGGCCATGTGCGATGGCCACGAGTGCCAGCACACCTCACAAGCCACGGTCGGAATGCCACGCTTCCTTCTCGTGTAACTGACGCCAAGTGATTAAAGACCCCTGGCCCTGGGGGCCAAGGGGTCGGTTATCCTTCCCCCGCCTATCAAAGACAAACTCGGGGGGGAATAGCGGCGGTCTGGGTTGCCAAGGGATGAGATGTCTGATAAACATGTCTTGACTGCATGGTTAACTTATGCATGTTAAGCCCGAGTCTGTTAGCGATGTATGTCTTGTGCAACGGTGTGAGGGACTTTTCGCCCTTGCATCGGACAGCTATTTGATTTTGTTTTGATCTAGCACCAATAATACAGAACTCATATTCAAGGCACATGAGGACTTTCCAAGCTTTGGTCTTGATTGACTTCCGTCAGCCACCCACCGCCCAATCGACTTGTCTTACTCCATTTGGTCGATCTTGGCGATTGGGTCGATCAAGACTGCAGTCTATGCAGATTAACTCCGAATGCCCCACGGAAGATCTACTGCTCTAACTAATGTCTATTATGGCCTCACACAGCCGAGCTCAGCCCGGTTTTCTCCAGTTGTGGGCCTATGACATTTTGCTTGCAGCTAACTATCCATACATGTAAGCGCCGCCTCGACCAAAATACATCTGAGAATAATCCCACATCTTACTGAACGAGGGAACGAACATGGAAGTAGCCGCCAACGTGTTCGTGCATCACAGTCATCCAGTCATCTTCCCCGTCTCATGATGCCCAGTCTCTTTGGGAACGAACAGAATTCTAGAATCAAAGAAATCAGAACAAAATCCCGAGGTCAAGACCCACCTCTTCTTTGTCCAGCGCAGCATGCAGCCTCGATTCCTGGTCTGCCTTGCACTGTATGCTTTAGCCTTCGACTACTCCCTCATGCAGCCCTCTCATACCCCCCCTCCCTCAACTGATGGATCAGCATAATGCACCAGCACAAGCTCATCCATGACTGGAGTGTACGAAATAGTCTTCGCCGAGACCCGGTTCCACCTGACGGATCTCCATATCAGGCGTAAGGCTAATTCTCCCTTCTCTGCCCAGATCCCTCTTGGAGCCAGATCCCGATGCTGTAGTCTGACATCGGGCGTCTCTTGATACCCTAAATTCAATGCGAGTCTCGCTAACAGTAGCGGTAAAAACTGACATATAAGAAGCTCTTCCCTTCCCTCCCAACGATATGTTCCGATCTTCAAGATCAGCGTCTTTATTCTCCTTCTCTTCTTCCCCCTGATTAGCTGATCACCATGCTATCTTCCGGGTTCACTGCCCCTTCCACGTGGGTGTTAGCCCTATCCCTGCTTTCCGCCGTGCTCGGCTCGCCTATCATCTCAAAGAGAGCAAAGGGTGCCTGGCTCGGTCTGAACGCCGACTTCCCAGATCCCAGCTTCTTGAGTGCTGCCGATAACAAGTGGTACGCTTTCGGCACGAATGGCAACGGAAAACGTATCCAAGTCGCAAGGTCTGACGACTTTCACACCTGGACCTTGTTGGATGTTGAAGCCCTCCCAACTCTCTCAACTTGGGAAACAGACCAGGATCACTGGGCTCCAGATGTGGTCCTCCGAGTAAGTCACCTCTCGGTCTCCGAAAAATGTCAATTTCAAAACAAAACAATACCTAATCAAACACAGGATGACGGAAAGTATGTCATGTACTACTCAGGCGAAGCCAAATCAAACATTGGCCACCACTGCGTCGGCACAGCCATCTCGGACAATCCAGAAGGGCCATACATCCCAAGCAACACGCCCCTCTCCTGCCGGCTAGACAAAGGCGGCTCAATCGACCCAGCTGGATTCAAGGACAAAGACGGAAGCCGATATGTCGTGTTCAAAGTCGACGGTAACAGCATTGGTAACGGCGGTGACTGCAACAACGGCATCGAGCCATTAGTTAGCACGCCGATCTTGCTACAGAAAGTCGCTTCTGATGGCGTTACTCCTATCGGTGATGCGGTGCAGATCCTTGATCGATCCACAGCTGATAATGATGGGCCGCTTGTGGAGGCGCCGAATCTGGTTCTGCATGGTGATACTTATTTTTTGTTTTATTCTACGCATTGCTTTACTGATCCCAAGTATGATGTGCGCTGGGCTACTGCTAGTAGCATTACTGGTCCTTATACTAAGACGAATGTTCCTTTGATCAATGCGCAGAGCTCTGGGCTTCTTTCGCCCGGTGGTGGGAATGTTTGTGGGTGTGGTGATCGGATGTTGTTCCATGGTTTCTGTACTGAAGCGAGGACTGATCGGTGCATGTATGTTGCTGATGTGACTCTGAAAGGGCAGACGGCGGCTCTGGCATAAGTGGAGGCTCACTTTTCTCTTATGAATTATGCCATTGGAGTTTTGCATTTTTGTGGTTGTTTATGTCCTGTCGCTTCTGATGATATACCCCAGCTTTTGATGGATTATACGATGCCAATGATACACTCATTTTATGCACAATACCCAAGAAGTTACTACATCCACTATGAAAGGGGTAAATTTATGCATAACAGTCACAAATTATTTGATTCATTATGGATATCCATCTATGTTAAAAGCAACTAAGAAAATTTGTCCTTCTCCTCCCTCGCACGTTTTTTCTCCAGTGTGCTTTGTGCCCATTCTGGTGCACTCCGAATTGCCGCTTCAGGAATCTCCTTGTGATTGAGAAGATAACCCTGGATCTCAGCAGCGGTCAACTCACCACTGGGAACAATAGCAGCAAATTCATCAGCAAGACGAGAAATGCGCGATTGAAGGGGTTGAAGAGCATCCTGCAATAAATCCTTCTCATCTCCAAGCTGGGGGTCTTCAAAATTCCTCCTCTCCTCAGCGGTAGACTTAGCTGAGGACTTGGCAGAGCCATTACTGGCCGTTCGTGGTCTCTTCCCACGCCGGATGTCATTCTTTGTTGTGTTGTAAATAGATATGAACATCTCCCTGATATCCGCTTCACTGGTATAACCAAAGTTGATAGTCATATCAACACGACCAGGCCGGAGAAGAGCAGGGTCCAACTTATCAGCGTGGTTCGTGGTCATAACAAGGATCCGTCCTTCGCTAGCAGCAACACCATCTATGACGTTCAGAAGACCCGAGAGTGTGACGCCGCCTTTGGCAGGCGTCTCAGGGACAACAGTCGCATCCGCATCACCATCTCCCTCGCTAGGGATAGTCTCATCGATTGTTGGCTCCGGGGTTGAGATAATAGTCTTGCCTCGAGTGCTGGTGATACCTGCCGCATCAATATCTTCAAGAAGAACAATGCATCGCCGCGGCAGGGCCGCAAATAGAGACGCGAGACCATCTTCGTCCAAAGCTGTGGAATTAAGATTGAGCAGGTAAAGCTTCAATCCCAATAGACCCGCAGCAGCAAAACACAAACTCGTTTTTCCAGTTCCAGGAGGGCCATGGAAGAGGTATCCACGTCGATAGGGGATACCACGATTAGAATACCAGCGACGGGTACGAGGGTGCAAATATTCCTTGATATCATTGATAAAGGACTGTTTCTGTTCCTGGTCGAGAATAACAGTAGAAAGAGGACGCGGCAGTCGGGCCATTCCCCGGTACCAGTCATATGGGGAGGTGGCGCATGCCCTTTGACCGCGATAAATGACAGTGAGATTCCCATCGCGCTCGACGTATGCCTGCTGCGCTTCTGCCAGCAACGTCTTAAGGATGGTTGGGTCCCGACCAAGACATGATAGATACAGTCGCTCGTTGTTCAGGACCCAGCGTGCGCTCCCTTCCTGGCGCAATCGCTCTAGCATGATGGGGCGGTTGCGGTACCAGAAGTAGTGGGAGCCCTGTGCTGGGGTAAAGCGGAGGGTCTTGTACTTGTCGCGGCTGAGCACCTTTGCCCAGCAGTCATCGAAGGAGGCGGGTTTTCCATCGTCACCTAGCTTGTCCCAATCGTCGTCTTGATCTCCGGCATCTGAGTCCTCGTCGTCGCTCCAGTATCCATTGCTTTTGATACCTGCCACAAATCGATTCGTCTGTTTCATGTGGGATTGACGTGAAATCCAATACATCAGGTAGTTGAAAATCTCATCATCGAGGCGGATTTCAGCTCTTGATACGAAATACTGGCTGAAGTATGTTGAGACTTGGTTGTAGACGTATCGAAAACTGGCGCCGAAGACAGCCATTGCGACCACCAGTTGGATGTAGGCATTGATATCGATGTTGAGGTATGACATCAAAATGCGTGATATAAATCCATACCCAGGGACTAGCACCTCCAGCATAGCTGTTTCGGTAGAGGACAGCGGCCCTGTGACCGTGGGGTATGTTTGGTTAGAATCCATGCGTGCTCGACTACGACCGAAACGAAAAAGAGAATTTCAGAAGAAAGTGAGGGTAAAGAGGAACAGAAGAAGAGATGGGAAAAGATGATAGAGGGAGAAATCCCTGGATAAGTATTTCCATTGAGCCATGTCAAGCATATTTTATACAATGGCGAGCCTGAAGAGCCTCACTTGGGGTCTAGGCACCATTTGCGCTCGGACACCCGATTTGGAGCCCGTAGTTTGTGAACGCTCTGACTGTGAGCTGAACCCCACAAGCCTAGCTCAGCCTCGCCGGATTGATTGGCCTTGATTTGTTTGCTGGCTGCGTCTGCCTGGTCTTGACTCATTGTGTTCTTGTCTAGGGGCGCAGTATGGGCAGCTCTGCATGGTGACACTGACAGAATGACGACTTTGAGTCAAGTGGAATGCAGGGATATTGTCCGATTATAACTTAGAAGCGAAGTTAGAAGAGAAAAGAAGAAAAGAAAAACGGAGATATGTAGTTACGTGGAATGAACAAAATAAAAAGCAAAAAAGAAACTCTCCCTCGGGGAATCGAACCCCGGTCTCCCGCGCTTATCGGTGTTAATGACAAGCGGAAATCATCACCACTAGACCAAGGAAGATTGAATGACCGAGTTACTGCTCGACCACTTGGCTGGTTGATATAATATGTCGCCATCTTTGACACTGTGTTCTTGATTACCATATTACAGAAGCATGCTATACGTTTTTGCAGCCACCCACGCTACGAAGCTGTATTAACACTTTGGAGTTTTTCTATTATGTCTTAGGCGGTTGAGTCTGCTAAGCTCCAGTTAAATTAAGACATATAAGGAGTAGATGACTCACAGCCCATCAAGTCTCAGTAACATGCAGATATGTATATTGGACACATGTGCTGTCAAATAAAAGAAAGATCAGAATTATGTTAACTAGACATAATCAACCTTGTGACAATAGGAATTTGCAACCAACTGAACAGATTAAGAAGAAGTTCAAGCGTCTAATTTCATAGGGACCGCAGTCGCACGAGGCCTAGAGGGAGCCAAATACAGAAGAGTAGCAGCAAGGATATGTGAGATCATTGATCTAGGTCTAAACATTATATACGTGAATATGGGTATCTTCAAAATACAGTAAGGTCTCACTCAAAGAAAGGTAGGTAGGACCAAAACATCATCCCTGAGACTCAGGGTGATTACCCTTGATAGCATCAGCAACACCCCCAGCCCAATGCTTGAAGTCGTCGAATTTATCCCAAACCGAATCCCACCAGGTTGTGCCCTTTTCATTATCACCTCCATTGCCACCGTCATTATCGGCAGCAGGGGGTGCCTCAGACGGAGTGGTAGGTTTTGGCGCTGGTGCTGGTGCCAAGGTTGAGGGTTCTGCTGTTGCGGAAATCTGAGCCGTAGCTGGTGGATCAGGAGGTGTATCCAGGACTGGAGCATCTTCGTCGGAGTGGAGCCCGATGGGTTTGAATGGCAGACGCAGAGTGCCATTGCTCGGGAGAGGGTCCACACCTAGCGAGTCGCAAATAATGTTATACACCTCAGTGTTTTCTAGAGACTTTATTAACTCAGGTATCAATCAACGGTGAAAACAATACTCACGGAATACTTCAACACGGCTATTAGGCTGGTGTGGGAAAGCCGGCCCATGTGCAATGAAAATGGCACGCATAAGTGGATGTTCATGATCATAACCATGAATACCTCTGGGGTAATAAGCTTCTCCGGAGTTCAAAGCTGCCTTGACGTCCCATTCTGATCGGTCGACAATGGCCCAGCCTGTCTTGGGAATGACCCACAGTGGCGCAATGCGGTCGTTGTTCGAGAAGTGATAGCGCTCCGGCATCGTCTCCTTCGTGTACCACTCGAACGCATGCTCCCAATCTGGGGCTACCTTCTCCAGCTGCGATTGCAGCACTGGCAGATCTTCTGGCCGTTTCGGGCGAATACCAATAGATGGCCACCCGTCGCGATGTTCGATCAGATTATAGTCAATGAGGTCGTCTAATTGGATGACTCTTTCCGTGGATGTCGTAGCCATCCCATGGTCTGATAGAACAACAACGTTGACTACATCTGTCAGGTTTCGCTGAGCAAGACCAGCCATGATGCCGGCAACCATACTGTCCGCTCGACTAATCGTCCTCCGAATCTCAGTGCTATTGGGTCCAAATTTGTGCCCATGGCTGTCCACATTAGGAACATAGGCCGCGATTAATTGCGGCCGCTCAGGCTCCACCTGCGACTCATCCTCGAGACCTGGAAGATCCAAGAATTCTAATACTCGGTTGACCTTGCGGGACAAATCTTCCGTTGCATTGAACTTGTCAACAATACTCGGCTCCCTGTCTGGAATGTGTGCCTCGGATCCGGGCCACATGTGAATGGCAGTCCTCACACGTTGTTTTTCAGCCGTAACCCAGAGCGGTTCAGCATTCCACCACTTGGGCTGCATGCTGATATCTGAATGGGTGGAGATAAATTCCTGATTATTCTCCGGATCCCAGAATGTATTTCCCACAACCCCGTGGCTCTCTGGGTATAGGCCAGTCATGAGCGTGAAATGGTTCGGGAAGGTGACACTCGGGAAACTGGGGGTCATGTATTGCGGGGAGACGCCATTTGCGACGAGAAAGTTGAGCGCAGGGGTCAGACCACGGTCGAGGAAGTCGGCTCGGAAACCGTCAAGCGAAATGACAATGGTGGTTGGCGCAAAGAGTGCAGTGCCATTCGAGAGCAGGGTTGTAGGGTGGATGCGAGAAGCTCGAAAGCCACTCGAGGCTTTGTATGCCCCAAGGACGAGAATGAGGAAGAGGATAACGATGAGGGAGCCGATGAACAAGGACTTTTTCCATGAAGGCCGTGGAGGCTAGGTAGTAAACTGATTAGCCAGAGAAGTGAAGGGATTCGCAGTAGGTACTTACCGGGTCGTATGTGTACTCGTCCTTTCCATCCAAATCCATAGATGACTCGCTCAATAGAGAGGCATTGTCATCAATGCCTTCCTCCATCTCGTACATCAATTCACCATCTTCGCTGACTCTCTCACGGCGGGAATTTCGCCGCGATCGGCGCTCCTTGTTCTTTTTGCCAATTCTCACACTGGAGCCATGCGGGCTGAACATCCTCCGCAGTCCCTGTCCAGCGCCTCGTCTGGTCAGGAGATTCTCCAACTCCTCCTCCTCTTCTAGGACCGCGCGGTCGTGCTCGGCGATCTCCAAGGTACTGCGGTTCTGGTGAAAGAGGGCATCGTCGTCAGAGTCCGAGTCCTGCTCGGAGGGCGACCGCAATGACGAGGCATCATTGTCGTAACTTGAAGGATGAAGAAGTGAAGGACTCAAGTCTGGGCGTCGCATGGCTCAGCCGTTGAAGACAGTCGCGGAGTTGGAGAAGTCAAGGGAGATCGACGGGATAACGCCAAGACCAACACGATAAGCCATCCTTGTTCACACATCATCATTCAAGTGTCTCAGCCTATTCTCATGACTGAAGTCTACTGTATACTCACTGTATACTGTCTACACTTTGCAGTCTATCTCATCCTCAAACAAACAGACACAAGCTGACACAAGCAGACGGGTTCCATTCCTTTGCCTTGGGCATTTGGATTTTCCGCGCGCAACATACTAAACATGTCACCCAACAGCAAACAACATGTACCTCCACAGCCGTCTCCAGCTCTGCTGAAGACTTTCACCCCACAGAAACCGTGAACGAAGTCCAGAGTTGCCAAGAGGTGTCATCTTCCCCAAGCGGCATTCTGCAGACAGTCCGTGGCAGCCACATTCCTAACGCAAATGTCAAAAAAATTGGTGATCGTGTGTCAGGGAGCAACGCCATTAACATTCTTCGACACATATCCTGGGGTTACAGAGGAGAGAGAGCCTCGACCATTGATCTTTTACTGTGATCTGTATTGATGCAAACTGACATATGCCGGATGCAGTATCCGCTCGAAAGGCGATTGGTCAAACCATCAGCTCTATAGGAGGTAGCCTGGAGATTTGCCTGGTGCAATCCTATCTACTCCGAAGCTCATGAGATGCATGAATCAATGACTGTGGTTGTTTTGATTCTCTACCTTTGGTCTTTGGAAGAAGCGCAAAACGCTAGCAGCGAACGTAAAGTGCGATTCCACTCATCTTTATACCCAGGGTACCAAGTCCCATGACCAAGACCAAAACCCAGTGAATTGTGTCACATTTCAGCCTCTTTGAAAGTCCCACAGAAGCTTAGTCCTGGCGGTTCAGCGACTTGAGAGACTTGGAGATGCTATCCACCCATTGTCTGAAGACACCCTGCATGACTTCGGACAACGTGTCTTTGTCAAATCTTCCTGAAAACAGCTCACGAACAAAGAGAACCCCCACATATTTATTGTGACAGCTCAACCTTGATCTATCTGGAATGCCTCATTGGCGCGGTTGCTTGACCCTGGATATCCGCATGCAATGGCCAACTTCCTATTTGGGAATACCATATCACGTGACACACACTCGAAGCTCCACCGTTCTCCCGCGAGTTAATGACGCTGTCGGCGCCGGACTAACGCCGATCATTGCGCCAGGGTTGCACGATGGTGCTTGGCCGGAGCCTCCCCCAATGTGACATATCCGCATGCGGAAGTTAAGATATGGAAATCTTGTTACTTTGGGGCCAGGGCAGGAACAGCAGACATGTTCTACATTCTGTGAAAAAAATTCTCTTCTCGTCATCATTAACTTTAATTGATCTATAGGCCGCATTTGGACAGCTCACGATGTCTATAAGAATCCCCTCCTCATCGTCCCTGGCCTGGTTCCTTTCCCTTCCCATCGCATCAGCATAATTACCCAAGGTCAGTGCTCTATGAGGCTCTCAGTCTCAACTCTCCTCACCTTGTACTAACCCTCCTTATAGCTCCTTCATTCGTTCAGACAGGAAGCAACTCTTCTTGATTCCATCGCTTTTCTTTCACCAAGACCAACCAACAAAATGCACTTCACTGCCTCTTCCGTGACCGTCCTGGCCCTCGCCGCCGGTGCCTTTGCCGCTGTTGCCCACAATGAGCCCCCAGTCTACGTCAAGAGTGTTATCAAGCATGAGGCCACTGGTGCTGCCCACGCCACTGGCACTGCCCACGCCACTGGCACTGCCCCCGCCCACGGCACTGGCGTCCAGACCGGCACCCACCCTATCATGACCGGCACCCCCAACAACGGCACCCACGGCGGCAACAACGGCACCGTCGTCAGTTCCTCGACTGTCCCCTGCTTCACTTGCAAGGGTGGTAGCTCCACCATCCCCGTGTTTGTCCCCAGCCGTACTCCCGGCGCCGGCGCTAGCGCTAGCGCTAGCGCTGGTGCTGGAGGTGGTGCTGGAGGCCCTGGATCCAGCTCTGGCGGCGGCATTGGCGGCGGTGCTGGAGGTGGCCCTGGTTCCAGCTCTGGCGGCGGCATTGGCGGCGGTGCGGGTGGTGCCTCCGGCTCCGGCGCCGGCGCTGGCAACACCCCTGCCTCCCCCAGCTCCACTGGCTTCACTCCTTCCAACCCCGGCTCCAAGGTCTCCGTTCCCCAGGTTGGTGCCGCCGGTGCTGTCATGGCCTACGGTCTTATGCTCCTCGCATAAATGCCTCGCCTTTGATATTAGGAGTTTAATTCTGTTGAGCACCGGGCCTTTTGACATCTTTATCTAATTAATGGCTGCTGTCCATGATTGAATTGAGCACCAGAGAGACCCGACTCTTCCAGACAGGTGTTGGTGGATATGACTGCTTAGATTGCGCTTTATCCTGTCTTTGATTTTTGGGTTGTTTTTAATACATTTCTAATATAATGCTAATCTCAAAAAAAGTCTTTGGATCAATCTTCAATTTAACAAATAGTATTATTCATTCGAACAAATAATATAAATAAACCTAGCTTCTCAAATAACTAGCCAAATAGACACTACCGTAAAAAGTTTCATAGTTACGAAAACCCAGAATGAAAATAACCTCCAGTAACTGAAAACCACCCAAGGAAAATGACAGGGAACATGAAAACCAAAATCACAAAACCACAGGACCCAGCAAACCCCCCTGGAACCCTCTCTCGCAACCCCTGCTATATTTCCTCTCCAAGTAGACTGCATTGCTCATAGACTCCCACGACAAACTCTAATTCCAGGACTCTGTGGCGAGAATGTAACCACGGGTACTGTCATGGTCATAGTCTATTAATAGATCCTTTTGATCATGGTGAAAGTACCTGGGTGGCGTGTACAGTGCTGGGAGCTCTAAACAGGGCGTTGAGCTTAGAGTTAGGTTTGATCGATCGTGATTTAGGGTTTCGCGGTAGCTCTATCTTGACGCTTCCGGCGCGTGGGGGTTCTTGATGCACCCCCACTTGCAGATATTGTGGGATTGAGTCGAGATAGAATCTTGTTCGTGGCGGGGGAGTAGATTATGCAACAGAAGAGATAATGGATGATTATTGGAATTGGAACTGGTCGTTTGACTGTTTCAATCAGGTTTCTGCGAGAAGTGCGTAGTAGATACACTATTCCAGTAGCCCAAGGTCAATGAGATTGAGATTGCATTTGCCCTGACATGTAGACCGCATGATCAAGACAAAGTACACAACTACGAACTGAGAAACTGAAATAAAAAGAGCTTTTCATAAAAGATACCATGTCATGATTACACGAATTTTCAACAATACCAACATTACCATCCCCATCCAGATCCAAACACCAACTAAACAGTTCCAATCCAGTTGACATACTGACACTGACATCCCCCAGACCCACCATCAACACCGCCATACTCGGTCTCATTATCCCCCTTCTGATTCAAACTCTCAAATATCCCACCAGCAGGGTTAACAGTCACACCACCAGCAGCCCGATCCTCCAACTGCAACTGCACAGATGTGACATTGTAATGGCCGTCATCCTCAACTGCATAGCAATATACCATTTTCTTTTTCTCCGCGCCGCCGTGGCGGTCGATTGTTATTGTCACCGGGTATGGGAAGGACCCGGGACGAGAGAAATTCGTTGCGGAGGATGATGATGTTGCTTTGGTTGTTGATGTTGCCGTGGAGGCTGTTGAGGTTGTAGTGGCTGTTGATGTTGTGTTACTGGATGGGAGGAGACGGCGGCCGATTTTATCTGGCTGCGTCCAGATTTGGACGAGGAAGCGGGTTTGGGACCAGGTGCAGCGGTATTTGGAGTCTGCTCTGCTTGTTCCGCCGTTTGTGTCTGCGGGTTTAGATTCGGTTTGGCTGGTCAGGTAGATGGATTTGTCGAAGTATGTGTAGAAGCCGTAGTGTTCTGTTGCTTGACCTCTGTTGTAGAGTCTGATGGGCTGGGAGGCTGGGAGGGGATAGAGCATTGCTGCTGCGGCTGAGCCGTCGGCGTTTTCGTCTGGGGCCGGTATTATGGATGTGAGGTTTGGGAAGAGGGTGCTGTTTGTTTCTGTGGAGCGGCGGTAGAGGTTGGTTGAGGAGAGGGATATTGGGGAGAGCATGGACATGAAGAAGGGTGTTTCCTCGCCGCTGTAGGGTGCACTGTTGTTGTCTGTGTATTGGCCTATGAAGGCCTCGTCTGCATTGCTGGGAGCCGCAGGTGATGAGTTGAAAAAGTCACCTCTTCTGCGTACACTGCTAGAGTTCGAACCGACGGTTGTGCTGTTGTCGTAGGTCCCATTGCGAAATGAGATTGATACTCGGAAGTTAGGCTGATCGGCATTAAAAGGCTCGTTAGATTTTTGTTGGCTTTTGGGCAGAGCACAGCTCCACATAGACGAGGGTGTAATGCAGGTAGACTTCTCAACCTGAGGCTCTGTTCCAGCAAGAGTCGCAACACCAGTTGGCATAGGAGGGTAGCCAGTAAGATTGAGCCACTGTGATTGAACAGGGGTTGGATCTCCCCTTTTGGTCAATGTAATTGCGAGAACAATGGCCAGGATCACAATTATGAAGAAGAAGATAAAGATAAGCAGATACCATCTTCGTCGAGTTCGACCTTCACGTCCTGGACGTCCAAAGCAACCTTCTTTGCGAAATGGACCTCGACCACGCCACAGACCTCCAGCCTTGCGTCCAGCTGCGTCTTCCCTTTCCAGTCTGCGGCGTCGAGCCTCATGGGGACCAATTGCACCACCGGGATTCACGACCGTAGCACCACCGGCAGAATGGGAAGCATACCGTGGCTGGACATCATATCGCGGTGGAAGAGGGGCTTCTCTGGGGAACTGGCTGTATGCTGGAGCTGGAGCTGGAGCTGGAGCTGGAGCTTGCATGTCAGACATAGGGATTGAACCAGGTCCTCCAGCTGCACGTTGAAATCCTGGAGAGATTGGCTCAGATGCTTGGCCTTGTTGAGGTGCCAATTCAGATCCCTGAGGTTGTGTCTGAACAACGGGTTGCTCTTGTGCTTGTTCCCGAACAACAGGAATGACTTGCGGTTGTCCTCGCTCTCTATTTGATGAGTCCGTTTCTTGCTGTCTTTCCTGAGGCAAAGTATGCCTTTGTACTTGCGCCTGCTGCTGTTGAGGTAGTGGTTCTGCTGCATCAAGCTGTACCTGGGCACGGTTCACAGATGCATTTTGTTGCCCTCGGTATCCATAAGCCCATTCAAATCCCTGAGGTGGAGCTTGAGGCACAGGCGGAGCAGCTTGTTGTTGCTGCTGCTGACGATGTCCAAAAGGCCATCCAGATCCAGACTCCCGTCCCTGAACCACAAGCGGTGCTTGTAAATGTCTTCGCTGTTCATACATCCACTCCGTTCCTAGTGGTTGTTCCTGTGCCGTCTGAGTCGCTGTTGTAGCCTGAGGGACATGTGCCTGTAGATCCGTCTCAACTCTACTGGGCACTTCCTGAGGGGTAGGGGCAGGCTGAGCCGGAGCTTGTTCCTCTTGACGATGCGGCCAAAGCCATTCCGCACCAGGTGAGGGACCCTGAGAGGCAGCTTCAGTCTGCTGTGGGATCTGGATTTCGCGAGTCTGCTCCAGTGTCTGTTGCTCTTGGATCATGGAAGCAGGCTGATCTGGTTGCATTGGCTGGCCAGTAGGGAATATAGGAGCATAATGCGGTATAATAATCGGTTGAACAGGTTGTGCCTGCGGCTGAGGTTGAGGCGTAGGATAATGGATAACAGGGGGTGAAATATTGGTGATAATCTGCGGAGCAGGGGCAGGTTGAGCCTCTGGCATTGAAATCGGAGCGGGCGTAGGTGCAGGCTGGGGTTCGGGCATTGGAACTGGAACTGGAACTGGAACTGGAGCAGGAGCCGGCGCCGGGGCAGGAGGCTCATAAATCTGTCTCTCCTGTTCAGCAGGCGCAGGAGCAGGAGTAGAAGGCTGATGCTCAACAACAGCAGGAATCTCCCTAGTAGCCTGTTCAGCAACAGCGCCCTTCTCATGATCGCTTACAACCGATGAATCCCAGGAATCAGAACTGGTATCTGAAGCAGGCGAGTGAACCAGCACTTCCTTCGCACGTGCAGCAACAGACTTCGGCTTCGGCGAATCAATATCAATCAACAATCCCGAATTCTTAGTTGTCGTTGAATCTCTCTTCAGATCTGGTGTAAAGCTAGTGCCCGAGGATGGGTAATGGTTTTCGCCACGACTGCCTTCATCATCAGCAACAATGGCCAACCCATTCCCGCCATTACCCAGAAGATCTCTAGTCCCACTGATACCACCGGTATTGGCAAGAGGAGTGATCGAACAAATATGTCCAACACATTCAAAATATGGCGTCTTACTAAACAATTCATGAGCACATGCTTGATAATATTCAGCGGCTTCACCCTGAATCGTCTGTCCACCACCAAACATGAATGACATGGTTTGTTGTCTAGGTACGGGTGCTGGGAAAGCTTGAGGGAAAGGGTGAGGAGCAGTTGCATAGTCATACGCAGGCGCAGGATCATGGTCAGGGACCAGATCTGGGAAAGAATTTTGGCCATGCGTGTTATCAATACCGCGAATCTGCTCAAAGTTCTTTTCTCCAATGGGTGCAGCTGTTTCGGGTGTATCAGGTGAAAAACATGATATCTCTTTCTCCCTGTATCGATCTTTTTCTCGTTCCCACCATTTTGACTCTTTGCGGGTTGTTGTTGGTGAGGGTGTTGACGGTGTGGGTGAATCTTGGTCTTGGGTTCTGGGAAAGGATGGGCTTAGAGGTGATTTGCTGGGCCGGCCTAGTAGAGGTGAGAGGAGGTAGGTCCACCAGCCTTGGGAGGTTGGGCGGTCTGTTTCTGTGTTGACGCTGAGGCGGTTTGTGTTTGTGAAGGGGTTGTTGTTTATGCTTCTATCCGGTGGGCTGGTGGTGTTGAGGTTGACGGTGCTTGGCTCTGGGGTTGTCTGTCGAGGACTGTCATCTTCCCAGACTGTTGATGTTATAGATGCACGTTTCCGAGGATCGAGTGTCAGGCTCGCGTTGGTGAATACACCTGTCCCTCTTGTCTTAGCACAATGCTGTGCTGGAATTGCTGGGACAGGCGGTATATCTGACTCAAATTGCCAGAGACGTGGTGTAGGCTGAGAGTAAACGCTAGATGCAACTCTTGGAGGACGCAGCTGCTCTGTACTCGAATTCGAGTGTGAGTTCCACGGCGCCTCTTCCCTGGCAGGTGTGACAATAATAGAGGGTGTGAGTGGTGTATATTGATCATCAAGTTCCCTTGTCCGATCCATAGACTCGCTCGTTGGGACTGTAAGTCCAATCATAACGTTGCGGTCTGAAGGCGAGAGACCATGTTCGTGTCTATCATGGAATGGGTCTGCGGATTCGAGTCGCCGGTCGAGGAACGAACCTCCATCCTGCGTTTGTTCCTCTATTTGGTCATCGGGTAACTGCTGAAATCCACGCGAGGCTCGCTTCTTGAATATTTCTTTTGATTTCCGTGCTGTGCGTTCCCTCTCTCGTACTTTCGAGAGGAGCTTCAGATCATTCAGATCAACAAATGGTGCCACAGCAGTCTCTTGACTCGTTCCTCTTTTCTTCGGCGCCGCTGCCAACGTGAAATCCGTCACTAAATTCAAACCCAGAGGCTTTGCGAAGCTTTTCCGGTTCTTGGATATGCCGCGAGTGTTTACTTTCGATATATGTGGGAATATGGGCGAGCGATTTCCAGTCCCATTCCCATCTTTGCTAGCCTTGGACTCCAGCTTCTGTCGTGTGGCCTTGGATAGAAAAGCAAAGGGCCGGTTTTGCTCCTCCTGGTCTTCTGCCGAGGAGCAGGACGGACTTTCGATTTCTTCACTGATAGGTGATGAAAAAGGGAATGTGAGCGTCGGAACGTGTAGTTGAGGCTGTAGTTTTTGTTTGGGAGGCATGATGTCTCAGCGGTCTGCATGTCAAGACTGGATTAGTTTCGTTGCCTATTGACGTTGCGTTGAGGTTAGGGTTGCGACTAATACCAATGTCAACGCGACGTAGATGAAAGATAGACCGAGTTGCCAGAAAGAAAACATGCATGAAAGATGAAATGCAACAAACAAAGATCTATTAATATGAATCCGGCAGTGTAAACAATGGGCGCTGTGAAAGGGCAACAAGAGACAAAATGAAAGAGTATTGATATGCAACAAAAGGAAAAGAATTGAACAACAAAGGAACAGGTGAGAATCGGATAATATTTAAACTTAAAACAGCAGACATGCAACGCAATAAAAGAGCTCTATTTCTGCATAGCATCTGCGTTGGAGCTCCAAGCTAAGTGACGATCTGTTTCTGTTGGGCGCTAACCTCCAATGACAATTGTTACAGTTGCTTTTCTGCAGCAATCCCAGACATCCTTCTGCAAAGCTAGTCTGCTTCAAGTCCCGCTATTGGATGGGTGGCAGCTGCGAGCGATGGATTGGATGCAGTGCCAGTTTGAGGCCGTTGGTTACGCGCCGGGCCAGGTTGGGCGCTTCCAACCACCAATCATGCAGGAACTTCTTTAAATAGAAGTGTTTCGCATGTTATAATAAGATTACAGAATTAAAGTAGAGCAGTCTATTTCTACTTGAAACAGAACGTTAAATATACAAGGGTTGAGATATAGCAGATGTTATGATGCAGCGCATCGCGCCTTTTGTAAATTGATACACACTCGAGATCGAGTAAAGAAGATATCCCATATTCCATATCCCTTCCATATTCCAAAACCCCATTCCACCAGTCCAGAGACCGAATTCTCTGGAATAACCTAGGAAAATCTAAACAAAGACGATTGCGGGTATGAAGAACATAAAAATAAAAACACTCCGTGGTAAAGCAAAAAACATATGAACGGATCGAGTGTCGATGGTCGCATCTAAAAGGAATATACCTCGAGAACAAAGGAAACAAGTTGCAGCATGACTAGTCATTACTCATCCAGCGCCAGTATGGAGTAGAGGAAGAGCCTCTCAAGCGCCATCACTACCGCCGCTCATCGGTGTACTGGATACCTTGCATAGGCGCAACTGATCCATTCATAAGCGGCGGCAGAGTACGCGGCTGTTCCTGCGCTACAGGTGTACCATTTGCAAAGCCAAAGACCGGGCCTTGCGGCTGGCCATGGCCATTGGCCTGCGCGTTCATGGGGTGGTGCTCGAAGATGGAGGGTTGGCGAGACTGGCCATTGGTCTGATTCAGCTGGGCCCGCATGGCTTCCATCTCATCGCGCAGGGCGTTGTTTTCACGGCGCGCCTGGCCCATGGTTTTCTCGAGGTGGTTGATATACTCGATAGCGCGCGTGAGGGTTTCCCATTTGCTGGATTTGTTGGTCTGGCCGGATGGTAGACGCAGACGCAACATTTCGAAACAATCTTTCATTTCGCTGCGGCGTTTGCGCTCGGCGAGCTTATGTGTTACGCGCAGTTCTGGTGTTCGGCTGTAAGGTGTGCTGCCGGGAGGTGTGTCTTCCTCGCCGATCAGGTCGCGGACTGCCTTGTGTTGCAAGGAGTGGTGGTGTACATTTTGGGGTAGATCTACGAGATTAGTATGCGAACAAATAGAAGCTAGGAAGATGTCTTACCATGTTGTCCACGCGGCATCCGCGATTCGGAGTACATACTACTGAGCGACTCCGCGGTACTGCCTTTTCGGGAGAATGGGGGATTGGATTCGCCCTTGGAGGATACCGAGCTTGAGCGCGCCATGTCCGGGTCAGGGAAGGCATACGCCATGCCCGCGGTGGGAGCCTCCGCGTTGTAAATTTCCGACCGCGGATTGGATTGAATGGCAGGAGCCGTGCGACCGGCTGCGAAACTGCGATGTTCCCCAGGGCGCGGGCCCAGCGGAGACAAAGGCTGGCTACCACCAGAGTAGCGAGGCCCTCGGTATGAATTCATGTCGGTCGGGATGCCTCGCTCCCGCTGCAGACTCGATACGATCGACGACTGGGAAGCATTGGTGCTGTGGTAGGGAGAGGCCGGGTTGATCGCAAGAGAGCTGATGCCTTGGTTCATACGGCTGTCAACGCTGCTGCGGCGCGACTCGGTCTCTGCGACGCTCTGCCGTTGTGAGGGCGCGTCGTAGTTCTGGTTGATGGAGGGGAGGGCGGAGTTGGGCTGAGGGGTGTTGAAGATCGGAGACGGCTGGGCACCGGCGGAGGAAGGTGTCGTCGATTGATCATGGGCGTAGGGAGAGCGGTCGACAGCGGGATGAGTACGATTCGGAGACGGTTGCGACGAGGCGATGAAGCTGAGAGAGGGATAATTGTTGCCAGTGCCATTGGTAGTCGTAGAGTAGGTGGACGATCCTACAGGGTCAGCACCGCGCCGCTCCCACTCCGTACCAGGCGAGGGTCTCCTACTTGTGCTTTGCGGCATAGACCAATTCCCCGAATCGCGCTCAACCGTATTCAGTGAAGTCCCTGGTGACTTCTCCGGGGCTCCGGTGCCAGGCATGTTCGCGGTGAGGGTCGAGATCGAAGGCAGGGTTTGTGTCGAGCCGGGCGTCTGTGGCCCTGAGACGGCCCACGGCCTATGGGCGACAGAGGGATCCATGTGAGGTGTAGTGGAAAGCGCAGTCCGAGAGGAGATGTTCCACTATTGCATGTTCCAGAGGGTGAGAGTAGGTTTTTTTTCCCCCCGTATATACTCGAGCCAAAGAAGAATGGGAGCGGATGTAACGTTGACGGGGAAAAGAAGGGGGAAGCGATGAGGAACTTTTGTACAGATTGAGAACAGAAAACAAAGAACAGAGAACAGGGTATGGGGTATAGAGTATTGGGTATTGGGTTATAGAAAGTGTGAAGAAGGGAGCGTTGCCAATTTTCTAGAGCGGGGACTCGAGTCCGAGGTTGGGGAACAGCAATAGGAATACTAGTAGGATTAGGAACAGGAACAAGATAGGAATAGAATAGGGAGGTCAAGTAAAGTACAATAAAATCCAAATAAAAGAATGTACTGGTATTACGCCCCTACTGCAACGTGCCACGAGGAGAGCAAGGAGCCATATGGATTCGAACCGTATGCATTCTCGTGGCACATCCTTTTGACACATGGCGGCACATGGCCTCTCTTTCTGTTATAGTATCCAGTATCCTATTTACCATCTACTATTGACTATTGACCATTGACTTTCTCACCCGATCCTCCTATTACTATAACCCATGACCAGGCTCTGATACTATATACTGTCCTACTCGGTATGCACAGTCCCGTATAGCGGCTATTTTGACCAAATCTCCAAATCTCCCGGGCCTTCGTGACGACTGGGTTAGTGTGACCTGGACATTCTTGGCTGTGATCTGGTTGATGTATCTACTGACTAGAATAGACTCGTTTGTTACGGCTAGGCAGACGAATATACTACCAATCATTATGGCCACATGGCGCCTTGCAGAATGCCTCGCCACCCGATCTACGAGGTAGCACTTGTCCATTCTTGGAATAATCTTCGATTCCTTCACGGAATTCTCAGTACCACTGTATCTTTACGTCGTAGTCCAAGGGATACTTTAGAGTTTGGTATGGCAATAGTTCATGGCTACATCCCTTGTACCTTGCTTCTTTATAGTGTGAATATCTATGTATTGGCTATGTGAAATGATATACACAGAGTAGATTATCCCATTATTCCCACTAGTTAGTCTAGTCCCACCTCCACACTCTATAAATGATTTCATACAGTACTAGTTGTAAGTACATCTGCACTGAAACATGATCGAAGCTGGGGATGCAGAAGTAACGGTAGATCATTCCACTCCCTGGCATCCCAATCCAATAACCAGGAGTTTCCCGCGTGCAAGTCTCAAATACCTCCACTTAAGCATTCCCAAACATTTCTTGACTTGCATGTCCAAGATGCCACGGGGAAGTCGTGCCGCTCCCTTTAGCGTGAGAGCCATGTGTATGTACTATTTGTCAATTGGTCTATTTGTCCCCTTGCTGGTGTTTGTTTCAGGGACTGGGAGCTCCACCGGTTTCGGTTGCCGCTTCACTACAGAGTATTGAGGTTCAGGCTGGCGCTTCTGGTTGGTATCCTTCCATTGTGCGGATAGCCACATCATGTACCTGGGGATTTTTGTTTGATGGTTGGAAACATAATTAATTTCAAAGTTGAATTTGACTGACTGTATTGCGGGGTGGTTCAGTGACAAATATGTAAGTAATCATCAATCAATTCAAGTCATGTCGCGCCAATATATGTAATATCTACAATCTTTTGGTACTGGATCTACTGCCAGCATTTATTGCCAAGGGACTTACTCGTCTCCCTCTTCATGCTCATCTTCATCATCTTCCTCAAATTCAACTCCAATCTCGCCAGTGATATCCCACCGATCGCCCTTGGCTGCCGCACTAACATACTTGACGAACTTGAGAGTGCCACTATCCCGCAGCACTATGCTCAGACGGTTCCATCCAGCCTGGGTGCTGAACAGAATACCATCATCCTCATCGGCACCAGCCGACCGGTAGATAGCCGGGTCAGCCTTCGTCTTCTTATGTCCGAGGACTTGATCTGCGTTCTCAGGGTCTTCCTCTTCGTCCTCTTCCTCATCACCAGCCATGTAGATCTCATAGCCACCGACGGCAGGACCTTCAGCGTTGCCGTTGGTCTCCTTAGACTTGGATGCCTTGGCGGATTCCTGGGCTTCACCGTCCTCCTCCTCCTCTTCCTCCTCGGTCTCCTTCTCCCATCCCTTGCTTGGGGTGAGGCAAAGTGAGAACTCCAAGCGGGGCTCTTCGCCTTCGTATGCACTGGCAAGTGTGTAGTCGGCGCCGCGGCGGAAGCGACGAGCAAGGAGGTTGTGGCTGGTCAGGTGGTCCACACCAGTGATAAGAGCGAGCCACTTGCGGAACGCCTGCGACGGAAACAAGACGTTCATCAACTCCTGGATGGGGTTATCGGATTCCTCTTGGCCCGAGGGATGCTGGTACAGGTAGCGGTGCTTGTGTGGCGGGCGAGCGACAGTCCACCCGCGCTGGGCCTGGATCTCATCCGATGAAGCGGGCAGCTTCTGTCTCTCCTGGTCCTCGATGTATGCGCTCATGCGCGACGCAAATTTATCATTTAGGAAGCGCTCTAGACTGAGTGAGGACTCGCTGGAGAAGGCGTCGGACATTTCCTCGGCGATGTCCGGGGTCAGGTAGGTCGGCGCAATGTACTGCACCAGGAAACCGAGGTCAGATTCGGTGAACTCTGAGCTTTCGGTTTGTTCTTCCACCTTTCCTTTTCCCTTGCCTTCGACTTCGGGCTCTTCCCAGGAGACTGGTTGCGGCCGAGGCAGGTCGTAGATGTCGCCGCGTCCTTGCAACTGAGCGAGACTGCTGCGCTCGGCGAGCTTCTCCTCCAGTCCTTCCTCGTATCCGTCCTCTCCTTCTTGAGGAATGTGGAACCATCCACTGATGGCCATGCGCACACGCTTCTTGGACTTGTCCTCGCCGTCACGGGGGTGGTACACCTCCTCGACATCGTGGAAGCTCTCGCCCGGCTGGACAGTAAAGAAGCTCAGCTGGTTGAAGGCGGGTGGAATAGACAGGCTGTAATCTGGGCTAGGAATCTTAACATCCTCGCCCTTGGCGTCCTTCTCGGTCGTAGTGGGGAACAGGCGGAGCGCACCACCCCACTCGGCCTGCCAGGGAGTATCGGGGTCAGTCAAGTAGAGGATGTAGCTGAGACGACGGCTGCCAATGACATCGTCGTGGCACAAAAGGTGGCAACCCTCAGTGTAGACGTTGATAGCCATGTCGGTTTTCTGCCCACTCAGCTTGCCTGAACCGGTAACGGAAGACAAGTACTCGCGGAACCGGGCTGAGTACATAGCGTCGCGAAGCTTGAGAACCGATGGCAGCTTGGAGAGGGAGGAATCATCTAATCCATCGAGGTTGGCGAGATCACCAGACTGGAAGATCTTGTAGATGTCGGTTTCCTTCTCGGTGAAGTCGACCTGGGTTTGGATCTCGTCGCGGACAGAACGCAGGAGGTTGGACTCGATCAAAGAATGAATGACACCATGGAGGTAGCTAGGTTCAAAGAAAGTCAGCATGGAACCATTGGAGTGGTTGAGGTACATACGGAGAAGATTTCGCGTATTCATTGGTATACTTCTGCTGCTCCGCGGTGTCGAACAGACCGTCGCGGAAGCGGGCAGCAGCTTCTTCGCTGGAAAGAGCCCGCTTTTTGGACTCAGGCTGAACATGGCCATCCAATGAGCCTCTTTCCTCTGTCTTGCGCTTCATTTTGTAGTTGTCGAAGCCAAAACTCCCAGCAGTGGCCTGATCCGTCCTATTTTTCTACCGGGCGGTGAGAGCCAGCAGAGGCGGTGAGACGGACAGCGAGGTTGCGTCACTTCTAGATCTCCAATGGCCAATTCATCTCGGGCTTCACAACTCTTTACATGGATATCTAGAGTACCCTTTAATTCCTTGTGAAATCTGTTGTTTCTTCTGAAGTCTAATCATTCGCGGGTTAGTGCTGTTGTCTCTCTGTCTCTCTACTTCTCTACCCCTCTGTCTCTAGCGGGGATCGTTGAGCGCAAACCAACAAGCACGGATCCTTGTTAGATACTTGTTCCGGCTGTCTCCTTCCTGGATCACATCCATGTGGCGTGATTCTTTCAAACTCAAGGGAACCACCGTCGTCATTTCCCTTATCGACCCGAGTCCCACCCCACTTGGATCGGAGACTCTCGAGTCTCTGCCTTACTCCCTGTAATCATGGACCAGCAAGATCAGAGTCAGTCTACATATCCCGAGTCTCCGGGAACACCACCTCGCCCACCGTACTCCCCGGTCACACCGGTTTTCGCCCATCTTGCGCCGGTCACCTCTGACGAGCCAAGAATTGTTCCGCCACCAGCATCTCCCTCTCCGACATCACCAATCCACCACTCTCAAGATACATTCACAGGCTACGCATCTCCTCCACCACCAGCCAATCCCCCAGTATTCAAACCTCAACCCCCTCCAGTACCAATTTCTGAGAGCGAGAATCCCGATGCCATTGCACTTCGATCCGCCATCTCTATCCTGCAGATGCAGAAGCAACAAAGTTTGCGCGATATTCAGAACTTGGATCGCATGAAGGAGGCCGCAGGCGCTGACCCGGAGGGCTTTGCGCGCGATTTGGCTGCTGGACGGCTGAAAACAGAGGACCATGGGGCAGTGATTCAATTTTCCGAAGACGATGCAATGGAAGACAGACCCGGAGACTCAAAACGCACAACCGCAGATGGATCGCCCGCATCCAATTTTGGTCACATCCCCGCTCCGCAGAATGTCGTGCGCATGCCCCCAATCAATTGGGCCAAGTACCAGGTTGTTGGTGAACCACTCGATCGCATGCACGAAGAGCAACTATACCGACCAACCCCAGGCCAACCCAGCCGCGAACGTGCACCAGAGCATGTCCTCGCCTCACCCTACCGACCACTGGTCGACCAATTGGAGACACCCTCCCGACTTGGTCGTCCCAGCAAGACCAAAAAGACGTGACCCCGTGAAAGGGACTTTGATGACGACCATGGACTTACGGACTCTCACGAAATTATGTAGTTGTTTTGTTTACTTGTTGATTACACATATGATTTCATCCAGCTCGGCGCTACTGCACGCTCATTGTACGGAGTACTGTCAGTATCAAAATTATACACTACATCTTCAACAACTCCTGCAACCCCATTGACAAAGGATAAACCGTCTCCTCATAACCGAGCCCTGGCACCCTCCACGTCCCCATCCCTAAGCAACCCCTCAACCTCCTTCATCAATTCAGTAACATCGGCAATCGAAACAATCCACTCATCAAGATACATCCCAACAGCCTCCTTACTCAACCCAATCTGAATACTCCGATGCCCCAAAGCCCTAAACCCCAAATCTAAATCCCACTCTGGATCCCATTGCACTCGCACTGGACTCGCACGCATCTTCGCTTGCCATTCTTCGCGCTGGATCTCATCCCCCGGTGTTGGTGTGTAGTGGCTCAAGCAGGAATGCCGCAATGCCCATTCGAATCCTGAACGCGTGATCTCTATTGCTAGGAAGTGCTCTTGGTTTGCTTTGCTGGCCCATCCGGAGTGGTATGCCATCCATAGGAAGGAAGGCTTTATCCAGGTCATTCTTGTGCGAGAGAAGGGTGAGACGAGGGCTTGCGCTTGGAGGGCTGGGATGGCTATTGTTGGGCTGTAGGCTTGGTAGACTGTTATTGTTTCTGGGGTGTGCTTTGCTCGGATTTCTCGGTAGCTTGTTGAGGTTTCTGATTTTGGTTGTCTCATTTTGAGTGGATGGTTTGTATCGAGTGGGTTCATGTGTGGTGGGCTGTGATGATTTTCTGGAAATGCTAAGCCTTTTGCCGAATAGGTACGTAGCTGATACTCAAGTTGTTACGTGACTGGCTCTTTTGTTCCTTAAAGAATGACTATGAGTATATGCTCTTGGCTCATTCAATTGTCGATCTGTGGCTCAGTACCTTGAGATATGATTGATCCACCTCGTATTCGTCAGAGATTAGGCGCAGTAATTCAAACAAGGACGAAAGAACACAAAAAAAAACCAAGTAGTCTACGGAAAAAGATGATACTGTAATGTTTGCAGAGTTTCCAGAACGCTCATTCTGCAAAAAAGCCAAAAGGATGGGTGGGCCGAGACTAGCGGATGTGGCACTACATCAGCCGCCTTTACTCGCCCCTCTTATTCCACAGCGATGAACTCTCTGGCCAAGCAAAGACTTTGATAAGGAAATAGGTGGTTCAAGCTTCTTTGCTGATATCCTCACTGACCAGTGTACGCGTTTTGTCGCTGTCCTTGAGGTTGACAGATATTCAGCCTCGTATGGCGTCTACTTTCTACTCCGAAAGCTCTTCAGATCTCAGATAGGCTGGCAAACATCGACACATTCCGGCCATTCGTGGAGCAGAAAATTGCGTATGTGTGTTGAAGGCCTGATATGTACTGTAGCAGAGATACTTTAATTAATCATACGGGAGACTTCCTCCTGCTAACTGTCATGACGAAGTAGGGACATCAGTCGAATCGAATTCTGCCATAACCAGTGGGCGAGTTGCCATAGTCTTATTGAGAGGAACGCTCTATATGTGCCTATAGAGCTTGAATCGATTCGGAAACCACCATGATAGAACCGCAAGATGTCAGATCATCCATCCATTTCATGCGCTAGAATTCTTTTTGATACCCCAAATGATGTGCCAGAAATCAGTGACGAAAGGACCGCCTTCTTCTAAAAGTTCTTGAAAACATTCATTCTCACCAATTTGACCAAGAATAGAAACAACGTAACGTGTCACAAGATTCCTCATGGCATCAATCTTTTCACCGTAATTTGGTGGTGTGTTCGTGTAGACAAATCGAACAAGTTCAATAATGCCACTCAATCCCGTATCATAAAGTTTGAAGTTTATTAATGTTTGATGCAATTTAAAAAGTACCAATTGGCACAAGGACTCGATACAATATTTGTCGGCCAGCACGTATAGTCGAGCTTGTTCCAGAAACACAGGGGAGAAGTCTTCCCAGGACCCAGCATTTTTGGGTGGCATGAAGGTATAGTCCAAGTCGGTAATTGGCGGACTAGGAACGACTAGGCTCCGTTCAAATACATCGCGTAACTGCCCGGTCCACACGCTTCTCTCTTTATATGGAACCTCCTGATCGTCGCAGGCGTCATCAGGCGGAGGCGCCTCCGGCTCGGCTTCCGGCCCAGGCTCAGGTGTAGGCTCCATCAAAGAGTCGTTCCAGTCCGAATGCAAACGGTTCTTTTTGCGTTTCTTCTTCTCCTTTGCGGTCTCTGTGACCTTTGTGAAAGGGGACCTTCCATCGATCAAGCGAGAAATCGGGGGTGTGTAGTTTCGGAAGTAACCAAATTCACATAACCGAGCAAATGTGTCTTCGTCGATATCTGACCAGTCAACGTGTCTAGTTTTCGCCTCGATCATTTCGCCGTTTATAAGAGTATTCAGGGGCTGTGAGAGTCTTGCCAAAGCAAAGGAATGCACGGTCACTTCCTTCTTATTGTCACCAACAATAAATGTGAACAAGGGGGAAGAAAGACATCTAGGAGTATTAGACCTAGATATTTCAAGCTTTCCATAGATCACCTACCTTCCAAAGGAACCCTCCATCTAGAATAATGATTTCTAGAGTAGCAGATCGAAAAACACCGATTACCGTGCTAGCGGAATGATACAGTAGAATATTGCAAGATAGTATTTATATCTACTTTTATTCCAAATCACGAGGATGACGGCCACGTTCGCACTGCGATGTGTCTTGATTTGACTGGTTAAAGAGACAAGTCGCTCGCCCATATGCACCTCTTTTTTTCAAAAAAAAAAAATAAAAGAATAAATGATATTCTCAAACTTTTACTTGTGGCAGTATCTCAGCCTTTACAGCACGGTAGCTGAGTTAACGCTAGGATATATAGTTCCCACCCAGAAATTCATAGGGGCTTGTTACACATGTATTCAAACTGCCTTGTAAGTGACGAGACTCTTAAACGCCCTCAAAGGTACACGTGTCGAAAGTTGATAGTTCAGATGTGATCGTTCATGCATTAGTCTGTTGACCAACACCCTTTCGAGCGCCAAGCACATTGGAAGCGGTGATACTAGGCAGATGAAAAAGGATTGTCGGAAGATCCTCGTACGTTCAGCGGCTTGAGCCAACGGGTACATAGTGAGTAATTCAGTGAGTCTTGCGTCAAAGACCATGTCACACATGGATGGAGAGTTCCCGCAGTCCGTAGCAAAGTATCGATCGGTGGAAACATTAAGGGACTAAAAATATAAACTGCTTACGGGGGCAGACGGTGAGGCAGAGGCTATCAGCGTCACAAGTATTGCCATTTCATTAAACTTGAGTCGACGATTATGTGACACTAACTAACAATACATTCTGATAACCTGAATTACGCTACAGCAAATAGGGATAAATGTGCTTCGAAATAAGGTTCGGGAAAGAATCTACATGTGGAAAATGGTGGAACTGATTTCGATCCACCCTGCAACTAAAACTTTCTATGCATGTCTGAAGAGACGTGCTAATTAGTACAGGGATGGGTGTTAAAACGCCGTGGCTGCTAATAACAGTTTCTCTGGGCGAAGATCAGTGCCAAGAAAGCAAAAAATGCATATATTTCTTTTCGTAACGAGCAATTATAACTTTCAAAAAGTCAGCATGACATCACCAATGTAGCAAAGAAAGGTGCCATCAAACACGGACTATTGACAAGATCTAGATGGGGAAAGGCGCTCGAATACTCCCAATTAGACTCAGAGACGTCCAAGCTTCTGCAAATTCCAGTCTCTTTAAAACCCTCTTGTGGTTGCGCCATTTTTCTTGAAATATCCTTTGGTGGCTTAGAGGATTTTACAATTGGGGTGTCTAGCGAATTTCAGCCACGCTAGGGGCGACGTGTATATATTATCCAATAAATTGACCTTGGCTCCTCTTTCCACTAGCAATCTCGTTATGTTGTAAGCGCTATATTGAATAGCCTAGCCTAAGAGAGAGGAGTACGTTTGCTTTGATCGCGATACTCTATTAGCGCGTTGATCTCCAAAATTTGCAAGAGAAGCTTAGCATAGCCCTCTATAGCGGCGTAATGTATTAGAGACCTCTTGGTTCTTGAACGACCACCTTGGGTTCTATATGCCCTTAGACTAGATCGACTTATAAGTTTTCACGAAAAAAAAAAAAAAAAAACAAAGTCCATGGTTTAGCGCGTTTATCTGTATTTTTTCGAGGCGCTTTAACTCTCTATCTATAATACCGGTGGTTTGAGGGGGTTATAATCTTAACATGCTTCGAAAGAGACAACGTTTAGGTTTATGAGAAAGAAGTCTTTTAAGCCTATAACCAAGCCAAGGGTCTAGGGTTATATAGTGAAGATTGAATAAAATGTCTTATAATTCCTTAGAAACATAATATTAATATTCTCCTTCGCCATTGTTTTTTCTTTCTGATAGCTAGTTATCTCCTTTCTTGATATAGGTAATAGTACCTAGCCTAACCCCATTCTTCACCTACGGCAACACAGAATACAACTTTACAAGCTATTAGCCTTCGGGGGAGGGGGGGAAGGGGGTTGCTTGTGAGGCGTGAGCTAGTGAGATGCTAAATCAAATATCTCAGAACATAGGAGTTCATTATTTCAGAAAAGGCTGCCCGTATAATCTGGACCTAGAGACGTCCAGGGTAATTTGTCAAGCATCGGGTTGCCTTGGCTGCATAGTCGGGCCCCAATAAAGAAGCGTACTTCCAAAAACAATGATCTCCAATACACCTCAATTTTGGTCAGACGAGTGACACTTCTTCAATATTTTCCACATTTGCAGGCAGCCTAAAGCCCCTCTAAAATTCCGGTGTCATTCTATAAAAAGCTTCTCCTACCCTCTCTCATTTTGCTTGACTACACACAGCACAAAATCAAGCGAGTAAAACACGAGACGTAGCACACTGATGGATTGCCTGGCAATGAAACTGCGGACAGCAGTGTGAAATGCGCGGCACTCGAAATTGCGGGATAGGCCCCACAAAATAAGGTCAGACGTAGACTGAAGTGACATCGACAAGTCCTAAATTGAACTAATTTAACTCAATTATGCGTCAGATTTACCCTACGAACTCATTAGAAGAGACTTGGACATCCACCAATGTTGTTATTAGAAATGTCATAGCTGATATCTTTACAACTGAGAGAATCTCGCCATTTGGCTCGACAAAAGATACACAGATAACAAAAAAAAACAAAAAATCAATAGATCCCTGTAAGCCAGAGCAAACAATAGAACCGGAAAACGCCTATTCATGCCGCAACATAAACATGGTATCATCAAAGAGCAACCTAAGCCCAGCTCTTCACTTACGAGAGTCACGACGAGCAAGTAGAGCAAGAGGAGCTGATGAGGCTGGAGGTACGCGAGCAGAAAACGGACCGGGAGCAGGGAGAAGATTGAATGCGGCGAGAGAATCAATAGGAGCAAATGTAGGCTGTGGGCTTGACTCATCTTCAGGCAAGAACTGGATGAACGCCTGAAGACGCTCATGAGCTGCTCGAACTCGCATGTTGACAGTCTCACCGTCATCATCAGGGACCTTGGAGAAAGCCTGGTCATCAGGCTTGGTACTCTTCCCGGTTGTCAACTTGTCAAAGGTGCCCAGCTCCTGAAGGTGCTTGGTGTTCTTCTGGATGAGAGCCTGGGCGACAGGGTCATGAGCCCTGGTTTGGAGCAGGAGGTGGTTGATTCCTGCGGCGTTGATGGGAGGCAGCACGAGGGATCTCTGTTTAATCTTGTTAGGTTCACTGATGAAATTGGAGTTAGATATATGACTGAAGATGACTTACTCTGGTCATACCAGGAGGAGGCATAGGAAGCTCCTGAGCAGGAGATTTGGCCGACATGGGGATCTCCGCGTGGGAGGAAGCAGCGACATTGACAGAGCTGTGCTCGCCCTGCTCGCGGTGGCATCGAACAAGGGTCCGAGCCCATGCCTGAGTGTCGTCCTCGTCGGCCATGCCGCTGGCCAGGATATCACTGAAATGCATCTGGCGGCGGCGACGTTTCTCCATGGCTTGGTTCTCGTCGCGCCAATTTTAGAAGGCAAGACAACGGCCAGGTAGTGCGGTAAGGAGGAGGTTACTACCGTCAGTCTCGGCAGTGTTCGGCATGGTAATTGTAGACGGAGAAGTGGAATCGGCTTCAGTTGAAGGGAGAACAGAGGGTCCGCTCTGGGTCAGGATGGGGGAAGCAATTATCAGAGAACGCATGTCGGGGAAGGAAGAACCAACCTCACCACCATCCTCATTAGAGCGTGCTGTTCTCCAGAGGTGAGTCGGGCAAGCCGCGAATCGCGGACGTATGTAGCAGTATGTACCAGACCTTAGGCCGCGGCCGCGACTTACCTAATTGGGACGCAGCCATATCATGAGGGCGCTCAGAGTCAGGCTCACTGAGTATTTCACAACATAGGGTGATCACTCAATGACCACTTTCTCTGCTCGATAAGAAGTCCGATGATAACGTATTTCACAAGCGAACCGCCAAATTCAATAAGCTAACAACGAGTTCTATTAGTACATATGGTCAATTCATGACCCTTAATTTCACATAAGCTGCCCGTCGGTAATGCTCTTGTACGTGGCTCTTAAGGTGCCGGAGCCGGTCCTGCCTCACAGGATACTTGTGCTAAAACTGCCTGCTCTGGCTGCTAAGGCAGAGCCTCTAAGACTGAGAGTTCTCCTTCACAACCTCGTCTTAATGCTGATCCATGAACCAAACGTCAATGGGTGCAGTCAGCATAAAATAACCACACCCATCGTTGCTGTCATCAGGACCATCATTATATGTCAACTAGAAGCATTGTTCTTATGCGTATCAATACTTTACTCTATTATTACTGTATATAATACCCCATCATTACTGCTCATCTGTAATATAAAAGATTGAGTTATTCAGAGAGACTTCGGCTTCTCAAGAAATTGATGTTGTCTTAAGATAATCATTTTTCTTGCTACTACTTGACCACTTATCATCTTTACACTTCACCTGATTGACAGGATGTTTACCTGATAAAAGACAATATTACCTTTTACAGTCGAGGTCTTTGGCAACGACAGAAAATCCAGGAATGAGAACCGGCCTCAATGACCCCGTAAAGAAAGATCCAAGGATGATTCTGGCAGAGAAATGTTCTTCCCTTATCCAAGACCAACTAAGGGGATCAAAAAGCGAGGAGGATGGGCGAGGAACTTGAACTTGAACCTTACTTTCAGGATGGTCGACGCTTTCAACTTTGTAGGCGGAAGAAGGCTGAAACGCTGTTGATGTTTCCAAATCACCAAAAGCATCTTTCAGCCGTTTGATATAGGTAGATGAGACGTAAAATGAAACAAAAAACAAAGATTTGTTTCTCGGTAAATCTCTGTATCCTTAGCTGCTACGAAATGTAGATACCTAGCTATATACCGGGCTACTTTCAGCAGCTGATACCTCATAATTAATTTATCTGAAACGCGCATCTTATCCGGGCGCCTCGATGGAGTCCGCCACTAGTCGATTAAGATCCCGCTTCAACCAGTATCTGGCCCCAATCAGATATCAAGATACCTACCCAAACCAGTAATTAGTGTTAAACTCGCGAAACGCTGTTCCCATTTTAATCTTCACCGCTGAGTCAAAATGCTCTGGAAATTTCCTTCACGCATGATCAACATAGCCAATATCAAGCAAGGGAAAGCTAGCCAATCCGTTCCAGAGCATTTGACAAATATTTATAGAAGAATATTTATTTTCTATTAATAGCTAGTACACCTCAATCGTAGTCGTCAGGCAACAGCACCTTGAGTTGCTCCAGTCTGTCTTCACAATTGCCTTCCATCTTGCATAAGCCACCTGTGCTTCCCATGTTCAACAAAAGCTGCGAAACCAGATAAAAGTTATATCCAGTCTTGCTGAGGCCAACATTACTCCATTCATTGCTAGACATCTTATTGCAGAGCTCCAACCATTGCTCGCGCCAACGGTAAAGCGCCCTGGAAGCTCGATTCGTTAGTGGTCCACCGGCAGGCCAAGGATTAGATGTTCCAATGGGTTCAGATAGCAGTGTGTCATGTTGACTTTGAGAAATTTCCACAAGTGGCCTGAGGAGATCCAAATGAGTGTTTATGTAAGTAAAAAGCACTGCAAGCGGTCAGTTCATCATTGATTAATCCATTGAAGAGGTTCATTCTCACAATGTATCAATAAAAACATGTCAAACGTTGTCAACTCGAATGTATTACTTTCCCGAGGTGAGATGGGTGAGAAATAGGGGGAGGATGAAGTTTGGTTAGAAATATCTTGAAAGAGAAAATGAAAGCCCTCTGAGATGGTAGTTTGCCGCGTAAATCGGAAATTTGGGTCTGAGAAAGGATGCTCGGAGTTGAATATGAAGTCTTCACATGGAAGCTCGCACCCCATTTCGGTATAACTCAATCGACATGGGTAGTTTTGAAAGAATGAGAAGGCGCAGTCAAGTAATAGGATGGTGTTCATAGTACTGTCGTCACTTAGCCTTTGAGATTGAGCATCAGCGAATCGTAGCCAGGATGTGCTTACCGAATTCGACTCTCTTTGCGTATCCATAAGTCTTCGTATATACAATCTTGGAGTAGGTGGCGGGAATTTAATCCTACTTGACGAGCAACCTGTGTGTGATACTGGTTAGCTGTGTATCCCATACTGTCATGGCATTGTGCTGTCCACCTTAACAACCTGGCTGAACCTTTCTTCCTTTGCGCGATTCCGTGATGTATGACTGCCAGCCCAATACTGAACTATGACCATAATCAGCCCTGCCTGAAGATCCTGTAATTGAGTGCAAGTATCAAGCTCCTCAACAAAATCTCGGTCGTTGCAGAATTGAATAACAACTTCACTGTCACTGGCAAAGACAGTACTGGAGAAAGTAAAAAGCTCTGCAAAATCAATGATTTTCTTCGCGACATATAATTCCATCTCGTCCTGCGAATACATAGCGCCCATGAATACCACAGATGCGAGTAAAGACAGGGAGACTTTTTCTGAGTCGAAGGAAGGAGGATGAAGAATGGCAGCGCTCGGGTGCCAGTACTCGAAGTACAGATCAATGAATCGTTCGATGCGCGTAGTTGTCAGTAAGAAGTTCAGATAGGTGATTATTTCACACTGCCTTTTCTCAGGCAGAGGAACTTCAAGCGCCTTCCTCAGAATTGACTGGATTAACAATGCAGCATATGATCTTTCAGACTCAGGGAGAAGCGGTTCAAAAAATAGCTTCGGGCTAAAGTCCCCTAGGGGGGTTGCCATTGCCGGACCCGCGGTCTCGTCGGAGAAAGAAAAGTCTAACATGCTGGATGGATCACCAACGGGACCATTAAAGAAACCGTTCAACACATCTTCCATGCAGGGTAGAGAGATCGATTCGTATTCATTGTACCAGGCTTTGAATTCGCTCTGATCTTCCTGCAAATTGGCAGGCGAAGCAGCGAAGTCGAATGATACACTTCGAAGTTTATGACATGCAAGGGCCCGAGTCCTATAATTGCTTGGTGGGAGAAAGAGACTTTCGGTAAAACTGTCAGTCCCTCCCTCGAGAAGGCTTCTTAATATCCTCCGATCAGAGGGCGGTTCGAGAGTATTTCGCTGCAATGAGACGCAGCCTGCGGCGATCATTCATTAGCAACGCCTCAAAAGTTTCACTTGTAGCCAGCCATACTTGAATCCAATTTTTCTTTTATTAGCCCCTTGCTACCAATACTGCAAAAATACTTGCTTTCATAACAAGAAGTACAAGGAAAATTCCCATCGCAGCGCATTTTCCGTGATATGCACTGTGCAGGATTTTGCTAATTAGTAAAGCTTGTCGCATATGTGAGAAGGCACTTTGAACTTGCCTGCTGACAGGCATGTCTTTTTCGGCCAGCTTGAAACCTTGGAGGCACGCGACGATTTCCGCGTTCGGTACAAGTTGCAAGATGCTTGCGCAGACAGTCACTGCGATAATGAAAAGTGATCATCAGTCTCGCAGTTCTTCTAAGAGGGGAACTCCAGCTAGAGGAGCTGAACAAGTATCTCACGAGCGGGAAAATGGTATGTTACAAAAACCACATAAGAAGGGTTTTCGCCCGGAATCTAATGCAGAATTTAGTTGGTATGTAGCAAGAGAGTGACAAACCATGGACATGAACAACAACATAAAGCGAGGTTGGGATACAATGGGTAGCTTACGACGAAGGCTATGTCTTTTGAGATGATCGCTGCGTGTGAAACCTTGCTGGCAGACGGTACAGAAGTAGCGCTTATCTGTTGTAGAAGAGGTAGTGGGATTCATGGCCGTGTTGTGTCGCTTATGTGAGAGATATAGTTGTATTTATCTGTAAATCCGGGGTAAGAATTGGGGGCAAGAAGCTGAAGGAAAAGAAAATCCGCTTGAAGACCATAGGTGGCGGAAATAGGCAGTAACCGTAGACCGGCTCCTTGGGGGGAGAATGTGGGGAAATCTTGGCAGACTTGAAAAGATCCATCAACAAATCGAGAGTATTGGGTTATCGGATTACCTCCTTGATCGAGTACCAATTTAGCGTCCCTAGAAGGCATACAAACTATGCTCGGATTTACGGTGTTCATGTCATCAAGTCCCGGGAATCCCCCGTCACCCTATGGAAATCCCCCACCCCACGGAGGTAAGGTCATCAGAGCAGTATACCCGTTATCCAAATGAGGTCAAGTGACACCGGAATTCCCCCGTGCCAAGACCCTCTGTCCCTCTTTGGGAGCAGATCCATATCGGGCGGCTAGATACGGGTGCATGTACTTCGGGATGAACGGATACGTTATTGACGGAATTTGTGACGAAGAAAAAGTTTTGAAATTAGAGGCTTTGGTCCGACGGGCTGGTACAATAATTAAGTTTGTTTTGCTGATTTCAACATCTCGAAGGTTTCTTGAAAGCTCTTGATATTAGCCAATTCAAGCTCTTACGCTTGGATGGTTTAGAAACCTCAAAAACAATGCATATGATATCTCATGATCTTGTTTTCTTCTGGAAACTACCTCCGGGCTCGCAGGGATTAGGAATTTGCTCGTTAAAAGTGTGATACTCATGCAATAGTTGATTGGGCAAATTTAATAGTACTCAAGGCCATATACACAGCTGTATTTTTCATAGCAGAATCCATAGTTTGGAACATTTTGTGGCTCTATCTCCATCCTTGACTGGCTTTGTTGCCGAGTTCTAGAATTTACTATCAGCTCAACTGGAAGCTCTGTCTGCCCATTTCCGGTTATCCGAATTGATCGCCCTTTCTTCCTTCCCCTTGAAACGGAGTTTCTATTTAATTTCTGGGACTAGGTGGTTCTAATCCAGGGCTAGGACCCATTTATCAGAAAGATAGACTCAGTATGCGTGTAAAAACTTAGTCGATGGCTTTGCAGTAGATTCGAACCAGTTGGAATGAATACAAATACCAATTCTGCCATTTCAATACCTGCACTCTTTGCCTCTCATCTTTTTCTCAAGACCCAGATCATCGTTACAAGGTTTGTGATTTAATTAAACCTAAGCATGCTGTCGATCGCTGAGTTTCAAAAACCACTTCTTGCAGCGTTCCCTATACCAACCAATCACCTGATAATCAAGATTCGACTAAATTTCGGCTGCTCACTCAGTAACGAATATTGTCTCTCTATTTCAAGCTTTCTCAGGAAAATGGCATTCAGCTGGGAGCGGTTTGGCGCGTTATTTGAAGGGAGACCTGGGGCTCTAATGTTTTGGTTCATGATCTTACATTTTTCAGGCCTGACGCTGGGGAGATTCATGTCAGAAGGGTATTGGGGGTTATGACGAGCAACTGTAACAAGAATTTGAGCTTTTAGAATCCTAACATCCAAGGAAGAGTCAGTGCCGCGAAAAATAGGATAGGATAGAATTAGGGCTGAATGCAATGAACCCTTTGGATGTGTATATCATCGCTTCTCCCACAGGCGCGAAGAAAACTTTAACGTTAGGTGGGTTCTTAGTATAATGTTGATTGAGCCTGGCCAATGAACTCACGGCGCATTCACCCAGGTCAGCTGTATCAATCATTTTTAAGATTGCTTGTAGACTGAGAGAGTCTAAGCAAGAGGCGAAAAAAACTGTGTCGACTGCCAAATCGATAATGCCAGCCCTTTCGTTGAGGGAACAACGGTCAAGAGTTCTGGTGACTAACTACATTTGAATCGGACTAGCGTGGTGCATTCTATTGAGGTGAACTGCTCCCACGCTTGGCTCAGGTCGATCAGGCTGCTCAGGTAACGCTCAGTGAGCGAGTCACTAAGCTTATGTAAAGATTAGGTCGTGCTCAGTAAGATCAGGCTGCTCTATGAGCAGATCAGAGCGCTCAGGTCACGCTCAGTCCTAACTTGAAAATCCATTTTCACCTCTTTCTTGCCAACTTTCGAGTGCCTCGAGTGAATTGATTTGACCATATAAAATTGAGAATATGGATGACATTCTGGCAGTTGTTGTATGTACAGCACATGCAAATTATACAAAAAGAAACTCATCTATCTTTGCCAGATTCAAAGCTTCGCCTTTCCATTCTTCTCAAATGCTTCTACAGCCTCCAGTCCTCTCTTCTGGACAGCATGGTTCTTATCCTCCACATTCTCCCTCCACTTCAAGTTACCAGCATGATCGTCCAAGCCACTCAGGGTCCGAGCATACATCTCCTCCTTCATGGTGCCATAAATGCCTGTTGCAGCCTTGTTTTGCAGCTTGCGATCCTGGATAAGAGCAAGAGCTTCCGGGGCACCGCCAACTGCATCGACAATTCCGGCCTGGAGTGCATCGCGTCCACCCCAGCGGCGGGCCTCCAGAACCACATTCCGGAATGTGACTGGAGCCAGCTTCTCACGGAAGATAGCCATCATAGGCGTCTGGAGCGGGACGCCGAATTCCAGCTCATTAATACACAAGAACCCACGGTCCGGGTTCATGACTCGGTAGTCGTGGTACATAGCCAGCATGAAGCCTCCAGCGAAGGCATGGCCGTTCAAGAGACATACTGTTGGCATGGGGTATCTGAATCAAATTTCAGCATGTCATTGATTCAAAAGGGGACCGAGCTTCTGATGAGAGTGCAGCGTTGATACGTACGTCAAGAATCGTCGGAACAGTCTCCAAAGCCAGTTCTCTAGGAACCCTTCGGTTTTGCTAACGATATCGAGGTCAAGCCCATTACTGTAGAACTTGGCAATTCCGCTAGTAGTGACTACAACCCCCTTCGGGTAGCGATGCTCAATAATGTCAAGAGCGAGAATCAAAGCGTCGATAAAGATGGGTGTCAGGCGATTATCCTTGGGCGAGGTAAAGGTAAGAACGTAGATGTTTTCATGCTTTTTGTCTGTGCTGGGGTTTGTGCAAACAATTGAGCCACCGGTAGAGCTGATCGGGACAGTAAACAAGGAAGCCATGGTTGCAGATGTGAAAATAGAAAATGGTCAAAGAGCGATGTTATGTTTGAGTCTCGGGTGTCTGAATACTAATCAGGTCCGCGGCATCACATGTTAATGCTCATGACATCATCACGTGATTACGGTCAGCATGTTATCAAGAGAACTACATTCTGTATGTGCGATCAAATTCAAGTAGGTTTGTTCTGTTTGGTTGAGAAGATAGTGGAGCTGAAAGGGTTGCATGAGACCGTATGGAATTTGCAGGGACTCTATGGAACGTGCTACATTATTGACCCCAAAGGAAGGGAGGAAGATTCACCACGTTGATTTCGGGTGAATATGTAAAGAGTAACTTATGATAAAGATTTTTTTTATTTGCAGACACAAACGAATTAGTGACTGCCAATCAATACCGTAAGAGCCACATAGAAGCCTTCTTAAAACTACCAAGGTCCTTAGCCCTATAGTATCTACAGAAAACCTTAAGCAAGTGTATCATCAATGAATACTTCATAATCGTCCGCTAGATCTCCTATATTCTGCATAACTTTGTGGGGAAACGAGGCTGAAATGATGCTAACCGCTATCCGCCGGGGCCGTCATCGCCACTTACTTGCCGAATCATACGCCGACCCCATCGATTACCTCGGTAACCCGAAGAACTCCAATTATCGACGTATCAAGTCAAGTCATGGATTATATTCAAGGCAGGGCTCTCTGTACAATTTACGACTAGACATATATCCAGACCAGATCGGTTTCAACCCTGCTCACAAAATGGCAAACACAACACCTAACCTCCAACAAGCTGCAGTGGTGGTGAATCCCGGCGAAAAAGCCCAAATCAGCCTTCGAAATGACCTGCCAGTGGCCAGTCCAGGACCAAACGAGGTTCTAGTCAAATTAAGATGTACCGGCCTATGGTAAGCATTCTCACAAAAACCTGCAGCTCCTATTAGTGACTCAGATAAACGGGAAGCCGCTCAGAGCTTCGCGCTGTTCAAGCATGGGGCGCCTATAATTCCATTATCGGCCATGAAGGAGTCGGTATCGTGGTGAAAGCAGGGCCTGACACCTCAAAATCCCTGCTGGGCCAACGGGTCGGAGTCAAATGGTTGTACAGTGCATGCAACGAATGCTCCGTTTGCAAACGCGGTTTCCCGCACAATTGCGCCAAACAGCTCAACACCAGCCGTCATGTTCCCGGAACGCTGCAGCAGTACATTATTGCGGATGCGAGGTTCCTTACTATTGTTCCGGATGGCGTGGCTGATGAAATTGCGGCACCATTGCTATGCGCCGGGCTGACAATGGTTGGCGCTTTATCAAAGCTCGAGAATGAGTTGAAGACTGGTGACTTTGTCGTTATCTCTGGATCTGGTGGCGGTCTGGGGCATATTGGCGTGCAGATCGCAACTAGGATGAAGAAGTTGCGAGTCATTGCTGTTGATAGTGGTGATGACAAGAGGAAACTGAGTCTCGATTCTGGCGCCGAAGCATTCCTCGACTTCAAGACTGATGATGTCGTGGCTCGGGTGCTGGAGTTGACTAGGGAGGGCGCGCACGCTACAATCGTTGTTCCTGGAACAGAGGACGCATTGAAGATGGCCCCGAATCTGGTGAGGAATATGGGTTTCATTGTGAATGTTGGCTTGCCACGAAATGATATCCAAATTCCACTTTCGGCCACACTTTGCACAGCGAGAGGTATGCTTAAATATCCAAGTCCCCGAATCACCTACTCATATTCCTTGAAAATAGGTCTCACCTTCACCGGCTCCTCTGTGGGCACCGAGGATCAAATGACCGACTTGCTCAAAGAGGCAGCAGCAGGGAATATAAACCCAGCGATAGAAGTTTTTGATTTCTCATCCGTGCCAACCTTGATTGAGAGACTAAGGGAGGATGGCATCACAGGAAGAGCTGTGGTTAGACTACCCCAGTAAATCGAGTGAAGTGGGAAATAAGAAATAGAAAATAATAAAAACCACGACATGTTGAGAATTGACTGGACTATAAGAGTTTCTTGCTCAATCCTGGGGGTGAGCGGGTATTTCGTGGAAACCAACAAGCGGGTGGCTTCTTGGGAATGTGGACCTCCAACCGGTCCAGTTAAGCTACAATGTATGAAGTTCGCCCTAAGAGCCTTAGCCACACATCAGATTCTCGGAAAAGTGGACACTAGCTTTGAAGAACTCGCCTAGCAGCTCTAGTCAAATGAAAGCTGCCCAAATACGCTAGTTTGAGCCCTTATTTTCCTACACTAGTGGAGCCGCTAGATTCGATCTGGCTACGATAGTCCAAAACTCCACGGAATGATACACTTGAAGACCCATTCAGATTTTGGTTCCGCTTACTCACAGCAAGTATAGGTATATCCGTGACTTGTGACTAACCACGCAACTGGAACACGGGCTATATCCTAGAAATTCAGCACTAATTCACTTGCCCTTTAGCTCCATTGAAGGATATCAAAAACTGTGTCAGTCGGTTTATGATTGTATTATCATCTATTTTTATTCAAACATATTTCATACCAACTGACATTCATGATATCCGAACAGAATTGGCGCCCGGGAAAGAGAGTAGCTATCGCTGGTGGGGGACCAGGAGCCATTTCAACAGGCCTTGCCTTTCTCAAGCGTGGCTATGACGTGCGTATCTTTGAGCGCCAACCCGAATGCAAGGCCATTCGATGGTGCTGTCCTTTTGTCGACACCAGTCTTGGCGATTCTGCGATCCTACGGGCTGAGCCTGGACAACGTGGGTTCCTATACGGCGACACATTTTCAAAATAACACCGGCATAGAACGAGTCCAGCTCCCATTCAACAAAGAGGTCGAACGACGCATGGGAATCAAAGGTTGGCATTACGGCGTCCTGCGCTCGTCCATTTTCAAGAAAATACTAGATCTCATGCCTGAGGGTATTACCCACGCGAGCCATGAAGTGACCGGTTATACCGAACTCGAAGATGGCGTTGAGGTTGAGTTCAGAAATGGAGCCAAGCTTACCGCCGATATCCTTATTGGAGCAGATGGAATCCGCTCACCAATTTCACATCAGGCATTTGGTGAGCCCGGCCTTTTCTACACAGGAATTCGTCTCTGGCTCGCCTGGTGTGATTATATCCCTGGTATTCCGGAAAGCCACGGTGTCATTTCCCACGATTGGCAATACCAGGCTAGTTTCTTTCCCATGTTACATGATGGAAAGCCTGGGTTTGAATGGTGGGTTGTCGAGCCATCATGGGAAGAAAAGCCACTACCTGATGATCCAAAGCAACATCTTAGCGGTATCTTGAAAGGTTGGCAGGAACATGTGCCTCGCTTCCTCGAAGCCACCAATTTCGATACGCGGGTCTATCGATGGGAGATCTACAACAGACCTTCGATGTAGAGATGGTCTACTGGCCGGATTGCATGTGTCGGCGATTCTGTGCACCCGGTAACACCCTACGCGGCGTATGGCATGGGAATGGCCATTGAAGATGGTTATTATCTTGCCAAGTCGCTGGATGGGCGTTGACCTGCGAGATTTGCGTGCGGTTAGTGCCAGATTTGAGCTGTACGAAAAGCAGCGTGTTGACTACGTCAATCACAACATGGAATTTGCTCGCTTCTTGGGAAGAATGTTTCACTCTTTGCCTTGGCCTCTTGCTAAGGTTTGTGATTTGATCTTTGACTATACACCCTTGTATGGACATTATTTGAAGAAGGGGTATCTTCAAAAGGCCGAAGAGGAAACGATGAGCTTGAAGGAGCTTCAGGTTGTTTAGGGGCTATTTTGTCTTAAGTGGAACTAATTGAAAAATTGTACATTATACTTTGGCGTGTTTATCGACATTTAGGAAAACAGACAGATCGAGCCTAGTAACCCTCAAGTCCTACGGCAATGCTGTTTTCCACAGTAGTCCAGCCCGGCTGCCCATAGAAATCCCGAAGCAGCTTTTCAGCTTTGCGAGCAGGTATAACATTAGTGAGATCATGGCCATCAGCAGGCGGGTCAGGAATTTGAGTGTTATCGGGCCGAAGTTTTCTAACAATAGCAACCATCTCAGTTAGATTGAGAGGCGTGGCAAATCCGAAGATCCGCTGGGAAACTGTGTTTGGATCGAGAAGAGCTGCTGTGTGAAGACGCGCAATGTCGACAACATCTACGAAGTATTCTGATGAGGTATCGTTTAGCTTGACATGCAAAATCAATCTCGAGAAAATGTACTTACGCGGAACATATGTCTGGAACACTCTTGTATCACCTTTGAGAAGACCGCGAACCCAGCCCATCGTTGAGCCGTGAATCTCGGGGTGTAAGATTCTTCCAAGCTTTAACCAGTTAGCATATCCTGCTATCCATAACAAGTAAACACAGGACGCACCGAAAATTCTGGAAGCACGGTATTGAATTCAAAGCCAGGTTTGTTATCCTCCACCCATTTCCACGCTGCCTTTTCACCCTCTGTCTTGGAAGCGGCGTAGCAGAAGAGGCCCTTGAGCTGTGGTGAGCTGTTCGGATCCCAGGCCGCTCTGACAGCTTCTTCGTTCCATGTATCTGAACTTCTCATAAGCCATGTCGATCCCATGAGGTCTAACTGCTCTAAGAACTCACCCTCATCAACGCTCACGCCTTCCTTGTCAGCCTCGGGGAATAGAACCGCCACCGAAGAGGAAGTCAAAACCACTCTCTGGATCTCAGAATATCGAGCCGCAGCTTCCAACACATTGTGGGTTGCCTTCACCACCGGTGTTATAACCTTTTCCGGATCCGAGTTGAATGAAACATCTGAAGCCTGAAAATTCAAACGAAGCTGATCAGTCAATTGCCTCCCAAGAGCCACACCATCGAGCATAGCATACCACATGAGCAAGCCCAGAAACACCCCCCATAGCCCCCGCGAGTACGTCCACATCCTTGAAGTTAGCAACAATCACCGACTCAAACGAGTCCTCCCCAAACTTCTCCCGGAACATCTCATCAAGCCATGGTTTTGGCGAGCGAACAACCCCACGAACCTTGAAACCTAATTCAAGCAAGCATTGGATAATGTTACTTCCAACAAAGCCATTGGCTCCAGTAACAAGAACGCGCGAGCCCGCAGGAAGACGATAAAGAGAGTTCGCCATTACAGACACGGATTGGAAGAGTTCGTAATTGTGTGAGCAAAAGTCAGGAGAAGAGCATCGCGAGCAAGCGAGCGGGGAGCGGCCTGTGTGGAGTCGGATAGAGTTCCCCTAAGTAAGCGGGCATTTTTGTGAAATGGGCCGAGAGGTTGGATCCTGTTGGTCAGTAGGAGCGTGAAGATGGGAGGCAATGTGATCTGATGATCGGTTTAGTCTTCTTCCTGGTTGCCTTTTCACCGATATTGCGCCACATTTTGAGCTATTCGCTGATGTACAATGCAGCATTTCTATGCCAGTACCGGGGGTTTGGTACGTCCCGACGATCTGTGCAGCGGCTCAGCGTTATCTCTCGGTCAGAGTAGGGAGAGTGGTAAGGCCTATAGGGATGCTGTAGTGGAGGGTAGTGTAAATATAGTATATAGTATAATATAAACCCAGAGGATCACAATTTTATAGTCCCCAAGATATCATTAAGCTCATCCGAACCCTGGTTCACATGCATGAGTCCGGTGGTAGGACTATGACGTCACGCAGTGGATATCCTGCCTGTCACTTTCTTCAGCTTAACCTGCTTCTGACAACACCCAACATACTCATCAATTGCCAAAGATACATAACTTCATAACATTCCAGTTAAATAAATATCACTTTTACAATGCAGACTCGCTCCAAAACCCAAGCTGGCCAACCCGCACAACCACCAAAGCAGGCAGCATATGAACAAGCCTCCAACCCAGTCTCGCATAATCCACAGGAACAACGAGCGCCAGCCGAGACAACGCGCCATCATGGCGACTCAATCGCAGCCATAACCCGTACCGCCAAGTCAAACCCATCTAGCGATGAGGCTCGAGCCCGTCTCGGTGAACAACACAGACAGCATGAGCGAGAATTGCAGAGTGCACCAGACGTTGATTTGGAATACGGTGTTGAAGAGCAACCATCTGAGGGATATATTGCAGATTCAGTCCACAGGAAAGGCATGGGCATTCAGCGGGCTCAGGCTGGTGCTCATGCTGGTCCTGTTGGGAGCGCGGGAGGTCCTGGCCACCCTGGATTTGGGGAACAGGGGAGCTTGACAGCCAACATGGACCAGAAGATGTTTGAACACGAAAGAGTACTCGGAGAGAGGGTTGGCCATAGTCCCGCTGAGCCGGATGGGGAGACTGCGGAGAGGGAGGCTGTTAGACAACAGAAGCTGGCACGCGATGAGCACATTGATGTTGAAGGAGCTGTCAAGGAAGCGACTGGCGACCCAGTTGTAGGCCACTAGATTCTTGTTCTTCGGCCATGATGGCGATTGTGTATGGCAAGAGGCGTTGCAGGGACATTTTGCTTGGACACGACTTTCATTAAAAGTTGCAGACTAGCTAATCGCAGCTAATGTGAATATGGGACCGGCATTGTATACACTTTGATCTCGAGAAATGGGTATGATAAGGTAACCGAAGGCGCCAAAAATGGGAGGTATTAAAGAGTAGTGTTGAAAGAAATCAGACATCAGTCATCGTGATCATCCGTGATGCCCATAGAGACCTTCTTAAGTTCAAGATCCTTCTTCAACTCTTGAATACGTCGACCCTTCTTGTTGCGAAGAATATGGTTCTGGACTTTCTCCCACTGTGCTGTTTCAGTGCGGATGAGTGCCTCCAGCTCAGCAACTTCCTCGCGCTGCTGCTGGAGCTGCTGCTGCTCTTCCAGCTGGTCGTCATCCAGTTCGTCGTCATTGCCATCGGAGTCGCTATCCCCGCCTGAAGAGTCACCGCGGTCTGTCTGGCCTCCAGCGGAGGGATATTGAGGCATGGAGGGAGTGGGCGCTTCCTCCTGTTCGCCGGGTGCATCGTCGTCACCAGCCAATGCAGCCTCCATCTCAGCTGCGAGAGTATCTTCGAAGTCATCCATGATTTCTTCATCGGCTTCGCCGTATGCATCTTGCTCGTCATCGTATTCGTCCCCGTAGTCGTCGGCTTGTACCAGTCCCTCCGCACGGTTGAGTGAGGCGCTGTCCACAAGCTCAAACTTCGGGGGAAAGATCGATTGTTCATCTTGAGCTAGCAATTCTTCCACAGCCTTCTCAACTTGCTCAATGGTGCGGGTGCTGAGACGATCGCGGAAACGTCGCTTGCGAACCCAACGAAGCGGAGGTGCGAGGCCGTGTGCGTATTGTAGTGTTTTGTCATCGGGGAGTTGAACATCCGGAGGAAGTGGGTATTCGAGTGCTTCTTGTTCATTGTTGACTCGTCCCAAAACCAAGAGCATCTGACAAATATCCGCTGATTTATACCAGCCACGTCGATCCCAACTCTTCATTCCTTCAATGATACAGGGTAGGTCCACCAGTGCCGCGGCATATTGTCTGCCTTTGATAGTGAAGATGGCGCGGCGGCCTTCACGGTTCAGAGGTTTGAATCCGAAGCCATTTCCTTCAACGGTGCGGTCGTTGATTGCCTTCCGTAGGGCTTCACAGTCTTCTCCTGGCTGCATTCGTAAGATAAATTGTTCTTCGATGACAGGGTCCGCTTCAGTGTCTGAAGCCTCCGAGTCATAGCCAACACCGACCGGTCGATTAGGAACGACTCCCTTATTCTTGATACGGATGGATTGTAGTGCTGGCTTCTTGCTGGGGTTCAACTTAAGGCGTTTCGGGCCTTGCTGGACAGTCGCGACGGGTTCAGGCTGGGCGACATTTTCGGCGGGTCGTTTTTTCGTCGACTTCTTTTTCTTCGGTTTTTCCTCACTTTCTTCGCGTTGTGGCTTGCTTGCGATCTTAAGAGTGAGCTTGCGCTGGGGTTGGGAGGTTTCAGAGGCTGCAGGCGTTGGTGTTGGTTCTGGCGCAGATGCCGGGGCAGGTGCGGACTCTGGTTCAGCTGGGGGGATCGGCCTCTTCCCAAGCTTCAGCTTCAACGTAGGTCGCGGGGCATCTGACATGATGCCAGTAAGCAAGAGATCTCCCCCGAAAGGAGTTTGCGAGAGAAGAATGGGTAGACGAATGGGGAGGTGTAGGAGGAAGACGACGCGGGAGCTGGAATTCTCCGCCCTGGCCGCGAACTTCGTCTTTTCGTCTCTTTTCTCTCACTTTACACTCTATTCTTTTCACCTCAATAGTCCCAATCTCCTATTCTTCCCCTCGCATATTCAATAACCATACCATCTGATCTGGTCATTTATCCATTAATTGCCTGCCACAATGTCGGGCCCAAACCTTCACAATGCTCTCCTCCGACCTCCCATCATCCAAATCCTACGCGCGCAAGGCTTCCACTCCACGCGCCCATCCGTTCTTGAGTCTTTGCAGGACCTGACTGGTCGATACATCATGATTCTTGCATCTTCTGCTGCCGACCACGCGGCAAACGCCCACCCACAAGATCCAGTTCCCGTCCTTGAAGACATCTACCAAGCTCTACAGGACGCAGGTGCCATCCGGCCACAGCTGCGCGAATGGGAGGAGGAATGGCAAGGCGAAGAGGATATGCGTGGCCTTGACGCTTTCCTTGGCTGGATCACTGGCCCAGTCCACCGCGAAATTCGACGAGTAGCCGGCTTCGTCCCGAGTGAGGGTGATATGGTTGATCGAGACGCGATGGAAAAGGAAGATTACCTCACAGCTTTAAAAAAGAAGCACAGCAAGACTGGCGAAGAGTCTCGCTATGCTGGAACCGTCCTGGGAAAAAGTGCCGAAGAACATCCGATTGTCATCGAGGGTGGTGTCCCAAGCATCCAAGAATGGGGCGCCCAGATCCGGACACGAACCTCTGATCCCATGGATAGCGATACGTCTGGTGTGAGCAGTGCTCCGAGCCATCTTTCCGACGAGGAAGGTGTGGGTGCCTGAAGTGATCGCATTTCAACGCCTGTTTGATTACAACCAAAGACCTGACTCACACCTCACCTGTGATGAACAATCAGCCCTCACCTCGGATCATCCTGCTAGATGATAGCTCAATATCAGCTGCCCACCGAAGTAAAGAGGGTCACCCAGTGGCACTGGATCTCGCTTTCAAAGGTTTCCGCTCTCGTCAGGCTTGACTACCCGACACCCGAGGAAATGATACCACTTGCCCTCGGATCCTTGCATGAGCAGGCCTCATTGTAGCCTAACTCCATGCATCACCAGCAACATTATCTTGCAGGTCGGGGGATTATGGAAGCACGGCACATTGTCAACCATCGCTTGGAGATAACCAGAAGTATAGTGAATGAAGATGAACAAGATATGGCCAACTGAACAAGGAGAAATGGACATAAACAATTGACAATCACCATTTGTCGTTTGTCGTGGTTGTGCGCTTGGATGATTGGGGCAAGATTGTTTGCTGATCCGTGAGAGGCAATGCAATGCTGGATTGAGCATCTTGGAGTTTTGACAGCCTGACCTGTGTTCAATGCTCTTCAATAGTGCAGTAATAGCAATCAATCTTTCATTTCACTTTTGGATGCCAGTTTTGGTTCTTAATATGTTGTAGAGAATTCCTGCTTATACATCAAGTACGTGACATGGTGATACCCTAGCTTGCAACCTCTTCACTCAAGGCGTTCACTATAAAATTCATATAGTGAGTTGCTTATGAGTTATCATACTAAAATGCGAAGACTGGATCTGGGGAAACGCAAGGCAGACCTCAAACTGTTAGATTACTGAGTGGAGGCACGTGGTGGATCAGGCACAATCCCCGGAGCCCCCCGCAATTTGCCTGACACTCCGGGGTTTGCCCTTTGATTTGAACTCAACTCAAGACTCTCTTCCTAAAGTTGTAGAGTTCCTGTCTGAGACATCAGGTGAAGCTACCGCCTCCCAGCGCCACCCGACTTGGCCGACTTGGCCTGGAAAGTATGTCCAAATTCTCGCCGAGAAATGCCAAAGCAATGATCGGAACAGGACATCGGTAGTTGGCCGCAGCAGTCCGAAAAAGCCTCGGCCAGAATGTTTTGTTCGGTTCAGCCCTGGTATCAGACTAGCCGACACGCTATATTAGACGGCTTCAATCCCCGTCACCGGAGGGCCCCGAATACCACTGATTCCTGTATTTCCCGGCAATTCAGTCCGTGTAGAACTCCCACGAACGCCGCCACCTTGACTCCAGACACGGCGAATGGAGAATGAAGCTCCACTGCTGTCTCCTATCGCCAACTTTGGCTTTTAATCTGACCAGTCTGACCCCAGTCCCACCCATTGACTCAACAACTGCCCCATACCCCGGAAATGCCGATTACGAATCCCCATACTGCGCGGGGTTGACGAGGCCCCTTTTGTCTGACCCTTTCCGCTGATCTGGAGTTCTAACGTGGTTATATTCTCGTATGATTTCTTCCACTATGGCTTCACTCGATCATGCCACTGGCGCTGGCCAGCCCAAGTACGACTCTGATTACATTGAGGAGAAGGATATTGGTGGGAATTTCGCAGACCCTACTGCACTACTCTCTGAGACGCACAAATCATACCTGATTGAGCGACATGGCACGTTGGACTTGGATCCGATCCCTAGTATGGATCCGGCAGATCCTTACAACTGGCCATCATGGAAGGTAAGCAGACAAGAATGTTTCTGAGGCTTTCGCTGACACTAGGACAGAAAACTGCCAACTTAAGTCTAGTTGCGTTCCACGCTTGCATGGGTACATTTACCGCTGCTGCGATTATCTGTGCTTACGAGGACATTGCGGAGGATCTGGGTGTCTCAATCCAGCGTGTCAGTTATCTGACATCCTTGCAAATTGCAATCCTTGGAGGTGCTCCGTTGTTTTGGAAGCCTCTCTCCCACCGATTCGGCCGACGTCCTATCTTTCTGTTGTCGTTGATACTGAGCTGTGTTTGTAATGTCGGCTGTGCGAAGAGCACGGACTATGCCTCCATGGCGGCATGCAGAGCTCTTGTTTCATTTTTCATCTCGCCCGCTATGGCCATCGGTAGCGGTGTTGTGACTGAGACCTTCTTTAAACATGAGAGAGCACGGTATATGGGTGTCTGGACTCTGATGGTCACTTTGGGTGTACCAGTCGGTCCTTTCATCTTTGGTTTTGTGACTCAGCGTGTTGGATACCGCTGGATCTACTGGATCTTGGCAATTGTAAGTGATGCTAGGTTGATATTGTGTCTTCCTCGCTTACCATATATAGACCAACGCTGTCGAGTTCATTCTCTACATCTTCTTTGGACCCGAAACCCGTTACATCGGAGCCGACATTCACTCCAAGTCCTCTGCATTCAAGACCGAATACATATTGCTCCGCCGAATTGACCCGACTCCTATGAAGTTGAGAGAATTTTGGCATCCGCTCACATTGTTCACCAATATCCCTGTTCTCCTAGCAGCAATCGCCTACTCCATGGTCTTCCTTTTCGCCTCAGTTCTTAACTCAGTCGAAGTCCCCCAGCTTCTTCAAAGCAAATTTGAGCTCAACGCCCAACAACTCGGTCTACAATTCCTTGGTCTGATCGTTGGTTCTCTGCTCGGTGAACAGCTAGGTGGATTCATGTCTGACATGTGGATGAATACCCGGGCCCGAAAGATTGGACGCAAGCCTGCACCTGAGTTTAGATTGTGGCTGAGCTACATTGGCTTCTTGCTGAGCATTGCTGGTATGGTTGTGTTCTTGGTTTGCACTGAGCAAGCCACGACTGGCAAATGGGATGTGAGGCCGGTCATTGGAACTGGTGTTGCTGCCTTTGGTAACCAGGTTGTTACTACCGTCCTCACTACCTATGCAGTCGACACTTATCCCCAGGATGCGGGAAGTGTCGGTGTCTTTATCAACTTCGTTCGCTCGACATGGGGATTTATTGGGCCTTTCTGGTATGTTTCTGCTTTTACTGTATTTGAATTTGAATCAAATGCTAATCCTCTTTCGAGGTTTACATCCATGTTCGAGAGTGTCGGCATTGCTAATAGCTCTGGTGTTGTTGCTGCTTTGATCATGGGTGCTAGCTTCATCCCAATGGTGCTCATGCACTGGCAGGGCAAGAACTGGTACACCAAGCGCGTGGATTGAACGCCTTTCACTCCTTTCGCCAAAAGGAATAGCGGGAGTAGGCTATAGAATACTCCATTAGGCTGCTGGATTTTGAACAAATTGGTTTTTCTATCCGACAATGTCTGATGAATTCAACGTACATATAGGTCTTCTATTGTTAATATATTTCCTAAGTAATTGTGGCCTGTAGACCCCTATTAGCAATAGTAGTCATTCTTCAGTCAGTAAATAGACCTTTTGATGCCCGACTTAACTAAATTGCCCCCCGGATGCAAACTGATCGACTCACCTGAACGAGTACGTACTCAACGAATGGATGACAAAGACCTTACGAAGCATTACATGAGGATTGCTAATTACACCTGGGCATGTTTGTCTGATCCTCCAATCTTGTTTGTTTCCTTGTTCGCTTGGGTTTTATCTCTCCATAGTTGGACCTAGTTTGCATTCTCTCCTATCCCCCATTTGATACTCACACGCTGGATCTATTCCCTACAGTTTTTCTGCTAATTTCCGGCAATTTTTCCCTATCACTGTCGCTATATGCGGATTCATTCCAAAGCTAAGACCTTGGTATATTAGAAATCGTGGATATACATCTTACCAATCCTACATCTAGAGGACAGCCGTTCAATCCCGGCCAGTCCTGTATCAATAAACATGGGAGTCCTGCTCTCGAAACTTTTTGGCACAGTCCTTCTAGCAGATTCACTTCATTCGAGCATGTAACTCCCACTTACAGCCGCGGCTGTGCCCTTGTTTGTTGCCGAGTGCCTGGCTGGAACCCAACATCAACTTGCTGCACCAACGAGCCATATCCAGAAAGGAACGCTGATTAGGAAATACATCGACTCCTATAAACAAGATGTTTTCCTAGGAATTCCTTTTGCACAGCCCCCGATTGGACATCTTCGCTTCAACGCGCCTCAACCCGTGAGTAAAACCTGGAAGCACCCTCTGAATGCGACTGTATATGCCGCCTACTACGTCAACTATCTGAATCCGCTAGCTTGCTGAATTTCAACAAATTTTCTAAAAAATCAGGAGCCTCTTCTTTTAGTGGCGTTCAGCGGGGATCTAGGGTTGCCTTTTAGAACCTAGAAATCGGGGGCCAAAGCCGGTCCCACCCTTCCCGATCCTGATATTGCGCTGTATTTATTTTGCTTCGCTTTAGCTTCCGTATGTATCAGAAAACAGATGCCGTATGCTGCTTAAGTCGTCATACTGGCCCCTCCGTAAATACTGAAGTACGATCGAAAGTTGATAGCGATGACAGATATAAGCCTTTCCTAATTAAAAAATGGAGAGAGGTCCCGTAATACCGTATTTCAGCGGTATGATTCAGCTATATATTCATAGCTACGGAACATGTTAAAAGCTCACCAATAGTCCCAATAAACTCGTTTGTCTTCAACCCATAGAGCTATTAAAAGCTTCTTCTAGCCGCCGCCAAAATCATGACCTAGGTGGTATTTGAGGAAATTCTTTCCAAGGGTTTGTATTGCATCGAAGAGAAGGTTCTGATTATCTATCGCCTAGTACGGGAGGTTTGTCCAGCGTGATTCATCTTGCAGCGTTAGAACAATCTCGCGGACGGTAGGAACGAGTGGAAACGCAGCCGTTTCTGGACTTAAAAGCGGTCATTTTCGGCCTCAATCCCACGGGTCCTCATATTCTATATGTAAATATGTGTATAAATAAAGATTAAATATGATGCGTATCAATGCCGGTTTGGGCAAATGAAGAGGTATCATATAATATAATGATTCTCGAGATTATGAACGTGACATCCGCGATATCATAATCAACCCTTGCCTTTGTATGTACATTGCCGAGTTCCGAGCCTGATCTTTCGGGATAAGATGCTCATCCCCATTTGCGATAAGGGCCTCAACAAGAGTCGCCCTCCCGGCGTGGACAAACCCAAGTCGCCGGTACAATTCCACGGTAACATCATTTCCCGCCTTAACAATGAGCCGTACTTGAACATCCCGAGGAGATGAACGATATGATCGAAGATAATCAATGGCCGCCTGGCAAAGTTTGCTTCCAAGTCCACGGCCGCGATATTCCGGAAGAGTAAACAAGCTCAGCATTTGCCATCTTTCTTCCTCTTCATCAGATCTCTGAGGCGGCTGGCCAGCTTCCGCGGGCAATTCGAAGTCAGCCCTAGATGATGGCCCTCGCAGAGTGACTTGGCCGATCCATTGTGTGTCATCTGAGCATGAGGGATCACGGCCGGATGGCGTAGCGGCACAAATGAAAACTTCTCGATCGAGGACAGTGAGGCGATCGACCCAATCTGCATCACTGAAAGCGGCTTCAATCTCGTAGGTAGATGAGAAAGACCCAGGTGAGGTTTTCAATGCTTTTAAGCGCAATTCTCGATATTTTTGAGCGGAGGCATGGATTCCAACCGATTTGGAGATAGGAAAAAAAGAGTAGGTATAGGTGGAAGCCATGATGGGACCTGAAAATAAGGAGTACACGCAATTACTATGTTGATTATTTATATGCAATGAATACGTGACTCAGAAATGGCAAGCTACGGCTAACCGAAAATTGGCCGACCTTGACTGGCCGATCCACTTTGATATTCAAATTTAACGGAAAACTTCTGTCCAGGCAACGTAGTAAGCGCCAAATGGTGCTTACTACGAGATTCCTGAATAAAGCAACTAGCTTGGCGGAAGAAAGCACTAAAGAGAAAAGAATTTCCTTGCTCTCAACCAAACGTGAGACTTGAGACAAAGCTGACCACTGAACTCCAATGGAATAAGCCATTTGCCCAGAAGAATTAATAGCAAACGTTCATAGCCAATACACTGGTAGTCATGAGAGGGTCAAGTACTGTCTCGTACTTATCAGCGTGGCTTTCATTTCAGAGAGGGTATATCTCAGATAAAATGGGTTCGAATTCTCCTATGAGCTGGCACACAACTTGATGTTTCTTACATCTGTGAACTTTGCTCTAGCTGCCAAGTAGCAAGTTCAAATTGACTTTTGAGAAAAACAACCCCTCATTATTTGCTCAATATCGGGAAAGTTCACTCAAGTCCCTCCTGAATATTCATTGGCAAACTGAGCGAAAAACAAATAGCCAGGCAAAAATAAAGAGAATACGGAAAGGACGAGAGCGAAAAAACGAGTATATAACAAAGAAAATCAATGCCAAGAACTGCTCTTGAGAAATGAAAATGCCTCGATGGCCGGAAAGAAACGTGATGCTCTCAAGAATTTTGAAAGCAGACATGAGAGATACTGAAGTAATAGACTATCGCTAGTTTAGATGTTCACCTTGTAGTTGAGACTTGGACGTGGATGGTTCTTTATCGAGAATGAAACCAAGTACTCCATATGACTTAAAAGAGAGATACCGGAAATTTGCATTTACTTCTCTGACGTCCTGTTTATCCGTCATGTTTTCAACCTCTGGTTTTATCCTTTATTTACTTTAGCTCTGATATCATGATTCTTCTAAGAATTTTTGGAGCTTGGGTCCCAAATCTCGAAGGTGAACTCTGTCCTAGTAAGGTCTTTGACTCGCGCTGTAACATACCATAGATTCTTTGCGATATCCGTGTTCGATTATGGTTATACCTGGATCTTGGGTCTCCCTCTGCATGCATATCGACCTCCAAACCGATTGCAATTGATCGTTCCCCATCACTTTCCCCAAGCTCTGGAGTAGGATGAATATCAACAGTTGGACAATGCGAAAGCCGTTATGAAGGCATACAAAGGCGAAACCCTCGACTGCAACCCCAGTCTTGTTACATATTGGTCCAAGGGCACACAGATTTGCGAACCAAGGTCATTCGATATGGATAAGTTCATGCACGGCAACACCAAGCACGAGGGCCATACTGGATTCTGGGTGGAAGGAGTATGTAAATCTTTTTACACTGGCTGAAAGTATGCTGACATGGCATGTTCTACAGTTTAATTATATACCCGAAGCTCAGATGAGGTCGCATTTCGCTGTCGGGCCACCTGCAGCCGCGTTGGGCCTTGATGTGAGAGTAATCCCCCTTGATAAAGTGATAAAGAGCCAATAGTTATGCTTTGTATAGATGGATCTTGCTGTCCAATTTCCTCGGGAAGGTACTCGGCATATTCAAAAGGTGCTTAATGCCAGTTTTCTAAATGATACCGGGTCCTCTATGATGGGAATATATTCTGACGATCTAAGAGTCCTCAGAGGCATGCACGGGGGAAGCGTGATCCACATTTCATATTCACCTGTCCCTGGGGCCATTAGCATCACTATGGCGAATAATACTCTGCAAACCTCCCTAGCAAGAGTGATTGAGGTCAGTGTTCGGGACCCAGTAATAGGCAACATGTTATTGAATAATTGGGCGCCTATACGATGCACCGTATCCAGAAGTAGTGGCCCATTGGGTGCTGCGAGACTCAGTAGCCCGTGGTTGCGACGGAAGATTGTATATCTACATGGCTCCCAATAATACTGATCGTCTATGACTACACACAGACCGTCCGTTGGTCTGGGAGGTGCCGAGCGCAACGCAGATGCAGATAAGGGCGCTGGTACATTTTTACCCAGCAAATTACAGCCCTCTGACCAACTTTCCGACTATGAACTCGATTTATCCAGACGGTCACCCGCCACGGCCGCCAGGAGCAGGACTAGAGGCAGGAGTAGGTAGAGGTAGAGGTGTAGCTCCTTGAGGGAATGTGTACTTGGTCTTTCATATGTCTTTTACATACTGGTTTCAAATAGCTATAGTTTCAATAGCCTGCAGTTTGCAAGGAAATGCCAAGATATCAAGTTGAGTAGAAGAGCTCTGAGAGGTCTGACATCAGCCCGTCCGACTCTCACCTCCCCAACTCCCACGATGGTCTTTGCATTCACCCTCCCAACAACCTCGCCTCTCTCATTCCAGTCTTTCATTTCTTCCTCAACTCACCCTTCTCTCCCCCAATCGGCATCAACATCCCGCCATGCCCTTCGTCTCGCGCTGAAAGCCCATAAGCGCCTCCCCCGCGGCCCGCGTCAGGATACCCACCTCCCAACAGTCCTCTCCGCACTGAATGACTATATCCCATACCTATTCGCCATTTCCAACGGTCTAAACGGGAAAATAGTCCGACCAGATAGACAACCATTTTCTGCCCAAGATGGGACCTACGGGCCTGGCGCGGGGGAGGAGATCGACATTACACCCCACGCCGAGATCGAGTCCGCATGGAGACCTACATTATCATCCTCGAGCGCATTGAATATCGGCACAGGCAGCAGTAACTCAAATGGAAAAGGACTGCGCATGCGTAATGGCAGGGTCGCCGGCCGAGGCATCCAGTTCGAAATAGGATTTACGCTTTCGACACTGGGGTACGTGCTGAGCAGGATGGCGCGGGCGGGTGTTGTGACCGCGTTTTATGCGTCTTCGACCCCGACAGCAGAAGACCGCCTTGCTGCTGTGCAAACAGCGACGCGTTATCTGCTGCAGGCTAGCGCGGTACATAACTTCCTCGTGTCTTCTCCGGCCTCCATTACCGCAGTGCCAGACGTGGATGCCGGGACACAGGCGGCGCTGTCGTCGCTTGCGCTGGCTGAGGCTACTTTGCTAGCTGTTCTTAAAGATGATGCTTATATCACTGTGTGTATCCAGTCGCGCAATCCAAATGATAATGAGTGGATGGTTCACGCGCCTGAGATTCCAAAGGTGCGCGCTTTGCTTTTTGCTCGACTTTGTGTTCGTGCTGCCGAATATTCTGAGCAGGCTGCTGCTGGGCTTGGGGCTGTTGGATCTACATCAGGGCGCACGGGGCGTGTTGATGAGGATGTCGTTCGCTACACTTCAGTACTAGGTCGCGTCGCTCGTGCACGGGCTTGTCGCTTCTTTGGTGTAGAAGCTGAGTTAGCAGGCAAGGTCGGCGAAGGTATTGCCTACCTGAGAGCCGCGCGTGCGTCGCTTGGAATTCGAGGTACTGCGTCTTCGCAAGAGGATGCATCTGCCCCTGGGGCCTCCAAGGGTGGGTTATCCCGCTTAAAGCGTGGGTGGACGGAGAGACGCGAAGAGCGTCGAGTAGCCAAAGATGCTGGAGGGAGTCGGAGCGAGAAGGGCGCTTTGAAGTCGGGTGACGATGCAGGTAGAGACGAGGAGGGACGAGTGATTGCGATGCTAGAAACAAAATGGGTGAAATTGAACGACACAGTGAGTCGGGTATCAACCGGTTCTCGAAAGCATGCTAACTTATATTAGATGAACACCCAAATCGTTCCATCATCTACGCCATTGCTCTCCAACCTGCCTTCAGGTCGAGATATTCACTCTCCGCCGGCACCATACCAACCTCCTTCTTTAGAAGAGGACCAATTGATCCGTATGCGTGCTCCGCCAGATGAGAGAGACGATCTGCAATTTGGAAGCGATGATGATAGCGATGAAGATGCAGCACAGCCGTCTGATGGCCGAGGTCCTCCGGGAGGATTCCCAGACCGCCGTGCCACAGCCTCTAGCGTTTACTATTGATACCCGGTATAGCTGGGACGTAGTTATACCACTGAAATATAGCCTCGGAGAACCACATTGGTGCATAACAATACACTCGTAGCATGATTTAGCAGACCCAGTCTAGATACCTCGTTCAAGTCCGCTATAAACCCCTTGAAACTGAGATGATGGAGACAAAAAGGAAGATTGATCAAACAAACTGATATCTATATGTACAGTACAAACAGGCAAGAGAACAAGGAGAGCCGTCTCCAAGCTCTCTCCCTCCATTGCTTCGTATCCCTCCACGGTCCGGGACCAAATGCGAGCAGAAGTGGAGCCAAGCGATAAACCAAGCCCACAGGAGTTAATTTTCATGCTAGCACCATTCCACCTAGTCGAATTCCTGGCCGGAATATGCCAATATCGACAAACAATTCCCGGATCACGAACATAATCGCGCAGCGTAAAATGCAAGAAAGTAAGGAACGCTCATGCAGACTCGCCGCCGAAACGGTTCTTCTCCTGGCCGAGGTAACCCTTAACCTTGCGCTCCTTGATGAGCTCGAAGTACTTCTCTGCAGAGGGAAGACGATTAGTATAAGCTGTTCCAAGTAGACCCATATCCGACCGGGTCCATTCCAAACAAGCCAGGACTTTCAATGCATCCATATATCTTTGCTCGAGAGAGACTCGGCGAGAAAGAAGAGAAACTAACCTCTGAAGACACCGCACTTCTCGAGGTGGTTCACGCCCTCGCGCGCATAGCACTTGCCCAACTCCTCGCCGACGAGACGGGCCATCATGCTGCGCACCCATTGCTCACGGATGATGGCATCACGGGCGTTGTGGACGGCGACGTTGTCCTCGAAGTCGACGCCCTCGTAGGTTGGGGGGACAGTGGGCTTTTTGGCGAGGAAGGCGGCGGACTCGGCGGTAGGCATTGTGGGTGGTTAAAGGGGTGGTTGAAGGGCTGTTTTTGGTGGTTAGGCGTCGCTTGCTTGCAGGCGCGGAGGGCAATGGCAGCAAGGATGGTTGGAGGCTGGAAATCGGTGCTTGCGGGTGTCTGCCGTTGATCTTGAAGGTTGGATTACCCGTGCGGTGATTGGGTGGTATGAGGGCGGTCAGTGGGGTTCATTCTGGTCATTCAGGGAGGGGATTTAGTCACGTGAAATGAGCTGGGTCACATGCTATCTATAAAATCCGAAAACGGGGTTCCCTCTGAATTGAGTATTCTATTTGTTCTATTGAGACGAAGGTGACTGAAGTATTCCCAGTGTTCCCTAGCAAGAAATGATATTTTCATATACCATACCCAACTCCATCCACATCACGCCTGATCCAATCCAGATAATGCAAACCATAAAGCTTTGAAGCAATATACAAAAGCAAAAAGACAATCTCTCTGATCGGATGCTCCGAGTGATTGCCACAGAAGTAAACACGATAAAGTGGACATGAAAAAAAAAGAAGAAAATCATAAAACAACATGACGGCCTCTGCCTCGATCAATTTCTCTTCGTCTTTCCCCAGAAATTGTCATATCCTTCACCGAGGTCATCCTTGAGACGCATCCAGAATGACCGATTCAGCCATTTGCTGAGCTCACGATAATAATAAACTTCACTCCAGCAGTCGCGACCAAACATACAGCCGGCCATGTTGACAACAAAGTCACGAGCATTCTGCTGGTAATGCACAACTGGATTTTCTTCATCGCCACAGGCGCCAGGAGGGAAAGCGTTGATGCTGCGTTGGGGTAGGAATCCAACGCTACTGCGGACCCATGGCTGACTCTGATAGACGTATTCAAGGGCATCCTGTTCCTTGTGTTCCCAGTCCATATGCATCTGCTCATACATGACTGGATCCCACCAGGCATCGAGAAGGCGATCAGTCCAAATAGAGCGGCGAACGAAGAAGGAACCGAGATTGAAACCAGCGCAATCTTGCGAGAGGAGCATGTTCAGTGAGTTAGGGTTATCGTCGCCTTCAGGGGCTCGACTGAGCTCGTCAAGCCAGAATTCCGGCAGTGGGTGTGTGATGTTGAGGGGGTTGTAAGCGCCAACGTCGCGGTAGACACTGCTGCTAAGGTGATCGAAGATATGGCTCTGTAGAGATGTCTCATATTCCATGATCCAGGTGTTCAGGTCAAGCCACCAGAACCATTCCGCGTCAGGATACTTGCGCATCGCTTCGCGAATCACGTCGCCCTTCTCCCAGTTTTCGCGCCATTCATGCGAATAACGTTTCTTGGCTAGGAGGTTGGCGAGCTCCAGTTCGTATCCCCATTTCTTTGCGTACTTCTGCTTGTTCCAGATGCTGTTGCGCTCGATTGCCCATTCGCGTGCGCCCTTCAACTCCATCACACCTCCTTCGACGTTGGATCCTAGAATCATGACGAATTTCTTGCCGCCGCCCATTGGTGATCGACGGTACGTTTGGACGATTGCTTTGTTTTGAGTCAATAGCCAGTAAAGATATGCAGAACGGAAACGAGTACTTACTTGACCAGCAGAGTAGATACCCGATCCAAATTAAGAAAAACGCGAAGATCATTCTGAGGCGACCTCTTCGCAATGATATCCCGAATGAGCGCCCACCTCCATCATATGGCCTCCATTCCTTCTCATATGAATCCTTGTCGACATAGTCGCGTGAAGAAAGTCGCCTGAGAATGGGCAAGCGGGTGGTGAGATTATGCTTCTGACGGCAAAAGAAGCCGCTATTCCGCGTCGAGAAAGATGGATACCCACGCACCTCATCACTCTTGGCCCTGGCTGCTGCCCACGAGATGCCACTGGTGGGTGATATTGTGCCTGGTCGAGGCGAAGAAGTGCCGCTGCCCGGACCGAGGCCCGGGCTGGACCACCCTCCGCCCGCGTGGGGAGAGGGTGATCGCGACAGGGACATGGAGATGATCTGCGCGTGACGGCAGGGACTGCAAGATGTGAGATTTCAATGCTTAATGGAAGGCTTGGAAGAAAGGGGGTGGAATGAGGATGGTGAGGTCAGAGTGACCACAGACGTATGCAAGGAGAAAGGAAAGGACTAAGGTTGCTGCACAAGTAGGATTTACTGGATATACTCGAGTTTTACACTGTTAGCCCGTAGTTCGTTATCTGCCTGGTAAGTAGATCTAGATGAGGTCGACGGATGCGGCCAGGATGTAATACTACCATCGTCATATGTACCTTTGACTGTACAATAATTTATTAATTAACTGCAAGGCACATTAACAGTTCAATTGGCGGGATTATATCGCATCGAATAGTTTCAAACCTTGGATCGAGGCTCTGCTCTCATCCATGGATTGACACGTCGGTCATAATGACAGGCATCATGAACATACCCCGAGGCCTTCTGTGCAGAATATCGGGGCATCGACCCTACAGATCCGCATGCGGAACAATAGCCATTGTGGAGAATAGGAACGCTACCACGCAACGATGCAATTGCTATCAATCTATGTCCAACGCAGAGAGACAAGTAACGCCGGAGATGTTATCCCCCAACCATCAATCCTGATCCTGATATTTCCGCGTCGGCCGAGTCGGCATTCGGTTCGCGGCTCCGGCCTTGGTCATCAAACCCTGCCGCATGGTAAAGGGTTCATTCACGGGCCGGGACTGGGCACTATCGCCAAAGGTGAATTCGCATTGAAGTTTGAGAAACTTCTTCTTGTTTTTGTGTTGGTACACGGTGATAACGTCCCCATTGTAGAGTTTCCCGAAGGTACACTGGTTCGGTCTGTTTTCGTTTGGTGGACCCCGTTCGAGTAGAGTGCCGTTGACATATATGCCCATGCGGGCTTTCGTGGAGATTATGGCCATAACTCCAGGAATGTTTTGCCAGTTCTCGCCAGTTGCAATCTTCGCCTCGATTCCCGGTGCCCAGAATGTAAGCTCCAAGGCGTAGGCGGGGATCCTTGTGTCTGTGATGTCTGTGTGTTGAACTGTCGCTAGTGGGCCACGACCCCACGACGTGAGTCGGTTTTCCAGGAATATCGTCAGATCGAATATAGAACCAGGAAGAGATCTTAACTTGCCAAATCGTTTTGGCGGCTTCGCAAAAGACTCTGGATGTATCGAGGGCTGATGAACAATTGGCTCACATGGCTCTGATTCTTCACGGAACTGCTCCAGAATTATTTCGCCTGTCTGGGCATCGAGAGTCGTGGCGAGCTCCGGGTCATAGAATGATTTGCGTGGCTTTACTGAAGTCACGGGGGCGGGAGCTTCTTGGCTGTTCTGCGGACTACTATCGCTAGAGGCTTCGCTGGCTGTGTCGGGCACCGCAAGGTCGATTCGCCGAGTGAATTTGGCTTTCGGAGTTTCCTGGGGACTGGAAGCCAGTTGAAATAAACCCGGATCTTGGACAGTGGGACTATGAGGGCTCGTGGGCTCCTTGGCGTGTCCAGGTGTGGTCTGCCGCGTTGATGATTCGTTAACGGCGCCGGCCTTGAAATGCATGATGGAATGCAAGGAATTCATGTGAAGTTCTCCAACCAGCTTCTCCGCACCCATCAGGCTGGGGGCGGTGCCGCCGAAGGGGTTTTCCGGGAGGGAAATGATCGAGTCTCTGGGGTCGTCACTCATCATCGACTCACCGGAAGAGGCGTATTCCTCGATCTGGATGTGATCAAAGTCATATGCGCCAAAGTTGCCCAAGGCGTGAGAGCTTTGCAAGGCCGAAGAGGGGATCTCGCCAAAGAGCCGTTTAGCTTGTTGATCCACATAGGCTTGGGAATCTTGGAAGCTCTCAATCTTTGGTAGGCTTGGATAACGAACAGCCGTCGGAATGTACTCAATGCGAGGCTTTTTGGCAAGAGCTTCACTGCTGTTGTGCTCTTCTTGTTCGGCTCCATGGGCGAAGCCAGGCCCATCGGCGATAGACAGCTGCGAAGCATCCAGCTCGTCCTCAGGATCTTCCCCAATGATTGAAAGCCCGTCATGACATTCTGAAAGTAAATCATCATCATCCTCATAGTCATCCACATCGGGGACCGTCGCAATCCATGGATGTTGGAAGCATTCTCTCTCTGTTGGGCGCGAAAATGGATCCCTGTTGAGAAGTTGAGCGACAAAGTCAATGCCTTCTTCAGAAATACCTGCGTGGCGCAGGAAATCAAAATCGGCATCACTTGTCATGATAGTGCGGAGCATTTGAACGCCTCTATCTTCTGCTCGACCGGAATATGGGGGAACACCGGAGAGAATGTGGAAAAGAACTGCACCAAGAGACCATATGTCGACTGATTGGCTATAAGGGGACGTTTTAGGAGGTCTAAAAATCAGTAAAGTCCATCAAAATGAGGAATAGACACTTACGGGTCTCCGACACGACGTCTCTTTCGGAACTCTCCGCGTCGGTATTGTTCATAATCGGGATACACCTCCGGCGCACAATACAAGAGGGTACCGCAGAATGTCTTCAGGAAGGTTTCCTGTTCAGTCACCTTCGACAAACCAAAGTCCGATAGCTTGATTTTGAGGGGTTCCAAAGAAGAGATCAAGATATTGTCAGGCTTGATATCGCGATGGGTGATTTTCCGTTTATGCAGATAGTGGAGAGCTCGTAACACTTGTCGCGCGATAATTCTCACCTGGTCCTCGGCAATTTTGCCCTGTGTTTGAAGGTATGTAGACAGCTCGCCTCCTGGGACGTATTCCATGATGATGTAAATCCACCGATCGTGTTCGTGATAGTCGACATATTGAACGATGTTTGGCTGAAATGAGTTAGTGAGGTCAACTCGAGAGACGAAGAAAATTAACGCTTACATGTGTGAGATCCCTCATAATCTTCATCTCATTATCAACCTTTTGATCCAATATGCCGTTTTTCATGAAGCGGCGCTTGTCCAGCTCCTTCGCAGCAAAGATGGCACCTTGCTGTTTAGTCGCAATCTTGTAGACGGTAGCGAATGCACCCTTGCCGATTTGCCCTGTCACGTTGTACATTGAACCCCCTGTCCAATGCATGCCGTATGGTTTCGAGGATGACCATGTCAGAACAGAAGGGTGAGGGCCGGTATGCTCTTTGTGCGTGGGAGCAGCATCCACAACTCTTCGAAAGTAATTTCGCAAGTTCTTCTCGTATTGAACAGCGAATCCCTCTCGTGGTGGAATTCGGACCAGGAACCGGACCTCGTCCGAGGCGTGGTCGCCAATGACAACTTGAATCACAGATCCATTTACAAGCATTCTGCTGTTTTCTTTTTGGGTTTTCCGGAGGCGGCAGTTGTCCACGATGGTACCGTTCGTGGAGGTATCCTGAAGCATGAGGATTCCATCTCCTGTCAGATAAATGCGAAAGTGGGCATTGGATACACGCTTCGCTCCATCGTCAACCGTCAAAAGAACGTCACAGCGAGCTGGATTCCGACCAAAGCAGAAACCCATCCCTAGGTTCTGTACATTGGATGATAGCCTTAAGGCAAGATCCATTGTTGCGGTTTGAGACTCATAGTCCAAAGCATCCCTTTGAAGGATATGCTGAGGGTTGAGTTTCCGTGTGGCAGCAACAGCATCATGGGTAACACGAGAATTGGGATGAAGGGTACAGATGATATCGGACACATCTTGGTCCTCGAGGCCAGAGTTATTCATGCCCATCCGACGAGGATCGGCGGTTGGTTGAGTGGATTCTTGTGTGGCCGCCATTATGGTGCAGTCGAGCGTAGGTTCAAATGCAGTTGTTATGAGAATGTAGATGATGGGAAACAGCTACTGATGAAGACCCGGGGAAGGAAGGTATATGTGCTGGTGCGAGGACAGCAAAAGCAATTTGCATAACAGGTCATTAATATCATGGGCTAGAGATAATGTATGAGTCGAGAGTCCGAGGGAAAAGCCGGGGCGAGGTGGTAAATATACCTCTGGAATACTGCGACAATGAGACCGAAGGGCCAAGCACCCGGGCAAAACCTACCTCACCAGTATCCCCGCCGATTGCTCCCAGATTTGCTAGGGTATGTACAACTGTCACCAGAAAATGAGCAGCAACAGGCTGGCTTGAAAATACAAGTGGGCCAGGTTGACCACTGGGCAGCAGCTGATCGGTATGTTGTAAGTGGGGTGTCCCTCTGCGGGTATCCTCAGAGCACGTCTGGGTGAAGGTGATTTATGGGGCGGGCCAATAACAAGAGGCGATTTATCTAAATCTTGGCTCCAAGTAGAACAACGTTCGATGGGCTTGGTATGAAGTGGTGGGAAGGTGGGCGGTCGAGGCACTGCTCAATCGAAAACAGACTAGCTATTTTCGGCACTGGAAGCTATTGATGCAGGGGGAGGATAACAATTTCGGCGTTCTTAAAAAGGCAAGGAGGTATGTCTGTAAAAATGAGCCCAATAGTTAGCATAGTTCACCTCGAAGCTTAGCTGTGTCTTTGTTCAGCCTCGATTCCAAAGCATCAACTCACACAACTTGACATACTCCCGACCACTCTGTCCACAGTTGGCGGTATTCAAACGGCGGACAGATGAAGATGGGGGAGCGAAATTGCTCTCCTTGCAAGGTCGTCGTCCGAGAAACAAGAACATCACCCAGCCGCAACAATCGTGACTTGAAGACACCTCAGGCAGCAAGTACCTGAGGCCCATCCTTAGCCTGACTCATCAGGCAGCAGTAGCGCTGATTGGTTGATCGGCAACTAGCGTCAACCAGGGAACCACCAGGACTCGATCTATGAGAAAACATCGGATATTCGAGATTAGTCGAACATAGTATTTACATCCGATTCGTAACATCTCTACCTGGCGGACTACTACGGGCCTATAATATCTTATCGTCGACGATATAAATATGACCTCGAAGCCAATTTTGACTGACCCTTAGTACATACTACCGGTTAGGGTTAGGATATAATTTGTACAACAGTCTGGCGGATTTTCTTCTATTGTACTGTGCGCGCAAGCTTTCTACACTCTATATGTATATCTCTAGGTTATTTAGTTCCATATGGCTTGCTCGTATCCTCATTACGCCTGTAATCTCCTTTGAGCGCAGTGTTGAAGACTCGCTCAAGTCGTGCAAGCGCTTCGTCGGAGGTTTCTGTGATAAGTCAGATATATTAAACTGTTAGCCTGGGGAGGAATGAAGGGTCTTACGATAATGGACAACCACCCGGCCGCCCATCAATCTCAGTCCTTGTTCTTGTCCAATTTGTGCCATGTCATTTGGGCCCACTCCAGACGCCTCGAGATCCAACCAAACCATGTTGGTGTGCAGAGGATACTCCAGCTTGCCTCCGCGACTGGTCCACATATCGGCCACCTGCTTTGCCTTCGCATGGGTAGCTGCAAGCTTTCCAGTCTGGCCTTGAGGGTCAGTGCCAAATGTTTCATCCAGGGCGATTCGGGCGGCAGCGGCAATTACACCCGTCTGGCGAGCACCGCCACCAATAGACTTGCGGAACCAACGGGCTTTCTTAATAAAGTCTTGAGAACCGACAATAATACTTCCAATAGGCGCACCTAGACCCTTAGAGAAACAAAGACTGACGCTGTCAAACAGACTGGCGTATTCGGGTAGACTGCCCGCACCGGCCACAACAGCCTCCCACAGCCGAGCACCATCCAGATGGACCTTGATGTCATTAGCATGAGCCCACTCAACGATGCGACATGCCTCGCTCAAGGGCATGATCATTCCATCAAGTGTGTTCTCCAAGCTGATCAGTTTGGTGGGACAATAATGGATGTTATCGTCGAGCACAGCATGCTTCTGTATGTCCTCCAAGGTCAAATGAACCCCGTTCTTGGGTATAACCGTCTGCATTGTAGCACCAGTCCATGCGCTTACACCACCAGCTTCATAACAAATGATGTGAGATCGATGATCACACAGCACCGAATGAGGAGGTTGCGCGAGATGAGAGCGAATGGCCACCTGGTTTCCCATTGTCCCCGACATAACCAACAGACTCGACTCGTGTCCTGTAATCTGGGCGACGTAGCTTTGCAAGTCATTGGTGACTGTGTCTTCATTGAAGACATCATCGAGGAGCGTCGTTTGGCAGATGGCTTCAAGCATGGATGCGGTAGGCTTCGTCATCGTGTCACCTGTAGCATTTAGTATACACCGGCCTTCCGATTGGTGGTTGAAGCATACTTCTGAGGTCAAACTCGGCAGCACCAGCCCCCTGCCAGGTGTTGGGCTTCTTATCACTGCCGGGTACCGCGGTAGTAGACATTGCGCAGGTTGAGAGTTGTGCTACGGCAATTGTAGGACGTATTGTTGCTCTTCCTAATGACCAGAGTGCCGAAGATGAGCGACAGACTGGTTGTAAGAAGCGATTCATGAGTTCTGTATCAGCGTCGCATTGGTCTCTGGAAAATAACGGGGAAAGAGGGGACCCGGCACGTGATCATGCAGGGAGATAACTGTGCGTGCAACAAAGTCCAACTTTGTACGCCTTTCGGGGACTGTATATGCAGTTATTGGCCCAAGTACGACAGGGACAACTTGTGTTCAGGCACCGCGAAAGTCTTCAGTTCTCTCGATGACGACACACTCTACAGTCCTTATCGATAACCCAATTGGGCCTAGCGTGGTCTCTGGCACTACCGGCTGACTCAGCGGTCTGGCTGCAATCCATGGCTTTCTCAACATCCGCACATTCTTACTCTAGACACATCATGGACTTGTCCCATTTGACTCGCCCGGGCATATTGTCCCAATGCTCACGGTGCTCCAGCTCACTGGCTGCACTGGAGAATGAGTGGGCAAAACTATCCAATGTCTACGCTATCCCGACGGCATGGCTCAGTGTCGACCTCCATCGCATCTCGGTATCATCGGAGCGCAAACAGATTCCTCACACTTCTGACATGACCGTCTTGCGTGGGCGTATTATCCAGGAAATTTCGTGCAAATTATGTCAACAACGAATTGGAGTCCTGTGTCCATTCGACACTGGGTAAGCTGCCCTGAACTGCTAGCGTAACCCCTCCCTGCTGATCCGAGTTTAGAATGAATATACTGTGGAAGATGAACAAGGTTGCATTTAGGGAAATTGTTACTATGCGGACCGTACAGCCTCAGTTCAAACAGGGGACCCTCGAGCGCCTCCTTTGTCCTACCCCGAAAGAACCACCACGCCGAACCTCCGAAATTGTCCAGGACACTGCGCTTGTCCCGGCTGGCGTCTCTGATCCCGCCAACCTCGATCCGTCAGTACAAAGGCAAATGCTCAGCCAAGGCAGAAGCATCGATCAAATCTCGAACTCCGTGAACCACCTACAAGATACAATGTCAGATCTCAAGCATTCCTTCACCGCACTTCGAATTGAGTTGAACGGACCAAACAGGCACATTGGAGAGGGATCTTTCCTCCAGGGGCATGATTTTGACATGATTGCTACCGTACTCAGAGAGCTCAAATCCAAATCCGACGAAATTGAGAAATTGAAGTTGGAAATTGAGGCTCTGAAGTTAAAGAATCGTTATATGGGAGGAAACTCACCACAGCCTCAGCAAGACTCATTGTCTGTGTTGAATATGAATTCTGCACTCCCTGAAGTTCGAAGCCCGGGCTTGCTCCAGGCAGGCCGGAAGCGCACTTGGCCCGACGCTTTCCCTGTTGATCGCGGCCAATCATTTGGCACCTACTTTGATGAAAACGATATGACTGACGATTCGGACCTGTCATTCCCAGCTGTCCGTGAATCTTGTGGTGATCTTAAAGATCAACAACGGCGTGCCATTACCAGCGGCCCGTCGGAATACGGAGCGGGCTCAGGGCCGGCACCTCAGAATGGGGCCAGTAACACAAACCAAGCTCGATCACAACCTCCTCAGCAGACCATGGCGAAACGCCCGCGCCTGAACCCGTCAAATGGCGACAACCCGGAAGCTGTAGCGCAAGCACCTGCACCGAGAGGACGGGGCAGACCCAGAAAATCAACCAACCCACCCCCGAATCCCAATCCTGACATTCGACAACCTCCAAATCCTACTCTGAACGGGCAGGGAACCAGCGCCGATTCTACTGGTCAACCAACATTGACACGCCGACAATCCCGTCGCAGCCTGCGAGCAACATCTCCGGACCCATCCTACAGCGACAATGACCAAGATGGGGCATCTGATTCCCAGCAAGCGGCCAACAAAAAGACCAAGCGCAACACTGGCTCTCCGAATGGAAGTCGGATTGGTGTTCAAGAGGAATCTCTGGACGAAATTGCTATGAATGAGAAGCGTAAAGCTAAGGTCGCGGCGCGGGACGTCATGGCTAAAATGGCTTTACAGCAAGAAGAGGCTCGAGAGGCAGGCAATACACGATAGACGCGCTTTGTATTTCTACGATATTTGTACAATAGATTCCAATACAGCTGGTCTAGATGGATTCGCCGTGACATAATTAAATGATTCTTCGCTGATTTACCTTCCAACGTTGCAAATATATACCTCGCAGATCAACTGAACCTTATCCATTTCTCAACTCGTCCGGCATCAGAAGTGAAAATAATTAATCCAGAACCATTTTAGGTAATCGTGTTTTGAGTTAGACTTCGGTTCCTGGTGGCGGTGGGTTTTCAACAAAAAACATCACTCAAGGCGGATATATACAACCCGAATGAACTGCTACCGATAAGAGTAAAGATTTAGAATATGAGGTCTTGTCTCGCAAATACGGTATTTTCATGATATTATCTCTGGCAATCTTGCTATTTAAGAAATTAAAATAAAAATAAAATAGGCATACATAAAGTGTCATAATGCATGAAATGGATATAGTCTCAACTCGTTGTGCCATAATTCGATGATCGCACTCGTTTAGCGAGTGGGAATGAAATGCTTAGAGTCGGACTGTTGCTGGCTGAATGACTCAGGGAAGGCTGCGATACCACCGATGATACCAATAGCCATGAAGCAGAGGGAGATGAGGGACCAGATGACACCCCAGCACTGGGAGGAACCACCGTATTTCTTGGCGAAGACGCTGGCGTCGGAGGTGTTTACTTTGCGCAGGATGAGGTCGTCACACTGAGATAGATTGTTAGATAAGTATATGAAGAGGGTTGGCTGGACTTACGATATCCCAGACGCTGTACAGAGCGGACATGACACCGATGAAGAGCTAGATAAGACAGATATTAGTATGACTGGTAACTTGATATGAGCAGAGTAGATGCGACTTACCACAACCCAGCGCAAAGCTTCGCCATGGGCGATGAACCAGCATGCCACCAACAACCCAACCGCAAGGAGGATAGTCAGAATGGTCAACCAGTCCCGTCGCGCCCACCAAAGCGTAAGCAGGAAGCAAACACCCAAGATAATACTGGCAACCTTGCTAGCCACAATATCGAACCCAGCGAAGATCAGAAGCGCGCCGATGATCGAGGAGCCGAGATAACCAGCTGGCAAGGTGATCGCGCTGACACCACCCTGCATATGGGTGACACCACCTTCATGGGGATCAAGGGAGATGGACTTGACTTTTCCACCGGTGCAGCAGGCAGTGATCGCATGGCCGAACTCATGGAAGGCAATCACCAGCATCTGTCACATGTTAGTCGCAAACAGAAAGAAGGGTGGGAAGGCTATTTACTTTGAAGGGCCATAGTGACCAGCGAACATAGGGCAGGTTCCATAGTAGTGCGATGACCACGACATAGACGGCCATCACCCCCAGGGTGATGGCCTGAGTATGGTTGACTGTCAAGCCACGACTGGCGAGTTGATGCGGGGCCGTTTCCACGCTTCGGGCTAGCGCTGCATATAGGGCTGGCATGGTGGGTAAACAAATAAACAAGTAAGCAAAAGAGATGAAAAAGAAACCAGCAAGGCACCGCTCGAGCTATTTAAAAGAGTTGTTAAAACTCAGTGCAGATCCGCGTAGGGATGGACGCGCATGTTTGTGTGGCTGGTGTGGCGCCTATTTTTAGCTTCTTGGCTTTGTTTCACTCCGACCATAGGGCTGAATTGTTCTTGATTATCAGTCAAATCAAGCCGTTTGAATATATTAAAATGTTATGGTTTGCAAAAAAAACCCAGCTCATACTGACTGGAAAACCATTGAAAGCCACAGGCACTCATAAAACCCAAGAAGACTCGGTATTTGGGATTTAGCCTAGGACGTTTATTACACCTAAATATTGAACCGCAATCATCAGTGTACTCAAGGGTCTAGGAGTAACCAATGAAGTCTCTCCTTTGGCAAAATTCTCGATTCTTCAAGCTAGAGGATAGAAAAAACATCCTCTGCTGCTGATTCCTCCTCGTCCGATTCCTCCGACACCTCTGGCTCATAGAGAGTGCACATCATTCGTTGATAATAAGGACGACGAGTACCGTCTCCATCTTCCTTTTCCCAAGTCTCTCTCTCATCGTCAAAAAGATTTTTCAGTGTCGCACCACGAGATTTTAACAAGTTGACCATATGCAAGTCGCCCTGCCTTTCAGCAGTGTAAAGTGCAGCATGCCCATACTCCGTGACGTTCAATCCTCCATCAAGAAGAAAGCCTACCATACACTCATCCCTATTCAGCACAGCTAGCTTTAAAGCCGTTGATTGCGGCCCCACGCCGTGTTCGAGCAATATAGCCCGTCGGTTATCTTCAACAGCGCTATATAAAGGTGAGAGGGCATATCGGGTGGGATCAGCACCTCGCCGAAGCAGAAGCTTCACCATGTCCAGATTTTCGGATTGCACCGCAGTGAAAAGGGGCGGGTTATCAATCTCCGTTGCATGCCACCAGTTCGTATCACGCTCCCAATAGAGATATTGTATGCGATTTCCACGACAGAAATTAGGTTGTGCGCCAAAATCAAGCAAGGTTGTAACAATTTCAGTAGAACCGGTCTCAATGGCCACCAGTAGAGCGTGCTGAATGTTCACAATACTCGGTATACTGTGCTCCTTTCCCTGTTGGTAAAGAGGGTGGGTGTAGATATCCTGCCAGTACTGGTCTGGAAGACCTCGAAGCTGACCTCTTCTTTGTGTTGGATTGACTTCTTCTTCCTCTTCCTCGTCCACGCCTTGCATCTGCTTTACCACCTCAAATTCCCCTCGGTTGCCCGCTGCTAGTAATGTTCCGCTAAGCTGATCACGGACAGCCTTCACACCCTCCAACATATTTGGAATTCGCAGAAAGAGGTTCCTCTCGACAAGAAAAGAAAGTGCGGCTCCATGTTTATACTGGCCATGAAAGTAATACAAGAGCTTGATAAGCCGGTTGTGTAGATGGCGACTGGTCCTGACCAAGGCATATATGCTATTTTCAGAAAGGTGCGATGCGATGATCAATGTAATCTCAGTTGGGACTTGATCGAGCGACATGGAAAGACGATATATGTTAGATACTTGCGTATTAGGGAAGTCGAAAAGACGTGAGACTCTAAGCCGTATGTGGTTAGCGCCAAAGCATCATTCTCGACAAATTCCAGTCGAAACTACAGCACGTGATGGATGTGCTTCTTCCAATGTTTGCTTCAACTTCTCCTTCTTGCATCCAACCTCCATATATTGAGGCTCGGACCTTCACTGTGACCTGCCGGTGCTACCGCACCCCGCAAATGCGGGGATGGAAATTGGGATCAACAACCATCCATTTGCCGATTCTACAAGCTAATGGAATATAAAAAGAATGCCAATCAGATACTTTTGACTACCCATATATCCACCCTACCATGACTTACTGTCATCCTTGACCTTCCTATACCAAAAATCACACTCAACATGGTGGGCATTCTACCAGTCCTGGTCGCAGGACTCACAGGATGTACATACGCCCAACCAATGGGGACAAAGCATCGGAGCACAAATTACCATGAGAATGCAGGTGTTCTCGATTTTGTCAATCCCCTCATTGGCACTTATGGAATCACCCCAAATGGAAATGGCGGTATGATCCCCTCTGTCTGTCCCCCGTTCGGAATGACGCGGTGGACACCGCAGACGCGCGAGAATTTCATTTCCCAGGTTCCATACGGGGATAGCGACCGTCTTATTCATGGATTTCAGGCTACTCACCAGCCTGCAATTTGGATGGGCGAGTCTGGCCAGGTTGTCTTGACGCCTGGCATAGGCGATGTTCAGCCCTTGTTTGAGAATCGCGGGCTGGAGTTCCGCAAACAAGACGAAAGAAGTACGCCGTACGTTTATGAGGTTTTGGTTAATGCCACTCAACTTATGGATCGTGATTGGAATGCCACAGCCGAGGCTGTTGGTGATGGGGAGGTTCCTGGAGGTGCTGGAGCGGTTCCTGATCAGGTGAAGGAGGGTGCTAATGGGCGGACGCGAAAACGGGAAGTGGAATCGACTCTTCGCGCCCAGTCTGACGAGAAATATGAGACTTCTATTCAGGTATGTATTACAACGCGTGATTTGTTGCTGCATAGGTTCTATTGTATTTTTTTAGATTGCCATGTCGGCAGATGCTCACGTTGGCCACCTTCGCTTCGACTTCCAAAGTGACGACCAAGCCCAGAATCCTTGGGTATTTATTCAAGCTTCCCGTCGGAATTGGATTGGTGAAGTTCATATTGACTCGAAGAACAAAGAAATCTCTGGGTACAACACAGAGCGCCAGGATTATCTTCTCGGACCTGACAAAGCACCGTCATTCAAGGGATACTTCGTGTCCCGCTTCTCTGAGCCGTTTACCGAGTATGGCGTTGCCAATGGCGGTGATTTGATGGAAAATGAAAGTTACCGACATGGAAATTTCACTGGCGCATACGTGAAGTTCAGCAACAAGACCTCGCGCGTAGAAGTACGGACGGGCGTTTCATATGTTAGTATTGCACAGGCTCGGAAGAACCTCGAATTCCAGACCCCGGATGGACACACATTCGAAAACACCACCGACAAAGTGAAGTCTGCCTGGCTCGAGAAGCTCGGTCGAGTATCCATCAAGGGCGTCAACAAAACCGATTCAGATCATGACCCCCGTACGATCTGGTATACCGGTCTATTCCATGCACTCCAATACCCAAATGACTTCTCTGAACCCACATCAAGGGACGATGATGCGCCACGAACCTTCTACTCCGGTTATACTGATAGCGTCCACACAGAGAACGACTCATACTACCAGTCCTGGTCAATCTGGGATACATACAGAGCCGAGCACTCAGTACTCACACTATTCGCCCCAGAACGTGTCAACAGCATGATGCGCTCGCTGCTCCGCATCTTCGATTGGACTGGCTGGTTGCCGATTTGGGCAAACCTCGTTGAGACAAACATCATGATCGCGACAAATGCAGATGCAGTCCTGGCAAATGCATTGGAGCGCGGATTCAAGGACTTTGATATCTCCAAAGCTTGGAAGGCCGTTAAAAAGAATGCGTATACACCGCCTGATAATGACACCTTGCTTCTGTACTATGACCGTGAGCCGGACACCTCGTATGAGGCCCGCGCTGGTCTCACGCTATACATGAAGCAGGGTTGGGTATCGAATGACGGATGGTCCGAAGCGGGTAGTCGGACTTTGGACTACGCATTCGACGATTATGCCTGTTCAATTGTTGCTGCACACGCTGGAGCGGAAAATGCGGCTGTGATCGCACTGCAAGAGCGAAGTGGAAACTACGCTTATATCTGGAACAACGAGACGCAGTTCATGCAAGCGCGCAATGCTAACGGGAGCTGGGCGAATAGTACCTGGGGCTGGACAGAAGGTGATGATTGGGTATACACCTTCGACGTGATGCACGATGTGAAGGGTCTGGCTAAGCTTTTCGGTGGTCGTGAAGCTCTGCGAGACAAGCTAGATGCCCACTTTAAGGGCGGCCATAATGATCACACGAATGAGCCGAGCCACCATGTGCCTTATCTCTATTCTGTTCTTGGATACCCCAACCAAGCAGCTGAGACCATTAGAGAGGTTGCCTGGTCAAATTATAATACCACCAGTGGTGGGCTGGGTGGCAATGAGGATTTGGGTCAGATGAGCGCCTGGTATGTCTTCTCAGCTCTGGGTTTCTATCCGGTCAATCCTGCCAGCGACGAGTATATTGTCGGGACCCCGCTCTTTGAACATGTGTCCATTCGCCTTCCAAGTGGAGCGAGTACCGGTGGAAGGATTGTGAATGGCAAAGAAAGGATGTTAGAGATTGTTGCCCCGGGTGCATCTACTATGGCATACATTAAGAGCCTGAAGGTCGATGGAAAGGCCGTTGCCTCGCCAGTCTTGAAACATGGTCAGATCGTGAGCGCCAGAAATATTGAGTTCGAGATGAGTGTGACCCCGACCTCTTGGGGAAATATGCCTCCATAGCGAGGTTGCATCTCAGATGGCGCTAGATCGACAGTCCCAATCGCTTAGAGTATAGGAGAACAGTGAACTGGGTAGCTCGTGCGATCATTGTTTGCCACGGAGGGGTTTTACCTTTTGGCCTGCATAACAAGCTGAACTTATTCTTCTTTTAGTTTGATGTTTCTTACTTTTAAATGTTGATTGGTGTGCCGCCTAAGTGTTGAATCACATCATCCCTGAGCTAATTGGCAAATCATTGCACCATACTAGACCGGACTTTTCGTTAGATCCGCATAAATTACGCTTAATCTTCGTTTTTTCCCCGTGGATTTGTGGTGTAGCTCAAATATATGATGTTTATACCTGGATTAGTTGTACTACTCAGCAAGCCAGCCGAAGAGTTTTTCATGCAACAATCTAGAATCTAAAAATAATTAAGTACAGACCAGAATGCATTGCACGAAGAATGAACCGCTCCGGTTCATCACGCCATCAAACTTCAAGATGGCCCATGACGCCTGAGTCCAGCCAAGTAATTAAGTACCACGAAAGCGGGATCTAAGAATGCAGAGATTCATATAAAGACAGACATGCCGAACAAGCTGCACAGAGTATCGCTCCTTAACCTCTTCCCATTCCATCTCCGGCCAACATGGAGAAGGGAATTTTCAAAGAATCGGTTACCTCGCCAGCCTCTCCTCAATATGACAGCAGCGACAGCGATAGCTTTCAATATACCACCGAGGTAGGCGGTAATACCTCGAAGGCGACATACCAAGAAGCATCGGGCGCCCCAGTCGAGGTCAATTCCCCGTTGGGGTATTCAGTTGGACCGGTGACTGTGATCTTTCTCAATTTGAGTAAGATGATTGGGACGGGTGTTTTTTCAACTCGTTAGTATACCTCTTACCTCCCCGAGAACATATACTGATCTGTGTCTAGCATCAAATGTCCTGACAGGAGCCGGCTCCGTCGGGCTCTCGTTGTTGTACTGGGTTATCGGATATCTGATGGCGTCAAGCTCGCTATCTGTTTATATGGAATTTGCATCTTGTTTCCCGAGTCGGTCGGGCTCTGAGGTCGTTTATCTTGAACAGTCGTATCCGAGACCGAAGTATTTCTTTCCTACTGTTTTTGCAATGCAGACTGTTTTGTTTTCGTTTAGTAGCAGTAATGCTGTTGGTATGTTTTTGTCTGTGTGATCTGATGGGGATGATGTTAATGATTTGTTTAGTTTTGGCGCAGTATCTTTTTCAACTTGCGGATGCTGAATCTACACCTTGGAAATTGAAGGGTGTTGCTGCGGCTTCGTATACTGTTGCTGTACTAGGTTAGAGCATCGTGTTTTCATCCCCCGATAACATGACATTTGCTAATGAACGATATTTGGTGCAGTTCTTGCATTCAACACGAGATGGTCTCTCCGAATTGCAAATACCATTGGTGTTGTGAAACTGATCACATTGATATTGTATGAAGAACCACATTTCAAAATCTCAATAGCAAATGCCAACAAATCGCAGTATCGGAATCAGCGGGTTGGTCGTCCTCGGAGGTCACACCTCAGTACCAGATCCAAAGGCAAACTTCAGAAACGCATTCGATGGAAGTGGTGCAGCTACAGTTTATGGAACAACGAATGCATTGGTCAAAGTCATGTTTTCATATGCAGGTTTTGAAAATGCTTTCAACGTGGTCAACGAAGTTCGGGTATGTTCTGACACACCGGAATTGACCTTGATCTCTTGGCTGAGTTTTCAATAGAATCCCACTAAAACCCTGCGATGGAGCGCTCCATTGTCCCTCGGGCTTACCGCGACTCTATACATTTTGGCCAACATCGCATACTTCAGTGCTGCATCCAAGGAAGAGATCCTTGAGTCGAAGGTTGTTGCTGCTGGTCTTTTCTTCGAAAAGGTGTTTGGTAGTAGTGGCGCGGCGACGGCATTGAACTTTCTCATTTGCCTTTCTGCATTTGGGAATCTACTTGCTGTTCTTATTGGACAATCTCGTATGCTGAGAGAATGTGGGAGGTAAGTGAACTGCATTAGGAATCCTTTTCATTCTTATGACATCTAACTATCCGTTGCTCTATAGACAAGGTGTTCTACCCTGGACCTCATTCTGGACCTCAACCAGACCCTTCGGCACACCCCTCGGTCCATACCTGGTAAAATGGGGCTTCACAATGCTCATGATTCTAGCACCACCAGCAGGTAATGCCTTCAATTTTAGTAAGTCCGGTCTTCAATAACCGGTGTCTATCACATTTATTTACCGATGAAACGCCGGCTAACCTTAGCAGTTGTGGATATGGGAACATACCCGGGCTCCATATTTTCCTTGATCCTGGCCATCGGACTAGTGATTACTCGGCAGCGTCGTAAACGGCTAAATCTGGGTGCCCCAGACTACCAGACTTGGCATGTTACGGTTGGGTTCTCGATCCTTTCTAATTTGTACATGGTCGCTATGCCGTGGTACCCGCCTAGTACTGGGGCTAAGGGCGGTGATGTGAGCTTCTGGTATGCGACATACTGTGCGGTTGCTATTGGAATGTGAGTTACTACCCATATTTTGTGGAGAAGAAGATATATGTACTAACGGGTTGGTTTGTTATAGTATTGCGCTCTGTGGAGTTTACTATTATGTCTGGATCCAACTTCTTCCGAGACTGCAAGGGTTTAAGTGGGAGCAGACGGTTCTCACGTTGGATGATGGTGCGACAGCCCATAAGATGGTGAAAGTGAAGAAAGAGAGTTGATATAGAAGTATAGTACGATATGCCTCAAGATAAAGTGAATGTATGTACTTGCCATTTTAGCGTTTACCACGTCATTTCGGTCGGCTCAGGAAGGAACAGTTGCCGACTGTGGAGACTCCGCAGTTTCCCCGACTTCCCTTTCACCATCAGTCAGCCCAATGTCGTTATAGCCGATGGGCCGAACATATATAGTCTCAACATCCTCTTTCATCCTGATTTTTTTTGAACTCATCTTCTACAATCTATATCTGCGTGTCAGAACACGTGGGAACTGGGGATCTCCAGACTGGCGGCTATGCGTTTAACAGAAATCTGTTGCCCCCGAACAGCCACACGCGATGACCCGGCGGAACCGTCGGCTGTGGAGTCAAATCCCCATTTAGCGTTGGCCGTGGCTGATTGAGGTCATGGAATGAGCTGATCTTCATCAAAAAATACCGCATGGGTTTCGCTTCATTGGCTTACTTCCAAAAACTTCCGCTAATTATGCGCCATGGAAAGACCAAGTGGGACGAAAAGGTACTCAGATGTCATCGAAGATTCTGCAGAACCCAGGGAAGCTTTCGGTGATGCTTTAAAAGCTGACGGCTGCCGGGCCATTCCTCTGTTTCAGGTCTCATTCCAAGATGCGTTCTCCCGGTTCCTGGCTTTGGGCCTCTCTTGTGGCCTCTGCGGCCCCGTCCCTCGCCATTTATGCCCCATTGAACTTGGGCAATGGCTTCAAGCTCACTGCCAATGAGAAAGCCAATCACCTATCGATTACTCAAGATGGTCGCCCCATCTGGGACACTGTACCAGGGAAGGGATTCCTCAGTGCCAGCGCGGGAGATGACGAGATCATCGCTGCCAACGGTAACTTCAAGATCAATGAAGTGGACCAGAAGAAGTGCACCGGCCAGCAAATTATCAAGGTTGATCTGCGTCAATGGCACGGCAGCGCCAATGACCATGCTGCGGTCATTGAAGGTCACCTCACTGGCTGCGGTGATGCCACTGCTTCTTTCACTGTTGCGTTCTGGGTGCCATCTCAGTTCCCCAATCGCATCGCCTTCCGTGCCAATGTTGACTCCGACTCGGATGCCACGAAGTTGTACCTGACCTACCGTTCTTCCCCTGCCGAGGACTTCTACGGCCTTGGTGGTCAGGCTTCTTTCGCCTCATTGAAGAACCAGACCGTCCCGATCTTTTCCCGTGAACAGGGTGTCGGCCGTGGCGACCAGCCAACGACTGACCTTGAGTCCAAGGACAGCTTCTTTGCTGGTGGTGATCGCTTTACCACTTACTCCGCTATCCCTCAGTACATCAGCTCCCTTGCACGCGTGTTCCACCTGACCCAGGAGAGCTCTGCTTACGCCACCTTCAACTTCACTGATGCCCGTGCCGTCACTGTTAGATACAGCGGCCTGGATGTCGATGGATATTTCATGCAAGCGGAGAACATGCTTCACGGTATTACCATGTTGACCGACTATACTGGCCGTATGCCCGAACTGCCCAAGTGGGTTGACACCGGCGCTGTTCTTGGTATCCAGGGTGGTCAGTCAAAGGTCAACCGCATTGTCGACCAAGGGCTCAACTTGACCACCCCTATTGCTGCCGTCTGGCTTCAGGATTGGTCTGGTACCCATTCCCAGAGTGTTTCCTACATGTCTCTCAACGTTTCCCGTCTCTGGTGGAACTGGGAGTCTGATTCTAAACTCTACCCAACCTGGAATGAGTTTGTGCAGAACCTGCGTGATGACCACAACGTCCGCACTCTCTCATACATCAACCCTTTCTTGGCCAACGTCAGCTCCAAGCCTGATGGATTCAACTCCAACCTCTATGAAGAGGCCACCAAGGGCGGATACATGATCCAGAACTACACAACCAATGATACTTCTGTTATCTCTAGTGGCCCTGGTCTCGATGCCGGTATTCTTGATCTGACCAACCCTGCTGGTCGCTCCTGGTTCAAGAACGTCCTTCTGTCTCAAGTCTGGAACGCCAACATCTCTGGTTTCATGACCGACTTCGGCGAGTACACTCCCATCTACCCCGACACTCGCTTTGCCAACAAGAGCATCGACCCCTTGGTCTACCACAACACTTACCCCCGTGAGTGGGCTGCTCTTCACCACTGGATCGGCAAGAGCGTTCCTAACTTCGCGGATGCCATCCTCTTCCACCGCTCATGCGCCATGGCCGCCAACCGCTACATGAACCTCTACTGGGCTGGTGACCAGGACACCAACTGGGGCGTTAACGATGGAATCAAGTCTTCTGTTACTGTCATGGGCCACATGGGTCTGTCTGGCTACGCCCACGGTCACACCGAGATCGGTGGATACACCACTACCTGGAACAGCAACGGTGTTGTTAACCGCTCCGCCGAGCTGCTCGGTCGCTGGGGAGAACTCTCCGCTGTTGCCAGCACAGTCTTCCGTACTCACGAGGGTAACGTGCCCCAAGTCAACGCCCAGTTCTACTCCAACTCCTCGACCTACTCATGGTTCAGCTACAATGCACGCATGTTCACCAGTCTTGCCGCTTACCGTCGCCGCATTTTGGACACTGAAAGCAAGAAGCTCGGCTGGCCCTTGCTTCGCATGCCCGTTATCTACCACCCCAACGACGTGAAGGCCAAGGCAATCAGCTACGAGAGCTTCTACCTTGGAGCCGATCTTTACGTTGCACCGGTCCTAGACCCTGGTCACACAAGCGTCAAGGTGTACTTCCCCGGCAAGAAGCAGACCTTCACCCACGTCTGGTCTGGCAAGAAGTACCACGGTGGCCAGACCGCACGGGTATCCGCACCCTACGGAAAGCCCGCTGTTTTCCTTGTCAACGAAACCAAGAACCCCGACTTGGCTGAATTCCTGCAGTTCGTCCGTAAGGAGAACGGCACCGTCATTCACCGGTAATCAATATGTGTTCATGAGCACCTATACCCTTGATGTATAAAACCCGAAGCCTGATTCTGAGCCATCAGAAACGGTGTATATATTTAGAAATCTACTTGACAATCCATTTCTTTCAAAGGCAAAACCCCGTCGGAGCTCGTATGCTCACTTATCACTAAACTGGACTACTTTGACTCCCGAGGCTATAGATCGACATTCTCCGCAGGACCTACTGGAATGTTACATTTCCCCTCATTTCATCAACAAATATTCAGGCTGTTTGATGATGTTGCACCCGGCTCGCTCGCAATTTGACCATGGCAGTCGGTTGTCGGCTGTGGATTTACTTAAACAGCAATGGACCGATGATGTGAAGGTGTGTTCTACAGCTCAAACGGTTGCTGAGAATTTATCACCATGAGACCGTTCAATGCTATACTTTGTCTGTTGACAATCACGACATCGGCAAGAAAGACAAGGGACACTAACGATCGTGGGTCCCTTACATCTACAATATCCCGTATGATATCATGACCTAACAACAAGATCAAGTCCTCCCATTCACATATGAACCCCTACCCCTTGGAAGTATCACACCGAACGGATGGCTAAGAACAGAACTCGAAGCATCCGCAGCAGGACTAGGAGGGTGCGCAACCCCATAAAATAATTTAACACCCTCCCGCCCCCCCCAAAAAAAACTAACTACGTCCAGCCATCTATACGAATTCTACCGCTACGTCGCAAACTCCTCTTGGATAGGCGGTGACCAAGAATACAGCGAACTAAACGAAGCGCTGCCATACTGGCTAAACGCCATAGTCCCGCTATCCTTCACACTCCAAGACGACCGCTTGAAAGGCGATATCAAAACAGTAGTCAACAAAATCCTCGATCTAATTCAACCAGATGGCTGGATTGGACCTGAAACTATTGAAACGGGAAACCGTCTCATCTGGGCGCGGACCCTTGTTTTTCTGGGATTGACCAATCTCGTCGATGCTGATCCGGAGACTTATCAGGAACCTATTCTCGATGCCTTGTATGGATTCAATGAATTGATGAACTCGATGTTGAAGAACAATGGTACGGGCATGATCTATCATGATGGTGATCAGGCCAGTGCGGATGATTTTATTTGGTTCCGGTCTAGGTCGCAGGATATGGTTGTTTCGCTACAGTGGATGCTTGATTATCATCCAGGGAATTCCAGTAAGGTTTTGAGAGACAATATTCGGTTGATTCATGAGTTTTCGTTTCACTGGGAGGGGTGGTATACCGAGCAGAGTTATATCAAGGAGGATCTTAATTCTGTTCCGATGGATTTGGCGGATCAAGAATGGCCATTTTTGCATGGTGTTACTGCTGCTGAAGGTATGTTTCCCTTTGTTATTGGAAGAAAGTTAAAGCTGATGTTTTATGGTGCAGCTTTGAAGTATGCTGCTGTCTTCAGGCGCTCTACTCACAATGATAGTCTGATTACCACAGCTAAGAATGGGGTATGTTTACAATGATCCTCTTCTTAACACATACCTGGAGTTGTTTTTGATTTCTGCAGGTTGACTGGACATTCAAATACCACGGTTCAGCTTCCGGCTCGATCCTTGCTGACGAGGTTGGTGTATATGTCCACTTTCAAAATTCAACCAGCTGACACAACACAGCGACTCGCTGGACTAAATCCATTCTACGGATCAGAACTATGCACAGATGTTGAGACAATCTACTCCCTCGCATACAACTACTTCGCAATCGGCGACCCAGACTACGCAGACCGTACCGAACTGGCTGCTTTCAATGCTCTGCCAGCTGCCATGTGGCCCGACTGGACATCCCATCAGTATATGACGGAGCCGAACCAGCCATTTTCCAAGAATCTTTCTGCTTCGCCTTTCTGGAATGTCAATACTGTCGGTCAGACGTTTGGTATTGAGCCGAACTATCCATGCTGTACTGTCAATCATCCACAGGTATGAAACCGGTGTATTTCTTTGATGGCGCAACGATTTAATATGACATCACAGGGTCTCCCGAAGTTTACAATGTACAGCTTCCTCAAGAACGGCGAAAACGGACTAGTCCATGCCCTCCTCAGCCCAGGAAAAGTGCGCACCAAGATAAACGACAAGGCAGTAATAGTAGACTGCCAAACCGACTACCCATTCAACACAAGCCTGTCATACACAGTTGACAGTGAAACACCCTTCGACTTTTACCTCCGCGTCCCAAAATGGTCAACAGGAATCAAAATAAACGATGAACCATCACAAAGCGACACCACGACAGGCTTAACAAAGATCCCAATCCAGACCGGAGAGACAACCCTCACCTATTCCATCGGCAGGGAAATTCAGACTGAATCAAGAGCAAACGATACAATCGCCATCTACCACGGCCCCATTCTATACAGCCTACACATTGACTCGATCGTAAGAACCAGCCCACCAGCCTATTACGATACGCAGCAGCAATGGCCGGAGGGAACGTATCCATTGCAAATGCAGGATCATTCAATGATTAATGGGACCGAGTGGAATGTTGCTATTGACCCGTCGACATTGAGTTTCCATTCTGGGTCTGGGGAATTACCTAAACCTACGTTTGACGATGGGAAGTTGCCTATGTATATCACTGCAAAGGCTTGCTCGATTGATTGGCCTTTGTTTGAGGGGTCTGTTCCTGCTTCACCGCCTGGCAAAGGGGAAAGGGTTTGTCTTGGGGATAGTTTTGTTGCTACGCTGAGACCATATGGAAGTTCGAAGTTGCATATGTCTGATCTGCCGACTATTGAGCTTGGGAATTAGGGATTGTGGATGGAGTTAGGGTGCTGTGTATAGCTTGTGAACAATCCTAAATATGGAGAGAGATTATCATATCACGATACAAGCCCCGATATATTTCATTGTTGAACCAAGAGTGGATTTTTAGAAAAATGTAAATCGAAGTCATAAGCCAACAAACAATTTAAGTAACTGAGCTAGAATCATATTCGAAAGCAAATCCAAATGTTGACCCCATATCCAGATTTAGATGGTATTCCTGATGGGATCTTTCTCGGCCCCCTCAATATTCTTCAAGAACTTCTCTGCAGCCTTCGAATCGGATCCGAAGATGGTATCCGCAACCTGTCTCTGAGGCGTCTCTCCCATCCATTGGAAGAGAGAAAAGTCCTGGAATTTATCCGCGCGGAAGATTTCCAAGAGTTCAAGCGGTTCATCATCACTCAGGTTCTCAACAAAGTGTCCCATGTTTCTTGGCACAATGCCCACATCACCAGCCATGTAGTTGAATGTTCGGGCATTTCCTTCAGCAGCAAAGATTGTCACACGGGCGCGACCCCTTTTGAAGTATGTCCACTCATCAGCGTTAGGATGCCAGTGCATTTCGCGCAGAGCTCCGGGAGCAATTTCCAAGTGGGCTGCTGCCACTGTCTTTGAGATGGGGAAGTTGGTGGAGTCTGTGATGCGGACGAGGCCACCAGTACCCTCGACCGGAGTTTGAGCATGCATGTGATGGGTAAAATTGATCTTGGACTGTTTGAATCCGCGGGGCTTTTCTTCCTCGATGCTGCCCGGCTTTGATCCTTGGAAGATGTACTTCTCGGATGTTGGGATGTTGTCGAACTGCTGGGGCTTGACGCGGAAGTTCTCGGCGAGAACGGCTTTCGGGGTATGGGCTAGAGTTGGATTAGTATATAGTGTAACGTTGATCGGTAGCTTGCTCACCCATCCAGTCTGTCAAGAGGAATGTAGACTCCTCTGAGAAGTGGCCATTGTCGAAGATTAAGAGGAACTCGGTGCCATTGGGTCCTAGACCTTGGAGCGAGTGAGGATGACCAGCAGGGAAGTACCAGAGATCGCCTGCCTCGAGGTCATCCATGAAACTGCCGCCTTCTGTGTCGAGCGCAGTCACTCGGACTTTTCCAGCGAGAACGTAAGCCCACTCAGCTTCGGTGTGCCAGTGCAGTTCACGGATGACTCCTTCATCCAGACGCATATTCACCCCAGCCAATTCACGGCTTGTGGGGAGCTCACGGATGGTAGTCTGTCGAGTCCATCCGCCTTCCTGTGCTTAAATTAGCATGAATATCCATCTAGTGTAAATATTCTCATACCTCAATTCGTATATGTGAGTCGGCGAAACTCCATCGCATGTTGGATGTACTACCGTGATCGGTGCTCGGCGGGCGCACCAGATCGGGATTCTGACGTTCGCGATCTTTGTTACGCGGTCCCATCACGCTGGTGCCATCCCCATTCCGGAAGGGTAGTGGCTGTCTATCATCGCCAACAGAGTCGACTTTGTGATCATACGGATCGCGATGGCCTGGTGAGAACGGCGGATGGTCGGTGATAGGCTGTTGGCCGTAGAGCTCTGGATGACCCGGTCGGATCTGAAGCAGCTGCTGCAGTCCATAATCCGGAGCTGGGATAGCGGAAATGCCCAGTACGAATAGAGATAGAGATGTTCCTAACTTCATCATGCTTGGCAGGGTTAAAGTACAAAACAGGGATGAGAAAAGTGGTTAAGTATCAAGTTTCTCTCCGCACTTCCGACGACTCCGACAATCTCCAAGTTCCAAAGCTTAACCTTCGCGTTCCTCCTCTTCTCCTCTTCTTCTCTTCTTCTTCTCTTCTCTGCTTGGTTCACCTACTTACTTCGTCTCCATCAAGTGGAGCTATGACGCATCATTTCCCGTGCGGAGTCAGATTTCAACTTGGAACATTTGGAGCGCCTTAGATTCATAAGAACCATATCTCCCCCTGTTCCCTTCATCATGCCTCAAGAAAGTGATCCTTTACTGGGTGGCAGGCCTACGGGTCAGCACCGCCTCTCCAAGTACTTGCGCTGCGAAATCGATCCCGCGCATGGCGACTTCCTACTACTTTTCTGCTACATCATCACCGGCCTCCTGGACAGCTCGGCAGTGTTTATATGGGGCTCGTTCGTGAGCATGCAAACGGGCAATACCGTTTACTTCGGCCTTGGTCTTGTCGGCACAGGTGACGATCGCTGGATCAAGTCTGGTGTCTCCATAGCCGGTTTCTGTCTTGGCTCGTTATGCTTCGCCGCCTTCCATCGTCTCTTCCCAGCCAGGCAGCGATGGGTTCTCTGTGCTTCATTCTTGGCTCAGATGTTGTGTGTCGCCCTTGCTGCTGTAATTGTCACGATTTATCGACCTTCGCGCGAGGCGCCTCTCAGCTGGGTCGTGCTTGTTCCGCTTGCTTTGGTCGCTTTCCAGAGCAGTGGACAGGCTGTTACTAGTCGCGTCTTGCAATTCAGTGGCTTGACTAGTGTTGTGCTTACCAGTATCTATTGCGATCTTTTTTCACATCCGGACCTTTTGTCCCCCAAGGTCATTGGTCACGCAGATGAGATGCGCCGTCTGGGCGCTGTATTGTGTCTCTTGTTTGGTGTGATTCTGGGTGGTCTCTGGGCTCATAGCTCGGTGGGGCTTATGGGGGCGTTGTGGACTGCCGCAATCTTGAAAGGATTTCTTGTTATTGCATGGTTAACGTGGAAGGGCAAGGATGAGGAGGAGACATAGCAGGCGTGGCAATGCTTGAGAGTATAGTTAATATACCAAGAGGAAATACTGGGTGTCAAAAAACAGCGGGTTCATATCAAGAAAGCGAGTCCTTTCTTTTTTATACACATTAGAGTGAGCTACTATATTTGAAACCTCCCCATTGGACAATCGCAAGACCGCTTTATGGAAAATGAAGCCATAGACCTGTGATGTTCCATGTAGTGATTTTGATTGGATCAGCAGCCCGGAAATGACATTACTTCCATGTGGAATTATGCGGGGTGATATTCTTCATAGTATGCGCTCAGGCCTAAAAGTGGTCCATGACAGCATTAATAAACTCAAAGAAAATGGGATATCCTTGCAAGGCCTTGCAATCAGTTCCAGTCGGATCATCTTCGGGATTGAAAGTTGCGACCTCAGCTCCAACATTCTGCGGGAAATCAGGCTAGTTATAGAATACAAGCATTCCATTGGCATCCAGAGCCAGAAGTTGAAGACCCGCACCGCTAGCGCCGAGACCATTATGACAATCCTCCGAGTCGCCAAAGTATGGAATAGACACACCAGTACACTGAGCATTTTGGAAAACTGCGATGCGATATTCATTACCGGCTCGAGCATCTAAGCACTTACGGTACTGTTGCGGCCATAGAAACTGGGGATGATGGCGCTCTGTACCATGGCGGCGACCCTTACCAGGAAGCTGAAGGCAGCGGTTTTTTTGAATGGTCGCGTGTGCATCCCGGCTTGCAGATTTCGTTGACGATAAAAGGGATTCCGCCGGGGGCTCGTTTGTTAATTTGGGCGTATGCGGTGAGTAGACGTTGAGGCCACTGGCCAGGATTGTCGAAGTCAAGTTTATGAAAGTCCTCGATCTGCACGTGGAAATTGTGACGGGAATCGGGGACTGGAGTGAGGTATAAAACGTCATATTCTGATTCGTTCCGGTGGTTTAGGATGTCTTGTTGAATTCGATCGATAAAGCGTACATCTAGTGTACCGGTGATCTGGCGTTGCATTTTGCGTCAGATAAAATAAAAGCAAGATGTAATATATGGAGAGTCGATTTAAAACGTAGGTGTAAGCAGGAATTTCAATGTGAAAGAAATGCGAACCATATAAATATTCGGCGTCAGCCGTGGGGTAAAATGCACCAAGGAAACTTAATATCGATATCTGAATGACACTGGGTCAACATAGAAGAAAAGCCCAGATCGGGTGAAGACTGCAGCGGTTTTACATTTGATATCTTGCCAATTGATTCTTTGGTATACTAGGCTCCTTTCCTGCCAAAACCCAACCCGGGGTTTGGCGCAGTCAAATACCAGGTATGAAGAAACGCATGTGACCTAGCCATCTCGTAGTTTCTGGGAGAACACGGCTTGACAGGCAAACAAGTTTTCTATTCCATGTCTTCAATTAGTTATTGCCATTTTTGTTGACTTTTTACTGGTATTCTTAGGAAACGTGCTTGCATATCATTGAAAAGGGCTAAACCAAGAATATTCCTCCATTAGATGCTACAAGAGAGCCTGTAATGAACCTGTCCTTCATAATGTAGATGTATGCCTCGGCCACATCCTCGGGCCTACCAACCGTTCCAGTTAGACTGTTTTCTCGAAATCCTTTCAGCAACTCGTCGAGGTCTTTGCCGAATCCCTCGAACAGCTCGGTATGAACTGCTCCAGGTGATACGATATTGACTCGCAGGGGCTTGAGGTCCTGCGCTAATCCACGCACAAGACCCTCGATTGCAGTTGCATAGCCAGCCATTACAGACCAGCCAGGCGGAGGCCGATGAGCATTTGCCCCTCCAGTCACCGTGAAAGAGTTGGCAGGTGATCTATCCATGTATTTTGGGAGAATCTTGGCCAGGATCAAAGGTGCGAGAAAACGGACGGTGCCAGATGCATTGACGGCATCCACCACAACATCTTGTAGGGCAGGAAGTTGAAGCGCATCGCCTGCTGTGAAAGCGATGTGGTCAAGTTTCAGCTTGCCCCCTTCGGTCGCCTGCTCAAGGAGACGCGTAAGGTTTTCCTCTAGTTCCAAAGGGTTTGCGAGGTCACAGGGATATCCAGAGACTTTTTGAGAGCTCGTCAATTCCGGATATTCGTCCTGCAATTTTGCGATTGTCGCAGTAATTTTGGCAGCGTTCGAGCTAGAGATGATAACGTCGGCACCATGTTCAAGCGCGGCCTCGGCAACGCAGAAGCCAATGCCGGATGTCCCTCCCAGGATGAGGATACGCTTGCTGACAAGCTTGGTTGTGTATTTGAGTGTATGGGGTGCCATTGTGAAATTCGGCAGATTGATGCTTCGTTTTCGGTTTGTTTCTTTTGTAGATATACGTGGCTGTACTGCTAGCACCGAGAGAGATTTATATATTTCTCGCTCGTCTCAGTTGCGTCATAAAAAAGGCTTGCTGTGATTGCAGCGCACTCCGTTTCGATCCGATGTAGAATATTTATGCATTCTATCACGGAAGGGCTTGTTTCCGTCTCAATAAACCCAGTGTCCATCTTCAAAGTTGACCGTCTAGACTCGTACTCGTGCGCAATAAGATGCCGAATCAAGGCATGATCAGCAAATTCGGTCTCGCGTCTAGTTAAGCCCGAGCCCGAAAGCGGGTTCAACTCAACAAAAATTACGCGAAGATCAATCTGGTGGTTAATTTCTATACCGTACTGACGCTTCTATGTATGAAGACATCGGCCGGAGTACGTAAATTGACTCGGTAATTTCAAATAAGGCCCGGATTTACGGGTTTATCGAGGGATGTGCCGGCTGTGTCGGAAAAACGTTAACATCGATTTTCAAAGACAAATACGTCACGGCCTCATGTAGTCAAAAAATATAAAAGGAGCTTGGTCGCAGTAGATATTGTTATGCACCTTTCAGCAAAAATGGCAAACGAGAAGATTTCGAAGAATATTGACGCTTATGTGCCAGATTCTACAGCATACTACCTTGGCTATAGCAACGCAGACTACAAGAAGCCATTCGCAAAATACTTCGATTTCAACGTTGATCCAATCAGCGATGAAGTGCAGAAAGGCATAGTCAGCAGTCCATGGGGTAGTGGCCTTGGTAAGAACAACCATCTTGTATCGCAAATCATATTACTCTGTTAACGCATGCATAGGCTACGAGGCAAGTGAGGGGCATGACTACCTCCTGCGACCGGGCTATTTGCCGGTCGAGAATGGATATTTGAAGACACCGCAGGGAGCCTGGATGGTTGCCTGCCGTACAGATATGGGACAAGGTCCGTTGGGCACGCCTCCAGGCTATCAGTGATAGACATTGACGTCTTTTTTAGTGACCGGAGAAGCCTATGACTGGTGGTTTGCATGGCACTCTGTTGAATCTGCTCGGTAATATTCATCCTGCAAATTGAGACATGCCAACAACTATCTCGGCATTGAGGTAGCCTTTTCCCAGCTAAATGAATGACTTTACAGGTATAAACTGTGGTATCCGACCGCCCACCAGTACTCTTGGCGCCATCCAGAAGCCGTGGATATCGCAAACAAGTCCTTTGCAGAGCGATATTACAACACATTTTCTTTCATCGATGAATACATCGGTGGCGACCACGCCAAAGTCACCGTCGCCTTTATCGACCCCGCTGAGCTGGGAATCGACAAGTCCAAGTGGCCAGCGCTAGGCATTGAGACTATGATAGTAGCTCGGGTGGGAATTGGAGGTACATTTTCAGAAGCATTTACCAACCGAACGTGTCTGACATACTTCATAGCGCACATTACGGAGGGATTTGATGGAGTCTCCCATCTTATTCACCAAATTCGCCGTAAAGCGGATGGCACCAGGGAGATGCGATCCAGGTTTTGGCTTGGACCAGGCATCCCTGAAACAATTGCCCATGATATTTGTGTTCACTGTGGCACTGAAATGCCTCGTGAGTCTAGCACCGGTGATACTTGGAAGATCCAACGACTGATCCTATTTAGATTTGGCCAAAATCTTGCCACAACTCTTCAAGGAGTTCAGGGACGAGCTCTAGCGTGAATTTATCTGTGTCCTAGTCACATGGATCATTTCAACATGTATGATGCGAAGTCTCTGCATGATAGTCAACTATCGTTATTTTAGGGCGCTTTGCGGACCAAGGAGTACTAAAATGAGAAATCACTTAACACGCACCCTGAAGCAGGAAAAATCCTTCTAACAATTCTGCTACTTGTAACAAATGTTTAGTTAGAAGTATCGAAAATGAAAACACAGGCAACTTCCTGACTTGGCGAAAGTAGATGAGGTGTAAGTATCCCTTGGGGTGTCCATTCAAGGCAGTATAATCATAATAAGAGTAAGAATCTCGTTGCTTAAGCGAGAGGAGCGGGTTAGATTTTATCAAATGTATAGCAGGTTCACGTGCGTCCTACCAGCGTTATGTAAAATACGGCCTCTATCCTTGGAGTCCGGGGATCTACGGATTTACTATTTCAGGATCAGCGTACGCTGCTTTGTCTGCTCGAACAATTATGCGACTTCAAACAACTCAACGAGAAATTGACCGTGATCATGGTGCTGAGCTGTCGCATATTGTATGTGATACTCCTGCTCTAACGGAGCCTCCCGCTTTAAGACCTACTGATTGACCATATTCCACAATTCTCCAGACTCATCCGTTTCGCAGCCATCCATCTATACTATATCGGTCAACGAATCAAGCCCTTAGATCCGACTCTTGTGAGCACTTTCGCTACTCTTGTGGCCGAGCTCCACGAGGGCCTAAGTTTGGTAGTTCTGACGGCACCACTTAATCCCCGCATTTGTAGAGGAAAACAGGCTTGCTTCCACCGACACGTCCACTTCTCGCTCTAACAAATTCACACTACAGTGAGATCTATCTAATGTAGCTAGTGAAGGATCCAGATCGGTCCACACTCCAGCAAAACAATCGCATTATGAAAAGCATCGAGATATCAGTCGATCGAGAGGCCATGGGACTTTCGCAAAGACACTCAAGCCGGCGACACCCGATGCGCTGGACGAAATCTTAGGATTGTATGCCATTGACACCCTCAACACTGGAAACTGTCAGTAATGTAGACGCTGTCTCAAGCCTGATATTTCACTTCGATCGATACCCACATACCCCGGATTTTAAGTGGAGGAATATCCACCGCATACTGCAATATCCGCCAGTAGCCGGATGCTCCCTTTCATGACGCATTACCCCGGCGAAAAACAGGGGTCTCGTATTGGAAGCGAATCGCATTTGTCAAATATCAGCCATCGCTATCATATCCCTGGTCAATGACATCAAAGGCTTCACATCAGGTTTGAGGCGTACCCAAGCCTTGCGCCAAAGTTCCCGTGTGCCTTTGGGCGTTTCCTAGTATAAGCCATGCCGTTCTTCCGAAACACTTATCATCCGAGGAGCGCAAGGATCATAACTGTGCTTTAAAACAGAAAGACCTAGCTCTTTTACATAGTTGCAGATCGTTACTCAAAAATTTGAATATTCGAGCAAGACGCTTCGTCTCGGATCTCAAGTCGGCTACGTCCCCAACGTGACATCGCGTTGCCACTAACCAGCTGAAAGGATTTGCTGGACGTGCGCTTTAACAGAGATCTCGGAGCTACGGTCGCTCCGTTCATATCGGCTACAAATTCAGTCCAAGCCCCAGACCCATCCTTCTTCGATCGCGGTCTCTACTTCGACGTCACAAACGGTGAACCCTGTTACCGTTACCAATGCACGCAAAAATGGCGGAACAGAACCAGGATACACTAAACCCCAAGGGGAATGGACGCAATACCTCACTGGATGAAGAAGAGAAGCAAGAATCAGGCCAGGGACCATCTCACGATGAGAATCCATTTGGAGACGAGGAAGAGGGAGAGACACAGTATCGAACAATGAGTTGGTGGCAGTGTAGCATCAGTACGTCCAAGACATCCTACCCTTTCTCTCATGGACGAGCAAGTGATATATCTGCTTCACAGTCATGGTTGCGGAAACTATATCCCTCGGAATTCTATCGCTTCCTTCAGCCGTCGCAGTCTTGGGTCTTGCCCCGTAAGTTGCAGTCTTCCACGACTAAACGGAAACTGATAGATATATAGTGCGGTGATCCTCATTGTCGGACTCGGTCTCACGGCGACTTATACCGGCTACGTGATCGGCCAATTCAAACTGCGATATCCACATGTTCACAGCATGGCAGATGCAGGAGGAGTACTGTTCGGTAGAATTGGATGGCCACGATTCGGTAGAGAGTTTTTGGGAACGGCCCAGCTCCTTTTTCTGATATTCATCATGGGTAGTCATATCTTGACTTTCACTACGATGATGAACACCTTGACAGATAACGGCGCTTGCTCGATTATCTTTGGGGTTGTTGGTTTGGTCGTCTCTGTTATATTTGCACTACCTCGGACACTGCGCAAGGTTTCATGGATGGCATGCGCTTGTATGTGGCATTCCAATTCCTGAAAATCTTGGTACTGATTTTGACTGGCAGCGTTCGTGAGTATCGTTGCTGCATTGCTGGTTACGATGATTGCCATTTCCATTCAGCGTCCGGGACACGGAAAAATCGACGTGACTACAACAGTTTCTCTAAACAAGGCATTCTTGGCCGTGACAAACATTGTGTTTGCTTATGGTACGTACCACTATTTGCGCAGCTAAAAGTACTTACACTGACAATTCCTAGCTGGTCATGTCGCATTTTTCGGCTTTATATCTGAAATGCGGGTACCCACTGATTATGCTAAAACTCTCTATCTGCTTCAAGCGACTGATACGAGCATGTATGTGATTGCTGCCGTGGTAATTTACATATATGGTGGAAGAGATGTCGAGTCTCCGGCATTGAGTTCGACGAGTTCTGTGACGGCCAAGGTTGCATATGGAGTAGCCATTCCTACGGTACGTTTCTAAAGGTCGATTTCATACATTGCCTGACACAAAACTCAGATTGTCATCGCCGGGGTGATCAACGGACATGTCGCTGCAAAATACATCTACGTGCGAATCTTCCGAGGCACGAATCAGATGCAGAAGAAATCCGTACTCTCGATTGGATCCTGGGTTGTGATTACGGTCGTCCTTTGGGTGATTGCCTGGATCATTTCCGAGGCGATTCCAGTTTTCAACACACTGCTGAGCTTGATTGTAAGTCTTTGGCCTCTGCCTATATTACATGCACTAATCTGATGTCTCTGCAGGTTTCACTTTTCGCCAGCTGGTTTACTTGTACGTGGTTGTCCTGGTCATAATTCTGACATCGAGAGCGCTAACATATTTCTTAGATGGACTAAGTGGTATCTTCTGGCTGTTTCTTAACTGGGGCCGGTACGGCTCCAACTGGAAGAAGATGGTACTCACTTGTATTAATTTGATTATTGTTGGAATTGGTGCTTGCTTGGTGAGTTTTGTTTTCCCCTTCGCATCGCTTTGGCCCTGCTAACTTTCGACATAGTGCGGAATGGGTTTGTGGGTCTCTGGGAAGGCAATTCATGATGATAGCAACAGCTCGAGCTTCAGCTGTTCTCATGAGTAACGTCGTGGTTAGGTTTGCAGCTTGTATGTCTGGAAATATTATCATATATCTTGCTGAGATGAAGAAATTGCAGTGCCGCGTATTTTGAAGACCTTTGACTGTACGTAATAATGTCGTCTCAGTCGTACCTGAGTCAGCTTGCTCGGAATTTGATGCCATGATGTTCCACGCGATCAGTGGAAGACAATAGAATATTCTTGTCGTCCAACAGATCATTCCAGGGCCCCATTGAGCTTATGTTCATATTCAATTTGCATGTTGTTCACTGAAATCGCAACGGCGCGCTCGCACAGTTACCCACGTACCATCGTATTTTCCACAGACGATTCATGTCGAGTGGAAGACATCCTTGCAATGCCTGACAAGAAAACACAGACCGGAATGCCCTCCCATGACTCGGCGAGCTTGAAGACGCCGACTGACGACGATCGGTACGCATCAAGCACCACTTTGGAGTCAAATAAGGGGTTATTAGACAAAGATCGACCCCGTGAGAAAAGCTCAATACTTGTGGGGTGGGAGGGCCCTGACGATGCGGTACGAGACTCCACAATCCACAAGGATGCATGGATACTACATGACTGCCATTACTAACACACGAAAGGGAGAAACCTGCCGATTTTCCTACCGGGAGGAAATAGTGCATCACCATCATGCTCGCGCTAATGACAATGTGCGTGACCTTCGCTTCGTCAGTATTCAGCATGTCAACCACAGTAACAGCAAAAAATTCCACGTCTCAAGAGGAGGCGGTGATCCTAGCAACCAGTCTATTCGTACTAGGCTTCGCCTTTGGCCCAATAATCTTTGGTCCACTCTCCGAATTATACGGGCGGAAGCGACCGATGTTTCTGGGCATGTTTCTCTTCGCAATCTTCCAGATCCCCGTGGCTATACCCCGGAACCTGAAGAAAATCTTCATATGTCGCTTACTGGGCGGGGTATTTGCGAGTGCGCCTCTTGCTCTTGTGAGTCTTTGTCTTCCCGTTGAGAAATTTGTTACTCACTAGCGTCTGGGGTAGGTAGGTGTCGGGTATTTTGGCCGATATGTATGGCTACTTCCATCTTCGCCGCTAGCGCCTTCGTGGGCCTTGTTGCTGGTCCAATCACTGGTAGTTTCATCGCGCGTTTCTTGGGGGTGGCGCTAGACGCAGTATATCACCGCGATCTGGGCGTTTGCCTTTCCCACCATTGGCTTCCTTTGCATTCCGGAGACATTCGAAGGTACTTTGCTAACGAAGCGCGCCAAGTGCCAGCGCAACAAGACCAAAAACTGGGCTTTTCATGCCAAGGCGGAGGAGAGCGTTGTTATTGCGAGAGATATGGCGGTCCGCTTTCTCTTTCGGCCTTTTCAGATGCTCTTTCAGGAGCCGGTCCTTTTTCTGATCAAGGTGTATGTTGGATTCATGTATGGCTTTCTGTATACCTGCTTCGAAGCCTATCCAAGTTCGTTCCAGTATGATCGCGGTTGACAGGAGGGAGTGGCGGCATTGCCTTTCGTGGCTTTTATCCGTGGCGTCGCTGTGGCGTGTCTGATCATTGTAACCTTTCCGTTGACACGGTATCAAAGTATAATGCGCCGCACCGGACGAGTCGATCCCGAGGAGCGGTTGATCCCTATGATCATTGGTGGTGTCCTGGCGCCCATTGAAATAGTTTGGTTTGCTTAGACATCAAATCCCCACAATATTTGGATTTCACAGGTTATCTTCGGAGGCTTCTTGGGGGCCGCGGTGTTGCTGATCTTCTTGCAGTCTTGCAGGTACGTATCTTCCTGCTTCTGACATTTTGTCTGAAACCAGACCAATTGAACACCGAGGCTAGACAATCCATAACTGTGATCGACAGGGACTCAACTATATTATTTATGTATATCCTATGTATGCCGATTCGGCGATTGCAGCCAATTCCTTCTTTCGGTCATGACTAGGGGCTGGGTTTCCCATGTTAGCCTTGCCAATGGTATGAGTATTCCGCGGGCAAGTAATGGACAAAGCTGACTGCATAATATTAGTTCAAAGAGCTGGGCATGCCTTGGGCCATGACTATGTTGGGATGTCTCACCGCTCGCTCTTCCCAGTTCCCATTGCATTTTTCATCTATGGGCCAAAGATCCGATCATGGAGTGAATTCAGCGTGAAGGCGGAGTGATCAAGTAATCAGAATCACAATGAATCATGGACCAGTTCCATACTGACGTCCCAATTAGACGATATAGAGATGTGGTCTTGGAATAGGCTATGTCCTCATCCGGCTTAGTGATTCCAGTCTGGCATTCAAAGTTGCCACGTGAAAATGCCGGTACTTCCGACGTAAACTGATTCGAAAGCATCGAGTGGAAGATCTTTTCCTTTGACCGGATTAATTACAGTAAAAAAGACGATTATCAGCGAAAGAAGTAACATGGTTGACTGTCACGGGGTGTGATGCGCTGACTCAGGCCTTGGCATGCAGACCGCACTCGAATATCAATTTGTTGACTTATATTCCTATGTAACTGTGACGAACTTATGGAGAAAGTGAGTTAAATCAGAGATAATAACGACAAATATGCATGACACGCGGCTCATGTTATCGTGGCCCGAGGCACGACTGGACTTGCTGGGCTCCATCGGCCGGGTCCGATGTGGAGCTGACCTGTAGGCGAGAGAGAGGCTTCGCTATGCACTTCCTTGACCAATCCGCTGGTGCTGATGCATCTCATGCCGTACCCCGGGATCTAAAAGGGGATGACCGGGGGAGAAGTAAGCTTCCTGGGGTAGCAGGAGTGCACGAAACCCCCAGCACAGTGTGCCGGCAGGGAGAAATCCGGGGAAACCAAGACTTTTAGCTAATATTATCTGCCACTGTGACTCTCGAGCACCTTCTTCTCCACATTTCTCTCGACTTACCCACTCTTCGCCAATGGGAGTTGCAATTCTCGGACCGGCGTGCTCTTTGGCCCGCACACAACTGGGTCCCTCCAGACTCACGATCGTCCGGCAGACGGCGATGGCCGTTCAAACCTCACTACGTGTATATATGAACTTGCCTCCAGCCTCATACTGGTTTTGGCGGGGCAATTGGTGTGGCATGATCTCCAAGCTCTAGATCTATCTTCATACATACTTCTTTTTAAGATATACCATGGCGCCGTACCTTGGCCTTCGAGGGAATGCCCTCCTCCGTGCTGCGGTCATGCTGGTCGTGTGCCCTACCTTTACTTGTTATGGATACAACATGAGTGTGGCCGGTGGCCTATTAACGCTCGATGCTTTCAACTCTCAATTCCCAAGAATGGACACAATTCACGTCGAGGGAGCTGCTCAACAACAGAATTCGCAGATTCAGGGTCAGTCATCTATCAGTGGTTGAGTCTATATAGATGTTTCTTGCTAAACTGTATCTTCAACAGGCACTGTCATTGCCCTCTATACAGTCGGAGGTATTTTCGGTGCCCTATCATGCGTCTACCTCGGTGATCTCTGGGGCCGACGTAAGGTCATCTTCATTACCAACTTTATCACTATCATCGGCGCCATCCTGATGGCAACATCCTTCCAATTTGCCCAATTCATCGTCGCGAGGCTGGTTCTCGGTTTAGGCATTGGTGGTTATGTGGCGACAGTACCAGTCTGGCAATCCGAAATTTCACCTTCACACAAGCGAGGATCCAACGTCGTAACAGATGGAATCTTCGTCGGATTGGGTGTAACACTTGCCTTGTGGATTGACTTGGGGTTCTTCTTCGTTAAGGATAACTCTGTCTCATGGCGGTTCCCTCTCGCTTTCCAGATCGTCATGTCTATCACTGCAATGATCTTCATCACTATGCTTCCCGAATCGCCTCGCTGGTTGATCAAGACTGGCAATGTAGAGGAAGGACGCAAGGTCCTCGCTGCTCTCCTCGATGCCGATGAGCACTCGGATACTATCAACGACAACGTCCGTGATATCGAAGCCTCCCTCGCCTACTGTGGATCCGGATCATGGACCGATATGTTCAAGAACGGTGAACAGCGCATCTTCCACCGTGCCTACCTCGCCGCTACCGGCCAGATGTTCCAGCAAATGTGCGGTGTCAATTTGATCACCTACTACGCTACCACGATCTTCGAACAATACCTCGGAATGGACGCTGTGAACTCCCGCATCCTTGCCGCTGCAATGGGTCTGATGCAGCCCTTCGGTGGATACCTCGCCTACTTCACAATCGACCGTCTCGGTCGCCGACCCCTAATGCTGTGGAGTGCAGGAGCCATGGCAATCTGCATGGCCGGTCTAGCAGGTACAACCTCCGACGCCGCAGCCGACAACACAGGTGCCTTGGCCATGGCGGTTGTCTTCCTCTACTGCTTCCAGTTCATCTTCACCGTCGGCTACTCCGGCCTGACATTCCTCTACGCCGCGGAAATGGCACCTCTCCAAGTCCGTGCCGCCGTCAGCGCCGTTTCCACCGCCACCGTTTGGGCATTCAACTTCCTGCTGGCTCAGGTGACTCCCGTCGGTTTCTCCACGATCGGAAGCAGATACTACATCGTCTTCGCTGTTGTCAACGCAGCCATCGTGCCTAGCGTCTACTTCTTCTTCCCTGAGACCAAGGGTCGTACCCTGGAGGAGATTGATGAGATCTTCGCGCAATCCAAGAACATCTTCGACCCACCCCGTGTGGCTCGTGCTATGCAGAAGCGGACTATCCATATCGGCGAGTCGAATTCCGATGCTGAGAATACTGGCTCCAATGACGATGTCATCAAAGAGGAAGTCAAGGCGTGAGAGACGTGACTGACCTGAACTGTCTGATCCCATATGGGATGGACAGGTATACTTTGGATCAGAATGCCGTGATGAACAAGCTATAGCGGAACATGTAAATATTTCAGATTCCCGACCGTGTCATAGGACCGGTTATTTTCCTCGAGTCACCAATTTGACATCTTTCCTTTGGATTCTGCCTTTTACCCTAGTATGTTTTGTTCTTTTCTCTTCCTGTCGTGGCATTTCGGCCCGAGGATGCGACCGTCTACTTGGCATCGTTTCATCTGACCCAGGAAGTCTTAGATCCGTGCCTTAACTGGGGCCAAAATTGTCGATCCTAAACATGCTCTATTGTAGGCGCAGAAGTACATGTAAGAGAAATTTAGTAGTGGAGCAGATATAGCAAGGCTCTTACCATACCCAGCGCTTCGACACGGAGAAACGTCCAAGTATAGTGAGGAATAGGCATTATATTGTTCAGGGTCTCGTCTATATCAAACACTTGACATATCTCCGGTTTCATGGTCTCCGTTTCATATTCGGCGGCTCCATAGTACGTAACTATAAGACATATGAAGTTGTTCACCATGTAATTGAACTATCACATTACGATTTCTATTCGATTAGCACACGATATGAAGTCATTTGCGTGGTTGATCTCCCTCCCTATGGTGGCAGAGGCTGGCGAAGTGCTATGGAGTGGACTATTCAACGCCTCTGCGACCGTTGCCGACTTTGACAAATGCAAGTTCACTCCGTACATAACATATTATTAGCATAATACGATATACTGACCGATAAAGGGTCCTGGTCCAACCAAGTCGGCGCTTGGCAATGGTATATCCATGGCACTGCATCAACAGACGAGTACCTAGGACTTTCGCCAGATCATAAGAGCCCAGCCGATACCAGTGAAGCACAAGGCATCCGAATCACAATTGACGGCACATCCTTTTGGAATGGCCAGACAATGGAAAGATCCGAGCTGATCCCTCAGACGACAACCGATCTGGGCAGTGGGCATTTGTTCTACCATTTCTCATTGATGACCAATGAAACCAATGCGCCAAATCCCAAATTCGAGCACCAGATTGCTTTCTTCGAGGTTTGTAGCCATCGTAACCCGAGATATGAGACACCAGCTAACGGGTATCCACAGAGCCACTTCACCGAGCTGAAATACGGTCTCATGAGCGGTGATTCTGCCAGCTCGGATAGTACCCTGCGCTGGTGCGTGGGCGGCACTTCACACTGGACGACGCAGCTCGAGGCAGGAAACTGGTATAACTTCGCCTATGACATTGACTTCGACGCGCAGACGGTCGGGCTTTGGGCGTCCAATGGGTCTAGCCCCTTGACGCAGGTCGTTTCGGGAGTTAGTGCCTCGGCTTCGACTAACTCGGCGGATTGGCATATCGGCGAATTGCGGCTTGACAATGGGGGATCGGATTCAGCTGCGGAGGACTGGTTCTGGTCCGGCATCTTCGTGGAGAAAGCTCCGATTACGGCGGATGTTGCGGGCCCGAAGTAAACGAAGCGGACCAAACACATCTATGCAAACACTGAAACAAAAATAAGACAAACAGAGCAAACAGTGGACAAAATAAACAAACCAACCCCACAGTATGAGGTCATACAATAACTAACTTGGAAGAGATGGAAATGAAGAGAAGTAAATTGGAAGATTCCATTAGATCATAAGCTATTTCATAATTGTTTTATCGTATATTCGTTTACCGGCAGCAGTAACCACCGTCAATGCGCATATCATTGCCAGTCATGTAGGTGCTGGCATCACTGACAAGGTAGACATAAGCACCCTTCAGCTCCTTGGCGTCACCGTTGCGACCCATGGGGATCATAGACATCCAGAGGTCCTGGATATCCTTAGCAACAAAGTCGGACAGACCAGTGTCAATGTAACCGGGAGAAATGCTGTTCACACGGGCAAAGTCGCGCCACTCGTTGGCGAGCGACCGGGCCATGTGGATGCAGCCGGCCTTGGCGACGTTGTAGGAGGTCTGTTCCTGAGGGTAGTTGGCGATGTGGCCGGACATGGAGGAGGTAATGACGAAGCTGCCAGTACCGCGCTGCTTGAAGTGAGCGCCGACCGCCTTGGCGCAGTGGAAGGTGCCGTTCAGGTCGGTCTGGATGACTTCTTCCCAGTCCTGAACTGAGCCGTCGAGGACGCCTGCGTCCGCGGTCTTACCGGCGTTGGCGATGAAGGCATCGATCTGGCCGAAGTCCTTGATGACTTCCTTGACGAAGTTGTCCACGCTTTCCCAGGTGCTGACGTCGCACTTGTAAGCCTTGACCTTGACACCGTACTCTTCGGCGAGCTCCTTGGCGTTCTTCTCACCACCCTGGGGGCGGGAGGAGTATGTGATAGCGAGGTTGGCGCCCATCTCGGCGCAGCCGCGGGCGGCTTCGATACCCATGCCGCGAGCTCCGGAAGCGCCAGTGACGACGACAACCTTGCCCTTGAGGCTCATGAGGTCGAGGAGATGGTTGGCCTTGGGAACAGCGATAGGCATGATGGCGGGTTGGTTTGAAAGTTTTGGAAGGTGAAGAGAAGAGGTGTAATGTGTAGAGGTTTGAGGTTTGAGAGATTAAAGCTACAGATCTAAGTTGTCCGGTTCATAGCTGGTTTAAATAAGTCGATGCGTCCAATGACTTCATGGGTTGGCTATCCGTTAGCGCTGACATCAGACGCTACTCTGGGTAGCGACCTGCGCCTGGCTCAATCAGGTTGTCTCGCTATAACTTGTTCCCGGCGGACAATACCCAGTAAGAATCAATTGACTTCAAGTTCGACGGTGGAGACGTAGGCGGGACCGTGACATCATGACTTGCAACTGTCATGCTTTCCCGTCAAGCTCACCGAAACTGATATCATATGAGCTCCAGCTTCAATTCAAGATGGTCTCTTCAACAGACTTGGAAGCTGTTGCTCTGTCAAGGAAGAAGAACTGTCCGGGCTGGCAGGCCGGCAGGCCGGCGTTACCCCACCTTCCAATGCCAAGGCCAAGTATACTTCGCACAACTCACCATATGGACGTCGCATGCATCTCGTCTACGCATATCCCTAATCGAGCCATGTCAGACCATGGTAGTTTATCGGAAGGCAGTGCGGACCTGGGAGATCTAGAAAGCCTTTCTTGCACCCAGGAGTGAATGACGAAAACGACAATGGCATCAAAGTCGTTGACTCAGCGATCAATAGAAATCAAAAGCAGTTATTTGACCACTCTGAGGGCATCCGCGAAATTTGAAATTTAATTTGCAGTCGTTTTCTATTGTTTTCTGGTCACGGAAAGTGAAATGGGGGAAATCTTCCCAACGCAGCCCGGGCTAGATGCCCAAGGCCCACCCGTACAGCGATCATCTACTGCGAGTACCTTGCATCATAACAATTTCGACGACTCGTTCCTTTCAAGGTAGAATCTTTGAGTTCTTTAGCGTGCACGTACCGCTAACCCTCACTAGAGTCCGATCGTTTTTCCATAGAGACACTCACATTGGTCATGTCGCCCGTCACCCCCTCCGCGGAAGCCAGGATATCGAGATCCATACCTGGAATGGTCCAGACGACCCAGATAACCCGTAAGCCTGAAGGAATTATCCCAAAGAGAAATACCTAACAGCTCCAGGTTCAATTGGAGCAAGACGTACAAATGGGTTCTAACCTTGACGGTTTGTTTCATGTCAGTTCACTACCCTGCCTGTCAAAGCAAGGCTAACACTTTGCAGTTCCATTTTGACTGGTCTCCCAGCTGGATCATACGGTGCTGGAAATAATTACATGGCCGAGAAGTTTCATGTTCAAAATGAGCCATTTCCCAATCTAGCATGGGCGACGACGTCTTGGAATATGGGTGCTGCCTTCTGGCCATTGATCTTCGTACCATTGACCGAGTCGTCGGGTCGGATGCCTGGCTACTTTGTTGCATACTTCATTCTCGTCGTGTCTCTTTTCCCCTCGGCATTTGCGCAGAACTTTGCTACCCTGGTTGTTACTAGGTTCTTTGGAGGTGGCGCTTCTTCTGTGTCGATTAATATTGTCGGTGGAAGTATCAGTGATGTCTGGTACGGTGATAAAGCTCGAAGCTTGCCGATGTCACTGTTTGGATTCACAAGTGTCGTGGGTATTGCCTTAGGGCCGTTTATTGGTTCTGCTATTCAGGAGATAGACAAGAACGATCCGTGGAGATGGTGAGATCTACCGTCCAAGCCGCTACTTGCACCATGCTGATCTCAATCCAGGATTTTCTATATCCAGATCATCTACAATGCAGCGCTGATCCCAGTCTTCTGGCTGATTCTCCGAGAGACGCGCGCTGATGTGATCTTGAAGAAACGCGCGAAAAAGTTGCGGAAAGAGACCGGTCGCGAGATTTATGCGGAAGCTGATCTCGATACTACGAGTGTGTGGAAGCTGCTCCAAGTATCATTCGAGCGCCCCACGCGAATGCTTTGTACCGAGCCTGTTGTAACTTTCTTCACGTTGTGGGTTAGTTTCGCGTGGGGAATTCTCTTCCTCTTCTTCTCCAGCGTCTCGCAGACATTCAGTGCCAATTATGGCTGGGGCACATTCCAAACTGGTCTCGTTCAGTTGGCTATCTCGGTCGGCGCTGTGATTGGCACGGTTTTTAACCCAATTCAAGACTGGATCTACCTCAATTCAGCGAAGAGGAACCATGAACGTCCTGGCAAGCCAATTCCTGAAGCTCGGTTGTATACCTCTATTCCTGGCAGTCTTTTATTTGCTGCTGGGCTGTTCTGGTATGGTTGGGCCAGTACTGGCAACGGGTCCATTCATTGGATTGTGCCGACGCTCGGAATTGGCTGTACTGGTGTTGGGATCTACTCTATTTACATGGCCGTGGTCAACTATCTGACTGACGCTTATGAGAAGTACGCGGCTTCGGCTTTGTCGGCTGCTTCACTGGGCCGTAATACTTTCGGTGCATTCTTGCCTCTCGCTTCGTTCCAGTTGTTCGATACATTGGGCTATGGTTGGGCTGGTTCTTTGCTTGGGTTTGTTGGAATTGCTCTCTCGGTCGTCCCGGTGGTACTAGTGATCCAAGGCCCAGCTATTCGCCGAAGCAGTCCTTTCATGCGCGAAGCTATGTTCGAGCCCGGCGACGACGAGCTGGAGAAAGATCGGCAGTCGGAGAAGACAGATGTGTGAAATTTCCGATTTGTTATTTTTGTCTCTCTCTGCGATAGACAAAGCAGAGAACGTTTTACCATCTTGTGAACGAGCATGTGGGTACAGACTATTGGAGAAGGGGCATTGGCTGGTGGTTCCTTTCCGCTCATGGCGTTTCAGGAAAGCAGAAGCTGAGATAACGGCAAGACATGATATCCATATCACCGTTCATAACGGCGTTTCATCTCTCACTATTCCCAAAAATCTTTAGCCAATTCTTCGCTCTAGATGTCTCCTCTCATGTTGACACCCTAAATGGCTCTCGCAATACTTCTTCTGTTCCGTCAAAGTTCGAGAATGGTGTCAGGCACAAGCCGGACATCGTACCGCCAAGTTGTCCTCCAAGGGGCGTGGGTGGGAATAGCTTACAGGCTGATAAGTAGTATGAAAAGAGCGCTGCGCATTCGGTGATAATTGTGGCGGCTAGGCACCTGCTAGTCCACCTAATTTATATATATTTTCAGTCTGACTGTTTCCCGGTCGATGTACTACGTGTCGCAACGGGGATTTGACTAGGTGCAGGGGCTAACAACAATAGGGGGACCCTGTGTCTGATCCCTGAAATATTAAGAAATACTCATACTTGACACAAGTATCAAGAGTGCTATGGATTGTACAAGCTTAGATGCTTCAAATGTAAATGTTAAGTTGACTCCCTTGATTTTAATGCATGCTAACGGTGGCACCTCAAAAATCAACTCTTGAGCCACATGTAAAGCAAGCAAATAAGGCTATGTCATAATCCTCCAATAGGATATGATGCATTACTCTGTAGTATTAATTTTGGCACTACACTGCCGCTCCTAACTCGAAACATGAAAATTCAAGTGGATATCGGCGATCAGCCATTTTTAGATTAACATCCGAAGAGAATCGAATCAACTGTTGTTGTACCTGCAGCAAGCATACAGTAGTAGATGAACATACTACAAATGGCGCGAGAATGCATGAAGATGACTCGGGAGATGTTTTTTTCGAACAACACACGTAATCGACACCCTTCAACCACGCAACTTGGGATCAATTAGCAAGTCCACCCAAATTCCATAATGAAACAGAGCAAATGGTCCGCTGAATAAGCCTCCGAACAGACCAAAAAAGTCTGGAGAAAGCCGGGAATGCCCAGGCTGAGGTGGCTCCGGAGAGCGTCCTCCGCTGAATCAGCCACGCGTCGCAATGTCCAGGCAAAGTCGAGACATCCAACGTCGACCCTCAAAGCCCGCCCTAAATGACGGTCTTTCGAATCAAGCAAACATGATTCGTCCTGCTCAGACGATCCTTGCTTAAACTGATTAAACTCGTGGGGCAGAAACACCAAACTCCCGACTTTCTCAAGGAGTTGACGCGGCGCCAAGCAGCTTCTATCCCGGATACGCCCCAGAACTACTGCCAGTCAGGTCTAAGGCATTGGGCAAGTAGAACGCCGGTGCTTTAATCTTCCCACGATGCTGTGTTAGTCTGCCAGATGGACACGCGTCAGGGGACGAAGATGGCAGTGAGAGGAGGGTATAAATCCAGGCTCTCGCTGTGCTGCAATTGAAGAGATATCAATATTATCATCCTGAATACTCTTTCAATCATGGTTCAGCTTTGCAAATTCCTCGCCGTGGCTGCTGCATGCTTGGCTGCCCCCGCCATCGCTCACCCTGGCGAGAAGCATGATCCTCACCACGTGAAGCGTGAGGTTCACGCCCGCGAAGCCATGGCTGCCCATGCCAAGCGCTCTCTTGGTGCTTGCGAGAGCACCCTGCACGCCCGCGAACTGAACAAGCGGAGCATTGCTCGTCGCTCCCACACCGTCCAGAGCCTTCGCAAAAAGCGCGGCATCACTGCCGGTAAATATCATTGAATATGTTTAGTCGAGGATATATGCTTACACATTGCAGCTCCTCAGAAGTGGCGCCGTAACCTTGCTGCTCTCGAGAAGTGGGAGGCTATTGACCATAACCGCACTGGCATTTTGGATTACAGCCCCGCGACTCCTGAGTCGATGGTCTTTGCTGCCAACACCAGCTGCATCCTGTCGCCTACCGTCACTGACGGTCCTTACTATGTCTGGGGTGAGGTTGTGCGCCAGAACGTCAAGGAGGACTTGTACTCCGATGGTGTCGATGTTTTCCTCGAGGTGCAGTACATTGATATCAACACCTGCAAGCCCGTCCAAGGTGCTCTGGTCGACATCTGGCAAGCCAATGCCACGGGTGTCTACAGGTATGATTGATCCCATTTCCAGCTGAAGGAACCCATCTAACAAATACCAGTGGAATCTCCGAGTCAGGCAACTACGCCGCAGACGGGTGGGACTCGACCTACCTGCGCGGTATCCAGCAAACAGACCGTGACGGCGTAGCCACCTTCGAGAGCATCTTCCCGGGCCACTACGACGGCCGCGCAACCCACACCCACCTCCTCACCCACTTGAACGCAACCCTTCTCCCCAACAAGACTCTCGAAGTCGGCACCGGCAGCGTCGCCCACATCGGCCAGCTCTTCTGGAACGAGGTCCTCCGCTCCGCTGTGGAGGATACCTACCCCTACACTGCCAACACTCAGGCTGTCACCACCAACGCTGATGATATGTGGAGCATTGAGCAGGCTGATAGCGCCTACGATCCCTTCCCTGAGTACATCTACCTCGGTGATGATCTCGATGATGGATTATTCGCTTGGATTCAGATTGGTATTAACGCTACTGATGATTACACCGATAACTCTTACTACTCCATTGCCGCTTACCACGATGCTGACGGTGGCCACGAGAACTCTGAAAGCTCCTTCGGTGGTGGTGGTACCGGCGGCGGTGGTGCTCCCAGTGGTTCCATGTCTATGTCCGGTGGCATGCCTACTGCTTCGCCTAGCGCTTCCGCTTGATCTTGGGGCGAAATAGGCAATTTCCTCGATTGTTCTAGGGTTCCGGGTGATTTGGGTTTTCTCCACGGGGATATGACCCGCCCGGATCACCCGTATTCAGTGTACTGTATATAGCAAATAGTGTGAATAAAACCTCGGTTGACTCTATTGGATTTTAACTTTCTGGCCCGTTCTGCAGTCCAAGCACCAATGATCTACGGAGAAGTGCAAGGAATCGTGTCTATGAGTGGCGGCTACATCGTATCAATAGACGCGCACGGTTCGATGTAGGACTCAATCTATGGTTCATAGGGTCACTAGGACCAAAGGAGAAGGTAGTCACCCGATGATGTAATCAGCGGAAGACCACCGAGGACCAAGTTAGGGCAAGGAGGTTTTGGCGTCGAGCTTGAAAAGTCAACTCGCATTAAGTTTGATGAATTTGGGGCTTCACCCGTGCAGAACCCAAAAAAGAGAGTAAGCGACCAAGTTTCGACTCCACAAAACCAGATCCGCAGGCGATAAAACCCGGAGCTTTCCACCTCGCCAATCACTGATCGTCATCGCTTTGACCTTTCCATGGTTCGGTAGACCGCGCCTATCCCGTTCATTTGAAACCCGAGGAAGAATGCAATACTGTACATGTGAGAGGATGTTTGAGGCAAAACAGGAGATGGCATTTCAACATGTATCATACTCAAAACTCAGAACTTACATATCCATATGCAGCCTGTGCTTTAGCCCGAAACATATGCACTTCGACTCCATACATAGCCATAGTCCAGACCGTACAATACGATACCAAAGAATTGGCGATCCATCGAATAGACTCGACCCTATAGATCCTCCCCACTCCCACGGCTCTTGGAACCCCCTGTTGAATAGCTGTGTGATCTGATCTTCAAAACCAATCTTCCTCCTCCCCTTCACCTGCGCATGGCGTTCTCCATGCCTCTGCCCGACTATGGAAGCTTCAACCCTTGATGCAAGCCGCAGCAATGCCATTCTGATTGTGACTTCCGTTTTCTTGGCTATTTCGCTCATCAGCGTTGCGCTCCGCATCTTTGTTCGCACGCGCATTGTTCGTGCCTTTGGGTGGGATGATGGCATTATGGTGCTGGCCATGGTGAGCCCCTCCATCCTTCATTATTCCATTACTATATACTGATCGCATATTTCCAGGGCCTTAACCTCGTCTTCGCCATCTGTGGAATCCTAGGAAGTAAATATGGAATCGGCAGGCAATTGGCCTTTTTCGCGCTTCACCCGGATTACCTCCACCGCGCATTGCTGGTATGACTATATCCCCCACAGGAGATGGATCGCAACTCACATTGGACAGTGCTGGTGGCTCGGCCAAATCTTCTATGTCTTAACCTGCGTCGCCGCAAAGATCTCCATTATCATCGCCCTCCTTCGCATCACCGTCGATCGCATCCACGCCTACGTTCTTTACGCTGCCATGCTACTCGCCACTGCCGTTGGCCTCATTTTCTTCTTCTTCACCATGTTCCAATGCTCGCCCGTCAACTTCTTCTGGAATATTAAGCAGCCCGGGGCGCATGGCACCTGCGTTAATAAAAACACTCTCATCTCTATTGCGTACCTCTACAGTGTTGGCGCGGCGGTCACCGATCTGACGATTGGTCTGTTGCCCGTGGCGTTGATCTGGAACTTGCGCATGAATCGCCGGACCAAGGGCGCAATTGCCGGGATTCTGGGCATTGGTTGCATGTTCGTATCGGCGTTCTCGATTTTTCTTCATTTCGCTAATTTGTTCTAGTGCGAGTGCTGCGGTTATTGTTCGCATTCCGTTCGTTCATCATTACAAGGATGTGGAATTCCTGTGTATGTCCCGGGACCGAATTATTCAATGATTGATCATGACTGACTAACGGAATAGATGCCACTTACCAAATTTCCATCTGGTCCAATGTCGAAGCAGGCCTCGGCATCACAGCGGGTTGCCTCACTACCCTCAGACCTCTTGTCCGCTTTCTCCGCGACGGCTCCTCAAGCCACAGCCGAACACCTCGGTCCTTTCCCCTTTCCAGTAATGTCGCCGGTTTCCATCGCTCGTCACGCTCGCATTCGAAATTGACTTCGCACCATGACGCGAATCAGTTGTGGACTGGGACGGAAACTGAAGACCATGGCGTGACTACGACCATCATGGGCACGAGGCGGGTCAAAGCGCCCAGCAGTAGCGAAGAAGATCTAAATCCTTCGCCGTGGAAGGTCGAGAGATCTGTTAGAGTGTCTGTGCGCGATTCATGATCGTTAATCCTTTTATGTATAATTACGAAATATGATGTTCATAATAATATTCGGTACAAGTGTCTCAACAAAACTCAGGGGGATCATCGAGTGGGGGATATGCCGGCAAAGAATCAGGTTTAACCCTACAAATACAAAGTGCGAAACCTCATATTTGGGACTTTTGTAGAGAAACGGTCACTTGATCATCAATCCATGTGCAATAATCACTTCAATGCCAATACTAGGCAACGCAATACTAGGAACTAACGAAGTCTCACCATACTAGTTCAGCCTTGTCGTACCATACAAGCCGATCTAGCGTCGCCTGGAATTGCCGATTAACCGCGCTACAAAGTCCTACTTTCGAGACAACAGTCTTACAGAGCAGCCCATTGGAAAATTAAATCGCGATCTAATCATCTTAGAGCCGCAAATCCCCCCCAACGTTCCGATCCTTCCTACGCTATTCCAAAAGTGGAAATAGTAAGTACTAACCGGTATTTTGCTCGGCAGAGCCATATGAAACGAGCTAATCAACCCATTAATGCAGCGCCAGTCTCGCCATCGTTTCATTGTTGTTCATTTCATTACATTTCATTCCATTCCGCTCGTACAAGACCCTCCTGCGACGACGACGCTCCAGCCGCATAAGCGTCAACCTTTGTTGTCGCAAATTTGCGCGCGGGGACCTTGGTCGCGAAGAGGATGTCCAGCTCGGCGTAGGTCCGGTCTTTTGGTTCGGGGAGTCGGAAGAAGGCCTATACCAATGCACATAGCGCTGTTGCGCCCCAGAAGAATCCAGTTTTGCCGGATGCGTTTCCAGGCGGTCGGGTTCATGAAATATGGCTCCAGGACTTGGGAGACTACGTCGATGATTTGGTAGGCTGTTCGTGCTAGGTAGACTGTCAGGGGGCGCAGGCGGACGGATGACATCTCGGACACGCCGGCGTAGGTGATTGGACCGACGGTTAGAGAATAGGTGAACAGCCAGAGGAAGCAGAGGGCTGCTTGGGCGCACATTGCACCGCTGGTGTCTGATGCGGCGTTGAGGATGCCGATCAAGAACAGGATTGTGCAGAGGATGCCCTGCTCAGATGTACAGGGTTCGTCGTCCAAACCAGGAGATCAGCCACCACGACAGGAAGGTCCCGACAAAGGCGACGCCTGTGCAGCCGACGCCCAGTTGGAAGGAACGGCTGGTGTCCATACCGGCTTGAGTGAAGAAATACGTGGGCGTGTAGGCGAATATGCTGCCGGAGAGAATCTGTCCGACAGAGGCGAGGCAGTAGATCTCTGTTCGTCGCAGGTCAACGCCCTTGAAGCAGTCTGCGTAGGAGGTTCCGGCCTCGATTTCGGCTTCGATCTTGATGGTGTGCACCATCATCGCTAGTTGACCGTTGATCTGGTCTTCGGTCTTGCTACCGCCCAGTCGGCGGATACTGCGCTTGGCATCTTCTTCGAATCGTTCTTGACGAACGAGCCACCAGGGGTTCTCAGATGCAAGCCAGCAGATGGCTATGAGCGGAACAGGCCAGATCCATTGCAGGGCGAAGGGGATTCGGTAGGACCACTGGTCGGTTCGGCCGACGAGTCCGTATAGCACATCCGAGGCGATGAGCTGACCGATGACCCAGCACATGTTCACATAGATGGTGAGGTATCCGCGCAGGTTGGTTGGACATATTTCGGATGCGTACGCCGGTCCAATGGTCGCGAATACACCCCAGGACAATCAACAGAGGACCTGTCCGGACCAGGAGAACTGCTGTGGAGTTGGCGGAGACGGTGATGAAGATGAATGCCGTGAGGAAGAACAGAGCAACCACCATTACGATCCGGTAGCCGTACCGGGATGCACACCATCCGTTGAGAAGACCACCTGTGCACGTCAGTCTTGTCGCTGGCTGAAGAGCAGGATACTAACCAAAGATACAGCCAACAGTACTCGCCATGCTCAGACCAGTCTGCCAAGGCGCAGAAACCTGCCATCCAATATCACCACCATAGTTCTGTCCAAACTTCTTCTGGAATTCGGGGTAGGCCAAGAAGTTACCCATCAGGATGGTATCATATCCCTCCATGATGATGGACATGGAGATAAGAACTGACCAGACTGAAAATGAAGCTATTCCCTTCGTGAAACGGGAGAACTGCCGAAAGTCAATTTAGTGGCATCAGATGTGAGATTCAGTCTCTCCATCTTTAGCGATCAACCTCGACAATGGTTTCGTTGACACTCTAGTATCTCAAGATCTGCTTTGTAGAACTGTGCGAGTGTGGGAGTGTTTGATGATTTGCGCTCTGCATATAGACGCTCGTTGTCGCGTCCTAGGAAGCTGCTCGATGACTTCTCCTGTGGTCTCAGCATGACTGTTGTAGAACATTATGCGCCGTAAAAATTGCACGAAACCGAGGTGGATGCCGATCGGCGAGGATAGAGTGGAAAGGTTGTTGCGGCTCGGACTGGGATCTGTGCATGAGTCTGCTGTACGTATCCCTGTGGGCTAGTCTTCTCGCAGCTAGTCAATCTTTTGTAGCTAGCATAGTTCTTATGAGATGAGTCTGTGCTTAGTCGCAAAGTCGAGGAAGAGGTCCGATTGGTGATAGCGGCTACCTTGCAGAGAAATGTAGATGTTAGCGTGGGCTAAGAGAGACGTAGATCCAACGTGATGGAAGTACTTCACCTAGTGAGTCATACGCCTAAGCAGATTGTTCTGCCCGGGTTTGAGGTATTCTGTTTCAAGGAATTGTGGACAACATATTCAAAGAGAAAGAGCACGAAGCGTCGTTCGTGATGCATTGGGGTATAAGAGATAGAACAACCAGATCAAAAAAAAGGGAAAGGAAATCAATAATATACAAGGCGGCAGCCACCAAGCTCAGCTCCCGTCAATCCTCATAAAAGCCTTCGATTCCTGCGCGTTCATCACCATGTCGGGGATCACAAGCCTGGGGATCCAATACGGCTTGTAATCAACAAAGCTGACATCCGGCCCAGACGAATGAATAAACCACTGGGTCTGACCGTTTGAGCCAAGGAATATTCCCTCAGCTCGTGCACCTTGCACCGAGTGTCGGTAAAATTGCACTGGTTCGAATTCCCGACCCCAGACGAGACGACCCGTTGCTGGGTGGTGGTTGATGCCGACAGGGTGCCAGGCAAGATCGCCTGAGCCGTAGGGGATGTGAGCTTCGATTTGATTTATTCCTTCGTTGCCGTTGCAGCGTAGTTGAGTTTTGATATTTTCTTTTTGGCTTGTTATGGTGATCTATGAGACTATTAGTTGTTGATCCTGTGGTGGTGATTGTTTGAGATGAGGAAGGGAACTTACCAGGCCGTTGAGGAAGCCTTCATCACCAAATTGGCGTGTTGTATCAGCGCTAGTGGAAAATCGTTCGATGCTGCAGTGCGACGAGGTGCCATTACGGCATCCATCAACGTTGATCGTCCACGGGCCGGCGATCCTCGCTTTCGGATTGTAATTTGGGAGCTCGGAGCAGTCCTTGACAGGTTCGACAGTCAGACTTTGTGCCAGCGGCTGTGCACCAGCAAGGAGGAAGAGAGAGAACAGAGTCGCTGTAAGCATGACGGTTGTGTTGTGTTGTTTTGTGTTGTGAATGGGAGGGAAGAAAAATCCAATAGGAGAATGTCACTATTATAGACACGTCTCGCGCCACAAATCGGACTTATTTTTTCTGGCCCCAAATTCCCTCAAAAAACTCAACTATACTCAGATCCATTTCAGGCTGCAACGATCCAAACAAGCCCTCGGGACCCTGATCGGCCGAGGGTGCTAGTCTCCGCCAAGGGCCGGAACTATACAAATGAGGGACGGGCATTGGTCGAGATGGGTCGAACCTGAGCTGTTCTTCTTCCAATTGAGACATTTAACAGGCTATGCTTCCCCACGTTAGACTCTTTCGGCCCGTTTGTCAAGGTTTGCACTCTGCCTATTCCCATGAATATGTCAGAAAGAGTCTTGGAAGCCCCAAGGCTCGTCATTATTGGGAGCCATGAGCCATGTCGGATTTCGGGCCATTTTAGGGTCCTTGAAAGGGGCTGAGTCGGACCCTGGACCCTGAACAAAGCCCTGTGACCCTTGAGAAAATTGGCAAATGCTGCTATAGACTCCACTTCTACTTTCAGCCCCCGTTGGCGAAGGAATTAGCCAATCATATACATTTCGGTCGTAAAAATAGCGGTTAACAAGGCTAAGTCAAGGCTTGGTCTTAGTCTAAGTTAGTTCGTTTCATTCCTTAGCAGACCTTCTGCCTCCTCTTCCTGCCCATGTGACTTCAAGGTCTCAGCCATAGCCAAACCTTCATTGCGGCCTTTGTCTGCATTTACCATCCACACTAGTGGAATTGGCATAAGAATCAGAATGGCAATGACAAAAAAGCCGCTGCGGACTTGACCGGTCGCATCCACCAATACACCCACAATCGCCGGTCCAATAAAGGAGCTCCCTTTGTCGGTCGCGGCATACAGGGCGTAAAATGCAGCCTCGTTCCCGGGAGGAATGAGGAGTCCAAAGAAAGACCGACAGTAAGAGGCCAGCCCGCCCCCAACAACTCCGTGTACAACCGCGAGGGGAAAAATCTCCCACGGCTGTTGTAACCCAATCACGCCCCATCTCTGAACGAAGGGAATGTAAGCAAGCAAGCCGTACAAAGGAATCAATTCGAATAGCGCAATGCACAGGATGATCGTGTGATTCGATTGCAGTCCAAAGTATCGCGACACGTGGGGCCACAGAAATGCGCCCGCCATCCCCGACAGGGTGGCGGTGATGGACAAGAGTCCGACTAATGGCGTGCTCAAGTGCAGTTCGGTGCGCGCAAACAGGATCGCTGTTCCAGAGACGGTGGCCAGCGCGTCCGAGATCAAAAACCACGCTACCAGGAACAGAAGTACTTCACGCAGCTTGACAGCTACTTTGACCGTTTGCCACAGGGACTTCCACGCGAATCCGACCAGTCCCATCCATGCCCGCCATTTGCCCCCAGATGTAGAGACATCCAAGGGTGGCCCTGGGCGAGCGCGTAGCAAATGACGAGACACAAAGGTGAATGCGGCCCACCAAATGCCGACTAGCAGCAAAACGAAGCGCATTGGAAGTGTTGCCGATACCTTGGCAAGCGAGGTCTTGGATAGTGTGATGAGCATCACGATACTGATTATTTGCACGAATACCGCCGCACAATATCCGAGACCAACTCCTTTGGATGAGATCTTGGTAGACAATTGTAGCTCTGGCGAGGATGAGGATGGGGCCTTGTGCGCGCCATCTTCCGGCGAGCCTTGCGCTTGGGCGTTTAAAGGATCTAGGTCATCCAAGCTATCATTGTCACCCCACGCGTTCCAATCCGAGTTCTCTTCGCGGTCGAAACTAGAAAGTTCGGCGCCTTCGTTGGCCTTACTGTCCTGGAGTGAATGGTCGTTCGCGACAAGCACCGGAAGAAAAGAGTTGAGCACGACAAACGAGGAGCCGAGACAGGTCACGCCGACGACGACCAGTATCGCACCGAGAATATATACGGGCGGCGCGATGAACACAAATAGCATGCTGGCGATCGATCCGGCGAATCCGAAAACCATCAACAATGTCTTGCGGTTATTTTCTGTTCCGAATGGTGATTAGCTCTCATGTCCACTGCCTGTATACATTTTGGATATTCAGTTCCATCATACCATAATCCGCCAGAGCACTGAACGATATCAAGGTCAATGCCTGGATGAGCACCGCCAAAGAGAACGTATACATGGCAAAACTGGCCGTATTGATTTCAAGGCCCAAAATGGGCACTACACACTGGCCGCCCGCGGCATCCTGCGTGCTATTCCCAGACGATGCTCCAGCACAGGATTCGCGACTCGTCTGTAGGACACCGCGTTCGCGGGCTAGCTGTTCGAGGGTGAGGGGTAGGAATGATCCTAGTGATAATCAGTAATTTGTTTATAGATTTCTAAAAGAAGTTTCCACGAACCTACGCCACACACGGCGAACACCTCAGCCGCAATTCCATACGAGTACCACCCAAGGATCTCCCGTCGGCTCGTGGCTGTTGTATCCTCGCCGGCATACCGCGGGGGCCGCTGTTGTACCCCTTCGGAGGCTGGAGATCTAAAGGCGGCAAAGACAGAGGACAGCATGGAGAGAGGTACGGTCTAAAAGAGGCTCCCCATGAGAAAAAAGGTACGGAACGGATGCGGGCGGAAGATGTATAGCCCTTGATGACGTCAGAGATCGGCAGGAGCTCGACTCTTTTCGTGCATAGTAGAAGTATAGCAGTATACAAAGGTGTCTTTTCTATCTTTTGGCTTGACAAGTGCTTCATTTATACTGTTTAATTGTCTTCGGGTACCGTCCGATATGTTTCGTAGGTCCGCTCATTCCAATAGTCCGACCTGCTAATACGTCAATCTGCGGTCACCAAGCCTTACGACATAAAATGAGTGCCAAAACATTTGAAAGTCCATCCAAGTCACTCCCTTGATATGCCATTCTCCGTCTTCCTTATAGGCCCCGGCTTCATCGGCGGAGAACTTCTCGACCATCTCCTCGAAGAGGGCTATGCAGTCACCGCTCTCGTCCGTCGCCATTATGCTGTAGCTGAATTCACCAGGTTAGGCGTCAAGGCCGTGATTGGAACCCTCGATGAAGGGCGCTTGATCAGGGGCCAAGTTGCTGCTAGTGATATTGTCTTCCATGCCGCAACATCAGACCACTTGTTGTCCGTCCAATCAGTTCTTGAAGGCATTAGGACGAGGGCTGAGCAAGAGCTGATGACCTACTACATCCATACCAGTGGCGCCTCACTTTTGGCGGATGACGCTGCGGGACGATATTTGGACAATATTGTCTTTGACGATGAAAGGCCTTCTCAGATTGATACCTTGAGGATGGATGCACCACATCGGCAAATCGACCTGGAGATTGTTCGGTCGCGTCAGGCGCTGTCAAAGTTTGCTAAGATCGCAGTTCTGATGCCTCCCGTTATCTATGGTGTGAGCACTCGTGAGAAACGCTTGTCGATTCAACTACCCACGCTCATTCGATACTCTTTGAAACATGGATACGCAGGCCAGGTCGGAGGCGGCCTTTCAGTCTGGGGATATATCCATGTGAAGGATCTGGCGAGAGGGTATATGACATTGTTGCACTGGATGGAACATTCCTCTACCGATGAGGTCCTAGAGAATCCATACTTCTTCTGTGAGAATGGCGAAGAGCTATCCTGGGGAAACTGCGCAGCCGAGATCGGTCGGCTGTTATCCATAAAAGGACGGATCAAAGACCCCGAGCCTCAGACTGTGCCATCCGAAAACTACAATGATCTCTTTGGAAAATTAACTGTTGCAGTCGCGGGGTCAAATGCCCGGAATCGCGCGAATCGGCTTCGGAAATTGGGCTGGCGACCTTTGGAGAAAAACGCATTCACGTCGTTGGCTGAAGATGAGATCCCTTTGATTTTGGAAGAGCCTGGGGAGTTACATGACTATGGGTCAGATTTACCCCATCATTGTATAGAAAAAGAGGTTGGCTAGCAAAGAGTGGGCTCTATATCTCACTCGGATGTCTCGGCCACCAATCATGTTCTTCTGAGTGGGTCGTTGCCGAAATATCAGTCTACCAGAACAAGAGATTCGGTTGCGGTGCAAAGGAACGAAGCGCCAAGACATAGTGAATGGAACAAGGGATGAGGTTTTGCAAAGTCATCACCTTTAACACCACGCTCGCGTTGAAACATAGACGCCGACACAGAGTAGACTTGGAACAGGGCATTGCGATCGACACACCCGAAGCCACAAAATCAACCACTGGAAGGAACAAAGCTCCCACATACATGCTTCTATGACATTATATACCAGTCTTCCCTGAACAAAGAACAGGGAATAGCGAACATTAGTGAAATAAACTCCTGCTAGAATTTGGCTAAGAACGGGCTGTACCCCGTGGGTATAATCGGCACAGGTCATTTGCCAAGGGTACAGTTACCCGCATCGAACGTGTTGATATTCACTGTGAACTTGTGGAATTTGGTGGTCTCAACCACTGACAAAGTCAGTTTGTGATTGGGTTGGCTACCAATTCCGTCTGTCGCAGAGCTCCGCAGACAAGAATTGATATGAGGGGATGGAAAACGAAGACGGCGCCACCATATGAGCCAATCAGATAGTGTTATTTTGTGTGGCAAACCGGTCCCGAAGTACTCTGTATCCAGTTGGTATTTTGGTCCATGATGTAACCGACCTTGGAGCTCTCGGTCTATGATATAAATTGGGAATCGCACAATGGTCCATTTAATAGAATATTAATATATGCACTATACTCACACATCATGGCTACATTCATAAAAAGCGAGATCATGGGTACAAACCTGGAAACTACGAATCGATACTCGAACCTAGAAGCTCGAGGATTTGGCGCTTCTGGTGTTATCTGGTACCTACCAACCATTTGTATAGTCGCACTGAGTAGCTGCTGACGTCCACAAGCTCAGCAAAAGACTGCATTCATAACAAAACGGTCGCCATTAAAAAAATAACCAAGCCCTTTGCTTCCACTGCAGTGGCTAGGCGCACATATCGTGAGGTTCACTTGGCCAGCAACCTACGACATGATAACGTATGTCAAAATCGCTAGCTACATGGTGTCTCAGTGGAGAAAGCTAACGCGAACCAGTTGATCAATCTGCGCGATATCTTCATCTCACCATCTGAAGATGTGTAAGACTTGAATTGCCTGATTCTACCTTGAGCGCCGTGCTGACAACATATAACACAGTTATCTTGTGATGGATTGTGTAATGACAGATCTACACCAACTCATTCAATCAGCACAAAAGCCACTGGAAGGCCAGTTCATACAATTCTTCACGTATCAGATGCTGGTATGTCCACGCTTACTGACCCGAGTCAAAAATTGAATTACTGACCAATCCAGCGAGGATTAAAATACATTCATTCTGCTGGTGTGATTCATCGTGATCTCAAACCAAGCAACCTTCTAGTCAACGACAATTGTGACTTGAAGATTTGCGACTTTGGATTGGCTCGAGAACAAGACCATCAGATGACTGGTTATGTCACCACCCGGTACTACCGGGCACCAGAGATCATGTTGACCTGGAAGAAGTATAACTACGCAGTTGACATCTGGAGTGTTGGCTGTATCCTGGCAGAGATGCTTCTCGGTCGGGTTCTCTTCCCCGGAAACGACCATGTACATCAATTCACTCTGATTACTGAGCTGTTGGGTAAACCTCCTAAGGAAGTTATGGAGAGAGTTTACAGCAAGACTGTATGCATTCCACCCAAGACTGAGATGGAAAGGCACTGACAGAGACATTAAGACACTTCAATTTGTTCAGTCTCTACCAGAGATACAACGCCGCCCACTGAAGTCCATTCTTGCAGGTGTGGACCCTCAAGGTATGTTTTTGACTATAAATTGCCTAAGTTCCACAGATAATGACGTGAATAGCCGTTGATCTCTTGGAGAAAATGCTCGACATTGATCCGGAAAAGAGAATCACGACGACAGAAGCCCTCACTCACCCGTATATCTCAACTTACGCGGATCCGGAAGATGAACCTACTTTCGATAAGCAACTGGATTGGTCCCTTCTCGACTCGGAGCTGTCTTCAGAAGAGTGGAAAACCAAGATGTAAGCCCAATCACTGAATATGATCAAAGATTGTACTGACTATGTCAAGGTACTTTGAGGTTTTGGATTACCACCGTGGTGCTTGCGATGGACAAGATGATGTTCACATGGCTCAAGAGCAAAAGACAGATGACTGGCTTCGTAGGGAGATGGTGGCTGAAACGTACTAATGATTTTCCCGAAAGTCAGTCCCTGCGCACTATGCAGTAAACACCTCTGCAGGACTTTTAGTGATGAACCACTGAACCCGGACGTCTTAAGTTTGACATGTGTAAAATATTTTATTTTGTGATTACCAGCGATCTAGCGATGAGACAATCTTCTCGAACGAAGCCATGAATTTAAAGTGATGAGCCTTTATACCTTTCATTAATATTTTGTGTTGTAGACCCTTCTCATACCGGCGTGAGGTTTTGGTGAGACCGGGACCGGGGTTACGGGGTGAGAATATCGCAAACCCTATCGAGAGACTTGAGCTTGAACAAGATGTGAGGGACAATTTTGGGACAAGAGGAAGTCGAACGGGTTACAAACATCTTGGAAATATCTCAAGGCAGCTGAATGATACCCAAAACAGACCCAATGACTCTTGAAAAGTGCACATCCCGATTCCGGGCTGCTCCAGGGTCACTTCCCAATTGGGCCGGGTTTCAGATGAACTCCAGCTTTTCTGCTCTTTCAGACTTCTCTTTATTAATATTCAGAAGACTTGCATTCTCGCGCGCGGTCAAGTGCATCTGCCATGGGTATCTTGCATTACTTCGAGTTCATCGTCGGCCGGCTGTTCTACGCCTGTCGCGGCCATGATGCCTACCAAATCATACGCACACCAGCTTTTAAAGAATTTCCCGAGCCAAACATGACTCTCGAATCTCCTGAATGCGGCCCCTCTGGATCTAAACTTCCTCTTCATTGCTCTTGTCTGGCGGACGACGGTAGAGGATATCTCCCAGAATTGCGGTGGACTCCGCCGAACTGCCGCGAGCCAGTCGAGGAGTATGTTTTGATCTGTGAGGATGTCGATGCACCAACCCCATTTTTCGTCTTTCACCACGGACTCATATGGGAAATTCCTTCCTCAACTCTTTCAGCCAGCAAGGAAGACGTCGAACCAGATGAGCACGCCAAGATCTCCCGCCAGACCACTGCCGGTTGGCGATTTGTTCCAAACATGCTGGGAACACCCTATGCCGGTGCCGGCGCACCTTTGGGTCACGGATCGCACCGCTACGTCTTCACGATCGTCGCTCTTAATTCGTCGCTGAAGCTCAAGTATCCCGAAGAAACCAGTAAGAAGGATATGAAACGAGCTATGGAAGGCAAGGTAATTGGCTGGGGACAGTGGACCGGAGTCTTTGCGAAGCCTTGGCCTAAATAGCGCTTCCCCAGCAGGATTTACCTACATGTCACTACTATGAGGTCGAGTGGAAACAAGTGGCGCAGTATGAAAGATGAAACGGGGCGAGGTGCACGGGTATATTTTTTGTTTCTATTCCTCATCTTTTCATCCAGAGCGTTGTGCAAGTTCTAATATGGAACCCACTCAGGGTCCGATGACAATTCATGACTTTGTGCGGCCTTTCTAACCATTTTACCCACACTTCTAACACTCGATATTGGGTTGTTTATATTATTCTAGGTTGTGTTCGGAGACAATCAGTCCAGTTCGAGATAATCGCCAACTTGCCTCACCTGCCGCCAGGGATGTGAATCATGAATCTTGCCTGGGAGGCCTGCCTGATGGTGCATTGACACATATTCAATGAACCAATGCGTAAATTCACGTAACCCACGATCGATCACGAGATATATGTTGACAACCCTAGATATTAAGAACTAAACTAGTCTGTCCAGTTCCTCTCATACTGTGACCAGAGCGATATTGACTAACCTAAGGGCTGGATCGGTGAACTCCTGTCTTACCAGAGTTTCCTAGACTTAACATGAAATTGACTGGGACGTAGTTCTGTGACGTCCCCATGAGGAAGGGTGGGAATTGGGATCCTTGCTCAGGTTCTTCAACCCCGGTTCAGGGACAGTCACCACACATCACCTAGCTGTAAGATGATGTGATATTGTTTGTTATCTACAGTACACCGACCAGCCACACAGGGTTTTCAGCGAATGGTGGATCTAGATAACATTTGAAATGCCACTCAAAGACAGTGTCCGACAGTCAATGGCCAGTGCATTCACACGGACAATTGACAGGCAAACTACGTACGCTGAAAGTCTAGTAGATTTTGGATGGATAATTATAAAGTGCCGTAGCGTGCATATCTCGCATAAGCGGCCAAGGAACACAGTCTATTCAAGCTGGATGCGCTTGAATGAGTCGCGCCGAACATAATTTAAGCCACTCAGAAAGCTTGCCCGGGTTCTCCTAGGTGTGAGATATTCACCAGCATAACGAATGCGATACATAGCACTGTAGCCAATCAAACATGAGATGTCAAGGGATGCGAAGCAGATTGGCAGGATTGAGGTCAATTACAAGTAGAAATTTGCTTTGGGTCGAGCAGCGAAGAAATGCTTAGGCGTGGTGGCTCAGTCAGCGTCTCTTGGGCCATTCTTTGCATCGAATCTCCTTGTGAATTATTCTATACCCTTAGTGCTCGGCTTCCTCGCACGTAATAGGATCTTCTCGGATAGCCCTGGCACGATCGATTATTTCGAGAAGTAGCTCGTGTGCTCTGAACAACCGCATGGTCTATTCTTTAATAACCTGGACCGTCCGTAGTATAGCCTAGCTATCGGTGCTGTCTAGCCCAATTTTAGTTCACGAAGCTTGCCTCTATGCTGCTATCCATGAAGATCTTGACACCACGCAGAGTCTCAGGGGCTAGTTAGATAAGCGAAGTAGAAGCCTCAGCTGACGTGGAGTACAATATGGTTCTATTGTAGAAGGGACTAACTAGGGTCAAGACTAAAACACAAACGGGCCCTACTTAGGGCGGTGAAGGTGCAGTACTATACTGCTGTGGTTCCTGAGGCATGCACTCATGCCTCAGGCCGAATTTTCCCTGGATGGTCCCATCCCAGTTCTGGTCTGCCTGTATACATTCATGTCGTATATTCTTTTAGATATTAAGATTGGATATCACCATACATCCTCCGTCGAGAAGAACATTAGAATTGCGCGATGACGTCATGAGGCCCAGATGTTTATCACGTGATATCGCCCAACTGATGATCGGCTTCAGCCCGACCCCGCTCCTCTTGTCGATTCATACTTGGTCACTATTTATTTTCAAAGGCTTTGATTAAATCTTTTACCATGGGTATCTTCGGCCACCACGATCTCGAACCTGTTGCCGAGCCTATCGCTATATTCGAACAATTTGTTGCGAAGGAGCCGCAGGCAATAGTCCTAAAAGAAAAGGTGCTCTCCGTCTCTGGGGATAGCTTCGAAATTAAATTGGCCAATGGCCAGCCATTTTTGAAAGTGGACGGAGCCTGGATATCCCTTTCCGGTCGCAAGAAGGTCGAGGATGCATCTGGAAAGCACCTTTTTGATATTGTTAAGGAGCTTCTACATATTCATACAACCTATGCAATCGAAGATACACATGGCAAGAAGGTTTGCGAGGTTAAGAGCAATCTCAGATGTAAGCACCATATTTTATGATTCAAGACCATTCAGCAAAGCAGACTTCGTATGTTTTGTTTTACAAATTACTAACTACAATAGTGCTCGGCTCCAAAGCCACCGCCAGTTTCACTGATAGCCATGGCAAGATTAGGGTTCTCAAAATGAAAGGAGGCTGGTTTGATCATACTGCCGATATTGTCGACGATAAAAGCGGCCAAACAGTAGCTCGCATTGACCGGAAACTGCTCAGCGGTCGCGACCTTATGTTTGGCCAGCAGACCTACGCCGTTGTTGTGGCACCTGGTGTGGACGCCGCACTGATTGCGGCGTTATGTATTTGCTTTGATGAGAAGAATAATGATGAAAGTGGCGAATAGTGATAATGGCATCTACCACAACAGATATTGTTCACTGACTGTCATTTCCCTGAATCCTGAATCAAAAGGCTGAGCTACCTGGTTGCAAAAAAATCCATTGTCCTGATCCAATTAGGCTGTTGTTAAAAGTCTTCATGGGTTGAATAATCCGGAAACAATGGCGCAAATTACTCCACAATTTTGATCTCAATAGGCTTTATCCAAACAGAGATTGCTGCGTTGTTTTTTATCAAGAAGTGGCAATCTACGTCTTTAAGTTATGACATCCGTTGATGGCGGTTCTTTCACCTCGGGGATCGAGTCAAAGCCTTGGATGGTGGTCATCTTATTGCACTGTATATATTTCTTCACGATGCTAAAACAAGCACATATAACTGACTAATATAGCCCTTATTTAGCTCTTTTGTCCAAAATCCCCAAGTACATAAATAGCTTTACTGTGTGAGATACTGCTTCTTGTAATTTTCATTTGATCCTTGGTCCCATAGTCAACCCGTAGAAGATCAATAGACTTAGCCCAGAGTACGCATGCTAGCTTGCTTCGTAACAAAGATTACGCTGTATCAATCCCACCAGTGTAGTAAAAAAATACATAGCTCGCCCGATTACGTATCTGGCTACTTTGCTTGGGGTTCCATTTGGCTTATATATTTCCTTTACTCCGTCTACGGGTACAGTTGATTTCGAAAGCAGCTTCTCCTCAATACCCTCATTTCTCGGCTCGTACCCGAGACCACACTAATCCAGTTCATTTATTCGGACTTGAATGAATATCAATAATATGCAAGATAACCTCGTTGACTGTGTAGCCCTCCAGCATATCTTCAAAGAACATGTCTGATATAAACACTCCAATAAGCGCTGCATGCGTGAATTTTTAGCCTCTTGGAGGTCAAAGCAACATTGACGGCCACTGTAAATTCTATTCACACTTACGATTGACGCATCCAATCCCTCTGCCAGTCGGATATTCAGAATACTCTTGGGCGAAACGCAATGATAGGTGCCGGAAATTCGCTGTCCCGCAAAACTATGGATTTCCGTATTCTCCTGAATATGGGCCACTTTTGATCGCTAGCCATCACGTAAAACGTAAACAGGGCCGTTGTTCGAATAGCCTTCATATTCCCATCCAAAATCTGAGCTCAGTTTGCCACAGCGATCGAATTTGTATAATATCAAGGATTATTCTCCTCGAAGGGCCTTGCGTATGTATCGATGCCAGAATATTTTCATTGTCACCAGGTAGTCGAATTTTCCACAGCTTTATGAAAAAGCCCAGCCCGGCGAAGTTCGTGAATGGTTGCTCTTGTACCATTCTTACCAGTCAGAGCTTTCTTTGCGAGTCCCGTGGTGATGATACCTTGCCCAGTACAACTCAAATCGATGTTGAGTATCCTATCAGGCTATCAGGTCGGATGTTGACTCACGCCCAAGACATTGTTTCGCACAATCGGTGTCTACTTACGGTCTCTCCGATCAATTTGACACCCGGAAAGTTTTGGTTTGTTCGCATTGATAAACTTCACGAAAGAAATGAACCGCAGTCTTATAGTCTGCTAATCTCATGATCAGGTTCCCATGACAAGTTGCCGCAGTTTCAATGACTGGTGAGGTTTCAAGTCGTGTCTGCTTCCAGTGCCAATAGTTCACTACGCTACGCTAATACTATTGTTTACATCAGATATTGGCAACCCGGGTGTACTCCTACTCGAAAGATGTCTTTGGATAATTTTTGAAGTGTTGGAAATCAAACGCTCAGCAATTTATACAGCCCTCAGCCCAGCCATTGATCACTCAATCGACTGAATAATCAATCGCAGTCGCCGGTCTGTCTCATCGGCCAAGGCCAACTGCCCATCAGAAGGGGAGGCAGAAAGCAAGACTTTATAAATCTGACGAACAACAAATGACAAGTTAGACAGACATGCCCGTGACTGGCTGAGGTCCACCACTTCCCCTCGAGCCGAGCGAACTTCTCCATCCACATCGACACTGGCCGATGTCGCCGTCATCTCCAATATGGGCAGCACCGTGTCGATTGCCATGACTATGAGTATGAAGACATTAGCCCGGGATTTGGACACGCTGCAGAAGGGACATTCGAGTATTCTCTCTGCCTGATGCTGCACCCTTCCCAGGTGAAACAGCATCCTCCGGGTACTCTTTGACTCCACTGCTCGAACAACTTCGCTAGATGCCAGTTCGTGGCAATCACAGCGAAGGGAGGAGGCTCCTTCGGAAAGTGACTCTGTATCGCTCTCTCCTGACGAAAGAGACTGATCCATGCTGCAAGTGTCCATAGGGCCCGAGAAAAAGTTGCTGGGGGGCATCCCAGGAACTCTCCATGGATCCTGCATTGGATAGAAGGCCTCATCTTCGTTCGCAATGGGAGTACCGGGGGTGCATAATAGAGCTGGAAAGTATGCCCTGCTCTCAGTCATCGGTGCAGCTATATTGGCAAAGGCCAATCCTCTATCCACAATATGAATAGTGAGAGATGAGTCCGCCATATGGCCAAGTGCGGGAAGGCCCTGGTTCTGTATTGGAAAGCGAGTCCACGGAATGCACAACGGTTTAAATCCTGACTGGAAGGTGGGATTCTTTGGAATGGACCTATTCTCGAAGGTCAAATTGTGGAATAACCCTGAATAGTCAACCGGTCCTGCTCCCCGGGCGATAGCGCACTCCTGCTCCAGGATCCAGTCCCCGATAGGATCACCAGTCTCTACAAGAGAAGTTATTGTCGGTCTATTTATATTCCAGGTCTCAGTCTATACTTACCAAAGAATCCAACTGCCGTAACATCTGTACAACCAGGCACCTTCAAGTCACCAACCTCGGATGTGACCTCCTCGACACTCGAGTCGCTCCTGTGCGACGAAACCGAGTCTCTGCTTACTCTTAGACTCGGTTGTAGCCGCCTTCTCGATTCCCTCGTATCTTTTTCCTGCCGAACCACGCGATTAGCAGAGCATGACCGAAGGCCTCTCATCTGCTCGCCTGAGACCGGCCGAGAACGCTTGACTTTGTTCTTTGCAGGCCTTCCCAATGGCAATGACATGGAGTATATGCACACGAGACCATGCTTTTCACATCGTGCACACCTGGGACGTTGATGTCCGCAGCCTATCTTGGCTGCTTGACAGGCGTTGCAGGTTTCGCGCATCTTCCGACTCGGCTCCTCATCGATGGCTTGGGAAGGGTCCAAATCAGGGGTTACCGATCTCATTGTAAGGAATGTAAAGGATATGGAGAGAATATCCTTTAAAGAAGGTTCGTTGCTCAAGGCTTGTGATTGAAATCATTTAGTGATGATGGTTATGATATGTCAGTTGTCGGGTTTCTCGAGAATATTTGTATCCTGGGATCATTGATGGTAGTCTGCACATCACCGGATAAAGCGTATGGTTGTCCAACGCCCTGAACTGCAGTTAAAAACATTATTCGACCTGTCCTTTTCTCACGCCCAAAGATTAGATCCCTCAACAACGGCTGCCAAGGCCGGGTTGAGTTACAAACAAAGAACTTAATTGACAAATTGTTTCGTCCTACCTATGCCCGAGACCGGCACACAAGTACCATAGAAGTATCTTGCATACTTATGAGAGCGTGTAATCTAATGATTCTTCAAGCTACTTGAGTAGGGGAACTTTTGGATCATTCATTATGAGGAGCTCGAAATAAGCTACTTCTTGTTCGAAAACCGGATTCTGTGGTATTGCAATTATCTGGAGCTTGCAATCATAACGTGTTCCTAAATTTAGTTACGTCAAGGTTTGCCAGAGCTCTAGGGGGATATTTCAAGGACATCACACAGAGATATCTTGATTCAATTTTCGCACATTTGATAGAAGCGCTTGGGAAACTCTGAAAGAGGAGGCGAACTTTCCAAGTGACGACCTCGTTCTGCAACGGTATATCAAACCTTTGGTCTACCTTAATATGGATTATCCAACCTGTGAGACAGTTAGACCAACAGCATTTATTACCTTGTGGAATAACATTGCTACTATTCACATCAAACGTCTGCTATATCATGCTGAGGATTTCGTCCGAGAGCCCTCAATGGCATGTGATCAAACAAGTGACCACTTGATTGTTTTCATTACTTCCATTATAGGCTGGGTGGTTGAGGAGGGCCTCAGGGTGCTCTTAGATGACAATGTTACAACTCTCCTTTCTTTAGAGTCAGTCTCTCAGTGTAGCTCACCATGAGATGACATAATCTATCTAGCTATAGACGCACGGTAAGTGGCTCGTAGTGTAATATTCACTGATGCATTTTGCTACTTGGTACAAAAGCCCAATTTCCATTGTGGGTAGTCTCGCCAACCGAAGCCTTACTCCTCTATTACTGCAACCTTGATCCAGTTCATATTTTCTTGTTTGGCTTCAACATTGTCAATTTCTTGATCTGAGGGAGAAGATTTGTTGTGGCGAAGATACTAAAACGCTATGAGCGTAAATATACCAAATACACAGCACCCAAAGCAATGTTAAAAAAGAGACCAAGGAAATACATGAAACTCGAGCAAGATTTACAATGCACATATTATTTGGAATTCTCAATTCATTACTGTGCAACTGTATTCATATCCTATGTTAATGTTCCCCCAGACGATCAAGACTAGACTCTGCAACGGGGGTCCAAACCCATAGTAGTTACAGCTACCCTGGGCCCCGAATGTCCTATCCCATATTTCATAGGAGGTCTAGACACATCTGGTCATCATACCATCAGGCTTACAGAGGCTGGTAGAGCTTGTAGCACAGTCCACAAAACGAAAAGAAGTTGTTGTTGCACTCGGCACTGCTGAAGAAGGGTCCCCACTTGCAGGCTCATGCCATCCAACGAAATAGTTCATCGCAAGCGGGGAATCCAGCTTGGCAGCTTGGATAAACTTTGCAACGTCGAAGCCTGCACGTGCCTCCATAGTTAGTGGGAAGATATGTGCGAAGCAACGCGGGAAGCGATAGGCTGGGGGTTTCTCGAACAGAAAATAGACGTAACGATGATGAGTGTTTGGTGGTGCACGAGGAGCAATGTAGGGAGCTTCAATGTCCGGGTCATCCTCATGGTTCTTGTCAGGAACTAGCTGAGATGGATGGTGGCTTGAAGAGCTTTTAAAGAGATTCGATTGATACCAATGTAAGATGACGGTTTCTGTACTCGTTCCAGGCATGATAACGTCAAGGTCAACGAACAGGACCAGATACCGTTTGTTGCAATCGAATTCCTTTCCGCTGATTTCTGGAACAATTGTTGTCTCTGTGACATTATCAGCGTATTGTTATTGAGTATTCAATTTTATATCATACCCCTGATGTCCAATATCATCCCTGGTTTCATCCACTTGCATCCAGGGTACCGGAGACGTAATTCCTTGCTATTGAGAGGTATATGGGAGTTAACTTGTGAAGCCACCATGACAAACATGTACATAATTACTACCACAAACGACATCACTCCTTGATGAAACAAAAAGATTGAAAGTGCGAAACATCAAGTAGGAAGTAGGCTAATATAAATATTCAAAACCACCACGATATCATTGTTTGGTTTCGAATTATAACCACAGTTGCCTCTAATCTTGTACACTCCGCTGTTGGATATCAAACTCAGCTTGCTTCTTACGCCAACGCCAACCCCTGGAATAAACCGCACAGAGAAGAGGTAGGATCAGCATCACGGTAAGCGAAACAATACAGTAAGTCCATTGTACACCGATTACCCGAATCAAGGGGTTGACAGCGGCTGCAGCACCAGCGCCAAGAAAACATCGGACAAGGTTGTTAGCAGCCATTACAGTGGCCGGCCTGTCGTGGTACAGATCCACTATTAAGATATTGATGTCACTGTACGCCGCGGTTATACAGAAGCAAATTGCAAAGATAATCAACAGTGAAACCAGAAGAGGCGGTTTCAAGGGTAGCAGCGCCCCATAGGCCACGATAGAGACTGACGCGAGTATCTAGAAGACGAAGTCAGAGCCTGGCCATCATATTATTGAGACATTCGCATATGACAAGGCAGCTTACCGTCATTGGTAGGCCAATCTGCAACCTCGCCTTTTCAATTGGAAAGCCGAGAATGTCCTGTTTCTGGTTCTTGTGTACCGTTAGACCGGCTCGACAGCGGATTCGCCGGTAGTTCCAGTCAACTAATACTCCGTTGGCAGTTGCACTGAGCAAAGAACCCAGTCCTGCAGGGATGAAGCAAAGTCCAATCTGGAAACCGTCGAGATTGTACATTTTCTCGAATTGCACAGGAATTCCGGCTGTGACGGCGTAGTAACTAGCGAAAATCACACCATTCGACAAAATGATTAGTCCGACAGGTTTGTGAAAAAGCAGACGTAAAGCAGACCACGGACTGTGCGCATGGCCGAGGGGCTTCTGCAATGTAGAGGGAGGGGCGGCAGGCGTAAACTTTCGTGTGTATTTCCATAATGGACTATTCCACCCGACTGCAGTGACTGACCCATTACCCACAATAACTCGACATGTCTCTGGAAAGAACAGCAATACGGGTACGAAGAAAATACCAGCTGCGAGAACAAGAAACCAAAATATTGCCTGCCAGCCTAGGTACTTGTTCAAGGCACCTCCGATGATCGGTCCTATCGATGGTGCGAGGATATTTCCAAGCGTAGTGAAACCCATGTATGTGCCTCTTTCGGCAGATGTGATAATATCAGCTGCCACCGCAGAGGCAAGGGCAACGGTCCCACTACTACCGCAACTTTGAATTCCACGGAGAAGAAGCAAGGCTTGAAAGTTGTGTTGTAGAGCGAGAGAGATGTTGGCACAAATATAGATCACGAAGCATAGAATGTACACTGGTCGACGGCCTGCTCGATCTGCTAGGGAGCCTGTGAACATAGGAGCAAGACCTTGACATACCTTGTCAATCATTATCATTAGCCATCTCAATTAATCGCGGAGCCAAAATGAATTACCATACCATGTATGAAGTGATTGTGAGATTGATTTGAGATGCACTGACGTGCAAGTCCCTTGCAAGTGAATTCAAAGCCGGATAGTATATGTTTGCCGACAACGGAGAAAAGCTTGATGCTAGGGCTGCGCTCAAGATAATGAGGCGCTTCTGTGTTGGCGTGAACACAGAATAGGGCGTATTTTTAGGTGCGGTCTGTAGCAAGGGCATCGTTTCGTTAACCTCCTCGTCAAGAGGTGCTCGAGAGTTATATGAATCGCTCATTGTTGCTTCAATGTGGTATTCAGCGTGTGTGGAATATGATTTTGTTGACAGTAGCGGTGGTGACTTGAAAAGTTAATTACACCGTTCACATGTACTGCTTACTATTCACCAGGTATAAGTCAACCTGCTAAGACACTCACACAGACCTTCAATATCATACATAGTAGGTCTCCCTTGAAATCTGCACAGTGTATACTAGCCATAAATTTTTGAAGAATGAAATAATCACTAACTATCTCCATTGATATCTCAAGTTCGTGCCAGCAACATTTCATCACTTCACATTTTTGCAACAGGATTCAGCAAAGACTTGACATGACCCGTATAAATGTGGGTTGGCCGAAATAGCTTACCCCGATTGACTATGCCTCATCAATTAGACTGTTGACTTTCACTATCAAATAACATTACTCACCAGTATATTCTCTCCAATGCGCCATAACTCCTATGATGCGATGGACAAGCATCGCAGCCGGAATAATATCAGGCTCAAAGCCACTTTTATAGTCATTCGTTAGAAGGTGTCAGGTCATTTCATCCAGAGTAATTTATACTTACATCCCAGTGAACACAAAATTCCCATAGAAGTCTGCATTGGGATACAACCCGCGAGATAGAAAATAGTCGTCCTTTCCAGCTGCCATCTCAATAGCCTCGGCAACTTTCAGCAATGGCTGGTCCACATGGGTGAGATCTTTCAGAATGCTCTTAATAGGATGCACGCGCGGGTCCATGCCCTTATAGGTCCGATGGCCATAGCCGAATAGCTTCCGTTTACCTGCTTTGACTTCTTCAATGAATGCAGGAACATTCTTTGGTTCTCTAATTTCGCGAAGTGTACGCTGAGCAGACTCAGTTGCTCCGAAATGCAATGGGCCGTGGGCGGCGGCTACCGCTGAGATCAAGCAAGAGATGGGATCGGTCAGTGAAGATGCTGTGACTAGTGTTGAGAACACCAATAGGGCCATTCCGTGCTCAGCGTTGAGATTTCCGAAATTGCGGAAATAGGAGATGCGCATTAGATCCTCCTGACTGGGGGTTGGATTGACGAGTCGTGCCATTCTGAATACATTCTCGTAGTAAGGTAGATCCAAAGAAGGCAATTCGGGAGTAAGTCCCAGTCGGTGGCAGCGTACGATGGCGAATATTACGCCGTAAGCTGCGACAGTCTTGGAGATAACCTCATCAGCAATTTCAGTGTCCGTCTGATACATGGTTGCTTCGCGCGAGGCCGGCATGACATCTGGTACACCTGCGAGGTAGGCTGATAATCCGGCCATGATCAATGGAAGTGGGCTAGTTTTGTTTCTATCATCCAGCATATATCATTAGATAACTCATGTACTGAAAAGAAAGAAAGCATCGCGGTGAGCGTTGGAATCATACGGAAGATTGAGTATAGCCTTGTAGACTATGTCAGGAACATTTTGCATATGCCGCGCCAGTGTCTGCTGCAGCTCTTCACGCTGGGCTGCAGTTGGAAATATCCCCCAAACTAGCAAATGGAACATTTGTTCAAAGTCTGCTCCCCATACTTGTTCTAGGGTATAACCGCGATACAGAAGCAGGTCTTGCTCGTGGTCACTACAAGTATATTAGCCAAAATTCCAACGGAAGGCTAGTATCGCTCACAAGAAACTGATTGCCGATTCCGTGACTGCAGTATTTTGTAGACCTGGATCGTAGACACGTAATCCATGAGCAAATTGGTCTGCCCCGTGGCTCCCAATTGGAGGCGCTTTAATTCTGCCTAGATCGGTTGCACTTATTGCGTTGCGGTGTATTGGAATCTCATAACCCACGTTGGTGCGTGAATCGCGAATGAACAAAGTACCGTTAGACATGATTAGATGCGAACACTGGAAAGGATATGCTAATAAAGCACTGGGGTCCGGTGAGGGACATCGTTGATGCTGCCATGCTGCCATGCTGCCATGCTCCCACATTTGAGATCCAAAATACACCGAAACTTCGGATACTACGTTGGTCATTCGTTACTCTATATGGTGGGGATCTGGCAAGGTTACACAGCAGAAGCCTGAATGGATCAATTCAAGTCAAATTAGACTCTTTCGTCGTATCATAATTTCTCATAAAAAGCCATAGAACATCCCCATTTCATTTTGTAACGTGCGCCGCTTACTCGGGCATATTCTTGAAAGGATGAGCCAGAGACTCCTGGCAGAAGGGAAGCTTGCTGACGGTCCAGATCTCGGTGTCCTAAGAAGGAAATTAGCTCAGGCTCAATACCAAGTGTCACATATGTGACTCGCAATCCATGTACACATACTGGCTTCAGGGTCTTCTTGATCTCAGTATCCAGGGTTCCGGCTTTGAGGGCAATGATCTCAGGAGCGGCATCAGGGTCGTGGGCAATGGGGGAGCCACACTCGGAGCAGAAGATGCGGTGGACGGCGTGGCCGGAAGAGCCCTTACCGGCCCAGCTCTTGGTAGGACCCTTGATGGTCAGCTTGTCCTTGGGGACGACGGTGACCAGAGCTAAGACAAAGTCAGCAAGCCAATTCAATTGCTCGGAAGTGGGCGGATGTACAGTAGGTCGAACCGCTCTGGCGCTGGCAGTCATCGCAGTGGTCATAGGCGGTAATGAGGGGCGCGTCCACGTCGACGGTGTACGTGACGGCTTTGCAAAGGCAGTGTCCAGAAAGAGGCATTTTGATTCTCACAAGGTTCTCAGCTTGAGGACCTTTGGAGAGGGGAGGAAGAGCTATTTAAGAGTCGATTCCCGTGGAACTGCTGAGCTTTGGCTACAGGTCTCCACTACATCCGCCGACCGCATGTTTACGCTGGTGGGACTAGGTACCCAGTACCCTTGCGTCATATCAGAATTGGCTTTGGGGGAGCTTTTTCCCGTTTCCACAAATTGTGAATTCCAAATCGTATCAGCTTCATTAATTGGCTAATTGACTGCATCAGAATGACAAATTATTGCCCCGCCATAGCATACGGACCCCAAAGCTGCCCCTCCATCACTTGGCTAAGCGCGCCACTAGAGTCGAGTGAGATTGCTCGATGTTTTTGCGAACAAAGAACGCCGTTCCAAACGGGCACCGCAAATCAGTTTCTTCGTGAAGATATAATCCTTGCTTATCTTGCGATTCACCCAACGGGCGCTCGGAGACACTCCATTCATTCCGGATATCGACCCCCAGCGGTGCATAAATGTGGGTTTTGAGACCCAAGGGGGTGTTCTCGAAGCTGGCACGATACCGGATCTTCCCTTGGAGCAGACCAGGGATATAATCGATACGGTCGGTCAACTCGTACCAGGCGCGAAGGGCTTCATCGTGCGGCGCGTCTACTGGCGGTGGACACCGCTCGTAGTGGATCACCAGTGGGTTTTGCTCGATCATAGCTCCATGATCGTGAAGCTTCTCGATGATGGTCTCCCAGGAGACTGGGAGGGGCAGGGGTGTAAGGCTGGAGAACTGGATTTTCTGCATTGTGATCAATCAGGAACTGAACATTCGGTCAAAGGTATGTGCAGGGATTTGCGTCGGAGTCCCAATTTAGGGGCGATCACGGCTTGGCAGGTCGGAGTCCGTTGCTAACCCAATCCGCTGGATCAGGGCACTTTTGGCCCCCGGTATGTACCGCAGTGGATGATAGAGTAAGTGTTTGTGATTGGATTATGTATGCTGTGAGTTGTATAGCTTGCAGTGGCATACGTGTATGCTTTGACTTCCGTGCAGGGTTTGGGATTGATCAATCTCATCCCAACAAAGCTGTCACCTCAACGGAAAAACGATGCAATGAAAAAGCCACGTCGGTCGAAGATGAGAGAAAACATCGACGTCATGAACTGTCCCTCGCCTCAGGCAGTAATTCCAGTCATTCTTCAGTACTTAGCTATTACTCAGATTACCAAAGATCACTATGGATACAGCTTAAATCAAAGCTAGAAATAGTTTCCTGTATAAAGGGATTGATTCATTCGGTCGCATTATGGCTCTATTCTCGAGGGTTGATGCAGTGGGAACTCATTCATGCTCATGTCTTACTGAGACATGGTGTCGATGGCTTTCGTGGGACTTTCCGCCACCTCTATAATTGACTCTCAGGGCACTGGAATTTGCCGATTGTAAGCTCAAGGCACAATCAGTAAATTTGCCTATTCCTCATCTCAATGGGCAGGAAACACATAAGCAAGGCTGACACCCAAATACCCTCAGCCCCAAGCCAGAGAACACCATCCCTACCTTCATCTATGTACTTTTGACCAGCAAATGGAGCCACGATGCCAGCGATAGGGCCGGGCAGGATAGCATGTTGCTAGCGCTGGCGTGGTAGGAGGTGTCAAAAATCTCGGGCGCTGACGCGTAAGGAACGGCGTTAAAGTACTAATATTTGTCATCTCATTATCAATGGAATATTTTTGAGATACTCATGCTCTGCATAACATACTCCAGGGCATTCTGGCCGACGTAGCTGGCTGTATCCTTGACCTGGGTGTACCTGGCCATAGAGACACCTTGCAAAGCGGCTGAAATCACCAGTGACCAGTTTCGCCCGATCAAGGGTAGCTGGACGGAGAATAAGGCAATAACTGCTCCAATAACTCCTGGCAAGTAAATGTACACATACTCGCGCTATGTGTCAGTGACGCTTCTGGCACCACTATCTACATTGTTGCGGAGCAGGACGATCGGGAGGAAATAGCCGGCTAATTTAACTGACCAGTAATTGCCTCGTAGATGTGAGTATTAGAATGCCTACAGAGCGAGATACTTGGTATGTAAGCTAAGGCCAGTAGGACGAATGTGAAGCATTCAAGTTTCCTCATGAAGAGACCACGCAGGAAACCTAGATTGTTAAACATGTCCATGACGACTCCTTTGGCATCTGATCTGGCAGCCAGGACAACTTCAGCTGGGTCATATCATATCGCACGGCCAGTTTACTCGAAATCGTCGAGTCAAGGTAGGCTCTGGGGCACCGTTGAACTTGGCAATCTTGCGAAGCACGTCGATGGCATCCTGTATCCGGCCCTTGCTGAGAAGGACCTTTGGAGACTCGCAAAATGTGCCAAAGTCGAATTTGTCAAACTCCTTGAATAACCTTACCAGTAAGTAAATAAGAACCTTTTTGTAAGGCAGACTCAGGCATTGTCAATGCCGCCTTGCGCTCAAAGGGTGCGAGGTCTTTGATTGCGCTCCCACTGATCATGTCAGCTATGGGAGCTTTCATATATAGCCAGAATGGCAGTAAAAAAGGACTATCCGGATATTATAGGCTCCATATCAAGTCTTTGGGAGTTTGCTATGTCGAAATGCAAATGCCGAAAACTATTTAACTATTTCAACTGTCGCGCAGTTGGGTCAAGAAAGGCTTTCGGCGTTCAAATAGTAAACTTAATGGCGATCATTTGCGAGAGATGGATGACCAGCAGATTTCGAGCATATTTCTTATATTACAGAGATTTCAGCTTGGGGATTACCTTTATAAGATTATCTTGTATATTTTGAAGTCGACATAAATATGTACAGTATAGCCATGACATTAGCTATAACTATCCCTAGGCTGGCGGTGCATTATGCTCAGGTTCGATCTGTGCAATGTTCAAATTGTGAGATCAATCACTAGTAAATAATCCGCCTAGCATTTTCAATCTTGTCTGCTACACTCTGCACCCGAAACCGATTAGCACAACTCTTGCCACTAGGCTCTCTGTCCAAACTTACCTGCAACTGCGCCGCATGGCCACCTCGAGGATTTTGGCCTCCATAGACAGCAGCTTCGGCATGTTGCGCATCTCGTGCATCATCTTTTGTGACATAAACAGGTACATCGGCACTAGCAGTAAGTCCTAATGCCTCATTATTGTCGGCGATTGACCGGACCTGGGCAGTAACAAAGCCGATGCCGGGCGGTTGGTTAAATGCTCGTCCCTGTGGAAACCTCATTAGTGTTTTACAATTGTACAGAACTTCTCTCGGGTCCCCCAACCTCTGTTGCTTGAACTTCATCTGCATCTGCGACGGAGATTGAGCTGGAGGGCTTCCGTGAAACTTCATCAACCTTGTTTTCAAAGTTCTTTTGTCGCATTGACAGGCTCTGAGCGGCGGCTGTTCAGAATGAGCACTGAGCTCCTCTTAGAGAGCGAGGTGGAAATACCAGCCGGTCCACCTCGAGCAGGTCCATGTCCGGTCAGCGCACTCTCGGCCTGCGAGATTGCTGAAACATCGCCTTGTGTAATGCGCTGCCCGCTTTCCGCAGCGAGTTGGATCTCGGCGACGGTGGGAATATCGAAACTCATAATTATGTATAGTAACGTAAAGTTGGTCTTGGCTACTGGTATGCTAGCATTTTCCCCTTGGCATATATAGTTCGACCTCAGATGCGGTGATGTCACGGTGAGGCCATTTTAATACACCTTGCTTTGCCTCTCCAGCGTAAGTGGTGGTGGTGGCGCTTACAATATCAATACTATATGGAACATTCGGTGGTTCTCAATTGATTCTCAATCATGGGACATGAGCTAGGCCTGCCAATTTGCCATGTTGCCCTGGCTATCTCCATAGTCCTATCCGGGTTGTATTTTTAAGACGTTGTGGTGATCCAAGCATCCTTTGCATTACTGCCTAAAGCATGGCATCATCATTTTGTGCCATCAATGGTCATGTTTAAGAGGCAGACATGTGCGCAATAATTAGGATTCCAGGGTATGTGGGAATGAGCCAAAAAGGCTACAGCTTTGGCTGACGGTACCACTAAGTCTGTTCAAAGTTACAGCATTATCCAATTCGAATCTCACCATGTCACTCCATTCCACGACGGCAAGTCCGTCTTGTGCGTTTGAGACGACACTCGATTCTCGACAGTCCAATCAATCGTGCATTGCATTACGCAGATGGGGTGGTACTTGGTCCATGTATCATGCAAGAACATATTATTTACCCCGATTTCAATCGGCCTTTGCCTCAATTTCGATTTTATATATCGGCTTCGACATAATAAACTCTACCCAGACCCGGGAATAAAAATGATGAACTGTGCATTTGTGACAATATAATTCGTTTCCAATGTCGCCACATTTCATGTCTTGGAGTTGTAAGAATGGTATATCTATGAACTATATATATGTTCTTTGTTTATACGTGCATACTACTGTACTTACTTCATTGTAAGTATGTTCATTGTAATGATGCACATGTATAGATCTCCCGGCAGTCGGTGAAGATGTGGATCGTCATGTCACGTGACCAGCAGTAAAATAGGCCAATCAGAATACGTGTGTATCCCGGTTCCCATCCCGGTACCGGGAAGGCAAAGCTACAGTTCCTTCTTCCCTCAATTCCACTGCAAAACATCAAACAATACTCGAATGCGACGAGAGATTTGACGCCGGTTCCGCTCTATTTAGTACATTGACATCCCGACGCCAGAATGCCGAGGGTCCGAGCCCCTAGCACCTCGTAAGGCCCTCTCCATGTTCTTCGTTTGGAACAGAGCTGAAATGGGAAGAGCTAGACATCTTCCCAAGAAGGGAAAGAAAGCATGCGATGAGTGCCGCCAGCAAAAGGTATGATCGATCGCAGACGACTGGAGACAACGTACTAAACTTTTCAGGCAAAATGTGATGTCTACTTGGATCCGGACCAGCCTTGTTACCGGTGTCGCAAACTCAAGATTGACTGCATCGTATCTGATGGCTTCACGAGGGAGCACAAGCGTCAGTAAGGGTCTCCAGAGGAGTACCACAGGCGGGAATCTTATATCTTACGTACTTCGCAGACGCCTTGAGGACCTGGAACGAGAGAGAGAGCAGTTGCGCCAACAACTGCAAAACTCTCAACAGGTGAACCCTCATTTCACGCCAATCGATTTGTTGACTGCCGCGGCAGAAATGAAAGTCCCGATTGAACCAAAGCACGATGATTCCTCGGGGGTTTGGCAGGATCCACCGGCGCCCTATCCACAGGAACATACTGCACCGGTGAATGCGTTGTCAAAATTGGAAGGGCATGATGCCACAGTGCCTCGGACCTTGAAAGGAACCACAGTGACTGGGCAGGAAATTGATGACCTCTATCAATTGTGAATGAGCCTACAGTGATCTCGTGGTAAGCCAGCACTGACATTTCACAGGTTCTTCCGACACTTTGCCTCTTTTTTGCCAATCCTCGACCCGCAAATCACGCCGAATGCTTATTACGCACAGTCACCATTCCTGTTCTGGGCCGTGATTGGTGTTTGCAGTCGGTCCTATCTCCAGAATCCAACACTACAGACAGCACTGGCGCAGGACATCACGGAAATGGCCTTTATGTCAGTCTTATCGACATGTGCGCCATGGCATACAATTCAGGGCATGTTGCTCTTGCTGACATGGCCGTTTCCCAAGGAGAACCGCCCAGATGTCACCTTTCCTTTGAGTGGAATGCTATTGCATGTAGCGATGCAGAATGGCTTTCATATCCCAATGTCCAGCCATGAATTTTCTAGGGTGAGTATTCCAGCTCCCTCAGAATTAGATATGGTACGACGCTCAGAGCTCTGGGTACATTGTGTTCTTGTGTACCAACGGTGAGTTGCCAAATGAGCACGACCTGAGAAAGGAACCACACTAATGAATTGGGCAGGTCATGTGTGATCAAAGGTCAATCTCCGCGGAACCTGGTAAATTTGGCCCAGGATCCAACCCAGCGTCAGATGTTATTTGATAAGATTGCCCCAAGCCTTGTTTTAAAACTTCGATGCCAGGAGCTCGTGACGAAATGCAGCGACGCAGTTCTAGAAAATGGAGTTCGTGCTATGTCCCTTGACCAAGAGCGATCTTTGGACATTTTGCTTCGAAGATATGAAAGCCAGGTGGATGAATTGGAATTGCAGACAGTGGCTGGTGTGTTCTCTCGTCAAAATCCATATCTACCTTTCCTTACTAAATCATTTCTGGACAGACGATGAAAGATACCATCTTCTCCTTTGTCGGATGGCAATCCAGAGTTTCCATTTCTACAAAAGCCAAACAACTGTCTCTAGCGCATGTCTTCCTCGCCTTATTGTTACCGCTTGCAATCTAATAGACCACGTGCAAGCCCTGCGTGACCGAATGGGTTTCCTTTCCATGGCACCCGTCCAAATCGGCTTCGGTGTGCTTCTTGCTTCAATTTCACTGCTTCGAATACTCAAAAGCAACATGGCCTGCAGTGTACTCGAGACCAGTCGTGCTCGAACTTGCTTCTTTGCAACTATCAATCTGGCCAAACAAATGTCAACCGACAGGACTGATATAGCAGCGAAAACCATCACCATTGTGAATCAGTTATGGAATAGCAGCAAGGCTTTCCGCAAAGCCGATGGCTCGGAGTACACTGTGCTTCGCATCCGCAGCCGTTTAATTCTCAGTCAGATTCTAGACGCTGTCTGGTGGTGGCGAGATGAATTCGATCCTGGGGCCCGGGCAAAAGTGCGAGGTACTGAGCCATTTGACAGTTCTTCTTCCCGAAATCACGCGTTGCTTGCAGATACAAGCCGCCCTGCGACAGCATCCAATCCTAATCTCGAGCCTTTCGGAAGTTCGATCCAGAATCAGAGTGCCCCACAAGAGCAGTTCCAGATGGATGAGGACTTCTTTGCAGACTTCGAATGGGCACTCAGTGATGATGCACTGTTATCTTTAGATGGCTTCTCGACTGATTGGTCCATAGCAAATCATCTGCCGTGAATATGCGTCAACAAGAGATTCTCGATTTGAGAGGACATCAGATTTAACCGACTATTATTGACCCCTCCTGATCTACAACATCCGATATCACACAGCGATAAGACACTGTCGAAAGCTTTACCCGAAACTGTCACAATTGCCGACCTCAGGCTCATATCTTGGCTAGTCGAATCTGCATGCGTCCGCCCGCCTTTGCCACATATGAACATGCCCACATCCCGTGTTGAGATGTCAAAACAAAGATCTTACCGGCAAATCCGAGTCATGTTGCCTGGTCCGTCGACGCACTTGCAGATATGACGGACGCGCGGCATGCATCCTGTCGGCAGATGTTAGGAAATGAAGATTGTGGATATGGTCTAATTGGCTTCAAACTATCCATATTCGGGTTGATACCACAGGCATGTGGAAACATCGTCTGAGGGACACTTACATCAAGACGTCGTCGGCATTTGGGATGTTTGCAGGTGCATACTTGACCGAGGTCAAATTTCTCGCTTGGATATCTCTATGTTTGCCACTTCCAACTAATCCAATGAAGTGGCATAGTTTTAGTCATGTCCAATCATTCATTTTACTTGTATCTTCCAATTGTTTTGTGTAATAGGAATTTGTCTTTGTTTCGTGTCCATCACATGACGGCCCTGGTTTTAGTGTTCGCCAATCGAGTCGCCCGTCCATCCACACCCCTGCAACTCCGCTGCAACTCCGCAGGGCTTCCGGCCTGAGACAAAGCCACGCGATATCAACGTTTGCCACTAAATTGTAGTATTCTCACCCTGGTGCTTTTGAGCGCAGGCTGGGATCTCCGCTAGAGGTTCCCCGCATTCTTGTCACATGCCTTGCTCTATCTCGGGCTCCCATCAATATCCCCCTTGGAAAAGTAAACACTTATACCCTCATACATTGGCATACACTCACATGTATTGACGACTGGGTACATCTCGATCGTGCAGGTCAATCTCCCCCGGGATTCGCCTAACTCCCAGAGATAAGAGGCTATAACCGGATGTTTCTATTGCAGGGGTAATTCCGTCGGAATGGCTTGGCATCAGCCCAATCTTCTACTGCTAATTTCGATTTCGACTAGTGCCGGAGATGGACTGAATCGGCTTACAACAGGGGCTGCTGGTTGGTTTACCGCCTATTTAGCTGCAGTCTTAGCCTCAAACCTAAGACAATACGGGCGTGTCTCCGCCAACTCCCAAGACCGTGCGTGCGCCGGCTTATCACTAATAAGCTATTCAGTGGGGTTGCTTCTTTAGTATCTTGAACGTTATCAGTCTCGGCGATGGGTCCTTCGCTTGAACCCCGGGGAATTCTGGCCCCATGTCCAATGGTGAGAAGCATTCTCCGGAGTATATGGCTGTTTGCTCTGGTCCAACCCCCTGGTATCCGATCGAGACCATGATAGATGCAGGGTTCTGAGAAGTAACCCAAGGAACGCCACCGGCTATCTATACAATCTCTATCCATATCAGTGGCGGGCGTGGTCTGAGAGCTATCAGAAGTTCCGCGCTTATTCCACGACGGGGTCGTGGCTTTCACTGTGGCACCAGGCACTTTCACTTTTTGCCTTATGCGCCTCTTTGAGCGTCTCCCGTTCGTCGATTCTCACCCCCTACTCACTTTACCCTTCTCCACCTTTCATTCTCCCTCGAATCATCGGTCTCCATCCTCAACCGATTTCATTTACATCTCAGGCCCGCCATACGAGGTTACATCCATTTTCGGATAAGCCTGAGATATCGCCTTCGGTCGATAAGGCGGAGCTCCGTCGGTCTCGTGTGTAGTGCTCGCATAAATCATATGTGAAACCCCCTCTTGTTCTCGCATCTTGTTTCTCGCATGCCCATCTTCTCCTTGTGAAGCCAACATCTGAGCTCCACATTCATCATGGAGAAGGACGAGTCTATCGCCATTACCACCGGCGCCATGGTCGACGAGGCCGCACCGGATGAGGCCCTCAAGCAGCTGCGCAACTTGAAGAACCACCACCATTGGGATCCTAACTTGCCTGAGGATGTCGTCGACGAGCTTGACGAGGCGCTGAACACTACCGATGAGAAGACTCAGATCAGCGTTGCCCACGAGCTCATCGACAACTCGCCTTACCCTGAGGTTCGCGCTGCTGTCTCGAACGTCGATGAAGGCGGTGCTGTGAACACCATTCGTGCCTGGGTGATTGGTTTAGTCTTTGCTACTATTGGATCTTCCCTGAACATGCTTTTCTCCATGCGTCAGCCCTACATTGTCATCCCCTCTTACATTGCCCAGGTCGCCGCCTTCCCAGTTGGAAGGGCCTGGGAGAAGTTCATGCCCAACAAGACCTTCCGCGTCTTTGGTAAAGAGTTTTGCCTGAACCCAGGTACCTTTACCAAAAAGGAACATGCAATTGTGGTCATCATGGCTAACGCCACATTCGGTGGTGGAGCCGCCTACGCTACGGATGTCCTCTTGGCCCAGCGTGCGTTCTATGGTCAGCGCTTCGGCTGGGGGTTCGAAATCTTGATGTGTATCTCCACTCAGATGCTTGGCTTTGGTATGGCCGGGTTCTTCACGAAGTTCCTCGTCCAGCCCGCTGCCATGATCTGGCCCTCCACTCTCATCAACACAGCCCTTTTCTCTGCGCTGCACGACCGCACCCTTCCCGATCCTAGCAAGGTCGCTGGCTGGAAGCTTGGTCGGTACCGCATGTTCTTATATGCCATGATTGGATCTTTCGTTTGGTACTGGTTCCCCGGCTTTATCGCTCCCTTCCTGAGTGTGTTCGCTTGGGTCACTTGGATCAAGCCAAACAATGTCATCGTCAACCAGCTCTTTGGTGGCGCGACTGGTCTCTCGCTCATCCCCATGACTTTCGACTGGACTCAGATCTCCGGCTTCAACTTCAGTCCTCTGATCGCCCCCTGGTACGCCATGGCCAATACCATGATTGGTATGGTTCTCTTCTTCTGGATCGTCACCCCTGCCATCCATTACTCCGGTCTCTTCTACTTCAAGTACCTGCCGATCAGTGACTCCAGCAGCTACGATAACACCGCCCACAGCTACAACGTCAGCATGATCCTCACTCCTCAATTTACCTTTGACGCTGCGAAATACAAGGAATACTCCCCTCTCTTCTTGTCGACCACTTTCATGCTGGCATACGGTCTTTCTTTCGCTAGTATCGTCGCTGTGGTGGTCCACACTGGTCTCTTCCACGGTGTTGATATCTGGGCTCGCTTCCGCAGGGTTGGCAAGGAAGAGGAAGATGTTCACGGTCGCCTCATGTCGAACTACAAGACCGTTCCTATCTGGTGGTATCTCGCTTTGTTCCTCGCTATGATGGCCATTGGTCTGGGAGTTGTCCTTGGATATCCCACTCATCTCAGCTGGTGGGCCTTCTTCATTGCCCTGATCATCTCCGCTGTTTGGTTCATTCCTCTTGGAATCATCAAGGCTTCCACCAACATTGATCTCGGTCTCAACGTTATTACCGAGTTCATCATTGGATACATGCAGCCCGGAAAGCCCATGGCTATGATGCTGTTCAAGACCTACGGCTATATCACCATGTACCAAGGGATGTACTTCACCCAGGACTTGAAAATTGGTATGTCTCTCCTCTCCCGCGTCAAATATCTCCAGTCACTAACTTCCTCCCAGGTCACTACATGAAGATTCCTCCCCGTGTGACATTCAGCGCTCAGATGGTCGCCGGTGTGTGGTCCTCTCTCGTCCAGATCGCCACCATGAACTGGGCCCTCGGCACAATCAAGAACGTCTGCGACAAACACCAGGTCAACCACTACACTTGCCCGAATGGTCGTGTGTTCTTCAATGCCTCCGTCATCTGGGGTGTTATCGGTCCTGCTCGCATGTTCTCCACCGGCCAACTCTACTCTCCTCTCATGTTCTTCTTCCTCGCCGGTCTCATTCTTCCAATCGTCATTTACTTCCTCGCCCGCACCTTCCCCCGCACCCCGATCAAGTACCTCAACGCCCCCATTATCTTCGGTGGTGCTGGTTTGATCCCTCCCGCCACTCCCCTCAACTACCTGTCTTGGGGTATCGTCGGTTTCGTCTTTAACAAGTACATTCGTGACCGCTGGCGTGGATGGTGGATGCAGTACAACTACGTCCTCTCCGCCGGTCTGGACGTCGGTCTGGCGCTTTGCACCATTCTGATCTTCCTGACTCTCAACCTTACCGACACGTCCTTCCCTGAGTGGTGGGGGACCCGCATCGCGAGTGATACCATGGACATGTTGGATTCCGCTATCCAGGTTCCTCTCTCCGAGGGCGAGAAGTTCGGACCTACCTCTTGGTAGATGGTGTCACTTGAGGGAAATCTTGGTTTCCGTCCAGTGATGGGCTTAGTTGAAGATGTCGATTAGGTGCCGGTGCTAATATTCGGATATCCATTTAATCAACGCCAGCAACGAATATTAATGCCCTTATGATTTGTTCTTTTGGATCTTTTCCCTAATTAGTTTCTAATTCTCCGTGTATGTACCAGTAACTTTTGAGTTCAATTTCAAGCTGTTCACAGAGCACGGTCTCCCTATATACTTCGCACTGCTCATTCGAGATCATGTGTGCCTACAAGGATAATCCTAGTTACCGTTATACAGCTGACAATTGGTGCGACTGCTGTATAACGTTACATCTGTGATGAGAGTCGTTTCCTCGATCGCCTCTTTCCTTGATTGCCAGAGCAGCACTTCCGACTGTACTCCTACCGCAACCACCCCACCATATCAATGATTTATTGATTAAGAACGGATTCATTGAATATAGTTCAATTGCAATGCAGATATACAAATAATATATACATACTCGTCAGATTCGCAATATGCACAAGTCCCAAGACCAGCTCCAAATGGGAAACGACAAGACAGACAAAAAGGAAATTCATCAGCGGCAGTGGTATGACCATCTACCTGAAGGATAAATGTCATCCACAAACCGAATCATCGAATCATGACGTACAATGATACCAGCATGTCTGGGTTCACACATATCCAGATTCGTATCCATATACATTCGGATCATCCAAGATCCAATTCCACCCTAGGTCCAATCCTTTTTCTAATGCATGATAATTCTTCCAATAGGTAGGCGTTTAAACGGCGACTCGGCGGCGGCGCATACCAATGTCAAGACCAAGGGGCTTGCGCAGGAATCCTTCGCGGGTCTCCATGGGTCCGTCCTGCTGCATCTCGAACTCGAAGAGGCGGAAGACCGTGGCGGCTATGACGAGGAGTTCCATCTCGGCGACGTTGCGACCAACACAAGCGCGGGGTCCGTGACTGAAGGGGATGAAGGCTGCCTTCTGGCGGGGGGTAAGGCGCGAGGGGTCCCAGCGCTCGGGGACGAACTGCTCGGCATCGGGTCCCCAGATCTCCTTGGAGCGGTGGATGGTGTAGCTGGGCACAGACAGTACATCACCACCCTTGAACGTGTGTCCGGCGATGACGATAGGGGGAGCGCCCTGGGGAATTTCACGGGGAAGACCCATGGAGGAAGTGCTGTGGATACGCATGGTTTCCCAGATAACCCATTGGAGGCTGATATTTGTTAGATTCAATCCTGTGGATGTGCAGGGATGAGCGGTTGTGACTTACTAGGAAATATCCTTGACCATGGCGTGGGTGGGAACCTCAATGTCCTTGGGGATACCTTCGTCGAGAACCTTGTGCAATTTGGGGATCACACCGGGAGTACGCATGCACCAGTACAGGATAGCACAAGCAGTGTTGGAGGTAGTATCGGAGCCAGCAATCAGTTGGGTGAGAGCTTCGGCGGTCAACTCAGGGCCACCAAGGTTGTTACCATTTCCGTCTTTGCCTTCCATCAGGCGGGCGAGCAAATCGACACGAGTGTTGTTGGCCATGACTTCGGGCTTGGTACGCTCGTTGACACGGGCGATGGCGATACCAGCGAGGTTCTCAACAGCCTGCATACCCTCGCTGAAGAACTTGTCGGGGATGTACTTGGCGAAGGGAATGAGAGAAGGCATGCAACCCAGGGTAGCAGAGACTTCGCCTCGGCGGTTCAGAACCTCGACAGCGGCGACATACTTGGGTGGATCCTTGGGGTGCATGCGCATCTCAGCGATGTCTTGACCCTTCTCGAGCATACCGAAAGGAGCACCAAAAGCGAGGTCACCGATGATATCAAAGGCCAGGAAATTGAACCAGTTCAGGGCGTCAAGGCTGGCGTAACCAGTCTTGGGGTTACCCTGAAGATCAGCGAGCTTTTGCCACTGCTTGACGAACTCCTCAACGTTGCCATGGATGTATTGCTCGAACTGGCCAATGGACTTGGCACTGAAGGTGTGGGAGACAGTCTTGCGCTTGCGAGTGTGCTCGGCACGGTCCCGGGTGTTGAACAGACCACGGCGGATGGAGACGAAGGCATCGTAGAAGTCACTGAGGATTGTTAGTCACGGATATTGTTAGGTGGGTGAGAATAACTTACGCCTTCAAGAAACCGTTACCGTGTCCATAGATGCTCTGAATAGCGGCGTCATCGGCAATGGAAACCTGCGTGGGTGAAATACGCACGAGCTTGCCATGCTTCTTGTGGAGGTCATCGATCCGTTGGAACTTGTGGCCGCGGCGGGCCTGCAGCAGCAACCAGAAGTTGGTGAGCGCAGCAAAGCTAGGAGCAGGGATGTCCCGCAAGTGCGACCGCTGAAGGTACGGCACCAAGTAATAGGCGCCCAACAGACCCAGAAGAATGAAGGGGACGTTCTCGAGAGTGAGAATCATGGTGAGGGTATATGACATAGGAGATGTCAAAAAAATATGAAAAAAGCGCCGACAGAACGGGCCAAAAGTACAATGTCGATCACAGTCAGGGATGACAGGAGCCGTGGAGGTATGTATATAATGAATACTTCAAGCTGACTTTAGAAAACAAACACCAAAAGATCCTGGGGCATGATATTTATGCAGAGGCAGTCGTCCGGATGATCTGGGGTCAATGAATCATCCCCGAGGCAAAGGCAAGCAACGGTAAGCAGTCTCGGTAGTGTGGAGTAGAGACGTTGGCGGCGGAGATCCGTGGAGAGTGCCGTCTCGAGCCTCCGAGCGCCGGCTTCGGTTATTCGTCTCGCAGCTCGAGCAATCAGCGTTCCCAAATTTCCATTGGGGCCCCATTCTCTGTGTAAATCTGCGCGTCTTGATTTGATGCTGAGTGTGGGGGAATTACATCCACGTGAGGGAATTTAAAGGCACGAAGAAATGATCACGTGTGATTTCTGGCCTGGCGTGTAAGGCTGCAACGAAGTCGTTTGATTATGTCATGCTTTGCCCTGTGGCCTTATTATCTAAGCATCTTCGGGCCTTGGCTTTCAAGCGAATATCAGCATAATTTAATTGTGCACTCACTTATTAATGTATTTGGTCATAATTAACGTTAATATACATAATCTCGCCTCTATTTCTCAATCTTCTCCTTACAATCCATGTGCCTCCAGGAAGTTATGAATCTGCTGGTAGGCCCCAGTGGCATTATGATGCAAGTTGATACCATGGCCAGTGTTTGGTTGGATGTAGGCAGAGAAACAACTGGCTGAAGGGAAGACCGGCTCGGCAGCCGCGGCAATGGATGCTGCGGCACCTCCAGTGGCAAAGCAGTCACCTCCACAAAAGGGAATGTCCTTGTCGCCGTTGATGATATACACCGGGCCGCCAAAGTTGTTCTCTGGAGCCATGCTGGCAACAGTGAGGAGTTCACCGATGGTGGATGGCTGCTTGGTCGCTTCGGCATAGGTGAGAATATCCATGTCGAAGTGGCCAGGCGCAAAGTAGAGGTACATGTTGTTGGTGATGTCGCCGCTGGTGAAGTATCCAGCACTGTAGTCTGACTCCTGGTGCTTGTTGAAACGTGCTTGTACGAAGTTGGCACCGGAAATGAACATGCCCATGAACGAGGCGTTCATCGAGAATCCAGTCAGGATGATCCCATCAGACAGATCGGGGTACTTGGCTGTCAAGCCGTATGTCTGGGCAGATCCGAAGGAATGGCCAACATGGACGATCTTGGAGGGCTGCTTGATGCATGAATCAGACATTGAGCCCTCGCGCACCATCCTTGTAAGCTGAGCCAGAGCTTCGAGCTCCAAGAACGACTGGATCTCGGATTTTGCATCTCCGTGGGAGGATTTGCCGAGGCCAAGTCGATCATAGGCTAGAGTATGGTAGCCCCGCGACAAAGCATGGTCGACGTAGCTGTAGTTGTGGTTCTCATAGGGCAGGTCCCAATAGCTAAATAAATAGTGTTAGATCAGGCAATAATGGAAATGATCGACACAACTAGCCTCTTGTCGAAGCCCATTCCATGGGTCAGAATTTGAAGTACATGGGCGCTGTCTCCACTGTTGTCGGGCATGCAGTACTGAGCCGAGATATCGTAGATGCCAGAGACAGTAGCATAGCCAGACAAAGCATCTGCTGTCACATTGGCACCCTGCGTACTTGCGTGCAGGGCGAAAGCAGTTGCGTCGAGGTTGGTCTGGGGAGTACTGATCTTGTCAAATACACCATTGTGGGCTGTAACCGGGACTTGGACAATCATGTCAAGACAAGTCTTCGCAGTTGCGACTCCAGCCGTGATGGCCATGAGGCCAATTGTTGAAACATGCATGGTGTATGGCGAATTGACTGCAAGTATGGAATATGGAAATCTACGGCGGATGTATAGACTTTATATCCAATCTATTGATTGAAAGCCCCGCTACTGTAGAATGCAAGGCATCCTGAGGGCCAAAGTATTTGTATTTGGACATGTAAATTCCATTCATTTGCCAACAACAAAGTCTATTGAAAGTGTACAAAATTGAGACTTGTGTGGAGACGGAACGAAATGTAGATCCATAATGCACGTCCAGGGGGCATTCTGGGGCTATTGGCGTTTAGCGCCAAAAGAGCGGGTAAAGGGAAATTAAAGAACGACGATCATCTCACAAGTTCCTTCACACAGCGAATTATCTATCGCGATCTGATTCTTGCTCGCTTTCGGTTTCGGCGCTGACCCGAGCTTCTACTGTACAAACACCGATGCTTGACGGGAGATCCTCCAACGTTCTGGATGAGATCAGAGAGGCTTGGATTTGGCAATGAGCAATGGAGACGGATGAGCGTAGGGTAATGGGTCATAATACATGTTCGATTACCCCTGTCGCGCGAAAGGAGAGACTTTGTGATACACATTTCTCGGCAATTTGGTGAGAACATGTGCGTGTCCTAAATACCGAGTCATGCGGCTTGTGGGAGCCTAATTGACAAATCTCTGAAACAATCTCAACAGTCTAACCCGACAAGGCTGAAGATATGAAGATCACTGAAGATCAAAGATCGGGCCAAGTGCCCCGAGCCAGCTATGTCCTGTGCCTGATCTAGCACACATCGAAAAAGCAAAATGATACCGAAAAATGAGGTTAAAAAACTATACTGTACATGTGAACAAGACGGATCGCCCCTGAGTCCGATGCAGTATGCAAATCCCAATCATCGCAGTCTTGGATGTGTATGTATATTGTAAGTCTAGGTCACCACCGATCTCCTTTCACTTGAAACAGGCCGTTCTTCTTTTTCTCCACATCCCACCGCTCTATCCAAGTCTTCATGGCTTCCCGAGATTTCTGATTGCCCACATTGACAGTGGGAATAACGCGGCCAATACGCAGAGAGCAGCAAAACATAGTCAGCTCGCGGAATGAACTATGTTCACTGTAGGGGACACCATAACAAGCGCTCTCCCGCGTACTTCCGCGTTGTGGAGTAAGGCTTTGACTGGTGAATGGGGTCTTCCAATCTTCGCTATGTAGAACGGTGGGCACTGGGGGGTTCTGGAGTGTTCGCCCGGCGGGCGGGCGGTATGTCCAGCCCGTTGGCCGAAAGCCAACAACTCGGGAGAAATGTGGTTTGAGGGTGTCGAGGTAGTCTGCTAAAGTGTCGGCACGAATCTCAAAAATTGTCTGCATGTGCACTTGGGCTTCGTGAGGATTGTCGGTCAGCAACTCAGAGAGTTCTGGATCTTCCAGGCAGGCGCAGATCCGTCGCTTTGGCGGGGTTGCGAAGATCTTGGACCCGAGTGCCTTTGCAATGCCCATACAAATTCGCTCTTTGCCAATGCTATACGTCCCAATTACCACCAGGAGTCGGCCGCCGACTTCTGCTACTCGGTCTGGTGCCTTGCTTCCTGGAACAGCCGAAAGGAACTTGCCCATCAATCCACCTGGACTCTTCGCTGGATCGAGTCCGACCCCAACCTCATCATCTAGACGGACGCAAAGTTCTTGGCAGGCTGTTATCACATCCTGCTGGTTGGGGAATGCATATTTGGGGCTCAGATAGGTTGTATCGAGGTAACAGACGTCGATGCGTTGCTGCCGCTGCTTACCAGTGATTGGATTGATGATATCCGGACGCAAGAGTGGATGCTGCACCTGTAGTGGAGATGCCCTAAAATCACCGCAATGTAGTATTCGCTGGTGACGGGGATTGGGTCCGTTGCCAAAAGTCTTCTCAAAAAGAAACAGAGAGCTGCCAGGACAATGATTTGCATGTAGCATGGTGACCTTTACACCTCCCGTATTCGGCACCTCGGATGTGGATTCGAATTCCAGATCAATTACCCACTTGGGATCGACGTGGAGTTGTTGACGGACAAGATTTGCAGTAGGTTTACTGCAATAGATAGGTCCGTGGCACCAATTCTTGCTTAGTCCAATGTAATGATCACTGTGGAAGTGGCTAAGGAAATAGGCATTACATCCTTCAACAGCTCCGTAGCGAAATGCATCTACACATATTGAGAATCCAGGCATGATTTTGTAGAAAGGGCAAGTCCGCTGGTAGGCTTGCTTGCCACGAGATGATACTTCATTAGCGGCAGCGGTAGCCCAGGCCGTGTCTTCTGCATTTCCCGCCATCATCTTGGAGAACGCTGACCCTCCATTGGGCTTGTTCTGCAAGTACGGATCAGGTTGTGCGGGCCTAGCTATAGCGGCTCGCTCGATTCGCGTCAGCCCTTTGTCGCTGTCCATCTGTTTCGAAGGTTGGTTGGAAGTCGGCTGCGGAGTGGGACTTGTTGTGACAGAAGCTGGCTTGCCATCTAGACAGTTGTTGACATGCACTGCGATATCCTAACCCGACAATGAGCATGATAAACTGAGAACGGAACAATAGACACTTACCATTTGATCCAAGCCCTTGAGTGCCGTCTGACAGATAGGACACAAGCTCACTCCATCCTCGGTCTCTTCTGGTCCCAAATAATCATTCCAATCTATTGCATCCGCCTCGAGTTCGTTTTGCTGCTCTTCGGTCTCCCATGGTCGTTCTCTAAACTCTTCCCCAAAGACGCCTATAAGGTCGTCGTCTTCTATATTGTCAAAATTCCCGTATTCATCATTATCGGCATTATTCGTGGCTGCTCTTACCGATGGCGGAGGTGAAGGGTTGGATTCGTATGCCATGGGTATTTTTGGTTGATCCATAAGCAGTGCCTCTCTTCTTTTTGCGTCTGTGGCGGGAGTTGTCTCTTGTAGCTCTCGGTATGCTTGCATGTCATCTTCGCTATCCGACTCGTCAATAAACGGCCCACTTCGGTTCTGAATCTTGTTCGGTGGCGGGGCTTTCAGAGTATTCGATTTGGCGTTGGGAAGCTGTACAGATTCCGTGACAGGTGATTCGACTTTGCGACGCTTGACATCTGATTCGCCAGTGAATATCTGATCATCGTCCTTCAGGAACTCCTCATCGCCACCCCAGATGTCAGGTGAAGGTGATCGCACTCCGTTCGTCTGAGCCAGTGCCGCTTGTTCGATCTTCGCCAGTCCTTTTCTGTCTTCCAAAAACAATCCCTCAGAAGTATCATTCTTATAGTTCTTTCCTCGAATCGTTGGTGTACCCCGTCCGCTGCTGGGCGAGCGCGTAGAAGGTGTCGCAAATTGAGTAATTCGAGCCTGGTTTGAAACGGCTCCTTGTGGCGTGTCGGTTTTCTGGAAGAAGTTCAATATGCTTGTGTTTCGCTTGACCGAGGAGGGTTTGGAGGCTGATGGCCTTTTCGACGGGGTATTCGCCTTCTTCACGTAAGATCCAGCCATTTTTGGGTTGTCGAGGGTGGGGAGTCAATTATCGAGTGGCAACAACCGGATAGGGCACGGCTAGCCCGAGAGGAAGATTAGTGTCAAATTATTTGGTCGAATGTACAAAATGTTCATAGTATGTGCTGGTTGAGGTAGAAACGTCTTCGGGAGGCGCGAAACAGGATCGCGACACGAAGTCACGTGTTAGGCATACTCATCACATTGGATTTCGAATGTATCGGATTCTATACGCATCTTGCCGACTGCATCTGACCGATGTCTTCCCAAGTCTTAAGCCTCGTCAGCGCAGAACCCCGGTTTGCTAGATGCAGCTCTCCCAAGGGCTTCCACCTTAGCAGCCCTCGCTTCATTATCCCATCTCGGCGGTACTTTATACAGTAGACCTATAGCTTCCTATGAACGATGGTAGCTTGCCCTTTCCCAGCGTATCTAGGCTCACTAGATCTCTACGTCCAAAGATTCCCCCAAAAAAAAAATAGGCTGCTGGTCATTATTGCAAGAAAGGTCTAACAAGGTATCATGAATGAACAAAGCATCCCCGGCGCCAGCATGAACCATAGGTGGGATGTTCAACGAAATCCCTCCATCTGCTCAGGATTTCGGGGCCGGGAAAACAACTCTGATCCCGGAGTATCTTCAAGTCCATGTGGCGCTGAAGTTTTCAGATATCTCCCCCCGCAGACAACCATTTTTCGGGCCATAAATTGAATCGTTTCGGTAAGGGACAAGATGAAAGCCTCAGGGTGTTGGCCACGAAATTATCTCGTTTTTTTGGAAACCATCTGGTGGAGTCAACGGTAATGCAGAGTTCAATGCGTGGTATATCGTAAAATCGAGTTCAATGTCGTTTAGCGTGCTTTGCCAGCCTGGTTGGAAGCCTCTGTATTGAATGGCAGGTTAGCCTCAATCCATACAGCCATCATGGGCTCAAGAATCATTCGCAGAATGTCAAGGCCACATCTGGTCATGAAACTTTTAGCCTATAAGCCATGCGCAACTCACCTCGCCGTGTGGCATCCTCCAGCAAACCCACGTCAACCTCCGACCGGGGCAACATCACGTAGCGCACCACACTGCCTCGGATGAACATGTTCTTCACCGAGGAGAGGTGAGGGTATTTGACGAGGTCTAGCACTTCGACATCGTCGAGCTTGATATTCAGGTACTGGTCGACCGACTTCAAGATTCCGCGGATGCGGATGTCGTTCTTGAGCTCAATGGTGACAGTCTGGTTTGTCAGGGTCTTAAAGAAGCTGCAATAGCATGAATGTCAGTTACATAATAAACGCAATGATTGGGTAACCTACCTAAAGAAAAGCATGGTTGCGGTGGCCTTGAAAGCTTGGAGGGGTGCGACGGAGACGTGCGACTGAGTAGAGTGGTTATTCGGCCGGGCGGTCAGGGTGGTTTGCGGTGAAAGCTTCGTATCTTCTAACTATAGAAATAAGTATCAGTTTGGTTTACACGGTGAATAGCGGGAAATTATTGTACGAGAGAGCAGAAATTTTCTGTGGTATAGTTGTACTTTATTTAGGAGTCTGTTTTATGTACCTAATTACGGTCGCCGTGAAAATGGTGAATATATATGTTTGACTTTGTATTAGCGAACAACATCACAATCATGGAATTCAGATTATTAACTCAAGTACATGGCAATGAAACATGTATTAAAAATGCCACACTTTTCGCTCCCATGCTCTTAAAGGAATATAAAGTACCACAGACATCACCGCAGCCAAAATCCAGCTAATATCAGTACCATTCGCCGAACCACCTATCGCAGCGGCAATAGGTCCAACCCACCATTGTTGGCTCATAGAAACAACTGCAAGAACAGTTGAAGCAACCCAAGTAACTGATGCAGCTATTCCATACGGAAGCATCTTCTTGTCATTCCATACAGCGAGGTCGTATTGGTAGCCACTCCTCCAGACGTAATGCTCGGCAAGAAGAATAGCACAAAAGGGGACAGTCCAATACGCACATATCAACAAAAAATTCTTCAAGACATCCTCCAAATAATTCCTAGCAGCTATAGCAATCGCCAGGTAGGAAATACTGCCGATCAATGACCAAACAAGACGAGGCACAACAAGGAGCCTTTTTGAGACCATTTGCCCGGCCAGGCCCAGGGAGTACACATTCGCTGTTGTGACAGCAGCTGCCGATAAGCCCAGGAGGACTTCGATCAGATATCCCAAACCACGGACACCGGGGTGTATATCTTCAAAAACAGAGCCAACCAACCCGCCAATCCCACGAGTATCATATGAGGATTTGAACCGTGGGTTGGGGTTCACGCAGAGTGACCCAATCGCGGCACCTAGTAATTCAATCGAAACCTGACTTGTCAAAAGACCAGCATAGGTCCATGAAAACGTTACATTGTCGCTAACTGTTTCGCGCATATAGACACTGTAGTCTGCTGATATTGTCGCCCAGGCGACTTCGAATCCAATAATGGCAGTACTGAAGGAGAGGATATTTGAGGATTCTGTAGATCCGTGGCCCATAGGCACATTGATGAAATGACGAGCTCCAAATCCTGCAGTGATAATTAAACAAATGATTGTCACGATCCAGCAGTATCTTGAATAAATATGGAGGACTCGATACCCAAAGAAGCCAAGGATGATGGCTATCAAGCCAATAATGAGAATTGACACTGTCATTGGTAGCTTTCCATTCCCAGCATCATACAGCACAGCAGCGCCAGAGAGCGTATTCACGGCAGCCCAGCCAAGGGCATCAATCAGATTGAACACAGCAAGGATCTTAGACGGCCACCAGCCAAAACAATACCTGGGGACGAGCATGGTACGTAGCCCAAGATTTGGGCCAAAGCGCACTGTAAGTGCTGGAATGGCAGCGCCAATCAGGTTGAAGAAGATAATAGCAAGAAAGGAGTCCCACCAGCCAAGCCCGAACGTCGTAGGACCCAAGAATCCAAGTGCCAATGTGGACATGTTACAGTTCGCAGCAAAGAACATTGTGAACAAATCTCGAGGTGATTGGCTTGTTCGCATATCCTCAGGAACGCGTTCAACGCCAAATTCCTCAGCTCCGATCGTGCGGGACCAGTTGCGCACTCTCAGCCAGAGTAAATTAGGGAAATGAATATGCGAGGCAGGCGGAGTCACTTTTTCGAGATCATTGGTTGGCCCTGAAGAGATCGTGGCTTCGGTTTCTAGGGCCATGGTGAAAGTGAAGCATATAGCAGTGGGCTGCGTATGTAGTGGCGGAAAAGGCAAATCTGAGAGCTGAGATGAACGGTGAGTACAAGTAGTCATCCATGTTGTTTGATAGGAGGGTCGAATAGAGCCCGCGAGACGGATGTAACGCTCGATCTGAGGAGCCAAGGGGTTGAAAAGGCAACCAGGTGCATACAAGGGCCGCGACAATGCAGGATGAGCCAAATACTCAACAGACAGATAATACAACAGGGGCTACAAGTCCTTATACATTCCACGTCTCTATTATGTCGTACCCAATGTAACATGTTTAAAGAGAGAAAGTATCACTTACGTAATAAATAAAATGAAACACCTAGCGAACAGATAGAAAGAACCCGTGTAAACATGACAAGTATATGAACAAGACCCAGACAATAATCTCAAACCCCGATAAAACACAGCAGAATTTCAAAAAGGACATGCGGCCACATTAAACCTCAAGTGTGGCTTTCTTATCTTGCTCAAAACTTTCCTTCTTTTTCACTGATGCAGGGGGTGCAGGTGGGAATTTGGTGTACTCCGGCGGAAAGGAATCAATAGGTTCATCAGTGCACCCCTTCATATCTCTCTTTTCGTCCAGCGTAGCCATTTTCCCATCGGAATTCCCACTATCCGGTCTGATAAGCTCTTTGTGAACATCCGCCCGGTCCGTCCGTCGAGTGACCTTTCGAGTCCGAATACACCACGCAATACCGAGCACAGTCGTCGTAAGCCAGAGCAACATATTGATGAGGTCAACCCAGACTGCAGCGCGCATACGTGGAACTGATAATGTCGCATCTTCGTATCCGGTTTTGTTGCCGGAGATATAGATCGTCCCGAAAACACTCACTTGGGCAAGCCAGAGGACAAGCAGGACTCCATCCCAGGCCGACCATGCAACTTGAGTTACAGTAAAGAAGCAATGCATAATGCAAGTCAGGGCAGAGAGCGCAGCGACGAATTCAGTGTAGATCCATTCTGCGTGGGCGTGATTGTTGGTTTTCGTGGCGTGTGCTAGATCGACTCCGTATAGACCAGCAACTATGACAGCGAAGGCAAACTGAAGGGTGCGGAGCGCAGCCCGGCTGATAACTCCATAGACTCCGCTCTTGTGCCAGTAGTAATCGATCCTTCGGGGGGTGGACTTGACCATGGTGGGCATGAGCAGCAGTAGAAAGAAGGCTTTCAAAAGTAAAGGCACTAGTGACACGCAAGCGAAATCAGAATTGTTAAGGGATTCTCATTATTCTTCAATGAGCCAATACTTATTGCAATGTAAGTTTCTTTTAAATACCCAGTCGAAACTTGATCCAAATGCTCCAGACCAGATGCATAGCTGTATTAGGAAATTTGATCGTATCCGTACGCTACCCGGATTATAACTGACCAACCAGAGCATCTAGAATGTCAAAGTGGGGTCAAACCCAGTACTAAACCATGGAACCGTCAATCCATCCTTTTTAACTTTTTATACATAGCTCTCTATTCTTAGCCGGTTTAACGGGCTTGATTTAATATCTTTTCTTCATTTCATCTTCTCACAATCCTTCTCGACCCTGAGCTGTAAATTACCAAAGCGGCAGGCTCCCTTACGAAAATGACCAAGCTGAGATAATCTACATCAGTTGAAAATGAGCCTGCCCCACCACACGACGCTGTTTGAGGCGCCGAAGATAGATCAGCGGAACAGGCAATGCCTTCGTTCGGAACGCCATGCTCCACTACACCTTTGTCTGATCTTTTCCTAACCGATGATGACCGCGTGGATATGCGAGTTGGATGCCGATTCAGCCGCAACCCTGAGTGGTTGATGGATAACCCGCCCAGCGAAGCGAGTCACCTCAGCCGGCAGAGACAGCCCTCACACCAGTGGATCATTTAAATTTAAAAGGTAGGCAGCCTCGGTGATGTCCAGCCCTTCGTCGCTCTGGGCGAGAAGTTGCAACGGCATGGATGCCGCGTGCGGTTGGCAACACATGCCAACTTCAAAGCTTTCGTCAAGTCAGCTGGGCTCGAAGCTTTCCCTATTGGTGGAGATCTTGTTGAGGTAATGTCACACATGTTCCGCAATCCGGGGTTAATTCCGAGCATGAAGAGTCTCTTGGCGAGGGATATCCAACTAAAGCGGGCCACTATTGCCCAGATTCTACAAAATTGCTGGCGGTCTTGCATAGATCCAGGCCCACATAGCCAAAAAAACCTTTTGTTGCAGATGCTATTATTTCAAATCCGCCAAGCCTTGCTCATCTGCATTGTGCACAAGCCCTTCGGATCCCGATTCATTTTATGTTTACCATGTCCTAGACAGATACCAAGGCTTGATGAAGGGTTTCACTAGCTTGACTGCCAAATCAGGAGCGGCTAGGATCGGCTTTGTTGCTCATCCAAATCAGGGGATATATCGGTCCAGTCGAGCTCACTTGAGAACCGAACTTACTATGAGAGTTGTGGAGGCGAGATGGGCCGAGGCAGAATGGATTGTGAATGATGATAACGGCTTGAATGTTGATGTGGCAGTGTTAGGTCCTTCGTATGATGATCCTAGAGACAAAGTCCACATAGCATGCTGGAACTAAGGCTAATTTGCACATTTCTTTCTTCTCAACATAATAGAAATACAGAAAGAAAAAAGTGTGGCGCACTTATTAGTACATTTCGTACCCGTACTTTATTACGCAAGAGGAGAAATAGACGAGCCAGAGAAACATATAAAAGAAAATCTTAACAAGAAACTAAGAACAGTAGCCTTTGCTCTTAATGACCAGAGGTAATTAGTAACCTGCGTTATGTTTGAAGCCATCCGCCTACCCATTGGCAACTAACCCTAACGGCGGGAATACATCAGCTTTTGCTCGCTTGTCTCAAATAATCCAACTCAGCGACAGGTTGGATTGAATTGTTGCTATCACTTCTAGGCGTCATTAAATGTTTAAGAAGGCCGCTGCGCAAGAAACCCCCCCCCCTGGGCCCACCCACATAGCGTCATTTCCTGGGTGATGATAGATCCATGGCTTAGTCTCTCTTACCTCTAGGCTGAACCCTTAAGAAATTGTTTCATGTTACGATATAAATAAACGGGGGCCATACTCGTATTCGGGTATCTTAAAGTAGTGGGGCTGTGGAGTATCAGGCAGCGATTTCCGTTGCTGCAGTCAGCTTACTTCTTTGTCGAAATCTCACCTTGGCGCAGGAGATGCAATATACGCAAAATAGTGGACAAATAGAGTTTTCTAAGGTATATGCGATATGATCGAAATGACACAAGGAAGAAAAACACATCGTGAACTCTCAACTACTTGTCCAAACCAATTGTGCTTTGTTTGGTTCAATCTAAGATTATCAGATGCGGATATTTTTCCCCTAAGCTAGTGGCTTGGTATACAAACCAACCTAGCATCGAATCAAGCCACACTTTGGCAATGTTACTGCCTTGTGTTTACCATGCAACATGAATCCACTCCAAAGGGACCTTCTATTCAGAGATAGGCAGGGCGGCAGTGTCAACAGAATATAAAGAGATAATTAGGTCTCTCAAATAATAAAAAGCACTAGCTAGGGTGATCAATTTTTCATTCTGCTTCATATCCACGCTTTATTGCAGAAATGGGCAACCCAACTGTCGTCTCATCTATTGATGCAGCTCCTTCCTGGATGTTATATTCTCTACATTCTTTACATCCTCATGTCATCCCTATCACATTCTCATTGATCTACCTATTCTGCACGGGCTCAATATTCTTCGATGTGGTCCATCATCTACTGCATCGTTGCAACAACTCGTCTCATCCTCTCTTCCAACAATTGGCCCGTATACACCGTTACCACCATCTGTACTATACACGCCATATGGATTTCAACGAGAAATATCGCATGCAGAATTTGACTCAAGCCTTGCCTCTTGAGCTAGCACTTCAGGTCATTGGCACCGTACTGGGGTACATCTTCATTACTTTGGTCACCCCCAGCAGCCGCGTGTGGATTCTACAAAGCCACCTTTGGTCTATCATCGGGTTTCAAGCTGTGAAGATGATATTCGTCATACTCACAAGTGGTCGTGACTCAAACCACCTCATCTACGAGACTGCTCCCAAGGACCCTAATTGGATATTTGTGGGCCCTGAGTTCCACGCTCTCCACCACGTTTACCCCGATCGTTATATGGGATCTTTCGTCAAACTGTTTGACTGGGTATGGGGCACCGCCTACTCTTTCCGAGGGAAACGCTTTGTGATCACCGGTGGCAATAGATCTTTCGGTCAAGCCATGGTGACAGAGCTGGAACGTGAGGGTGTGCAAAACATTCGAAACTTGAAGTTTGGTGAGGATTGGGACCATGAAAACTTTGCAAAAGCGGCTTCGGCGCTTTCATCTTGTGATATCCTCATCTTGGCACATACTTCCAGAGGAGAAGATGCCATGAAGTCAAATTGTGACTCGGCGGTTCGACTGGTGGAGCTATTCAAGCAACACAGAGAGAAAAACATATCTAATCCGACACTTCCTGAAGTATGGTATGTCGGCAGTGAAGCTGAAATGCTCCCACCATTTGGAAATGCGGAATTACAACGCTACTCCGACTCAAAACGACGCTTCCTGCCACATGCGCGTTCATATTATGATGATACCGAGATCCTTTACCGTCACATCATGCCATCAGCTGTCAGTTCAGCAGATTGGACCGCTAAGTGTTCAATGTGGTGGATCCGGAGAGGTGTTCGGTATATTCCTATCTCGCATACGGGTATTGCCTATTTGAATTATTTCAAGTTTATGTACTGGACTCCATATGCACAGGACATGGATAGATTATGAAAGATACCCAAAGCAAATATCAGTTATATACCTTCTTTCTTTTTACTGGGCTTCGATGTATTTAAAGTGTGCAGTTCAACCTCTGGAAGCCGGCTGGTAACTTAATCCCCAGCTTTGCGGCCAGATCTACTCCCATTGTGGCTGATGCATGTGTTGCATACCAGCGGCTCATAAGCAAAGGCCAATAGACTGCATGCCCAACCCTTTTTCTCCGGAATTTCCTCGGGGTTCGGTGATTGTCCGCCACAGGGGCTGGGCTAGACTCCGTCAAATCAGAACAGACGAGAGAAGGCGTCAACCAGTGCACATGAGATATTTACCTCAGCGCCACAACGTGCCTGCCTAGCGCATGTCAGAAAAGACAGATCAGCTTGGTGTTTGATGTCTTACGATGGGGCCATTTTCTTTGTCAACGTATGCTCCACCATGAAACGGATCTCGTCCATCTTAGGAAAATGGACATGGGTACCCCTGTGAGTTCTCAAGACATGCGAGCTTATAAACTGCGTGATATGTGCTGGTATACCAGGGATCAACATCAAACTGAATCACGCAAAGTTTGGCATATCGCAACAGGGAGCAATAGGGGTCAGGGGCGCCTGTTGCGAGTCATTTGCGGTCGTGCATTGAGTGGCAACTGTTCCCATCGCTCATAGAAGAGCTCATCTTCCATCTACATCAGTTACAAAAACAATTGAAATATAACTGACAATCTAAGAGAAAAAAAAGGTATGAGAAGGATATTGAAGCTGGAAGGACAGGATGCGTATGTACAGGATATCAAGGTAATTACATTAAGAGTCAGCCACCAGGGCCCGACGAAGTAGATAAATAACAAGCATATCACAGCCATAGACCTAAATCCCAGAAGAACGACCAGCGCCCCTCTTTGGCTTCATAGCCCAACCAGACAAACAAGTCCACCCAGCCCCGTTCTTCCTCCCCTCATCGAAGACAGCCCCAACACCCTCAAGCAGCTTCGACCTCTCACGACCCATCTCCATCCGCAACTTCAACAACCATGACTCCCACATCCACCCGCCAATCAGACCTGTGATACTGGCGATGTCGGCTGTGCTACCTACTGGCCCTTGTACGGCTTCATACTCTTCTATTTGGCTCTGCACGCGCGGGGCGGGGGTCTCGCGTGGGGGTTCGCGCTCGATTGGCTCCGTGCCCATGGGTAGGAACATCCAGGCGCGCTTTGTGCTTGTAAATCCAATCTTACGGAGGCGGGCGAGGAAGCTCTTTGAGGCGACGGGGTCGTAGCCGCGCTTGCGGAGGTTGAAGGCCATCTCGACGGATGTTGCTGAGGCGTATTGGCCTGCGCGAGAGATTTCTGCGTCCAGGACTTGGAACTCGAGATAGCCGCCTGGCTTGAGGCAGCGCATGCATTCCTTGAGGACTAGGTCGTATTCATCGCTATTCTTGCCGGCTGGGCATTCAGTCTTCAGCAAGGCGTGGAGGGAGCGCGCTGAGACCACGTCGAACTGGTTATTACCGAAGGGTAGCTCCCAGGGATTTTGGACGGTAACCTGGCGGTGGTTAGGTGGGCCTTTGATCGCGCTGTTCACGGTTTGGTTCTTGGATGACACAGTGTAGACCTTGACATTTGGGAACTCGTGAGCTGCTTGCCATGCCCAGTCACACGAGGAGTGGCCTCCGAAATCGAGGATCCGGAAGCTCCGCTTGCCTGGTCCGTCCGATGGGCTTGGCTTGGAGGTGGTACGTGCAAGCCGGCGCTGAGCAGGGCTTGTCAGGAGCTTGCCGCCGTTGAGAGACCGGAGGGCATCCATGGCCCACATCGATTGGCAAAGCTGAGCGAGAACCAGTTGTTCCTTCTCAAGCTTGTCAAACTTGGCCTTCTCAGCTAGCTCAGAGGTGATTACCGAATTGCGGGGAGCCTTGGCAAACGGGCCCTTGTATGCAGGGCGCTCTGGCCGGACAAGCTCATACTTGCCAATCAGGCAGTTGATGTGCAGGTCCCCCATTCCAAGACGCATAGATTGTATAGCATCATATCGCATATTGCGATGAAGAAAGCCATCAGCCTTGCTTGATCTTTGCCGGAGAGACTGGAAACCCTGCCAGTAAATTGAGTCCTTGCTGGCAAGGATGGGTGGCAGGGGACTCAATGCTTCGGGAATAGCCTCAGAAAACCGGACCATCTTCTTAGACGTTTCTCCGGTCTTTTCTTGCACTTCAGCCTTGACAGCTTCAGTCTCATCCTCGGAAGCCTCAACGGGCTCGGGCTCATTAACTGGATTGGTCTCATTGAGAGCAGAGAGGTATGAGGCCTGAGCAGCCAGCCAAACACTGGTCCTGTCGTGGCTGTCAACTGCACGGTGCTGCAGCTCCTGGTCGTAGAGCTCGTCGTACTCATACCCATTTCCAGAGCGAGGAATCTCCTGCACAGCATCGAAGGCAGCACTCATCGGACTATCCTGATAAATAGTCCGACGGGTTGGTGTCTCACAAAGACGAATGGCAGTAGGCGGGCCTTCCTCATCACGAACAGCTGTAACTGGGTCTTCATCATTAGGGCGCTCAGGCCAGTCAACCACTTGCTCCACAACTTCTCCCTCATCCCGGCGCCATGGCAAATTGTAAAATCCTTCTGCTGCTGCTGACGTTGGCTGGTTGTTGGTATTTGGAATAGACCAGGTGTGGCGAGCACGTGGCGCAAGTGAAGCGAAGAAACCACCAGGCGACGGGATGCTCAGGTCACTGAAGCTGTATCCGGACAGCTCGGAGGCCGGAGTAACCCCATCAGTACTGCGTGGACGGCTAGGAGGTGCCTGCAGCTGCCACATCTCACTATTTCCCTCAGAGCTTTCAGACCACGAGTCTGGTGTTCCATCCAGACGGATATGGTGAAGCATAGCCAGAGCCGAGTCAGGCAGGAAGACACCCTGGTTCGTGGGTGTGGACTCGCGTATTGGCTCCTCGTTTAACTGCGGTGAAGATGACGGCGAGGGCAAATATCTCTGAGCAGCTGAAGGAATCTGAGGGAAGTTTCCCAGAACGTGGCGCCAGTCCTCGTGCGAGCTCTCAATGGCGATGGGCACTTCAATATCTGAGCTGCCATCTCCATTCTCCATATCACTATCACTTCCATCCATATCACGTCGAACATGTATATCATGTGCGGTCCAGTTTGTATCTGGCAGAGACTGAGAGTCTGGTGTGGCCAACCCACTGATAACCGATTCCTGGTCTGAGGAGATGCTTCCATCGAGCGAAGGGGGGGCATGGTATGCAGGTACAGCGCGGCCAAGCATGGATAGAGCTGCAGGGGAGACGGGGATCTTAGGTGGAGGAGTTGGCGGTATTGGCGAGCTCTTGTGACCCCCAGTCATAGATGGCCAAACTGTAGGCGATGGAATCTCAAGTGTGAGAAGGCGTTTCCGACTTCCTGTTGAGGTCACTGAGTTACGAGTAATTGGTGTCACCAAGCTTGATGGCCGGGTATCGGGGGAAAAGCACGAGTCGCTAATGTCCGTCTCGTTATCATCCATATCGTCATCTGTGGCGTCGTACAAATCATCGTATCCTTGCGAATGCCGTTGCCATTCTGTATCTGTTTCTGAGCAGCACGACAAGGTTGTTCCCGCAGAGAGAGGCGATCTTAGACGAGCAAGGCGGGCATGTGTGGGCACTGATAGACCGGTTGTCTTGAGCCTCAGCTGCGGGCTGATTGCTGCTGGCGTGGGTCTGGGAGGTGAGGCCTTGGGACTTTGTGCGAATTGTGCCTCGCGCGTATCCTCCATTATAGTATTAAGCACCGTCCCCCGGGCCTGCCGGAGGGGCGGACATCGAACAGCCGAGCGAAATGTATCGGTCATCTTGTCAACTGCTGGATGCTGGTTTGTGTGAATCGCAGTATCTAGATCTCGAGTAGGCAATAAAGACACCGATCAACGGGTCTGGTCAAGAGAAGGTGTAAAATGAAGACAAGCAAACAAAAGGAAGGTGCACAAGCTGCCAGAGCATGCACAAAAGACAAATAAACAGAACGCTAGAGTACCAAGTCACGGCACTGAAATGCCTATATAGTCGAATGGGCGCTTTCACTAGCCGGCGGGGTCCAATGAACACGCGATCCTTGTTCACAGATTGTCATATTGTTGCAGAACTACTGCAGCATTGGGCACGCTTAGTCCAATAGCTCCGGTCGGGACGGTGGGTAGCAACGAGTTGATTGGTGTTGAGAAAGTGGGCGCATCGCCTTGGACCAGGGTGACATCCTCTCGAGGAAGAGCCAAGGCCATTTTCTCAGCAGAAAAACGAATGACCGAACAGTCAAAAGGACAAGGACGGCGAATGAGCATCGTAGATGCTGTGATGAACCGCCGGGGTGGAAGGATGCAGTGTGAAGAGGTCGGTGATTGGCGCAGCGTAGCCGCCCGAATACTATCTTTAGGCGAATTAGCGGCTTTTGGACGTCAGTGCAACCTCATTTATGCTGATTTCCTCTCGATGCGGAAAGAAACTGGGATAATTAATGATCGGCCAGAAGAGCAAATGAGGGGAAATGGCCGCCAAGTCGAGATTAATGCACACTAAGGCATGGCCCAATATAATTATAGAAAAGTGATAATTGTCCGCATATGGCCACATTAGTCCATGTGACTTGTGACCTTAAGGCGCGTAGAGAAGTTGCTCTTAAACTGTGACATGCTGTGATACTTCCAAGTCACAAAGTCAACTTAGACTACACTACCTTGGCGCTACCATAGACATTTATCACCTTACGATCTGAGTTTGGATAGCCACTTTCCAAGGTCAAGAGGGAGACTTTGAATGTGCGGCAATCTATATGACCACGCCACACATACTGTAGTCATGTTGACAGCAGTTAGTGCGGCGCTTTCTCACATAATGTATGCAATGTTGAATACGGCAGCCTTGCATGTGCCAATTTACATGATACTTCTTACCATCGATAGATCCTTCTTGTCCAAAGAGAATGCTATCTTTTCTGAACACATATTGGGGATGCCGTTTCAGACCAACAGTAGTCTACCGGGGAGAACCATCCAGGTCTTGACTTATACTGATACACTGCAGAGCAAGATAACAACGTGAGCACATCATGATTTCAGTCCCAAAAGTCTCCAGGAATCCTCGCGCTACTGGCCGTTGTTCATTGCGTGCATGCACCCCTCTGTTCTCACGTCGAAACCGCTGGTTCGAATCCAAAACCGAACGGTTGAAAGTCCTAATGATAACAGCAAAGAAGCGATTAAACCGTCCCGGTGCATAATTCGCATGGCCTTCTATTTTGGACTGGATACATCAGGGCGGTCTATATCGCTACGGGCCGTTCCGGTTCACAGACGAGGAACACTTCATGTTCTGTTGAGGCAGCCAGTTTATAGATAGCCCCAGGCAATTCAACTCTTAATCTGGTTTACTACTTTGTGTGAGTGGGCAAGCATGTCGCTCAAAATATCTATTCAGATTGCACGCATATCACTCGGGTTAGTGCTAACGGAAAGGGTATTTGAAAGTGACTTATTCATCACTCCGGTGCCCTAGAAGTTGCCTCTGATCCACTCTGACGATCATTATATCAATTAATCTATCGATCTAGTGGAATAATATAAGCCTCGAATGGAGTTGTTGTTTTACCGGTTCTTCCTCGGTGCCCTTGTGTCCTGAACGAGTATACTTCTTGGGGTGTTTCTGGATTATTAACTCACTGGTTTGGCATGCTACGTAATGAACAGTACAAAATTAATACAAGGTTATTACTACTTCATCGGTGTGTAGTTTGTCGCGCAGTGTTGGAAAAGGTATCCGAAGTAGTATAGTCCGAGCGCATGGGCGACAGGACCACACAAGTATACCACAAGGCGTTGGTAACCACAATATTAGCGCGGTCTCCTATTTCTGAACACTTCAAATGAACTTTCTGAATGTTGAGAGTCAACAGTTCAGAATTTGTTGAAGGGTGTTGATCAAGCCCGGAGCAGTGTGCCCCGACTAGCACGTATGGCCCGCTTTTCCAACACAGTCCAAGCACGACATGTAATCGGGCAGACAACGGCTATTCTAACGGCTATTGAAAATCAAGGTGAGGGAGAATGGTCCCGATCTGCGAGGCGTTGTAAAAGGATCTACTGCTAACCGATCGAGGCTCGAGGGTAGTCACCAGGTAGAGCTCAGGCCATGACCAACGAGACAGTATCCTATGGCATGCAGTTCGTATATTATATAGTCACAGTGGTCAGTAAGTTCAAACTATCGTGATCTTCAGAGTACCGAGTACACTATTAAGACTCAGAGGTGATGAGAAGATGATTGGCTGCTCGAGACTCCGAAGCTTCGAAGATTCCAAGCGATTCCTGTTTTGTTTAGATCGAAATATCCCTGTCTTATCCCCTGTCTATCAAGGTCAGCAGACCGGTGCAATTTTTACTTCCTGCTTTTGATGGCGACGGAATCACCCAAAAGGGCAACCCACGATGCTCGTGTTAGATGCGCTGATTTGTGGGATGATCTATGCAGTCTCCATATTTTGCCCCCCCCCCCCCCCCTTCAACGGCAAGGAGAACTTGCATAGATGTACAGTAACTATTATAGGGCCATGTAGATCGTGAGCCCCACGTGAGAGTCAGAGCCCTTATCAGTTCGGAAGAAAACACCAGAGAGGGATAGAAAGGGAAAAAGAAAAGATAGAATAGATAGAAGGAAAGATAGAATAGATAGAAGAAAAGAAGATTTATAGAACAATACAATATTTTATACTCCGACTGCTCGGGACCTCAATGGGTCTACGGTGAATCCACCTTCGCCACTCTACAGCTTCAGACATCGTCATCCTGTAATTTTTTCTCTATATCTGCCCCTCCCCCTCCTTTCCCACACTTCAACAACTCACAATGTCGCCGCCAGCCATCATCGCCCCTTCTATTCTCAGCGCCAACTTCGCCAATCTCGGCCATGACTGCTCCAAGAAGATGGAGCAGGGTGCCGACTGGCTACACGTCGACATCATGGACGGCCACTTCGTGCCCAACATGACAATTGGCTGCCCCGTCGTCTCGCAGATCCGCGGCTGCGTCGACAGACCTCTCGAGCCCTGCGGCCGGGGCACCTTCGATTGCCACATGATGATCATGGAGGTTCGTTGAATATTCCGTGCGGATCCGCCATCCCGCAAGCTTCGAGCTCCGGCTGCAGCTCCATTGTGAAGCTCCCCGCTGATTTTTTTTTCTCCCTTTCAGCCTCACAAGTGGGTTCGCGAGTTCAAGAATGCCGGTTGCGATCTTTACTGTTTCCACTATGAAGCCGCTGTCTCCTCCGTTGCCGCGACCGACCCTACAGATAAAGAGACTACCGAGCGTACCAGCCCCAAGCAATTGATCCGTTATATTCACGAAGAGGGTATGCAGGCTGGTATTGCAATTAAGCCCGATACACCTGTCGATGTGCTGTGGGATATTCTTGAGAGCGAAGACGCCGCTGAGCGACCAGACGTGGGTTCTACTTTGATTTGCTCTGTGTAGACTCAGTATGCTTATACTGACTGGAATAGATGGTGCTTGTCATGACTGTGCACCCCGGTTTCGGCGGACAAAAATTCATGGCTTCTGAGCTGCCCAAGGTCGCTGCTTTGCGCGAACGATTCCCCGACTTGAACATTGAGGTTGATGGAGGTCTTGGTGTCGGCACCATTGATCAGGCTGCTGATGCTGGTGCCAATGTGATCGTTGCGGGTTCGGCGGTCTTTGGTGCTGCGGACCCTGCCGATGTCATTGCAAAGTTGCGAGAGGCTGTCCAGAAGCGTCGCAGTTAGATACACATAAAAGGGGTTTGGTGTTTTGGCCTTTTGTTCCTAATCACGAGTGATGAATGGCATTGTACGTGGGTGTCTCCATGGAGTTTTGATCTATTTGCGCTTAACACGAGCAAGGGAAATGTTCAATGTACAGAGTTCATAATCATCGAAGTCGTGAATGCATCTCCTTAGTCTTTGGACCCCGCCTTGTCCTTTGTGTCTTCCTGTTCCTTGATCTCCTCAGACTTGGACTCCTTGGGCTCATCCTCCTTCACAGCCTCTTTGACCTCCGACTCCTTGGTCTCGGTCTTGGGTTCCTCAGCCTTGAATTCCTCAGCTGCAGCCGCCATTTTGGTATCATTCACATCCTCGAAGAGCGGTGTCGCAACCTCTTCAATCGTGTCGGATCCTGTCTGCTCCGCAGCCTGCTTGCGGATAGAGTCAAGGTTGGCAGTAGGCTCATCGGCAGTGATAGACGCCCTAATCTCGCGCACAACCTTATCTTGCTCATCCTTATCCGTAGTCGAAATGATAGAACCGCGATGATGCTCAACAAGCCCAAGCGCCTCGGCGTTCTCTGCGTGGAAGTTAGCCGATGACACAGCCGCCATTTCAGGAATGAGGACGGGGCGTTTGGCGGCCTTCGGCGAATCAGGCGCAGTGTCTGGAAGCTCGGCAGCGACAGAACCGCGGTGCCCACGGGGAGCTGGCTTCTCAGCGGGTTCCTTCTTCTCTTCGGTCTTGGACGCGGCCTTGGATGCAGCCTCTGAGCTAGCCTGACGCAGTGCAAGCACGGCCTTGTCATCCTTCTTCTCTTCGGTCTTGGTGGGTGGGCTTTGGATCTTAATTGTGGAGGGCTTGGGGGTTGCGGGTTCGGGCTCGGTCTTGCCATCGGTCGCGGGGATTGGGCAGCTGGTTGCTGGCATTCCACCCAGGTCCTGGACGCTGAGAATTACCAGACGGAGCTCGCCGAATTCGTTCCATTCTTCGATTTGTTCAAGGTCCTGTAGGTTGAGGTTAATGGTTGGGAGAACTGGGAGCTCTCATGCAAGGGATCACATACTCCCACAATGTCGCCGTATTTGACCAAGCCAGGTAGTTTCTTGCCCTTGGAGCGACGGCCCCAGAGTTTCCGAGCAGCATCGTCGGTGGCGACATCAACAGCGCGGAAAGGGAGCTTGTTTGCTTTGAGAATTGTCTCGATGCGGGCAGTGGCGGTGACGATGTGCGATGACCCCGCGGTCAACGATGTGTACAGGTAGAGAGTTGGGTCGGACATGGTGTATGTGTAGAGGTTGAAATGAAACGAGGTGAGGGGTTGGAGGTTGACGTTCTCTTGAAATGACTTCAATTCAAGCTTGGAGTGGAAGATCGAATTTCCCCTGAGGCTTATGACGTTATCACGTGCAAACTACATAGATGAAACTTATGACAATTTAGTTTCATCTTCGCTGATCTTCTTATATTCTTCCTAACTCCCATGATGTAGTCTTCCTCCTTCCTCTCCACAATCTGCACCGTACCATGTCTCCAACCGTTACCCGCCCTGGCAAACGGGCCCCAGCGTGGCAACTTGACGTCAGTCCAACCTGATTCCAAGTTTGGGATCAGTTAGGTCCAATTGCAGTCTTTATATGTCGCTTTCAGTTTGAGATGCTAGTCATTACTGAATATCGTGGCTTCAGAGAGTTTTGCTGTACTCTGTACATATACATGGCGTATCTAAGCCATCATGGATGAGTGCGCCTGACCTATATCCAAGTCTCAGTACGGGTACCGAAGCCCATAGCTCCGGTTCATACGTAATTGAGTCCAGTCGCCTCCTGCATCTGACTCCTCTTTCTACCACGGCTCCAGGCATCAAACTGTCTTTGAATACGGGCAAATCATGAGCGACCGAGTTGTCGACCTCAAAGCCTACTTCCTACGCAGTGTATGGAATAGGGTGATCAGCACAGCAGAGAACATGACAGCGTGCTATAACTGGGGTCATAACTATGGTGACAGTGTAATGAAGGATTAGATACTTTCTATGCCAAATCTTCCCAGTGAGCAATACTATAACATGCATGTTTGAACCCTTGGTTGGCCTCTGTTTTTCAAATCTTTTTGTCCATTCTCGAGTGTCTCGAGCAAATAAATCAGGTAATATAAGTATGGGAGGTGCAAAACGCCCCATGACATCGCGATAGATAATAACTGCTCTTGTGGCAACTACTTGGTGCAGCTAACACGCACCACATGGGACATAGATTAGACCAAATGCAACACGGCAATGAATCAGCAAGAATATATCTCCGCGACTCACACTGAATGTGTTATACCCTCCATCTTCACCAAAGACACACTTCAGAGCCTCAAATACGCGTCGCAGACCAGATGTGCAGGCCAGCCATGCACAGCCGGAGCCACACCCATGTCAAACGACAAAGAAAATTAACCTACTGACTGGAGCATCCAGCCTCCTTGGAAATCAGCTTATGGAACTCGCATGGTATCTTTATTTATCCTGACACGTGCGTTCTATACCTCGCAAATCGTTACGCTCCCACCCGACTGAGTGGACAGACAGGATTGCTGGTGGCTTGAGTTGGTGGTTGCAGGTTGCCAGTCAGGTTTTTGGATGGCGTGTCTCATGACAGATGTGCGGATTCAGTTTTGTTGGATGTTTCTAGATTGCATGTCGAAGATTAGACGTGAGATTGTGGGAGTAGACAGTGGAATGATACACCAGTTGGAAGCAATACTTGCAAGCCCGTTGTCGATCTATTCGTTTGGATTCTGCAATCTTGTCTACTTCGGGGAATTGATATAATTAGGAGACGTTAGGCACTGAGAATATAGTAGTGGCTATTTACCTATTCCAGTTCCCTGCATTAAAATGGCCACCCGTGCACAAACTCAGGAACCTATCATTATAAAAAGCTCCCCTTTGCCATCTAATCCCACGCGTGCCACAACCCAGTCCAGGACAATGCAGGCAGCAGGTCTGGGCTGTGATGCAGGGGCGGGCTTATCAGGATCTCAGCTTGAAAGACATAGGGGGGTGGACTGGATTGCTGTGCTTCCAATCCCGAATGACGAAACTGGGGTCTGCTGTAGAGTCGATCAGGAGACATGGATTGAACTTGACGGTGAAGCCGGGTATCGTGTCAAACGGTGGACGGACTCTCGGGCCACCGTGTGGAAGGCGGTGCAGCAATAGCGAATCCCCGATTTGTCGAGTGTATAGGTCCGTTTTAGTGGAGAGTGATACATCCAACTCATTCTGCACTCGGATTGTCCACAACGCTCAAGGCGATCATCCTGGAAGGAGAGAACGACGTAATGAGTGAAGAACTTGGTAGTGTACTTCTGGCATGAAACGGCGGCAGCACCAGTAGTCGCTCAGGATCAGCAACTCGTTTCAATAGGAGGTGGATCATGCATCACGTGGAGTGACTAGTGCAGAACCCGAGATTGGGCAAGCCAACTGGAAATAGCTTGAAGGAATACAGAGTAGAATGTACCCCCTGTTCTCCGTGAAGCATAGATTTAGATCCTGGAACCATGGGACTGGTGCGGGAGTGACCCATGGTTCAAGGCACTGTACGGGCTCATCGAAGTTCCCCTTTTGGTTTCAGTTGTTTCGCATTTTCATTTGCATTTTGATCGGTTGGGCATTGGACCTGCACCTGCTGGACCTTAGCGACGTGGCACTCATCCAGACGAACCATCCGCAACTGAGGGTCTTGGCTGGAGGGCTCAAGGGTTTCCCGCTGTAGGCGCTGTATTCGCGGAAAGGGGAGTTATATGTATAGACAGGTAGCAGCTCACCTTTTCGTAAGCAAGGTCTGCGCTGGCCTCGGGAGAGACTCGGGCTGATCCGGTTCGCTGCCTCACTTTTTGGTCTTTGTTGCTCCCGCAGCTCAGCCAACGAGATGTCGCCTTCCCGTCTGTCACCCGGGCTTGCTCCGATGGTTTGTTACAATACATCATTTCTGGGTATAGGGGTCCAGACTCGGGATCGACTTGGAGTATAGTAGTCTCTGTTAATCCTCGTATCTTACTTTGTGGGGGACCTTTTTGTAGCCCAATCTTTCCTCTTTTTACGCGTCTTCTCCCAACTTATGATATTCGATCTTCCAATCCGCTTCAGATCCTCTGCCTTGATAAGATCGGCTTTCCATCTGCCATCGACCATTTGCCATTTACTTTTTGTAACTATTTCTCCCCAGATCTACGTACGCGATTCCTATTCTGTCCTTCGTCGCTGGTATAGACTAACCTCTGCAGACTCCTCTCCCTACATTTGACTACTGATAGACAGTGACTTCCCCGGCCGTTGTCCATTGTGAGGAACCATTCCGCACCATGACTGTCAACCCGGCCGATGACGAACTGTTCACGAGAGCCATCTCCGGATACCGCGAAGCCTTTTTGGTTCAACATTCCCACCTCTCGGAATCCGAACAAATCCAACTCTGGAGGGAACGGCTTGGGCAATTCATGCCGGCCCCCCAGGAGCCCGTAGGGAAACCGGGGAAACGGTCTCGACAAGATGCGACACCTCGGACGATACCTCCCTGTGACTCTGGTCTCCCGCGGGCAAAACGGAGAGCCACCGTATGTGACCTTGGTCTCTTGCTCCTCACGTCTCCTGCTCCCATGCGATCGCTTCTCTTGACTTCTGACCCGCCACATCCGTCCTTGGATTGACCATTGGCAGACCCCGGACCTCGCAGTCTCCGACCTGACTCGGAACCTCTCCCACGCCTCATCCCCCGACCTACCGCGGACCGCGTCCTTGTCGACCCTCGAGGGAGCCTACCGTCACACCGCCATGGTCCGCTCCCAAAGCCAGCAGATCCCGGTCTCTCATCGACACTCTGCCGGGGATGCCATGGGCAAACGCCAATCCTTCGGCCCCCGGACCCGTCGTCTCGACCATGTTGACGAGTATTCGCCCCTCCGAGTACGCCCGCCATCTGGACACCTCGCAGCCGATTGATGCGGCCTGGACTTGCAACGAACGGACTGGACCATCCTTCCCGTGCCCCTGGACGTCCCCTTTCGACCAGGTCTCGACATCGGCGGTGGAAATGTCACGCAGCGAGACCACCGACTCGCTCATCGGCGGCATTGACATGTTCCGCTTCGACTCGTCTGGACCATCTCCAACTCCAAACTCCATCGGCTCCATCCCTCCGGACTGGGTGCCAACTTCCTCCCCTTTCACGTATCAAGACCCCTTTCTCTCTGTGTATCCTGACCTAGATCCCACAATCCCCATGCCCTTTTCCAACACCTCCCCCTTCTCAACTTCCGCTCCTCCATCCACCCCCTTCTACCCAATGCCCCACGCCTTCCCATCAATGGAGGCATCGGAAATGAGACCCTCAGATTCCTTCGACAGCATCAACTCGGCAGCTTCACAATCGCGCGCGGCGCGCCGCACCCAAGAGCAAATCGCCCACGGCGCCCGTCCCATTGCGCCAAAGCGCGACTCCCACGACAGCACCATGTCCCTCTCCGACCCAAGCGACCCACGCAAGATGCTTCGTATCTCCTCGGCAGACGGCACAACCAAGGAAGTCGCCGCGATCCCCAAAGCATCAATCCACAGACCTCCACGCCCAAAGACATACTGCCATCTCTGCCAAGACCATCCGGATGGCTTCCACGGTGACCACGAGCTGCGCCGCCACATCGAGCGCGTGCACTCTTCCGTTCGCAAAGTGTGGATGTGTGTCGATATCTCAACTGATGGGAATTTCCTGGGGAACTGCAAGGCATGTCGGAATGGGAAGAAGTATGGTGCGAATTATAATGCCGCAGCGCATTTACGTCGCACCCATTTCAATCCTTGTCAGCGAGGTCGCGGTGGTCGTGGCAAGGATAGTGAGAAGCGCGGTGGGAAGGGCGGTGGTAATTATCCGTCCATGGATGTGTTGAAGCATTGGATGGTTGCCACTGAGGAGGTCATTGACGGCGCATCTCTGGGTGGTGTCGAGTCGGGTGTTCTCGTTGGGGGTGAGCGCAAAGTTTCGATGAATTATGAGGTCGACGCGACTGTCTGCGAGACTGTGGAAGATTATGTCCCGTTTGACATGGGATCGGCCCCGTTTGATGGGTATGATCAGTTCTCCGAGGCGCCTGGCGCGCCATTCAAGCTCGACCTCGAGCTTGAGGAGCAAGCTTCTCCCAAGTCCCCGCTCTATTTCGACCCCCAGCGACCGTTCTCGCCAGAAGTGGATTCGTATGTGTGAGTTGGGCGTAGTTTTTATATGTTCCTGTTCATATTATTTTGTTCCTGTATTGTATTCTTTTGGGAGGGGGGGTTCGGGTCAAGGTGTGATTCTCATTGGCGATATATGTATATGCAGCTATAATGAATGTTAATGAATATCAAGTAGCGAGTACAAGCATTCCAGGTATCCGTGGTACTGCAGCTGACGTATCGGGTACCGCGTAGGCAACAACAATACGGTGAAGTGCCAAGAGAAGCCGATCATCCGGGAGAACGCGCTGGATTTCCTCAATATTTCGTGAGTGGCTGACATGCCTCAGCTGCGGGCCTTGTCAGCCAATAGTGCGCTCTGGTCGCAGCGAGATTTGTGGCTGACTGCATTGGTCAGTAGGGCTGGTGGCTGAATCAGTGAGATACCGCTAGGGTACGAGGCTTGGGTACTTCTGTTCCCCAAGATGAGTTGAATGTGTTCTGTCAGATTCATTTCCAGTCCCAACTTGAAGTTTGTAAAAAGTAAACAAAAAGCGAAAGATGTAGGAAACATCTCACCGCGGAGAAAGCAAAAGGGGCAGAAAAAGGTACTTCGCGGGTACCTCAGCCCTGTGTTCTTGGCGGTCAAACCCTCACTTCGGGGCCCCCGGGCAAGTACCTCCCAAGTACCCCCAACTCTTTCTTCAGTTACACCCGTGAGTCCTCTCCTCCTTCATCCTCTCTCTCTCCTCTTCATTTTCCCTTCCAACTCGCTTCCCTCATCTCTTCCGGCGACTCATCTCAGTTCGTCCATTACAGTTTCGATCGCAATCAATCTTCGTTAAGAGACCTAGGTATGTGTTTTTTCACCGCTGTGGCTGTCGTGTATCCTCTCAGGGCCTGCTTTAATAGCCCCGAGGCGCAGGTCATCCCTATCGCGTTGGTTGTGAGCACTTGCTGATTTGTCTCCTATTTCTTCAGAACCGTCAGTGCCAATATGTCCTACCAGCAGCAGTATCCTCCTCAGGGCCCTCCCCAGGCGTAAGTCCATATCTCGATCGCATATACCCTCAAATCCCGTGGTCGCTTTGAGTTTCAATGGGACTGGATGCGATGGACAAGGTCGGCGGAAGTCAGATTCTTTTGCGACCGCGAAGTTGCGGCTCAGTCCATCCCCGTTTCGCATATCTCGCATCATGATGGAATTCGTTCTGATTCGGATAATATAGCTACTACCCGCCGCAGCAGGGCTACCCTCCTCAGGGCTACCCTCCCCAAGGCGGCTATGACCCGAACTACCCTCCCCAGGGATACCCCCCTCCTCAGCAGAACGTACGTATTGAAATCTGTAACTTCACATACTGCGAATACTAAGACATAACGTTATAGATGAACTACTCTCAACCCCCGCCGCAGCAGGAGAAGAAGTCTGGCGGTGGTGGCTGCCTCGGATGGTGGTAAGTGTTTGTCTTCTTGTGGTCAATAAGAAAGCCACTAACATCAACCTTTTCTACCAGTCTGGCTACTCTGTGCTGTTGCTTTGTCTGCGAGGAGGGCTGCGAGTGCTGCGCCGACTGTGTTGAGTGCTGCGAGATGTGCTAAACTCTACGACCCACGATATCGATGATATATTTCTTCTTGCCGGCGTTGATCATTCTCGCTATGCCCGGCAGCGTTTTGGGACAAACTACAGCACTCTTTCAATGCAATAATTTCCTTTCGTCCCCATTTAGTCGAACTTGTTTCTTTGATGGAAATTTCCAGCATACTCAAATCGAGCTCCATCATCTGTCCTAACATTCTTGAGTTAATTTGATTCCCATTGGTTCCATTGGTTTGCAAACGTTCCCCTGTTTATCTACGATCATGCACATACGTACTTCCTAGATGAAAGCCTGACTTCAATCGACCCCAAGCAGTGTAATGGTTTTTTTTTTTTTTTCCCTGATACTTGGGATTAATGCTGAGTGTTATACTACACTGACCCTGTGGGATATGATCTTCATCCGCAGTGTATATTTCGATGATATTCTCAGATTGTGATCTAAATAGCAGTATGCGTCAAATTGATGCAGTGCGGAGTAGTTTGTTTCATTTTCAACACTAGAGAAATGTACTGGATTATTTTTAGTAGGAAAATAGGCGATCTGCATAGAGGCGCCTTGCTGGCAATCTAGATCATTTCTACCCTAGCGGGTCATTGGTGGCTGGGAAGTCTCCTTCCTGTGTCTAGGCGCCTTGCTCTATGTAAAATAAGATGGAAAGCAGTCCCCGAATTGGCATTAACAGAAACAATATTTATATCTGCTGCTGTCCAACATTGTGATTACATGTTTTGATTATACGTTATACGGCCTAGCCAACATGAACAAGCACAGTCAGATTGGTCCAAACCCACGTCATACGCATGGACTCTGTCTTTTGTCTCTGGATGGTGGTGGTGTGAGAGGGTTATCTTGTCTTCTCATACTGAAAGACATTATGACCCAGCTCAATTCGGAACGTGAACACGACCAAGCTTTGAAACCTTGCGATGTGTTTGATTTGATTGGAGGTACAAGCACGGGAGGGTATGTATTATTCCTTGGGGTGCAAATTACTCAACTTAATATGAGCGTCTTTTCTAGGTTGATTGCCATCATGCTTGGACGGTTGGAGATGGGTGTTGATGAATGTCTCCTTGCTTATACTGAATTGATGGAGTCAGTCTTTAGCGACAAGATTAGCAATGTCCCAATGGACTGGTCTGGGAATATCAGGCCGCAGTATGATAGCCGCAAGCTCAAACTGGCTGTTGAAGATGTCATTGAACGCTGTGGGCATTCTCCAACTGAGCCTTTGAACGATGGGACGCCTCGTCGCTCTAAAGTCTTCGTTTGCACAACGTCCAAAAACACTTTACAAGTCACACGTCTCCGAAGCTATACAGTGCCAAATGAGAATGTATTGCCTGCGACGATATCTGAAGCAGCAATGGCAACATCCGCAGCAACAGGATATTTCGAATCTGTGACGATCGGAGCTTGCCAGTTCGTTGATGGTGCCTTCGGGGCTAACAACCCCATCGAAGAAGTGGAGGAAGAAGCAGCCGACATATGGTGCACTACAAGCCGTAACCTGAAACCGTTGGTCAAGTGTTTTGTGTCAATTGGGACAGGCAATCCTGCACAGGTCCCAATCGACGACAATCTTTTAAAGTTCCTTTCAAAGTCTCTCGTCAGGCTGGCAACCAAACCCGAGAGCACGGAACGTCGCTTCACTGCACGATGGAGCAATGAAGTAAAAGAAAACCGATTCTTTCGCTTCAACGTTGAACAAGGATTGCAAGGAGTACATATGACCGAGTTCCAAAAGCAGAGCCTAATCAAGTCTGCAACACATGCCTATCTTCATCATTCTGCTCGGAAAGTCTGTGTGCGTGAGTGTATTTTGAACCTTATCGAGAAAGAGGGTAAGTGCATCGATCAGAATCTGTTTCCAGTTCGCTCTTATGGTACTGACCATTTAAAGAAAAGACCGATATAGACTTTGAAACTACCATACGGGTAAGACAATCCCGGCATATCTTCCTACAAACAATTATTTGGCTGACCTGGTATTCGTTCGACAAGGAATACAGCAATCGGGTTTCTCGCAATCGTGTTTTGAAAACAGTTCTTTCATCAAAACTTCAATCCCACGCCGAGAGGCCTATTTGCTGGGTCGTTCCATTTGAGAGAAATCCCCGGTATGTTGACCGTGAAGTCGTGGGCAAGGTTAAAAGAAAGCTCTTCCTCAAGAACCGACCTGACAGGTTCGCAATTTTTGGCCTTGGTGGAGTAGGCAAGACACAAATATCTTTGGAGCTTGCGTATCAGACAAGAGAGCTGTACCCAGACTGTGCAGTTTTTTGGGTGCCCGCAGTGGACATGGAAAGCATTGAGCAAGCATACCGGACGGTAGCAGAGCAGCTAATGGTTGACATCTCGGGTGCAGATGCAGATGTGAAGAGACTTGTCCAAATTCATCTCAGCAAACCAACCGCTGGCCGATGGCTTTTGATTTTTGACAATGCTGACGACTTCGACATGTGGACCGAGAAGGGGGATTCAACAGCTGGACATTTGAAAAAGTTCCTTCCCAACAGCGACCAAGGGGCTATTATCTTCACTACTCGGAGTAGTAAGGTAGCTCGGTATCTGGCCTCGACAGACATTATCGAGATTCCAGAAATGGAAGTACACAAAGCTATCCATGTTTTACGGAACTCCTTGGTGGACAAAGAGCTCATCAATGACACCGAAAGCACCCGAGAGCTTCTCAATCGGTTGACATTTCTTCCCTTAGCCATTGTTCAAGCTGCATCTTTCATCAACGAGAATTCAATGACAATCATAAGTTATGTTGAGCTCTTGGATGGACAAGAACAGAATGCAATAGATCTTTTGAGCGAGGATTTCGAGGATAATGGCCGATACAAAAGTATTCGCAACCCTGTTGCTACTACGTGGCTTACATCTTTCGAGCAGGTCCGAAAGCATCATCCGTTAGCTGCGGACTTTCTTTGCTTTATCTCTTGTATCCAAGAAAAAGATGTTCCGGTTGCCCTTCTGCCACCAGCAACCGATATTGAGAGACAGAAGGCCGTCGGTGCTCTGGCGTCATATTCCTTTGTCACGGTCAAACGCGGGGGATCTCTGCTTGATATGCACCGCTTAGTACATCTTGCTACAAGGAATTGGCTTCATTCAATCAACGTATTGCAAGGATGGCAGGATTATGTCCTGCGGCGTGTGTCCCAGTGCTTCCCAGTGGTAGACCAAGGGCTTCCCCGGGACGAATGGCGAGGAATTGTGCCCCATGCCCTTCATCTTCTCAATCGCATAGCGAAGGGGAATGTCACAATTGAAAGAATCCATATGTTATCCTTGGTAGCTTGGTGCCAAACCTACGATGGAAGATTCAGAGAAGCGGAGCCACTTTTCCATGAGATGATCAAAGTGATCAACATCTTGCACGGCCCTGAGAGTAGCCATGTCATTTCAGGGCTCAACGGACTCGGAGATATTGCATTGAACCAAGGCAAATCAAGAAAAGCTATTGGTTTGTTTAAGGAGATTTTAAAGGTCACAACCAAGATCTACGGGGCTGATCACATTATGACAGCACGTGCCCATACCCAGCTGGCAGGCTCATATCGCATGGCCGAAGAGCACGGCAGTGCCGAACTATTCTATAAGAAGGCCATTAAGTACTATCTTGTTGCCCTTGGTCCGGGGTTTAGTGAAACAATAAACGCAATCTTTGGATTGACGATGGTTTTCACCTCCCAGGGAAAAGTGAGGGACACGGTAGAGTTATCTCTTTCGTCGCTCCAAATTACTAGGCATACCCTAGGCTCTCATCATACGCAAACGGCCTTCGCTATGGTAGCTGTGGCAACGATATACCTGGAGCAATGGCGATTGAAGGAAGCTGAAGACTTGTTTACGGAGGCTTTGGACATCCAAAAAGATCGGCTTGGGCCTGGGCACCCAACCACAATCAGGAATATGGGATGGCTAGCTATCACATTGGCATACCAAGGCCGAAGGTCTGAATGCTGTGCGATGATGAGAGAGTGCGTACATCTTCATAGTCAAGTATACGGGGAAGATCACTTGTATACCAAAAACCTTTTCGCCATATTGGAGGAATGGACCACACCCAAGTAAGTTTGCTGTCAATTCTTTTCAAAGGATCAGTGCATTAAGGCTTTTATACAAGGACAATGTCCTCGTTTTTGAGAAAAAACTTTAGCAGTTTTCGGCGTATCGAAATGATGCGTGAACGACGGAGTCATTATCCCAAAGTCAAATTATACGGCTTCTTTCACGCTGCGCAACAGCCAAAGAACGATCCTTTGGTTCATGAGATCAAACAAGCGATTGAGAACATGTCTGCAGGGAGACAAATCTCGACAAGTGAAAACGACGTTAACCGGGAGTGAAATCGTGACTGTTAACCGTGAGGAAAAGAAAAAGGTACACATGACACTTTCGACATGAATTGAAACAAGCTCTGCTTTACAGCCTGGCGTGTCTGGCATGAGTGCGAATCTTCTATGGACTGAAACAAAAGCTGAAATATGATTTCATGTCCGTAGAGAATGCAAGTAAATTGTGCGTCGTCCTACTGAGTCTGACAGACCAACACCATTATACTCTAAGCTATGCGTTATGCTGGCAACGCAGTAGACAAAGATATTTCCTGCAACGCTTCCTTCACAGTTGGCTTGACAACGTCTTTGTAGTACTGGAGCATCGCTACATCGGACAACTTGACCCGCCAAACGAATAGATGTTCTTCTACGAAGCATCCATCTTCTCCAAGGCATTGAACTGGTCCTAGGCGTCATCAAACTTGATTTTGAAATCGCTGTTAAGGCCTGCAAAGGTGAGATAAACATGAGCCACGTCTTCATCGTTGATATCTCTACCATTTGTTAGCATTTGAAGGTGCAGGCGGCTGCACTGAACCAAATGGCTTGTCTCGTCAACACTCGGCGAATCACCTGCGACATGTATCGCATGGAAGCTCCATCTTGTACCCTGTACGAAGAATTTATGGCCCGACGGTAGTAATCTAAGACCTCTGTGTTTGTAGTGATATCATGCACTCACTCTCTTCAGCTAGTTAGGTCCCATGGTGGACTTGTTGAGGCTGAAGTGGATGGGCAGCTGTCAAGACCCTAAGCTTCGTGGTGATGGTAGTGCTAGGAACGTGCACGCAGACGTCTAGCCAAAGTTTTGCGCATTCTATAAATGTTAGATTCCGATCTTACGTGATGAAACAGTTTGCCGTGTTCCGAACGGAAAGAGGAAAGGGGAATGTGAGGGACTTACTGTCGTTGTCCTGGCTGTTCCAGCTCTTCAACTCTGCACTTGGTGGCAATGGTGCCGCACTGATCGCCGAATGATACTTTATAGAAACCATCGTAGTTGTCTGCAATGCCGGGGATAATGGGGCAGTTGCTGGGCGCGGCCTCGGTGGTGGTTGTAGGCTCGGTGGTGGTTGTAGGCTCGGTGGTGGTTGTAGGCTCGGTGGTGGTTGTAGGCTCGGTGGTGGTTGTGCCAATTACACAATATCACTTGCTAGCATCGAGGTTAGGGCAGGTGATACCAGGTGTCAGCTGCCTGAAATTTTCGACCGAGAGTTCCTAGCTGCTGGCAAAGCCTGAGCTTGAGGTGCACTGTCATCTTAATAGAGGGCTATGCCTTAACATAAGTATATAGGTGAGAGCACGAATACATGTAAATATCGGTCAAAGTTGTCAAAATAGGGAACTAAAGCCGTTCATCAGCCGCGCTAATATCAGCGATATTCAATGCTACCAGTGGAAATTTTCCATTGGTACGGAGATTTCCCTTTCCGAGAATATTCAATGGTGTCGGAAACCCTGCTTCCAACAGTTCCGTGATCTTTACAAGTGGCGGAAGTGGCGGAGAGCCACGGGGCGAGTCATCTAATCGGATTTGAAGCAGGTTCAAGTTGCTCCGGAGATTCCACGGACAACATTTACCAAATTCGAAGTGGTGTGATGCGGACGCGATCCTGAGAATGGATATCGGTCGCGACCATCGGCGACTATGACAGGATGGAACCACAACTTTGATAATATTAATAACAGTTGCCTCAAAATCAACACTACGAAGACATATGATTGGCACGAATAGACTTTTCTAGAGTAATTTTTATCCCTGTCGGCATTTCTGCCCGATTATTCGAACGCAGCGAGACTGCCGCTGTAAGACCGAGACTCCACTGTGGCTATCGGAACAGACAAATTATGGTTAGTAGACCACCGGAGGCGTGTGCCCGACGATTCCTGCGTCGCACGCTTTCCTCTACTGGGAATATGTTTAATACTGTAAGGGGCTTTGGCTTGTGGCGATCTCGTGGTGCACTGCCTTTTGAAAATCGCTTTGATTCAGATAGAAGGGGTTACTGTCGGGTATTGCTATCCAATATCAGGAACTAGAACTATGCTGCTGTCAGTCTGCTGATCCAAGCTGGTCAAAGTTGAGATCGGAGTTGTCTCGGTTGGACCCGAAGTTCCCCAAGGGGAAAGATCTGATAAAATCTGATAAACTTGGAGGTCCAAAGTCGCGCATGCGAAACAGAGAACAGGGAAATGGCAGTGGAATGGCCCACAGCTGTACAAGGCCAAGCGAAGCTTGAAGCAGCCACTCCGAAGCTTTGGGTGGGCCACGCTTACTGCGTGCGGGTTAGGGCTTGCTAGATAAGATCACCGCGACATCTGATTAGATCTTTTCGCCTTTCTAGTGGAGATTCCAAGACAACGCCAACGCTTTAGTTTGCGTTTGTGGACTCGCGCAAAATGCTTTTACCAAATTAAAACTCTTGGCCACGCAAAGACCCAGTTTTGTCTGCGTGTCAGAGCGCGTGGTTTTGGCCGACGGCCGGTCTCGGGTAAACAATATTTCTCTATAAATGTAGTGGATTCCCATGTTCTGGACTCTTGATCTCTTGATTATCCTCATCTTTAACTTACAATGGGTCTTCGTCCCTTGATCAAGAGGGGCCGGGCGGTCATGCGCCGCTTGGGCGCCGACAGCAAGGCTGATACCGCGACTAGTTCTTCGGTTGAATCTACCGAGGGGGCTACGTTCGAGGAAGCCAAGAGAGAGCCTACTGTTGAGGCTATGACCACGGCTCAAGAACCGGAGCAGCCTTCCGACGATCTTCAACATGGTGTCCGCAATGTCGAAGCCATCACCATGACCTGGTCCAAGACCACCTTGATCTGTGTCTTTATTAAGTATGCTCCTTTTGACTTGTATTCGCTGCCCAACCAAGTGATCAGATCTAACACGCACCTTAAATAGTATCTGGTTCCTCTACTTCGTCAATGCCTTCCAGTCATCCGTGTTCGGGAGTTTGAGCCCGTACATTTCCAGCTCTTTCCAGGCTCACTCCTTGTCCGGTGTTCCCTCGGCTCTCGCTGATGCTGTTACTGCGGCTTGTTACCTGCCTGTTGGAAAGCTCATGGATACCTGGGGCCGTGCTCAGGGTTTCCTTTTGATGACTATCTGCGCTACTCTTGGTCTGATTCTGTTCGCCTCGTGTAACAGCTTCGCCATCTACTGTGTCGGATACGTAAGTTCGCCAATGCGGAGCCATCCAGGGCCTTTGCAGTACTAACCAAGACCTAGATGTTCTACCAGCTTGGTTTCAGCGGAATGGAGTATTGCGTCGATGTCATCACCGCCGATTCCTCTACCTTGAAGAACCGAGGTCTAGCATTCGCCTTCACCTCATCGCCCTATATTATCACCGCCTTTGCTGGCCCCAAGGTTGCCGATGAGTTCTTATACCAAGTAAGCTGGCGTTGGGGTATTGGCTGTTGGGCCATCATTTTCCCCATCGTCGCGGCGCCACTATATTTCATGCTCCAGAGCAATTTGAACAAGGCTGTTGAGCAGGGACATGTCCTGAGACAGTCTAGCGGCCGCACGTTCTTGCAGAGCGTCTGGTATTGGACCATGCAGTTTGATCGTGAGTATTCCCACCACCCGAGCAATTATTCACTCCATTAGATCAACTAATCCTGACTCTGGTCAGTGCCCGGTGTTGTCATGTTCACAATCGGTCTCGTCTTGTTTGAGGTTCCCTTCGATATCGCCAGTGAGGCCCCTAATGGCTGGGGCACCGGCTATATCATTGCTATGCTTGTTGTAGGATTCTGCATGCTTTTCTTGTTTGCCTTTTACGAATGGAAGGTGGCCCCCGTGCCTCTTCTCCCTATGGGATTCTTGCTCGACCGGACGGTCATTGGCGCCTGTCTCTTGGATGCGACTTACCAGATCTCCTACTACTGCTGGTACAACTACTTCACTTCCTTCTTGCAGGTTGTCAACAACGTGACTGTCGCTCAAGCTGGTTACATCAGTAACACCTTTGACGTTGTCTCCGGAGTGCTTCTCATCCTTGTCGGTTTCGTCATTCGCAAGTCTGGCCGTTTCAAGTGGCTGCTCTACATTTCCGTTCCTTTGTACCTTTTGTCGCAAGGTTTGATGATCTACTTCCGCAAGCCGAACATGTCTGTTGGATACCAGGTTATGTGTCAGATCTTCATCTCCATTGGTGGTTCGATTTTCATTATCGTTGAGCAGCTGGCTATTCTTGCTGCCGTAGATCACCAGCACGTCGCCGCAGCTCTGGCCTTGCTCAATGTCGTTGGCACCATCGGTGGCTCTGCTGGTTATACTATCTGCACAGCTATCTGGACCAATACCTTCGAGAAGGCGCTCATCCGCTACCTTCCTGAATCAGCTATGTCGAGCTTGGATGATATCTACGAGAATCTCACCACGCAGATCAGCTACCCAGTCGGAAGTGCGACAAGGACTGCTATTCAGCATGCCTACGGATACACTGAAGTGCGTTTGCTGGCCGCTGGTCTGGGTATCATGGCTTTGGCCATTGCTTGGACCATGATGATCAGAGATATTGATCTCAAGAAGAAACCCCAAGTCCACGGAACAGTCTTCTGAGAAGTTTACAGAATGGGATTGGCTCTGTTCCCCAGAGTCATGTAGGCGCATCATGTGAAATGAGTCTCTTTTTTGCATAAGTCCTTTGGCACTCAACTATGGCCGTTGATGCTGATCGCTATCTGCATTTTGCTTTGCGTTCTCCATCTGTCACCCTTATTTGCATATGTCAATCTCTGCTGTTTCCAGGTTAGAGAATATAACAAAGTTGACTAATAATATATACCCGAATTGATCTTTTTTTTTTGGCGATAATTGCTTCCCATTTTTCTCTAATTGGTGCCTTGGTCCCGACGCAACAACATCCAAGCCCGGGTTCATTTCCCGAAGAACTTATCTTTCCTCAGTTTCCAGTTCTTTTGATCATCACCAAAAATGGTAGTGTTGGTGAGTGAAGCTTGGCAGACGTGAGGTGCAAAGGGGGTTTTACCGCTGGGCAAATCGCCCGGGCAAACACCCGGGCACAGCACCTGGGCGACTTTCAGCAAGCCCCTTTTTTGCTTCCCCTTCACCCAGACCACTTGGTTTGCGGGCTGTGTCTAGCGCTCTTTGACCTTTCAACTGAACTCGTTCAGCTAAAGTGCGGGGCTTCAGGGACTCATCTTATATGCTTGTCTAAGCCCTCACTCTTCCACATCCTCATACGCTCCGCCATGGCATCCGATCAATACGCCGAAATATGTGACCAACTATATACCCAAATCATGAGAAGACTGGAGAACTGTTACAAAGATGGGACTCGTGTGGGTCGTTTTGCTCCGATCGGGACCGCCCAAGAGGTGCTCAAGCCGGAGATTTTATACATGTTCTTTCGCAGTCTCCAGTTGCCTCAAATTGAAACATACGACCTGAATCTGGAACTGAATACTTTGGTTAGGAGGGTGGGTCAACGGAAACTTCACACATTTCTGGCTATCCTTATTTTCACGTCGTGTACAATAGAAGCCGCTCGAACATTCACGGTCAAGCTATTGGCCCCCACGGACACGAAGTAGCCCAAAGGCCTCAGCTCTCTACCAGCGAAACGAGAACCCCTTGTATCGATTTTCGTGGATCCAGTCACGCCAGACAAGATTCTGTCGGCCCAGGCATGCTTTTTTCCTGTTGTGATTTGCAGCAAAGATCAGGATCGCATTGAGAGCTTGGAGCGCGAATGCCTTCCTTATCTGGAACAGGAGCTTCGGGGAAAAGGGGCCTTTGGCACGGTTTATCGCGTGAAGATTGCCAAGGGTCACTTCTTCTTTCGCAACCTGAGATCAGCCAACTCTGATCCTATTGATATCGCATGCAAAGATTTCCAGTCCAGTGAGGATATTGAGCTGGAGGTCATGCAACAGATTCTATCTTGCAAGCAGACCTGTGCGAATATTGCCGAGATCTATGGGAGCCTTGAGATCGGCTCGGCTGGGTACAGCATTTTCATGCCTCTCGCCATTGAGGACCTCAGAGCTCATATGAAAGATGATACACGGCCAAGACCAAGTGCGACTAAAAGAACCGATATAATTCTTGGGGCTGCAGGAGTCGCTGGAGGTTTGAAATTCCTCCATAAGGGTATTGATATGCCTCTGGGTGGGAAACTGGTCTGTTACCACATGCACCTGAAGCTAGATAACATTTTGATATTCCTGGATAAGATCGATGATAATGGGAAGCGGAAGCCGCATTATATCTGGAAGATCAGTGATTTTGGCATGTCTCGTATCAGGTACCAGGATGATAATGAGGTTGAATGGCGTGAGAGAACTTTTACAAGTTGATTTCTTGAGCGGCGCGATGCTCCATCCCTTGCTGGAACTCGTAACGAGCGTCTAGAAGGCACATATCTGGCACCTGAATCTCTTCTCCCAAGTAAAAGCATGAAGACTGCCAGCGATGTCTGGTCCCTGGGCTTCATCATCAGTGTTCTGTTTACATACTTGGCGGAGGGCACAGATGGGTGACCAAGTATCAAGACACAAGGTTATATCATCGCACCGCAAACGGTTATGATCGGTTTTTCGTCGCAAACACGGCCTTCGGACGTCCAAAGATCCATCCAGAGATCAGATTATGCCATGACCTTTTGATCAAGAAGGCGAACCAACAAATTCCACAAGAGGGGCAAGCCTTGAAATCAATATTGAACTATCTTGAACAAGACGTTCTTGTTCTGGATCAGAAAAACAGGGATCTTGCGGCGGATTTGCAAAAACAGCTGAGCAAAGCACATCGAGCATACAGGGAATTGGATGACACACCGAGAGAGCGTCCCAGTGGTGATCACCACCAATTTCGCGCACTGCTCCAGGATATCCGCATAAGTGGATCAATGGGAAGCAAAAAAGAGGCATCCAAGCGGGCTGACACTTGGTTCTTCAAACCTAAGGAGGGTTTCAAAGGCTGCGAAATATCTCCGGATGGATCTATCATCGCATTTTGGAATGATTTCACGATTTCGCTTTACACCCAGTCGTTCGGGCGCACAGAAGGCGAGAACTTACACCCGGTTGCAGAGTTCTCTTTGAGAAAGACCGGCGAACCTCGGCGATTTTGGAAAAGCCTTAGTTTGACAAGTACGTATTCGGTAGCTATCTTGTCGGGCATTGATTTTCCGGTAAGAGCTGCATCCCATGTTTGACGTCCCACATTTTACTAAGTTTTGCTGGTCCCCAGTGCTTTGTCTTTGATCTACGGCGTGATATAAGAAGGAACAAGTCGAGAAACATCAGTCTTGAACATTCTACCCACGTCTCAATTTCGCTGCCTGAAATAAAAGAGGTGGCCATTTCGCCTGGAGGTCAAAAGATGGCGTGTATTGTGCGCAAGAAAGATAAGGGCGACAGCCCAGGCTCGTTGTACATGGGGATAGTCGGATCACCAAATGAGTGGAAACTGGGATTGAAGCTGGAATGGCCAGCATCAGATGTTATTCAACTTTCATTCTCGGGGGAGAATAATATCTACATTGTCTTCCGACCACAGCGAACTGACCGATCCCATAAGCACAAGATTCCCGTTCTTCATGCATGCCTAACAACAAAGCATATGTATCCCCTAATCATTGAACCTCAAGTAAGTCCCGCTTCTGTTGTTCACTTAGTCTTCCTGCTATGCTAATTGGAGAGGCATCAGGGCATTGAAACTAGCAGCACTGTTGGCGTATTGAAGTCTGTGCGATTGTCACTCGGGAAAAACAGCTGCATATACAAAGCCTCACGGAGTCCGATAAAGCCACTCCTGCCATCCAGACGAGTAGAAGTATCAAAAACTACCGAGTCGTCAAGTTGGTTTCGGGGAATAATGAATTTGCATATGTCGGAGTTGAAGTCGTTTCCTCGTCTGTGCTTGAAGCAGCACAGTCACCAAACTATTCCTAGGGCGGAGGTAACTCGTTCAAGTTCTCAGCCATCTGGATTCCAGTATCCGCGACAGTCGCATATTGTCTCAGTGGAGTCCTTGGCACATTGGATATTGAGCGGAAAGACCCTCATCTTCCTCGACTTAGCTGGCTTCCACCGGATCCAAACAGAGACGATAATTCACCAAGTCGCGCTGCCTTTGTTGTCATTGCTTTGGCTTCTAAAATCTCCGGCTTGGCTGACACCTTCAATACGTTTCTAGTATTTACTTGTCTTTCCTGTGCGACCACTAATCTATATGTTGCCTCACGGACGTTGTTTGGACTAGCTAGTCGGTTGGAAGGTGGTGAAGGCCGGCGGTGGTACTTACGTTTCCTTGCTTCGTTTGGGACAACAGATAGTCGTGGTTTTCCCTTGCGAGCGATGATATTCTCTGCAATTGCGTTCTGGTGGGTTCCTTTTCTTCAGCTCATCCGCGGGACTTCAAGTCCTCGGTCCTCAGTCAATACGGTAATTCTATCCAAACTCCCTTTCAACCCGCCTAACGTTAACTTGAACCCAGTTTGTTGAAGTGCTAAGTGAAATGGCATCCGTGAGTGTTTTGCACGTTTGGGCTTGTGAATGCTTAGCATTTATTCGCTTCTATCGATGGTGAGTCTGGCCCCTATCTCCTGCGTTTGCTATATTGACATGCTTCATTTAGCATCTATCAACATCGTAATTACCTCGAGCGTGAAAACATTGCTCTGGTCCAGCGCTGGAGCGTCAAGAATTATTCCGACTACCCTTACCGCGGTTATGGGCAGCCAATGCTTGCATATCTAGCCCTGCTTGGGTGTGTATTTGTTTTATTGGTGGCTAATGGGGCTGCGTTGTGGAACGGATTCCATCTTTTGCCTTTCCTTGCCTCGTACCTGACTGTAAGTAGTATAGGAATATCCTTCGATACAAGATGTTGATTATGAAACCTGCAGGTTATTTTCTTCATTGGGACATGGATTCTTTTGAAGATTTTCCGGTCGGCGCCATGGTCTTTCGTTGATCTTTCGCAACCTAAGAAAGTTGCCGACATATTCAAGCATTTGCATGCTATCCGTTTTGGGGTCACAGATTCTAATGAGGATATTTCGGAAAGGTAAATAGTTTGGTCAACTCACACGTATACAGCAACAGAGAAGAATCAGGAGATGTTCAAAGTGCTGGTTGACCCGGTCGTTTCCCACTGTGCTGAAAAGCTGCTCAATACTGTATCATTCTCGAAGACGGCCGCGTCAGTTGAACCTTGGAATATTCTAGGCCACACAATGCCATCTTCAGCATGTGCAGGCAGTGCTTGATATGGCTGATCACGGTGAATTTGACACTTGGACTGGTGAGGTATAAGAAACATGGATATTGGAAGAGGGTAGATGGTCCCGCCAGTTTAAAGACGTACTGTGGAATGGGTACACTGTACGAATATATATATATCGCTGGATTTTCTTCGTTCGGGCCAAAGTCTACTTCAGCGGTCGAACATCTCTCATCCAAGGATCATTTAACCCCATGTAACCAAGTCCGACAAGCAGATATTTGTTGGAGTACAAGACTCTGGCGTTTTTCGGATTTCAAGTAGGCTCATGATTGGGTTCATCATAAATCGAGGCCTGATAATTAAGGCAACGACATGAACGATGAAGTTCAATATCAAATAAAACCAAGACAATGCAGTATAAACAGACTTCTTGAAAGCCCAAAAAGACTGCAAATCATATATGGAGAACCAAAAAAGCAAAGAACAAGCTATCTATCAAGTGTTGAATGAGAAACAAAAAAATGGAGAAAATCCAAAAAATTCCGGTGGGCCGGAGTCGAACCGGCGACATTCAGATTACAATGATCAATTACAGTCTGACGCCATAAACCAACTAGACGACCGCCGGATGGTTGTTGAAAGTCACTCCTTTTTTGGCTATATGAGGGTTGGCTGCTTTATTTTGTTTTGCTTTCTACACACGCATCGTCTTGCGCATGCATCTCATCTTCTGCCAGCACTTTTGGTGACCTGTCCAGATTATATTCTACTAATCTATTCCAATGAAACCCTTACTTCTTGTCTAGAATCCTTCATTCTTCACAGATTCCTCCCATTTCATCTGGCATGTTACACTTACACAGCTCTAACTCAGCCTTCCCCAAACCCGCGTATATCCGCGGACTTGGCATGGCCACACACACTCTCATTCTTATACTTGGCATGGGCAATTTTCCCATTCTTCTTCCAACTCTTTCCCAGATAACATCTCTTCCGGTATGACAAAACATTAATGACAAGCGAAAAGTGGAGGTTCTGCATGAAGATGCGGAGAAAGGCGCGTTGATTTACCCGTCAATCACAACCCACATTCTCCTTCATGGCGTTGACCTCTACCCCTCAAAAGGCGGCCAAAAAATATGTGCCCCTTCACGGTGCAATGTCTCAACTCAGAGTGAAGAGGCTTTATTTGCAGTCTAATCCTTGGCGCGCTCCCAACATGCAGGTGCAACGTCGTCGCATGGCTCCATGCAGGGGACATGCCATTAGTTCTGCCGATGTTTCCCCACGCATTGTCTTTTTACAGGGATGGACTGCTAGTCCATGCACTCCTCATGGAGATTTACCTAAATAGGAGTGGGGGCTCGGTACTTGTCCTGCCGTCGGCTAGTATTGTCCTCTAGAACCAGTCGACCGTCATGCTCAGGTCAACCCCTCAGATCTCATTTCGGAGAGATCGGACAGATGAGGAGAAACTGATTTAGCCGGCGATGGCCTCCTTGCTGGGCGTTTCATTTGTCTGTATATAAATCTCCCAGCAATGCGGATCGTGGCATTCTTTTTGCATTCAGTACAGGATTGGCGGACCGAAAGAACTAGTTGACTATACACGGCATCATGCTTGGTCAATACCTTATTCTGCCTCTTTTGGCGTCCTATGGTGCAGCTGTCACAATTTCAGTAGCGAAATCTGGCGGCAATGCTACTAGCGGCCTGCAATATGGTGCTATGGAAGAGGTACATACATCGAGCACCCAACCAGTGCGCTAGGATTGAATCTAATCCCTTGTCTAGGAGATCAATCACTGTGGAGAAGGAGGTTTATATGCCGAATTGATCCGCAACCGAGCTTTCCAAGGCAGTACCAAGTTCCCTTCTTCGCTTGAGGCTTGGACCGCTGTTGAAGATTCTTCGCTGGCCCTGAAGAACCTGACTGATCCATTGTCATCTGCCTTGCCCACTTCAGTTAATGTCAAGGGTACTGGCACAGCCGGTCTGACCAACGCAGGCTTCTGGGGAATTGACGTTCGCCCTCAGAAGTATAGCGGATCATTCTATGTGAAGGGCTCGTATATGGGCTCTTTTACTGCTTCTCTCAGATCCTCCACTGGCAAAGTTTTAGCCAGCACCAAGGTGACCTCGAAGAGTGTTGCAGACCACTGGGTACAACATTCCTTCATCTTGACTCCATCGAAGAAGGCTGCAAACTCCAACAACACTTTCTCGCTGACATTCGATGGCCCGGTAAGATCAAGGCTCATAATTGTGACTAAAAGTGCCCCAGCTAATAATTTACAGAAAGCATCAAGCGGATCCCTTGATTTCAATTTGATCAGTCTGTTCCCACCCACATGGAACAACCGTCCTAATGGCATGCGGAAAGAGTTGATGCAAGCCATGGCTGACCTGAAGCCCGTAAGTATATGGAGCTTACAGAACTTTGCGTTTGAAATGCACAACACGATATACTGATCCATACAACAGAAATTCCTTCGTTTCCCTGGAGGTAACAACCTTGAAGGTGACACCATTGAAGGTCGCTGGAAGTGGAATGAGACTATTGGACCTCTCAAGGACAGACCTGGCCGTGCAACCACCTGGCAATACGGGGAAACCAGTGGGTTAGGCCTGGTTGAGTATATGGAATGGTGTGACGATCTTGGAATGGAGCCTAGTGAGTTCAATTCTTTTCTCTAATCCGATCTACATATCTGACAAGATCTATAGTCCTTGCGGTTTGGGCTGGACTCGCCCTGAACGGTGATCTCGTCCCCGAGGCCGACCTCGATTTCTATATTCAGGATGCTCTCAATGAGATCGAGTTCTTGACTGGCTCTGTGGACACCAAGTACGGTGCTTTGCGCGCCAAGATCGGACACCCCGAACCTTGGAAGATTCGTTACGTCGAGGTCGGTAACGAAGATAACCTCAACAGCGGCCTGAGCTCGTACAAGGCATACCGGTTCCCGGCGTTCTATAAGGCTATCAGCGAGAAGTACCCTGACATTCAGGTTCTTGCTTCTACCGTTGACATGACTATTCCTGGAACTGCGGGTGGTGACTACCACTTGTATGATATCCCTGATAACTTCATCACCAAGTTCGACATATTTGATAACTACAGCCCTGAGCATCCTATTCTTCTTGGTGAGTTACTCGATGTAATTATGAGAATGTCAGCTAACAGTTGTATAGGTGAGATCGCTGCCACCGAGACTAACAATGGAGTCGGGATCGACTGGAGTAACACCAACTTCTCTCTGTATCCCTGGTGGATTGGCACGGTTGCTGAAGCAGTCTTCATGCTGGGTGCTGAGCGCAATGCAGACAAGATCATTGGAACTACATACGTGAGCCTCCCGCATCCAGTTTTCTGAAATCGATCTAACTCCCGAATAGGCGCCATTCTTGATGAACTTGGATGCTTACCAGTGGTCCCCGACCATCCTCTCGTTCAACGCCAACCCCGATGAGACAGCCCGCTCAACGAGTTACCATGTCTACAGCGTAAGTTACTGCAATCAACATTGTTCCTTCCACGGCGAATCCTGATATACTAATCCGAATATTGAATATAGCTGTTTAACCACAACCTCATGACAAACACTCTCCCATCAACATCCCCTGACGCCTTTGGTCCTCTATACTACGCAACAGGCCTGGATATCAAGACAAATTCCCACATCTTCAAGGCAGCCGTGTACAACAGCACCGAGAACGTTCCCGTATCCCTGACGTTTGATGGTATCAGCCGTGGCACCAAGGCCGACTTGACTATCCTGACTGCACCTGACGCCTTCTCTATGAACGAGGTGGGCGGCTCGAACATTGTCAAGAGCAAGACTTCTACTATCAAGGCTGGCAAGAAGGGCGAGTTCAATTTCAGCTTGCCTAACTTGAGTGTTGCGGTTCTGAGCACCAATTAGTGCTAAGTAGTGTGCTTGATTGCATATATTTGTATAGCCATATTGGAATGCACATATGGTGGTATAAATTAGATAGCTCATTATCAAATACATTGGTTTTTGGTCCCCATTTGGCGTTTCACTTGTGGCTCTAGTGTGGGTATTCCAGCCCGCGAAATAGTAGGAGAACCCAAAGGGGATGTAAGATCAGCGATAGTTCGCTTTAAAAGGAGGTCGATCAGCTGTTGACGCTCTTGAGGACTCCGTTCGCTATGCCTCTTTCCACAGTCAGATTGCCGAAAGGCACGGTGATTCCAGACCGGTTCATATCATCCATTCAAGCAGTTTAGTCGGTACATGACACTGTACCTGCTCATTACCCATGTGGTTGTGGCTCTGGTACCTCAACATGTGCATTAATCAGGGCGCCAACCCGACCCGGGGTTGGACTTGAGCATCGACCTGGCCTTCAACCTCGGCATTTACCTCGATATCAACATCGGCGTCATCCCGAGGCCCAACCTGGGCATCTGAGATATGCCTCTGCTTCTGAGCCTGCCTCTCGACGCGCTTGGTAGTCTGTTTCTCGGCCTGCGCACTCAGGAGGATCCTCCGAACAGAAGAATGCGAGATCTCGGTACCCTCAGCAGTAAGCTCCTGAGCAATAACGACACAAGACTTCTCGCTGACCGGACCAGGGCCAGTGACTTTGTCAAGGATTTTTTCTCTTAGCTCATCGGTCCATTTGCTCGGCCGGCCAGAGCGAACTCCATCAATGAAATAGGAATCATGGAGTTCGAGCGGTCGGGCATTCGGATTGAAGCCTCGGCTTATTGCTCGCGTATAGATCGAATTCACTGTACGTGCTGGTGTACCTGTGATCGCACAGATCTCACTTGATGACTTCCCTGTGGCTTTGAGAGCTACAAGTGCTGCGCGATGGGAGATCTCCGACGTTGGCATGTTGATGGAAAAAGGGTGGAGTGGCAAAGCGGAGAACTGGCAAAATCGTGACTATCAATTTCTCAAATTCTCGATTTCTAAACTGATCTCCGACATTTTAATCTTCAAGTGTTCTTCAAATCTTTTCCATTTCCATCTAAGTCTAATATTGGTATTATCTCACCATGTATGCCGCGTCTCCAGTTCTTCGGGCGCGACATCGCTTTATTTTGAACCCGCGCGTTCGAGGCCCTTTCCACTGGTAAATAGCGCCGCGATAGTCGCCACGAGGCCAAATGACGCCGAGGCCGCGAATGACAGGCGGATTCCACGGTAATAAACCAGTCGGACGGCCATTTGCACATCGGGGGGAAGGTCATAAATGGCCGATATGGAGTGACGGATCTCATCAATAACCTAACCAAGAGCGAGAATACTGATCAGCAAGGCCTGTTCAAGGGCGTATTAAAACACGTCGCGGAGGAGATGTTACTTTCCATTTGTCTGGTATTCCACTCAAGGCCTCCCCGAGGCCTGAGTTCAGTGTATTCTGCATGACTGTGGAGGTTGCTGCGACGCCCCAAACGGTTCCGAGAGAGCGAATAAGGTAAACGGTCGATGCGGAGACGGCATGATCTGTACAGGAATATGGCTTAGAAGTGGTCGCTTCGAAATAGCCGCAATAATAAACTTACCGGAGTGGTCGAAAGCTGCAAGGAACGTGAACAGGATCCCCGGGTATACTATACCCTGTCCCAGATTGGCAGGGATGACATATGCAACGTACTTCCAACTTGCGTCGTTAAAACGTAGAAGCATTACCATGAGGTTGCCGATAAACATCAAGGCAGCACCTGCGCGTACGAGATATGCCAGCTTGCCCCAGCGAGACATGACAATTCCTGAGATGAGACCACCCAATGGTGTAGCGAGACAGGGGATAACAAGTCGGGCACCGGCTTTACTGGGCGAATCCAGGAGAATCACTTGGAACATAAGCGGGAGAGTGAAGAGGTACTGTATACTTGGTCAGCTGCAACGATCATATAATAGTTGAAATAGATGTGCTCACAGCATATGCCGACATCCCCACACAGACATTGGCAACCTGTGTGGAAATAGGAAGAGTTCCTCGAAGCATCTTCAATGGAATCAATGGAACAGCAGAGGTGGTGGCTTCAACAATGATGAACGCGACCAGAAGTACCACACTGGCGACCAGTGGGAAAATCACCCAGACATCGCTCCAGGGTAGAATGTTTCCACCGAGACTCAGTCCAACAAGCTGGGTCGAGAGAGCCAGAATGAGCAGGCAGGCTCCCAAGAAATCAATTTGGTGCCAGGTGCCTTGCGTCCGTCGACCCGGGGAAGTATCAGTGGAACGTGCTGGGAACTTCAAGACTATATAGCCCATGACCAAAGCGAACAATGACACTGGCACCTGAAGGAAAAAACACCAACGCCATCCAATTGAGTCCACGATGGAACCACCAAACGAGGCACCACAGATGGCTCCAAAGCCATAAGAAACGTTCTGGATTGCCTGATACATCCCGCGTTGGCGGAAGGGGATGAGATCGGAGTTGATGATTGTTGCTGCACACTTAATTAGTTCTTGGGCTCTCTATTCAATGGCTGACAGCTTACCCATAGTCATCAATCCTCCACCTCCAATGCCCGTCAAGGCACGCATGATGTTCAAAAAGACCACATCCCGAGCTATGGCACACCCAAGACAACCAGCCATGAAGGTGATTGTCGCGGTGAAAAAGCACGATCGGCGACCGAGTAGATCAGAAAAGCGGCCATACAAAGGCTGGAATGCAGTACTTGTGATCAGGTAAGAGGTCGTCAGCCACGACGCAGTGTTCGCCGCGTTGAATTCGGAGCTGATCACGGCGTAGGTCGAGGCGGTGATAGTGCCATCGAACCCCCCGAGAAAGACGTTGGCCATGATTGCTAGTGTTATTAATAGCATGCCCAATATTTCTGAATAGAACCAACTTACCAATTTGAATTAATAAAAAACCTGGCGGCGGGGTCCAAGTTGGAGGGTCCGATCGCAGCAATGGCTGTTCTTCGTCGGGTTCATCCTGAGTATACGGGGTGGCTCCGTTCTCTACCATTGTGAGATTAAATTCAACGTCAAGTTCAAGTCCAAAATCAGATGAAGAAGTTGAAGTTATGGAGAAAGAGATGAAGAAATGAAGAAATGCCGTGCAGCGGGCACTCGATTAGGCAGGTGGAACGTCTGCCAAGCACGACATCTGGGGTGATTCTGGCGCGGGAAATGAGGCTATTTATTCTTCTTCTCTTCTCTTGGTCTTTTCCCTTCTTCATATACTTCAAGTCAAATCAAGGACTCAGTGCAGAATACCCATCTAAGGTTAATGTACCCAATCATGAACACAATGACAGACACAGAAACTGATCGAGCTAGTACTCATCATGAAGTTCCTTGAAATCATCATCTGCACTGCAGCGCTGATGCCAGTCGTCGCTGCAGACTGGCAATTCAAATCTCGAACAGACCTGGCTCCACCTCGTTTGAACATCACCATCCCAGCTGCAAAGGATGTCGAGAAGGGCTACCTCTTCGTCGCACCTTTCCCGGGCCAGTGGGCCGAGCCTCAATTTCACGGTCCTCGCCAAGAAGCTCCCTATATCTTCCGAGATGATGGGGAACTGGTGTGGTCGGGCTACACCTACTTCTCCATCTGGGCAGCCAACTTTCAAAAGGCGAAGTGGAAGGGCCAGGAAGTGTTGTTCAGCTTCGAAGGCGACCATAACCCGACTTATGGTCATGGCCATGGCCATGCAACTATCTTGAACCAGCGTTATGAAACCATTCGAGAAGTGCGCGCTGGGAATCACAAGCTGATGGATAAGCATGAATTTCATGTCATTGACGAGAAGACTGCGTTGCTTCAGGTTTATCAGCCTGTACCAAGAGATCTATCACGTTGGGGTGGTAGTCCCGAGCAACAGTGGATTGTCGATGCTATTTTCCAAGGTCCGTTATTAGCCAAGCGTGTGGATTCTCAGTACTAATTTCCCGCAGAATTGGACATTGAGACTGGAGAACTGCTCTTCGAGTGGTCCAGTCTTGAGCACGTCACACCTGATGGTAAGTTGGTCATTTCAAGATTTAACAAAAATTCGACTAATATCCCGCAGAGGCTGTTCTTCCTCTCAATCCCGGACAAGCAGGTGCTGGATACAACTCCTCGGACGCATGGGATTACTTCCACATCAACTCCGTGGACAAGGATGTCGAAGGCAACTATCTGATCTCTGCTCGCGATGCCTGTGCAGTGCACAAGATTAACGGTACCACCGGCAAGATCATCTGGCGACTTGGCGGTCTGCGATCCGACTTTGAATTCGGGCCCAACGTCAAATTCTGCTTCCAGCATCACGCACGCTTCGTGGACCAGAGTGACGATAGAGAAATCGTCTCTCTCTTTGACAACTCTGCTCACGGAACCGAGAACCACCGCGGCAAAGAAGTCCACACCCATCCATTCTCGCAGGGCAAGGTCATCTCTGTCAACACGGCTACCTGGACTGCAGAAATTGTGCAGGCCTTCCAGCCTCCTGATGGACTTCTAGCCAAATCCCAGGGAAGCACTCAGCTTCTTCCCAACGGTAACGCACTGGTCAACTGGGGCTCCGAAGGTGCCATGACTGAATTTCGTGCAGATGGTACACCCATCTTCCACGCATACATGGACTCGGGATTCTTGGGCGAGGGCGCCCAAAACTACCGAGCATTTCGATACAACTGGACTGGCCTTGCAACCGAAGAGCCGGCTATAATTGCCGAGAAAACTTCTTCGGGAACTGCAGTCTATGTCTCCTGGAATGGCGATACCGAGACTGCGGTCTGGCGATTCTATGCAATCACCGACCGATATGGGTCGCGGTCATTTTTGGGCGACGCGAAGCGTGATGGCTTCGAGACTTCATTCCTAATTAATGGCCACTCGCACCAGACCGTGGCAGCTGAGGCTGTCTCTGTTCGTGGTCGCATCTTGGCTACCACTCGAGTTGCTCATATCGAGGATGCTGTTCTCCCTCCCTATGATGGCGTTGTTGCGGATTCAGAGGATCGTGGTTCTTGGAGACAGTTGGTTTTGCAGGTTTAGTAGAGGTACTAGTAGATTGATTACTGAGAAGGGGGTTAGTGGTAGCGCAAGGTGGAAAGGAAAGGAAAAGGTAGAATACAATTTCTTCATTTTCCAGAATCATACCTGAACTGTAAATATTGAGTGACTTAGACTGGAAGTACTGGTTCATCCCAACTTGAATATCAGTGCCTAAATTAGTAAAAAGTGAATTAGTTCGCCAATGTAAGTCGACATTTCCTCTTCTCCCGCATTCTTCCATTCCTCTCCCAACCATCTCAATTCAAAAATGCCTTTTGCTCGCCCACCAGAATTCACATGGAAGCTGTATCACAAACTCAAGGTCCAATCAAACTAGGGGTATGTCACTTATCGAACTACATATTCCCCAATGCCTCCAGACGCTTCTAGGTACATCGACGGAAGTCATAGAATAGGAGACCATGTACTACCGGAACAAAATAGTACGACATGTCAAGATGATCGAAGCATGGACGATTGTTGATCATACGATACATTTTCGGGATGTATCAAATGTTGGACACGAGTACTATGGGATCTATGGACGATGATGGGTGATCATGCCGAGATGAGTATGTCTTGGGAGAAAATCGATGGTTTTTGCCCGGGGATTTATTGGGGATGATACACACACTTTGTCTCTACCTATGGAGTGACCGATTTGCATTCGCTAGCTTACATGGGAATCTTGAAGAATTGCATGCGCTGGTCAACCATGACGGTGTGAATGTGACAAAGATGGTGGCAGCGCGCATGATTATGGCCGACTCCCACTGCACTGGGCTTTGATGGGCGCTGCGGACGAGGGGCCTAACATGGTGGACGCGGAGCAAGGGAATGACCCAGTCGATATCACGACGGAAGACGGGATGACGCTCCGGTCGAAGAGGCTGGTGGGCACCGTCAAGTGGCTTCTCGAGGCCAATCTTGATAAAATCAATGCTCACGACCGGTAGTGAGCTACGGTGTCCAATTACGCAGTCAAGTCTGGACGGGGGTAATCGCGGGGATCTTGGCGGTTGTGAGGGTGCTCCTCGAGTTTGGACTGCGAGCTTCGATTTTGAATCATGCCCTCATTGTGCAATTTGACATGGCGGGCACCACCACCGGGACGAGTGCGGGAGGAGTGGATAAAACCTTCAGTGGAGGTTAGAGGCTTGATGCATCAACCGAATGCAGCCGGGCAGACCCCGGAACAGCTGGTTGGTGGTCCCGCCGAGAGTTTCCACGCAGACGGCAGGCAGAGGCAGCACGGAGAGGACCAGACCAAGGTCGAGATTGAGGTCAAGAGGCGGAACGAGGGCGCATATCAGCGGACCTTACGGAAAAGAAAGAAAGAGATGAATTTTGTTCTATCAGGCTAGGCATTCTCTTATTGTCCTACGTTGCCTCATTTTCTCATGCTAGGCTTCATACTGCTTCATACTGACATACTCGGCCCGAACATCCTATTTACTACAAAAGATGCCCTGACATCTATAATAAACACCGCTAGATTGCTGCTAAATCTACTGTACCTACGTATCTGCTACAATTATTTCTTGCTACGCGTATAAAAGGAATAGGATGGCAAGAAAGTAAAATATATTTTCTAAAGAACAATCAGGAGCAAATTCAAACGCCTCTATTGTTACTACTTGTTATCAGAAACGTATCTGGAGAATTAGCTTCAAAATATGATTGGTGAAGTGAAGGAGTTGCAAAATACCATCTTTTTAGCTTTCAGCATTGGCCAGTTCAAAATCAAACCGGAGCTAAACTGCACCCGAAGCGTCAATGAATGGAACAATGCGAGAGATACGCATGGTACCCCTTGGGAAAGCAGAAAGAAGAAGACAAGCTACTGCTCTGCCCAGTTTGAGGCCAAAGATCTCCTGATATTGGGGCGTGCCGTGCTCGACTATCGCATATATTTCTCCCTCATCTACCTTGACATTAAGCCCACGAGATTCGTCAAATAGCAACTCCTGTATAATTGTGCGAGCTCCGTTGTTTATAATTGTAGTAAACAATACATGCCTTCAAGTTTTGACGCCATGATCCCTCACATACTGTGCTCTGACAATTTCGTTCCACATGGGGCCACTGCCGGGTCGCCAAATTGATTCAGCAATGATTATGCCGTATGCGGTAATATTTTCGTAATGACTCGGGCTATTGTATGATCCTGGTTTCACGGCGACGATGTTAGCACGGCGGTAGACATTGCCAGTGGAGTTATACATATTATCGTGGAAGCTACCATGAAGCTCGTCGAGAGGACCTTCCAAGCGAGTTCATTGTAGTTCGAATCTATTAGCTGCTATGGGGGCTTCTAAAACGTCCGTTATCAAATCTAGTGTTATTGGGGCGACTGGGCAATTTGGAGCGTTAGCATCTGCTAACCACGATTGGTAAAGTGCAACTCTCTCTATGTGAGCTTCAATATCGCCTGGGGTAGAGCGAAGGTCCATTTGATCAAAACAGTCAATGTCATCTCGAATGCCTTGTGATAGAAGTTCTTGGCGCCATGAGGATTGACTCGGTCCTGAATCTGAAAAATTCGTCATCGATATACTTTGGACAAGTGTCCGATTTGTATGAATATAGACTTAAAGGCTTTTTTTTGAGCGATTGAATAAACAATGCCTAAGATACAAGCAGAAATATGGACTAGTATGTAGCCGCGATCCAAGGCTAGCAGTAAGCATGATATAAAAGCTAAGTAGTGTCGAAAAGGAGACAATGGAATCAATGGTCTCAAAGAGATGAAAGAGCCTCATATAATTATTGTTCAGGCTTGATGAAGAGACAAAGAAAGGGACAATGGCGTTGCCAAATAACCAAGCGCTAATAATTTCAAACTTATCGAATCAGGCAAATTTTCATGTTGAACTCGAGGCGTGTATTTTGTGTCAATACTCAGCTATAAAGTAGAAGTAATAAAGATATCAGAAGTTGAGGTGGAAAGCCAGAGGGAATGCATAGAGCTCTATCAGAAAAATAATGAGATCTGTACCGCTAGATCCACAACTCAAGATGCCTTCAAAATATACCCAATTAAACTATTTGGCCCCCAATGGGTTAGAGACCAAGGGTTGCGAGCTTGGCACTGGCTTCATGTACACTGCAAGTTCTAGTACTGTAACATGGATGATTGGTGCTCCATATAATATGTATGGCTCTCGTGATATTTGGGAGCTTCAGACTGATATCTGATATAAGAAATAGAGGTTCTGAGGATTTCTCCATGAAGGATGCTCTGCTTGCTGTCTGCACAATGGCGGTGCCCACTCAATCAAGCTCTCGAACCTTGAGAACCGCCTTGCGCCAGACTGCGATTACTGTCACAGTTGGTTCATATGACAGTGACACAAGCTTCAGCTACTGACACCGGTTCTGAAGTCAGCACGTTGTCTCATGCTTCAGATGCGCTGCGTGATTCATCGACCGCAGCTGTCAGCACAGAAGGTTTGCCTCAGATTACTGCGAGGGCTGGGGTTGCTCTTGGTGCAGTTGCAGCTTTGCTACCCGACGCCTTATAACCAAAAGAATGCTTTCAATGACAGAAAAGCACATATTGAGAGAAGTAATGTATTGATTATGCTTCCATGCACTCAAGAACATCCACGTGTATGTCAGCCTGTAGATCAAAGAGAGGAACGTGCACTTCATAAAATCTCACAAAAAGTCAATAACATAAGGTCGGATGTCAGCCCATCCGAATATCCTCCGGGACAGATTGGGACGTTGCTGGGATGTGGGGGTGCGAATACGATACGAATACGCAACCAATAACCAATTAATACCACGCGCGCTTAGACTTCGAAGGTCGTATTGTTCTGGCGAGCTCTTTCCCTCGGAATTATTGCTCTAACTGGTACAGATATGGACCAGAAGGACGGTTGTCCACAAATGGAGGAGATGTGAAAATGTGAAAATGTCAAGATGTGAAGATGTGAATTGGTGAAGAGGTGAAGTTGAAAGATATCCGCATCTTCCCAAAGCTTGTCCCGTGACAATCGGGGAGTACTCTCTCGGATACTTGCCATCCCGGATTCCGTCCTCTTTTCTAATATATCTGTCTTTGTTTTTCTCTCTCTCTCTCTTTCATCTCCCATCTCGACACATCTCACGTCAAGATGCAAGATCAAATCGACTCGCATGGCAGCGACGCCACAGAGACCAACGAGTCCAAAGATCCAGACAGGGAAATTACCACACTTGCACAGTCGATTTCACACATCTCGCGCCAGAACAGTCTGAATGTCGACAAGACTGAGGGGATCAATACCTTCCTCGATCCAACCGGGGACCCTGAGCTTGACCCCAACAGTGACACGTTCATATCGCGCAAATGGGTCAGGAACATGCTGCGGATGGTATCCAGTGATGTGAACCGCTACCCGCGTCGTAAAGTAGGGGTCTCGTTTCGCAACCTTAATGTTTTTGGCTATGGCACCGCGGCCGACTACCAGATGAACTTTGCCAACACCTGGCTCAAAGCTGCCGACTGGCTGCGAGGTGTCCTGGGAAAGGACAAGAAAGTACGAATTGATGTCCTGCGTGGATTTGAAGGTATCGTACATAGTGGGGAGATGCTAGTTGTTCTAGGTCGTCCGGGCAGGTATGTGGAAGTGAGCCACAAACAGTCTACTCGAACTCATTGCTCGCACTTCTCCACAAAAGCACATCACTAAAACTGCATACAGTGGATGCTCTACCTTTCTCAAGACTATCGCAGGAGAGACACACGGGCTCTATCTGGACAAGGACACAAACACGGAAATACAGTATGACGGCATCTCGTGGGACGACATGCACGGCCGCTTCCGCGGTGAAGTCATCTACCAAGCTGAAACGGAAATACATTTCCCACAGCTGACCGTCGGTAACACACTGCTGTTTGCTGCTCAGGCTCGAGCCCCAAGCAACCGTCTTCCCGGGGTTACACGCGATCAGTATGCAGTACATATGCGAGACGTCGTGATGGCGACGCTTGGTTTGACCCATACCATGAATACTAAAGTGGGGAATGAGTTTATTCGTGGGGTCTCTGGAGGTGAGAGAAAGCGGGTGAGCATAGCTGAGACTACACTGTGTGGTTGTCCTTTGCAATGCTGGGACAACAGCACTCGAGGATTGGATAGCTCTACCGCACTCGAGTTTGTCAAGAATATCCGCCTCTCCACAGAATACAGCAACACCACTGCGATTGTCGCCATTTATCAAGCCAGTCAATCAATCTACAATCTTTTCGACAAAGCAATTGTTCTCTACGAAGGCCGTCAGATCTATTTCGGCAATGCTCACGATGCACGGCGCTTTTTCATTGAGATGGGCTTTGACTGTCCAGATAGACAGACTACCGCAGACTTCCTTACCTCCCTGACCAGTCCATCTGAGCGTCTTGTCAGGCCAGGGTTTGAAAGCGCTGTACCTCGTACCCCCGATGAGTTTGCAGCTCGCTGGAAGTTTAGTCCTGAGCGGAGGGAGCTGCTAGCTGAAATTGATGCAAGCCAAAAAAATAGTCAGAATCGAGGAAAGTTCGAAGAGTTCAGTGTTTCTCGTGCGGCAGAGAAGCCGAAAGGTACCCGTGCAGCCTCGCCTTACACCTTGTCATATCCGATGCAGATTCGCCTTTGCCTTTGGCGGGGATTCCTACGCTTGAAGGGGGATCTCAGCATGACGCTCGCTACTGTGATTGGCAATACGGCTATGAGTCTAATCATTGCCAGTATATTCTACAACTTAGAGGCTGATACGGACAGCTTTTTCCGACGTGGTGCTTTGCTTTTCTTTGCAATTCTCATGAACGCATTCTCAAGCGCTCTCGAGATTATGATCATGTGGCACCAACGGTCCATCGTGGAAAAGCATGACAAGTATGCTTTGTACCACCCTTCAGCAGAAGCTATCAGTTCTTACATCGTGGAGATGCCCTCAAAGGTCTTGCTTGCAATTGTGTTCAATCTAATTATCTACTTCATACCGCACCTTCGTCGAACCCCAGGTCATTTCTTTATCTTCTTCCTGTTTTCCTTTACCACAACCCTGGTAATGTCGAATCTCTTCCGTTTTATCGGTGCAATTTCAAGATCTATGGAGCAAGCAATGCTTCCTTCGTCACTCTTCATGATGATTTTGGTTATCTACACTGGGTTCACCATCCCAGTCAGAGATATGCATCCTTGGTTCAGGTGGTTAAATTACTTGAACCCAATTGCCTATGCTTTCGAATCCTTAATGATCAACGAATTCAGCGGTCGACAATTTCTCTGCGCCCAGTATGTACCGGGTATCTTACCTATGTATAAGGATGCACCAATGAGCTCGAAAATATGTTCGCAAAAGGGTGCAGTGGCAGGGCAAGATTTTATCGACGGAGAAGCGTACATCAACACCACTTATCGATATTTCAAGTCACATCTGTGGCGCAATTATGGTATTCTCTGTATATTCTTTGTGGCTTTCTTGGTGATGTACATCGTTGCCAGTGAGCTCGTTCGCGCTAAACCATCCAAGGGTGAGATCCTTGTGTTTCCACGCGGTAAAATCCCAGTCTTTGCCAGGAACCGCAAGGATGACGCAGAAAGAGTCATTGCTTCGGAGAAACGTGCGGTTGCGGTTGCTGACAATGAAGATCAAACTGCAGCCATCATTCGTCAGACCTCCATCTTTCATTGGGAAAATGTATGCTATGACATCAAAATTAAAGGAACACCACGTCGCATCTTGGACTGCGTGGATGGCTGGGTCAAGCCAGGCACTCTTACAGCTCTAATGGGTGTCACTGGAGCGGGTAAAACGTCTCTCCTCGACGTTTTGGCAGACCGTGTTACCATGGGAATGATAACTGGAGATATGCTCGTTGACGGCCGTCCTCGAGATGATTCGTTCCAGCGCAAGACAGGCTATGTCCAGCAACAGGACCTTCATCTTGAGACCAGCACAGTCCGCGAGGCTTTGACTTTTAGCGCTCTTCTTCGCCAACCTGCCAGTACTCCTCGCAGCGAAAAGATCGCCTATGTCGAAGAGGTTATTCACATGCTCGGCATGGAGGAATACGCAGAGGCTGTTGTCGGGGTCCTTGGCGAAGGACTGAACGTTGAACAACGAAAGCGATTGACCATTGGCGTGGAGCTTGCAGCCAAGCCAGCACTCTTGCTCTTTTTCGATGAGCCAACATCGGGCTTGGATAGTCAAACTGCATGGTCAATTTGCACTTTGATGCGCAACCTTGCCAACCATGGCCAGGCCGTTTTGTGTACCATCCACCAACCTTCGGCTATGCTCATGCAGCAATTTGACCGGCTGCTCTTTCTGGCAAAAGGAGGACGCACGGTCTATTTCGGAGAACTCGGACAACACATGAGGACATTGATCGAATATTTCGAGAGCAAGGGGTCAATCAAATGTCCTCGAAACGCAAACCCCGCCGAGTGGATGCTAGAGGTGATTGGAGCTGCTCCAGGCTCCCACGCGGATAGAGATTGGGCCGATCAATGGAACAACAGCAGTGAGTGTGAACAGGTCCGTCTGGACCTGGCTGCAATGAAAGCAGAGCTGCTGGAGAAGCCTGAGCCTCCACGAGACGCGGGATACGGACAATTTGCGATGCCAATCTGGTATCAGTTTGTGATTTGTATTCAACGAATGTTTCAGCAGTACTGGAGGTCTCCAGGATACCTTTACTCCAAAGCTGCGACAGCTATCATCCCTGTAAGGATTTCAAGGCTCTTGTGGGCTATTAAGACTGACCTTATAGCCACTTTTCATCGGATTCACATTCTGGCATATGCCGACCAGTCTTCAAGGCTTGCAAAATCAGATGTTTGCCATTTTCATGCTGCTGATCATCTTCCCGAATCTGGTACAGCAAATGATGCCCAGCTTTGCTACCCAACGCGCTTTGTATGAGGTGCGAGAACGGCCATCTAAGACATATGCGTGGCAGGCATTCATGATGGCCAGTATCTTTGTGGAATTGCCATGGAATATCCTAGTCTCCGTGCCGGCTTTCTTCTGTTGGTTTTATCCGATCGGACTGTATCACAACGCAGAACCGACTGATGCAGTGGTTGAGCGAAGCGGAGTGATGTTCCTACTGATCTTAATCTTCCTCATGTTTACATCGACGTTCAGTTCCATGGTCATTGCCGGTATCGAGCAGCCTGAGACTGGTGGTAACGTTGCTCAGCTCTTGTTCTCGCTATGCTTGATCTTCAACGGGTAAGTGATCTGCAGACTTCGCATTGCTTACAATGACTAACTGAATCCTCAGTGTGCTTGCGAGCCCGTCCGATTTGCCCCGCTTCTGGATCTTCATGTATCGCCTCTCCCCGTTCACGTATCTTGTGTCAAGTGTACTCTCAACAGGGGTGGCGGGGACAACTGTGGAATGTTCGAGTATTGAGCTGCTCACAGTCTCGCCTCCTGCTGGACAAAATTGCTCCAGCTATCTGGGGCCGTACATCGATGCTCTACATGGCCGCTTGTTGAATCCTGAAGCATCAACGAATTGCGAGATCTGCTCCATGTCGAGGACGGACCAGTTCTTGGAGGGCTTGGGCATGCGGTACTCGGACCATTGGCGCAATATCGGAGTGCTGTTTGCCTTTGTGGGGTTTAATATTGTTGCTGCTGTGTTCTTGTACTGGCTCATCCGTGTGCCTAAGCAATGGTCGCGGAAGGTCAAGGCTTGAAATCCTTCATGGGGGCAACTTCGGGGCGTTTGCTACAGACCTGCATTTACCAAATGATTATTAGGGCACATTGAAATTAATTCTCCTCTTGACAGCATATGATGTACATGTGCGCGGTGCAGTGCAGTTGACGGAAAAAGCAGCCCCTTTCCGGCCTGGCATTCTTATTGGTCGGACAACTTTGAGCCCGTACACTTTAGTATCCTGGCTTTGGAAAAGAAAGGATCGTCAAGAGGGACATAGCTAACTGTGAGTGTACTTATAATTGGCTCACACGAAGTTTGGGGTCCATATACTTACATTAGCGCAATTTAGTGGACTGAAAGTAGTCAGAATTGCGATCTCGGTCTATCACTGGCTGATACTTAGGGCTTCGTCGCCCTTCATGTACATGACTTGTCCATGCTTGCGTCGACCTATCACTGCATTGCATTTTCCGTTCCGGGGCTATTTTTGAGGCTCAAAATATTCCACGAGGCCCACCCCCACCCTTCGTTGTCATTTCCTAGTAATCTCATTGCCGTTATTTTTTATCTTGCTCTTCTATTCTCTTCTCTCCTTCAAGCCATTCTATGTTTCTCAATCCTTTGATGCTGCTCCATGCATTCCTGCTCACCAATCCCGAACTTCTCGCATACCGTACCTTTGTCCGACGAATCGCAGACTTTCCAGACCTTCGATTCCTCTTTTCCTGTCGATGATGCTTTTGTCACTCGTGCCTCGCAACTGCCATTCTCTTCCTCGCTTGAACAAGAAAAGGACCGCGAAGGGTCTTATTTTCCCCAGTCGTGGTGGAAGCCCGAAGACTGTCAATATTCAGCAGAGTCTCTATCGGCAGAACCTCTCTCTGATGATCGCCTTTCGCCATGGAACAGGGCTCTATCGGCCATCTCTGATCCTCAAAGTTCTCACAGCATTAACAGTGGCAGCTTATCGTCCATGGCGTACTATGCTTCCCTGTCATATCAGCAAGAAGATGCACTCATCCCACAGTTTGACGAACAAGTCAGCACATACCCCATGCCAAACAGCTTAGTTGATATGATCCCATCTCTCCCTCTTTCAAAGCCACCGATCTGTGGAGTCCAACCGGACAGATCCTCCCCTTTGAACAGCAATGAGATCATCTGGTCAAGCAGCCACTCCGATCGCACCCCAACCCCAGAGGCTCTATTACAGGCTCCTACCCACGTGAACCCGTGCATAAAAAGAAGAGAAAGAGCAACATCCAAATCCCGCTCTCGCAAGTCAACAGGAAAAGTCGCAGCCTCAACACCAGGCCGTCGCCGCCGCCGGGCAGCAACGTCGTCCCCTGACGATGGAACCCCACGCACATTCACCTGCAGCTTCGCTCCCTACGGCTGCAAAAGCACCTTCACCTCAAAGAATGAGTGGAAGCGTCATGTCACCTCCAAGCACCTGCTACTAGGTTTCTTTCGGTGCGATGTGGGTAGGTGCAATATCCTAGCACAAAAGACACCATTTCAAGCTCCGAGATCCACTTCTACTACTCCTCAGCCTGGCCAGCCAAATGACTTCAACCGCAAAGATCTCTTTACTCAGCACCAGCGTCGTATGCACGCGCCCTGGTTGCAGACTGGTCACCGGAGAGCCCCGACAGATGTTGAGAAAGGTGCTTTTGAGTCTAGTCTGGAACAAGTCCGGAAAAGATGCTGGCATGGTTTACGGCACCCGCCTACGAAGAGTCATTGTGGGTTCTGTGGGGAGGGTTTCTCTGGTACTAGTAGCTGGGATACCCGGATGGAGCATGTCGGGCGGCATTTTGAGAGGGAGGATCCGGCTTCTCTTGGGGAGGGAGTGGAAGATGTGGCACTTCGTGAATGGGGGTTGAGAGAGGGCATCTTGACTTTGCTGGATGGACAAGTTTGTTTGGCCTCGTTGGTAGAGAATGAGGGTTAATTTCTTTGTTTTTATTGTGAATAAGCTTGTGGGACTTGGTGTTTGGGATTTGTGCTTTATTGTGGATCTGCGGTATAGGTACTATTATGCAATTTGACGCGGTCAAATGTTTTATTCATTATGAAAGTATACTGTGGGCAAGCTGAGGGTAATTTCTCATTCATCTATAGATGCAGTCACCGCCTTTTCCAGGGAGATCTACTCGATATTATACAGGCAGTAGACGTCCTCTCAGCTGTATTGCACATTAAGTCGATGCACCTCGTTGAGATCCAAGCAGAATTTCTCGAATAACAAACCGCTCTGAGGGTCTGGGGCCAATGCAGCAAGTAACGGATCGGCGTGAAACTCACTTTCAAATTCTTCGAGCCATGCGATAGCAGAGCCTACAAGACCCACCGGACAAGAAAAGACGGGAGCCCGCATCAAATATCTCCATCCAATATGGGGCTATGAGCCACTAGAGGCCGAAGCCAAGGCTATTCTCGTGCGCAACCATTCGGATCTAAGAATGAAGACCGATGTGGATCGGAGTTTGGGAATGTCAAGTACATTACCGGAGTACTTCGGTGTCACTTTGTTTAATCAGTGATGCCACGGACCTTGTCCGAAATCCGAGGAGATGTCCTGTCTGGATCGGAGTTATCAGTCAAAGTCCAGGTCGTCCATGACTCGCCATCAAGCGGAAATTCCGTGTGTCTGTTTCGACACGTCAGGTTCGCCCATTGACAAGGAATTACCGGACTTTAAAATCCTGAATTGGCCCCCAGAGTAATATTCTTAGTAAAAAAAATAACTCACTATAAAGGACGGTTGACAAATCAGCCAACGCGGCCCAAGCAGAAGTTTTCAGACAGGAACGAAAAGCATACAGTGGCTAAGAGAGTAATACTCGCGAGCGTCGGTATTGCAAATCAAAAAAGATTATCATCCAACTCATGTTCCTCGAAATCTATGTATTTCTTTGTCTGTCCATTGACGTTCGTTCATCTTTGAGCTTCTGCGACCGGTGTCGTCTACATATAAGAGCTTCCATATCCATGTAATTGAAATAGCTGAGTATTAGAAGATGTCTGCAGCCATTGGGCTATTGCATCCCTAGGAATGATCAACATCCCTAGCAAACTGAGAGAACATGAGCCCTTCGTAGTTTGATCATTTTCACTTGTAAGGGCATGTACACGTCAGGTGACGGCTTCGAGCCCAGCAAGCATGCAATAACACCCGAACTTTACGCATATAAAAAGAATATTGCATGACATTGGTTGTCACAAAGATATTTGTTTCAAAGAGAGCCTCTAATTGTTTCTTTTTTTTTTTTTTTTCCCTTCTCATCTACAAATATAAGATGTTCTCGCGGTGTAAAGATGATGCCTCGGTCAATATGACAGCATCTCAACCACTCAAACCCCTAATTTTCGGACTTTTCAGCTCAAAAGCAGATCGCCCAGGGAGTCTTTCCCTTGATGTCCAAAACACTAGCGAGAAATACAACACCAATCTGAAGTCTATTGCGCGGGCAGCTTAGATCATTCTATATAAGTCAGTGCCAGATCCGCAAACTGGTTGGCTTAAATGCATTGTATACGACATGGCCATGGAATAGTAGTTATTTGCAATCATTTATCGGTATCAGAAAGTCTAGAGGTACCTTATAAGAAAAGCACAGTATACAGAATTTCTCCGAATTGAGGGTCTTACTCCGGGAATTCCTAAGAAGAATGCTACATATAAATCGAGCATCTCGCATTTCGCATTTTGCATTTCAGGGAGATCTGTTAGAGAAACCTACCACTAACTTCTCAATTGGCAAGATCGCCAGCCCCGTAAAGAGACCAAAATAGACCGAAGCTGTATCCCCAAGGCGGTCACCCCACACCCGCAACTCGACTCCTTAACATCTGGACAGGAACATCTAACGTTACTCCGTACAGTACATTGTATTCGCCCTCAATCAATCTCAGGCATGACGCATATGCACTAGCGCTTTTCACCCCTTCCTTCAAAGCTGCGCTCGATCCAGATCCGTTCACCATGTACGCTACCTCTTCGAACCACACCACCTGGCCGGAACTGACATGCCTTCTATCACCAGGACGGTCTTCTCCCTAATCGTAATCAACAAAGCTGGTGGTCTCATCTACCAGCGTGAGTTCCAGCCTGGTTTGCGCAAGCTCTCAACGAATGACTACCTCGTCTTAGCGGGCACCTTTCACGGGTATGCCACCCTTTCTCCTGTTGAACTTGACCATCATCTGACATTGATCTTGATAGCGTCCACGCCATCACTCGCTCTATCACACCTAAAATCCCTATCGCACAACCGGCGCCCTCCCCCGCCACCTCCTCCCCGAGCGCCACTGCTCCTACGGCGTCCGGCTACTCCTACCCAAACCCCGGCGTGCCAGTCACCGGCCTGGATTACCTTGAGACGGACAAGTTCCGATTGACATGCTTCCAGACGTTGACGGGGACAAAATTCTTGTTGTTTACCGATCCGTTGACTGGCAATGTGGAGAATATCGTGCAGAAGATATATGAGCTCTATGCGGACTACGTGATGAAGAATCCATTCTATCAGCTTGAGATGCCTGTGAGGTGTGAGGCATTTGATCGGCATCTGGGCGCATGGTTGAGAGGGAGGACATAACCTCTTGGCAGGGAGGATCATGACTTTACGAATTAGAATACGGCTTGTTCATATACTTGTGTCTGGAGATGACTCCGTCTCGTATACCAAAACCACACATATTTCTCTCGCACTATAGAACGTACCCAGCAGGGCGGCTCAAGAATACAGGACAAGCAAAAGTAAACGCCGGGTATGCATCACAATCATATTCAAGGCTCGAGTAGAACCTTACGCAGTGTCCATCTTGTCCTCGTCCTTCTTATCTTTGTCACCGCTGGAGCCTTCCTCGGGGATATTGCCCAGTTGTGTCTTGCCTTCCTGCTCTTCCTGGTCGCGCTTCTCCTTCTCCTGTCTGTTCTTCTCCTCCTCGAGCGATAACCGCAGAGCAAAGGCCAGCTCGGGGTCGTTCTCGGCGGCATCCTCGAACCCGAAGCCACCACCTTCGCCGCCCTCGCCGCCTCCACTGCCAGTGCCAGCATCCTCACCAGCCAGGATCGGGGTCTGCTGGAGCTCCTCGCTGAGCAGTCTAGGACCCGGAGGAATGATGGCGAGGTTGGATCCATCGCCACTCTTGACGTTCTCAACGAAGGCCTCCAGCTTCTTGGTCTGGTCGGACTCAAGGTCTCCGAATGCCACCACATCGATCGACACATTGTTCTTCTTCATCTTCTTGGCTAGCTTCACGAGGGTTTTCTCATCTTCTTCGATAGGGGAGCACGAGAATACGATGATGCGTTGGCGCTGAGACTTTTCCATACGGTGCTTGAGGGCCAACTAGGATACCATATGGGTCAGTCATGAGAAGCTTAGAAATCGGCCTGGAGAACTTACAGCTGCAACCTGAATACTCGAGCTGAGATGGGATGTGCCGTGGATTTTCGTCTCATGAAGACCTGCCAGAATTGCTCCAAAGTCGGATGTGAAGGTCGACAGCACCTCGGGGCCCTTGCCGCCCATGCTCATGAGGCCGACAGCTGACTGCGGGTGTACACGCATCTTGACACTGTGGATGACGCTAACGGCATCGACTTGAGATTGCCACCGGGTTGATCTATCACAATTAGATGTCATTCCAGGATGAAAGAGCAGCAGCATTGAATATACTCACGTGTAGTCTCCATTGCGACTGCTTTCGCTGTTGTCGACACTATAGCTTGGAGTCAGCATTATCAGCCAGAATGAGGAAAATAGTAACGAACATGATCATAGTAGCTTCAAGCGACATGATGGCGGGTAGGAATGGAATTAATGTAAAGCAGGTAAAGGAGAGCAGATCGTGGAGATGAAGACGGATGACGAAGGCGAGGTGGAAGCTCTACATTCTGCCCGGTTTCTCCGCCCGCTCTCGCTGTTTGTTGTGGTCGAGTCCTCCTTGCTCCGCCTTGACTTCTACGTATATCCCACATATATCCCTTCACACAATGCCCGCTATGAAGCGTAATTCTGACGCCATGGACGTCACGCCTACGGGCAGTCCTACCAAAAAGATGCGTCTCACTCAACATCAAAAACAGGCATTGATGGACAATCTACAACTTGAGAGTGGGTTGCGACATGATTCTCCAAGGCCAACATGGTGCTAAATTTCTTGCAGTTACTGAACGGGCGCGTAAGCTTCGTGCTCAATATGCTCTTCAAGCCAACGACCTCCGGGCACGTATCGAGCGACGCGTCAACCGAATTCCACTCTCGCTGCGCAAGGCTAACATGGGCGAGCTATTTGAGAAGCATAATGCCGCGGCAAACAAGCAACAGCACCTGTCACCATCCCGAAAGTATTCTCCTGCGAAGGCGTCGCGTAATATTACCAGCATCTCCGTCGACCCAGAAACATCTGCTGCACGCGACGGTCGAACTCGAAGGGCAAGGTATGATATCCCGCACGCTCAATTCGACTCGCCAACTAACTGTTTGTTCAGCCTTGATGGCCATTTCTCTGACAAGGAGAATGCCCCTGCTAGTGAAGGACTGAACAACCCCAAGCGCCGTGTGAAGGCAGGACCCGCCGGCGGGGCTTCACGCGTGGCGTCTCAAGAAGTGCGAGGCAACGAGAACAGAATTCTGTCTCCCAAGTCCAACAACTCACGAACATATCCCCACTCGCCCTTCCGTGCTTCGCCTGAAAAGGGTCAACCATCTTACCTGTCCCGCCCCACATCCCCACTGAAGCCTTCTAGCCCGCTACGATCACGCGGTGCCACTGTATCCGCCGTGAAGGACCAGCGTCCTCCATCCCGGGCTCAGAAGACGACCAGTCGTGCTGCTACAGGACCCAAGACTACTACCCGTTCACCTTTGCCACGCCCAGCAACCCGGCAGGGAGAGCGCAGGAATAGTGCCTCGTCCAACGCATCCTCGGGTACCACAGTCACAAAACCAACTCGAACTGGAACTGGTGCTAGAAAGGCTACAGCGGCCTCTAGCGCCGCTGCAAAAAAGCAGGCTGCTCCTCGCATGCAAGCTGCGTCAATGGCTGTTAAGAAACCTGCTAACCCTGCTTCGATGCGCAAAACCACTGCTCCCGCTGCTACTGAGAGTGCAACTCGGACCCGGGCACTGCGAAAGCGGATCTAACATGCCGGCATGAACCGTACAGCTATTTTCTTCTTTGGAGTTGGATCGGATTGGTGTTACTTTGAGCGTGGGTGACTACAGACTACATGAACAATTTGAGCCTGGGCGATGTTCTTTTTGATTATTCAGGGTGGTATCATAATAGGTGTTTAATGCATTCTAGAGTGTCAACATACATTCATGTCCTTGATCGGGGCGTTTTCTCAATTCATTATCCATTCAATCTGTTCCTAGCTATGCGTGGTCTATGCGTGGTCTCATGTAGAGATGAACTGACATGTCCTGAAGCCCGAAATTTGCATCCTGATATCGCTGCCTACTAAAAATTTTGAGAGGTAAGCAGTCGCGTTGCCGGTCTTTGCTTCAAGCGCTACCAAATGACTATGTTACAGAGGTTTAGTCTGGACTACTTGAAAGAGGACGACTTCCAGTCAAGTGTTCGCTTGCAAGTCGATGATGTTTGTTAACAATCATTTGACTGGGCTTTTAGATATTATCAATCTAGCTTGGCGAACAATGATCTCAACCGGAACAATATGTTCGATGAGCTGGACTTCCTGGCGACGAAAAGCCACTCGAGAGACGCTGGGCCTGATATTCTGCTCCCATAAGTTGCCCCGGTAGTGTGCTCAATGCATCAGATTGCGAGCGTGCATTCAAGAGCTCGAGGGGGTCTAATAGAAGCGTTTATTCCGAGGGGCCTGTGGCGAGCAACGCCTTTCCATTTGTGCCCTCCCATCGACCATATTTCAGTCAACGCCCAAGGTCATGGATGACCTAAAACAATTTCCTTTTATGTTGATCGATATGCCCAATCGGACGCACGATGACTCCGTCTTTCATTCGGATGCACCTCCACCGGCGATGCACAGACTGGTAGCAACCCGGACTCGAGTTGTACATGGCGTGGAATTCCACATCAAGGCGTTGCAAGGAAGACGATTGCCTCGCGAGAGTGACCAGGAACAAAGTCTCTGCTAGACTTTCATTGACCTCAATGTTTCCAAAAAAACGTGGATGTTCATTTGGGTCATCAGATGTTCGCTCTTCTGGTCGTCCGATACAAATGATAAGTAACTTAAGGGTTGTCAGACAAGAGAAACCTCTGATTGCTTTGTAGATCTCTTTCTCATCGTCTCCGTTTGTCATGAACATCGTGAAATGCAGTTCCTGTATATTGGGACAAGCAGCTCGAGTCTGCACGAGCCAGTCTGTCGTCACAGAGTTTTCATCCTTAACCCGTTTTTCCGATATCAGTGACAGCTTGCGTAAGGATTTACTGTGATGCTCTAGGGTTGCTTGGAACACTTTTGTTCGGATAGTGCCCGAGAGGCGTACACTCTTCAGCGGCGGAAGAGAGGATATGAAATCACCTCCTGCCTCGTCAAGAAGTCGGATAGAATTCTCGTCTCTTGTGTGCCCGAAATCAAGGGCCATCGATTCCAATACAGGGAAGCTGTAGCTAGTGAGCTTTTTAAGAAGGTTTAACGAAAGGGCCTTTAGTGATGTTCCCCACAGACGTAAGGTCCGGAGCTCGGAGAAGGCCTTTTGTCTAGTATCATCCAGAGGTAGGCAGAGACTTAGGTCTCGTAGGTGTCCATTGAACGAGTCGTCTTTGCAAGAAGGGCGGTTTAAGAAGAATCCTCGCCATGGAGGCCGGTCTGGTGGGGTCTGATCCAGCCAGTGTGCACTTGATGGCTCGAAAACCAGGTGTAAGTTGGTCAAATTAGGGGCTAATCCATTTGCTAGCTCAATTGCAGCTTCGCCGTTGTAGTCCAAATTTCCGCCATCATTTTGATGGTTTAGAGGGACCAGAATACTTGAAATAGAGGGCGATGTAGCTAATTCATATTCGTATGCGTCGATATTTTGGGGGTTATCGGCTTTGTAGCACAAACTTAGTAGTCTGAATGCCATAATATGTAGTCGGCATTTTGGCATCGACTGATGGAGGATCTCCAATAGACAGGGCGGGAACAATGTCTCACAGCTCCAGGTGATATCACAGAGACCAGATAGTTGGCTTACCAGAGTGCGAAGCGGACCCCAGCTGTCATGTTGAGGTTCAGGGACATGGTTGAAAACTCCGTTGATACTTTCTGCATAGTAATTGCTGAGACAAGTCAATTCATCCTCGTGACAACCGTGGTTGGTATCCTCTTCCAGCGTCCTCGTTTGTCCACGATCATCTTCGGTCGGCGGCATTTTACCTCGGACAACCAAATGACGAACAGACGTAAAGGTAGACATTCGTTGTAGGATTCTACTCCATCTTTTGACGTCTCTGGCCAATTTCTCACGGCTTGCAATGCTCAGATAAACTTGAGGAAATCGATGTCTACCAGCAATGGCGTAGCTTTGTTTGCTTGCTAGTGCCAGTTCGTAAACACTAGGTAGGTCATCAGCTGCAATATAATCACATATTTGCCCAATTGTCTCTGGCGGCAGCGAAAGGAGGTTCATGGTGTGTACGGAGTGAAGAGTTTTGTAGAAGCATGAGAAGGAACAGACACAAATGTGGATCGAGAGTAGACGGTCAGGCGGAGAAGCTAACCAGAAAGGGATATGCTACACGGTTTATTTCAGAATCTACATGTCAGATGCCATGGCAATCATGTTCATTGGACAAAGTGAAAGAGCAAGGAAATAAGAGGCTCCCTGGTATTTCAAAAAGCCAAACCGAGGGAGGAGAATAAGAATGGAAGCAAAGAAGAAAAAAAGGGTCTAGGTAAAGCCGGAGCCTGGCCCACAAGAAAAGAAGAGAATGAAAAAAGCAGGACATGTATGGGTCCAGAGGGACAGGTAGGGGTATGGCTGATCCCTCTAATCAGATGCAGATGAACAAAAAAAAGCAAGGCATCATAGCCCCTATAGAGATGGAGATAAAACAGGAACTAATCCACCGCGATCAATCAGCTTGATCACTTTGGGGGAATTTTCAGGGGGGAAAAAAAGAAAAGAACTCCGTCGACCAAGCCTATCACTCAACAAAAGGAGAAGAAAAAGAACGCTAAGCAAGCCCCCAAGAAAAGAAAACACTCCACAGAGAATGAATCAGAAGGATGGATGCAAATCGAGATGTATCACAGAGCAGCTGTGCAAAAATAGAAGAAAATAGTAGAACCTGTCTATCCGGTAACGCCCATGGCACCTGGACTTGGACGCGGCCGATATGCAACATTTTGTGATTGACCATCGGGGGCAGCGGCATTTCGCTGACTGCCATTGCTGGTGCTTCGGTCACGGTGATAAGCCGCTGGAGGCGGGCCAAAATCGAGGCCAGCTTGAGCGTTGGCACTGGCAGAGTGTGTGTGGCCACTGGGCCCTGGCACATGGCGGACTGAACTCTGCATTTGCCAGGCTGCGTCCTGAGAAGGGTCGGTCTCGATGCGTGCGGAAGCTGGAGCGCTGTTGTTGCGGTTGGGCGTGGTGATAGTGAATGTTTCACCACCGTTCTCGGGCTTCTGTGAGAAGCTGCCTCGTGCAATATCACCATACCGTTTCAGAATTTCCTTGGTCGTTACTTCTGCGTTCTCCCTGAAAAGAGTCTGATCGCTTAGAATCGATTGCAAATCTTCCGGAATCTAGAGAAGAGTCAGTATAGATGCGATGGAATGAATGGCGGTTTACTTACCTCGCACATGGCGTCGTTATACGTGATCAGGGCGTTCACAGCCTCGATAGACAAGAAGCTTTCATCCACAGTGCTGTTCTTGGCATTGGGATAGAGAATGTTGGGTGTGATGACAGTTGCAAGATTGTGAATGTCCATCTTGCTTCCAGAATCCTCATCCACGTGTGAAAAGGACGATGTCCAATTCAAGAAGGCGAATAGGACTTCCATCGTGTCACGGTGCGCCTTGGGTAGCAGACAGCATGACAAGTGCAGTACTCGCTTCTGTTTCTCGGGGTCGGGTAGTTCTGTGGCAGGTTAGTATCTTGTCAACAAGATAGAGCCGGCCAAACTTACTTTGTGAGATGACAAAGAGTCGGTGGAGCTTAAAAGTCAAAAGGGGATCAGGCATCTCACGAAGGAATTTCTTCAAGAGTGCTGCAATCTGTACAGGAGTCTCCTTTGTCAAATCTACTTGGTCATACTTGGTGTCAATCAATTCCGCAATGTCCTTCAGTCGCCGAATATTGCCGTTCTTTCGGAAGACACCTTCCACGGACATGTCCATCTGCCGCATAGCGGAAACAGAATCATCAACCAAAGTTGGAATGCGGAGCGCACCAGGGCCAACACCGTGGCTCGATTCTGTGCCCTCCTTTTCAACCAAGTAGTCCAGGCCAACGCCGAAGACGCCCTTCTTCTTGCCACCCTTCTTGTTATCCTTAAAGGCGCGACCAAAGATGTTCCAAATGGTGGGTTTGCGCGACTCAATAAGGGAGAGCAATTCCTCCATGTTGAAATAACCTTCCAACAAGGGTTCCATCTGTAACACAGCAACGTGGCGGACGATGAAGTACTCCAAAGCTGTTAGTTCAGAAAAGTATCGCTTGGACCGAGTCGGCTCCATGAGAGCCTCCAGGTTCCCACTCGACACACCGCGTTGATGGCCGCGGTTGTATCTGGGCATGGGCTCTATCCCACCAACAAGCTTTGTACCAGCGTGTTTGTATGCGTTGGGTCGCTGCTCCTTGGCCTGTTCAGCGGCAACAATGCGTGGAATATCGTCCAGCGTCAAAGCATCTTGTGTACCGAATGTCAAATCGGTGACAGTATCACCGTTCGCATCTCTCTCCTCCACGATCTGGAATCCAGCACCCCTTGGATCAGATCCTTCGTTGCCGGAGGATCCTGGTCGGGCACTTCTTCCTTCCGGTCCATCAATGATCCTTGATGCGCGGGCCCTCTTGTATGTAGTGGAAAGAGTCCGCTCATTGCGAATAGAGCGCAGTCGACGCATCTCACCGACGGTCTGCTCAAGGGACGATTCTTCTATGCCATCTCGGGAGCCACCAGTATAAGATTGAGAGCGGGTGTTAGCGCGGCGGACGTCGCCGGCCGTCCTGTGGCCTTCATTGTCTTCGTAGCCCTGCAGATTAGGGTCATCTGAGGCGTAGCAAGTTAGCCAGTCTGCTAGTGGGATCGGGGGCATGGTAGTAAATCTCACCTGAGGTGTGGGGCAAAGTTCCTCCAGACCGAAGTACAGCGAGAAGTCGTGCCAGTGCCACCTTCAACAGGAAGATGAATTGCTGCAGCTTTGAGACTGGGATGAAACCACCCTGGACAGTGGATCCAAGGTTCTTCTGAGTGGCACAGTCATTGCAGTAGACTTGTTCCTCAGACTCGCTCCATAATGCTTCGGAGAGTTCAGCAGTCAAATCTTTATCACATGCAGAACATGAAAGATGAGGTGGCTTGATGTGCCAACGGCTCTGTCCCAGCAAAACACATTCGTCATCGATTGGTTCTTTGCAGGCAATACAGCAGTCTGACAGCTGATCGGCCAACCCTTCTACCCCAGCCAAGAGATCGAGTGATGCACTCTCATCTTCCATTTCCGCAAGTGATTCGAGATCGCGGAGATGCTCCAGGAAGTTGTGCAACCCATCAGGTGCCGATTTCTCTCGCTCGAGTTTCAGAGCACCTTGCAATCCGATGCGGATCAAGAGCTTGAGGTAATGAGCAAGACCAGTCACTAAAGACAGCAGTTCTTGTGTGACGCCCAGTTTGCGCACTCCGGTCTCTTGGGTTTTCGATAGAAGGGCGAAGAAAGCGACAATTTTCTTGCACAGAAGTTTGGCTTCGCGGCCATAAGACAGTTCTGATGTGGCATTAGCTGTTGGTTCAGATGAATCCAAGGAACCGATGGACTCACCCTTCAACTCGTGGGATTTGATGTAGTTCGCTAATTGGTCGACCGCGCCAAATAGAATTTCGACGTGGCCAATAAAGCGCTTAGCGACAAGAACGCCGTCGAGGTAGGCTCCATTGCTGACATGGAGTAGCATATCGGAAATGCAAGCAGCAGACGATTCTTCAAACGTCGAGAGTGTGTTCCAGATGTTGAAAACCTTCTCCTCCATGATGTCTTCCTCTTCGCGAATCTGTTTGCGTTCTTCCTCGCTCGCGTCCTCGTCAACCGGTGGAGGCTCCCAAGTCTGACCCGCAGGAGATAATCTGACGTTCCAAAACTTGTGAATCATGTAGCACTCGGGGTGCCAGTGTTGATTTTGGCCGTTGCGGAAGATTTCAACGAACTGTTTCAGAATCGCAGTATGACACCCATGACACCGTTGAGCGAACTGAGTCGAGTAATGGAAGTGACAGTAAACCTTGCTCTCGTGTTCGTAATAGGAGTCCTGGGCACCAAAGACGGTCGGACAAACGGAACAAGTAAAGTGCTCGATATGGTATTTGCGGTCCAGCGCAGTGATGTATGACCCTCGCAGTGCTCCACCACACTCGTGGCAAAGGAGACTCAGTCGTCTGAAGTAATCGGTTTCACACAGTGGGAATTGGCAGCTACCGTCCTCCGAATCCACGGGGAAGAACTTTGAAGCAACGATTTCACCACAATCCTAGTAGCACAGAATAGTCAGAAGGAGTTAAAAGCAGACCAGCGACAGGAGTCAACTTACCTCGCACTTAAAACACTCTAGATGAAAAGTACCCCCTAGAGCCCGCACAAACTGACCGGTGAGCGATTCACCACATTTCTGGCAAAGGCGGGATGAGCCACCAGGGGATTTGTTGTGTTGACGACCGTTCGCTCGCGATCTGTCTCGAGGGGCTGAGTGTGTTGAACGGTCGCGATAGTTGGCCTGGTCGGGACCCAGCCCGCGACTCGAGCGACCATCGTCTTGATTCACTGGTGTAATTGGACTTGGACCACCAGTTCGTGTGCTTGGTGATTCGAATGGGATGAGACTGTCTTCGGGGGAGGTAGGTGTGTTTTTTGTGTAACTAGCCCCGTAGCCAGAGGTATTGACGGTAGGACGGCCGCTGGGGTTGCCTGCGACCAGGCTGGCTGGTAGTTCACCGGGGGGCATCTTGGTCCCCCGTCAAAAGAGAAAGAAGGTGTTGCTGGATCAAATCACGCCAAACGCTGCATGCAAAGAGTGAAGAAAGCGGCCGGGGAAGTGTGGACTCGAAAGTACAACGCGATTAACGGTAGGAATTCTAGACTGAGCGCGTTCGGTTCGAGGCCTGGTTTGGTTAGAATTTCACCCTGAAATTTACGCAAAGACAGTTCTCACCCTCACGCCATATAGCCAAGACGGGCGGGGTGGCAGATGTAGTACGGGGCAAGGAGAATAGCGCGCGAGATCGAGGTCAGGATGCGAAGGCGGTATAGAGGGTCCAGGGTCTCCAAGCGCGCAGGCTGAAGAAGTGGGGATTGGAGCTTTCAAAGAGCAACAGACAAGTCTCAACAATCCCAGAACAAAAGGAAAATTAGAGTGCAAGGGCGAGGGGAAAAGAAGTGGGCTGGGGAGGAATGAAGATGGAGATGGCTTGGGCATTTGTTGCCCCCCTTATGGTTCGTCACGTGAGCCAGGGACCATCTATACTGCAGATATCTGTTCTTTGGTGAGTGATTGTGATGTATTTTATAGTATATATTCTATATCTTGTTGATTTTGCTTGATTGACTATATCCTACATAGTATAATAATGTCCAGTGGTGTACAATGTCAGCCCCTTTCGCAGTGCTTTTTATAGCACACAGCCTATACCAACCTTAAGATAGCGTATTCATGACAGCTACACTATATATCAACCTGTCTCCTAGATTGGTCTGACGATATGTTGAACTCATCTAGTCACCAATATATACACACTTGGTTCTCTCACACAAAGTATATGATGACCCGCACAAAGAGAGTAATCACACAGATAACTATTACCAAGTTTAATGATAATAAGAACAGAAATATCAGGAGAAAATTGTAAGCAATAAACAAATTTATAGACATGAAAAAGAAGGAGACAGGAAGAAGAAAGACACACTCACCCGGAGTAAACAAAATATATAAACGCCCAACCAAAGCGGACAGCTCATCTCGGTACCTTTCGACATCTGAGTTTCTTGACTTTCTACACTTTCTCTCTACACCTCTACACTTCATCCTTAAGTTGTCCATCAGCATGGCTGACCAGTGCTCGCTGCGCCTGGTGCGAGTAAGTCTCCCCACCATTATAGTGGGACCTGTACTAACGTCCCCAGGAACTGGCTCAATTTGAGCGAAGTGAGCAACTCGGTATGAGACGTTTCAATCTGTCGAAATCTCATGCTGACATCATATAGCCTTCACTGTCGCCTACGATGAAAAAAATACACGAGACATTCAAGCCCTCATCGTTGGGCCTCCAGGCACACCCTATGAGCTGGGCTTCTACGAAGTAAGGGCCACCATCAGACCAGGTTTTTAATTACCAAATACTAACCCTACCCAGTTTGCCATAAAAATACCACCTGGTGAGAAGCTCTGGCATCATTCCAAATTACCAAGGGCTAACCACGCCAGATTATCCCGCGAGCCCACCAACTGTGAGGCTGAAAACTACCAACCAGGGACGCACAAGGTTCGGCCCTAATCTCTATGCAAGCGGGAAGGTTTGCCTGTGAGTACTTCTCTGACACATTCATTGATCCTGTGCTGACTGCCCTAGCTCGATTCTTGGGTAAGGTCGCGATTCATGCTTTACTTCGGACATCTCTGATCATGCAACAGCACATGGCCTGGTGAACGCGGGGAGGAATGGTCTCCCGCCCAGGGACTGGAGTCAGTCTTGCTGTCTATCCAAAGTCTATTGTCCTCAAACCCGTATACCTTGGAGCCAGGGTTTGATGACAGGAGTGACGACACCGAGAACATCGAGGCGTACAACTCCAAGGTGATACTGATTGTGGAAGAGTAATCATGAGACTGACGTTTTACAGATCCGACATGAAAACCTACGATTGGCAGTTATTGACCCTCTAGAAAAAGCCCTCCAATTTCCTTCATTAACCTGGCAACCCAGAACGCAAAGAAATGGCCAGCCACCTGTATATGGAGCAGATAGCGACCGACAAGCACCGAATCAAAATTTCCTCAGTGCCTTTGGTGACTTTTCCAAGCAACGATTCCTCTGGTACCTGGATATTTACAAAAACGCAATTGAGAAAGGCATTGTGGAAGAGACACGGAGACACACAACCCCCTTTCTTTCGATGCCATTTGAGAGTTCGGGTAATGGTATGCAAGGTACATGGGATTATACCAAGCTGAAGACCCGCCTGGAAAGCGTCCAAGAACAGTTGATGGAGGAAATACACAAGTGGCCTACCGAGGGCCTGGCACTGGTCAAAGAGGATGCTGGGATTGCGGTGAAGCTGATGGGACAGCATGAGCAAATCGTTACCGAAATGAAGTCCCGAACGCAGGTCATGGATCTCTCGCTCGCTGATGGCAACCCTTTCGTCTGGCGACTCACTTACGCTGGCCGCACGGAGTCACGACTGGAAGGTGGTATCATCAAGATCAAGATTTTCATCAGCCCTCGACACCCGGTAGAACAGCCCCGTGTGTTTGTCGAGTCACCGCTCTATCACATTCGTGTCTCCAAGATGGGTGTTATGATCTATCTGCCTGCTCGAGCTGACGAGATCCGCCATCACATCGACGGCATTATCAACACCCTAGAAAATGACAACCCACCATATAATCCACTCATGACAGTGAACCCCGAGGCAAGCGCTCTGTGTTGGGGAACCGAAGTAGAGCGCAGGCTTTACCGGCGCAAGCTTCGAGCGTCGCTGGAGGAATCCTAGACCTCAACATGAAGTGTGAATGAGGCCTATCCCATGTTTAGCTTGCTTGTTTCAACGGTTCAATTTGCTTGATTTGCAGGTCATCGCCAAATAGCTATGTGAGTTCATGAAGATTCGCGATGGCGGAGAGCCGGGGATTGTGGGGGTGTGTGGCGTCGGAGTAGGTCAAGACCAGTACCTTTTAACCCAATTCTGTTCGAAGCCATGATAATCAAAACATCTTCCACTTCTGAAGTATCAATAGCGAGTAAAGTTAAGTACAACCAAGTGACATACAACACCGGGAGAAGCGCCACGTTCTGACGCACGGCCCACCTGGTTCTCCGCAAGAACTCGAGAACTTCCCCTTTTCACCAGTTCAACCTCTTCCCTAATCACATCATGTCGGCGAAAAGGCGCACACTAGAACTCGGAAATGTCTTGGTGGTCGGAGGCTGCGGTTTCCTGGGGTGGCACATTGTCGATCACCTGCTGAACTTCCCCTCCGAGACCGACCCCAGCGTCGCCCTCCCCAAGCCGCAGGGCGATGCACGCTTCGACTTCCCGACTCTGGGATCGCGGTACCCAGACTACCACTCGACTGTGTCTGTTGTCGACTTGCGCACAACCAACAACCGTCTCCCCGGCGCGAAGTACTACGATGGCGACATCACGTCTGTCGAGTCCATGATGGAGGTTTTCAAGGCTGTCAAGCCCGATCTGGTCATCCACACCGCTTCGCCTTCTATGATTGAGGGTAACAAGCCGCTGTTGCACAAGGTCAACGTGGAGGGAACCAGGACGCTCCTTGAAGTTGCTGGTGGTGAGCACGGTGACTGGGGTGGCAAGTGCAAGGCTTTCGTCTACACCAGCTCCAGCTCCGTCGTGCACGATACCCAGAGTGACCTGAAGAACGTCAACGAGGAGTGGCCCTACATCCGCGGTCCTTCGCAGAAGGAGTACTACTCCGAGACCAAGGTGAGATTCGATCAATGGCATTCTTTGAATCAATTGCTAACCAGATCCCATAGGCCGATGCCGAGGAACTCGTACTGAAATACAACCGTCAGTCCCCGACCGAGATGATGACCTGCGCCATTCGCCCAGCCGGAATTCACGGAGAAAAAGACACCACAGTGACACACAAGATCCTGGAGCACGGCTCCCAGGCATCAGACAGAGTGCTACGTATGCAGCTGGGTGACAACGAGAACCTGTTCGACTTCACCTACGTTGGAAACGTGGCGTATGGTCATCTCCTCGCCGCCCACCGCCTTCTGGCGAGCTACGATCTTCGCGCGGCCGGTCAGGGCGGGCCCCTTGACTACGAGCGCGTGGATGGTGAGGCTTTCAACATCACCAACGACTCCCCTGTCTACTTCTGGGATGTGACCCGTGCCATGTGGGCGCTCATTGACCGGATTGTTGAGCCTGACCAGGTTTGGGCTCTGCCTGAGGGTCTTCTCGAGTCTGTTGGTGGTATTGCTGAGACTGTTATGGGATGGTTTGGCAAGACCCCCGTCTCACAGCCCGGACTGTGCGGTACTCTTGCATGACTCGGTACTACTCCACCGAGAAGGCCAAGCACCGTCTCGCTTATTTGCCCGTGGTTCCTCTGGATGAGGGTATTGCCCGTGCTGTTGGATACATTGTTGAGCAGAACCGACAGGCCGACGGAAAGAAGGCATTGTAATTGATTTAGATAAGAAGGGCATTTATTTTATGCTGTATTAATATGATTATTTGCCTGTTTCCTTGAAGCTATAATCCTGAAAGCTACTGTAGGATTGATGTAGAAGTACTGTGAAATGCAAGTATTGTAGAACCAGTTCGTTGTATCACGTATATATTCTAATATGCCTGGTCCCTGACCGGCATTCTCATCACATTGTTACAAGCATTCATAGATCATAACCAACGCCGAGAGCCCTCGACGCACTGTAATGAAACCCGGAGAAAAAGCATTGAAACTCCAAGTATGCAAACCGCTTAAACCAGATATCTGAAACCCTTGCGCATGCGCAAAGACTCGTTGGCATGCTCGAGGATATCATTATCCGTCGTGTCGGCCACCTCACCAGCCTCGATCTGCTTGTTAAGGCTAAGCAGCATGTAGCGGAAGTACCAGCATCCGAAGACCGTGACACCGAACATGGCCAGCACGATTCCGTAGCTAGATCGGAAGCCATTATCATCGAGATCCCAGACGTAGGAGCCAGCCACGTTCCCTAGCTGACTGAATGCGTTGATCATGGCGATGGCGACGGCTCGTTTGGCTGGGGGACGGGGGAAGGAGGAACTGATCCAGGAGTAGAACACGATGAATCCTGCGTAGGAGCCTGCCTGCAAGAAGAGTGCCACGTATCGGGCTGCCACGTTTAGGGTGGACATGCTGATAATAAACCCGACGGCTCCCATGGCGATTGGGCCGATGATGTGCCAGACCTTCTCTTGGGTTTTATCCGCGTGCCATGCGTTGATGACGGAGAAGATACAGGAGAACACCCATGGGGGAGCACTCATCAGGAGGGTAGGGACGTAGCCGAATCCAAGTGTACCGGTGAGAGTAGGCTGTGAGTGGTTAGTCAATGTTGCAGTATTGAGGATGGTAATGGAATGGAACTTACGAAGAAAGCGTTGAAAGACAATCCAACGACGTAGGCAACAAAAGTGAACATCATCACGTAGATCTTGGGATCCTTCAGGGCCATAATCAGACCGCCCATGGCACCGAGCTCCTCGGAGTCGGTATCGGCTTCACCAACATCCTCGAACATGCGAAGCTGAGCCACCTGGAGCTCTTCCTCGGTGAAACCGCGAGCATTGGTGGGCAGATCAGGCAGGATGAAGGCGGCCAAAACAGCCAGGAACATGGTCACGGCACCTTCAATCCAGAACAGCCAGCGCCACGCAGCGTGGCCCAGGACGCCCTGCATGTTGGACAGGACACCGGCACCAACGAGGGCAGAGAAGGCATTGGAAATGAGGTTACCACAGAACAAGAGGGCATTGCGGGAGGTCAACTCGCGGCGAGTGTACCACTTGGACAGAATGAGCAGAGCACCAGGCAGGAACGCAGCCTCGATGAAGCCCAGCAGGAAACGGATGGCCACCATATGTCCAAAGGTCTTGGCGTTACCAGACATGGTGGAGATGAGACCCCAGAGAAGCATGGCACAGGCGATGTAGAGAGAGGGTCGCGAGATGCGGTTGATGAACATGTTGGAGGGCACTTGCATGATGATGTAGCCCACGTACAGGATACTCAGACACGTCGAGTATTCGGTGTTGTTGAGTTGTAGGTCATCCTGCAGACCCTTCAGACGGGCCGCGGCCATGTTGTTGCGGTCCAGGTAGTTCATGATATAGATGAATACGAACAGACTGCATCGGGCGTCAAGCTTCAACTTGAGACGCTTCTCGACGGCCGCACGACGCGCAGGATCCATCTGGGTAGCGAGGTTTTCCTGCTTGGTAGAGGCAATGTGCTCGACATTCTCATACCTCTCCTTCTCGGCCTCGACCTCTGTCCGGTCATTGGTAGCTCGTGAGATGTCGTCCGCCATGGCTGCAGCTGTGTAGAGAATGGAATCAATCGGGACAGGGGTTCTTCTTAAGACAGAAAACCCTTCCCTCCCCCCGCGCTAATTTCCCATTTTTTTCCAATACCCCGGTACCCCCACGCCCAAAAGTCATGAGACGCGGGGGGCCACAGTGGAGATGTCTTGGCCGGGACAGAGAATGTCCCCGGGGGCAACTCGGTCCAGCCGACGAATGGCATTTGCGGCCCACACCCGGCATGTGTGTCCCTGAATGTGACGGTAGAAGAGATCAGTGATATTGATGGGGTCTCTGGAGTATTCCAAACAGGTTGATAGTATCGATACCAGAGGCTCTGATCCCAGACCCATATGGAGTACTGTACCTGGTCCCTGTCGAAAGACAAATCGGCCCGGCGGGACAAACCGGTATCGGGAAAGCGGTCAGGCCGGGTTTGTGCAAAGCCGACTTCCCCGCCTCTCCGCAAATTTCTTTCTCTCCCACGCTCGCTTGGAGTGGCCCCCTGGCCCCAGTTTGTCTGTTTGCGAATCCGTGCACTTCATTTTCGGTAACTGATCCCGGGATTACTCCATATTGACTACTTTACTCTATACGAGGCATTTAATGAAATCTTAATTGGGATCTGAGTAGTGGCTTCCCAACCATATTCCTCCACATCTTACCCCCAACTCTCCCCAACTCTCCACACACACAACCATGGACGTCATCCACTGCAAACTTTGACTAATCAATTTTCGACTTCCGCATTCGTCTAAGATCCACTGCAAATCTAAGCTTACGCCCAAACGGGGAACCCGACCACAGATCCTGGAGTCGGCATCCCACGTTGGATCCCGACATGACGTTCAATGGCTTGCACTTGCATGGGGCAGGTGTACACCAGTGGCTTCAGCGTGGTCCGTTAGCTCAAGGTCCTCCACTATGTCATCGTCGCGCCAGCCCTCTCGGTCATCCTTGACAAGTCGGACGAAGCACACATCAAGAATTAGCGCTACGGCACTAATGGCCACCCCGAAGAAAAGTGCCGCCCGATACCCCGTGATTTGGCTCCCTGTTCGGCGCGCTATCTGCTCTTCAATCGTGGCGGCGAACCCCAGACCGAGACTGTTCCCGTATAGATTGAGTGTGCCAATGACGGACCCCGCGATGCCCTGCTGATTACGTCGGACCGAGTTACTGGCGATGATCTGCCCAGCTGTGTATACAAAGTCGGGACAGAAGGAGAAGAGGATGACCGATGGGAAAACTTGTGCCCAGTAAATTTGGTGAAGGGGCAGTGTCGCCATGAGGACGTTGGAGACTAAGATGGTGATGGTGCCGATGGCGAGAATCCATTGTGCTGCCAGTCGTGGGATCATCCACGCGGCGAGAATAGCAGCTCCCGTGGCACAGATGACAAATGGGGTCCATCCCACAGCGAATTGGAGGGGAGACCAGTGCCATACCTTTTGCAGCCATAAGACCTGGTACCAGATCAGGGTTCCTACTGCCATGTAATTCAACAGCACAACCAAGAGCAGCATCAGGAAAGATGGAGCCTTGAAGATATCCAATGGCATGATTGGCTCGGCAGCATAGTTTCTTTCCCAGAGCAAGAAACCGGCAAACAGGACTACCGAGCTGATCAGGAGAATAATCTCATAGTGAGTGGCCCAACCGACACTGGGTGCTTGACTACAGGAATTAGCATGTACCTGAATCTTGCCTTGGGAGCTCGTCTTACTTCCAAACAAAGTTGAACAGAATCAGTGAGCTCGTCCCGAGAGCTGATCCGATACAGTCAATCTTACCATGTCGGTCGACAGATGGTTCGCGCGGACTCAATGCCCAGATAGGAGCAAAAGTGAAAACACCAAGACACGCACTATAGTTGTCAGAATCTGCATTCAAATACCACATACCCCCCTGAGCACTTGCATGAAGATGAAGAACCACTTCCACTCGGTGTGCTCCAGGAATGCACCCAAGAACAAGGCTCCAAAGTACCCTCCCACCGGTGCTGACGCCCCAAAGAAACCCAAACTGACATTTCGCACGCGACCGGGAGGATTGGTACTGGAGATCATGGCCACCGCATTTGGCATGACGAAGGCACCTCCCAAACCAGCCAGAGCCCGCATGGTGACAAAGGCGAAGAAGTTGGTGCAAAAGGCACTGGCAAATGTACACACTGTGAGCCAGGCACCGCCGGCGAGGAGGAGTTCTCGGTGGCCGTAGACATCTCCCAATCGACCGCTAACTAGCACGAATGTTCCTTGAGTGAGCCTGTAGATATTAGTATTGATAATGAACACTGGTAATCGAGAATTGGATTCTCACGCATAGCTAGCAGCTATCCACGAGGCATAACTATCCTTGGCGCCCAATGATTCACTCAAGGCACTACCGCCAGCAACACCAGCGAAGTTGACCGTCATCTACTAGTATTAGTACAGAGCAAGAAAAAGGCTTAGATTGATGCTAACCTGTACGACATTGGCTAAAACCAGTAACGAAGTAATGGCGATTCGACGCGATGGGGTCGTCCGACTAGGCACAGTCTGTTCAAAGACAGGCTGATCCACCCTGGGCAGTGAGTCCCGAACATGTGCTGCTTCTGGTTCCGCTGGCAGATTGAGGTCGATCTGAGGTGCATGAGGTGGAGAGGTTGGTCTCACTTCGTGGATAGCGTGTAACATAGACATGTTGAGGGTGTTAAAGTTGAAAGAGATATTGCAGCTTCCGTCAAAGTAGCATTCGAGTGCGGAGAAGGGTCCAAGCCAATGCTCAGGCGTACGGATTACTTGGTTGGGTGTACTTCAGCTGGATTTATCAGCACGCCAAGTCTGCTTCTGCGATCTGAAGATTTAACGTTAGTTATTGGTTGGCCTCTACTAGTCCTTTTGTTTGAAACACTTCTTCTAGACTGGCTCTCTCGACATTTTTCTATAGCCTTGCAAGTATCTAGAGGCATTCCAGCGTCGGAGTTTTGCAGGGCGTTCTACTTGGAGGTTTGTGGAAGCGATTTCCGACCGTGACGTCACGATATAGTTCAATCAAGCAACGAAAGGTCTTAGAATCTTGAAGTGATCGGAGAATCATGTCCATCATACTGTAGCGATAAACAAAATATTGGCCATACAGATTGATTTCTTCGCAGTCAGGCGCCCTAGGATATTGTCCTGCCGCATCGCGAGTTTGCAAATATTCCAATCAAATTCTTACCGATAAATATGACGATTCCGCAACACTCAAGGACCCTGGATGAACATAAATAGATAGTTAACAAAGCCTTGGCCAATGTTTAACGTATAGGCTACCTGTGTTATCAGACTATATACGGGGATGATGTGAGCTGCCGCGCACATGGGCCTCCCAGTTAATTCTTCAACGCGCATTTCCCCGGAAGATACCAATAGACTCAAATATGCCACTTGAAAGGCCAAAATCCACAGTACCTAGAGCTATGTTCACCTTGCACAGAGGTTGTCAAGAGGCCTGTCCTACTCAGATATCGATTCTTTAACACATCATCTTTGGCTATAAACTATGAAATACAATAGCTAAATCTTTAGCACAAGCAAAGCTAATTTTGGTGCGAGGACTTTCCTTTTGTTGCCGTCTTCGAATAACATTTTATCACGTAAAAGATAACTTAGCTGTGGGGGTCACAAATACACTATAGGATCACATTGAGATTTCATTCTCCCAACGTCCCATTTGAATGCAGGAATTTCTAGGCAATCTAGTACTGACGACCAGAAACTAAAGAAAGCTTGAGGGAAATGACAAGGGAATTTAGCCAAACAAACATCTGCACTTACATGCCGACAAGTGTACCCCCACGCCATGACGCCGAGAGGGCCCACATCGCCAAATCCTCGGATTCTCTATCGGTCCTCACGAACAAGGTTGCGGTATTCATTACAGGGGTCCTGTTCTTCCTCCTCTGCCGACCGAATCATTTTCTTTACTCGACATGGCGTTCCAACGGCGACTGAGAAGGGTGGAATGTCCTTTGTGACGACTGATCCAGCTCCGATGGTACATCCCTGGCCGATTCGAACGCCCGGTAGGACAATCACGTTACTTCCAATCCAGCAGTCGTCCTCGATGAAGATTGGGTGGCCGAATTCGACGAACTTGCGTCGCGAAAGAATGCTGGTATCGTGACCTGCTGTGATCAGACTCACGCCAGTGCCGATTTGCACTCGATCGCCGATGACTACGAGACTGGTATCCAGGATTGTTAGACTGGACTTGGTTAGATGCATTTGACTCAAAGGCGGCTTAGAGAAATGAGACTTACTTCCAGTTGAAGAAGCAATCCTTGCCAATGCTGATATTGCTGCCGTAATCAGGCAGAAAGGGGGGCTCAATGAATGTGCCGTCTCCAACTCTGCCAACGACCTTTCGTAGCAGTTCCAAACGCACGTCACCGATCTTGTCGTAGGTCACGGTCTTCGTGTCAAGATTGTTGTAGTCTGCAGCCAGTCCTCGGCAGCGATGACGTGCCTCAAGCAACTGCGGAATCATGGGATTGTACCTGAACCGTCAACTCTGGGCCTGTGAAACACCTGGGCGGACATACATCATTCCTGATATCATACGGTCGTAGTCCTCGCATGCAGGAATTCCCTGCAACCCCTTGGAGATCTCAATGATCTCAGGACGTTTCTCCTTGGCAGCCATGGTTGGAATAGGTCAAAAATCAGATGTACAAAGCTACAGAGGAAACGAGCAGAACGCAAGATATAAAGGCGGGGATTCCCGACAATTCGCCGGGATGCCAAGAAATTGGGCTACTTTCCTATTTGGGTAGGTCTGTCAACCGTTATGTCATCATGTACACTAACCTTGGAGTTCATCGCTAATTACCAAGTTATGGATAATCTACAGCTTTGTTGTGCACACTCACTTCATCCACATCCCGAAGTGCCTCTTGCCGTGCTGCATCAACATCAAAGGCTGCCTTGCTGTTGAACAGGGTCTCCATCTCCTCGAGACTTTTGCCCTTGGTCTCCTTGACAAAGAAGAACACAATGATGGCCATGACCACATCAAGAGCGGCATAAAAGATGAATACATAGCTACCCCATGCACTCATCATGTACCGTGTCACCAGGGAGAACAAAAAGTTGAACAGCCACTGCGTTGACACTGCAACGGACGTTCCAACCTCACGAATTCGTGTTGGGAAGATCTGACGTCCAGTTAGTGATCTTGCTGGGAACTAACGAAAGAGATAACTTACCTCGGCAGTGTATGGCCAGGGCAATGGACCCCAACTGAACTGATAGATCGAATTGGTCAGGAAGATCATTGCCACCATTCCGATACCAGCCGGAGTGGCTTTGGAGTTGGGAGGGGGAGTGGTCTCCTTGACAACTGTTACAATCACAAAGCAACAAGCCATCAGCAGAGCCGAAATCCACAGGGTTGGCTTGCGTCCCCACATCTCTGAGAAGAACAAGATATAAATGCCGACTGTGATGAACTTCTCCGCACCAAACAACCCAGTGATCAACAAAGACTGATCGGTGTCATCTCCAACAATCAGCTTGAAGAACTGAGGACCAAAATACGCCAGCGCTGTCATACCCGTGCACTGCTGGCCACAGAACATGAAGAAGGCGAGGAGGAGTCGGTAACGGTTGGCGGGCTCAAGCAGCTCACGCTTCTTGAAGCCCTCAGTGGCTCGCAATTCTTCGGCGAGGCCGACTCTGATTTCATTGAATTCTGCCTTTACTTCGGGACCTAATCTTGGTCAATTTCAATTCCTTGATTGGTCAACGGTTCCCTTACCATCACTCGCTCGGATCCATTTCAGACTCTCAAATGCTTCATCATATCGACCCTTCTTGGCCAACCAGCGGGTGCTCTCAGGCAAAGCAAACAGGCCCAATGCAAGTACTCCCGCTGGGACCATTTGCAGTCCGACCGGGATTTGCCATTGCTTCGAAGATACCGGCAGGGTGATTTTCACCGCATAGTCGATCCAGTAACTCAACATGACACCCAGTGCAAAGAGCCACTGCATACCCGATCCCAACTTTCCCCGAATCTCCTTGGGCGCCATCTCGGCGTTGTATGCTGGAACCACCGCTGTACCGGCACCGAGGCCCAATCCGGCCACAAACCGCCCGATATAGAAGCAGACTAGCGAATGCGACGGTACGACCTGGATAATTACGCCGATGCAGAAAACTGTCATGGCTGCTTGAACCGTCTTCTTGCGTCCGAACCTCTCGGACACGAAGAAGATACTCAGTGCTGAAAGGAAGGCGCCGACATTCTGCAAACTAACCATCACCGCACTGACGGTGGTTTGGTCTTTGTACCCGAAATCGTTGACATAGGACTTGAACTCGAGGATACCACCTAGCGGTGTTAGCCGACCCTAGTCCAGTGAGATACATCACTCACCGACAATGCCAGTGTCATATCCAAAAAGGAATCCAGCAGTACAAATGAAGAAGCCAAAGAAGTACGCTCGAAAGGCACCAAGCCTCGTACCTGGCAGACCCATGGTGTACAGTATACCTAGGTAGAATAAAAAAAGGTCCAAGAAATCAAGACTTTAAATGAACTTTAAGTCCAACTTTGTCACGCACGCAACCTGTGAGCCCGGATACGCCATAGCACGCCATAGCGTCGGATTTCACTTATCAAAGTCGACTTTAGGCCTGCCGGGAGGCCATAGCTAGCCAATGAATCTACTTCCTACTAGACTTGTACTACACAAGGGGGATATTCCTTGTGTTTATTACATTTCCCGGCGTATACATTCTATGTCATCTGCTCCATGTCAGCTTTCCCCGCATTTTGACCTGCCAAGGCGGCTCGTCGGCTCGGTCGGCCATCGGCTGATGTTTATAGAACCAACTTATACACGTAGAGGGGCGTCATCAGGGATGGTCCACCTTATTTCAGTCTTTAGACTTAATTCACTGGTCAAGGATTACCTAGGCACTTGACAGGGATCAATGGATCTTGGCATTTTTATGACTCGCCGGATTTGTAAACTTGAAATACTGTTTTCCATGTACTAGGGTTACGTTGTGGAGGTATTACCCGGTATCTCAGAGTAATTTCTAAAGAGGAATAGGTCTCACACTCGATAGGTCATTAATTCTTTACCTTGCATCGTTCCTTTACCATCAAGCGGTAAGCAACCTCATTCGCACCCCTTGCTGGAAAAACTCCGCCACGACTGTCAACCTACCAACATGCCTAGTGCTACAGCGGTCTAGACCGCCAAGCAAGTGCAAGAAATGCTGATCAAGCCACGTCTTTGCTCTTTGTTCTCATCAGATATTCGCAAGATTCAATACTGACATGTGATCTACACGGTAGCACCTGTGTCTGTCCTGTCGATGATTGTAATGTAGGTCTCAGATAGATCGTCCCGCAGAAGCCTCGGCGACAGGGCCCGTGTAGATGGTACGACCCCAGATATACCGGTATACCAAAGCAAAAATAAGGGCCGCAGAAGCGCTGAGACCAATCAACTTAACTCCAAGGTAGAATGAGACCGATACCCAGACAGCATACAGAGATGCGGCAGTCCAGGATGCAACTCGAGTCCACAGCAGAAAACGGAAATAGATCATCCTGAGAAAGGGCGAGCCAAGTTCGACCAAGGGACTGCATAGCAGTGAAAGCCATGAACTTCATGATGATCAGTGATCGTGAAGTACATACCTCCTTCCTTTCCAAATCTGTTATAAAATATTTGTGCCACAGGTTGTCTCATTGGCGAGTCCAAGACGTCGGTTGGGTTACCCATGCAGAAACAAAGAACCACGTTAAGCACAAAGCCGCCGAGAGATGGCCCATGGCGCCTTGTGCTGGGGACCACTCATCTCTTCGGTAATGTGGGCCATGGCACCAAAGCCAGTCCAACTGGGGGAGAGGAATGCAGACAGCGAGTTGAAGCCAAGGGGTCTCCAATCATTCGGGGATCTCACAGCTGTGAAAACATATGCATCTGTATGTTTACCGTCGGTCAAGTCTAGGAGCGCGATGGTACAGGACACCAGAGCACCTATGTGGAAGATCAAATAGAATTTGGTCATTTCCCCTATCCAGTGTGTCGACAAGAAAGTAGCTATGCCTGAAATGACAGTCAAAAGTGCCATGATACCAACTGTAGTACGATTATCAATCGTATAGTTGAAGTCCCTGCTCATCCACTGCGGCGAGTAACATTTCGGCTGCGCTGTATTCCGAGGACGCCACACTAGCAATCCGACCAGGAAGATCAAGCCATCCTGTCAGCCTACAATTATAAGCAAAGAATATCTTCAAGACACGGGGATTTATCAGCCTATAAAGGGGCCAGATTTCAAATGCGAGTCGGGAGGTTGTGAAGTACAAACCACCCGAGGTTGGGTATGCGGACAACAGTTTAGCTACCGAGCACTGATCTGGACAGCGAAATCTGTCCATGAGACATGAGATTATACGGAAACTCAAGCGCAATACACATGTAACTAGCGCCAGATATCACCCGGCACCATACTACAGCACTACTCCCTCCCACCTTCCGTGGACAAAACATGGTAGTCATGCATGTGGCGAATAGACCACTGATGCTGACTGAAAATGGAAATGTTGCGAGATAGCCAAATTCCCTCTTCAAAACTGGATTTTATCCACATTTAGTCCCCAGTTCCGAGTCGCCTTGAGTTGAATCACGTTGACTATTGGGGCCAGATGTCTCTATTTGTCTGCCGTCCGCATGTTGTTGACGAAGTTGATTATCGGACATACACGGCGATACAATTTTGACCATTGTTAGTATGTATCCTTTTTTTTGAAAATACGTATACCTGGGAAAGTTGGGAAATACCAGAGAAAGATGGAGCTTTTTATCCCGCTTTCGCTCAATATCAGATCCTGAGCTACAAAATTCAGCGACATTGTTTCTCCTACCCACCTTGTCTCATGCAACACTGAGAAGACGTTTAATTGACAGACATTGCTGCCTTTGAGTGAGCGTAGGGTCTCATATAACCAGCCATGCAGGTACCCGCTAGCTCGGTCTCACTTGCTATGAGACTTTGTGGAAAGCAAAAGAATAATATTGAACACCCACAAACGAGAATTTCCATTAATCTACTTAATGCAGTTTTATCAGGATATGCATGCCTGCACAGTTCCGTTCAGGGCAAATGCGCCCTGAGTTCGTTTGCTCTCTCCCATCCCAGCTTTTCCCAGTATTCAATCTCTAGTACCTCCGTAGAAATACAGTCATCAACCTGTTCTATCCAATACTCTCTCTTTGTTCTGTGATCTTTTTACTACAACTTAGCATGAATTGCTACGACTATTTGTTGGGGTCGAAATCAAAACAAACATGAAAATGGAGGCTTCTGGATGACAGACTATGAAAAACCTCGGGATTTTTATCAACCAATACTCCTGTATCCTGCGTAGATTTGATGCAGCTTATTGCGTCATATCAAAAACAATACCTAAGCTTTATCTCCGTAGCTCATCGGGCGGGTGGCGTTGTGGGCAATATCACAAAGGGGACGCATATCACCCGTTACAACTGAGGTTACGAATAGGGTCGCGGTGCTTTCATATCAGATACCCCGCGTTTTCCTTTTCACAGTGAATCCCTTGACTGCAAAAAGTCGCGTTGGATATGCCCTTGGCCTTTCTCCTCATCAACCTTCCCACGGCATCATGGCAAGCCCATCCTCTGGCAAGTCCGATCCATCTGCGGAGGCCTGTCTTCAAGGCTAACACTAATTGTATATCCAGCTCCCACCGCCACCATGCACGCTGAAATTGGCCCTCATGGGCTTCACCCGAACGAATACTTGCGGAAATGCGGCGTTCTCTACCGTCCAGAGCTTCCAGTCAGCTACCACTTCAGCATCGTTAGCAAGGCACGGAAATGGAAGACCAACTCCAAAACCTGGAAGAAAAACTGGAATCTGTGTTTGGCTTGCGAATATGATCGCCTGATCGGATACTCCAACATGCACCTCGAGACATGGCAAGAGATATGCCGTCAGGTTGGCATCGAGGGAACTTTCTCGTCCATTAACAAGTGCAAGAAAGTGTGTTCAAACTTACCACTGTAATTGAGATCACTAGCTGACTCGACCAGGCTTTTGCCGGCATCCACGTCAATATCATCGACGTCCTTGACTGTTGGAGCACCAATGATGTTCCTCGCCGCTTTGGCAATGCCCACGAGCTCGCCAAGTACACCAAGACCACCAACAGGACGCTCAGTCGTCACATTGTCAAGAAGGACAAGATCTTGAAGATTCTGATGCGTCAAATTTTCTAAGAACTGCAAAGGTATCTTCTACGATTTTGGGTCAGGAGCGATGGATTAGCCTTGGGGCTGAGATGAACAAGATAGACCGTCAGTACGGTAGAAAGCTCTCAACTAAATTGCACTAAGTTTCCAGGTGCTTCGAGAGACCTTTCATTTTTCATCAGAGGCATATGGATCCATCATACATCAATAGGTACACTCAACTTATTCCAAGAGAATGAGGTTAACAGATCACCTGATTGAATGCCAGACGGTTTTCTCACGAGTCCATAACATCTATCTGCTTTTTACCTCTGTGATTCCATCTAGTTTCATTCCACCATGCACTCATTCATTATGTTTATCGCTACCCTACTAGCGTTCGTCGATTCTGGTCTATCTATTACCCTGCACCACGACTTGAACATTCTAAACGCTGGCAATGTTAACTTCGACTACGTGATTGTTGGCGGTGATACGGCAGGTCTGACGATTGCTGCTCGACCGGCAGACTGGAGGTTCCAGGTAGCTGTGGTAGGGGCAGGAGGATAGTACGAGGTCAAACATCCGGCTGCGCGCGTCCTGGGCTCTTGCAGTCTCGGAGCGGGTGCAGAGTTCCGTATTACAACCCCCAATCGACTGCGGCTTTGTGGATCATTGAGTACCTGGTGCGAATTCCCGAGATATTCACTACCCAAGAGGCAAGTGTCTAGGTGGATCGTAAGGTCCTACACAAGATTAGAGCGGCTTTGGCTGATACTTACAGGTCTGCATCAAACTTAATGATATATCAGAGGTCAGTCTCCTAGTCCAAACTTGTACGCAGTACTGATTGTATTTTGGCAGACCATAGATTCAATCAATGGCGATATGTGGAGAGGTACTCAATGACTCCCGCTATCTTTTTAAGAATGTGTTGCCTTATTTCAAGAAGACTGTTTCTTTTTCGCCGCCGATAAGGGCGCACTTCACAAATGCCACGCCGTTGTTCAACGCCATTGCATTTGACAAAGAAGGCCAGCCAGTGCAGGTCTCATATCCGAAGTATGCGATTCCTTTTTCCACATGGGTGAAACACGGGTTTGACGAAATTGGCCTTCAAGAAGCGCAAGATTTCAACAGCGGCTCTCTCATGGGCCATCAGTTCTATACAATGACAATTTACCAAACGCATGGATCAAGAAGCAGCTCTGAGTCGGCCTTTTTATCGCAGAATAGACAGTGGACCTTCTACTTATATGCCATGGCCAAGAGAATTCTGTTCGACAATCAAAACAGAGCAAGGGCAACCAATTCATTCGGACAGCAACTCGAGAAGTCATCATTTCAGCGGGTGTCTTTCACTCTCCGCAATTTGTTGATGGTCTCTAGTATAGGCCCTTCTCATGTCCCTCGAACATACGGCATTGATCTCATCACCGACCTTTCTGGGGTTGGCCAGAATATGTGGGATCATGTCCACTTTGACTTTGCTCACCAGTGATCCCCTGTATCTTCTCTCGCAGGTCGAGGCTTGGTTTCATGGTGGAAATGGAGACTTGACAAACCCATCGATAGACTATGTGGCATTCGAAAAACTCCCATTAAGATCCCGCTCTGGCTTCTTCGAAGAAAACAACAGGATCTGGCTTAATTCTCAAATGACTGGCTAGAAGTTGAGGTAAAATTCATGAGGACTGCTCTTTATAGTAGTGACTAACTTTCAACTCCATCCAGTACCTCGCAGGATCTGCGTGTGTGAGAAATTTCTCAGCTCGATACGTGCAACAACCTCGAACTGCATAATATGCCCGTGTTATAGGCATCCTGGTCACACCTACCTCTCGAGGAAACATGACAATTCGTTCAGCTGATACGGCGGATATGCCAGTGATAAATCCGAACTGGCTGGGGACTGATACTGACAAGAAGACCGCAGTGGCAGCCTACAAGCGTGCTCGCAAGGTATTCCACACTCAAGCCATGCTCCCTGTGATCATTAGACAAGAGTATTTTCCAGGGTCCGAGCATGAAACTGATTCCGAGATACCGGACATTATTCAAAACACGATGATGACGATTTACCATGCCTCTTGCACGTGCAAAATGAGCATCAGCAGTGACCGCATTACTGTCGTTGACAGACGTGCCAGAGTTTTTGGTGTTACAGGGTTGCGAGTCATCGATGCTAGTGCATTCCCGATTCTTCCGCCTGGACACCTTCAATCAACACTTTGTCAGTTTATCTTATTTCAAAACGTTGATGGTGTTTAACAAGTCCCAGATATACTGGCAGAAAAGATTGCAGCGGATTATGATGGCCGTCTGAGATAACCTGTCAAGGAGAGCGGCAAGATCGCAAGGGACGAGACAGCAAATGAAGTCATTATATTTTTATCATTACCACATATCTTCCAAATACATCTGGTTGAGAGTATCAAACATGTTGTAGTCACTTGGGAGACTATCAGCAGAAAAAGCAAAGCCGAGATTGTTGACAAAATGTTCATCGGGATTGTTAGCATTCCCAAAGTCGCTTGCATCATTTCTGTTACCCTCATGGATGTCTCTCGCAGAAGTATCAAACCAATTGATGGTGGCAAGCGGTGGCGTTAATAGGGAATGTTGGGCCGATTGGTCATTGGCGCCCAAGAGACCCTGTTCAGACTCAAATGGCGGTGCCATGAACCCATTGCCAGCATGCAGTTCTTCCGAATTTACCGGTTCACAACTTGTCGTGCATAAAGCATTGAACTCCAATGAAGGGGCAGATGGCATCTGATCAGCATCGCAATTCAGTCGATGGCAATAAAGTTTCTCTAGATTCCGTCCAATACGCTTCGAAATATCCCACGATGTGGAGAGTTCTTGCAAAGACTGAAGACAGAGTCCTACGGCTGCGTGTGGCGATGGACTCTTTGTTTGGGCTTCTTTGGCATATGAGCCGAACGCAGAGCACTTCTCAATAATGATCAGTGCCGCCGTATGCATGCAGTGCGTAGGAGTCACAGGGCTCAACTTGAAGCTGCCAAAAGTCTGTCTGTACTTCTGAGCCACAACACACACTGCCCGGACAGAGTTGTTGCAAATAGTGATGGCTTGTTGTTTGCGCCGTGTTTCTGATGCATCGCTATTGGTGTCATGTTTGACTTGAGTATTTTGGTTCCTGGGTCCTTTCGTTTCGGAATGGTTGTTTAAAAAGGGGATACATAGTATGATGTAAACGGTATGGTATACCATGCATAAAGTATAAGTATGTGGGAATCGGGAGGGCCCCGATGGACGGTCAATCTTCAACTCTTGGGCGAGGTCGTAGTACCAGGAACTGAGATCAAGGACACAGGACTCAAAAAAGGATGCCCGTTGGGTGGGTTGGAGAAGTGGTTTTGGAGACCAGCTACCGAAATCGTCAGTGACCACAGAGATATAAAATAGAATCTCATCAAACTCACAATGCTAGAAGGACTCTTTCGAAGATACGACACAAATCAATCAATGCCCGGTGCAACTGTACCACATCTCTTTGTGAGGCAGCCCGGAGTTGCCCGTTTCCATTTGCTGAGGGCAAAGATACATCTGGCGCACATAAAGCGAAGGGCTTGTTCACGACTCCTTGTGAGTCCTGTGTGACGAAGAAAGGTGAGACTAGTGGAGAAAAAGCAAGGATCTCCGTTGTGAGACATACCAGTAATGTGCAAACCCTGCCTGTGTAGCTTGCTGACAGCTTGTCGTGGCAATAAAGAGCCCAGTAAATTTGCCTGCGTAACTCAATCTCAATGGCCGGGAGAGCAACTGCCCCCGAGAGAACAGATGGATCCATGTTCAATCCCATATCCAGCGCCAGGCGATTCGCCATACCCTGATGAAGCCATCCGGCGGCGTCGGACCCCATTGCCTGACTCAGAACTTAGTCTGTCTTGTTTAGTAGATAGTGTGAGGGTGATCTTACGATATAAGCCATGCCTAATATAGCCAATGACTGGATTGTTGTGATCTTGGGCCATTTCAGGTCATTCTGGATCAATTGCTCGGCTTTCTTAATGAAAAGTCTGCCGGCTGTGTTTGAATCATTGGGATCGGATCGGATCTCCAAGCGTTCGCAGTATCGTGACCCCATAGCTAGAATGCAGTTCAGCAAAAGTGGGCTGAAATAACGGCCTCCATCTTTCATGGAATCTCGAAACAGCTGCTCGTTGACCATTTGTAGCCACGGCTGCTCCCACTCGAAATACAAATCGACCAGGTGGGCTTTGAGTTCATCTGATATTAGGCTTTCGGCTAGGAAATCAGTGTCTTCACAAGGCTGGGTTGTATAACCAGAGTCCATATTCCCAGTACAAGGAGTTTCGGTCTGTTGCGTCTCTTTGGGCAGATCTTAATATGATCAGCAACATTGCTGGAAAGCCTCATGTCCGACTCACCCTTTGATGCAGAGCGAAACGGCAACCGCCCACTTGTCGGTCCAAAGTACCGCACCTCGCCATCTTGGTCAAAGTTCAAAGACTCATCCAATGTGAGCGCACCGTCAAATGTGGTGCACAAATCGTCGACATTTGAGCAAGGTTCTGCCCACTCAGCGTCAGGCTCTCGATCAGGACTATCGTTTTTGCCCAACAGTTGAATTGCTGCATCGGGGTCTATCCCGCGAGAGTGTAAAACACGCTCCAGAAGTTCTATTTTGTTACGCAGCATGACCACATACGACTTAGGAGCTGGTTGTCGACCATCCTCCGCGGTGGAGTACTGGCATTGGACGCCACGGTCAAGACAGCGTGAGCACGATGGTCGAACGCCATCGCACTGTAAGCATTTCATGTCAACATGGTTCATACATAGGGATATACAGTTCTTACCTTGGCTCGTCGTTGTCGGCATATCTCACAGGCGCGGGACGTATATTTTCTGCCCGGTCGCCTACGTCTAGTCGTGTCATCTGTCGGCGCCAGGGACATTGGGAAATAACAAGTGCTAGATGAGGCCAGAAATCCTCACAATTACCTGTATAACGATGAAGCGAAAGCGATGGGCAGTAACATTACAAAGCAAAGGCAAATTGACACCTTGCTGCCTGAGGTTTAAAGAATGTGGTATGAATGCCTGATGAATGAGGCTGTATTGCTCAGTCATACCCTTGCCTCGGGTGTCAATCTCAGCAGTAGACAATATGGCTTGATTTGTTTGATCATCATGTACATGAAGCAGTAAAAATACAAGAAATGGAATATCAAACATGAGAGTCAGTGTCTACAGGTCACTGTTAATCTTGCAATGCTCATAGGATTATGGACATACGACCCAATACCAGAATGGGTGGTGTCGGTGGGGAAATATATAACTTCTACTGCAACCATACTTGATCTATTCATTCCCTACCCCAGTACAAAAGACGTAATAAATTCTCGTCATAGACTGAACACAGTCTGCAAGACTCAGAGGGGACTGACATATGATTGGGGAGAGAAGCGTAAAGTTTCGCCGGGGAGTATCTCAGTGGCCTATACTGAACCAGTAGGAAGTGGTCCATTCCCGGATGTGGACGAGCAAGGATCTGGGGTATGTGCCGTCTATCAGGTGACGGGAATCGTGGCTTAAGGATGTACAAGTAGTAACTTGGTAGTAACTATGTCAATGATAGATTGATAGTGGTTATATTCTGTAAGTTGTTATAGTTGTTATGGCAATGGTTATAGCGTGAGTGGGCTATAGTGCAATGCGTATGCCAACCTGACAGAGACAACGACAATAACACATACTAAAATCCTTAAGATCATCCCTCAAATAGCCCCAAATAACCACAAATTCCAGTGTTTTCTCCAAATGCACTGTACAGAAGTACGTGTGGGAACGTGCCAATCACCGCCCTCCCCTCCCCTCCCGACTCTCCTCCCCATCTTTCCTTTCTCTTTTCTTTTCCATCTCTGTGAATCTTCCAGGGGTTGTTATTCAGCGCGTCGCTGTCGCGCCATTGCCTCCTTTATCTTTTATCTCGTGTTTCAGACCGTGTTCCGGAACAGACTGCGATTGCATCGCGGTGGGATCATCGACCCCCCCCAAGAGCCTGAACTTCATCATGGCCAGCTGATGCTACGGATGAATCAATAACCTCGATTAAGGGCACCCGCTCTGCCCAGCAGACGGTTCTGCTACGCTACGATACTTGACGCAATCTCCCATATTTATTCGACTTGTCTCCTTCCGTGTCCCGCGAAGCTCTAACTCGCCCGACCGAGCATATCAGCATGGCCGGCAATGACTCCCCCAAACCCCAATTCCTCGCGCCTCCTGCCGTCACTGCTCTCAGGCAGGAGGCCCGGAACATCGATCCGAAGATGACTCGAACGTTGAGTGATGACATGCGGGAGGAACGGGACGATTTGAAGGAGGCCGCAGAACAGACGTTGAACATCATTGTGGATATGGACCTCGAAGGTCGTATCAAATGGGTCAGTCCGTCGTGGAAGCAAGTGGTCGGCTCATTGCCCGAGTCGGTGGAAGGGCAAATGATCTCAGAAATACTTCTGGGCAACAAGAATGTGTTTCGGGATTCCATTGAATCGATGAAAGAGGATGATTCGAGAAGTCGTTTCATTCGCTTCGCGGTGCAGATGGGACCGGATTCAGTCCTGAAATATGCACCCGAACCGTCACCGGTCGCGAAGGAGAAGAGTGCAACGAATGCCGAGGGGATGGAGGATTCCCAGCCCGAGGACGAGCAGACTCACAATGTGCTTAATATGGAGGGACAGGGAATTATGGTCTATGATCGGACAGACGATGAGGCCGGTCATGTGAGTTGATCAGATAGATTATTGTGATGATTCACTGACCTTTTCTCGATGACAGACCATGTGGATGTTGCGACCATTGACCGAGCCAAGAGAAGTAACAATCGATCTACCGCCGCTGCTCGTCGAGTCTTTGGGGGTTGGAGCGGAGGTACTGGCAAACTACCTGACTGAACTAGCGGACGCAGCAGCAACCGAACCCGACCCTTCCAAGCATCCTGCGCCAACACCGGTTCTCTGTCGCATTTGTGAACGCCAAATCACACCGTGGTGGTTTGAGAAACATTCCGATCTATGCCTGCAGGAACACCGGGCGGAGATGGACGTTCAACTGGCACAGGAGAACCTGAATGAGCATCGACATGTTATTGTCAAGGTGCTGGATGCCCTAGAAGCTCGTCAAGGCAGGCCCTTGATCGGCATCGATGGCAATCCGACGCCTCTACCTCAAGCGGAATATAAGGGATTGTCCATCGGTCCTTCACCTACCACTTCCGCCCCATCATCTGGTGGTGTCTCCAGCAGTAATTCAGCACCCGGCACACCACCTCGATCGCGAGAACACTCCGCCTCTGGTGCCATCCCTAATCGACCCCGTTCTTTCACTGTGAGGAGACCACTGGCTCGTATTGTGGAACTTGTCCTTGACCTATGTGACACCTCTCTAGAGATCAGTATGCCAATGATCAAGGAATCCGCTCGGACTGATGGAGAGGACTTCCGGACATTGTCTCCACAGTCTGAATCTCGGATCTCCCAAGTTCTGCAGTGGCAGTCCCCCAGTTCCAATACATTGGAGCAGGAGCAGGGTCTGGCTGCATTGGCCGCAGACACCGAACAGGTCGCCAAGGCGAAAGTTGATGCTGTTGTGCGTCATCGCAAGATTGTTGAGTATGCTGAACGTATTCGCATTGAATACACGGTATTGGTCGAAGAATGCATTGGAGCTGCACTTAGCAAAGCAGAGCGCATAGCCTCTGGCCAACTCAGTGACTCTTCGTGCTCGTCCGATGAAGAAGCTCCACCAGAGAGCATCGCTGGGAGCCATGTTGCTCCCGATGATATTGGCGGCACTTTCGAAGAAGAACCCTTGGCACAATCCATAAGCCAAGATTCGCAACAACAAGCCCAGCCACAGCCAGCAGCACCTTCCCCGCGGCGACCGGCATCTGCGTTGACTATGTCGATGCGGAACTCCCCCGAACGGTCCTTGCTTTCACAACCAGAACGGAGATCATCCTCGGTGGCGGTCTCGACAGGTTCCAACAGCCCCATGGAATGTCCCACCCCGCGATCCCACAAGAGTGCTGCAGGACTTTTGGGTACATCCCAGCCCTATCGCATGGGCCTTTCTCTCGCCGAAATTGACGCTGGAGAGAGTAGTGATAGCAGTCTGCCGTCTTCTGCTTTCCCAGGAGCTGTGCGAACAGATTCGCCTTCTTCCGAGAGGAGCTTTGATCGCAAGCGGAGAAGTCTGGTACTCCCTGGGCTTTCAGGCTCTCCTCGTCGACAACCTTCACCTGCCCGGGTTTCTGGTCCGCATTCTCCATTGCGAATGCCAAAACCTCGCATATCAAGCGGCGCCGAAAGCCTACCATCCCCAATAGTATCCCCTTCTACATACGCAAGTGAGTTGGCACACCACTATCGTCACCACCGAAGGCAGTCATCGGCGACGTCCTCCGATGTTGCCAAACCACCACCTTCTCCTCGTTTGCCGTCAGTGAGCCAACAACCTCGGCCAGCACCACTATCTATCAAAGATTTCGAAATCATCAAGCCAATCAGCAAAGGTGCTTTTGGCAGTGTCTATTTGGTCAAAAAGAAAGCTACCGGCGAATACTATGCCATGAAGGTCCTGAAGAAGGCCGACATGATCGCTAAGAACCAAGTCACCAACGTGAAAGCTGAACGCGCCATCATGATGTGGCAAGGGGAGAGTGACTTTGTTGCAAAGCTCTACTGGACCTTTTCTAGCAAAGACTATCTCTACTTGGTGATGGAGTATCTAAATGGAGGTGACTGTTCATCGCTTGTCAAGGTTCTTGGTGGTCTTCCAGAGGATTGGGCTAAAAAGTACATTGGCGAGGTTGTTCTTGGAGTCGAACACCTTCATAACCGAGGCATTGTCCATCGCGATCTAAAGCCTGATAATCTCTTGATTGACCAAACTGGCCATTTAAAGTTGACTGACTTTGGACTTTCGCGAATGGGTTTGGTCGGACGACAAAAGCGTGTGTTGAAGAGTCCCGACGAGGCCGCTCCTGATCTGCTGAAGCAAGGCTCTTTCCCCCGTGCGATATCAATCGCATCTTCACGGTCAGCCTCATTCGACTTCCAAGCCAGCTCATCACCAGGCTCCACTCCTTTGATTACCCCCGAAGTGAATGCCAGTGCCAGCCAGCCATCTTACTTCAGCCTTAACCAGAGTGGCTTGAGTCGGCAGAGCTCCCGTCGTGCCTCGGGATACCGCAGTGATAGTATGGGCAGTGATGGCCTCAATGGAATCTTCCGAACTTTCTCCCTAAATGACAACGCCAATGAACCATCTGTGTCATCGCCGAGCATGTTCTCGACCAGCATGGTCGAAGAAGAAGGCCAAAGTGAGCCAGGCGAGTCTCCTCGTCTACAACCCCTCCAGCCAACCTTCAGCAACCCACTTGCACAAAACACACCTCCCCAGCAAACCATGCTACCCCCGGTGATGGCACTCTTCGATCCGGAAGACCATGATCGACGTTTCGTTGGTACCCCCGACTACCTGGCTCCAGAGACCATCAATGGTGTTGGGCAAGATGAAATCAGTGACTGGTGGTCTCTGGGATGCATCATGTTTGAATTCATCTTTGGTTATCCTCCTTTCAATGCGGCGACCCCTGATGAAGTATTTGAAAACATTCTTCATCGGAGAATAAATTGGCCCGATGATCCCGAGGAGTACACCTCGGCAGAGTCGTTGGATCTAATGAACAAACTCATGACTCTCAATCCCCGCGAGCGAATTGGAGCCAATGCCGAAGAGAAGTTCCCCAATGGCGGAGCAGAGATTCGCAGCCACCCATGGCTATCTGAGATCAATTGGGATACTTTACTTGAAGATAAGGCGCAGTTTGTTCCTAACATTGAAAACCCCGAGGACACGGAATACTTTGATGCCCGCGGTGCTACCCTTCAGACTTTTGCAGAGGAATTGGAAGATGAGAACTCACCTCAGCCGCCAACTACGACCGGTCCCGATCGTCCCCATGATGCGCTGTTCAAAGTCCGATCGCAGGTGAATTCTACCAAGCGGCCGCTGATGCCACTACATATTCCTCCCCACGTCCGTGACGCTCGGGATTCGCGAAGCCGGAGATTGAGCGAACCGGCTCTAGCTGATGACTTTGGCAGCTTCAACTTCAAGAATCTGCCGATGTTGGAGAAGGCAAACAAGGATGTCATCCAGAAGATGCGCCAGGAAGCTATGCAGGCCCAGCACCGACAACCAAACCCGTCATCCGCTGTTCAGACACCCAACAGTTCATCTCAGCCCTCTTTGGAAGGAAGCCCGCTCCCCATGTCCCTTCAACGGACATTGTCACAAAACAAAGGCAACAATCGACCCTCTTCTCCATCGGGACTAAGCCAGTCCAATTCATCCCCAAGCAGACCTTCGCAACCATCGTCTCCCCTTCTGGTTCAATTCAGTACTGGGACAACCCAGGAACGGCGCAAGACTTCTGGATCCTCGTCAACCACTTCTCACCAATCCAGTGGGACTTTCCAGCCTTCTTCGGCCGAACAAGGACGCATGCCAAATCTCAGACTCGGTTCTGTGGCTTCATCTCCAGTTAAGGCCAGTCGAATTCCAGCCCATTCTCCGGAGAAGACATCGACGAACCAACGCCATGGTAGCGTTCCGGCGAGCCGTGCTCGCTCACACACCATTGGATCTCAGGATGGGGACATGTCCTCGTTCCCCAAGGAAACCTTTGTGCCCACCCACCATAAACGCCGCAGTCAATTGTTCGATATCTCACCATCCTCTTCTGACAACGAGGATCCTCGCACAAAAGCACTTTTGAAGGTCCAACGCCGTCGACAAAGCTCCCGCCGGTTATCTCAGATCAACATCCAAGAAGGGCCATTCTTCCGCCCGTTGGATGTGCTCATTTGTGAGGATCATCCTGTCTCGCGATTGGTTATGGAACGCCTGTTTGAAAAACTTCGCTGTCGCACCATTACTGTCACGAATGGCGCGGAGGCAGTCAGATACGCCCTCAGTGAGGTCCAGTTTGATATCATCATGACTGAATTCCGACTGCCCCAGGTCAACGGCGTTGATTTCGCCCGGATGGTGCGGGAGACACGAAGCGCCAATCGACACACTCCAATTATTGCTGTTACTGGCTACTTGAAAGACCTCCCTGAGAATCACAACTTTGACGCATTGATCCAGAAGCCCCCAACCTTGCCCAAACTGACTGAAGCTTTGTCGAAATGGTGCATGTGGAAACCCCAACCCACCGACTTCAATCTGTCCCAGCCCGTCACTGTCCCAGGCTCGGGCGGTCGTTCTGGTGCTCCTGTCACTGCGGACAGCCCCAGCTCGGTGTCCTCTGGATTTGTCCTCAACCCACCCAGCTCATACCGAGGATCCAGTCGCGACGATTCCATGAGCAGCAGCGTCTTTGGTGACATGGAATCTGTCAAATCAGACGAAGTTCCAGTCATCATCAGTCGCAACACTGAGAATTGGGATCAAAGTCACGGTGGCTTGGGTATATCGGACGATCAGCACCCTGGTAGCCCCGATCCTAAGGCTGTGCCTCTGCCTCATCTCCTTCACGCCGCCACTGCACCAGCTGCCATGGATGCGAACGGTGGTCTCACGCCTAGGAAACAACGCTCAAGTGAATCCATCCGTGCCAAACGGGAGTCCCTGGAGAAAAAGCGCTATGAAGGTGCTGAATCAGGCGACGATGAGGACGAAGAGCTCGGCAATTCCCAAACACGTCGCAGCCCACCGTCTCGGAACCGCCGCCCTGGATCCAAGCTGGGCATTGAAATGATGCGAACCAACAGTCGTGGCAGTGTTGTCAGTGGCAGCGAAGAACTCCTGAAGAAGGAGAGAGAAGCTCTTCGGAACCAGGGCGACTTGGCATACAACGAAGGGAGCGACGGGTCCTTGGGATCGCCTGCTAGTACGAGTTTGGAGGACCGCTTTGAGGGTCTCAGCATTCCCGAAGAATCAGAAGGAGATGAATCAATTGGCCCTCGAAACTCTCCAACTCCTTCAGTGTCCGGACTCTCCACCTCTCAGCATCGTCGACCCTCCTTGGCACATCAGGATACCTCGATCTACTCCGGATATTCTGCGTCCAAGACTAGCAAGGGTCAGACCACACCCCCATGGGAATTGACCCAGGGCACTTCCCATGCCTCTGGTCCACCAATTACTCCCGAAGTCAAGATCTCTGGCCACACACTCGATTCCGGCTCTGGTCCAGAGACAGACTACAGTCCTACTCCCGACTCTGAGGCGACCCCACGGCCTCTTCATCCCTCCCCCAGTCTGGACCCAGAGCAGACCCCTCGGCCATCTGAGCGACACCGATCGGACTTGAGCTCCGCGTTCAAACGATAAAAGTAACCTTCGGGTACCTTGCGATCTGATGATCATCTTTCATTCTGTTCACATATTTTTGCGCAGCTACATTTCCTTGCTCTGTATAACCTTTTTGAGTGTTTATTTACCACACCGTATCCATTCCCTGACGTCTCTTATGTTTGAATGTTTATTACTCCTGGAGCAGGGTGTTCCGGTTTTTATTTTTCTTCTTATCTCTTTCCTGTGTTTCCAGCGATGATAGTTCACTTTTTCATCCAGAAAGCCGAATACAGCTTGATGCTGGCTCTTTCCATAATGATTACTACGTAATTCCAACTATTTTAGGACACGGCCCGTACGTGCCCACCTCCAACGTGCGACCCGACTGCGTTGATGTCAACTGTTAGAGGATCAGCGCGGCCCACACTTGTTTGAATTATAGTAAATTCAGTTGGTGCAGAGTCTCGACGCCACTCATTTACGCGAACCCGAGTCTTTGTCGTTCTATTCGTCCTCATGTCTTGGAGGTGCATTAGTGGTAATGTCCTGTGCGTTGATCTACATTTACAGCCTACATACGGAGTGCATTTACATTCACACTTATGTTTTCCATGGATCGATCAGATCGAGATAGAACCTATTTGAACTCTGCGTCACGAATGATATCGCGACTGAACAACGCACTGTACCTGTAGGGTTTATCCAACCAAACTACCAGTCTCTCTATATATATCTCTATAAAACTCAGATTTCCATGCAGGGGCGCCACAGCAGGGGGTTTCTTGGCGAGATCACATTATGCTGCATAACTTGTAATGAATTGAGTATGCGTGTCTATACTGAATTTCCAGGTAATCACAATCGCCACTGGGTGGAGTTGGTGGGCCCTGATCAGCCTGTCAGAGATGTGCGGAACTGCATGCCCGTCGATGCTTCGCTGGCTGAGACCTGCCAAGAAGTGATCGAAAAACCCTCCTGAATGTGCTAGTATAGTGTTGTAATTGTGTAGAACTGTGAAGTCTGAAGTGCAAATACGAGTGTAAGTAGAACGTGGGGTTTTTATAGATCCCACGATACCCTCACCAACCACCAACACCAACCAACTATCACCACCTTACTTCACATCGAGTCCAGACCAAAGAGTCCAGAGTCTCGGTCTTGACCCACCAGATCCACCTGGTTTCACTCGAACTCGACTCTCTTTTCTTTTCTCACTTTGCAAAGCTCGTCGGTCACTACCTGTGGACTTTTCTATTCTCTCGCTTTTTACCAGAATCGCCACGTTCACATTCCTCCCCCTTCATTCTTTGGCCTGGTGCCAATATGTCATCGCCCACAGATGAACGCAAAAACCTCCATCTAGAACCCAAGGACAAGCACAGAGACGACGATGATGTTTCCCCTGCCTCCGACGATGGTACCTACGTGACCGAACCCGAAACCCGCCGCGATGCGAGCCATCTCAAGGTCGACACCAACTACGATGTCGTCGACGATGAACCCCCTATGCGCACCCCCTCCGCGCGACGAGAGCAGGCCACTCGACTCGAGGATGATCTGTTGCTTCTCCAGGCTGAGCGCGTGGTGTCGCGCTCGACCCACGACGGCGACGAACACGACAAGAACTCTATCAGTCGCGCTCGCTCGCGTCGCTCGGAGCAGGTGGATGAGTTCGACGAGGCGACAAACCCGCTGCACGAGAAGGCCGCGATCTACAAGCCTCCTGAGTCGCCCAATACCCAGATTGCTGTCTTTGTGAAGCGACTGCACCAGTCCAGCTTCCTCGTGCGCTACTTGACCTACATTGCCCCCCTCGTTCTGATTCTCTTGATTCCCCTGCTGGTCGGTGCTCTCAAGTTTCCCAATGCCAGTGTCGGTGGCGTACAGTTGATGTGGTTCTCCATTTGGTTGGAAATCGTCTGGTTGACTCTCTGGGCCGGTCGGGTAAGTCGAACATGCCAATACTCTCCGGAACACTGCTAATATGACGTCTAGCTCGTGGGTAAGTGTTTGCCGATTGTGGTTGGTGTCCTCGCCAGTATCTTTACCAACAACGCGAAGAAATGGCGCGACATGGCCAAGCAGCTGGAACTTCACGCGGCGCTGTTCTTCTGGTGGCTCGGCGTGGAGATTTCTTTCTTGCCTACAATGAAGAACCACCATGTCGACGGCAACAAGAACACGAGGAGCTGGGAGAACACTCTCAACAAGATCATCATCGTCATCTTCGTCTGGACCATCCTCAATTTCATTGAGAAAATCCTCATCCAACTGATCGCCATTAGCTTCCACCTTCGCACCTATGCCGACCGTATTGAGATCAACAAATTCCAGATTGGTAGTCTTACGAAGCTCTACGAGTTCTCTCGCAACACCTTGCCTGACAAGAATGACGAGTTTGAGGAGAAGCAGGAAGAACCAAGTGGATCAGGCACCAAGACTCCCCTGCACTACGCTGGCAAGGCCCAGCGCAAGGCTGTCGGCGCGCTCAACAAGGTTGGAAACAAGGTCGGCGATGTGGCTGGCGCTGTCGTGGCCGATGTCACTGGTCGTACGGCCACTCGTAGTACCGATGCCTACCAGGTCATCTTGACTCTCCTGCGAACCACTTCAGGCTGCCAGGTCATGGCCCGTCGTTTGTACCGTACTTTTGTCCGGGATGGGTTTGAGACCGTGTTCGGCGGTGATCTTAAGGCCGCCTTCGACGACGGCGAGGAAGCCGAGGCTGCTTTCTCTATGTTTGATCGTGACATGAATGGTGACATTTCCATGGAGGAATTGGAAGCCGTCTGTGTGGATATTGGTCGCGAGCGCAAGTCAATCACCGCATCGCTGAAGGATTTGGACTCGGTTGTGTCGAAGCTGGATGATGTTTTCATGTTCTTCGTGTTTGTCATTGTCATCATTGTGTTCTTGTCGCTCATCTCGACCTCGGCCGCTGGTGTCCTTACCTCTGCCGGTTCGTCTATTCTGGCCCTGTCTTGGTTGTTCTCTGCCACAGCCCAGGAGTTCCTCCAGTCGGTCATTTTCGTCTTCGTCAAGCACCCCTTCGATGTCGGTGACCGTGTGACTATCTACGGTAACGCTGGTGATGCTGGACTCGGCGATGATTATTTTGTCAAGGAGATCACTCTGCTATATACTGAGTTCAAGAAGATGCAAGGACACGTGGTTCAGGCACCCAATAGCTACCTCAACGGACTCTTCATTCTGAACCAACGTCGCTCAGGTGCCCTGGCCGAGGCCGTTCCCATTGTCATCAAATACGGCACAACCATCGACCAGCTTGACACCTTCCGCCAGCGACTCCTTGAGTTCGTGCGCAGCGAGAAGCGTGACTTCCAGAGCAACATCCTCACCGAAATGCGTGCTGTCACCGAGAACTTCTCTCTTACGCTCAATGTTGTCTTCTTCTACAAGTCCAACTGGCAGAACGAGGGTCTCCGTCTGCAGCGTCGCAACAAATTCATCTGTATGATGATGATTGCCTTGCAGGAGATTGGCATCGAGGGCCCACGCATGAACCTCCAGGGTGCCAAGTTCGACATTCCCTTCCACGTCAACTATGGCAACCCGCGCAACCCAGCCACTCGTGGCACTCTTCCCGACGAGCCCACCGAAGCCGAGGAGATTCCTCTCGAGACTCACCCTCTTCCCGAAAACACCGGCACCAGCAGCAGCAGTGCCGCCCGCCACCCATCTATTCTTCGCAAGGGCATGAACACTGCCACTGCCCGCGCCCGTGGTCCATCCGTTTCGCAGCGCAAGCATGTCGATTTCTCCTTGGGAATGTCCAACATGGCTTCGAACGATATCATGGGAGATGTGTTTGAGGACCGCGGTGCGCGTGTCGACGATGTCGTCCGCAGTGCCAACCGCGATGCCACTGAGCGCCGCATGCAAGAAGTTACCGAAGAAGAGGAGGAACGCCGAAGTCGGACCTCTTCTTCTCGGCACCGTCGCCCATCGAACTTGAGTGCTCCTAGCAATGACGAAGGTCGCCGGTCGACCGACGCTCACAGCTTCCGTAGTGGCCACTCCTCTCTCAGTCGGAACCGCTTCTTCCACCATCGCAGCAATCTCAGTCAAGACCGCGACGATCTCATGGAACAAGGCCGCTCCGATCTGCCCCCTCCTCCTTCCTCGGTCCTTGTTACCAAGGAGCACCCAAACTGAGTGAACGACCGTGATTGTTGACCAGATTTTCTGATATCATTCCGACTGCACTCAGCTGTCTATTTCCTTTATCTGCTACACAGGCACCTACACTGGTGCACTCTGTTGAGTAATCTGTCCTTCTACCATACATATATCCCACTACCGGTCTTTAAACCCCCCCTTTTTTTTACTTTCATCGTCTCTGTCATATAAAGCGTTCGGGTCGTGATCTGATCTCAATATAAAAAACGCCCTTTTCCATTCATGTGTGATAATCGCATCTGTGTCTGTGCATCAAACTTCAATCGATTTCTATATACGTTCTCCAAAGATCATACATCATACACTGTACTTTTGCAAGTGATACAACTCGGATTAATTTCGATTTCTTCAACCCCCAGTGAGGTTGCATCGATAAGCGTCGGGGTTGCGGCGTCGGAGTTCGGAGTACTAACATCGGAGCCTAATGCCATATAAAGCTGACGGATTTTCTTTTTCGAAGTCTCATCCATTCGCCATGTCCTGTTCAGCTGGCAGTGATAATGTTCTCGGTCCACGAGTGAGCGTTCTATGTCGGCCTTTTGATTTCACACTTCTTTTTGAAGATGTGCTCTTTACGCTCTTACCAGCGAGCCTGTTCCTCCTGGTCGTGGCAGTACGTCTCTGTGTCCTTGTTCGTGCGCCGATGAAAGTGACCTCACATCGTTTGGCGACGTGGAAGCTTGTATGTATAGCTGGTACTTTGTCACTTTATAATTGCGAGATACTGAACGATGTCCGGTGTAGACTGTACTAGGCTTAGTGCTACTTTTCCATCTAATATACCTCGCATTTCGCATCCAGGATTCCCAGCTATATACGAGCCTGTCACTCGCTTCTAGTATTCTAGATGTCGTCGTTATCATGATATCGCTCCTCCTATCATGGGTGGAGGACCAGCGCTCGATACGGCCGTCAGACCTGATGATCATTTATTTTGCTGTCACAACTATTCTTTCACTGGCTCGAGCTCGCACTTTGTGGCTCTTGTCAGCCGCTACTCCCAAATTGGCTGTTTTATGGACACTGATCTGTGTTGGCAGGGCTGCTGTGTTGAGCATTGAATCCGTACACAAGACTCAGCGTGTGCGCATGGCATATCGTCAGCCAAGTAAAGAAGTTACCGCAAGCTTCTGGGTTAGAAGCTTCTTCATCTGGGTGATCCCGCTGTTTCGCACTGGGTTCTCAACCATCCTTACGGTTCATGATATGCCCAATGTTGACAGCTCATTGACAGGAGCCGAGGCTGAAAAGAAGCTTCTGACTGCATGGAGTCGTGGTGAGAAGTCCTCGAGATTGATTTCCAAGCTCAATCCTTATGAAATTCCATAGTGCGGCCAGGGTCCAAGCATCGTCTGCTACGAGCAGCTTGTCATGCATATTTCTTGCCATTGATTGGCGCCATCATCCCTCGACTTTGTCTCGCTGCGTTCAAGTTCTGCCAGCCGTTCCTCATCTCGGCCACCTTGAATTTCGTGTCTTCCCCTTCGACCCCAGAGAACAAGATTTACGGTCCTGCATTGGTGGGAGCGTACGTGCTCACATACCTCGGAATGGCTGTATGTTTCTCATGTATGAAATTCTTACACAGACAGTTGACAATATTCAGATATCAAACGCAGTATACTGGCGCCAAGCATTCCGCCTCAACACCATGTCGCGAGCCGGGCTTATTCCTTTGATATACCGACAGACTACAAAACTTCATGCCAGGGACTTCAAAGACAAGCCCGCAATAACTTTGATGGGGACCGATGTCGAGCGCATTGTTTCTACACTCCATGCTCTGCACGAGGTTTGGGCAGCACCATTGGAAGTAGGAGTTGGAATCTTTCTATTGGAACGTCAACTGGGAGTTGCTTGCTTGATCCCAGCAGTCATCTCACTCAGTAAGGCAATTCTTTGTATCCTGACGTATTGTCTCTGACAGAATTGTAGTTGCTGTTATTGCAACCATCCCAATTTCCCAAAAGTCCAGTACGGCCATCAGCAGATGGATTGAGCGTGTTCAAGCCAGACTGAGCGTCACATCCAGCATGCTGCAGGACATGAAGTCAATCAAAATGCTTGGTCTGACCGAGAAGCTGTTCGAGTCGGTATCCCAGCTGCGACGAGTGGAATTGCAAGTCTCTGAAAAATTTCGGAGATTGCTTGTTTGGCAGGTCATTCTGTGTAAGTTGGTCATTATGCTCAACGGGAATAAGTAGCTTTTGGTATACTAATTGCGAAACAGCAAACATTCCTCTCACACTTGCACCTTTTGCTACATTCAGCATCTTCACGATAATTTCTGCGACCAACGGCAGTGAGTCGCTCTTGTCAACACGAGTATTCACCTCGCTCTCTTTGATATCCCTTATGACTGCACCGCTGCTGATTTTTCTTCAACTGCTCCCATCTTTATACCAGTCAATTGCTTGTTTTGACCGCATCGAGATGTACTGTACCAAAATTCCTTTCGACGTGCCAGAGGAGAATGTGTCGACAGACTCCGTGGAACTCTCTGAGACTCTCTCAGACCCACCACCAAATTCCCAGGATTCAGTCGTGGAATTCCACAATGCAAGCCTTTCTTGGTCTCAGGAAACTTCGCCAGTCTTGTGTTGTTTGGACTTTGCCGTCAAGAGAAAGAAGATCACGGCCATCATAGGACCTGTTGGAAGCGGCAAGACTACTCTCCTAGAAAGCACACTTGGTGAAACTCTTTTGAAAGCAGGGTCAAAATCACGTTTCCAGTCAGCAGTCGCTTACTGCCCCCAGACTGCATGGATCGTCAATGATACGATTCGCCAGAATATCACTGGCCCGTCATCATTCGACCCGAAGTGGTATAAGTTTGTCATCTGGGCATGTGCTTTGGAAAATGATTTTGAAGATATTCCCGGAGGAGATCTTTCCAAGGCCGGCAGCTCTGGGGTAACATTGAGCGGAGGCCAAAAGCAAAGGATTGTAAATCATGAGTTTTTGATAAACTATATGGCCATTTAACTGACAGACGTAGTCTCTTGCCCGAGCCCTTTATTCGCGTGCTCCAGTCTTGGTGCTGGATGATGTCTTCAGTGGACTAGACAATAAGTCAATTACTACTATAACGTCCCGTCTCTTCGCACCCGATGGGCATTTCAAAGATTCTGGAAGAACTGTTATCCTTGCCACGCATAACCGTAAGTTGATCAATGCAAAACTCGGGTTCAATTAACGAAACCACAGATCGAGTGCTCCCATACGCCGATGAAATCATTCTGCTGGACGCAGGAAAAGTGACAGACATCACGACGTACGACGACATTCGCCACTCTTTACCCCAAGACAGCGACACCGAATCCAACGAAGCCTTATCGGATGAACAAGTACAGAATGTGAGCAAGCCACGGACCAAGAGCTCTGATGCAAATTTTCAACTGCGCGAAGATGAAGAAACCGATCGAGATATGTCTCGCAGAAATGGCTCATGGTCCGTTTATGCATATTACCTCAAGTCCGCAGGTTGGAGGATGATTGTCATTCTCGCAGCTTCAGTTGTGCTCTTTGCATTTTCCGATAAATTTACAAGTGAATTCTTGCCATTGACTTACTTGTTTCTCCGCTGATTGTTACATAGCCATATGGCTTCAGAGATGGTCCGATGCCAATGAACAGCACCCGAATCAAAACCCAGGGTTGTATCTCGGCGTATATGCAGCCTTTTTTGGTATTTCCTTCTTTTCTCTTGTTGCTGCCTGCTGGTTAGTCACACCAGAGAGCTTCTAGGATATTCTCCTAACAAAATGGATACAGGGCGTTGTTTGTCCGAGTCATCAATAACACAGGTCTAATGATGCATGCCCATTTACTGAGATCTACTTTGAAGTATATAATCTTTTGAAATTGGCAACAAAATCGCTTTGACGCTGATCATTCATCCAGTGCTCCTTTTAGTTTTTTCCAAAAGGTTGATGCTGGGCTGACAACGAATCGGTGTGTGTTCCTGGTCTCTGAATGGCATAAGTCGTGATTAATTCTCGCAGATTCAGCCAGGACATGGAACTCATTGACATGAGTCTGCCAAGTCAAGCAATCAACACATATCTTGGTAGCTAAAATATAGTACCCCAATGTCTTCTCGTACCTGAGCTGATTGAGCTGATAGGATTTTCCAACTGTTGCGTTCAGCTTGTCATCCTGTGCGTCATGGGAAAGTATCTGACAATAACTGTCCTTGCCTTAGCGCTCATTCTGTACTTTGTTCAGAGCTATTATCTGCGTACATCTAGACAAGTGCGTCTGCTCGACATTGAAGCAAAATCCCCTTTGTTCACACATTTCGTGGAGACCATGCAAGGCATGGCTGTCATTCGAGCCCTGAAATGGAAGATGCCATTCCAAGAACACTTGGAGGATGCACTCAATCGGTCCCAAAAGCCATTCTACATGCTTTTCTGCATTCAGCAATGGTTGCAATTGGTGCTCGACTGTGTCGTTATGGCTCTCGCGGTTATACTGGTATCGCTGGTCGTTTCATTGAAAAGCCAATTCAGTGCGGGCTCCATCGGTGTCGCCCTGAACCTGATCTTGAGTTTCAATACAGATCTTATGATCTTGATCAAGTCTTGGACCATACTTGAGACTTCTATCGGGGCAGTCTCGCGTGTTCAAAGCTTTGTCAACGACACACCATCAGAGATTCAGCCCGAAGATAGCATGTCCGAACCTCCGACTCAGTGGCCTACTTTTGGAGAAGTCAATTTAAAAAATATCGTGGCGAGATATAGGTAGGACTTCCCCTGGAATATACTACTTTCTCACACTAACCCAAAAGATGAAAAGCCCTGATGCCTCGCCAGTATTGAATGACGTCTCTCTCTCAATCAAACCAGGCGAGAAAATCGCAATTTGCGGGCCATCGGGCAGCGGGAAGACATCACTAATCCTCGGGCTGCTGCAAATGATTGAACTGCAAAGTGGCAGCATCCAGATAGACGGAGTGGATATCAGCACATTCCAATGCCACGAGGTGCGCTCTCGTATCAACGTAATCTCACAGGAGCCATTCTTCATGCCTGGTACCCTGAGATTTAACCTGGAACGTGGGACTACCACCAGTGTCCTCTCAGACGCAAGTCTCATAGATGCCCTGGAGACTGTAGGTCTATGGAGAAAGATTACTAATTTGGATGGAGGGCTTGACCAGTCATTATCAGTAGCAGACTGGTCAATGGGTGAGCGTCAGCTTCTTGCTCTGGCACGCGCAATAGTGATGAAGAGTTCAATACTGGTACTGGACGAGGCGACTAGCAGGTATGTTTTCTGTCCTCTCTAGCGGTTCCGTGAATGACGATATCTAGTGTGGACTGGGAGACTGAAGCCATGATGCAGACCATCATCGAACGCGAGTTTACATCTCAGACAGTAATTTCAGTGGTACACCGTCTGCGCTTTATAGAACGATTTGACCGAGTTGCCTTGATGAAGCAGGGCCACCTCATTGAATGTGATCGACCTCAGACTTTGCTATCGACACGATCCGAGTTTCATGCGTTTTGTCATACAAGACAAGGCGAGTGAAGTATGAAGGTCTACAGGTTCAGAAAGGAGGATTATCTATACAGGAGAGTATAGCATTATATGTGAATATAGCAGTTGCGTATAAACAGTGTTCATTACAGCATCATTCGGAAAGTTCTGATAAAATAAATAAAGTTCCAAATCCAAATCGTCTGAAGAATCAGAATGAATGTAATCTTCAATTCTCAGCCTGTAGCTAAATTTGTACTCACTTTGTCAGTTTGCTGAAGACTGTTGTCACACCCAACGTCAACACCAAAAACACCCTCACCCTTCTTCTCTCCTCCCTTCCCTCTATCTCTTCGCATCACCCTGTCTCGACACTGTTGTCAAGTAAATCCAATATGCGAGGCGAGGTAAAGTATTAGGCTCAGTTCTGATTTCCCCTGCCTTCCCGATATGTCTGTCCCAAGAAGTGCTTGAGATTTGGGTCTCCAAACCCACAGGACGTGAACGAACATGTCAATACTAACTTGAAGCCTCAGATCTGCCACATCCACATTGGCCAAGCTGGTGTACAGCTTGGCAATGCTGCGTGGGAACTGTATGTCATCTCGCTGCCTCTCATTCTCTTGCTAAGACAGAACAAAGTTACCTACTTGAGCATGGACTCAACGCTGACGGGTCCATGAACCCTGATGTGACCGATGATACCGTGAGAAGCGGATCTTACGAGACTTTCTTTACTGAGACCAACATCGGAAAATATGTCCCTCGCGCCATCTTTGTTGACCTGGACCCGTCCGTATGTGCCTGCACATACCTTCAAACATATTGCAAATGTGGACTGATTCATTGTGATAGCCCATCGACGAGATCAGAACTGGTACATACCGTCAACTCTTTCATCCCGAGCAGCTGATCAGCGGAAAGGAAGATGCTGCAAACAACTGTACGTCTCGAGCTTGAATACACTGCTAGAATAAGGCAAGCTGACATGGGACAGATGCGCGTGGTCACTACACAGCTGGAAAGGACATCGCCGACGGCGTTGTTGACCAAATCCGTCGTGTGTCCGGTAAGTAAACCACTCAACTGTTGCCGGCGGTTTCAGACTGACCAGTTCATAGAAATCTGCGGCTCTCTGCAGGGCTTCATGATATTCCATTCCTACGGCGGTGGGACAGGCTCTGGATTTGGCGCGCTGCTTTTGGAACGTATCACTACCGAATTCAGCCGCAAGTCCAAGCTGGAGTTCTCGGTCTATCCTTCGCCTCGGGCCTCGACTGCCGTGGTGGAGCCCTACAACACTGTGCTATCTACCCACAGTACAATTGAGAACTCTGATTGCACTTTCTTGGTGGACAATGATGCAGTGTACGGCATCTGCCGCCGCAACTTGGATATTCCCCGTCCCGGTTACGAGCACATGAACGGTCTCATTGCTCAGGTGGTCAGCTCCATTACCTCCAGCTTGCGGTTTGACGGTGTTCTCAACGTCGACTTGGTTGAGTTTCAGACCAACCTGGTGCCTTACCCGCGTATTCATTATCCTTTGATCTCGTATGCTCCAGTCAACGGTGAGAAGAGCAGTTCCCATGAAAGCTACAAAGTGCAAGACCTCACCTTTAAATGCGTGTCTCCCATGTTCGATTGTCCAGTCTGAGATGCCTTAACTGACTGTTGATAGGCTTTGAGCCGACCAACCAGATGGTCATGTGTGATCCCAACAAAGGAAAGTACATGGCTGTGGCTCTGCTTTACAAAGGTGATGTGGTTCCCCGCGAGTGTTCTCAGGCTATTGCTGCTCTCAAGGCCAAGACTTCCTTCAACTTGGTTCAGTGGTGTCCTACTGGCTTCAAGGTCGGGATCAACTACCAAAAGCCTGTTCGTGTTCCTGGCAGCTTGCTCGCTCCTGTAGACCGCTCGGTCAGCATGCTGGCCAACACCACGGCTATTGCCGAGGCTTGGTGCCGTCTTGACTACAAGTTCGACCTCATGTACTCCAAGCGTGCTTTTGTGCACTGGTATGTGGGTGAAGGCATGGAAGAGGGTGAATTTGCCGAAGCTCGTGAGGATCTGGCTGCCCTTGAGAAGGACTATGAGGAAGTGGCTGAAGATAGCATTGTGGTGGCAACAGAAGACGAGTACTGATTGCACTGGGCTGTTGTCACTTTAGCAGTCATTGGCATGCCATATGTGATACACGACTTGTTCACTGTATGTTCCTAACCTTTACATTTTGTTAAGAAGGCGTTATCTAGGAACACGATCAATGCATTCAAGGTAGACAGAATATTTCGAAAAGACTGAATCCCATGTGGTTATGAACTTTTGCTTGGATCTGTTATTAAACATGTAGACCCTTCAATGCCCCTAACATGAAAGATTGGAAGCACCCCCGCCATTCTCGCCATAAGGGGGTCCTAAGGGAGCACCCCATTCATAGAATTAACCAATCTCCGCATTGGCCTAGCAACCATGCACTGTGAGTATGAAGTTCGGAAGTTATGCGATATCCGCTGCATCCTTCAACTCTAGACGAGAGTAGCGGATTGCCCGTCCGCACTCGTCAACCAACACCCCAAGAACTTTCCCTGCGTCGGGGTTTTCGGATCACCAAAACGGACAAATCGGCCTGCGAAGCATCGAAGTTGGACATCAGAACAGGCGGAAAACGGTGGATAAAGTATCGAGTTGTCTCGATACAAAGGGCATCTTGGGCAAGGCTATTGCTTGTCCCAGACTGCCTGGTAGTGCTGATTTAAAAGACTTGACAGTCCAGTGGATTAGTCGTTTTGTTACAGGCCAAGGAGGCACTCAAATTGCCTGTTCGACTTGACCTATGCAGGAAAGACCCCGAGTGGATGATATAGGCTGTATGCTTCGTTACTCTCCTGCATCGCAGTAAGTCTTGCTGCCACAGGCTGCTAGTCCGAAACTTCATTACCAGCCAATGATCCTGGTCCATCTTCCTCAGAAACATAATGTATGAGTACCTTCGCCCACCTGCTCAATTTCCCCCTGTGCAGGAACTATCTCCACTTCGCCCGCATGCAAGTCCCCCAGCAATGCCGACCAAATCGAGCGGTATCTTCGCGAAGACGGTCATGGGCTTTGTCATTTACCGGTGTACATACGGGGGGGATGGCAGAGTATCGCCGTCCGCCAGTCATTTCTTGTGACTGATTTATATTTTGATCTGGTATATGAAAACAATTCCACAACCCCTCATATTCTAGTTGCAATCCAAACGCCATTCAATGCTCCATGCGAGTGTATTGGTAGTAAAAGCCAAGCTTCAGGTGGCGGGTGCAATCTCAAGCTCTTCCAGTGCCCTCAATGTGCGCTCATAAGTCCACATGGTCACGGCACTTGCTGGCGCTGCCTTGAGTAAACTCACGGTCAGCCCACGATATAACCCCCGAACACCTTGCGTGCGCAGAATCAACGCAATACTCTGGATAACCCCCTTATACTCGGGGATATTGCGATGAACATAGCGTGTCCTTGTCGGCCCTTGTACTTGCAAGCGCTTGCGGACCAGATCGAGCGGAAATACACCAGTCTTGGCCAGAACACTCGCAAGCACTCCAGCAGCAGCATCCCCTGTACCGAAAGGTAGTGAATCCCAGGTCGTCAAAGCTGGCCGGAGCGCTTCATATGTTGTGAAGAAGAGTCCCATGTAAGGTACAATCTGCGCAATGGCAGCGGAACAGCCCCGGAAGAACCCTGGTAGGCCCTCCTGCCGCGCAATGTCCATCACCGAAGCCCGCAATGAGCCGTATACACGGTCGGAGCCTTGTGCGGCAAATCGTGTGCGAAGGAGATCCAGTGGGTATGTTGCACCCGTGGCACATCCACCTGCGACAGCACCAGATATGAAGGATTCGACCGACGAAGGGGGTCGATAGGGGCCGAGTTGAGCAAGGGCCTGTGTGGTTCCTCGGTACGCGGTGAATTGGATGGCGCCGTAGCAGACATACATCATCTCCGCTGGGATGTTGCCTTTCCAAAGACCCTGTCGCTAGATTAGTATTGGTACCAGCTGTTTCCAGCGCCAAAACATACGGTGATTCCTTCTTGCTTCATGATTGCCCGCATTGTGGACAGCGTCCCCTTATAAATTGGACCATTGATCCCTTGGTGTGAGATCGGGTCTGACAATGAGTGAACCTGTAGCTGCAACCGAATCTTGACGACATCTAGCGGCGCAATGCAGAATCGCGAGATCAACCCGGCGATGCCGCCGGCCAGCACGACCTGTCGTTTGGTGCCTTCATCTTTAAGATGCTCGGCCCCTGACATTGAGAAAATGGTGAATCAAAGAATTGCCATGCTGGACTGGACTGGAATGAGAAACAAAAACAAGGATTTACGTAAGTTAAGTCGCCTCCGAAGTCAAGAATGATGATGGCCTGAGGCAGGAGTTGACACCTCAGGCTTTAGGGTGCCTGAAGATTTGTGCCTGCATATTGATGCCTGGGTGCCTCAGGTGTCAGTCAGTCAGCCGAGGTCCCCCGCGAAACAGTCGACCCTCACGTTCTCAGCTCTTAAGTCTTCGTTGTCTGCCTTCCTTTCTCCTTCAAGTCACCTCACCACCTCTATGCATCGTCTGCGATCTCGACCTAGCTTTTGGAAGCTGCCGAGCAGCGTACCGCGCTCAATTCCCGTTCGCAACTTCACCGTTGCGGCTCATCGGGCCAACAGTTCTCCGCAATCCGATCCCCGCGATCCAGAAAATGTAGCAAATCAATTACGAGAAATCAGCGCAGCCCTCCGCAAATCTACCAAGTCAACTTCTCAGGCTGCAGCCTCAAAGTCATACACGCTGAAGCATGTTAATGTGGAGGGTCGCGGCCAATGTTGGCTGGACAAGGAGGTATTGTACTTGCATTGCGAAGACGGTACAACAATGAAGCTGCCTTATGCCTACCTCCGCGATTTCTGTCAGTGTCCGCTCTGTAAGGATCAACACTCGCACCAACGTCCTTTCCGCACCAACGATATTCCTAAGAATGTTACGCCGCGTTCGGTCAAATGGAACGGGACCAACCTAGTTATTCAATGGGCGAACGATGTCCCAGGTTATCCAGTACACCACAAGTCAGAATGGACCATTGAGACTCTACAAAAACCCAAACATAATCCTCATGAGGTATCGGAGGACACGAAACCAGTGCCATGGAGTGGATCTCGCATGACACAGGACCAGCATTGGATTTCCTACGAGGACTATGCTGGACGTGGTCCATTGTTTGCCAGAGCCATGTGTCACTTGCAAACTCAGGGCCTGATTTTCGTCAAGGATATCCCCAAGTCCAGGGAAATGGTTGAGCAGATCGCCACAGGCATGGGTCCTTTGCGCAATACTTTTTATGGTTCAACATTTGATGTGCGGACTGTGCCAAATGCGCAGAATGTGGCTTACACAAACACATTCCTTGGGTTCCACATGGATTTGATGTATATGAACGAGCCGCCTGGATACCAACTCCTCCACTGTCTGGAGAACTCATGCAATGGTGGCGAGTCACTCTTCGCGGATGCATTTTATGCTGCTGAAACAATGCGTGGTGATAATCAACCTGCTTTTGCCGAGCTGTCTGAGCAGCGCTTGGGCTACGAGTACAGACACGAGAACAGTATCTACTATAACGAGCGACCAGTGTTCGAGCTTGACCCCAGAACACAACAAATGCGTCATGTGAATTATTCGCCCCCTTTCCAATCTGCTCTCCCGCTGTTGCAAAGCAATGAACATGATTCCGAGTCTATCAACAAGTTGCAAGATGCCCTTTCAATATTTACTGGTATCATCGAGCAGAAGAATTCTATCTTTGAGCTCAAACTTAACCCAGGTGAGTGTGCCATCTTTGACAACCGACGAATTGTCCATGCACGCCGGCAATTCGATTCCACCGGAGGCTCTCGCTGGTTAGCAGGTGCATATGTTGACACAGATGCTCTGCTCTCCTGCTTTGCTGTTGCCAAGAAGAACTTCCCTGCAGCGTGGAAGAAATGAGCAAAGTAATCCAAGAAATTACATTACAATGAAGAATGAGCCTGAATCAACGGCAAGCCTGAAGAAAGAAATCTCCGAACGAAGTCGAATGTGGGAATGATTTCTCTCGCATACTTGCTCGCAAAAAGTGTATAGTGATCGGGTCGCACGACACTGTATCGATTTATTTGCATTGGGGTTGCATATATAGTTGATCCTACAAGGTGAGAGCACCGCGGGATAATCCTTACCAATGCGAAAACTGTGTATATACATTCGAAGTGCATTAAAAGAGATTGGTGGTGTCTGTGATGAATGTTTTGGATACTGCTCATTTGAACTATAAGCAACAAAGTGTGATAGATGAAGGGTAGAATGGAAGGAAAAAAAACAATCCAAGCGGAGAAGCCTCGCCAGGCCCAAGCATATCTCATTATGTTAGACTTTTAGCATCTAGCTCCAGGGTCAGGGGAGTCATGGGTATCGTGCAGCAAAAGCCAATGACTTAAACTGCGGTGGGCTTGTTGACGGAGAACTCGTTGAGGAAGTCGGGATCGGCGTTAATTTCCTCACGGACCTGGACCGAACAATTAGCAATTGGATTGAGAACCACAATACTGAGACACTTACAATGTCCAAGCCACCAACCAACTCGCCGCTAACCCACAGTTGAGGGAAAGTAGGCCACTCGGCGTATTCCTTGAGACCCTGTCGCACGTCCTCATCGGCCAAAATGTTGAAGAAACCGTACTTGACGCTGCGCTCACGAAGAATGCCGACCAGCTGTCGACTGAAGCCACATTGTGGGCTGCTGGGGGTTCCCTTCATGAAAAGCATGACTGATGCAGCTTTGACCAGCTGCTCGAGACGGGCAAACAGAGCTTCCTTGGATTGTTCTGGTGTCAAACCAGGAGCGGATGCGACAGCGGTGGCATTGGCCGAGTCGGCAGGAGGTGCTTGAGAAGCAGAGACAGGAGCCTGGGTCGCAGTAATTGGACCATCCTCACGTGGCACAGCAGACAGTGGAGGAGGAATGGTAGTTCTCACACCATCCATCGGACTAGTGCCTGCTCCCTGCCCACGGCCCGCGTGACGCTCGACAGCATCGCGCACCTTCACGGCATCACTTCCACTGATTGACTCCAGAATCTGACCACTGCGCAGACAGACAACGAAGGGCACGGCAGAAACGTCATATTCCTCCGAGATATCAGGAAGCTCCTCGGCGTTGATGCTGACAAACGAGATGGTAGGCGGGGCTGTGGCGGGGTACTGCGAAGCGAGGGCGGAGAGCACAGCGCCCATTTGCGTGCATGGTGCCGCCCATGGAGTATGGAAGTAGAGGACAACCAATGCAGAAGGCGAAAGAGAGGAAAGGTGCGACGAGAAGTCGGCCTCGGACGTAATTTCGGTGAGCGCGGACATGGTGGGATGGCGGGGGAGGAGAGTGGCCAGAGACGGCAATGGTTGTCAAAGGATTCGATTCTCTGGTATACAGAGTATACGGGAGGAGAGAGGAAAAAGTGTAGACAAGTAGAAGTTGTGTCGCAAAGGTGACTCTGCTCCCCACCATCCCACGCAATCCTCCGGTTATCAGATCGGATTTGCACCATTTGCACTGTTTGCACTCGTCACGCCTTTCTCACACGTGACCCCATATCTCCATGTGACTTGCTCTATCTCACGAATTTCCTGCGAAACGCCGAAAGCCAACCACGCCGAAATGGGAAACCGGAAGAGAAAGCTCAGTTCTGACAGGTGGAATGGCCACGAAAATGGTGTGGCTGAGACTATGCCGCGTGTACAAGGCGATAACCCGAGCACCGACAGCTACAACAACAATGCGACAAAGAAGCGGAAGAGAGTAGATGGGGAGAAGGTGAAATACCCAGATCTTTCCTACTCGGATGGAAAGCTGCAGTCAGCGATCCGAATTGCAGACCTTCAGGGGTTAATTCTCTACTGCTTCGCTGATGGAATCGCACCGCAATGGATCTCGATGAAGCATTCTGGCCATGTGCGCAAGGTGGTTGTACTGATGGTACCAGGACTCGAGATGGGCATGTTTGATGGGTCCATTCTTGTTGAACCGAAGGAGAACGCGGAGGAGGAAAGATCGGACGAACCTCCACCGACCGAACCAGCCCAAGATGATCGAGCTGTCGATTTCGAACGATGGAAACAAGGTCTCCCACAGGAAGACCGTTCGCACCGCTTCAATCCCCGTCCTTTGGCTCGTGACAACCTTCCTCAACCCCTTCAGCCATTGTCAGACATCTTTCCTCACATTTGGCCTGTAAAGGCGCCAGGCGACAACAAATACAACAAGGTCCACTCGCCGTTGCAGGCCATTTTGCTATCCACGGCTCCCAAATCGAAGAGTGACGAGTCCCGAGGAAAAGGTCCTCGCCCTGCCAAAGTCGAAAAAGGCTTCGTCCCTCAGCGGACACCGATCACCAAATTTATCACTTCCCGCGAAGACCTCGAAGACAGCGACTACATCTTGCATCCTGCCTTTTTCACACCCGAGGAGAGGTCTTCCCAGGCGGAGGCTCGTGAACGAGGTGGAACTACAGCAAAGGATGGGTGGGTAAACACTGAAGTTCTGACGCTGGAATCCGCTGAGGTGCCGGACGCAGAGATTGAACAGGGCAGCATGACTGCTGGACGGGATGTGTTTGCCCTCGATTGTGAAATGTGCATTACAGAAGGGGGCCAGTCCGAACTCACGCGCATCAGCATGGTAAACTGGGACGGCGAAGTCGTTCTGGACGAGCTGGTCAAACCCGATCGCCCTGTCATCAACTATTTGACACGCTTCTCGGGCATCACACCAGAGATGCTGGAACCTGTGACAAATACCCTTGCCGACATCCAGCAGCGTCTGCTGGCCCTTCTCACACCGCGTGCCATCCTCGTGGGACACTCTCTCAACTCAGACCTCACTGCCCTGAAACTGGTTCACCCCTTCATCGTCGACACCAGCATCATCTACCCACACCCACGTGGTCCACCTCTGAAATGCAGTCTCAAATGGCTCACCCAAAAGTACATGAACAAACAGATCCAAAACGGAATGGCCGGCCATGACTCCATTGAAGATGCCCGTGCTGTTTTGGAACTGGTGAAGTTGAAGTGCGAGAAAGGCGAACGCTGGGGTACCAGTGATTCCTCTAACGAAAGCATCTTCCGTCGTCTTGCACGCTCTGTCCGACCAGCCTATGTTCCTCGTTCAGGCGAAGAACGAACAGGTGCCGTGGTTGACTGGGGCAATCCCGAACGTGGTTTCGGCTCGCAAGCAACAGTCTCCATTGGATGTCAAGATGATGATGCCGTGGTCAATGGCGTCTCTGCGGTGATAAATGGCGACGAGTCCAATCTTTCCATTCCTGGCGGTGGTGTCGATTTTGCCTGGGCTCGTCTCCGTGAGCTCGAGTACCTTCGCGGCTGGTGCAACCGCATGCCAGACCCGAACAATGCGAATGAATCTACGACTCTTGTTCCTCCACCAGAAGAAACCACACCCACGACGGGCACTGGCACTGAATCAACAGACCTCCCACAGCCTGACGTTCTGGCTAAAACCGTTTCCCATACAGTATCCAACATCTCACGCATCTACAATTCTCTTCCCCCGTGTACACTCTTCATGGTTTATTCTGGAACTGGAGACCCACGTGAAGTGAGCCGACTACAGAGCATTCAGAGGCAACATCGTGAGGAGTTTAAATCTGGCAAGCCATGGGATTCTCTGACCTACAAATGGACCGACACTGAGGAGCAATTGCTGAAGAAAGCATGCGAGCGTGCGCGTGAAGGCTGTGGCTTCATGTGTGTGAAATGATCCATATATATACTTTAGATAGGTGGGACGTTGGTTTCCAGAGCAAAAATATCTAGTGACATGTATTTTGACTCAAATTCTTGCCAACTACCAACTATTAAATGAACTACACATCGGTACCTCAGGGCCTAATTAGATTCTGAAATACCCTTCTTCGTGCATCTAATAGTTTTTTTTGCTTAGTTGGACCGGACTCCGGTTAGCCGAGTACACTCTTTCAATTTCCAAAGTCTTACTCCTCGACTCCAAGCTAATTTCCCCAACACTGCATCAGCTGAAGGTAATGAACGACCAGCTATTATCTCTATAAGATATTTTGATGTAGACGGACTTTACCGTGATCTCCCGTTGGTCAGAAAGAAAAGTGTTCTTAATGAAACACTACTGGAACCTCAAGCTGACATTCAGAATAGAGGATATAATTGAGATTGACGCTCAAAGCACATTATTATATTCATCTTCATCTCGTTGCGAGTACAAAGCATGGAGGTTGTGTTCGCACGGAATATGGGCCCCACCGGACTTGGCAGAAAGTTCTTCCCAACAACCACCATGAACCCTTTCGCGCAAAAAGTGTGGCATCGGGTGGCCTTCGTATCGGAGCTGCCCAATCTTGACGATGATAAGATTGCTCCACGATGCAAAGCCTTCAAGATCCCGGTCGGCCAGTCACCAGTCGAGGCAGATCTGGACATGCCAGGGGATCTGAAAGACCAAGTCATGGTGTTCAAATACAAGGATAAGATCCATGCCATTGACCATGTAAGTCACCAAAAGCCCGTCAAAGACCAAGCTGACCAATGTAGCAATGCCCTCACTCCTCATTTCCTCTGTCGCAGGGTAGCCTTTTCGACATTGAGGACTTTGGCATTGTCCTGAGCACTGGAATCACATGTCCCAAGCACAATTGGTCTTTTGACATTATCTCTGGACATGCAGATCGTGGAAATTACCGTCTGAAGGTGTGGGAAGTAGAACTACGTGACCACGACACCGACCAAGAAGTGTGGGTGAGACGCAAGCAACGGATTGGTTGAACTCGTCTATCCTTTGGTTCAATCTCTGTGGGCACACCCGTTTCTGAGCCCAATTCTGTTACCGTATCCATGCTGAATTAGCCCGAGGAACGGAACAAACATTGGATCGATGTGCCATACGTTTCTCAGCCACCTCTTTCAAAGCGACGCTGCAAACCCCTACAGTGTCATTTCAGCAACCTACGAAATGCCATGTGATGCTTGAAATGAATGGCTGGTCAGCTTTCTCAGTTCCATGTGGTTATAAAGAACGCAATGAAACGCACGATGTACGCTTGAATGAATGAGGCTTGGACTAAGCTGTCAATGAGTCCGCCAATTACACCAAGCCTCGGAAATCACACCCAGCTCGACCATTTCAAATCGCGTCAATTTTTCCACTGGACGTTCAAAATTTGAGACTTAGTTGGGAGTTTGTTGGTTTTCAAGAGCAAGACGCATACTTTGTACATAGTCTGAAATCCGTGTCAAAACTTATATCGCTCAACTCATGCATGGCATGACGATTCCTCGTCAATTGCCGCCATTTCACCCTGGAACTTGCCGTGTCCAGTCGTATATTGCCAAGTACTATAGCTGTTGCTGGGGCAGGCTCCTTGTCGAGGATGTATCACGCCGATGCCCTCGGACTTAGAACTCGCCCTTCATTTCGGTTTACTCTTCTGTTTGCCCTGACCAGGATGATTATGCATGTGTACCGCTTACCATCTCGGCAGCTCCAGTTTGTCGTGTTTCTGTGATCATCGAGTCTTCATTGCCTGTAATGAAGTTAGATCAATTCCCTCTGGGATCTCGTCATTTCGTCATTTCCCGGCTAGATCAATAGCCTCTATGCGGCAAGCTTCAATACATGCCGCAGTGTCTGGGGCCTTCCCATCTTGGATGCTTTCTAGGAAAATTTACAGTAGGCCCATCGTGTGCCACCACGTAAAAGCTTAGAATCGACATGCCCAGAACCAGTGGTGAAACCAACTAGAGACGACCAGTTACCTCTCCGTGCCTGCTGGCAAATCTAGATTAAAATTTTATTTTAAATGATCCATCCAGCGGGAATATGTGGACGTTCCAATGTGGGCGTCGCAAAAGCGCCAAAATGACATGTCGCAAACCACCTCCCAACGTTTTCAGGCTTGCAAATCCAACCAAAACAAACCAGAGTCAACCTATTGTCAGAGGAATTTGCATACCGAGCTCCATTATTATAGATATTGAATACAGATAGTGTCCAGAATACTCAATTACTCTACAGTACGAAGATGATGACTGTGCAGAGGATATAAATGAAATCGTAGAACATTCAGCTGCATAATGAGGATCTCCCGAGTAACACAAAAGCAAAATTTCAACTGCGATCTATTTGACTGTGCTAATATATAGTACATGTTACGCCGTGGTGGGTGCGTCGTGGACAGTGGGATTCCGACCGAGCCCATCTACTCAATGTCGAGTATACCGTGCAATATACTGTACTCACCAATACCGCAATCATGCTCGAACGAACTAGACCATGGGTAGAGATCAAACAGGTATTATCTACCGTGAAATTCTGAGAGATTGGAACCATATTCAAGGGCTTTACGGAATAGTCCTGCAATAGCAGAATGTTGTGGGTTCTCTTGGTTTGTCTTTTACATAGCCCTGACTCTGATCATTTTCAATGGCGTCGTGAATGGAGGTGGCTGGACTTGACAGTTATTTATTAGCTGCGTGAAGCTGAATTGCAGTTCCCCCTTGACTCGGGAATATCAACTAACCGAGGACAGAACTATGGAATCCTCACCGCAGGTCCTGGCCTGGCCTGCTGCACTGCAATTGAACGAACTGCTGGAACGGACAAAGATTTGCAACGGAAGCAAATAGGCTTGCAAACGAGGGAGAACCTGATAGACCAGAAGAAACATTGCCATAGATCACAACGGAAAGTGCCCAAGTATACCGCCTCAATCATTAGAAACACCACTCCGACCTGCTCTTTCTTCTCAGATCATACTCCTGTCATTATGATATTATCAAGCAAACCTCTGCCCTTAACACGACATGACCGGCACCAAGAGTTTCAGTCATTTGATGGACAAACAAACACGGAAACTCCTAAAATGATTTGAGGTAGGTGCCCAAAGTCTATCTGATGAGTTGGACGACCTCAAGGACATATTTCCGAGGTGCAACGGAGAAATCAAGACTACAGCATCAACCAGAAACCCCAAGAAAGAGAAACTGGAAGTGGAAACAAGATCTCGATCAGTAGAAGAAGAAGCGAAACCAACCAGATCGTGGAATACCATCTCAAACTGACAACTCGGAAAGTCTAAGGTAAGTACGCATCACCGATTGAACAGAATCTTTTCTAATGCGACCATCAACACCCCCAAGCCAACCTCCGGCTACAGTCAGATCCGACCACTCCTGTTATCATGCCGCGGCCAATGCAGGTGATTGATCGAGTGGAGCCACTACTTCCCGGATGTCCAAGCAAGAAAAGGCGGAAACACGCCGCTGATCACTCAGACGAAACTCGAGCTGCAAAATCCCCAAAGAAGAACAAATCAGCCTTACCTCGAGAAGATGCAATTGTGCCTTTATCCCCGAGTCCGACGAGGAACATAGACGCTACTGCTCAACCGGTGACAAACAGCAGCGCGGGAGACATCAGAAACAGTTGTTGGACCATCAAGAACCGTGCAAACCACCCAAGCGGATGAAGGTAATGATGATCTTGATCTCTACAGCAACAGCAGAAATTGCAAGCGATGCTTCGACAGCTGGGCTCTCCACGTCAAGCATCGCACATCTGCCCCTCCATGTTTGTTTTAGCCCTCCAACCCGAGAAAAACCTGCTCGTTATGCTGGTTCGACAAAACCACCCCAAGATGCCTATGTGTACTGGTATGTAGTGTTCGAGTCCGTGACACAAATACAGAGACTGACAGAGGATGAAGATCCCACAGGAGAAAAGCTCACATCTTATAATCATCGCGAAACTCAAGATGATACGTGAAACAAACGAGAAAGCTTCCGCAAAATATAAAAGGCACTCACGAAGGAGCTGGAAATGAACCCCATCCCCAAAGCGCAAAAAAGGTCAGGCTCTTCCTGCTGAGCATGAAAGAACAAGCTGAGACGTCACTCCTACATCGCCTAACCATTCATAGTGAGAGGAGATTAGGTATTAGACATGGGCGCAGAGAGAGAGGACGAGGTGACAAGGAGGACATGGGCATTCATTTTATTTCATTTGTGAAGAGTTTCTGGGACCTTGATTAATTGGTCTGTATCTGATTCCCGCACTCTTTGAGAATCAGCTGTGTACTTTAATGAAGTCCAAGTTAATGAAATTGTGATTGATCGAAGTGAAGGGATATCGGCACGAGGGCCAACCCTCGTCTCGTGTGCTCCGGAGTCGGCCTCCCAACTCTCCGCATCTCTTACCATTTAAACAGCTACACACTGGAGCAGTTCATTTCAGCAATTACATTCAGCTTTGTTTCAATCCCTACATCATTCCTTTCTTCATGGCCTCCTTTCAGAAGGCTACTCGGGCTTCAGTGTCCATGAAGCGTTTTATCTCTTTCCAGCAGCCCTCTACTCGCTCCGTGGCCACTCGCGCAACTTCTTACACGCTCAATACCGGGGCTAAGATCCCCGCCCTTGGATTCGGTACATTTCAAGACCCGGAATCCCAGGAGGACACTGTCAGCCGAGCCCTGCAGAAGGGCATGCGCCTAATCGATACAGCTCGGGTTTACAATGTGGAAGAGCAAGTCGGCAGGGGAATCAAGAAAAGTGGGGTACCCCGCGAAGACATCTTTGTCGGCACGAAGCTTTGGTGCAACGACTACCACCCAGAAGATGTAGAGCGGGCGTTGGATGATTCCTTGCGAGACCTCGATACCCCATACGTCGACCTTATGTTGATGCACTACCCCTGTACCTTCCAGCGGGGACCGGATCGCTTCCCTCGCAATGCTGAAGGCCGAATGATTGCTGGCGAGACGACATATCTGGAAACATGGAAGGCAATGGAGAAATTGACCAGGACTGGGAAGGTCAAGGCGATTGGAGTTTCTAATTTTAGCAAAGGGGAAGTTGAGACATTGCTCAGGGGCTCTTCCACGGTTAGTAATCAAATTTCATATCAGTGTAAAATGAAAGGTACTGATTAATCTTCATAGGTCCCAGCTGTTCATCAAATGGAGGTCCATCCATACCTACAGCAGAAGGGATTCAACCAGTGGCTGAAGACAAAGGGAATCCACACCGTCCAATTCAGTCCGCTGGGCAACATGAACGATTTCTATCGCCAGACGGGATGGTCCAAGGATATTTCACACATGATGCGGGTGATTGACCAGCCCATCCTGAAAGAAATTGGTGAGAAATATGGAAAGACACCTGTGCAGGTAGTTCTTGCGTGGGGAATCAACAGCGGCCGCTCCGTCATCCCGAAGAGTATCGTCGACTGGCAGATTGAACAGAACTTGGAGGCCGACTTTGAGCTGCAGCCCGAGGATATGGCTCAAATTGCGACCCTGGATGCAAAGGCTCGCTTCAATGACCCAAGCTTGGACTACGAGTGGCGATTGTATAGTGACTTGGAAGGCATTGAAGGAACCGTCAGGGGTTTAACTCATTGACCATGCACGCTAGAAGCACTTGTATAAATTTCATGCCACAATCACAAAAGACCAACCGGTTTTCTCATCTACACTTCTCAACTATAGCATGGTAATTCAGTACCGTGACTCCATAATCTTCGCAATGTCAGGCACATATTTCTGGCGGCCGTAAAACTGGAACCTCTCCTGTAGTCAAGTAGCTCAAAGTTTCTGGGCTAAGTAAGCCTTGCACTACCTGGGTGCTACTTGCGAGATTGATCGGGAGTGAGGATCAATTGTCATTCCTTCGGAGGCGCGGTATGACTGTACAGACTAACCTGCTGGTGTATGCGGTTCTATTCAGTTGCCTTGTGGATATGGCCGCATTATCCTTGAGCATCACCTGGTTGAAGCCATCCCAAAGACACAAGTACAATTGTTCTTACCCTCAGATCTCGCGGCATGGTACGATGAGTAGAGCAATCCGATTCCAATCAATAAAACAAGCTAGCGTCGAAAAAGCAGCTCGCCAGGCTGGCATTGCAACCATCGTTGTCCCTCATAGAAACTTTGTTGAATTTGCACTAGGCACGCTGTGAGTAACTTGTATGTTTCGAGAAGGTACCTGTCTGACATCGACATTCATCTACCAGGGCGAGGGGTGTGAGCTACGAAGGCAACCAAATTCAATTTATCGGCAACAGCCATTCAGAGCTTCTTAAGCTTTGATAGGCTCACAAGTGTGCAAATTAATTCTCCAACGTTTTTATACTGACCTAGCAACAGTACACGATCATATGTGGCTACAGCCTAGGCGGTTATCTTGGCCTCCACGCCCATCAATCAGATTAAAAAATCATCAATTGGCATTCTCAGAACTAAAAATGACTGGCACCGAAGTTGCTCGTGCTCTTGAGGAAAGATTAAGACAGCCCCGAGTATGAAGGCCGAAAGCATGAAACCTATCAATTCACAAATTATAAATGAGGCTATTGGAGGAGCCAATCCTTCTGCGCTTGCATAATACTGCCGAAAGGTTTGGGCTAGTGGCGAACAGGCTAAGATGATCTATTTCATGTTTGGGCGAGTTAAAATCATTCACAGGCCCCCGTTTCAAATCTGATTACTGAGGAATACATTCAATCACCAGGACATGCCTGCAGAAGTGAGGAACTACTTCATGAATATTTATGACCAGTGTGAATAATTGAGCGCAGGTAGTTCCCGTGCTATCCAACAAGCAATGCATAAAATACGGTATTCGTCGATTGAAGCCAATTTCTCAAGTAAATCCATCGAAAACAATTATGAAAGCATCGCAAAGGATTCAAATATTATAAAATAAACAAGCAAACTTCATAATAGTCTTATCCGACCTACTGGCCAGGCACTATCTCCTTATGCTCAGTCTCAGTATCAACATACAATCCCTTCTCGGCTTGCACCACGCTGTCGCGTTGGCGAGCAGCTCCAACATCAGGATTCTCTGCTTTGAGCGCGGTGAAGTTTGCCTCAGCGGACCAGACCCAGGGTGACTTTGCAGCGAAGAGCAGGTCCATCTCCTCCAGTGTACGCTGGCTTGACTCTGGATAGAGAATCCAAACTGTTTATCGTGTCAGCGTCATGCACCCAAGGAGTGAGAAGACGTATGTAGAGGATGACATACCGATAGGGATGCTGATGAGATTGACCGCCCCGAATACATGCAATGTGTTCTCGCCAATGGCTCCAAAGATGTAGGGAAGTGCAAGAGTGAGTGACCTGGCGAACGTCAGAATTATGTTCAGGGGGACCAATATAACGCGATACATACCCGTTACCCAAGCTCCAGCCAACCACTCCCCATGCATTTCCTTTGGCTCGCACTTTGAGGGGGAAGATCTCTGCTGGGTAAAGCCATGGCACTGTGAGCCAGGTGGCGCCAAAGACGAACGTGTAGAGATAAACCATAAAAGTAGCCCCGATTCCCCACGGTCCCTGATTTTCCGGGTTGTCCAATCCACCCCGAGCCAGACCTCCTGCAAGAAACATGGCAAATGCCTGTCCTGCTGCTCCCCACCACAGTGTCCAGCGGCGACCGATCTTATCGAGGGTGAAGACACAAATCAGGGTGGCAAAGGCGTAAAAGATGTTGTTCAGTCCGGAGATCCAAAGGGTTTTCTGGGAATCAAAGCCTGCAATTTTGAAGATTGCTTTTCACACGTCAGGACCCATCCAAACAATAACAGAATTGTACAACTTACTTGGTGCATACATTGTCACGCCAGCAATGCCAGACCAACTTTGCAAGATCTGCAACCAGATTACCAGTTGAACCCGTCGTGCGATATGTAGGTCCTCCTTGCCGATACCGAAGAGCATGTGGAAGTAGCCAATCTTCTCCTCGGACTCGTTCTCAAGTGCGACGATCGCTTCAATCTCCCTCATCTCCAGCATAGCCGCACTTTCGTTCTCTAAACCGCGGATTCTCTTGAGCACATAGAGAGCTTCATCTCGACGGCCCACCATGCACAGCCAGCGTGGTGACTCAGGGAAAAACCAACATGCAGTCACGAGAACCAGGAGCATGACAATTTGGAATGCAATTGGGAATCGCCATTGGAAGTCAGATGTGCCATTGTCGATGAAGCTGAGACCAAATCCTAGCCAGTATGCGACAACGACGCCGACGATGTTTAATGTAAACTCCATAGCAATGAACTGACCCCGAGACTCGTAGTCTGCAAGCTCGGAGCCATAGACTGGAACAGTAGCGTTCAGAATACCTGTTCCGATACCATTGATCAAACGAGACACGATCATCCACGACGGATTCATAGCTGTGCACTGCAGGGCAGCACCGATGATCCCCCACACAGCACCAAAACCAAGAGACTTGATCCGACCGTACCGATCACTGACATAGCCACCCATGAAACATCCTACCAAGGTTCCCAGATAATATACTGAGACGATACCTCCTTGCAACAGTGTGTTGGTCACAGTGACAGAGCCGTTCTTCACGTATCCCAAGCCCATGCGGTCCACGTATGCCTGAGAGTCGTTGACTCCGCCCATCATACCCTGGTCATAACCTTCATCTTTGGTCAGTATTCGTGGGAGCATGACAGCCAAGGCCGGACAAACCAAAGAAGAAGATGGCAAGGCCTGCTAGACAGTTGACAGCTATCAACAGCGGCTTTTTCTGCAACTTGCTCGTGACCTTCCATGTCGCTCGCTCATCAGTTGTGAACAACATGATGCATCTGTAAACAATATGCTGGAAGGGAAAGTTCGTCAGACTGGGAGATTGCAATGGATTTGAGTGAAAATCAGCAGCGGGTCTAGTCCCATTACCCCAGATATATACCTCCAGGTATCATACCACGAACGTCACATAGGAAATGCCTCACCCCCATAAATTCCCCATACCCAGAGCGAAACCCCGCATCCGAAAACCGGAAAGGGAGAGAGAAAGGGGCCCCGGACTCGACTCGAGGACAAGCGACGCGGGACGGGGGTTGCGAGTCCACGGAAACCCCGAATTTGAACTCCACATGGGGCGTTGCGCTGTCTACAATGGGAGGAGTCTCTTCAATCTCTCATTAATTCAGAAACAAAAATCATATTGCATTTCCTAATAAAGTGTCTCTATTCCCCATTGAGTCGTCTATCCACTAAGTCACGATACTCACGCTGCTTGAAACACATGTCCGAAAATATCTCATACTTGGCCTGCAGGAGTCTTTGCTCGTTCACGTCGGTTGTGGGGTCCAATCGTCGGCCAGGCTTGCTCATTTGTCTGATGACACCCCATAGACTTTCCGATGTTTTGCCCGAATTCCCACTCGCCGCCATCGCTCCTAGCATAGCAGCGCCGTGGCACACAGCAGCCTGGACATACTCGGGAAGTACCACAGGCATATTGCAAGTGGAGGCAATCAGATGAACGAGAATGTCATTTTGGGTTTGGGAGCCGGACATGAAGATGGTCGACAGTTGATGGCCATGTTCATTCATTGTTTCTATAATCTGGCGTGTTTGGAGTGCGATGAACTCGAGGACGCCATAATAGTGCAAGGCCAGGTTCTGGATCGACTGGACACTTCTCAATCCGATGATGGCACCACTCATCTGGGAGTCTGCAATAGGGGAACGGTTGCCCCATAAGTCACCGTAAAAGAAGAAATGCTTGGCGAGCAAGGAGACATGGGGAACCTGCCTCTGCTCGGCTTCTTTGCGCAGACAATCGTTAAGAAAAAGGTAAACACCAACTCCCGCTGCCTTTGCTGCCTTTGTCGCGGCGGGGAACGCAGAATGGCTTTCGACAATGTGGCGAATGAGTTCTCCTGTTGCCGACTGACCCCCCTCCGCAAGATATGCACCAGGGAATAAAACATCCCGATACGGGCCCCAGACCCCCGACACGAAGATCTCATCGTATGACATGGCTAAATGGCAAGTTGACGTGCCTGCCACTACTGCAAGGCGACGCGCCACATGCTCTGCCTGGTCACCGGAGCATTCGAGGCCGAGGTCAACCTTCGCCCCAACTGTACCGATCCAGCCTGCGTAAGCATCTATGACTCCACTGCCGACGGCAACGGCTGTTGTGAGCCCAAGTTCTGCTGCTGCATTTTCCGTCAAGTGCCCCACGAAATGGCCGGCACTGAGGTAATGTCCGTTCTGTACCTTTGTTAGCTTGTTTCACCAGGACAGGAGTAGGCACGTTACCTGGCCTTTCACACCACCAAGCTGGATGAAGTCATCTGCAGCGAGGTCTTCCAGACCGATCGAAGACAGAAAGTCTATCTGCCAACCTTCTTGGGTGTTTTCGCCACCGGAGGGTAAATAACCTTGCTTGCATATGACACTGCAGTAGCTCCGCGTTTCTTGACCAGTCGCCAGGTGGGTAAGAGCGTCTGCAAGGTCATAGAATTTGCAATCTCGAAACATCTGGGGATCCATGTGATTCTTGAGCCACATAATCTTGGGCATTTCCATTTCCACCGACATACTCCCCCCAACGTACTGCAGCACAGAATGTCCAGTGGCATTAATTTTCTTGGTCTCATCCACCGCACGATGATCCAGCCAGAGAATTACGTTGCACTCGTTGTTGAAGTGTGGGCTGCTGACAGAGACTGGGTTGTTGGTTTCTCTGCTCATCACAGATAGGGAACAAGTAGCATCAAAAGCAAGTCCTCGGATCCTAGACGGTGACACCCCACTCTGCCGTACTGCTTGCTTGACTGCGATAGAAATACTGTCCCATATATTGGCGGTCGATTGTTCATAGAACTCTGGATACGGTTGCCAGGTTCTGATGTCCTGCGATGCAAGACCCACGATGTTCCCTTGGAAATCGATCACACAGGCACGTGCACTCCCAGTGCCAACATCAACTCCAATGTAGTGGTATGCTTGTTTATCTTCGGGCATATTGAAATGCAAGCTGTTCAGGAGGGCAATGTAGATGGTCAGCAGCAGAAGCAAGAGATCGAAGCTACATGAACTCAGAGCAGGCTTTTATGAGCCCTCAAGTCTGTACATATCGTCCTCATCCTCTCCCGGATTTTTATTTTCCTACCCTTCTGGAGAAGCCTTCAGTGGATGTCCCCGAGACGGATGCGGTCCACGAGACGAGGCTCACAGGCCTGCAACACAGCTTGCGCGACTATGGATTATACAGACACTAGATATATGTTGAGTGTCAGCAACAACATAAATAGACCCGTCAGGAATATCTGACTCTCAAAGTACAATTGTATCAACCCTTGAACATCTTCCAAAATGGTTCTCTCGAAGCCCGAGGACGCGCCTGTGCAAAATCTGTTTGACCTAACCGGAAAGGTTATCGCAATTACCGGTAAGACAAATTCCCCTTTTCGAATAAACAGACCGATTTCTGAACCTGATCAGGTGGCGCAGGCGGAATTGGTCTCTCTGTGGCCACCGCATATGCCGAGGCTGGCGCCAAGGTATGTATTGTGACAGAATTGTTTTTGCTCGACAAGAGGAGCGCGTACTCATGGATTGGTAGATTGCCATTCTTTACCGCACCGCTGCAACCGCACCCCAAACTGCACAACAGATTGCTTCGAAATATCAGACGCAATGTCGCGCATACCAGGCCGATGTGACTGTCCCGACCCAAATCTCAGCCGCCATCGACAGTGTCGTTAATGATTTTGGAAAGCTGGATGTTGTTGTTGCCAATGCGGGTATTTGCTCGGAGCACGCGGCCGAGCAGTACACGCCGGAAGAGTTTCAGGAGATCATGGCTGTCAACGTCAATGGCGCCTTCCACACTGCCCAGGCTGCCGCAAAGATATTCAAACGACAGGAGTTTGGCAACATTGTTTTCACTGCTTCCGTCAGCGCAACACTCGTGAACACGCCGCAAAGACAGGCTGCGGTAAGTCTCTGCTGACGTTCTTATCCAGAGACGAGAATACCCACGCTGACATGAGGGATCTTGGTACAGTACAATGCATCGAAGGCCGGAGTTTTGCAACTAGCCAAGTCCCTGGCGGTTGAATGGGTGGACTTTTGCCGCGTCAACTGTGTCTCGCCAGGCTATATCCAGACTCAGATCATGGAGTACGCCTCCAAGGAGGTGCTTGACAAGTGGCTGGAGCAAATTCCTGCTCGTCGCTTCGCTTCTCCATACGAGCTGAAGGGGGTAAGAGCTCATGAGCTAGCTCCCACACAAGCTTTGAGCTAATGTCCAACCCTGCAGGTATATCTCTTCTGCGCCTCGGACGCATCTAGTTACATGACAGGGTCAAACCTGGTGGTAGACGGAGGATTCACCCTGCCGTAAGGTATGAGCTGTATCTGAGGATTCTACAAATGAATGCAAAGTTAAATTTCATGTGAATTGTAAGAAAATCGAGTCATGCTCCTCTCTCTCCTTCTCGTTGCGTCGAGACGGATCAATGGATTAACCGCCCCGTGTCTGTTCTCCAATCACTTCCGGCTCTGCTAACGAAGTGGATCCGGGTGCAGTGCCAGACTTCCAAAAAATGGAAATGCATGAAATGTTTGGTGATGAGGAGGCCTTTATCGAGTAGTCGAGCCTCCATCGGCTACGATATTTTCGATGATATGAGCTCAAATTCCTCACCACCGGGGTTACCGTTGGTCAATGGCCAAAATGCCGTCAAGCGCAAAAGCACCATGTATACACTATCTCATCTTTTTCTGTCATGTATTTGCCTTATTTTCTCCATTTCGTTTTTATTATTCACGTAGTACCACGAGTTACCGGATGAAACGTGTTTGCGGCGGCCGTCAGCTCCAACTTTGTCTCGCCACTTGAGGTCATACTCCTTGCAGCTAACAACAACGTCAAAGCGTCCCGCACTGCAGGCTGTCGAGCTTGAATTGGTGGCATTCAATGATACCTTCCAGCCTGATGAGTATAGCGCCTACCCCTCCGCTGCCTCAGAGGAAAGCATGGGCAGCGTGATGGGACTGTCAGGTTAACCCTCCAAATATCTACCTGGTAGATGAGACAATGCTCATTGAAAAAGTCGGCGCCTTCACTGTACCTCTAGAATTTGTCGCGGGGTTGAGCAAGTCTTCAATGACGGGTGATTTCAGGTTCGTGGGCTCGGGGACGATTGCGGGGGTTGGTGGTCTTGTGAGTGAGGCCGGGGTGGATGTAGGTCGCTGCAGTCCGGGTACCAGATGGGAATGAGATCACTGACTGTTTAGATTGGGATTTTAGGAATCTCTGTACCCCTAGGTTTATTCGCTCTTTTGAAGAGTGCTATGTACAAGCAAAATGATATGGCCTAGTATAAAATATAGAGAGCGAACTAGTTCAAATACGATCCGTTCAGGCTCCATGGAGTTCTTGACTAATTGAACAGAAACGCGCACGTTGGAGTTATATCCAGGACGTAGATGTTTGTATTTATTACATTTATCAATCAATCAATCAATCAATCAAAGTTCTATTACCTGTTGGAGCCTATCTAGTATCGAATAGCTATGCAGGCGCTTTTTTCCAGTTGAAGGAAGAACTTTGTCCCGTACGCCTGATCACGCTCCAGTACAGAAAATTGGGCTGGTTCTCGAAACGAAAGAGAGCACCAGCCCTACATATAATTCAAAACCGTAAACCCAAGAACCCCAATACAAATGAAAAATTCAATGCCAGGACGCAATGAATACAAATGAATGCGTGGATGCACGGTCCACCTCATCTCACATCCCATAAAACACCTCTCGATCTCGATGACAGCCAATTCCTGCTGCAGCAAGATCAAACCCCGTTCTCCAACATCCTTACTTAAGTCTCAATTGCTGATTATCGTGCGTCAGGCCGAGCGTGGGCCTGAGCACAGTATATTTAGTACACCTGTACTCGGTGATTATAACCAAAAATGGCAAATCTGGCCAATAATACATTCAAGAACAAAGCTACTCCACTACGATCTCCTGTCTCCTAGAGGGATAATATGAGTGGAAATAGAAATTTCCGTTGTATATTTTTACCGGACGCTTTCCGCCGGAGAGATGCCTACTGCCCCATCTGGATAAGCGGAGCAATATTGCCCCCAGTAGTACAATATATACTCGAGAGCTCCTACTTTCTGAATCGCCTTTTCTTTTCTCCAGAGTCCTCTCCAGAGTCCGTTTTTCAATCTTTGTCCTAGTGCTTTTCTAACTTCCCAATGGCCTCCCCAATTGAAATCACAATCCAAAACCTTACCGGCCGATATGCCATTGTAAGTCAGGATCTTGTCAGCCCCGGTCATTGGAAATTGTCAAAACTTCTAACCCGTGAACTCTGCAACTATAGAACAGTGCTCTGTCCGATTCGATCGAGCCACTTCTTGAACTTGTCTGTCGACTCCCTATTGAAGACAAAGAAAAGACCATCAATTATTGACACACGCACTAGCAAGGGGTAAACTTTTTCGTCCGTAAGGCCATCTCCAAGGCATCTGCGAAAATGTCTGTTCGTCAGATCCCAGCTTTCTGCGGTGCCACCCAGCTTGTCATGGAGCAATCTACCGCTGGATTGAAGGCCGAAGAAAAATTGGTCTTTGATTGGTGCACGACCAAAGTGACAAAAGGTCCACTTGGCGAAGTTGAGCGTACAAAGATTCCCTGTGTGTCGAGTGCAAGATACTTCGTACATTCAACTAACACGCTTTCATCCTCTTAGAAAGCTCGCGAATAGGCAGCACATCAGAGATAGAATTTACCACTATCACGAAGCAAGAGCACGCGGCATTCCTGAAAGGCGAGGTATCTGCATGGCTCGAGGATTCGACTGGCAAGCATATTCACATGGTGGGCAAAAGTGTGAGCGACCAATGGACCGTGGAGGAAGTCTGGGGGTTCGAGCTCATCGACGAAAAACGTTATCACACGAAGAGATGGGTCGCGATCAATGGAGAAAAGGAGACCCAGGGGCGGTTTGTGTTTGATTATATTGGTACACTTTAGAGCCCAATAGCGGGTCAATGCCTGCACTATACCGTGCTACTGATGTCAACCTGTTAATCTGATAGGTGCTGTCGTAATGCTTCGGAATGAAGTGAAAGATTGATATACGAACATGGTGCCGCAGTATGTTAGCGTATCATATGTACATTCTGCAAATGGCAATTCACAATGGGGTGCATGTAGACATAATATGAACAAGAGATAACCAGCCATATCGACCTTTAAATCATACGAATAGATCCGTGGGGAAATTTGCCGCGGAGGAACACATCGCGCCTCTACAGAGTCCGGACATCCACAAAGAGTTCCAATTACAGCAATTTTGTAATGAATGTCACAAGATCAACCCTCATAACTTTCTCAAACGCTTTACATCACCCACTATGAATTATATCAGCCAGATATATCAGAGGAAGGGACACAAAGCGGGCACTCGTGTATGTTTCTGTTTTCATGACCAAGAATATGGGTTCCTTGTCACTTAACCGGAACATTTTCTTCTTACCATTCAGAAATTCAATACTAATAGTGTGTTTTGGAATGACCTTAATTCCGGCAATATTGTGTTACTCTGACCGCCTCCACCGAGACAGTCTATGCCCTGAATACGAATACGCGACAAATTAGTTACGAATAGGTATAGGAAGACGCAAGAAATTGATGAGGAAACAATTCAGAATACTCTACTATATTATTAAATTTATGTACAACTTGAGGGAACTCCTTCCTGTATATCAAACACTTCAGCCCCGAGGGAGCGGTTCAGACCTATTTGCGGCCTAGTTGATTGGCGACTTTTGCATCAAAAGTGAAGGCACCGCTTAACCATGCTTCGATGCTTTGATAATCCATTGCTTCAAATAAACCATGTCTTCCCACGGAGAATGTGTGGAAGAGTGCCGCTAATTAACCAAACAATTGAGGCATATATCACACCTCTTCCCCCGCATGCCCAGATTAATTTTAGCGTATGCGCTGAAGGGTTGATCTAAGGAAATGCACGCGGGCCCTTTTTGATTTGTCCCGCCCTTGAAGCCCCGTGCCACACGAAACTCAAATCGTGGCACACAAGTCAACTTAGCCACACCCAACTATGGAATGTGGAGTTATTCCATGGAAAATCAATCGCAGATTAGATGATGAACACAACCTACGATACATCTAGACTTTGATACGGGGATCTGAAACTCTCCGGCTCCTTCTCATCTTCGGTGGGATTGTGATGAGGCTTAGTTTAACAAGACCTTGCCATGGTCCCAATACAACTACAAGCTGTGGACAGACCTCGGCGTTGCAAAGCGAAAACATAACGCAACTCCGATAGCTAGCCGGAAGAACCGGGATTGCGTGGTGTTACAAAATTTCTGTGCTGTGCCTATATTGGGTTTTTTTTTTTTTTTTTTTGAGTCTTTGCTGGTATTGACAGCTGAGCCAGTGCAAGCCTCAGTGGATCAGAAGACGAGCCCCTGTGATACAATACAAGCGAAGAACACCAGAATGCGCAGGTTGATTAACGCGTGTAGAGAGAAAAGATACATCACGGTCAAAACACCCCGCCGCTATAGGCCTCAAAAAGAGTCGATGCGGGGCGTCGGTCCAGTTGAAGATCCACCGAGGGATCTTCCGTTTAACCCCACATTCTGGAGAAAGTTGCTCCGGATGGGCGACGCTTCCAATCTTTTTCTGCTTCGGTTTGAGAGACCTAGCGGGCTTTATCGGCATATATTAGGTAGCCAATAAAATCCCACTTTCTCATATTGACTGACGAGTGCCATAAGCACATCCTTTTTCGGAGAATAATGCGTTCAGTCCCTACTCGTGCATTGGAACTCCTTGCCATGTGTAGTCCGGCTGCTGTTAGATAAGTATCAGCGAGTCGTGGCAAATGATTAAATGATGATGGAAATGCTGGCAATTAGGATCTTCTTACCAATTGCCGGTTATGATGCCCACAGAAATTAGGGTAGTTGGTCAAAAGTGTTCGACCGTTGCAAAAAGAAGAGACCTTCACCTCGCTGTAAATCCAAAGAAAAGTGCACTGCACGCCAGAAACGATGCTTTCTGACAATACTGCGCAAATGAAGCACGGTCATGTCATATGACAGACAAATGGAGCTTGCAGAATACATACTCTGTGAGTCGATCGTTTGACAGTAAAACATAATTTCTGCGACTAATTTAAAACTGCGGAAATGCATATTCATCTATTTCACTTTATTGTCACCGAAGTCTTTTGGCAATTCAGGACCCCAGACCGATATTGGCCCTACTGGCTCTTTCCGAGTTGCGTTGTCCTCGTTGACAACATCTCCATCTGCATAGTGCTCAATCTTGAAACCACTCGAGTCGTACCAGTAATCAAATATCTGGCTTCCCAGAATATGACGACCCACACCCCATACGGATTTCCACCCCTTCTTTGCAAGATGTTTGTGGCCCATCAATTGCGTATCAAAATCGCTGACTTCAAACGAGCTGTGGTGGATATATGTTTTGCTGGTACCAGGTGGCGCGCGCTGTAAGAAGAAACTGTGGTGGTCGCTGTATGCCTTGCCCAAATCCAGATGCATGAACGTCATAACATCAATGTGCGGGAGTTGTGGGAGGCTTAGGATGTCCGAGTGCACGAAGTTGAAATTGGAGGTATAGAAGTCAAGTTCCTCTTCAAATTCCTTGCATACATATCCGAAATGGCCCAGCTTGTGTACCAGCGCAGGGCCATCATGGTATCGTTGGAAATAGCCTTTACGAGGCTTCTCCAGCGGGGTATTGAAAGGACCTTGCGAGTCGTGAGTGGCCGTTGGGATTGTTCCGCTCTCACGTTCTGTTTGGCCGTGGACGACATGGAAGAAGGTGTCGTTAGGTCTCGCGAATGTGATCATTTGACCACCTCCTGGAGCCTCTCCAATGTCCTTGATAACTGCTCCGGGGAGCTTGAGGGCTTTATCAAAGTTTTCTTGGTCTTTCGCCACAAACGCCGTGCCCATGAAGCGGGATCGTCGAGTCAGGCTCTGTGATGCCACATAAACATAGGGGTCTCTTCCATAGCCACGGTAATAGATTGAGTTTCCTTTTCGCTCGGCTTGAACAAAACCAAAATCCTTGGCGAATCGGTCGAACGCTTCCAGATCGCCGTGGTCGAAATAGACGTGAGAGATTCGGCTGAGTTGAACCTTTGAAGGATGGTTCTGGACGACTGGAATGGTCGTCGCAGGAAGTATCCAATCTTGCCATGATTGCGGAAGCCAGGTAAGAACGTCTATCATCCAAAGTGACATGGCACCGGTTCTCGTGTATTTGCAGAAGAGGAAAACGAGATATTGGGTAGATGGAGAAGAGCTGACGCGCAGTCGCGGTAGGGAAAAAGGCAAGCAAAAAGAGGCAGGCAGATGTAGAGAGTCTAAAGCTTAGAAAGAGATGGATTTCTAGTACTAATAGCATGATAATCCCGAGGTTGCTCTTTTTGCCGCTCGGGTAACCGCATATTTGCACATCGGGGATCCTCCGCGGAAGAACCTCGGCGGCGATCCACGGCGATACAAAGTTGAGCCCCCAGCCCGTAAGGTTAGTATGTACAGCATTCAATCAGCCCGGTATTATTTTTGTGCAAAAGAAAAGATTGCTTTAATTTCGCCGATATTTTGGCAATGGTTACCCTTGTCCCCTGAAAGCTACATGGGTCGAAGCCCTTCCATAAATAGGCTCTCATTCGAGCATGATGGGTAGTGAAGTCAGCCAACTACCAAGATGACCACTGAAGTTCTGATTGTCGGTGGAGGGCCATCAGGCCTCACCTTGGGCCTATTTCTTGCCAACTACAGAATCAAGGTATGGCTTTTGGCCTTCAGATATTCCGCATTGCAAATATGATCTAACTTCTTTGCATCAAGTCCATCGTTCTTGAAAAAGAGCAGGACATTGTCACAGATCCCAGAGGAGTGGTATTGACTGGGGATGCACTGCGAAGTCTTTGGAGACTGGGCATCGGGGAGCATGTTGCCTCAATTGGTCACGGTAAATGGAAACTTACGAACTACATGACATGTACTGTCGACTAAACACTGAAAACAGAGCTTCACGCCCTCAATTTTCATCAGACCAATTTCCAAAATCCGCCCTTCATGGTAATCGATCTCGACAACGATATGATGGAGCACGCGCTTCCAAGTACCATCTTACAAAGCCAGCCTCGCCTCGGTTAGTGGTCCCGGGGATTCATGCACATTTTTGGTTGAAAGTGGACTGACCGGTATGATAGAACAGGCATTGCGGGGCATGGTCCAGTCTTCTGACTACTGCACTTTCCAATCCTCATGCGAAGTTGTTGGCCGAGATGAAGATGAGAATGGAGTCACAGTTCGCTATAAAGCTGCCGACGGGAACGACTGTGAAGTAAGAACCCAATGGCTTGTTGGTGCCGACGGAAAAAGGGGCGTCGTACGCAAGCATTTTTTGGAGCCCACCGCGGGTGTGAAACAAGAGACTGGCATCTTCGACTACGAAAGCACATGGATCGCAGCCAATCTACACATCAATCCACCAACGGAGATGACACACCCAGATTTTGCCCTGTGGGACCTTGGCTACGACTCTCAAGCTGTTTACGATTTATTCTGGCCGCGAGAATGGCATTTCTGTCGACCACCGGGAACGCCAACCGCTTGTGGTCGTTTCGGGCCTCAGGCTGACCACCTCTGGAGGCATGAATTTGCCGTTCCCGAATGGAAAGACCATATGGACGCAGTAAAGACCTTCTGGAAGCAGCTTACTCCGATGATTACTCGACCTATCACATTCCCTGACGGGAAAACTAGGCCAGTCACCTTCCCGGTTGATTGCATCGAGATCCTTCGCTGTCGTCCGTTCCACTTCTCTCATAAGGTCGTCAACAAGTGGTTTTCTGGACGCACTGCTCTTATCGGAGACGCAGCGCATGTCTTCCCACCCTTTGGAGGTCAGGGCGTGGCTACGGGAGTTCAAGACGCCGAGGCCTTGGCCTGGAGATTAGCATCCATAATCCGAATCGAGCAATCACGCCAAATTTCGCCCTCTTCCAGACATACCCTCCTCCAATCCTGGTCATTAGAACGACGAATAGGTATCGACAATGCGGCTCGACTAACTCTACAAAATGGCGAGCTGTGCAATAAGGAAGGCACCTGGCTGGGAACTTTCCAGATTGCTATCGCCAATTTCGCATTGAACTTCCTGAGGCCACTTGGCATCAAGCTACCCCAAATGACTGCAGATGCTTTCGGCTACTCAAGCTGTCAAGAGGGAACTTTCCTATCTGCAGCTGGCGGTGGGAGGAGACTAGGCCAAATATATGTCCAAACCTACCTTCCTGGTAGTGGACCTGTCACTATTGAGCTTTCTGACAAGGCGCTTCGTCGCGTTCCAACCATTTTGACTTTATTGGTAATCAACTCATCTAACCAAAAGGAAGATACGGACCTTGAGAGCATCTTGAGCCAGTACCAGATCAACTCAGATCTCTTGTCTGTTAAGTCGATCGTCCACTTTAATTTTGGGAAGCCGGATCCCCAGCACTGCACATATGAAAAGGCTGTGTCTTTTCCTGCACCCTTGGATCTTCTCCAAGGATACCCCGTTCGACTCAGATACGATCTTCACCAATTTCAGCGGCGGCTGAATGACCATGTGGCAAGATACTTCGTTTTGCGACCTGATGGTATTATCTATGGAAAGGCTAGATCTTTGTCTGGCTTGGAAGACTGTTTCAAGAATCTCGAGAGCAACTTCTGCTAAATGCTCCGCTCTCCAGTGCGCGGGTCAAATCGAAAACCTTATAAATTAGTACTCAAACCTGTACCTGTCTTTCCGCAACACGAGCACAAGCATACATCAAGTTCTTCGGAATTTTTCTACATGATATTGTGTAAACCACCCTAGTTTAGGTAAACGTAATCCATGTTCTGCCTGGTCCTTTCTTCGCCATCCTCTTTATTACTTGAAGAAAGGTACTGAGAATTCCCGTTACAATACTCTCATTTTGGACTGCGAAGTATACTGGAATTTGCTGCGCATGTCCTCCCCATCTTCAAGCCGTGGAACCATTATTTCTTCCATTTGACACATCAACTAAGCGGAAGTAATATTTCTCTCTTATTGAGATTGTCCCTGCTCCAATATATTGAATGTTGCCTCGTCCCTCTTACTTCCCTCGCAAATTTGTCATCTTCATTGCAACTCAAATAACAGGTAAGCGACTCTTGATTTGTGAGTGTCACCAAAACACACTAAACAAGCCATGGCGACAACGTGTACCAGAGCTTTGCTTTGATTAATTTCCAAGCAAGAGTTCTACATGAAGTGGTCAATTCCATAATCAGTAACACAAATGGATTCAATTGAAATCGCACGCCTCAGGTTTTACGTCTGATTGTTTGCATCAAATAATAGAAAGTAGTGGGGCTCTCACATCATTGAGTCTTGACCATCCTCAAACAAGATATCATTTCTCAGGATCCCAATCCCACAGATTTCAATTTCAACCACATCTCCATTCTTCAGGAACTGTCGTGGGGTTTGAAAGGCACCGACTCCGGAGGGCGTTCCAGTCATCACAGCTGTATATGCAGGAATGGTCGTGCCTAGTGCCTTGTTAAATCACACCACAGCAAATTGTACGCTTCAAGTAACAACATACTCTGACTCATCCAGCTGAGGACTCTTGCGGGGTTGAAAATCATGTCTTCTTCAATAACAGTATTCTGCTTGACCTCCCCGTTGATCCGAGTAATTAAACGAGCACTCTTCATATTTTCAAAGCTTGCCGGGCTCACTAGCACCGGGCCAATAGGGGCAAACTTATCGAAGGCCTTCGCATAAAAGAACTGCCCGCCAGACTGCTCGGGAAGTTGGAAAAATCGACATGAGATATCATTTCCAATTGTATATCCAAGGATGCAGGATGAGGCTGTCTCGGGGCTAACATCGCGAACCTCGCGGGAAGTGACAAAGACCAATTCACCCTAAACGGTTAGCGCACTATCCAGTCCATTGAGGGTTTGATTCAGCGGTACATACCTCCCAGTCTGGAAGATGCGAGGCACAAAAGCGACTCATCGGAATGGAAGACCCTGGGCTTGCCAATGCTGCACTGGGCTTCGTCCATACTGGAGGATTGGCCGGAACGTTGAGCTGCCTGGAGTTAATATATGCTCTACTAGAGGCGAGAGTCTCACCTTAGCCTCTTTCGCATGGCTTCCATAATTCAGCCCCACGCAGTAAATCGGAAGATTGATGTCTGGGAGAGGAGGCAATAGCTACCCCAGGGCAATGGTCAGCAGTGCTCATTTTATGGAAATTCAATTTCATGAACCTTTGCGACAGTTGCGTTCTTTCCGTTCTCATCCTTCGTCAAGTCATCGAATGAAGCGAATGCTTTGACTGAGGTGCCACGCGCTGTTTCCAGCGACTCCACATTCGAGAAGAATCTGTTGCCAGCTTCATCTTCAAAGGCGATCAAGTTTTTGATCACAACCATATTGCTCGGTTATGTCTTCTTTGTGCGACTACAAACGTAGAATAAATGGGTCGGTGACAGAAAGCTCACAGGGACAGTCGACCTCTTTTCAATTGACCCCGGAGCAAAACTTAGAAAAATGTGGCCGAAACCAATGTACTATCAGACCAAGGATAGTTGTTCCGAAAAACTACGAAATGTGATCCAGGATCATTTTAGGTTAGCGCCGGAGTATCTATCCAATATGACTGAAAACATTGGCGGATCCTCCGAATCATGTCACGTCATGATAGAGCCACGCCGCAAGCCTTAATCATTACATCCTAGTCATTCGGGCTTATGTGCACGGTATCTCTCGAAACACGCTAAACTCAATCTAGTCAGGATAGGTCAGACCTTGACATTTCGCATGGGACTAAAAAAACAATTTGGTCCCGCTATGGGAATCCCATAAGGTTGAGCTATTTTTAGCGTATTTTTAAGTAGCTATAGCAGCCTAAAAGTAGTTTATATTGATATAGCTAATTTATTAAGCGGTTAAAAATAGACTATATTTGATCTTATATTAACTATATAGAAGATATATGTAGGCAAAAAGGAAAAACACAGCAGGGAAGCCCTTTCAAAAAAATCAAAAATGACAAAACCAAACAAGCCAGAAGGTCCTCGAGCAAATGATCACTTCTCGATACTTCGGTCTCCAGCTCAGGCAGCTAACAAGAAAGACCCAACTTCTACGGTGAAAGTAATGGAGTTTTCGAGTTAGGCAGATTTTATTCAATGTATGGACAAATGCGTTTTCACATGATAGACAGAACAGACAGGATCAATATGAGACAAAAGAAGTAATAAAGGAAACATCAACAAAAGACTGGCAGAAGGAAAATAAACGAGGGTAGCAAGTGCGCAAAAGAGATCTATGTACATACTTGCTGTTTGTAACAGCAGGCACAAGTCACTAAAACAACTGTTGCAGGGATACATTTTGCCCACAAAGATCCGCAATTTGGTCAACCAGGGCTGAAATTCCCGAGGCAATTTTGTGTGCATCTTGCTCGTTGAAGACATCCGTGTCATACATGACAGTGAGCTTGTTTCGGTTGTTGAGTGCTTTGGCGACCTCCACAACCAGGGCGTACGGCTGGTACATGCGAACCTTTGACTTGGCCATGACCAGCCACCGATCGGCTTCGGATTCCTCGTTTGCAGCAGGTTCAAATGGCTGGTAGAGAAAAAGGCAACGATTGCTTGCGGTGGTCCGCGACAGCCCAGCAGCGTTGAAGATTTCATGCAGGCCAACATCACCATGCTCGGTAATTCCCCAGAAGATATCCTGGACGCTCTCCAAGTAATCACTGAGGGCGCTCTGAGGATCAATCTGTGCACGGACTGGGAGGAAGTTGGCCAGGGTGCCATTGATGGTCTGGGGGTCGACATCGACCATGTCCACGTTGCGACCACTGAGAAGATAATCAAAGCTGATATCGTTCTGGCCACTTGCGCGGCAAAGCCAGAGCTGGTAGGCGGCCTGAAAGAGAATTGGGACGGTGACTCCCTGTGCGCGAGCCACAGATTCGAAGTTTCGGGGGATGATCTCCCGAATGGCAGCGGTGATTTTGGGGCTCTGTGCCTGGGGCCAGGTGTAATGCTTGTCTTTCATTGTCTCGGCCCAGAAGCGCAGCGATTCCTCCTTATCCGACTGGAAGATGAAACTGGCAAAGTCCTTGAACTCGCCGTGGTTGGGGATTGGCTTGCCGCGACGAATAGCGGCAAAGTGATCATCAAATGTGCGAAGTAAGGTCCCATCGTAGGCAGCATGGTTCATCTTGATAGCCACATCCCAGGTGTTGTCAGAGTGCAAAAGAATGGCATATTTGACAAATGGCTTTCCGAATTGGAAGCGCTCATTCCAGAAGTTCTCGATGATCTCCGACTGCTGCTCCTCGCTGTCGCAGTGGATGATGGGCACCTCCAAATCCGCGTGCTTCATGACAACACCCACCCACTCGGCCTCTGAGGTGCGAAGCCAGGTGGTGCGCAGAATGTCGTTGACTTCCGTCAGACGACTGGTGTTGTGGATCCAGTCTTGATAATTGGCGACCTCGGGCATTTTTCGAACGGCCATGAGCACCCACATCTGGTCGGAGCGGTTACCTTCCTCAAGGAACTGGGCTTGGCCCGGAGGAGATGGATACACTTGAAGTTATTAGCCCCGATCATGATTGTATGAAATCCGAAAACACAGGCGGATACTTACCATATTCAACATTATCACCGATCGACATTCCATGCTCACAAATGGCATCAAGCACACTGGCTGGGGCTTTGAAGCTCGGTTTCAATACTTGAGCACCTCTTGTGTCAAGACGCATCATTGGGGTCAGATTTTCCAGGACCGGGTTCTTCAGGATATCCTTGACACTCAGGACATATCCAGCACTGCGAGCAACACTAGCAAGGCTAATAGCTGCAATGGAGTCACCACCCAGGGATAGGAAGTCGGCCTTCTTTCCAATGCCAGCGGATGGGATACCAAGAATCTTAGACCACATGTCTTGTAGCTTGGACTCTTCCTCAGTCTCCACGGGAACAACCTCATGCTGAGATCCGTCACCCTCGAAGGAGTACTGGCTGATGGTGAGTGTGTCCAACTGCTCAACCCACTTGGTGAGAAGCTTCCGATCGGTCTTGCGAGAGGGCATTTTGGGGAAGTCCCCGACCGGGAAAATATATTTGGGAATCATGTAGTGAGCCAGGGTGTTGAGACCCGCTCGCAGGTCCTTAGCATCAGCCTGATGGTCATCAGCATCTTGGATTTCACAGGAACCAGCGGCAAAGATGCAGAAGGCAACGAGTTGCTTCTTGCCGTTGTGGTTGACTGCCAGGACGGCTGCTCCTTGAACCAGTCCGGTCTTCAGAATCGCTTGTTCGATTTCCGTCAACTCGATGCGATGGCCGTGGATCTTGACTTGGTTGTCCTTTCTGCCCAAGCACTCCAGCTCGCGACCAGGGAGCCATCTTGCCAGGTCACCGGTTCGGTACATGCGGTCGGTGCCTAACGTGTTCTCCAAAAACACAGCCTTGGTAAGGTCCTCGCGGTTGACATACCCGTCGGTAACCTGGGGCCCAGCCACACAAAGCTCACCAACCGAGCCATAAGGAACCATGGTAGTACCATCTGGGTGCAGGATGAATGCCATGACTGTTGGGAATGGCGCACCGATGTTGCTAGGACGGCCGTTAGGGTCAGCTTCTTTGGTTGTGATCACCATGGAAGTCTCCGTAGGGCCGTAGACGTTGAGTATGCGATGGCCCGGACTCCAGCGGGCGATGACATCCGATGTAAGCGGCTCTCCGCCAACTATCAATGTTTCGAAAGATGGAACCTCGCTGGGATCAAGCAGCTTTGCGACGGTGGGAGTCAGGATGGCCTGTTTGGCTGACATTGTGTTGATGACTCCTGGCAGGTCCGACTGCATCTTATCGGGGGGCGCCATGCACAGAGTTCCACCGGTGCTGAGCGTGTTGAAAATATCCTGCACGGAGGCATCGAAAACATAGTTGGCAAATTGGACCGTTCTCCACTCGCCAGAATGTCTGCTTTCAGCAACTGCCATGCTGACGACGGCCGCCGCTGCAGCACGATGAGGCACCTGTACACCCTTTGGCATGCCTGTGCTGCCGGAGGTGTAGATGATATAGGCGGTGTTGTCCGGAACGGTGCGAACAGCAGGAGAGGAGGCAGGGAATTGATCGATCTCTGGCGCATCGATCCGAGCGATGTTCAGACTTGGGATCACCGAGAATACATCGGCGAACTCGGCTTCGGTCAGGATTGTTCGTGCCTTCACATCGTCAATGATGAATGAGTTGCGGTCCACCGGATTGTCTGGACTCAGAGGTACATATGCGGCGCCAGCTTTCATGACACCCAGGATCGCGACAATGGTATCGATTGACTTCTCCAGCATCAGAGGGATAGACTCTCCTTCCCGCACTCCCTTTTTGATCAAGTAATGAGCAACACGATTGGCACGGGCGTTCAATTCTGCATATGATAACTGGGTAGTTCCATCCCAGTCGATGGCGTGGGTGTCGGGGAAATCTCGGACGTGATCCTCAAAGCTCGCATGTAGAAGCGAAGGACGGGGCACATGGAGAGTCTTCCTGTTTGAGATTTCATTGTACAGATATTCAGTCTCTGCCTCCCCGATGATATCCAGAGTTGAGATAAGTTGCGTTGGGCTATGCATGAATACCCGAAGCACCTTTTCGTATGACTCAAGGAGGAAGTCGACACGGCGAGGCTCCATCTTTGATGAAAGCTTCATAACAAGTGCCTCTCCGTCATTTTCAACATCTAAATTGGTAAATTCAGAATCCCAGGTGGAGCGATCCCCATATCGCTTGAAGATTTGGTTGACTTGATCCCCGTCATTGTCCTTCACCAGAATGTTCACCATTGAATCAAAACCACTCGCTCCCAGGTTTCCGGCAGCAAGGGCATTGCGCATTCCATGCTGGGAGTGCTTCAAAATTTTGAACAGATTGGCCTGTACAATTTGGGCTAGCTGAATGACCGTTGACTCGGGTGCCACATTCACCTTTTGGGGCACAGTGGTAAGGGTAGGGCCGTCAAGACGATCAACATCAAGCACGGGAACGTCGCGACCGGAGAGAGTGGTCGCAAATATCACATCAGCATGACGAGTGTGTTTTGAGAGAACGATGGCCCATGCTCCATACAGGACAGCACCTAGTGAGAGCCCATGAAGTTGAAGCGTCCGGCGAAGAGGACCCTCGGGAAGCTTGCGCTGGGCAACGGTCGTCTGGTCCACGGGTACAGTGTTGATAACGCTCGGCTCCGTGTTGGTGAGATACGTCCTCCAGAAGCGATTATGCTCGACTGCGGATGTAGAGACATTATGCTTCACGAAGTGTTTGAACTGCGGTCGTGGGCGGAGTTGAAGACCTAGGTAGACATCTGCGACATCCTGGTACACAAAGCGGTGCGACCAGTAATCAAACAGGGAGTGGTGCATAGTGACAACAAGAACATGTCCAGAGACGAGAGCCACTCGGAATAAGGGACCAGAAAGGGAGAATGGGTCTTGCTTGTCTTGCGCAAGATATTCACTAAGATCTGCCGTAGACTCCACCCAAGGTAGGGTGATGTCTTTTCGGACAACCTGAAGCAGGCTGCGGCCTTGTGCCTTAAACGAAGTGCGGAGAATGTCGCTGGATTCAAGAACGGTGTTGAAGCTCTCTCGCAGCTTGCTGATATTTAGACGACCAACATCCCAGGTTCTCTGATAGGAATACATTCCTTGGTCCTCGCCCAGACTTGCGAGCAGGCTCTCCTGCAGAGGGGTGGCTGGATAGGCATCACTGATGTTAGGATCAGCATGGAGTTCCTGTTGCGCTTCTGAGTCGCGAACGAGGGCAAATGGCCGCAGGTCATCGCTGCCATCTTCCACAACTGTCACGAAAGATACTGTCTCCTTTAAGGTGGCATTCCCGAGTATATCCCCAAGGTCAATAGCAATGCCGCGTTTCCGCAACTCGGAAGTGACCTTGATGCCTTCAATAGAAGTTCCTCCCAGCGAGAGGAAAGCGGTGTCACGGTTGATAGACTGCTGGGGAAGACCAAGCACATCTGCCCAAACACTAGCGATCAATTGTTCGGTTGGCTCGGTAATAGCCTCGAAAGCAGCATCTGAAGTTGCCGCTTCAACCAGCCCTTCCCATCCTTTGGCAAGTGCTTCGCGCTCAATGGCGCGAACATCTACTTTTCCATTTCCATTGGCCGGAAGCTTGGGCATCTGCATCCACAGGGAAGGCACCATGTAAGCCGGCAGCTTCTGCTTGCTGTGGGCTCGCATCGAGGAAACCATTTCGCTCCACTGGGTTCCCGAAGCTGGGACGATAGCTGCCACCAATACAAGTCGCTCTCGCATCTCAATGGCAACGGTCGCACAGCTTTGGACAGCTTCGTGTTGGGATAAAACCCGATTCACCTCCGCCGGATTGGTTTTTTGTCCGTTGAGCTTGACTTGAAAGTCCATCCGGCCCAGGATCTCAATAGAGGTATCGGCATGGATCCTAGCGACATCACCGGTCCGGTACATCCGGCCCATGCCGAAGGGGTTTTCTGTGAACACCGCCGCGGTAGCCTTCTTAGAACCGGTGCTCGAGGTCAAGTAGCCGAGGGCTAACTGCGGTCCTGCCAGACACAGCTCACCGGCGACGCCCATAGGTGTCAGCTCAGTAGTGCCGGGTTTCAGGACATACGCCTGGGTGGTGTCGGTGGGGCGTCCGACGATGCCGGGATTGCTGCTGCGCGAGAGGCGCTTTCCAAAGTTGAGTTGGGCACATTCACTCAGACCGAAGGTGTTCCGCAGATCGACGTGATCTGCCCATGCGGTGACGAGCTCGCGGGAAATACTCTCGCCTACCAGGGTGACCTGTTTTAAGTCGGGTACATCAGTGGGCTCCATGAGAGATAGTGCGGACGGCGTGATCCCCAGAGCATCTACCTCCATGGTTCGAATGGTTTCAGCCAGCTGCGTCGTCAGCCTTTGCTTGCCAGCTAAGAGGAGAGTGCCTCCATGTGTCAAAGTCGAGAGCATTGTCCGCTGTGCGGCGGAGAAGGTGGGGTTGTAGAAAAGCAACCAGCGCTGTTTGCCATTCAAGGTATGATATGCCATTCCATTCGCAGCAGCTCCATGAGTGACAACTGCACCCTTTGGCGTGCCAGTCGAACCGGAAGTGAACACCACGTAGCATGGGTCTTTACTGCCGATCATGGTATCCAGGTTTGCAGACGTTTCTTCCATGTCTGTGGTGAGCATGTAGTCCTCGATAGCGAGAGCGTTGGGATACGGCGATATGTGGCGACGGCTCGTCAGGACCATGGTCGCGGAGCAAGTTTCGATAATTCGAGTGTTCCTTTCAATGGGTCCCTCTGGATCAAGCACCGTGTATGCTCCGCCAGACTTCAGAATTGCCAGTAAAGTGATGATGAGGTCGGGAGAGCGGTCGAAACAGACCGGGACAACCTTGCCCGTCAGTGAAGGCAGCGCGTGCGCCAGCCTATTCGCGCGAGCGTTGAGCTCCGCATAGCTAAGTGGGGCGTCATTCTCAAACTGCACGGCCGCGGCACCAGGGGTCTGCATGACCTGTTCCTCAAACAGACGGGTGATGGTGGAAATTTGGTGCTGGCGAGCCAACACCTTGGCCGTGTGCACCTGAGCCAGCTTTTCTTCCCGCGAGCCAAGTTCGATATCCTCCAAGCGAGCATGAGGAAGGTAAAACTTGTTGAGTGCACTGTACAGGGCATGGGAGAAATGTTCCAGAAGCAGCTGAGCATCTGCAGTCGCGGTGAGGGGTGAATGGCATAGTGTCAAAGTGATAACACCGGTGCCATTGATAAACATTGCCAGAGGGAACGGCGCCAATTGACCAGCCAGGGTCGGTCCATTTGGATCAGGGGAGTATCTTAGAACAGACTCGAGGGGCTTCGCGAGTTCTTGGGATAAAGCGTTGTATCCCAGGTAGGCATGCGGGGATGCCGTCTGATGGAAGGTGGTGAGGCGGTTGGACAGGCCAACAAAAGTCTCCTCGCTGGACACCGACAATCGGACAGGATAGGTGTGGTCGAGGTATCCCACACAGGATGCGGCATCTGGGAAGCTCGCATCCCGCTCCACGGCCGCGAAGAGAACATCACTGGCACCGGAGTGGCAGTGCAGGACATAGGCCCAGAGGGTTTCAAAGACGAGTTTGCGGGGCAGCCCCGAAGCATGCTCAATCTGAGATAGCCCCGGGTGGGAATTGTCATCGAGATGAAGGCGAAGGGCTTGGCGGTCATGAGCCTGGCTCACGTCCGAGAGCCCAGTCTCCCATGGAAGAGCAACGGGTGGCACGGCGCCACTAAGCTGAGCCTTCCAAAAGGCAATGCTGCTGGCCGTGTCCTTTGTTTCCTTAAGGAAACGCTGGTACGCCGCCAGCGGTGTATGCTCCGGCAGGGGTAGACCGCAATAGAGCAGGACAAAGTTGCGCTTGATAATCTCAAGCGAGGTACCGTCGACAGCTGCCCGCCGGGCACGGAGTGTCAATCGATAGCTGCCGCTGTTTGGGTCACGGCAGACGACTAACTGTGCCAGATCATCTTCCGCTGGGACGTCCGCCAGCGACGAATTGGATGAAGAGACATTGCTTCCCATAGGCTTAGTGTCCCACTGAATTTCTGGGGTGCGATATACAACCCGCTGATACGTCTGGCCCGATCGGGGATCTGAACGGAAGACCGTACGGAGGCCACAGTCTATGCTGAGTTAGGAATTTGGGGGATCTAGACTCGAGTCAAGAACTCACGATGGGAGCAGAGCTGTGTCCAGCTGGCCTGGATTCGATTCACATCGGGCGCGGACTGGCGAGGCAAGATCAGGCTGATCTTGCACCAGGGCATCTCGTCCGATTCAAGGATTTGGCATTGTGCCGGAGTCGCCGACCATTCTACCTCCAGGTCACTACCCTGGAGCAGGCTCTCAAGGTCACCCAAGTGCTGGTCGTACAGAACTTCAGCATGGCTGAAAGGATCAGCGGACATGATGTCCATGGAGTTTAGCTGGATGAGGCTCATGATGACGACGTGGACAGTAATTCTTATTTTGGTATGAAGAAGAAATAGTCAAGAAGGGATTTCTCAAGTGATGAATGCTTTTGCTGATCTCTGTTTCGAGTGCTGATGTATTGAAGACTGGGCGCCGCCATGGCCGTTCTTTATAGGCGTTCTTCATCAAGGTTGAAGCCATCCTGAAGATCGCCTGTTCCCGCAGCCAGGAAGGTCTCCGTGCCATGCGTTGCGCCATTTCCCCTCTCCTCTCACAGCCATTCAACTTCAGCGTTCCAAGCTCACGTCGTGACTCTAAGGTTCCGGGCCCGGGATGGACAGACTGACATGTTCAAGCTGGCATGCATGGCCCGGAAACCGTCTCTTACGCCATGTCGCGCATTTACAGTACGCGGAACGGGGCTAACAATCAGCATTGTAGCATCCAATCTACTTGCCGTCCGTGTCATGGGCCCCACAATGGGGTCCCGGACGCGCGCTTCGACGTCTCGGGGAATTTCATCTAAGAATTGGGTCTGTGCAGACAGACGATGAGATCCCCGGATTGATGATGCCAAGAGTCAATGGAGCAGTGGGAGGGAAAGAGGGGAGAAGAGAGTGATAGAGTGAGAAAGGAGGTGCCGGGGCGGAAACAATGTGGGGCCAGCTGACCCCGGAAACCCTAAATCCCAGCAACAAAGAAGCACCGGAATTGATTGTTTTCTGGTCGTATAGGTTGGAGCTTCCGTGCCATCTTGTCAATTACTATGGATGCCAGGGTATAAAGACCCCCGACCCATCTCATTAAGGACTCTATCACAGCACCATCATCAACATCGATTACCACAATCAACCTATCGAAAAACCAAAACACACGGTTCCTTGTCGTTCATACATCTCTATTGACTTTGAATCTTCTGCAATCATGACTACCTGGGAAAATCGCGACGTGACCAACAACCACCTTCTGCCGTATGTGGACTCCGCAACGGCTCCGGAGGAGGTCAGCGCAGCTCTCACAACACTTCCCTTCGAGCGCAACATCTTTAAGGTACATTCTCAGATTCTCTCCATGCACTTCTCCAATGATTCATACACTGACCGTCCCCAGATGGTCGCAAATGCGCCCACCTTTTTCCCGACCTTCATGAAACTTCTCACCTGTGCCTGGTCACCCCAGCGCAGCTTGCGCTCGAAGGACTGGCAACTGGCCGTCTTGCGTACCGCGTCCCTGCTGGATGCCCCATACGAGTGGGACGTCAATGAACCCGTAGCACGAGTCTTCGGCTACACTGAGGAACAACTGGCGGGCCTCCGCTCCGGGGACTTGAGCTCGACGGAGCTCTTTTCCGATCGCCAGCGACTGATCAGTGCGGTGGTTGAAGATCTTTGTCTTCGCGACCGTGTGAACAAGGATACAGTACTCAAAGCCAAAGAAGTTCTTGGAGATGAAGCATTGATGGACCTGTTCTTCACTCAGTCAATCTACGCGTTCCTCGCCCGCACCATGAACAGCTGCTTGATTGACTTTGATGAGCCGATTCCTGGGTTGTTGGAGACACTCCGGAAGTACAACGCACCCATTATCGAGCGGGAGAGCACCTATACAGATTAGGCTGGGTCGATAACTGGGTGTCGTCCCTTTGGGGTTTATTTAGATTTGGGACCTTTTCAACTATTTCATATGTTTCTGTCACCCCAGGTCCACATCAGTAACCCTGTGCCTAGTACGCCGTACTACGATCGCGTGAATTTAGAACATTGTACAGCAAATTTATGCTCAGTACGAAGGGGTATAGCGTCCACGTGTTCGTGACTGTCTTTACTACATAAGTGCCTCAATAACTGTAACTAACTAGTTATTGGCCTCACTTTGACCTTATTTCGCCTCTACTTCACATTGATACGTATTTTCTAAAAAATTACCATACCAACGTAAAAAATCGCTGATCGAGCAAATCATTGAAATGACGTAATTAGTCCAAGGGCATTACAATACTGTTACAGTACAATGAAAACCTGAACTGTGAATGCAAAATGGAAGCTTGGAACCTCAAGGCATACAATATCTGTTTTTCCCCTTCTTTCTTTTTCTGCTTGTTACATTGCCCTTAGAGGCACTGTTTTACTCTGAAGTTCTTGGTTCATCGGTTTAAACTTCCTTGTCGAGATATTCTTGGTCCTGACTAGATATGATCGCGAAGCGGCCTCATAAGAATTAGATAATATTGCAAGTATAGGCTCAGAGAGACTTGAAGGTTTCAGCACCGCTGAGTTCCTTTTTATGGTCATCTATGGAGCGATGTTATCGAAGATTTCGGTATGTCCATCTTGGCTAATATATATATTTCCGGTCCGAGTCAGGTCCCATACGTCGCAGGTTCTAGATAACTTAATTGTAGCATCAATAAAAGCCCAGTGATTACAAAGTGTCGAATGAATAGAACTGCTACTAAATAGAACAAAACACACAGTGACTCTTGAGTATAGTACCAAGCAAGTCTAGAAGTTGTTCGAGTTTCCCGCCAACATTAGCTTGGCGATTTCAGGAGCTTTAAGGAACATAGAGCGATTCGTTGTTTACTATTATCGGTGGTACTGTTTCCAGATTACACTCTATGCTCTGCTTACGAAAACTAGCTTCATCGGCATAACTGTAAGGAATTGAAAACCATGATACGCTTGTCAATTAGAAGAATGCAGAAGAAAAGAAACAAAGAGACTCAGAACTGGACAACGTGCTTGGTGCACCCGACGGCCGGTGCTACCTTTCCACTGACTCTGCTCAACACCGACTGGACCTTCTTCTCGAGATTTCCACCACCCTCTTCTTCCCAGTCCACGCGACTGACCACTGGCGCGGTGATCTTGCCTTCCTCAAAGAGGTCGGTGAACCACGAAAGGAGGTCAATCTGCGCAGCCTCCGTATACTGACCCAGCGCTTGGGACAGTCGGAAGTTCTTGAAAGTGATTTGCTTCCAGAAGATGAGCTCCTGGCTCAGAACTAATTCTCCACCCGCTCCCCCCAGGGATCCGTAATTGATAAAGGTAGCTCCGGGGGCGAGCGTGGCGGCAAGTCGTTGACCAGATTGACCGAATACCGCATCTAGGGCGAGAGTAATACGCTTGCCGGCCGCGATCGCCGCTGGGCCTTCTTTGGCAAGTTGCGATTCGGTGACGACCACACGAGCGCCCTGATCGAGAAGTGACTGGCGTGTGGCTTCGACATCATCCCGATCTCGAATCACACAGATACTCGGACAGCCCTTGAGGAGTGCGAACTGGACCACCATTCGTGCAATCCAACCCGTTGCAGCATTGAGAACGACCCAATCTCCCGGAACCAGGGAGGGACAGCTCTCTAATAAAAGATAAGCTGTTGAGCATCCTGTCTTCAACAAGCTGGCGGTCGTCGGCTCCAAACTCTTCGAAACTTTCAGCAGAGCAGCCGCCGGAACGACGGCTTCCGTGCGCCAAGTCCCCAGGCCGTGGGCACGGGGAATAACATGGTCTCCGGGCTTCAACGCGTCCACTTCCGCACCAACGCGCTCGACGCGAGCCACGCCATCGTACCCCGGGATGGGTTCGTCATTATAGCGATGGTGTGGTTGAACAGGATACCGGCCGGCAATCACTAACAAATCCTGAGGGTTGACAGGAGCAGCCAGAAATTTCAGCAGGACAGAGTCCGCAGGGATTGGTGCGTCGCCCACCGCGTCATGGCGGTAAATCCGGATGACACTGGCGGGTTCGGTCGACTGACGCTGGAACGTGACCGTTTGGGCGGACATAATATCAGGTAAGATCAGGAATGCAGCCGGATGAAATAAGGCGACTGAGAGATGCGAGATGCTCGGCCATGAGCAATTCCGGCCATTCTTATAATAACCATTGCGATGTTATCTCCTGATAGGGGAAGATACCATGGTAATGATGGAGGATTTCAAAGCATCCCCGGGACCCACAAGGAATCCGAGCGAATAAGAGGCGTTGAGCCCTTTGACTCCACACTATTTCCGCCGGAGATCCTCGAGCTTAGCACAGATGCGTCCCGGAGATGACCAACAATTGGAATGATACCATGGCCTGCGTCGCGTTTCTGGATCCGTTCCGGCCGTTGGAGCTGACACGGCCACAATCAAGCAACTCCGTCTCGGAAATATGCGTTCTGGAGCAGATCATCGGTGGGCAAATCGACTGGGGCATCATGGCGATAAATAGCTACTGGTCTGCCTGGCAATTGAAATTATCATCACTCATCTCAGCCACAATCATCACGACAGAGGCAGAACCCGATACCGAAAAAAAGCTTTACATTGTAATCGACCAACATTTCGATACTCATCACGATGAAAATTGAGCAACAAAATGATTCTTTGCGCTCATCATCTTCTGAGCCGCCCTCGGAGACTTCGATCGAGAAGCCACCGTCTCCAAGAGACATCCATGGTGTCAAAGTAAGATATTGCACCATCCATGCTTTTTGATCACTCGCTAACCCCATATCCACAGTGGGCTCTAGTGGTCACTGCGCTGCTGTCGTCCTTGTTCTTGTATGCACTCGATAATACCGTCGTGGCCAATGTTCAACCGAAAGTCGTCGAGACCTTTGGGCATGTCAGTCTGGTTCCTTGGCTGGGTGTCTCCTTTGCTCTGGCTTCGGCTGCTACGACGTTGATTTGGTCCAAGGCCTATGGCACTTTTTCCGCAAAGAAGCTTTATATCGGAAGCACGGTCGTGTTTATGGGCGCATCGGCTCTCTGTGGTGGCGCTCCAGACATCAACAGCTTCATCGTCGGTCGTGCCATCGCAGGTGCCGGCGGCTGTGGAATGTACATGGGTCTGTTGACTTTGATGTCGGTGACCACAGACAACGTTGAACGCCCCAAATATCTCAGCCTGACTGGATTTATCTGGGGTATTGGTACAGTTCTGGGTCCGGTGATTGGTGGTGCCCTCGGTGACAGCAAGGCGACCTGGCGTTGGGCATTCTACCTGAACCTGCTAGTCGGAGCGGTCGTGGCCCCGGTCTACATTATCCTCTTGCCCGACTTCAAGCCCCAGAAGGATGTTCCCATCATCAAGCGCTTTGGCCAGATCGACTACATTGGAGCACTGTTGTCCATTGGTACCTTCCTATGCTCGATTATGGCCATGAACTTGGGCGGAGTTCTGTGGACTTGGAGCAGCTCGAACAGCATCGGTCTCTTTGTTGGTGCCGGTGTCTTGTTTATCCTGTTTGGGGTGCAACAAACCTTCAACTTGGGAACCAGCTTTGAGAACCGCATGTTCCCAATGCATTTCTGGAAGAGCCGTACCCTGATTGTTCTTTTCTTCACCATGAGTACGTATCCACTGCATATTATTCACAAGCATGGCGCAAATTTTAACGGATCACAGTGTTGGCGACCTTCGGCAGCTTCATCGGCATCTACTACTTGCCCATTTACTACCAATTTGCCCGTGGAAGTACAGCTGTTGAGACCTCTGTCCATCTCCTGCCCTTCATTCTGCTCTTGGTCGCCTTCAACCTTATCAACGGTCAATACATGGGCAAGACGGGCTACTACTACCCATGGTACATTTTTGGAGCTGCTCTCGAGTTGATCGGTGGCGTTCTCCTCTGTAAGTCCTTATTTTCACGCATTTCCCATATACCATGAAAAACGCCCTAACAATCTTGGCTATTAAAGATACTGTGGACGAACACACCTCCGACGCCAAAATCTACGGATACACCATCATCCTGGGTACCGGTGTCGGCTGCTTCTGCCAAGCCGGCTTCGCGATCGCACAGATGAAGGTAAAGCCCGAGGAGATCCCTTACTGTGTGGGCTTCATGACAGTTGGGCAAATGATGGGCATTGTCTTTGGCACTGGTATCTCTGGCGCTCTGTTTGTCAACTATGCACAACAAGCCCTGGCAAAGGTATTCCCCCTGGCCAGCGAGGACGAGATCTCCAACGCCATCTCGGGCGTCGGCAGCGAGCTCCTCCGCTCTGCGAGCGCCGAGGAATATGCTGCGGCTATCCATGGTATCACCGAGGCTATCCAGTTTGCTTACGTCCCTATCATCGCTGCTGGAGCCATTTGCTTGGTCTGCAGCTTGCTCATGAAGCATGAGAAGGTTTTCGTCACTGGCGCCTTCGCTTGACGAGTCTTTCGCTAAAGCCGTGGCGTTTGACACTCGAACATTACAATGACAGTTTACTATGAGGGGAAGATTGGTGCGGAGAGCTGGAGAGCTCAGAGAGGATTTTGAGTGTGAAATTGTATAGAGAAATGTGGTCGGTTAATCACAGCAATAGATCAACCAGGAGGGCACTTGACTACCTAAGTAGACTGCCGAAAATGACATTTTGATTCTACTGCAATTGATCTGCGATCTACTTAGTAAAACATTTGTAAAACATTTAATGATCCAGAATAATATTTCTGACGCCGTTGTTTGCGCTATCTTTTCAATTTTTATGCCATTCGAACTTCTTTGTACCGGTTTTTCTTTACTCGGACTCTTTATGACATCTTTCTAGTTCATTTAGAATAGCCTGAATATATATCCCTGCAGGCGATTTGTTAAAATCGAAATCCAATTTTCTCTTCGTGTACCTTCAATGAGCAGTGTAGACTACCGTGGATTCGATTCAGCTTCTCTACAGGCTATGGAGGAGGGCGGAGATGATAGAATCAGATCTAAAAGGCAACAGTAATACCCGAAAAGTGCTTGGTGTGATAAAGATGCAGTGATTTGTCATATAGATTCATAAGCAAGAGGAATGGATGAATAGCTTGGTTTTCTTCGCTGCAAGACTGAATCTTGATAATCGGCGTAGAACTAGGTTGCGCAAGAATGTATGCTGGCAGATCACGCCATGGAATAAATTCCGAGACCGTAGTACTCTCAAAACCGGAATACAGAGGGCTCCTCTGAGATATCGGTGTACGCCTAAGGTAAGGTCAGCTTGCTCAATATAACAAAACATAAAGACCAATCTTACCCAGGAATCTATTTGCGCCCACCAGGCCGAAGTATCGGAGCTGTCCGGGAAGCCAAAGTTGTCGTATAATTTGAAAGAGTCGTCCACAAGATGAGAATCAAAAAGATCTGAGGGTAGTGAGTCGAATGCCATGATCTCCGGCTTTGGAGACACCGCAGCGGTAGTAGTCACAGGGGCAGGGTGGAAGCTAGGCGGAAGAAAACTGTTTGATTTGAGGCTCTTCTGGCTGTCTTCTGTCTCTATTGGGGCACCCGGTCGGAGACTAGAGATGACTTGCCGGTGGACCTCTAGACGCAACTGCTCTAAAATAATACCGTATCGACGGTTAGGACTGCTCTGTGAGGTGGCCTTGCCCAGATGCTGTTGGCAGGTCTCCGCAAGGCTGAACAGATATTGTAGCTGGCTGCTGTTTTCCACCTTCTTGTTCGATGAATCGCCCAAAGACGCTTGGTGCTGTTTGATAACATGGATGTAAACGACTGTGATGGCGCAGAAGCAGACGTAATGTGTGAACCAAAAACCATGAATGAGAGCTTTTCGGCTGGCGAGTCCGTTGATGATTGTCATGATTTCTTCGGCAGCAGCGATGCATTTGTGAACGTAGATGGCGACGCTTGATTGGGGAATATCCTGGCAATCATTCAAGAGGAAGAAGCGCGTGGCGTAAATTATTGCGTGAGAGTAGGCGAGCTGCTGGATCTGAGATCGCCAGCGATCCATTAATGGAGCTGCGGCCTCCTTCCATCGGTCCAACTCGAGAGTCAAGAGGATGACTGCCTCAAATGGGGATCCTTCAGGTGGATTGAGGGTGTATAACTTTCGTGAAATATCTGCCAGCACCTGTGAGAGTCTAGTAAATGTGAGCTTGCGCTGGCCTTTTCTCAGGATAAGCTTCAAGTCAGAAACCGACCGGTAATGTAGTACGGATGCAATCATCACATCATCGGGCACACCAGATCGCAAGCTCGGATCATTGATCAACAAGTCTTGATCCGTTACCTCGTCCGGAAGCTCTTGATCAAAGTCTTCATCGTGCAGCAACCGCGGTCGGCCGAACATCACGCTCAAATACTTATCCAATGTGTAAGCGCTCCAAAACGTTCTTTTGCGAAGCTCTTGCTCTAGATATGTGCCCTTGCCCTCCTGAACCATAGTGGACGGCCATTTGCGATGTATGTTTAGGGCAGTCAGAAACTGAACGGTGGTGCCGAATGCGAACCAGCATTCACTGGCGCGGGATGACGCCAGTAGATAGAGACTTCGGTTTAGTCTCGCTTGTACTATCTCCAGGCGTGGTGCGCCCGACTCAATGGAGGACATCCGCTTTGAAAGGGCAAACCAACGTTCGCTTCGACAGGCAATTAGCGGGGGAACTGGTTGATGAACGCGTCAACGTCAGGCGTACCTTTGCTCATCATAATCTACATCAGACTCAGGAGCCCGCCTCTCATACAGAGTACCAATCGCAAGGACGCTGTAGACAATACAACATCGCCCCACCATCAGGTCTGTGGGCAGGTTTGTCGCAGAAAAGTTGCTCTGATAGATCTGACGGAGCCATTGCTCGACGTGACCACGATGCAAGAACCGGTAGGTCACAACGGCATATTCAAAATAAGTGGCCACCATTTCCAGTGCCCTCTCCAGGGGAGGAAGGGTAAAATCAGGCTTGTAGAGGTCTGAATATGGCTTGTCCCCGTATTTAGTGACAGATGGACTATCCGAAAGTTCGCCATTGAACCCATCCGAGACACTTATGTCAGCGGACGGCGCCTTGTCTTGGTTGAGGCGCTGACACACCCGGTTGATAAACGAGGTTCCTGATGCCAGGTCTAGGTAACCTCCATGAAAGTCTGCAGTCAAGAGATCGGCACTGCTGGAAGCTTGATGGGCACCCCCAAGCTGTGCAGGCTGCTGAATTGATGTTGGGAAGCTCACATCCTGCTTGAAGAACTGCTGCTCGTGTGGCTGGTTATCGAAGGTCAGCTCCAGCGGCGGAGGCGGCGGTGGCGGACCAAGTCCCCTGGAGTAAGTTGTTTCGTATTCACAGGCCAACGACAGTCGTTGACAACGCGCACAGGGACGAGTTCCGCTACAGCGAGTCTTTTTCTCTTTGCAAATATCGCAGGCCCTGACGGTCTTGAGTCGTTGGCAGCTCTCTCGCTTGTTGGAGCCGGATGTCTTCCTCTTTCCCTTTGTGGGGGGTTCTTCATCCTCCCCATAGCTAGGATCCACCGGAGACGTCACTTGCGGCAGGTTCGCGGGGGTGGATCGGTTCATCTGCGCGGGTTGACTCAAGGCCATATGGAGATGAGGGTTTTTCCGCGCCCACGGTTGCTCTGGTGATTGAGTATGCTTCAAGTGTGAGAGATCAGGTGTACGCAAAGAAGCGAAAAGTTGTTGTTTCTCCCTCATGCCTCGAAAGCACGGTATTGGGGCCGAGGAGAGAGTGCATACACTACATTGCGCAGGTAAGATTGTGTACGTAAACCAAATAGAAAGACGGACGGAGAATACGAGACACTTAGCAAGAGATCATAGGGTCGAGCGTTCCTGAAGGAACCTGATCCTGACGGGTGGCTGCAAGCCAGCGGTCGATCTCTGACTGCATTGAGGGCTTGACCAATCCAAGCTCCGAGAAAGACCCTCAGTCGCTGGATTCATATCGGGAAGGGTCGATCCCCGCCCTGACGACTAGTATAATTTAGGATGACGGACAATCGATCCTGCCGATGTAACAGCAGGGGTTTCATTATTGTTGGTCAGTCACTCTCTCCGTAGTAAATGGCGCGCATCCTCGAAAACCTCCCAAGCCCATCTGTACGGCAGGAGTTCTTTCAGCCTCAATAAACATTTTCCCCTTTCTGCCCTCCTGCTTGCAAAGTATGTCCCATTACTGGCCAACTACAGTCTTTGTTTCTTGAAACTGCCAAGTAGTATATACGAGGAGTTTTTCCGGCGTATCCCCACTCGTTGTTGTTGTTTAATTTCCATTAGCCCGTAGTGGGGTGTGCCTGTAAATTAAATACATGTGACGAGGGGCGTCATTGTCGCCTAAAGCAGTCTCGGATTGGGTGTACCATCTCTAATCCCTGTAACTCACATGAAGATGACGGAAATTCTTTGAAAAAGACGAGTTGGGGGCCAATTTACTAGGCCCTGGAAACCACAGTTCTCGACCATCTCGATTTACCGCCAAGACTAAACCAGATTAGCCTAGCGAGATTTGCATCATTTCTAGAATGTATGGGAACATTCACCTCTCTTCTTCAACTTTCTTTGTTTTTGTCCCACTAATAGTGTTTCTCCTACTACTTTACAATCTGTACTCGGATTATTTCTGACTTCTTCATATCTTCGTACAAACTCCGATCAAGGTACTCCGTATTGATACCATTCTACATTTAATACTGATACACAGCGTGGTACCATGGTTGGCAGAAGGTGGCCAGCCGTGATTGGCGTACCTGGCGGCTAGTCCCGCTTTATGGCCCCTGATTAGCGTACAGTGTAAAACGAAAATCTTTAGATCGTCCGCGCGTCTTCGAATTGGTCATACACCGGACAATATATCCAAGCACAAGATATATTACTACTCTGAGATCTGTCTGTTTAGGTCTACACCCCGAGCTATGGACATATAATGTACGTCCGATTCAAACATATTTCAACCCCAACTAGTTAGATCAGCTACTCTGGGTCTACACTCGTAACATAGCTCCTTGGCGTTGGACGCCTTGGCTAAAAAATGTCACCTCGTTCTCACTCGCTTAGCTGCCGATAGCACATTCGTATTGATCGTGCAGAACATTCGACATAAGTACGACCAAGGGGACATGAAGCCCTGTTTTTCACACCCTGCTGTCCTATGCATGATCCTTTGCTTAGGTGGAGAACTTGTAGAAAAGTTTTCAGGTGCCAATTAATGTCGCATTGAGATCAATTTTCACACCGAATTCGCCAACCGCCACCCTCTTGGCATCTTTAAATTCGCTCATTTTACCTCCGCAATACCCGCTACATAATTTTGAAAGCGCCAGGCCCGCTACGTGTCTGATTTATGTTAACAACCTGCCGCCCTGCTTTCTAGGAGCAGCAGTAGATTTTGAATGACTCTTTAGGAACCCCTATGTGTCAATGCAAGTTAAAGGTCTAACCATAAAAGTAAACAGGTATCCCGCACTGCCCCCATCATGCCCGAGGTTCAAGTGATATTGCGGGTTCCAACTAAGCTCCTTCCAGGGGAGCTGGCCTATAGTATCTAACTGCACAGATCATTCAATGCTATGCAGTCTCCGATTTCCAAGTCCATATAGACGGGAATATGTTCTTGGTTGAACAAACTCGGCTTTTTTCCACGAGAACGTGGAGATTGATGATATTACTACAGTATAATAAAGATCAGTGACTATACGCATGAATATGGTCACATAATATCTAGCTTGGCCAGACTTAGGATACAATGAGCAATAGCTCTCCCAGGATTTACATCAATTCTCTACTAATTTAAACCCGATCATATTCCGTCGTTCAAACAAATCTTCTCAAAATGACCCCAGGCTTTTGCCAGCCGCGACAAGGCATCTTTCTCCGGAACATTGCAACTGCGGCAGAATTTCCAGTGCACCAAGCTTGCCATTAGCCCAAATGAAACTTGGATGCTCTTTAGGGTCCAACTCGATGCCGAATCCTTTGCCGCAGAAAGATCTACGGGTCGGTTTGATTGAAAGCAGGAAATGAAATTAGGCAATCCATCGCTTGCCATTCGGCGTACAGATAATATCGACCTCGGTCACCTCGCCATGTAGAACTAAAACTTCCAGCTTGGTCTCTTCCTGGAACTCACGGATCAAAGGTTGGAGCACTATTTACTTTCCTTATCTTCCAGTCGCAGAGCCAGGCCCTCACACTAACGCTGGTTACCTGATACAGGCTTTCCGGACCATCTGGCCCCTTTTGAAAGTTTTCACGATACTCATCCCATGAAACATTGAATCGTCGAAGACTTTGCGCGACTTGACAGGTCTCGTATGGGGTGGCGAGATGAAAGAAACAGTTGGCTATGTTGATAAAACGCCCGACAAATGATCTAGGTCACTGAATAATTAACTTAGGATTATCTGCCAACATGTTTGGTCAGAGGCAAAGAGACAAACCTTGAGCATACAATTTGAGCCGAAAGTAATCCGTGCAAGGGGTTTTGAAAGCTGGGATGATAAAAGATTGGATATTCGGCCCTTTAAACCTAGTAGGCTCCAGATATCTAGGTATTCGGGCTAGCAAAACATTTTACATAATTACTGGCAGTCTTGTCTTTTTGCCTTGAGTTGTCCGGTCAACTGATGCACCAAAAGATATTTATTTATCAATGCCCTGGGCAAGAAAATAATCCCTGGAAAAATCAGTGTGTTTCTTGGGCCCATTCAATGACAATAAAAGATTTATTCACGAATCTGCACATTTTGAGCTAATGAATTCTTTTAAAAGTTTCCAGTGATTTTTCGCCCATAAGTTCCTTGGCAGCATAGTAAGAGGAAATTTAAGAAGGGTGTAGGCAGTATTCATAGGACATTATGTGAGTGTTCACCTGTACCATTGCTCAGTTGATTTCATCACTATCCAAAATATAGATCGGGCCCAGTCTAATGCATAGTGATTTATAGCATTGGACAGGCTACATATCAGAATTATAAATCCTATATATACATATAAATACTCATCTTACTAAGAGCGAAATGGAACTTTGCCGAAGCATGTTGCAGTCGCTTTTCGGGTCTGCTCTTTAGGCTGCCCGTCAATATACGCGACTCTGAGACCGCTGACGCCTCCGTAGGGTACAGTAGTAGTAGTAGTAGTAAGTTTCACTTACACCGACCTCTTGCCAAAGCGATTTACAGTATACAGCAGCTATGTATCCGAGGATATACGTTTGCAATAATTTACTTTCTGATACGAACTTAGAGCCTCGTCACGGCCTATCGTGGCCTATTGCCGCCCCCCCATTAGGCTGCCCTTACGACGCATGACTACGAAACCGCTGTGACGCTTTGGCAAAGTCCAACAAAGCTTGAACTATTTTGGCCCGCGAGAGGATGTCTGATTTACTTTTCTCACCTTCATTTGAGCCTCCTAGCAGGCTTGCCACGCTATGAAACGCGCCCCCGACATTTTTTCGTAATTCTACCCGTAGCTCTCGTAGATTGAACAGAATGCTGTTCAGGTGCTCAGCAAAAAGTGGGTCGGCCACAGCCAGCGAGTTTACACTGTTTGCATTCTCTCTAATTGGTCCATATTTTACGCCAAGAAATATAAAAGCCTTGGCATTACCTTCCGAAACCTTCCCTCTTCTTTATTCTTTCAAAACATTACTCTCTCCGGAGGGTAATTTATTGTCCAATAACCTGCTACTATTCATTTTCAAATCATTCCTATTTCGTTCCCCCCCCCCCCCGCGCTATCAACTATGTCCGCCTTCCTTGGTCACCTACCTTCCTTCTAGCGCTACCTAGAGGGTGGCGTTGCCTAGACCTCGCAAGGACCGGGTCCGGTCCCAACTTTGAGGACCGGGACCGGACCATGCGGTCTTTGGTCTTTTTTCAAAGTAGTCAGGACCGCACCACGGTCCCCCGTGGTCCTTTGCGGTCCCCCATGCGGTCCCCCGCAATTTCATAATTATGCCAAGACCTTCCTTGTTTGGTCGTATAAACTGATTATTCAGCCACGTTTTTTACCGTTATTTAACACTATTCTGGTATCTACACAAATTTTGATAATGAATCAGGTCTAACAATCAATAAAACAGTTGAAACTACCTTGTATCTGATTTTATGAAGCTTGGTATTAAGTTAATTACCAATGAACTTTCAATTTCGGACTGTTGTGGTTGACATTTTAGAATTTACTTCTGATCATGCAAAGATATATATATTTTCTACATAGGAGTACTTATACGCTTAGGAAGAGTTATGACTATTGATATCCCTACTAGATTTCTGATAGCTATTAGAATTTAAGCCTATCTATTGCCTAGAAACTATTGATATTCCTTAGACTTCCGCAAAGCCCATTTTGGGCCCAAGGTTCCGGCCCAGAACCCAACCCAGCCTGGGCCCGGGTTGAACTTCATTAACCCGGGCCCAACCCGGGCCCAGCACTAGGCCCCCAGTAAACCCAGTTTGGACCTAACTCGGCCCAACTTTTGCATTATTTCAATCATAAAACTGCTCAGTCATCAAGATAACTCACTGTTTTTTACATCGGTTTTGATCTATACCTTGAACCACTATACTTTTCTAGTATAACTA